ATTACTATGTAAGCTGTGTAGTTATTATTAAATTTTACTACTAGTATTAACTAAATATCCCTCCTGTACTATTATTTTTTATAGCTGTACCTATCCTATATAGGTAATCTCTGTGGGTGTAGTAGTTAATTAGTTAATATTAGTTATTATTAAATACTTAATTAATATTTCTTAGTATTTTACTAGGTTTTTTTTTTTACTAATTATCTTAATATTTACCTGGTGGACTGCTACAGGATATCCTTAATATTTAAATATAGTATTAGATCCTAAGATTTTTAGCTAAATAAATATATTTTATTATAGTTTTTTAGTATTTTTTATATTATTAACTATATAAATTATATCCCTACTAGGCAGTATATAACTAGTAATTACCTTATAATAGCTAATTATTTTATTACTGCTTTTAGTAATAAACTAGTTTATCTTATTAACTAATTTCTAGTAGTTGTGCTAAAAGAAATTGGCTACTAAGAAAATAGTTTTGTAAATATATAGTTTAAGGTTTACTGTTAAAAATAATATTAAGGTAGGGAATCCTAATATTCTAGTAACTATACTAGGTATTATAAATCCCTTGGTATAGGCAGCGCCCAGCCAGTTAAATATATATAACCCTAAAGTTATTATTATAGTAGTTTCTAGGACCACACTGTAATAGGCAGTCTTAAGCTAGGAATACAAAGGTTTTAATATAGGTGTTAACATGCCAGTCTGTAGGGTCCTAAATATATTAATAAATTTAACTAGCTATAACTAGTCTTTTATCTGCTTTGCTACTAGGGACTTTAGTTTTATAATATCCTTAGTAAGGTCCTTTACTAACAAAGCTTTTTAAAATTATTTAATTAGTTTAATAACTATATCCAGGAAGGGCTAGAACACGCCCTTTAGCAGGCCATGCAAGCTGCTTTGTCCTGTATTACTTTTAGCTTTAAGGCAACAGCTAAAAAGGCATTTATATATATGTATATATTTTTATAGTATTACTTACTTAATTAGCCTTATAGGTTTAAAGGCCATATATAGCCTTTCCACCGGTGTTTAGTGCTATTGCAGCCACAATAATAACAGGGAATAAGAGAAAGGCCTGTTTTAAGGATAATCACGGGGTTATTTAATGAGTTAAGTATAATTTAACGTAAAATTTAAGCAGTTATGTACTTTGGTTGTGGTGCTGGGGCTTCCGCGACTTTTTTTAATCACTTCTAGCCATGGGGCTTTAGGTAAATTTGCAGAATTTACTAATAATCTTGCTTTATTAATAATTAAAGCACCAGCTCTTTCTGCATATAGATTTTGTTCAGGCTGTTTAGGTAGTAACTCTTTATAAATTATGCCTTTATCTTGACAAAACTTACTAAAAATTAATGCAAGATTTCTGTTACTATTTAAATAGAATTTCTTAAAATTTAAATTAGTTTTTTAAATAGATTAATTTATTTAATATTTTCGGGTTAATATTATCCCCAAATAATATTTAGTTACTGGGTTATAAGCATGTAAGATATATAAATCCCTATTATATATTTAATTTATATAAATTATATCCCAGTAAATTAATTTAAATAGTAATTGGCCTATATTAATATATTTTTTTAATCGCCCAAATTGGTTCAATTTGTTGAAAACCAGGATGCCTAAGGCACCTTCGGGCATCCTAGTCCTGAAGCCATCTGACATATCACACGCAAGGGGCTAAAGGACACGTAGACATAAGGAAGCGTTTATCTACGCTCTCTCTCCTAGATAGAAGAAGATACTCACCATGCGATACTAGATCGCACCGATAGTTTAATATACTATCCAGTCACCGCTATCCTAGCACCTCACGACATAGCTTCTTCCCCGAGATTCTCAACAATATTTACTTTATTTTTAATACATTACATATAGGACAATTCTTGAAGTTATTATATTTTATAGGTTTAATAAAAATAGTATTTACTACATTTAGATAACTTATAACCTTTTTACTTGGGTGCCCAAGACATTGGTGCTATTTATATGCAGAAGCTGTTTTTAATATTAGTTAGAGGTTCTGTAAGTTATAAATAATTAATTATTTTAATTATTCTAAGTTAAATTATCCTATTTAATTAAAAAGATTCCTAATTGGTTTTTTAACATGCAGATAGGCAATTGTTTTTAAACCTCTGGGTCGATATCAAGTTGGTCTTAAGCTAATTGCTGGATATATTTGCATTTATTAAAATAGTGGTAACTATTATTTAGCTTTAAATTACACAGACAAGGCCTCTATATAATAAAATTATTACCTTTAAATATTGCCTAAGCAATATTTATCTGTTTTAAAGGCTTTGGTTGGTTTAGTTTAATTAAATCCCTAAACTTTTTAGTTATTTAAAAGAATAAAGATATTTCTTTATTTTTTATTTATTTTCTTTTATTAGCTTATCCTTCCATAATTCTGTAAAATTTGGTGAAATAATTAAAGTAGCTTTAATAAAATTATATAAGGGTCTTGCACTTTGCTTAATTTTACCTATATTTAGATCTACTACTTTAGTATAGATATTTTCCTATTAGGAAATCCATGATCTAATAAAGCTAACTTAAGGTGCTTTTTAAATTATATAATATTTTTAAATAATATACCTTTTTTAGGATTTATTAAAAGGTGCTACTTTAGATTTTAATATTAATAATATATTTAAGGCCGAATTATTTCCTATAATAGCTTGCTTATTACTATAGGATATTAAATTGGTAATAATTATATTCCTTAGATTTTATATTATATTACAAATAGTATAACATAGGTACTTTTTAGTATTAAGGTCAGTATTAAACTAGCCCTTTTATTAATATTTAAAAATAGGGTACTAAGGCTTCCTTGTATATTTGTTTAATACCTATATAGGATTATATAATCCAACACCCTTATTTTAAGTAATAATCCTGATATTATTAAACTATAATAGCTAGTTATTTGCTTGATAAATTGTTACACCTTAGTTAAATCTATATGGTATTAATATTAACCTGCTTGATATTAATACTAATAAGTATAATACGGTTTGTCCTATATATAGAACACCTTTATAAATTTAAAATAGTAAGCAATTCGGGAAGGTATATTAAATAATATAGGCATTCAGCAGGTTAAATAATAAGATATAAGAAGATAAAATTAAGTTAAATAAAATAGTATTTATAGCTATACCAGGCTTATAACTATTAGAGGAAGGCAGTAGAGGAAGTAAGGTATAATAAATATTAGTAATATCTTTAATAGATTCTTATATTCTTATAATAATAATATATTAAATAAATTAAATTGCTTGTTTTATTATTATAAAAATTACTTCCAAAGACCTGCTTTTTATTTATATTTTAGTTTCCTTTTGGGTAAATAAATTAATATTAAAGTTCAGGTAAGACTTGCTTTAAAATTAACAGAGTTATATAGCTGCAATATCGCTCATCACACGGCCGGTTAGGTAGGGGACTGGACGAGGTAGTAGAACACTATGAGCTGTAGGGACAGTCGAATAGGGGACGGGGGCCCCCAGGGGCCGCCCTGATGGCGGCCCTGGGGAGGACTGAGGGAATTCTATTGAGTCTTCTGAAGGAATGTATTGCCTAAGCTGTCCTTGATGAGTCCTCTGTCTCTCTCTCTCTCTGGTCTGCTACCTAAGGTAGCAGACCGCTATTTAACCTAATGTCTACCGAGGTCTTCCAGTGCACTGCCGTGGGATCCCATATCATACGATCTGGGATCGTATGATGTGGGATCGTGTCTTCGGAGTGCCTACGTGTTGGAGCCATATTCGTCAGGCACTATACATCTTAGTCATCCGGGATGACATAGCCAATCAATTTCTTATAGAATCTTATAGAAATAGATTGAAATATTTTATAGTTTTCTGTGACTTATAAATTATGACTTATAATTTTTCCATGGTTTTGCTGATATTTTGCAGTAGTAATAGGTGCCTGATATATTAGGCTCCTATTTCCAACAATTACTAATTAGGTTTAAGATAGAGGCCTGGGATAACAACGAAGCTTAAAAGTCCTGCAAGATATTAAACTTAGGAAATCTGCAGTGGTAAACCACGCTTATACATATTAATAATCTATCTTTTTAATGTTTCTTCTTCAAGATTGGATAATTTTCGACTATTAGCAAGTTTTTCCTTGCGGGAAGTTATTCTATTAAGTTAATAGCAAAAAGTTCTTCTAGGCACTTCAAATGCCTTAGCACAGGCAGTTTTTGATTAAAATTGGCTATATTCCATGTGTTAATACCCATTTGCATCCTTTTATCTTTAGGAATGGCACTCATTTTGAAGTTTTTAATAATATCGATCAAATGACTAGAAAAATTGAGATGAAGTTTTTAAGAGAAGGGGGGGGAGGGGGGGTGAGAAAGCTGGCCATTCGGTGTCCTGGGCCATTCGGTGTCCGACTATATTAATCTCATGGCTTTACCTAACTATTAAACCGAACTAACGAGCTACACTAATATTAATAAGATTAACTGTTTCTGTTTTCCCCTTGAGCTAAACGTGCTACATATATCCCCTTATATAGAATTATTTGATTTAAATATTATTAATATAACTATCCCCCACGCTATCAATATTATTTAATACTATTATAGAATATTATTCACAGCCTATCTCCTCTAAGCTAATTCTAATGGCTATTCCTATTCTGGTTAGCTTAGTGGTTCACTTTCCTCTGACAATATTAAAATTTTTAGAGAAATTTCAGTGGGGGAAATTGCCTGGTTGTTAAATGAGATTTGTCCGCCGGTCCATCAGTTTTTCAAGAGATATATATATAGATAGATAGATAGACATAAATTCCCAGCCACCCTGACTATTATTCTAGGCCAATTCCTAACTATTCCCACCTTCTCCTACATCATATTCATATAGCAGGCACATGTAATTAAAATTACCTCAACAATACAACCCTGTAAAGTAGTATCATATAAACTTGAACCTAATAATCCAATATACCACTCAGTCATCTGGATACTCATCTCGTATATTGCTCACAAATCTCCGCGCCCCTGTATCCCATCGTCTGAAGTGCTTCCCCGCTGCAGAAGTAAGAGACACTGGAAGCTCCGAGATAGGTGGTGACATAGGATCAATATTTTCCTCAGCCACATACCGCACACTTCTATCTTCAACACTGAACAACCATTAGCACAGTCCACTTATACAGGCATAAATGAACGCACAGAACATGGTAGAAACTTTGGTGCCTGCCATGTTGCAACCGGTCGATGCCCATCTGCCTCACCCATTGGTCACCAGCATCACACTCTATGTCCCAACCTGTAATGACTGCTTTGTAATCATAGCGCCGATGTCGAAAGACTTGGCCTATTTGATACTTGATACTACCGTTGTGCAAGGCGCGTCTCTTAATCTGCTTTGGCATTTCATCCACAGCCCTCATGACGTGTAGACTTTCAAGAATGTGGTCATGTTCGCGCATACCAAGAAAGAGTGGCGCAACATATTCCTCAATAAGAAAGGCGTCAGATGGGAACTCTGTAGCAAACAGTTCCATCAGCCAAGGTAAATGGTGCCTAGACGCCGCCGGCTGAGAAGGGTCTGTAAGAAGCACTGCCGACCAAACAGCCGCGTACTTTGCGCTGTCAATGTCTACTAGGCCTAGGCGCACATCAGAGAAATGAGACATGCGCCGAACCGAATTTAAAATGTTGTTGCTGGACCGTAAAACGATTTCCGAAACCAATGACTCCTTTAGAAATGTTGACTGTTCATTAGTTGAGGCGCCCAAAAAATTCAGCTGACTTTGAAGTTCAGTGACTGGGGTCACTCTGTCCGAACGAAATGGGTCCATGTAAATGGGTTCGATCTCTCTTTGATCACGAAGTATATTACCATCAACATCGATGCCACGTGGGGGTTTAACTATGACATGAACGTGAAAAGGGAACCCACAGGGTCGGGCGTTCAGACCTAGCCTCTGAGCAACATAGCAGTATATAGCTGCTGATATCAGGGGAAGTGAGTTATGCTCCGAGTCATTCAGTGCAACTCCTAAAAAGTTGTGTTCCAAGGAATGATATTCACGCCCCGCTCCAATGCCCATCAAGTTATCTCCCCTCAGGCAAGAAGCAATAGCCATAGCCTTATGCCGTGGCGTGAATTGGTCAATATCAGGATACCGTGAGAAAACCGACATAGCAATCATATCCAGTCTGCTGCTTATCTGTATTAACACATTAGATCATCCTTTTTTACCTCACAAGCCCACCTACTTCTTCTACACCCCCATACCCACTCTCGGGAATGAAAAGGTCGAAGGCACCTAGTGCTCGCTCAAGAGGTACTGTCTCATCGGTTCTAAGCCTGTTCCATTCCTTCACCGCAATGCTCCGATGGATGCAGGCCAAGAGTGCTCGGGAATAATAGCTTCATGGCCGCAACAGAATGTCAAAAGCCGGACCCAGACAATGTTGTAATTGGAGTTAGAGGGAACAACAAACCTCCTCGCTAGATAATCATCTGTCTCTGTTGTTGATATATTTCGTAGGAGAGCATCTTTGGCGTCATAGCCAAGCTTAATTATTGACCGAAACTTTTCTATCCTGCCCGTCTGCTTTGCAAGAATACTGTCCAAGATTTGACAGGTGTATTGGTCGTTCATATGCCTTAAGATATAGAGTGCTTTCCAATTCACTGCAGAGGCTGGGCCCGAAAGCTTTGTGGCCAAATCATGCTTAGGGTCCCAGAATCTAAATTTAGATTGGCAATAGAACCGCCACAGCAAGGGTTCGTTTATAATGCATTTGAATTGGCGCGCAGTCTGTTCTAAAGCAGCGCAGGAGGAAGGATGGCAATAAAATAGGATATTATAGAGTATCTCTTCAGGAAGATTACCAATCGACAAAACCATTCCGATACAGTAAATCAACCAACAGGCACCAGCTGATAGAGGCAAATGGTAGTACCCCGCCTAGGGAGTTTGTGTGAGGTGTTCAACGCGTGAAATCTGAATATCACGGGAGTACTAATTTGGCCAAGCCAGGCAAGCAGCATATTTTCCGGCTGGACGTACCACGGCAGCTGCTTATACACAGTAACTTCTCCGTTCACTACTCTTAGCTGGGGAAGTCGTTAACCAAAATTATATCAATACACATGGGACAGTTCCACTCTACTGCAAGCCAGGAGGAGCATGGAAACACGGACGAGGGAACAAAGGCAGATTATTACAAACTCCTCCAGGTAGAACAGGATGCCACTGGAGATGAGTAAGTCCTCCTACCACTTGCAGTCCAACTTAACAAAGCTGATTACTCCCCTTTATTATCCCTAGAATCAAGAAGGCATATAGAAGAAGGGCCTTGGAGTTGCACCCTGATAGAAATTATGGCAATGTGGAGGCTGCTACAAAACTGTTTGCAGAAGTCCAATCTGCTTATGAGATCCTGTCAGACCCCCAAGAGCGTGCTTGGTATGACTCTCACCGCAATATGTTCATAGGGGGTGGGGGATGGGAAGAAGTGGACTATTCGTACAACACCCGCATGACAACTTCTAACGAGCTCTTCAAGTTGTTTTCGAGATTTAACCCTCGGATGGAATTCACTGACTCTTCAGACGGATTCTATGGTGGACTTCGAGAAGTTTTTGCTAGGCTTGCTTCGGAAGAAAGAACAGCCTGTCAATGGGACAAGATCGAACCCACAGATTATCCAACATTCGGCTTTCGTGATGATGACTTCGAAGAAGTGGTGCGACCGTTTTATGCTGCGTGGACTGCTTTTTCTACGAAGAAATCTTTTGCATGGAAAGATGTTTATCGGTATTCTGAAGCTCCAGATCGCCGCGTTCGTAGATTGATGGAGAAGGAAAACAAAGCACGCCGAGAAGAAGCAATCCGCGAGTTTAATGGGGCTGTTAGGTCGCTTGTGGCTTTTGCAAAAAAGCGTGACCGTCGATACAAGTCTAATATCCAAAGTGAGTTACAGCGACAACAAGTTCTACGCCAGTCGGCTGCAGCTCAAGCTGCACGATCGCGGGCATCGAATTTGGCAAATTTGCGCGACCACGTCGTACAGGACTGGGCTCAATCAGAGGACCTTCAAGAGGATGAATCTGATATATCTGCTAACGAAATGGAGCATTTTGTGTGCGTCGTGTGCAACAAGCAATTCAAAAGTCAGAATCAATTTGGCGCTCACGAACGTAGCAAGAAACATTTAAAGGCTATTAAGCAGCTTCGCTGGGAAATGAGGGCACAAGATAAACAGCTTCATCTGGAAGGAATTTACGATCACGAGAAAAGGTTTCATGCAAAGGGAGCAGCCCATACAAATCCAACATCCGCAATATCAACCAATGCTAGTCTATATGAACCTCAACCAGTCGATGAGCCACTGAGCAACAGTGCTAGTTCCAATATTGAAGACGGGCTAGAATCATCTTTTGGGAAACATATTGGCATTACTGAGTCACGGAACGAGTTCCATGGACATACATCTAGTTCTGGAGACTGTTTAAGTTCGGACAACACAAACTACACATCGCGGAAATCGGTCCAGAACAGGCTTCATGTTGAGCGTGAAAATGAATTAAATGGATCTATAAAAATATTACCCCAGATTTTTGAGGACATCGGGATTGAAGATTCGCCACAATCCAACCGGAGGACACCAGGCAAGGCTAAACAAAAACGGGCTAAAAAAGCCCAACGCCTGATGGATCAAACCCAAAGCATTAAATGTGCTACTTGCAATTCCGCTTTCCCATCTAAGACTCAACTCTTCTCGCACATTAGAGAATTAGATCATGCACAGCCTCTACCAATCACCCATGGACATAAGAGAAACAAACAGTAGACTAGACCATTCCGTTTAGTCTCCTCACCAACATTATACATGTGACCGGTTTACCTTTTTACTACCACCATTTGTACTAGGGATTTGTCTGAGTATGCCTGGAATAGAATATGTATTATAGGCTGATTGGGCTATACATAGGGTATGTGGAACTGTAAGCCTATCCCAGACCAGCCTTGGAGTTTTTGACCACATGCGGAACCGGCAGAAGTATCCCCTTGTTATTAGAAGCCCCAAGAGCAGTTCCAGTGCTCCATCCCATCTTTTCTAACATGGCTCTCCCCTTGTTTTCTACTCCAATTTCTGGTGCAGATGCTCCAACAATGTCACCATCCATGTATGAAACGGACCCATCGGGGTGGTGCCGGCTAACTCTAGATGGTTTGGTAATATTCTGTCCCCATGATTTTCTCGCTTTATGCTTGAGGTTCCTTGTAAAAATCTGGTTGACCTGGGAAATAGTACGATGCGTGTACTGAAGGGTACGCGAAGTCTTGTGCAGGATAGGGAATCGTGAATTCCCTTTCCCTCGAGATTGCGAATTCAGTGACAGGGAATGTGCTAGTTCATGCACGAGTTTCCTGCGTTGCTTTGTCATGGGAGGGAGAGGTAAACTAGAACTCGTTTTCCGTAAGAAGCCATACGGACGAATGGGTACTGTTAGGTTTCTCATACCTAATCTTTGACGACTGTAGAAAAAGACATATCTCTTCCTTTAAATCGTCTAAGGCCATACCATTTGAATATTTAGCTTTCAGATCAACGCCGCCCAAGGGCCTGCCTAGCTGGCCTCTGGAACGAAGATCTTCCCTCTTCTTTTTTTTTGCTTTCTTCTTTTCTCGGTCATTCTGCCACGCTATTGTTAATTCCCTTCCAAGCTCGCTGTCAGAAAACTCCGGTGGTAGAGACCGCCGCTTGCCCTTCCACTTCTTTCGGGGGCTAGGCTTATCGACATCCATAATACCAAGGTCATAAAATGTATCCCAATCGAGTGCATCAGCGAATGCAGTTGCTGAGGCGAACATACTATATTCTGGCTTGTAATTATTGCGCGAAATAAAATACCCTTTTCCTTCTTGGGACGGGTTTTCTATGCCGTCTAGTTCGCTGCTAGAGCTCACTTCACACTCGATATCAGATGTGTGGCTCGACAAGCTTTTATCATCACAATTTGGCGGGCTTGTCCTTGGTAGTCTGCTATCTGGGGTTGTTGCTTGTGAAACTAAGAGTATATCAATATATGGCAGGGAGAGAGATATTCGTGGGAGGGGGAGGGGAGGAGAATTGTCTTTTTGTCTTTAAAAAGGGTTTGGTCGCATAACTCACTTTCCTCGAATCGCCGCACATAACTGCTTCCTGGATGGTATATTTCGCGTTTCCCATGGCCAGCTACCACATCGTGTTCGCCAGACACCGGGTACTGCCCCCCGGGTTTGGGGTCGTATGCTTTCGTGGGTAGACTCTGTATTGAACCATATGCACGGTTGAGGTCACAGTAATCACTGTCGATATTTGCTATGTAATCGGCAAGGACATCAATCTCCTCATATAAGAGGTTTTCCGCATGGTCATCCTCAGCATCTCGGTTTCCTCGTGTCTCATTTTGTTTGCCACCTAGGGTCTGTCTTTTTAAGCTACTATCCTGGCGCGCCCGGATGTCTTCTGGAATAGCGGATATGTTGGTAGAGAGTGTAGGCGGGAAAGGATTATGAGGTACTTCGCATTTATCTTGGCCACTTTGGGGCATACCACTGGCATTTATTTGTTCCCCTGAATGGTCAATCAGGGAGGGTCTATCATGTTGGTTAAATTTATGCCTGCCACTAAACACTACCTCATCCTCGCTATACTCGTCTGAGTCGGCAAAGTGCAGTTTGATTACTGGATCCGGGATTCCAGTATGCGGCCTGTCCTCACCTGAGGAGTCGAGGAGAACTGCACGCTAATATCTGCTGCTTCACGTTCCATTCTGTCTGGCGTGTTGGTTTTAGCTGTTTCGGCAGTGAATGCCGATTCATCATGTATTATATCCACCGCTGGGGTACCTAGTCTGTACTCGTGCTCGGGCTGCAATTCCCCTCCGCTCACGAACTGAACTGCTTGATGGCGAAAAAGGGTTCCAGGCCGCCATAAGTTACGTCCTTCTGTGTTCCGTGCCTCTTGCTGCAAGGTGAGGTGGGCTTGACAGGGCGAGTTGGTGGACTGAAGGTAATGATTCTCACTGCATCGAACAGGCTCTGGTGGGGTTGCATGTTTGTGTCTCTTGCGGCGAGCCTTCCCTTTGCTCGAACGAGCCATGGCGATGGATAAAATTAGGATTCTGTAATTTTAGCCTCTACCAAGTGTGGATGGATAGGTTTAGTGAACATTAATTATGGTGTGCTTACCCACGTATTTGATAGCATCTAAAACTAACCATTGAAACAGGCTTTTCCTCTCGCTTAGGTAATATATGAACGTAATCGGCCACCGAGCTGCGCGCCTCTGTATTGTATATAAAATAGTACTTTTTATGACCTTAATATTTTAACAACATAGAGATAATAAAAATAGAAGTATTCCTCAATATGTAAATATTTCAGAATGCTTATGTAATTTAATTGGAATTTTTAAGATTTTTATTAGCTTATAATACAAGATTATTTAAACACCACTATATGTAAATGTATTCTTTGAAATATAATAACTAGAAATCCTATAAGGATCTAGGTTTAGTATTTATATATGTGCTATTGTACTATTATGTACGACAGACTTTAGGCCCTCTTGACTTGTTGTTGTTAAGATATTAAGCGTATAAAAAGTGCTACTATATATGAAATACAGAGTCGCGTAGTTAATGTATTGTAATCACAGCTAATTTAGTGTGACCGCGGAGACGGTAGATAAGTGAATTGGGAGCCAGACTTGGTATCACCAAGCCTAGTTAACCTTTTTGCAGTGGCGTGGCAATTGGGTGTACCCTGTAACCTAGTCTTACCATTTTCGGACTAAGGAGATTACAGTATTCCACACCCAGCCGTAGATACTGAAAATTCACACCTCTTCCACCAAAATATTTAAATTAATGGTCCACAATATCTTATTTTTTATTGTTTCTATATAAAGTACCTTTATCTAAAAAATCTCGATTGCAAATAGCTATTGTTACATGCAAAAAGAAATTAGGTAAATTAAAATTACAAGCTGTTCAGATATTTGGTATATATCTAGCCAGGCTTGGCAATGATTAATCCGAATATTATCGATTTGATTACAGTGATTTTGGGTAAGATTTGTATTTTAACCTTACCCTATGCTTAAATACAATAAAAGTTTTATATACTATAAATAACTATAAGAATCACATATTTTATAAGTATTATAAAAAATACTAAGAATTGGCTGAGTAATAAAGGATCAACCCTTGGGATAATTATCCTGGATAATGTGATGGGTTGGTTGTCTCTGCGCTAGTAGAGATAAAACCACTCGACCATAAAATGGTACAAGACGACTGATCTCCGATCAGTCGCATCTAGCGCCCTATATAGGAGCGAAGGCCGTGTCTGAGCAATACATTGAGTTCAACCTATAACAAGGTGGTCCGCTTCTAGGTGTTCGATCTTACATAATGATAATATCTAGAATTTTAATAAAATTAACTTTACTGTCGGACTTCTATACAGCTTTTTATGTTTATTATTATAGCTAAAGTATAATAAAAGATTAACTTGAATTCTTTATCCTAAGAATTATATCTTGGTGTGGCACTTAGTCATACCTATATAGGTACATAGTTATTACATACCTACTCTATACCGCCTCCATACTTAACTACCTCTGGCCTGCATAATAGGTAAAATTCCGAAATCCAATGTGGATAAGCCATTTTCATTAACTTTTGATGTGGACTGTATTTTACATTATATAGTATTAAACTACAAACTACTACAGGCAAGTAAATAATCATATAGGAAAGTGTAATTTAAGTACAGACCACTGGCCATGTGACTATTACAAATGGCTGTGCACAGTCATTTCAAAATTTTACCAATACGCAGGCTCTGGGGAGGTGGTACTACGTCGTGCCGGGGGGTATCTATAAACCTGTATGACTGTGAAATATGTACAGTTACCCAACCTTGTTTTCTTATCACAGCAGGCGGTGGCCTCCTTCACCCCACTCGGACACTGTACCAGAGTATGTGACTCCAGGAATCCCTTAACCATAGCTAGAACTATTGTTATCTTTACTGCTGTTTCTAGTGTTTTTTTTATGTTTTTATTTTTTTTTAAAAAAGCAAGACCTAATAGGCCAGTTTATAAGTTTGTAGATATTTTTAGAGCTGCTGATTATGGCTATTTATGCTGTAGATTAATGACGTCTGCGGCATGTCGCTTAGATCTCTTTGCATCTTACCTCGTGACGATTCAGAACCTGCCTCCATTGCAGAGCATTGGGAGCGAATGCTTTCCATGTATACGTTTCTGTCAGTTACCTACTCTCTGCGTCCGTGGTGTTCCCCTCCATCATCCCAATATTTCCTTCAATACTTCGTGCGAATTTTGCCTCCCCGCTCGGTTCGCTCGGTTATGTGTGTGTATATATATATATATATACACACACTACATTGATTTAGTTTCCTATCTAGTCTAAACCCCCGGCTGTGGCGTATCGGTTCGCAACGAACGAGAGAATCACCAAACATAGCTGGGAATACCGACCAACGAGGCAAGGCCGCCTGGCTGCCACTGTCATGAATATGAATAGCGTGGATATAGGACGGTGTGGGAAACGCATTGTCCAGTACCTATGGGACCCCGAACCCAGAAACGACGAGCCAGATGCCGCACTATGGTGCCTGGGGATAAGATACCCATCTCATCAGCAGGGTGTTGCATCACAAGAGATATACAGTAAGCCCGGAATATATTCCTGTATATAAATGAAAGCAGGGCGCTATAATACGAAACTGACGTGAACCGAGTAGATAATGATAGCTTCGTCAAGGCCAAGTCTCCACCGCAAGAAACAACTGTCCACGGCTGGCCAGAAGAATTTCTGATAGACTTTGAGTCGAAGATTTGGATGACCTATAGATCGAATCTTACTCCAATACCAAAACTCACCAGCAGTGATGCAGATCTCTCAATGTCCCTAAGTGTACGCCTGAGAAGCCAACTCATGGATTCACAGGGTTTCACCTCTGATACGGGATGGGGCTGTATGATCAGATCCGGCCAGAGCCTCTTGGCTAATGCTCTGTCAATCTTGATATTGGGCCGTGGTATGAGACGATAAGCAATATTTCAGTAGCCGCATAATACTAATCAGTGGTAGATTGGCGTCGTGGTCGCAATGCTAACGAAGAGGCCCAACTCTTATATCTATTTGCTGACCATCCAGATGCCCCATTATCAATACACCGTTTTGTCAAATATGGGTCAGAGTCATGTGGCAAATACCCCGGCGAATGGTTTGGGCCTTCCGCGACCGCGAGATGTATAGAGTATGTCTACCCAAAAGTAAACATGTCCGGAATTCTCATCAGCGAAACAGGGCATTGCTACCTCAGTGCGAGGGTCCAATAACGAAGGTCTATGTCACAAACGAAAACCCAGACATTCATGAAGAAAGTTTTTTAAAAGTGGCCCGTGATGATTCTGGAGTCCTTCGGCCCACATTGATTCTCATAGGAACCAGACTGGGAATCGACCACATTACTCCGGTGTACTGGGGTGCCCTTAAAGCTGCATTACACTTTCCCCAGTCAGTAGGAATCGCAGGGTATGTCCCAACTAGCCACTACTTGTTCCAGGACGGGTGGGCTAAGCGCTGATGCTCTGTATATTTTTTCTAGCGGACGCCCGGCCGCCTCGCATTACTTCATCGGGACCCAGGGTTCGTATTTCTTCTACCTTGATCCTCACAATACGCGCCCTGCAATACCGTTCCGAGAACCTGGTGTGCCCTATTCCGAGGAGGAAATCGATACATATCACACCCGCCGACTGCGGCGAATCCATATCAAAGATATGGACCCAAGCATGCTCATAGGCTTCCTTATTAAGGATGAAAATGATTGGTTGGATTGGAAGGCTCGAGTAGCGGCTGTTCATGGCACACCTATTATCCATGTTCTTACCGAAGGGGGAACTGGCTATTGCCAAGGAAGGGTGGAAGCCCTCGACGAAGTCGAGTCGCTAGATGATGGCGAATAGAGATACTAGGAACAAGTACAGCAAAGGCCTTAATTTCAGTAGCTACTGGATAGCAGCCGATCGCCAACCTTTCCTTCTGCGAGGAAGAACTGAAAAGAAAGCTAGTCTCGAACTGATTTCGTATTCTCGACGAGGATAGTAAATGTTCCATCAACCTCCGAGAACCGTGTTATGTTACACCGCATTCACGTCCTTAATAACCATAAAATCGGTCAGAAGGGGGAAGGAAAAAAAAAACAAAACAAAACAAAAATAAAAGCCATCCCATGACACATTAAGAGAAATCCCGCGAACACCCTGAAACCCACCACCTCAAAAACCATGATTGATGCGAGGCAGTTTAAAAAAGACAATCCTGCAAAATTAAACTAAGAAACAAAACGAAAAAAGAAGCCTATTTGGCAGAAGAGGAGTACTTCGTCACAGCCTTAGTGCCTTCCGAAACGGCATGCTTGGCCAATTCACCGGGCAGAATGAGCCTGACACTGCGAATACTTAGTAGGGGTCAAACTAATTCTCGAAAAAATAGACATACGAAGTCTGGATCTCCCTTGACGAGATGGTGGATTTCTTGTTGTATGCAGCGAGCTTCGAGGCCTCAGTAGCAACGCGCTCGAAAATATCTAGATTAGTTAGAAAATCCATTCAAAACCAGGTATAATTAGCGCAAACAAACCGTTGACGAAGGAGTTCAAAATAGACATCGCGCGAGTCGAGATACCGGTGTCAGGGTGGACCTGTTTGAGAACTGCTCTGTGTTAGTGACATCAAAATCCAGATGTTTAAGAAATTTTGACTAGCACATACCTTTGTAGATATAGGATGAGTAAGTCTCCTTCCTAGTCTTTCCACGCTTCTTCTTTTCGCCAGAAGCAGCAGCAGCAGTTTTCTTGCCGGCCTCCTTCTTCTCGGCCGGGGCTTTGCCACCTGCTGGGGCTTTGCCACCAGTGCTAGGCTTCTTCTCAGCTGCTTTGGGAGGCATTTTGCAGGTACAGCGGATTTAAGAAAAATGAAGGTTGAGTAAATAATTTGGATAAGTAGCGTGGACGGTTGATGTAGAATGAAGACGGAGTGAGGAAGATAGAAATGAGGGAGACGCGGTGACGAGGGAGGCGCGCTACTTATACAGGTCTGTGAAAGCCCAGTTGATCCTGTGGTGTGCAAAAGAAGCGGAATTTCAATACAGTCACGATGCTGTATGATCTGTATGATTAAATGAGGGGAAACGCGTCAGGGGCCACATAAAACTGACAAAAATCACGCTAGGTTTACTGTATTGAAATGACACTAGTAATAAATGAAACGTAGCTCAAAATGGAACCCCAAGATAGCATCCACAACTGGAAAGACCGCCAACCTTATAGGCGCGGGAAGTTGATCTACATGATGATTGGCTAGCCCCGCTAAGCGAGAGGGTGATCTTACGGGCGTCTAGGCAGCCCGACGTCACCCTCACCGCGTTGTTATAAATGTCCTTCGCCTCCTCGCGCTGGCCAGGTATTTTTTGATACCTTATTCCAACCATTACTACCCTCCGTCCCTTCACGAACTACACGCCTTTGAAAACAGGTTTCCGTTGACTCAGCAACTTGTCATAATGACTGGAGGCAAATCTGGAGGCAAGGCCAGCGGCAGCAAGAACGCCCAATCGTACGCAAGCCCACTAATACGTCTTTTTTTATTTTTTTATTTTTGTTTTTTTAAAAATAAAAACAAAAATATTAGCTTGTTGCTAATTGCATTTGTTTTAGTCGTTCGTCCAAGGCTGGACTCGCGTTCCCTGTTGGACGTGTTCACCGTTTGCTCCGCAAGGGTAACTATGCCCAGCGTGTTGGTGCTGGTAAGTTGCTTGAAATGTTAGCATTTCGACTAGTTTTTGAAGCTGAGTTTCCTAGGTGCCCCCGTCTATCTTGCGGCGGTGCTTGAATACCTGGCTGCTGAAATTCTCGAACTTGCTGGAAATGCTGCTCGTGACAACAAGAAGACCCGTATCATTCCTCGTCACTTGCAGCTTGCCATTCGTAATGATGAGGAGTTGAACAAGCTCCTCGGTCATGTTACCATCGCACAGGGTGGTGTTCTTCCCAATATCCACCAAAGTATGTTCCCTTTCGTGTGCCTTTTTGGCTTCAATGACTAATTCCACATAGACCTTCTTCCCAAGAAGACCCCTAAGGCCGGGAAGGGTGGAGCTAGCCAGGAGCTCTAGATTGGTCAGGTTTGTTTTTTTTAATGTCTGGGATTTGTCATTCGGCGTGATTCGGTTTTTATTGACGTGATAATGGGGTTCTGGACTGGGCACCTTTATGGCTCTGCGTTTCTGTTCTAATTTTATGGTTGTACATTATGTCCACGGACATGGAATGATATCGGCATTTCTCAATGATGCCTTAAACCACCTACGGCTTTGTTTTTTTCAATGTTATTGAAAGCTCGAGTTTTGTATTTCTATGTATATTGTCTGCTGTTTCTCCAGGATACAGTATTGGCTACATCGACGAGCCATGTTGCTCAGGAGAGTGACGGTTTTATATTGGCATGGCGACAGTGATGGAACTCGGATTTACTATTAATGGCAACTAATCCTCGTGCCGGCAGCACTTCTGACGTTAATTCAATGGCTCTCAGAACTGTCTGATATGTACATTAGTTGCAAACTTCGTAGAGTATATAAGATTGACGTACAGGGTAGTACACGGGCAGGGAGATTCCGCTCATATTTATTTCCTGTAAAAACTCAGCAATTTGTCTCGAGAAGTAGCATATACACGACAAACACATACCGCCTGGGGCAGTTGGGGCTCTGTAAGGATCGGGATGTTTCCAGGTCTCAAGTAACTTTTCTGTTTCGCGTAATATCACCTATTAAGATCCCTATAAGTTATTTCTAGGAGCTACAGGAAAGTCAGATGGAGGTAGGGATTAAATATACCTTTTGCTGGCGTGGATCCCGCACATCCTTGTTTGCTTCAAAAAGTGACCTTATGTAGACTGCCTGTCCACGCCAAAGCTGTCTATGAACTGCCCAGTCAAGTGCAAGTTTTAAAGACCGGCGATAAAGTGACCTGCATGGGATAGCATGTTAGCTATTGCTGAGTATCTATTTCCTTTGAAGCCAACCTACGTGACAGTATTGGTGGACATCATGAAGTTTGTAAAGAGACAAAAAATAACAGAAGATCAAGGTAAAGGATTGGTTTTGATTCGGACTTGCACCAGCTTCAGTCTGGTTATGTTTACTCCTTAATTGGTGTCTCGTACCTCATTTAAGTGTAGTAAAGTATTTTTGTTGGGTAAGAAATTGCCATATTAGTTTTTCTGAACTACCGTATAGTGCAATAATATTACTCCGTGACTTACCGGCTGCAAGAGCCAATTAGGGAAATTCCGGTTGTTTCGGCCCGGTTAGGAGCTCCTGCCATTGCTGATTTAGATTCCATCACTCTCATTTTGCTATCTCGTTGAGCTCACTGCAGCCTGGACAACACCTACCGGCAACTGAATCTGGCCAGTTCTTGACTTTAAACCCCGCATATTGAATAATTGAGGCTCGGTTTATCCCTAAACTTCTGGGTCATTATGGCTTCTCGATTATCGCTCGCACGTTTTCCCGAACAACGCCTCAAAGTTCTCACTCGATTGACCCATGGCTCCTATAGCATCGGTATTGGTAGTCGCAGGAATCTTACCTCAGTTACCCTCCGAAAATGTGCCAGATATGTCGGTGAACCTTCTAGTCCGCTAAAAGTTCCCGCCTTGGGGTAAGAAATCCTTTCTACAATGCTATACTCGGGATACAGAGGGAGAGAAGCAGCCGTGTTAGAGAAGAAGGGAATGATGAGCATTATATATATAAGCTGACTGATCAGTAGCATCAATCTTTTTCGGTCCAATATTGGGTCTGGTGGATGTTATCAGACTCGGACTTACGGTACGAAAGCTTCTTTTCAACTGCATATGATATTAACTATCGACCAGCGGATTCTGTTGTTAAAGTTCCCCAAATGGCGGAGTCGATCACCGAGGGTACACTGAAACAATTTTCGAAACGTATGGCCTTTTAGAAACCCACTCCCCCTTCCCCTGAACATCATTTTTTCAAGTCTCATATTTACTTTGTTACAAGATGTTGGGGATTTTGTCGAACGAGATGAAGAGATCGCGACAATCGAGACAGACAAGGTAGGCTGTGGCTACTAATCATGCGTTTTGTGGTTCATGGGCTTGGATATCAACTCACTTTTTATAGATCGACGTTTCTGTCAATGCGCCAAATTCTGGTATTATCAAAGAGTTCCTTGTGAATGAGGAGGATACTGTAACTGTTGGGCAGGACCTTGCCAAGATAGAGCTGGGAGAAGCCCCCGAGACGAGAAAGGAAGAAAGCGCTGAAAAGCCAAAAGATTCTCCCGCCGAGAAGCCTGTTCCCTCGGGACCAAATCCATCGACCTCACCTGAAGCAGCAAAGGCCTCTGCTCCCGAAAAGCAGGCAACATCAAAGCCCGGGGATGTCAAACATTCGCAGACAGCTTCTCAACCACAAGTTTCTAATGATGCGAAGCCTGGCCCCGGAAACCGAGAGGAACGAAGAGTGCGTCCTACGCTTTCTCCACTATTTACAAAAATATATACTGAATTGCAATACGTCTTTATAGGTCAAAATGAACAGAATGAGGTTGAGAATTGCGGAACGCTTGAAACAATCTCAAAATACTGCTGCCTCGCTCACTACTTTCAATGAGGTTGACATGTCATCTCTTATGGATTTCCGGAAGCTATACAAAGACGATGTCTTGAAAAAGTCTGGTGTAAAACTTGGTTTCATGAGCGCCTTTTCACGTGCTTGTGTTTTGGCTATGAAAGATGTTCCCGCTGTTAATGCATCTATTGAAGGACCTAACGGCGGTGACACCATTGTTTACCGCGATTATGTGGATATCAGCGTCGCTGTTGCCACGGAAAAGGGTCTTGTAACCCCTGTAGTACGCAACGCTGAGAGCATGGACCTTGTTGGTATTGAAAAGGCCATTGCAGACCTCGGAAAGAAGGTGCGTTGCATGACTTAAACTAAGTGGACTTAGTGGGAATTGTGCTACTAAACGATCTTTCTAGGCACGAGATAACAAGCTTACAATCGAGGATATGGCCGGTGGCTCTTTTACCATCAGCAATGTCAGTGCCTGCCCTTTTCCTATGGCTTCATTGTACTGGTGCTGATGTGCTTTAGGGTGGTGTTTTTGGGTCTCTAATGGGCACACCAATTATCAATTTACCGCAGACAGGTATGATCCACTAGCCACCGTTCATATAGTAGTGCGTCTAATTTTTCAAAGCTGTTCTTGGGCTACATGCGATTAAGGAAAAGCCAGTGGCTGTGAATGGCAAAGTTGAGATTCGTCCTGTGAGCAGCTTTACTTGTAACTCGTAGTTGGTTTGCCTCTAACGGTATGGCTAGATGATGTATCTTGCTCTGACTTATGACCATCGACTCCTGGATGGTCGAGAGGCGGTTACTTTCCTCGTTAAGGTTTGTCGGGTACTCTATTCAAATACCCTGCAACGCGCTAATCAGACTCTACTACAGGTTAAGGAGTACATCGAAGACCCGCGTCGCATGTTACTTGGGTAGATGAAATACTTCAAATTATTGTGGCCTGCGCTCCATCTCGGTGCAGGCTTGCTTTGTGGTGTGCTGGGTCTATCCTGTATATTAAATGCGTTTGTAATAAGAAAATATCGTGTGGCGGAGATATAACAGGAGAGGAAGGTGGAATTAGAGAACAGAAAAGGTCTTCGTATATACACTTGGTTTACATATGGCTTTGAGTCGGTCTATCGTTTTAACTTTGTCCGGTTCTTGGTTTGTTCTGCTTCCAGCAGCCTCTACACCCTTGCAATGCCTGTCGATTTCAGCTTGAGCCATGCTCTGCAGGGTATCCGTGCTTCAAAGTTATTGGGCAGGTTTTCGATCGTTAAAATCCCACTTTGTCCTTTAATTGCTGTGTTTCGGCACGACTCAACCCAGCAAGCCTTCCTCGTTCCAGCTGAACGAGTACAGGAGGTTCCAGCGATTTTATTATTCTTGTCAGGAGATCAAACATCGCGTCATTGAGATACCGCAGGGGCGTTCTCTCGGATAGGGCTTCTATATGGGCAGCGAGTGAGATCCCCATCGGTGGCAACTGGAGATAGCTTGTAAAACCACCCGATTTTACTCGGTCCTGCGTTGGTGGCGTATCCAGTTTAGCAACCACCTTCGGGATATATTCCCTGGTACTTTCTGGAGACGCATTGCCGAATACTTGAGACTCCTGGAGCGCGGCTTGAACAATCAATTGTGCCGCAATTCCTGCTCTCTGCTTCTCGGTTACCACAGTGTCCACGGCGTTACAGAGAGATATAAATTGCACCACAAGGTCTGAGAGTGGGATTTGGTTGTGATCACGGCAATCGTTGTCTGCTTTTATTCGGGCGTTAGGGCGCTGGGCCTCGGGTTGCAGCAAAGGGGCTCGCTTTTCAAATGCTGTTGGATCCTTGGCTTTGTTCACATCTTTCTTTCCTAAAAGTGGCTGTATATCTGACACCCTTTGTGATGTCGGCCAGGTAATGCAGCTAACAAATTTTTTTGCAAAGTCGAGGAGTTGGAACTTGGTTTGAAGGTCAACAGGGATGGACTCGGTGTCTCGCAGTGTCAACATGAAGGCTGTACACCATGCACAGTCAGTGTGCTTCACGACAAATACTCCCTTAAGGGTGTCTATTTCAGTACATACTGTCTATTATATCAGAGGACCATATAACATCCCAGCTATATTGTTGTTGTTCTTCAACCTCTGTCTTTCTGGTATGTAGCACGTTGTCTATTGTCAAGCATATTAAGTAGTCTAGGATCATCAAATCTACCTCAGATTGAGTGTCTGGGCATGCTCTGTGACATTCCATTATAGATTAGTGAGCAGGGGGTATGTCATGGCCAAGGAATCGCTGGACCTGTACATGTACATACTCCGTAGGCGTAGGAGTACGGTCGGCACTTCCATGTTAGTGATCCAGCTGCAGGTGAGTGGGGCTGTGCCAATTAGGCTGTGATCGACCGTGGATTGATTTAGGATTTGATTTGTTCTTCCATGTCCCTACAGTTTCCTTACGGCGCTTACTATTTGTTTAAGATATTCACATGTAGAACCAGCTAATAGGTAAGAGATACATGGGTGTACATATACTAATTGATATCCTAATTTGACTGTACCCTGGCCACAATAACAGAGTTTTCCGAGATGCCTCAAGCCACTTTCCTGTATCAAATTTGATATACAGTACAGTTCTTTGGCTATAGGTCAGCCACAGTCAATAATGTTTTGAGTTGAACCTATGTATAATAGGTGTATTTTAACTGTTCGGTGTAGTATCTCTTCGGGGAATCCTGTTTTTGTACCCAGAAGGGAAGAATTGGCAACACAATACATATACTATATATACTTATATACACGCACCCCAAATTGATAGATGGATGAACATATGTTTATGTATTTCTTCATACATACCCTTAACAAGCTCCCACAGCCTAGCATTAAAATGCAACTTACACCCACTGCCACTGCGGCCACCTGTAGTATACAATGGTATCAGTACGTGAATCTCTGATTGCACAGTGCGGCTAGATGGAGCACAGACCACGTGACACAAATATGTTAAGATGACGCCATAGGAAAACCCAGAAGACATTCTTATAAAGTCTGGATATTCTGGGCATTTGTCTGAAAGACAACGGGAAACCCGGGAAGATCCAAGTTTCCAGGTACCATAATCACTTGTAACATCCAAATGAACAGATACCATACGTTTTTATCCAAAACAAATCATCTCTTGTCGAGCTACCCCACCTACCTGCACAAAATATTACCTATATGCCCCAAAGTTCCGCAGACACAATACTAGCACTGAAAGAGGCTACAAAAAAGTACATGAAAATGGCATGGTACTGCTCTGGCTCAACAAACATGGAATTGATCGAGAATCTCTCCAAAACGGGGCTGATAAAGAATGAAAGAGTCAAGGATGCGATGATTCGGGTAAGCAAGGATCTTGAGCTCATGTTGCATTTCGTGAACAGTCCATAGCATGCAAATCTGCAGTAGCCAGGCAACTCTGCAGCAGAGCCACTGCCTCTGGAGAAGCGGCATACTGGTACTCATCTTCTGACATCGCGCACAAGGTTGACCGGGCTCACTATGCGCCCTCAAGACCCTATTCGGACTCACCACAACCCATAGGCCACGGGGCCACAATATCTGCACCGCACATGCATGGCCACGCATGTGAGTATCTTATTGACTTTATCAAACCAGGGTCACGCGTCCTGGACATTGGATCTGGGTCCGGATATCTGACACACGTCATGGCCAATCTTGCTCTGGATCCCTCGTATCCTGAGGCGCCTAAAGGATGTGTAATTGGTGTTGACCACATACCGGAGTTGGTCGATTTGGCCTACAACAATATGCGCAAGTCTGAACAAGGTCGAAATTTCCTTGACACCGGGGTGGTGAAGTTTGTTACTGCTGATGGTCGTCTGGGATGGAAGGAAAATGCTCCATATGATGCAATTCACGTTGGCGCAGCGGCGGAAACCCTCCATCCTGTACTGGTCGAGCAGCTTCGTGCCCCAGGACGGATGTTTATACCCGTGGATGCGGAGAATGACGGGGGCATAATAAAAAACATTGGATTTGGTGGGAGACAATACATCTGGGTAGTAGACAAAAAAGAAGATGGATCGGTCCACAGAGAGAAGGTGTTCCCCGTTAGCTATGTGCCATTGACTGATCGGCCACGATAGTGATAACACCTTTAGCCATATTCCGGGTGGAAACAACCCCCCACCCAAACCCTCCAAAAAAAAAAAAAAAAAGGAGGCGAGATGGGCTGATTGTCGCTGCTAGGGTACCATGCATTGTGGATCTATTGCAGGATGAAAAAGGCACAGCAACTTAATGGCAGTTGACAGAACTATTATCTATCTGCTCCCTCGAAGAGCTACGGCAATGAGATGAGAAGTGAAAGTAAAGCGCCTGGGGAAAGGGTCACAAAATAGGCAAATTGGTATTTTAATTGAAGCATAGCATTATTCTGGACTCTAGCGAAAAGGAAAACCACCAGGAAAATTAAAGCCCTGACCAGAAAATTTGAATTGAGAGCCGCCCTTCTGAAAAAAGAAGTGTTGGCCACCTGAACCGAATGGATTCCCTTGGAATGGGGTCCCTCTTTGAGACTCTGGGTCATTCGGGTCATCACCACTATCGTAGCGCGCCTTGAGCTCTGGGTCGGACAGTACTTCGTATGCCTCATTGATAGCAGCCATCTTCTTTTCAGCCTCCTCCTTTGTGACGCCTTGGGAAACAGCCTTGTCGGGATGGTGCATTTTTGTCAACTGACGATAAGCCCGTTTGACCATGCGTTCATCCGCATCTCGGCTGATACCTAAAACCTTGTAGTAGTCCTTCTGTTTAGAACGTTTTAGTAGAACATGCGCCTTTTGCAACAATGACTGGACGTCTTTCGAACCAGGATGGTGCTCCTTGGCGCTATTCAGTACACCTATGGCATCCTCGAAGCGCTCCTCATCGATAGCTACTTGGCCTCTAAATAGTAGCGCTGGGAGCGAATATGGATTTAGCTCAAACGTCTCTGAGCAGTAAGGGGTGGCTCGTTTTATCATGTGCGCCTGAATGTCAAAGATGTTAGCGGGAATTAACTAGGTATAAGTAAGAAGAGGAGCCACAGACCTCGCGGTAAGCCTCGCAAGTTCGCTCTACCAATGATGTGTAGAGATTGTTAGGGGCAGTGCGGTGAATGTGTCCGGCTTCCTTCCCCAGTGCCACGTCTTCCTTCACATCGCTGAGAAGACCATTTTCCTCACCTATTCCCACAAGTAAATTGATGGCATTGTTAAATTTCCGAAGATTCACTGCATCCTGCAACTTCTGCAATTTTTTTAGCAGTCTCTTTTCCCTTCGGTAGAGGTGGTTGCATTGTTTTGAATCAGGATCAGAGTGTAGGCACCTGCGAATTTGAGACATGCCACGTTCACTATCTCCGAGAGAGTAGAACATCATCGACGACATTTGAAGATGTGGCTCCACCAAGCCAGGGGAGATTTGTAAGACAAAAGCAAGATCGCTAATCCCTTCTTCGATATCGCCCCTCTCAAAACGACAGTGTGCTCGGGTTTGTCGCAGGCTCAGGGACCCGCTCGCCTTGACAATGGCTGCATTTGCTTGACTTGTGCATGTTTCCCAGTCGCCACGTTTCTCGGCATCATGTGCTCGTAGTGCTGCGTCTCGTGCATCCTGAAGCTCGTTGTACTCCGATGAGGGCTTCTTCCCAGCCAAGTCAAGATCATTCAATGCGCCGAGCCAGTCAGCAGAGTTAGCCCGGAGACGGGCTCGTTGTAGTAAGGCGCTTTCGAAATCTGGTTTTAGTTGTAGAACCCGGTCAAAATCGCCCAATGCCTGAGAACTTCTCCCAAGAGATAAGTATGCTGCCCCCCGTTGGAATATCGTTATGTAGTTTGTGGGATCTCTCAAAACAGCAGCGTCAAAATAATGCAAAGCTTCACGAGGTGCACCGCCTGCAAGATGTGTTTTTGCGGAAGCTATTAAGGATGATAGTGGAGTATCCGGTGATATCTCTGAAGGCCGTAAGCCATAAACAGCAGAGGAGAAGGCCAGAATAGATCCCAAGGAGATGAGCATTCTGTGTCCGATAATGTTAAGTTTAAGGAGAATTGTATGTGGAATATATCTGAGGAAAAGAAAAGGGTCACTGCAATATAGCCTTTTGTAAAGAAGAGGTATGAAATAATAATATCACATGGTCAGGGCTTATAACAACAGCATAACTCTTGTAGCCTAGTAGAGAGTCTGGCGTAGTTCATAGATGAGTCTCCATCTGTCCTTTACACCTCCTTACAGCTATGTACTGTAACGATACTCCACGTGACGTTATAAAGCAGATCCAGTTATTTGGTCAGCCCTAGCGTTCTCTTCACACTCTGTCTCCAGCGAACCTAAAATACCTTGACGCCCCTCAAAGTCCGGTGATTTCCTGGTACTTATGGGGAAATATGCTGAAGGCTAGGTGGATATGCTCCCAATGCCTATCGCGATCTCGAGTCATCCTAACTCGGTGGCCGCCGACGCAACGGCGAACTCTGAAAACAAGTATGGTCCCACCAACTTTTAAAATAATGGAGAGAGTCCTAATATAGTGTAATGTTCTGTCAAGGTACCGGCCTCTCTCCTGCTTTATTAGCACGAGCCCGCTCTTTGGCAACCGAACATTCTACATACTCCGCACACCTAGCAGATGCTTTCGATACAAAGATTGCAAGAAGAGTCGGGGAGCTAGCACCGATTGCCCGGATCATAAAGGAATGGGACAAAGCCAATGAGGTCTGCCTGTAATCCATAGACGGCTAGAAAAGCAATAATGCCGGGGGTGACTCACTGACAATTACCTCAGTCCATATCAGAATTGAATAGCCTACTTGATGACCCCGACACGGACACGGAGCTACGATCTCTTGCCATTGAAGACCTGGCAAGTAGTAAGAGTGCTTTATCAAATATATCAGAGAGCTTGAAACTGGCCCTCGTTCCCCGGCATCCATTCGCAACTCTCCCCTGTTTACTTGAAATCCGCCCTGGTGCGGGCGGAGATGAAGCAGGTCTCTTCGCTTTTGAAATCTTGAAGATGTATACAGCATTCTGTTCTCGACGTGGTCTTCGATCTAGTGTGATTAAGTTGGAGGCGGTAGACGGCCCAGCAGAAGATCGGCTGAGTGAAGCAGTAATAGAAGTTGATGCGGACGGAGCTTATGATCTTCTGAGAAGCGAATCAGGTGTCCATAGAGTTCAGAGGGTGCCGGCCACTGAGGCCAAGGGGCGGACCCATACCAGTGCTGTAAGCGTGATGGTCCTCCCCAATTTTCCAGAAACTGGAGGTGGCATGGACGTGTCACTTAATGTCGATGATCCAAACAATGACTACTATGTTGATCCCCAAGAAGTCCGTTCGGAAAAGATGCGAGCTGGTGGTGCCGGTGGACAGCATGTCAACAAAACAGAGTCCGCTATTCGTTTGACACATGTGCCGACGGGAATCGTTGTTTCAATGCAGGACTCGCGGTCCCAACATGCAAACCGCAAGAAAGCATGGCAAATCTTGCGGGCGCGACTGGCCGAACAGAGACAAGAGGCCCGAGAGCGTGAAAAAATGGAGCTTAGAAGAGGAGCATTGGGTGGCGTAGCTCGCATGGGCCGCGGTGACAAAGTTCGGACATATAATTATGGACAGAATCGATGTACGGATCACAGGAGTGGTGTCACTGTGCACAATTTGGATGATGTTGTAGATGGTGGTGAAGGTCTTGACACCATAATGGATAGTGTACGAGCCTGGCTTATTGATAGAGAGGTATCAGTCATGGCCGCTGAAGAATTAGCAACGGATAGCTCTAAGCAATAGAGTGCCTGGCCTGTTATCTTCTCTATTTGCTACCCTTCTAATAAATATGTAGATACATGAGCTGCTGCTATTCTCTGTCTTGAGACATTGGGATACAAAGGTTTTCTTGTGAATGGATGTCAATAGTCTGTAAGCTGTGCAACTGCTCCATTCTATGACATCATATGTATCTCCTCTGTGGGTCCAATGAGTCCAAAGCATCCATTGTTTTTTCATATCTGGGGGGAAACTGTTAGCTGCTGAATGCACATAAGTTGTGGAGCTGATTTTGGACATACACGGTAAATACAATTCCTCCGCTCATAATGAGTCTCACCAGCCGTGGGACAGCCCCCGACCAAAATGTGAATATCCCTTCATCCTTAAAAATCCTTGCCGCACAAATGAAGCTGTTCTTATAGTTTTTACTGGCTTCAAGTGATTGCATCCTAATGTCTATTAGTGCATAGAAAGAAGAAATTTCCTCAATATTGTATTACCTAGTTTTAATAGTATCCAGGGGCTGAGTAACGTAACTGCACAGTACAATATACATATTAGCCTGTTGTCGCATCTGTATAAGACCATGAGCGTGATATTTTACGTACACGGTTATAAGACCAGCGATACCACCAATGGCGAAGGTACTCATGGTTCCTAGTTTCTCGCCAGGCGCAACGTAGGCATGAGCCAGTTGTTTTAGCATGGTGTAGCTGGAAAATCTCGTTGCCGAGTTGGCTGCTTGTCTTGCGGTCGTAGGGACAAAGCCCTGGAAAAAACCTCGAATGCCTCGTTCTTGAAATATGACTTTACTACCATGGAAGAACCCGCGCATGCGAGGGCTTGCAGACTTTCGGTCGTCAATCCTGCGATAAGATGCACGTCAGCTTTCCTAACATATAGGGACACGCACGGCGCAGCCTAGTGTTCTAATCGAAGCAACCGACAATTGTGTTTTGATACTCTCAAATGGTGTAACTGCGAAAAGAGATTCGGTAACACCAGCTCCAAACCCAGCGATGACCGTCCTCGGGCCCGAAATTGCACCATGATTATCTTGCAGGAGAGATTTGAATGTGTCAAAAGCAACAAACCCTGTGGACAAGATGTCGCGTAAGAGAAGTTGAATACGGTAGGTGTAGATGGAACTCACGAATGCCTGCCTTAAGGGAGTTTCCTATAATTAATGTGGTACACCCAGCGTACCACTGCTTTCCGAAAGGCGGCCACGGTAGCTTCTTTGAATCAGGTAGCCTGCGATTGAGTTGCGACCGAGTCTTCGCAACTAGAGCGTAGATATATTAGCACAAGAGGCTGGGGCATCTGGATGGAAAACTTGCACTCGGCTGGGTAGGTTATTGCTATAAAGTTAGTTAGCAGATGTATGATAATAAGACAAGGGGTTTTGTTTTACCAATTTCAATAGCACCTGCACTAGAGCCGGCGATTATAGACCGCAGAATGCTGGGCTGTGATGGGTTTAAATAGCTACTTCCAGAGATTATTATACAGTATATCGTACCTTGCACCCTCGGTCTTTTTCAACAGTGGCCATTGCCCGAACGGAAACAGGCACCGCAGCCAATTGACATTAATATAGGTATTAGAGCTGCTGGCTGTCTTCGTGTTTCTAGGCTTATATTTGATCCTCGGCGAATACGGAGATCAAGGAGCACACCACGTGCAGGTTTTTGTATATCTTTTACAAACTAAATTGTACAGGGCAATAGTACACCAAGCTTTGCGCTTGAATTAAGGAACTTAAAATTGGAGGGTACGTTTGTCATTTAATGCTACCTAAATATTTGTCAGGCTATAAGTAATATGGACGTTGAAAGATAGTCCAAAGAAGTGGTAGCATCTAACAAGCTTCCTCCTTTTTTTTTTTTTTCTTCCCCCTACTTTCCTCTCTTTGCTCCATATTTTAATTAAAAAAAAAAAAAAAAAAATTTGATTGCTGATGCGGTGCGCTCCCAAGCGCAGAATTCCATTCGCTATCCCCCATGTTCTTGTAAGAGTTGTCAGAAAGGGTACGTTTCCTTGCAAAAGACATTGAGCCCTTCACTCCCGTATTGGCATGTTCCGAATTTTCAATTCCATCAATGTATGAAAATAATTTGACCAGGCGTGTAGAATCGCCTTGGCTCGAGGATCGTAAGCCTCCACATTGGCCACAGTAGGGTGATATGCATATAGCACATAGTGACTGGAGCCACCTGCATGCACATCGAGGCATTTAAACGGAAAAAACTGGGTCCTGGGGCACGTAAGAGGCCGAAGGAAAAGTGAGGAGCGGAGGGGAAAATCCAAATAACGCCGGAGTAAATGTAGCAGCTGGAGCAATGAAAACAAAAAACAAAAAAAGGAGATAAAAAAAGGCTGCGTGGTAAGCTCTCCGAACCTTTGCCATCGGAGGAATTTAACAGCCGCCCAACGCAATGTACATAGTAGGCACCCACCAGCACATAAATAATGGTGCTGAAGCCTGGACGGATGTAATAGTTGATCAATGAATTTTGCCCAAAACCATCCACAAACGCCAGACACAAGTCACACAGAAAACGCCGTTCTTCGTGTTGAAAGCCCAGGAACGCAGCGGGGAATGTTTGTATGTACAAAACTATAAGGAGCAAGGCAGCCCCAGCAAGAAGATGGTAATGTGAGCCAATCACAAGTCAGTCAGCCCCTGGTTTGATGTTGTAGAAAAGAGGGAAGGGAGAAAGTAAGAGAGAAAGAAGGAAAGAAAGGGAATAGGATATTACTGAGGCGGGCCCAAGTGCTTGGGGATAATGGAAAGAGTAAGATATGATACAGGTACCACCGCGGTTACTATATCTATTTTGAGGCAAGATGGCATGGTTTGTTTGAGGACAAGAGTGAACAGGGTAAATAGGCATGCTCATATTGCTAAGCACAAAAAAGGTATCTGAAGAAAGAAATGAGCAAGGTCTTTTCTCGTCAAGTTGAAGTAAATTGATCAGGGTTAGGAACCAACGGGCCTGGGCTGGTTGGACTGTTTTTTCAAGATACTTGTGTTGTCTGTAATTCATCACGTTGTTTCTAGTTCTGGGGAGAGTTAAGCTTATTTGCCTCATTCTGCATGTTGCGGCGTTGACCCTGTCCCCGACCACCACGGTATGAGCCCCGGCCTCGGCTAAATTGGAAATGGCCTCCGTTTGAGTGATGGTTGTGGCGACGATCCCCTGAGCTCTGATTCTGGGCCGTGGTTGGAGCTAGCTGTGTCTGAGAAACGTTGGCGATTGGGCGCGGAATGGTGTCTGGTGAATCGTATACGTAAAGCTTCTTGTCGATATTCTGGGGGATAGGTTGTATTTCTGTTCCCAGTTCCTGCTCAATTTTATACAAATTAAAACGGTCATCCCAATTGATCAGATTTATTGCAAGACCCAAATGCCCGAAACGACCAGATCGACCAATTCGGTGTAGATAGGTTTCAGCATTCTTGGGGAAGTCAAAGTTTATGACAACGTTGACAGCTTGTATATCAATACCACGAGTCAGCAAATCAGAGCAGACAAGATTACGGCAGACACCGTTTCGAAAGTCGTGGAAAACTCGGTTGCGATGTTGTTGGAGCATTCTGGCATGTGAGTAGAAGCAAGAATAGCCCAATTCTGTGATCTTTTTTGCAAGAAGCTCAACACGGTTTGTAGAGTTACAGAAGATAATCGACTGGTTTATCTGTAACTTGGAGAAAAGAGTGTTTAAACAATGGACCTTTTGTTTTTCTTCCACAAAGGCATAATATTGAGTGATTCCCCGGAGAGTGAGTTCATCCATAAGATTGATTTCATAGGGATTGCGCATGTGTTTGTCCTATGATAAATAAGTCAGCTAGTGGGAATTAAAAGGAATAACTACAGGACGTACCTTGAATGATTTCACAATTAAAGGAAATGTTGCGCTGAAGAGCATGACCTGACGGTCCTTGGGATGAAATGAAAGGAGCTGCTCAATGACAGGTGTGAATTCAGGTGACAGCAACTTGTCTGCTTCATCCATGACAAAGGTGGGACATTCGGACAAATCAGCAACGCCTTTGCTAGCTAGGTCCAATACTCTTCCTGGAGTTCCGACAAGAATATGAACAGCCTCATTCAATCTGATGATGTCATCCATCAATCCGGTTCCTCCTGTGGTTACCATGACGTTGATTCCAAGGTGTTTTCCTAATGTTTTGCAAACGTGGGATGTTTGAAGCGCAAGCTCTCTTGTTGGGACAAGGATGAGGGCCTGCGTTTTTGTGCTTTTGGGATTTATGCGTTCCAGAGTAGGGATGACAAAAGCTGCTGTTTTCCCTGTGCCATTCTTCGCTCGCGCCAGAATATCTCGACCAGTGAGGGCGACAGGAATTGTTTCCTCCTGAATTGGAGAAGGTTTCTCGAATCCAGCCTCAAAAATACCCATCATAAGTTCGCGCTTAATATAGAAATCCTCAAACTCGAGGCCTTTGGTTGCGGTAACATCCTGGCCTCCAATTAGGTTTCTTAAGGCAGAGTACTGACGTACGACGAAGCCACATACCTCTGTCTGCGGCCTTCCATCTTTCACAGGGGGCTTTAGCTGATCTCTCCATTTCCCATCCGAGTTTGGTTCCCTAATGCAACAAGATTAAGACTATCCTGTACGTATGCACTCCACTTAGGAAATCATGGTCAACATACCCTAAGCTTGTGTTGTTCAATTGTGATGCAAGAGCGTCCGCCATGGTGATCGGCTGTTCAAAAGGGATTTAGGCTGGGATTTTTTTATATTTTTTTTTGACTTTGCAGGATCTCAAAGTGTACACCCACTGATGTGAGTAGTATGTATGTGTCGAGACTAGGGCGAATAAGGGACGTGGTTGGGCAGAATCCGTAGCCAGATGGAAAAAGTAGATGTAAAGAGGCGACCGGAAATAGGACGTGGTGGACTCGACTGTGCTGCACGTGCCCACAGATTGGGTCTCTGCGACAGATCGGCCGAAGAACAAGAGAACAGTTTCAGGACAACTAAGACAGAAATTTATCTAACTGCTTTCAAATTTCGCCAGATATAAATGCGATGGGGGTTTGGCAATTTTCGGCAATTCTGAGGGGTGTGAGCTTCTGGAAGAGGGTGCTGGGTGAGATGGTTGCTAAATTGCAAAGTTGATTGTCAAGAAAGCGGTGACCAGAAGTCTTGATTTATAAACTCAGGGATGTGTGGTTAGCTCAATAGTGTCAGTTTAACTTCAAATTTAAATGACATGAGGGTTTGAATTTGCTCTGCGTTGCTGCAAATGTACAAGTATTCTGAAATATCAGTCGGCGAGTGTGTGCGAAAGACGGAAGAGGGGATATCGGTTAGTAGTACTGGTGGGACTGTAAAAAGTGGACGGCACTCTCTTGGCCGCCATGAACAATAAAAGGTATATATATATTATATATTACGGTAGTTGCAACAAATTAACGTATCACCTAGATATCTGGATAATTCTGTACACTCGCCACACTTTAGCAATGATGTTAATATGTAACTATGTAACTAAACACATCTGACAAGACAAACACGCAGGGCGCCCAAAAACAGTAAGGTCAGACGAGTAAAGATATTCGTCCGGAGATTTTTCTTTGCCCTTGAAAACACATCGAATGATATGCTTGGCCTAGTATAGTAGAAGCACTGATACCATTTGGGGACCCCTCCTGCAATAAATCATGGATTAGTCACCTAGTGACAATTGGTTGGAGATTCTATATGCACATGGCATTAGACTAGCAGGTTGGTGTCGCTCTCTTAAGATAAGTTTCTTCTTCATTCTACCATTTCTCAGAGAAGATAGATGAGATGGGCAGAGATAACAGTATAAGGATATTGTGTTTGATTACAAGGATCGAAACGACAAGCTAGTCTGTCCTCGCTCAGGTTCGGCTAGCCTAAAGGACATCATTAGGAACAATAGCCACCGATAATCCATTGCACATATACTCACTCTTTTACTCGGACATCAGGTGCTAAGGTGATCTCAGCTCTTGATCCAGGTGTGATAAGAATAAATTGTCGACCAATTGACCGCCTAGCAGCAAGCATCTATTTATGTATTGTTCAGCAAACTTTCAACTTAACAGATTTTTTATGGTTTGATTGAGGTACTCGACATACAAGCATATCAATCGCCATCTTTCTATTAATGTGGTCCATATACACATCACTGTAATAATTAATGTTAGAGTAGTTATTAATACTCTATGCATATTAACTTACAATTCATCTAGACAGCGTATTGGTGAACCCATGGCTTCCCAGAGTGCCAGTAGAAGACAAACTTGTGAGAAGGATTTCTCACCACCTGAAAGGGTTTTTGCACCCCGTCCAGTGCTGTCTTTTGTTATGTCAGGCTCAACCTAGGATGCATAGTTAGATACCAATGGCAAAGTGTGGTGGAATCAATAATGCACACCTGTAGATCAAGAAGTTTGCCTTCATGATCGGTCAATAACCGGCCGCGAAAACTCCTCTCACTTAGAAGATACGTAAATTGTGCTTTGGCACGGGATGAAATATGTGACCTGAAAAGCTTCCAACGCTTTTGACGGTACTCAAGAGTTGCTTTGAGTACCTATTTCCCAGACATCAGTAAGGTGCTTATAAAAAGTAGAGAAGGAATAGCGTTTCCCAAACATTCTGTATTCAACTCTAAACATACATCTGCGAGAAGTTTGAACTCCTTTACCTGCCTTAAAGCCTGCTTGTGGGCGGCAGCAGCTCTCTTAGCTTCAGCAGCAATCTCATCCCGAGAAGCCCCCAACCTAGTATGCCATTAGTTGGTATGATCAACACCATATTAAATTGGACTTACTGTTGATTGTAGCGCTGTATGTCCCTATGCAGTCTGTCAAGTTTCTTGTCAAGACTAGCAGCTGTCTCGCCTTCAGCAATCTCCACCCGCGGTGATACCAAACTAGCTTTCTCGCTGTAGTCGAGAATACGGGATGCTATCTCACTTTTTTCATGAGTAGTTCTTTCCAAGTCGCGTTTCATTTCGTCGATTTCGTTAACAGCAGCATTCTTGTCACTGATTATCTTACGACGCTTTTCGGTTCCCATAAGCTCCTCGCTTTGCACAACCTGGAGCTGTTCCATCAGAGTGTTGATCTCAGCATCTTTGGCAGCAAGCTGTTGCTTTGTCCCTTTTAGTGCTTTCATCATAGCGTTCATGGCATCGGTGCTGTCTTTCAATGACCCTGAATTAAGCTGCTTCTCTTCTTCAGCCTCCTGTAGAGCAGTCCGCAGAGCGTCGAGATGTCCGTCTTCCACAACTTCTTTGTCGAGTGCTTCCAAGAGCTCTTCCATGAGGTCCTCTTTCTTTTGCATAGCAATGCGCAGGTCATTTGTTTTCCTTTCGTGTCTTACACGAGCTTGCTTGCAACCCTCTAGGCGTGACCGAGCAAGGCGGAGTTGTTGTTCCTGGTTGCTTAAGTCGTGTCTTAGATCTGCCACAACACCACGTTGAACCCTAGTCTGTGATGCTAGGTCCGTCTTCATTCGAGGGTTTCCGTTATAGGCTGGAACTGGCGCTTGGCTTGGTTCACCTGCCCGGCTATAGGAGAGGTGAATGCCTCTTCGTCTATCAGCTTGGTCAATACAATAACATCGTTTCACATTTCTCGGTCGTTGTCCATCAAAAAGCACAGAAGAGGCCTCCTCGAGTCTCTCGATCAGTAACATCTGCTCTATACCATGGTTAATAATTAACTGCCGACGGACTAATTCATTGTCAACTGTAGAATCCGTAATGCAGTGTCAAATTGAGAATCTGGTTCGTGTTCCGATGTATCGAGATGACCATCACTCCCTATGAAAATTGGGCATACGCAATTGGCCTCTTGCATGATGGCCGAAAGAATGTTCATGTCTCTTTTTGAGGTAACGATAAAGCTGTTTAAGGTAGCGCCGAGAGAATTTTCTAGTATAGATGACCATTCGGGCTTCAGCAGAGTCACATGGTGTCCAATAGGCCCGACTGGTTGTCTACCGAACGACTGTTCCTGTTGAATCGCCCTAATAAGTGCAGGCATCTTTTCATGGAACCCTAAATTCCGAATGCTCCCTTCCTTGTTGAGATTTCGTAAAAGAGATTCTGCCTGTTCAACATCGCTTTTAGTTTTGCTAATTGGCGCTGCTGCCAAGTCTACTCCTTCATTGGCCTCTTCCAACTCTCGATAGAGGCGATCACGTTCGCGTTGGTGCTCCTCATACTGTGTACGAGCTTCGACAGCCTCAGCCTTAACTTGATTTAATTGTTCCTGTTTCCGAGTATAGCTCCCTCCACCAAGTTCAGTCAGCCGCTGATTTTCCTCAGCAATCTTTTGTTGTGTTTCACAAATTCTTGTTTCTGCTGCCTTTAGATATTCCCTTATCTTGCGTTGCTCTGCCTACAGACACAATTAGAGAGCGGAATAGTAGGTAGTATGGACAGATTAGGAGTACTTGTAAGTCATGTCTTTCACTCATCTGTTCATCCCAAGCTGATTTTAGATCCCCCTTCTCATTTTGTGCATGTTCGAGTCTGCCCCTGGCTTGCTTGACGTACTCCTTGGCAGTCTCAATCTCGGCATCCGCCTCCTGAATAGCCGTATCAAACATGTGCAGCTCAGCATCAGCAGCTGTAACTCTGTCGTGTATCCTGGTGAGTTCAGCGTCAACGGAATACAACAACTGTTCCATGTTAGAAAGTTACTCAGAGAGGTCCATACTAAGGCTCTAACCTTTTCTTGCTCTTCGACTTGAGCCCAGGCCATTTGGCTCCGAGTATTCCTGAGCCGATTTCTCAGAGATTCATGCTGATCAGATATCTCAAGTCTTTGCTTAGCTGCATCTCTGCGGTGCCTTAAGACCTCAATGTCTTGCTCTCTGTTCTTTAGCTTTTCTTCTATTTGATCGGCAGATTCTTCAATCAATCGATAATCCTGATCAAGTTGCTCTAGTTGGACACCCTTCACAAAAAACCTGTACTTTTCAGCAGGACTTGATGTGCTGAGAAATTGACGAGCCATATCCTGTGAGAGCACGTTCATAGGATTGTCAAATTGCAACGTAAAGAAATCAATAATAGAATCCAACTCTGCCTTTTTTGTAGATACTATACGCCCATTTTCTGCTTTCATTTTGAAGCCACTAGTGCCATTCTTTGAGAAATGACGCTCTATAATTATAGACTTCCCATAGTCATCTGGCATGTAAGCACCATCTCCTTGATTTTTGATTCGTACCACAATTGCAGCGCTCCTTTAAAAAAAATATTAGAACGAAATTAGTTATAGTTTAATCGTGTCACGTACTCTTTGCCCTCTTTGATGAAGCTTTTCAAGCTCTGGCCTCGATTGGTAGCAGATGCTTTGCCACCTAAACAGAGAGTGATAGCTGTAAGAACTGCACTCTTTCCACTGCCATTTTTCCCGACGATGAAATTTATCAGCGGGCCCAGCTCCACGTAAAAGCGATCATGGCACATAAAATTATAACATTCAACCCGTTCAAGAATTCCATTTTCAGCAGGCACGTTTGGCTCATCACTGGAAAAAGAATATTTCTCTTGAATTACCTGTGTCGCGTGCAACTCTAGCTCATCTTCCTCGTCATATAGAGCTTCAGTAATCGAACGAGGACGCATCCCTTCATTGCCATCGATATTGGCAACACTATTTTCATCGGAGGCCAGATAGTCTGGCGTGCGAGCGCGTTTTCGCTTTCCATATATTAGCCTGCTTTCTGGAACTGCCCTCCAAGGTTACATACTGAACGAGGGCGAATAGAATAATCTTCTATTCCATCATCTTCATCAAAGTCAGAAGTCCTTAGGGACGCTTGGGGACGCTTTGAAGACGGCATGAAGGAAAGAGACGGGATTAGTGGCACAAATGCAGGGCGTTATGATTCATAGTCACATAAAGGAAATATTGACGACAGTATTTATTTTGAGAACAATGCTTTTGAATATCGCTAAATTATATGGTAAGTGATTACCCTTGATTCTGGTGGAACTATATTTCAACATCAAATGTTTGTTCTACTAAAGATGCTACTAACAGTACGTCACGTTACAACGCGACGCGTCGTGACAGCTTGGACCCAGTAAGAACCTTTTAGAGGGGGCACATCCCGCACACCTATGGTGTGTCTCAAAAGTCATGACTGTAAAGTGGACTGGTCACATATTCGTATCAGAACGGTAGTATGCTGAATAATCTGGAATAGTATTAATCATGTAATTAGGTATACATATATATTATGCTAGTTATTTCTGTATATGTACAATTTATCCTAGAATAATTACCATAAATGAGGTGTTATGAGCATATATTAAAGATATGCCTTAATGCCAAGAAATATTATATAATACATAGGTTTATGCAATACAACTTTCTCTTCAATAAATTACTAGCGCCGTTCATGACTCTTGCAAAGTAAACACACCTCCGTACAATCTCTAGCACTAAGTTTCCGAAATAACAACATGGAACGCCATTTCCAATATACTTTGAAAGCGACTGTAAAATAATAGGCACCATGATAGATATAGGAAATTGTAATTCAAATACGGGCCACTAGCTAAATAACTATTGCAAGTGGCTGCATAGTGGTTTCGGAAATTTAGTGATATGCAGGCCAGAGACTGTACGGTGCATACGCATTGATACACACCTCTGCCCAATCTGCCTAGAGCAAACTCAATGGAAAGAGGCACTTCGTATTACTAAATGTTTACTCCAAGGCCTAGCAAATATCCGCTTCAAGCTACCGAAAATCCTCATAAGCATGTGAGACCTATGTTTCTGTACACCCTTATAATTTGATGATTTATGGACCTGTAAGTCTGACAGCGTGGAATTAAACCGGCAAACTTTGGAGGGCAATGGCTGCCGCACCAATATCATTCAAGCCTTCGTGGGCTCCTCCGCAACATAATGTAAATAGGCACCTAGCAGCTTGGTACCTTCGATGTAATTCCTCTTATCAAGCTTCTCATTGATGGAATGGGCAGCGTCGGTTGAGCTACCCATTGGCAAAAGCAGAACATTCTTACCTGTTGCCTGTTCAAAGCTCAACGTAACGGGAATACTGGTATGAGTTAGCTTTAAGCTCGTGGTATAGATTATAGCTAGGAAGGAGAATTGTTTCAACGAGCAAAGAGGGGCCATTACTTCGATACATACCTGCCACCCTCACGGGTCATGTCTGGTTCAACGCCGAACACTTGCTTCACTGCCTTACTTGCTGCTGTGAAGTTCCAATGTTTCGGGCTGGATACCCACCATTTCCCGTCGTGCTGGAGCCATACGTCCAAAGTATTTTTGCTGTTCAATTTGGCAAATTCAGCCTTGATATAACCAAAGACGAGCCTATTGACATCCACACTTTCCATATTTGGAACAGTCCGAATTGAGAACTTGCCGATGACTTTTGCCGGAATAACTGTTTTCGCACCGGGGGCCGAGTATGCACCCTCAACACCGTGAATAGACAGGGATGGATATCTCCATCGTGCCATAAGAGTCTGTTCTTTGGTTGGGTGGATGCTTGTTTGGCTACCCAAGGATTCGTGTAAATTGTCCATTGTATAGCTGATATTCGGGTACAGAGAATTTTCCTCTTCTGTCAAGGGCTCGACCAGGTCCATGATCCCAGGCACCAAAATGTTGCCATGCGAATCGACGAGTTTGGACAGTATATGGACAAGGTCAGTCATTGGCTCATGGGCAGAGCCACCGAACACCCCGCTATGCAGATCTTGAGCAGGGCCAGAGACACTGATAGAGTAATAGTTACAACCACGCAAGCCGTAAGTAAGGCAGGGTTTCTCAGTGCCAAGCCAGTAGTTATCAGAAATGCAAACAGCGTCTGCATCCTTGAAAAAGCTTTTGCTTTCAGACTGAATAAACTCTTCCAAGCCTTCAGAGCCATACTCCTCCATACCTTCAAAGCAGCAAAGAAGATTCACTGGTAGCTCAACTCCGGCTTTTTTGTGGGCTTCAATCACATTCAGCCAACCTAAAACTGGGCCTTTATCGTCTGTGCTTCCACGACCGTACATCCTTCCATGATTATCGACTGTCAATTTGAAAGGTTCAGTACTCCAGCCGTCTTCCTTCAAGGCAGGTTGCACATCGTAATGACCGTAGACTAATATAGTGCGCTTGTTTTTGTCATTGCCATAGCGAGCAATAACAACTGGGGGGAGTTCGAGATGTTCTTTTCCAGGTTGTTTACCTAGTGGCCGTTGTTGTACTTCGGCTCCCAAGGCTGCCAGCTCCGATGCAAGGAATTCTGCCATCTTTAGGTGCAGTGGTACGAGTTAGTCACTAGGCGTGGGGTACATCTGTTAAAACAATCTTGAAATGTCTTACCTTGAAAACATCTTTTCTGTTCTCATCTTGTGCAGAAATGGACGGAATAGCAACAGCATTTCGCAATCCTTTGAAGCTCAGTCAGTATGGCTCCTAGCCCTGGGGAGTTGATGACATACGGTCAATAAAGGAATCAGACAAATAATCGACCCTTGAGTTCCGTTAAATTGAAATCCACGCGCATCAATTTGAATCAATTGAGTAGGATGCCGCCCGAATGGGTGTTTCCATTAAAACTTACTGCTGGAAAAAAGGCTCAAGCTGCGGTGCCATTTTTCGATCACTGATATTTCCGTAAAATGACAAGCGTGTAGAATATTGACATATAGTGGTATGGGTAGGTGTAATGTCCAATTTTGCCTAGTGGGAGAAGTAAAAGATATATATGTCTTATACTTTCCAATTGCCGTTGCGGACGATGGAAGGGGAGGAGGGGTAAGGACATTTAGTCGTTTGCGGAAGAGAATGGAAATGCCCTCGATTTGTTGGTTTGGAGCGGGGTTTACCTAACGACAACTTCGATGTGCATACCATACCCGACGACCTATTCCTTTTCCGCAACTAAGCGCTATATAATTCGGTTAAAGCCGACAGGAATTTTAGTGTCACCCCTGGAGTAGTACTGCTTTAAGGAACCCACATTTTCAAAAACGGAATCCTATGTAGATACAATAACAGTATAGGACTGAAACCAAGGTGCTAATGTACAAACTTAATACAGCGGCTTCAACCACAATGCCAATCACCATAGGATTTCCTCAAAATTATAATGAACACCAGCGGATACTGTAGAGCTGGAGGTATAAGGAGTGTAGGAGTCCGCCCTCCCTCTTATTCAGTGCTCCCCCAAGACTCTTTCCGTAGTTGGCGGTCTTCTCTAGCCATTCGACGTTTTGTGCCCCATCTCGATTGCACTGCTTTTAAGACTTGTCTCTGTATTTCTTTCTTTTGTGGGCCAGCTTCACATACCATGGCAACGAACACGGGGGAACAATCAAATCGTTTGGCCAGTTTCCAGCGGCTCCACATCATTGGATCGCTGAGCCGAAGCCTGCGAATCTCCTCGATATCCGACGGGTTCAAATGGTACTTCTTTTCGGTGGATGATTGAAATACAGGAGGCAGATCTTCGGAAATGTTGTGCTTCATGTCAATACCAGCTCGTAGCGCCCTCCGAGCATCATCCATAGGAAGAAATTTTGTCGGTGTGTGGTATGCCGAAGGGGCACTAGATGGTGGATTGTGAAGGATATTATCATGGAGATGACTGGAAGAGACCCCAAATGAGGCATCTGGTTTAACACGTAAACGTTGTTTTGTACGCCTGTATGAGGATTGATTCCGTCGTAGCACAAGAGCAACAGACTCGCAAGAGGATGGCAGAAGAAATGACAAGGATAGTATAGGCCTGTTGGGCATGAATATAGAAACAACCATTGTAACTAGTAGCCTCCAATAATTGCCTTTGAAAAAGTCGAAGATTGGGGTTAAAAGTAGCCTAATGGGTTAAAGAATTATTAACAGTAGAAGCAAAAAAAAAATTGGTTTTGTTTTTTTTGGGGTTCTCCGTAGTGAAGAAGGAAAAACAATAGAGAGAGCAAACCTAAATTCATGCAATTATAAAATAGCCTTTAAAAAAAAAAAGGGGAGTGGTTGTATCCATAGAGCTTTAAAAGAAATTGGTGTGAGTTGGGGATGGACTGGCATGTCGTTGACTTTTCTTCAAGCATCAAGTCCCGTGACAAGGATAAGAACTGAAATACGGAGTAATTACATGCTTTGTATGGAGTAACGGCACAGACCACTGAACGGCTCACCTCTATTGCTTATAAATAGCCCTTTTTATCTTAATATCTCAACAACCAAGAGACATACACGAATTGTTAGAAGATGGGGGTTTAAGTATAGATAATAGAGTATATATGTTATTTTTAAAATATATTCTTAGTAACTTTACACTAAAATATCAGTAAATACAAAAAATACAGATGTAATTAATATTATCTACAGAAATATATATTTAGAGATAATATATACTTAGTGTATATAAATATAGTAATATATTAATTTATATGATTAATTTAAAACTCTCTAGAACCTTTGTGGTTGAGATATTAAGGTCATAAAAAAGTACTATTTTATATGCAATACAGAGATGCAGTACTCTGTGGACTCTGTACAGTAATTACTGGCACAGTACGGAGAACTGTATGTAATATACTGGAAGAAGGTAGGTATATGTATAGCTGATACATAATTAGGAACAAGCAATTTGATTGACTGAATGAACAAACAACTAGGCCTTAAAAACAGATGTGTGTGAGTGGCACCTTCGGTCTGTATTCCTTCCGTTTTGGGCCATGTTGGCTTAACTGTATGTAATTGTTGCGGTTTCGGCATGAAGTCTGCCTTAGGCACTACTTTCTTTGTATGATAATTGCCTCATTCGGAAGGGGCGTCCGGCCTCCTTTGCGGCCACAGTCAACCATGCACTTTTTCCTTCTATATTCCGTACCGATAACCTCATTTTGTGGCTTCAAGCCAATACTTTAGTCAAATTGAATTGCCGAATTGCTCGGTTAGTTGAATTACGTCTCTCTTGCATCACAGTGCCTAGGACAGTATTCCGTACTCCGTACAGAGTGGTGTGTATAAATGAAGGCACCTAGAACTGGCGACTCACTTTAACTAATAACTAGTAGGCAGGCCATTCTGTTCACACAGCCAACCAACTAATTTCCTGTATACTTCTTAATATTATTATAGAACGAGAAGTAATTCTGGTTTCAGGTAAGTGGTTAACTTTTACTTGACTTGCCAACACCAGTACACTCATGCATACACTTAATAACACAGCAGCCCTCCCGCATATCCCCCACTATCTTGCGAAAAAGGCTAAAACCATAGCCTTATAATGACTGTTCTAGTTCATTAAGTTTGCCTATGCTGTAACAGCTGCTGCAGCGTCTAGAGCGGCTTGGACCCGACAACAGAGGTCAGATACGTTCTCCAGGCCAACACTTATTCTAACCAAATCAAACTCCACCCCAAAGGAGCCCGCCTACATAGATTGGTTAGGAAGGAAGAAAACCGATGCAGAGGAGGACATACCCAGTCAAGTTCACTGTAATGAGCCAGTAAGGTGTATGGGGAACTGATTATAGATTATGGTTAGTATTTCCTATTTGAATAATTGCACCCTCCCCAGATACAAATACACACGTAAAACACAAACACGAAAAAGGCATACCTCAGAGTAAAATTTGTACCAAGACTAGGTCCCTTAAATACATCAAGGTGATCAAAGAAAGCGGCGGCGGCAGCAGTTGAATAGAAAGTAACAGAAAAGAGACCACCATAACCACCATTATAATTGCGAAAGGCATCATAAAATGGCCTTGAGGGGCTATATTTTGGATAATAGATAGTTTTAACTGGGTATATGGTAAGCTTGAATTGGGTCTAAAAGCAATGAATAACAGCCTACCAATTGAAGAGTTCTTTAACATTGCTGTTATCGCTTCAGTAGTTCTGTTAATTTTCTCAATTCGTGATACAAAATCACGACTGTTTCTTTCCAAAAACACAGCATCTTCTGCCCAAAGATTATCCTCATGTTCTTCGGAAAATGTATGTTTCAAAGAATGATAGTAATGCCCACGTGGATTGAGAACAGCACTCCCTCCAGTAACATTACTATCACCGCTGAATATTTTTGTCAAACTACTGACGACAATGTCGGCAGATGGTAGCACGTTGATGTTGATAAAGTTGCCCACAGTCTCATCTACCACAACTGCAAAGTTATGTTTATCTGCAAGCGCACGAATCCGTTTTAGGTCAGGCGATTTAAGTAACGGATTACCCGGAAACTCAGTGAAAAGTGCTAGGAACTTTTCACCATTGTTCAAGCGTGACTCTAGATCGTCCAAATCTTCGTATGAACCATGCCCATAAAACAAGCAACCAGGGCCCCATTTTTCCAGAATTTTCAGCGTGTCAATATAGGGGAACCCGAAGCAAATGCTTTTCATAGCACCTCTAGTGGCTAACAGAAATTTATGAGTATTGAAAATCGAGCTCATGCCGGTTGGGAAGAGGAAAACATCATGCTCCGTCAACCCTGATACTCTGCCCTCTTCTGTCGTCCTTTGGAGAGCTTCACTCAGCTCAACATCAGCAGTTAAAACACCTGCAATCCGCCTGCGAACGGCCAATTTAGCTTGGCACGACAGAGAAGTGCTCAGATTTCGACCAAAGCGCTCTTCAATGAACTGAGAATACTCATGCCTTTCTTGTGTTTCATTGTTTGACAAAGACGAACTTGGTGTCGTAGCGTTTGCCCCTCTTCTTCGAGCCACCCGATTCATTGAATCCTTCCCCTGGTACCTCCGCGGACCTTTATAGATTTTTTGAGATGTCGTGTCCATAGCGGGGTGACTCTTCTCTAGAAGAAAACCGTCCCTTAAAGCATTGAGACAGAACTCACCCCGACGACTTGATATGCCATTACCACTGTGTTGCCATACTTGCTTTGCGATTGGTGCATACTCATTAGGAAATATCACACCCGACAAAAGTGAAGTAACAGAGGGTGACTCGGCTTCCGTATGAGGGGGGGGGGCAAGGTCTACAATGCGTACTTTCCGCGATGCCTCGGTAGGTAATTTTGAGAGGATAAAGGAATAGCAGACTCGTGCCGTTTTAGGAGATGGAAACAGCATAGCTGTTTCTGACTCTGGTTTCCCATGAAGTTGCACAATCTCCTTGGCAAGCTCCTGAATGATTGGGTGCACAAAAAACCTAGGATACCCACACTGCATCTTGCCTATAAGCCATGGTTCCCCTTCCTCGTAGGCGACGTTGGATTTCCATGTTGGCAAAGATACGCTGACTGCCTTTAATTCAGTTAGCAACTCAAGTTAGAATCCGGGTACTTTAAGGGGCGCTGAGCGCCATGACACTCAAAGGGAATCAATAGCTCGAAACAAGAACGTGGCAAAGAGACAAATTCTCTTCGCATCTGACGCCAAAAATGGGGGTTTCAAACACACATGTTCAGTGTTGGGAGGAACTGGCCCTCCAACTTCTTGGTGCATTGTTGATGGTAGTTGAAATCTTTTCTTAAATGTACGGGGGTGACTTGGAAAAGAGCATTTCGAAGAATGAGTAATAGGCACGTGGACCATAGTGCAGCGGGAGATATGGAGTACGAAGTAGTACGCAGTAATACAGTAATAGCATACTAGTACTTACCTATGTGGGGTTCAGAAGCCGTACGCCAGAGCTACTCCACAAGGAATCTGTATAGGAGCACTACCATCAGTGTATATGCATGTACCAAGAAATGACATACTTTGTACTGTACATGTAAGGAAGGTTCTGCCTCAGTTATAATAATGGATGATGCATATTGGTAAAGTTTCTATGAAGATTTGCTGCAGCTATTTTTAAAAATTTTTTATAAACATTGCATCTTGTTATTTTTACAGTATTTATTAATATATTTATTGATTGACTATAGGCACCATACTATATATTGATTTAAGAAATGGAGGTTCAAATACTAGCTGATCGCTATGGAACTAGGTAGTTGTGAATGGTCGTATAGTGATTTAGGAAATTTGCTAGTATATGGGCCAGAGACTATAACTACTAATTAGATGTTTCTGAACATGTTATCCCTAGTAGTTACAGAGAGTTATTTTAACATTCTTAAGGTATGGCTTGAGAGACAACAAAGGTAGTCTCTTGAGAACTCAAGGTATAACTCTCCATTCCTTGTCTCTTAGGGTAGCTATTGAATAGCCAGAGACCTAGGAGATTGGGATTTAATGTGGCAGGCTGGTTAGCTCGTGTAAATTAATCACCTTACTATACAGTGTAGTCACTCTGTACTGGACTTCAGTATACAAGATGCTTATTTAGTGCCTAGCTGTGTCCCTACCTACTCAAGTGGGAGAAGGTAAAGCATTGAGGCACCTATTCGGCTTGTTTCTTGGTGGTTAGGATATTTAAGTAACTACTCTATTATGCAGGTAGGAAAGGTAATCTGTGGTGTGCAGCTAGTTACCTAGTAATTTAGCTTCAACCTCCCTCAGTCTTCGTCCCTGTAAGGAGTAGGTTGGCGGTCTGTTGGACAATATCACGTGGGTCTATAATTTCGGCAGTGGGGTATAACGGGTAGCCACGGCCTCGTCCAAAGAAATTTCAAGTTTCAGGCCCTAACTACCAAGCAAGTTATTACCAAGCCTATACCCCTTCACTTTCTTTTGCTTGTTTTAGTCGACCTCCAGGATGTCCCATGCACCAAAAAGAAGAAAACTGAGTTCAACTTCCACTACACCACTTGCTCAGACCTCGAAAGCTGAGGAAAGTATTTCGACTATGAGCACGCACACCCCAATCGACCGCTCTGCAGAAATTGCTTTGGCTAGTGGCTTCTACAAATCCAATTTCTTCAAATTACAACTTGATGAACTACTCGCAGACTTGAGGCCAAATTATGATAGACAAGTCTCAAGACTACAGGATACTCTGCACAAATTGAAGGAGACCATTGAACAGTTCCCCGAGAGACCTGCGAAATCTCCCCTCGAAGCTGAAAAAGAGTTACGCAGTACCCATGGCATTGTTATCCCTTATCCCCAACCTCGCCCAGATAAAGAGGCAAAATACTCCGTTTCATATGTTAAACCGGCAAACATCAACGTTGTAGGAAGTTTTGCGCTAAGGACGGGCGCAAAAACTTCCGACCCTTGCACTGTCGATTTAGCAGTGACAATGCCGAAGTCACTCTTCCAGGAAAAGGACTATATCAATTATAGGTTCTTTCACAAGAGGGCATATTATATTGCATGCATTGCAGCTGGAATCAAGGCAGAGAGCCTTAATTTTGATATTAAATTTGGATTACAAGATGGGGATGGCCTTCGACCTGTCATCATTTTGCAGCTCACAGATACGGCGAGAGACACCAGAACCAGAAGGCTACAAATCCGCATTATCACGGCGATCGAAGATACATTGTTCCCTCTGGCCCGGACTCTGCCAATGAAGAATAATCTGCGCCAGGGCTCGTTGGTAATGACAGAGCATAAAGAATCAACTCCGTTTTACAATGCAAGTCTTCGTTCTGAGGCTACCGTGGAATTGTTTCATAAGTCCCTGTACTCAGCTGTCCGGAGCTGTGAGTCTTTTAGAGATGGCTGCATCCTTGGTCGAACTTGGCTCCGACAACGAGGATTTGGTTCTCCGTTTCAGGCTGGCGGTTTTGGAGGGTTTGAGTGGACAGCGCTCATGTCTATTTTGTTTGAGAGCGGAGGACCCAATGGAAAACCGGTCCTTCTCAAATCATACAGCAGCTATCAGCTATTCAAGGCAACCATCCAATTTCTTGCGGGAAGAGATCTGACGAGGCCATTGGTTCTATTCTGTGACGACATTCCGTTCCCTAGTGGGGCGCCGGTGCTATACGATGGCGTGAAAGGGCTGAATATTCTGTTCAGAATGACCCCTTGGTCGTATGCTTTTCTTCGTCGTGAAGCGAGCAATACCCTTAAGATGCTAAATGCGTCCCGTGATGACAATTTTGAGAGAATTTTTATTACCAAAGTGAACGAACCTTTACTTCGGTTTGATCGCATTGCCACCCTTTCGTTGACTGATAGCAGCAATGCTCTTGAGACTTTAAGTAATCAATATGCTGTCTATGAAGTGCTGACGAAGGCGCTGACGGATAGGGCCGAGCTCATATATCTTTTTGGGGATTGTGTTGAGCCTTGGTCTATGGAGAGAAAAATTTCACAGAAGGCAGCAAAATTAAACCTTCACGTTGGATTGTTATTGAATGCCGAAAACGTAAACCGTGTTGTTGATTATGGCCCCTTAGCGGAGCAAAAAAAAGAAGCGGCATCGTTTCGGTCCTTCTGGGGTGAAAAGGCCGAGCTGCGACGCTTCAGAGATGGAAGCATTCGAGAAAGTTTGGTTTGGTCTGACCAACCAACTTCGTCATCTATAGTGCATCAGATTCTTGTGTATATTTTGAAACGCCATTTTAATTGTCTCGAAAATGGTTTCAGATATGTCGGTGATGACTATGATGAGAAGCTTCGCAGCAATGGCGATGAAATATTATACTATTCTAGCCCTGCATTCCAGCAAGTTGCCGATGCTTTCAGTTCGTTGGAGAAATCTATTCATAGCTTGGATGATATTCCCCTGACTGTTAGACACCTAGCATCGGCTAGCCCATATCTTCGCTACACAGCCCTTCGAGTTCAAGCTGCTTCTGGTGCTATACGAGGACCGGTGGATGTCGTTCTCCAGTTTGAAAGCTCTGCACGGTGGCCCGATGACCTTGTGGCCGTTCAAATGACAAAAGTCGCTTTTCTCATCAAAATAGGTGACTCTTTGGAGTCATCTGGAATCGCATCGTCATGTAGGGTGGGGCTCGAGAATGAGTCAAGTACAATTCTGAACAATGCTTTTCTACAAGTTTTTCATGTATCAGGGGTGGTCTTTCACCTACGAATTCATCATGACCGGGAGCAGACTTTGCTTGAACGGCAGTTAAGGGGGAAAGGGTCTCTTCCGCAAGCAAAAAAACAAGAAATTGCTTATGCTTTGTCTGTGTACAAGAAGCTATTCGTTCACTCTCCTCGTTTGACACAAGCAATCCGTGCCTTGTGCACGCGCTTTGCTTTGCTGTCGCCTACAATTCGCCTCCTCAAACATTGGTTTAATTGCCATCTTTTGACAGGCCATTTCAATGAAGAACTTATAGAGCTACTTGCTGTCCAGACATTTATTCAACCATTCCCTTGGGAAACTCCATCGAGTGTTATGGCCGGTTTTCTGAGAACCCTTCATCTGATCTCGCGGTGGGATTGGCAACAAGAACCATTGATGGTTGACCTAGGTGGCGATCTGGATCATGATGCTATTGAAGTAATTCGTACTCGATTTTCTGCCTGGCGAAATGTGGACCCAGCAATGAATGCAGTTTCCTTATTCGTGGCGTCTGACATTGATCCAGACGGCGGAACTTGGACTCAGCACGAGATGCCCCCCAAAGTCGTGGCTGCCAGAATGTCAACATTAGCTAACGCTGCAGTGAAATTTCTACGGGAGAAGGGTCTTTCTCTCAATATACAAGACCTTTTCTATACGTCTCTGGCGCCTTATGATTTTATCATCAACCTACGACCAGAGATTATCCGTGATCATTCAGCATTGTTGACTAAGTACAAGAACATTCAACATGAGGATAGCGCTCCACATGGTGATCGCAAACTCAGAGCCGTTGAATCTTTCGTACGTGACCTACAGTCATGTTACAGCCCAAATCTACACTTATTCTACGGAGGCGATCAAGGTGATGTTATTGCAGGGCTTTGGAATCCGCACACATTGAAACCCAAGAGTTGGAACCTAAAGATGGCGTACTCGACATCTCCGACTGGGTTGGGTGACATTGAAAACAGGGACCACGAAGTTGTGCTCAACCGTAGATCTATCTTGAATGAGATCTCCAGATTGGGCGACTCTATGGTTGAAAGCGTTGAAGTTATCAACGGAGAAAAAGACTTGGGTTAATTAATATATCGGATAATACATGTGCATAATACCTAGCAGCGCCATTGCAATGCAATATTTTGTAATAAACAAAAAAAACAAAAAAAGCTTAGATGAACAAGGGAAGGCGAGGGGCACAAGAACAGACAGTAGAGACCATATATCATAAGACCATGTATCATACTAATTTCCCTCTCCACTTAGGAGCCTGTCATAGACTTTTCTGACTTCTGTATGGATGCCTGAGAGGAGAAAGAGCAGAATTTGTCTTTGATTGCTACAACTTCGTACGTACCCTCGTCAGAAGTCTTAATGGTTTTCTTATGCTCGTAAGAGATGTCATGTTTAATGTCGAGTATTTCTGGTTTCTTCCCTCTTCGGACATTTGAACTTCGGATGTACCTAAATTATCTTAGTTTCTCAAACTGCTCTACTAGGGATAAAGCAACGTACGTGAATTCAAAAGGCGGAGATCCCCAGAACTCAAAATGTAGCTCTGCTTCTCCACCCTCATGTATGTCAACAATGGAAGTTTGACCTCTGCTGATTCTAACACTTGGCATTTCGTGAATAGTTTTGGTTATGTTTTTATGGGCTTTGCATTTTCCACTTGCACCATCACTGACAGCGGTTATGGTGAATAATCCTGGCCTTTCTGCAATGCGACGAAAGTTAGTAGTCCGGGACGTTGCCTTCCTTGAAGCCCCATCAAACGTGTAGAACACGTCAAAGGGTGCATGACCGGAAAGTGAGAAAGATAGACGCTCCCCAACACAATAGTCAACTTTTGATTCGAGGGGAATTATTGTGGGAACGTCGGAGACAGCAACTCTTACGGACGAGGTATCATCCTCAATAACTCGCTGACATCCTCGTGCATCTCTCACTTTATGAATGCTGACCACATGCTGCCCCAAATCCAGGTGACGACGCGGTATAGGAAGGTTGTGTCGATTTGAACGGATGCTGGGGATCGACAAAATTTCTGCCTTTGCTTTCGAATAGTGTTTGATGGATATTTCAAGAGAAAACGGGGGGATCCCATCCAGGGCGATGGGTATTAATTCTTCACCGCTAACATCCTCCTTGCAAAAACCGTAGATATGACCTGGCGCATCGAAGCGCGCGGATGGTAGTGCATTTACCTTCTGTGTCACAGCAATCGGCTTACTCCTGGGATCATGGTCGTAGAGACTGTCGCCTATTTCCATAAATTTGTACGTGTAAAACCCAGGCTCAGAGGTATCCATTTCCATAGTGGCTGAGTGCAGAGCAGTCTTCAAACTTTGCAGCCGCACAGAAGGTGATCCACGGCTCGTCTTTCGCTGTTGTTCATACTGAACAGTGTATGGCGGATTCCCTGACAAACGAAGTTCAAGACTATCATCATCTCCCTGACAGACGTCCCGCTTCTCAATATGACCAGCTATGCCCACAGGAGATCCATCCACGGCTGTTATATGCGGCCGAGGTATCGAAGAAACTTTGAAAATTTTGGCTGCTTGATCAACTGAGCCAGGGCAAGAGTTATCGGCCACTCCAACGAGTTCATACCGTCCTTCTTGACTAACAGACAGAATGCTATTCTCCTGCCAAAAAGTCTTTTCTAGTATGGAAGAATTAGTGTCCATATCGCTGTATTTAACTACCCATGGTCGTTCACCACTTAATCTGAGTGGAATATCAACTTTCGAGTCCTGTAGGGCTGAATATTCACGACTATTTTCAATTTCACCAAACGACGCCTGCGGTGGCTTTGATCGGGCATCGATTTTGATGCTATCTTTAAGATTCCGTTTGCAATTCGAGCGGTCTTTAACGTTTGTCAGGATGAGGTTGTATTCACCACCACTGATGAGTCTCTCAGTCTTGATGCTAAATATTTCGTTATCGGACTCTAGAACATGTTTGGTCTTCTTGCCATTGTGGACAAGTTCGTATTGCAAAATCCACGGCGGTTCGCCAACAAACGCCACATCCACAGACACCGGCTCGCCAAAACAAGCCTTGCGCACATCTCTAGGTCCAAGGAAATGAGCAGAAGCTGGGGGCTTTACATTTTGTTCCAAGACGGGGATTTTGTCTTTCAAGGGCCGAGGTGCATACACCGCATCTGCGATTTCTAGAAATCGGTATCGGTAAAACCCCGCTTCAGATGGCTTGAATTCAAGCTGAGCACGCAACCCTTCAATTGCCAGTGACTTCGTCTCGATACCCTTTGCATGTTCAACGAGGTATCGGAGTCGAAACGGTGGTGAGCCGGTGATATCCAAGTCAACCAACAATCCAACCGGGTTATTTGCGCACTTGTCAAATATTTTCTCGTGTCTGACTGTTAGTTCTGGCTCTGGTGGGTTGTGCAGGTAACAAGATGCCGGCTCCAGTACTTCTCCAGAACAAAACTGACTGGACACAGAATCCAAACTGTACCATCCCGGCTCCTTAATTTGAGGCTTTTGATCAAGACTTTTGAGAGACAGCTGTTGGAGTTTACTAGGCATATTGCCGGGATCCTCAAGCTCTTTGCTGCTGTATGAGTATTTGAGAGAGAATGGTCCATCATGGCTGTATTGTTGCCCCGAAGTGTGGAATTGGATTGGGAAATCTACGCTCTCCCCTCGAGCGACCTGTATAAACCGTTGGTCATTGCATCCATATAAGGATATCCGAGGCCTTTCATGAACAGAAAATTGATGCCACTGAGGTGTTGCTTTTGCAGGCGGTCGGTCACTTTCGCCGAAAATTATGGAGTAATTCGCAACATTCCCACAGCCATCGTGGACTTCCTCAATCGTATAAAGCCACTCTCCTCCAATATTTAATGACTCATTCAAGGGAACTTCTATAGTACGGCTTTGAGCCCAACTAATATCGGGCTCTGGGGCATTGAATAAGGCACCCGAGTTCCTCTGGCCCAATAGTGGCGAACGCAAACGATCTGATTGAATGTTTTGAAAGGAGAATCCCCGATCGAGACGGTTTACCTGCCTGCTGTACTTGATCTTCAATGGCGGCGTACCTTCAACAGCAAGAATTAAATTGGATAGCTCTCCTTTGCATTTGTGCATGTGCGAACTCTTTATTAGCGCCTGCGGGCAGGAAACGACAAGTGCATCGGATGTTCTCATTTGAACTTCAAGATTGGACTCGTCTACCACCCTTTGGAGTCTGTAAATCCCAGGACGCCGGATCGGAAAAAGAAGATCATGGTGGAAGCCAGTGGCTGTGTTTGAATGTTTTTTGCCCGCCTGACGCTTCAACTGTTTCAACTGCTTTGATGAAATTGAAATAGTCTCGTTGTCCCCGCTATTAAAATCTAGTCGTAATAGTTCTACCAAAACTGGATCGGTTTGATTTATTCTGATTGGCAGATTCACAGCATTTCCGTGAGAATCTATACATAGAGGTATTTGGTCTGGATTAAGAACAGCAGACCTAAGCACGTCAGAACTGGAAATGGTACCAAAAAGGCCGGGGGGGTTTGAAGACTCACCCTTCAGGTAATATGTGGACTATCTGCTTTCCTAATATGAGGGAAGCATTGTGGATGATATCGCCCGGCTTGACACTTCGCTCAGATATCGATAATTCCCTGTCGTACGCCACCTTTATCATACCTGATAGCCATGCGCCCAACGGAATCTGGCTTGCATGTCAGTGAGGTCTTCCGTACAGCAGCCAAGGGGTAATACCTACAGGAATCCGAAACATTAAAAACACGTTACCAACTACATGGACTAGGAAAACAGCTAGTGTTGTTGGAAAGGCCCATTCTAGCCAGGGAATACGCAGGGCTTGAAGGCCAAAGAGGAAAACACCATCGATCGATGCCCATTTCAGAAATAACCAGGTGGAGTCCAGATCATCTGAAGCAGTCCAGGATTCGTATACTTGCCAGGTATGAAGAGCAAGGTAGAAGGCCACAACATAGAGCCGTTGTGATGGGGCATCTATAATCCCAGTTGGAATAAGAGGCGAAGATGAGCCCGGGGCGCTCGTTGGCCCTCTCGGAGATGATTTTTGCAGTCCGAAATCCTGAGGTAAAGGCCTAGACGGTGTAATAGTATAATTTCGTGTTCTCTGAGCCGTCTGGGGTGTCTGAGGAAAAGCAGAACGGAGTCGCGGAGTGTCATTCATGGCATCCTGTGGTCACCGGGTATCCTCAAATTAAAAAAGAAAAAGAAAATCAACCTGCGAAAGATACTAAAATGAATTAACATACATTCGCCCAATGCATTTGACTTGTTTGAAAACTGTACCTATCATACAAGTCGAGCCTATGTCTTCTCAAAATTTAAGTGGAGGTTAAAAACTGGAATTGTGACCGCCAACGCGTGGAGTCGCGTCCACCTAACTAGCTAAAGCTTTGTCCAATCAACGGCCTCTACCACAAACTGGCGACAACTGAGGAGTCAGCTAGTACCTAGGTAGCCACCTAGCTAAGGTACCACAGGGCTAATACTATCTTTGATATTTATAAATGATTGTTCTTAAGAGCGGCAAACAATAGAACCTTAGTAATAGATATTGCAGCTGCACCTAACTATCTCTTGTTTAGTTTCTTTCCTCCAGTTACTACCGATCTTATAAATCCCCGGCGACCTTGTTAGATGCTCATAAACTTGAGCAGCCTTAACTACTAATACTACCTAGTCCTTGTACGACTGACATCCTGTCTTATTATTTGACATCCTAGCCAGTGAGGGATCTGGACATTATGAACCAGGGAGTGAAGCGACAAAGGTTGAATGCCCCAGTAAGTATTGTGTATGGCGTAAACAGTTTTGCCAACGATCCATGCCGCTCAGCAGCTACACAGGGAAAAGAAGCATGGAATGGCTTCTGTGAACTCGAATCAGAACCTGTAGGTCCTGAGATTGGCTAAATATTTTCATGTCACTGTCTGGACTGATGCTTTCAAAGGCTCTCTTCAATGTGATGCTTCGTGAATTTGGTGTGAAAGGAGTCAAAGTTCAGGAGGTTGTGTCCTTAGACGAGGAGATGATGGCATTTCTAAAGTAAGTTGTACTCGGACAATTGCTTCCTTTGTTACTGATGAAGGTTCCTCGTGCAAATAGTAAGCCTGTCTATGGGCTAATCTTTTTGTTTCGTTGGAGGGAAGACGATCCTAATAAGCAGGAAGCGAGTTGCCCGGAAGGGCTCTGGTTTGCAAATCAGGTTTGTTTTCGTTATCCTTATAACTCTCCCTAGGCATCAGATCACTGATTTTCTCATGTAGACAACGAGTAATGCCTGTGCAAGTGTGGCCCTTCTTAACATAGTCAACAACATAGAGGGCATCGAGCTGGGAGAGAATCTACAACATTTTAAGAATTTCACAATGCCATTTACACCAGCATTAAGGGGGGATGCGATCAACAATTTTGAGTTTGTTAAACGAATACACAATTCATTTGCACGGTACGTATGTTACATATTGAGATCCTTCCATTTCCAGCCCGCCGCCTGAACATCATCTTAATCTGTAAATTCCTAGAAAGATGGACATGCTCAATTCAGATCTCCTGCTTAAATACGAGGCGACATCCAAACGATCGCGCCTAGGCAAATACACTCAGGACGAAAACGAGATGCACGCAGGATTTCATTTTATTGCCTTTGTGCCTGCCTTAGGAACAGTGTGGAAATTCGATGGCTTGGAACGCCAGCCTCAGGCGCTTGGTAAGTGAGGGAATTATGGATAAGCTCACCACTAATCTCTCGCCTAGGGCATTACACATCTGATGATGATTGGCTAGATCTGGTCAAACCCAATATTCGCACCAAAATGGAAGAGTACGAAGAGGGCCAGATCGAGTTCTCAATTCTAAGTCTCACTCAAGATCCACTTCCTAATCTTATAGGTCAATTAGCAACGAACGTGAAATGCCTAGAAATAATTAATCGGCAGCTAACTACTCACAATGAAGGAGGGTCTATTTCGGAATCAACGTTTGCGGAACAGCTTCAAGAAGCTATTATTGGACCAGATGAGTCGTACGGTCTAACGAGGGAGCGCATCGACCAGTCCGAGATTCCTACTGCGTGCGAAGAAGAGTATGGAACATTGTCGAATGAAGACCTCCTCCAACATAGGCAGCACCTGGTGGCTCAACAGCAATCGCTTCGAATCACCATCCGAGAAGAACAACAATCCCTTCAGGCGGATGATGACTATGCGGCGGGCCGAAGGTATGATTACGGACCGGCGGTAAGAGCGTGGGTTCGCTCCTTGGCACGAAAGAGGATTATTGAAAACCTAGCATATGAGAAGGACAAGGATCTAGGAAGTATGGTCTAGTCTAACTCCTACAGCAAGCAGTATATTTAGGATGTAGCAATTTTTGCGATCGATTTTTGCGATCGGGACAATAAACTTGGTGATGTAGCGAGGACTCGAAGATAGCGAGTAACTGATAATCGATCAACTATCCATTTTCTGGTATTTCCCACATCATTTAGATCATCCTTGGCTGTCCCTACTCTTATCCATGAGAAGACTAGCTAACTACTGAGTTGACGGAGCCTCCGTTGTCGGTGACGTACGAACCGTAAACCGGACAACGTCACCGCCTGGCCTGTACACAAGCCGCTCTGTTTCAACAGAATTCATCCAGCGTCCTCCAATAGCTACCTGTTTCTGTAGATTGCTTTTCAGCAGTCCGCCGAGGGTGCTTGCCATTGTTGTCGGCCGGCGCCTGTCCTTTTGCCCCGGCCTTCGTTTCGCTTCGCTTCTCTTTTGTGTTGGGCTATAGTAAATTCTCCCTGTGCTCGGCTGTCGCCACAGCTATTGCCCACCTCCATATAACTGCTTTGTTACGTTTTTGCTTGCTGCAACTCCTACATTTCCAAATACTACGTTCACGATGTCATCCTCCATGGTCCCCGATACCCGTGAAAAGGCCCCCGATGATTCATCTAAGTTGAAAACATTTCTTTCCATCCTTCGAAAGTACGCGCCCGCCCCGTATGATCGTTGTCCTGTTCGTTTTCCCAGCTCCCAATCAGCCTGTACTGATTAATTGCTTGGTTATTCTAGGTTTGTTGGCGTGGCCGATATTGCATCTGTTCGATTCTCACTTCCTGCTCATCTTCTGGAACCGATGCCTAACCTGGGTAAGTTGCAACCTTTCAGTCTTCTCCCTCCTCTCCTTCATTACTGTGCCAGAGCCTGCCAGAGCCCGCATGCCGCGGGGGAGATTCCCCTTTTTTCCTCTCCTTTTTTAACCAATTTTTTGTGATTTTTAGAATATTGGAACTATCTGGATCGGCCGGAGACCTTTGCAAGGTCAGCAGAGTAGCCAATTCATCACCGAGGCTCAATTTCTGACAGGAGCATCACAGCATTGGTAAATCAGACAATCCGCTAGGACGGATGCTGGAGATTTTGAGGTTTTGGTTTACGAAAGACCTGGTATATTTTTCCAATGAGATCCCTCCTTCTATTAGTGAGGGAATGTTCCACTGAAGGTGTAACAGAAATACATTAAGGGCAAACCTTGCAAGCCATATAATTCTACATTGGGTGAATTCTTTAGAGTAAGTGGTTGAAATGACTTCTGGTGCACCCATGTTCTCTGGACTGATCCGGTGGACCAAAACTTCAGTGCAGCTGGGAGATTAATGATATCCTACCGGAGGTGTTGGTGGCTTCCAATCTAGATGCAGCAAACGGGACATCCGCTGTGACGGATGACAATGGAGAAGTGGTCAAAGTATGTTATTTAACCGAGCAAACATCTCACCATCCACCGGTATCCGCTTTCTTCATTGACTGCGTAGAAAGAGGTGTTTCAGCGCGCGGCTTTGATCAGATTAGTGCAAAATTTACAGGCACGAGTATTCGTGTGGCACCAGGGCAGCACAACTTGGGAATTTTTGTCAACATTGAAAAGAGAAACAATGAGGAGTATCAACTGACTCACCCCGCAGCTCATTTGGGTGGTTTGTTAAGAGGTGCGCTGGCCATCACTGTTTCAGATACGTGCTACATAACTTGTCCAAAAACATGCATCAAGGTAATTTTGCAGTATTTGGAGGATGGATGGATCGGGCGAGCTCAGAATAGGGTCGAGGGTGTGGTCTTTCGATATGATCCTGACCGGGATACTGCAACAAAAATTAAAGACGTGTCGGATGGAGACCTCCTTGCCAAAATTAGCGGATCCTGGCATGGCGAAGTCTTTTACACGTTGGCTGGGACCAATGAACCTCGACTTTTAATTGACATTACACCTCTTTCTCCGGTCCCAAAGACAGTACCCTCTAACGACAACCAACTCTCCAATGAGTCTCGCAAATTCTGGTCCAAGGTCACCGAGGCTATTTTGGACAAGAAATACGGTCAAGCCACCCGTTTCAAACAGGAAATCGAAGAGCGGCAACGCCAGAAAGCTGCAGAGCGGCAGGCCAGAAATGAAATATGGCAACCCCGCTTTTTTACTGGTGCCGTAACGCCGTTGGGCAAACCAGAATTAACTGAAGAAGGGCGCAAGGCTCTGGAGGGACTTCACATGGAGAACTACGAGTTAGAAGAAAGTGAAAGAAAAGGTGCTTAAACATACAGCCTTGATTTCAATGGTAGGTACAAAACATAAACTTGGTGAATATGGTGTATATGGCATTAATCCCTTTGGACTTGCTTGAATTGGCGTCTTTTTTCTCTCTTATAATATAGCTAGATCTTTTGTTCTATATATATATATTTATTGAGCTTCTTTAGAGCTTTAAGGTATCGTGTAGCTTGGCGGGAGATTTCATGAAGACACTTATGCATGAAAATTAAGAAAAAAAAAAAAAAAAAAAAAAAAAGAAATTACTCCAGAACAAGATATGACCTCCTAGCGAATATAAGCACAGCCGCCCAATCCGGAGCTGCACCAACCAAAGCGCCAGTAAACCACACAGAATAAAAACCACGGAGTTCTGTCAATTCATTTATTCACGCGTTTGCCGATATAACCTTGTTAAACCCCGCATTTAATGTCTTTGTTATATCCTCATTTTTATGTGGGAGAAGGGATAACGCATAAGCTACATCGTTCCACTGTCTCTCTGTTTCACATCGTGGAAGTCGAGCAGCCAACTTGTCTGCTAATTGGCGGGCGTGTTTTTCCTGGGGAGATAAACTTGGTTAATAACAGAACATAATATTAAAACAAAATAGTGGTTTAGCATTCCTTGTGTACTGACCTTTTCGACAAATCCTACCAGGAACTTGATGATACGTCTCAATGAAGCTTCTTCCAGGTTGCGTTCTGCACTCAGTAGGCTAAACATATCAACAAAATGATTATATACTGCATTATCCTTGCTCGCTAGTTCCGTGAAGAACATGCGCGCCAGGTCAGCGATTCGTTTATCATCATCTTCCAAGCATTTGGCCATCTCGCCCAACTGGCCCTTGACTTTGACCTGACCTGCCAAAATTAGGAAGGTAAGTGTCATGAGGCAGGTGCGTTTGACTGAGGCATCATTGTCATTGAGCCGACGGTACAAGAAGTCTGTATTCTCATCGATCAGATGATTGAAGCACACTGCCATGTCACCAAGGGCAATGACTGCATTGCTGCGAACGATTGGATCCTCAGAACGCTCCATTATGGTTATCAGGAGTGGAAGGTTTTTCTCGCAGTATTCGGCAGATACACACATCAATTTAGCCATGCACAAAGTTGCTGCTGCCTGGAGGCTACGATCAGAGTACTTGTTGTTATTCGCGCAAATTTCCGTAACCAAGGGCCCAAAATTAGACAGCAGTGAATTTTCCCCATAAAGCAGCTCTCGCTCTCGAATGTGAGACATAGCATCCGTAAAGTCATCTTCAGTCGTCCCACCGATAAGGTCAAGTTCATCCTTCTCTGATGCTTCAGTGCTGTCCTGGGGCACGGTGGTTATGGCTTTGCTCTTCTCCTGTTCCACCTTGCGACGCTTGAAGTCAAGCTCACACAACTCAAGGTGGACGATTTGTTTTATGGCAATATGACCAACCACGAAAAGTAACTGAGATAGCGCAGCGGACGTGGGCCTCTCGCTTGATTCCTTGTTGTCTGTTGAAGCTGTCCCAAGTCGCTGATCGTCACCATCCCCAGAGGCTCTCGAAGGGGATCGTTGTATCTGTGGTTGAAAGACAAACTTCGCCTTCCGCTTGAGAATGTCAGAGCACAGAACATCAGGATGCTTAGACAATGCATAGATGGCGCTAATCGCCTGCTCTGAGACGCCATACCACTCCTTGTTGGCGGAGACCACTTCGACTATAGCCGCAAGCTTGGTCAAGACAGGGTGGCTGTTCACAAGTTTAGAAATCTCCGCCTCCTTAGACCTGGCTTGGCGGCCAGGGATCATTCGTCTTAGTGCAACGCAGGTATATTTTGCAAGCACGAGATCCGATTTCCCCAGGTTCCCAAGGCCTATTCGTAGCATTGTTTCAATTTCTTTAACAACAACTTCTGGATCGGCTAAAGCAAGCATTCCGAGAACGATGATAGCCCCTCGACGCTGAGTCTTGGAAATCTCCTTTTTCTGTACGCCATAGACTTGCCATAGCTTGGCAATCACGGCATCTGAGATATGGCCTGCCCTCATCATGGTACTGAGTAACTGTTCAAGGCATGTCAGTTCAGCAGGGGTGGATCCAAACGTCAAACTGATCATGTTCCGGGCGATATAATTTGCAGCGTCGTTTGGGCTGAATGAATCCGGCGCTTCGAAGAAGAGGCCTTTGTAACAGTCAATTAAATGAGTTTGGACACCTTTGCCCTCATCGCTATTGCCTTTGGTCCAAATAAGCCTAAGCATCCGCCGTATTCCGCTACGCGATGTTTCGACTTTATATGCATCAAGCATAACAAAGAAATCCATTGCTTCGATGGCCTCACTCTTATTCCGAGACGATAGGAGCTGCGAGACGACCTTAGAACCTGAGTGGAGGACCTCAATGAATCGAATAGCTTCAATATAGTACTTCCTTGTTAGCTGAAGACGCGTAAGCAATTCTGAGGTTGCGGCTTGTTCTGCCGCCTTTTTCACTGCCGCGGCCTTCTCTTCGTCCGTCATGCGTGGTGCTTTGGACGGAGAATCATCGGGCATCTGTGTGGCATCGTCTAATAATTCGCTGTCAACATGCGAGGCTTCTCCACCCTCAAAACCGGGAGTCTCTGGTGGTCTTAGTTCATTTAGTTCGACGTCAACAGCGTCAAGTCTGGCCATCCACTCCTTTTGTGACAACTGGCCACCATGCATGATACTAAAAGGGTGCGTGGATACCAGTTTAGCCAATAGTTTAATCGCATTTCGCCGCACATTGCTGCTCCTGTCTTCGAGACTCCTTGCCGCTAGCTCTGAAACAGCCTGCCGTCTCTTGGGAAACTTTTGTTCCAAATCACAAATCCGCATATATACCTGGATAGCTCGACACCGGCAATAGGGGTTTATATCCAGGAAACGCTCCTCAAGCACATCGAAGAACGCATTTATTTGCGTCTTATAATTGTCGCTTCGCTCCTCTTGTCGACTGAGATCAGAGATTAGATTCCCGCAAACTTCGATGACAGCACACCGAAGGGTATAGGACTACTGGCCAGTTAGTTCACTATTGTAAACAAGTGAATATGGAGGATATAATACTTCACTATCTAATTGTTTTGCCAGGAGAGTCATTTGCTTTATTATCAGTCGTGGGGCAAGTTCCGAAAGCTTCACAATAAACGCGGACACTGATTTAGGCCCTCTGGTATCATTAGAGTTAAACTCTTTGTTCCCCAATTCCCTGCAACAGATTAGCCGTGGCACAACAACATCTCTCTTGTCAAAAGTACTTCAGTATCTCATCTGAAAGTTGTGGGTAGTCATATTGCTCTGCAAGAATGTGTAGAAACTCGGCCATAGGTTCAGACAGGTGCTCAAAATATGTTAAACTCTGTACAATGGACGTCTGAGCACCTAATACATGTTAGTTTTACCATCCATATTACTGCTGTGCAGAGAAACGCACCAAAAGCGTGACCATGATGCTTCACTGCAATACAGAGGACTTTGAATGCATGCATCCGGATCGCCATATTCTTTACCCGCTGCTCACTCTCCAGTATGAGATAAATCGAGCGCGTAAACATATTAATAAAAGTGTCACGGTCTGACGTGGTTAAAAAAATCCTGGTGAGCTTAAGTTTCATAACCTTGCACATAGTTTCCATAGATATTTGGACCTGAGCTGTCCAGTCCCAGTTTCCATCTTTGGGGCTGGCTTTGGACCTGGCCGACTTCCCTGCACCTCTCCGAGTAGGTGCGACTTCTGCGGGCTTTTCAGCTGCCTTAACTTCCACTGTTGAAAGTGCCCACTGTAGTAGAAAGCCATACATCTCCAGGAGCTGTTTATGATGCTGGATGTTATCTTGTTCGTCGGATTCAAGGTCGCCGTGGATGATGTCCGCTTCGACAGACAATCCAGACACAATCAAATCGAGGAGCTTACTAAGAGACTTCGTGGGAAGAAAAGAGGAGTATCTACCGGAATTCACAATATTAGAATCTAATCCATAGGGGCCTGAAGTTTCAGGAAACTGGTTATGGGCCTGGGCGCACTTTAAAAGGAACTGCATAGAATCAAAGAAGGATGGTCGGGCCAACCCTTCAGGGCTTTCAGCTATACTATCCACAATTGAATTCAAGACATTGTCAATCAAAGTAGTCGACAGGTTGTCGGGGTCGGCTTCGCAGTCTACCAGTTCCGGGTCGGCATCGGGTGTGGGGAGAGAGGTTGGGTCACTCAGATAATATTTGAGGGATTCGTTGATGTCAAATTGGATCCTGTCCTCCATGGTAGGCGACTGCGAGGGTGAGAATCCTCGGAAGACGCGTGCGACTTGGAAGACGGGATAGGACGATGGATGACGATGGAGGAGTCGCAAGAGGGGATAGGTGGAGCGGGGCGAGAACAGAAGAAAGTCAACAGAGGAATGCAGGTATTTGTTTGTATTTTTCCCCTTTGGTGGTGGTCTGTGTTTTCATCAATAAAACTTAATACCATGTATCTACGTACTGTAAATACAGAACATCTACTACAAAGCTAGGTATGTACGGAAACATACCTTGAAAGTACCTGTATCTGTACCTAGTAGCTACTGAGTAGATAGTATTATTGTACGCCATTATACTACTGCCTTTACCAAAATTTTGTACTTACATTTCTTTGGTACATTCATACATACTTGGATATGTACGTACAATAACTTTTATTTGTTGGTGGGGGGTTTGTATTTATTTTTAATGCAATTAAATTAAACACGGACATAGTGCACTAACTGCATTTGGACAATTTTACAAGCTGCTTTAAGCATTGCTGGGCTGTTTCTAACAAGGACTTCTTCTATTCGACGCGTGGCGTGAACTAGGTAAGTGATGAATTTACCCTACCCGTCACTCATCCTCCAGCAACAAACACCTACCTAGGTTCTTCTGCCCTGCCTGAACAGGCTTCTACTTCCTCTGTTTCCCTATCATGTCCAACCTTCATACAGCACCCGATGGTGACTTGGAGCTACAAAGACCCGGTTCTTGGATGCCACCCCATTTGTTAACAAAACCTACATACATAGGCGAGGATCGTACAAGGACGGATAGCGATAATGCATCGGCAGCCCAAATCCTAGAGGCTGGCCAAGAAGACCCCAGGGAGGATGAAGACATAGACGATTCTGTGAAGGAGGATATGAAGAAACTTGAGGATACTTTTCCTGGAATCACAGACCGATTTCGTTTAGTCAATAGGATTGGCGAAGGTACGGTGAGACTCACTACATAGTAGACAGACTTCTCTCTGACGGGTTGCAAACCTCTAGGCACATTTTCTACCGTGTACAAGGCGGAGGATCTTCTGTATGATCATTATCGCAACGATTGGGATATGTTCCAGGACAACCAGAATGACATCTGGACAAGTCCGCCGTCAAAAAGACGTCGGATGGAAAATGAGAGTGGTCGGTCATTATCCATCAAGCGAAGAAATCCACGGTATGTAGCTTTGAAGAAAATTTATGTGACAAGCAGTCCTCTTCGCATTCAGAACGAGCTCGAACTGCTACATGATCTTCGTGGGTGTCGATCCGTATGTCCTTTAATTACTGCCTTCCGGTACCAAGACCAGGTTGTGGCCGTGCTGCCATTTTTCCCTCATACCGACTTTCGAATTCAATATCGCACCTTCATGGTTGCAGATATGCGCCACTACTTCCGATCTCTCTTTACTGCGCTACACTCGGTCCATAAACACAATATTCTCCACCGTGACATCAAGCCAACGTAAGAAGTCTTGCACGTTTGCCTTTACAATCCTTCCAACCCCCATTGTCCTTCGCTCATCAACAAACTGACGATATTGTGTTTGTTTATACATAGCAATTTTCTGTACAATCCGGAACTCAGAGAAGGTGTCCTTGTCGACTTTGGTCTTGCAGAAGTAAGTCTGCCAGAATCACCTACCGTGCCACCCCAACTTGCCATCTGACTGAACTGCCATCGTAGCGCGAGGGCGCCGAATATAATGGCACATGTCTATGTGCCAATCCGGGTTATGTACGCCGTAGTCGGCTGTTGCAAAGTTATTATTACACCCATTGTCCGATGTCCACCTTGTCAGCTGGCTACCCAAAGAATGACTCCAGGCCATCTAAACGGGCCAACCGAGCTGGGACTCGAGGGTTCCGCGCACCAGAAGTACTCTTCAAATGTACATCACAAACAACAAAGATAGATATGTGGTCTGCCGGTGTTATTCTTCTGACCTTACTTGGACGCCGCTTTCCGTTTTTCAATTCGGCAGATGATGTCGATGCTATGATAGAAATGGCAAGCATATTTGGCACCCGGCGCATGAAGACTGCAGCAGTTATGCACGGGCAAATATTCGAAACGAACATCCCAACAATTGGAGAGAAAGGATACAGTTGGGAGAAGCTTGTAAAGTGGGCCAGTTGTGTGGAAGAATTGACAGAAAGCGAGAAACAAGCGACTCTTCTTTTGGCTGGCCTTATGGAATTGGATCCATACAAGCGGATGAGCGCCAGGGATGCTTTACAACATGACTTCTTCACCAACCCAATAGATCACGATGTGGAGTGGGGAGGACAACCCGAAGACAGCGCAGACACTGGAGAGGATGATGAAGGGGATAGAGAAGATGAGGAAGCGGACGAGGTAGCTATGGTCTAAAGTCTCCCTCATAAGCACATCAGTGATAGCCAGTATCAATTTTATGAAGGCACTGTACCATAGCGGCCACTGAACACAAAACAAGAAATGTTAGGCAAAACTTCAATAGTGGAGCTTCACATAGAATAAAAAAATGCGCCGTTGTCATGGACAAAATAGAGTCGCATTACCTTCTACCCTCGAGATCTCGTCTGTACCTGCTGTAAACTCTTTTAAGCAGCCTCTCCAAAGTCATAATGGCCAGTTTCGGCCGCATGCTGAGTGGCACCTTTCTCGCCTGTGCAAATCTCCCCACAGCAATTGCACCGAAGATGGAACCCCGCAGTATCAGTATAATAGTGTTTGCCCTGTAGGATCTTACAGAGTGCCAAAGCCTTCTCTAGCACCAAAGGGTCGGCCGTATCAAAGACTTTTGTATCGAACTCGGGAGGGGCATATGAATGGGTAAAGGGAGGATCAGACGGTGACAGCGCTATGGTATCATAGTGGATCCCTGAATAGACTAAGATACATCGTGTGGTCTGGCCCTCATTGAAACGATCAACTCGAAGAGTTTGCACGTCGATTGAGCATATCTCTATGTCAAAATGCTTGCTCAGAATGCTGAGTTCGATTCCTCCACCCCAAGAGTCTTCGTCTTGTATCCAACGGCAATAGTCATCTGGCACTTTCTCCAGGACCGCTGCTGAGTATAAATTTGGTTTCTCCTGGATTGTTTGGGCAACGACAGACCGAAGCTCATTCATGGTATCCATGCCTCCCGTAATAGCACTGCCCACAGCGCGGAAAAGACACGAGTTGTCATCAGGCATGACGCGTAGAACGAATGTGCCTGCATGCTCGGGTGATGGTATCTCGGGTGCATCATCCAGAACGGCATCATTAGAATTGCGTGGCGGGAGATATTTATCCGACGGCTGTTGATGAGCCGAAACAGGTGCTTTGGTACCATTGCCCGATGTCTGCGACAGGTCTTGCTTCGTCGTAACTATGAGTTGCTCCCCATTCAAGTTGATACCATGATCTGCTAGGCTCCGGTCGGACTGAAGTGTATCCAGGAATAGAGGCTTTAGATCAGGATAACCATATTTTATATCGTAAGCAGTCAACCCTGTTCTATTAGCAACTTGATGTTGAAGGTCGTCAACCGTTGCCCGATCATCGAGAATGATAGTGGACTGCCCTTCTGGACCACGAATCCGAATCTTCATCTTTCTGGGTGTCGCTGATAGTCTGTGGGACGCCCTTGAAAACTGTGATGGAGAGGAGGGAAATCAGGAACTTTAGTACGAAGTATATAATTAGGTAGTAAGGGAGTGATAGTGATGGATGGATGAATGTTCAACTGGGCATATGTGGGGCCGGTACTGTACATCCCATTGATGTCAGCCATGATAAGTGAATAGGTAGAAAATTAGTTAACTAACTATGGTGTAGATGTCTAGTAAATTTTAGTCATTTTTCTCCAGCCTTGTTGAAACATCTTTGAGACTATTGTCACGCCAGAGGTAAGATGCCTAGGTCCTAGGCATTTTTTTCTCTAGGTGTCTAGCAGGTTGAGTAAGACTGACTCTGTATGTATTCTGTATCCACATACATTTGTATGGTATGTATGTATGATTTTACCTCTCGCATTCTACACAATAAATGAAACAGCTTAAAATATGACATAAGGATTTATATCATATACAGAGTATGTAGATGTATCCATGGTATTTTGTTTATCTATGTATCTATGTACTCCGTACATACAAACTAACTACCTGCAGTACATACAGCCATCAAAGCTGTATTTTGCTTATTGCTGTTTTATAATTAGTGGTAGTCGAAATCAAAATATATTGAAATCGCAAATTTATGGAAATACAGACCAAGACGTAGTACCTACCAGGTAGCTACCAGGTAGTAGCTACTTACCTTCCAGGAAAAAGTAACGAAAGAAACATACTTACATGTCTGGCACGTGTTTGATACAGTACAGAACTGTATGTATGTATGTATGTATATATACAAAGTATGTACGTGAGAATCAACGGTTCTGATGAGTCAGCACTATCTCCCTTCCTTCCGTTTGCGCTCCCGTGCGTGTTTCCTTGGGTTACAAATTAATGATAGGAATATCCTACGAGTTTTGCCTCGATCGTTCTCGCGACTATACGTCGTCTTTAGTATGGAAAACGAATCGGAGCCGCCACACATGCAGCAAACTTCTGAGAAGCTCGTTAATTCGATCGAGACTGATGGCAAAGGCGATACTGTTGCGACAACAGACAGTGTCTCTGACGAACAATGGAGGTCCATGATGGATGTTGTTATGGCCATATATGAATTCAGAGAGGCGGAGTAAGTTCGTGATAATGCTTCATTCTGTCTTGATACGTTTGTTTCCTTGGTCGCATACTTAGCTCACCATTGCCGTCCCTTGACAAACCAGCGGCCATGACCCGTCGAAGTTGTTCCAGCGCAGCGTTAACAAGCGCAATGTTCCCGACTACTACGAAATTATTAAGGAGCCAATGGCCCTTAGTATCTTGAAGCAAAAGATCAATAAAAGGGAATATAAAAAATTCGCCGAATTTGTGCGAGACTGCGCTTTGGTAAAGAAATCATGCCCCTTTCTATCAAGGATAGGCATTTAACAAATCCGATGTTGCAGATCCCTCACAATGCGCAAACCTACAATCGCCCTAAATCTCAGGCATATGAAGATGCGCTTGTCATAAAGGTTTGTTGAAGCCGATCTCCCCTTTCATCGTGACTCTCAAATTCCATACCATTACTCTGACAGTATTTTAATAAGGATGTTTTCATCGCAGAGTTTCAGAAGTTGGTCAACCAGGGACTAATCTCTGCCAAAGAAGCCGAACTTCCTGATCTTGGCGAGATCCCTGAGGCAGATCCTCTTCCTGAGGAGGAAGAGGAAGAAGACGAAGACGATGAAGATGAAGAGGAAGAAGATGATTCTGACGACGATGGTCGACGGAAGAAGAAACGGGGTCCTCGACCAGGAGGCAAGCGTGATGGTGGTAAAGATGACAGTCAAAAAGCAAACGACCCTGAACTGAGGAAGAAGCGAGGCCGGCCACCACGTGTTGATACTCCAATGGAAGCTAGGATCAAAGCTGTGTTGAAGGGAATTCGAAAACTGAAGGGACCTAGTGGTCTCAAAGTGCGACACTTTGAGCGTTTGCCAGACAAGGCGATTTATCCCGACTATTATGTGGAAATCAAGGAGCCCATTGCTATCGACATTATCAAGCGGAAGTCAAAACGGAAGAAGTACAGCTCAGTTGATCATTTCATGAGGGATATGGATCTCATGTTCAACAATGCCAAGGCTTATAACCAATCTGAAAGCCAGATATACAAAGACGCCGTTGACTTACAAGTGGAAGCTCGTAAGCTTGCTGAGCTTGAGAAAAAGAAGCCAGACAGCCAATATCTGATGGAGGATGGGCGCCTGCCCCTTCCAGACGGCATCTTCTACAAGGACGAGCTGTGGAAGGTGGGTGATTGGGTTCATATCCAAAATCCTAATGATGTGACGAAACCTATTGTTGCACAAGTATACCGTACATGGCAGGATGGAGAAGGAGATAAATGGGTTAATGCCTGCTGGTATTACCGTCCTGAGCAGACAGTTCATCACTTTGAAAAACACTTTTATCCTAATGAGGTGGTGAAGACTGGCCAATATCGAGACCATCGGATTGAAGAGATTGTGGACCGGTGCTTTGTGATGTTCTTTACTCGATACAATCGCGGACGGCCCAGGGGCCTTCCTCCGGATAAGGATGTATACGTTTGCGAAGCCCGGTATAATGAAGAAAAACACAAGCTGAATAAGATCAAGACTTGGGCGAGTTGTCTTCCGGATGAGGTAAGGGAGAAGGATTATGAGATGGATCTTTTCGATGCTCCCCGTAGAATCAAGAAGATCCCCAGCCCTATCAAACACCTTCTCAAGGACGACGCAAAGGATACGGACGATCTTCCAAAACCGACTTGGGGGGCCGAGAATGCACCACCAGTTGTAGGTGCCGTTCATCGTCGCCCGCGGGATGAGAATGTAAGGCCTCCTTCCCACATGTTATTAACATTGTTTCAGCCGTCGTTGAAGGAACTCTGAGACTGAATAATGACCTCTTCTTGCCTTTTACAGGAATCTCCACCCCCGGAGCCAACACCGTCCCCGCCACCTTCATTACCTCCCGCGCCTCAGCAGTCATCGATCAGTCAACCCTCTACGCGGCCAAGTGTAGATAACCAAAGCGTTGGTTCCATGGCTGCAGCTGCGCCAGCACGTTCTCCAGCTGCGCCTGTTCCCCCAGCACAAAATTCCCCGACGCCAGTCACTTCGATGACTTTTCAACAACCCCAAGTACCACCCACCCAAACTTACCAGTCTACCTTACAGAGACGCTCTAGCAACTTTGTTCCGCAGTCGCCACACCCGGCTACCTACCAGACACCCTCCCACGCACATAGCTATGCGGCTGCACAGCCATCGCCATATACACCGTATCAAGCCAGCCGCATGCCAATGCCTCCCGCAGCGGCGACGTACAAATCCAATGCTCCTCGCCCGATTGAAGTCTTCCATCTAAGTGATGCTGCAAATACGGCGATTCCAGCAGATATCCGAGAGCAGTTTCATTGTGATAATCAAGGGCATGTGCTTTTCTTCTCCTCTCCACCGCTGGATGTTATTCCATCAGTGCAACAAAAGCTAGGCCATTCGCTCAAGTACTTGGCAGCGAAAGAGGAACGTCGCAAGCTAGTAGAGAAGAAAAAACGCAAGGAATTGCACGACCGGGAAGAACGAGAAATGAGTGCCAAACGCCAGCGGGCCGATGATGAGACGGCTCTTGCGGCCCAGGTGGAAGGCCTGGCTGCGAAGGCGGTCGATGCCATGACAAGCCAAATATTGGCAGGTACAGATACGATCTACAGGATCTTGTATAAAGAGGAAGCGGATAGCTCTCAATTGGCGGATGCGAAGGCACGTGAGCAAAAGATCCGCGATAACCATGCTGCTCAAGAAAGAACGGCGCAGATACTCACCCAGTCAAAAAAAGCAACTTTTGTCAACTTTAAGGGCGGTGCGATGTACATGGATGAGATTGATCCTAGAACCTGAGTGGGGGCCCGACGCAGCAGCTGCTCAGCTTTCGTCTTCTCTACTTCTCATTACAGACTACCCCATGTCCCTCCTAACAGTGCAGCAAAATGGAAATAGGAGATGGAGGGCAATAGCTGCAGCTTGCTTGGGTGGGTGACAGCGCGAGTTATTGATACGGTTCATCTAACATCGATCCTCCAGTCACTGTATCCGGTTCATATTCATTTTTGTACATTAATAACATGGGCTCGTTTAATTTATGAATGCAAAACTTTTAGGTGTCATTCTAGTAATAGAAGCGTAACAATGAGTGTTGTACATGTACAAGCGGCCTGCAATATATTCATTTGGTTCTGGCATCTGACAACTGACGAACAAAAGAAACAGAACGATAAGAAAAGGAAAGGTAGATGGAAATAGGTGGAAGGCAAGTCAACTCTTGCAACCTACCTATAGTCTAACCTTCTCTTATGAGCATGATTTATGTGGATGAAACGAGAGATTGCAAAAGCCTTCCCATTTCCAATGAGGCCTAGTAAGGCGGGAACAACTTGAACAGCAATGAGAATACAGGGATAGCACATCGTAGTCTCATGAATTGGAATTTGGGCACAAGAATAGAGTTGTAAAAAACTAGCAGTGGAGTTAAACAAAAAAGAAAAGGAATATACACAGTCCCGAGGCAACTCGAAAGAGAAGATAAGCTGCCATTGACTTAAACATTTGTTCATTTACCCAATGTCTCTCCGCCTAGGAACTTGAAGAAGTCATGCACTCCAAAATCCATAGATGAAACGGGCAAAGAAAATTAGACGAGAGAGAAGAATGATTAAATACTAAAAAAAACCTCTGGTAAACTGAGTTTCGCAATTCAGAACACCAGTCAAATCACTCATTTAGATCCAACATTTGTCTAATAGACGATTATCAAATGCAAGAAAGATGAAGACAGCTGTCCTTTTTTGCAAAAATTGTTTAGTCGTTCTATGCAAGAAAGACGCCCACTGATATTGCCGAAACTAGGGCATTTGAGATGATGATCTTTTGGCAATGATTACGGACAAAAGAGTCCGGTATGTGGTTGACACTTTCCCCGTCTATCTCTCTCTCTCTCTTTCTTTCTTTTTTTTTTTTTTTTATTTTTACTGAGAAGTGGCGAGGGAAAGGTTTCTCCTTTACTAAATGCGCGTAAGTGACATGATAGGGTGTCCGGTCAACCCCGGGGTCCCCATGGCTGCTTAAGATTGAAAGCCAGGGTTACTTGTCGCTCCCGAATCCTCGTCGTTTGAATCCGTCTTGTTACTCCAAGATGCACTGGTGCGCTTGTTGTTGTTCTCTTCCTCTTCCATAGAGAAAACCAAATCGCTTTGTTCTTCGTCAATTTTGCTAGTGCTGACAGGAGATGAAATAGTGCGGTCTAAGCGACTGCTAGGTCCTGCAGATGAATGGCGGGCGGTCCCGGGGTAAAGAGACATGCCACTGAGTTGCTGTGATATCATTGATGTCGACGATTGTCGAGTGGGGGAGGCAAAAGACGACACCTCACCAGGCATCTGACGGGTTCCGATGGGACCCAAGCTAGGGCTTCTTGTTCCCAGGTTCAACGACGATTCACGAAGGGGTGAACCAACCTGTGGGAGCGAGGTACCATGAGCATCTTCTTCTTTTTTTTGCCGCTGTTTGGCAAACAAAGCGCCAAATCGCGATGGACTTGATGCAAGAGGCGAGCCAACTTTTGAAAGACTTGTGCCCGTCATCCCAAGTCCACTAAGATCGCGGTGGCTTGAGCTAAACTCATGGTCGGTGCGTGACAAACGGCGTAGCCGCTCCTGCGGAGTCAGAACATCATCGTGTAGGTTGATGGGTAAATAATCCTCTTCCATCGGGAAATTGCTGTCATCCCAGTCGTCTAATGCTGTTGGCCGAGGAACACTTGCGGAGAGTATGCGAGGCTTCATGGACCTCTGGGAATGTAGAAACCGTGGGCCCATACCGTCTTCGAGAACCCCAGGGGGAGAGGATCCGATGAACGACGAAGGCTTCCTGACATCTGGTCCATGGGTAGGGTCTCGGATATTCCGGAGGGCATCTGACGGGGCACCGATCCTCTGGACAGGTGATGAAAAGTCCAATCCAAATTTCGAGGGCATGGAAGCGGCTACAGGACCATAACGAGCGGCGTGGGAGATTCCCTGGCTATCGAAAGACGCAGGAAGAGGTGCATCAAGGGCAGTTAAGTGACGGTGGTTCGGAGACATGGGAAATCGCATGTCGTCTACCGGTGACCCATACCTAGAACCAGTGTCGGAAGCCAGGCCCGTGTCGATCGTGGGGATAGCATCGTATGCTGGTTGCTGCTGCTGCGGTTGCTGGGAATGTAATGCGGTAAAATCCTCTTGCTGTGGCATCTGGGAAACATAGCGGGGATCATGGCCATTCATTCGTTGTTGTGAGAGTACTGAATTGGTTAGAGCCGAATCCTGATTGACATATGCCTGCGGGTTGACCCGGCCACCTAGATTGAGGTGGCTTCCACCCATCCCCATGCCTGCAGTCGGTCGATTGACTCGTCGCCCATCGGGAAGAATATGCGCCAGCGCACATTTAGCACCGAATTTGCAATTTCCCTAAAGTGACGAAAACTTTAGCAAGTGTGGACCCTGGGAAGGAGGCCAGATGCCCCCGAGACTGGATTCCTTCACACGAGTTCCGGCAGTCCTTACCTTGGTAAAGTATTTACACGGCGCATAATCGATAGCAGCATCGGTGGAATGGAGGAATGGGCAGGCAGGTCCGGCCTGACAAGCTCCCTGGCGGAAGAACTTGCAAGGGACATGCTTGGTGTCTATTGCAGGTCAGAAACAGAACACTAGCACGCAGCCTATCTATGTATCACTCCACCCGATGCAAACATCCGGTGGATCTGTCGACTTGTAGCCTCAAATCCCTGGTATAGAGAACTGGCTAATGCCATGAGATGGAGTCTTACTGCTTTGGTTGGGAGGACTGCGAGCAGTCATGTCGAGCCCCGAAGGATTGCGGGAATGGCCGTTTTGAAGAGGTTGGGCCCCGGAAGGGACGGGGAGAGGAGCTCGACTTTTCATATCACTCGAGAGCCGAGTGAGAGCCGGAGAGGGAATGGTAGCTGGAAGGTGGTGAGGAGGAGGATGGTTGCGAGAGGCCGGCAGCTGCATGGCCAGGAAGAAAAGAGAGGAAGAGCGAGAGGAGAGAATATCTGGAGGGGTTTATCAGACTCCACTGGGTGGGGAAATCGCCAAAGGGGGTGGGCGGTGAGAGGGGGGCAAGAGAGACAGAAATTGATATTTTATCGTTCTTTTTTTTGTTCCTCGTCGTCGTGGTATCAAGAGGAAAGCGATGAGACATTGAGCGGCTCTAAATCGTCAGACAAATGGGAGGAGCGAATGATGCCACCGTCTGCCAAGTGTCAAGGAAATATATATATGCGGACCGTACTAGTGTCCAGCAGGTACATTACACTTATTCCAAGTCATACTTAGGGAGTAAATCATGAACAAGAAAACAACTACGTACGATCCATATCTTTTGGTTGCTGTATGACAGTATGAGGTGATAATAAACGCAGCCCTGTATTCTAGTGTACATCTTTTGTCAACTAGCAACAATCTGCGAACTCCTACACGTAATTGGATTGCGTCAAGACATCTCAGCCACGAATAATGGATATCATTTGAGTAGATGCTGGATCTGCCAGCGGTGTTATCGTCTTCCCCTGATGGCAAGGTCACGAGCCGTCTAAGAGATGGTTTATGATCAGTTCCGCTGACTGACTTGCTTTCCCTTTACTCGTCTGAAGATTCAGCCCCCTGTGTCACACTCAATTATTAGTCCCCGGCTTTAACTTTCTTTCCCATACCCTTAAATCGCCCGTTGAGAGGGAGAGACTGCCGGTCGCTTCTATCCTCCACAAATTAATTCCGTATAGAAGAATGGGGGCATCAATAATATGGCTTCATACTAAACGGTTCCCTTTGGAATAATGCCGACGAAGACGACAACAATAACAACGAGGAAAGATCAGAGAAAAAGGAAGAAGGGAAACAAGTTAGTCAAGAGGGTCTCCTTCTAGCCCTAAGGATTCCTGTTTGCTATTGTTAGAGCAGCCTAATACCCTGAGAACAATGAGCTATGCGCACCCAGAGCTCCGTTCGACTCATATTTCCCGGCATAACCTCCGAACACTTCTGCCATAAGTCACGACAAATCCGGCTGCGCAGGCTGACATGTCTCCGCCAGCTTTTCCAGTCTTGATGGATGTCAGATTTTTCCTCCTTAGATATGTGGCGAAAACCTCTTTCTACATTCTGCGACAGACGTGCGAGGATGGTTTCTCGTTCTTGGGCAAGGTGGTTGATGTCATCATGGAGCTCGGAGAGTAAAGGTTTCGCGCAAAAAACTACCGATTCTGTCTGCACTTTTTTTTGGTCTCCCTTAAGACGGGTGAGTTGCTGAAGTAGCAACTCCATCTCCTTATCCACGGCAGCCACTGCCTCTGGTATGGCTTCATCAGGAACCTCTTGTAGAGCATGGTAAACAGTTTGTTTCCCTAGCTCACAGAATTTAGGTCATAATTTATCTATCTCATTTGCCTAAAGACACCGTATAAGAGATATGTACTGACCAGATGTCTTTCCAGCAACTTTTTTGTTGTGGCACAGTTCCTTGAGAGCCTTGGCTGTGTAGGCTGGTAGAAGTGTGTTAGCCTTTATCAGAGGCAGACAGACAAAGTTAGAGCAATACGGGGCCTCTCACTTTTGGTAACCTTGTTATGTAGATTCGCAGAGATATCGATAGCCTGCTCGAAATCAGCCTGGACGGAAAGACAAGTACTTGCACAATATAGAGAACTTGTCGTCGTCGAGGGAACAGACCGAATATGGGCGACTGTCCAGTTAGAGACTTAGTTAATTGGACTGGGGGGTAAATTGATCACACGGAGAAGTGAATACAATGGTTGATGCATACTTCTGCTTTCCTGGAACGGTTAAAAGTAGCAGGTTAGCTTGCCCCCTTATAACCTTCCGAAGATGCTGAGTTCAATAGAGTACTCACGGAGATAATCCAATATCAACGTACTTCCGTCCAGGACTCCTGGCCAAGATTAGATAGAGGCTTTAAATAGCTCAGCTCTTGACAGCTATAAGCTCACCATCACCGCTAGTACTTTTTTCGGTGCCCTTTTTAAGAGACATGATGATTAGCTGAAACAGAAATATCACTAATCACTACAGGCAGAAAGCGAGCTGAAAGATAGCCGAAGTAGTTGCTGTTTAGATTTAAGATATGTTCTAGTTCCAACCAACCATCCCTGCTCCCCCGACTGTCTCACGTGGAGCAAATCGGAGGAAAAGGTCTGTGCTTCTTTCTTCTTTGATTTGGGAGCATCGGATAGTCAATGACCCCGTCATCCAGCTAATTTCCTTTAAGAACAGTGAATAACCAGAGCACCCTGACCAGAAGCCAAGCATGAAAAATTGAAAAAGTTAACGAGTAAAATGACTGTAAACCAATAATAGTAGTATCTTAACAAGAGGGGAAGTCGGACAAATGTAAAGGGAAAGGCGGGAGAAGTTAAAAAAGAGTATGTTGGATAAAGGAACCATCATTGCCACAACCCCTCCACAGATAGATCACTAGAAGTTGATCATTAGCTAGTAATGCCTTCCACCAACTAGACCTGGAGTGATCACATATGAAACAGCAAATTTATGTGCCAGGGGGCCAATTAACCCAAGAGTATCACATGACAATCTAAAGAAGAGTTAGCATGTTATCCTCATATATATAAGACAAAAAAAGGCATACACAATCACTGTCTTTTTGGGCAGTCGGGACTCCCATCTCCTCGAAAGTCTTAGGACCTTTGCCTGGTAAGCCACCCTGGGGTTTCGATGGCTGTGGTGCGGGCTTTTGGCTCGTCGAGCTCGATGAGGATGCTGGGGGTTTCGGAGTCGAAGGTGCACTGGGTGCCTGCATGGATTCTGTACGCGGTGGAAAGTTTGCCGAAGGAGAGGACGCAGTTGGTCGTGGCGAGTTTACTGGACCACCTTGAGGGGGAGAGACGGGAGTTTTCACAGGTCTCCGATCCGGCACATTGTCGAGACGCTGAGGGCGCCTGCGGGGATCAGCACTGGGTGATTCAAGCGGTGCCGAGTATCCAATATCCAGCTTAGGGGCGGCCGACACAGGACTTGCAGGCCCAGCGCTGGACGTCCCAGGAGCGGGAGAGCGGTAGCCCATGGGCCCTGGTCCATATGATGCGGCACGGTTGTAATTGGGCGCATTGGGGTGAATGTTAGGGTTAATGCCAAAGGCAGAACTCGGCCGTGGATCTGGCATTGAATAGCCAGGCGGATATACAGGCCTGGCACGAGATGGCGGTCGGTCGGGGTATGGAGCAGTAGGTGGCGGATTATTATCCGCAAGGCTCATTCTAGAAGGATCAGGCATCTCGATGTTTTCGGGGGCTGCTTTTATTGAATCGCCTCGCTGGTGGGACCCGTAGCGGGACTTGATTCTAGCGATTGCAACTTGTTCGTGGTCTTTCCGTGATAGTGTTTTGGAGCGTGAGATACTGTCGATTCGACTGGTTGCATCTTTGTTGCCATTTGCTGCAGCTTTAGCGTACCAGGTTCTTGCTTCTTTGATGTCTACTTGAACGCAAATTCCGACCTCGTAAAAATAGCCCAAGGCAAACTCGGCAGTTGGGAAACCACTTTGGGCCGCACGCTGAGCATATTTAAAAGCCAACTCGTCGTTTTTCTCGAAGACTCCTTCGTGTCCACAAAGGAACCATTTACTGATAGCCATTTCAGCTTCTGGTTCCCCTTGGCGGGCAGCTAGCGCATTATAATGTAAGGACAATGCTGGGTTGAAATCGCAGCCAAGCTGACAAAGTTCATAGGCGGCGCCCATCTTAACTTGCGCCTTAGCAAATCCATGATACGCAGCTTTCTCGATATTGACACGAGCAGCATTTAGGTCAAGAGGTAAATAATTCTCTGGGACGTTCACTTGAGGCAATTCTCGCGCTAAGAGCATGCCGTAGACCTGAATAACTTGTTAGACCCCGGAGTAAACGAGGTTATATGGAAACCATCACGCACATAGGCACCCTGAGGTGCATTCTCATCACAGGATTGAGCAGCAAGATTAATGTAGTCAAGCCCGGTTTGGTAATCCTGGCGCTGTCCATGCTGTCCAAGAAGAATCATCATTCCTAGGCGCTGTCATGTTGGATCAGCACACATATTGCTTCAAATGAATGCAAGGAACGTACATAGAAGGATGCAGAGTCTGCAAGGGCGACGCCCTTCTCATAGTGTCGGATGGCTTTTTCCGGCTCCCCTGAACTTTCAAATTGCATCCCAATACGGTATTCGGCTCTAGCGTACCCTTTTTCTGCTGCTCTTGAGTAGGCTCGGAATGCCTCCTTCTTATCTATGCGATATCCAAACTTGCCAAATTCTAGCCACATGCCCTTAATAAATTCGGCTTTGGGGTGATACTGTTCTGCCAGAAAGTTCACAATATTCATCGCATCGACTTTTAGCTGCCGCTCCACTTGGGGTGTTTGTGGCCGCGGGGGTTGAATCAAAGATAGACGAGCTTCATTCTGTGTGGCGGCCTCGACATAGGCTAGGGCATCTTGAGCCCATGCCAATTGCATTTCTGGATCGTTTGAAGACAGCACCGGCATTCTGGCCTTCTCCAAACTAGCTTCTTTCTGCTCATCGGTAGGAGGCACGTTTGGTGGAGGGTTGCGAAGGACTGGAAACGGCGAGAAGTTTGGCGAATCCGTCGTGTCGTAGACAGCAGACTGTTCGTAATGAGCAGCTTCGTGACCAGAATGAAGGGGCTGTCCTTGAACGACAGCGGTAGAAGAAGTTCGCTCAGGGAAACGTGAACGATCATATTGAATGGGAGCATGGTGACTGCGGTGAGGGTTTCGGGCCTCATGTTCAAGGTGGGCAATATTGTCCTGCATATTTTCTGGAACTTCAGGCATGACCCTGGAGAAAGGTAAGTTTGGATTAGCAACACATCCACCACAGCAGTTATATTAGTGCAAGCCTTTCTATTTTTTTATATCACGTCGTTCCACAACTAAGGATCTGGTGGTCGCACCTTTGAGGAGAGGGGGATATGACTTCTGGCATGTAAAAATCATCTTGGCCCCCTGGATACCATGTTGCACCCAGCCGTGGCTGACCGCGACCTTGTGGTGGCCTGTTCATCGTTGGGCGCGTTTTCAGCCGTTTCTAGACTTGGTTTTTTCCCCTTTGGTTATCGGTATTTTTGTTTTATCTCCTCTATTTTTTATATAAAAAAAAAAAAAAAAAAAAAAAAAACCGAAACTCCCAGTCGATTAATTTGGGGGTTCGTGGTATACCTATTCGGTTTTAACAGCTCATTGATAGAACAATTAGAGGGGTGGTTAGTTAAAAAAAAGGCGACTAGCGGGGAAATTGGTTGGCTAGAACAAGGGAAAAGGTACTAGCAACACTTTAGTAGACTTGAGGGCCTCACACATCCAACGAAAAAAGGAATGCCTCTCATCCACCCTAAACACGAGGACAAGAAACTAGGCCCAATAGTTTGTTGGGGCTGTCAAATAGGGCCAAGGGAAAGGATGGAGATTGAGTAAAGCACGGTGTAGATACAGTAAAGTAGGTACTCTATGTTTGTACACGGTGCTTGGTAGGTGAGAGATGGTGAAGTTTAGTAACTAATTAATTAATTTATTTGTTTATGATGATTAATCCCCTCCTTTATTAACTATCAAATTTACCCGAGCGGTTTCCAAAATAAAAAAAAAAAATTAAAAAAATAAACAAAATAAGGATTTATTTGTCTTGTGCTTCATAATCCATTAAAAGCAAGAATATACTTTGTACAGAGCACAATAAGTTAATCTGATAAATAGTAACTTCCTCGTATATGGATCACAGTCCAAGGAAAAAGAGAACAAGTTAACAATGCAGCTGTACCCTCTAGTCTGTATAGCGCAGTGAACTTATTTTTAAAAAACAAAAAGAAAAGGAAAGAGACAAACCCACAGGTACAAAATATCCAAGGAAGAACCAAAGACCGTTAGTTGCTATCAGTTTGAGTAAGATAAATATAGCATAATGCATCGGATTGAAACAGATGTTTAGGGATCCTCTTACTAAGGAGGTTGAAATTGTACATGTATTATTTCATACCCTCCTGTAGGATGCCTGCAAAGTAACTAACATATTCTTACTTTAGGTAAGTATACTAGTATGTGCGTAAAGGCTCTCTCTTCGTATTTGTTACCTATCTTTTATTAGTTTACTAATTAATTATTATTGCCTAGTTCTTACTCCAAGTTCTCTAGGCATTTCGTGATGGTTATGTTGAGTACGTTAGTAACTACCTATTGGACTAGTTAGTTAATACTCCGTAGGCTTACTATTACTTCATATTGACTTGTTTTGCTGCGCCTTCGGCTCTTGGTTGCAGAGCCTTCTCCTTTTGCTTACTCCACACCTAGTATAGTACCTATAGTCCAAAGATAATAGAGACACTACAGGATGGATGATGCCTACATTGTATGTAGCATCGTAAGATTTAAAAATAATTTCGGCCAAGAGCTTTTGCTGTTGCTATTTTAAAGCCTTCTTCGGTCTGGTACAGTTGTTGTACAGGAGAAGAACGTGGGCATTGTCAATTTGCCCCCTCTGTACGGAGAATAGGTGAGGAAGATGGGGGCCTGAAAAAGGCTAATTTGATGCCTGAGGATTGGACGAGTGAAAAGATAGCTTGTGGGACTTATCTGTCGAACACCACGAAGTGTACTCTGTACATCGTGAAGATACAGACTTTTTTTTTCACGCCAGTGTCAGTTCACTTTGCAAGATTTGAGCAGCTACTCAGGATTAATGAAATTATAGTATTCATTTTTGCCTAGTTAGATCCAAAATCCATACAAGAACCTAGACCTGGAAGAAGAACCATGGATCTCCGGCCTGAAGATTTCAACCACCCTTATTCTCCGTATGACATCCAACTGGAGTTTATGCGCGCCCTTTACAACTGTCTCGAGGAGCGAAAAGTTGCTATTTTTGAATCCCCTACTGGTGAGGCCGTCCTTCCGTCTTAGCCTTGCCGTCTTCTAACGTACTGGACGGCAGGCACTGTGAGTGATATGATTAAGCTTGTTGTCAACTGCGCCTTCTCGAAATCTATTAGTTTACAGTATACTAAAATATCCAAAAATTACCATTTCGCCACTACACCTTCTTTGCCCGGCTGCTGACCTTTTTCTTTTCTTTTCTTTTCTTTTTTTTTTTTTAACACATTCTATAGGGGAAATCGTTGAGCTTAATATGTGGCTCCTTAACCTGGCTACGCGATCATAAGCGCAACACCTTCCAGGGAATTGTGGACAAAACAACGCGTTAGACTAGAATTGTAATTTTACCAATCGGGTAGAAGCTAATGTCCTGCTATATAGGCGACGAGGGCGAACCAGAATGGATGTTGGAATTTGCAAAGCGCGAATCAAGCCGTGCCATCACAGATAAAAAGAAAGAACTTGAAGAGCGGCTAGCAAACATAAGACAAGAAGAGGAGAAATTGAGAGCTGCTCGTGAAAACCTTGAAAGCCACCGGAAGAGACAGGTATGACCTGTACTAAAACTATAAGATGGACAACCGCAATGCTGAAATTCTCGAAATAGAAAACTAGCACATCATCTACTGATTTGGATGTACAAAACGAGGATTATTTTGCGCTAGATGACTATGATAGCGAAAATGAGGACCGAATGATTTCAAAACAACAACCAGAGCACCCTACTGGTCTATCCGCCAGCACCCTGGAATTGCTGGAGCATTTTCAAGGGAAAATCCCGTCCCGGACCCAGGGAGAGGATGACGGAGATGATTGTGTTAAGATATTTTATTGCTCAAGGACACATTCCCAACTAACCCAATTTGTGAGCGAACTACGGCGCATTGTTCTGCCATCAAGCATACCAAAAGAGCTGGAGCTAGGCTTCGTAGAAGAAGAACTTGAGGAGCGAGTTAAGCATCTGCCTCTTGGCTCTCGCAAGAATTTGTGCATAAACCCACGTGTGGCTAGTTTGGAAAACCAAACATCGATAAATGAACGCTGCCTGGATCTACAACAACCAGGTGTCGCAGCAGAACGCAAATGCCCTTTTTTTGCCGTCAAAGAAGGAAGAAGTACCGCTGTTCCGGTTTCGGGATCATGCACTCGCAACAGTCAGAGACATTGAGGATCTGGGGAAACTTGGTAAGAAGATTGGTATATGTCCTTACTATGCATCCCGATCTGTGATAAAGCACACTGAGGTACAGAGTTCGTTGGCTTATTTTCGATTCTATTGCTAATAGATCACAGATCGTGACACTTCCATATCCTTTGCTCCTTCAGCGATCAGCCAGAGAAGCCCTCAATATTTCTGTCAAGGACCATATTGTTATTATCGACGAAGCCCATAACTTGATGGATGCCATATCCAATATTCACTCAGTAACAATCACACTTTCACAGCTGCAAACATCTATTATACAATTGACAACGTACGCGCGGAAGTTTAAGGCTCGCTTGAAAGGGAAGAACCGGAGCTATATTGCACAGACTATTAGACTTGTGGGTTCAATTGCTGATCATTTACGATCTATCCTAGTGGACACATCGTCCTTGGAAGGCTGTGTCCAACCTTCCGATCTCATGACGGGAAAAGGCGTTGACCAGATCAACCCTTATAAACTATGCCGGTACTTACAGGAAAGCAAGTTGGCGAGAAAAGTCGACGGATACGCCGAGTTTTCTGCAGGAAAAGCAAATGACCAGGCGTGGACGAAATCTACAACGCCAGTCCTCTTCCATGTACAGAGCTTTCTCTTACCATTGATGAACCTCTCAGCCGAAGGAAGACTATTTTATTTTAAAAGGCAGGACGATGTCCAGTTGAAATACATGCTTCTTGACCCAACCAATCATTTCCGTGAGATTGTCGAAGATGCAAGAGCGGTCGTACTTGCTGGCGGAACCATGTCTCCAGTAATAACAATGAAATCTGTTTCTCTTGTCGGGATACCACAACTGACACGGATTTACAGATGACCGATTATATAGACCACTTATTCTCCTATGTTCCGACTGAACGGCTGAATACTTTTAGCTATGGCCATATTATCCCGCCGGAGAACTTAGTCGTACATACGTTAGGAAATGGCGTCCTTGGTTCTGACTTCGACTTCACCTATGAAAGCCGGAACGTCGAGAAGTTGGTAGGTATTATTTTGGGTCATGCAGCCTTCCAAGCCATCTAATTGCTCTTCCAGATTATCGATCTAGGGCGGACAGTAGCAGCACTCTGTCAGGTCATCCCCGATGGTGTCGTTGCCTTTTTTCCAAGTTTTGATTATTTACATCGAGTATTGAGCATATGGCAGAAACCCGTCTTAGGCGAGAACTTCAATACTATCTACGATCTGATTGAGCGCAAGAAGGCTATTGTGCATGAGTCACGCGATATGACAATCACTATTGAGGAGCTTCTTCTGGATTATGCTAAAACGATAGAATCGGGCCGTGGGGCTCTACTGCTATCAGTAGTTGGTGGGAAGCTGTCGGAAGGCATCAATTTTTCAGACAGACTAGGACGAGGAGTGTTGATTATTGGGCTACCCTTTCCGAATATGCACAGTGCCGTATGGCAAGCCAAAATCCAGTACATTGAGCAGAAAGCCTCCATGCAAACCTCTGGCACGGACTCGAAGTCGGCCGCAAAAGCTGCGGGAAGGGAGTTTTACGAAAACTCCTGTATGCGAGCAGTTAACCAGTGCATTGGGCGAGCCATCAGACATCAGAATGACTACGCCGCCATTGTACTCATTGACAAACGGTATCATAAACCAAATATACAGGCGAAATTGCCCGTGTGGATTAAGCAGAGCATGGCAAACATTTCTGCGCAGGAGCCTCCTGGTGTGAGAGTAGGGAGCATTTCCAAGTTTTTCATGCAGCGAAAAATAAATAGACAATAAAAAGGCAGAGTGAATAAAGGAGAAACGATTATCGTCCCCTGGCACGTTGTCGCTACTTAACTACATATACTCCGTAGATAATTCAGATGGCGCATTGTCACGTGCCTGGTTGTCATGGGATGCCAAGACCTCAGAGGGTTTGACCCTAGTCTAGGGCAAGCGAAGAGTTAGCACACACCCTAGCCGCCCGGCGCCTTGATTTCAACATCTGAGCCCGCAGCACCTACGACGGCATCCCTTCATCGCCAAATATTCTTGTCGAGCTCAGCACCGTCGACAAGATGCCTACCCGTTTCTCTAAGACAAGGAAACAGTGAGTTGACTACAGGCCTCCCTCCAGCGTCTCGGATTTGCCAGAATGTCGTGTGGTTGTGAAATGCGACAAGCCGATGAGAATTCTCCTCGAACGACTCTTCATCGAACACTCCCAAACAAACAAAACTAACTAGTATTTTTCTTTCGCAGCCGTGGCCATGTGTCCGCCGGTTACGGTCGCATTGGCAAGCACCGTAAGCACCCCGGTGGTCGTGGTATGGCTGGTGGCCAGCACCACCACCGTACCAATCTCGACAAGTATCACCCTGGTTACTTCGGTAAGGTCGGTATGAGATACTTCCACAAGACCAACCAGCAATTCTGGAAGCCTACGATCAACCTCGATAAGGTACGTTGGAACGTTTGATTAGTTCGGACAAGGAACGCTGGAAGGGACGATATATATATATATATATATATTGTGGAATACTAGGCGGCTGTTGAATTGGACTGCGGTAATGAAAAAGAGATCGGGGATACGTTCGGACTGATTTGGCCCTGGGCTTTGTGGAAATTTCTTTTGCTAATCAGTATACTTGGTATAGCTGTGGTCCCTTGTTCCCACCGAGAAGCGTGATGCCTACCTTAGCGGACAGAAGACCGACACTGCCCCCGTCATCGACCTTCTTCCACTTGGATACTCCAAAGTTTTGGGCAAGGGTCGTATCCCTGAGATTCCTATCGTTGTCCGTGCCAGATACTTCAGCCGGGATGCTGAGAAGAAGATCAAGGAGGCAGGTGGTGTTGTTGAGCTTGTTGCTTAGGTCGAACCATGTGGAAGGATGAAGAACCTGGGCGGTGCTGCGCTGATTATGATCGGTGTAATAAAGGGTTAATCTTATCGAAAGGGATTTGAGGACTCGGATGGGAGCCGCGGATCGGACGCATTGATCCGTGTATTTACAAAATAAAAGGTCTTTGTTTGTAACGAGCACATGATGGCCTCCGGACGCCCTTACGATCTCACAGTATTAAACAAAAAATACCATTCAAGAGTTTTGACTTTTTCTCATGTCAGGGGTTATGCGTTGGTGTGGTAAATAAGGATCGACGTTCAGTATTGCCACATAGGCATCTATTGGCATTATGACCTCAGTGGAGGTGCGTGTTGGGTCAATCGATGCAACTTCGAATACAACGTCGTGATCGTTATGTAGATCTGGATAGTCGATGCCCGGTCGTACCTTCACGCACATCCTTCAACACTATCGGAAATAGGAGCACGGTTGAAAGGAATAGAATTTAATATACCAAAATAGACTGTAGCTTGTATTTCATATATCCACAACGTTCGAGAATATCAAGCTTATATCTTTGATTCACGAACGGAGCCTGACGTTTTCGCGTTGTTCTTAGAAGCGGCAAGGGTCTCATTGATAAACCGCACTGCTTCGCGAACCATCTTAGGAGTTACTTCATGCGCAGCACTCTCATCAATAATGTCCTCAAATGCCACTCCGCCATCAGCGAACCAGCCAGTGGGCCCTATGGCACGTTTCAGCCAAGTGAGAAAAGCCTCTCCTCGGTGATAAGGTACCAGTTTATCAAGCCCCCCGGACAGATTGAGAATCCTTTTGCCTGCCAGACATCGTGTGAAATGCGGCCGTAAAGCTTGCTTCTCTTGCTCATTTGGCTCCCCCAGAAGTCCATCGCGCAGATAGCCAATATCCGAACCTGTACTCAAACAGCTGAGGAACAAGCCTGCGGGGTCATATTTGTTTATCGCTTCAAGAAGCGTAGAAGGGAATGCTTCGGAACTTAAGAACTGGGAGCCCGGGGGATCGCTGTTTGTCCATGATGGGAGTTTAGATAATCTTGCACGATCCGCCATGAGGCTCACATAGTCAGGACAGCCGATGATAACGACGCCGGCACTCACGCGAGGCTCATGTAGAATGCAACTCCACGCTGCATGACCGCCTAGGGAAACACCAAGGACGAGATTATCCAAGATTCGTCGTTCAGCATTGGGAAATACGAAAGATGGGAGATAGTCGATCAGAAGTGATACATCTCGGGCAGTGCCCTCTGGGTTTGATATCAGGCCAATCCCGATAGTTGGGGGACGCTGTCGGCGAGGAACACTTACGGAATATGGAGAACATGTCCTGCGCATGTCGAGGATTTCCTTGCCTCCAGGCTTCATTTCCAAGGGGATTGACTAGTCTCGAACCATGATTTCTTTGGTCAAACGCGACGGCAATCAAGCCCTTGATAGGCTCCTGTGAACCAGGATTAGTTTGGATCTTTTGGTTCCAGCCATTGATGATAGCTGCAGCGATCCCGGCCATTCGCTCCTGCGTCGCCAGTCTAGGGTGCAGCAGCCAGAGACAGGCGATATCAGTAGCTTGAGGGGGAATTTCATCGAGGCCAAAAACTGTCGTAAGGATCCCAGCGATGGGATACGACTTTCGCGAGACGGGCTGCAGGTTGGAAGTTGCGCCATCCGGCGTGGTATCCAACGTATTCAATGGGTCTGCCATCTTTGTGTCTTTTGCCTTTGGCTATAGATAACTGTCCGGGTAAGATGATACAATGCTGGCAAATACAGCAATGTCGGACACAGACGCTGGGCACTTGTACCGCTACCAATCTCGACGTTGGTTTGTAGCCCCCAGTGCCCGAAAACAGCCGAGACGTAACTGCTATACGCCCCAACGAACACCATCCAACAACCTAGCCGGGAGGAAAGTTCTCTACGTAGGTGCTACAGCTGTTTTTTTCATGATCTATGATATTACAGATCTAGCATAACGCCAGTACCTTGGCAGGTACCTTATTTGTACAGGTGCCTGGTATTGTATGGATTCTACTGTAATTTTACGGATTCCACCCCTGAGATACCTACCTAGTACTACATATGTATCAAGCAATCGTTATCCAAAACATAGTAAAGTTGTTTATGAGCTATACTGGACCTACGTCGTTAGTCCATCATTCCATAGCATTCATTGACGACCAGAATTTGTTGTGTTTTCCCGGTAAGGGATCAACTAGCTGCCCCTTTATGAGGCCACGGTAAAGCGGGCCTTCCGTCTCCAGTCGACCTGCCGTTAGTTATATACATTATATTATGTCAAAAGGTACTTAGACTCCGTGGCTAGAAGCAGCTAACGCAACCACTCCTTTAGACGGAAGCCGTCTCGTCTCAGCTTGACGCCCCCTCCCCTGAACCAGTCGGCGATTTATTTATTTAAAATTTTTTCTTTTCCGTTGCTCGTATTTTCTCAACTCTTCCTCCCTTTTCTGTCTTGTTTAGCGGGGGTACTGCGTTGAAAATGAATGCGCAGTGAGCGTCTGGACGGGTTTCATAGGATCTGCTTGATCCGCTTGTATGGCTATCCTCGACCGGCCCATGTCCTTAGTTAATCTTCTCTCTTGCGGATAGTGATGAACATGACCGAATCTACGGCCTATCCCTCAGAGATGGACGAAAGCAAGCTGTCTTCACCCATCCCTTCCCCAACTGGAACCCAAGACGGCCTTTCGGCAGACAACGCACACGTTGCCAATGAACGAGACCAAGCGAACTATATGCACCCGGAAGAGCAAGGGTATAATTGCACCTTGGAAATAAATGGGAAATCCCGTGCAGAAAATACCAATGCACCCGAGGAGGTGCCATTCAGGCCTTCGAAGGATTCACCTACATCGGTGAGCCCTCGACGACCAAATATTCTGGCAAACAGTGCGCAAAGGTCCTTCAGCCAAAGCCACCGGCAGCCTCACACCGGAGCGCCTGCCTCTCCCCGCCATCCAAGTGTACAGTTTACCCGAGAGCCTTCCGAGAATGATCACTTCCCGGAATCAAATAATCAATCTAGACCCTCGTCTGCTATGGGTGATGACGTGGATTCAGGATTGAAGGGAAAACAATCTATCTTTACTAAATTAAAAGCCTTTGCAGCCTCACCATCATTTAACTCGCATTCGCGGTCAGCGAGTGGCGCAACAATCGGAGACCAAAGGCAGATTAATCATGACTTTGCCACTCCCGGTTCTGAAAGGGGGGAGTTTCGTTTTCCAAACACTCTAGAAGAGGAGGGGAGCGATGTCGATGCCGATGCTGAGGAAAGTGCCGGAGAACAACATGTCCGCCAGCGCAAAAAGAAGAAACAGATACGACGACCGCAGGGAGACGAGTCTGCTCCACAAACAGAGCCGAACACACCAAAAGCCACGAGCCGACCGTCATTCAATCTAACTGCCCCGTTTGCACCTTTCGAAAATTATCGTCCGAACTTCTTCCCTCGGCGAAACACCGGGGACTACAGCCAACACCGCGACGGGGTATCGGAGGATGAGGGTCGGGATCGGCTCAATAGGGATACAGCCTGGAGACGGAGAAGTGCTTGGCTGGCGAACAGCCGTGGAGTAACCAATAGCGGGCGACAATTGGATTCGCAAACGAACCCAGATGAGAGACGGCCCAGTAACCTTAGGCGCTTAACTGGGTTCGGGCCGTCGGAGAATGCAGAAGGACCCTCTGCGCCCTGGAGGCGACATCGAGCAGAGCGTGGTTCAAGCCTTAGCGCCCAAAGATGGCGACAGATAAAGGCCGGGCTGAAGCTAATCGGACGGCGCAGGGTTGACAGCACTGTAGACCATGCCAAGTCAGCCGAGCTGCTTGCTGAGCTGACTTCAGGGGTACCTGCAGCTTTGATTTTAGCCAGCATGTTTCAACGTGATGAACATGGGAGCAAACGAATCCCAATCCTTCTTGAACAGCTCAAGGTTCGAGTTACGGACAGCAAAATTGACTCTCATTCTGGAGATCGCCACCTCGTATTCAGAATTGAGCTTGAATATGGTAGTGGTATGACACGGATGAAGTGGATAATTCACCGAACATTGAAAGATTTCGCAAACATCCACCTCAAATACAAGCTTCATTTTGGAACTCAAAAGTACATACAATTGCGGAACCCCGAAGGCGGGCAAAATCTTCCGCGTTTTCCTCGGAGTGCGTTTCCATACTTGCGAGGCGTCCGCGGCCTGGACAGTGACATGGAGGACGAAGAAGAGGAAGGTGGCTATGAGACAGCTGCAGAGGCAACGAGTGGCAACGAGAGAACCGGCAAGAAGCAACAGCAATCTCGTCGGCGATCGTCGGGTGGTATATCTCGACGACAGTCTACTGTGACGAATACAGAAGGAGAAGGAGCTGCAGGTACGGCAGAAGCCGGCCCGGCTACTAAGCGAGAGAGTTATCCAGAGAGACAGAGGAAAAAGCTGGAGTCCTACCTTCAAAAGTTGATCCGTTTCCTGATCTTTAAGCCTGATAGCAACCGCTTGTGTAAATTCTTGGAGCTGTCCGCACTGGGTGTTCGCCTTGCTGCCGAAGGCAGCTATCATGGCAAAGAAGGTTATTTGGTCATTCAATCATCCAAAGGCCTCGATTTCCGGAGGGCATTGACTCCGGCTATGGTAAAGAAGCGCCATTCACCAAAATGGTTCCTTGTCAGACACAGCTATGTCGTGTGCGTCGACTCCCCCGAAGAGATGAACATATACGATGTATTTTTGGTGGATCCCTTTTTCAAACTCCAAACCCAAAAGATCAGTTTACGGAATCAGAAGGCTAAAGAGCTTGCAAAGTCGGCGAAGGAGTCAGCTAGGCATCCACAACATCACACGTTGAAACTCGAAAACTCGGAGCGAAAACTGAAGCTCTTGGCCAGGAATGAACGCCAGCTTCATCAATTTGAAGATTCTATCCGGTTTATGGTCGAAAACACCCCTTGGGTAAAACCGAATCGATTCGACAGCTTTGCCCCGGTGCGTCAAAACTGTTTCGCCCAATGGCTGGTTGATGCTCGTGACCATATGTGGGTAGTTTCGCGCGCGATTAACCAGGCAAAAGACGTTATCTATATCCATGACTGGTGGCTCAGTCCCGAGCTTTATATGCGGCGGCCAGCTGCTATCAGCCAGAAATGGCGTTTAGATCGCCTTCTTCAGCGTAAGGCTCGCGAAGGAGTTAAGATTTTTGTTATAATGTACCGAAACATTAACTCCGCCATCCCCATTGACTCAGAATACTCCAAGTTTTCCCTCCTTGACCTGCATCCAAATATCTTTGTCCAAAGATCTCCCAATCAGTTCAGGCAAAACACTTTCTTTTGGGCGCACCATGAAAAACTATGCATCATTGACCACACCCTGGCTTTCGTTGGAGGTATTGATTTATGTTTCGGCAGATGGGACACACCACAACATCTACTCACGGATGACAAGCCGACGGGGTTCGAGACACCCGATGGACCCAAGGATGCGGACCACTGCCAGCTTTGGCCCGGCAAAGACTATTCCAACCCGCGAGTCCAAGACTTTTATGACCTGGACAAACCTTACGAAGAGATGTACGATCGAAATGTCACCCCCAGAATGCCCTGGCACGATATATCAATGCACGTTGTTGGTCAGCCAGCTCGAGATCTCACTCGCCATTTTGTCCAACGCTGGAATTATATTCTGCGTCAGCGAAAGCCAACACGACCAACGCCATTTTTATTGCCACCGCCTGATTTTGACCCTGCAGACTTAGAAGCCCTTGGCCTTGATGGAACCTGTGAACTTCAAATATTGCGTTCCAGCAGCGCATGGTCGACTGGCACGTCGGACATCACAGAGCACAGTATCATGAATGCCTATGTCAAACTGATTGAAGAATCCGAGCATTTCGTATACATCGAGAATCAGTTTTTCATCAGTACATGTGAGATTGAGGGTAGAAAGATCGAGAATCTAATCGGGGACGCGCTGGTGGAACGAATTACTCGGGCCGCGAAAAATAAGGAAGCATGGCGCGCCACCATCATAATTCCCCTGATTCCCGGGTTTCAGAATACCGTGGACAGCGAGGGCGGGACAAGTGTCCGCCTTATCATGATGTGTCAGTATCGGAGTATCTGTCGAGGAGAGACCTCTATATTCGGAAGACTGCGAGCTTTGGGTATTGAACCTGAGGATTATATCCAGTTCTTTAGCCTTCGTACTTGGGGGAAGATAGGTCCACAGAAACAGCTGGTCACTGAGCAGCTTTACATCCATGCCAAGTGCATGATTGTGGATGACCGGGCCGCAATTATTGGGTCTGCAAATATCAATGAGCGGTCCATGCTAGGATCGCGGGATTCAGAGGTAGCAGCCGTAGTACGCGATACAGATATGATTTGGTCTACCATGAATGGCCGCCCATATCTCGTAGGACGGTTTCCACATACCCTGCGTATGCGTCTCATGAGGGAGCATCTGGGCATAGACGTCGATGAGTTGATGGAGCATTCAATGGCGACCGAGGAAGAGCTGCGAAGGATTGAAATCGCAGAACAAGACACCAAGCCAGCAGAAGACCAGGAAAGACCCGATTCTGAATCCCTTATGCAGGAGAAGCAAACTGAACGGGATATGATCGAACGCCGACATCGTATGCAGGATGAATTTCTCTCACGATCTGAAGACATGCACAGTTTTAATCACGATGTTGATTGGGAGCAGAGTAATAATCCGAATCTCAAATCGAACAGAAAGCTCACTGCCGATGCGAGGGTGACCGCCAATCAAGAGCACAAAAAGGATGTCGACGGCTTCGGGCTTGATCGTCTTAATACTGCGGTACAAGCTGGATTGGGAGACGCCCGCGATTCCGAACTTTTGGACGCCAGGACTGAGGTGTTACTCTCTCCCATCGCGTGTGAAGGTAAGGGCACTGTTCGGCAGCCGAAGCAATCGCCACGACAAAACACGCAACCTAGTGATAGAAAGCCCAAACAAGCATCTCCTGATAGAGCAACTAATGATGCCGAGCCGAATTTAATTGTGGAAGGACTTCCAGCTGCTCGTCATCCCGTACTAGCGTCGGGGCAAGAGACTGAGAGCAGCAACGGCAGCGCTGCCGTAACATCCAAAGATAAACACGACACGTCTAAGTACCATCTGCTAGGCCCGGACGTGAAACATATCTTCATCGACCAAAATTGCATGAGAGACCCTGTGATCGATTTGTTCTACCTAGACACCTGGTACGCCGTTGCTGATAAAAACACGAAGATTTTCCGGAGTGTTTTTCGTTGTATGCCTGATAGCGAAGTGAAATCCTGGAAAGAGTATAAAGAATATACCGCCTATGCTGACCGTTTTGCGGAGATGCAAAACCATCACAGCTCTAAAGCACCCCACTTATCATATCAACATCAAAGACTGACAGGCCCACCTGGGGCGGGTACCGTACCTGGCTTAGGTGTCAAACCAAATCTGCAGGTTGCTGGTAATAGTGCAGAGAAATCGCCGATCGACAGTCCTGAATACCAGGGAGCTGGTGCTACACAAAATCTCGGCGAGCGATCACCATCCGAGCTGGCAAAACAGGAAATGGTATCGTCTTTGGACGAGAAAGCTGCTCAGAGCGCAACAGACGTGTTATTCTCAGGAAACGGACGAAATGGGCGCCACGAAGAAAACGGTTCATCTGGAGAAGATCTCGAGAAGCAGCGCTCGGATCTCCCCCTGGTTGACTACTCAGATGCCTTGAACCGGAATGCTACGACGCAGTCGCGACGGCGAAGACGAAGAGCAACAACATTGGGTTCAAAAAGAGACTTCCATGCATCAGATGAAATGATGGATAGGCAGCGAGCAGAGGATCTCTTGGAGCAGGTCCAGGGGCATCTCATCCTGTGGCCGTATGACTGGTTTGTAATCCACTAGCACTTGGAGGGGATAATGACATCTTATATTGACCACGTTGCAGGCTCGAGAAAGAGGAACAGGGCGGGAATTGGCTCTACACGTTGGATCAGATCTCTCCACTGGAAATATAGTAAGTTCTTTGTCGTGCAAGACCTGGAGATACGTACCATCCTAACTTCAGTATAGCAATTAATGAGTTAAACGTCTATATATTACTTAATTCTTCCATATCCAGATGGATCATTTGGACTTTGGGTCCTCTGTTTTGGAGTTCTAAAAGGCGCGCCGTCATTAGCGTTCCATAGTTAGCGGCCATCCTCGCTTTAGACATGCTATCCCTTTGTTTTAGATCTCTCATTGTCACTTTGTACTGATTATCGTGGCAAGTCCACTTAGAACACCCCCATAGCGAGCGGACACTCGAGCCACGTTTCCCTCTGTTTTTGCGTAAAACATGTTTGTTTTGTTTTGTTTTTATTATGTCCGTCCAACCCAACTGAATAGCGGCGGTATTGTGGATTGTCCGTAGATACGATGCTTTGAATATTACGGAAAATATTATATTTAACGTCTAGCAGTAGGAAGTTGCTTCTTGATGTTTGTGCTGAAGATAGATACATGAGCTGCGATTACTATTGATATGACACTAACTGCCCAAGGTGGAGGTTGGAATCGAACCTCCCACAGTGGAAGTAATTCGGGCGCGGACCTTGCTCAAGCCATCAAAGTTGGCTTGAAGAGCATGGGTCAGCAGGCTACTAATTGGGCCGCCGTGGTTAGAGGTCTCGCGGTCAAGGATCGAGGCATCAATGAGATTGTATGCACACAGAAATGCACTCTGAAATTCTCGGGTGCGTGTACAAGCGCGACCTATGTCATTCATGTAATTGGCTGGATCCTGCAGGCACAACCGTGAGGCCGCCAGCACGTTTTGCCTCGCTAGAGCTGTCCTTTTGATGTTTATTAGCGCACGCTGGCCACGAAGATGGGCAGGTATGTGTTCGGGGTGGTACGCTCTGCTGGCTTCTTCTACAGTATCTGCGTTGAAAGAACCAGGTGGGTCAACGGAGATCCCGGTGGTTGTGAAATCGATTGTGCCGCCGTAAAACTTGAGAAAGGCCAAAAGTTGTTCCCCTAGACTGTTTGGCATTCGAAATCGGCCATGGTTCATCTTCAGAAATCCCACGAGGAGCATCACAAGAACATCTGACCCGATGGATAAATTATGACTGCCAAATAAGCCTCGTGATTCTAGGATAAGACGAGAAGCCACGTAAAGCGGTCGGATCGAGGGATATTCGGCATGGTAATCCCGTATGTAGTCAACAGAGGGAGGCAAGCCCTCCCCGCAACGGAATTTCAATTTCATGCTGGTGGGACCATGGATAGCTGTCAGGACCAGACTTCGTCTACTGTGCAGATGGACTCGATTTCCAAACGAGGAACATCGCCGAAGAGCATTCTCGACATCTCGCAATAGATTTTTGTAAATATCAAGAACTTGGGGCCGTGTAGCACTCGGTTTGCGAAGCCTTTCGATAGATCGCGCTGAGTCTGGCACCGGGAGGACAAATTCTAAATCCGAATGGCTCATGGCCAGTCCAGTTCGCCATGATCCGACAAGGTGAGGAGGACGAGGCACGATTCCTGCGAGCAAACGGCCAATTTCTGCGGCAACTTGATCCACATACTCTTGTTCGTGGATTTTAGGGGACATATACTTCTCAAGCGCCCGGATCTCTGCATCCAGCTGCGAGACACCATCGAGATACTTGTAGTCTGGCCCTAAGAAGTCCATCCATGGGGACTGCTCAGGCCGGTTGTTTCCCGCATCTGCAGCCCACTGTATTTGCTCCGAGGGAACTCCTTGAGAAGTACATACAGAAGTGCCCTGTCTAAGGGACCCAGCTTTCCGCCTGGCGCCCGTCGAATTAGGGGGTGAGGCGGATTGTGGTGTAGCAGCCGAGGATAGCTCTTCTGATGCCTGGCTATTTGGGGTATTCCATGTCGAGAGAATCTCAGGGCGGAAAATCCCTTTGGGGGGTGTTCTATTGATCACTTTACGAACTAAACTGGCTCGATTCGAGGACCGATGCGCTTCAAGTGTCCTTTGGAGGCTGTTTTTGAAAACAGTCGGATCGCTTAAGTAGATCTGGGTCCCATGAAGCGCTCGACGCATGACACGTGACGAAGGGAGAGTGCGACGGAGCCGAGATGATAAGAGAGATGGAGTCAAGAAGGGTGAGAGAAGAAGTAAATGAGTGGAGAGACTCAAGTGCATGGCCGCAGAGTCAGCAGCGCAATACAAGCATTGCGAGGCTCCGGTCACAGTCTGGGACATATGCCGGAGAAAGAGGGGGGATGATGAATGAGAATAAGAGGGGATGGGAGGTTTGAGTATCACAGATACTGGTTGGGGAGGGCTGTCATCACCATGATCACTGCCCTCAACAGGTAAGGTAGTTGAGTGCTTTAAGAGAGAATTTTCAAGAGAGAATGAAGTCGTTGACGAAAAGGATGCTCGACTAAATCACATGTTTTGGTGCCTGAGGCGAGATACTACTAGTCACGTGCGATATTACAGCCAGCCCTAAATAACTAAACTAAACTAACTTAACTAGTTAACTAAAGTTAACTAACGTATTTTTGATCAATTTTAAATGCGTTGTTTTAGTGGTTGAAAATGATCAGGAATTGATTTAAGGTATGCAGGGTGACCGCTCGGTGGAGTTGACCGCTCGGTGATAAAATACGTTTGCTGGTCCGATGAGGTAAGCCGGGGCCAGAAGCTTCGAATTGCATGACAAAACGAAAGATTTGATTCATCAGAGGCAGTTGTCGCAAAGCCATCTGGATCATGGCATGACGTATGCTGTCATAGAGGGAGAGAAAAAAGAAAGAACAAAAAGAAGAACAATCTGGTTTCCTTTTTTCTCCTTATATTGGGAATAATAATATTGCTAGAGATAGAGGACTTACTACGTACTAGATACTAGTATATTATAGTATATCTACCCATAGGCATCCCCTCTGTTACATCTAAACACATCTAACCATAAGATCGTATCCTGACTACTGTACTTGTTCTCCTTGCCTCCCTTTCAATCCTTTTTTCAGTCTTGTCTCCTTGACCCATTCTGGTGAATCGAGACTCTTTCGATACGGGAATGGTTCCCTAAGCATTCACCGCCTGCACATATTCGGCGCCCCTCTTGCCCTTCTCATTAAGCAGCTTTCTTTCCAACGTCCCCCAACCTTTTTCTCTCGGCACAGTGTCCTGACTTTTTGACACCTTGCAATTCACCAGTACTTCTCTTTCTTACTTGGTCCCTACAAGAAGATAGAGACATTTATTCTTCTTGTTATCTAGTCCCGGCTTCTCCCCCAAATGGAGTAATTCACCTTTCCTTTCCCAACCCGTCTTGCCAACCCACCTCTCGATCTCCTAAAATCATGAACTTCGCCCGAATTCGATCGTCAAGCATGTGAAAATAAAAAAAGAGAAAAAGAAGAAAAGTAAAAGAAACAATGCCTTTTGATTGACCTGGGTTCCTCAGAATCTCTTCGTTGATCGGTACCTGCTGTCAATTTATCCTTCGCCTTGTTCCCCTTTGTCATCTCTACCCCGTTCCGTCATAGCCTCCTCAAGCAAGGAAAACCCACGAGCATACCCTCTGAGCGGCCAGCCTCAGTTCTGGTTGGATCCGATATGGAATTCCCGGGTGCCGATACTGGATCGGACGGCTGCATATTGCCCCCTCATCCGCCTTCCCCTATCTCCGAGAGTTCGGGAGATAAACCTTCATCGGGTCCGTCCGATCCGTCTTTTCCCGCCACTCCTTCTCAAGCGGCCAAGGATGCAAAATCAGGATTTGAGCTTTTGCGTCGTTTGAGTCTGAAAGAGACACCTCTCGTGCTGGAATCGGATCCCCGAGATGAGTATCCGGGTTTACAACTTACTGGCCGACTCATCAGTGCCGCCTTTTGCATTCCCTACAAACTGAAATTTCGACCAGGCTGTGACTGGGTATGCTCTCTCTCTCTCTTTATTTCTGTTTAGCCTTCTTGGGGTTTGCCATGCCTCGGTACTCCTTGGAATTAGGATGCTGTCGTTCGATAAACTGACCCTTTGAAGGAACTAAAACCCCGTCCCGGAACTTCTGCTCTGTTTGATTCTTTCGCACACCTCGGCTCCGACGAAGCACGATGGTCCCATACACTCGTTGGCTGGACCGGCGAAGTTGAACCGGTCCAAGAGGCAACTTTGCAACACATTCCCCTAAACACCAACTCGAAATTACCAAATACCGTAAATGGTACATGTTTGCCTCCTCTTAACAAGGCGGCAGCACCAGTGCCCGTCGACACCACTGAACGACCGCCCAGTCTTCATATCCCGGAAGGGGTTTCGGTCCCCGCAGAAGACCGGGGGCGGCTTGATCGCCAACTAGCTTCAGGCCGGTATGGTAAAATCGCGCCCGTTTGGCTAGCAGCTGAATCGGAGCTGCCCGATGACACAATAGTGCTGGCGGATCAAGGCAGATGGAGACGATATGCAGAACGAGAATTGTACCCTCTGCTTCATTATAAACAACATGGGCCAACAGATGGGCGGTCGGAGCGCAAGTGGTGGGTGGATTATGTGCGAATGAACCGCCTTTTCGCGGATCGCATCGTGGAGGAATACCGAGAAGGCGACATTGTCTGGGTTCATGACTACCACCTTTTTCTCCTACCCAGTATGCTGCGACAAAGGATTCCAAACATTTACATCGGCTTCTTTTTACATGCCCCCTTTCCTAGCAGTGAGTTCATGCGTTGCCTGGCCAAGCGCAAGGAGGTTCTCACCGGCGTGTTGGGTGCAAACATGATTGGGTTTCAAACATTTTCCTATTCTCGCCATTTTTCATCCTGCTGCACTCGCGTCCTAGGATTCGATTCAAACTCTGCGGGGGTCGACGCATACGGTGCTCATGTGGCCGTGGATGTTTTCCCCATTGGAATTGATGCCAAGGCGACCCAGAAGATTGCTTTTGGGCCCACTGATATTGAGAAGGCCGTGGTGGGGACCCGCAAGCTGTACGCGGGGAAGAAGATAATTGTTGGCCGTGATCGACTGGACAGTGTTCGTGGTGTCGCCCAGAAGCTACAGGCCTTTGAATTGTTCCTGGCGCGGTATCCCGAGTGGCGCGACAAGGTTGTGCTGATTCAGGTTACTAGTCCTACCAGCGTCGACGAAGAAAAAGAGGAAAATAAAATAGCTAGCCAGATCTCCAAGCTGGTCTCTACCATCAATGGCCGTTTCGGCTCTTTGAGCTTCTCCCCCGTCAAGTACTATCCTCAGTATCTTTCCCAGCAGGAGTACTTTGCGCTGCTGCGGGTTGCGGATGTTGGGCTGATTACTACGGTCCGAGACGGTATGAACACGACCAGTCTGGAATATATCATATGCCAGCAAAACAATCACAGTCCGTTGATTCTTTCCGAATTTTCTGGAACGGCCGGAACCCTACCCAGCGCAATTCATATCAATCCTTGGGATACGGCGGGCGTTGCTGGGGCCATCAATCAAGCTTTGATGATGTCGTCTGAGCAGAAGCAGTCTCAGCACCTAAAACTATATAAACATGTCACGACGCATACTGTCTCGGCTTGGTCCAAGCAATTCATCACTCGGCTGCTGACCAACCTGTCTTCCTTTGACCAATCTGTGGCGACCCCGGCCCTCGATCGAGCCAAGCTGTTGAAGCAGTACCGTAGAGCACGGAAACGACTTTTCATGTTCGACTATGACGGCACACTCACCCCAATTGTCAAAGATCCTCAGGCCGCGATACCCTCCGACAGGGTTTTGCGAACGATCAAGTCTTTAGCTGCAGACCCTCGCAATGCGGTGTGGATCATCAGCGGACGTGATCAGGCCTTTCTTGATGAGTGGATGGGTCATATACCTGAGCTGGGTCTAAGCGCAGAGCATGGGTGTTTTATCCGGAAGCCTCGTTCAGATGACTGGGAGAATCTGGCTGAGCGATCCGACATGGGCTGGCAGAAGGAGGTCATGGAAATTTTCCAGCACTACACTGAGCGAACGCAAGGGTCCTTCATTGAGAGAAAGAGGGTGGCCCTTACGTGGCATTATCGACGTGCGGATCCCGAATACGGTGCCTTCCAGGCTCACGAGTGTCGCAAGCACCTGGAAAACACCGTAGGGAAGAAGTGGGAAGTGGAAGTCATGGCAGGGAAGGCCAATCTGGAGGTGCGACCGACGTTTGTCAACAAAGGATTTATCGCCACCCGACTCGTCCAGGAATATGGGTCGGGCCCCGGGAAGGTGCCCGAGTTCATCATGTGTTCGGGGGATGACTTTACAGATGAAGGTAACTTCCCGCTCCCATTTCCTCGAGTATAGTTACTGATATGGCGGCAGATATGTTCCAGGCCCTTGGGAAGTTTGATCTTCCGTCAGACCATGTCTATTCGGTGACTGTTGGCGCAAGTTCAAAACAAACTGCTGCCAGCTGGCACCTTCTGGAGCCTGCCGATGTTATTGAGACCATATCGATGCTGAACAGCAGCGCTAAGCAGGAATACTAACTTTCATGGTCGGCCGAGCCCATTTACTATGCCGTATTACTCTCTTACTTTCGCTTTGCCAGAATCTGTTATTGCTCATTCAAGCTGTCCCTCTATCTGCAGTACCTATTATTTTTTTGGGGTGGAGGGCAAATCCATATTCAGGCTTAGGGAGGGTGATGGGTTTCTCTTGCGGCTATACCGGCGTTCGTGACGACGGCCCTTTGTTCAGCGCTATATATTCCATGCCATCCTTGGGGCGTAGAGAGGTGCTCGAGCACTGTGGACTTGTTCGGTGGCGTCCGGATTGTATTGGACATTGACATGAAGTTTCGCTCGCCATTGGGACTCGAAGGATTGCAGTCGAATAGCGCAGGACGCGCATAATATGCCCAGGCGGGGGACTTGTTTTAGTTCTTTTGTCTGCTTTTTCTTCGAACCATGCTATAGATTGGGGCGGTGGGCACAGGAAGCTGTGGAATGGACCGCGTTAGAGAAATTTAGAGACCACATAGACGAGACGAATGGGATGGGGACTACTGTGGAGTGTTGGAGACGAGCGGCCCACACCATCTTTTAGTCTCTCTCGTCCGAATATCCGGCCCTGCTTCGGCCTTCTGTCCGAACCACGATGACTCTTTGATTCTTTGTCATCATCAATCGGGCTGTCCCCACTGGGCTTGACTTGGGGGTCTGGGGGAAAAAAATAAATAAAGGAAAAGTGCGGACGGTGTACGAGAATGAGAGACGAATTTATGAGTAATGACGACTGGAATTAGAGCGGTACTCGTCTACTTGTTTACATCCATACCATTACAACTGGGGACTGGTGACCCTCGGCTATCTCAAGGATTTTTTTTTTTTTTTCTAGAGGACGATTACGTTCATATATATACACATATGCTTGGCCGGATTGATTTCTCCTTAGTCACCAAAGATTCTCGGCTCAACCATGCCCATTGACGATATAGATAGCAGATTGTCGCATGATGGTCAACCAGAACCTGCCCCGTCCAAGACTAACGAAAAAGTCCCCAATACCTGTCTCGATGGAGACCGTCCTGATGACGAAGAATCAGGTTTTGACCAGAATCGATCGAAAGAACTTTCCAAATCCACCACCAACGGCAGTCATGCTGGGGCGTTGGCAGCTAGAACATTATCTCTCGTCCGCACCAGAGAATCTAGAAAAGATATAGGCCCTGCCCCCGACGGTGGTTTCGCAGCTTGGTCACAAGTAGGCCTAGGACATTTCGTTATTTTCAACACCTGGGGGTACATCAACAGCTTTGGAGTCTTCCAAACGTATTACACCGAAACCTTGGGACGTTCTCCGTCCGACATATCATGGGTGGGAAGTATCCAGATTTTCCTCCTGTTCTTCATCGGCACCTTTTCCGGCCGTGCGACGGATGCAGGATACTTCAAAGTTACCTTGACAGCGGGGGCTTTACTGGAGGTGTTTAGCATCTTCATGACCTCACTCTGCACTGAGTACTGGCAGTTGTTCCTGGCCCAAGGCATCGGGCAAGGCATCGGCTGCGGGCTCATGTTTTGCCCTACTGTTGCGCTTATTGCCACTTACTTTACCACCCGGCGTTCGATCGCCATAGGGATCGTGGCGTCTGGGTCGGCAACGGGGGGCCTTGTTTTCCCCGCTGTCGTCATGCGCCTATTACCCCAGATTGGATACGGATGGACAGTGCGGATCCTGGGGTTCATTTCCCTTGCCACGCTAATCCCGTGCCTGATCTTTCTGAAACAAAGACTGCCGCCCCGGCGGAGTGGCCCCCTGGTGGAATGGGCGGCCTTCATGGAGCTGCCTTATGCGCTTTTTGCCGTCGGGATGTTTCTGAATTTCTGGGGCCTATATGTCGGCTTCTTCTACATCGGCAGCTTCGGACGGGATATCATCGGTCTGTCTCAGTCGACCGCGATTGATGTCCTGCTGGTCATGAACGGCGTTGGACTACTCGGTCGACTTATCCCCAACCTCCTGGCCGACTGGTATTTTGGTCCGCTAAACATGCTGATCCCGTTCAGTCTGGTCACGGGAGTCGTTGCCTACTGCTGGGCGGCAGTGAACGACCAGGCGGGACTGTACATATTCAGCGTTTTCTATGGCCTTGCGGCGGCTGGGATTCAATCTCTCTTCCCGGCCACTTTAAGCACTCTTACGACCGATCTGAAGAAAGCCGGAGTACGGATGGGCATGGTGCTCAGTGTGGTGGCTGTCGCTGCTCTCATTGGATCCCCGATTGCGGGAGCTCTGATCCAAAGAGAGAACGGCCAGTATCTATATGCTCAGATGTTTATGGGAAGTGCCATCATCGCGGGGACATTGACCTTGTTCACCTCACGAGTGGCCAGGTTAGGACTGGTCTGGCAACGGGCGTGAAACGAGCCATGGGATTGATTGATTGGTTGGCTTAGAGAGACATAAGGGAAGAATGAAGCCGGAACTGACTTGATCTGCAAAAGTGAGGCGATCAAAGAGTGAGAAAGGGTTAGAACAGAGGTTGATTGATAGTAGTACTCAATGGCTTTAAAGAATTATTTAAGTCCTTAGTAATCACAACATGTGAGTGGCGGCCCCGATGAGGTAAGATGGTGCGTGAGGTCCCGCCCGCCGCGTTTAGGAAATCTCGTGCGTGACTCCATCAGTTCGTTCTCAGTCTCTCCCTCGAACGCCTTGCTCTCCCGGCAACTCGTCGGGCATATAGGATCCAACCAGCAGAGATCTTTGGGCCTCAGCTCCTGGATCCCGGTGGCATTTCCGTCGCCTGTATCCCGTATGTGATGCACCATCCTATCCCACTATACCCCTCACATGTCTGACTCCCAACGTCGAGTTTAGATATATACCCTTTTGCCGTTACCTACCTACGAGTCTTTTTTTTTTTTGTCTTTAGGAGACGAAAAACTTCCTTGGTCGTCTATCTAGAAACGATTCTTACGTCATTGTTCACCCCATGGCACCCCGTGGCCGTGGCAAGTTTTCTAAACCGTCCCGAGGAGGTATGTGAAACAGCCGCAATCTCCCTCAATCAGCTTGGGATTGAAAGCACGGAAACACTGATGGATGTGTCGGACGCAGGAGGAAAGCGCTTCAGCCGGGACGTTCAACCCGTCGACAAAGATGGGAATCCCGTCGGCCTATGGAGAGTATGTTCGCTCGCATGATCCACTCTCCACAACTGGGACGTGACACCTAACGCTGTACGTGGATTTCCCTTAGGAAACCGACGATGATGGCCTAGATTTGTCGTCATCATCAGCATTATCAGAGGTAGGGGAATCGGGTTCGGACGAACAATCACCGGATGTCAATGCCAAACCCGGTCCTAGTTCCGCAGAAGCACCCGAAATGACGCGTGATGAACGTCGTGCCGCAGCCAAGGCCAAAAAGCAAGCTGCTATTGCGAAGCGACAGCAAGTCCAACCGGGCGATCTACCGCCTTCCTATTCGGAGTCCGATGCCGATGACGACGACGATGCCGATTTGCCGGCCAACCCGAATCACACGGCCAGCTCCCGATCGCAGCTAGACGGTACGCAACCGGAAACGATGACGACGAAAGACCCATCACAGCTGTCTCGGCGGGAACGCGAGGCGATTGAGGCACAGCAAGCCCGGGAACGCTACATGAAATTGCATGCGGAGGGTAAGACAGAGGAGGCCCGTTCGGATCTGGCCCGACTGGCCCTTATTCGGGAGAGACGTGAGGCCGATCGGCTGCGCAAAGAGGCCGAGAAGGAGGAGAAGGCCGAGTTAGCGAAGCAACGGGCAGCAGAGAGGGATGCGAAGCTGCAGAAGGGTGGGAAGAAGAAAGCTGCGCCAAAGAAGAAATAATGAAAACGAACCGCTGTATTGTTTCCATATTTGGCTTCTTCGTCAGATTCTCACGGTATACGCCGCAAAATCCCAATGACTTGATGAAAGGATTTTTTCCAGAGTAATGTGGGCGAAACAATTTCTCTCTACATATACACAACCATGCTACTTAAACAGCTCCAATAGATCATTACTATATACTGGTTTAGCTCCCTATCTGAGATCAATGTCTCATAAAGCAGGGTCTCTTCCCTGTTGGTACTATCGTTCAGTATACTCAGTCACGTTCTCTACACGTATATCAACGAGAAGTATAAAACTGTAGTCTCTGCTAGCTTTATTTCTTCGAATAGCTAGGCACCAGATCAACATAGACTAGAATCATATTAACACCCCAAAAGATGCGATCTAATAAATACATTGGCAAAGCCATTTCTAAACCAGGATAATCTCAGGCCATATGACTGGCATTATGATATCAACTATGGCAGTGTCCCGGCACAGACCATGCAGCAGCGGAGCCTTTACCCACTTAAACACGGGGATAGACATCCAAAGGACTGGGCCCCTGGGGAGTACCCAAAGAGGTTTCCAGCTGATTCTTCCACCAGTCGACGACATTGCGCTGGTTGACCCAGACGCGGAATCCACCGACCTCGCTGTTGTTTTGCTGGTACAGCCGGCCCCTGTCCAGGCTCACCCGGGGAACGTAGCTGCCGGCGTCAGCTTGTGCCTTCTGCCATTCATCACTGACCAGGAAGCTCAGAAGGAGCTTGGAGGTTTCGGGCTTTTTCGTGCTGGCCAGGATTGCTCCTGTCTGAGACCAAGACATGGCTTCGTCCTTGGAAGGAACCTTGGATCCCCACCAGCCACCGATGGCATCACCGGTGGTGAAAGTGACAGAGCGAAGGTTCTTGGTATCATTGTGGGCATTCTGGATCACTGCAGCAGGCGTGTAGGTACCCCGGACCCACTGGACATCATTGTCGTTGAGAGCATGAAGCCATTCGAAGCCGTACCGGGTGATGATCTTGCTGAACAGATAGAGGACGGCATCGTCGTCATTGGGCCAAGCGAGAACCAGCCTTCCGCGCCATTTGGGATCGGTGAAGGATGCATAGTCCTCTGGAATGGCCGATTCATCGAGCTTCGCCGTATCCCAGGCAATGTCGCCAAAGCCATCTGTAAACCAGTTAGGAGGACAGTCCGTCTTAACAGAGAAGGGGGAGAGCAAGCATACACTCAGCAATTGGAAGATAGGCACCGTGCGGGTCGCGCTCTGAAGCATAGATGTCATTCCACATGGCCGGTTTGTAGTAGAGGAGACGATTCTGTTCCTTCCAGCGGGGGAAATCATGGAGGGTCTGCAGGATGACCACGTCGGTAGTCTCCTTCCCCGTGTAGAACTGCCGATCAATTCGGCTGTCATGATACTTGGAGAGGTCGACCGTCCAGTTTACCTGGATTTCTGGAAAGCGTTTCTGGAACGCCCGAATGGTTTCGTCATTCTGATTGCCGGCTATAGTTAAATTTAGAACCAGTGTCAGCAAGGAACGCGGGAATTAACAAAGCAGAGGGGAGGGAAGGTTCCATGATATCTTACCATCTCCTCCCGACGAGACAATCAGAGGACCAGGTTCCTTCTTGGCCGCTTCGTAGATCTCGTCAAGGGTGCGGGTCTCAATGGGGACCTCAGGAATCCACTGCGCCCATGCAAGAGACAAGAGGCCGGAGAGAGCAACGAGGTGTTTCATAGCGAAATAACTGGGAGAGAGACGGCTCGTGAATAGGATGGGAGGCGGTTGAAGAGGAATCGGATTCAATTATTAGAGTGAAGAAAGGGAGGACGGTGTTGGGTCGGATTGAGCCTTTTATAGAAGCCATGAGGCCTTCAGGACTCAAATCACACAGCCTTGGGTTGGGGAAGAAGTTTGGTAGAACATCTACAGTGTTTCTAGTCTCCTTGGCGTCCAAACATGGGCTGGTTACTCTGGTTCAGAGCCGTAACTTCCAAGTTCTAAACTGTTGCCTTGGACTGACTGTCTTCATGCGAATTGCACTAGAGTAGATTTCAGCCTAGCGTGTGGCTTTGAAGCTTGGCCCTGATGGTCCTTGGGAAAGAGGGTCTTCAGACCCATCTTACGGGGAGTGCATCCTATAATTCCGTGGACGGTATTGGGGGAAGGGTTTCCAATTCTAGAGAACAAACCCTATGATGTTACCTCCAATGAAAAAAAGATATAAAAGAATCACTGTCCTTGGGATCTTCGAGGTCCAGAAGGGAAGTTCCACGGAACAGCTGAAACGGGTGGAAAGAACTAATGGGGGAGAAAAGTGAGGCAATAAGTTATCAAATTGATCAAGTACTACAAAATCCAGACCCCAGATGGACGGAATTAATTCCGGTCGGCAACGGTGGTGACCTTCGTCATAAGGCTTGGAGAATGGAGCCCTTTCTCTTGGTGTGGGGTTAACCATGCCTTACGTCGACGTGGTGAATCCACCAGACCCAGCCCAAACCCTGCCGCAGTCTATTAGCGGCTCGTCAAGTTGGCTGAAGTATTCAAGAAACGTTCTGGAACAGTACTGGATTCATTAATGGCAAAAAGGTGGACCAGGTTTTATATGGATATCTGGCTGCCTATTTTGCCATGCCATAGATGAAACCTAGTTTTCAACAATATTCTGTCCTCTATGATGTATATAAGGGTTGAATTCAGCGTGGGTTCAGGATCGATCATATACAACTGTGATAGATATACTGAACCTCGGCGCTTTTTCGAGCCGCACTTCACCACTGCAAAAAAACACTATCTCAAGCGAATTGCTGCAGATTTTGCAAGCCTTAATCGGAGAGCTAAACTGGGGTAGGCTTGGAGGTGTTGAAGTGTACAGATTAGTAGGAAGAATAGAAACAAACTAGTAAAAGGACTGGCTGAGCTTAATATTTTATAGGTTGTCCCTAACTGCTTCAGAATCACTCTAAAGCGATAAACCCATGACAGTTTGGTAGATCTCGTCTGTATCCGCGTGTTTGAGGGTTGGTCTGTGGGTAGAACGAAGGCATCGGTGGTTGGATTGCACAAAAATAAGGTCTTCGAACAGTTGAAGTACCATAATTAATAGGATTAGGTGCAAGTCCGAACAGGTGGGCCTATTATTAATATTATACACAGTAACTATAAGTTAATGGAAATTTCCCGTTCCTTTATGTTACGTACACCTTGGGGTCACAAGCATATCAATAGAATACTTGCCTCCAGTTGAAAAGCCAGGTGCATCCGGCTATTATCCTGTATTACTTATGAAACAGCAATACTGAAGCCAAAAAAAGTTCAATAAAAGAAAGAGAGAGAAACAGAAACAAAATGAAAAAAGGACTAAATGTACTGTGTATAGCATCCTGAATAGCCCTGCGCCCTGAGGTGAGATCTTAATATCATTAACGGCAATCCATTTCCGCAGCATATTCCGAAATCGAATAGTCCTCCTCGGGGGGTGTGGGTATCGCATTCCCCAACAAATATTCATATGGACCGTCCATTGGACCTAGCAGACGTAGGGTCCGGCCCTTTCCAGTCACTAATGTTGTCAACCAAGTAAAATGGTACCATTTAGGTCAGCTACCGAATCTGGGAGTCGCCATGGGAAACTATATCTTCAAGTATCAAACGTCGTATGAGCTGTGTTTGGGACGGTATCTGGAGGCGCATTTTGTGATCATGGACATGACTAGATTAAGAACCTTATATAGAGGGGGCCGCTCGCTTATGGAATATGTCAACTAACATAATACTTCCGAGACAGTCCCAGAGAACCCTCGCCAAAGTGTCTAGAACAGGAAAGCTACAGTCGTTCTAGAAAATCACGTATGTTTAGGTACATATATATATATGCAATATGCAACCGAGCGCCTAGACATTTAAAACATTAGCCCCACCGAAAGACCACAAACACGCATGAGCAATACCGATCTCCATGAGACACCAGCGCCGAATCTGACCAACGGAAATCATCCTCGATAATTGCCAACAGACAAACATCCGACAGAGCGGGTTCCGCCATGTCATGACTCATCAGGCTCCCCAAAACAGCCCCTCCACGCCAAGTCCCTGAGCCACAATGCCCCATCCCGCAATCAAACTGACAAGCCACGTGATCGCAAAGCCCAGGATCGGAAGCAAGAGCAGCTCGGTGTTATGCAAAAATGGCAACGCGTTATAGCCCAGGAAAGTGATATAGGTGTAGTACGTTAGAGCAGAGAGGTAAAGCGTGTTCCCAAGGAACGTGGCAAGGAAGTTGCTGGGACTGTGGGTAAGCACTGGGAGGAGAAGGAACTGTACGACGTAGAGATGAAGATACAGAGGGAAAAATGCCCGGATGGAAACCTGAAGCGGTACTCGGTTAGCCTAGTCATTTCAGATGTTTCGATACGGCATTAGAAATCTGTCTTCAGGTGGCCCGCTTACATCAAAGCAGTACCCAAACTCCAGCTGATCCTTCTCCCCCGGCTGCATGAACAAGCCTTGCGCCGCGCCGCGCCTCCGTCCACGTCCACCCCTCAGTCCGGTGAAAGAAGCCGCGGCTCCATTTGGACCAAAAAGTCGGCCGATCACAAAGTACCCAATAGTCGATACCAATAACGAAGACCCAATGAAATGGACGAAGATAAATAGCAGAGATAGGCGGACTATTGACCCGAATGATGGCGCATATGCGAGGCCCCATGCGAGAGCTGTGAGGAGATGAAAGAAGGAAAGGAGATATGTAAACGACGGATCGGGGCGATGCCAGGTGTTTTTTGTCTCTGTACGGCAGAAGGCCGTTAGTTGAATGAATTAAGAGTGGTTTGCCAGGGCATACGCTTCTGTGGGGGGTTGGAAAGCACCGTTAGCAACATAGATCCATGATGAGAAGCGTGCTTTGTCCAGATACCACCTACATGATAATATATTGATTTGAAGACTTTCTTAGGTGCAATAAGCAGTGATGTCATCTCCCAGATGGCCATCTCAAAGTCCATCTGTGGAAACTTGAACAATCTGGTGAAACGTCCTCTGGGATCAGCCACCGTTCGATCATCTACCACATCTTGACAGAATATATAGAGAGAACATTTTTCCACTTGGATAAGGGAGAAGTGAGCTAGGAACCCACCGTTTGAAAAATCGCGGCATCCGCACACTGGAACCGCGGTTTGCCGGAGGGGTGCCACCTAAATTGGAGGAAGAGGCATGTTGACGCGGAACAGATATGTGAGGGTTCATCTTCTAAATAACAAAACCTCGAGGCCTGGAAGTCAGGAAGGCCGAGAGAAAAGGTGGATCAGGTCATATGTATCGATAGGGCTTCGTGGTGAATGGTTGATTATGATATTCCCTGATGATCTGAAGGTCGGCTCGTTATGTCATCATCCACGGGCCTCGGGAGAACTTCATGCCGTCCATCTTGAATAAAGAGAAAAAACAAAAGGAAAAAGGACCAAAAAAAAAAAAAAACCAAAACTCGTGGTAGACCGGACTGGATGAACCTAAGGATCGACCGGATAGTACGAGAATAAATAGAGAGACGGATAGAGAAAGTCTATTCTATGGGATAACTATGGAATTACTAGAGATGGAGAGTACCTAGACATATCTCTCAGGTACCCTCTCCCATCCAGAGCAGGAAGAGAAGTACCTGGCTAGAGGTACTCTGTACATCTCGAGTTAGGGGTCTGGCCAACCCCGTGACTGCCCCTGAGCATTAAGGCTTTAAGCCATAGCCAATAGTCAATAATGCCATCATCCCTTGTTGATCGAACATTTCTACCACCGATATTATCTTATTAGCAAGAACAAGAACAATAAAGATAATAATAAGAAGTAGTAGTAGTAATTAGAAGAAGAAGAAGAAGAAGAAGAAGAAGAAGAAGAGGAAGATCATTGATTGACGTGAAACTCGGTACTCTTCCTAGCGGATTCTCCCCAGTTCCTAGTAGAACAAACCCGCTATTAGTTAATCCTTTGGCTGGCTCCCCCTGGTTCGTCTATCCCCTGGACTTGTCATTTCCCTCTGCCGCAACTTGAAACATTGAACCGATTTGTGACGGATCTAGGATCTTCAATCGGGACCATTGCCCATCTCTGCAATTGATTGGAGTTCAAACTTCAATAAAAAAAAGAAGAAAACTAAAAGAAAAAGACACAGAGAGACAGAGCAACGACGCAGCGAGATAAAGAGGGATTGAAACCGTCATCTCTGTCCTCATCTTCCCCTTACAACCTCGAAACTCCCAACAACCCTTCTCCCTCACGCAATGATCGAGGGGTAACACCTATCTGACATGCCCTGGAGACCGTCAATTTGAAATTCCAAATATAAAACCGGTCCCCCCAAGGATCTGGTTCCCTTAGTTGGTGGCAAGGGACAAACGTTGAAAGGGAAAGGATCCGACCTTTTGATTCTACCGGGAGATTCACATTGATCCAAGTAGATGGCACAGCAGCAGCCATCACTGCGGTCGGCTCGAAATCTGCTATTGACGATTATATTGTTGGGGATGCCACTACTGCTACCAGCCATTTCTGGTCATCCTCAATAAGGTCGAAAACATAACGGTTCGACAATATAAACATGTCCCAACAGAATCCCAATAAACCTCCAAACCATTCTCCCCCGAGGACACCCCCCTCCGCGGCCTCCAAATATAACCCAGCCAAGAGAGGGTGCCAGCCACGTCCCTCGGTACGCGAGACCTTCTTGGACGATGTCACCCCGGCAGACAACACCACTAGCAGCAATGATTCGGGGGACGAGCGGGATCCACATGACTTGTCTTTGTCGCCGAAGCATGCGGCCCGTACTTCCATCGTTGACAACATGCTCCTTTCTCTAGATCAATTTGCTTCAGGTACCTCCGTTCTGGATGATTACCGCCTCTTCAACTCCGTATTCGAGTCCGACACGTACGGCCGCAGTTCGCAGGACTCCGTGGCACAACCTCGTTACCGAGGCCACACGTTCTCCTCGTCTTTGTCGTCCGAGGCTGAGTATGCCTACAATGAATCGGTTGGTCGCGGTGCGACACAGTCGGGAAGAGGCCGCGGGAGCACCAGCAGCTCCAATTGTCATTCCAGCCTTCGGAGGTTTGAGAGTGCTCGTGGTCGAGACGGCACCGGGTCCCGCGGTCAAGTATATGATCATCGAGTCAATTCGGGTGGTGCCCCATCTGCGGGGAGGACAACAGGGCGACAAAGCAGCAAAGAAAGCTCTTCTCCCATGGATTCTGGCCCTGCTCTTGTACGGCATCCTGCTGAGTCGACTACGGAGACACGCTCTGCAAGCTTCGACTACGGTTTCAGGTCCCCGTTTGTGCCCTTTGCAGAGGCGCACGATGGGCATGACGGGATGGATGCAGCTCCTACACCAAGCGTTCCCGCTGGCCCGCGCAAATACCAGTCTCCCTCCCAGGGCGAACATACAGGAACACTTAACTATCAGTCATCACGAACACCGGTAGCATCTCGAAGAAATAGTGTGCAATCGGCGCGCACCAACCAGTCCAGAAGTGTTCGGCCGGAACACATCGGCACAGCCACCGCCAGGGGACGAGAAAACGAGTTGGCAAATTTCGGTGAATCGGGTCTTGACGCTCCTCCGACTATACCGGCTTCACACGATCCCCCGGCTCCCAGCCCTACCATATCGTTCAACAAGCCTATGTCTCCTCTTCCAGATCCAGCCCCAACTAAGGAGCGACCAGGGTTCTTCCGGCGTGTGTTTGGATCGTCGAAAGTTTCTACCCCTGGACCGCCAGATAGCAGCCAGTTGGCCTTCCAGCTGCCCCAAGAAAATGACTCAAAGGAGCCGAATGCACTAGGCACTAACTCTAAGATGCGGAGACAACCTCTGAAAAACACTGCGACGGCCGCCATCACGGGCCGAGAAGGAATGTCTCAAGTGGTAAACAAGAAATCATCTTTCTTCCGCCGGCGGAAGAAATCTATTGTTGAAACCACTCCGCCACCCGTTTTGCCAACCCAGGAGCTGAACACAAAAACAGCGGAGTGTAGTGTGCCGGTGTCCAGCCCTGTGAGCAGTTTGAGAAAGATCATGGACTCTTATATTGCAGACGCTGGTGGTCAGACGTCAGGCAACACCATTGAGTCCCCCAAAACTATCGACGGAGCGGAGGACTCATTGGCCAAAAAACCAGGAAATCTACTGTCTCCGAAATGGGATAATTCGAAACCCAGATACAGCCTCTACCCTGCTACTTCGTCCAACTCCACACCTAATGCTGCGACTCTGGGGCCCAGCAGCGGCAATGAGACTGTGGCTTCCCATTCTGGCTGCTCAGACAATGGCCACTTTGCCGATCGCATGCAAGAGCAGCTACCGGCCAGAGAAAATGTCGAGCCGCACAACAGTGGACAGGAGCGTAGTGAGGCGGATCGGATCCGCGATTCTTTGCAGAACACTTTGTGTCCTCCGGAAAATACCGCCCCCTCCTCACTCTCGCCCGTAGTGGAGAACTTCTCTCAAAAGAGTGTGTCGCCCACCGAAGCCCTCGATGACACGCATTCGTTGGATACCAATGAACTGGCGGAGGTCAAGGACCAGTCTGGACCGACTCAACACGACGATAAGCCGGAAGAGGCCAGCGAGCTGTCGAGCTCTGTAGTTCGTAAACAAGAGTCTCCTGCAGCCTCGACATCCGAGATCTCCAATTACTGCACAGCTTCCAATACCCCCGTAGTCCCCACAGCAGATCAGAAGACCACTGATATAGCGGAGGATCAAACGGATCTTACTGATGACGTGGTCGGTATGCCAGCCGCATCAGACAAAGAGCAAGCGCAAAAGCTCTACGACAGTCAGGATCAAATGGTAGGCTGTGAGTCAGTTGGCGCTTGGCTTGGTGGCCCGGAGCGTTCTGCTATCCGAAATGCATACATGGAGCTTTTCGACTGGTCGAGCATGAATATCTTGGCGGCGCTCCGAAGCCTATGCAACCGCCTAGTATTGAAAGGTGAGACGCAACAAGTTGACCGGGTCTTGGATGCTTTTTCCGCACGATGGTGCCAATGCAATCCGAACCACGGCTTCAAGGCTACAGGTACGTTTGGCTGTTCTATGTTCTATGTTTTTACCGGCATCTGATCATGCTCATCAGATGTTGTTCACACTATCTGCTATTCCCTCCTTCTCTTGAACACCGACCTGCATCTGGCAGACATAGAGCAGAAGATGACAAAAAATCAATTCGTGCGGAACACGATGCCGACGATCCACCGAGTAGCCGTAGATGCCGCTCCAGATGAGTTTGAAGCTCTGGCTCCGGGGAACAAATCCAAGACCCCAGTCGCGGATTCATCTCGGCCTCAGCATGACGAAGGCGAGAAATCTACCAACCCTCCTGCCAAACTTATGAACCGGCTTTCTCGCACCGATCTTTCGGTAAAATTAGCAGGAGACCCTGACAGTGATACGGGCCCATTGGTCAATCTGCCTTTCTATGGGTCTATGAGGGCTTGGGAACAGCAGGTTGAGACTGTCCTCCGGGATTTTTACTCCTCTATACAGAAGCAGAGGCTTCCACTACACGGTGCCCAGGTTGAAAAGGAAGGGCCTCGGAGCTCGTCCACTAATTTGCTAAGCCCGAATCCAGGTGGCCTACGCAGAAGCCCTAGTACCGTTAGCAAGAGCGGCTCCGATATCTATCCGCGCGGCCGCTCGGCCGACTCTCGGTATGGCACGGCACGCTGGTCCTCCAAACCCCGTTCGCGGGTGAGGTTATACCCCCCTTCGACCATGGGCTCCAGTCGGACCAGCTTGGAAGACCAGTCGTCCCTGTGGAGTCCCTCCGCTTCCAGCACCTGGAGTAAGTATTCCTTAGGAAAACTGACATCTGCGTCGGTCGACTCGTTCGGGTCCGAGTATATGCGCGGGGATTACCAGCAATCCATTGGTTTCGCCAATGCGTTAAGTCAGGCTATTATACGGGAGGATTATGCCCATTCAATTACGAGCGTGGAGGACCCTGGACGGACCATGGCTCTCCTGGAAGACGAGACGTTACAGCTGGCCGGCGCGCCTTGGGCCAAAGAGGGAAGTCTGAAGCATAAACATCACTTGGATTCGGTGGACAAAAGGGCCAAGGACCGTAATTGGAATGAGTGTTTTGCCGTCATCCAGCAAGGCTGGATGCGTCTTTTCTCTTTCAACTCATCCGCGAAATCCGTCAAGCAAAAGGCCAAACAGCGCCAACCTGGCGGCGTCGTGGTGGGGGGGGGGAATTGGACGGAGAATGCCGAGGAAATCTGGAAGTTTTTGCTGCGGCAGACCATTGCCAGCGCGCTCCCGCCGCCGGGGTACTCCAAGTCCCGTCCCCATGTCTGGGCTCTGAGCTTGCCCACGGGCGCGGTGCATCTCTTTCAAGTGGGGACCCCGGAGATTGTGCGCGAGTTTGTCTCCAGTGCCAATTATTGGAGCGCAAGGCTCTCCAAGGAACCCCTCATCGGAGGCATCAGTAATATCGAGTACGGCTGGAGTGACGCCTTGATCAACAGTGCTCTGATTACACCCGAGAGCGCCAGAACGCCGCCGTCCTCATCAGGGGCACGCCCCAGTATCCAGAGCTCCATTCGTAGCTCCATTGATCAGCAAGGGGGCATTCGACCCAAACTTCCGGCCGACCGCGTGCACATCAGCGACTGGGCTCCCCCGCAGCAGAGCATGACGGCCTCCACGCTGGCCGAAGCTGACCAGCTGTCGGCCTTGCGGTCGTATGTTAAGAGCGTGGAGGAGGAACTTCAGCGACACAACGAGCTCCGACCCGCCATGGTTTTGGCGTTCTCACCTCGGCATCCTAATGCGTCCAAGGCGATGGCCAACTGGGAGCGCAAGTCATCATATCTGCTGCGGGAGATTGTGAAATTTCGCACGTATATCGACTCTCTCCAAGGCGGAATTGACCTTAAGAACAAGATCTATGCGTCCCGGGAGGGTGAGGAGAGTACTCCCTCGTAATTTTTTTTTTTTTTACAGACTGGGCTTTGAAGTGTAGTTGGCCCCTTGAAGACAGCGACAACGGCGTCTTCAACGAGTATTCTTCCTCTCTCCGAGTGCGTTTCTTTTCTTTTCCCTGTACAACTTGGAAAGTGGATGGACATTTTCCTTTTTTTTTTTTTTTTTTTTTTTTTTTTTTTTTTTTTTTTTTTTTTTTTTTGAATGTCTTTCTCATGTATCTTGATCACCCAGCACCTCTCCTCCCAGCTGTAACGAGACCTATGGGCGTTATGAATGTTTCCTTTTTTTTTCATTGTGGTATGCATATAGCGAATGTCAATCTATTAATTGCTAGCTAGATTGTTCCTTGCCATATTTCAACTACTGCCTCATAGATAATTTTATAGTAGATGAGCAGGACAATGGTTCTTCCTTCCCCAACTTCCCCCTTCCTGCATCCCTTCCACTAGTAACCAACTAACTACCCCACGACAACCGTCAAAACAAACACGAGCCCAGATCATCGTCCATCAAAGAGCTGAAGCTAGAGATATATCTGGTCTAGTCCTCTGCACTAATTCAACCGTCGAAGTTGGTAGGGACGGGCCCATTCGCATTTTACCGTATCGTGGATGTGGAGAAAACAAACACCGCGTCCAGACAATCCCATTCATTCTCCTCACTCTATCGACAAGCATCATCAGCCGTCATCATCATCCCTTCCGATTCAGACCCTTAGAATTAATGCGATCGAGGACGTGAGCACGCCGCGCAGACCGTCGTCTCTCCTCTCCCGACCTTGTTGACGTCGAACACCAGACGGTTCCATGGCGCAGGAAGGCGCGCCGGGAGAACGTCTCCAAAACACAATGGACACCGTCGGTCCAAGCGAAACCACCCAGTTTACACAAGAGGGGGTATTAGCGCCCGAGAGACGACAAGACGATGACCCAGCCACGATAACCAGCGGTCAACTGGGCCACGACGATTCGAACGCTTCCTTCAACCTCCCTCCCTTGCCTGATCACGATGGCAGCAGTCTTTTCCCCCTATCCGGCGAGGACAGCGATGGAGACCGAGTGGACGATCAAACATCGATAGAGGAGGGAGAAATGCGAAGGAAGCTGATGGACATGGAATCCAGTTTCTTACCTGAGCCCTCAACGATCGACATTGCCGCTACGAACCCGACCGCCGGCATCGACGACACATACTTGGTAGGAGTGCTCGTGGAGAATGGGCTTGAATCCAACAGACCGGATCATACAGAATCATGCATGCTTGTGCCCGATGGATCTAGTCACGATTTCGCCCGGTCCAACGATGGGGCCTCAACAATCCCACGCACCCCCAACTTGAGGCCCGAAGAGCACACCGCCGACGACTTGGTGACTACGCCTGCCGCTTCACCAGACCGACATGAAGATAACACCACGATGATTGAAATGGTTCACTCATCCCCCGCAGCCGAAGCAGCGGCAAGGACCGTAAACCGCAATCTATCTACGACAGCCGAGGCTGCTTGCAAAGCCAGCCAGACTTCGCATAACGAGTCACTCGGGAAGTCTTCCATGCCTACAACCCTGGACCAATCGCTACAGCCAGCGCCTGAGGGCGCATCGCGGAGCTTGTCACCGGCACAGTCAAGGACCCAGCACGACGGTGGTGGCAATGATTCCGAGCCTGTGTTGCAAACAAGCAGCCGAAGGGGAAATCGACCGAAATATTTGACGAGCCGCCAATCAGCCAATCGACTTTCGTACTCCTCCGCAGCAAGCGCCAATACAGAATTGACAACTAGCGACGCGACATTAGGTGCAGACTACGCACTTCAATCCGGCGGTGCAACGCCCGGGAATCCCACTACTACACAAACTGGGCAGCGTATCAATCTAGCTAGATCAGTGAGTCTAGGGAGCATGGCCTCTGGAGTTTCTAGCTATAGTGATGAGAATTTCATGGAGAAAAGAAACCCTGGTCCTACTACTATAGAGGGGGGCCTCCAGACTCTGGACGAGGAAGACCCGCAGTCGCGGCCTGGATCATCCCACCCGCAGCAACCACCACGTCAAAGCCAGGATCATGACAAAGAAAACCACAGTCAGCCCTCAGAGAAGGAAGTGTCGGGGCTGATGACGCCCAAGGCGAGGCCCCGAGACAGTAGTTTCCCTACAGATACGGCCATCGCGGAGCGCGTCAAGGATGTAGAAGTCCCGAGTACGTTCGTGAGGCAATTCCGAGAAGATTACGGTGGCCGCGGACTGTCCCCTGAGAAACGTGTCGGCACCACTCCCGCCTTTACAAGGAGTGGCCGGAGCATGACGCTCAAGGAGCAAAGCAGCACTATCGACCGGCTCTCCAAGGAGAATTTCGACTTGAAAATGCGCATCCACTTCCTGAACGAAGCCCTGAATCGACGTTCGGAGGAGGGGGTAAAGGAGATGATTTCGGAGAATGTTGAGCTTAAATCGGATAAGTTGAAACTACAGAAAGACAATCAGAATTGGAAACGGAAGGTCCGCGATCTGGAGAAACAGATCAAAGATCACCAATCGGATAAGGAATCGATGGTCAATCATGACCCGGAAGGTACCGACGATGAAGACCGGGATGCAGCGCAAGACGAAGAGGTGTCGTATCTGCGAGAGAGGGTTGAGACCTACGAGCTGGAGATCGAGAGGCTACGGTCTGAAAGCATCTCCAGGGAAAGCGAGAAGAGGAGACTCGCGGAAATGATCAAATCACTACGTGATGGTAGACCGATGGGTTCGGATGTGGGAGCAAGGGAGGAGCGGGTAAGTTCATCGGGCCAGCATTCTTTTTTCTCCTTCCATCTTCTCGATACTGATTCGATGTGTGACAGGATATGTGGAAGGACATGCTTGAAGCGGAGACCGCATCCCGTGAACAAGCTGAGGAGGAGAATAAGAGGCTACGCGACGAAGTCCTTCGTCTGAAGGGCGAAATGAGCCTGGCCATGGTCCCCGCAAGGATAGGACAGCGCGACCGGGTGGGCTCGATGGCTTCATATTTCGGGGCCTCGGAGAGGGATGCGAATCGCAATATAACGACAGGCAGCTCCTCGAGCTCAACGATAGTGATGGAACTGGAGCTATTGAAACAAGAGAATGCGGAGTTGAGGAAAGAGGTCAGCGCCCAGACTTCAATGCTCACCTCTCGAAACAGGGAGAAAGAGCGACTTTACCAAGAAATCGAGGAGCTAAAGATAGGTCAACGCCGCGAACGGTCAGTTACTGGCGAGAGCATCTTTGACCGGTCCGTGTCCCGAGCCCATGGGAGATCGTCCTCTCGGGCCAGCGATGGCACCGGACCCCTTTCAAGCGACGATGTCGAGCGTGCCGAGCTGGAGGCACGAAACGGGCAGTTGCGTGACCAGGTGTCGGAGCTCAAACTCGAAAACCAAACGTTCCGAGCGCGGCTGGACGAGTATGTTAGGGAACTCGAGGAGATTGACAGGGCATATCAGGCGGACATGGATCAAGCCGAGGAGGATCTGCAGAATCTACAGCAAGAGCGAGACCAAGCGCTGCAAATGGCAGACGAACGCGATGCTGCATTCCAAGATCTCCGGGGTGAAGCCCAGGAGGAGTTGGACGCTCTCGGAAGCGAGCTGGATCAGAAGATCGAAGAATGCCAACGACTGAGCGTGGAGCTGAGGTCCCAGGACGAGAGCCTCCGAGCTCTACAGGCGGAGATGCGCTCAGCCAGCGAGGGCATTCTTCGACTAGAGGAGGACGCGCAAAACAACCTTCGACGTTACGAGGCCGTGCAAAAGGAGCTCAAAGAATGCAACCGCGATATGGAGTCACTGGAAAAGGAGCTCTACGAAGCCAACATCAAGGTCCAGCGTCTCACGGTCCAGATCGAGTCGAGCCAAAATGAGATCGCTTTCTTACGAGAGGAGCAGGACAGCGACAAAATCAAGATTGGGGACCTGGAATTGGACCTCAAGACCTACAGCATAAGTCTCCAGACCGAGAAGGAAAAGACCCTGGAGCTAGAAGAGCGCCTGGCGGAGGAGAGACACCAGCGCGAGGTGGTGGGAAGCAAGGAGAAACAGGAGGTGCAGCGGATCGTGAACGAATTGAATCGCGAGGTGTTGACAGCCAAGGAAGAGGCCCGAAAGCTCAAGAAGAGCCTGTCGGCGCAGGAGATCGAAACCAACACCTGGCGGGATCGACTGGTGGAATTGGAGAACAACCTTCGAGAAACGCTGGGAGACCTGACCGGCAGCCGGTCCAGCTTGATCTCCAACATAACGAAGCTGCAGAAGGAATTCGAATCGACGGCCCTGGAACTGGAAAGCGTCCGATCCACTCTAGAAGAGAAGGAATCGCTGCTGCGAAACCGGGATGCCCTACTGGAAACCCACGCGCTGGAGACTAAGAGGCTGTCGGAGCTGCTGGATCATGAACGTATCACGCGCCGAGCGGACAAGCAATCGTTTGACCAATCGCTCAAGTCTCATCACCAGGCGTCGCGGACCATCACGCAAAGCAACTCGCGCATCTCGGAGCTGGAAAGTGCCCGAAGTCAGGATCGCAAGCGGTTCGCCAGCCTGGAGCAACAGTTCAAGGATCAACTCAGCGAGCGCAACTCGTTGCTGCTGACCATCTGGAAGCGGCTGTCGCTGATGTGTGGGCCGGACTGGGCGCATTCCAACAGTCTGATTAATGGAAATCTTCCCAGCCAAGAAGTCATCGGCAACATTCTTTTCTGGCCCGGTTTCAGCCGCAATCTCCTGCTGGCCGTCAAGACGGTTGAGGCCGTGGTGTCTGGCTTCAAGAGTCGCATCAAGAGCGTCGAGCGCGACCTATCCAAGCAGTATCAGGTTTTGGAGCATGCCTGCAGCGTGCGATTCAAGCGGGTGGAGCGCATGGAGGAGTCCCTGATGAACATGCGCGCCCAACGACACAGCCGCGGCCACTCCGGCTCTTCCCCGGAGGTGGCCAAGCTCCGGGGTGAGAACCGCCTGCTCAAAGCCGAACTGAACCTGCTGCAGCCCCAGTCGCGCCCTCGCGCCCCGGCCTCGGCTGCCGCAGTGGCCGCCGGAATGAGATCCAACTCTCCCCAGGATCCCCCTTCGCATGCGTCGCGGAGCCTCACGCGGAGTGTCGCCACGGGGATCCCTCGGCCATCGAATGCTTCCACGCCCCTGGACGATGCAGGTGCCGTGATCCATGGCTCTCGCTCCCGACCCGCAGCGAGCGATCCGGGACAGGACGAAAAGTGGATCCGCCGCCTGCATGAACTCGAGAAGCGATTGAAGGCAGAACGGGAGGCTCGTTTAGCCGACCGTACGGGAGCCCGCCAGCGGCTTGAAGAGCGCGATGCTGAAAACGAGAGACTCCGGTCCCAGCTGGAAAGGCAGCGCGTGCAGAAAAGCATTTCCACTGCCCCCAGTGAAGACGGGGTGGGTCAACCTCGAGGGCAAAAATATGAGGACTTGAGCTCCAGTGAAGGTGAGGGGATTTGTGTTGATATCGAAGTTTGAACGACCATCATCTGTCTGTATGCTCTTCCAGCTCTGTCCTCCGCACATTATCCCATTTCATCGTACGTCATTGTTTTTTATGCATACATAATCTATACCCTCCAAGTTTGGTTTTTTGTTTTTTTGAGGTGTTATTTTTCGTTATTGATTTTACTTCCACTGCAATCACAGGATTCAAACCCGGATATGGAATGATTTGACTGTAAATGCGTGCATTGGCTTTACAGGCGTTAAATGTATATATAGATAGCATGCGTCCTCCACCGCAGTACCAGGTGTGGCGCCCAGGAGATATTATATCCATAATCACTTAGTTATATTCAAAGTTTTAGTAGGAAACACAGAGATACATGCATGGTACAGATACACATTGCGTCGTTACTCCTTTACCATCCCATCACCGCAACGAGACCTTGAGGGAGAAGTCGACGATCCCGGTGCCTTGGTGGATGGAACTGGTCGAGAGAATATCGACGTCGGGGCATGCGTATGAAGCAGCGTTACTCTCGTTCAGGCCACCACTGACTTCAATGAGAAACGACTGCTTCTTGCCAGCCCAATCGTGTTTGAGTTTCCTGGCGGCCTCCCAGACGCCGTCTGGAGTGAAGTTGTCTAGCATAATCACGTCAGCGCCGGCGCCAATCGCGGCATGGGCCTCCTCCAAGCTCCGACACTCGACCTCGACCTTAGTAGAGAAGCCTCCCACCGCCTTTGCAGATTGGACGGCACGGGGAATGGCGGCCGCGATGGAGTCTGTGGAAGTGGGAACGCCGCCATCACCGGCGGCCCTATTGTTTGCGCAGGCCCAGACATGATTATCCTTCAACATGGTCATGGAGCTCAGGTCGTGCCGATGGGGGTCGGCGCCTCCGACGAGAATCCCATATTTCTCGACAACGCGAAAACCCGGGGTGGTTTTGCGGGTACCGGCCAGGATACCGTTCCAGCCCTGGGAGCGCACGACGGCGACCAGCGAAGCGCTCTTGGTTGCAATTCCGGAGCAGCGGGCGAGGATATTCAGGGCGACACGCTCTCCCAGGAGGATCTTTCGGATGGGGCCTCTGATAGTGGCGCAGTGTTTGATGGGTTCGATAGGTTGGCCTTCTTGGACGTGCCATTCGACTCTGAATGAAGAGGGGATAATGTGATCAGGTATAGACATATATATATATCCGGGATTGTAGTGTGATAGGTAGGTAGGGTTATCGATAATCGACTTACGTGCATCCTAATTGGGAAAAGACCTCGTTGAAAAAAGGTACTCCGGCCACGATGCCCTAAATCAGGGTGATCTTTTATGAGAGATGCGACAGAATGGCAGGGATCGGATTCCATTCACATAGAGTAGGTACCTTGCTTTTCCCTAGTAGTCGAGCCTCTCCCTCCGATTCACCGACGACGAACCCGCCATAGTCGAAGCTGGGACAATCCTCCTCCAGCCAGGAAGTAATTTGATGTTTGTAACTGCCCGGAAGCAAGTGGCGTAGATCACCATACGTGGCTGCCATGGTGCAACAATTGAATCTTCAATATAGATGCGATGGTTGACGTGCCATTTGATTTCCCCGCGGCGGGGAGAATCCCAGTCGGAATCGGTCCGTGCTCTTGGGAGGCACCGTAACATCACGTGCCATATGCGGGAGGATCCGGGAAACTTAGTAATATCTAAGTAATTAAGTTAGCGAACCTAACTAACCAGTTAGTTAGTTAGCTAAGTTACAGAGTAACTTGCAACTAGTTAAGAGTAATTAACGGTCGAGAAGGTAATACGTTCGGTGCACGGCTTCTCCCAGATCCGAATACGAAGACGAAAGTGAGTGGCGCTAGCTCCGCACTGCCGACATAAATAAAACACTGCCTCTGTATCAGGCAGCAGAATTCGTTAAGTCTTGGAAGATGAATAAATTAACAAATACGAGTATAATTCATGACGTCAGGTGCTTTTGTTGACACCAGTAACTTGGAGTTCAGAACTTGACACCTCAGTCAAGAATGCCTTAAACCCGGATATACGGCGGACGAACGCTTTCTCAGTCAGATTTCATTCCTCGATGCTGGCTCGAGATGATTGACGGCCGATCATCGCCGCCAAGCTTCGTCTGCAAGGCTGCGTTCCGGAGTTCTCAGCCTCCGAGAGAGCTGTAATCTTACACATAGTCTGAAGCGAGCGGTCCCAACCCGTGCGGGTACTCTGTCTCTTCTTATCTTGTACTGTACTGTACTGTATGGAAATATGTATCGAATATACAGTATATTACAGATATTTTCTCAAACTCAATCAATGATATTTGTAGCTAGTGATTGGAATGCTCGCAGTAAGAGGGGATGTTATCACATCTATGGATATACTGTATAACCCTGGTGCATTGATAACTTTTTCCCTTTCCAAAGCTCAGCACTCATGGAGTTCTGAGTAATGACTCTAAATTGATGATCTAGTGTATTATATTATGTATATATTTTGAGTTACACCCATCAAGAGTTACAGTCACATTGCTGTTTTAACCAATATTGAAAAAAAGGAAGAAAAAAGAAAGAGAATGACTCCTTAGAAAAAAATGCTTCACAATATACCTCAGGCCCACTTTGGACACATATCATGATAAGGATATTCGGCACTCCAGCTGAAACATGCATCGACTAGGCTTTATTTTTTCCTTGCTGCTGTGCTGGAGTATAGCGGAGATCCAAGGTTTTCAGTTATGCCATGACTACGTACATGATGCCATGGCGTGATACATGCACAAGTACAATTATTAGTAACCTACTGCGGACTTTTCCAGGCCTTGTACACGATCTTGCTTCCATATCTCTGTCCCTTTTTCAGCACAACCATATGGCGCCAATCAGGCTCGTTGATCGCATTGACAAAGCGACTGGGTTCGATGCAAAAACCTGAGAACCGTCCCCGTCTAGGGTTCCCTCCCACTGCAGGGACATCGTTGCCATGGCCGGTGTAGAACTGGAACGCCGGCTCGGTACTGTGAACCAGCAGATTCATCTGCGATCCCGGGTGATGGAATTCGGCCAGAAGTCGGAGTGGCTGCTCGCGAGTGTCCAGACGAATCCCGGAGACATCACGGTCCATGACGAAAACATCATCAAAGGGGGGTTCGTTCGGTCCGATGGCGAAGGGTTCGGTTACTCTGCGAGGGTACGGTTGGATCGTGCCAGACGGGATGCCGGTGCTGTCCAGAGGAAGGTAGTCCTGGGTTGAGAGTTTTGCCGAGGTTCCTTGCACAGTCTCGTCGCCACTTAGGTTAAAATAGCTACCAAAGTAAAACCAATGTAAATCACAGATACTCACAAAAAAATAGTACGGAGTAAATAAAATAAGAAAGCTTACCTATGATTGGTCACATTGACAACCGTCTCCTCGCACTCGTCCCCTACCAATTCCGCTTCGTACTCCATAGTAAGCACCGTGCGAGTGACGTTCCCTTCCACCTCCTTGCCTGTCGTATAGAAGACTTTCAAATCAACTGTACCGGGGTATCCAGCTTCGAGGTGCTCGCTTCTGTAGGTAAATAGCAAGGCATCTTGACCGTTGCGCTGTATCAAGATCGGTCCTTCAAAGTCGCGTCGTCCCCATCCCATACTACCCCCATGCAATGCATTGGGTCCATTGTTTTTTTCGAGTTCGTATTCCCTGTTGTTGAGATGGTTAATCTTGCCGTCTTTGATACGATTCGCTACGCGACCGATCGTTGCGCCGAACCAGGGGGCGTTGTATTTCTCATAGTCCTCCTTCCTGGAGAATCCCAGGACGATGTTCTGACCGTCTATGGTGAGGTCCTGGATGATCGCCCCTAACGAGGTGAACTTGACCGAGGATTCCTTGGCCATCTTGGGAACCGCGTCGTATTCGCTTCCACGTCAAGCTACTGAGCGCCAGTGCGAATTAGTTGACTAGTGCAGCAGAGACGGGCTTCTAGTTGCTGGGCAGGGAAGTGAAGTGATGATATAAAATTTTGAGCGGCATGGCTACCCCGCAACGCGTGCCCCCCGTGCTCTGGTTTAGCCGAATAGCAACAATTCGGAAGGGATAAACAACATTGTAGACTATTTAACCGGCAGATAGGCTTTGGAAAGAAACGCATCATCAAGGAGTATTTCTTGTTCTTTATTTCCTTCTAAGGACGTCAGACTGCAGGATTGTTGATGGTTTGAGATTTACCCAAAAGGGTAATATTCTGGGGCAATACTCCAGCGATGAATATCAGAACCAAGTTGCACAGTGTGCATGTTATGGACGCTAATATCTCTCTATTTATTTATTCATAAAACATCAAAGATACGGTAAACAGTAAGTAAACATGTATGTATATGTAAGACTGATGCTTGAGAGTCCGTCCTGTCCCTGTGCAGCCTGGATCGGTATCCGCGGGATGCGTTTCGTCCGTCGCCGAGGCCCGTCGACCACATTTGACTATTCTGAATATCTCCCAACCCTCCTTCTTCTCCTTCTCCTTTTTGCCAATGAGAACGGCCAAGATTGCTAACCCTTGGAATCCCGTCCGTTAGAACAGCGGAAGAGGCTTTAGATTTATGATGGTACCTGATCTGGTCCAGGATATCGATCGTATTACCTTACGGACCTGTGTATTTCCATATTTGGAAATATACCACGGACTATTCCCAGCACTCACCTTGTACATACGGAGTATGTAAGGAGCTGTCATCCACTGGTCGCCTGATCAAAGTCCTACCACGTATCCATGTTTTATGCATGCTTAGTCCCTAGAGGTATATTGGGCAGTATGAGGAAACTTTCCAATGAAGTCTCCGATTTGATTACAAAGGATTACAAACTCTTCTGGATCAAAACTTTGGAAGTCAATAGTTACGCATGGTAACTAGTTATGGTTGCAATTATTAATCACTGACTATCTAAGGACTAGACGGTAAATTGTGACAAATACACAAACACAGCCATGTGGATGTTCGAGATAGGGAAGTGGCAATGGACTAACCCTACTGAAGATTCGGAAGGAATCTCCAAAAATGGTCAGGACCCAACCCTTCTGAATCAGTGAATTCTGCCGTAATACCGAGGAGAAGATTTAACTAATCCATCCACTTTGGGCATAATGGCAAGTACCTTACTGTCACTGAGCTCCGAGCGGGATTAGCATGGGCTCGGCGGGTCGGCAATTCGGACGGGCCACGGAATTATGTAATTTTTTGAGTTGAGTTGTTGTGGAATCAAAGAAAAAAGGAATATTCTATAAGAACGAGTTAGTTCGCTTGGGCTGACTGTGATTGTGGATTCTTCCGTGATCCGTCGCATCTAGGGTGGAGACAGGTTCAATACCTCCTAGGGGTTGATGACATTTACACTGTAGCGGTACGCAGTACGAGGTGAAAAGAAAACTAAAAAATGATAAAAAAGAAGCAGGATTTCCCGAGAGTTCAACTCGACGTGTCATGATCTTTGTGTAGCATCCTAATCAGGCCAAGATGGTGTCATCATCAACCACCGGAGATAAGCTCGGGTATTATGACGTCCTCCATCTATCGATTAGTCATCAGGTCAACGTCACCCAAGGTTCGGTCAAAGCTCGGCATGGAAAATTGTATATAGATAATAGCATGATTTATTGTGTACAACACTCACAACGGATGTAAATGAAAACGGTAAATACGTCAAAAAATAGGTACTCCTCCCAATAGCTCCAGAGTTCCAGACCAGTATTTTGAGCCCCTGCTCCAAAACGCCTTGGGCCGTCCTCATTGCCCTGTAATTCCCGCATAAAGAATGTGAGACCAGTAACCCCAAAAATAACTATACAACCCAAAGCAACCTTTCGCTCCCTATCTTAGAGAAGGTTATGATTTTTCAAAATAGAAGGCATAAGTAGAAGGATAACGTGGTTGAGAGTGAGGAAAGGAAAAAAACATGTATATTATACATGCGTCACATCATACGGCGTGTAATAGATGTTGAAGCAAGCCATTGAATGTGCAGGCCATCTTGGCTCAGGTAGATGCAATCTCTGGTACATTCGCATTTAGAAATTGGCTGATGTCTTCGTAATCGTTCTTCGGGTCTAAGTACGAAGACGATATCATGCAATTCATGGGGATCTGGCGATTGAACATTGGCGACGAGATCGGGTCCTCGAATGACATGTTTGTATAGTCGGCAGTCGTCATCAAATCCATATCTTCAAAGGCACCGAAGTTATTGTTAGCCCATTGATGCGGCGCCTGTAACGCGACGGGATTGACGACACCTTGCATCGCCAACGGCGTCACAAATGCAGGGTTGGTCGGGGTCATCTGAGGCTCTGACTTGATAGTGGGACCTTGCGTCTGCGAGGAAGGGCTGAAATTAGGGGGCGTGGGCGGCACTTGTCTAGAAAAGGCATCGGAGAAGCGTGATGGTACAACGGGTGAATGTGCGGTCTCTGAGCTACCATCTGACGAGTCCTGACGCTGCATGTGCCCCGCGTTTTGCTTCCACAACTCCTGCTGCATCATTTCGGGGCTTTCCTCGAAATGTTCTCCTTTGTGCTGGTCCAAAGCGCCTAACCGGGTGAGCAGATCGTGAGTGAGCGGATGACCATTGGGTTCGCATTTCAATGGCTCCCCCGGCCAGCCCTCGCCTTCACTGCTCCGTCGGTACAGTTCTTGGAGACCATAGACGAGCCATGCTTGCTGTTGTTCGAGCATCTCAACGTACCTAGACCCCATGACAGGGAGCGAGTTAGCATCACCGTTCCAGCATAGCCGAACAGACAATCAAAAAATAACATCAAATGCCAAGGTGCAAGCTCACCCCTTGGGGTACACTTTGTCATGAGCCTTCTTCCTTTCGCCAAAGACGCAAATGGCATTGTCCGCCTTACATCGACCGCAAGGGTTACCTCCGTCACACTGCACCGGGTCAGTGCATCAGAACGCGCTGATGCTCGATTGGGCCGTGGCCATGCTTACCTTGGATTTCTTCAATCTACACCGATCGCATGCCTTACAGACCCTCTTGCGAACATTGTTGTCCGAATGAGAATTGTCCGATGTAGGAGAAGGCTGACGTGCGGTCATTGTGTGGTTGTATATATATGTGTGTATATGTATATGGGAAAAGATAAACTATGCGCGATGCCTGGAAGCATAAACGCTAGTTAGGAGAAAAGAGATGGGATAAAGAAGGAGAAAAGAGAGATCCCAGATCAACACCAGTTCGACAGTTGGATCTTGTGTTATTATTCTTAGATCCTTCCCTATCGGTGTGGTGTTGCAACGGTTGCTGATTGACAGGATGTTTTAAGGTTGGTCGATGACCCAACGATGTCGAGAAGGCGAGAACCCAAGGTTTAAGAATCAATGGATAGTGAGTGAAGAACCAATGCGAGCTTCTCGGCGGTGGACGTAATGAATAATGACCAGATCGGTTGGATCCAAGAACTCGGTTGCTAAGGTTGCAATTCAGCAAGTGGAAATCTGCTGAAGCAATAAGAGTCAAGTAGTAATACTTTTTGCGGGTAGGGGTTTCCAAAGGAGGGTCAACGTGCTTTTTAACCAGCTGAAGCTTGGTGATCGAAGATTATGTATTATTACGGATGATTGTTATTCTTGGGATTGGCATTACATTACAAAGTAATAATTATTTGTTTTAAATATTATTATTTTTTAATTTTTTTTCGCTCTTAATAAAAATTGGAAATAATCCTTCCGGGTCCTATGATGATGGAGTTGGTGGTTAGTTCTAAATTCTAATTAAGAACACCATCTTAGTCTGGACACTACAGTGGATGAATGGATCGGGTTGGCCTGGCCTTACCTCCCACGGTGGGGCCGTTGGTATCGGTTGGTTCGGTGTGGTGTATTTTTCGACCGACCATGGCCTCGGAACAAAGGAGACCCCGGCGCCTTTACCTAGTATTCAGTAGTCGAACTAGCCAGAGACCATGCGATCCAATAGGAAGACCAGTCATCATGGAATCAAACGCGGATTTTAAGCCCAACGTCGGTGTCTCCAGATCTTATTCTATACAGTTCTTCCTCATTGTCGATACTGACACTGCTAAGGTACTGTAGCCACATCTATAGACATACTCTGAATACCTGTACCTATACTGTACAGTACGTAGTCCTTACCGTACCGTACCGGGGAGATACCTGTCGTGGTATTCTTACCTGGGATATACCGCCTACGGATAACGGAGCTGCAGGGTCGGAGCCTTGGCTCGGACCTCGGAGGTGCCAATTCCCTTGGATGGAGTGAAACTTCCACATCGAGCAATCTGCTGATCTGAATTGATTAGCTGATCGGAAAATTCTTCTTTTTTTCTTTTCAAACAAGAATGAGTCAATCTTTACAACTTGTTAAGGTTTTGTCGATTCGGAAGGAAACCTGCTCACATTTAGAGCCGTATATCCGAGCGGATTATGTGGACTCTGTCTAGACTACCTAGGAGTAGTTACCTGAATAAAGTGCCTCGTCTGAATTTGAGGCTGGACTTTGAATCCTTATGATTAGTAAATCATCAAATCCCAACTGTCCCGTCCTCGATGAAGGGTTAGAAATAGGGCGGACCTTCTTATCCCTCCGTAGGCAGTAGGTAAGGTAAGTAACTAATTATCCACGCCCATACTATAAGATATGACATGCCCGCCGTGCATAAAACGGCAGGGGCGGCACAATTTCTCTCTCTTCTTGTGAGCTGTTTGCCCAGGTTTCCACACTGTCGGCAAACCCAAGCCGAACGGGGACGGAGTGTCTAATTCGTTTGGCCCTTGTTGAAATCAAGTAACTAGTGAGGGTTGAATGAATCAACCTGACCCAGGGGGGCAATAATCGCTCATCTGCACCTGATCACGAGCCGGAAAGCTTAGCGCTAGAAATGATCCTTGCCACCTCGTACCATAGTTTAGTACTTACCCCATTTGTTCTATGCTGTCCATTTATATGGAGCATACGAACAGGATGCGGTGGTGTCTTCAATCGTCCTACGGCCATAGACTAAGGGTATTACTAGCACTCGGATGCTGGCTCCTAGCTTTTTGACAACGTCTTCTTCATCTTTGCGCTGTCTAGGCACATCCCTGGGTTCTACTTCTGAATTCTGTCACCAAGGTCCTATAGAGCCCGTTCATGTACTTGCAGTCCAAAAGATCAACTTAGATTCTACGAGTGGGACGCTAGGCGCTCTGGACCCTCGTTGTTGCAACGGTATGATAGCGTCATCCCGCATTCTAGTAGAATCCGCCCCACCGTGTATGAGATGCACTGAATCATCACTTAATTACGTGTGGTTCAAACCTAAAGACGATAGGGAATGGCCCTGTCTGTTGATGGATGCGTTCATAGATTTGATACCCCCTGGTCTCTCATGATCTCATTGACTTATCATACTACCTACGGAGTACTTTCTACAGCTTCTATTTTTATTTATTTGATGCATTTTGTTTCACCTGAATAAACTGTCAAATCTCATAGACCATTCTTGGCGCCATCTAGATCAAGAAAGAAAAGGAGCCGAGAAAATCGAGAGGAAATAGAAGACGAATATACTTACAATACAGAGCAATGCGACCTGAGGGGTATATGAAACTGACAGTAAGGGTCAGAAAAAAGAAAAAGACAAAAATAAAGAAAAAAAACATGAAGGCAACCAGGAGAATGTATCCTGCCATAAACTACCCACGGCAACACAGGCGCCTCCACAGACTAGGTGATATTGATTCCAATGGCTTTTCATGTCCCAAGGCCTCATTTGTCTGCTGCTGTTCGGCCCGCTCGTCGTCTTTCCTAAATCCACGGAGAAAGTTAAGTCGTCGAGACGTCTCGTTTGCCGAGTTGGTATTGACTGCATCCTGCGTATTGTTCCTAGGAACTTTCTCAGTCGAATGCCCTACAGGATGAGGAGCTTTGGCTGTGGCTATGGCTCTCTGGTAATGTAGCCGACGAGCCTCCACAACACGGCGGACTAAGACTGTGAGAATGTTAGACCCTCAACCCCTTCAAAAACGAATCGGCAGGGAGAAGAGTCGTACGGGCAAATGTCTCCTCGATGTTGACCATCTCCCGTGCACTGGTCTCCATGAATCCACACCCGTGTTTTCGGGCATATTCCAACCCATCTCGAGCGCTGATGGCTCTACTATCCTTCAGGTCACACTTGTTTCCAGCTACAAGTTTGACTGGAGGGGGCATTCCTACGTCCAGGCCTTGTGCACAAACCCCTAACTCCTTCAATAGGCGTTGGTTATCCTCTAGTCGTTGTTCCGCTTCGAGGTCGATCAACTCCATGAATTCGTCCAATGCGTCTAAACTGGACACGTTGGTGATGTCGTAGACAAGCAAGAAGGCGTCCGACTTCAGATTGGATGCCGTCCATAGTCCGCGATATTCTTCCTGGCCGGCCGTATCGGTGATGGACAAAAAGTATGGAAGCCCGTCGACAGTCCTTGTGACTGAGTATGAATCTTCTGCAGTTCCCGGCAAAAACATTGCCGATGTTAGAAATGTCAAGGATTCAGATTCAAGACTAGATGGGCGGATGGGGTGGTGTATTACCGATGGTAGGATCATATCTGTCGTTGTGGACTGGTTAGCCCGATTGACCAATGCATTGGGGTATTCATTGGATTTGAAGGCCAAGGAAGAAGCCGTACTTACTCATGAATCCATTGAGATCGTACCAAACGAAGGGTAATGGAAGACTTTCCTACGAAGGTGCGTTAGATCGATGCCATAATTCATATGGCTAATTAATTTGCAGCCCTGACTCTCAACTCCAGTTGCAAACAGTTCTATACGTAGTGGAGCTAGGGGGCACGATCGGGATGTTGCACAACATACCGCATCCGCCATCCCCGCATATGGTGATGGATATTTTGTTTGATGCGTCCGCCATCGCGTGGTGCGTTGAGTGGCGCGATCAATGCTAAAGGTCACGAGGGAGAGCAAATCTCATTGAAGGGATTTGAAGGAAAGAAATTAAAAAAAAAAAAGAGAAATGGGAACAAAGAAAAGAAAGCTTACAAGACACAGCAACAAGCTGAGAGAACACAGTTGATGATGTTATTAGAACTACACAGTAAAAGAGGGTCCAACCTCAAGGGGAAAAAAAGAAAAAAGGGGAATGTTGATCAAGGAATGAAGATCAATTCACTAAGAATGTATTGTACATCGAGTATCACCCATGAAGCCGACTAGTCTGTCCCCAAAGAGAATAACAATGTTCAAAGAGAGAGGTAGATGGAGGGAAGAAAGGGAGGATGGGAGGAAGCGAAAGAAGCAAGGGTGGAACGAAACACATAAAAGTAAATAAAAAAGGGTTGAATGGAAGAACCCCTGTCTGAAGTAAATGGTTCCCCAAAGATCTCGAGATCCATCGATCCCATCTCGAGTCAGTTTCCTTGGGAGTGTCTCTAATCCAATCACCGAGTCGGGAAGCGCGAAGGAATCTATTTCCAAGGACGATCCACTGTGGAAACCCCAGAGTGACTAGTTTTAAGTGAACTATCACCACAAGACCATTGTTGTGGATGCCTCCCCTCCGTATCACGATTCTACTAGCCGGATAGAAAGACCCATAGGTTTGACCCAAAACTCACGTGATCAATCACGGGAATGATGACATCCTCAGGCACACTCAACAGCAACAACAACAATATCCATAACCATCACCACTACCACCATAATACGGAGTACTAATAATATGCGCAATGATGGATGCTCTCGCTGCTATCCATCTCCTTACTGCAAGTACACCACTTCTTTTCCTCCTTTCCATTTCATCTTCCCCTCTCGGCTGAATTGACCCGTCACAAATCTTCCCCCTTCCACTTCAGACACATCAGGGAGCGGTCCCTACGGCGCATCCGTTAATTGGCACAAATCCACATCCGGACGACCCGTTCGTGCAGGTGGCATTTCCCTGATTCTCGATATTAATCTCTTTCTAAGTTGATATTAGAGAGAGAGGACTGTCGTTGTCTTTGTCGTTGTCGTCATTGTTGTTGCTGCTGTGGCGGCGGCGGAAACCCCTCTGGTTGTCGCTCTCCTATTTTGTCCACCAAGTTCTTCTTCGCTTCCCCCCTCTCCCAGTTAGTTGCACTAATAGTGTTGAGGATTTATTTTATTCTATTCTTTCCCACCTTTCTTTTTTATTATGATCGTATAGACTCTACATAGTACTGCCTTATATTAAACTGGTCTGAACTGTGAATCTCTCTCTTTTCCCTCACATACACCCCCAAATTGTGTGCGGTTCAATTCTTTCCCCCGGTCTAGGAGGAATTATCGTCCTACTATTCAACCGATCTGGACTCTTACTGGAGCCAGTTGCCGTTGAAATCCCAATAATCCGTCTGAAATCGTTGATGTCTTTCCTTTATTGGCTCTATCCCCGTGAATCGAATCGATCGGTGCCAATTGCAGGATGGAAGGGTTCCATGGGGACTTCTACGACCACCAGTATTATTGGCCTCCGTCAGAGAACAATCAGTTGGGTCAACCTCAACCTTCCGATGACCAGCATGGCCAGATGATGTCCTTCACGCCCCCCGACCAAATGCAGGTCGAGAACTTCGCCTATCAAGCAGAGAGACCGGAAATGCTGGCCGCCAATTCGACTTTCATGTTTCCGCTTCAAACACCCAACTTGCCGTTCCAGTCCACCACTAGCTACCCCGATGGTCCCGTGTCGAACGTTCTGTTCCCATATGATCCACACTCCGCTATGCAGTTAGCGTCTGGAAACCCAGTTGCATACAACACTTCGTTCCCATCGTCCTTGGCATTGGAACTGAACCAGAATCATAGCCAACCCCTACAACAGCAGCGTTCTGTATCCCAATTTGCTTCATTTCAGTCGCAAGCAATAAATTTGGACCATACTGCACAGTTCGCTACCATGCAGCCCCAAGGAGCCTTCCCCAGTACGTACTGGGCCCCATCTCATCCCACCACTGAAGCCTATCATCGCGTTCAGCTGGTAGGACCTGCCAGTATAGCATCCCCAGGTGACCTTCAACCCACCGACTCGGACATGTCTCGTAGGCGACCGCGGGCGCTTCAATTGTCGGTCCTACCGTCGAGTGCTGCCACCGCCCATCGGTTTATTCAGCCGAAAAGGCCGTCACCAGTGAAGGGTGGGTTTACTCCAATTTCAAATCTGTGCTTCATTAGACTGATGCGTCTACCGTGAAGCATCTTCGTCGTGTTCCAGGTCGGATATGAGGAGTCAACCCTCCCAATATAAGAGCATCTGTTCCAGTAGTAGCATTGATATCCCAGACATTTTGGTAGGTTCCCACGCTTGACCTTGTGATATAGGCGGTCAAGCACAAGGAGCACCCTGATTTCCAACGCCCATCCGTTAATCTTTCCACTGTAGGCTGAAGTAGTCTCACGACCAGATTCGAAGATCAAACTTGGTACCGTGGATTTGTCATGTGCATTTGTACTCTGTGACATCTCCCAAGATGATCAACCCATTGTCTACGTTTCGGAGGCTTTCCAACGGCTCACGGGCTACTCAGAAGGAGAAATCATTGGCCGGAACTGTCGCTTTCTACAAGGGCCGGATGGCATGGTCCAGCGAGGAATGCAGCGGACTTTTGTCGACCCGCATACTGCTTTCCGTCTGCGGTCAACCATTGAGGACCGAATGGAGATTCAAACTAGTATGATAAACTACAGGAAAGGTGGTCAACCGTTTGTGAACTTGATTACAATGATACCAGTCAGGTGGAATTCCGGTGACTATCGATTCTACGTTGGGTTCCAAGTCGATCTTGTCGAGAAACCCAATGCGGTCACCAGTACAAATCCAGGTATGGTCTATACCAAGTAGCTACGACCAGTTCCAGTGCTCTGAACTGATATCAGAACTGCAGATGGTACCTACATGATTAACTATCAACGGACACAACTGCCCAATTATGTGGCGCCTCCCCCGGACATCTTCATGACCGACCCTGACCTAGCTGTTATGTTTGGACATGAAGACGTGTCAACAATTCTGGACAGGATCAGCTGTTTAGACCCAAGCTATAAGCACTACTTGGACCGCGTATTGATCGAGAATACCGATGATGTGATCCATGTGCTCTCCTTTGAAAGTGAATTTCTGTATCTGTCTGCTTCCTGCCGGAACGTTCTGGAGTACGAACCGGCTGAACTAGTGGGCAAGACCTTGTCGACAGTGTGCCATCCTAGTGATATCGGACCTATCACCCGCGATCTACGTGCTAGTACCAATACTGACCCTGTCAGCGTGGTGTACCGGATCCGAAAGAAGTATGGCGGGTATATATGGTTCGAGAGTCATGGGTCGTGGCACATAGCGGATCGGAAACGTCGCTTCATGGTTCTGGTTGGACGAGTCCGTCCAGTGTATTGCCTCGACGAGCTCGCGAAGGTCCCGCCGGGTGATTTGGCTGAAAGTGATCTTTGGGCCAAACTGTCCCCCTCGGGGATCATTCTCTTCATGTCTTCCAGGACGCGGGCAGTCCTGGGCCGCATGTCGGATACTCTGGTTGGGAAGAGCATACAAGAGCTGACCGACGCGCGTGGGGAGGCACAGCGAGCTCTGGGATTGTCTCGAAACGGCCAGCCGGCCAGTTTCCGGCATAAGATTCGTCATCGAAAGGGCCATATGCTCCCGGTGCACACCACGCTGTACCCAGGTGACACCACAGAAGGATGCAAACCTTCCTTCTTGGCCGCGAAGATGAGCTTCCCGAAAGCGACAGGCGCATCCCCAGCGCCGACACCCCTACTCCCGGCACAGTCAGCTCAGGAGGGAGCGAACCAAGCCCCCGCCGGTAATCACCACGCTTCGCCTCCACACAAATCTGCCCTCTTTCCCGAGCTGATGCCGACCCGGGGTACGAGTTGGCAAGTAGAATTTCGCGACCTGGAAAAGGAGAATCGGACGCTCTCCGAAGAATTGCAGCAACTGCTCGCACGCAAGAAGAAGCGGAAGCGAAAGTTGAGCAGTGTGTTGGCGGAGAAGAGCTGCGCCATGTGCCAGAGCAAGCGCACGCCCGAATGGCGCCGCGGACCCAGTGGAAATCGCGACCTTTGCAACAGTTGCGGGCTTCGATGGGCCAAACAAGTCCGGAATGCGGCGCAAGCAAAATCCGCCGAGCGATTTGGGGGTCGTTGACCTGACCTTCTTGGATCTTGGTTTAGCGTGATAAGCGGATATATAAGACCATGATAGAAAGAGGACGGTGCGGACTGAAGCCAGACGGAGGACAGTCCTTGTACATTAAAGTTATTTTTTATGGCTACGACTTGAGCGGATTGATTTAATACCTGAATCACGTAAGCATACAAAATATAACCATAGAATCCATCATGTGACCTAGAGGAAGAGGGAGAAGAAGAGATGGAAAGTTACTATACAAGATATGTACAATCTATCAGATACGAGATCTATTGTTTAACTCTCCGTTCCAACCATCTTTCCAACCAACGTCTCTCCACTCTCTCGGCATCCCAACCCTCGCTATCCTGGGCGATTCCCACTCCGCCACGTTCCTCTACCGCGATACGGACCTCCGCTGCCTCCAATTCCTTGACGCCGCCACATTTCCTTATCAAGCGATCATCCAGATTCAAGTACTCGGCATACCGTCGCAGTCGATCCCGATAGAGGAGGGAGACCAACGCGACCGGCCGGGTATGGGACTTCACCAGACCCAAGGCGGCGCAGGCGCGTAGGATCTCCTCGGCCGAGGCGGTTTCGATCCAGGCGGGATGCGCATACATACGGACCAAGAGATCCAGCTCCTGCTCGGACCCCACTGCGACGGGAGTCAAGAAGCCCGTGGCGGCGAGCTCGTGCGCGGTCATCGCGGCGCGCTTGCGGGCTATATGCAACGCGCGATCCTTCTCGACCTGGCGCGGAATGCGGCAGGTGAATGGCACGATGGCACTGCCCAGGGCGAGGATGACCAGGGGGGTCAATTCGCCGCAGACGATGAGCATAAGGGTGAAGGGGACCATGCGACGGAAGTCATAGGCGGCGCGTCGGATTAGTTGGAAATTGGACCGGCTGAGAGGGAGCGTGCGGACGGCGTTGTCGAACGCGGCGAAGGCCTTGCCGTGCTTGGTCGGCGGGGGAGGTGAGATGGGTAGGTACGGGTTGATGCCGAGGGAGGAACGTAGAGGGATGGAGGCGCGGTAGTTATGGTAGACGTTCTTCAGGCCCGTCTTGTAGAAGGAAAGATAGGCACGACCCATGGAGATGAAGCGCTTGAGTTTCTCTGTCGCTGCGGCGGAGGGCACAATGGGGTTGGGAAGATTCAGATCCGCTGGGCGGGTACTCGGCGGTGGATTCACATCGTTGGCTAGGGAGGTGGTTGCAGTTGTAGTGGTGGAAGGAACGGTGGACGTCACAGGCTGAGCGGAGGATGAAGGACGTGTGTGTGTTTTGCTGGATGAGGAATGAGCGTGACGGCGAGAGGTGAGAAGTTGTTCACGACGTCGGAGGGAGGTAATAGAGAGGATGGATGGAGACAGAGAATGACCCAGAAGTACCCTGTGGGGGCAGAGAGATGCCGACATTCTATACATGCGAGGATGGGTGGGTGCAATTGATAGAATAATCATGAAGAGAGAAAAATAGAAAAATATGAGGATGCCTGTGAATATGGAGTAAGCATGCCGTATATTGGAGCCTGAGGCAGACAGCCGGAGTACAGATGCAGGCAGGCATACAGTATCCCGTGTTGTTCATAATTCATCGTCTCTTCCTCTCTTCAGCTCTTATTCTTGGATTCCACATTCATTCGTATTCTGTGGATCTACTCCATCCTTACAAATCAATGCCTCCATGTCAGAATCATATCTGACTCATGATGCTGCCCCACACTTATTGCTGCCCACGACCTACGTCAGGTGATAGTATCTACTATTGTTGAGGAACACTCTACCATATACCAATTCCCTGTTATCAGCTCTCACGATGTCTCTCGACCTCACACTCCCCACTGCTCTCATCCTGATCGACAACCAATCCGGTCTCCTGCATCCGAGCCGCCCCGCTCGCTCTAACCCCAACTATGAAACCAATCTCGAATCGCTCCTGAGGGCCTTTCGAGCCGCCATTCAAAGGTCCTCTGAAAGGTCCTCCAAACAAAACCTAGAGGTCATCCACATCTTCCACTCTTCCACCTCTCCTGAATCCCTTCTTCACGCCTATCACCCGACGAACGGCATCCGACCCTTGGACTTCGCGCAGCCCTCGACAGACGGCTCGGAGACGGTGATGTGGAAATGTGTCAATTCGAGCTTCATCGGAACCGATCTGGAGGCTCATCTTCGGGCGCACGATATTCGTCAGATTATCATGGCCGGTCTCACTGCGGAACATTGTGTTTCCACCACGACGCGCATGGCTGCCAACCTGGGCGTCGTGGATCGGTACCCGCAGGGTCCGATTCGGATCAACCCCGACAATGGCGTGTTGAATGATGTCCCTGTTGATTCGGGGAGGATCATCCTCGTGGAAGATGCTACGGCGTCCTTCGCGAAGGGGGGAAATCGATCCGGAGATTATCCATGCGGTTTCGATAGCTAGTCTGGAAGAGGAGTTTGCGGAGGTTATGAAGACTGCGGATGTTATCAAGGCTTTGGAGGGTCCTATTGAATAGTTAGTCTCTATTTGATGTATCCTACTAGCGAGAAGTTATTTCAATATATTGAATTACTCTGCATTCTGATCCGGTATTCTAGCTTCATACCACATAACTGCAATCGTAACGAACGTATCTCATTCTCCATGGCATCAGAGAAGACAGAAAAATGAGAGGGAAAAACTATAGGTCCACATCGACTGCAACGACACTCTCCGAAGAAAACCCCGTCACAAACAGCCGTGCCTTCTTCGGTGACTCAACTGGCACTAACAATGCCGAGCTGGCGGTATGAATGTTGCTTCCATCGTCTTCGAAGATCTGTCGCGTTTCCCATTCCGCAGACATAACGCCGTCAGCTGCGGCCTTCCGTCGGGTATACCAGACTGTGACTCCGTCCTTGGCGCTGGGATCGCCATGGGACTGGCTGAGGTTCATGGCTTTTAGGAGTCCCGCCTGGACATAACCGCTGGCATCGTCAGAGACGGTACGATAAGGGTCCGCGAAGTAGCTGGGGTTGTCGATCGTGCTGTCGAAGCGGATCTCATCCAGGATGGAGATACTGCTGGTCTCACCGTCTGCCCGGGCGCGATACATGATACCCCCGATAGCATTACAGAGAAGTATCTCTTCCCCGTCTTGACCATGGCCAATCCCATTGCTGTTTTTGATCCCACTCAGTGCGACAGTGGCATTGATTCCCGCCTCCGGGCTGGCAGCAGACTTCAGCTGGTCCAACCGAACGTGAACCACGTTGGTCCATTTCGCCCAGGGGTAAGCGTCTTCGATGTGCCGCTTAAGCCCATGGCGGTAGAAATGATCATTGGTGGCGTAGAAGGAGGACGGGCTCTTGGCGTAGATATCATTCGGCGTGGTGATCAACGGATGACGAACCGAGCGCACATGCGTAGCGGTGCTCGTTCCCAAGATATGGTGAAAGAGTTCGATCTGGGAGCGAGCCTTGAACACGTCCTGGGCATTGGTGCCCGTCTCGTCGTACTCGGGATTGCGTAGATGATTCACCGCGAAGATATACACGGCCCCAGACCTGTCGGGATCCTCGATGACATCGATCCCATGGGTCACAAATGGACCTTCAAAATTCTGGAACTTCAGGCGAGTGGATTTCATGGTCTGGCCAGAACTCGCCAATTTAGCCTCGTTTCCGAACAGCGAAAACAGATTCTCTCACCTGGGGGTCAATGACATGAAGTGACCCGACTGAATCGCCTGGCCCGTCGAAGTGACCCAATGCTGGGAACCACTGGAAACGAGAGGCAAAGGAGTCTTCACACGCCGTGAAGATCTTCCGGGTAGGCGGATAGTAGTGCATATCTTCACACTGTACTGTGTCCTCGATCTTGACAAAGGACGGCGTGGTGGCCAGTCTCACTGCGTGATTGGGTGCTCGGAACGCCCCCAACACTGTAAAATAATGGGTGACGGGGCCATAGAACCTGGCCAAGAGGGCACAGAGGATGGTCAGTTGCACCAGCGACCTCATGGCGCCAGCAGTCCTGGGACGGGATTATGTATCCGGGTGTCTGACGTAGGAGAGCGAGGGGAAGAAAGGGGATACGTTGCAGGGGATGAGCTGACGACCGCCCACTCCAGAATGTAGGGGCGAGGCCGTTGCACCACCGGTGGATTCCCCCATGATTTATATTTACTCATCGGCAAGAGAAACGATCTGCAGGTATGTGGATGACCGCCAAGGCCATGATCAGAAGTACATTCGTTTCATCGGCAGCGGGGCCAACAGAGAAAAGAGAGGAGAGAGAGAAACCGAGGGAGAAATAAAGAGAAAGAGATGCAGCAGAGCGGGGTAAAACGGTCTGTCGCATAGAGACCAACAACATCATTCACATTCATTCATATGAAGCAAGAAAGAGGAGTGCTGGTTAATTTCCATTCATTTATTCCATTTTCCCTTTAGAGCACACACATCCGTTCCATCACAATTCCTCGATTTCCGTAAACGTAGGCAAGGAAACAAAACAAAACCGAACGACAAAAAAAAACAAATCACCATTAAAAGTGAGCAAGAAATAGTATCCTCCTCCTCACTTCCAGCCCATGTCTTCAACCTAATCAAGTACGGGCCGACTTCGCGTCCATGTACTCTTGGTCGCTAGCGTCCAAGATGTCATACTCCTCGTCAGTCAGGAACCCAGCCTCCGTGTCGTCGTCACCAAGGGTCAAGCTCTCTACATCCTCCAGAATCTCCTGCTCGGATGCATTGGACAGCGAGGGTGCCGCTGGTGCCGGTGCCACTCCCACATGAATGCTGGCGTCCGGCGATTCCTTGTCCAGCTTGGGGAAAATCATCTGACTTCCTTGGCGTTCAGTACTGTTGGTGGGAGGCACCTCATTCTGTGGGCAACTTTCCTCCACAGTCCTTGACTCCGGGGTCATAGGGTCGGACGAGCTGGTTGCGCCATCCTGCACCTGGATATCACACCACAGTCGATGGCCGAAGGGCATGCCATTGGAAAGCTTCAATCGCCAGTATGAAATCGCCGTGCCCACTCTACTAGGAGCCTTCAGCGTCACAGTGAAGTCAGCGCTCTGACCGGGCTCTAAGGGTGCCAACAGTTTGTTGCTCTCCATGGCAGCGGAGATCGAATCAAGGCTTAATGGATGGTTTGTATCCACATTAAACATCGAATCGCCACCAACGAAGCGTACGTCGCTTCCAACGGGCCAAGCAAGGGGGCCAGGATTGTAGAGGGTCCAGGTCTGCTGGAAAACCTTGTTCGGAGTCATACTAGTGCCATCCGGAACAGTATCACGGATAAAAAAAGCCTGGTAGCTAGACGCTGGTTCAGTGGCGGGCGCCTCGTCCACCTTGGCTGGCTCTGTGAAGGGTGACTCAGGTGTAGTTTGGCCTTCCTTCACTGGTGCCTCCTGGGTTGGTGTCTCGGTTTCAGGTGGCGCAGTAGCTTGAGTCCAAGTGGACCTTTGTGTCCGATCGCCAGAGGAGATTGTCTGTTTGTTACCAGATCTATCTTCCTGGAGAGTGCTGACGGTGACATTCCGCACCGGGGTCTTGAGCATGACCATTGGGTGGGTGCGGTTGTGAGGATTGGTCGGGAGAGCCTCGCATTTGGCACAGAAATCCGTGTCATAGCAAACGGAGCACTTGTAGCGAACTCCGGTGATGTAATTAGATCGCGGCCGGCTTCTGCAAAGTGGGCCATCGCAAAAGATTCCATAGTGAACCTCGTGGGATGACAATGGCTCGGCAATTGCTTCGTAAAGCGGAGCGAAGCGATGGCCTGGGTGGCGCTGTGATGCCTTCAGGTGGCATTCCGAACAATAATCCCAATCAGGACAAGTGAGACATTTGTAGCGTACGCCGACGATGCTCTGAGGAGGTATTAGCCCTTCGTGCCCTGTGCTTACACACCCAAGGCATTCACGAATCTTACCTTGTCGCAGCCATCGCAGATAGCGGCATGCTGATGATGACGGCCCGGCTTGCAACGGGACAGAACCATGGTCCTCAAACAGAACTCGCGGTCATGAAGTAGGGAGAAGGAATGTGCGGGATGATGACCGTGTAGGTTTTTCAAGAGACAAGTAATGCAGAGGTCATAATCATCACAGTCAGCACAAGACACCATTTTGGTCTCGTCGAGTTCTAAGACAAGTTAGTGCATCACGAGGGTTTATGAAAGAAGGGGAAAATTTAGAAGCTTCTTTGCGTACCCTTTAGGCAACCATTGCAAATGCGCTCCTCGGTGATGACTGGGGGCTCTTGGACAGCGGAAAGGGGCCTAGGAATGTCTTCTGAGACGAGCTCTGGAACGGGTTCCGATGCGTTGTTCTCAACCTTGACCTTTTGAGGAGGTACCCTCTCCGTTGTGCTGTTGGTGATGACTCCATCCTTTACGCATCGTTTTATCAGCCAATGGTGTTCATCTGGACAGGCGACTCCGGCCTCTACGCAGTCGAGGCACAGATCGTAATCACCATTTTCACAGATACCGCAGTGGTAATGCTCGTTGGCAATAGAACGCCCACAGTGATTGCAGTCGATGCAATACACTCCAGTGGAAGATTTATGGGACACTATTGGAACATCGAGGCTGTCCTGGCCTAATACAAAGTCCCGATACTGGGGCTGAGAAGCACTGGCATCGTTGGGCGACTGCATGGATTCTGGCTCCACCATGGCTGACTTATCCGCTTCTTCCGCCACAGTTTCCGTGGAAGTGTTTGGTGATTCCAACAGGAGGTTTTCACCCTGAGATTCGGGCAGCGGAGAACTGAGGACCGTTTGGAGGTAGCTATACCTCGAAAGGGGCTGCTGCTGTTCCTCAGGAAGTGGGACATGAGAACTACTCTCACCCACCACGGTAGCTTTGATACGCAGTTTCAGTTTGGCTTTAGCGGCTCGATAGAGCTGCTTGTAGACAGCGGGGTTGTCGCTGTCTAGGTGGACGAAGCAACCAGCACTGTCGGAGTAGCGTTCGAAGATGACGTTGACATCCTCTGGGATGCCAAGAAGTTGACGGAGCTATGACACGAGACCAGAAATTAGCACCAATCCGAATGGGTTGTTAGATGGTTGCCAGAGCGTGATGATAGGTATTATACAGTTGACGTCAAACGAAGAGGTCCCCAAGGTGGAAATGGACAGCTTCAGGAGGAGTGGGTTGACAGTCCCAACAGTATGGGGAAGATGGACTACAAAAGGACCCGGTCGGGAGCTCGAGTGGGGACATGACATACCTTCTGGGGCAGAACACGAGCTCCAAGCTCCCTCAGAGGCACCTTGAAACGCCGATTACTACCATTATGAAGCACCTTCAAGGTAATAATGGTAGTGGGACTGACGGCCGTAGTAGGGAGAGCAGAGGTCGACATGGTGTGCGGACTCTGCTAGACGAGAGGAGACGCCAGAAGGAAGCTAGCGGCACTAGGCCCAAGATGAGCTTAATTAACAATGATAAGGATAAGAAAGAAGGGGAAATGGATGAAGATGATAAAGATCAAGATGACGATGATAGAAATAAATAAATCAGACACGAGACAGGATTGCGAGGAAAGTTGGAAGGAAGTACAGAGGGGGTCGACCAAACCAGCCGAAGCAGAGAAAGAGGGGAGAGAAAGAAGAGAGAGAGCGACGGGTTAAAGAGCGGACTGGCTGCCTGGCGGTCATCTGCTCCATTCTGGCTGCATCCGGGAGGAGGCGGTGAGGCGGATCCATGCTGGTGGTTGGCGGTTGGTCGATCCCCCGAAGTAAGTATCCTTTTAGTACTTTTCCCCAGCTGTCTGCTGGGGTGACCTACTAGTTTGTTATCCTGGGGAGGAGAAAAGTACCAGAGAGGTACCTCCCTATGAGACGCTGTACAACTGTACGTAGGAAATGGGCTTACAGGTAACTTACTGACCGCGGCCATACCATCCATACATACATATACAGACCTTACAGAGTCGGTACATCTTGCAGTCCAGCTGTCACTACTCGCATGTTCCCCTTTGTTTATCTTCTCTCCCATTACGGAGTACAGCATAGTACACACAGACACATCCATACTTACTGGATGCATAGATGTGAGGTAAACTTACATTTATCAGAGAAAGGCTTACTGACAGAGAAAACATGAACTGAGCACACTTCATTTGATTCGACCCCTTCATTTCTTTGGTATTCTTCCCCTTCGATAGTCACTTTTGGAGAATCAATTATCGGAACATCACACGAAAAAAAAAAAAGAAGAAGAAGAAGAAGAAGAAGAAAGAAAGAAAAAAAGATACGAAAAAATTGAAAAAAGGAAAAGGAAAAGAAAAAAACCGGAGAACGAAAGAAACAACACCGTCATGTCAGAGCTTACAAACACATTGATCCCTACCAGTCAAATGAACGTGGCGGAAAACCTTGGAATACCAATGCATAATTACGTAGAAATCCTGCAACCTGAGGAGGCGGGGCACGCTCGCTCGCCAGAACTCGCATATCAACGGATTATGGTGAAAACATATGCGTGGAAAACATGGTAGTGATATGGCCGTCAGCCAACTAGCTATGCGTTGAGGGCAACACCGAATCATCCGCTCGAGAAAAAAAAAAAAAAGCGGTATCCATACAAATCATGAGGTATCCCCGGACACGAAATCACAATTGATGATGAAGAAACAATCGCTAGTAAATGCATGAAATCCTAATCTAACCACGGATCAGACACAACCGATGGAGGAGCAGAGCCGGCGCGACCGAGGCCACTCAAGTACAAGGAAAGAGAGAGGGGGGAAAAAAAAAAAAAAAAAAAAAAAAAAAAAAAAAAAAAAAAAATGGAGACACACACACACACATATATGGAATGAAAGAGAGATAGGGAGGAAATGGAGAAAGAAAATAATGCTCCAGCAAAACAGCGACAATAGAAGTTCGTAAAACTAACGAGGGAAAACACGTGGACATGTCCATATTCATGGAAAGGATGGCAAACCATTATGAAAAATAGACGAGAAAGGACAAAGGAAACGATAACATAGAATGCTAAGAGAACGGTACCTCTTCTCCCATTTTCACTGAGATGCGTAATACATCTCTCCTTGGGGCTGAGGATAGTAATAAGTTGTGCCTGGGGGCGTCATCATGCCACCCATACCAACAACTCCGCCAGGACCGGGAGCACCTGGCATTGGAAAAGATGCGTTCGGGTACATCTGCGTAGCATCGTAAAAATAGACCGTTCCACCCGCTTCGTGTGCAACAGTTCCTGCTTGCGACGATTGTTCCGGTGATGTATGAGCACCAGGTACCATATACTGGGGTTGCTGTCCAGGAGGGAAGGGTGGCATAGATGTTCCAGGTCCCGCAGCAGCATTATACGGTGGGTACTCAGCCCCCGAACCCGGGTAAAAGACGGTGCCAGCAGGATAAGTGGCCGGGTAGAAGGCCTGGGGTTGTTGGAACCCATACGGCTGGAAGGGTTGAGCGTGGATCGCACGTTCAGGTATTTGGGACAACGGTGTCAGGGAGGGGTGGGCAGATGGGAGAGGACCAGAAGTGTCTGGAGCATATATGGGGCCATGAGCAGGCATAGGCACCTGGTGATGGAATGGCTGTTCCTGCTGTGGCTGAGGGGGGTTAAAGGGAAAGCTGGCTGGTGTTTCAATGTCGGCAACGGATACTGCCTTCTGGGGGCGAGGCTGATGCATAGGTATCGGAGCCGGACGGCTCTCGCGATACGCGGGGTTCAAAGATTGTGAGTGAGAAAGAGGTGGTGGCACGGCTGGAGCGGGAACTGCGCCGACAGTTGCAGGTGGCATACCCCCAGGAGGTCTGGGGGGAGGAAGGCGAACTACCGGCTTGCCTTTCTCTGTCGTAAATATAGCTTGCCTTGATAGAACCGAGCCGGCTGGTGAGTGGTACTCGTCCTGCGATGCCGCTTTTCCGACTGATGATCGTCGGCTCATGGAGACACTTGGTGTGTAGGTAGAGCCGCTATAGATACTAGGACGTCGTCCTCCGTAGAATCCGCCACGACCGCGACCACGAAAAGCTTGCTGATTTGGTCGCAATGCTCGTGGGATAAATATGAACGACCTCTCCGTCGCGGGAAATATATACCTTGCTTGTTGTCCTGGGAGCGAAATTCGAACAGGTTTGTCTCGACGTAAAGGAGGCCGGTGCTGGGGTAGACGAGTATGCTGCCTCTTAGAAACCGCGGGATAAGAAATTGAGCGGGTCATTCCCGGCAAGAATACCACAACAGGTACATTCCCAATCAATGTAGTACTCGAAAAGGATCGGTTAGGAGGTGACGACCTAGGAGCTGTGGGGACAGCCTTGGGAGGGTTGCTGGGTATAGATGACTGCGTAGCAGGGAATCTAGAAACAAGATGATCGTCGCCAGCAACCGTATCGTGAAGATCATGTGTCCACTGGCCTTCGCTAGCAGCTGGCTTTAAGGGCGGCCTGTCATTTGTTAGCACAGATCTTTCTCATGACAGAGGGAGAAAGAAATATATACCTGCGCACATTCCCATCCACAATCAGACCATAGGGCCTTGATTTGGACTTGTTGAATGGCTTGTAACCGTTTGTCATGGACTCCGTAGAACGCTTGTCGTGAAGGAAGAAGCTTCCCCGAGTGGGCACGAACGCTGGATTTTCATCCCTTTCCTTTGAGTATTTTTCATGTTCACGGCGTTTCCTCTCCGCAAATGTTTCTCTGCTAGGTTCCGTAGGCGGTGCGGACGGTGTCCTCCCAGTCTGTTGGCTGGACTCTCCCTTCATCTGATTAAAATGGATCTCGGCCATCTCACTTGCATCACTAGAGATCTTCATCCCATTCATCATGGCCTCCGTGTCGGAAATGGCGTTGAATGTAGCCCGTTTCCCGGGGGATGCAGAATGGTATCTACCCGGCTGCCGACTTGCTTCGGGCACACGACCGTTGATACGATGCCCATTTGTGTGATCCCCTTGCGGGGAAATAAACAACTCATCATCGCTCTCATCACTTCCCTCACCATCAGCATCGTCATCTTCTTGATGACTGACGCCCGATCCTTCGCTCAAGGAATCGTCCTCCAATTCTCCATCTATCGAGCCTTCATCCTCGCCATCCTCGTCCCTCCTCCTTCGTCGGCTAGCACCGATGTTATGACGACGCGGAGCCATGTAAACTGGAGGTATATGTAAAAATAAAGGTGGATAAATCGTCAGGCACAATATCCGCTCGTCGTGAGTGCGGTTGGAAGACGATGAAGATTGTTGGGCACGGAAGCACCGACCAGGTACCGCGGCGAGACCAGCGGCTTGCAAAGCAGAGCCACCACGGTGGGCGGAGCGAAGCAACACCACAGGAGGAAGAGAAAATAAGAGAACTGTAAAGAGATAAGCGGGTAATTAGGGAAAGGAGTTTTTGATGGGGGAAAGACGCACCTCAGGGGTGGGGGAAACTGAGGGGAAAGGGCGGGAAGAGAGCTGGAGAGGATGGAGGGTTTGGAGGAGAGAAGCAATTTGATGGTTTTGCCCATGAGCCATGACATCTCGGTCGATGTCAACCGCCCCGATCGGGTTAGCGTCCACCCGAACCACATCAGCGATTCTAGAACTTTAACAGAGACACCACAAACAGGTGAACCTCGTTCGAATCCTCGAGTTTAAGTCTACGGTCTATCGGGTACAAAGGATATCGGCACCTCGACCTCGAATCCTGTTTGAACATCCGTTTGCACTCATTGGCATCTGATTTAGCGCCTATGTCGGTCGAAATCGTTATTCATACCTATCATCATCATCATGAACTGTGCAACAAGGATCGACAGCCGTTGTCTACCTAAGGCGTTAGTTGGCTGCACTTATGTGGCTGTCTGACTAAGTATGGCAGTGATGTAGACTTAGGCATCTAAATATCTATCTACTTGTTAGGTATCTTGATGCACTACTCTCCCTGAAGTCCTCATGATTAACCCGTTTTTGTTATGGTCGATCTATGTACATTAAATAGAGAACGCGTATATCATATCAGAGATATGTAGAAGCAGCATCTTTTTTTATATATATTTTTTGAAGGCATCAAGGGTCAGGGATCGGCCAATGCCTAATCTCGGCTCCGTGACTTTATGAGCAAGCTACTGGCCCTAGCCATGCAAGGATTGTAGAGCTAACAAGGAATGCCGTGGCACTGGCTAGAGAAGGTCACCCTAGATGGCTTAGTCCAAAGCAGAAATAAAGTAAATAAGGGTCGTCGGATTCATGGCGCTCCTTTCTCCGGCAAGGGATTCGTTGGACCAGCAAGCCTTTGTCCCTCCCTCCTTTCCCAGTCAGATTTATGGGAACAGGCAATAGTAGTTTAATCGAATGTGGTTTTCTTTCCTTGAGATTCAACAATAGCACCACTGAGCTTCTGCACGGTTCCCTCATCATATCTTGAATACTCCGACTTTTTGGTCTTTTTATTTACCCGTTGAGTGTGTTGTTTTCCAACTGATTTCTGTTGGGTAGATCCATCTTCAACCTCACTGGCCTCTGCACAAGTATCTCTCTTGGACTCTCCGTCCTTTCCGAAACGCTTCTTATATCGGGTTGAAGCATCTTCAGCAAACTCCATCCGCATACGCCGACCAAGAAGCTGATTTACCCACACTCTCCTCTGTTTCGATTTTTTGGATTTCTTCGATTTCCCTGCCTCTTCCTCTGAATCGTCTTCGCCCTCATCCTCGTTGACCACTATAAAGCCCTTCACCGCTGCTTCAGCCGCCGGAAGTTCCTCAAACTCCACCCAAGCATAACCCTTGCATTTTCCAGAATCCTGAAAAGTTGCCACATGTACATGTGTCACAGTTCCGCATTGTCCAAAGTGTTCTTCAATGGTCTCCTTCGTAGTATCAAAGCCGAGATTGCCGACAAATATGCGTCTTGAGGGAGGGTGGCCGGACGATGCGGAGCCTGCCTTTTGGCTTTCTTCCTTAGATTTTTCCGGTCTTCCCTCGAAGCTCTTCGCGTCCTTAATCAGCACACGTCGTCCGGATACGAGTTGTTCACTGAGGCCCAATGCCTCCTTTGCGGCCTTAGACGTGGAGAAATCAACGTAGGCAAATCCTTTGTTTTGTGCTTTTCCATACTTTTCTGCTCCTTTTGGCATATGAATTCGGGTGATGGTAGTATCGGCGAAGGAGCAGTTACTTGTTAAGAACCGACGAATATCATCCTTGGTCACAGTGAACGCTAGATTTCCGATCCAAACTCCATAGTCAGAACGCTTATTGGCGAGAGCCTGGTCATCTGCAGATGCACTCTTATTATTCTCCGGGGTAGCCTCGGATGTAAGGCCAGCAGCGGTTTTCTTAGCTTTACGCAAAGCTTTTTTAGATGGGGGTTCAGGGGCAGAGACGTCAATTTCGATTTCAGGTGCCTCGGGTAACTTGCGCTTTTTCTGGATCTGTGCCATTATTTTATAAAAATTTCAACGAAGATAGATTGAGATAAATGTAATTTGGCTGTATGCCGGAATAGGCTTTAATTGAATCAACAGCTATTGCCTGTCGGACAGTAGATTTGCTTATTTTTTTTTCTTTTTTTTGGCGGGCAGAAACACTCCGCCCCAGCGTCCATCTATGCCCCGTCCAGAACTTCTTGGCGATCTACCTACCGCTTAACGTGACCAAGGCTGATTCGAATCCCATCGCTGCTAATCCTCGCTTGCCTTGGTCTCTTCAATCCTAGCGCACCATTTCCAGGAGGCTTACCTCTATCTGTTGCACAGAATCTTTATCAATTCTAGTTAGCCATGTCTCAAGATGCCGACGATACTAGGTCTGTGGCTGAAAGTTTACCTGATGCCCCTACCAAGCAATCATATCGGTCTTTCAAGTAAGTGCAACAGTGTGTATTTTATCGATGGCCAATGCCTAATTCCTTCTAGGAAAAAATTCGCGAAACTTAAGGTCAACTTTGAACTACGAATGAAAGAGAGCGAGGCGCTTGTCCGAGAAGAATTGCGTATCCAAGACCTTTCAAACAGAATTCAGGAGCAAAACGAGTACGTTAATGTTCCCCCCCCCCTTTTTTTCCTTTAATTTTGTTCAACCATTGATTTCGCTGCAGCCAGCTCTTAGAAGTCCTCCTGGAATTCAATGACAGCCTGCACATCCCGCCCAATTTACGGTTTAATCTAAGTACATCAGAAGATGCTTCGCTGCTATCCAGTACTGGAATTGAAGACCCAGCTCCATCGAATGACCCTGAAGTGGCCGCTTCAATGCTAAGACATGCCAAGGATGAGGTAGCAGCTGGACAGATGACAGCTGAGACCTACCACGGTCTGGAGGAATCTATCAAACGAGGTAAGGCGTTTGAGCCACAGCTCGAATATGCTTCATTGGTCAAGGTGCCACATACTGTGCCGCAGACGGTAGAAGAGGATGATTCAGCTGGTGTTAGCCTCGAACATCGTCTTGGGTTTTTCACGCCGGAGCACGAGACCGAGTATTATTTCGCTTTAGATGCCAGGCTGGGTGACGAAACAGCAGCTTTGCATCTCAGTCGTGCTCCAGACAAGCCTTCATTCCATGATCGGGAGAGGGATGCTGCACTTCGGAACTCTATCTCCGTCTACAACTGGCTACGGAGAAACCAGCCACATATCTTTCTACAGGACAATGAGAATGCCTCAGAGAAATCCGGTTCCCGGCCATCGAATTTGCGGGCTTCCAAGAAAGTCGCCCCTCAACCTCGAAAAGATGAGGATGACGATGATAGCGTCTTGATGGACACTGGACCTACGTTCGCTGGAGCCAAAGGCAAGCGCAAACGAGATGAAGACGGCGGATCTAGAAGCAAAGGCAGCGGTAGCCGGTCAAACAGAAAGAAGAAAGATGATACCACTCCTACTGCAAAGCGCCCGTCTAAAAGGTCATCTGGAGTGGGAGCTTAAACTGTACCTTTGCCCTACGTTGGTTTTTACTGCCTGTGTATTATTACTACTGAGCGCTTTTCTCCCACCCTTTTCGCATCGCTTGCGCCGGAAGTCAGAGACCTTTAATGGAGGCAGCTGATGAGGTCAAACAAATCCAAAGGAAAGGAGGTGAAAGGGAAAGTTGGGAGGATGATTTATATGTTGTGACAATTGTGTTTTATTGAAAGCCTAACAACATTCTACATAGTTGTTGGTGGTTTATGTTGTTGTGTAGTGTCTTATAACTTTGGACAAACAATGTGGTTTATCTTGTTAAAAATTTCTCTTTTTCTTGCGCATTTTTTCTTTATCTCATACATAGGACTGATTGTTGAAAGTGTTGGTTGCTTTGCTAGGGAACCCAACATTCACGTGTCTCCACAAGTTAGGTTTGTCTTGTTTGCACGAAAGGCGGGAAATTGGAATCTTCTCATTCTTCAATTGTTCCACCATGCAGGCCGACTAAGTTCACCATTTTTCATGTTCTGTACAGAAACTACAGATTTACGTCACTATTTTCCCTCCAGGGCCGTGAGCATCAATTGAGGATGGCTATCACCATTCTTCGGCCGGTCGTGGATGATATAGATATCTCCCGGCCAGACTCCCAAATTGATTCCATGTCTGTGGACTCAGACGGGGGAGTCGATCTAGCTACAGGTAGAAGTTCACGACCAAGCAAACGACCCCGTCTACTTGAAGGAACGTCAATTGGCGCAGGGATTGTCACGCCGGGCGAGGTGGTGACGGACGATCCGCAGTGGATGAGGTTGGTTTTCTCGACTCCATAGCCTTAAATTTCCGGCTTGCTACGGGCTACACGTCTGCAGGGCGCATACTGACAATGATCCAGAGGACACGGCACTTACTCGAATCCTCTCTCGACCTCGATCATCGCCACCGTTGCGGGAAATGTCCAAAAAACGAATAAATTGCTCTCTGTCCAGCCTCTTCGAGCTCGTTATACCCCGGAGATTGGTGATCTTGTGGTGGGGCGCATTGTCGAGGTTCAGTCGCGACGATGGAAGGTCGATGTGGCCGCACCCCTCCTGGCACAGCTCCCTCTTTCCGCGATCAATCTGCCAGGCGGTATCCTGCGTCGGCGAACGAGTGCAGATGAGCTGCAGATCCGAACGTTCTTCAGTGAAGGGGACTTGGTGGTCGCGGAGGTTCAGACTGTGCACTCGGACGGTGCGGCGTCACTGCATACACGATCCCTGAAATACGGTAAGCTCCGAAACGGCGTCTTCCTCGCTGTGACGGGAACCGGCGGTAGTGGCGCATCGAGTTCGACCGCGAAGGGCGGCATTGGGTCCGGCGCTGCGGTGGCGGGTGTAACAGGCACTGGCGGAGTGGTTCGGTCCCGGAGACAGGTATGGACTCTCAGCACCGCCAATGGAGGTGGCGATGTGGATGTCATACTCGGAGTGAACGGCTACATTTGGATTTCGAAGCACACAGACGGGACTGGCGCTGCATCGTCCACAACAGAAAGTGTGTCGATCACGCGCATGGAAGAAATGGTGTCGAGCTCTATCTACTCCAGCCAGAACGATGAAATCCCACCGCAGACGCGACGCGAAATTGCACGACTGGCACAGTGCATCCGAGTCCTTGTGCAGGGAGGAGTACGGGTGGACGAGGAAACGGTGATGGGGGCCTACGAAGCTAGCTTGCAGGTGGATTTGGAGATTGGGGATGATTATGAAGATGACAATGATGATGACCATAAGGGAGAAGGCAGGGCTTACTTGGAGGGAAGCAAATCTCGAAGGATACTAGAGTTGGTGTTGGAACGACAGTGAACGGTTGTGTACATGGTTGCTTGCCACGAGATTAGATACCCCCCAGTTTGGTAATAGACAGGCTCGGTTCTGACAACAGAGCATTTGGGATTGTTAGTGCCAGACAGATGGATGACAGATGGATGACCGATGGATGACCGATGGACGTCAGACTTGAAGAACGTCACCACCAAATTTCCCTTCTGGGCGTCGAGAGACGATAAGCCAATCTCCACATCACGTGGAGATAGAGACCCCAATGATTGGCAGCTTTCCTTCTCTCTCTCTCATTTTTTTTTTTATTTTTTCCCCTAAAAAATGACCCAAGTGCCCAATAAAAGTAATCTGAGTTGCATTCCTTGGAGGAAGCAATCAATCAGAATCCATTAGTTCATGGACTGCATCAGCTGAATAGTGGACGAGCCTCTTTTCTGTTGGCGATCACGGGGTCATTTGTGCAGAATGAGATCACCCAAATTGCTCTCTCTTGCCTTTCCTTATCTCTTTCTCTTCTCTCCCTCGAGCGATCACCCTCTGTCCATCTGAAGGCTGATTTATTTTCCTTGGCTAGTTATACCATGTCCTTCGTATCGGAGAAACTATTTTTATTATCCATAACTTCCGTACCTGTTTCATAGCGGGCCTGAACACTACCACAACCAGTATTATTGGTACTATTAAACTGCTGGTTATTGATCACTGCCCTCTCCACCGAGCGCTTATCGTCTTTCGTGCCTCGCGGGAAATTCCCTCGATTTCCTTGTAACCTCGTTACTTTCTTACCGCAGAATTCTCCTCTGCGCTTTCTACCATGCCTGATCTTCGTCGTCAAGTCTTCGAGAGCGGAAAAACCATCTCTCGCAAGGCTGCCTCCCGCGAAGGTTCTCGTCGCACTTCACGCACCAACTCGGCTCAAAATTCTCGTCATTCTTCCCGAAATGCAAGCAGACATGCGTCTGATGAAGAGGACGCGGGAAATCTCAGCGATGACACCGCATTAAGGTATGCCCTTCTTTTCATCACTTTTCCTGGTTCCTGCTAGTGGCGGGATGATGTCATCGGTAAAATAAAATATGTTGAAACTCGTCCCTTACTAATGATGATTTCTACCGCACAGTATTGGCTCCTTAGATGATCTGACCGATAATCCGGAAATTGACAACACCAATTGGACAGAAGAGCTCGGTGACGTCGTCGAGGATATCCTGGATCGTAAGCGAAGCAGTGTCTTGAGCCGGGAGGAAGCATACGCTTCGCTTTGCCGCCTTTCTAAAGGCCATTACATTGAGGAGCAGATCCGCAGCCGGGGGAGTGACCTTTTGGCTGCTTTCTGTCGGAGTATAAAGTTCGAAAACAGCGTACGGGAGACTACCCTGGCGCTTCGCGCCCTCGAGCTCCTTGCCATCACTACGTCTGACGACTCCATCTACGAAAACGTCGAGTCGTTGCTCACCCGTACGATTCGAGACTCTACGTCCAACGACGTCAAGGCAGCCGCGATCCATTGCTTAGGTGCCTGCACGATTTTTGGAGGCGCCTCGGAAGATGGAGCCCTCGACCAGATGACGTTTCTTCTGGACATCGCAGCCTCCGATGGACAATCCATCGACGCTGCTGATGATGGAGGCAGTGTCGCTGCGGCTCTTCAAGAGTGGGGGGTTTTAGCAACCGAGATTGAAGATCTCGAAGGGGAAAGCGAAGATGCGATCCAAATCTTCATGGATCAGCTGAATAGCGGCCAATCAACGGTCCAGATTGCCGCGGGGGAGAATATTGCTCTCCTGTACGAGAAAAGCTACACCCCGCAGGAAGACGACGAGAACTCCGATAACGGCAGCCAGGACTCGGACGAGGAATCTTTCACAGTTAATCCCAGTTCGCTGAGCGGCCCCAAACTGATCAAGCGCTACAATGCTTATCACAACACGCACGAACTGGAGCGGCAGCTTCATTCGTTGGCTACCGTGCACAACAAACACATCAGCAAGCGGGAGAAGAAGAATCTCCACAGTAACTTCTCCTCGATCCTTACCACGGTGGAAAACCCTCGTCGCGGACCCATGTACAACACGGCGATCGATCAAGACACCAATCGTCACTACGGCAGCAAGTTCACCGTCAAGATCGGCCGACAGGGCGTGATGAACATTGACCGCTGGTGGAAGTGGATTCGACTGAACTCCCTGCGCCGCATCTTGCAGGGGGGATTCGCTGAACATTACTACCAAGGCAACAGAGCGGTCCTGGACAATCTTCCCATCATGGTCCGTCAGAGTACCCCATCAGACCGTGGGATGGCCCGAAAAGCGGCCAAATTACGGAACAGTCGACGATGGGCAGTCCAGCAGCATTCGGACGGAGAATAAGTAGAAATCAAAATTGGTAAGGGGGGGGTATACCGGCTTTACACGGTTGTCTGATTTATTATATACACGTTTGAGTGGACTATGACTCTTTCTATTCCCTAATAGTTGTTGTAGTTTCTTGTCATTTTTTTCTTTGGTAGATGGAATCCATACTCTCTTATTCTAGATCACTCTATATTTGATGTTTTTATATACTTGCAGAAACGCAGACACGGCATTGCAGTCGCTTAATAAACGAAAAGAGTTCAAACCTCTCCTGAGTGGCGACCTTGATACACAGGTCACTCAAAATAAATCAAAGCATTTGGGGTCATCATCATAAAGGAGAGAAAATAAGAATAATAAATAAACAACCACAACAACCGTCGTATGAAAGACATAAAATCGCATATAATGTAAGACGATGCAAATCAAATACTCACAGAATGATCTATACCACAGCTATACACAACTGTTCAGGTCACTGTCACGGCCCAATAAGGCTCAAATACTGGGACTACGCCGGACCAATTCCCCTTTGGACCGCTCCTCCCAGTAGCCGTCTTTGCCGCATTTCAACCGCCAGACGACTTCGCCTTCGCTGCCCGCTGCGCCATCATCTTCGATACGGGCAAACCACCGGGGAATCCAGGTCTCGCCGGCGGATTCCATCTCCCGGCGCCGCGTCCGCTGGCCTTCTTCCAGTTGGACCTTGACTTCCTCGGCGCGGTCCACGTCGCCGTCCTCCAATGCGCGCTGGTCCGGGCGCAGACGCGAGTCCGTCGCCGGCAGCTTGTTGGCTTCGATTGGCGTGATTTCGTTGAGGGCGGACGCAAAGGTGGTGAGACCGTAGTGCTTGGCTGCGTTGGAGACCAATGGGCCGGACTGCCACACCGTGGTCCCGGTGGCCGAGCCATTCTTGGTGAGCTGCAGGGAGGAGGTCCAGGTGCCCGTCAGGCCTAAGGGCAGCTCCCGACCAGACGAGTCCACGGTCCGGCTGTTGACCTCCTCGCTGCGGCCAGAGAACATGCCACCAGCCTTGAACATCGACAACGACTTCTGGCCGGTCGTTTCGTTTGCCAGCGACATCTCCCCGACGGGCTCGACGTATTTCTCGCCCGCGATGATGTTGCGCAGGAAGCAGGTGGCCGGCGCCCAGCTGAAGTGTTCACCGGTGGTATGCAGGGTCAGACGGAACTTGCCGTCCGTCACGATCTCGGCGGACTTACCCCAGAACTTCTGCGTCGGCATGGGCGACTGGGCCAGACTCCAGTCCTTGCTGTCCGCTTGGTACGCCAGCTGCACGGGCCGGTGTGAGACCTTCTCGGCGATGAACCGAAATCCGAGGTCTTCGCGCACCAGCTCGTACGTCTCGCCCAGCATGGGATTGAAGGGCTTGCGGATCGAGCGCTCCCGGACCCGTCCGTTCGACAGCGATGAGAGGGCGAACGCAGTCACGTACACTAGCCGCTCGACTGGGTCGGATGCGGCGGCCGCCTGATCCAATAGTGATGAGTATTCCACCACTTCTGCTGCTCGTTGTAGCAGGGAGAGCGGTTCATTGGACGACACCGGCAACGAGATCTGCGAAAGATCCTTCCCGACATTCTTGCGGAGGAACCCAATCAGACTCGGGGGCATCACTGTGGGGGCAGGGATGTTGGAGCGACGGGGAACGCACGGCAGTGGCAACGGAGTGAGTGACTTGGGCCGGATGGGGAACAAGGAGCAGAAGCGGTCGCCATGGGGCGTCATGGCTTCCGGATGCTCATCTTCGCTGTCGGATGACCCCTCGTCGACCACTACATCGTCTCCGGGCTTCGAGGCCGCGGTGTCTGCGTTGGCAGCGGTGGTGCCGGCCGCTTCGTCGTCGCTGTCCCCACGGATGGTCAGCAGAGCCGACCCGTCACCCCCGTCCACGGCGTCAAAGAACTCCTGCGACACGTCCGACTCAAAGCTGCGGCGGGACTGCATGGACAGACCCGGTGCATGACGCCGCTGCCTGCTCTCGGCGATCAGCGTGGAAAACTCACTGACAGCGTGGTCCAGGTCCCGCAGGACGGCCAGGAGATGTTCGTGGATCTCTTCCATCGGATCGGTGTGGCTCGCGACGCTGCCGGGTTTCCGCTCGCCCGAGAGGGACGACGCATCCGCACTGGCTCCATGGCCCGGCACCGTCAGCTGGGTGGACGAGGCCATGGCTGTCGTGGGGCGTTTGGCACCCGCTGGCTGGGTGCCCGAGCCGGTTTTCCGCTTCCAAAATGAGCGCTTTTCGCGCGTGTCGGCGGACTCGGTGCCGTTGAGTTCGCGAGAAGGAGGGCTGGGAGACCGAACCCTGGGCCGCTCGAGCTGGCTACTGGTCCCCAAGTATTTCGGGTCCGTATCCCTGGCTAGCCGACGGACGGTATCTCGCGATCCTGAGACTTGGCGGACTAGAAGCTCAACCCGTCCCCACTCGCGCTCCTCCGACGCATTGGGGATTATGCGCTGCGACGGCACCCGCCGCAGCAATGGCTCGGGAGAAAATGCTTCTTCAGCCGGGGTTTTGGAGGAGGCCTTCTCGAGAGCCCGCCTCCAGGAGGCAAACTCCTGGTCATTGGCTGCACGCAGGTGCCAGACCTCGGTGCCGGAGTCGATCGAAATCTCCCGCGACTTCTCGTTGCACGCGACGGCGGCCAGGGACAGAGGAATTGAGCCTCGCAATGCAGAGGAATTTCGGTCATGATAATAGGACAGGGTTGAGGAGGTAAAGTCCAGGGAGAAGAACCGCCGGGCCCAGCCTTGATGCCGCTTCCGGCGCCGCTTGTGCAGGATACCGGTGTGGACAGACCCCAAATCGCAGTCGATAGCATACGGAAGGGATTTGGCAATACTGTTGCCCCGTTGTCGCGACGTCAGCGGCTTCCCTGACTCGGGGGTGTCTGCACCCTGAGACGGTGTGCCGGCGGCATGAGGGACTGGCAGCGACTGGGGAGGCAGGGCGGTCGGGTAGGTGAGCAATACGAGAGTGACGGTTTTAGAGATCTGCTTGGAGAAGGTGTTGTCGAACACGAGCGCGTAGTTTCCGCCTTCATTGGTAGGCACATCGTAGGTGCCTTGGACGATCTTGTCAGCCTCGCATTTGCCGAGCCAGCGGATCTGCTTCAAGCCGAAGCTTGTGAGACGGTCGATAACCGAGGCATTGGATCGCGCGCTGGTGGTGGAAGATAGGTTTTCGGTTGAATCCGTCCCGGGGGTATCGCTTGATGGCAGATTGCTGGAGCTCAGCACGGCGGAATGGCCGGGATGCTTGAAGATGCCGAAATTGAGCGACTTCTTATGCGGTTGAATACTCCACGAGATGGTATGGCCGGCCTTGACATTAAGCCAACGCACAAAATAGGACTAATCGCGACAAGGAATAGTCACAGAGGGAACAAGTCAGCGGACGCTCTTTAGCTCAATCCTTTGGAATTGCACCCATTACACCTGCAGAAGTCGGTTGATGGTGGGGGAAAAGGGGAGTATCATCCGCATACCTTACTGTGGATCTCCAACTCCTCCATGGCCGCCATGATCGCGAGACAAGCAAACAACTGAGATGATATAAAAGAAAAAAAAAAAAAAAAAAAAAAAAAAAAAAAAAATTCAAAACGAGGGAAATGACAAGCCACCAGAGATTGTTGGTTGTGTAGAGAGCGACAATGTCGCTGACGCTGACGGTGGAAGGGTGACGATGATGCGTGGCCCGACGCGCCGAATGACGGTGGAAGGGGGCTGGACGCGAGGGAAGTGAGAGAGGGAGGGACAAGTGGGGAGAAGAGGGTGATTCCTGAAAGAATAAATCCCTAGCGAAAGAGAAGGAGAGAAGAGAAGAGACGAAGTGTAACAGAAAGAATGCGGAGAGAGCGGAAGACGAGGCTGAAACTCACATGGTCCTCGGCTTATGTAAATAATCAAGATAGTTAACTAAAAAATAAAATAAATGAAATGATCAATTCCCTTGAACAATATAATAAAAATAAAATAAATAGTACAGGACAGAAGAAGACCAGAACCATCGGTAAATCCATCCATCAATCCCCAATCCATCCGAGTCCATAATCTATCTCCGTTTTCCAGCCTGCATGTTGGTAAACATCAACTTAAATCCATTACACAACGCCCGCATGTCCGGATAGGGATTGCGCTGCAGTTCGTAGCCCTGGGGGATGATCTTGACCGGCCAGCTGTGCAGTTGCGCATTCTCTCCGGCCTTAAAGCAGAGGAAGAAGTATCCCGCATGCTTCGGGTCGATGCAGAACGAATACGCCGACCGTTTGGGATTCGCCTTGGTGTAGGTTTCCAACCACGAGTCTGCGATGTCAGTCAGCGATCATTCGAAGAAAGAAGGAGGGAAACTTACAGGTGGCATCCCTGCTGCCTTCCTGGTACTTCTCATGCAGCATAATCTCGTCCACCTTCTTGGCCATCGCTTTGACATGGTTAAAGATCAAGTCGTCCAGGTCACTGTACGTGTAGCGTCCTCCCACCTTCAGCGTGCGTCCCACCGAGAATTCGTTCTCCTTATCAAGCTCCAGCACGTCGATATGCTGGAACACCCCATCGGCCACCTTCCACGTCACCGCCAGATGGTCCGGTCCCTTGGACGACGGCCGGATCACCACGTCACCCCGACTCTGCGATCCCAGGAATTCCTCCGCCTGCGTCGAGTTGAACGGCCGGAACAGCGGATGCTTGATGACGCGCATCGTGCGTCCGCCGCTCTGCGTCTTCTCCTGCTGCAGCTCGCGGTCCTGTTGCTCCTGTCGGCTGTCCCACTCGCCCTGCAACCGATCCGACATCTTGCCCATCGGTCGGCTGACCTGCTCCTCGCGCAGCGAGACGTTACAGGTGAAGCTCTTCCGGTTCAGGAACAAGATCTTGGCTGGCACCGTCTGGTGCGGCGCGTACAGCGCCCGCACCGGGATGTCGTATCGATCCGTCAGCTCCGACTCGGGCACCAGCGCGTCCATGCCGCAATCCAGCTTGCCGTCGATGTGGTCGTCCGTCACGCGCTTGATGGAGATGGGCACCACCATCCCCTCCACCAGCGTCTCTGCCGTCTCGCCCGTGAGCATGGTGAAGATATCGTCCGTGCTGAGGAAGACATACTGCTTCCGCAGCTCCTCGTATGGTTGCTGCAGCTCTGCGCGGATCGTCTCTAGCGTCGCGCGCTTCCGCTGGTTCAGGTTCTTCTCTAGCTGCTCTGCGTACTCCTCCAGGATGAGGTCGTTCACCCGATCCTGCGCTTCTTCCCGGAACAGCTTCCGCACGATCGCGCCCGGTCCGTTCTCGTCCGTCTCCGCCTTGATATCCTCCTCGTCCAGCTCGAGCGCATCGGCCGCCATCTTGCGCGCAATGTCGTAGTCTTCTGGGTGCACCCGAGTGTTATCGAGCGGGTCGGCATCCGGATCGGCGTTCTCAAAGTCGACATACAGGAAGCTGGCGCAGTTGTTCCACACCTTCACCCCCATGGCCGGGTACTGCGCGTTCACCCCGAGCAGCTCCACCCGATTGTTCACCACGCCGCCGTTCATGTTCACAATCTTGAGCAGATGGGCGGCCTTACGCGGGCCAAGCCCACAGACGTAAGGCAGGAGATTGGCCGTCGCGGGATCGGTGACGGCCTCGTTGACATCCACCCCGACCAGGTTCACCATGTCTACCAACGCCGTCTCGAGTTGCTTCAGTAGCAGCTCCTGGCTGACCAGCTGCTGTCCCGACTTGAACTGAATGGACACAATATCCCGACCGAGGGATGCATATTCCTTCAGGGGGCTCTGCAGGTACTTGGCCAGCGCCACGCAGTAATGCGACAAGGGGGCAAAGCTCGGATGATCCTTCTTGGCCCGCTCACTGTGCTGATAGAGCCGCGCGACCTCGTCATTGACAGTGATCACCTCCAAGCGATCACGGATCTCATCATCCCGCTCATCGGTGTATGGAGCACTACGGAGGTCTTTCTTGTCGACCACATCGATCAGGAGTTTGTAGAGCCGACGAGTCTCGGGAGACATTCCGGATACGCCGATTACGTCCGGTCGGCGCCGACTCACCAATTCCTCCAATGCTGCAACGTCTTTGCCGTCGGGGATGTTGCGGTCTGAGTCGCCGATCGACAGGTCGACGAATTTCCCGTTCTCCAGCACGCGGCCATCCTCTTCCACGTAGGCCCAGTGGATGGGATCCCGGCCGACAATGCCCGAGCCCGTCGACAGAGCGAGCACGCGAGGAACAGTTCCCAGCACCATGCCCTTGGGCTTGTACGGGGCCTGATCCAGCCGTTGAGAGAACGCCTCCCGGCATTCCTTCGCCACGTGATTTTCACATTCCTGGCGGATATTCTCCTTCACGCTGCGGTTGATCAATCGCTCCAGCTTACTCAGGGCCATGTCCAAGACGTCCCGGCGCGTGCGGTTCCACGCATCGGCGATCTCGCTGTAATTGTCGGACTCGATATCGGGATAGAGGCGTTGGCGGAAATGGTCGAAGTTCTCGAAGCGGACCTTCACTTCTACTAGACCCTCCTCTTCAGCCTTGAGCATGCGGAGATACAGCTCTGGCCGCCGGGCGATGTCGCTGAGCTGCTGGTTCCGCAAATATTTAAATTCGTAATACGGATGATGCTCATCGATCCTCCGCAGACCCTTCTCAGTCCGGAAGCAGTCCACCGCACCATTCATGTAATAGGCCTGTCGGATTACCTTGCGCATCTTAGGGCTCACCACGATTTCCTCAGCGAACATCGTCTTGGCCGCCTTCAACACATGTGACGAATTGGAGAAGTCATTGTCCACAAGTAGATCGGCCATCTCGTCCGGTCGGTCTGCAGGATCTTCTGTATACTGACGACGGCCCTCCTTCAGGGCGTTCTGAGCAAATGCATCCGCTGAAATGCCAAATGCGCGCACCAGTGCGTAGGCCTTGCCGTTCCGCACTCGCTCAAAAAAGGTCTTGCTCGATGCCTTCCGTCGCTGCGTTTCGCCATTGGCGTCACCGTTGGTCAGAGTCATATCCCGTAGCTGGGACGCATATTGAAAATGAATATAGTCTTGTACATCCTGAAGCTCCTCCATGGTCACGGCGGCCGGGAGCATCTCTTCCACCACCGGGTCGTTCACGTTGAAAAGACTCTGCAAGTTGTCGTAAGCCTTCTGGATTGTGTTCCGTTTATCGACGAGCGCCTTAAATTTGAGGTCATGGTCGAAGATATCCCAGAGATCTGTCATGTTCAGAAGTTTTTCGGCCTTAGTCGTATATTGGGATGCGTCGTCATTGTAACCGACCCCTTCCGCAGGAACCTTGACGGCGTGGATCATGTAGTCTTTGCGGTGTTGGAAGATGAAGGGAACCTCCCAATCGTCCGTCACGAGGAATTCCAGGACCTTGGCGACCGAGCGTTGGAATGGTTCCCGCAGCTCGGGTTCAATGCGCTTCTTGAGAAGCATGAGGTTCGAGATCCAAGCTGCCTCCTCGCGAAATTGCTCCTCAGTCAGGACCACATCGCGGTAGGGCTTGCGGGCAATTTGATGCCGTTCGGGTTCGTCCAACAGACGGATTTGGTTGTCTTCCTCGGTCAACATCTTCTCCGCCAGTTGCGACGGCTCAAAGACATCCTTGAGATCCAAGTGCTTATCTTCGTCCACCTCTTGTTCCTGCTCCTGGTCTTCCAATGCTAGAGCAAAATAGTAGTCATCACCATCACCAAATGCGGCGCGCATATCTTCAAGGGCATTCTCATCTAAGCCCGTTGCATCAGTGGTTCCCAGATTGGACAAGAAAGTCTTGGGACGGGCAATCTCTGGGTCCTCTTGCTCCCGCTGAGCCTCATCGTCCGAGAACACATCTTCGATGATGAAATCATCCATCTCATCGTGCATGGCTCTCCGATGACCCGGTCTGCCATAGTCGCCTACAGGTTCCTCTTCATCGTCAGAGTTGAATATGTCATCGATGCCCTGAGACGGTTGACGAAGATCACGATCTTTGTGGCCACGCTTCAAGCGCTTGAATTTGGACTACCGGAGAACCAAATAAAATTAATCACCTCGCTTTCTTCAGGACAACACGACGCAAAAGAAGATACACGCAGGATGGGGGAACTGGACGCATAAGATCGCGAGACTGGACTTACTTCTGCCGCCGCTGAGGGCGTACGCGCCGGGTCAAGTTCCCCGATGAGCTCCAAATCTTCTTCATCCAGATGCTCATCCTCACGCTCACGTTCTTCCCGCCGACGCTTCCTCTTCTCCCTCCGCCGTTCTGCGCGTTCTTCGAGCTCTTCATCTTCGTCGACAATAAAGCCTTCTTGTACCTAATGAAAAGGGAGCGTATGAGTCAACACTAATTATCTGGCGTCTCGGGGCACTATGTAACTTACTGCGCGAGCTGCCTCTTCATCATCATCCTCATCCTCGTCCTCTTCGCTCGAGTCGTAGTGATTTGCCGGTCTAGCCCCTTCACGAGTTTCGCCCTCGTAGTCATCTACCAGTTCCTCCTCATTTTCCTCCTCGTCCAGCATCGCCTCCCCCTCGATCAGATCGCGGGTGCTCATCTTGTGTTTTCGGGGGGAAAGTTTGGGGATACAGGGAGGAGAATGGCTGAAGCCGAGCCAGGAAAGAAGAGAGTGGGGACTGATTCAGAAGAAAATAGCCACCAAATCCACCACAGGTCACGGCACCAGAGGTACCAGAAAGTGTCCACGGGTTAGGATCGGAGCAAGAGAAAGAGGAGGATTGGGGCAGGGAAGGATGCACAACAGAGGCTTTTGAGACGAGATTGGGAGAGACTTAGCTGAGGCCAAAGAGACTGTGGCGCACCAAGCTTCACCGCCCGGGAAGCGTGGCTGAAATATCATGTCACGTGCACCAAATATGGATCATGTGATCTGTATACTGCTTCGGCCTTCAAGTCGAGGTTAATGGAGAATAGGCAAAAAGACGAAACAAGTGAAGCAAGAGAAGGTTTCGGTGGGGTCTGGACTGACAGGCATGACAGGTTCTAGAATTTCAAAAAAAAAAATAAAAAAATAAAAAAATAAAAAAATAAAAAAGAAAGAAAAGATCTTACAAGGGGGACAGAATGGGGAACAACTGTCTTAAGGGAACAGCGACTGGGATTATTTATTCCTATTCTTTATATAAATCAGATTGAGCTATGGATATCACCAGGATAGAGATCTGTCATCTGTTGGTTCTCACGCTCTTCCTTTCCCTAGACCAGACCATTTCTCAGTGAAACGAGCGCTTGTCTGGACTGGCCGCCGTTGCTCCGCCCGAGACGAATCTCTCCACCACCCCACGGACAGCTTCATCCCAAGAAGTGGCCTTTCTTCCCCTTTTCCCTCCTCTCCAGCTGTCATCTCTCACCTTTCCTTCTTTCCTCCCTCTCTCAGACAGATCGACTGCAATTTAGGTGTTTTCCCTGACCCTCTCCTGCTTCCCAACACCACTTGGGGATTCTCCCCCTCCTTTCCCCCACCTTGACGCTGTCTCTTTCAGCGCCCAATCAATCAACTCTTCCTGTTGGTCTCAACAACAAGTTTATCCGTATCCTCATCCCATCGAACGACGAACTATCCGAGTCTCTCGGTGACTTCAGGGGACTCGAACGTGTCTGCACTCCCCCCCCCCCTTTAACACTTCCTCCCCACTCTCTCCATCTTTCATCCCTACTCCATCGGGAAAACACCCCAGCAGTCACTTCGTCCTACAGCCATGGCCGATCAATTCAAAGCTCGTACGCTGAAACGCAAAAATGTCAAGGGCCTTGCCTTGAGTTCGACCCCCAAACCGGCGGAGAACCCTTCCGACGGAGATGCCCAGATCCCCGGCGGCATTGGCAATACCGACAGCAACCGGACGGACACACTGGAAATCGGCTTGGAGTTCCGATTAGACCTTCGCAGTGAAGACTTGGTCACCCTCAAGGAATTGGGCGCGGGAAATGGCGGTACCGTCTCGAAGGTCATGCATGCATCGACCAAGGTCGTAATGGCTAGGAAGGTATGGCCGACGCTCTCGGATGGGTTCTCACCCTGAGAAGGGAGCATAGTCACTAACCTCGTTTGTAGATTATCCGCGTCGATGCTAAGGAGAAGGTGCGCAAGCAAATCTTACGGGAGTTGCAGGTCGGACACGACTGCAACTCCCCGAACATCGTGACTTTCTACGGAGCGTTCCAGAACGAGGCGAGAGACATCGTGCTCTGCATGGAATATATGGACTGCGGGTAAGCCGAAGCGAACATAAAGCCCATGCGCACGAATTCTAACGCTTTTTCTCGACCAGCTCTCTGGATCGTATCTCCAAAGACTTTGGCCCGGTGCGGGTTGATGTGCTGGGCAAGATCACCGAGTCGGTTCTTGCCGGTCTGGTGTATCTCTACGAGGCCCACCGCATCATGCATCGCGATATCAAGCCGTCTAACATCCTAGTCAACTCGCGAGGTAATATCAAGCTCTGCGACTTTGGCGTGGCCACCGAGACGGTGAATTCGATAGCCGATACGTTCGTCGGAACCTCGACATACATGGCCCCGGAGCGGATTCAAGGCGGCGCGTATACCGTGCGATCGGATGTCTGGAGTGTAGGATTGACGGTAATGGAATTGGCCGTGGGCCGGTTTCCCTTCGATGCGTCCGACTCGTCTGCTGGGGACCGGGCTAGTGCTGGACCGATGGGTATTTTGGATCTCTTGCAGCAGATCGTTCACGAGCCCGCCCCCAAACTGCCCAAGAGTGACGCCTTCCCTCCGATCCTCCATGAATTTGCCGCAAAGTGCTTGCTTAAGAAACCGGAAGAGCGGCCGACGCCTCGGGAATTATATGTGCGGTTCCCCGGGTTCTCTTGCGTATACTCCGTTCTCGTCTGCTAACTCTAGGATATAGGACAAGGACGCTTTCCTGCAAGCGGCTAAACGTACACCCGTCGATCTCCAAGAATGGGCCATCAGCATGATGGAGCGACACAATCGGAAATCCTATCTGGCTCCTCCCCCGCCAAAGTCCCTCAGGGAAGATCCCTCGCATCCCAGTCCGGCACAGAAACCGACGACTGCCAACCCGTCTCGCACCCCGCAATACCCTCCCACCTCCGGAGAAACCACCGTGAACGTGTCCCGTGAGACTCCCTCGTCCCATTCGCGCCACGTCCAGTACCCCTCGAACCCATCTCCGCAACCCGTCCGATCAACCCGTTCTCCCCCGCTGTCTCTGGAGCATTTATCCTTGGAAACCAAGGAAGACGGATATCGCTCTGGTCGTCGTCCTTCGCGGGCGCACCCCGAGGACCCTGTGTCTGCCGTGGACTCACCATTCCGGCCGCCCATGGCCTCTCGATCGGCCAGCTCTCACAATTCGAAGTCTCGAATGCCCCTCCAGTCCTCGACACTCCCCGTGCGTGCCGCTCCACCACCGAGTGGCCCTCCACCACCAGTTCCCGCGCCAGGAGCTGGATCGCGGCAACGTCTGCCCAATCCGATACGCGGTGACCATATGACTGGGGCCGTATAAGTGGAATTCATCCTGAAGTAACTTCGTCTGTGATATCATGCTGCGTTCTCACGAGGTCCCAAGTGATCTATAGCTTATGTTGCACCCAAGACCTGCATTTGGCATTTTCATATTGACCTGCTATTGAATTTGCATGTCACCAGCCGTTATTCTTTTGTTTTGTGCCTGTCCACTCATCCGGTCCTCTTTTCTTTCTTTTCCCCGCACACCCTTCTCTATTGCCTGATATGTTGATTTCAATTCCATTAGATGATGGAGTATCTCACTGACCACTTCTTGCTTGACCGTGTTCCGGATGATTTTGCATCGGCAAGGCGTATTCATTCATTGTCTTTCTTTTCTTTCCATTCATTCTTTCCTTTCTATTCTTCTTCACTTTTTTATTTCCTCACTTTCTTACCTGCTGGGTTCCTCTTTTCTTTTTTGTCTCGTACAGTTTACGTTTTACTATCCCCAATCTGTAATCCTGGTTGTGTCTGTTCAATAGCGGCTGTCTTCCTTTGGCGGAAGTATTTTGAGTTGGATGTCGAGGCTGGAACTCTTGCATCTATTTTCCATTTGTCTCATTACATATTTGTTCCTTTTGGACAGGTCTTATCGATGCAAAGTTCACAATAAACAGACCCCCTCCTCCCATGTCATATGCTTCTGTAATCATCTTGGGTTGACGAAGTTATAGTATGGACTGTCGTATTAATATCCGACGCTCGAAAGAAGGTAGAAATAGGCACCACACCACATCATGCATGCATGGAGGAAACGACGGAACACCATGCTTGACCACACGAGTAAACAGCTAAGGAGCAACGGAGGGAAAATAGGAGACAAGTATAATAAGAACATCACAGCACGGTGCACATCGAAGGAATCGAATCTAATCCCGTGTGTACTGTAGTCACAGCCATACAAGATTCGATCAACCATTCTACAGGAAAGAAAGCCCTTGCATCGTCCCTCTGTACCCAGTTCCAGTGACGCCAACGACAAAGCACAAAAAAATAATAAAAAATAAAAAATAGAGCATACGAGATATGGGGAAAACCCATGAGAACCCATATAAAGAAAACCGATGTAGAAAGATAACAAGATACTATTTCGTTGTCAATTCGGGAGCTGACCCCGTCGGGGAAGAGGCAAGATTGGGTCGCGGAGCCAGCTCGAGCATAGACGACGGTGTCTTTCCTCCTCGGCTGCTCGTCGACCCTCCGCGACCAGCGACACCACCACCCCGTCCTTGCGTTGTCGCCGATGTTCCACCCGGCTTGTCATGGTCCGCTTGCTGACGGGCCGCCTTTGTCCGCGGACGACGCGGATTGCCTCCTCGCGACCCAGGACCTCGAAGCGGGAGGCCTGTTTCCTGGGATATTGGAACTGCGGCCGCCAGTGGCACTTGATGCTGAGCGGATGGCGGGCCTCGACCCCGACCACCGCGTCCGCGACCACGGCCGCGTTTGATGGTACCGTCGGCGCTGGAAGCGGGCGTTAGTACTAACTCGTGGAGAAAGATGGCCGGATACAAATTTAGGAAGCACCCACCGTTCTACCTGGACCTTTTCCCCCTCTGGCACCAGAGGCCCACTGTATACGAAGAACCCATCCTTGCTGGCGGCAGCCTGTTCCTGCCAGGCCAATTCGCTGTCATCCACAAATGGGTCGTCTCGATCATATTCTTCCATCTTCTTCTTGCGACGCTTCTTTTTCCCCTCCGTGGCCTCCGGGCCATTCGTTCGAGCAGCGGAAGCGGCCATCGTGCCTTCCCCATCGAGATCACTATCACGATCCATTTCAAGGCTTAGATCTTCGTCTGCACTCTCTCCGGCAGAGAGCCCTCGTCCAGACTTGTCGTTCCGCTCCAACGCAGCGCCAGCGGCCGCCACACGAGCCAGGCGTTCCTTGTGGGCAGCAAGACGAGGATGGAGTGCCGCAAACCCATACTGCTCCTCGGCCAGGCGAGCGAAATTGACAATCCGGTCGCCATTTCCCTGTAACGGGATATGGAGGATGATGTTAGGAGTACGCCGGGAAGCGGACTCGCCCGTGGAAGACCCATCACCGACACCAAACAGTGCATTGGATATCAAGCCAGAACCTTGGGGTAACGGGGGAGGAGCCTCCTTCGCCGCACGAGGTGGCTTTGGCGACGTCGCGTTCGATGGTGGGGCCGAGGGAGGGGCCTTGGGATCCTTCTTCGGAGCTTTGGCAGGTGCGGTGGCTGGTGCCGACGGTTCTGCGTCGACATCCATCGGCGTTGGTTCCGGGGACAGCGCCCGCTTGTTGGCGTTCGACGCGATCGGCACCACAGGTTCAGACATCGGAGGTGGTAGCGGCGGTCCAGGTTGGATCTTGGGAGATGGACCAGCTGATGGGGATTCGTGAGATAGCGGCTGTGGCTGTGGGGGAGGTGCGTATGGCGATCGGTGAGCGTAGGGTGATACCGGCCGGGGTTGAGGGACTTGCTGCTGCTGCTGCGGCGGCGGCGGCGGTGTGGGAGCTATTGCCGGGGTCGTACCAGGGGAGAGCGAATAGGCCGAGGCGCCGTGACTGGGTGAGACATAGCGTCGGGGAGCATAGACAGGCGGCGAGGAGTTTGTGGGAGGATCGATGATGCTGGCAATGGCCGGAGATGCACTGGCGCGGAACGGGGGACGCGGCGAGGGCGGGTGTGCCGGAGGACTGAAGGTAGAAGAAGCACCGGGAACCGGGGTAGACACCAGAGCTGGAGCCGGGGATGCCGTATCAAAGGCCGATCGAATGGGATCGAAGTTCTGGCCGCTCGTCCTTGCTGGGGGCGGGGGTGGAGGCTGAGATTGAGGACGCGGAGGAGGACCTACAGGGGCCATTGTAGGGTAGGACTGGACGGGGGCCGGAGGAGGCGGTGCAGGATGGGATGATGGAGACAGCGAAGAGGACGAGTGCAAAGGAGGGCGAGGCGGTTGTTGCAGGTGCGACTGGGTAGGATGAGGATGAATGGAGGACGAGGCAGCCGGGGCAGCTGGAGCTGGAGGACTGGCCGCCGGAGTGCTGGGCGCTGGCGTAGCAGCAGCAGCAGTAGTCGATGCAGCAATCGAGGGAGGTTCTGGCGGCGTCTCTTCCAGTTTGGGCTTCTTGCGAGAAGGAGCCGAAGAAGAATTGCTCGCAGAATGGTTCGGCGTCGAGACGGATTTGTCCCGCGGGCGACGATTGCCCCGTTTGGCCTCTTTCTGGTCGACGTCTTTCTCCTTGTCGATTTCCTTGATATTACTATCCTTGTCTTTGCTCTTCTCCCGGTCTTTCTCCTTGGTTTTGGAGGATTTGGAGGATTTGGAGTCCTTTCGGTCGGGATCGGCCTCCTCGTCCTTCTTGCGACGCGACCGTCGAGGACGAGATTCTCTGGGTTGGGAATCAACGGGGGAACGCGACTGAAGTTCGTCCTGAGCCGGCCAGACGGACGGCCCGGGGGACATGATGAAATGGAACGATTAAGGTAAAAGCATCGAGATGGGATGATGATGACAGTTGGAAGTTGGCCGGTTGAGGTGGAACCGAATGGATGGAGACTGGCGATCGTTTTGATGTGGATTTTTTGGATTTTTTGATATTTTTTTTTTATTTATTTATATTTCCTTGTGAGGATTCTAATGATCGGAGAAATCAATCCCACCCACAGAAAGAACAAAAGAAACGAAGAATGGGGGTAGAAATTGATGGCTGATGATAATGATGAGAGGTCGAAGGGGGAAAGAAGAACGAAAGAAAGAACAAACCGGAAAAAAGGAGGAGGAAAGGAGGAGACGGGAAGGGCTGGATTGAGACCAGAATTAAGGTCAATCGACTATCAAGTGCTGGATCGGTCGCCAAATGGTGATTCTTTGCGTCTCCAGTCTTTTTTGTCACCTTCCGGGTGGATCGAAGTAGATCGAGCAATCTACAGGGGCATACAGATGGGTTCTGATGAGCCTTGCTTCTATACTCTCAGCATGAATCCCGTAATTCTTTCCTCCTCTCTTGGTCCCGGCGATTTCTTGATATCAAAAAGGTCGGATCAGATGATCCGCCGTTCCCCAATCGGGAAGCATCATCAGGTGATGCTGCTCTGCCCCTTCAGGACTAGTGTACATTTATTTTAGGTTTTGAGCCGCACGCTGACTGTCCGCTTATATAATGCGCCAAGACCAGCATCAAGTCAGTCCATGGATAGCTTCATCTTCGTCCAATTTGGGTCACTTCAACATCGCCACAACACTTTACGTTTTACTGCCCCCCTCCCCCCCAAACCATGGCATGTCGTGGCCAACGTTTTGTGCTGGATCTCGACTCCGACAATGACCATCCTTCTTCGACCCTCGATCCTCCTCCTGACCCTTCCTCCATATCCTTTCCCGGGATGATCGGCGAGATCCGCGAACGATCGACTACCGTTGCCCCCACGCCGCCGAAACCTCCCTCTACTGGATTCCCTGCCCACCGCCGTCGCGCCAAACAGTCGGCGTTTAAACAACGACGAGAAGCCTCCTCCGCGGCTGCGAAAACCTCAACGAGCGCATCTAGCCCCGCCGATGAGAAATCCACGATCGGAGAAGAAAACAGTCGTCATTTAGCATCCATGTCCGCGGCCCAGATCCAAGCGGAACGCGATGAGTTGATAGCTTCCATGGACTCGTCACTGTTGGAGAGGTTCCTCCGAAGGGCTCACATCGACTCGGAAGACGAGATATCTACTTCTATCCCCCGCCCGGGCCCGTCGTCAACCTTATCTTCGCTGAACGGACCTCCAACTAAGGCAACTCCTCACCATGAACCAGACTCACAGTCAACCGTCACTGGATTCAATCCCTCCGACATTCAAGACAAGTCAAATTCAAGCCAACAAGACGATTTCCCCCCGACACAAGTCCCTGAAGATCTCCAACCTGCGGCCGAGTTTCCCACCTGCGGGACCGTCCACTTCCCAACTCCGCCGTCGCAATCGTCTCCCATGCCCAACCTGGACCCCTCGTCTCCTTCATTCCTTTCCGACCTTCAAGCACATTACTTCCCGAATATTTCTCATGATCCGTCCGCTCTCTCTTGGCTCCAACCTGCCTCCACCGAGAATGAAGCCCCTGACGCTTCCTCCCCCTATCACCCCTCCAGCGACGCCCAAGCCGCACATCCATCTGCTCTTCGGTTTTCCCTCGTTGGAACCATCCTGTCTCCAAAGACCTCCCTTTCTCTCCCAACCACCTTAGGCCTCCACCACCACGGCAACGACCCGCATGCCGCCGGTTATACGATCCCCGAACTGGCCATTCTCAGCCGGTCCTCGTTCCCCGCCCAGCGCTGTATCGCCTGGCAAGTCCTGGGTCGCATTCTCTTCCGTCTGGGAAAGGGGCAGTTCGGAGATCGTGGCAGCGCGCTGGTCGAGGGATTGTGGTCTGTCATCGAACACGAGCGTGTGATGGCTGGTATGCTGGCTGAGGCGGACGGAGCGTCATCAGGACACTCCTTCCGGACAGAAAATGAGTCGAGAACGAGTCAGGGGTCATCTGCAGCGAACACTGGCATCGGCCGCCATGCAAGTGCGTCGGCGTGGGCCGTGGAAGGAGTCTGGCTTTGGCAGACGGGTGGTGGTGGAGATCGGGGGGTTCTGAAAGAGGGAGAAGTTCGATCTCAGTAGCCTTTAGGTATATTTTTGTTTCCATCCTGGCACAATTAATAGCCGGGATTGTCATGTTCAGCCTATAAAAGTGGATTTGAAACTCGCATGGGAATACGGCGTATGGGATACTCGATCCTTCGATTATAGAATTGTAACGAATGAGATGGCCCAATGATCAGTTCCTTCAACTTTGAAAACTCCTCTCTAAAAATGCTAAGTAGATGCATACATCAATGAACCACATGACGAAATCCTTCAAAGTCATCAATCCCGTACCTAATCATATTCCCATGCATCGTATAGATTCGCAACGGCATCACTCATGGTCTCCGACCTGAATCCCCCAGATCTTCCAACGAGTCTCCTCCAGAAACTCTCGTCGTAGCCATAGCCCATCTGACGACCCGGTAGTCACTGGCTCGGTCGTCTCTTTCTTCGCCCCTTGCGCTTGTACATCGGATCCGCCGTCCATCCAGCCGAACAGGAGTCGAAGCTGCCAGATCCGATCACGGATTTCATCCGGATCCGCCCCACGACCCAGCGTGGCTTGGATCACATTGTGCACCGTACTTTCGATCACTAACCTACTATCCACGGCAGACTGCCGCAACCACGGAGCATATGACAGGGCGCTGAGGCTGGAGGCGCGATCGCGTGCTGGGAATGACGTAGGGAGCACTAGAGCCTTCTCACGCACATCTAGTCCTTCTAAAGATTTCAGATTGAAAACCCATTCCCAAACGCTCTGTGAAAGGGACAGGTGCATGCGGTGAATGGCGGCCGGCGAGAGCAGCGTAGTGACATTCGGCCACCAATCTGGTGGCAGCCCCTTGCCTTGGTTATATACGGATGCGGACGACGGAAGCACGTCCTGCGCTTCGCTATGTCCAGATAGAGTCGAGACAAACACTGACGAGCCGGTCGGGTTGTAGGTCGTCTTCCGTCGGAGGTAGATGGACTGGTCGCCCAGCTTGAACTTCTCACGCAGGGCCGGATTCTGTACAAAGTCGAGGACCAGAGGCCAGTAGTCGGCACTGTTGGCCTCCACCCTTACAATCGTCTTAAGATCAGGTAGGAGACATGGTGCGGTAGTCTTCCGGCTCTCACCACTTGAACTGATCACGGTGATAGGCATGGAGATGGGTCGTCGGGAATCGATGTCTCGAGGAACCAGGCATCGAGGCTCGGCAGCGAGAACCCAGAAATGGCGGAACGCCTGAAGGTGGCATTTATTATCAAGCACCGTCGTCGGAAAGATAGGGTACAAAGAGCAGATGAGCGAGGCAATCGCCAGATCTGAGGTCCCCAGCGTGTAGCTGCCTCCGCCCAAGAATAGCAGCCCAACTGCCATGTGCGCAGCCATGTGGCTTCCGTACGGCGTCTCGCTATCCACCCGGCCATGTAGAGAACGCAGGCGTCGGAACAACATCAGGTCCCCCGTTCCCGCCATCACGGTCGCTGCGGAGAGTGCGACTACATCTTGACAGTGCCGTACCGAATTCCGCGCAAGTTTACCGTCGTAGTTGACGACGGGGAGTCTGCAGATGCGGATGAACTGATCTAGGTACGACAGGAGAAGGTCTCGCACCGACGTCTGTGCGGAACCGGCATAGCGGAGACCCAGGGTGAAACAAAGACCGGCGACAATGTTGAAGAAAGGCATGTCATCGCTCTTCAGTCGACGGACGCCCGTCAAGCGATATCGGCGGCGGTAAACTTTTGGCAGACTTTGAATAAACCATTCATCGCTGGGTTCTATACTGTCCCACATAATAACGTGCCGCGCAAGAGTTCGAAGGAGGAACAGGTCCGGTCGAACGTAGTCAAAGCGTACCGTTGTATCTGGAATATCGATCTTTTGTGCTAGAATCGCATCATTTGTCTTCATAAATATGATTGCCAGAGCAATCGTCGCGCCAGCAGTAGCCCGGTCTAGGATATGCGCCAAATCGACGTTTTTGGTCCCAACCGCAACGGCCAACAGTCTTTCCACTATATGCATGTCTCGCATCCCTCGAAGGTCTTTACCCTTGCCCAAGTTGATGAACCCAAGAGCAAACCCAGCGGCTACGCGGTACCCTTCGTCACGCAGATCTTCATGCGACGTGGAGCTCTCTTCCTGTTCCACGTTTTCGATCTCAGATAACATTACTTCACTCATTCTCCGATGCTGGGAATTGCAATAGAGCAGGCCGATTCCCATGATTCCTGCGGTCTGCGTTAGTGGGGAGAGATTGAGCTCTGCGGCACCAAGAGGGAGCATCCTCGTAACATGCACTGATAATAGGCGAGTAATCAATGTGTCCATGGTCCCAAGGTACGACGCTGACAATCCGAGCAGTAGTCCGATGGACGTCATCGTATGCTTGGGTGTCAAATACTTAAAGGCAACCCATTTGGCTAATGATTTGAGGTGTCCATTAAGACCTAGTCCTAGCAAAAATCCGGCATGTCGATTGGTAAGGTCGACGGGCTTGTTAAAGAGAATCCATGATGTGTCAATTCCTCTACTATCTTTCGAAATCGCGAGCCCGGTAGAGACACCGTTGTGGAAAAAAGCCCAACACACTTTCTCTTCGCTAAACGAGGCCCGTTCGGCGCTGATGGTCACATTCGATGGCTTCATAACGCATTGCAAAGAAAACGAAGGGATCGGGAGCTTCTCCGTCAACAGAGGCAGTCGCCCACTGAACGCCAACATGGCCCGACCTGTAGGAATGGACAAGGTCCGTAGCGTCACAAGCTGCACCACTTCTTTCTGTGCCTCAAGCAGATCCGAATCGGTCCAGTCGGGTTCAGGGATACACTCTGCCACGGGAGCTTTGGACTGGTTCAACAATCTAAAAGCATCTAGGAAACGCTTGTCCTCGCGGAAAATTAGTTTCGTCACAGAGAACCTATCCGCTTCGGCTGACGCCTCGAATGAATTGATCGGCTCGATATCCAACGCCGAGCTTCCAATCTGGTGGAAATCGCGTACCGCATCGTGCGTGAGAGAGGGCTGCCATTGTGCCGGTGGGTGGCTCGGGATGCCAGTATGTATCGAGATGCTCAGATCTTCCCGATCAATGAGCTCCAAAAGCGTCGAGTTCCACGTCGTTGAAGCATGCATCTGTGATTGCATAATGAGTTCGCACAACGGGGCCCCAACTCCCTCGGGCAAAGTTTCAACAATACTTCTAGTGAAGCCCCAGCGATAAAGAAGTCTTATACGATCCAATGCTGTCGACAGGTTATGGACCTCCGAGAGGAAACCGTCCAATGCTAAAGTCCTCGGGGTGAGGATAAAGCATTCTTGCCACAGGCGTCCTTTCCTAGAGACGCGATCCGATGCGGTCACCAGACTGAGAAGCGTAAAAAGACGTGACGAGTGCTGGCGCCACGTGCTCTCCACGTAGGAGAAGATTGAAGGGGGCGTGAAAGGCTCCGGCGGTACATCTAGCATCGAGATTCGCGTATCCTCAAACTCCCAGCGATCCATACTCGACATCTCCATACCAAAATAAGAGCTCTCCGCCCATGTCCAGGATTTCCATCCTAGCCACCCACCGATCTGGGCTAATACGGGGGCAAGGAGGCCCAAGGATTTGTGTGACAGTTCGCTGTCGCACACCGAGAGCTTCTGTTCTTCTCGCAGAAGATGCAAACCCACCAATATGGTACATAAGGCAGTGCGCCGTAGGCTTTGGCTATAAGAAAGCGCCGTTGGGAGATGGCCTTCCGGGCCTACAACCGCGACGCCCTCGGGGGTCTGCAAAAATTCCCGAGTCAAAGCCACACATCGGAGCAAATACATGTTTTTACGACAGGTCGATCGGCTCGGGCTTTGCTGTCCGGCGTTTGAGCTCGTTTTTCCAGGGTGCACACCACCATACTCTTCGGCATCTTGCTCGACAATCCAGCCCCAAGAGCTATTGGTCATCCAAGGAGCCACAGCACCAGCCGAACCGGTTTCTTGATCTAACATCGACTCCCAACTCTCCAGGTCTACATAGCTTCCGCTACTTGACCTCAACAATCCCTTTTTCCTTCGGGTTTGCTTTGTAGGCGCGCGTGCTTGTTCGTCGTTAATGAAAGGTACCGCCATTGCAAACAGAACCATGACTAGCGCTGTCCATTCAATCTCTCTTTCGTTTGTCTCTCTTCTGCGAAGCCATTTCACAGTTTCCCACCATCCAGCCAAGATCCCATCCCCAGCTCTTTCCGAGTCAGGCAAAATGAACCGGAAGACTTTGAAGATGGTCTTCACGAGCTCGTTATGAGGCTCCATCCAGATCTGGAGTCTATGCTTTCGTCCTGTATGGTCAATCACGTCGAATTTCCCCTGAGAAGTTGAATGGTCAAGCCCAGTAATTATGATCGACGAATCTGTCACGATCCGATTCATGCCACTTTCCCTGGGACGGGTCACAGAGCAGGATATACCATAGGTCTCGTAAAGCGCCAGTTTCTTAGGTATCTCAATATGTATCGGGCTGGTCCAGGGAGTTTGTAAATGTAGCTCGTGTTGGCCATTATCCGCCGTGCTCAAGGTCACAATCCACGAAACTTCTCCATCGGTGATTTTACAGGCATCTTGTATACCGGGAAAGTGCTGGATTCCAGAGGCCTGCACCAACAGCGAAGACTCCTCAGGGTTCCGCCCTTTCTTCGACTTCTTAGAAAAGACCGCCTCTTTCTTTGGGTGCGTAACCCCGTCTGCCCGCAAATTGACAACGGTCATCGACTTTGCGTCTTGGTCCACAACGCAGATAGCCAACACAGCCGCTGAGTTCCCATTAGGCTCATTCCCAGCTTCAAGAGGGCACATGGTAATGATTTTCAGTCTCCGGGGCAATGTTGATTTCATCGATGACGGGAAGGGGCCGGAGAATCGAGAAGAAAAGCTCTCAACTTTAGAAAGCAAGACTTCCTCTGGGAGACCTGAGGCAGATTCCTTCAGACCCATATTCTCGAAGCTCTCAAACAGACTTTCGCCATTTAGTTCCTGAAGAAGCTTATCAACAGGGGCATCCACAAAGCTGCTTGCCGTGCTATACACAGATCCATTCCCGGGGGGTAGAGAGCCTCGAGGATTGAAACCAAAACTTCCCCTGGTGCTACCGGCACCTACTGATTGTCGCATGCCTCCATGGGCAATAGAGCTCGTCTGACTCCCTGTAGCAAGATCTGAAAAGGTAATTCGGTCTTGGCCGGTCGCTAGATCGGCTCTAGAAAGCAAGGAGCTCACTCTTCTCGAAGTTTTCAAAGGAACTCCAATGTCATCGAACTCCTGTCCTAATTTAGAGGCGAGATCCTCCTCATCCACTTTGCCCTCGGTTGAATATTGGGAGTGCGACAAGTTTGATGTGTTCCAATTGTCCCCCCTCGTGCCCAAGCTCTCCCTGGCAGCAGATGGGCGCGCACTAGGTGTTGTCGCTCCAGTTGCCATCCCAAAGTGAGAACTACGTCTTTTAGATCGAGTACCCCCTGTTTCTCGCCTCCTTTTCTTTCTAGAGGATGGATCTGTTTCTTCGTCCCTATATCGCGCCGTCCAAATGGTGTACAACCCAGTATTAATATTGACAGTTATCACAATGATCAATGGGCCATGAACCAGGTTTCGGCTAGAGTGCGCCAGTTCGTCCTTCGGAGAAACATACACTATCTCATCCGCTGGGTCTAGTGTATCTAGTCCAGAAGGTCTGCTGTTAAGGCTACTGGCTTGGAGCCAACGGGAGGTCTGGTTCGTCACCACAAGTCCCATTTCAGAATGCGGGTCCATAAGGGAGAAGACTCTAGGAAGATCGGTCTGTTTAGGATCCCGCGACTTCAGGCCGGTACTTTGTGCAGAGGATATTGTCAAGGAGGCTCGTTTTGTTTTCCCCGAGGGGATTTCCAGAGACTGGGATGCGCGAAAGTCCACGGTAGTAGGTAGAGAGGACACGAACGAATTAGGAGGTGCCATTGGATAGAAGCCGATTTCTTTGCTGGCATCTTCCTCATGTACTTTCCGTTGAAATAAAAGGCCTCGGGGTGTTGCGAAAACCGAGTCCACCTCAAACGGCAGAGGAATCACATGGCTTGTCCCAGCCAGGAAGAATATATGCGCCTGAGACTTGAGCACTACCACCAACGCTCGAGAAACCGTATTGCTTGGCTCACTAGTGCAGCTACCTTGGGTGCTGCGTCCACGGGCTCTCAAAGTCACTCCAGAAGCTACAACCTTCGACTCGCCATTTGAATGTAGGCCATGCGAGCTGCAGCTACTGCCAGTGTTGTCGCTCGTACGAGGATGCCCTCCTCCACTCACACCTTGGGAGGCTTTGTCTTCGGCTTTTTTAATTCTTTGGACGGAGAAATCTGTCAAGAGAGCATGTCTAATTTCCTCTTTTTCGAGCTCTAACCGGAATACTCGTCTGACCACCCCCGCTCGAGACCAGACCACGCAGCTCTTGGTCCAAACGAGCTCATCCTCCATTGGGCCATCTGGACCATCTTCAACACTCGTTGTCCAGGTATAGAGGTCCTCTGATGGTTCAGGAGGCAGGAGCTTTTCTGCGACGAGGAAAGGCACGGCGCAGGGTTCGTGAAGGCCAAGGGACCGTAAAGCAGCCATTGTCGACGTGAAAGATCAGATATGATCGGGGAGTCTCTGACACCGAAAACCAAAATCAGAGCCCATGTCCATTGTCGATCCACGCCATAAATTCCAACAGAACGACAGTGTGCGTTGCGTTGTAGAACAGGCCCGGTGGTGAGTAAAGTAGGTAGTAACTTGGGTGAACACGCGACGCGGTGGCGGAAACTCTGGATTGGATCACCTGCTTTTTCTTCCTCATGCTGCGCTCTCCCAAAACAACCTCCTCTTCCATTCTCTCAGCTCCCCTTCAACCGCCCTTTTTTGTCAGCCAGAATAGCACTACACTGTCTTTACATTGATTGGCAACTGCACAAGTGACCTCCCTGTTTTTCTGAGGCCTACGTTGTTTGCGAACTGTGGTTCGCCCTTCCCCTTTCTTTCTCTTCTACCCAGCAGAGATCGATCGGGCCCCAATCCCTCACCCAATGCCTTCATTTCCATCTAGACCACTGGTCCGGGCTAGGGACGATGGCCTGCAGCTTAGGTGAATCATATAACGTGTTGAGTAATGATTCTCAATGCTAACAGTGCTTGTCCTCTACTAGTTACCAATTACCTCACCGCGTTTATGCCGCAAAAGGATACCCAATTCTTGCTCCTAATGGTTCGTCTGTCATTATCTATGGCTATGAGAATGGTCTGAAAGTAATCTGGAGAGGAGGAAGGCCATTCGCTAGTCAAAAACCACCTGTTCAGAATAAGTCGAAACAAGTCAACGGCGGCAATGACGACTCGATCATGATTATCGACTCCGATGAGGAAAGCATCGCAGAGCCTCCAAAGGAAGAACCCCCCGTCTATGTGTTTGAGGACGAAGAACCAGAAGTCGATCCGGCTTATCCATTTGAAGGGGTCCTGCGTCAGGTTGATATTCCTCTTCCGAGCAGCGTTCTCGAGTTGGCAGTGCCTCGCATTCCTCCGGAGGCCGCACGCTCAACGCTCGACCCTTTCCCGACAGTCTTGGAGAAAACGATGGTCATCTCGGCTGTCTGTGCTGATTACTCGACTCGGATTGTGACTTTACCCTTGTCTCCCCCCCACCCTACTCTCACCGATATTAACCCGTGGGTTCGGACACTTTCGATCAGCGGGGGTGTGTCGCATCAAGAAATTCCGAGGGGTGTTAGCATCACATTTACCTACCGGGAATGCGAACAATTAGAGGAACAGGTTGTGACTCGAAGTCGGGCTAAGTCGCACTCCAAAGAAACAGGCAGATGGGAGCTTTTTGTGGCAACCTATTCTGCTGAGTCGTCTGGTCTACTTATAGTACATCGCATACCCATAGCAGAAGGATCAGATGGCCAACATTTCCGCGAGGATGAGATCGAGACTAAGCGACGTTATCTAGCGGCTCCAGCCAAGAGCATCACCTTCAACCCATCTTCTTATCCGTCCCCACGGCACTCGACATTGCTTGTCGCTTTCCATGACGGATGCGTCAAGATCTACTCCTGCTTTTCTACGAAACCATCTAAAGCCTCGCGCAGGTCCTCAGGTCCTCAGAGTGACTTTGAGACATCCGAGACGGAAGGGAAGTGGCTTATTAGTCTCTATCCTGGATTTGAGCAGTCTTCGGCACAGCGGAAGACAATCATCCATGCGGAGTGGGTGCTAGGGGGACGTGCTGTGATGGTCCTCTTGGCCGATGGTGGATGGGGAGTCTGGGATATTGAAGGAGCTGGACCCGGGGCCACCAAAGGTCCTCTTCAACGCCAAACTAGCGTACAAGGGGTCTCTGGTGGCTCGCTGACTGCTTTCTCAGTCAGTGGTCGCATCTTCAGTCCGTTGACCGGGGGAAACCGAACCGAATCGAGCAGTTCTATTGCGGAACAGCGACCGAAATTTGCACCCTTAACCCCGTCCACCAAGCGTGTACGGGAGGACACACTGCTAAAGGGCGCCATGATTGGATCGACCAGTCCATCACTGTGCGGAGAGATCTCAGTGTACCAGACCAATTCATATCGGGATGCTCTCCCTGACGAATCGATCCTCCTGCGACATGGAAACCAAACTGCGGCTATTCACAGTTTACTTTCGTTGTGGCGGAACGCCGTCAAGGCTACTGGAACATTTGATGCGTCAAACCGCTGCCGAGTTTCTGCTATCCAGGATATCGCCTTGATGGGGGAGCAGCTGAAGGGCATTGGACACCTCCCTGTTGCGTTGCACCGTAATCGTGACGCCGGGAGAGGTCGCTTTGACGTTCTCATCACTGCAGAACGTCGGCTTATGATACTCGCCCCAAGGCTAAGTGAACCGGAGGAAGCGCCTGTTTCTCGACTATCAACGAGCCAGACACCAACCGCAGAAACCGATCAAGTCATGCTTCGACGAGGAGAGCTTGGCGTGGAAGGTATGGATCGTCTCCTAAGTGGGATGGCAGGCGGCAATCGGTCTCTACGTATGGGGAGTCCCATCAAGCGTACGCGAATCTTTTCTTAAAAAGTGTTGATGTGAGGAACTCACCAATACATGCCATACCTCGCGGAAACACAACACAGACTCCGCTCAACTAGACTATTATCAGGCCCTGTTCTGAAGCCAAATGTTTTCAGGGCCTCCTCTGTCGCCTACACGGGATAGGCTATGTGTTTAAGACAGGACGGCAAGTCAATCCATGCACTTCGTACGTTATGCGTTGTCAACTTTGATGAAGGAAGGTAAAAATAATAAAGGAATACAGATGATCCAGAGAAGTGTCGAGGACGGCTTTCTATCTTTCAAACTACTGGTACTAAGAGAGAATTTAGCAGATGCAGGGGCGAAAATGCGGGAGTTTCATTGAACATGAAGGCCAGAAAGATACCCAATGCGAGGATTCTTTAATCAGTTTCCCATTCCCACTTTTCTTTCTTTTTTGATTTCTGAAGATAAATACTACTATATTCGCGCTGCAAGGTGGAGCGCAAGGCGAGGACCATGCCTTGAAATCCTTTCTCCAGAAAGGATAAGCTCTGTATCGGCTGCGATATATCAAATTGCGCCTCTGTCACTTCCATCGGAACCAGCTCGCTGGATCTTGATTCCACACGGCGGGATCATCAAGCCTGCCAGCCCGCATTAGCAAGGTGTTGGATCACCTGTCGTGTCTTGTCTCCCTGTGCTGTCATTGATCAGTCCATGCTTCGGCGGGATAGGATTCTGTTCTGTGTAACGGAACAGCCTCTGGCTCTATCCTATCCTTGGACGGTCTTCACATCGGTGTCAGTATCAGGAAGGCAATTCGACGGCCAACTCGGAACTAATGGGTCCAAGGGAATCAGGGTGAAAGGGAACATTACATGTAGACGACGGACTGGGCGTAGACTAATTCCATCTGATGGTGTGATGTATATGCATCTAGTTATCTCCAATGATAGAGAATGGAATCCAATGTACTCTCAACGATGTAGGGTATAATATTATGAATCCTACTGAGAGATTAAGTCTGGTTATATAATCATGGGAGCTGATTCACTTAGATCGCCATCGATCAATGCTAGAAATGGGTACCCCAACGAAACTTCGCAGCCCAATGCAACTTTTGAATTTATTTAGCTATCCTATGGCTTTTCTCCTGTACTATCTAGCATTATTGATAAGCTGTGATCTGTAGGATCCCACTGACCCAGTATAATATTCGCGAAGGGATCTTGTTATGCGCGAGCTGGCTGCAAAACTGACTTCTTTTTCGTCTTGTTCGGCCATTTTATGTGTAGCGGCGGATTTATTAAAAGGGCCTGATGCCTGGACCTGGCTCTTTAATTTAGGCTTTTTTTGAACCTCGGGACGAGTGAGAAGCTGCTTTAAATCGGCTTAGTTTTAAGTAATAAGCTTGCCTGCGATTTGGATACGTCGAAAGTACTGCTTAAGTCGGTGCCTAAGTTAAGGATTAATCTTACTTTAAAATATTCCTGGTTTTTTCAACACCCTTTTAAGCGCTTCTAGGAGTAAGAAATGGAGATACTGTAAAATTAAAGCTCAGTAAAGGTGTATTATACTTGCTATTAAGCTATTTAAAGTTTTAAGCTAGACCTTCCGTATAAGTGGCTGGATAACTTTTAATAAATATTCCTCCCCCCCGGGGAACTACATGGTTATTTTTATTTCGAAAATGTGTTTTAAATGCGAGAAATAGCTTGCTGTGAAGTAGCTGAGTAAGATAAGTAGTATAGGACGAAGGCGAAGGGTACAATATTTTTACTTGTAAAATTGTAGAAATTTATATGTAGGATAATCTATGGCTGTTAGAAAAGAAACTCATCGTTTTCGTAATAGTTTCCTTTGTGTGAAGATTAAAAAACCAAAGCCAATCGACGATAGTCTTGTTATTAGTATAGTTCTTTGGCGAAAGTATGACTCGATAATTATTAAGGATAACTAGTTTGTCACGATACCACCTTTCTAAGTGGTGCTCTTCTTTATATAACAAAATACAGGGAGTACTTCACCGCCGCTAAGATACACGTAACTATTTGCCCGGCGTTACCTATAGCTATCTTTAATGCTTTTTTACAAGATGCCGAGCTAGTAACAACTTTCCAAGCTTTCTCTTAACCGATTTAAAAACCAGTTTTATTAAAATTATAGATATTTTTAGCAGTATTCTCTCCACCATAAATAGCTGAAGTATATCAAACCAAATAAACTTTTAATATCTTGGCCTCGATTTACTTACGCCCGATTAGCTTTTGTTAAACAATCGTTAAATCAGGAGGGAGAAGTTGTATAAAGCAATAAACCTATGTTTATTTAATAGTGGTCGCGGGTGTAGCGGGCAGAGCCTGCAAAATGCTCGAGCCCGTATACTGGGCTCTCGCGAGGTCGTGTAGAACTCTTCCGACCACGTGATCTCGTTTACCTCGCACACATATTTACCTGTTCGGCCATCGCGGCCGCAGATAGAAGCTCCTCAGCGAGTTCATTTAGTCCAAATCTATTATATGGGTTGAATCGGCTACTAGCCCGTGACAGCGGGAGTTAGTTTATGTTTTAGGTTATTAACTATCGCATTCGCACATTAAGTAATTGTGGTTGCACTGGGAGAAAGATTAATTGAATCAAGCTGCCGAATCCACTGTACTAAGGCAACCTCTTTGCGATTAGTTAATTTAATTGCTTAACTACTGTGTAGTTACAGTAGTAGTGATCATACGAGCGGATTAAAAGTCGCAGCCGCTGGAAGCAGGCCTAGAGTCACGTGATTAGACTTGAAACGCGCAATAGCTGCGATGTTTTTTTTTTTTTTTTTTTTTGGGGGGGGGGGGGGGGGGGGGGGGTTGAGCGCTTGAGTGCTTCGCAGTCCTTAATATTATGCTTTTCGACTTCGATATACTGCTCAGACATGTTGGTGGTAATAAAAAATAGCTGAAAAGCTTTAAATGTGTCGCTGGGATGCAGCCTACCCACAACGCTGAAAGTGGTGTGGGTAGGTGTGCTATGGCTATTACAGATGGTTCCTGTTATAATAGATCCTATATGGCATTAACTACGTAGAATGTTGGCTCGTAGCGCTGTCATCGTTTATTTATCTTTCCAGTTCATCCAATGTATATACAGAACATATACCCCCAACTCCTCACTGGAGACGGTTTGAACGCCAGGTGATAGTCATCAGATGATAGACAGGGTCAATGGAAGAGCAACCAAAAAATTCGCAAAAGACTACATATGTACAGCCTCGAGATAATAAGAGAAGATCCACTACACATTGAACCAGAGATAGGCCTTTTGTTTTCCACCGCTTGTTTATCCACTATATCCAAGGGAATCCAACTCCTTGCGCACCGCATCCTCGGTCTGGATCTTCTTCATCTGCGTATCTTCCAGCTTCTCGCCGCTTGCAAGTCGCATTTTCAGCTCGTCGATCGCTCGGATCTTCTTCAGAAGCCCACGGACCTTCTTTTCCTGTGTGGTGGGTGTACCTTCAGTCAAGTCGGCAGGAGTCGGCTTGGCCGACGGCGGTGCGCCATTACTTGCGTTGCCGTTTTTCTGTTCTGTGCTGTGGGCTTTGGACCGGTTGCGCTCGTGGCCCTTGTCCCCGCGACGATCCGGGCTGTGTGCCGCCGGCGCCGCTTCTCTGTCCTCTCCTGGACCATCCTTGCCCTTTTTCGCCTCGCGCTTCTTCTTGTTCCTCGCGGCTGACTTGGAAAGTTTCTCCGGATGTTCCGCGCCAGGGGGAAGAGCAACTCCTCCGCCAGGAGCGGCTCCTGGAGGAAGGAACTCCTCGGCACCAGGCACTTCACGTCTCCGTGGTTTTCCAAACCCGTTCAAGGAACTGCCGCTCGAACCGTCTCGAATAAAGGCTGCACCGCCTTGATCTTCCCGTTTGAATGCCAATGGCGTGACTTGACCACGAGCTCCGGGTGGGCGATATGCGCCCGCCGGTTTCACAGGGGCTTTCCTGGTACTGAGGTACGCAGCAGCCGAGGAGTGAGGGGCTGGGAGTGGGTTGAACGGATCGCCCAGAGGGTGCTGGATGGTCGACTGCGGTCTCCAGCACACGTCATAGAGCTCGGTCATATCTTCATTGTACATCAAGGCTCCGCTAACGTGCCAGAGGCGAATGCCGTTGTCCACCCTCAGCCGGGGGCTCGTAGTGGCAGTCAGGATGAACTTTCCATCAGGCGACCATTCGCAAACGCTGGCATTCGACGCCTCCACGGTAGCGATTTTGTGGTAGTTCCTGTCCAGGTCGTAGAGATCCATTTGGCCCGCCAAGTTTCCAAATCCGGCCACCAGGACAAATCGTCCATGAGGAGAGAATACAATAGTATTCCGAGGCGCCAGAGGGAAGCTGTGCTGGGGAATGCCACGGAAGTTGAAAATGGTAGTTTTGGCTGGCATATAACCGTACACAACACCGAATTCTTTCGAATTAGGATTCCAAGTCACATCATGAATCGGGCCCTCCTTATCTGTCCGGAATCAAGTTAGCTCTGGTCTTCAGAAAAATATAACCTATCCGATCGAGTCACGTACCCAAATCCACCCGAGAATCGAATCCTCCACTGGCGCCCAGCAGGTAGAGAGTGGTCTCGCCATAATAACTTTTGCCCGACCGGTCGACATCAGTCTGAGCAAGCACAAGCAAAGTATTACCCGAGGCATTCCATTTCAATTGGACCTTGTCGCCCTTGAAGAAGGTCTTCTGCGAGACCGGCGCTCCGAATTGAGGCACCATGAAGACTTTGACTGCGGCTGGTTGTCCCTAAAGGTAGACAGTCAGCGATATATTCGCTAGATGGCGTGATTGTATTCCACTACTGACCTTACGTTCAGGAATAAAAACTGCGAGCGCATGGTTCTTTCCAGGCGAGAGTGCAAAGTCCGTCACCCCTTCCACACGCAGCTTGTTCCAAACCTTGGACAGATTCTCGCTCTGGTAGAATTGGACTTCGTTGGTAACGACTCGAGCGCAGAATCGCTCGTCAGATGTATATTGAAGGTTCCAGCCTGTCTGCGACTTCTGAACGTAACTGCCCACGACCGTGTGCTCGTCTCCATTGCTGTCCGGGGAGGTCTCCACCACCGTCCAAACCTTTAGGTTCTTGACAGCATCACCATTTTCATCCTTCGACGGGCGCTGCCAGGTGATCAGGTAGGTTCCGAGCGGCGAGAACGCCAATTCGAAAACGTTTTCGGCAGGGATATTCGTGATGACATGACCAACGGAAGGGTCAATGATGGTAACCCTACGGTTGTGGCCCGATCAGTAACCGCGCTCTTTTTCTGAATAGTGTTGTTTGCGTACTTATCTGGAGATGCCCATGCAAAATACCGGCCGCAAGGAGAATAAGCACTGCAACGGAGGTTCCCCTCAGGTCTATCACATAAAGTTAGCAAATCACCAATTTCATAGGTCGGGACAGGTCCTTTGCAGGCTTTCAACAAAGAAAGAAAGAAAAAGGACCGAGGCCAATGCCTACCTCCCAAACCCCGACAAAGGCTCATAAACAGGGTCCGCATCAAAGATGCCAATCCCTTTGACCGTCCGAACTGCAAAAAGAAATCAGCGATTCCACTCTCGTTCGCATCCGACGAATGCCATATATGGCTCGAAATGAGATAAACAAAAACAAAAAAAACAAAAAAAAAAAAAAAAAAAAACCATGCTAAGAATAGCAGACGACGGGGAGAAAAGTATGGAGGAACATACAAGCAAGCTGTGTAGGAGCTGCCATATTGACTCTATAAGCCTTCTCTTCTGAGTAAATTCTAATTTCTCAACAGTCACAATATCAGCGGAACGAGTGTGCAGATGCAAAAATGTTCCAATGTTTCAACAGCTCCGATCTCTTGGAGTCACTGGACAAGATGTTCCCCTCTCTGACGGGTCGTGCAGTTGGCAAGAATAGCGCAAGAAACCCAAGGAAATGCGGGAAACACGTTCGGGATGAATGTTCACTATTGATCGGAACCGAAAAAAAGTGACGAAACAGCTGTCGAGTAAAATTGGTGCTTTTGGTGCTCTGGAGCAGTGAGGCGTGGCGAGAAGATATTGTGTAAAAGGCGGCGCACACACGCACAAAGAAACCGAAAGGCAGTGACAGCGAGGCTTGACAAATTAGAGAAGTAGTCGGGTCTCCCAGGGACTCCTCGATGCTTGACAAGTCAATGCCAGCAAAAAGTGAGACAGGAAGACTGGAGGGGATGGGGCAGTGGGCGGGTGGCGGTGGTGGAGGAAGAGGAAGAGAAGAGGAAGAGAGCGAAAAAAAAAAAAAAAAAAAAAAAAGGAAAAAAAAAAAAAAAAAAAAAAAAAGGGAAAATAAATGCAAGTGCGTGCCTCACCCCAGATAAAACGCCACGGGGGGAACGCCTAGCCCTCAGGTCGCCATGATGGTTCTTTTCTACAATTACTGAGGAATTCCTTTTCATTGGCCTTTATTGATCTTATTGACTGACTTGCTTTCATGGTCACCAACGACTAGAATAATTTTTAACCTCTTCCGACACTGACTCCTACTCCGAGTACCAACAAAGAGTTACAAAAGCTCGATTCGACTACACAACACCGGCAACCCAATTAACAAACCATACCCTACCTACTATCCTACAGATTTCATGAGACCACTCTTTCCCTTAACATATGAATCGCAGGACCTCAAGCCAAGCCTCCCATAAAATTACAATTTCTTGACGTTCAATAGCTGAACCGAGATAAGATGTACCGGCCAAAATGACACCGTTGCTCCCCCCCCTCCCTTTATTCTCTTCTTTTTCTTCTCTCTTCATCCTGTGTTTTATGCAACATGGGTTGATCAACTCAACCGCTGATCACTACTTAAATCGCCATGGCTACCTCCATCAGATGGAGTCGCCAACCGGGGGGTCCTCACCGTTGTATCAACCACGTCAGGGTCATAGGTCATTCCGTCGACCATTCGGGCATCCTGCACTGGCTCTGGCGTGATCGATCCCGTAGGTGACAGTGCAGGGGGCACGGCAACGCCGTCGCTGGAGAGTTGAGAGTATGGCGCAATAGGATTCAATCGATTCATATTGGGGCTTCCCAGCGAGGTGGGCCGACCTCCCGAAGATGTTCGATTTAGACCCGGGTGTGAGATTGGCCCGCTGACGGTGCTGGCTCCCTCTCCAAACCCGACCAGACTAGCGTCCCCTTCGTCACTCATGTTGCCCACGCTAGATGTCCCGTCATCCGGGTCCTCGCTCATCTTGTCGGCGTCGAACGCATCGCTACCGCTGGCCCAGGTTGTGCGGGCACCCACGCTGCCGGTAGCGCTGGCGCTACCCACCGTACTCCTCTCTTTCATCCCAATACCACTATCGAAATAGCCAGGCGTGTGTGTCGCTGGGGGCATACTAGTGCTGGGTTGCGAGTTAGTACCACCCGCCCGTGCAGTGGCCACCCGTTCCAAACCTGCCAGACGCGAGATGCGATCGGCCCTCTCTGCTTCCAGCGTGGTGGCCGACGTCGTAGAAGTCGAATGGGAATGGTGAGCATGGCGACCGTGAGGGAGAGGCTGGCCTTGATGACCATCTTTAATAGCGGTGGTGGACAAAGCCGAGAGCGAAGTTGTCCCTGAGTTTGGGGTCCCTCTGTTGAGGCAGTCGGATAACCGTTAGCGACTATTTCTGTAAATGGACCAAAGAATAATAACAGCATATGGTAGGCATTCTTACGGGCCCATGTCCGTCGGGGTAACCGGATCAGATGGAGGAGGAGGAAGGTTGATCAGAGTCGGGGTTGTCATGTTGCAGGTTGGCGCGAGATTGCGCCTATCTGAATTCTTAGATTGAGGAGGGGAAAGAAAAGAGTTAGAGTGAGGTGAGGAGAAGAGACGGTAAAAATAAGAATAGAGTTATGAGGAAAGAGTAAACTATCGAGGTCTGGATGGTTTACAAAGTAGATCGCATAAAATAGAATATAAGTACGAATATCGAGCACGGGAAGATCGGTAGGTAGATAGAGAGTCGAAAAAGAGTCCGAGAGAGTAATTCTTTCGAGGTGAAGTTGCCGCCGATTGATGGAGGATGACTGTCGAAAAGACGCGGGCTCTCCACAGTAACTTAAGTACCTTTTTTAAGGTTCTGGATTCGATGAGAATGAGATTGGATAAGTGGACGGTGGATGATCGAAAGGACCGAGACGACCAAAGGTGAGGTTGCCTGACCCACGACCTAGATAGTCACTTTTATCTTTATCTTCTTTTCCTATTACTATTTTCACATGTTCCCGTTCTACTGGATTCCCATTCAAATGGCCTATTCATTCATTATTAGGAGGTACACCTATGTTAAGAGTATGCCTAGGCAGCGAGTGAATCCCCTGATGGACGGGAGCGGTGACGTCACTGTTACAGGAATTTTGTGGTTGACCAATCATAAATAATTTAGAACTCTGCAGTTTGGGTCCATAGGCTTACTAATGGTATCAACAGTTACATACAGATACACCTAGGTGCTTGGTACATACATAGTAATAGTGCATAGAAGTTCATTGTAGAAAGATGAGGGGTCTCACCCATCATTACTTATCTGCAGTAGGAAGTCTAAATCTAGCCGTCCTCCATAGAGAAACAGCGAGAGAATCATCATTCATTCATCATCTTAACCATGACGTACAACGTTATATAGAAGACAATAAAACCCGTTTCAGGCGTTCACTCCTCTTGCTATGCCGATCATGTTGATCCCCGTTACTGGCTGACCTTGCGGCTCTCATAATGGCCACGAAGATCATCCACCTCTTTTTGCAGGCGCGTCAGATCAGCCAGAATATCTTTGGCATTCGAAGGTAGGGGCGTAAATCCATCGTTCTCGTCGGTCCGTTTCTCTGGACGAAGACTCGTAGAGTGGGTACCTTCACTGCTGTGATTACTGGACCCTCGCGTGCGCCGGGGAGGTGGCGGGGGCGGCATAGGATTGTGTTGCGATACTCGTTTAGTCAGAGGCGCCCTAGGGTTGGATAGAGAAGTGGAGGTGGACGTTTCCGTCGCTGATGTGGATGACCTCGAGTCTGAAGTCTGCGTGTAAGGGGGGGGCCTGGGTGCGTTCTCCTCAGATGACGGTGCGTCAAGTCGGGCCTCTCGAGTCCGGGGCTGCTGAAATGACCAGGATTCTGGACTCGGGGGAGGCGATTCGGTCGTAGAACCCACTTTCATAGGGGGCATCGATAATCGGGCTATGTTTGGTTTGGACAGCATGGTTTTGGACCGCCTCATCTGGCTGTGCCGCCGAGCAAGCGGTGGAGTTGGGGGTCGTTTGTGTTGAGATTGGCTGCGTCGGAGATGTTCAGCGGATTTCTCAGGCGGGTTTCCACCCATCTCATTAAAGTGCCCTGCATCGACTTGAGATGGTGTCGGTGAAAGTGAGGCCTCTGAAGAGGAGCCGTGGAAGGAGAAACGGTTTGCAGATTTGCTCGGTGCTGGGTGAGAGCGAGAGGGTGTTGTGCTAGAGCTGGTACTAATCAATCTCCCATGGTGACTTTTAGGTGGAGGCGGGGGAATCCTGTTACTTGAACGACTCGCAAGAGGCCTGACTTCTCTACCAGTTACTGAGATGGTTGTAATGCCTGGATGTGTCGGAGCTTGAGACATATCCGTGGTGCTACTGTTTGAAGTACGGCCTCCGTGAGGCGTCAACGATCGGACAGAAGCATCTGAGCTAACGACGGACCCGTTGTCGCGAGATATTCTCTGATTCTCCTGTCCCAAGAAGTGATAGTGAGTATTTGGTCTCGCTAGTTGTCCTGCGGACGGTGCGGTGATGGTCGTTGATGCTGGAGGGGTAGAGGGTAGGCCCGATTGCGGATGTCGCGGAAGATCTCCACTGGGAAACGACGAGACAACAGTTGGGTTGGACAACGGACAGCATACTTCATCGGGCCCTTCCGCATCATCCTCACTCAGGTCGGACTGCTGGTGGAAGGGGTCAGTGATAGAATGACCGTCCGAGGACAGTGAATCGTCGTTGCTTGGTATGAAATCCGGGGGAGGTCCGGGTAAGCCATTCGGATGGGAGGAGATATCAACGACGGCAGCTTTTGAGGGTACAGAGAAGTATGAATTAGAAGGAGTCGATTGGGATGATGGAAGGTGATGGCCTGCGGGATCTACTGTGGTCAGCATTACACTGTCGTGCTGGAAATAGATGGAGAGATCCTCAACAACTCTGATAGTCGCGGGTGCAACTCACCCTCTGGTTTCCTAGGGCGGAAAGGATTTAATCCAGACATCGCATTCAAGATGAAAGGTACTGACCATCAGATCAAGGGACGATAAGAGGAGGTGTAAAGGAGTAGGAGAGGAAAAGAGTCGCCAGCGTCTGGCAGAATGAGAGGGTGTTTGTTGTTGACGGCCGCTGACCACCCGCGCCGCTTCCGGCCAGGTCAACTCGACGGCCGATGGTCCAGGGTTTCTGCCTGTAGAGGGCATATTACATGGTCTCTACGAGAGATGCTCAGTGTAAATTTAATAGTGGCTTGCTGGGGTGTCTCAGGGTCTTTACATTCTCCCTATATTTCCTTTTTGACAAAAGAAACCAGGTGGGTGGTTTGGGTCGAGGGTACGCATAAAAAGAAAGAAGGGGGCAAACATAACAAACGAAGAAAAATAAAGAAAAAAGAGAAAAAGAAAAGAAAAAAGGAAAAGATATATATGATACAAGTGAAGGGCATAAGAACAAAGGTTGGGTGAAATAGCAACCCAAGAACAGTAGAAGCATAATCAATCAAGAACCACCGTCCCAAAAAAAAAAAAAAAACACCCTCGATGGTACACAATGAAAAGAAGCAATAAATTCATCACAATATTCCTCCCTCGCAATCCTATGTCCGAGAAAGAAGGGTATATCAGCTCGCCCGTTATTATAAAACTAACAAAAACCAACCGTTTGTCCCCCACCTCACCCTATGCGGATTTCTGCGGATATAGCAAACATCCTCCAGTTCTCTAGTTAATTCTCCTCGTACACATGCCACTCTTCATCTCCAAAGAATGACTGAGCTAGAGCCTTGCCACTCCCAGTCGGTTGGCTGAAGGCCATCTGCTCCTTCGGAATCTCCATGCCGTAGATAAAATTGCTGACAACGCAATCGAGGAGGTCCATGGCGATTCCCTTTCGTCGGGAAGAGCCGGATGTCCAGATGCGTGAGATCCCAACAATAGCTGGATGAGTCTCTTCACGAACGGTGACCGCAGAATCGGTTCCATTTTGCGCTGCAGAGGGCTTCTCAACTGGTCGAGACTCCCAGATTCGCTCCGTTAGGCAGGCACCGACACATCGGCTATCCTTCATGTGTAAAAACACCTTGTAGCGGTCGACTTTTTCGGACGAGCCGTTCTTGCGCAGATGCTTGGGCGCTTCAACCTGGCTCCATAGGACTTCGTCCTGAATCTCCGGAGAGGACAGCTCCTTGCCGATAACCTCCAACACCTTCTTCGCCTGATTTTTCGCGGTCGGAGACGCCTTCCGGTCGACAATGACCACATACCCTTCTTCAAATCGGGTCGCCTCGTAAACCCACCGCGATGCGTTCGCTCTCATAAAGGCCTTCCCCAGATCCACGCCCGTCGAGTTCATGTCGTGAAATTTCTTGTGTAATGAGGCGTCCTCCGAATTTGAAGGGACGTATTCCATACCACAGGTCGCGCAGGTCCTCCTCACTTCGTGGCCCAGGTCAATTTGCATCTGCTTCAACACAGGCTGCTGCGGTAATGCCGGCTGCGACGGCGCCATCTTCTTCTTGGGCGGGTCTGTCGACGCGCGCACACTGTTGGAGTTGACTTCGGTGAGTGGCGTGGCACTACCCGGGTCCTTGGTGGCGGCATGTTTGCGCTTGAGAAACGAGAAAGTAGGTTTCCGTGTATTGGCCGGAGGAGGACTCAGTCGAGGTGGCGGTGACGAGGGGGGTGTCGATAACTCATCCTCCTGCGTACCTTCAGAGAGAAGAACGGAATTGCGGCGCGACGGGCTGGACAGGACGGCGGCGGACGACTCGCGGATTGCGTACTGGAGGCTATTTTCTGCTGCCTCGTCGGACTCGTTTCCCGACTGGACGCGTCTTTTTTTGGCGGCCGGACGCTGGTCATCGTCGTAAACACGCCACAGGGGCCTACCGTATGTTTTCATCATAAGACCTCTGGTGTGGAAGTCTCAGGTGTTAGCAGAAGTGGCGGGATTCAAGGGGGGGCAAAGAAGAAAAACCACGCAACAGAACACGTACCGCTTGAATGAATTCGTTACAGTCCACGGCATCTCCCTTCTTTCATATCATGGATTGGACTGAGCCAAGCATTTGTTTATTTTCCTATCGTCCCAAGAGGTTTGTGGGAGGAAGGATGCAAAAAAGGGGTGGGAAGCGAATGGGTGTTTATTATTATGATTAATTTGGGACTATTCTGGTGATGCTGATGATGATTTATTTTCCACGGAACGCTTCGGCGCTGATCGACGGGCAACGGAAACGCGTGCCCAAGAAGCTAGTCCACATTTAGTCATATTGCTTACCGGGCGCCGCTGAACGCCAGTTGGACTGGGGAAAGAAATCCATCGATGTTGTTTCATGCTGGCAGGCTTACCTTGGTATGGCGGTGATAGTGGAAAGGAATGGGCTTGAGGATCAACACGACCTGTGTGGGAGGACGTGTTCAGAGGCAGTCGTGTAGTATACCTATGGGCGAGGCAAGAATCAAGGGATAGTACTCGGTAGTAATTAGTCGACAACTAGGTAACGGCGCAACACAGGGCCATCAGAAGAACTATATATACCGAATCCTTCGGACAGTTCGATGGCGGCGACCTTGGCGTATGAGAGTCAGGGGGATTCCAATCAAATAGTCAGAAAAAGCTAGAATCGTAGTGCCTGTCTAGTATAACTAATGTTGTTCTAGCCACTCAGGCATTGCAGGAAGACGGCTGTGGAACTCCAAACACAGTCTCGTCAACTTGTCTTATTCTTTCCTCGTCTTTTCGTCTGGACTTCGCCTCCTTAAATAATGAGAAATCACAGGAGCCACCAACCAGATCAGCCTTACCTGTGTGGTATTGTGTTAGGTACCTACCAACTACACTCCCATGACTACTAGGCACCCTAGCGTGGTGGTATGGGGAGGACTGGAGGACTGACATCTACTGAGACTCTGTATGAAGTGCAGCTACAGTTGGTGATCGAGTGAGGTGGCAAATACTATTCCCATGGCAGTTCTTTTCTTTTTAAATAATTAAAATAAAAACATCTCCACAATACGGATGCCTATTTTTCACAGGTAATTACTTTGTTCCCCTAGCGTATCTCTTATTGTCCTGATGATAATGGGATTTTTCTAACCTCCCCCCTCGACTTGATGATCAATACTATTGATGCTGTGTACTACGAATCTCGTACATGCCATGCACTCATCCCAGCCACGTCCGGCCCTTACTGATGAATCTCCCGACCTTACTGGGTCTCCGTCACGCTTTACCTTTTTTCCTTCTTTCCTTTTGTTTTCTTTGTTTTTTTATTATTGTTCAGACACACACAAGGGCGCAAAAATAAAATAAATTAAAAATTAAAAATTAACTGCATTCCAACCAGATATCTTCTGTTGAAAGGAATGCGGGCCGTTCTAGGATAACAGTTAATATATCCAAGTGAGGGATGAAATCTTACATATACTTGGATGACACCATATAGGAAGTCAGATATCCAGGATACAGACTATATAGTCTATACTCTGTATTGGAGAGATCAAATGCTCAACTGTTTTGATTTGATCTCCGTGAGTGCCATCAAGACCAGCCAGAACAAAGAATCAGCAGGTCTACCCCAATCTCTTCTCAGCAGAAATTACATGCTCGACAAGCCCTACCGATAGATCGTATCCTAACCTATCGAGGTATCCCGATACATTCTACTTAATTTATTTTCCTTGTTTTTGTTGCATGCCTCTATTCGCCTCTTTCAGTGCAAGAATCTTCGATGGTGACCCAAGAATTGTCCAATCATTATGACTGGTTAGTGGAATCAACGGTCGGCCAGTTGGTATGTATACGGAGTATCTATAAGATGGATAAAGAAGAAAACTGAGCACCGTCCGTGGAACAACAGATTAGCCTATGTTGGTCTCGTCCGGCGGGACGGACACACCTCGGGCGGGCTGGGAATTTGATATACCTATACTCCGTAGAATAAGAAACATGGGTTGCCATGGAAAGCATGCTGCATTTGAGATTACCAGACATCGTCCAGAGTATGAATGGTTGTAATGACTCAATCGGCTCTGCGTCAGTGGCGCTCCCCAGAACTCTGAGGCCACTCATATGTCACTCGTTTCCTAGGACAGACGATCGACTTGCAGCAAATTGTCTGAGAAAGTAAGTGTGGCGAAATGTACACCTCCCTGATGGACGATCGGGATCGAGTTCCTTTTGCATCGGTGTGACACTGAGCGTAAGACGGGACGGCTGCACTCCGTTCAATGGCTGGGGAATTATCCTGGTGCATTACACAGGGTCGCACATCAAGTCATCTGAAAAACTGCAGATTGGCCCTGGAACGCGCATGTGTAACCAGGCCCCTTCCTAATAAAGAGCCTAATCGGAGCAAGATACTGTACAATTCATTATCCGTTGGTCAATTGTCAGCCGAAATAATCTTCTGGTTGCGGAGCACAAGGTGAAAATGAGGGCGAGTGGCCAAAGAAGAACAACATGTTACATTACTTCTTTACTGAATTACCACTTTCTTTGTCACTGAGCAGATCACTGGTCTATGGTTTGTTCAATCAACATCTCTTTGTCCAGTAAACTCGCTCACTGATTTGTACGACAGCTATAGTATTATCTCGTCCGCAAGATGCCCCATGCGCCCTGCTACTTAGAATACAACTTCTCTCGCCAGGTTGAAATCCCCTTGAGTCTCTTCTGTACGATCCAAATTGGTAGTAATCACGCTATGGATATAGACTTTGTCTCCTTGACGAGATGCAATCGTAAGGCACTATAAGACTTGATCATAATATAGGATATAGTGCCCTCCTATGGCAATCACTATGAACAATATGATGATGCATAATGCTCAATCCAGTTTCGCTTCATAATCCAGTCTATAAAACGGTCAATACATGAGGATGATATTCAAGAAATATCAAACCAGCTATCTTTGATTTGCATGACTAACTCACAGCACTAGGCATTCCCTAGATACCAGCTTCAGGTTCTGGGATGTGAGGAAACTAACTTCTCCAGATATAGTGACCACCAAAGCGTACAATTTGCCAAATCCCATCGGTTCAGAAGAGAAGGAATAGATCAAGCATACTAACAACGATGCCAACTTTATCTGAGCCACAAACATTGACGTCCAGCCTTTTCCAGAAGCATTAACATGGGGCCAAAATGTCTGCTTTTATGGCAGACACCAACAATATATAGAATAGTTGGATGGACAAAAGGTATCACATCGGGGACTCCTCAGAGCAGTCGACACTGTTAAATGTTCAACGAGGCCAGTCTGCTTCGTTGAGAGGCTTATCGATGTCTCAATTCGCCTATCCTCGATTTTTCTGTGTATACCAGGTGCTTCAGAACCAACATATGCGGTACTAGTAGAAATCATATATTTACTCCTGTTTCCGCCGAATCAATCTGCGGAAACACCAAGATACATTTTAGGCAAGATGAGATTTCGTTCTGGGATGGAAAAAACAGGATTGACTTATGCAAAGAAAAGGCATGTCGAGCCAATAAGTCAGCATATCATTCAACAACCAGTACGAACAGAGGATTTACGTACGTACCTAAGTACCATTGGCCATCAAGCACAGGAAACCGGCAGTCATCAGCAAGAAAACGGCTAGCTGGCTGCAGCCCATCGAGTCTATTCTGCGAGCTGTACAGCCTCCGAATAGGCAGTCGCCTATAATTTGAGAGCCATAAGAGGGGGTGTCCCCAACTCCTATCCCTTGCGCAGCGGGACTGCCTTGGTAGACAATTCAATTCGGGAGATGAGAACTCTCAAAACATTCTGACAGGAAACCGTTCGTTATCCTTGGAAATACCATTCCCCGATCACACAACAATAGAAGGAAAGAATACGAAGCGGGCAATCACTCCGTGTCCGGGAAGAATCATGTGTCGCCCACCTGCAAGACTGTAATATAGTGTCCTTGAATGCAGATTTCCCCCACCCTACTTTTTGTTTCGCGGATCAGTCGAAACCTTAGCCAAAACCTAAGCCAAGCCGTGTCGATTCTTAGCAAGAGGAAAATGATGGATTCTGAAATTCCGAGCCATAACTGCTCAATAAACACAGAGAGAGAGAGAGAGAGAGAGAGAGAGAGAGAGTGTGTGTGTGTGTGTGTGTGTGTGAGAAAAGAAAGAGAAAAAAAAGTCATCGGATTATATCCATCATATACTACACCCAGGAGGGAAGTCATAACCCCTCCCATCCTACTCCGTATTATCTCGGTGTTGATCGCGTGGGACAGGATAAGCCCCGAGGATCGTAGGTAATATTGACCAAGTAATACAACGGGGTAATCAGTCTTCAAGAGTCTTTCATGATGATGAGATTGCATTGTACGGAGTATTCAAGATCTGTATCTACTACTCCGTATACTCGGTAGAAATATGACGGTAGATTTGAAGATGCATGTAGTCAACATCCTGAGAGAGAATCACAGTGAATATATATATATATATAATAATTAACAGAAGAAAGTCACCGACATGCGGAGACTTTCTCAATCCATCAGAGACATGGGATGTTGAGATGGCGGAACGGAACCACTTTCAGTCGGTACCTGTTTTTTTTTTTTTCTTTTCCTTTTTCTTCCCTCTCTCTCCTTGCCGCTTCTACCCCGTACACATCAACTGAATCATCAATCTGCCCTCCCAACATTGGCAGAGAAAGGGAAAATAGCCAGACGATCAATCCATCTGTCGGGGTAAAAGCGACGAGCTTCCCCACTTTCGTTCCCCTCTTACTGCTTCAGCCTGTCAGTGGATTCTGCAGCTGCTTCCTTGCCCTGCCTCTCTTTCCGAAACATCATTTATTCCTGTCACTTTTTTCTCCTTCTCGTCATCTTTCTCTTTTCTTCCCCTCTCTTTTACATTCTTCTTGTTTGATTTGCCCACATTATAGTCATTAGAAGGGGAGAAAAAATTTTCAATTCCTTTGATATACCACCACGAATTCGTCTTTTCTAGTTCATCATCATGTCAGATTCTGTTCAGGTGGCAGGAAAAAGGAAACGTGCCAGTAAGTAAAAACTCAAAATGAATGGCGCTGGTATGCGAGTCGTGAAGATGAGAGATCCATCCATCACATTTCCCACGGCCTTTTGCCAATGCTTCTTTGGGATTCCATGCCTTGCCGCCTTGCCATTTTCAAGCCACAAACACTCTTCGAAAGTCGAATCAACTGCACGCGGCTGCGTCCTAGGGAAACTGCCTGTGCTACCCCAGTCCTTGAACCACCCCGCTTTCCTCTCACCAGATCCAATCCTCTTCTCCCTTCGTTCCGCGATCATCGACGCACTGTCTGCTCTCCTGTTCAACGGGCTTGATTAATGCCAACCAATACGATTCCAAGATGGGTGCTAACTGGACTCAACATTCAGGGACACAGTCTTGCCCGCCACCCGAGTTGCCTCAGCTTGTTGCTGAGCAGCATGTCCCCATCTCCGCCCACGACAAGGAAACCCAGCGTCTGATCGTCGTTCTCTCCCACGCGAGCTTAGAAACTTATCGTGCCTCCCACGGCGGACGCAGTGGCTCCAACCGTGATGAAAAATACTCGTTGCTAAACAGTGATGAGCATATTGGCGTGATGCGCAAGATGAACAGAGACATCAGTGAGGCTCGGCCTGATATCACTCATCAGGTATACTTGTTTCCCCACGCCGGACCAGGGTCTCGTCCAAATGCTAATCACTGCATACCGCAGTGCCTTCTCACCCTCCTGGACTCGCCTGTCAACAAGGCCGGCAAGCTTCAGATCTACATTCACACCGCGAAAGGCGTCCTGATTGAAGTGAACCCCAGTGTTCGCATTCCACGTACATTCAAGCGGTTTGCCGGTCTGATGGTTCAGCTACTGCACCGACTGTCAATTCGTTCCACCAATTCACAAGAGAAGCTGCTTAAGGTGATCAAGAACCCCATCACCGACCACTTGCCCCCCAATTGCCGTAAGGTCACCCTCAGTTACGAAGCGCCCGTGGTGCGCACTCGGGACTACATCGAATCCCTGGGCCCCAAGGAGAGCGTCTGTATCTTCGTCGGAGCCATGGCCAAAGGGCATGACGATTTCGCCGACTCTTTCAAGGACGATACCATCAGTATTAGCAACTATAGTCTGAGTGCTAGTGTGGCCTGTAGCAAATTCTGCCATGCGGCCGAGGAAGTATGGGGCATCATTTGATCCACGTGTCATCGAATACAGCTTTCTCAAAGAGACGCAGCCTGAGCTTGACGAGGTAACGACTTTTCTTACAATGATTCATCCAACGGAGGGAGAGAAAAGAAGAGGGCAGGAGAGGCATGGCCGCGAGTGGGTGCCTTTTGCATTGTGTGCCACAGTTTCCGCCTCTTCTGCACTCACAAATTACAATCTCCTATACGTTTCGAAGCCTTTGTTTCTTTATTGCGTTTCTCGTTCCTTGTACATTTCGGTGGTCTGGGGAGCCAGGCGGAGCCAGGATCCAAAGGTCACCAAACCTGGGCCTTCAGTTGGAATTTGGGCATTTCAGCATCCTCTGACTCGCGACGGGACGATGCTTTCCAACGCAGTATGGCGATGATCTCGGCCCCGATGCCTTTACTGCTATTAGGATCAAGTTCCCCGACGCGAGTTGGCTTTTTTTCAACGATCCGACTTCTGGTTTAATCCATGGTAGTGGGCAAGAAGCTGTACAGCGCTTGGGAAGACCTTTCGTCAACTCTTGAACAACGCTCATCACAAGACAGTGTCGATATGTTCCAATAGAGAGAGATATATATATATATATATATCAATTAATATGGAGAATTAAGACAAAGTGTAGTCCTTAGAACGAGATGCTTAGCATGCTGGATGATACCATAACGCTGTATCACCATTTCTCTGTAGTAGGCTAGAGTATACAGAACTATTACAGATCACGGAAAGGGGACAAAGAACCTTTAACTCACGATAGGAATCGAACAGAAAATGAATGGGACGAAATCGTGGGAGTTAGATGCCTTAGGCTACCTTCCTGGGATCTCGTGCCTTCGTCGCCTTTTTCTTCGTTTTTTTTTTTTTTTTTTTGTTTCCTTCCCTCTCTTCCTTCATGGCCTCTGACTCACAGTCACCGCATCTCTTCGGGGTGGGCTTACAATCCGTCCACTCCATCCCGGATGCGAGTATGGAGAAATCCATTAATCAATCGGGTGGTCGCGGTGGCTGGGGATGGGGTCTCTATTCAACGTGGCATGCAAACATCCATCCCAGCGCCTCTCTCCAAGTGGATCTCCCGCTTCACTTTGCGCCGTTGGTTGGCTTGGTCAAGATTCGAGGAATAGGAATTTCGGTCCCAGGCCGAATTTTCTAATGGATGAACTCAGCAGAGAAAACATGATGGACCAGGCGAGAACGATTCTCCAAAGTCCAAACAAGCCAGGCTAGGGGTGCGTCTTCTTTCGCCTTCTTGCCAGAGATGATGGATCCAGATGTCATGGCTCCTCATTCGTCTAACGCTCCTGGCGTCTCATCCACGACGCAGAAACGGAGTGGATGTCGTTTGGCGGTCAGATAGCACTACTCGGCGACTAACAGCAGCAGCAGTGCCCAAAGAAGGAATGAAACGTGCCGTCAGCCAGAAGTGCAGACAGCGAAGGGGGAAATGCCCCTCGGTGGCACCGAATCTGGCCTTCGTCATCAGCCCTTTGTTGTTCTGCTGTCATTGGTGACTGTAATGAAAGCACTGGTCCCAACTCTCAAGCCCAACTGGGGCACAATTGTCTGCGCAAAGGCCAAAACAGCCATTTCTAATAATATGGCTAAGTAACTAACTACGCTGACCGCAGAGTATAGTCAGGACTTGGTTGTTTCAATTTTCTCTTTCCTGCCTTTGTCAGGCCACTCTCTACCTCTGCCAATCCCCATCGACCACTTTGACTTGGAGTCTAGTCGCTTACCTATTTTTGACTTGTGACATGATGCAGTTTGCGCTTGTGCTGGATACGCCGTTTTCTGATAGGCGCCCTATCCGATGTAGACAGGGCCACCTACAGGACATCCATCAGGCTTCCCCACGATGACCTGGCAGTAGGTGCGAGCTCTCTCTCTGTCTTCCCCTAGCTTCACCGATAGGCAGCTTTATGGGTCTCTGGATGGGCCCCTGGTAGGAACTCTACCCTTCCAGTCGAAGCCTGCAGAGTCCGGGTTCGGTCGCGGAGTCTGAGTATCATTCGGACGGGCCTATGCATGTCTGCCTGCAAGCTAAGCCGTACTACATCACTGGGGCAGATTACTTCCTTCGGATTAAATCTAGCTATTTTTGCTAGCCTCTGCTTTCTCTGATTGGATACAAGTTGGGCATTCTTGGGATATTCACCCCTCCCCCTGGAGAGCTTGGTCATGAATTAGTAGTATATATCTTCTCTCCTGTTTTCTCACATCCTCTCTCCTTCAACCCATGTTGCTGTCACACTATCATTCGTGTGTGTATTTAAATTGTCCTCTGCTGTACACCTTTTTGGTCCCTCAATCAGCTTGTTTCAGTTCTTCATCTTGACCGTAACACGTCTTCTCTCCTGACCCCACCACTTGACTAGGACTCGCTGAGCTTCGCGGGCCAATTTGCGAATCACACAGACATGCCTGTGTCTCATCTTACTTTGACCGTTTCCCACCTCCCAACCTCGACATCATTCTTTCTCTCCTGCCTACAGCCTCTGGGTTATCAATTCATTGGCCGTCATGATGACTATATTGGCTTTGGCCAAAACTCCGGTGAACCGGCAGACTTTTGGATAACAGAACAAAAACCCGGGTAAGTATCCTGCTGCAGTATGTTCCTGGTACTTTGGGGTCTACGGTTGCTAACCGGCGTTCAGGGTTCCTGCTGGAGCTGCGCACGTTGCGTTTCCTGCGCCATCTAAGGATGCTGTGGGCTCGTTCTTTATCTGCGCTTTGAAGGCTGGCGGGAAAATTCATGGTGAACCAAAAACACGGGATTCGGAATCAGGATACTACAGCGCAGCTATTATCGATTTTGATGGCAACAGCATTGAAGCAGTCTATCGGGCCAGCAGCTCATCGGCGAGGTCGGAAGTTAGCAGGCCAGCTTTGGCTCTGCTTGAGAACGGATCGGTAGTGTCCAAGGCCACTAGCAAGGTCAGCTCCATGAAGCCCGAGAGCATCGCGCCGCCAAAGTCGGAGGCCAGGTCCCACGTTTCAAGGGCGATGACTACCGTGGAACGAGGCATGCCATCTGAGAGAAGCACTCCATCCGTCTCCCCACGGGAAATCCAGCAGGGTCCCTCGCCAACATACATTGTACATACAGCCCACACAACCCAGAAGACGGATGATAGCAAAGCAGCAAAAACCATCGTTGGTACTCTGATCGGTGCTGCAGCAGGCGCTGCACTTGCATACGCCTTCTCATCCACGGACGACTCGGAGACATCTGAGACAGCACCACCGCCTCCCCAGTATTCTCCGCGTGATTTTGCCCAGCTAGCGTCTCCTTCCCTGGCCTCGTCACAGGCGCAGGAGCACCAGGGTCTCAGGGCCATAGAGGCACCTCCTCCTAAGAGCGTCTATTCTCAATACGAGGGACGCCCGACACTGACTCGCAGCGTCACTTCGAAGAACCCTCGTGCCAGCACCATCTACGAGGCCACAGACTATGTCCCTCGAGGTGGGGGCAGTGTTTACCTTGATGAGAACGGCCGCCGAGCCTCGGAGGGGAGTGTTTACAGCTCGAAGGAGATCCCTCTGCGAGCAATTGAGTATCCGCCACCGATGGAGTCGCGAGAATATGCCAGCACTTTCATCAGCAGCTTCCCTGATCGATCGCGTGCGATGGACAAGGGGAGTGTGTATTCGTCGTCTACCATCAAACCATCCAAGGCCAACTACCAGGACCATCATTCCTCTCACCACAATACACATCGGTCATCGCACCATTCCTCCCGGCATTCGGCGATGAGATCGCATTCTGGAAGCGTTGTCTCCTCCACCCGCAGCGCTCGCCATATGCCACTCCCGGAAGGCTCGATCGCGTCTCTTGCGACCTACCGCAGTGCCCCCAAATCTGGGGTGTCCGCACGCGAGATTCCCCTCCCTGACAGTATCCTTGACGGCGCCGATGTGGACAGCCATGTCACGCCTGATGATTCCATCAGCCAGGTTGACGATTCGCGAAGGTCTTCTTACTCCCATCGATCCTACACCTCGAAGCCAGCCTCCCGTGTCTCTAAACAGTCAAGTAAATTCGACGAGCCCGTGCAGCCCAGCGATAGTGTGAGCCAGGTTTCCAGTCATGCCTCCAAGGTTTCTCAGAGAACCGTCAAGGCCGGTGGCAGTATCGCGGGAGCTTCTAAGGCGGGTTCGAGGATGAGCAGCAGTCGACGAGGCAGCGCGGTGGCCTAGACTGTTCATATATTCGTTTCGATTTTCCTTTCTTTCGATTTTTTCAGGTTTTAAATTTCTCCATGTGTCTGGTCTGCATCTTAACACCAACTGCGTGTAACATGTTTCTATGCATCAAGGAACTAGGCGTTGTGATTTTAGGTATATTGGGAATTACATTAGCATGACCTGTATAACGTTTCTTTCCCTATCACTTAATCCATAACAAGTGCAATTCCTACTGTCTGCTTTGATACATGTGTCTCTACTCTTGTAAAATATAATGCAATGGATGGTGATGTTGACTTGGAAACAGCCCAAGACTGGAAATCGGTGAGCTTATCCACCCAAAAAGCCCGAATCTCTCGAATAACTTCCATCAAAGCAGGAGTGTTATCCAAGAACGGAAAGTGGCCACCGGAATCATGGTCTAGCACATTATATAGGTATTAGATATGGACTCTCTAAGAGCTATCAGGATATATGAATTACTAACTTCTATAGAGCACCAAGTTCCCAACTTACGCAACGAGCATAGCAGGCTAAAAAGCAACATTATATTTGAATGCAGGAAACGGCATCGGCGTGTCGGTATGCGCCTTGCTGTACTCTCTTCTCCAGGTATTGGGATTTTGAGAATAGATCAGAACAGACGAAGAGAAAGTATCAGTGAGGTACCGTAGGGAAACACTGTGGAGGATTTCATTGCGATGAGTAGGGAGGGACCGATTCCGGCATTTGGATCAGACCCTTAGCGATAATTAGATCGATGGTCAGTTAACGAATATAAATAAATAGTACTTACAGTTCATGAACTTCTCTCCAATCCAGTTGAATTGTCCTGCGATGTTATCCTGGCGTGCGAGGCCGATTGTGTTAGGCGGGACGAATCGAATCAGTATCCTTCCACCTTACATAAAGGTAGTCAAGTCTTTCACCTTTGTAGTCTGCTCCACAAAATATCCATCCACTGTAGTAGCCCCATTCATGGAACTCTACTCCTCGACCTTGTCTAATTTTGATCCCGCGACAAGTTGATCCGAACGCTGTGTATAGAAGGACAGAAACGCGAAATGAGCCACACCGACAGTCGTGTTGAATTTGTCATACAACACATAATAAATAGCACTACCCCAGTCTGTTCCATGGATAGCGTACGGTTCATATCCCAGAACATCTGCTATCAATGTTCAATATACATGCTGTATCTCTGATTGTCCAGTTCAGCGGAGATGAAAGGGCAAAACCAGGGGGGGAGGGGATGACAAAATCAAAGGAAACAGGCTTCTCTCTATGGGTTATTGCTTCTTTGGTTAATTGGTCGATGATGGGAGCAAATTCTAGGAGTGAGCCTGGCCAGCCTGGATTAAAAGTAGCAGGACGGCGTTTGACTTGTCTGACCTTTCGTGAATGAAGTCGATGGTTAAGACTTCGATTACGGAAGTGAAGTGCTTGAATTTATTATTGTATGTTTGAGAAAAGATTGATTATTGGCCCAGTGGGATGCTGATATGTACCGATTCATGGAATCTCGCTCTTTTTCCCAGTTTTAATCCGTCATCCATTTTGTTCGCCACGCTTTCAGAATGTCCAGGTCCATTCCGAGAGAAGAGTCACCGCTGAAATATTGGAATTGGTCCGGAAGTCGAGTATTCTAGATCTGTTCAGACATTCGAGGTGCCTTGGATGATAAATCAATGCGAAAAGGGCCCACATCGAAGGTATCTGCAAGAGACACTACCTGCGAAATGCAATAAAGCAAGCTGATAAACATTGGAACCACAACTTTCGGCATGCTGAACGTCAAACGGATGGAAATGTTCTCTGAATCTATGCATTGTAGCTACTTATATTTCTTAACTGATTAGGCCTATACACTGAGACAGAACACGTTCACTTCTAGATAGGACCTAGTGGATGCGTAGGAGTCGATGAGCTGATCATCCGAGGCTGTAGAACAGGTTCCTTCTAGAAGCGTTGGGTCAATAAATCTTTATTAATCGAATTGTCCTGGTCCACTGAGATAAGGTCTTACGAATCAACTTTTCTTCCGAAGTTGGAAGCTTGATTTGTAATGTGTATTTGTTATATGGTTATATCTTCTTGTTGGCATGGAGTTACAGTAATATGGTCGCTGGTTCCCCGGCTTTTTCTTATTGCTTTGAATCTACTCATACAAGACAGCCCAACGGAAAAGTTTTATATACAATGAATAATCAGCAAGCTTTGATCCTCAAAGAGGTCCAGAGATCACTGGTACTAGACGAACGGCCCATACCTCAGTCTGAAGGGAACCAAGTCCTTGTAAGAATTATTGCGACCGGAAGTAAGATCCTGGATATACAGCTATAAATGAAGCTAACAACCAGAGTTAACCCACATGACCAGAAGGTAGGACAGCTCAATATGCGAAACCAATACCTTGTCCTAACTGCTAACTCTGCAGGGTCGTAATCGAGGATTACTGGTATAGAAGTACCTACCTTACGCCATTCTCACAAATGATATCAGTGGAATTGTCGAGAAGATCGGACCTGAAGCCCAAAGATTCTCCATTGGCGATCGCATCTTCGGACAATGGCATATTCTATCCGGCGGTCCAGACCAAGCTGGCTTGCAGCAGTTCTGTATCCTAGACGCAGATTCTGCTGCTCCCATTTCCAGTCATCATAGCTTTGGCCAGGCAGTGATGTTCCCCATCAATGCAATTGCGAGTTTTATTGCACTATTCGATCCGTCTGGGTCGGGTTTAACACCCATATTCCTGGGCTAGGATTCGAATTACGCGAACGAAATCCATCGTCATCATCGAGGGTGTTTCCAACTGTGGGAAGTTCGCCCTGCAACTTTCTTGACTCGCAGGCTTTGGGAAGATTGTCACCACAGCAAGTGTGTGCGACGATAGTGGGCAATTGCTCTGTGACTTGGGTGCGACTCATGTTATTTATCGGAAGGCAGCGAATGTGGAAGTTCAGATCCGTGCCATCGTGGGGGGTGGATTGTTGTATACTCTTGACACGGTCAATGGCGATTACTCTGGAGGTCTGAGCCATCCGCTAGCTCTCTCGCTTCTGTCTACTACAAAGAAGAAGACTCTGGCAACGTTGGTTCGCGGAGAGGCCGATCATGCCATTGCAGCTTCAAAATGGCGGGCTTCAAGAAGCACATAGTCCTTGGAGTTAGTGACCTACACAAAGAGCTCCATGCCATGTTTTGGAGAGAGATACCAGACTGGATCGAAACAGAAAAGCTTAAGCCACTGGGTCTCAGAGTTATTGAAGGACGACGTTGTAAGAGTCAACAACTTGTTTGATAACTATCGTGATGAGAGAAGGGTAATAAAAGCTCACGCGCATCCCAACCATCACAATAGCAGATAAAAGAGTCTACTCCCAAGCCAATTATAAACTGCCACATGTATTCTTCTCTTCCATTTCTCACTTGACCTAGCCTTAAAAACGCAAAAAACAGTGACACATATACGTTGTCCGGATGGTTGTAAGCACAATCGGGAACAATTGAGTTGGACGGGGAGTAATTAGACTGTACACATCTTATATACATATCAAATCAGACTAATCCAAAAATTTTCTACATAATGCAAGGCGGAATGTTGTCTCAGCATCTTCTCGACGAAATGCAGGATAGCACGCGAGACAAAGACCAAACTGAATGAGACCTGTTCATATTAGTAGCTGCTGCTTGGCTTCTAGGAATTACGATCAGTGAACAAACTCACATCGAAAGTTCAAGAGCCGTTGATATCAGGATCAACTTCTTGTGCCAAGGAGTACGACGTCAAGTCTAGTAGGACTCTGTAGAATGCATTATCTGCATCTAAGAAGATACCTTTCTCTTGAGATAGCCTTCCATGTTAATGAATCAAACCACTCATTATCGAGACCAAGGCTCGCCAGAAGGCCATCAACCTTGTGAAATGGTTGTAGCTCTGCTGCTTGATGTACCAAAGCACTGACAAAGTTATTCACAGCTTGCGAACAGGGAGGTGGAAGAAAGTAGATGTGTGGGACAAAGGATATGAAGGAGAGCACTGTCGTCTATATTATATGGTAATGGTCCTAAAAGTTCGACTGTTTCGACCGAAGGTATCGAAGAGGATGAATGATTTCCAGATGTTTTATACCGTTGATTGTTTTCTTCGAGCCTAGACGTAGCTATTTCAGAACTATTTCCAATCTGCTGAGAGTCCCCCACATGCTTCTTTCCTTATATCACAGTTGACACATTTCCATTTAATCTCGGAGCTACAGAAATCGCAAGAAATTGCTCATGGATTGTTGTAGACTCCTCCCTCTTAAAGGTGAGTCCAGAGACAGTAAGTAGGCTGGACGTTTCCACACAAATTGTACGCTTCGAACGTCCGATACAATTCCCCGGTAGTTCTCTGTAAACTTTCGACCGGGTTTCTCAGATACAGAGTTGTTGTTTCCTTGCGCTGGCGATATAGGCTTGCTGTGCCGTCCTAATTGCGTCCTTCGGTGCTAACATCTTTTGTGGGCTTCTACCTTTTCCAGCAGCGACGCAAATGCCGTTCAAATAGTACTTTAGAAACGCTGATTTCTTAGCGTTGCTAAAAGACTTTCCTGTAGACAGATCACTTGCACCAGTCACGGTACTCCTGATTTGCCTCATATTTCTTGAGGTCAGTGGATATTCTCAGCACTTATTCTAGAATACCAGACGTATTTTCTCCTGAAGCAGTTTGCAATCATCGAGGTAAACCGCCTCTGCTTTCACCATCTGTTCCCCGCGATTATGTCTTTACAGAATAGACATACATGCATACCCACAGAGAACCGAACAAGTTCATTATATAAAAATATGAAAAATATACATACAACAGCCGGGATTCGCTGGTGGTCACCCACCCAACTACTAACCAGCCGGCGTGTGGCTTAAGTACGGCTGAGCGGACGGGAAGCCCTGTTTTCCACACCCTGTGGTCGTATGTGCTTACTTCGGATAAGAACTAAATCTTATACTCAATGTTTATCTGTATGCCCCATAGAGCAAATACAGCTGCGCTTGCACGAGGTGCGTAGCACTAAGGTACTAGTATCTAGCCTAAGGCAATAAGGCAATGATTGTGTCACATGCTTCGATAGCCGCACTAGACTTGCTTAGGATAAGGCAAACTAAAGTGGAGTGCCAGAGCCAATAGAGTTGCTCTGACTGTCCCCGCTGCGGAAGGAACCGCTGTACATGCTATGTACACAGTACTAAGCAACAGACAGACTCCGGACTACATTCAACGCGGTAAAACGGAACACAGAAATATTAAGTACAGGCATCATAGCCGAGGTCCTTCAGTAATACACAGTTATTGCGTAGTTGACCCTGCTGGCGCAGTCATGGTGCATGCTATCTCCAGAGCCTAGTAGAATTAACCTAGAACTAAATATTGGTCTCCCACTTAGGGTTGTGTCTACTGGAGGACCGTTGTTTTTATCATACTATACTCTCCTCCGGACTGCGCCATTGATGTATAGGCTAGAGCTAGATCTGTAATAGGTCCCAAACGAACCTCAATCAAACCAACCACAGGTTCCTATCGCACTATGTTACTCCCTGGCCACTTTCAATCCCTCCTGTATTCTCTGCTGGTCTGCCATTGATTAGATAAATGTAGGCCCGTTCAGGCTCTCAAACTCACCAACTTAAAGAGGCCAGTCTGAAGTAGAGAGTCGGAATTGTGGATATTGGATACTAGGAAAGGCGCTCTAACAAGGATCTTCACTTGAGCACACCTGGGAAGATACTTAAGGGTTCGACTTCGACTACCACAATTACATTGGGCCATACCCTGCATGGTGGTGAATACGTTAGTTTCAGTTATAAAGCGGCCAGTAGGATTTCCCCCTTCCTCCATGGCATTATGTCTCCCAATTCCCAATAGTTATCAGCGTCCTGGAGGTCTAGTTACCTTTCCTCTCTGGCGCGTTTGATTCTGTGATGCCTCTCAGCTACAAAGTGGAAGTCTAGATATTAGTCGGTTTAGTCGGTTTATCAAATCTACCCCTGCCAACTTCTAGTGCTAGGCTTGGCCACAACTGTTGGAGTTCTCATTTAGGCACCATGGCTAGGGGTTAATTTAGATAGAGATAATATCCATCCTCTACTCATCTAACTGATTCACGCAGGTCACTGTACCTGTAAATTTTCTACCGTTGTATCCGGTGCTCTGCTCTATCGAGATCACTTGATTCTACTCCCCTCTTCCCCACTACCTCTAACTCTATATCCAGTCCCGTCAATCCCAGGCAATATTCCTACAACGACACGCAATACGAATCCTTCTTCCATGGTCCATTCAAAGATCCCGTCCCCGCGCAATCATTCTGGAAAGCAAGACATGACATAAACAGGACCGATCTAGACAACATCCAGATGGTAAACTCCATGGCCCGCGCCGCCATCTACAATAGAAAGCTCTACACTATCCGGGCCCTCGCCAGGGGAGATCACCGTCGCAAGCTCCTAGGGATCCTAACCATTCATCTCCCGTTAATCACAGCACCTGATCTCGCTGCCATCCCAAACACGGAATTCATCTTCTCAGTGGAAGATAAATTGGAACATGTCACCGGGATAGATCATCCTTTCTAGATCTTAGCCCGAAAGACCACCGAAGAGTCTGTTTGGTTGATGCCTTGGATTCTGGTCCTAGTGTCATACGAAGGGTAGGGTAGGACCGTATGACCAGGCAGTCGAGTATATCAGACTACAAGGACTAACCTGGGAGAATAAAGAGGATCAAGGTCAGCTGGTATGGAACGGAAAGCTCAGTCTCGCGCCTAAATTACGACGCACATTGCTTGAAGTAGCGCGGGCCTATCCATGGGTAGACGTGAAAGAGGTCCAGTTGGCGAACAAGGCTAATTTCTTCGGTATGGAGGATCACTGCGATTATCGATTCATCACTCATGTAAAATGTATGTACGTTATGGTCGTTGATGGGATTATAGATAGCTAACTGGGTCTAAAGGTCGTTTCTATTCCGCATTGCTGAAGCCAGACCTGTCGATCAACATCATCAATATTTCCACGTCACCTCTTGACCATATCACAACTACATCCAGGTTGAACGAGGTTTCTCGGACCTACCGCAGAAGATATAGATAGGACCTTCTCGACGACCAAGCCAAAGCCCAGATGATTGCCAATGATAGTGTAGACGAAATGTGTTGATCCACTAGGATTGCAACTGTTAAAGTGCCTCACAAAACACTTGCCTTCAACCTATATACCATGTAGGGTTCTATGACAGCATATAGGCTTGATATTGAAATTATGCATCTTGATCTACCTCATCTGGTTTTTCCAGAATAGAGTTAAAGAAAGATACATCGATAGAGTATGCCATTGGTATTTTGCTCTATCTAATTAAGTGTAAGTATGGTCATCAATCACGTCCTAGTCTAATCATAACTCAAAATGCATCATGCTCTTATCCCCGAGCAATACAAACGTCTTATATCGAAAATCTCTTTCCGGAGCACTGGTCAAGCCAGCAGTGATATCAGGGGAGCGCGGCGCACACGTGGCAGTAGTCCCGCAGTAACGAGCTGCAGCTGCAGCAGTTAAATACCTGTCATGGAACAATCCGAATACTCTCGAATGGACTGGATCATATACATGCTGCCTATAATTCAACGCTTATAAGTTCAACAATAAGAATCTTACTCTACTGACCTAAAATCAACAAACTAGTAATATTCATCTAGCACCTTGCTAGCACTGCGTCCTAAGTCAACCAACTCAGACACAGACAGGAATTTTACCCCCTACAAAATACGAATCACCCGTAACTGGCTCATGGCATTGCCCTGATATTTGCTATCTGATACAAACACCATCACGACCAGCATCCTCACCACTCCCACTATTTCCACATCCCCACCGGCAAGCTCCACGACCGCACCGGAAACATCCTCCTCCCAAAACCCCGACCCAAGAAAATCCGCATCCTCGAGTTGCGTATTTCATCACGTAATTCGTCCGACTCCATCGAATGAAGAAATAGAAAATGCCATCAATGCATGTTGGTCATAATGATCGTTGGATATGACATCTCCCGCCAAAGGAGAAACGCGAAAAAAGGGAAAAGAAACGGTTGTTTAAATGTCAAGACGCGCAAATAGGTTCACTGAAAAACGGAAAGGATCTACGATCACGGTACGCCAGGCTTCGGATCTGATCTAACGGAGCTAAAGAAGACGCAGAGGCGATTAGGAAGACCAAGGGTGGCCGTGTAAGATTGGACAGCGAAGATCAAACAGCATATTTGCGGGTCCATTCGCGAGCGGTCGCTTCATACCGAGGACGGTCGGTCTTGTAAACGTGCGCGATCTCGGGCACCAGCGGGTCGTCCGGGTTGGGGTCTGTGAGCATCGAGCAGATGGACAGCAGCACTGCAGCACGGTTAGTTCCCAGTCTATATCACCGCGGCGTAAAGAGAAAGAACGAACCTTTAGAGATTGTGAGAGCAGGGCTCCATTGGTCTCTGAGGATGTCAAGACAGATGCTGCCATTCGAGTTGATGTTGGGGTGATAGATACGGGTCGTGAAGTTGACCTTTGGCGGCTTGAATGGGTAGTCGGTAGGGAAGTGAATCGTTAGGAAGAAAACACCACCCGAGTATGGCGAGTCACCCTGTGAACTACGTCAATAACATATCGCCAAATAATGAATCATTGGCTAAGGGGCATATCGCCCGGTAAAGACCCTCGAAGGGTCCAAACGGTAGCCCCAAGACCAAAATAAATAAACAAATACTCACAGGACCCATTATCGTAGCTTGCCAGTGAAACTGGTAAGGAGAATTTGTCAGTACTTCACCTAAATAGGGTTGTGGCGGAGGATGTGGGATCGTGCATTCAGGAGCCCCGCCGCAATTGACAGAAGAAAACAGCGACCGTAGCATCCAACAAAGGAAAAAGGGGTGCAGAAATCGTACCAAATCCTCTCCTTGGGGACCAGCAGAGCAGGAGGAGGGGGGATCACTGCAGAGAAGACGAGGTTAGCATCGTCTGCAAAAGAGAAATGGAAAGGGGGGAAACTCAACGCCCCGCGGATATGGTGGGGGTGATAACACCACAGCGAGGATCTTGTCCACTATCGTACTTACCGGCCCAGATCAGCGAGTTCCTTGTTGATTCTCTTGAGAGCCATCTCGACTGTACTGTGATAGGAAGAAGATCCTAGGAGTCTTTTAGGACAACTACTCGGGTGAGAAGATGTGGGAGAAAGGTGGGTATCGAATTTGGTGGTAGAAATCTGCACGGCACACCTCTCCCTCGTTAGTCGGATAGAGCTTGAATCAGAATGGCAAGGCACAAGAAAAGAAAAGGAAGAGGAGTAGAAACGTCCAAACAATCGGCACAGGAAGGGAAGATACAGAAGAAGGATTGAGGGAGGGGGAGGGAGGGAAGCGACTCACCGTCGTTGATTACGTGGGAGGCGAAGAGAAAGAAGAGGGGAATTTGGGCTGAAAGGAAAAAAGAGAAAGAAAGCGAGAGAGAAGGAGAAGACGAGGAGTCACGCCGTACCGTATTTTTCGGAACGTGTTCGCAGTACCGTACCTGTCCGAAACTCAGCCACCTGCGCCACAGATCCCTAGTTGTCTTCGATGTATTGTATATATAGATACTATGGAACTTAATGACCTATCGAATGATTCCTAAATGACAACCTCAGAATAACTCCGGCATATCTCGTCGGGGAAGCCGTACTGCCCACCTATAACCGAACCCCAGCCACTACAATGGAGCACATCATCAATCCACTTGGAGATCTTGGAAAGCCGTTGCCACTGGCGGTTCCGGGTGATGACTGGACAATTCAATACAACTACGGGGCCATCTCTATTCTTTTTTTTTTTTTAGATTTTTCTTTTCTCCATCACTTACCACTGGACTTAAAAAAAAAAACAAAAAGAAAAAAGAAAAAAAAAAAAAAAATTTAGAGCTCTCTACAGTCAACAGGTCAGACTTAATAATGGCTACTCCATCTCTGATGGAATAATTCGTAATTATTAACTATCATTCCTCAATTCGACTTGTGGCAACGGCTCTTACTATGGGTAACCCTGTATACTTCAGCCTGTTTCAGGTTTCCATCCGGATCATCATCGCCTCATAGAAAAGTATCAGATAAATACTCCGGAGTATACCATTGTCAGAGGGATGCATCTCACAGGACTGGGAATCGTTCACGATCCCAAGTACCTTGGTAGGATAGGTAGGTATCTGTACTTTACTGCCGGTAATCGCCGTACGACAAAGCGGCCCACGTGGCGCTATGGTCACGTGTTTCCAGCCACAGCTTCTCGAAGACTCTACAAAGTACTGGGCTCGGCTGGGGTGAACTAGCAGGTTAACAATTCGGAGGCATCAAATTTACAGGTCTAATATCTAGTGCATATCACGCTGTCTCTACACAAACGCCTGCACTCCAGTAATAGCACGCCCCAGTATCAATGCTAGTCCAATCATCAGCAATCTGCACATGGATAAAAGGGGCAGGTGTTTCAGGTCCGGTGGGTACTCACCGTGGATATCACTCTGGCCCTCGTACGTCTGCACCACAAACAAGTTAGCAACATGTCGTGCAATGTGGTATTCGTCGCTAGCCGCGTTGCCACCAAACACTTCCTGCAGGCTGTGGGAGAGTTAGTGGAATAAATATAGAAGGGGAGTACACAGCTGCTTACATGCGGGAGTTCTCTAGCGCACGGTCACAGTTCTGTCTCTTGATCATGGAGATCATCTCCGGCGTGGACTTCCCTGCGTCCTTCAGTCGAGCGACTTGCGTCGCAGCCAGGGTTCCGTACGCGGCATCGGTGATAGCGTCAGCTAGCTTCTTCTGGATCAGCTGGTACTTCGCGAGCGGGTTTCCCTTGAATTGTTTCCGCTCCAGCGCGTAAGTGCGTGCGCGGCTTATACAGTCTTCAAGAGCTCCCATGGTGCCAAATGCGATGCCCAATCGTGCACTGTTGAGGCAAGTGAAGGGCCCAGCGAGTCCCTCAACCTTGGGGAACATATTCTCCGCCGGAACAGGGCAGTCATCCATCTGGATCATGCCGGTGATGGACGCCCGCAGGGCGGTCTTGTTCTTGATGGCGGGGGTCTCCAAGGTGCCCGGGGGGCATTGGTCACGTTCCACCACGAAACCGCGTATTTTGCCCGTACTCTCCAACTTGGCCCACACGATCATGATGTCGGAAATAGGGGAGTTGGTAATCCAGGTCTTTGCGCCGGACAACAAATAGTAACCCTTCTTGGTAGGGTGTTCTCGCGCCACTGTCTCCATGGAGCCAGGATCTGAGCCGTGGTTGGGTTCTGTAAGGCCGAAGCAACCCGCAATTTTGCCCTTAGCTAGTCCTGGTAGAAACCTGTCCTTGAGCTCTTGCGTCCCGAATTCATTAATTGCCGTCATCGCAAGTGAGCTCTGCACAGACATGCCAGATCGATATCCCGAGTCTACTCGTTCGACTTCCTTGGTGATTAAGCCTGAAGCGACAGTACTCGCCCCTGCGCATCCATAGCCCTCGATGTTAGAACCGAGAAGACCCAGTTCTCCCATTTCTTCCAGAATCTTGCGATCATAGTTCTCATGACGGTAGGCATCTATCAAGTAATCGTACTTAAGCGTGTATTCTCATTGCAAACAAGGCTGAGAGGTGGCATCACGTACCGAGTACCCGGGGTAGCAAGCGTTCCTGGCAGTACTGCCTTGCTGTGTCCTGGATTGCCAACTCCTCCTCCGTATACAGCTCCGACGCAGCAAGGGGATCCTCCCAATTGAACGCGGTTGCAAACCCACGTACTGAAGCATTATATTGGCGGTTTGCTGATTGAAGTTGGCGCGAGGCGACGCGGAGTACAGATCGACGCATGGTTGCGCAAGAACGGCGGTAAACGGAGTCACAGGAGAAACAAATGGACTTTCTTGATGATATTAGGTCAGTGTAGAAACACGATCAAGTGGACAGAGCAACCGCGGGAGTAAGAAGTTATAAATACCAGCGCCAATAGTAGATAACTATGATGTTGCGGGGGAAGCTAGCCGATTTCCGTTCGCAAGGCGGCGCAGTTGACCTCGGCAATGACATCGGCCCGTCTCTTTTCAACTCCCACGGAGCGGGTAATATATATACAAAAAGCGCGGGAAACGAAACAACTAAAATAAAATAGAGAGAGAGAGTAAAGAGAAAGACAGAAGACAATGCGGTCTCCAGTCTCTACAGAGCTATATACTATATTCGTGAATGCAAACAGAATGTTCACATAATATATAGAGCACATCCGAACGGATACAAAATTGCTCCCGGCTATCAAGAAGCTTCGGTTTACGCTCCGTCGGCGACCTAGATAAAGGAGAAAGTATCAAACTAATCAAGTGTTAATCTACAGAGTCATCCAGGAACTGCAACTTGCGACAGGTGTTATTATCCATGTAGACTATATATACTATGGTGTGCTGTTTTCTATGTTTCTAAATCATGAGTAAATGTATGTATATGCAACCATATACAGCAGAACGTCCAGATGCACAGATCCCAGTACGCAATGGGATTTTCACGTCAAAGTATGTCAGTGGGTAGAGGTCAGGCCTACTACAGTAGGCTTCAAACCGGACCGGCAAGACGTATGTACATACATACGTGCATGCCGTTATTGACACGACAATACATACACAAAGCCATTGCGTATTAGTATTGTACTGAGAAAATTCTCAAAATGGGATCACTGATAAGATCAAAGACTTCAGCCAGGGATAGTCCTGTTTCGGGTCATGACCCCAGCAGATTACAGATTTCACATTTAGCAGAGCCACGAAGCGGTTAAGCAGGCATCTGGGATTGCAGGAAATCGAAAACCCCAGTAGGAAAGTATTCTTCGTCAAAGCCCCATGGGTCGGCCATCATAGGATCTAAAGAGCCCTCCGAAAGGCCAGTTTGTGCTTTCGCCCGGGCAGCTTCAGGATCAAACCCATTGCCTCGTTCTGCAGACAAAGGCGCCACCCCTAGTAGTGGGGGAGGATGTGTCAATATGGTGTCTCTTTCACCCAGTGGCTGCGCACCGGGGATAATAATTGATTTGAACATGGATGAATGGTCGCGACAATGCTGTCCGGTTGACTGCTGGCTGCAAGATCTTCGCTTCTCCCATTCCTCTAGTCCCGTAAGCATTTTCCTCAAACCACGGGCTATATGATGACTGAGATGGCGCTCGCTAGCCCGCTTGCTACAGGATATCATCAGCTCGATGACTCGTCCGACCAAAGCACGCACATAAGCAACGTCGATTAGCAGACCAGCCGACGCAATAGAGTTCTGCTGATTGCCAGGTATGTTGCTCGAGCAGCCCTTTGCGGCAATTTTGAGCAAGAATACAGCAGCAAAAGTTATCATACTGTGGAGATACAGTGGAACACCAACCAGTGCTGTTTGAATATCCGGTTCATCCAGAACGACCAGGAGCGTGCCAATGGCTGACTGGATGGCCATATTTGCATATTTCTTCCGTCCATCAGACATGAACCGAGTGGAAGTCGAAGAGTGATAAGTCCGCAAGGCAACCGAATTCAGCTGTAAACGAGAAAAGTGGTAGTGCAAATAGACGGCCTTGTAAGGGTACGCACCGACGTATCGACTTCCAGCTGTTTCAAGTCAACCGTTAGGAACAAAAATGAAACTCAGCAGAAGCAAGTATAGGGGGAATATATAATACCTAACCGAGGAAACCATGTTGACTGCCATTCTCCCAAGTCGGCATCAAATTTTTCAATGGTGCTGAATTCACTCTCAGGTACTTCTAGGTCAACGTCAGGACCGAAAGCATGGTATATCCGGGTGAGAATAATGAACAGGTCAACCTGACTATGGAGGCGTAGTTCAGATTGTGTGGCTGTAGGTGATAGAACAAAAGTAGCATGGTTTGTGATGCTGTGATCCTCGTGGATTATGGGTGGCCGCCCATATGCGATAGAGAAATGATGTTCCAATGTCTATGGGGTGGCATGTAAGCAACAGAAAAGACGACTGGGAAGGGTGGAACGTACATAAAGGAGATACCATAACCTGGCCTGTTCTATATGTTCTGGAGAGCCTTGTGTAGCCTTGCGATAAGATTGATGTAGGTTTCGCTCCGTTGCAATGCGGACAGCATACCCAGAAAGCTTCCAACTAACATCCGCGAGCCAAAACGCCCCTATGCATAATGCACGTAAATCATCCAAGGTGTGGTGTCTATCAAGCATAGATTCAGATGCCAATTTGGCAAATTCAGTGTAACAGGTATCAAATGTCCTCTCTTTATTGGGCATATGGAGGGCCGTCACAGCAAGGATAGCAGCAGAGAGCATCGAGGAAGAATTGCGGACGGAAGTAAGATCTTTGTGTACGAGTGCTATGCCGTCCCATAAATACCGATTGAGCACCTGGTCAAAATTGAAGAATAGCTCTTCCGCCTCTTGTAAATCCACAATTCCTCGAGAAACGAAGTCTGTGACTAGCGCCCTGTCGGGGGCATATTGCCGTTCGGGAGTTCTCGCTTGAATGTCGCTCAACTGAGTCACTTCGTACAAGCTTCCCATTGGAGCTGTGACCAACGAAGACGTCCCATTTTCTTCTCTGTCGAGGGCAAATTGTGACTGTTGCCGAAACGGTCGAGTATCTATGCCGCGTCCCCCTGGTGTCGTAATCGCACCGATGTCAACTGAATTTACTTTCCTGTCATTCTCAACCACAGCACCAGTATCTTCGGTAGAAACTGTAGATTCTTTTCGACCTCTCTTTTTGGGTGGTGCCTCAGTTGACCTACCCAGGGCCTGGTAGTATGAAAGCTCCGGCAACTGAGCTTTCCTAAGCAAATCTGTCATAGCGAGTTCTATAGTTGTCTTCCACCTATTCAAGAAACAACACAAAATTAGTATATTTCGATGCTAAAAATAGATCTATAATATTGCTGAGGGGCGTTGATTACTCGGCTTCATCATCCAGCAACGTCTGCAGACTCTTGTTGACGATGCATTCTAGCCCCATACGCCGACATCGGTGACAGACCGACTCCCCTGACTTTATATCACATCGGACTTTATGCCGCTTGCATTCCGTGCATGCGCGTATCCGCCGTGATATCTTGGGTATGTGTCCTATGCCTTGCTGGGTATTATTTTCCGAGAGAGGCTGGTGCACATAGGCACCCTGGGGAGACGAAATGGACGAGGTATCGTCACTGGCTTCGAAATGAGGGTGACTTCGTTTCATGATGCAGAGAAAGTCATCATCAAAATCAATGCATACAGCATGTATATATCTATACTCACCCCCTTTTGCACCCACAACGACAAGAAAAATTGAAGAGTGAGGGAGGGGCTTCGGGTACTGCAGCAATTGGGAGGGAACAGACCACCAGCCGTGCTTAGATAACTGAGTACCTATGGAGTGGCCACTAGAGCATTAGGCAGCGGTTCCTTCCCTACTTAGGCCTCTAAAGGCTGCGTCCCTTACTATTTGCTCGGAGAAAGAGCAAGTTTCGGTACTCAGTAGTGCTGACAACCTTGAAATCCCACTGCCTCAGGCTTTACATACTTCACATTACTGGGGAACGGTGGGGAGCTAGATCACGTGGTCTGAATACTCTCCGGACACTAATCCCAAAGAGGTCTAATGATGTACCGCGCGTGTTTCCTGATGGCGCGCGTTTTGTCGCGATGGGAATGACGACGGCATCGAGAACAAATGAAAGCACCTACCTGCGATTTTGCCCGAAATCAGGAAGGGATTCCTCTTACCCCCGAAGTCTCTTCTCTCCATTTCCAGGTGCAAGCAATTTTTCACAATGGGTATTAAGCGTAAGTAGAGCTTCCTATCGTTCTATGCTACATTGTGATGTGACTATGATCGGAGCTTGTTTGGTACTGACCAAACCTTTCTAGATCTATTCCAAGTCATTTCAGAGAATGCACCAGATGCGGTTAAGGCGGGGGATATCAAGAATCACTTTGGCCGGAAGGTTGCTATAGTATGTGTTATGCCTCAATGCCCATTATGCCGATAGCTCAGTCCACCGTGAAAGGCAGTTAACTAACACATAACTCTTGCTTCTAGGATGCGTGCGTTGCGTCGTCTCAAAATAGAAACTTGAAATTCACTAATGAAAATATAATGTAGGTCTATGAGCATTTATAGTTTCCTTATCGCGGTCCGCTCCGAAGGTCAGCAACTCATGAGCGATACGGGCGAGACCACATCGCATTTGATGGGCATGTTCTACCGCACCCTGCGCATGGTTGATAACGGAATTAAACCTCTTTACGTTTTCGATGGAGCCCCGCCAACGCTGAAGTCTGGCGAACTGGCTAAGCGTACCGCCAGGAAGAGCGAGGCTGCCGACGCTCATGAAGAAGCGAAAGAGATAGGCACGGCGGAGGATGTCGAAAAGTTCTCCCGACGTACCGTCCGTGTTACGAAAGAACATAATGCAGAATGCAAAAAACTCTTAGAATTGATGGGAATCCCGTATATTGATGCCCCGACAGAGGCAGAAGCGCAGTGCGCTGTTCTTGCTCGAGCAGGGAAGGTGTACGCTGCAGCTTCAGAAGATATGGACACATTATGCTTCGAATCACCGATTCTTTTAAGACATCTTACCTTCAGCGAACAGAGAAAGGAGCCGATCCAAGAGATCCACATGAGCCGCGTGCTAGAGGGTCTCGGGATGGACCGACGCCAGGTGAGTTACGCTGCCCTAGATATCCTCTGAGAGAGACCGGTTCGCCTAACCTACTGCGATGCAGTTCATCGATCTATGCATTCTACTCGGATGTGACTATTTGGAGCCGATTCCCAAAGTTGGACCTAACACTGCCCTGAAGCTGATCCGGGAGCATGGGAGCCTAGAAAAAGTGGTGGAGGCTATTGAGAGCGACACAAAGAAGAAATACGTCATTCCGGAAGACTGGCCATATCAGGATGCCAGAGAGCTGTTCCTCAATCCAGACGTGAGGGATGCCAGTCATCCCGATTGTGACTTCAAGTGGGATGCACCTGACGTGGAAGGCCTCGTGGAATTTTTGGTCAGGGATAAGGGTTTCAATGAGGATCGGGTGCGTAATGGTGCTGCTCGGTTGCAGAAGAATCTAAAGACCGCCCAGCAATCTCGGCTAGAGGGCTTTTTCAAGCCAGTGGCCAGGACGGAAGAGGAGAAGGCCAATCTTAAACGTAAGCACGATGAGAAGATTCAGGAGCAGAAAAAACGCAAGAAGGATGAGGCCAAGGCCAAGAAAGAGGCCAAGTCAAAGCCTCGAGGTGCTGGTTAAAGGTACCTACTTAAGCGCAAGGCCAATAGCAGAATTGATAATGGAGCTAAGGAAGGCATATTGAGCCCCAAAAAAAAAGAAAAAAAAAAAAGTAAGAGAAGGGGAAGAAGAATGCTCGAAAATTTGGCGTTTTGCGGAGGGTTGTTGACTGCTCAGCTGCTTTCGGACATTTGGCGTGGCGTTTTCCCTAGCGGAATGCACCAGCAACATATATCGGTACATGATGGATGTGGAATTCGTACCTGATATCTATTATATAAATGAGATTAATATGGCCCACTAAGTGAAAGGCTTCAGCGGTAGGGGTTCTATGTTTTTTTTTTTTTTTTTTTTAACCTGTCTGCTGTGCTATCATGTACTTACTTGGTTGCAATGTGCCGGGTGTGCTAGGCGAGCAGATAACAATCAGCTATGATCCACGAGCACTCAGTATTCTAGGAAAACTAAGCTGTGTACATTTGAATAAATATATCTGGCCTCCATTGATGATTTATGTGCTAAATATATTGGTAGTCTTGTGAGTTAATAGTGGTGGGGCTGTACGATAACAAGAACATGACTGTTCCCAGTAAAAGCAATGTTTAGGTGCTAAGATTGATAATGAATGAACAATAAGAATTAAATATGCTATATTTAAAATAGCTCTCCGTGCAGTAATCAGTTTCATGTCTAGAAGGAGTATTACGGTGGTTGTATGCAGAGATCAGAATTAGAGACAATGCTCCTATATATACAACCTCCGTACTCCGAATTCCGCAAGCAATCATGGAAGGTCCACAGCATCTTGGTCAACAACATCATACCACACCACAATGTTGCAACTAAGAAATAGTCTATATCTACAGAGATACTGCATCCAATATTAAACCGATATCCCTCGGTTTGGTGGGTAGATCAGCGATAGTTGTTGGGCGCAAGATCACCAACTCTTCCTGACAAGATGTGTCTCGATGAAAGAGGAAATGATCCTGAGCCAAGCACCCCTTGATCCAAGAATATCTGCTTTCGGCTGTTATACCCGGAGTAGTTCCTGCATGGGGATCAAGTGAAGAGCCATTGATCCATATTTTGAGTAAGGCATGTGACCTAGCAACTTGGTGATTCTATGGTCTCAATGACTGGGACAGAGCCAAGAGCGGCTGCGCATCCACAATCCATGGTGGTCGAAGATCACAGCTTATGATACAAGACTGATTTCCAGCCATCTACTCTGCTCTACTATTTTGATCCATATGTTATTCCATGGATGATGATTCTCAATGGTACGTACCCCGTGGTAAGGGTGAGGAGCTCGAGATTAGAATGGGTATTCGATCCTGGGTGGCCGGAGATAGTAAAATATGGACCAACCGTTCACGACCAACCATGATGGCAGCTATCCATGGTTCTTAATCTATAGCAATTAGCTCACACCAATGAAACCTCCCGGATTCGAGCCATAACGTTGCAAGGACAAACCTAACAAGCAATGTATACATCATCCCACCCCGTGACCTGATCTGCACGAGGACATTGGGTGAAACACCGTCACGCCTGCCAGAAGATATAATGGGGGAATGGCTCACCTGCCGATGCAAGGGACAGACCAATTCAGGGTCTTACTCCAGTTTAAGCTCCCAAATCCACTGCGCAAGCTGTTAGGAGGTCATGAGCTTGATTGAACTTCCCACCCATGGAAGAGGAGTTCAGGTGGATCGGAGCACCATTCAAAGAATGAAATGGATCGGAGAGAGCATAGAAGTTGGCTCATTCATCCTTGATAATTTATGGTTAATTAATATCATCCACTCGCGTATTGAGGGTTGCTTAGAGGACACCGGAATGTTTCTTAAGAGAACCGTGTGTTGTGGACAGTAAGTCATAACAGCACGACAAACCTCGAGGGAAACTTGGGACAAAAAGAGGGCAGACAAGAGAAGGTGGAATGTGCATGGACTAACATCCCATTTTACTCACCCCGGTAGAAAGGGGAAGAGAAAAATATCTATGAATGGGAGGAGGGAAACCTACGCGTTGGTAGAGACAGGATCATGCGCGTGGCAATCAACCGAGTTGGGATTTACGAGGACTACTACAGGAAGTAACAACCATAGAAGAGAAAAGACAATCTGAAAAACCGTTACAAACCACAGTAAAATTCAAATATCAGGTCAGAGTGAGAAAAGTTCAAAAAAAATTAAAAGAAAGAAAGAAAGAAAGAGAGAAAGCAGGCAGGCCAGGCGATTGACGTGTTGTGCCCGTTTCTGCTTGCGAGTGATCCTGTGTCAACACCCGCTGCCCTATAAAGCGAGGATGCCCCGCGACTTTCCACCCCTTCCGTCGTCGACTGCTTTTCCTTTCTTCTGTTCGCACTCTCGATCCACCTCGCTTCTTCTTATCGAACTAATTTCGCCTTTCTGTAGACCTCTAGCTCTATCGTCTTCTATCTTCTGGAATCAACATCCCTCTCCTATCTTCCACTATGCCTCCCAAGAAAGCTTCCACCACCGCGACCAAGAAGGCTGGCTCGGGTCACGCCTCCTACCGTGGTATGTTTGTTCTGATCTTTCATCACAACCCCATCGCGTAGGGGCGATTCGAGTATCATTTTCGTCGCGAATGACTGCTGATTTGTGTAATATAGATATGATCAAGGATGCTATCCTGAATGTGAGTTGATCACGCTATCCATGAAGCGCCTTGGGATGATGAGCGCCGGGTTCAACCTTCCGCGACCGGGACACGTCACCACGCTTTTTATCATCCCAACGCGCCGTGGAACTTGCCTTGTTTTATGATCAATTTGATCGCTGACTTTCCATTTCTCTTCAGCTGAAAGAGCGCAATGGTAGCAGGTATGTTTTGTCTGGTTTTTCTCATCATTTGACGTGGTGTTCTTGCCGACGCGGGAGCCCCCTCTATGTCTATGTCGCGCCTCAAGACTGACGTTTGTTTCCCCCCTCGTCACAGCCGCCAGTCGATCAAGAAGTATGTGCAGGCCAACAACAAGATTGCTTCTGCCTCGCAGGCCGCTTTCGATAGCCAGTTCAACAAGGCTATCAAGGTCGGTGTCGAGAAGGGTGATTTCACCCAGCCTAAGGGTAAGTTTAGAGTTTCTTCGTGTCTTTTACCTACTTTATCATTCCCCCTTTTATCCTCGTCGCTGTCGTTGAACATGCACCTTATTGTTATCGCCATCCTTATCGGTCTTTGACGGGGTGTGCCGACTGACGCGTGTTGTTTATAGGTCCATCAGGTCCCGTGAAGCTCGCCAAGAAGGAAGCAGCTGCTAAGTCTACTGCTACCAAGGTAAATGTCGCCCATTTATTTATTAATTTTGTTATTATTATTTAATGTTCGACTAACATTTCCTAGAAGACTGCTGCTCCTAAGCCTGCTGCCAAGAAGCCTGCGGCTAAGAAGACCGAGAAGACTGAAAAGCCCAAGACTACTAAGAAGACCGGGACTACCACCAAGAAGTCTGTTGGCCGTCCTAAGGCCAACACCGCCAAGCCTCGCAAGGCATCTACTACTGTACGTGATTGTTTCTTCCATGGGCGTTGATGTCGAGTACTGATCGCTATGTAGGCGCCCGCCATTGTCGACCAACCTAAGGTTCTCGGTAAGACCAAGTCTGGCCGTGTGACCAAAACGACGGCCAAACCTGCACCGAAGGTTACCAAGAAGTCGACCTCCAAGAAGGCTTGAAGCTGATGTCTCTCACTGAAGTTGTTCTGAGTGACTGATGTTTCCTTTCTCGTTGACTTAATTCTTGCGACGTGTGCTTTGGGTGATATCTTTTGGGTTGTATCCCTTCTCTCTTCGGCTGTAACTTTTTCTTCTGTCGCTACTTATTCTTTGGTGTGGTGTGTTTCTGGGACACGTTGGTTGCTCTTTCTCTCTTTTATCGGCAGGGTTGGCGTCTTGTGGTGGATCTTGCAACGGGAAATATCTTTTCTTTTTTTACTCAGCTCGGTCTGTTTGAAGCACTTGCCTAAGGATGAGTGTTGTATCGTCGAATTGAATTGCCTGACCATGTTTCTATGACTGTAATATTGTCTGGAGCCGCATAGTACCGTAGAAGTAGCGAGTGAGCGTATCCTTCCGCGTTTAATATGGGGGTTTTGGGTGGTATGGGTTGGGAAGTGAGATAGGGATTTTCAGATACAGCCCGAATATAAGGGGTTTATTATTGCATATAGGGAGAAAAGATATTCCTAAGAGCGAAGTTGCAAGACATTAAATGTATCTAAAAGTCCGTGGTTTTCAAAGAAGCTTCTATTTTAATCCGGTGGCTGGCTCGGGCTTGGAATGCAGCTGCAAAATCATGGAGCAGTTCTATAGGCCAACGATAGTTAACATCTCTATTTACATGTTCCAACGTAGGATTGATGATCTCAATCCATTCCTTTCACCTGCTTTCTAAAGAAGTAAGCTGGTGGCCAGTTTAGTTTGACCATATCCCCCCCGAGCGTATTGGAGAGAAACGAGATGTCGTTCTGGAACAGGCAGGGCTAATCGCTGAACGGTGGCAAGTGACGAAATAAAAACGACATGTATATATCACGTGACTGCAACATGTATGATTCCAAATTAAGTATGTACTAGTCTAAATTAGGTATAATGTATGCCTCTGTATATTGACCCAACAACCACAGGATGTACAAGATAGAGGCAACATCCTTCTACGACTATCTAAGTAGACTTCAGGGCTGCCAGGACGGCGAGAATGAATTAAGATGATAAATGTAATGTTTCATATTTTATATCTGACATGAAAGTGTAGGATATGCTTCTTTTCTCCGAGGTGGTATTAGGATATTTGATGGTATGTCCACCGTTCACAGAAATGTTTTGCCAGTCTATCAGAGCGTTCCTCGACTTCATATACGTGGCTGATTCCCTTCAAATAATCAGAACAGCATAAAGACTTCAAAAACAGATCAAAAGAGATCCAATATTATCCAAGCTCAAAAAAGGGAACATGCTGATCTGGTCGCACCAGAACCAGACATCCCTCCAGACCTATACCATATGCTCTATAGGCATTGCCGGATTCAGCATGGAATGACTTGTTGTCTGCATAAACTCGCTCAAAGTCCATGACCCCGCTGTGGATGATAAGGCGGAAAGTTTCGGGCAAGCTCAAGAGTCCACATCAGCTCGCGGAGAGGAGTGAATTAAATAGATGCTGAATGTTCCTGCTCTGTACTCTGCTCTTCTAGTATTCGACTTATGAATGATTGACTCAATTGATAACACAGCCTTTGCTAGAGTAGTGACGCGCGCTTGTTGGACATTGTCGAGAATATTTGCGAAAACAATTAGATACCATTCCCCTGTTCTGGCAAGCAGTTCCTGGAGATGAATGGGCCCCGAATCACTTTGTCGAAGAACAATTTCACTTGAAAGTCTAGAGGCAACTCGAAATATTTTCGGCAATTTTCTGGCGGAGAGAAAATCCCGAGTCTCGACGGCTACTGGATATTCCACAAGAAGTTTGGGCAGTAACCCCGGATTCTGAAGTATTCTCCCCTTCCAGGGCGAGTTTATAGTCTCCATCAAACTGATCCTGACCTAGGTTGCAACTGTACAACCCTTAACACACCCGCTTGTCAAAACGAAGCAGTCGCTCAATTACGAACAGGCGCTCTTCCTGATAAACCTGTAGGATTTTCGGACTTGTGGCCCCTTTGAATACGCTTGCCAGCTTCCAGCCAAGGTTGTAGGTGTCTTGCATGCTCATATTCATACTCTGGTCCGCTTTGGGTGATTGGGTATGAATGGCATTACCTGCAAGGAATATTCTACTGAGGAGATCCAGTTAGCACCATAAGAGCCTCGAGAAAATCAAATTGCTTGTAACCCACCGTGTACATCGTAGACCAATGCCCATGGTGCGTCTGCAAGAAATATGGATCCATGATGTGCTGGTCTATATTCGTAAATATCTCTGGATCGTTTCCGGGTCGTTCATGGTCGGCGTGTGCATATGTAATGTGGCTCGGGTGGTCCCCTATTGGAGATGCCTTCAGTAAAACGGATTAATTGCTCTTCGACCCGCCTCTGGCCTAACGTGCAGGATCGATATCTTGACCACTCCGGCTTTATATTGGCTATCATATTCAGCTTTCGGGAAATACCTTCGTTATTGGCACCCTACGATTCTTGTCAGCAAGGCCTTCGAATAGCAATGGTGATTTAGGAGACGTGTCCAGCATTATCCAAAGGCATAAAACGTTGGTATGACTGGATTCTTTCCCGATCTTTTCGGCCAGCCAAAACTATCAAAGATCTCCATGTTGCGACTTTCAAGGCCATCTGCGCGACCGGACTGCGTGTGAGCCAGCTTCGCATTGACCACCAATGTGTTTATTATTGCCTGTGCCATCCATGCAGCCGCCATCAAGCTATGTTTATAGCTGTAAGCATAGCCCTCTGTTCACTAGGTAGTGCGTAACATACCCTGCTCGCCCAGTCCCCACAATGAGCACATCTACCTTGGACCTGTCCTTCATTGATCGACGTCCCAGCTAGTACACTGACTTGCGGCAAGAATGGAACCTAGCCATCAACACTAAAGGCTCATGCTTTAATAGTAAAACCGTTGTGTGAGTGCCGTGATGTCACGACTTCACTTCTGGCAAGGATTTGTCTTTTATCTTGTATTGAACAGCCAGGGCCATGTTATATGGCCGTCAGTGGGACTGTCAGAGTCAGAGTCTTGCTGTCCTACTTCAACTCAGCCAGCCAGCACTTGCGAGACATGAAAGAGATGTGCATATACACATCAACAGTAACTTTCAGTTTGTGGGAATAGAAGCTAGGATGACGTTAACTGCTTTAATTGATAAGGCGTAGCCTGTTACCTAGGTAGGGAGTTAACAATAAATGCTACGTAAAGCAACAATAAATGTCTTACAGAGGTACATAATACTACTGCTGTTTCAATGGGTGAATAATACAGATGATATTATAACTAAACAACCACAATGCAAGAGAGGGTGAATATAATATTTCGAAATTTGATTCTTAGTGTTTTTGGCTGTTGGGCGTAGCTGCTCGTGTTCCAGATGCTTCAACAGGATTTTATTTTGCCTACACCAATCTTTAACTATGCCATATTCCGCAACTGTTTGGCTTTGATAACGTCTAAGCCCCTGTTCTATAAAGTATAAACAGTACAGTTGTGTCAAGTGCTGTCTGATTTCTTTCTGACACTTAGGTATAGAGGTATTACTGTCGCAATGAGCATTATTTTAAGCCTACTCATGTTCCCTTAACTGTTGAAGGGTTAGAGGAAGCTGTCCAAGGCTGAGAGACGACAAGATGAGATAAACAGGGGTGTGAAAGAGAGTGATCTTGTTATGGGAGCATCAAATCAGCTAGCTATGTGTAAATAATGTTTATTAGATATAATAGAAATAATATAATATAAGAAATATAACAGTCTGGAAATACAGGAGCTATAATAATAATCCACCTCATAAATCTGCTGTTCAAATAACTAAAACAATGGTATCAATACTATCCTTTATAAAAATAAAATACAATAAAAACACCTCCAAGTTATACCATGTCTCGGAAATATAAAGGGAAAGAATTTGGATTGCTATAGTTACTTGACCAGTAAGCAATCAGGCACACAGGCACCAAAAATCTATTATGGAAATCTGGTCCATACACAGTATATGCCAGTATGCACGATCCACCAGACAGAACTGTGTTAAGTCCGAGAACAGGATGGCGCTGGTTCAAAGACCCATCACATCAGTGACGTTAATACTGTCGATCATTGTCACAGACAGGAATAACAGAATCCACTGCCATAGGATACTTATACCTGTACTAGGACGCACACCCGACGTTAATCACATAAGAACACTGATTTATACTTAAACCAACTCCTTAGATACTGTAAGTTTATGTCTGCCTGGACCGTGAAACGACTCTTATCTCTTCCAGACCCTATGATACCGGTAGTGTTTAATACCATACAAGCCCAAGAAACATCCCGAACAGTTTCAAGTAATATTGTATGCATAGAAACAGATTATATTAAGCTGACATAAATTATGCACACTCGTATTATACACCCTGTAGCTGAAGGCTGGCCATTGTCATAGTTCTTTGCAGGTAGTACCTGGCATCGTTTTAAGTCCGTGGTGCTACCAGGAGGATTCCTGACAATGATACTAGTAGTACCTATTAGGCAGCATCCTATCAATTATCACTTATCGGGGAATTTAAAGATTGTATCTTGGGTACCCCATAGTAACTAGCTAACTAGTTACCGGTGCATATTTATGTATCTATAAGTACAATACTTGGGCACTGGCAGCGATAAGGATTATATACATATTTCTTAACAACACCAAAAACATGTTTAAAGCAGAGAGTGGAATATGATTCTAGCTAAAATACAAAGTATTATCCATTATATAAGAGGCTGAGAGAAGCAATATTGTCATGGGCTTTGGAAGAACTGGATATCGATGGATACATCGATACACTGTATCATCCCATACCAGTCATATGCAAGCTGAACAGTGGAGCTTTTCCCTTTCTTTTACTCCAGCCAAGCCTCTCTCTGTCTCTCTCGCTCTCTTAGTTAACACCGGGAAGTTAGTTAATAATAATCACCTAGAGTAACTAACTAACTAATTGAAGCAGCAGAAGAGAAACTTTTCTTCCAGTCCTTCTTCCGCCTACCAGTACAGGGACACGACCAGGGTTGATTTCCAGTTATCGTTCATTTATTATCCTGTACATGCGTATTACCGTCACTCCCTCCACACACTCTTTGGCTTCTCCTGCACTGCAGAAATACGAATACCAGAACAACCAATCGATTACTTTTGCTTTTCACGCTCTCCCGATTCCCAGTTCTCTTCTCGTTCACCCCATTCATTCTAACGATCATCTCGCTTCTCTTCCTAACCTCCCTTCCTTCTTCGCCTTCCTCTCTTTCGACGGACCCTGTCACCTGCCCATCCCATCCTCCTTTATTCTCGAAGTCGCCTTGAACCAGCTAATTCCCCCTTGAAGGTCGGACACGTCGATTGTCGACTGTGCCGCATCGAATTTCTCCTTCCACTCTTTTTATGAACATGCCTATCGGTCGCTAGAATTTCCTGCCACGCCCTCCCCGGCTGGCTACTTCCTCTCGACTCAGGAACGTTGTTCTTGCACTTTGACATCTGCCATTGGCCGGCCATTTCTGTCTTTTCCATCGAATCCCTTCCGTTCATACATCACTACTGGTCTCTTCTCTTCCGTTGCTCGATTTAAAGGGTACCGAAGCCCGGACAAGGTGTGCTCATAAGCACTTCTAGGCCTTGCCCCGTTGTACGACAGCGTCTCTTATACCATCCTCTGCCCCTGAGCACTCCACTGAGAGTCCGAGCTAAGCGACCATGCCGTCGTTCTCAAACGACGGGCCTTACCAAACCGCAACCGCTACCGCTACTCACCCTCGCACCTTCGACTCCCCGCAGGGGAAGCCGCATGATAAGGCACCTGTGGGCAACACATTCCTGTGGACTAACTGGCCAAATGGAGACACCAGTCACCTCAACGCAACGTCCAATGACCGCCAGCATTTCCCGAATGGTAGCGCCCATTCTCTGAATGGACCTCGATCAAGTGCTGGCTCTTATTCTAGAGACTTGTTGAATTCTAAAGATGGGAGCATGCATTCATTAGGAAATGGATCAGTGAGAGACCCTCGAGATGGTGGGAGACCTTCGATGACATTGGATAAAGAGTACAGTCCTGGATCATCTGATGTAGGTGCTGCTGTAGGCTCGACCACCTCCCTTTCCAGCCAGCAGCCGAATGGTACCTCGCTGGCTCCTCGGTCGCACAGTGGGAAATTTATGGTAAATGGTGACCATTCCCGGCCCTCGGTCGACGAACTGGTCTTCTCGGACTCGACGGACAATGGTATAGGACCGGGACTGTCAACATCTCAGCCCGACGATAGCGGTCGTCTTTCACCCGATCCTGATCGGTTGTCGCCCTCGCAGAGGAGTCCCCATCGACAGTCCTCCCCCCCGATTCCATCTGGCATGGAAGGACCTGCACATCAGGACTCGACTAGCTCGAGCCTTCGACATCGACATACTCTTCAAGTCCCGAGAGCGAATAGCGGCCGTCGCAGTAGTCGTGATCACTCGGAGGATACAGCGTATAGCAGTGGTCGCTTGTCTCCAACAGGTGGCACCCGTCGAACTTCTTTTAGTCTGGCCCGCCGGGCGAGCCGAACCAATCGCTCAGACACGTTTCCTGATGAGATCAGCCCGGACGACGATGCGGCACGATGGGCCGAAGCCATAAAGCAAAGGAGAGCTTCCAGGAGGAAGCGTCGGGATGAAGATGATGAGGATCGCGTTATCGTTGGAACCAAGGTGGACCAGAACCATGTGAACTGGGTTACAGCGTACAACATGCTTACAGGGATACGGTTCACTGTATCGAGGATCAATGCTAAGATGGATCGCGAGCTAACTCCTGCTGACTTTGAAGCAAAACACAAGTTTTCGTTTGATATGTATGTCATAACGCACTTTCTTCCTGTGGTCTTTCCGTTTTCGCATTTACTTACATTGGCTCTTGGACAGAACTGGCAATGAGTTAACACCCTCTGCCAAATACGACTTCAAATTCAAGGATTATGCGCCGTGGGTTTTCCGACGATTGCGAGCCAAATTTCGAATCGACCCCGCCGATTATCTGATGTCCCTCACAAGCAAGTATATTCTTTCGGAGCTGGGTTCTCCAGGAAAGAGTGGAAGCTTTTTCTACTTTTCGCGAGATTATAAATACATTATCAAAACAATCCACCATTCGGAACACAAGCTACTACGGAGAATCCTTCCCGAGTACTACAAACACGTGGAGCAAAATCCGAACACACTCATCTCACAATTCTATGGCCTCCACCGCGTTAAAATGGCGTATGGTCGCAAGATCCATTTCGTGGTTATGAACAACCTTTTCCCGCCTCACCGCGATATCCACCAAACGTTCGATCTGAAAGGGTCGACAATTGGCCGCGACCTGCGTGAGGACGACCTGGAAAAGAATCCGAGGGCAACTCTGAAGGATCTGAATTGGGTCCGGAGAAACCGCCAGATTCAGTGCGGCCCCGCGAAGCGGGACTTCTTCCTGGCGCAACTCCAACGGGATGTCGAATTACTGAAGCGGCTCAAGATAATGGATTATTCCCTCTTGGTAGGCATACATGATGTAGAAAGGGGCAACGAGGAGAAGCTCCGGGATAAGACCCTTCAAGTCTTTCAACCCGGAGGTGATCGGGAAGAAGACGCGAACCCCAACATGCTTATGCGTACTCCCTCGAAACTGGAGAATGAACGTAAAGCACGAGAGTTGCGGATGCTTATCAAACGAGAGCGCCCTGTGCCTCTGGATAAGGCAGCCGCAAAAATGCCCGAGGAGATCCTGGACGAAAGGAAGTTCCATGTCTTTTATTCGGATGATGGGGGGTTCCGTGCAACTCATGAGAACGGCCAAGCAGGAGAAGAGATCTACTATCTTGGGATAATCGACTGCTTGACACACGTAAGTTTTCTACGGCTTGCTTAGATGTTAATGTGCTCTGCTAACTTCATGCTCTCGTGAAGTACGGAACTGTGAAAAAGATAGAGCATTTCTTCAAGGGTCTTTCTCATGATCGGACCCAGATATCTCCGGTGCCTCCGGAGGGATACGGCGATCGGTTCATCAACTTTATCAAGGGCATTACTATGTCCAAGGAGGAGGCTGAGCGGCGTCGAGAATCTTGGGGCTCTGCTGAACACCGACCCTCTTCCGTTGAGCGAACCATGCAAGCAGCGGAGAGGGAGGCGGCCAAGGATGTATCAGTTGCCCACCCCAGGACGTTGTCAACTGTACGAGATCCAGCAGACCCCAGCGGCAGTGTACCGACCTCGACGTTACCCATTGTGGATGAGGCTGGTGAGGCCAGCAGTGTCGGAGGCCAGAGTCAACACAGCCGACAAGGACCGTCGTCAGCGCCAGAAAAGGTTCGACCGACACTATCTTATCATTACGATCTAGGACCTGGCGGAAAAGGAAAGGCAATGGCTTGATATTGGCAAGCGGCCCGTTAGTTCCTCCAAAACAATAATTACTACCTTGATTCCACAATTTGAAGGTGGTGAATTGGTTGATTTTCATGATACCCACACTCGTACCTGATCATACTTTGCGATCTGCCATCACTCGGCTCCCCGGATTCTTTGCTTCCTCCTTGCACGATGCACCTTCTTCCCTTTATCTTGCTCTAATTGGAAACCACTCTTGTGATAGTGTTCATGTTACCACGATTGATGTGAGTTCCTCTTTTGCTCCTGGATGTTTTCTGCCCACCTCGCCAGGACGTTGATTCCAGCCCACTTGATATCCAGCTAGTTTTCGTTTTGAATTTGTCTTGGTCCAGCATAATCCCAACCATGAATCACTACCCACCTTCTTTTCCCGACCACCTATGGCAAGCAATACTTGATCATATGTACCATCTTTTGGAGTACCCTCGCTATATTTCCTTTTATCCCCGTCTTTCTTTTTCTGTCGTCTTCAGGAGCTTAGTACCCGATTTTGAAGGTCCAGTGTGTCCTTTGACTGTCAAGATCTCTCTTTTCTCTGAGTTCTGGACTTGTTCCAGTCCCCATTATTTCTTTATAGGGGTTGGTACCACATACATACATTACATCATTTCCCATTTCCTATTTCAAGTCTGAACAACTCCACTAGTGGTCAATTTCTCGACCACACTCCACTCTCCGATCATACCTCCCTCCGGGTCTCACTCTCTCATATATTCTCTTTTCCTTATGCCTTTTTTTGTTTTCCCCAACACAACTACTTGCCTGGCCGAATATTGTTTACTTGCATTATCGTTTTTCTTTCCTTTCCTCTTTTTTCTGATTCTCTGTTGTATACTTTGGATGGGAGAAGCGAGAGCATTGTTTGTCGTGAGCAGGTTTGAGCGACTTAATTACGTCAATGTTATAATTCTGTTATTTTACTTCCCCCCCTCTCTTTTTTATTGATTTCTGTTTAGAAGATTGATAGAAGTCGTGCAGCGCTGCAAGTACCTAGAGAATTGATACCAATACGCTCGTGTGATTACATCGCATCTTGAATGATTTCAGGTAGATCTTTCTAAGTAGAAGTCTCGACAAGACACTTTGGTCTGTTAAGATCATCCTGATCTCCTGTAACTACCAGCTGTAGCATCTATTAATTAGCCTTGTGTCTTCCGAAATGGTGCCGTCCGGGCCACTTTCAGATCGATCTGACCCTTCTAAAGTAGGATGGACCATTACTTAGAAAGAATAATTAGGACATGAACAAACAAAGGAGGAAAAGATAAGGTACACGACAAAATACATGCTAACGTTCATCGTCCAAGGATAAAAAAGAGGGACAAAAAAAAAAACCTAATATAATTGCAAAAGCAAAGATGAACCCCACCAGTGACGCCAACCACCTATCATTGTATGAATAACAGGAAGAAAGTTGTTAAGACAAGATCTCAAAAAGAGAAAAAAAGGAAAAGAACAAAAGGAAATTGAAAACCAGCCTTGTGTAACCCCCCTCCCTCATCGTGGTATACTGATAAGTCCCTGTAAAATTGGCAAAGAAAGAACAAAAATAAAACAAATGATAACAATTTTATTCAGCCTTGCCCTGAGTAACCTTGGCAGCCTGGATAGCTGACATCTTTTGAGTCCAACCTTGAGTGGGCTGAGGCTTTTTGACAGTGCGCAGATCATCGGTGGAGAATCCGGAGATGCGCATATTGTAGTTGCGTTCCAAGACCAGTTGAATATCACGCATTTCAAGTGTAGATGACGGACGTAATTTGGCAAGACGACAGGCGGCGGTGATTACGTCGTCAACGAAGTCATCGGCCATTTGAATAATGAACTGAAAAGGAATGGATTAGTGGATTGAAACCTGGTAAGGGGAAATAAAATGTGAACCCTACCTCTTCCGCATCTGGTGTAAGTCCCTCGCCTTCACCCCCTCCCGTAACCTGACGAACCAAAATATCAAGCATTTTCTTGCTTAGTACGCGCTGACCTTCACCCTCAAGGACATAACCGGGGTGCTTTTGTATCGCGGGCTGGCCCATCATACCCATAGCTCCGTGACTAGGACCCCCCGATAAAGTGGATCGAGATGGTGCCATGGTGACAGGCTCCGGGGGTGGAACATTCAGGTTCTTTGGGATGGCCATGTTGATATTGCGAGCCGAATTTTCAGTCGAGCGGTTGGCGATGTAACCTTGGGGATGAGCATGTGTATTGTTTGGCGTTTGCGACATTTGCTGTTGCTGACCCATGTTATTATTGTTACCATTATTGTTGTTTGAGTAGCTCTGAGCCGCTTGAGCCATGGCGGCTTGTTGGGACAAAGGACGTGGCGGCCCTTGCTGCACCGGCACCTGTTGAGAGCCGGTAGGAGTAGGCGTAGAACCATCTAAGTTGGGCACCTGGGCAAACACTGCCTGCGATCCTGTATTTGCTTGCTGGCCTGGATGCTGCTGTTGCGGTTGTTGCTGCAGAGCTACGGTCGGAGCGGCAGGTGTAGAACCGGCGGCCTGTGCAGTAGGTGTCTGGCCTTGTTGGGAAGTAGATGGCGACATGGACACCTGCCCAGATTGATTCCGCGCAGCACTCACAGCAGAGGTGATGGTATGAGGTGCTGGCGTTGGCGCTTGCCCAGGATGCATCGAGCTAGGGGCGTTTGTCGGTCGGCCATCACCCCCGGCACTGGCAGCTGGAGCAACGGGACCAGTAGCACTAGGAGCCTGCGGAGGACCCGAAGTATTTTGCACGCCTGCCCTTTGCTGTTGAGCCTTGAAGTTATCCTGCTGTTCCTTGAACTTGGCTAGGAAGTCGCCGCCCTCACGGTAAAGTTTCTCCGCTGCAACCTGTCGATTTTTAAACTCCTGGAGCTCCTCTTGGGTCACGGTTCCATTCGCCTGGCGCTGACTAAACTGTGTGCGTAGGTCGTTTGCACGTGCCCGACCAATTTCTTGTTTCTGTAGCGCGATGCCGTAGCGTAGTTTGGCTTCTGGAAGCCACGTCTGCGCCTGCTCGTGACTGATATTAGGAGGAAGGAAGAAATGTAAGCTATTGACTTTCTGCTGGATCTGAGGGAGCAGTTGGGCAAAGTTTTGAGGATTGACCGATTGCGGGCGTGGAACAGCCTGGCCCTGTGCGGCCGCCGTCGCGGCTTGAAGCTGCTGTTGCTGTAGCTGACGATTCTGCTGAAAGGCCCGCATGCCTTTCATCAGGCTCTGTGAAATCTGAGTGAGGCGTGTATGCGCGTGCTGGTATTCGGCACTCTTCGGATCTCGGTTGTTGAGGACTTCCCAGTAATTGCGTACGAGTTGGGTATGCTGATTCTTTTGTTGCTCGTTGAGATGGGGAAGTTTCTGGACTTGGTCGGTCCGGATCAGGTTCGAGTGCTGGGGGGCCATCGGCTGAGGTGCGGGTGCGGGAACCTGAGAGCCCTCCATTTTATGTGATTTTGAATAATCGAGGTTGCTCAAGCTACAGGTGGGAAAGGGTTCGCGGGGAGGGAGGGCGAAGTTGGATCCGAGAGACTTCTTGCAGCGATGGGGGTAAGACCAAATGAAATACAAAGTCACGTTCCGCACGTGGGGACGGAAAACTAAATGAATGGATCTCTCAAATGATGCCGAAAAAAACAAAAACAATGGACACACAACTGGACCAGTCTCAACTGTCCCCGGCAACTCGTGAGGATGGAGAATGAAGATGATGAGATGTGGGATCGGAGGAATTGATTGGTCGGCGGAGAGTTGCACGGAGCCTCAGGCTTGGCATGGGTTAAACCCTTCACGGTCGGACTTGAGTAGTTGTATTGGATACGAAGAAATACTTGAAGTGGAAGGAATGGCATGAAGCAGCCGGTAGGATCCCATATGGAAATTGACCATATTCCAATCCAGTGAGGATGAGGTGAGTTGGAGAAGAGTTCCCACTGCAAATGGAACTGAATGGTATCCTCGTGCGAATGATACTACTGAGGTAATACAATGAGATTGCGGCCATTTTGGGACAGGATAAAAGACATGTATTCGTACAAGCTACTAGACCGAGAGGGTATTGGAAGAGAGAATGCTGCTAATACAAAGCCATCAAAGGCCCGACAATAACCCAAGTCTCAGACGATGGTCAAAGAAAGCACATGAAGTGATTTCCATGGGTGTCTCGCCTACCCTTCAACCTTGAACGTCAACAGACGGTCCAGATTCCACAACTCTATACCGAGTCTGTGTCCATACTTTCCATACCCAGAGAGGTCTGCATAAGCCGAGTAGCGGACTGGGTGAAGCGAGGCGTTTTGGGGAATGCACCCGATTCAACTCAGTTATGCTGGACCAGCTGACTTTCCCTTTACTGTAGCAGTCTCGGTCATGTAGTTCGCTAGAGCTGAAATGTAAAGCCAGCCAGCGAGTCATAGAAACCCCATCAGTGGAAGATAAAGGAGGGACCTTTTCAGCGCTGAAACCAAGATATGGTTAGTCGGTAGTTTTTTGGTGCTAGTGAAGCCCAATGAAACCCCTCCAGCCAAAGCAGGTCTGGCTGTTGCCAGCATCTCAACCATATGCGCACGGTTAACGAAATTCGTGGGCGATCACTCCATTAGTTCTCCCAAATCTTGTTCCATTCCATTAACATGATTCTCTAAACGCCTCTTTTTTCTTTCTAATTCTCTGATCTCCTCTATCTCGCGTTCGATATCGGCATCGGCCACATCGGCCCCATCTGATTGTGAAGGACCAATAGTATTGTAGTCATAAGCATCGCCGTACGAACGGCTCATCTGCTCCAATTCGGTTGTGTTTTTGGCAACACGTTCTTCCAATTGAAGAATCGAGTCTGCAAGTAATTCATGGCGATACCGAAGGCTAGCAATCTTCTCTTGCGCCCCAGGAACAGGACTACATGAACGGTTAGAGTAGGAGAACGAATGACTGGTGACAGGGGACTGGGTGTGCCTACTAGACATTGCAAAGGATTTCCGCGCCTTTGAGGAGCACTTCTAGGTTGACTTCGTTACGGGGGCCCGAGACTGAAGTACCAGCAGACCGTTTAATCTCCTCCATCATGTCGGACCCAAGCACCCTCGCCACAGCTGATTGATTTTTGTTATTTCTCGCTGAGTAGATGCGACTGGCCATCGATTCACCCTCCCCCTCTGTGGGAAGCGTTGTACCACGCTTTGTGGGTCTTCGCTGGGAGGGATTGATCGATTGAACGGAGGGATCAACTTGGAAAAGAGCTCGTTCATGAGTCTCTGTATCGCGAATAAGCGCCGTGATATCATGAGAGCCTAGCAAAGCATTGGTGAAGATGCGAGGTGGGGGGGGAAACTATCGAGCCAATTAGTATTTATAGGGAGCAAGGACCTGAAAGTTGATACTGACGGGAGGTCTGCGATGGCATTAGAAGAGAGCATGATCTGCTCGAGATGGCTTTCTAGGAGTGACATGGCTAGGAGGGCAGTGTTCTGCGAGGATCTACTCCATACTGACAGCAGGAATCACGGATCGTGGCAGCTGGTGCAGCAGGTAAACAATGCCAAGACGAGCTGGTGGCAGCTGCTTGCTGCCTCAGGCACCAAAGGACACCATGACCTTCTTATCGTCTCTTCGTCTCTGTGGTGGCAACGGAGCGACAACAGCGCATCCACAAGAGAAAAGGAAGCTCGGTACGGTGTACAAGCTACCAGCTCGGCCCCTCGACTCATCATCCGTCCTCAGCGGACTTCCTATCGTCAAGACGGGGGTTCCTCCATCCTCGCTGCAGCGGACCCGTTCACCTGAGAGGTAAGCTCTTGTAACTCGCCGTGGCTCCCTGACTAAGCTCTCTGCTGGTTCTCTTGCTTCTCATTCAAAGCCAACCAGCCGACCTTGACATCACATCACCACCTCATCAACTTTTCTTTCCCCGACCTCTCTAGGTAGACATACCATCTTCCCATCATCTGCTTTCCCATCTCTATTTTCCTTCTCGCTCCCTTGCTTTCTTTGATTTCTTTGAGATTGTTTCCAGCATCCTGGTCTCTAACCATCTCCCCCCTTCTTCTGCTTCCCGTACCCGCGGCTCTATTGCTCAGCTGAGCTCGCAGCTGGAAAACGAAACCATGCCGGCCGAGAGGCGTTCTTTGAGATCGAACAGCAAGTCAGATACCTCTTCGTCTGCTAACGGTGAAAAGGCTCGCTCTACCTCACAGAGCTCAAGTTCCACTAAGGATAAGCCCGCGCTTACCCGCGCCGCTGCCAACAAAGCCAAGTCGTCAAAAGCTGCCTCATCGAATAACAACACGTCTAACTCCGGCATGGGCGAGCAGCGGGAACAGCCGCAAACCAACGGCTCCGATCCCACGGAGAATGGCGTGAATGGCTCTGAAGATATTGAGATGGGAGAGGATACGGCAGGTGGGCCTACATCCTCATTCAACGCCAGTAAGGATCGGAAAGGTGACGAGAAGATGACTGTTGTAGTGCCCCCTACGAAGGGTTTGAGGTTATCCGGCGAAAAAGGCCAGGACAAGGAAGGCGATGTCGCGATGGAGGGTGCTGAGGGCGATGAGTCCCAGAAACCCGAATCTGAGGTTGATCCCGAGGCGAAGGCCATCCAAGGTTGGTTCCAAATTCCTTTTTCCGATCTCCCTTGCGGAGCAAATGCTTGAGGATGCGCTACTGAAATCTCACTTCTACTGAATTTAGACATCAAGGCCAACTTCTCTCTCCTTGAGCGTGCCGTCGCCCACTTCGACCCACGATTTACCCTTCGCGTCCTGCGATCGATATCATCAATGCGCAAACACATCACTTCCGATGTGCTGGCGGAAGTTATTGTTGAGACTTACCCCTCGTCAAACTCGACAGCGTCGTTTTTGCTTGAGGCTATTGGTCAGCCGGTCGTCTCTGAGAGCTCCAAGATGGAGGTCGAATCGGAGAAGACCAAGTTGACCCTCAAAGAGATTTTGCCTGAGGTCGATACCTATCTTGCAATACTTGTCCAGATATATCTTTATGACAAGAAGGAGGTACAGAAGGGTGCCCAGTTCTCAGCGGACTTGATCGAGCGTTTGCGGACCATCAATCGCCGCACTCTCGATTCTCTCGCAGCTCGCGCGTACTTTTACTACTCTCTTTTCTTTGAGCAAATTGCCCCCCTTCCTCCATCCCCTGCTGCAACGGTTACTTCAATCCGCCAGCCTTTGCTTGCGGCTCTTAGGACAGCGGTACTTCGTAAGGATGTGGACACTCAGGCTACCGTTATGACACTGCTACTACGCAATTACTTGTCTACATCCCACATCTCGCAGGCGGACTTGCTCATCTCCCACAATCGCTTTCCTCCCTCCGCATCAAACAATCAGATTGCCCGGTATCTGTACTATTTGGGTCGCATCCGTGCTGTTCAGCTGCAGTACACCGATGCTCATGGGCACTTGATCGGGGCTACACGGAAGTCACCGTCTAGTCACAGCGCGCGTGGATTCTACCAAGCTTCCCACAAATTGCTTGTAGTTGTGGAGCTCCTAATGGGTGATATTCCCGATCGTGCAATTTTCCGTCAGGCTGCCCTAGAACGTGCCATGCATCCTTACTTTCTACTGGTGCAGGCCGTGAGCGTCGGCGATTTGGATGGTTTCTTGAACATTGTCAATACCCACAGCGCGACGTTCCGAAAGGATGGCACTTACACCCTTATCCTGCGCCTGAGGCAAAACGTCATCAAAACTGGTATTCGGATGATGTCCTTGTCTTATTCTCGCATCTCTCTACGGGACATCTGTCTCCGTTTGGGGCTAGATAGTGAAGAGTCAGCAGAGTACATTGTCGCCAAAGCTATCAGGGATGGCGTGATTGAGGCGACTTTGGACCACGAGCGAGGATTTATGAAGAGCAAAGAGATTGGAGACATTTATGCTACCAGGGAGCCCGGTGAAGTATTCCACGAGCGTATCAGAGCCTGTTTGACTCTTCATGACGAAAATGTCAAGGTAGGTCAATTTCGCTTGTTCTTTTTCTTTTTCTTTTTTGACGTTATCCCAACCACTCAATCCTGCTTTGAACTTGAAGTATTCGCAATAGATTGCTGATGGATTGCCTCCAAATAGGCCATGCGATTTCCCATGAACCAACACCGTCTCGAATTGAAAAGCGCCCAAGAGGCACGGGAGCGGGAACGGGAGCTGGCCAAGGAGATCCAGGAAGGAGACATTGACGATGAGGATGCTGGCGGTGATTTTGACGCCATTTAATCATTAAAACGATTACTATAATCATACGGCGGCTTGAATACTGTCATCCTGTGGATGAGGCTTTATGGGGAAGACTTTTTGTGTGTTATCGCGATTTTTGTTGTTCGGGTGTACCTGAGGGGAAAGGTAGAATTGAGCTGATATGTTTTTTATAAACTACTTTCCCCTCTGATGTTGAAGGACAGGACCATCTTGTAGATGTTTCAGTCCAGCGTGTCTCTCTTTCCGCCTTGGTGGGCGTGCGGTCCTGGATCTCTTCTTGTAACTTTCATCGACATTCTAGACAAGAAAATCATTTTGCTGTGACTCTGTCTCAAGTATGACAAGATACCGCGGTATGGAGTAATTAGTTCATTAGGGAGTGGACGCTTTCCCGTTCCGGCCCGAGCTCGACTTGGCCGATCGAAAACTTCTGGCCCGCCATTCACTTCCGCCGTACAATCGTTTGGATACCTCTCACTTTTCTTAGCGTTTATTATTGAATGATGATATAATTGCATTCCGTACTATCGTTTACACCTTCATTTTCATGTCCTTTTAATACATCGGCTTCGATCATTATAGTCGTGGAGCATGAAAGCTCGAGCCATTCCGGCCTCCGGGCTGGTCTTTTCACCACGAGTTTCACCTTCGACATTAATGTGTTGGCAGTGTTTTCGCAATGATCTTTTTTTGAGCCAAATACACAGCTTCCAGACACGGAAGTACCATCCCACGAGACGGAAGTCCGCCTCGCCGTTTGGTGCGGCAGTCTCCGCTGCACAAACACTCTTTAAAGGCTTACCGAAGGCGCCGCCGGGGATCTCAGTAGATCCATTGAGGATTGTAGGAAAGGAGTTGAAATTTCTGACCAAGAATATTCGCCAATTGCTCGGTTCAGGACATCCAACTTTAGACAAGGTGGCAAAGTATTATACCAGGAGTGAGGGTAAACATATGCGCCCAATGCTGGTGTTGCTCATGTCCCAGGCGACTGCATTGACCCCTCGAAACGGCCGAGCGAGCGCGACGTCTTCTACCCCCGTGAATGATTCTATTAGTTCGCCATCCGTGCTTGTTGATACGAATCCTGACCTTAATCCGCTCACGTCGTCCTCTCCCGAAGCTCAATACAATTTCGTTGGCGATGAGAATATCCTGCCCTCTCAGCGACGACTTGCAGAAATCACCGAACTGATTCACACCGCCTCCCTGCTGCACGACGATGTCATTGATAACGCTATCACTCGCCGGTCTTCCAGCTCCGCAAACCTCCAATTCGGAAACAAGATGGCGGTGTTGGCGGGAGACTTCCTGCTAGGCAGAGCCTCTGTTGCCCTGGCACGTCTAAGGGATCCAGAGGTCACGGAGCTGCTAGCTACTGTTATTGCCAATCTCGTTGAAGGAGAGTTCATGCAATTGAAGAATACGGCTGCGGACGAGAAGAACCCGGTTTTCACAGACGAGACCATCTCGTACTACTTGCAGAAAACCTACTTGAAGACTGGGAGCTTGATCAGCAAGTCGTGCCGTGCAGCAGCCCTGCTTGGTGATAGTGTACCTGAGGTGGTCGAGGCAGCATATTCCTATGGACGGAACCTGGGACTAGCGTTTCAGCTTGTGGATGACATGCTGGATTACACGATTACCGATGCTGAGTTGGGAAAACCTGCCGGGGCGGATTTACAACTGGGTCTTGCTACTGCGCCTCTCTTATTTGCTTGGAAAGAAAACCCTGAATTGGGCCCGATGGTTGGCCGGAAATTTAGCCGAGAGGGCGACGTACAAAGGGTAAGTCCCTTCCTATGGGTGAGTCTGACCAAATGTACGCTTGCTGACTTCCACTGTAGGCTCGCGATTTTGTCTATCAAAGTGATGGGGCTGGGAAAACTCGTGCCCTGGCCCAAGAGTATGCTGACAAGGCCGCTGCTGCAATCAGCAGCTTTCCTGAAAGCGAAGCGAAAGCCGGCCTTATTCAAATGTGCGAGAAGACGATGAACCGAAGAAAATAAATATCACCTCTCATCCTCGACGCAGTATTTGGTGATATGTGTACAACGGAACGTGATCGGCGCCTATACTTTAGGCATCGAGTAAGGACCTCTCCCCCATTTACGGCACACTTCGAACCACGTCAATGTACCACTACTTCTGCTCATGTATCATTGTATGCGCTCGTGTGTTTTGTTTTCGTTAAGCCCTTTGTTTAGTGTTCTACCATTGCTCTGTTTGGGGCTATCAACTATTCTATAAACGATGATAGAAGTCGAGGAGTGCAATCTCTTTCTACATTGCTCCGTCTAGGTGTACAGGTTCTAGATAGAGGGTCATATAGATGCGAGAAATGGCGATGCATATGCTTACTGTGTTCGACATCGGTAGGTACTTCTTACCTTACACTGAAACGACTCAATATCCTGGGTAGGGCATAGCTGTTATCGGTTGAAATATATTACAATAATCTGAATTGGTTGATGATTCTAGGTACATAGTGGATACTTCCTGGTACCGTATCTATCTGTATTACATAGCTGCTCCTAATCGTTTTATACCGTACAGATACGTAAGGATGGTATCGTAGCGGGGCAACGTTCTTCCCATGAGATGACGGTATGGGCGGACGGATGCTTCGGGAGTTGCATCAGCCATTGGCTATCCTCATCTGAAGTACAACCGGAATACCGATAGGTACTTGCTAGCCAACCACACAAGACTAAGACCGAACCTGATCCGTCATCGCGTCTGCATCCTTGCATCCTTCCAACCAATTTAGGTATCGTACTCTTTCTTTCTCCTCACCACGACTCCCTCGACACATGTCCTCTTCTTCCTCGACTCTCTAAGAGCTGGCCTCATCTGCTGTCTGGGCAGGAGCTCCTCCTCTAACCGCCTTCGTCTCACCTCTCTCGCTCATGATGGACCTTTCGTTGCTACCGCTTTGATCGACGGGTTCCCAATGGGTTTGCTCGCCAGTTTCCTGCTCGTATACATCCTTGGTGGTCTCACCTTCATCCCGCTGGTCCTCTCGCTCCTGTTCCTCCATGCCCACCTGACCCTCCACGCCCCGCCACCGCCAGCCGAGCAGGGATGCGACCTGCTGGAAGACTCGATCCGGCGTCCCACCGACGACCAGTATAGTCTCAAATCCGGTACCGACGAGTTGGCGGAGAAATTCCATCGCTCGCATGAGCCGGATGTTGCCGCAGGATACTTTGCCGTCTGTCGTGAATATGTTCCTGGTGGAGTCAATGGGAAGCCACCCGAGCGAACCACGCCGGCGGGTGAAGTGATCGCCGCGGAGAGCCCCAGTGTCTATCAAACCATGTATAGGAGTCTATTCGACCGAAAGCAGACCCCAACCATCGAGCCATCTAAAGGAAATGGCAAAAATGGGAAGCGGGCTCGGAATGTCTTTTATATCGTCCTCCGGTAATTGACTTACCCTCCTTCCTGCCTCGCTTTTCAACTCTAGCTTTGCTGACAAGTACGCTGGGGGGTGTGTAGACATGGCCACTTGATGCTGTATGATGATGAAAACCAGGTGGAGGTACGATACGTAATCTCTCTTGCTCACCATGATGTGAGGATCTATGGCGGAGAGGGTGAGATCCAAGAGGGTGAGTTATGGCTGAAGAGGAATGCCATCTCTCTCTCGCGACGACTGGAGTCTCTTGGAGATCTCGGGGGGCCGACGCCCCCCTTTTTTCTGTTTTCCGAAAACCTGTCCGAGAAGGAGGATTTCTATTTCGCTATGCTTCAGAACCAGGCTCGAATGTGGAACTCACCGGATAGCCCTCCCAAACACCAGCCATTTGACGTGAAGGATATTGTTACCCTGGTCCAGCGCTTGCATTCTTCCGAAGAGCAGCTGCAGACCCGATGGATCAATGCCGTGCTGGGAAGATTGTTTCTTGCCTTGTACAAGACACCTGAGATGGAGGAATTCGTCCGAAAGAAGATCTCTAAAAAGATATCTCGGGTTAATAAACCTAACTTCATCAGCCGTATTGGCTTGCAGAAGATCGATATGGGCGACGGGGCCCCCTTTATCATCAATCCACGACTGAAAGATTTGACTGTTGACGGGAATTGCTGCGTCGAGACCGATGTGCAGTATGCTGGTAACTTCCGTGTCGAGATCTCGGCCACCGTGCGCATTGACTTGGGCCCTCGCTTTAAAGCCCGCGAAGTAGACATCGTTTTGGCTGTCGTGTTGAAAAGGCTTGAGGGCCACCTACTGATACGGTTCAAACCTCCCCCAAGCAATCGCGCTTGGCTCTCCTTCGAAACCATGCCAAACATGGTGATGGATATTGAACCCATTGTTAGCTCGAAACAGGTAACTTACGGGATTATTTTACGCACAATAGAGAGCCGCATTCGAGAGGTAGTCGCAGAGAGTATTGTGCAGCCTTTCTGGGATGACATCCCCTTCTTGGATACCTTGACCCAACATTTCCGTGGAGGAATCTGGCAACGGGACATCCCCAAACCTGAATCGAAGGCAGATATTCCAGATGAGTCAGGTGGCCAGCCCCAGAATGCGACCAGCGCCAAAGACGATTTCATTGACGTGTTGAAATCGAAAGACGAGCGTACAATGAGCGCGCCGGTGCTCACCGAACCTATGCCTGAATTGTTAAAATCCCGAAGGGGCTCCAAGGAGTCAATCCGAGAGAACGAGGGGAGTAATATGAGCAGTTTATCCTCTGCCATCGACAAGCCTGGCAGTTCACCGCCACGGGTGATTCGATCGCAAACCTTTTCCAACGCCGCTGACCCTGTGCTCACAGCGGACAATGCGAAGATTGACAAGGTGGCTTACGACGGCGGAGGCGAAGAGAAGAGTAGTGCGACTAGCGCCATGATTGAAATATCTAGCCGGTCTCCTCCTGGGTCCCCTTCAAAGGGTCCTAGTGGTTCGCCGCCGTCAGACAGCCTGGTCGGGTCAGAAGCAGTCTCGCAGAGCCGAGATCCTTCCATCGTGGAATCCATCGAGAGTGTTGGAGAGTTTATAAATGGCTCCCCCACGCGTCCTACTTCTGTTCACCAAGCGAGCGAGTCATCCTTCAACCTTAAGAGTGCTAGTACGAATTCTAGCACATCGTTGAGCAGCAATAAATCCCGGAGACGTACTACACTTGAGAACCTAACGAAAACAATCACGTCAACCAATTCGGATGCCAAGTCACCAGGATCTATTTCAATCGGCACGGCGGCCTCCGTGGCTAAGAAATGGGGGTGGAATATGTTTGGAAAAAGTGAGCAGAATAACGGCCACGAAGCGCCTCGTCCTGCGGGCACCCCAGATGAGCCCATTGGACGTGGTCATCCACTCCCTCCTCCTGGCACCCCGTTACCACCCCCCGAGAAGTTTGCTTTCAGAAGGAATTCGGTTGTTCTTCCAAAAAGAAAACCAGTTCCACCAAATGCACCTTCTGGACAGACTAAAGATGAGCACAAGAGGCCGGTCCCGAAGCCGCCTCTACCACCCCGGCGGAAGCCACTATTCGACTCGGAAGAGACGGGAGACTATCCGGATGAGTTGCTGGTGGTTGAAGCTCCTTACGATTCAGGACCCAACAGTCCAGCCATCGACATGCCGCCTGAAGTTGACATGCTCCAACCAAGTCAGAGATCGGGTACTCCGCCCTCCGACAAGACGCCACCCAGCAATCTCCGGGACAGTGCAAAAAGGCAGGAAACACCGGACCGCAGCACTCTAGGTCATGGGAAGCATGGAATGGAGATCTTATCAGCAACGGATGGAATTATTCCGTGATATAGGAAGCGGAGGGTCTGTCGAGGACATAGAACAAAGGTTTGATATTTTGTTATCGCATTTAATTCTTGCAAGCTTGACATGATATCCTGGTACAGAAGACTTTTCTTTGTATTTTGAAGCGGGAGTTTGGCTTGTGACGGTTAACACACTCTGGCGTTAAATCATGTCTTTTTTTTCTCTTGTTCTTTTTATCTCGCCTCTCCTTTCCAGTGCCTTGATATCGCTTAGTGTTATAATCTATATACAACCGATATGGATACGTTGTCCTTGTAGGCTCTACAGGAGTTCTAGAATTCGTACAAGGGTTACCTTTTGCTAGATCTGACTATGACGAAGGCGCGACCAAGCCCATGACCAGGAGAAACAACCTGTCATTCGTGCAGAACTCCGCTGCCTGGCTACCCAAAAGTCGTTCGATCAGGAGGCGGTGCCAAGACCCGCGATGGGCCATGCAGGCGTCAGCTTTCCCGCCAAACGTCATGGCGCGGTCTTCCTCTTCTTTTCCCCCATTACGCCTCTTCTTGGTCTCTCTTTGTGTCGGCTTGTTGAACTCTTTTGTTTTCCTTTTTTTTGTTTTTTTTTTTAATACATTTCCTACCTCCTTTCCATTTGTTCGTCCGTTTAATCACCTTTCTCGCTTGAATTGCGCTATTTGTTGTCGGGCCCACCCAACGGCTTTTGCCGTACAGAACGTCGCCAGCTCCCCTGATCCTCGTTGGCAGTGACTGACGTGCAGCCGCCAAGATGAGTCGGTAGGTTGATCCGAGGCTGTTAGAAATGGATTCTGGGTCGTAAAATTAGATCATTGACGTCGCTGAGGTAGGACGGAGGCAGATTTGGCGATTAACATTCGCAAAGCTACCAGCATCGGTAAGTTGGTCCTAACAAGAGTCAGTTCATCTAGTCTTTCGTGGTCCTTGTGACTGATCAGAATCTATCCCAGAGGAAACTGCTCCGAAACGTATGTCCATGCCATTTTCATCATAAATTCGCCCTCGGTTCGACGACCACTGATCCTTCATCTGCAGGGAAACATGTCCGGAGCTGCATCGTGTATACATGGGACCACAAGTCGTCTGCTGCCTTCTGGGCTGGCATGAAAGTGTATGTAGTTGGTCCATAATCTTTGGTTCTCCCCACTGCCGGCTGACCCTGTTTCTTTCCAGTCAACCTGTTCTCGCCGACGAGGTCCAGACGTACAAAGCTCTGATCACGATACATAAGGTTCTCCAGGAAGGACACCCGGTGGTAATTCGGGAGGCACAGCAGCATGTCAATTGGGTAGACAGCTTGATGCGAGGTGTTGGAGGAGATGGTATTCGAGGTATGAGAAGCTGCCTCCGGACCTCGGGGAGCCGACGACCTCGTTTGTTGTGGTTCGCATACGCTATTTAAGGCTGACTTGGAATCCTAGGATATGGCCCTTTGATTCGCGAATACGTATTTTTCCTCGAGTCTAAATTGGCATTTCACCGAAACCACCCTGAATTCAACGGTAGAGGATCCTGCTAATGCTCTCTATCGTACGGTTGCTGAGTGCTATATAGGACTGTTTGAATACGAGGAATACATTAGCTTGAAAACAATCAATGATCCAAATGAGGGGTACGCGTTTCATTGACACATGTCCCTACTTGTTCGCTGATGACGGTTTAGCTACGAGACTATCACCGACCTTATGACTCTACAAGATCAGATCGATGCATTCCAGAAGTTGATATTCTCGCACTTCCAGTCTGGGACGAACAACGAGTGTCGGATATCCTCGCTCGTTCCCCTTGTGCAAGAAAGCTATGGCATCTACAAATTTATTACTAGCATGCTGAGGGCTATGCATACAAGTATGCGATATCTGTTCTTGTCGGGGGTATTTTGGTAGCTAATCTCTGGATACTCGCAGCTACGGGTGATGCCGAGGCATTGGAGCCACTTCGCGGCCGCTACGATGCCCAACACTATCGACTTGTGCGGTTCTACTACGAGTGCTCGAACCTGCGCTATTTGACCAGCCTGATCACCATTCCCAAGTTGCCCCAAGACCCGCCCAACTTGTTGGCTGAAGATGAAGAGCGCCCGGCGTTGCCCAAGCGGCCCGTCAAAGAAGTCGAGGCTGAACCATCTCCACCACCCAAAGTAACAACTGCGGAGCCGGAACCAATCAATGACTTCTGGACCACAGAGGCCAAACGGCAACAGGAGGAGTTCGAAGCCGAACAGCGACGTCTGCAACAGCAGTGGGAGGAACAACAACGACAGCAGATCCTTGCGCAGCAGCAAGCCCAGCACGACTTTGAAGAACAACAACGTCTCCAGGCAGAGCAGCAGCGACTGGCACAGGAACAGCTGTTGCGTGACCAGTACAATACGCAGACCCAGGGCCGGCTAGCAGAACTTGAGCGGGAGAATCTAAACGCTCGGGCACAATACGAACGGGATCAACTGATGCTGCAGCAATATGATCGCCGTGTGAAGGACCTAGAGGAGCAGATGAACCAGTTAACATCGAACTTGAACATGCAGAATGCATCACGGGATGACCAGATCCGGTCTCTGCAGGAGCAGGTTAATACCTGGCGGTCTAAGTACGAGGCGCTGGCCAAGCTTTACTCGCAGCTCCGCCAGGAACACCTGGATCTCCTGCAGACAACCAAGAGCCTGAAGATCAAGGCGGCATCGGCGCAAGAGGCGATTGATCGACGCGAGAAACTGGAGCGTGAACTCAAGACTAAGAACCTCGAGCTTGCGGATATGATCCGGGAGCGAGACCGCGCCCTGCACGATCGAGATCGTCTAACCGGGAATAACAAGGAGGAGGTGGAGAAGGTCAAACGGGAGCTTCGGCTTGCTATTGAGCGGGCGGAAAATGCCGAACGCTCCAAGGGCACTGAAATCTCGACCTTGTTGTCGAAGTACAACCGGGAGATGGCAGACTTGGAAGAAGCGTTGAGAGTAAGTAGATCATCGAAAACGCCGCGGCAAAAAAAAAAAAAAAAAACTAACATTGATATCCTTGCAGAAAAAGAACCGCGCCCTGGAGGAGTACACCACTCAGAATACAGAGCGCCAGGGAGACCAGGACCTGGTACTGCGCGAAAAGGATGAAGAAATCGAAGTTTATAAGTCGGGAATGGAACAGGCTCTTATGGAGCTGGAGGAACTAAAATTGGTACGTTAACAGCCGTGATCGACCTGTATCGGAGAAGCCTAACAGAGACACAAATAGAACCAAGGTGATGTGGACCATGCGCTAGATGCGCAGATTGACACGGTGCTGCACAGCACTGTGGCGAAGATCAACGACATCATCGACTCTGTGCTCCAGTCTGGTGTCCAACGCGTGGACGACGCTCTGTATGAGCTGGACTCTTCAAACCAGGCGGGTAACCAGAATGCCACGCCACCCTACGTACTCTCGCAGATCGAAAAGGCGTCCGCATCCGCGACTGAATTCTCTACGGCCTTTAATAACTTTATCGCCGATGGCCCCAACAGCACTCATGCGGAGATTATCCGCACTGTTTCTATCTTCTCGGGCTCCGTGGCCGATGTCCTTAGCAACACAAAGGGACTGACTCGGTTTGCCAACGATGACAAGAGTGCGGACCAGCTAACCAACACAGCACGCAAGTCCGCGCAGGCTACAGTGCGGTTCTTCCGAGGGCTTCAGTCGTTCCGTCTCGAGGGCCTCGAGGCGCTGCAGAAGACCGACGTGGTCATCAACAATAACCTGGAGGTGCAGCGGGATCTGCAGAGCTTGTCGAAACTGGTGGAAGCGTTCGCCCCCAAGAGCAGCAAGCTCACCACGAATGGCGATCTGGGTGACTTAGTGGACCAGGAGCTGACCAAGGCGGCCGACGCCATCGATGCTGCTGCCCAACGGCTCGCCAAACTGAAGAAGAAACCGCGCGACGGCTTCTCCACCTACGAGCTGCGTATCAACGACGCGATCCTGGAGGCGGCGATTGCGGTGACCCACGCGATTGCGGAGCTAATCAAGGCCGCCACCGAGTCGCAGCAGGAGATTGTCCGGGAGGGACGGGGTAGCTCGTCGCGAACAGCGTTTTACAAGAAAAACAACAGATGGACCGAGGGGCTGATCTCGGCTGCAAAGGCAGTAGCGACCTCCACCAACACACTGATCGAGACCGCGGACGGTGTGATCTCTGGGCGCAACTCGCCGGAGCAGCTGATTGTGGCAAGTAATGATGTGGCAGCCAGTACCGCGCAGCTTGTGGCGGCCAGTCGCGTCAAGGCGACATTCATGAGCAAGACACAGGACCGACTGGAGACAGCGAGCAAAGCTGTGGGTGCTGCATGCCGAGCTCTTGTGCGACAGGTGCAGGACATCATTCGGGAAAAGAACCAGGATGAGACAGAGAAGGTTGACTACTCTAAACTTAGTTCGCATGAATTCAAAGTGCAGGAAATGGAGCAACAGGTAAGCTTGCATCTTTGATTAGCCGCTCGGATTTCTTTATTTAATTATAGTTCTCTAACGCAAATATAACCGATAGGTTGAAATCCTTCAGCTCGAGAACAGTCTCGCACGGGCCCGACAGCGTCTAGGCGAGATGCGCAAGATCTCGTACCAGGAAGAGTAAGGCTAAGATAACTGCCGGGGGGAAACGACAGAGGAACTCCGCCATCCGTGGTACTATGTGCTTGTGGCGGCTTTGTGGCTTTGTGATATTTTTCTCTTTTTTTTTTTTTGCCCTTGTTCCCTGGTGATTTTCCGGGAGTGTCGTGGTTGCTATCTAGCTAGCTAGCTCTCTATTGCGTTTCTTTGGCCATTCTTTGTCACTGTTATGAAGTCCATTGGATATATCCCAAGGGTAGAAGCAATCAGATATTTATTTATACTCATCTCTTTTGTATCGTTGTGGACACTGGACACGATGGCTGTGTATTCTCAGGAAGGTTGGTGCCAAAGCGTGCTGAGTGGAGCCTGTCGGCGTCTTGGCTTCCATTTAACCACCGACTTTCTTTGTCTAGGGTGTTGGCGAGCCATGGGAAGGAAGCAGCTGTCTTTGAAAGGGAGTCTAGGTAGAGGTAGGTTTGATCGACAAAGAAAGCTAGAGGCAAGTCGTATGGATTATTCCCTTTTTGGGGGGGGATTGGTTTCTAAAATACACCGAATCAATGCCTCTTGAGAAGATTCCTTTCCAAGAGGAGATTTAATTCGTTTCAACCTACTTAAACTCAACTAACCGCCGTCCTATCCAGTGCATGGCCATCCACAATCTTATTGCCCTGAACTAACCTGGGCTCTAGCAACCCTATCGATTTGATAGATTCAAGCTGGATTATAGGCAGTCCGTTGGAATGTAGAAAAGAGGAAACAAAAAGACAGGAGAGGAGAAGGGAATGGAGACAAAACAGTTATTAACGCCTTGTGGACAAGGACAAAGGAAAAAAAAAAAAAAAAAAAAAAATGGAGTCATATCATTACACCATAATCATCGTACCAGATGTTCTTCTTGGCTGTAAGAAATCTTGAGAAAGATTAGAATGACAGTATGAGTAGGTGACACCCGTATGAACAGGACACGATAAAGACAAGAATAGCGATGTGCTGTTATCAGTTACTGTATGGAAAAAACACATAAAAAAACAACAGAAGAGAAGTAAAACTGTATCTATGCATCGCTTGATAAATTTCGTAGGCCATCCTTGATATGCATCAGAGCGTTTTAACAACAACGAGTGTGTTGTATGTTCATGAGGCCGCGAGATGTGTGTGGAATCATTGGAAGTTATTGTTATTGTATAGTCGAGGGTTTGGTGTCACTGTTAGATGCCTGGAGCTTTGTATCTTTTTTTATTTAGATTACAGCACCCGGTTTTCGATGTTTAGAGACAGAAGTGTTCATGTAAATTAGGCGTTGACTAAGTGACCGAATTCAAAAACCTCAAACGGATCGATAAACAAAGGGTCGTATTGTACCATTGGTGCCTGAATTGATGGCTCATAGGAAAACAAAGTATTTTCGTTGAAAACTGGAATTTCCAAATTTTCACATCCAAAGTTGAAAATATTTCCTGTTGCAAGCCCCTGTTCAGCTGGACTTTTATAGACACTGGGCACAGCAGCATTACTGTGAGAAGTTTCACCGACAACTGTACTCAGGTCGCTTCTATTCGGAGTAGGCACATCTTTAAGTTGCTCTGGGGTAGCCAATTCCATGCTGGTGGTTTGCGAGATATCTTCAGCCACAATTAAATTATTACCTAAAACCTGGAGGTGGTTGTTTTCATGTGCAGCCAGAGTTGGTTGAGCAGCGAAAGCCATAACAGGAGTATTCCCACTACGGGGCCTTTTGTTCTTGCGTTTTTGTTCAGACACATAGCCAGTGGCATAACAATTGTTAACAATATCATCAACAGAGTAGTTGGTGGAAGTATCGGCTTCGTTTGTGGTTGTCAAACTAACTCGTGCCATGGTGTACTGCTGCTGATCGTCAACAGTTAATTGCCAACCCATAGCCTTAAGATAGCAATCGGGCGTAAGTAGGCCATAAACCCAGAATTCAAGGCCAAGAAAGTCTCCAAAGCAACATCAGTATCATGGTCATCACGAATAATCGAGTAGGCTTTGGCAAGAATTGCCCACTTGGCTTTGAATGGGTCATTTTGCCACAGGAAGCGAAGGATGCCCGATTTTGCCTTTTGAGTGAGTTCGGGGAAAATAACGGAATAGTAGCCTGTTGCTGTTAGAGTCCGTTACTGTTATAACAATAAATATGAGAATACTTACTTCTGAATGCAATGAAACTGTTAAGCGGTCTTCTCTTGCCTTTGTGCAGATGTTTTCCTCGCGAAGACTGAGACCTAGGATTTTCACCAGTAGAAATAGCAGTGTGATAATTGTTGTCCTGATCGACCACTAGACGAGTGTGAGTGTTTTTATTATACTGCAGAGGCTGGTTGTTCTCCTGCGTTTTGGCATCTTGAAGGTACTTGAGCAGCTCCTCGAGGCGTTTGGGTGGCATAGTTAGCAGAAATGAGTTGAACGCCGCTTGAAGAGGAGACATCACAGCTTCCATTTCAAATAACAGAGGAGATAGAACAAATAAAGAGTATGTGTTCGTGATCAACGAGATACAGGAAAGAGTAGATTGTGAAAAGACAGACAGGGAAAGTGTAATAAAACTTGGGATGTTGTTGGTAAGATTAAGGAAGTCGGAGACACGGGAAAGAAAGGCGACTAGAGAAAATAACAAGTATTTCCTATGGTTGTTAGAGAGGAACAAAGGTAGATTTTAATGTCACCAGGTTGGGTGCGTGGGAGGCTGGTGAACAAAGAGAAGTTCACCATCCTTCACTAATACCTGTAACGGACCATTCACTCCTTACTACTGCTGAACTTATGCCTAGAGATAGGTGTCTTGTTAAGAGACAAAGTTAAGGCCCATAAAATTTAAGAGTATTGTATCACTGGAGTCCTGCATATTATACACCTTATTTCCTAGAACAGTCAGGGGAAGTTCCTATAGAAATGAGCTGAAAGAAATAATATAGGAGCATTTCACCCAATCTATTTAAATTTACGCAATACTAAGAGCAAGTAATTGTGTGTGCAGTACCCAGTATTCACTAAAATTATACTGTAACTTTTAATAAGTGTTGGGAATACAGTAGAAAGCCGAGCCCGAAAATGTGAATTTGCAATTTTAACAGTCAGTCCAGGAACTGAAAAAGATATATGTCGAAAAACACCAAGACAACTACTACTACTCGCCTTGCAAGTCCTCTAAGAGAAAATATTGAGTTTTGTCACCCCAGCGTCCCAAGACAAGCCAATCCACTAAATCTCCACTGTTAGCTAATAAAACCTTGAGTATCTTAACCCTTACTATGTATCCTAAAATGGAGGCGGGTTTTCCCATGGATAGTATTTTAAACGTCTTAAATTTAATAATGCCGACTGAGCAGTTCGACATTAATTCAGCAATCTTTAATATAGTCTGATCCAGCGGGTGCACAAGGACTATAATAAGGCAAACCTTTGGAATTCTCCTCCATCACCGATTGCTGCTAAATGGGAGAAATTGGGCTTCTGGTACCAGGAACACCGAGGGTACATCATGGTGGCTTCTATGTTCTTTCTATAAGATTTTTGTATTCGCCGTTCTGCTGTTCTGCGGTTCTTCTTTCGGGTTTCGGTTTCCTTTTCCTGTACACATATTGCATTATAGACGCCCTGGGCTTTGTATTATAATGGTGGTCTGCCTCTGTTTGTCTTAGGAACAGGTATATATTACACAGACAGACATACTGCTACTAGCTACAGCTAAGTAGTTAATATGAGCTGCGGAATTCACAGGCCTTTTTAGGGATCCACCAATCTTTGCATAGCCACGTTTTTATTAAAAAAAGGCCATGCTTCTGCAGCGGCCCTTTGCATCCCCGAACGATCCATAATCTAATCTATTAGGCTCGCGTGGCTGGAATGCACTTGCTCCCCAGCCTCCTTTTGAATCTGCAAGCTTCAAACCAGAATGTTCTCTTGGTCCTTACCAGCCTTTTTTTTTTTTTTTTTTTCTTGGTGCAATTTAGTCTTTTACCCCGGAAACTGTTGTTAGGACGTCGGATCTTGCGTTACTATCCGGGATTTTGCTTCTGTTAGCTTTGTTGGTTGCCTTTCTTTGTACTCGACTATATCTATATAGTAGAAATATGCCATGTAGTTGTCGTCGACTCCTCTATACTACAAAATAGAAAAGGGATATTCACTCGAACGATGTCATAATATTAAATGTAGGGGTATTAGCTGAGCAAGCTCTAACTATTATTAACAACTACCCTAACCCTTACGATGAATTCCAATCACTTGCCCAGATAAACGTCGGACATCGCCATTGCGTCCCCCTCTCTTTATTCCCGCTGGGTCCTAATGGTCGCGGACAGATCCAAAACGCCCGACCGCAGTTGATTCCTGGTTTCTTCGTCGTCATTCGAACACACGCTTCTTGGTGGCCTTCGCATTGAGGTGGAGGTTTCTTCGTGAATAGCTTCGACCAGTCTTCCTTGCTGGCAATGGGGTCAAAAATGGGGTCATTTTCTTCCAACGAGGTGTCGACGGGCTCAGGCGGATTGGGAAAGGTGGTTTCAATATTGTCTGGTTTAGGGACAGATGGCGCTGGCGTGGGTGGAATAAAGGAATCACTGGGCTTATTAGGAATATCTTGGGATGCTTCCGGAGCGGTGTTCTTCGATTTAAAGAACCCCCTGAGGGTTTGCTGGCCAGGAGCAGACGTGATGGGAGTCTGGGTGGTCATGGACTTCGTGCGTTTAACTGGCGGAGGAGGGTCGGCCCTGTCGGTTCGTTTGCGAACGGTACCCTTGGGACCTTGAAGCTGGTTAGATATAGGGCTAGTAGTGGCCCCATTGAAAGGTTCTACCGATACAGAGGCTGTTTCCACAGTTGACGGTTTGCGAGAGAACATATCCTTAATACTTCTCCGTTTATCAAATTCCGGGATTAGTCGTCCCGAGAGCGGGAGTAGGAACTTTGGGGTATACTCGACCTGGCGCTCGCCGTCGCGAAATACCCCGGAGGGATTCATTAGATCGCAGATGTTGACCTGGTTTCCGTTATATGGAACAAAATCTTTAAATATGGCATAAACAGGACAGTGGTCAGATCCCTGTATTATTCCTGTTAGTTATACTAATAGACAGCTTGAGCGCAGTGCCGTCACTTACCATCAAGCCTTCTTGGATATTAGCATCAGAGAACCAGTCTTGCATGTCCAGACTGCAGAGAACATAATCGATTCTCGATCCATAGTTGCCTGGCCGAGCATTGATCCTCTGCTCCCAACACGTATACATTCCGCGGCGATTTGGGTGAAATAACCGGCAGATATCGTAAAGAACGGGCTGCTCTCGGCCGTCATCGCGCGGGCCTAATACCTTTCCACTAACCAGCAGCTGGTTGAATAAACGACGCGCAGGTGTAGAGACGAACTCATCATCCGTCGTGGTACCTTTCCGAATAGCCTCGGCTGCATGGGCGGCGTCAATTTCTCCTCTTGAAATATTAATGTCACCGGTGACAAAAACCCTTTTCCCAAGAGCAACTAGGTTTCGAATTCGTGCATCAAATACATCGAGAAAGCTGTGACGAAAGGAGTCGCGGCTTTCATCCCGATTAGCTGGACAGTAGACCCCGATCAGCACAAAAGCAGGAAACTCTAGAATAACACAGCGGCCTTCCGAATCCAGAGTGGTCGCATCTAGCTCCAGCTGGGATAGCTGCTCGATGGTCGGGTAGCCGCCGATCTGTTGGTCGTCAGGGAGATCCCGAAATGGGACCGATGAGTTGGGCGGGCACAGCATCCCGGTGAGACCTTCCTCAGCCCGTATGGGAGCACAGGTCGCATTGCGAGTGTAGATAGCCACTCCAGAGTAGCCTGTCAGCTGTTAGTTTTGGTAGTGGGACATGCGCTGACATGGTAACCTTTCTTAATTCGTGGGAGACTAAAGTAGCAATCCCATCCAGGAACTAGGACCATGTCGTCTCGAAGGTCCTTCCGCTGGATCTTGGTTTCTTGGAAGACAACAATGTCGGCCTCTAGTATGTCAAACATGGCCTGTTCTGTAACTCAGTGCATGTATGGGAGTTGAGGGATGGGTGTTATTAACCTCGAAGGTCCGTTTCCCTCGCCATGGCTCATACGAGAATGGGTTCCTGAACAATATTTAGTGGAAAGTCGCATGCGATGTTAAAACAGAATAAATACCGGATCCCATTGACTGTTACGGACTCTGAATTAGAGATGGATCTGGCACAGGGGATTTTTATACGCGCTTACCGTTCCAAGAGGTAATGCGAAATCCCATCCCGACCACTGCTCATTCCCGCTGGACATATCCACAACAGCAGATCTCAAGAGGCACCAGAGATCCCCTGGAACAGTGCCGTTACATGAAGTCGACTAATCGATGCGGCGCCGATGCACGAGGGATTCACGTGATTTGACATCAGGCGATGCTGACATAATCCACGACGAGCAAATGGCGGGCGATGGACTGAAATCACGGGGCCGCTAAACCTTCGTTAACCGGAAAGGCCGACGTCCGGGATAATCCCACTTCTCTCCATCTTTGCTGGTCACCGCAGAACAGGCTCGTTTCTATGTCCACCATGTTCCCTCAACGCAATCTTCTCCGCCTGGCTCAGCGTTCCGCTCCAGTTCGCTCTGCCTTCCAGCGTCGGTTCAACAGCACCGACGGCAAGCTTCCCTGGATGGTTGACAACCAGTTTAACCGAGAGCGAGCCAATGTAAAGCACCACGCTGCTGCTACCAGCGGTATGTGTCTTTTCCCCTTCTCCTGAGCTTGCTGGGCGTGGTATTTGGCCCGGTGTCTGGGTAGAAAGTATGAAATGACGCTACTGACTCAATTGACTGGTTAGATCTCTGGCGCAAGCTCTCCATCTAGTACGTTTTGAACCCGCCGCAATTGACTTCTGTCGAAGGGAAAGCAAAACAAGAGCAATGATTGTACTTACAATTAATTTAGTGCCGTTATTCCCTGCCTGATTGCCGGCTCCGTCAATGCCTACAACCTCTGGAATGAGCACTGGGAGCACTGGGAGCACATGCCTCCTCTTGAGGAGCGTGTCGAGTACCCCTACCAGAACATCCGCGTGAAGAACTTCCCCTGGGGAGATGGTGACAAGGTTTGTTTGAACTATTTTTTCATCTGTTATAGGGGCTGTGTGCTAACGTTGAGATCTCTCTTACTAGACCATCTTGTAAGTTTTCTCCGTGATCAATCGATGGCGATAGTGCGCTAGCATATACTAACGAATTGTGATATAGTTGGAACAACAGCGTCAACTACCATAACAAGGACAAGGCCACTTAATCCTTAATGGACGGGATGAGGACTTTACTGGATAGTCTTGGCTGTTCACCGAGGGTAAAACACATGTATATTTATTTGTCGCAGGCTTCCGAAGATAGAGCGTGAGGTTGCCAGGGGTCGAATGGATGAATGGTGATTTTGACACAATGATACTATTGACTAGTTTCTTTCGTTGGTATGAAAAATCAAAATATTGATTTGTTTGCTATAAAGACGCATACCAATCTACGGCTACTTGGAGACCTACTACGGCCATAAAGTAATTGTGGGCCATTGGTATGATATGCTAATAACCATTATCGTACAGAATGCCGCTACATCTCCGAGCGATTCTGTTTTTGCAGGTCCAGGTACTTGGCTGCATAGTCATTCGCCAGAACCGGATCCCCTGTCAGATGCATCACCGTGGCTTTCTTGGCCATCATCTCACACTGTCCACTGATATCCTTGATCTCCTCGTATTGTTCATATGCGCAATCGAGATACCCCAGAGCCCTATTTATATATTCCTTGTTGGCGGTCGTGCTGGACCCCTGTCCCTGACTCCAGAGTTTACCTGCGACACCCATATTCGCATCCACAAGTAGTGAGTAAGACCGAGCCGCAAGCTCGCAATCATTAGATTCCAGGACCTGCGGCATGATACTCTCGACCATTTCCGCGACGGCCTCAAACTCCTTCAAGCTCAGAAGAACACCAGACAACACGCAGATAGATTCCCAGAGACCGGGGAGGAGACGGGCGCGGTGGGCAATATTGGCGGCGCGCATGGCCAGGGAGAATCCACGCTGTGGCTGGCCGGTTTTCTCGAGGATTCGGGCCTTCAAGCAGAGGAGTTTAACCTGCAAGTGGACATCAAAGTTATCTTGGTGGAGGGATTGGGCGGTTTTCTCAACGATGTCAAGCGCTCGGGTGTAGTTGCCTTGTCGGATCATGAATTCAGTAGTGATAAAAGATAGGAGCTGCGAGATGTCGGTGTCTGGGAGCTGGATGGCCTGAAGCTGGGAGAGGAGGTAATTGGATGCTGCTATATCGTTGCTGAAATGAGGTTAGATGTGCCTTTTTACTTGGCGACGAAAGATTCAATAAAGGATCAGGAACGAACCGATAGATCTGGCGTTTCAGTTGTAACATTCCCGAGAAAAATATCCAGTACTGGTTTGTTTTTAAAGGGCGAAGCTTTTCCGGGGCGATCTGGTTCATGAGGTTTGATACTTCATTGTAACGGCCTTGTTGTGCAAGCTTAGTAGCAAATGTAAGCATAGCGGTTAACTAGGGCGGGATAGTATTGACGTACCAGCTGGCATTTACGGAATGTGTTCTTAAGATAATCTTCAAATGGTGATCGGTTTGCATAGCATTCGCTGAAGATTTCATTACTCAGCCATGAGAGATGAGAGACGCCTGTTAAAGGTGAGAATGTTGAGAATGTGTGATAGGACTAATCCTTTAAATCATACCTATCCGTGAATACAGTACTCCTTGCAATAGGAGCAGCGGGCCCATTAAGTTCGCGAGGTTTCTGGTGATATTAATATGGGACGCCCGGACAATATTCTCGATTGTAGACGCCAGAGAGTCTCCCTAGATTCTGTTAGAACAGACCACGGAGAAGGGAGGGAGCCTACATTTTGCAGCTCGAGCCTAGCCTCACTTAAAAGCGTCGTGCTCAGCAAACTCCACATCTCTGTGTCTTTTGCCTTTGCCTTGAGAAATGCCAGACCTTCCTTCTCGTTGCCAAGCATACCAGTGTTCTGCACGTCCTTCATATGTTCTGGAAATGCTTTACCGAAATGATATAACCAGCTCATGCAGAAGTTCAGACAGTTTAAATCATACAATTCGCGGGCGATGGATACAGCTTCTTGCATTGCGGATACTGCCTCGCTATAGCATCCGAAGTCAGCCTGCAGGATCGCCAAATTAAGAAGCGCATACTGATACGCTCGGTCCCGGCGGTGCATCGTGTAGTCGAAGTAGCGATGGAGATTGTTAAACGATGATGGGTAATCCCCAGCCCTCCAGGCATCAAGAAATCTGGAAAGATTAATTCCCTGTTCATCGATTGCCGGATATCATGAACCCATACCTTAGATAGTGCACCAGGTTTGGTAGCGTCGCACCGGATACTATAATCTGTTCCAGCTTCATTTTCATGCCATCCGGAACTCTTCCACCAAGCTCTGCTATTTGTTAGAAGTAATCGCTGTACATAGAGAGGGATCTGCTTACTTTGCATCTCTCCAATTTGAAACTCAAGGAGACGTTCTATATCCTTGGTACTAAGGTACTGCTCATCCTCCAAGTCGTCCTCAATATTGCCATAGACTACCTGGGCGAGGTGACTCCTGGTATCCAACCCGAGCTCTAGGAGATTAATATCGACTGTGGCTTGCTCTTCTTGTGGATTTCTTCTGGCCCACGCTCGGTACGTCGGCAGCCGGTACTTAACAAAGCCCTTCCAAAGCTTGACCGAGTCATAAAACTGCAGCCTTGTAAATTCCAGCTGTGCTCTCCTCACAAACGCCCCCAAGGGTGAGCACCGGGATAGACGTATACAGCTCGAGTCAGGAGCTAAGCCATTATCCCTGTCACGGATCTGCTCCTCGCGTGTCTTGACAAGCATACCGGGGACGTCAGAGAAGAAGGCTTCTAACGCGTCGCATGAGTTAATGGACCAAATTTTCCGGAGGAACAGGTCCCAAATAGAGCGACCTGGAATGGAAGATGTCTGGGTCGAGAGTGCCTCTTCGAGGTCCGTGGTGGAGACGGAGGACTGCTTCTCCCAATTACCCGAGGGAGGATTAGGATTGCTCCCATCCAGCGGGCTTAGACATGCAACCAGAAATGAGAGGACATGGATGGCAGAGGAATTTGGGACGACTCCTTCAGTGTAGATAGAGGCAAGACACAGCAAGGCAATCTTGGACGGGGTCAGATAACGACTCATTGTGCTTATAGATGGGGCATTTTTCGCGCATCACAAGAGAATTCTAAGGAGTACCCCAAGATACAGCTTGTGTTTGGGTAACTTGACGCTCTAAAAGTATGTTTCTGGTAAAACACGCGTCAAAGATGAATCTCGAATCATACACGAGCTTGGGATGTTGATTGAACCCAGCCAGACATTTGTTGGCTTTGGTGTAAACCGGACTTTGTGCGATAAACAAGAATAAGGCGGGAAATGGTTTGATTTGTGCGATATATTTTACTCTAGTGTACTTTCTAGCACATACGACCACAGGGTGTGGAAAACAGGGCTTCCCGTCCGCTCAGCCGTACTTAAGCCACACGCCGGCCGGTTAGTAGTTGGGTGGGTGACCACCAGCGAATCCCGGCTGTTGTATGTTTTTCTTCTCTCCTTCCTTTTTTTTGAGCTCTTTTGATAAGCCAAGCAAGGTTTACTTACTAACTGACATGGCAGTCATAATGGATCTATAATCCAAGCCGTGAGAACTGTCTGGATCAGTTTCCGGTGCATCTGTGGATATAGTGTTCCCTAAATTTTACGAGCCCAGCAAGCACTTAGACTAACATTGCTGAATAGGATTGCAACAATGGAGAAGTCTAATCTTGATCTTCTAAATTTCTGCAATGAGTGCGTACATTAAATATATTGAACGGGGACCTTATCTAACGTGCTTTTGGGGAACTAGGATTCCTCTGGATCCAGAAAAACCACACAAGTTTCTAATTATTAATGGATACAAAACTTCCTTCGATCATCTCACGGGGAATATTTGGGTAAAATTACCTGGGATGATGACTGGGAGATTAAACGTGATGCACACACAGTGTCAAGCTATTAGGAAAGACTCTTGTGGAGAGAAATATGGCGATGCCCTAGACTCTCGAAGCAGAGCGTGACAAAAGGACTGAGGGAAACCTTCAGGGTTGGACAAATGAAATTTTCTCAGTTTGGGGCCCCAATATAGAACCTGTTCTAGGCATTAAAAGGGCAGGAGCCGGACTTACGGCATCCAACTTCTGGCATACCAGGACAAACCAGATGGGGTAACGTTTGGATTGCACGTCAACCAAAGACTAAAAGTGATATTTCCTAATACACTAGTATGGTTGGAGGGAGTTTGCCCACTGACGAACAGCCCTTCGAATGTCTGATCCGAGAAAGCGAGGAAGAGGCTTTCATACCTTATTCGTCAAAGGGCAGAGGCAGTAGGTACTGTCAACTATGTCAATGTCTCCGATGAGTGTGGAAGTGGTGAACTTGGATTATTATTCTGTCCTAAAGTCCAATTTGCATATGAAATGAAATTGCCGCCAGATATCATACCTATGCCTGGCGACAATGAAGAACAGAGTATCTATCACACTTATGGGTGTGGAGCACGCTGGATGAGAATCTCCAGGCACATCAAACTTCAGTGCAGCAATTGCCCCAGGAGCAACACGAAAGAGCAGTCAAGGTAGTAGAGAGCCTTATAGTCTTTAAGCAAGGTGGAACCAAAGTCTGGGTGGTGGTGGATTGAAACACCTCAGATATGCCGTGCATAAGAAGAAAAGCTTAAATGGCATTACTGAAGCTCTAGGAAATGACAGAGAATGTTTTACCCCTCCTATTCTTCCTCTGCCGTATCGGAGCCCCACTAATCGACTCGCAACTCACAAAGGAAGAAGTAGCAAAGGCTAAGGCCATATCAACTGTGAAGAGGCTTCGACTGCCCATCGAGGGAACAAGAAGGACTCAGAATCTGGAGCTATATTCTTTCCTGTCTTTGGGGACCTGGGGGAACAACAGCCTATTCAAGGCTGGCCCGTATCTTTCGCTGACATCGCAGATGCATAAGTCATTGTTGACCCTAATCGGGTACATGAGCAATTAGATCCCAGCATGAAGAAGGGAGTGCGAGACTTAGCCTGTGTCCTCTCCAAGATGGATCCGATGTTTGGTCCCTTGCATATCAGGCCGTTGCAGACGTGAGAAACAGTTTAACAGGGACCACACATCTTAGTCTCCCTTTTTCAATCTCGGCTGATTTTGGAGGTGCAGCCCCTCTAGCCTAAGATATCTTCTATCCGCTCAGGGCACAGTGCATTCTTTAAATGAGCGATCCCATCTGGCACAGTCTCTCGCTCGATCTATTATTTTTTTTATACTTCTTCCTGCTATGTGTATATAAATCTATATACCTTGTAGTTGTCCCCGCCTGATCTTGCTTTGAATTTGCTCACACCCTGGCTAAACTTGTCACTTCAAATAGATAGCCTGGTTGAGGCAGAGAATAATTTTGCAACATATATTTTATTATGCTCTATCTTGGAAATCATGATGCCTAAGGCACCTTCGTATATCCTAGTCCCGCAGCGATCTGATATATCATATTCAGGGGCTAAGGGACACGTAGACATGAGGAAACGTTTGTCTACGCTCTCTCTTGTAGATAGAACAATATACTCACCAAGCGATACTAGATCGCACGATAGTTTCAATATACTATCCAGTCACCGCTATCCTAGCACCTCAAAACATAGCTTCTTCCCCGAGATTCTCAACACTAACTATTTAAAGATAGTATGGCGCTAACAAGGCAGAAAAACCTATGTACAGTAGAACCTCGCCAAGCCGATACCCGTTTAGCCGATATCCCCGCTTAGCCGATACTTTTCTTCGGGATGAATTCCAACCCATATAATTCAACCTCGCCTCCTTACCTAACCCCGATTCTCGATATATCGGAGACCATATCGACTATCTGAAAAGCTCATCCTAGTGGAAACCTTATTATCTGTCCAATCAGAATGCCTTAACTGAAGAAGATTTCAGACATTCAGCGGAAAGCTTTGCGGGACTGGGTTAATAATCAACCTCACCGTCCAACACAGAAGGCCTGTATTGCCTGGTTTTATTCTTAATATAATCATCGATTAAGCCAGTCTACTGTTTCTGATATTTTAAGCTTACAGTATTAATATCTTGACTCCGAATCTACCCCTTCCTCCGCAATCCGCAAAGGAACCGGTCATTGGCAAGATCTTGAAAGAATTCTTTATGAATGGCAGTACGCACTTAGTATATAAAGGGGCCTATATCTCTGGAGATATTCTTATTGAAAAAGCACATGAAATCTGGAACTCTTTACCTCAGTATTCGGTCAACCACCACCTTCTTCAGCAACGGATGGCTACACCGCTTCAAGCAACGGTATAATATTAAGCAACGTATATATCACAGCGAGGCAGGCTCTACTCCAGAGGAAGCAGAGAGAGAGATGAAGGCTATACAAACTATTGCCGGCCAATACAAAAGGAGGATATTTATAATATGGATGAATCTGGGTTATTTTGGCGTATGCCTCCATCACAGAGCCTATCTTCTATTAGTAGGCCCGGGATTAAGAAAGATAAGTCCCGGTCTCTATAGTATGTTGTGTCAATGCCTCTGGAACAGATCGATTACCAGTATGGATTATTCGTAAGGCACGTACACCACGGGCCCTTCGCAATATTAATGTATCTGCAATTGGAGCTGTATGGAAATGGAATAAAAAGGCCTGGATGACACAAATAATAATGCGTGAATGGCTATTGGCATTTTATAGCCATATTGGCCAGCGACCGGTGCTTCTTACTTTGGATAACTTCTCTGCGCATCTATCTGGGCTAGAATTAGCCCCTCCACCACCAAATATACGTATTTGCTGGCTTCCAAAGAATTCAACAAGTCAATATCAACCGCTTGACCAAGGAATCATCCAGAATCTAAAGGTATACTATCGGAAACAGTGGTTAAAATATATTCTGTTCCACTATGAAAGCGGTTTAAACCCACTGGAATCGGTAACAATTTTAGACTGCATTCGATGGCTTGTACGGGCTTGGAACCATGATATTCTAAACTCCACTGTTCTTGCCTGCTTCTACAAAAAGCACAGTGGTTTTAATCCTGTACAGCTTCCAATAGAGACACCTGATTTAAAGCCACTTTACAATCAAGTGCAGCAAACAGGGCAGTTGTCAAACTGTATGGATATTTCATACTTTTTAAACCCTGCAGAGGAATCTTTCGAGCCTAATACTGAGGTGCCATCTGAGTTGTTGCTTGCTCAGCTAATTGCTGGAGCTTCAGATAATTCAGCTATATTAGAGGATCAAGAAGATGATTCTCCAGAGCCACTGCCACTTCCAAACCTCAAGAAGCTCTAGATGCTGTACGGCTTCTAATATCCTATACAGAAGGTCAGGATACATCTAAAACGCTACTCCTTCGATCTCTGGAGCGGTATGAGCGGGATTTGGAGAGTGAGATAATTGCATCAAGGGCTCAGGGGACTCTTGATAGCTGGCTAGGTAGTACTTAGTAATTTCAAAAACTTCATCTTGGCGATAACCTCGGATAGGCGATATTTTTTCAAGGGATGGCTTCATATCGACTAAGCGGGGCCGCACTGTAGTACCATAGTAGTCGTCAAATGTACCAGTACATGACAAAAGTAGCACTGTATAAATTTGTAAGTAGTACTTGTATATCTGCCTATTCTGACAATAGTCTGTAACCACGTGACCACTATGTAAATAGACTACTACGCTCTATTTTGTGGCAGGTCTCAGAAGTAGGGAACAGTTACTGACGGCGGACTGTACAAAAAATCTGCAGAAGGGTGTCTCTCCTAAACACTGTTGCTCGTGGTCATTTACGGAGGAACATCCCCTTCTGCGTCCGGAGATATTCCAATGGATCCCCCCCCCCTTGTGCCAATGTGAAGTAAATGCGAGGCACACTCCGTACTCGCAAATTCCGGGCCATCCAGTCCGCGGTATGCCTTGCCAAGTCAAACACACCTCCGAATCCATCACAGCAAGTCTACAATTTCCTAATCTGTACGGCGCACCGAGGCGATGCAACGCAGTTTCAATTATCGCCCATTTGGGGGTCCAAAGATTGCAGATCAACAATCCCTCAACTCACATATTTCGTGGTCAATGCCAAGTATACTTGGACTTGATCTGGTTGCGGGATATAAATAAGTGTTGAGCCTACGAGTAGTATAGGAATTAATAAACATGACTTTGAAAAACCTCAAAACGACATCAGTTAATCCTATCAAAATGCGCTGGATCAGCATTTCCGCCATTGCCCTTTTCACGGCTTTCCAAGCCGGCTCGGCTCTTGTAGAGGAGAAAAGGACTGGACAGTCAGTATCTACACCGACAGTCTGTGCGAAGATAAAACAGGCAGCTGGACTGACAATATAACTCGGCAAAACCCGAGGATCTGAGCAGGTTTTCTGACATCATGTCTATGATGGCGGAGGTGGTCGACCTGAACTACAGATGTGGTTTCGGGGTGTCGGCTTGTGACGAGGGCTACAACAAGTGCTGACGGCTGGAAACCGGCCGGTGTCTCCGAGATGGCCAGACTGATCGCATGAAGAACCCGATCAAGTCCTTCAGTGTCGTTGTATTACCGTGCGCTTTATTAGCCGTGTTGGTCATCCTCTCGGAAGTGACTATCAGGTAGGTGTGAGATTCAGAATATGCTGCTGGATTGACTGACACAATTTGATAGATTCTATTCAATGTTTGTGGAGGATGCATTGACCATTCGTATGGAAGCCAGAATTCAATTTTGGGAACGTGAGACGGGAATTAATTGAATCTTAACTTATGGTGTACTATATGTATGTATGTTGCATTCAGGTAAACAAACTTGGATTCTCTGAGGAAGTGGTAGTTAATGCTCTTATAAATCTCTGGGGTGTAGCTACTTTGTTTGATATCTCTGGTAAATATTAGATCTTGTCACACTTTCTATCGGACAGTATCAGACCTGTGTATTGTGGGCCTCAGGCCAACTTCCATATTAGGAAGGACCTCGATCAGGAAGACACCGCTCACTGCTCTTGACAATTTCTCTCCCAGAATCATCCTCCACACTTTCATCACCTTATCATCACTTCGTGACTTTTATCCATTCCTTATATCAAACCTAGTGCTTGATACTTAGATTCAAGTTTTATTATGCACAATCATGTCCTTATATATGGATATGGAGGAATCCGAAATACATAACAGCCAAGGGTACGTTCTGTACATTCCTAGGTGATCCTACCAGAATTGTATTCTCTTTTATAGTCCGCGTTTACCAAGTTTCTCTCATTACTGTTCAACCCTATCCTTGAGTGGGGTTACTGATAGTCAGCTACCTGTACGCTAAATTACAGATCCTTTTGCACGTCCGGCTCGCCTTTCGCAGATCTATATATATAGACTTGATCGAATCTACATACCCTGGAGAGGTCGTAATATTGTTGAGGGAGTTATATATTCCCCGGAAACATGAGTCAGCGATGCTTTTCTACGGCGCCCAGAGACAGCAGCATGCGACTCGGCCAAGTCGAAATTCATGTAGGAGATGCACTACTAATTTGTGGGGATATGCATGCTCAGCCAAGTATTTTCGTGACTGGCGCTTGCGGCAAGATTTTTCCAATAATAGCAATATTGATGCGCTGGCGAACGAGGTAGGAGCTATATAAAGCGTCCTGCCTTGGGGTGGTGTTCATCAGCGCCTCCTAACTCGAACCTTTACCGGTTCATAAAAAGCATAAAAATATCTCTCCTGAAAACATAATTGTCTATAAATCTGAGTAGGATAGAATTGGGACCCCATTCCTTGTGGGATTAAAACAATTCCGGTTTGTGGAAGGAAGAAAATACATGCGGGAAGATAGCTGTTGAGAAAAGAATCCATATAGACATCCTAAACGCAAAGGCCTATATCCAGAGGAGCTCTATACAATGCGACATTGACGCCTATAGTGTTGGCGTGTGCCTGTTGGACATCGGTCTGTGGACATCCTTTGTCGAATGTTCTACGAATGAAAGCAACTAACCGTCGGCGATCTCACCATTTTCCCAACTGATTGCTGCCAACAACAAGCGTAAAGCGGCAGCAGATATTAAAGGTATTCTTACTGAGCTAGCTAAGTCACGACTTCCTTGTCTCATGGGAATTATGTGCAAGAATATTGAAGGGTTTGGCGAGGAGAATGAGTTTGAGGACGAAGATGGTATTATAATTAGTGTGAGGTATATAATGTAGTCATCCCAGAGATATCTCGAGTGTACCTAAACGCTGACCCTGGACTACTGGCATAGGTCTTGTTCCAAATGGAGCAGATCACTTTATGATGTTCAAATCTTGCCTAATAAAAATGGAAGTGTGATGCGCGGGTTGGCTAGGATAAAGTCACCGTTCCGGAGAATCGTTTGTCGGTTAAAAAGGCACCAATTTGGCATTTACACCTTTCTAAGTAGCACGGCATGCCTTTAAAGTGCCGAGTTTCGTCATCTGAACTCTTTGATTGTCTAAAAATTACCTAAATTTCCTCAATATTTCTGCTGTAGTATTAGCTCTGGCAAACAGAAAATAATAATTCAGCTATATTTATCCAAGCATATAAGACTGTAGTTGTACTATGTAAATTTGCTAAATCCTGACGGAATTCTATCTATCTAATTCTAATATCTTCTAACTATAACCACTTTTATACTTTCTTGAGGCAGGATTAAGTGTCTTGGCGCTTCGGCTCGCTCTTTTGACGCCAGGCTGGAACCGTCCCCTGCTAGGCCGCATCTAAGTGCGCGTTGAAGGCGTCGCGCTTGTTATTATTATCAATAGTCTTTAGTACGAGGCAAGATCGACTACCGCGTCAAAATGCTCTCTGCCCTGTTTTTGCCGCGATGACCGCGTGGCCCGGATCACATGTGGATCAAGAAGTCGGATGCAGGCAGGTTTTGGCCTGAGGTCAGAATCCTGGCAGGGTCCTTCCTAATCGGGTCGACAAGAGGCGACAGGCGGAGCGTTTTCCTGATTGCAAGAATGATGATACCTGATCCCTCTTGCGGACATTCTGAGTAATTCTGAAATAAAAAAGCTTAAGTCCTAACTGTCCTCCCGTCCGTCCCTTTCACAAACATGGCCGCCATATACGGGGTAGACCAAGATATCTTATTGCTTATCGATCTATCTACTAGTTCAGTTCAGTGACTGCCTTGAGATTGACATCCCTTTTCAAAAGAGACTCTATTAAATATGGCTATCGACGAGCCCATCGCGGTTGTCGGCATCGGATGTCGCTTCCCCGGGGGCATCACCACGATGGCGGAGTTCTGGGAAACCCTTTACCGCGGAATTGACAAGGTTTCTGAAGTTCCACCAGACCGGTTCGATGCGGCCTCGCTGCATGATAAAGACCGGCGGAAGTATGGGGCGATCCGAAGCGTCCGGGGTGGTTTCGTGCCTGACGTGCACTCATTTGATGCCGAATTTTTTGGCTTGTACCCAGTCGAGGCATCCAATATGGACCCGCAGCAACGACTGGTTCTAGAAGCGAGTGTTCATGCGCTGGAGGACTCAGGTACCCCGCTGGAACAAGTGTCTGGATCCCGGACCGGGGTGTTCCTGGGTTCATTCGCCTATGACTATATGTGCATGCAGTCGTCCACCGCGCAAAGCGACAATTCTAGTCGCCATTTATCCATGGGCACTTCAGTCTGTTCAATCTCAAATCGGGTGTCACACCGGCTGGACCTCCATGGCCCAAGCATTACTTTAGATACGGCCTGTTCGAGCAGTCTGGCAGCGTTGCATCTAGCATGCCAAAGTCTGAGGACTCACGAAAGTGAGGCGGCTCTGGCGGGCGGTGTAAACACCATCCTGCGACCTGGTCCCACAATTGCGCTGTCCAAGGCTGGCTTTCTCTCTCCGGATGGTTCTTGCAAGTCTTTTGACGCAGGTGCCAATGGTTATGTGCGCAGCGAAGGTGTGGGGATTGTTTTCCTGAAACCGCTAAGCCGAGCACTCCGAGACGAGGATAGAATCTATGCCTGCATCCGCGGATCCCTTGTAAACCAAGATGGGTATACCCCAGAAGGCTACACTGTTCCAAGCCTATTTGCTCAGGCGCAGTTATTGCGGTCGGTGTATGCAAAATGCAACGTAGACCCAGCCCATCTTCAATATGTGGAAGCGCACGGGACTGGAACAGCGATTGGCGATCCAGTCGAGGCCGGTGCCCTTGGCCAACAGCTGGGCCAGGCGCGTTCTCCAGGTGACGAGCCACTTTGGATCGGATCCGTCAAAGGCAACTTCGGTCACCTGGAGGGGGCCGCGGGGATCGCCGGATTTATCAAAGCGTCAATGGTGACCTTCCACGGCGAGATTCCCCCCCAAGTTCACTACAACATTCCCAATCCTGCAATCGATTTCGAATCTCTCCACCTTCAGGTACCAACGCTGACCGTCCCTTTGACTCGGAGTCGGAAGCGATTGGTGGGTGTCAACTCGTTTGGGGCCGGGGGGACTAATGTTCATGCCATCCTGGAGGAGGCCCCCGACGTGGCCTCTTCTGTCTCCTACCCAACTAGCCATCAGGCACGCATTTTCGTTTTATCAGCGAGATCGCCGTCTGCCCTGACTCAGGCTGCTGAGGAACTGGCTTCTCACTTGCGCCGCCAGCCGCAAGCGCCGAGGGATGTCGCATATACTCTTAGTATGCGCCGGAGCCGGCACGCCCACACATTAGTCGTTCCGGCCGCCACGCTGGAGGAACTAGTCATCCAACTCGATCAACAGGGATCTGGCCAGATATCCGGAGAAAGCCTGATAATACAGCGGCAACCGGGCACATCCCCAAACACTGCTTTTCTGTTCTCAGGACAAGGTGGCCAGTGGCTCCGTATGGGAATGGCCCTGGTACAGGAAGAGCCCGTATTCCGTGAATCATTAGACGCCTTTGATGGAATTTTTACCCCACTGGCAGGGTTTTCCATTCAGGCAGAAATAGATGTCAACGATCAGTCGAGGCTCAATAGTACCATTGTAGCCCAGCCAGCAATTATGGCGATCCAAGTCGCATTGGCAAGAGTGCTTATCTCATATGGCATCATACCAGGTGCTGTCGTCGGTCATTCTGTTGGTGAAATTGCAGCCGCCCATATAGCGGGTGCCCTGACCCTAGAGGAAGCCATCACATGGGTCTATTATCGGTCGCAGATCCAGAGCAGAGCTGCCGGCCTTGGGACGATGCTAGCAGTCGGGATCTCGTCGGCGGAGGCCAAGCAGCTAATTCGGCGGCTCCATGCAGCTGCCGATGTGGAGATAGCAGCCTACAACGGTCCGAAATTGACTACTCTGACTGGTGGCACCGAGCACCTCAAGCGTCTCGCTGACGATCTGGAGAAACAAGGCATATTCGCACGCTTTGTCAACGTAGACACCCCTTATCACAGCCACTATATGGATCCTCTGGAAAATGACATTGTTCTTGCTTTGTCCTCAGTCCAAGGGAAGCAAACTAATATCCCCCTGTACTCGACAGTCAGCAAGTCCGTTGAGCCTGGGACCCATCTGACGGGGAATTACTGGTTTGAAAACATCCGGAAGCCAGTACAATATGTTGAGACCGCGACTCGAATGCTCGCAGACGGCTTCAATTTCCTTGTCGAGATTGGGCCACACCCGATCTTGGTTTCCGGTACCCGGGCTATTGCAGATTCAGCGAAGAAGTTGGCTTATGTGTTCCCATCGATGGTCCGTGGTAGTGAGGTTCGGCCGGTCTCACGCCTCATCGGTGCTGCGTATGGCATCGGAGTCGATGTGGACATCTCCTCGTACAACGGTGGGCGTGGTCGGTTTGTTGATCTTCCACTGTATCCCTTTCAACGGCAGCCCTATTGGCACGAACATCCAGAGGATCGGCGGACTCGACTTCGGAAAAAGCAGCACCCATTCCTTAGAGACTCCATGGAATTAACAGACGATGGGCGTTGTACAATGCGACTCAGGCTCAGCACTGGTGTTTCCCCCTTTCTAACTGACCATGTAGTTGATGGCTCAATAGTATTCCCTATGACAGGGCATGTTGAAGTTGCCTATCTGGCCGCAAAGGAGCATGTGCCGCAATCTCCTGTCTGGCTAGAGGATTTACGATTCGAGAATCCGCTGATTTTATCGCAGGCCGAAGATTATGCTCCGCAGGCCTTGCTTGAGTTTACATCGGCGGCCAAAGACTATGTTATCAGTGCCCGTCCAGCCAGTTCAGATCCAGCGACCCCCTGGCAGGTGTGCTCTCGTGGACGTATTAATATATTCGATAAGCCACCTCCGATCGATCTTGAAGCACTGAACAGCGTCAAGTCTCGAATGCAGGCAGGGACAGTGATTGACATAGATAGCTTTTACCAGAAACTTGAAGAATCAGGTATTCGGTACGGTGAGACATTCAGAGGCATCCAGCAAATGTGGCGTCTTGGAAAAGAAGTCTTCGCTCTGGTGAAGCTACCCAGTCCAGCGGATGAAGAAGCAGCGCGCTTTCACTTCCACCCTGCTTTGTTAGACGCCTGCTTCCAAACCAGTTTTGCGTATTCACATTACTATGTTGACCCCAGCTACATCTTTCTGCCGTATGCGGCAGAACAAATACACTTGTTGGAAGCAGAGAGCGCCACAACCGTCTTTGCGCGTGCGCAGGTAGTTCATCACGACAACATGTTCATACGCGTCGATGGCTCAGTCTATAGCGAGGACGGCCGCAGCCTTGCCGTGGTGAAAAACCTAACCCTAAAACGTCTGGAGGGGAAGTATCTAGCCAAATCCACGAATTACTCCGTCTGTTTTTGTCCTGAAACAAAGGATGACCCAGGCAAAAGAATGGAAGTGGATTACCAGAATGTCTTGATCCTCAGACCGAGAGCCGGCGATTCCCACTGGTCATCGACTGCTATCCGTCAAGCCTTTCCTCGCGCACAAACACATGACATAGACCCGAAGTCAGCCAAAGCCTCTTGGAGGCCTGCAGAGTGGGGGTTTCAATTGGACCGCCGAACTCTCTTTGTCGTGCCAGCATTCGTCTCGATATTACGTAGCGGAGATCACCACGAGGCATTGGAGGCGGTCATTCGTGGGCTCGTGCTTGTTGCATCCTGGAACCACGACCAGCACGGCACTGCCGCGGTTGTGATACTCACCGAGGGGGCTTGCGTGACACTTGTTGATAAGCAATGTGACCCTCTCTCCGCCTCCATAGAAGCCGCAGTGCGGGTCATGGCGAACGAGATGCCACAATCACGTCCACGGCTAGTCGATCTTCCTCTCGATTCAGGTCACCAACCGCAGGCCGTCCTGGCCTTACTGGAGGCAGAGCTGCGCACCACCCGACTTGGCCGCCATGAGACGGTGGTGGCAATACGGTCCGAAGGCCGGTTCTTCAGACGGATCCTGCCCATTGACCCGGATGATGAGGAAAAGCAAAATATTAGGATGCTCCCTGCTAGAGGAGGAAACTATCTTGCCGAACCTGTTCCCAGTGGGACTCTGGAGGACGTCCTCCTTCGGCAGCAACCACCCCCAAACTTGGGTGTGGAAGATGTGGGCATCGAGGTGTATGCGGCTGGTCTAAACTACAAGATGTGCTAAATTCGATCGGTCTGCTGAGTGAGCGGGCGACGTCTGGCGGTTTGGCTGGTCGCAAACTGGGGTTGGAGGTTGCGGGGCGGGTGACCATGATGGGAGACAAGGTGCGAGATATTAAAATCGGTGATCCAGTAATGGCTCACGTTCCCCAAGGTTTTGGAGGATTTGCCATTACTTCCTGCAATTTGGTTTCGCCCATCCCTGCCTCAGTTTCCTTCGCCCAGGCGGCCTCCATTCCAAGCGTCTTCGTTACGGCGTACTATGCTCTCATCTTCCTGGGGCGCCTCACGTCAGGAGAGAGTGTTCTAATCCATTCAGCCGCGGGTGGCGTGGGTATAGCGGCCATCCAGATGGCGAAGCATGTGGGTGCCAAAGTATATGCCACGGCTGGAAGCCACGACCGGCGAGAATGGGTGTCTAACATGGGGGTCGAAGAAGTCTTCGACTCCCGCTCTGCGTCATTCCTGGACAAAATAAGAGCCGCCACCGGGGGTCGGGGTGTGGATCTTGTGCTCAATTCTCTGACTGGACCATTGTTGTTGCAGTCCATGGCATGCCTAGCGCCATATGGACGCTTCGTGGAGATGGGGAAGACAGACATCTATCGCGACATGAGGATTGGTCTGGAGCAATTAGGCGAGAATCGTTCATTTTTCGCCATTGATATCGATAGATTGGCAAATCAGAAACCAAAACTTTACCGTCACATTATGGATGAAGTCTGCAAGCTGTTTAATCTAGGAAAGTTGGTTCCAGAACCCATCACCACACATTCCATTACCGAGCTCTCCACAGCACTGCGTGGGCTCTCTCGCTCTACCGTGATTGGAAAGTCCGTCGTTGTGATGCCAGAAAACACCTGTGTCCAAGCTGCACCGCAAAACCGCTTGACGCTGCGAGGGGATCGTAGCTATCTCATCACCGGTGGCGCAAGTGGGCTAGGGTTGCACCTAGCAATCCTCTTGGTTGATAGGGGAGCGAGACACCTGGTTCTCGTAAGCAGATCTGGACCTAAGTCTGCCGAGGATCACGCGATTATTTTGAACTTGCAGCGTCGTGGAGTCGTCGTCCAGGTTGAACATGCCGACGTCAGCAGCGCCGATAATGTTAAGTCCCTCTTCTGCCAACGACCAGGACGACCCCCGATTGCAGGTGTCCTTCACTCGGCCGGCATAATAGCAGACGCTTTTGCTCATAAGACTACAGCCGACAGCTTCCAGGCTATCTTCGCTCCCAAGGCACTCGGCGCATGGAATCTGCACCAAGCGACAGCAGACATGGATCTTGATTTCTTTGTTCTAGTGTCGTCTGTTTCCAGTGTTCTAGCACTTCTCGGCCAGTTCTCCTACGCCGCGGCAAACCAGTTTCTTGATGGACTGGCGCACCATCGTCGGGCATGTGGAATGCCCGCGGTGTCTCTTAACCTCGGGGTCCTAGGGGAATTCGCCGGCATGTCTCGCGGCACTACTCAAACTGATCAGGTTATGGGGATCCTGGAGTCGCAAGGACTGTTCCCCATGAGTCTTCAAACAACCTGGTCTGCTGTTGAGGATTCTATTCTCTACAACAGGACCCAGAGTATGGTTGCCAGCATCGACTGGTCAGTGTTCCTCAAATCGCTCCCCCACCTAACACTGGACGGTGCTTTCCTTGACCTAGGGAATGAACCTGGTGGAAAGGACGTTTCTGGATCTAAACAGCCGTTTTCTAAACTCTCTGGCCCCGAGCGAGTTCAACAAATCGCGGATACTTTGCGCTCTGGGCTGGCCAAGATTATAGGAGTGGAGCCAGATCGGCTATCGACCACAGAGAAAATTGATAAATATGCATTCGACTCGCTAACCTTCACGCAATTTCGAAGCACTATCCTGCGAGAACTTGGGACTCCGTACCCCTTAATGCGATTGTTTAAAGCCCCAAGCCTACAGGAGATTGCTGTAGAGTTAGACGGTTCCTCTCCCAACGGTCCATCGGGAGGACAGAGCTCTGTCCCCCTGGCTATCTCTGACAGAGCCATGGATGAACTGACTGCTCTGTCATCATGGTTCGTTCAGGGCAATCCGATCAACAGCTCCAAACCCCGGATGCTTTGTTTCCCCTCCATGGGCGCGGGAGCGTCTATTTTCGCTCAGTTCCTGGCAGATCCACCGGCCGGACTGCATCCAATTGCGGTGCAATATCCTGGCCGGGAGATGCGAGCCGATGAAGCTGTAATGGGAAGTGTATCCGAAATCGTGTCCGGCGTCCTGAGCGAGATGGACCGGGTGATTGGAGAGCCGTCTATATTCTGGGGCCACTCCTTTGGAGGCATCATTGCCTTCGAAGTGATCCGAGCTCTTCGGCGGCAAGGGAAACCAATCCCGCGTTTAGTGGTTACCGGCACTATTGCGCCGCATCTCATTGAAATCTGGCAGAAGCGGGATGTATTGCTCCATGGTTTGAGGGAGGACTACACTCCCGAGTATATGATGGCTATTTCGCGCTACGTTGACGACGGGGAGTTAATCCGCAGTATTTTGCCGATGATGAAGCGGGACGCCCCCCTATTAATAGGCTACCAATACCGTGTAGAAGAGCCTTTGGACATACCAATCATGGCTTTTGCTGCCCGGCAGGACGACATAGTATATGCAGATGAGGTCGCGGCATGGAGTATTCACGGCAGGGAGTTCCGTTTGATCGAGGTAGATGGGGACCATTGGTTCTTGCACCGGAATCGAGACTTATTGCGCCAGACTTTGGCGGCGATGGCGCCACCTAGATGGCCCCAGGAGTCTTCTAGCCGGGGTTTGCCCACTGAATGTAAACCACTCGACCATATGAAATTGAACTTGGTGCATCAGAACTGACCTGAATTGGACCGTTAAAATATCGGGATACCGAAACACAGATGTGGACAAAAATCAAGTACGAAACTAATGCCTTACCTTGGGCTAAGGAAGGACTCTTGCAACGCTGAAAATGTCGTCTAATATATTTTAGTAAAAGTTTGTGACTTATTAACTTCGAATTGTTACATAAATTTCTATAAGAAAGGAATCAATCCAGATACAATAAAGGACCATTCAAGGAATATTCCAGAATCACATCTCAACTTCGACAAACCTGACGAGAGAGCTAATATATGAGTTAAGAATGAAGAGATCATATGGTATACATTTGCCACAGCAATCACCATCACGAAGCCCATGGTGACATGAAGCAGCCAATACAAAAGCAAGGGTGGCATGGTCAAGGGGGAAAAACAGAATGTAACCAGCCAAGCAGAGTGAGACTTCTCGGGTCAAACTGGAGGCTTCATTTCTTCATCTTTATCAATTCTAGACAACCGGAATCACCTCCAGAGTTCTTTTCGAGTTTGTAGCGGCCGTCGTCATGGTCGTATGTATAGCCAGATGGACCATTCTGGCGTCATTTCCATGATATCGACCATCATCTTATTATGCACTGTGCCCGAGATAAGATCCACTCTCCACCAGGGATCCTTTCGGCCATCCACCACGTCCACGGCTATCCCGGTCTTCGATGTCGGTGATGGTGAGCACATCTTGGTTAAACTTCTATATTTTCATCGGGATCGCCCTCTCTATTCCTATCTTCAACCTGTTCCGGTTCCGGATTCGTGTTCAGTGGCTTCTCTGGATGACAATGGTGGGTATTGGTTTTGCAAATGTTTATTGAATTCTTCTGTATCCACCCTATCCTCAAAGCTGGCACAGATGGAGACTTCTTTGGGAGCTGTTTGCAGCCAGGGCACCTAATTTCGTCAGCTCTGTCTCTAAATCTAAAGGAGAGGATATTTAAAGGCGATTGAAGATATGACAAGTTGGAAACTAATAAACCCAGAGGGAGCTCTGTTCTGAGTTCCATATCACAGAGAGAAGTAGCTGGAACTGTTCTTGCTTTTCACAGGGTAGTTCTCTAGTCCACTCTGCCCTTTATATATGTTGCGTGCCAGGGTGAATATCATAAACGATAACGCATCAGGAACTTCCCATGTCATTTTAGCAGATGAAACGTGTGATATCCTCTGATTAGAAGCACTAGACATGTTCGTATGTAGCGAATACCTTTCTTGAGCAGTTCTCGAGCTTATGATTCGCTGTTTAAATAGAATAGGTCCATTGAGAGTTGTCCTCGAACAAGTTATAGCAACCGTATCGAAGTCTTGCAGAAAGTTACCCTCGTTCTAACCTTTAAACCAGGATAGTGAATACCCTACCATGACGACCGGATGATCCCTCCAACGATCAGCAGACTGTATAAAGGGCCTCACCAGTCGAGCAAAGCGTGTTGGTTTAGGCTCGGACAGGTAAATCAGCCTTAAGATCTAGTACCGTATGTTGGTTAAACATCGGATACTGGCTGGGGACCCTGCGATAGTCCTGAAACAGTGCACATAGTCATTTGCTTGTATATTATACCAGGTACAGGCATAATCCTCAAAATAAATTAGCTTGCCGTTCAAAGTTGACTGAAGCTCAAAGTGTTGAAACAATCATTTTAGTGGATCCGTGGACGCTGAGAGCGGGAAAACATCCCGCAGTCTAGAACTTACGTAGACAATACATTTGCCTTATTGCAGTGCTAGGATGGCCCAAAAAGATAAACATATCCATGATCTGCTATTCTTTTTTATTTAACGATGACACTATCTGGAAAGATGTAACACAAATTTATGTGCGGGAACTAGTAGCCATATCAACATTGACCATATTCTATGTACAGTGCATAGTGTATCTCTATCCAGGCCTCTCTGTTCATTTGGCAAAATGCAATTGATCTGATCCTCCACAACGTCAACGTGGACGTCCTCTCCGGTATTGCCACTTTGTGTGCACTACCTCCTATAAATAATTTTGGTATAGCCATCAAGAGAACTTTCTGAATCGGAGCCAAGATATGATCACAATCGTTCCGGGTAACAACAAGCGAAGTGCGAAAACGAAATATACACGGCCCGTGTGGGCCAAGCATCAATATCCCTTGTGAAGTGTTAATATGTTTGTCTAATATGTTTGTTGATCGCACTGGAATAATTTAGAGATTTGTAGCCTCAGTGCCTTGCTTTTTCATTCTCTGTGACAGCGAGTATTTCATCTTCAATGTGCCGGTTGGATGTTTCTTCAGGGAACTGCAAAGATTCGGCAAATTTGGTATATCATACCATGGGCATGTTTCACCTGTGTTATATATCCATTGTATAGTCTGTGGGAGGAGTTGAGTCGTCTTCCAATAAGGATGCGAGGCATTTCGACAGTGATGTGGTAGGGTTGACCAGCTAAGTCATATCATGGACGATATTTTCGCCCGAGCCTTGAGCAGACACTCGTGCCAGAAGAGTGGTGGTGATATTCACAACTCTCCCTCACTGAGGGGTTTGCTTCGGAAGTCCATGTACTGAGCTCTCTGCCGGGTCAAAGCCATGGGGTCCAGTAGAGCCATCTCTCCATATTCTTCGCAGATTCCTTCCAGCTTGAATTGCAGTAGCAAAATCCTTCACAGACTGTTTTAGTCTTGGCCTTTATACTTGTCCTGGATATGAACAACTTACGTTGAGGAAATAGGTCAGAAGTCTCGGAGAAAAGTATAGGAGAATCGCCCCGCCAACACCCCGGAACCAATTTCGGCTGGGCATATGGTCGCTGAACCTCTGGACGATGCCAATGAAAACATCGAGTTCATTTTCACATCGGGAAATACTCACATAAGTGTCGGGTGAGAAATGCACTTTATCAAATGTCTCGAACTTGGTCATATCCTCCCATTCGTAAGAGCCATTCTGGCTTCCGTAGGGTTGCTCAGATACAAGGCAGAAACCTTGCATGTCTGTCAATCCACCTAGTTCCACATTGCTACAATGGTGTGGTAGTCTTGTGGTGGATATAAAATCTGCAGAGGCTGAACATGCCAGGAGGAGAAAAATTTCAATAAAGGATGTCTTCATTCTGACTTCTGAGTCGGATTAGTGGAGTGGGTGAGTTAGTTGCACAAAGTCTAGGGTGTTGGCTAGCACCCTATTTATCTCTCGTCCTCTTGCTGAAAAGCCTCAAGTAGTTAATTCTAGTTACGTAACATATACCGGCTAGTTAGTTATGGAACGGTGAATCAAAGCGTAGCCTTGTAGCCTTGTACTCCGTAGGCTCATAGGCTCATAGGCTGTAGCCAACTGCTCCATAGACAATTGTGCCCACAATTTCGCCCACTAATGCAGCTAAAGCGCTAATAGTGTTAGGCTGGAAGAATATATCCAATCATCGGGGTTTATCAACATGTACGGAGTAGGTATGATAGAACTATCCACAGCCAAGGTATCATTAAATGCAACCTCGGCTTTGTCTGTGTCCAGTTCAAATTCACACCAGGACTTGCGCAAAATTGGCCTCATTATATTCTAGCACAGATCTCTTTAGACTCTATAAAATGTTGATACTCGGATATAGATTTTTTTAACCTCAAGAATTGCATCTCCAATGACCACTACACTTCTACCAGCATCCAAACCTCAGCTCCGAGCCCCGGGCATGGGCCATACAAATGGTAGACTCTTGGAGACTCCCAACATAGTCCTAGTGTACTAAGTTATTAGATATTTTTATGCCCTCCTCTTTTATACTGCATTAGAAAGGCTGTAGTGCGACGTCGATGTCAGCTACCAACCGGGATTCAACAAAACGGCAACGTATCCCTCGGGAGTATTTGTGAGCAGGTCTCTGGTGGCGTGACCTGTCCTGGAAGTATCAAGGGAGGTTTTGTTGCAGTTCTGCCTAGAGGCACATCTAAAGCTAGTGACTGTCACAATGTGAATAGCAATGTAGTTTTCTGTTCATGGAACTTGGACCGATATGCTGACTTGGGCGTATTTATAGGACCCACAGTCTGATAATATGAAAAAGCTAACTGCTTTCCAGAGATCACGTTAACTGGCCGCAACCATCCCACAATTATGGGAACTAGGTATCTTTATTGCTATTTAATTAACGCTTCTTTCCAAGACTCTTTTGACCACTTTATCTCGACATACGTATACAGTTCAGTAATACCGCATATCAAGCACATGAGACCACAGGGTGGAAAACAGGCTTCCCGTCCGCTCAGCCGTACTTAAGCCACAGAATACGAGAGGTCAGTAGTTCAAGAGCCTTCTGGCCTTTTAAAAAATCTGAAACATGATTAGCGGAACTCTAAGGTGAGTGCTGGCAATGTGGGTAATAACTTTAGAACTCACATTACTAAGGGTACTATATACACACCTAGGGTGATGAGACTTTACCCTGAAGGGGTGACAACTATTTTAGCGCAATAAAGGAAGGTATAAGCCCCCCGGTTAGCTTGGGCTGCCCATAAATAGGCCATGTGCCTTGTGCCTTAGAATAAGCATTTACTCTCTTTCTATTATATCTGTGTTTTTGTTCTACACACAACATGTGATACACATGACAATGTTTACAGACGAACAGCTCCAAAAGTTGGCGGACAAACACAGGTGGCTTGCGATATTACGTGGGTTTACCCTAGAATATCTACATAAACAAGAAAGTCGAGTGAGAACGATAAGCCACTCTGATATAGCGCTCGCTACCGTCAATGACTACACCGCCGACGCTGGTTCCATGGCCTGCAATACACTTGGCGGCCGAGTGGATGATGATATCGAAGGGGCGACAGAAATAACTTCCGGCGGCGAATGTAGGATCTACCTAAATCTACACCTTAGTGAACAAAGGGGTGGTGGCATGCACAGTAGACTCTCAATTAACCGGAGGCCATTGTCATGAGCTGCAGGGGACAGTGTTTCAAAGTCGACAAGAGTAAACCGGAGGTTACCGATGGTTTCAGCAAACACCTGTTCTTGCTAATAAGGGCTTGGATGTCATCGGACATATACCAGGCTTTGATGAATCTCACTTCGATCCCGATAGAGGGCAGGAGGTTCTTAAACTGGTGGAATTTTCCTCTGCAAAGGGATTCACTACAAACTAAATTTGACCCGGCGCGCGCCAGAGTCATTATCACCATCAGGACTGCGGCAGCACCCGATGAAGAGCCAACCTCTATGCCGCCGCTCTCCAGAGCGGCTATGCGTTACTCAAAGACATGAACGGTAGGCTGGAGTTCAGTAAGTATGAGTAGCTGTACGCCCTCACGAAAGGACACAGTTTGGAAAGGGCAGTTGCCTATGTTGGACACTCAACTGTAGACATCTGGTTTGTCCTCTGCACCTGGCTCTGCCCTTGCTTTAGAATATAGAATGCCCATTGTAGGATTAGAATGGGCTCCAAGGCCGTCACAAGAATATAGCTAACCTAGACTAGGAGATCATAGATTCACGGAGACACTTCTGATGTATCTAATTGTCTACATATGCATCACTGTGGCTCGTATCTGACACTTACACTAAAATTATACACGTTTTACACCCCCCTTCCCTCTGTATAGGCTACCCACTTCCTTAGGGCAGCTGGGACAGGCCAGGCATGCTACTGAACTCGATCGGCAGCCCCATGGCGGGTTTATTATATGATGTGAAGGCTTCTACACTTGCGCGCCTTACGAAGGAACGTACCCAACCACCAACACGTCGATGGTTCGTTTCCGTAGGCCACAGCAGATGATATCCCTAGTTGAGCCCCTCATTGCCAGCACCATCCCTTGGTGGCGGGAAAATAAGCTGTAAAGGCTAGAGAAAGCTCATGACATTGCTCACATGGCTTCCAACACACTCTAGTCGCTGCGGCAGAAAACCAACCTTGACCACGTCTCCAGAAGCACGTGGGAGAACAAATTTCAAGACGACCGGGTCGGTGCGACCATTGGCGAGCGTCAACTGCTCTTGTAGGTGTTTCACGACCGGTAACGCATGGTCTTGAGTCACCATGTCCTCTGCAATTACATCGCTGGACTTCCAATTCTGCTTATCATCGACCTTAAGCGCCATAACAATGATTATACAGATGTTTTGACAATTGCAATGGCTAAGGACAGCCATTTTCGAGGGGGTACCATGAGGACTCGGAGGTTGAGCACCAACGCCTCAACTAACACGGTGATGTCATTTGTCAGATGTTTGTTTGCGCTGTTTGACTGCGGGAAAGCGGTGGCGGGTGGCAGTATGTAGCTTCAGGAGGATTTCCCTCACCTCCACCTACTTCCCCTCCTTCCTCTCGCCTAGTCCTGGTTGCAGGCACCGAACCAATTCATTTATTCCGCATCTATGAGTTCATTTGTAGGCCATAACATCCTAGTGGTTCACGGACTAGGGAGCGGGGTGGGCAAGAAAGTATTTGCTACTAAGTTTGAGCTAATGGAAAAATTAAACTCTGCCGAGTTGCGAATGGCCAGTTAGCATTGAAAAATATAGAATAGTGAGAGATAGGCTAAGCACCCATACCACTTGTCATCGAATCAGCTCATCGCGGCTACTAATTCGCGCTATTTCTAGCCCCCGTGTGTATCTTAAGAAGCAAAGAGCTACCAAGGGTAACATCCATCTTTGTGAACAAATTTGCCGACATCTTCATCTCTCCGTCCGACTACAATCTCCATGATTGCTTTCGCCGATTCCATAGGATCGCCAGCATTACCTTGAGCACTGACCGCTTCTTCGGAAACACCCCTCAGGTTTGATCGCACAAGACCCGGACAAAAGGCAAAAACGCGGACATTCTGGTCTTTAAGTCGCTTATGCATTTGAATTGTCATCATATTCAACGCAGCTTTGCTCATACGGTATTCATCCCACGTCTCAGAACTTTTCGCGTTCTGTGGATCGGATGCAAGTGCCAGCGAGCCCAATCTGCTTGATATTTGGATCAGACATGGACGGCGGGATTGAACCAGAAGGGGAATGAAAGCATCTGTAGCAAGCATCGCACCAAAGACGTTTGTTGAGAATATATTTCCGATCTTATCCCGTCCAACAGAACCAGGCGAAGTTGTGCCTGCATTACTGATGAAGACATCGACTCGCCCGAATTGGTTTGAAACAATGTCGAAGGCCTTGGAGATCGAAGTGTCATCTTCAACATCCAGCTGAAGAACAGAAAGCGTTCCATGAATGCCCGCAGTTTTGAGTTGAGAACACGCCTCGTGTCCCCTGGAAAGATCTCGGCAGGCCATTATTACATGGTAGTTCGGCTGGGATGCAATGGTTCTAGCTGTTGCATAGCCGATACCTGAATTGGCACCTATGTGGAGTGAGAACTGTGAAATTATCTGACGCAACTGAAATCATACCAGTAATAAGGACAATGATTGATTCAGACATTGTACTGCTAAAACAATAGAATCTGTGGAAATAACAAGGTGGATTCAAAACTTGAGTGATTTGGAGTTATTGTATGGCTCTGACGTGAATTTATTAGAGTAGAAAATGTTCCATTAAAAAGTCTACGATATTTATAGTTGCATCATATCTCCTTTCCAGCCCCCATCCATAGAATCGTGGGAAGCACGGAGATAATCGGTTTTTCATATTCGGATTTAGTTCGGAGTCCGGTGGAATTTTTCGTGAATGTGGAAGGCAGAGAGCCATGCATCCCAGAGTGTATTCAGATATATGTACATTTTATATCGGAAATTCAGGCAAATCCCAAAATGTCCTTTTGTGACAGGGTGCACACTTTGCTTCTCGATCCTCGATCTCCGATGAAGTCCGTTCCAGGCTCGCCGCCAAAGGCGCTACTCACCATATCTGCGTATTCAGACTGTTTAAATAAGAACCAATTCCTGTGGTTATAGTTCACTATTTTCCCTCAACCATCTTCCCTTCAAACGCCATACTGCAAATAATCCCGTCAAAAAGAAAATGTCACACGCAATCAAGAATGTGGCTATTGCCGGGGTAAAGGTCAAATAAAACACTATATTGACTAAGTTAACAAGCTGTTAGGCTAGTGGAAATGTCGGAGCTCGGGTACTCGATGCATTACTCGATTTCAAATTCAATGTAACGGTGCTTAGTCGCAGTTCCAAACCCTTCCCGGCCGCTGTTCGCGTGAAAGTTGTAGACTTTACTTCGGTGAAGTCATTGTCTGCTGCTATCGCCGGACAAGACGCAGTTATCGATACTACTTTCTCGCCTGAGGTTGACACACCACTCCGACTTATTGACGCGGCGGCCAAGGCTGGGGTTTATCGCTTGTTCGTGAGCCCATAAATTTTATAACAAGTTATCATTGGCTAATACTCGGTTTCAACATGTTACCAGTATCACCAGCGACTTTGGACTCGATCCTGAAATACCAGGCATTCACGATATGCCTGTATTCAGCCGAAAGAAGGTTTCTTATGAGGCCGTGAAGAAACAAGCGGCTATCAGCCGCTTAACCTACACCCTGGTAGCTTGCGGTGCTTTTCTTGACTGGTGTCTCTCCACTGGCTTTGCTGGTCTGAACTTCCAAGAAAAGACAGCTTTCATCTTCGGTGATGGAAACAACGTTGTTCCATGGACGACGTTAGAGGATGTTGGCAAAGCAACTGCGAATGTGCTTTTGCATCCACAAGAAACTCTGAACCGGCCGGTCTATATTCACTCTGTGTTCATGTCGCAAAATCAACTTTTCGGCGCAGCAAAAGAGGTTTTGGGCAATGAGGGATGGACAGCCACGTATAACGACATGGAACCACTTTTACAAAATGCGTTTGCGGATCTCAAGACCGGTAACATTAGTGATTCAAGCTTTGTAGTGCAAATCCAGTACTGCCTAGCTACCAGAGCACTTGCACACCCCTGGGCAAGAGATGATAATTCCCTCTTGGGACTGGAAGAATGGAATGTGGAGAAGGTGACAGGGCTGATTCAGACAATCGCCCACAAAGCAGTGGGAAGTTGAAGTCATTATGTTTTTCACGAACGTCATCTTGTCAATTGAATGATATCGAAAGAGGAAAGATTTATGTTATTCAGAATCCAATCAATAAACTGTTAAACCTATATCAACATCAGATAACGTATCGCTTTCGACAACCTTCAGTGACTAGTTAGGACCGTATAACATTGCGATGACGCGAGACCCAACTTTCCGCCGTCAAACCGCGGTTGACTGAATATCAAGTAACTCTAAATTAGCTTAAAATATGTGTACACTCAGCCCTCTCTCTGACAGAAAAGTCCTTGTTCTGAGTAATATTTGCAGAGGGCTCCAACCACTATTGAGGAGGATAAGATTGGTGCTGGAGTTGGTTTGGCCATCCCAATAGTAATTTAATCTGAAGTAGTCACCTGGTAGTCTTAGCTAGAGGAAGTGGAATTCCGAACGACTTAATGAGGACATGAGGAGCTTCCCAAATAATAGTTAGGATCTGTGGATGGGCGTGTTTGGCGACCATTCTGCTGCTGACTTGGAGGAAGAACCTTCGGTCTATATCGGTGCACTGTAACATGCTTTCGTATCCACCTCCACATCTCTCATTCTAGGACTCATTTGGGACGTTGCTATAACGCATGACCTCGGACTGTTCACGGTAAGTCTCTGCATACCCCCTGTACGCCAAACAGCTCAAATACGGCGATTTCGAGGCCTCCGTAGAGCGCCGGGCATGCACCGGCATGCTACCGGCTGAATCATGAACATCTTGAATACAGTGAGGGTTAATTGTGTTGAGTCTGAATAATTCAGGATTCATGATCTATGACCGTCGTCCGGACAAGCCATGATAGGAAAGTGAAACATCGATCAATAATATTCCAGCTACAGGAATAGGAGCGGACATACCAGATAATGAATGCATTACCGTTGGCGAAGAATGCCCCTATATACCTCATGATGCAAACCGGTACTACAATAGCGACTCTAAATCACACTACCCGCCACCTGCTCCAACTTCTTCGTGAACCTCAACTCCCTCAAATCCTCCGGCTGGCACACCCACACGCGGCAACCTTTGATGTCCGGGAGGGCCAAGATCCTCTCGTACGCAATTGCAAACGCCGACGATTTCATTGTCCCGTACGGGTCCGCTGCATCACTTGCCATCACAAACCAGCCGAGATAGATCTCGTTGAAGCGGATATTCGTGTCCGCGTTGTCAAGACATGCCACGTTCGCCAGGGAAAATAGCGTGCCCTGTGTTATGCTGGCTGCTACGCGACTCCCATTGTCTCTGCTTGCGCCTGTGCACAGCGTCCAGGTGCTTGTAGTGTCATTCTGCTCGAGAAGATAGGGGATGGTCGCTTGATAGGCGACTGCAAACACGCATCAGTTCCTTTCGTGCCTGTGGATTCCTACGGCATGGCCACACAAAGGTTCGGCTCAAAATTAATCAGCATGTTGGAAGTCAGGATGCCTAAGGCACCTTTGGATATCCTAGTCCCGTAGCTATCTGATATATCACATTCAGGGGCTTAGGGACACGTAGACATGAGGAAGCGTTTGTCTACGCTCTCTCTCCTAGATAGTTGAACATACTCACCATGCGATACTAGATCGCACGATAGTTTCAATATACTATCTAGTCACCGTTATCCTAGCACCTCACGACATAGCTTCTTCCCCGAGATTCTCAACACAGCATATGCTTCCTTAGGGCCCTGTGGTGAGATCAAGTATGGACGTCGCGTCGAACAACCCGCCAGCTGCCCATCACACAGTCGCCTTTCTCGCAGCCGAAACGCCATCACGTTAACACTCGATGAAATACAGACTCATCCGTAGCATAAACATGCTGAAATGCTCCTCATTCCGCACCTTCTCCACCATATCCTTCACTCCTCAATGAGAGATGATGTCCGCCTCTACCGCCGTCATCTGTATCTGCCTCGGATTTGATAAAATCTCGAAGAAATGCCCATTTGCTCTTTTGCACCCAGCCTTTCTGCATAAACTCATTTGCAGTGCTAGGGAAGAAATCGACAACATCTAGCAACACATCGTCATGGGAGAAGACGACGAAGATATCATCTCTGCCGTCTGCATCTTGAAGGTATTTGATGGTCGTGTTCGCATCATCCGCGTTGAAACTGACGCCGCCCCTCGCTGCCGAATAAAAAGGGATTCTCATGTCCCCTTGTGCACGCAATTTCTCAAGTGCTAAATCGCCTGAAGGCAAATCAGTGTTGAGGAGCAAAGTATCTGAAGTGATGGCGGAGGGGAGTGGTAGGCAGTGGCTAGGTCGAAGCTGACCACCATGGAGACACCCGTCTCCTGCCATTAGAATAAAACTATCTGGTGCTGACTTGACTCGTGCGAGAGCAGCAATATGACCGATAGAGTGACCAGGAGCGTCGAGAAAGTAAAACGAGCCATCTCCAAAGTAGTCAATAGCATTGAAACGCCCGACTTTGAGGCTGTTCTCTGTAAAATTGAGTTCTTCCAATTCACGGCCTTCAAAATCGCTTTGTAGAACCATCGAGTCCTTATTGGGCGGATATGGAGGCAAGATATGTTCCTTGAAACCAGGACCGACAACCAACTTGACACTAGTGTCGAAGAGACTTGGATCACCGATGTGATCGATATGCCAGTGACTCCACACCATTGTATCAATAGTAGTTATCGGAACACCACCATCTTCCAGGATTTCTCGAATGTCTTTTTGGACAGATACATGAGATTGGCCTTCCTGAAGGACATTCCGAACAACTGGAGCAGAGTTCCACCAGTCTTTACGAAGACCCAGATCAAATAATATGGCGCGTTCAAGTTCAGGGTGTTTGATGAGAAAGGCGTAGTTTGGTACCCTCAGGTAGTCATGGCCTGGGCGCCGTGGAACGAACAATTTATCAGTCTCGATGGAGATCTGGCTTGTAGTGTCGATAATGGAAACGAGAACCGTGTGCTCGGAGTCGGGAATATCAAATGCATTGCCGGCCATGACGGTAGGCAATTTGATATGCGTGTGAATAAATTTGGTTGAGATTATGTACTTAACCGGAGTTTAGATAAATTGAACTCAATAGGGCCTACTAGTCTCTATAAATAGACCCAGTGCGCCGCATTGCACCAGACCGTGGCAATCGGCAAATTGGCCGCGAGTAATTGTCTAATTGCTCAGGTTGAGTCACTCTGACTTAATGCCATAGTTAGTTAAAATGCTCCACTATGATATGTCGGGAATAAAAGTTTGCATAGTAATTTGGTAACGGGGCAACCCAACCATGGTTCACCCCCAATACAAATCACTTATATATCACCTATATATTTTACAACAAATGAGGTGTTCTATTGATTTAAGCATATATATATGAAAAAAAAAAAAAAAAAACCAAAAATTATAAAAATATACAAAAAAGCGCCAAAATCAGTCAATATTAGGTATACCACCCTTTACCTCCAAAACCGCCTCAACACGCTTTTTCATACTCTTTATTAAAGCATCTTGAATATCCTCGCGGATTTGGCTCCATGACTGTTATAAAGCGTCCCATAAGATATCTTCCTTCTTCTCAGTTGCTCCTTTGCAGTATTCAATGTTGGGATTCACATCGAAGACGCCTTCTTTGGGTGGAAACCACATGTGTTCAATCGGGTTTAAATCCGGAGAGTATGGCGGCCATTCCATTACTTATATACCATTACTTGTAACCGTTTTGTAACCTTTTTCGCTGAATGAATGCGAGCATTGTCGGGCATGAAAATAAGACCGGGTTCCCAGATAGATGGCAGTAATTCCTCCAATAGAGCAAGATAAGAGTTTGCAGTATAGCCATTCTTTTTGGCTTCGAAATCCCGCTCTAAACGTATAAGATCGCTGCGTCTTTTGCCCCAAATAGCTGCCCAGAACGGAACACAAGGTCTGAATTTCCAGGATGGAAACGGATATCCGCATAAAAGATTGTGTTTTGTTCGCATTGTTAACTTCGTAATAGTACTAAAACGGACGACAATAAATATTTGATATTTTTTTTTTTTTTTTTTTTTTTGATTTATTCCTCAGGCTTTTCGCGACCATAGGCTGCATGTAGACCCCTTAGATAGCATTATCTACAAGTCCATACCACCGTCGCTGACTAGGTCGTACATGTCATGCACGTCTCGCCGGGTTCCTCGTGATAACTTCACCTTGTGTGTCTTTTTTTTTTTTTCCTTTCCCTTATGTCCCCTCTAGGATCGATTCACTATCTCAACTGCAGCGTCCCTGTTTTTATCGTAAATTGCTCTATCATCTTGACAACCTCCAGGTTAGGTTTCCAATTAGTTGAACTACGGTCAACCGGTTGAATGAACATTTTTAGTAGGTTTTCAAGACAACCTGACTCTGGAAGATAGTCGCATTGAAACAATTAAGCAGGAAGTGGACAGGATATCCGCAATCAACTCTTATCCCTCGAGAGACAGCGCGCATTGGCCATCCATGCAACAGCCACCGGACTCGACACACTGTCTCCAACGATTTCATGCGCAACTGGAAGTGGCATTATCCTCCCCAAAATTGCCGAGGAGCTGTTGCAAGTTTACAAGGATAAGAAAATGCTGCAGTTTCCATTTGTGATAGTCCCTCCTGTCGCTAGTGCCTGGGTCCTTGAAAAGGAGCTTTCATCTTTCTTTCGATCGTGGCGGTCACTGTCGATGATCAACCAGACATTCAGGAGCCTCTCAGAGTAGCAGTGTGAAAGCAATTAGTCAACGAGCTGTCATAAACAGGGATTTGACTTTGGATTTTCTACAGTCTCATCATCCACATTGCTTGGCTTCATCGCGACTCAAGGTACGACATTAAACAGGTTCATTTTTTCCTACAGTTGGCAGATTCGATCGCCACGGAACTAGGAATCCATGACTTTACAATCCAGAATTCCGACTGTTATGGCTTCAAAGAAGACGAAACAATTGGTGAAATGGCCGTGATTACAAGGGCAGAGCGCCGCGCTTATTTGGGCCATTTCTATCTAAACTGCTCTTTGATGATGTTGAGAAGGACGCTACCTTCGTTCAACCCGGCTTGGGTTGATCACTGCACTTCACTGCTTGCACACGGAGGTGAATATCCGACAGACACGAACCTAAAAATGCTTGTCGATGTCTGTTCAATAGTCGCGTCAGGAACAGCTTAGATTCTGAGACGAAGAATGCGATTGAGTCGTCACGCGCACTGGCCTCTCGCATGCTCGGTCAATCCTTTCAAGTAGTCGCTGATCGTATTGCGGAAATTTATTCTCGTAACAGTGGTAGCGACATACGTCGGTTTCGTCTCCCCGCCTGGCATCAAAGGAAGCTAATATTCACCTAGAACTAGCTCTGCAGCAAAATTCTCTAAGGTCATGAGTTACGCACTAGCTCTTGATAAGAGTACTCGTGGACAATCAGCCGATCACAGTATTTCGGAACTTTGCAGCCTTCTAAACGACACGAAAACCCTCCTGGAGCGTTTTATTGGAATGCCTCTTTCTGAATATCCACATTTAACCTTTCCGACCTTTCTTTTACTGCTGCAGGGCTTTGTTTTCCTCTCGTGTTTGATTTGTTTACCTTCCTCCGTAGTCTGGGACCGTGCTCTTGTAAAAGCCGGAGCCAGTTTTCGGAACTTGGCAGTGCCGTCAAGGGCAAGTTTGATGCGCTTGCCAGCCAATACACAACCACGAAGAACAAGAAAGTATGGTTGAAATTGTCTATTGTGGTTAGCGCTCTTCTGCAATGGCATGAAAATTGTGGACAAGAAGCATTTTACTCTCAGCCAAACGGTCAAGCCATTAAAGTCAGCCCCATCCGTCATATTTTGGAATCATGCTCTCTTTGCGTGAGAAAGAAAGTCGCGGCAAACGGACGACTTTACGAAACACCTACGGGTTCAAATTTCGTGTCTTTGCCGATGATAAGGATAGTCAATACCACCACACATCCTGGGGTCGATTGGGACAAAAAAGTTTTCCTGGAAGGTTTCAATTGGCTCGAACTTATGAACGAGATGGATTCGGCCGCTGAATTTGTTATCTGACGATGCTGCCGAAATAGTCTTCATGCTTCACCATATCAAAACCGGTGTGTTATTTGTAGGCAGAAGATCAAGCCGGTAGGTTACTGAACAGAAAGCTTGGTTCGCGCGATAGATAAAGCTAGTCTAACAGTCATTGGCTATGTTGTTATCCCCCAATTCTCCTAACATAGACACGCTTCCCTTTTTATTATTGGCTTCTGGCAATTTGTGGGGCGACGAAACTCATGATATAGTCCCGTTTTCCTAACGGCACGCCTTCCTTTCTCAAGATCGCATACGCGATAGTGAGATGGAAAAATATGTTAGGCATTGCTGTGCCGTTGGCAAATGCGGCCCCGCTGATCGATAGGATCTTGTCCGGGCCTAACGTGGTAGGTGACACTTCTTCCCCATACCGATTGACAACATCCTTGTCGGCATCGCTGAGTGCTTTCAGCGCGTTCTCGATGCGTTCATGTATTTCCGCAAACGACTTGAGGTTCTCATCAAAGATCACAGGATCCCGACCGGTCAGTCTGGCGAGCATTTTCTCTGATACCTGGGTGGCAATGTGAATTTGAGAGGTCAACGGTTTCATGTCGTCCCGCAAACGTGCGGCAAGTAGATTGGCGGCATTGGGATATTGCTCAGCTTGGCGCAAGATGTGGGCTAGAGAGTTGAGGGCGCTCTTAGCCATTACGATAGTCCCATCGTAAAGAGAATAAACCATATTAACCAGTGAATGGATAACTGCCCGGGTGAGGGTGGGTGGATTGATGATGGGTTCGGGTTGGCAATGAGAGAGGGAGATAGATACACTGCGGACAAATATCCTGATGGGATGGGGTGATAAGTAGTAGTGGGATCAACTAACGTAACCGGAAAGCGGGCATTCCACGTATAGCGACCACGTCCTTCTTGCCACTCGGTGTTCGGATCTGGTCGTTTCCGATTACCAATAAATTCAAGTTTTAAGAATTCACGAGTTTATGCCCCATTTGGCCTATGAGAAATCGACATATAAATTCTCCGCAATGGATTGTTCAGTAATTGATACCAAAATTGAGCAATTATGTAATCGATTATCAGTTAGTTAACATGGACAGTAAAGCTCCGGGTCCGGATATTATATGATTTATAATATACCCTATACCATATATTCGGAGTATAGGATAAAATTGCGACAATCATTTCCACATACTTCGATGTCAGTATAGCGATACGTTTTGATTTGTAATAATAACAACGTGGTACCATAGTGCTTTAGTGAGTTGAAAGACAGCCATCATGCTCCTGCTGGTGGGACTGGAACTCATATCAACAGGCTCTATAGCCGATATTGCCGAGTATCGCTGAATAGAAGCTATATTGATATTTCCTCCTAATCTTCAAGGCTTGATGGGTCGTGATAAAGTCATTCTTCTTGGAGCCACCGGAACCACTGGTGGCTCGATTATAAATGGACTTCTTGAGGATGGTGGCTTTGTAAGTTCCTACCTATATACTGTATGACTGCCCAGAACAAGAGCTACAAGAAGTCTTACTGTGTGCAGCATGTTTCGGTCCTTGTTCGCCTTTCGTCTTCAAGTAAGCCTGCGGTGAAGTCTCTTAGAGATAGAAACGTGGACATTTGCATCGCAGATATCACTACGGACAACTTTGAATCCATCGTCGATATACTGACTCGCTTTGATATCGTGATCAGTGCAATAGGAGCTGACGCACAACTGTGCCAGTTAAGACTGATTGATGCTGCAAAAGTGGCCGGCGTGAAGCGATTCGTGCCCTGCGGTTTCATCACAGTGGCGCCAGCAGGGGGAATAATGGACATCAGGGATGAGGTGTGTCTCTTCTCCATTTTAAGCATTCTTATCTGTTCTGTCTTGGACGCCCATGAGATATTAAGCTCACGCCCCATTTTCAACTATACACATGCAGAAGGAGACTGTATACCAGCATCTTTGGAAGGCCTATGTTCCTTACACAATAATCGACGTAGGCTTCTGGTATCAGATATCTTATCCCCGACTCCCGTCTGGCCGAGTGGACTATGCTATACCAATTAAAATGCCCCTGAAGCTATACGGTAATGCAGGTTTAGCCACTGCTATCACGGACCTTCGCGATATAGGCCGTTATGTTGCACGAATCATTCGCGACCCAAGGACTCTAAATCAAAAGGTATTTGCCTATGGGGAACTAGTTAGCCAACAGGGGGCTGCAGAGCTCTTAGGGAAGCTCTCAGGAGAACAAATCGAATTCCACGATCATGTTAGTCTTGTTAATAGCCCCCATTTAGCAGCACGACAGATTGACCTAAGAGCCTTATGCATACAGGTCGACTCCAACCAGATGTTAGCAAACATGGAAGAGGCGAAGGCAACGCTTTTACACAATCCCACTGATTATAAAGCTCGATTTGAAGTGATAGTAGCCCAGTACCAGTACAGTATGTATGTTCGTGGTGATAATCACCCATCATACGCTGCATATCTTGGATACTTAGATGGGACTAAGCTGTACCCCGATTTCAAGAGGATCTCTTTTGAATCCTGTCTGAAGGAAATCCTCAGAGGCGACGGATTCCGGATCAATCCAGGAAATATTTAATCTGTTTCTAAGGTAACTTTTATGTCGTGATGTTTGGTCTTGTTTAGCTGTCTTCCCCTACCTTCTACCCTTGGCTTTCTTTAAAGCTCACAGTTAAGCCAAGTTACCAAAAACGAGGAAACAAGGGGAAAATTATGGAGGGGGAGAGTGATACAATAAAGATGTATGAGATGGTTGTTGGTTTAGAGGCAGTGCACCTTTCGAACCTGAGATTTGTGAGATTAATCTTGACGGCCTTGGGAAGGTATTTAAACTGAAAAATACATTTCCCTCAATTCAATCTGAGAAAATAAATCGACAATTTAGTTTTAGGAGGATATTTCAGATTGAGCTATTTCGCTACATGATCAGGGAGGGGAATGAAACACAATGCATACCGAAAGCTGTTGCAACTATATGTGTAGCTGACCCAGTAGGGTTAATGCGTGTCAGAATAATAGTGATATAAACGCTCCAGAGTTGTGTATCACGCATGATATATTATGCTTATTATGAATGCTACTATTCAGATTATGCCATCACAGGAATAAGATAAGATGAACAGAGCAGCAACAAACAGCCTTCGTATATACTCCGTACTTCGTCTACAAGGCATACTGGTGAAGAAGGTGGCGGTCCAACAAGATGCCTATGACGCTCCCAACGCTTGAACGGCATCAGTGGGAGAGGGGCAGAGCGAAAGGGCTACGTCAGTAACTCAGGCTTGGCAGTGATTTTAGAGAGCTTCAGGACCCATCACCTGAAAGCCTGAAGACAGGCAAGAGCCCTAAACCCAACAGGCAAAAAGGAGAAGTCGTACATACAGCGGCGGGGATTTGCTGGTGGTCTCCTACTAGCGAATCCCGGCTGTTGTATGTTTTTGTTTCCTATTCTTTTAATATTTTATTTGGATTTTGTTGGGCTGGAATGAAAGGTAATTATCGATAACAAATGTGGTTGTGGTAGTTAATGGAGAAAATGTTGTACAGTAACTCCCCATCCAATATCCCGTCTGACCGGCCTGGACTTGTCAAATATGACAGTAAGTATAGCCCTCCATTGTTATATGTCGCTGGGATAGTATTCATTATCATTGTAACGACGCCGCTTTATTTCCAACTCCTCGGATTGAGTGTCCGAATCTGGAGCAGCAGGTCGACGACACTTCTGAATTCCTCGGCGGGCATGGTTGGTAAAGCCGATATGTCGCTTCCCGGTCTCCTGTCTTAACTTAGCTCGCGAAAGAAATCCATAGAACTGCTTCAAGGATATGACAATTTCTTGGTTGTATAGGCCTCGGTAGCTCTCTGTCAGATCCACTGTTGTAAAATCCTTCAGATTTAAACGCAGAGTTTGCCTCTGAGGGCTGCCCATAATTGGTTCAGAAAATCTAGCTAAGTAAGCAAACGGTACCCTAGAAGAGGCATGAATAAGGCTAGAAGCATACCTTTTAATTCATCTCAGTGTATGCTTCAAACACCTCGACCCCATCTCGTATGTTATATACTGGACGCCAGATGGATATAGTTACCTTTTTCGAGTTTCTATATTCCATATCTAAACACGCTACCATATTAATGCTACTGTTAGTACATAAAATATAATTATTAGTGAGGTCTCTTGTCACAGGTTGAAACCAGTATGGTGCTCAGACTAAAAGGCGTTCGCTACTATATAAAGCGTTACGAAGATTAGTCATCTTGTACCATTTATGTGGTCAACTGGTTTTATCTGTACTAGAGCAGAGACAACCAAACCATCAAATTTCTAATCTCTTGGTTTTTTTGTAAATAATAACCCCTGGAAATTGCACCATATAATATTTAAATGATGTATCTGGCTCCTACATGATATATTCCACTTTTTGCCATTACTTGTTATCTCGTGTAACTTAACTCGTGACAACGTGAAAGGCTTAATTTCTTTCGCGAATTTAGCCTCAAGATAACTATTATTATTTCTAATTAACGTGCTATGTTCCCTACTACTTCTGTACAGGTATTTTATAAAGGCGGTTAGGTTTTTAAATCATTAAGAGTATCGCGGGTTATAATTGTACCTAAAGTACTTTTTGTTAGTAGGTGGTTGAGACGAACTGTGCAGAGCTGGTTTGCGTTGTTCGTTGTTTGTTCTATTTACTATATCTGGTCGTGGAGGAGCGGTGGAGCGTGGTAGTATATGGGAATATCTACTCCATTGCTTACCTCGATCCTCTTCCTTTCTTCTTCATGCTTAGTATTTTCGTTGCAGGTATCGAATAGAGTTGATCTGGCTTCATTTCCATCTCTGTTTCGTAGGTCAGAACAGTGGCGGTGTTAATTTAAATCTGAAGACTAACCGGACTAACCGCACTCTATACTTCATGTAGTTTAAGGTTAATATTAAAAATTAATCAATATAAGACCTCCATGTAGGCTTTAAAGGTAAGATGTTAAACAACCCAAGGACCCGGCTGAAAGCCTTTGCAATAGCATTAAAAAGTGTTAAGAACTAAAGATATATTGAAGGCAGATTTTCCAATTGCTAAAGGAGATATTAGGATAGCTCCGTAATATAATCCGCCATGAGATGTTGATCATGAAATGGCAACGCCGATGCTTGGTTGGAACTTCTGTGTGGCAAAACAGCATTGGTGACTACAGTTCAGTCGCAGGTAGGGTGGACTAGAGCTGAGTCAGATATACTCGGTAATACAGATAAAATAACCGTAGAATGAAGGTATACAATTTCGAGGCCACATGAACCTACTGAATGATGCAAGGATCACTGGATTACTGCACAGAAGACACAAAAAACTAAACTCCAAAATCTACACATCCTGCATTGATCAATCAAATACTGCTTTGTGCCACTGTAGGTTATTCGCCGGCTTCAAAATTCAATGTCCCTCTTGGGAAATTCAACAAACGACTGGTCGAGCCAAGGCTCTGAAGGACTCCGAATGCCGTCACGCCATGCCCCATGCTCACATTATAGTCACGAATACTGTGTATGATGAGCATTGGAGTGGTCCAATTCGGCAGTAGACCATGCTGTGCCGTGCCGGGTTCCATTTCTTCAGAATGTCGTGGTTGATCCAGGGCAACATTGGCCTGTGGAATTGATGTCACTGAGGAAGTCGTCGCCTGCTATCATCTGGTGTATGTATGTTTGTTTTGTTAGCTTTCGGGGTTGGAAATGAATAAGATCGGAATGGTAAGAACTTGGATATATGACTGAATATCCTATCATGACAGAGGGTAGCCTTGAATCTCCTCCCCAGTTCATTCCCTTGTATCCAGTACGTCATGGAGCGGCCAAAAATTTCCCCTGCGCAGATGACATTATCTGTGTCGACGAATGGCATCTCATCCCGTAGGTATTCGAAACATTTCATGAGGTCTTCGTAGGGTGCTCTCCTCCATTCCCCGTTGATGCCTTACTCGTTAGCAAGAGACAGTGTTAGAAATGGTTCATTCTGTACTGCGATATGCGGCGGAGCATTTCCGGAAGGACTTAATTTACCGCAAAACATGCCACTGTTATCCTCTTCGACAATGTGTTTTTAAAAGAGAAGATGATCATGAACATTAAAATCGGAAGTGTTTTGGTTCTGTTCAGGAGGGCAGAGATATTGAAACCCCAAGTCCTCTTGATATCAAAATACCCGGTTGACAATGAACATCTTTCAAGAACATTCAAAATAATATAGAAAACAGCACCAATCATTACTTTCCTAGGGTCTATGTCGGTCCCAATATCGACGACTATCGTGCACAATCCGCTCCTCCCACTCCGCCACTGGACCGATCACCTCGACCGGGCTCTGTCCACGTGCAAACACATTCCGACAGGGTAGATCCATTGTCATATTCTCCGGATTCGCGGGTCCGATGACCTCACGTAGGGCGCTTTCCGAGGCTAGATAGACCAATCGGCCGATATGCGCCCAGTAGATGGTCCCCGCGCACATGGCACATGGTTCCCAGCTAGACACCATCGTGCAGTCGGCCAGATATTCCCAGGAGAAGTTATCCGCTGCATTACGCGCTAACTCGCACTCTGCGTGACGGACATGCGAGAGTGATAGTGATGATAGCAGCGTGGTGGAGTTATCTGGGGCAAAGAGAAGAGCCACAAATGGTCGCTTGTCGTGGATGTCTTGTGCGGTAGCCTGTAGCTGCAGACAGGTGGCAGCTGCGGTAGATAGCTGGTCGGGAGTAAGAGGAGGCATGGTTGTGAGACTTGTTCAGGTGAAAGAGGGATGTTGCATTATACGATAATTATTAGTTATTGTTTTGGCGGCCAGCTCCGAGTGGGGTTGGCCGGATTTCCCCGTAAACTGTGATGTGATAGATACCTGGTGCTCTACACTGTTTTAAGACACTACGTCGATGGACGAATATAATTCGAGGAATTATTACTGGGCAGAGTTTTTTTTTAAACATATATATATATATGTAATGTAAATCAAAGCCACATACAGAATAAACAAAATACTAACATCTTGTCGCATTACTTTAGACTAGCTGTTCATGCAATGTTGTTCTGAACATGAAAGACTGCTAGTCAAGTATGAAGCTGGGTATCCAGTATCCTTCTGGATTCATCAATGTTTTTTGTTTCAACAACGGTTGAGATTGGGAAACTGTTCATTGCGCAGAAGAATACAGCTGGGTGGATTCCTTTTATCTTAACTAGCTGTAGTTACTGTATTTGCTAATAATACTTGATCAATTGCATATTTTACTCTTATATGCTGTATAAACATTGTGATGTGTAGCATAGCTGCATTCAGACCAATTCCGAAATAGTAAATCTGTAGCCCGTAATCTCCAGAAAGCGTACGAGAGTATCCACTGAAACTCCCATCTTCGCACGACAAACGTCCCACTTGTTGATTCCATTCCTGTTTCTTGATCATTAAAAGCCCCGGTTGAAGGTTCCCAGGTCACCCACATTGCCTAAAATTCATCCTCTGAGCCTAGTAGTTATATTGTTTATCTCGCCCTATGTTGAGGAACAAATTCCTTATGTGAGATGGCATGTTGTACATATCATAACCCAACAACTCATTGAGGCAATCTCTGTCGAGAGTGTGTAAGTACAGTGCTTTTCATTCCGAAGCGAGAGAACCCAATTCAGACTCTGGAAATCATCTATCCATTCATTGAAAACTATCCTGGGGGACTGTGCGTCCGTGAGAAAGCGGGATGTTCCTCCAACGGAGGATCATGATTTCAACCATAAACCTAACGTCCGCGAGCGAGTATCGTAGATAAGACAATGTTCGCACACGGGGTCAGCAAGAGTTTGATGTACATTGAGGAGAATCACCCAGAGTGGAACCGTCCAGTCTTCTTCCTCGGTGTAGATGAATGGGTCACGGGGGTTACTTTCTGCATCGTTCAAATTCGGATATGGGATGAAGAATGTGTTATCCTTGGTTTGAGGAGAGAGGTCTCTGAGACGGGGCAGTTGTAGATCAGGGCGAAAACTTCGGTAGTATGCATTAACAAAGGCTTCCTGGTCAATTTGCTGTGCCACGTATAGTGGAAGGAGGATATCATCCTCTTGTACGTATTGCATGTCAATAAGCGTTTGATAGAATTGGGTGAGTCCTTCGATAAACTTCACATGTTTTTGGGATTCCACTAAGGGAAGAGCAGAGTGTCATCTTCACTAGAGGAATTATCTGTTGACTCTCCTGATAATTGACAAGACAGCCTCGAAAGTCAGAGTATAAGTAGCCATCCGCTTGCAATTCCCACCTATATCGAGTTAACTTGATTGGAAGTACTTATTTTTAGATTATATATCAATGAGCTTCTATATATTTATAAGCTGCATATTAAAGTTCTATATTTCTGTCATCACATGTTATTCATAGAAGGAATTCAAAAGCTGTTCGATTCAAGGGTCAAGAATTCAAGGTAGGTAGGTCAGATCCCAGAAGTAGGTTGGATATCCTGGCAACTGCAGAGTAGAAATAGACTCTAGCTTTATCCTTCCACGAGTGCATAGGAGATCGGTAGATGAGTCGCAATGCCAATTCTAGATGTCCTCCTTGCGCTGCCCTGTATTCGGCGGTCTGGCAAGAGTTATCCAGGGCAAATATATCAGCGCCAGCATCCAGAAGCAGTAGAGCCACTCCCTCACAATCATGCGTAGCTGCCAAATGCAGAGGAGTTGCTCCATTGCCATCTGTGGCCAAAAAGTCGGCCCCAGCATCAAGTAGTGGTGATACCACTTGCTCATTACAGTGGCTAGCGGCCAGGTGCAGTACGGTTGCATGATCATGGTTGATTTGGGTTATATCTGCCCCTGCATCTAGTAATAGCCGGGCTATCGTTTCGTCACCGTGGGTGACGGCTCTATGCAGTGCTGTGTCTCCCGCGTAGTCGGATAGAGACACATCAGCTCCTGATGAGAGGAGGGCCTGCACAACCTCGGAGTGGGCCCAACTAGAAGCCTCATGTAAAGGTGTTGATCCTCCACTATCCTGTTTGTTGACTTGAGCTCCATGCTCAAGAAGCAATCGTGCCACATCCCGCCCGGCAGGGCTATATGGTGCCCTATGCAGTGGTGTCATTCCATTCTCCGATACGGAGGAGATATAAGCCCCGGCACTGAGGAGGATACGAACAAGTTCCAAGTTTCCTTCCATGACAGCAATGTCTAGAAGAGTTTCCCCGCTGGAATCAGCTGCCTGGACATCCGACCCTGCGTGTATAAGACATTCTACAATATCCTTATAACCATACATAACTGCACGGTGCAGTGCTGTCTTTCCATAAGCATCAGCTTTACTTACATCTGACCCTGCTGCCAAAAGTCGTTGGACAATTGTTTTAGAAGCCGAGTCCACGGCATCATGTAAGGCAGTCGTTCCGTCAATGTCCACGGCAGAAACATTGACCCTACCAATAACGGAAAACGTGTCGATCTCTCTATCTTCGTTGTCTGAGAAGAACGGTATTTCCGGATCAGTATCCACCCACGGCGTCATACTGTGACGTAGCAGAAAATGCACAATTTTCTCCCTGCCCGCATGACAAGCATAATGGAGTGGTGTCCGTCCAAAATGGCCCTCAGCCGAGATATCAGCACCAGCCTCCAGGAACATGTAGAATATCTCTTCACTGCCCGATGCAACCGCCGCATGCAAAGCAGTACCGCCTGTGGGATCTGCGCCGGCAGTTAGAAGAAACTTCACGGTCTCCACTTGGCCGTTAAATGCAGCAACCTCTAATGCACTAGCTCCTGATTTCGACGCCGAGGAAAGACCCGCCCCAGCCTGCAGTAGTAGCTGTACAACATCAACATAACCTCCATATGCAGCGAAGTGCAGTGGACCTCCACCGTCAATGATATTTGTGTGAGATGACGCGGACACATCGGCGCCGGCTTTAATAAGTTCTTCAACCCGTTGTTTATTTCCCTCCAGGGCTGCAGTGTGCAACTCTGAAAAATCTCGTCGCATCCATGTGATATTTGTATCTAGTGGGAATGGCTCAAAAGTATAATTTTCTAGGAATGGCTGTTGCAAAGTAGATAGTGGCGACTGCTTCTGAAGTGGATCCTGGAAGGGGAAGGCCACCGTGCCAAGGAATCCAAGAATGGTACCAAGAAAAGACATGATCAGTCCCGGTCTGATATGTGCAGTTGGAGTTTCTTGGTAAACCTGTCTAATCGATGGTATAGGAAGACATACAGTATGGACTGTGCTTCAGGGACAAATCTCGAACAAAGTTTGAGGGAAAAGATTGGGTCACAATCGCCAAGACCAGGAAAAATATCTACGATCACCTGACATTACAAGATTTGCTAGCCCTAATCTAAGTTTCAGTTAGGCCAAAAAAGGTACTCTGTTGTAGTTTCTGTTTCGGAATTAAAACGTTATATATGTGGACTATTTATTTGAAATGCTAACTACTATATTATTATATTTATCCCTGGGTTCGATTATGAATGCCTATGAGCCCGACTTCCTGCACCTTCAAAGTGGAGAGTAATTACCCAAATAAACATACTTTCTCGCCTGTCTGAATTATTTGTTGGTACAACTTTGGTCACGACAGGACCGGCACACGTAAGACAATGCAATGAGCCAAGAGAAATGGCCTTCTGCATTCAGCGCATTGAATTTAAAGGCTCCCTGCGGAGTCAGGACAAGAATAGACCGGCTGAACCTGCGGCAAGGTGCCCTGTCTTTGCCACGGGGGTCATCATCATCAACATCTAGCACCGATTCTATGGCTGCTGCTTAGTAGTCAGCTTCCAAAACCTGCTTTGTGGACGAATTGCGTAGATTTGTATATATGACACTGACCTTTGGACGTAAGCTCAGTAGCATTAGCACTTCCATCCAAAGGCTTGGCGACTGCCCACATAATGACACGTTCCTGCGGTGAAAGCCATACCCATCTCTTGTACCAGATATCATCCTGCCTAATCGCTATCGATTGAGACTCGTTCACTTCCCCAGGGTATCGTTTTGTCTTTGCCTTTGTGTTAGGAATTGTGTATACCTTTTGTCTTTGGATAGACTGAAGCATTTCTTGTCCCTCCATGCCCCTGGAGATGGCGTCAGAGACACAAGGGTGGGGAACAGTAAAATCGGCTGGTTCTTTGTGATAACTGGATCCTGTTGGAGAGTAAATGAACGGAAGGCAAGGAACCTTTCTTGGAGATATGGCGCTCCTTGGTGTAGAATATGTCTGTTTTGTTGCTCCTCCTCCACGGCTATGTCCTAGCTTTGCTTCCTGGACAGATAGAGAATTATATCCAACCAACATTCCCAATGCCAACCCATCATCGGAGTTTGTGTCAGTAGACAGGGAGGGTTCATCGTCGTTCCATATGAGGGCATTGCTTGTACGGATTGTGGGTGATCGGCGAACCAGCTTCCCAGATCCGAGTATGCAGAGCATTGTGACTTCATTGCATGGGGTTTTCTTGTTTACTTCTTCTGTTGAATATATATTCTCCGTCTGTTTGGATTCACGCTGGGGATGGGGGGTTCTATCTTTGGGTTCACTGTCACTCAAATTGGACATTTTTCTTGATCGGTGTAGCTTGGAAGGTCGACGAGATACCTCTGTTGGTGAATGCTTAACGAGGTGGACTTGCTTTTCTGGGGAACGGGAGGGGTTTTGAGCGACTGATGGCAGAGCTGCAGTGGATATTGCATGGTTCTGAGACGGCGAATGAGCAAGAAGTTCAAAGTTGTTGCCTTTTAATCTATTATTGTTCCCTTCAGTTCCCAGAGACTCGAGAGCACGCTCTTTCTCATGAAGGCACGGTGAAGGTTCACGAGCAGATTCAGGGACTTGACTTTGGATTTGGAGCTTAAATGGAACATCAGAAGAATCATTGTTGTCGTAAGTGCGGCGAGTTGTGTCAACAATTGAGGAAGCAAGTGTCCCCATATTTTCAACAGCCACGTTTCTTGGGCTGCTTTCCTCACGTCTGGTGCCTGGTGTATATTCTGCCTTTGTCAATAACGGCTTTTCACGCTTTCCTATCTCAACTATTCTTGGAAAAACGTGCTGGGGACTTGACAGGTAAGAGTAGATAGGCTTTTTGAAGCTGACGGTAAATCCATTTTGCGAATGGCTTCTGTGTGGTGGCACGTTTATTTTTCTGGATATTTGCTCAGAATCCAAGCCAAGCACTTTTCGAGCTTTAACCCCTGGTATATTGTACAAATCGTGGATTTTCTTTTGGTTAGATGGTGGCAGCGGTGGAAGGGGCTTGGAAGTGTTGAGATATTTCCTCAGGGAGGCTAACTCTTCAGCACGAGTTTGGCTGTGGGGCTTCGAAGTATATAGAGCTGCCAATTCTGTGGTGGAGGATATGGAATGGCGACGCTGTGAATGCCCAGCGTTCACATTATTGGATGGTTCGCTGTTTGCTCTGTTTAAGAATTGCATTTTGTCTGATCTTTCCGACATCATGGGTTCTTTGCTTGGAGGATACTGTAAGGGTGCTGAGGTGGCTGTGTTGATAACGGATCCAAGCTGAATCTCAGCAATGTGCAGCCTTTGCCTCAGACACTCTCTTTCCTGTTTCAAGCTCTTTTGGTGTCTCTCCCAGAGCCCCTGTGTGTCTCTCAGAGCTTTAATTTGAGACTGAATTGTTTTTTCCACTTCTACAAGGAGGGTAGCTATACCAGCCAAATTTCTTTGTGTCTCATTCCCCGTTTTGGCTGAAGTGATAAGCTGGGAAGTATTTTCATCTTGGAGTCGTCGTATCTTATACTCTAGAGAGCGTCCACTCTTCACACAGGTTGCCAGGTGCCGGCTAAGGGACTCTTTGTCAACTCGGGATTCGTATCCGCTTCTTTCGGGATGTCTGATGTCATCGGTTTTATGGTTGATTTCCTCGCGTACTCTGATGACGGGGGTTTTGTGGCTAGTAGGGCTAAGTAGACGAGGATGACTAGGTAGCAGCAACGACTGGTTGTCAGAGGCATCTGGCATTCCGTGTTCAATGATGTCGAAGGGAAAACAGCCGAGGTTAAGGGAAGATGAGATGCGGGGAACCTTGCAATAAGATTTGCAATTGATCTTTAATATATTCAGGGATGCTATGTATCTTGTAGAAGACTGCCTTGCTATATGTTGCATGGATCTTCCGGATAATTGAGCCCCTGAAGCACGGGCTAACCATCGTACAGTAGCTCATCTGAACACAAAGGATCCTAGTAGAAAGGAGCATGGATCCTATATTTCGGTAGATTACCCGAGGTCGGGAGTCTATTGTTAGCTGAGCCTGAGCTAATGCATAATCGAGACGTAATGGAAATGTCGATCGCCCAATGGAACTCCTGTCTCTGTGCTAGTTGCCTCACATCATGCGGGTGACTGCAGATCAGCACGCACAAGAAGCACGTCAGAGCAAGCTGTCTGTCGCAGATGATCTGCAAGAATGATTCTGATTTTCCGAGGTTTATTCTGCCAATGGCCTTTGGGACTATATATTGATGCATGACATGCCGATGAGGTATAAACAAGTAGCAAACCAGATATGAACATATATAACCATAGTATGCCATTGTACACCAAAGCTATCAATTCTAATAAAAGATACACATTCCATGTACATTATCAATGTTTAAGAATAGCATAGGGTATCCGGAATTACACGGCTTACTCCCAGTTTCCAGACAGCAACAGGATGGGGAAATAAAATAAGCGACATATGGGCCGTAGCCCGCAGTAGCGAACCCATGGCTCGGTCTCAAAGCGGGATAGATATCAGGAATGTTTAAATTAAGGTACGATCTGTTCCATCTTAAAACAAAGGTTGCGGGAACTCGAATGCTGTCTGCTGGAGTATTGGAGTATTCCCTGAGTTAAATATATATATATATATATATATATATTTTTTTTTTAAAAAAAGAAGGTGCTTTCTAGGTCAAGATCATACGGTGGAAGGTAGTAATCGAATCGTATATGCATGAAACTACTAAGCTGATTATTTACTATTAATAGTGATCTGCTCTCCACTGGATATATGGTTAGCTCTACAGAGTAGGTACACAATGTAGGAATATAGACCTGCCAATTTCTCCCGTTAGGTTTGCGCTAGTGTCGTAAGACCAACCCCTGTTTTCGCTAAAAATCTGGGGCTACCCTAGAGATTGTATTTGTGCAATTAGATGTTATGAATCTCTTTATAGTGTCGGAAGATCAAGAGCCGGTGTTTTGTTTGTACCGATGCGGCTTAGCCTCAGACGGAAAAGGAACGGACCTTGGATGTTTCACGGTGGAACATCGTAATGGTGTCTTACAGTAGTCTGCTACATTTTAGAATCAGTGCTTAATAATTAATGCCGATGGGGTAGATCCTGTCTGCCACCAAAAATAGCTGGGAATATACCGGGAGTAATAATAGTAGGGTTATAGTAATACTTGCTTACTAGAGACCAAACAGCAAAGTACAGTTGTAGACAAGCCCTATTTAATCAAATTTCCTTCTATGTTTGGATGTACCCTGTATGAATACAGACACGAAATTCTTGCCAGTATAGATAGACATCCATGATAAGCTATTCATCACACACTGGAACTTGCATGTGACTCCCAGTCCTATAATATGGCTGTGGGCCCTGCTAAGTGCCTGCACGATGGACCGCTCAGCTGTACCAAAGTCCTGTATTCTGTAGTCCCATATGTGTGTGTATCCAGTGATTTCCATGAAGTTACTTCACTTCTATTTTCCTTGACTTTCGGTTGGGGTACATTACAGGTTTCAAATGGAGAATCAAGCACTTACCATTCCATGCTAGTATTACCTAATGTGGCTTACAACATTGCCCCATAAACTCTCGATCTCTCCAACAAGAACCATAGAAATAGATTGCACAAGCTAATAAAACAACTGAAGTCTAGAGAGTTAGCACAGAACCGATCAACTAGCCATTCTACTTAGCCTACTTAAGATAAGAGTAGGAGGTGTTGCAGACAGCTATATATACAGACTATCTAGCTGAGAATACATCATAACTGTCAATAATCTCACAAGGTCCGCTTCCAGGATTCCCCAGGAACCCAGACCCCGCAGTCTCATGATCGTCCTGCTTGACTAAGCGAACCCCCATATAAGCGTCTCGCTGACTCCAACACAGTCTCCATCTACATCGCCAATCGCTCGCCCGACTTCTCTCGCAAAGTCTACGCATTATTATCGAACGGCCGAGGCTCTACCAGCAGCAACGAAGCTTACCTATCCCGTGTCATTCATGTTCTCGGACTAGTAGTATACAGCCCAGGAATCGAAAAGCCGATGTCCGTCCGTTCTCCATAGGGACTTGTTTCAGTTTGGTATGCGGGGCACTGGTACTTCTCGGTTACCTAGCATCGCTCTCCCGTCAGATCATAGTGAAAGTTGAAGTCTAAGGCGATTTGATCAATCAGGGTATTAAGTTGCAGGCCCAAGCCGTATTCTAGAGCATATAAAGGCCCATATCTATCTCGGGATTGGTGCGTTCGGATGGCTATTGTTTTAGAGCTAGGTATGACACATTAATCGCTCATTGTCACCTATTTTTGAGTGAATGGATAATGGAGTAGTGCCCCAAAGTGGAAAGTAGTGTAGATATGTTTATTGGAGCCTTTCTGGTTAACTTCTTATTCCGTTTGTTTTATTTTTTAGAACAAACAGCTTACTATCAAAGTTATGAATGACAGGGTAGTATCAATATCATCAACAGGGTGTGTCTCAAGACACCAAGTACGCCACATTAGGGCTAATACCTCCAAAGAGAAAACCAAAAAATAGGATCAATATAGCAACACCCACTTGTGATTACACTTTCTGGATTAAACCTAGATCGTCTGCATCAGAGCCTTGGCTATGCGGGGCCCAGACCTATATCTGGGACGTTTCATCAACAAATGATGTTTTTTTTTTTTTTTTTTTTCATGAATGGGTAGGTATTTATTGATCAAGGGGCTTTTAAGTTGCCCCCGAGATATTAATATAGGATGAACTTGATTGATCCTGTAGTGCGCCCTGTTATCTTCTGTTCAAGGCACCCGAGCTTCAACGACGTTAGGGTAGGGACATAGGATAGGGCTTTTATTCCCATATGACATGGATATTGTTTGTATTAGCTAGCTAGCTAATAAAATGCCAGACCTGTCGGTTTGACTGACAAGAGCGGGGATTGGATACGGCCGAAATTGGATAATATATAGATTATTTCTCTACGCCAGTTGTAACTTAGCATGAGTGTATGATCCACAAGCGATTACTTGTTATCGCCAGGTATTATTACGATGACATGCTAGTGTAACTGCACTATTAGACAATCATTCTTAAAGTATGAAGTGGTATTAACCATAATATAAGAAGGGTAAACTGCTGCAGTATTGCTGAAGTTGTATTCCTTATGAGCGACAGAAGCTGCTGAATTTTTGCTTTAATATTTTCTGTACAAGCAAGATCCTCTAATATACAATATAGTAATTTAGTTGATGATATGGGGCGGACCTAGATGAAATAATTAACTGTTAGTTGCAAAAACATTGTAGGCAAACAATCCAGCTATGAGTATGGCCACGTTTATTGGCGGAACTACCTTTGTAGATAATCCAGTATGCCTAAGATAAGTAGATATTGATATATACAATGGGCTAAGTTATAGATTATCCTATACTAAACTGTGAGTATTGGATTATACGAAGCTGCTTGAGTCTAATTTTATCTACGGTAACAGCTATTTCTTGATTTAGAAGTGCTCTCCAGGTAGCCTAAGACTGAATATTTGGACGCTTATTGACTACTGGGACTATAGATAATTATAAAGGGGCGAAACGCCTTGCTATCTAATAACTAGATATACACAAAGAGGAATCGCTGAGGGGAAGAAAGTAAAGGGGAAGGAGTGTGCATTCTCATACTACGAAGGGTCATGTGACTATGATAAGCGGACCAATTCATGTGCGCCGATTGCAGCGAAGGCGAAGCCGAGCAATATACAGGCGTAGCCCGTGACAATAATAATAATACTGAGGTGATCCTGCTATAACCTATACCGGGCTATAATTCAAACCAATACTCCCTTTTGAGCTTCAAAATTATCTATAACATCTAGTGCTACAAGTCTACCTCTATATCTACTAGTGTCTTAAGCCACTCTCTAATATATGTTCCAACTATATCGCTTCCCGCACGGGTGTTATATCAATTGGTCTCTTAACCTGTTGCAACATAAATGTTTAAGGTATTATGTAGATATTCAATCTTCTAGTACATAGAATCTCATCACTGCATCAACCAACAGACAGAGCTATGGTTTCGCCCGTAGGTTGGTAGAGTTATAGAGCGGCATTGCGATATGTGATCTATTGTTTTCATTTATTGTAACCTATTTCCAGACACATACGACCACAGGGTGTGGAAAACAGGGCTTCCCGTCCGCTCAGCCGTACTTAAGCCAGTATTATGAACGCGGTCAAAAGGTAGTTGAGCCCTGCGCTAGTTGCTGCTTTATGGGTGATCGCCGCTAACTCAGAAGGTGAGTGCAGGTGAGCTGGGTGATTCATTTCGGAACGCGGGTGAGTATGGTGAGCAAGTGGGTGAGCAAAATGATTTAGGAAAAAAGAAGTTTTGCTACTGGAAAATAAATAGATTCAAACTGTGGGGCCATGTATGATGGAGAATTTAACTGGAGTGGTTACCTGGAGTGGGAATACTAGCTTTTTGCTGTGTATAAGTAGGGTACTGCTTCCTGTGTGGTTTATCTGGACCCTGATAATTGCACGTTGATAATTGCGAAACGCTTCAGTATGGGGTTTCCCCTAACTCTGTATTAGGCTTCCCCATGCTCTTGTGCAAATGCGGAGGCACATATACATAAGCTCGAAAGATTTCCTAAATTTACAATTGACCATCTTTGTTGTAGCCTACCAGCGTGTACAGAGATCTGAAAAGACGTATAATAGTTGTTTGGCTCGCCACTACGGAAAACCCAGCTCTCCTACTTGGCTTTTAACTTTGGAATTAATCGAGGGGAGATAGCCGTTGGTAATGGTAAAAATGATATGCCGTGCCAAAAATGTGCCAAAACGGCTCGCAAGAGTTGGCACTACAGTTCTCTTCACAGGTTTCTAGCCTTCATAAAATAGATGTCGGTTGCTAACTTTGATGCCCTCGGGATGATAAGGCAATCGCATCCATTATGAGTAAACTCTACAGATCTAAGGAAAAGGTCTGACCACTAAAATTCGTGGAAATCCGTCTTCCAAGCAAGTGCCAGATAGTGGCAAGGCCTCATGAAGCCACAGGTTGTTCGTGTTCAACTTCGGGGCTACACAAAAAATCTATTTGCTTGAATTGCGTCAATCAGGTCACCCGCCTTGCTCCTAGGGATCTGGATGGATACAATAAAGGAGATTTTGCGCTCTTCCACTTTCTCGGGCCATGCACGCAGGCGGATCGAAGCATCCGGTGGAACGGAGTGTGCAAAGGATGTGTTAAGATAGGCTGTGACCGCGGGCCGGCAGCAGTCTACCAGGATACGGTCTAGGAGAAGGACAAAGTATCCACCAAACATTTTTCTATCGTAGTAACACATCTGCTGCCGTGGGCTCAATTTTATAAGAGCATCTGCTTCCATTCTCAGAGGATGGCGCTGGAAGTTAGGGTTGTAACCTTGCAGTAAAGAGTGGAGTTTTTGCGAGGGCTCTACCGATAATTTCTGTCCAGAAAATATCTGAGTCAGTATTGAACGTGGTTACATTTTGGATGGGCAACATATAAATACTCTCTTTGGGATATCTTTTGCTTCATCATATAGGAGGCTAGCCTGGTAGGCATGTACTTGGCCTTGATACGTACGTACGGTCTGATATGTCACGCGAGCCGCAAAGTGTCGAGACATTGTTGTGAATCTTGATATATAAGGCTTAATTCGATGACATAGGATAAAATGAAACCTGTAATTTAATGGCTCTTATGTTAGGGTGGGATGCACAACAGCAGCTACTTATAGGATGTTGTCTCCCCTCCGGGAGACTTCCTTTCTATGAAACTAAGTGCTATCATATCTGGCCATAGTTGTGAAAACATCTCTAAATTTTATGTAAGAAAGATGGACATCTTTGGTTTGGTTAGCGCTGATCTGCGAGCCGATTTGGGGACGCACTCCGCTGTCCGTCTCCATTAGGTATTAAAGGATTGACCGGATTTTCCTCAAATTCAACTCAACAGTCGGAACTAAAATCAGCTCTCTTTGAAACTATTCTCCACGTTTAAAAGCTGTTGAAGTCTTTTTCTCTTCCTTGCACTTCCAGGTGGATTTTAATCATGCATTATTTGAGCTGTGAGTTTTGTTTCTCGGTACGCACATATTACTGACGGGGAGATTAATGAAGACTAAGTATAAACTGACTTAGATCATGGGTCCCGGTAATGACCTACAAATTAAAGTCTCCACGAAATTCTCATCTCAAGATGAGTTGGAGCCGCTGCAAAAGCCAGACTTTGATGTGAGCACCCTATCCTTTTGTATGTCCAATGTAAGCCCCTGGAGGCTCATGTATCCTTAGTTCGCTGTTGGATTCCTTCAGCTGTTAACAGCTTTTAAAAGACGTAACTTTGAGCAGAGAATTGCCATTATCCATTATCTACCTAAGCATTTACATGGTGCATTCCTGTTATACGAAGTAGAAGGGCTCACAGTGAAGATCCCACTGAGCAGGTTATTAAGTCCCTGGAAGCAGAACTTGCCAACGCGAAGGATATCGAAGCAAAGTCGTCGAATAACGCAAACGATGCTACAAACCGCTGAAGTCTGTTTAGCATGTGCGTATAAATGGCAAGAGATCAATGCTGTTTTACCCACATTATAAAGCTCAAGACCGAGGAACGCATATTTTGAGCTATTTGCTTCAGATGAAATATTATCTGTTGACATGAGCGGTAAACTTGCCCCACGCTGAAAAGAAAGTATCATGTACGTAGAGATCTTTATCGGCTTGAGGGACATAGCATCGAACATGGGTGGTTATATTCTGGCATTAGTAGATTACAGGTGGCTGATCTAAAGGACTCTGCTAATCTGTTACATATATGGTACAAAGACGCAATTCTACAGACGCGATCGAAATCGCCACAGAACTAAACTCTTCCACCGTACCTACCCAGATTTTCACACCAAAGATAGGGTTGATTAGACGAGGCTACTCGACGGCGGCGAGTCCTCGAGATCATCAGACTCATGTACCTCCAGCCCAGGCACTCTTTCCAGCGGACCGTTTGTACGCTGGCACCCTGAGACGTAGTTCACTGTCAACAGACAGCCATCGGAGAAATGGACAGATCCACATTTTGCACACCCTCCTCCTGTATCCTGATGCAGATGGTCGTATGCCCTAATCAATAATTGTCAATCTTTATGTCCTCCCAATTCATACGAACAGATAGAGAGAGAGAGAAATGGGAAAAAGACGGATATCCTGAACTTACGCCGCCATTTGACTGCCAGTCATTTCACAGTTTTTGCCCTTAACAAAGATGCCGCAGCCAAACCCGGCGTTCTTGCCGTCGGTATAGCACGTTCCTGAGTCTGAGTTGGAGTCCTTGGTGCTGCATGACATGACATGATTAGTACAACGCCGCCAGCGAGTAGGAAAGGGAAGGGAAACTGGTACCCGTAGAGCGTGTCATCCACCAAGAATCCCTTGGCCATATCACAAAACTTTCGGAGATTACGGAACGTTTTGCATCGACCCGATCCTTTACAGTCATAAGAGACTTCCGATGCCGTCGGCAAGGACGAGGTGGTGGTGATGGTGGAAGTGGTTTTCTCGGTTGTTTTTGTGGTTGTCGACTTGGACATGGCCATCGAATCCCATTTAGAGAATTCACTCAAGAGACTTTTCTGTATGGATAACCTTTTGGCGTGGTTTGCAACCGCGGGGAACAGACCCTCTGTTTGGGTCACCATGGGCCCATTTCTCGAGAGAGTGGTAGTGGTGGTGGTCGGTTCGGCGGAACAAGCGGTGATGGTCGTGCAGCGAGTCGAGGTGGTGGTGGTGACGGTGCTGGCTGGACGGACGAGGAAGCTTCGCACGTATTCGGTGCAACCCGGGGCCGTCTGTTCGGAATCGCATCCATCACCGTCCTCACGTCCTCCACTTCTGCATCCCTTGCCCTCGCAGATGCCGAATCGACACTTGGGCCCCGAGCAGGTTACCGTGCGGCAATGCCTTCCAGTGCATGTGCGACTGGAATGGCTGCAGGCTGGCCCAACACATCCAAATGAGAGGCAATCGAGTCCAAAACATCGGCCAGAGCCACCACAGTCCCGGCCGACGCATCCAGAGGTCAGGCACTTAGAACCGGAGCAGTGTCCATCGGAGCCACAATCATTACCGCTGCAGGCCGTTACCAGACATTTGTCCCCCGTGCAGATCCCACGCGAGCAGTGATCCCCTTTACAGCCGACATAAATGCAAAGCGGACCGGTGCATTTACCATGGTGACAGTCGTGGCCGCGGCAGCCGGGCTTCGCGGGGGGGTCGGGGTCATCGGGATCGTTGAAGTCCCTACCCCCACCATCGCAGTCGCGTTCGCAGATCCCGTTGCAGAAGAGATGGCACTTATGGCCACATCCAGAGGTGCAGAGGGGAGCCGGCGGGCCCTCAATAAATGTGACAGTGGGGAGAGGATTCTCGGAAGGGTGAGTAATGGTGGACCACGGGAAAGGAGGCACTGTGATGGCGCGCGTCCCGGTTGCTTGTGGGGATTTTGTAATGTAGAAAGGAGGAGGAAGAATGCTGCTTTGCAAAATAAAGGAAGTCCGATCAATCAAGCTAGTAAGGTTTTTATTCCAGACATCAATCTTGTCGGTAGTGACCGGGGGAATGGTTAATGTAGTGGTCTTCACGGTGCGAGAATACCCAGTGGAGGTGGTAACTGACCCATCTTCGAGGGTGGCCGTAACGGTGGTGGTGGGCCAGGCAACCTCAAGAGAAGTGGTATAGGGGGGGAAGACTATCGTCGTCGGACTGGGAAGGCTATATGGGGGAAAGATTAAGTTGCATGGAGGCACACAATGGATAGTGTTATTCCCCTCGTAGATCTCCGGGCCAATGTAAACGTCCCCGGAACCACTGTCACTGCCATCTGGACTGGCCCCTGCCATCCCAGCGCCGGGATCCAGTTTACTCAAAGCCGACAGAGTGCCGGGGCCTCCCATATCCATCGCCCAGGCCATAGTGCCTCCGAGACACAGCGAGTTGGCCAAATCCCGTTTTTGGAGCAAGGTTCGTGCGTCGTCGAAAGAAACCCTAAGGCAATCGGTTTAGGCCATGATCAATGGGATATATCTCACGGGGATATGTATAGAAGGAACTTACCACTGGTTGGAGTTCCAGGTAATCCAGTTGACACCTGCCTCCGCATCATGCATCACTTCTGGAGAGTAGTTATCGATCACCCGAGCAATCTCGTAGTCAGATAGGATTCCACTAGTTCGAGTGCACTTTCCTGGGTTCGCACCCCCCAAAGAGGCTCCCCCTAGCCCGGTATTATTGCTGAAGGCACATCCAGGTGTATTACAGGAAGGGTCATTCAAGGTGAAGGATCGGCCATAGAAGGCCAGTCCCAGAACAACTTTGGAAGGATCGATATTGTTCCGCCACAGCAAATCTAGCCCAGCGGAGATTTCTGTTGTCAAGAACATTAGCGCCTTGTATGCACTACGTGAGAGGGCTCCAAGGCCCTAGAAGCGCAAAGAGCAATGGGATGAGAGAGAGAGCATTACCAGTCAAGTTGGTATGAGGGTTGATAACCGATTTAGTCCATCGGCTATTTCCATCCCAAGTCCCGTGGATATCATAACTCATAATATTAAACCAATCTACGTACTCACTCATTCCCTTGATATCAAAGCCTTTGAGGTACCCTGTTTCTCCTTTTAGTAAAAAAGGCTCCTGATATGGACACAACCTGGGAAACGTACAGAAAGAAGATGGCAATGTGAGTGTAACACCATACTTGCCATCGCAGGCGGACTTGAGGGCATTTAGAAATGTCACTAAGTTCTTTGTATCCACGGCAGCTCCCTCTAAAAGGATAAGCGTTTTTAGTATTATCCCATGAAAAGCACGCTGGGGCAAACGTATCCCGATCCTCCGCTGCTGGATACTCCCAATCAATATCAATCCCATCGAAGCCGTACTTCTCCATCAGCTCAATAACGGAATTAATAAAAGCACTTCTAGTTCCCGGAAACCGGACCATGTCGAAGACCTTTCCACCAGCGTCCCAGCCTCCCACGGAAATGTAAGTCTTCAGGCTGGGTTTACGCTTCTTGAGGGCAGTGAATTGGGAGTAGAACTCCTCATCCCAGCTTTTCATGGTGGTGATCTTCGAGTTTGAGGGATCAATCAAAGCAAAGGAATAATACAGGTGCTGTGCAGCCATTGTGGTCAACAAAGTCCTACGATGAGAGCCGCAAAAAACAAAACAAAACAAAAAAAAAAAAAGCTCACTGTCCAGGGTTCGACATTGATGTCGGACGGCTTCAAAACGTCACATGGTCTCTCCGGATTCCAACCTTCATAGTAACCGATATACCGTTGGTCACTTGATGTCCCGGAGCAGGATCTGTAAAGCACTTAGCCTTTAGCAGCTATGCGATATGGCCTTTTCGCGTTTTTAATAGGGTGAGGAACTGACGGTCGGTTTACCGCATCACATCCACTCTGACAACCCTTACCACAGAATTCTTCAGTTGTCCCGCAATATCTTCATCCAAGTCAGTGAAAACGCACGTAATAATCTAAAACCAAACTGGAGAGTAGTACCCAAATTTTGAGCAGCACACGGTAAGCGGGCAGAGCTCGTTCCCCTTTGGGGCGTATTCTAGGAGAAATGTTAGCAAAAGTGACATGGCAAGCCGGCAGTCTGATATGCAGACATCCTTTCCACAGAAATTTGGACCAAAGCCACAAAAGCCCTCCTTACTGCAGCATCCTGATACGCACTTCGTGTCTTTGGAGCAGGTACCCAGCTCGCACAGGGCTAAGGCTGGCAGAAGGGCGAGCAAGCCCATGCATAAAGCCCACATATTCCGCATTGTGAGGAGGAAATGTGACTTTCCAGACCTCGTCGGTGCCAGGAATAATTCGAGGGTCCTTACCGGACTTGATCATCATTTGCATTTATAGACTCTGTTCTGGTGAACGGGTGCCTCGACCGTGATAGTACCCTACTACTTTGCTCCACCAGCCTGCAATCTCTGCATTCGTGGAGGTTGCCTGATGAGGGCACTAAATTAGATAAGAAATGGGGTTGTTAGAGATGTAACGCTCTGTGAGTGGATATAAATTAGTTTGTATAGCAAAAGTACTATATGATTTAGTTTTGACGCTTAATCTGTAGGGCTTGGAAGGTGTTTTTGATTGGTATCGGTTTCTATCGTCTGGAAACGAAAGAATATTACTAGCGTTTGGCGCTAAACTGCGTGGTTTACTAGGGGTGTTGGGGATCCTAGCTGCATTAGTTTACTGTATTACACAGTACCGAACCACATCGTAAGAGAGAGGGGGGATAAAATAAAAAAAATAAACAGACTATGAGATGAGCCCACCAATCTAGGCTCCCATAGTCCGTGGGCAACCTGGCCTTTCCCGTGGTGATTCTACCCGGATTCCAGGACTTTATGGATTTGTGTATTATGGTCAAGACGTCCCTGGAGAATTAGAAGAAAAACTAGTATAACAAGCTTGCACAGAGTAGACGCCCCCTTTTTTTTAACTGTTCCATAGCTGGCTTGAGATAGAGACTCTGCTTCGTCTGTCCAACATGAACCTGCGAATACTCTGTGAATTATTCCTCTTTCCTTTACTGGCAGGTCTTCTCTGCGCTGTTCAGCCAGCAGAGGGTCACCGTCACCATGATTATAGTCACCACCGCTACCACCACACCCGGTCCGCAAATGAAATTATGGCCACTAAGCACATGTGGGCGAAGCGAGCAAAGGTTGAAAATTACTGAGAGGGCCATCACGCTGGCTTTATAACACAAGGCTTGATAGATGCGCACGATGCGGTTTGTTTCCCTTGTTTCGTACTTTTGTTTTTGATCTTGCGATATAGTGTATCGGATAAGAACTGATATTGCCTCCATGGAATTAGCTAAAAGTAATGATTGAGCGAACGGAGGAACTGCTGGAGTTTGTGGAGAGCAATACGCGCGAAGAATCCACCAATCCTTTCCTCGTGGCCACTCGGCACACCTACGAAGCTACCTTCGGCAGGGTCTGGTTTGGGTCGAATGCAGAAGAGAATGCTGATGCTGCTGTCACGATTGAAAAACAGATTGGTTGGTTCTGTAGATATACAATTCTGCTGGTCCTGGAAGAGCTGACCTTTTTCAGGGAATGCAAAGAAACTGGTGGCTGCACTGGAAGCTGAGAATAGTCCGATATGGGAGTTCTACTGTAATGACAATTACCTGCATAAAGAAGATCCCTACGGGAATGCATGTAAGTAATCCAGATACCACAATTGACCCTTTTACCTAATCGATAAGCTGAGACTTCTTGCCTCCAGTGGGTGAATGGCTATACTGGAACGATAGGGATGGAGACAGAGGGGGCCAAATAATTGTGAATTTTCACGGCCTCCAAGGGTCATGTCAAGACAGCAACGGGGACCTCATGGCCTTCCTCGAACCATTCGAAGACATAGGTCTTGATACCATAACAATTTGTCAGCAGTCGATGAACAAATTCACTGGCGAGCACCTCAGTGATCTAGCAGAGATGACCTATGATCCAGATATGCATTTCATCTCGGCGAAATTAGGGAGGAGATTCTGGGATTCACTCTAATCCATGAATTGTCTCACTCAAGAACAACTTTTGGAGGCGAATACTATAGTTATCACCCCCCTCTCCGGGCCACCCAACCGAAGGGAACTTCTAGGTCTTATATTTTGTTTCACTTGCTAAGGTCTACTCATCTTTTTATAGCCGATGCACCGTGGAACAATGGACCCCATGGTATGGCATATGGATGGGATGGTGTCACGGCAATCAAAGACAACGAGAATGCACAGATAAACGCCGGTTTGTTTTTTACTCTTTCTTTCAGGCTGTGATAGTATACACTAACCATTCATCCTAGACAGCTTTGCTTTCTATGTAACCGGTAAGTTGAATTACCGCCTGCCCTAATCCACTACAATGTCTAACTTTTCACGTTCAAATAGCCATGTATCTGGAAAATAATGACTGGTCGACTGGGTTTTCTAGGGAAGTCTAAAATAACATATGTACGCGATGAAAATGCATGGCTATATGTGTATTTGTATGTTAAACTGAAAATTTGAGAGAGTCTGGGGTTGCTACTGTGGATGGTCTGGACTCTATAGTACCTACCTAGGCAGTAGAGCTATGGATTTTAGTAGGTATATCAAAATTAAATCTTCTCGCTACTATACCTCTTAATAATGTTTATTATTATCATACTTAAACTGCACACTGACCTCTTTTTTTTTTTTTTTTTTTTTTTTTTGATTCATAAAACATTCTCTTAATTGGCTTAAAGCTATTACATACTTGGTAGTCCCTCGAAGAGACTATACATACTTACTAGTCCTGCAGATGCTAATGCCTGTTCATATCGATCACTGTGATAAACCAACTGGTACCACTGACACTCGAATTTCGTATAAATCGTGTCTGCCTTGCCAGGAGCTCCATCCACCCATCGACATGCATACATACATGGTACGTCACAGGCCAGGCGGGGAGAAAATATTATACGGAAGAGCGGCTCCCACTCCCCTACCTTAATATCCAGTGCCTCAAATGGTTTCCAGGATGCAAGGTTGCTACCTTGTTTTAGATTCTCATCCCTCTTCTCTGCGGCTACATACCGAAATAATTCCTCCGCTAGGGATACATTGAGCGATGAGATAGTAAGGTGGGAGGGATGGCGTTCGAGCTCATCCGGAGGAACGAAGGTATTTAGCTCCAGATGGATCAAGTTAGGGAAATAGGATGCCCCACGGAGAATCTCGTATGCCTAAATATGGATATTACCAGTCAGATGCGACCCCAGCAGAAAAAACTGGAGGAGTATAAAACTAACCAGGCTCTCCTTTAAACACATATCAATCCCCAGTCGCTCGAGGGCTGGTAATTCTGCCGCAAGTGATTTTAATTCGTGAAAGGAAAACAGATATCTTCTATCCGTATACTGGTGCCCCTCAGGACTAGTTTCACGGAACCGGAGACGCCGCAAGGAATTTCCATGGTGAGAGGTAAGGATATGGAGAGTAGACTTAGGCATATTAAAGGCAGTAAAGGCCTCCAAAGCGTTGATACTTGACAAAAACTGATCAAGCAAACCGCATATATATGTCTCAAAGTCTGAGGAAGTAGTGCTCTTCGTGAAACCTAGAGATAAAGATATTAGATATGGAACACGGTGGGTGAGGTAACGGAGTAGGTTGGCGTTTCTGACCATTCCATCTAGGGTCAGATGTCGCAAGCTATGCGTCTGAAGGCACTCGGCCCACAATCCGGCCTGTTCGTCGTCCATGTAGAAGTTTGTAAGGCACAGGGCTTTGAGAGGGGGAAGGATATCACTGTGACAAAGAGTAAGGTTTGTAATTCTCTGGAGTTCCATACCCCCATTACATTTGAGATCGAGGTGCTCTAGAAATGGTAGTGAAAGGATTGTCTGCTTTAAAAGGTGCCTGTCGTTATTATGAGCATTCCCGACTACCATAAGTGACCGGATGCAACGCGAGTGGCACAGATTGGCTGCATGGCGTGAGTTGCCTCGGAAATAGAAACGGGGCATTGGGTTGCGGCTATAAAGAGACTGAAAAACTAGTGGTGGAACAGAACAGCAGAGCTGCCATCTTATTTAATTTGTCAGTATTTAGGTGTAGTTTACCAGTAGTCTCAGTCTCCCTTATACATACTTTATAATTTGTACGTTTTGCAGCTTCTCGATGAGACGGCATAGGTTGTTTCTATCATCGTCTCCGAACCCCTTTTTGGGACTCCCTGATACCAGGAAGATTCGGACATGACGGAAGATGTCAGGGTCCGTATTATTCGAATTCAGTCCGGTCAAGAATTCTCGTCCCTTATCATCTGTCCCCATAAACTGCCGGTGCAGATTCCCCGTAAACCGAATATGCAGAGTCTCAAAAAGAAAGGGCAATGCAAGTTGACGGAAATTGAGAGACAAGAGACTAAGTGCGAGAATAGATTGGCGATCCCAGCGCAGCTTTGATGGCCACTATTTAGTACGTCTACTACTAGTAGATGTATGGATATTGGCCCGTTTATTTCGGTGGTACTCACGGTTTTTACTATTAGGGCCCAAATTTCATCTGGGAGGCTGCAAAGAACATGGCTCTTTTTAGCATTGGGAGCCATCTTTAATCATAAATAATAGTGGCCTATGGTATAGAGGAGACTGGCATTCCTTTTGCCAACTTCTTGCGGCAGGATAAAGCTGGGATGGATAGGTTCAGCTTGTTCGTAGTGGGAATTGAAAGAAGGAGACTAGTTTGTGTGAGACCAGTTTGATATTTACTGTATTTAAGCCTCCTACGGCACTAGCTAATAGTATGAATGGTGCCTTGGCGTCTGATTGCGCGGGTGAAACAGTAGTATTGACAGAAATGAGGCACTAGACTCTTGGCTACATTCATTACCCTATCCGTAAATGAACTCCACTTCGCTAGAGACAGGATATCATGGCATGATCATGCATGAGAAACAATAATTTCCGAGTTATTGACGACACTAGCAGTGGTCAGAAGTCTATTGTTCTCTTTCTGCACCAAGTCATATATTGTGGCATTCTCCACCCCATGCCTCCGCCCCGCTGCCGCTGCAGTACATCCTGAAAACCGAACCTGGTCGAATCCAACGAAGGAACCGGCGAGCCGTTAGTATGAAAGCCTTCCACAACCCACTCTGCACTCCACCCTCTGATTGTAACGGTACTCTTAGGTGCAGCGACAGTCTGAGTTGCACTCTCCCCGGTGGACAGATCTCGAATTATACAAACGCCATCTTTACCATCCACGGTAACATTCACTGAAATAACAACCACATCGCCAGGATTGACGAGGATCTCGTCATAAAAGAGTGCAATATTAGGGTACCATTCGTACCATGGGTCTGCATAGGCTTCTCCATCCATGACATAGAAGTCCTCTCCTGATTGAAGGATGGCGCTGGTGTAGGGATCTCCATCAATTCCCACCCAGGCCGACGCTGCCTGGTAGTTGGAGGGTGGCCCATTTGCACTTCCTGTGGGTGTGGGCGTGGGGATGGTGATGGTGGCAGAAATATAGGAGTATGTTTCGTTGACTGAGGGGTTTTAAATTACTGCACCCGCTCAGTTGGTACTATATGCCCCTTCCAGAATACTTTCAGCTAATCTCTGACGAGCGAGCTGAAACCTGGATACTAATTCTGGTTTGTACTTTTGCAATGGCCTTGAGCTACGCTCTACCCTTAAGAGGACGTAGTCGTCGGCTGGAATCGGTCAGTGCTGCTGCCGAACAAGCAAATATCAGCATGCCGATAGATAGCAATTTCATTGTCTAACTACGATCTTAGACCGAGGGTGAAGACAAAAACAAAAAGTTCGGAGAGGGAAAGTGGTAGTAGCGAGAGAGCCTGTTGAGAGGGCAATTATCTGAACTAGTTAAATATACGCCGTAAGCTATCAACCAAAATCTCTGCGATTGGGTCAGACCTATCTATCCAGACTAAGGTGTACGGGGCAATATTCAATCAACTTGCTGGGCCTTGATGCATTTACAATAAAGTTTGCCATCTGTGGAGTGATAGAAGATCACCCCTGTATTGACTTTATACTATTGCAGGATGAAATGCACCATATTTTATGGGCCCCTTAGCTTGTTGGGTGCTCCCACCTGTATTCACGGTATTTTGTCTAACAGTCCCACAGCATCTGGGGGTGGTCGGTCACGTAACGCAATATTTTAGAATATTTACACCAAGACATTTTACTATACTAATTTTACAGGTGGGGGGTGATTGAGGAATTTGGCGGAGAGTACACTGTACCCACTATAGATATCATTTCCATTGTTTCCGATAATTTCTCCCTGCTTGAGATCAGGCCCCGTGCGAAGAAATAAAACTAACTACGCGCGTGGACGGTTAGCCTTACTACGGTTCTAACTTTTACTAATACGCTAGGGGTCTTAACAACTCAACCTGCATCGTACCATCTCACGCTCCTCAGTAAGAGTCATTACTAGCACGGATAGATTGGTAGTTGGTATCCATATTAGCCCAGTTGACCCTCGTATGGAGCGTAATATAGATGTATATGCTACCTTCCTAAACGAGGCATAGGGCAGAGCTCTATTCCCGGGACCAGTTGTATATCGAGTGATCTGATCCCTACACGAATTCCGTTACAGTGTTCTACACGAGAGTAATGGGATGAACCATGGAGTTTTATACTTCGAGTGCAACACCGGGCAATATCTATCTGGTCCACAACGCATACTCGAGTTTGCAGAACGACCTGAGGTCACGCTAGCAGTGGACTTGTACTGGGATAGGCCATGCGCCAGTGGAATTGGAGATAGGTATTCGTATGAGCCTTCTGGCGCTAGATAGTAGAAAAATCATTCGGAGCGTAGGAAGCCGAAGCCGGTGGTGGGTAGTGTCAGGTGCATACCTTCTACTAGTGCCTTAGAGCAGAAGACTCCGGGCAGTATCCACACAGTGATATATATAAAGCTCAACATTACTCACTCATGAACAGACTGTGTCGCCAACGTTGAATTTGAGCAGGGAAATAGACAATTACTATGATCTTGCTTCAGCTCCTATCCCCTGCCCTCCTGCTAGGCGTGGTTAATGCTGCCGCCATCGAGAAACGCTGGACCAACGGAGGCTCTTCCACCGGGACTACAGACCCGAATGTCTCCAGCAGCTGTACATACTGGGCCAACTCTATTATTACGGGTGATACATGTGCATCTTTAGTAGATTACTTTGGCATCACTATCGCCCAGTTGGTGAACTGGGTAAGCGAAGAGAACACCAATCCATTGACATTGCTAACCACAGACTTTAGAATCCATCCTTGTCATCAACTGACTGTAAGTTGACTGTGGGCTGGAGTTATTGTATAGAGGCTCCAGCCACCAAACCTATTACTTCCAAGAAGACTACCACCCACAGTGTAACGACCACTGCAGCAGGAACAACAAAAGCACCGACTATAATTGTGACAACAGCAACTGCAGCCTCAACCACCACGAATAATTCAGGAAATACCCCCTCGCCAACCCAGAGCGGCCTAATCTCTACCTGTAACGCCTTCTACAAGGTCCAGGTGAATGATATCTGCTACGACATAGCAAGCTATTATGGTAACTTTACATTGGATCAATTCTATGAATGGAATCCGTAAGGATTATCTACCACCTACCTATCTTACAAACATACCTATAGATACACGGTGCTAATTAATCCAATGCCCCAGTTCCGTCAAGTCCGACTGCTCAGGACTCCAGGCTGGCTATTACGTCTGCATTGGAGTCGCTGCGTCTTCTACCACCGTCGCAACAGCTGATCCTGCAACCACCACGGCGGCGACCACCACTACCCCAAACATCCCACAACAGTCTGGAATTGCAAAAGACTGTAATAAGTATTATTTTGTGAAGCGTGGTGACACCCGTCCCGAGATCGCTTCGGAGTATGGCATTGGTCTGTCTACATTCTACCGCTGGAACCCAGCTGTTGGTCCAGATTGCAGAACACTTATCTCTAGCTATTATGTTTGTGTTGGCGTCTCTGGTATGATTTTTTCCCCTTCTATACTATCCGAAAACAGTCGCAATAACCACTGAGTTCAGGTTCATTATCCCCAACCACCACCGCAACTGACTCCACAGGCCCATCTCCCACCCAAGACGGCATCACCCTAGACTGCGTTAAGTGCCATAAGGCTGTGGCCGGCGACAACTGCTGGTCCATTGTTCATGACAAATACACATACCTCACATCCGACCAGTTCTATGCCTGGAACCCTGCTGTGGGCAAATCATGCGCCCACCTACAGCTTGGATATTACTTCTGTGTCGCTACGAAGACGGCTCAGCCGATGCCGGACACCATTGGTACTTGCAAAAAGTGGCATAAAGTTGCCAAGGGTGATAGCTGTTGGACAATTGAGCAGAAATACTCCATTACTGTAAAGCAGTTTTGATCCTGGAATCCTTTCGTTGGCTCTTCTTGCAAGTCTCTTTGGCTGGGATACGATGTCTGTGTTGGGGCCTAGGTTGATTGGTACAGGAAGAATATCAATTACGGGATAAGCAAGATTTTAGAAAATAAGAGGGGGAATTAACTATAAAAATAGGGTGATGTTATATCTACTTCGCGGACCTCGCGCAACTAGCCTAACCGCCTTTGTATGTCATGTGACCTTACACCAACAGCTCTGTAATCCACTTTGCGTGACCTAAATCTTTCATTACTTTACATCTCCCTATCCCACACAAGGCAGAAACCTGAAAAATTACAAACATTAAGTACTTTGTAACTAGTTATTGTCGACAAGCATGGTAATATTGATTATTCAGCACCATTCTCGGTCACATGTTGTTGATGATAAACATCATCGGATCGCTTATATTTCCTATATTAGTTAGTTTACATTCTTTTGTTTACCTCGCCCTTTATAAACGCGAGATGTTTTGGCAGTTTAGTTGAATCAGAGACCTAATTCTATCGAGGATCGATACTTGCGGATACACGTATTTCTATGGTCGACAGTTATTAACTAGTTTTCATTCTAAGATGAGTACTACAAGCGATATTGCCTATATTGGTCAGAATAAGAGCTCAGATGTTAAAAATTTAGATGCATAGATCAGGTTTGCATTTATTACGTTTACCTTTAAAATTATAATCACTTGATAACCAGTTATTAATTACCTCTTAACTGCTTGTTAACTAGTTAGTAACTGGTTAAGTGTAAGGGGCTGGAGCCCGTTTACTGTCTCGGCCTCACAGTCTGTAGATAGTATAGCTCCGACCTCGCGTCGCTCTGTTTACGTGTTCTTCAAGCGATGTCTTCGTCAAAATGCAATACAGTTGTTGGCCTAGTCTCGTGCCGTGACAATATGCTCCAACATATTCACATGCCAGTGCTTTCTCCTAGGCATATACATAAATCATATATATGTCCCTTCAATCACATACGACCACAGGGTGTGGAAAACAGGGCTTCCCGTCCGCTCAGCCGTACTTAAGTCACACGCCGGCCGGTTAGTAGTTGGGTGGGTGACCACCAGCGAATCCCGGCTGTTGTATGTTTTTTGCCATCTGTTTTTGCTTCAGATGGATGGATGGATCACTGAACAGTGAGTGAGCGAGTGTGGGTAAGATATTTCGAGAATTAATCTGACGTCTTCGTGCTGATTTCGAGGAACTCTTGCGGGAGCACACTTCCCGTGAACAAATCCGAGTGAAGTTTATTAATCCGGTACAAATACGGAGACTCTATTCGTTGGACGTAGGCTCAGGGTAATGCTTTTTACAGGGAAGAATCACCAGGATGTGCGAATTGAGGCTTCAGTGTCAGGCATGGCTTTTACAGATGGTGGAGACGAGCAGCAGTATTTTAAACCTCTGTTTCGGCGGTTTGTTTAAGCAGCTAGTAGCTTAATCAAAAAGATTCCTAAATGTCAACTCCAGTTTTAAGAGAATTGGGCAGGGAGACATTTCGGTTAAGAAAAAGCCGAAAGTCGTAGTGAATTATTCGATATAAGCATGGTGGTTCTACTAGAGTTTTGCAATTTAACCATATATGAATTAACGTCTATGAATTGTGATTTTTATTTACGGATTAGACTTGCCAGTTAGACTTAATATGTTTCATTTTTATAGGCTGGTTAATATATTAGGGCGTTTACAGATTCAAATATCTTTTATAGCCTGCCAGGTTTGCATACTGCAGATCTAGCATTTTTGCCTTTAAAATTGCGTAACAGTCAAAAGGTCCAGATGTTGTATAAGGGGATTCAGCCTGCGATCGGCGCCCGAATCCATATATAAGCTATGATAAATTATAGCATCATGATCGCGAAATTTTATGGTTTTCTCTGCAATTCTTAGATTCTATACTTTGTAGGCATGTTCTCCTTGTTTTCTTGGGATCCATTATTTTTCCTCTATTTTTCAGAATTTCGACCCTTCCGCGAGCGATTCTATGTCATTATTTGTAAATTTGTGTGGATCTTGTAGGGGCCTCCTTAATCCGCTCGAATTCACCCTGAATGTAACCATACTCTATCACAGTGAGGTTAAGGTGGAGTTTGTGATAAAGGAGAGGCAGAAGTGACCTCTTCTACAGGCTACGTTGCTCCCTCCTATTGATTAAGATTGGGGCAATAAAACTAAGATACCAACCACACTTAATGACGCTGGTAAGAATAGCGGTACAAAGACTGTGTAGGCTTCAGACCCAACCACAATTCCGCCTATTAATGGCTACTTGCGGCAACAGTATACTTTGTCAGTTAGGCGGAAAAGTCCTTCATTATTCCCTCAAAGCTGTATTCCACAATCCTCTCATACCATGGGTGTCCTAAACATTTCCATGGTTTTCCTATTCAAGTTGCAAAAACAGGAAGACCTGATACCTATCAGAGAACCCTCAGTCGATCCCACTTCTCCATTGCCTGTCTATATCGGTCACGTGCCCTCTCGAGTCGCATTCGAGCTCGGGAATCCGCTTCATCCTCTCCGGCTACCGTGTTCAGCTCGCTGTCGTCGAGCTGGGCGAAGATGTCGGCGGAGACAGTGCGCATTGGGCATTTCGGGCCCAACACGTGTCGTTCGACCACCTGCATGGCAACGTTGTCCACAAATCGGTACACTGCGATATCGTGGTATGCGCTGAGTCTAGCCGCGACAAAGAGAACCTGGCTGAGCATGGTTGACACGAAACGTTGATTCTGGTGGTTTTCAGACGAAGCATCCCCTTTCCCCTCCTTCTCCACGGCCGGGTTGGTGGATGTTGGCTTGTTCCGTGTTGAGCCCCTGAGTAAAATCTGGTCGCGTTGCCAGTCTGCAGCTTTTGTCTGTTCTAGAAGAATAGGATTCGTCGTGATCAATGGACGAGATTGGTTGTCCTCTATGAGGGCTTGGAGGGCTAGGTCCGTATCCGTGTTCCACTCTTCCAGTCGTTTTCCTACAATGCGGCTCACCTCGAGACGCACTTTGCTGTTTGGTATGGCAATGCGAAGAAGGAGGTCATAGCAGTCCTTGACGCAGTCTTTGGCATCCTTAACAAAAGCCCTGGCGATGCGCTCCCAGTGGGATGAGAGTTTTCGAAAAATCTTTTCCTCCACGTCTGGGTGGACATTTCCTGGCAGGCTCCTACCTCGGCAAATCTCGGCTTCCTTATAAATTTCTGCGTATAGCCCTACATTTGCAGTTCTCAGCATTTCCTCCCAGGCCTGTGAATTGGGGCATTCCACGCTGAGATAGTGTAAATCATTCTCAAACTTGGTCGGGTAAATCGCCATATTTTTGATATCTACAATATCCGCGGCGAATTGATCTAGTCGGCGTTGGAGTTTGTAGCGAAGCATGATGTTCGGGTCGTTCGATGGGATATCTCGCTTTTCGCCGCGGAGGGTGGATTCGGCCATTTTCTGCATCTCGTTGCAAAATTGGAGAACGTAGTACCGCTGCGCCCGCGGGGTGTTTCGTGCTTCTCCAGATTTTTTGAGATCGTTCTCGCATTCTTGAAGCTTCTGCCGAATTTCGTCCACGATAAGGGGTATCCCTTTTTGCAGTTGGGTCCGACGCTCTTTGTCGACATAGTCCATCAAAGACTTGATGCCAGCTCGATCGTGAGCTACGCCTTCCCACGCTGATTTGCCGAACTCCTTCCTTTCCAGTTCATCTCGTTCTTTGTCGGAGACATTCATCTCTTTGGGCTGCCTGTTTCGGAGCCCAAACCAGCCATGATCGAGGTGCGGGACTGTCGGCAGATCATTCCGTAGTAGATTGACCATCTATGATTGTTAGCGAGGCGCAGATCGTATTGAGATTTATATGGAGGTATGGTATACCCATTGTTCAGAGCTTTCCTGCTTACAATCGCACTTCGTCAAGATCCCAATACAGCGGCTCTGCAACCCTGGTATTTGCTCGACCAACTCCAAGCTCTTGTGACGTTGGACGTCTACGTTGTCAACAACAACCCTGAACAAGGTCAGCTTCGACTTTTTCAATCAGCAAATGGTTGACACTCATACAGGACAATATTTCTCTCGTTTTCCAGGTACCGGCGAGCCAGGCCTTCTGCAGTGGCAACGTCCTGCGGCTTGCCCTTGCGGATCAAGCCAGGGAGGTCGACAATTGTCCAGTGCATCTCTTCGGTGCCGGAGCGCTCGATGCTTAGGGTAGTATCGCTAAGAGTGGTCTGCTTGGCCGGGGTCTGACCGGGGAAAATGCATTCCGTGGCCTGACTGTATGAGCTCCGAGAAATAACTGACCACCGACAGAATGCTCGTACCTCACGTATGATCTCTGCCATCACATCCTCAGTAAGCTCCTCCTTCTCGAAGCTAAAATTCGCGGCGCGGCTAACAAGTGCGTCATCTTTCTCCGACAATAGGCCGGGGATCAGCGTAACCTTAACGGTCGGTTTCTTGGAGGCCGGGGTCTGTCTGAACGAGATCCGAATCGGGAAACGCGTGCACATGGTGTCCTTGACCGGAAAGTTGATCTCGGTGATGGCTTGAAGTACGGAGCTCTTGCCAGTGTTTTGGTCGCCCAGCACGACCAGCTGATCGGCGATGTTAGAGAGATATGTTATTCCAGTCTGAAGGACCTACCTCGGGTAGCTCGACGTCGTTACTCAGACCCAACGCGTGCAGCTCGTCGATGAAAGCGAGCTGCTCCGAGCTCTCGCGCCCGATGAAGTGACGGATCCGCTTTCTCATAATATTGAATGTTGAGGCGCGCTCGAAACGTATAAAGATTGGAAGTTGTGTGATTTGCTCAACTGATATTCTGACCCAGTAACCACAATTTATATCTATCCAACTCCATCCGGGGATAGATTTAGCTGTGGAATGATCAGGGCAGTGCTACCATGACTATGTGGGGTCCCATATGCGATGCGGCGCAGTTGCATCGAAGGACCACCACTCTTGGCCATCCTGCGAGTCATGACAACTCCATTCCTATTCGATCTGCGAATGAAGCGTGTCGAGGCATGTGACGCGAATGAAGCGCTCCTTGTTGATCTAAAGAGTAGAGGATTTATTGTGGAGATTCTACGAGAACAGGAAGTCGGTCATTTCGACCGGGGGAAAAACAGCCCGATCAGAGCTGCAAGTCCATTTTAGCTGCATATCCTCCAATATTGTTTGCTATAAAAGACCTTTTAAACTTAGATACAGGCTCTGCTAACCGTGCCGTTGTACTTTTTTTAAATCAAGTCTCATAAAAACTGTTTGATAGGGTGACTACGTCCGCTTCAAGCCCGGAAGGTGCTTTAGGGTTAAGAAGTTAGGTACAATAAACATATTTTCATTATTGAAAGCCGTCAATAATGTTGGCCCTCGATTGCTGGCTGTTCTGTCTGATATACTGCTCTGTAGATAATGTGTTTAAACGTTCTGTGGTAGTGACTGCACCACCTATCGTTTCAAATGTGAGCTAACGGACTTGGGAGAAGGGGCCAGAGAGAGGAGCTTCTGATCATCTTCGCCTCGGGCCGAACTCGACATCGAATGAAATTGTGATCTAATGATGATCTACCAGGTGCATGTGGCTGGATTGTAAATTCCCGCGGAAGATGTTGTGGAAAACGCCGCTGTTTCGTGCGCTCATGAGCAACTGTTCAGTCAACTCCACCTGGTTACCAAAGTCTGTGAAGTCCCACGTTGAACGGGTTACGTCTGGGGAGGGCTGGGCGCAAATGCGTCGCGTTTTCTTTAAAAATCGCCCGGACCTGCCGACCGTTCAAACGCCTCGTCACCATACCGGAAGCTATTGAATACTAACAAAGAAAATCCTCCTCGTGCCCCACGCTCCCGCATCAATCATGAAGGCAAAAATCAGCACTAAGTCGGGCCGAAAACAGAAAGAGTAAGGCCCAAAATCTCCACATATAAAGGGTTCATGTGGTAAAAACTAGTGTCAGATAAACGTACAATGCTATACCTTTTTTAATATTCTCTGCATGGAAACTCCTGAACGGGGTCCTTTAGGTATAGATTAAATTAGATTGGTAAATACTATCTCTGAAATTTGGTACTTTTGATATAACTGAAAAACTTCTTCTATGAACACCTAAAATTATAAGAGTCTCAAAGGCTGAAATAGAAGGGAGTGTCGGGTGGAACAGAGGGATCAATCAGTAGAGCAATAGGAATGGCATTCAACGATACTCCAAATTAGGATCAGATAGATACGGAAGCTGAAGCCTGAGTTCCTTCCTCAAGCTGGGAGAACGCTCGTATATGCGATGGACAAAACAGAGGTAGAAAAAAGCAATGTGAGTCTTAAGACCTTTCCACGTCATCCCATTGCAGATCAACAAGATAGGTGAGGGTAGGGAATCGTATTACAAGGCTATAAATAATGAGTTATGAATACAATATATATTTCAGAATCCCAGAATCAGCACCGTGCTTATTTTAAATTTACAATCCTGGATCTGTAAAACAATTAAGTGGATAAAATAATATGTGCCTTTAATCGTCACGAGAAAATATGTTATTTTTCGCTCTATCACGTAGTAACTATATGTGATCTGAACAACCAGATTATAATAAAGTTGAAAAAAAAATAAATTGCTTATAGGTAACTTGAATTAGTCAACAGAATAATAAAGCTAACTAAAACCCCACAACAGCAAAAAAAAAAAAAAAAAAAAAAGGGAAAGAAAGGACAGCAACTAGAATGGGCTGGCTGCAGCCACTCAGTCATCGAGTAACCGTCCGTGGGGAGATTAGCTGATAGTGTAGCGTACATAGATACAGCCTTTAGGCCAGACCTGTCATGAGGTCATTTCTATTCGTCTTATATAGCGCGATCCCTGCCTTGGCTGCACCACATAAGCATCTTACGTCTTGGTCATATTATGCACGTTGATATAATGGACATCTAGGAATAGAGTTGTAAGACCGCTTGTTTCGTCTTCCTACATGTGCCAGAATGAAAATGGGTTTTTCTTGCCTCCTGGTTGGGGATGATCGTTGTTATCTACTGGTCGGACGAGATGAAAAAAAGAAACGGTCAGATCGGGGTTGCTTGACTATTATTAGTCAAACTGCATCAACAAAAGAAGTTGTACAGCAACCCAGTTATGGAGATAACCGTATATCATACGGTATTCCCAGAGGTAGGGATGACCTCTTAAACTTTGGACAGCGCCATCCGTGGGACTGATTGCTGTGAGCAGAAAATCCCCCTTCAATGCAGTATCAACGCGCAAGAATAATATCCACTACTCTTTCTAAAGGCTGACATTGGATCAGTAGCCGGATCCAAAAACATACCATTACCGAAATAAGTCTCTGAGAGCTGCAGTGCGGTAACCCTTCAGCATGGATACAGTTCCCGTTTACCGGGATAGTCAGTGACTGGATAACGACTTGTGCCAGCTTGTCGAGCAAGCGAAGACCAAGTCTGACAGGTGCAACTGTATGGAGGTTGATTTATCGGCAAACACTCCATGGCGGCCTGATAGCGCTGAAGGGACAATCTTCAATGGCCAAAGGCCAGATCTTGGACGAAGTGATCGAGTACTGCGGGTCCGTGATCATTGCGCCGCAGGATAGGGCTCGGAGAGCGCAGTCGGTGTGGATGCACTCGTGTTCGGACGTGCATAAAGAGCTGATGAAGAGGTTCAGACCGGAATGATTGACGCGGCACGTGCTAGGTGCCAATCCATTATCAACAACCGCTTCAGTGGCGGCAGACTGGGTGTCATTCATGTTAATAGGAAAGCAAGTTTCCAATGGCGTCGATGACCAGGGCCGTCTGGATGCGAACGTCACGCAGCGTCACGCTGTCGATGAAGGCGGCCTCGGCGTCGAATACTTGGTTCAACGCCTCAATGGCCAGACTCATGTGGCCGGCAGCAGGGAAGATGGCGGCGCCGTCCAGCTGACAGGGTTAGCGAAGGACTAGGAGATGAAGGACAGAGAGGGGGAAAGAAAGAAGTACATACTTTGTGAGCTGACCGCGGAAATTGCCGGAACCTCGATTGCCAGACTTGCGATGGGAACCAGTGATTCTTACACCGAGGAATACTATAGCCAAGAATAGATTACTTGAAGGACTTCACTGAGTTTTGCTTTTGTGGCAACAATCCTCCAAAGGCGAGCTTAGTAACGGCAAACGTAAAGATGGGCTCCGATTGTGACATTAGAACTAGATGTCACATTCCATAGTAGGCCCATTCAAAATTACCCTGCGGAAACATATTCCAAGAATAGAATAATTAATTTACATCAAACTCTCTCCACAGGTCATAAAGTGCCCTATAATCTGTAACATACCGGTTTCCATGGTACGTGGAACTGAACAATTGCGGAAGGTTTCCGGACACACTACATCTCTGGTTCTTGGGTCCATGGAAATCCTATGACTAGTCCATGACATCAAACAATGTCTAATTGTATAACGAGAGTACTGTCGGAAACGGCTGTTTCTGAAAATGGCAACAAATAGTCAATGTATTGTCGCCCGTGATCTGTTATTCCGAGGTTGCTCAAAAGTAACAGACCAGCCTAACATATAGTAGAGTTTACCACCAGTTTATAGGAAGGCTCTAACTGTGTCTTTATTATACAGATGTAGTCTAGAAGCCACCTGAGTAACAATGTTTATTGAAATAAAGCGTCCCTCTGAGGTCTAGACTTAGATAAAGTGGTTAGTCTCTAAATTCGTCTATATCATGGATCTGGCTCCATTTACATTTGCGCCAGTGACATCATTGGGAAGATCATCATGACGCCTAATACACTATCCATATAGTGTTGCAGACAATGTTGGAGTAAAAAGGTCAATATGATTTGGAGAACTGTATGCTTGATGTGTGTCATAGACATGCTGCGCTAAAGTCCCGATGGTTCCGGGTGGTAGTACTTCAATCCATCCATCCACTGGGATCTATATAATGGAGCAAGATTCGCTAAGTATACCAGTACTTTATATCTCAACACCTACGATCTTGTACTTAGAAGACGATCTCGAACCTCTCAACTAAGCACTTTGTTCCCCATAGTTCCCCATATCACCGAGCATCTACATAATACATCATGCCACAAGTTGAAGACGGGCCATATGGTGGCTTTGGAGGTAGCTACTACAATGCAGAAAATGGACAACGCAAAATAAAGAGAATTGACGCCTGGGGACGGAGCTGGGATGGCTATGATGTCGTTAATGGATTACAATTCACCTGGGATGATGGCTATCAGGGCCCGCTTGTCGGCCACAAGAACCCCAATATTTATAGACCGTTCGAGTTCGACCGGGATGAAATTATAACTTCCATGACCATCCGCGCAGGAGACAATGTAGGATATGTCGACGGGATCGAGTTTGACACAAACCAGAACCGCCACTATGAAGTTGGTGGAAAGGGAGGTAAAGCAAACGTACTCCGAGGAAGGCTCCTTGGGAATGGTGAATGGACTCGAGCTGAAGGCAGAGATCCGATTCACGGTGCCGGGGAAGTTCTGGATAACATCAAGGTATTCTTCAACACTTAAAAAAGGTATGGTTAATGCAAGCATGGCGAATGTCATTGTCGATCACATAAAGGCTGACAAATGTAGGCTGCGCAGCTATGGTCGTTCAGATGGTCTAGCAGCTGTGGTGACTCCGGTTTACGGCTTTCACATTTCCTTGTTCTATCAAAATTGGAGAAGCTGGGATCCTGGTCATGTCATTAGTATTAAGGAAGGAAATGAGTTTGGTGGCTCGTACTCACATTCCTTTGTATAGGTTTTTGCCAGTGTACTTGGTTTTCCCAGACTGTCATGAGAATACAAAAGCATCTTAAGTACTGTACTATTTGTAATATTTTCGCTCCAAATTAAGCCCAGTTGAAGCGATAGGTGTGTATACAAAGGCGTTCAACGTAATGGATATCTGTCGAGTGGCACAGATATTAAGGCCTCTACATACTATAATATTCTATGCAAGATACATGTGTCTTACGGTGCCCTTTTTATATTATTATTTTTGTTTAAGGTTGAGTTTTTACCGTGAACTATGTAAGAAAGATTCTACTTGGACGTTCGGCATCGCAACTCGTCATTTGATAGCCGACGGTAACAGTAAAAATCTTACTCCATTAGGTTGTCATCTCCATGTCGGTATAGTACTCGACTATGATGGCTGATTGGACCTTACGAAGCTAGTTTGGTAAGACTTTTGCCCATAGCAGGTGCTTCTGTCAGCAGAGGCTCTACTCAAAGCAGAAGCTACAGTCGAATAGGCATAGGAATTTATATATACTCTCTTACTATCTTTTTAATTAGATAATTGATTGTCCAATTGCTTAATATTATAGGGTATTTTGGTGCTGAATTAGTAGATCAGTGACCGACGGGTGAATAGACATTAGCCAATTGTCTATTCCAACACCTAACCATTACGAAGTGCGTTTTTAAACCTTCCATCCATATTTCTCCACTCATGAGCAGTAAATTTGGTTAATCTTAGAGATAAGCGTACATACCATTCGAATTCAGAGCATTTAAGCTATTATCGAAATCGGCTTGACTAGTAAACATTGTTAAGCTAGATTCAGGTCACACTGCCAAGGTATAAGTGCACTGAAAATATTCAGAACGGTCACTATGATCCTCTGTCCCGGCCGCTCCCCAAGTTTCCCCATGGTTGTATTTCGCGGCTGAAAGGTGACATGTAGGAATAAGAAAAGCATGCTTGGATGACCAAAGCAGGAACCAGAGCGGAGGAGGAATTCCCTAATAAGGTAGCCGATGAAAACATCGTCATTAACCAATAGGGAAGCTCACGCTCTTCATCTTCTTCGGTCCTGGGGGGTGGGGGGGTATATCCTTCCCCTGCGTGAAGATGAGCCAGGAAGACCTCGGTATCATAGAGAATACGAGACGAGCAGTAATTGCATGAGAGGCGCATTGTATACGCGGATAAATGGTTGAAGCTCGACAGAGAAACAAGAACTAGATATTATTAAGCACCTAAATTAGTATATAGTCTGTAGAATAATCACATAAATCAAGATAACTTTCTAATCTTAGGCTGCCCAGCATATCAGGCAGCTCAGCATCTATACAACTAAGGCACGTCCTACCTGCCAGCTAAGCGTATCACGAATCTGATTAGCTATATAGCATGCTGAGCTCGATTTCTGGACGGTTTTCGATTTGCGCCTTTTTGGCAGTGACGTAGTGGTAAAGCTCAGCACTACCAACTAAAAAGGGCAAAACTGAGGAGGAACAAAACAATTCCCTTTGATTGTGTCGAACAACAGGAAAAGATCTAGCACTTAAATTAGCATAATTACAATCTTGATGACTTAGACTCAGTCGTTGATTTTTATCTCTCCTTATTATTGCGTTGTTGAGTCCCGCAGCGCGAGACCGCTTCTGACGCACTCGTTTTATCGCAACAGTAGGTACATGATTTGAGGTTTTTGCTTTCTACTTCATTTCCAATGCATATTGTCCTTCCACAGCCACACACATACTGCGATCGTATCCGGATAGTGGCCCAGCATTATATATAATCGCCAAAAGAAGCCACCATTTTTTTATTCTGTGGTGGAGATCATTTCCCCAGGACTATGTCGCTTTTAGAATTTCCGCGTGAACTAATTGATCTTGTAATCCGCCACCTTCCACCTCATTCAGCTCCAAACCCTCAAGCAGCCTTTCATGTCTCCCCCATAAGCAAGTGAAAAGAGGTACAAGGACTATGATCGTTAATCTTTGAAAAGAGGACTGGCTTCGCAAGTTAACAGATCTGGACGGGCAATCCTGCCCTAATTGGTGCTCATTTTAGAGACGTACATATCGTTGGAAAGCATAATGGAATTGCACAAAATTATATGGTACTCAGGTTCTAGGGATTATGATGTTACCGCACAATCAATTGGACAACTCTTACTTGATTGCTTAAGAAGGGCTATAAGGTTTGCGAAAAGATATGAGGACTATATCGAGATTAAAGTCGGGACACGTCACAGTGGATGTGTCCTACCGTTGCGAGGATGTGGGTGGTTCGAGATTAAAGCAAGGCGCATCAGGCAGTTATTCTTCCATGAGAACAAGAGCCTCCACTCATAATATTGTTTCTTCAATGACAGCATAATCAAAGACCCAGGGGCTGTTAGGCAAGTCAGAGTCACAATGGCAACGAAACAAGGCTTCGGTCAAGATGTGATTTGGACCCTTTCGCATGCAAGTGGGAAAATAAAAGTTCTTGTCCTCGTAAACAAAGGTGATGCGTGCTGTCGCACGCGAAGCCCCTTGAGTTGTTTATATTGAATGAAATTTATATTATAGTTCACTTCTGAAAACAGGCTGATTCCCATCGCCGACACATCATTTATACCAGAATGGAATCACAATGGAGATAAACTTCTCCCTTATGGCAAGGAGACGGGGAAATAGTACAATTCAAGGCCTGAATGCAAGGCTGCACGAGTACGATGTAACTAGACACACATAAGCATAGATATAGTTACTTATAACTCTCCGCCTTCCAACAACAACCGCTGAAGACCTATTGATGTATAGTCAACGACATCCTATTCTGTAGCCATACCATTGCCACTGAGAAGCATATTATATGCCTCCCCAATCGAACAGGCGAGTCGAGGCGGTCATGTCTAGTTTGTTTCCCCAGTACTCCACGCCATCCACGGCATATTGATCCGGTAAATATCCAGATATATTAAAGTACCTTCGGAGACATTCCTTTTTTAACACTTTACCTGAGGCCGTTAAAAGAACCTGTTCCTTATTTTTGAGAATCCGTAAAAGTGTAGGGAGTTTGTATGAAACCATGTTGGCAGCAGCGAGGTCTTCACGGATTCTCCGAAGGTTAAACTGATGTCTTTCTTCACCAGTATTCGGTTTTTGGATTCGAACAAGTGCGGCTACCAATCCACCTGCCTCATAATCTGCAACGGGAAGAACATAAGCTTCAGAGACATATGGAAGATCCATCAAACACTGCTCAAGCTCTAGGACAGAAATCGTGTACTCATGGAACCGGACCCCTTGCGTTTGTCAACCTCTGATAAGTCCCAGTATAGGAGATTAAACGCACAGTCGCATGAGACCCTACCATCAAAGAAATAGCTTTCCCCGACACGGTGGGCATAGTCACCGGTTTTGTAGAACCCTTCAGAATCAAATGCGGCCCGTGTGGCTGCATCGTCGTTGATATATCTTTGTCTAGCGCGTAAGCAAGCTCCTATGTAGAAATAATACGAAAATAGAGCTCCCTTACTGAATGAATGCTTTGGGGTTTTTGACTAAGATTTCTCCATGGTCACCGTTAGAAAGCTTGACTATCACCCCTGGAAAGGGTGTACCAATAGAACCCTAGATAACAATTAGAAAGAAATCCAGGGGAGTTGATTAGAGTCAGGCACACACGTCCACAAAGTTAGAACCAGCTGGCGTGGCCATTACAGCTCCGCCCATTTCAGTTGACCCGTATCCATTTCTGATAGGAACGTTTATTAGATCTGTAAAGAACTTTCGGGTGATAGGGCTAAGCACAGAACCACCTGTCCAGAGCGTTTGCAAGTTTTGAGCCCCTCTAATATATTTTTCACTATAACGGTGTGGAAGGTTTTGAATATTTTCCTTGTAGTATTCCATTAATGCTCTCAAAAGAGTTGGCGACACGCTCATTCTCGTCACTTTTCCCTTCGCCAAGATTTCCCAAAACCTCACAGGCTCAGCTTGGCTCTTCATAATACGGAGTCTCTCCCCATTCAGTACACTGTATAAGAGACCCTCTGCACCACTTATCCAATGTATGGAAGTTGAAGACAGATACAGATCGGCTGGATTACAGACAGTACCCTCCTTGTAATAGAATAACTGGCGGGGCAACAAAACACCCTTCGGTTGGCAGGTTGTCCCAGATGTAAAGAGAACCAGACATCCAATCGTTGGGGAGAATGTCAGCTCATCATCTATTTGCAATATAGGGTGGTTATTTGAGCCAGAGTCTGCCCTCGTGACTAAAACTATGTTCAATTTTTGATCAGCCTGGGCCCGGGCATAATCTTTAATCTCCACCGCTTTGTCAAAGGTGCTGGCTTCTACCAAGACACAGGTTGCATTGCACTTATTCAAGTAGTATAAAGCTTCTTCTGGAAGAAGACTTGTCGCCGCTATGAGTGACTTGTTAGTATTCTGGAAAACCATATTCTTCTTGGCTTACCCAATGGCACACATATGCCTCCCAGGGCAGCAATAGCCAGAAAGCTTGTAATGAAGTTGTATCCGCTGAGTCCTAGATAGCCGATAGACGTAGCATGCTGTTGTAACAAGCCCTTCTCATTTAATGAACCATTGGAAAGCTGCTCTCGCAGTACCTGGCGCAAATGAGTGATATCGCTGATCAAGTTGTTATAGCTTGCCTTGATACCATAATCATCTTGGAATACCTCACCACGTCTCTCTACAGAGAACCGGCGAAGTCGAGTGAATATAGGATCATTTGGAAAAGCCTGGTGTGTAGATTGTATGTGGTGTTTCCAATCAGCCATTTGCGTGTACACCGTCAATTGAAGCAGAAATAAGACGCCAGGGTAACTAGCCAATACTGGTGGACTAGGAAAGATGGCATATATATAGCAGGCAGGGATCGTATTCCTTATGTACGTTCCCGAGATCGCTCACCATAACTCCGCCAGTGGCAATAGTTCAAATTCGCAACAAATGTGACCCTACCTACCGTATCGGATGATTGACTGTAGCGTGAATGCTACTGCAACACTTTACATCAGCGGCGGTTCTTTTACTGTACAATTCAGCCACAGACACAAGTTAGGATCAATTGAAATTAATTGCGACAACTGATGTGGAACCACAGATGCCAATAAAATCTCCCTCGCACCACAGATGATTATTTTTCCGCATTCGTAATCAGTGCTGTAACGGGTAGGTCGCTTTGAAGTTCTCCAAATATCAAAGTACCAAGTATGATAAATTATTAGGCTAGTTAATGGAATTGAACGCTAAGGTCTGTACTGACATGAATACGGCATAGCTAGAAAGTAAGTGGTGATTCATGATTGAAATAAGGGTGGGTCCTTGGATACAGTACTGACATGAATGCAGTATGGTTACATTGCAAGTGGTAATCCTTAACGGAAATAGAAGCGGCTCTCTGCGACAGTATTAATATAAATATGGCATGTATAGGGCATCTGCCGATGCCGAACCCTCAGACAAGACTGACAAAGTTGGGTGGCATGAGTGGTACTGGTGCAGTGCTTGCTAACGCCAGTGATTGTGTTTAATACTTGTACATCTAACCTACAGCACTCTAATCACTCTAATTGCTCTAATCGGAGCTCAATATCTGGCAACAGATTTCCACCATGGAGTCGGTACCGGGAGTATCGGACTTCGACATGGTGACAGAATCGAATCGATTTATCCAAAAACCAATAGCCGTACTTGGCATGGCTTGCCGGCTACCGGGACATAGTAATTCACCTAGGAAGCTGTGGGAGTTTCTGATGCGAGGAGAGGTAGCATGGACGGAGGTCCCCAAATCGCGATTTAATATCAAGGCCTTCTACGATGGGTCTGACAAACCGGGGACATTAAGATCTTCGGGAGCGATGTTCATGGAATCAGTAAACCCAGCAGTGTTCGATGCATCATTCTTTAATATTTCACCACAGGAAGCAATTTCAATGGATCCACAGCAGAGAATATTGCTCGAGGTTATTTATGAAGGACTGGAACATGCGGGGCTTGCGTTGGAGTCGTTGGCAGGGGAGAAATATGGGTGCTTCGTGGGAGGATATACTGGAGGTTTGGACTCTTTCTTTATCCTCCAGTTGCATGGCGCTCATTCACACTGATCTAGATCATCGGGAACTACTCGCACGCGATCCGGATTCTTCGCCAAGCAATGTGGGCATTGGCTGTTCAGGGGCGATGCTGAGCAATCGGATCAGTCACTTCCTCGATATAAAAGGCCCCAGGTAGCTCATGCCTTTTCCTGCGAGCTCCTACTTTACTGACATTTTCCTAGTATGCCAGTTGATACGGCCTGCTCCAGCTCTATAGTGGCATTGGAAATCGCATGTAAATTCCTTCACACAGGTGAAATCAATGGTGCCATCGTAGCTGCTTCGAACCTAGTCCTGGAGTAAGTGAATATTATCCCATCGCCGAAAAGTATCATTTGCTCATAAAAGCCCAGCCCTGGGTATGGATGCGATTGTATGTGGATTCGAATCACGTCTTCCCTTGGCCTGCTGCTCACTTAATATAGCCGGGCCTATCAAAAACACACATTCACCAACCGGACGGTGTCATACATTCGATGCCAAAGCCGACGGATACGTCAAAGCGGAGGGCATCAGCGCCGTAATCCTAAAGCGTTTCGACGATGCTATTCAAGATGGCGATCCAATCCGAGCTGTTATTCGGGGAACCGCCAGCAATCACAATGGCCGTACTCCGGGAATCGCCTCGCCCAGTGCTGAAGCGCAGGCAGCTGCTATCCAAATGGCATACTCAAATGCTAACATTACGGACTATTCCCTCACTGGGTACCTGGAATGCCATGGAACAGGAACATTGGCGGGAGATCCGGTCGAAGCGAGGGGCATTTCATCGGTCTTTTCGGCCTCTCGACCATTCGATAAGCCGCTACATATTGGCTCAGTATGACGAAGCTCTCACCTGATTTCAGTTACTGACATGTGTTGCAGATTAAAAGCAACATAGGGCATTCAGAGACTGCGGCAGGGCTATCTGGCCTGATAAAAGCTATCATGGTCCTGGAAACTGGACAGATTCCGGGGAACCCGACATTCGAAAACCCGAGCCCTAAAAGTAAGTGCTGATTTACTCAAAAGGCTGTCTTCGGTTACACTAATGATAGTCAGTTGACTTCCAAGCGCTCAGGTTAAAGGTTCAGAAGAATGCGATACCCTTTCCCAACATGCCCTTTCGGCGGGTAGGGGTCAACAACTTCGGCTTCGGCGGCAGCAATTCGCATGTTATCTTAGAAGAGCCGAAAGCATTGATTGACGGCTACCGCCCAGTGCATACTAGTTCTTATGACCCTGCGGTTGAAAATAGTATACCAGCCGATGATCATAACTGTCACCAGTCCTATATACTCTGCTTTTCAGCGAACGACGAAAGGTCTCTCAAGAGATATATTGAAAGGATTTCCCAGCACTTCGGTGATCCCAATGTTCACGCCAAGCTGCGGGACGTAGCGTATACTTTGAATATGCGCAGAAGCCATCTCTTCCACAGAGGGTACCTTATCACCAAGCAGTCACATAATCTCAACTTTGCGTCTGTCGTGTATGGGAAGAGAAACATCTATCCTCCAAGATTGGGATTTGTGTTCACTGGACAAGGAGCGCAATGGCCAGAAATGGGCCGAGAGCTTCTTGAAGCGTTTCCTGCAGCGAGGATGTGCGTTGAAAATTTAGATATCATCCTTCAAGCCCTCCCAGATCCGCCGAGTTGGTCCTTGTACGACGAATTAATTCAGCCTCGCACGCCCGAACATACTCGCAAACCTGAGTTTAGTCAGCCACTAGTCACAGCCTTACAGATGGCTCTTATCGTAGTACTCGGAAGCTGGCGCATCTCACCTAAGAGCGTTGTCGGTCACTCGTCTGGAGAGATTGCTGCAGCGTATGCTGCTGGCTACGTTACTGACGCAGAAGCTATAATTATTGCATACCACCGCGGCCTAGCCGCCCACGAGGGACGACAGAATGACAGTGCTCCTCTAGGAATGCTTGCTGTGGGCTTAGGCGCAGAGAAAATTTTGCCCTATCTTTCTGAATTTGGAGAGGTACAGATCGCTTGTTACAATAGTCCCACCAGCGTGACTTTGTCAGGTGTAGCCAGTGCACTGGAGCAACTTAAAGAGAGACTTACCAAGGACGGTGTCTTCGCTCGTATGCTACAAGTAGACCTGGCATATCATTCCAACTATATGCATGACATTGGCGAAGTTTATGAGAGGCTGTTAAGTCGTGACCTTCCCTCACAATCTCGCCAATTCCCCGCATCGAATTCCGTGACAATGGTCTCATCGGTGACTGGCTGCAAACAAGAAACACCTCCAGATATCACGTACTGGAAAACAAACATGACCTCTCCGGTGCGCTTCGCGGACGCTATTCGTACCATGTTATCTACGAAAGACTCGGTAGACTTCTTGATCGAGATTGGCCCAAGCGGGGCTCTCAAAGGCCCCATTTCTCAAATTCAGAGCAACCTCTGCGGTGCAGCAACCAGTACCACGTACCATGCTGCGCTGCATCGGGACGCAGCCTCCACTCATTCAACTCTTGCTATTGCGGGTGAACTATTTCTTGCCGGCCTACCGATAAACCTTGAGAAAGTGAACGAGGACACGCAGCACTCTCCGCCATTGGTAGTCATTGATCTGCCAAATTATTGCTGGAACCACTCAACACAATACTGGCATGAGAGCCAAGCAAGTAAGGACTGGCGCTTTAAGCCATTCACTCACCATGACCTGATCGGAAGTAAGATCCTTGGAACACCGTGGTCTAATCCAACATTCAAGAAAACCTTGAATCTCGCCCATCTCCCATGGCTTCGTGACCATAAAATTGGTTCAGACGTTGTCTTCCCTGCGTCCGGATACATCGCAATGGCTGTTGAGGCAATGTATCAGGTAAGTTGCATGCAGCAACCGGATATTGCCGCCACCTCCCACGAACTGGGATACCGGTTACGCAATATACGCTTCGATATAGCATTAGTCCTGGATGACGAGGTAGACTCAGTCATCTATCTGGCGATGAACCCTTCCTCTGGAGCAAACCGAACCTGGTACGAGTTCACTGTATCGTCCTCACGAGAAAACGTTACTACGACGCACGCTAGCGGAATGATCTGCCTTCAAGAGCCTATCATGGATCATGCTTCCGAGACAGATATTACTCCTCTACAGCACTCATCTCCGGGGCATCTATGGACAAAGGCCTGCGCGGAGCTCGGATACAATTATGGGCCAGCGTTCCATATTTTGGAACAAGTCGAAGCACGCGCTGGGAAACGGTATGCTCGCTCCCTTATTACACTAACCGATCCTCCTTCAGCCTATGAACCCCAGTCTTCGTATCCCTTTCATCCCGCAGCGCTGGACGGTGCCTTCCGAGCTACTATGCCTAGCTTTTTTGCGGACAGTAGTAAGGTGTGTGAGGTTCTCATTCCGGCTATGGTGGACGACATGGTCATCAATCCTAATCAAGCTCGACATCACGTCGGTATGGCAGTAGCCTCGTGCAAGTATTCTGGGCGCGGGCGTAAGGATACTGGGAAAAGCTACTTAGGAAACGTTTCTGTCTACGATCCAACCAGTGGTGCCCTGCTCATCCGGGTGACAGGGTTATCCAATCACCAAATTGATCTTGGGATTGACCCTTTGTCTCGACACACTCTGACACAGGATATAATAAAGCCAGACATCAGCACACTGAGCCAGGAGTCAATAAACAAGCTCAGTTATGGTCATCGCGAGATGATCCCACTATTGCTAGAGTTAGCCGTACACAAGAAACCCTCCCTGAAAGTACTCGAGGTCGACCTTGACTCAGGTGGCCTGTATAGTCTTTGGCTCGAATTTCTGCAAGTTTCTGGTGCAGCTCACCAACAATACTGCTTCAAGGCGCTCGATGAAGTACTTATTACCGATATTAAGGGCTTATATGAGGACAAAACAAATTGTTCTTTTGGCGTCATCGATCGTGAGGGCAGCCGATTAGGCTTTGCGGAGGAGGACATATTCGACCTGGTCATCCTCAAAGGCATCTCACCGTTGACTAATAAGTCATCGTTGGTTGTAGATGCTGTAAGGGGCCTGGTATCACCCGACGGACACGTTATAGTGATTGACCATTCGGCTCCTGGCCGCGTTATCGCCCCCAGATATTCTTTAGGGGGCAAGATTAAAGAGCTCGCGTTTTCAAAAGTTCTATCAGTTCCACATCAGCAGAGCAAGGTCCTCTTATGTTCCCCCTCTGGTGGTCTATCAGCGACAGAGAAGGAACTCCATGTGGTTTATTTCGAAGAGACCACCCGTTTTCCACTTGTAACTCAGAAATACCTGGAACAAAAAGGATGGCACGTCATTGAACATAAATGTCCTAGCGAAGATGTTCCAGCAGGGGCCACAGTTCTCATTATCGACGAGAAATTTGAACCAGTATTAACGCACGTCTCCAAAGTACAGTGGCTTTGTCTTCGTCGGCTAGTCACCCGCAGTTGTAAGCTTCTCTGGGTAACGCAAGGCGGCCAGATGTCAGCACCTAAACCTGACAACGCCCTTGTTGTTGGATTATTACGATCCATTCGCTCTGAGGATCCCAACGCGACTGCGATGACCTTAGATATGCACAGTCTCGATGATTCACACCTGGCGCATTGTATAGCTGTGGTTCTGGGGCAACTTCAGCGTCCGCAAGACAGGTGGATTTCTGACAGCGAGTACGTTGAATACAACGGCATCCTGCACGTCCACCGTATCGTCCCGTACTGCCCTTTGAACCATGAAGTTAAATCTTGGATGAAGGAACCCGTTATAAAATGTCTGTCGAGCAACGAAGCCATGACGCAACTTAGGGCTGAAAAAATAGGCACGTTGGACGGATTACACTTTGCTGAAGTGTCAAACGATCCTCCTCCGGAAGGCCATGTGGAAATTGAGGTCAAGGCAGTCGGATTGAATTTCAAAGATGTGGCAGTCGCCATGGGCATAGTACCAGAAAACGAATATTTACTGGGCCTGGAGGGCTCTGGAATTATTCGTCGTGTTTCAGCGCACGTCGATCACAGCATAATAGACAACCGAGTGGTGTTCATGGCTAAAGGGGCAGTGGCCAACCGCATCCACGTTCCCTTGGAATTCACACACACTATTCCTGATGTAATGTCCTACGAAGAGGCAGCTACCATACCGGTTGTATTCTGTACTGCTCTTTACGCCTTGTGTGATATGGGTAATCTCCGTCGTGGCCAAACTGTGCTTATCCACTCTGCCGCCGGCGGTGTGGGCATTGCCTGCATACAGCTGGCCCAGTATATTGGCGCAGACATTTACGTGACAGTTAGCACAGAAGAGAAGCGCTCGTTTCTACACAAAACATTTGGAATCCCATATGAGCACATGTCCTCATCGCGATGCCCGAAATTCGCAGCCGAGATTATGAAAGCCACAAATGGCAAGGGCATCGACGTTATTGTAAACTCCCTCACGGGTGACCTGCTAGATGCCACCTGGCGGATCTGCTCAGATGGTGGAATTATGGTTGAACTTGGCAAAAGAGACATTGTCCAGCGCAATTACCTATCTATGGAGCCTTTCGATCGAGGCTGTTCATTTCGCGCAGTGGACCTCTCACATGGGGAGTTGCTACAGAAAGTGCCAGGGTAAGTTTGCCGACAGCCAAATCGTTGCTCTCAAGCTAATAAGTGTTTCCAGCCTCCTAAAGCGCATCTTCGCACTTCAAGCCGAAAATCACATCCGGCCTATCGCCCCAATTACAACCTTCTCCATGACCCAGACCCCAGAAGCTTTCGCGTATATACGCAGTGGCCGCCACATAGGCAAAGTTGTTATCCGCGATGAAGTCGAAATGGCAGAACAGAAAGTACCTATGCGATCTCTACGCAAAGACCTCTCCTTCCATGATGGATTGGCATATTTTATTGTCGGTGGGCTCAAGGGCCTCTGTGGCAGCCTGGCCAAGCATTTGGCGCACCGCGGAGCCCGACATTTGGTCGTCATGTCCCGCAGCGGATGCACCGACAGTCGCTCGCAGAAGGTCATGGCACATTGCCAATCGCTTGGGTGCGAAGTACATATCTGCCGCGGCGATGTGTCGCGCATTCTCGACGTCCGACGGGCATTTATGACGGCTCCTGCCCCTATCGGAGGCATCGTGCAAGGAGTGATGGCACTTCGGGACCGGCCTTACGAAATGATGACGGTCGAGGAATATCACCAGTCTATCGAGGGGAAGGTGCAAGGTACTTGGAATCTTCACCATGTATCGGTGGAAAATGGACGTCGTCTTGATTTCTTCCTGCTGCTGTCCAGTATCTCCAGCGTAGTCGGAAGCCCAGGCCAAGCCAACTACTCGGCCGCAAACAGCTTCTTGGATTCCTTTGCGGTGTATCGCCGATCGATGGGTCTCGCTGCTCAAACAGTTAATCTAGGCGTGGTGGAAGACGTGGGTGCTGTCGCCGAGTCGCAGGACTTGTTGCAACGCCATCAGGCGTCCAACGAATTGATTGGCATACCTGATCGTGTGCTGCATTGTATATTGGACTGTTCTCTCCGGCACCAATACCTCACGACACTCACTTCGGACTCCCACCATCCAAAACATAAGCGTCCATGCCGTCTAATTACAGGACTAAAGGTCCCCCAAGATCCCGCAAAATCCGGCCTTCGATTTGACCCGCGCTTCCAAGGGCTGTTCATCGCCAATGACGTGTCATCCGACTCCGAAACAGGAAGAAACGGCACCGACGACATTGGTACCGCAGTGCAAAGCTTCCGCGCCCGTGTTTGCTCCGGAGCAACAGCAGAAGAGCTCCTCGAGTTGTGTCTGCAGATTCTTACAGCTCGGCTGGTGCAGATGTTGCGTAGGAGCGCCGAACAATGGATTGAACCAGGACAACCATTATCAGTGTACGGACTGGATTCGTTGTCAACAGTTGAACTGCGAAACTGGATCAAGGCTGAGATGGGCGCCAAAGTAACGACGTTCGATATACTTAGTGCCAATAGTTTAATCATGTTAGGGGAACGTTTGGTAAATAAATTGCGACGCGAATAGATGAGGGAAGGGAGGGCAGACGAAGATTCAAAGGAGAGGCTATCCAACAATTATTCCCAGTGGGTAAAAAAGATGCCTAGACAGGACTAACAAGTTGCTACCAGTATTTATACGTTTCTTTGACCTATTCGACGCTCATTTAGGGGCCCACTGCAATTCAACTTCCCCACCTTGGCGTTATGTGTATGGATATTATTGTACTCTAACTTAGCCTTTATCTAGTGCTTAACAAGAACATCTGTCGGCGCTGAAGCAGGAGCGGGAGAAAAATAGATTTGTAGCCTTTATAACTGTTATTAAAATTACGCCTGCGGTTAGGTGGGTGATGTTATAGGCTAACGGTAGTTGCTAACGCAGGGGAGTCTTTTAGGTCTTTTAGTTCCAAAACCCCGCTAACAAAATTTGAGCAATCCCTGACTCTCATCCATGTCAATGACTTGCCGTAATCTCGCTTTAGAAATGATGTGTGAATGATGACTGCTATTAAGCTGCCACGGTCGGAACTGGCGCCAGTCTTTTTGAGGGCAGAACCCATATTATCTCCGCCCCTTTCCTCTTTTCATCTTTGTGTAGCATAATTCTCCCGCAACTATTTACCCTCAAGAGAGTTAAACAATGTTACTTTCAAATCGTCTACGCTGTCTTTCGAAGCTATCGATCGCCGGTACACTCACATTCTGGTGCATTGTGCTTTTTATGTACTCCCACTCTACCAGAACCTCGATATTGTCGCGCTTTCCAGCTGGAGTAGGAGAATCGTCATACACATCTTACAAGCCCAAGATACCACAGAAGATATGGTACAAAGTTGGCCCACAGGGGAAGACTAGCCAGTCCCGAGAATGGATGGACGATTGTCTGCGGAAGAACCCAAGCTACGCATCCGAAATCATAACCGACCAGTCAGGCGAGCGGTTTATCAGAAAGAACTTCGCCTTTCGTCCTGATATTATCGAAACTTACCTCGCCCTCTCCCTCCCGATTCATAGAGCAGATTTTCTTCGTTATCTAATACTGTTCGCTGAAGGCGGAATCTGGTTCGATCCCAATGTCTCGTGTGAAGACACGCCTATAAACAACTGGATCCCGAGGGGATTCAAGGATGTGGTTAGTCTCGTCGTTGGATTGGAGTTCGATGCGGGCTACGATGAAGATATTGTCCGTCAGTTTGCGACATGGACCATAGTGGCGGCGCCCAGGTCACCACATATATTGAGGGTGATCGACGACATTGTGGATGCTGTGCGTGAGGCAACTCAAGGAGGCGATGTTTCCGGGGATACGTTTGGTGATGTGGTGAATTTTACTGGTCCTGGGGGATTTACCCGAGGGATATTTAAGAGTTTGGGGTTGGCTATAGAGGGAACATTTGTCAAAGAAAAGATGTTTAATGTTGTGAGACCGGTTTTAGTTGAGGACGTTATGATCATGCCTGGGTATTCGTTCGCAGCATCGATAAATACGTACGATAATCCCAATGTGGTCGGCCCTCCGTTGGTCAGGCACCATAATGTTGGCAGTTAGAAGGATGAACGGGGTGATCAAATGCACTAAATAACTACCGCGTCCTACTTGTGTTAAATTTATAAATTGCCAAAAAAATGAGAATGTCCAAAATAGCATACTGCATACCTGCGGTTACTCATATTAGCTCAATCAAACTGAAAATTGCGCCCTCTAATCAGTGCCTCTTGTAGTGACACCACAATCATTCTGATGTTTCCTAACACACTGGAAATATATTCAAATCACCGAGGTTCGTTCTCGATTGAGACAAAGTGTGGTTTTGCACCTAGTATTGAAAGGAAGAAAAAAAAAAGGGGGAATATTTGATACTCTGTACGTTATAAGGAAGGTTAAAGTTCACAAGTCTGGTCTGTTTACCACCATTATACTTGGAAGTTGCCATTGGCTCGTGTGTCTTGATTTCTTTAATCACCTGCTTTTGTTCCAGTCACTGACGGCGAGGTAATGGAATCTAGGGCCTCTCGCTTTGCCCCTAGTTTGTGCCGTAAAGTCTCAATGCTGCGCTACAGATTGGACCAGGCAAAGGGACGTATTATCAATACACGATATACAATGATATCGTTCCCAATCTTCGCAGAACATTAGCACGTTGACGATATCCCCATTTCAATGAGGTACTTGGTACCATTCTGAGTATGCAAGCACATTTCCAGAATTAGAAAAGGAAGTGTTAGAATTGTTTTCAGACATTAAATCTTCTCCTGGACTCCATCCCATATGGTTTCATGGCTAGTAAAACACGAAGATTGTGAAATCCTTCAACTTCATGTAAAAACCGCCAAATCCACTGGGGGCACTTATTTTATCTTGCGGACTGGTGGGAAAGGATTTATTCTTTCTTTCTTTCAGTCTTCCTTGCATAGATAATTGGACAAATTTGCTGTAAGGCCGATAATATATTAATTCTATTGAGACATTGTGCGGCGCAGTTGCATGCATTGGTCTCTGCGGTATGTCCCCCTAGAGAGAATTCTGATTGGCTAATCGTGTGTGATTGACAGTCATAGGAACTGATATATCCACGGGCCCGAGCACCTCTGTGGGGAGGGCCTAGCGCTAGCGAAACACTGAGCTAGTGCAGTCTGTGCGCTCGCTTAGAGGCTCGGGATTCGCTAGCGCTAGGCCCGCCCCATCTGGAACCTTCTGAACACCGTTCTGGTGTCATATTATACCAATTTATTTTTATGGATCATGGATCTATGGGGTCTGCCTTTAGATAAGGCAGAGGAGCCTTTATTACATAGCTCGTCTGTGTCTCTATCTAATACCTCTGTATCTCCTGTTTCTAAGAAGGAAGAAGAAAAGGCTGTAAAGCTTAATCTGGCAGAGATACTTTATAAAGCACCTCTGTCGAGGGCTGAACCCGTCGAACCTATAAGGTAGGTTATGTACAAGAAGGAATCGTTGAAGAAGGGAAGAAAGGAAGAGGAAAATGAGCAGTAAACAAACAATGTGGAGAGTCACATGACATGGATCGAGGGCCGATGGGCCAAAGGTGCCAACAGGGCCAAAAGGGACAGTAGGGACAGTAGGGACAATAGGGACAATAAGGACAACAGGGATAATAGGGACATTGGCCCGAGAGGTCAAATTGGCTCCAGCTGTAGCGGGCAGGGCCCGCAAAATACTCGAGCCCGTATACCGGGCTCGAGCGAGGTCGTGTAGAACTCTCCCGTGATCTCGTTTACCTCGCACACACATTTACTTGTTCGGCCGTGCCGCAGATAGAAGCTCCTCAGCGAGTTCTTTTAGTCCAAATCTATTATATAGGTTGAATCGGCTACTAGCCCGCGACACCAACCCTTTACAACTTCAGTACCAAGATGTTAAGTTTAAGCCTTTTAAAATAACTAAACCGTTCCCTCATACAATACATTTACCACCAGGGGTTAATGTTAAAAGCTTTTATAACCTTTTTTTTTGTTTATCTCCCAAGAATTAATTGCATTATTGTCATCCAATACCAGCAAATATAATGTTATCCCAGGGATGACTAAGACGTATAGTGCCTGACGAATATGGCCACAACACGTAGGCACCCCGAAGACATGATCCCACATCATACGATTCCACATCGTATGATGGGATCCCACGGCAGTACACTGGAAGGCCTTGGTAGACACTAGGTTAAATAGCGGTCTGCTACTTAAGGTAGCAGACCAGAGAGAGGGAGGCAATTCAAGCAGATAGCTTAGGCAATACATTCCTTCAGAAGACTCAATAGAATTCCCTCAGTCCTCCCCAGGGCCGCCATCAGGGCGGCCCCTGGGGCCCCCTTCTTATATTCGACTGTTCTACGGCTCATAGTGTCCTACTACCTCGTCCAGTCCCCTACCTCACCGGCCGTGTGATGAGCGATATTGCAATAACTACTGTCGTTTACCAATTACGTTACTAAGAACTAACTTAGCGTACATAAATGATGACTAAAACGTAGTCGGACACCGAATGGCCCGATTTCTCACCGCCTCGCCTCCTCCCACCATTTGGATAATATTTGAGGTCTTTATTGCTATACAAATGAAATATATTATAAAATAATGAGCGTAGTACTACCTAGTAGGGCGTTTTAATCGATTATGGCCCTGAATATTGCAATCACTACATGTAGAGGGCCTCCGTAGCCTTGGTGCCTGAGCCTCTGCCTGAATTGCCTCCTCCCTTTCCTGCGTTATTTGGAGTGCCTTATCAGTGGTTAGACTGCCTGCATCTTGAATAAACTGCCTAGCCACCTCTTTCTTGTCCTTCTGGTACTCATCATCTGCCTGACGTCGATGAAGTTCATCCCTTAATAAAGCTATTTGCTGCATAGAAATCTCATTGCCTTTCATAGCTTTATCGAGCAAAGTATCAGCAGTTTGTCGATTTAACTGATAAAGATTATAAGGTGTTTTCCCCAAGTAAAATGATTGGTTGCTGCCTGAAGAAGATGGCGGAGTTTTTAACTTGACTTTTAGCTTTGACATCACAGTTGAAGAATTAAGAGGAATAAGGCCAGTAGCTTTAAATCCACTTAATATATTTGCTGATAACATTGCTTTTAAGTAGACTGATAAATAGATAGATAGAAAATCTACCTTATTAATAGTTTTTATACCGCTATTCATTATTTCTTGCACTTTTTGCCCATAAAAGCGCTTTAAAGGTGCAAAACAGCTAACATCAAGCGGTTAAAAAAGGTGAGATGAATAAGGAGGCATATAAAGTGGAATAATTAAATGTTTCATGTAATATTAATTAAATTCAGCAGTTGCATAGCTCCCATGGCTATCTAAAATAAGCAATCGATATTAACCAACAGTGCGGGATTTTGTATGCTTGTTAAAAAATTCTTGTAGCTATTCTAGTCCCAGATTATTATTAGTCCAGCCATTCTCGCTCTGACTTAATCGATAATCTTTAGGTAGAACAGAATACCACTGAGATTAATGTTTTTTTCCAGCAAAAATAATCTAGGGGGGTAAAACCCAGCCGCTTCCTCCAACAGTCACAATTAATGTAACCCATTCTCTATTATCTGGTTGGATTAATCTAATACTAGATTTGCGTGTTTACGTACCACAAACAACTTTAGCTGCTAGTGTCACACCTATTTGGAAGCCAGTTTTATCCATATTGTAGATATCTTGTTCTAAAATACCATATTTTTAAATAGTGTTTTAAACCAATTAAAACTAGCCCTAAATAACCTGCAGATCTTCACACTTCGCCCGCTGGTAGTCGTATCGACGATTATATCTTGATTTAATATTATTATGGCGTGCAATAAATCGACTAACTTATTTATTACTAACTAGGTTTGAGGTAGAGGTCTGGGATAACAACGAAGCTTTTTAACGTGCAGATATTAAAAGTCCTGCAAGATATCAAACTTGGGAGTTCTGTAGTAGTAAACCACGCTTATACATATTAATAATCCATCTTTTTAATGTTTCTTCTTCAAGATTGGATAATTTTCAACTATTAGCAAGCTTTTCCTTGCGGGAAGTTATTCTATTAAGTTAATGGCAGAGAGTTTTTCTAGGCACATCAAATGCCTTAGCACAGGCAGTTTTTGATTAAAATTGGCCATTATTCCATGTATTAATAGCCATTTGCATCCTTTTATCTTTAGAAATGGCACTCATTTTGAAATTTTTATAATATCGATCACATGACTAGAAAAATTGAGATGTTGAAGTTTTTAAAAGGGGGGGAAGAAAGCGGGCCATTCGGTGTCCGGCTACGTTATGTATGGCGGCGGAATGCTCCAGCATCATCGACGGCCAATGGGGCGAACAGGGCTGTAGGTACAATAGGGAAACAGGTACCATAGGCCCGAGAAGTTAAATAATGGCTTTTGATTGCTCAGTTATCACACCCCCCAAGTACTTCGTATGCAAGTCAGCATGTAAGTGCATCCTCATTTTCAACCAGGATACCATGTACAACCATGGATATTCCCTACACTTGCCTCTGAGTGATCTTCAGAATCTGATCATCTCCGCCCATCGTCCGGCCAGGTCCCAGACTCGGCTTCGCTTCATCTAATCTGGGAAAACATTTCCCTCGCACACCCAGCACTTCTTGATCGGGCCTAATCACCTCCAAATTATATCTCCACAACAGTATAGCCAAGAAGGCGAGAACATGGTGTCTGCCGGTAGTTCTGCCGCTGCACAAAGTGGTGCCTCCCTCCGAATCCGCGGAACTCTACTTTCCGCAGGAGCGACTTGTTTCGGAGAAACCGATAGCAATCGAACGTATGCATATGCGGGCCGAACGCCTCCTCGTTCATCATAGGTGCAATCTCTTCTCGAATCTGATTGACAACTGTTGGGTTGTTCAATAGATGGGCAATCATCCACTATGAAATCACAGTGACATTTGAATTGAGTCTGCAAGCCGATTTGATTCAGTTACGTTATGATCAGAACATGAGAGAGCCTTGTTGAGAAGATTTACCCCCAAAGAATAGTAAAGACGATGCCGGCAATGTCTCGATCAGATAGCCCTGCATGCCTGTAGTCATCATAGACTTCCTTGAATGCGACCGACCCCGTCCGCTGTTCCGCGGGCAGGGAATAGTATTGAGTGAGAACGCCAACAAGACGATCTCGGAGCCGCGTTGCACGCTTGACCAGAACAGATGGGAGTTTGTACGAGACCCGCTTGAGGATTGATCGGAGGTTTGGCTCTAGCTCGAGCAGCCGTGGACCAAAAAATGATGAAATCTGGGCATCCATTATCACGTCTCCGCATAAGCATTCGAGAGAAACGACCTTGATCTCAGGGGTCGAGCTGAGGATGCTTTTTTAATAGAAGGAATCCCATCGCAACGTGTTGTTCACCCAAAGCAATGAGTTGACCATGAATCGGTGCATGTCATCTGGTTGCGTGAACTGCTTATGCAGTAGAGCTATTCCCGTGTGCGCAGCTATCATCTGTCTTGGGTTTGGGAAGATCGAGACGTAGCCCTCGGCGGGGTCCGCCATAGGATCGCCTTGCTCTCGCGCGAAACTTGAGCGACCTCCTCATTACAGATATCTGGGCAGCCGTTGTAACCATCACAATGTCTTGCCCGGCGATACGCAGGGTACACAACCGGTGGTTGAAGGTTTTTTTTGCCCGTAAAAATAAATCATTGGAATTCCGAAGAAAGAGTAACTATAACGTGACCTAGCCCGTTAAAGGGATTCAACTAGTCAGTGTTGCTCGTGCGAGACATACTGGGCAACCTACCTATGTCTTGCAAGTGTCAGCGGACAGCCAGGGATTGAAATATATTATGGATCTTATACTTCACATGATAGATCATTCACTTACATGGAATCCAGTATGGTAGGTATTCCAACTGGTCTCGATAAAGTCGCGGGGAGATAGTAAAAGCCCATAGTCGCTATAGCAGCAGCACTATCAGCGGGAGATAGATTAGACAATGAAGCTCTGTTTCCTGGATAATGGCCATAAAGCCCTCCTGAAAATTGATTAACATTTTCTCTCAAGGTTTTCCGATCAGGGAGCTTGTCCTTGTCGATTGTTGAGAAGAGGCTTATACACACCCGCCGTGATAGTTGAACAAGCCATGTTTCAGATTTTACTTTTATTTCTGACTGCGGCCCACAAGCAGCTATTACCTGAGAGGGAAAATGCACTTCGCAGATGCATAATGGAGGCAAACTTGCTATATGTTTGGGGTCGAAATGCGATAAACTGGCCGCTTGCGTGTCAGGTGGACCTACAGGGACCAAAAGACCAAAAGAAGGGAATGCAAGTCCTAGACGACCCCCAGATGAACCGAGCAGGGAGATATAGTGTTTCCCACCCACACAGGAAGAACAAGCATTGTCGCGCTGATCCCCTAACTGGCTGCTGAGCCTTATCGATCCCGGTCCTTTAGTGCGGACGGTTGCTTCCACTCCAGTCATGCCATTTCCGGATGGATATTGGGCAAGCCAACGGCGTACCCAAGATACTTTGGTAAGCCCTAGACATGGTCCTGCATCTTCCCCCCTCAATTTCTTGCCCCGTCTCCTCTTCTTTCAACTTGCTCACTTTTTTCCTTTTCCCAATACCTTTCAACTCCCCCTGCCATTTCTTCTCTCTCTTGCTTTAAGTACACTCACGTCTACTCAGTTATCGTTATGTTCCTGCAACTCCTGGGCCTGCTAGCCCTCGCATACCTGGTTTGGGGTCTAGTGACGGTGGAGATTAATTACCGTCGCGCCTCAGCCATGGGGATTCCCCTAGTGCGTCTCTATGTCGACCCTCAAAACTCGCTCTGGATGGTGTTCGAACCGATTGTCTGGCCGTGGCTCGAACGGCTGCCGATCAACTGGCGCAATTACAGCTTCGGTCGCTACTCTCGCCGGGGATGGTATTTCGCCGACAGAGGGGAGTCCCACCAACGCTATGGTCCCATATGGGCCATCGTCACCCCCCGGGATATTTACATTAATGTCGCTGACTCGGAGGCAATCCACGATATCTTCCAGCGGCGAGCGGATTTTATTCGGCCTAGTAAAATGTACAGTATGTCCCGACCCAATAATTTTCTACTTTAACAATGTTTGTTTTCTGACTATTCTGGGTAATAGAGGTACTTGAAGTTTATGGACCCTGTATCTCGACCGCAAGTTGGGTGGACTGGCCACGTCACCGGAAATTCCTGGCCACTCCCTTTAACGAGAGGGTCATGTCCTTCGTGTGGGATGAAAGTGTCGAGCAAACCCGTCACATGGTGGATATCTGGACTTCGTCCTCTGATAATAACAGCCAGATTCCCAGCGTGGCAAAGGATACGCGTACCCTCTCGCTAAATGTTCTTGCTGCCACAGGATTCCGCAAATCAATGCCCTTCCATAGTAGCGCAAGCAGCTGCCGCAGCAATAAGAACACCGTGGATAAAGATGACCGAAACGAGTCGGTTGGCTACCGTGATGCGCTCCAGACCGTACTAGATAACTGTATTCTACTGATGTTAATACCGCGGAAATGGCTCACACTTTCATTCGCCCCAAGGTCGTGGCATCAGCTCGCCAAAGCTGCCGATGATTTTCAACAGTACATGGTCCGCATGCTGGATGAGGAGACCAAGGCATTGAATAAGGGAAAGGCTGGCACGGGCGGCCTCATGACCTCGTTCGTGCGGGCAATGGACCTGAAGCAGAAGGAAGACGCTCAGGGCAAAAAAGGGACAAGCGGCTCCCCGCCAAAAGGGCTCGCAGTCGACGAGATCTTTGGTAATATCTTTGTTATCAACTTTGCTGGTCACGATACAACTGCCAATACGCTGAGTTTTGGGGTGCTTCTTTTAGCTGCATATCCAGAGATTCAAGATTGGGTGGCCGAAGAACTGCATGCTCTTGACGACGACATTAAAGGTCACTACGCCGATCTTTTCCCCAGACTGAGTCGCTGCAGAGCTGTCATGGTATGTCTAACTAATTTTTGCTGATATTTGGATTCTATATGCTTACTGTTCTTTAAAGCTCGAAACCCTTCGGCTCTTCCCGCCTATTATGTCCTTGCCTAAGTGGACCAGCGATCAGCCTCAACAGCTGAAAGTGGGTGAGAGAACTATAATTGTTCCTTCTAACGTTGGGGTACATCCAAGCCTTCTTGACATGCACATTCACCCTCAGTATTGGGAAGATCCTATGGCCTGGAAACCCTCGCGATGGGTAACAACAGAGGCAGCGATAGGTGTAACCGAACAGGTTATCTCCCCACCACTGTGCAAGTACTTTCCATGGTCGGACGGACCCCAGAATTGCCCCGGGAGTAAGTTCTCGCAAGTAGAATTTGTAGCAGTGATGGCCAGTCTTCTTCGGGGCCATCGCATATACGCTATCCCGAACCCCGGAGAAACTTTACAGGAGACACGCGCAAGGGTTCTCGCTACGACGAGGGATGTTGATATGCAGCTCCTTCTGCGGATGAGAGATGCAGATCAAGTGCGCTTAACGTGTCGGCGGGTTTAAAAAGGCAGAGGTGCTGTATGCTTTCTGAGATATATTGCAGTGATAGCTATTAGAGGAGACTATGCATGTACCCTATTAGACTTGGATCTAGTAGATAAATAATACCTATTTACCTGCATTCCTATTTATCTAGTTACTTCTCTTACTGCAGCCAGCCCTGCAGGATCTCCATTATGTGTAATTGAATATTAGATTATGTTACACCTTTATCATTTATTTTTCTAGACTGATACTCTTTCAATCTTCTTGTAGAATTACTATAGCTTTAGATCTATCTGCTCCTATATTTGGACTTCTAAAGGCCCTATAGTCTTATCTACTATCAGACACAATTAGAACTTCCATATGAAAGCAGTTTAACAATTATATTCTTACCATCAACTATATATACTAATTCAATGATATCTGGTCATTCACCTATCCACTCTACTTCAATAATAGCCATTCTCGCGCCAGCTGGCACTGACATACCGAGACTTACCACGCAAAAGAGTACCGTTACTACACGTGGTATCGGAGACTTTCTGCTTTTAGGTGTTACAGATGCATGTAAGATGCGGTCAGACCGGGCAATATAGTAACCCCGGTCAATGGCACTATTATTACACAAGGGTCTAATGCAAGGCTCTATTGCATTCCTTCTCAATCCACCACTGTACGTCTGTTCCAATTAGATAATAATATTGCTAGCCAAAGATGAAATCAAAGAAAGCCAAGAGAAGGCCGGTGAATCTGACAGTTTATTTCTAAGGGCGCTCCTTACAGGATCTCTCAGTTGGCTCACCGGATTTTTTCAGACAATATAGTGCAATGCTTGGAACGCTGCGTTTGGACTCGCAGCCTGAGTTCGTCGAGCGCGCAGATGGCGTGGCTTTCAGCCAGATGGGATGCTTGTTACCTCCTCATTCAGCATGTGACCAGTGTCGGTTGAAGAAAGTATGTCTTTTGTGGAACGCGTTTTAATTATACAAACAACAGATGGAGAGTATTGACAGACACAGTTAAGATGCAGCGGTCAGAGGACAGGCTGTAATCGATGTAAGGCGAATGTCACCACATGCACATATTAAACGCTGGAAAGAGGCTACGGTACCGCGCAGGAAATCAGATAACTGTCGATGACAGCCAGGCAACAGGGTCTTATCCAGCAGCGATACCCCAGTACTAGTGCTACCGGCATCTGAATCCTCATCTATGTTAGGAAGTAGGAAGACCTCGTCATTAAGGCCTACTACTCCACAGTTTACTGATGAGTAGAGTAGCATCGTATCGAATATGATGGCACAATCCTCTTTGCCCGGCTTGGACCGCGACACACTAACCAACTTGCTTCCTCCCCGGATGGAAAAGACAGCCTCCCTATTTACTCAGGTTTCTATGCCAGCACTTGACTTCGGGGAGCTCATTCATTGGCACTGGAAGTGATGAGCCGTCGGTCCCAGGCAGTCTAGGTGTGTCCTGTAGTCTAGAGATGGATATATTTAGTTTGAAGAACAACATACGGTAGGGAATATAGCTTCCAGCAGTCCCAGTAATAAGCATGGCGCTGTCTTTGGCTGTCTAGTAACCATTGTACATATTCTAGAAGAACTAGAGAACAAAATGCGTAGCTTATACGCTGAAGCCCTAGATATGGTGCTGGCCTGGCACAAGGATGCCTACAAAAACTGCAGGATCATTCTCCACTACAATAATTACAACACGCGTTCGGACTATATCATTCTCTTGACTATCTTGCGTGAAAAGCTAGCTACTGTGAACGACAAGGTCATTACTATATACCCGCAACAAAAAACACAAAAATCCCCGGAGTATGTTCGTGGGTGACTACCAGATTAAAAGACCGAAGGAATGGTCCTATGTTTCAGGCATTAATCTGGCTCCAGCTTCAGAATCTGTGGTCGCTAATCCAAGGAATGAATTCGATCGCCTACAACGCTATTATGAGCACGCAACTGACCATGTTGCAACATACGGAACATGGAGTAGCGAAAATGATGGAATAATAGACGAGTTCTGACATTATTTGCGGGCAAACTTGATTTACATTTTGCAGATACCAGGAATTCTAAAATAAAGCAGAGATAGTGCTGCATTTTATTTTTTTACTCTCTTTCTTTCTTTCTTTCTTTCTTTCTTTCTTTCTTTCTTTCTTTCTGTCTGTCTTTCTGTCTTTCTTTTTTTATGGTTTCAGTCAGCCCACATGTTGGTCCTCGACGAATACGTCACCATAAATTTGTGCGCGAGAAGTGCGACCCTCTGGACATCAGAGCCTCTGGATGATTCCCCTGCAAGACATCAACGTTGAAATGGAACATTGTCGGGACTTTTTTTTTAATCTCTCACACCTGTTTCCTCACATCAGATCATTACTGCGAGGGATATTTCGAGTCCTGAATCCCCAGGATTTGCAGAGTTAGCGACCATAGCCGTGCCTCTTTGAACTCATCGTAGGCATAGTCTTTTACCCCTGCCACTCCTGGACTGATAGATGTGGCGCTGGCCTCTCTGCAGTCCTCCAAGTACCTGCCACCGCGGCCCTCCCAATCCTGGCCCACAGCCGCCAGGACGGTAGTGGCCGCACCTTGCTCTGGGCTCTTCATCCATTTCATAACCGTGGGATTGGCTTTCCAACTCTCCTGCATCTCCTGGGGGATGTATTTTTGCAGATTTGTAAAAATCCCCCCAGGCATTACACTCAGCGCGTGCAGTCCCTGGGGCCCATAATAACGGTCGATATAGTTGGCCATGTATATCTGGGCTAGCTTACTTTGACCATAGGCCTTACTTGGGTGGTAGGCACCGTCACAAGCCAGATTCCAGTCCTCAAACTGGATTTCTGACGCGTGGTGCCCGCTACTGGACACGGTGATAAGACGTGAATAAAATCCCGGAGAGGTTGTGGCAGCCTTTAGCATCGCATCTTTTAACAGCCAAAATAGCAGGAAGTGACCGAGATAGTTTGTTGCAAACTGTATTTCAAACCCATCAACAGATTCCTCTCGCGTTGGCACGTTCATCACACCCGCGTTACAGATTAAGATGTTTAAGCTGCGCGACTTGGCAAGAAACGTCTCTGCTGCGGTGCGGACTGAGGATATGGAGCTGGTGTCGAGCTGGAGAAGCTCTACCCGGCCAGACTCTAAAAAGTGTTTGCAGGCTGCTTGTCCCCTTTCCAAAGAACGTGTGGCAAGAAAAACCCTGGCGCCAGTGCTGGCCAGGGCGCGGGCAGTTTCTACACCAATTCCAGAGGAGCATCCAGTGATAAGAATAACCTATATATAGTAAAACAGCAGATAGGTTCCGCAAGAGTTAGATGCAGAGCTAAAAAGAGATATGTATAAGAGCTTCTTGCCTTTTGTTTCATCTGGCCCTGCAGGTTTTCATCGCGGATAATTTGCAAGGCCGTGGGTCGGGCATCACCGGGGCCAGCGGAAGCCTGGTGGGCGTTGGAATATCGCGACATAGTTAGGACGATAAGAGGGGACAATAAAAGTATCCCGTCTAGTCATATAATACTGATTTGTAGGGTACAAGGGTTCAATGGGGGTTATATCAAACCATGCCTGAGCAACGGACATGATCGACCACTGGTAATTATATACGAACTCTCCGCAAACTGTAGTCATAGTATTAATAATAGGGGTGCTTGACTCATGGGCGAACTGCAAATGACAGCTGTCTGAGGCACTAACTGAAAGTAGAAATCCGCCTATCCGGGATCAGGCTGACTGCTAACTTATACCGTGATCTCAGGCTATCTCCACAGATCTACATATACATCCTTGCGTAGCACTAATGATTTGGTTTGGTGGCTTCGGCTGTTTTCCCAAAGGGGCAAGGAGGGCTACCGTTCCAAGAATTGTGTTCACGTAGTCATAGAGATACCAAAGAGTAATGTCTAATTCCAATGGTACATGAGCCTCATCATGGCCCGTGAAACCAGTGTCTGAATGCAAGAGTTCCAGTATCCCCTCATGTCATCTTTGTTCGCTTCCTCTCTCAAAGATTGAGCAATCCCAGAACCTAACGTGGGCGCTCGAACGGCGGGATCTTGTTCGGGCTGAAGCGCGAACCAGGGAGGTATGCTACACCATTCTTAATCTCTCGGCCTTGCTAGAAACGGCGCTATTTTCCGGGATTATTACTAGAAGTGGCGGTTGTAGAAGCGGACATTTAGAGCAGGTTTCCATATCACATGCAGATGGCTCTCTGCCTGCCAGTCCAGACCATAGTTGATAAGCTCCAAGCCTTACTGGGAAATCACCTTGGCCAGGATCTGATTTATTTCTACCATAGCGAAGCCGAAAGAACGAAATAGCTGAATTAGTATCCGAATCGTTTTGACCTTTTCTTTTTTTTTTGTCTTTGTCTCCGATTTACTTTCGTCAAAGACACCCTCGGGTGTTGACTCGCTTCTCTCACATCGGGATGTATTGGATCCAGTCATCGGTTGGGGTCAAATTTATATGGTTCCGGGAAATATTTCTCGTCATACGTGACCGTGAAAGCGCTGGTGTAGGCTTCAGTCTAGATCAGTGCAAAATATTAATTTTTATTCTCACTTGGAAAGGGTGGAGAGACATAAAGACATGGACTACGCATTCGCATCCCTTTTGGAATCCAGTATCCATCAATGTTGGAACCAGGAGATATTCGTGGAAATCTCTGAGAGCCCGGAGGATAGATCCTGAGTCCCTCCTCAATGACGGCATGAAGGTAAGGCAATGTTGCGCTGAGCCTTGAGGTGTGTTGATTTCGTGGTAAGACTTGTAATAACGCCGGAACAGTATCTGATAGTAATATGATTTTTATACTACTAACTTTCTTCCGGGATATTAGTACCTATTTTGCCGTTAAAGGCCAACACAAAGGATACCACTCAATAGAATAAGGTGGAACAATATTTATTTAACCAACGACTTTTATGTGTTTCAAAGATTAATATACTTAAATATTAAAGATCTATCGAGTTGGTCTATCTTACTGTTGCGTGACTAGCTTATAATATTTTTGTAATATTCCTTACAGGTGTCGGTATCGAATGACAATTTAATATTAGTCATGATATCTGCCAATACTGCCGTGGGAAACTTTAGGGTCTAAAAATAAGTTGGCCGTAATGGTGCGGTAATAATGCCATAAAAGAGGGGTAAAACGAGCTCCCCTTACACCTAACAGGAGAAGCAACCTAATAATCCATAATAATAATCATTAGAATGATCATATGTTGATGAGTATAATCAAGAAATCATCCAAAATAATCGTTTAAGCACCTTTTCAAGGTTAGTATCTGTCATATAATATGGCCGTTGGTGGACCAGATCATGTAACTAGATCGGGAAACCACCCCCCCCCCCCAAACGGAGCACACAACAAAAACAACAAGAAGAATATAATCAAGAAGAGCCCAACCAGCTCAATCCATTCAAATAAGACCTTTTCGCTAACCATACCCTATTTCCTCTTCGGGACTAGCCGACAGTATCTAATTTCCTATTCGGTACTAGCCTGATATCCGAGAACATTATCTGTCGAGGTGCTACATCCAAGATCCCCCACTCAGGCACGGAACATAGTTGTTCCAGAGCCGGGGATCAACATGACTCCTGAAGGTAGACTAGCGTACAATACACAACCTTCAACATTATCGATAACGTCACCTGACTGCGGAGGTACCATTGGCCAATTCCAGTAATTTCTTCATTTCTTTTGATATTTGATCTACGGAGTATCTATATAGGTACATGTATTCTACATCTTCAATCGCATCATCGTAATGCCCTCCGATATCAAACGAAAACCCCTCCCCTCTCCTCCCCCATACGATGACACCGGCGTGTCCTGTGGCGTCGTCACTGCTCCCCCTAATCTCCATCCACCATCGCGTGCCACGGTGCCTGCGCATACTCTGCCTCGATATTCCAGCCATTCCGACCTGAAATCTCCCGATCTCTCCCTTCCGCCAGTCCGGCGTGCTGCCACTCATATCCCCCCACCGACCGCTTCTTCTCCCGGCCCTTCTCCCACCGCCCCATCCGGTCCGTCAACTGTCCAAAAAGCATATGGCGAAGCTCGCCATTTCCTCGGCGGTCTCATCACCCATCCCACCGAATCTAACAAACACTATACTATTCTACGACACTCCCACGGCGTGATTTTCTACCGTGGCAGCACCACCTCCGTCGCCGTCTCCATATTCTCCGATTCCACCCTCCCGACTGACCGCACCCTCTGGCTCCAAAACAAAGGCTGGACAGGCAAAACCGGCATGCGCACCAAGGCCCTCCTCCGTCTCACCAATGACTGGCTCAACGTGACACCATCAATGCCTCTACGCGCTGACCAGGTTCCCCCGGCCGACGAACGTGCCTGGCAGCGCGACATCGACAAGTTCCGTCGGAAGAATACCTCCGGACGAACACGCACCCACTCCCTTCGGGAAACCGTGGTATCGCGCATCCCCGCCGAAGCCGGCGACGGATACTTCCAACTCGTGCTGTGCGCGGGACCCAAGAAGAAAGTTCTATGTACCAGTCCGGTCTTCCGCGTGCTGTCGACTTCAATGAAACCCAGTTCCATCCGCGGCGCCAGTCTTAGCACCCTGCCCTTGGAAATGGGCGCCATGGTCATGGAAATCTATGCGCAGGCCACGGTTAATCGTGTCATTGGACCCGTGTCATCGGCCATTGAATCTCGGATCGAACCCCTCCAGCCTGTTGGTATCAAGCAAGCGGCGACGAAGGGTGCTTTTTCCACCAGCGGCGTAGGAAATCGTGTCGCTGAGTGGGTGAAGAATGGTTCCGGGGAGAGGACGGCCCCACCACCGATGCGGGGTCAGTTCCAGACCATGGAGTCTTTCGATCTGGGCCCTGAACCACCGTTTCCAATAGACTTCAAGTCCCGTGCAATACCCCAGGGGGAAAAGGAGTTAGATGTCCGCTTCTCTCTCGCCAAAATTCCCGATTCAATTATCCATCAACTCCATGGCTTCTTCTTTGGCTGGGCGCGCTGCGTCGATCCCCTAGACCAACAGGCTCAATGGCACCCTGCCATCGTATCCATCCGAAACATGGACCCTTCGCAGCAAACAAGAGTTACTATATCCCATACAATGATGAAAACCTGCACTCTGCGACTCCTGGACGCAGACCGGCCCCTGACACAGCCACAGACTCAGGCCCAATTCCAACCCAAGTTCCAAATCCGTATCATGGGTTTCCTCCGTCCTGATATCCCGCCCCCAATCAGGGGAACAGAGAAAGACCTCGCTTCCCGAGAAGAAGCTACTGAGACAGCGTACCTCGCTGAAGTATGGGATGCGTCATATGCGCAGGCCGCACTGGATCATCCGGCCTGGGCGCCGGGTATCGGGAGCGCTCCATCGCCGGAGAACGCTTCCTGGATCGATCGCACGCGAGAAGGGTATCAGAGTACGCGCATAAGGGGACAGAAAATGGTGGAGAATGTCCCATTGCATTTGCTCGGCATTCGGTCGGCGGCGGCGGAGATGCGCGATAAACAGGTTGCCGTGAGTGGGTTTTATATTGTGCGGTAGAGGACTGTATTATATTGGTTTGTATAGTAGAGTATAATAGTATATATAAATAATAATGTCTAATTAATTATTCAATGGGTTTTTGCCTGGGAAATTTTGACGCATTTTATGAACAGATATAGCTATATTTAGTGGGGACAAAGAAGAATAAGCATAATTAATCTTCAATTTTCTGGCATGGATTAATATTACCGCTATTCTCCCCTTAATGACCGAGATAGTAGGATTGTGTACAAGGCAGAATTGAGAGAGAAGAAGAGAAGCAGTCTCTCGCTGATGCGCAGGTGGTCACGTGCTGAATAGGAGGCCTCAGGCAGTACATTGCAGCATGTGATTTCCCATACATACTAAGCTATTTGTGGAAGAGCCAAACTAAAGCACATGCTTTACAATATAACCTTGGGCCTATTGTAGAACGTGCATATCTATGTGTCATAGTCTGTTATCGGCTGAATCTCCCCACCGGAGAGGCTTAACATCCGACTAAAAGACTCGTGGCAGGAGCTGGGGTCGATTTCCCCGATTCACCAATGGCTGCACTTCCCGGGCATTCCATTACATAATGGCGAAATAAAGTGGTGGAGATTCTGGAGAACAGAGATTGATCCATGCATTCTGAGACCATGGAGCGACTCTATCAACCATTGGACTTCAGATTTATATCACTATTCATCCATTGGAATCTCTCCCTTTATCTCTGCCGTCATAGTCTTGGAGACAGCGGTATACTCCAGTCGTGTTCCGGACAGAGACCGGTCCAATCCCGGTTCCAAGCCCTGTTGGTATGGGACGAACCGATTGGCTTCCTGCCATACGAGAATCCTCAACCACGGACCGATTAAATTGGGGGAATTCATGGCGCTTGCGATAAGCTTCAGAGGAATCCGGTCCGGTGGCCGGTCCGGTAGGCTGGGTACGATTTGAGCTAACAGAGGTAGCCAAGGCAAGAAGTGAAAAGAGTGAAAAGATAAGAGGGAGAAAAGAGACTATTATCGTATCTGTCTCTTGTCTTCTGCTGCATTCTGATAAAACTTGGCCGACATAGTCCGGACCTCCTCTTCCTATCCAAACTCACGGGTAGCATGATAGGAGAAAACACCAGGCACACTAAAAAACTAAGGAACTAAGAACGCCACCACGTTCCCCGCATCCTCTTATCATCCTTGGCTGTCCAACCAGACACGAGATCAATGCGTGCTTCTCCTGGCTCTGATCCTGCATCGCAACCCTGTCCGTCCTTATAACGTCCCCGCCGTCCTTCTCTCCTTCCCCTCCATTTCATTCCTCCTCCATCTCACCATGGCTCCCGAGAAATCCATCTCCCCGGCCCCCTATGTGGTCGAAACAGCCCCCGATGTCAAGGCCGGCACTATGCAGGCCATGGTCGAGGCTGACCTGCTCGACGAGCGATATAAAGTCACCCAGCGCGGGCTCAAAAATCGCCACGTCCAGCTGATGGCGCTGGGAGGCACCATTGGGACCGGTCTCTTTGTGGGTTCCGGTCAGGCGCTGAACATTGGCGGCCCTCTGTCGCTGCTACTGGGCTACATCTTCATTTCCGCGCTCGTCTACGCTCTTGTCACCGGTATCGCAGAAATCGGTTCCTACCTGCCTGTCCACGGCGGCACGATGAGTTACCACGGCTTCCGCTATGTCTCGCGCAGCCTGGGGTTTGCCATGGGCTACCTCTACTGGTACTCGCTGGGCATCCTGGTGCCGTACGAGGTCGTCGCCGCATCCATGGTCATCCAGTACTGGAACTCAGGTGTGCACCTCGCTGTCTGGATCACCATCATGCTGGTGGTCATCGTGCTGCTCAACTTCCTGCCCGTGCGATTCTACGGCGAGACTGAGTTCTGGTTCTCCGGCATCAAAATAATCACCCTCATCGGTCTGCTCATCCTCTCCTTCATCCTCTTCTGGGGGGGCGGACCCAACCGTCAGCGCCTGGGCTTCCACTACTGGAAGGAAAACGGCGCCATGAACACCTACCTCGTCGACGGCGACGCGGGTCGCTTCGTCGGCCTTCTCCAGTGCATCGTCAAGAGCGCCATCGCCTTCATCTTCGCGCCGGAGCTGATCATCATCTCGGGCGGCGAGATGGAATCCCCACGGCGCAACGTCCCAATCGCCGCGCGCCGCTACATTTACCGGCTCGTCTTCTTCTACGTGCTGGGCGCTCTCGCCATCGGCGTCATCTGCTCTTCGCAGGCTCAGGCCATCGTCAACGGCAGCGGTACCGACGCCAGCTCCTCCCCCTTCGTAGTTGCCATTGCCAACGCCGGCATCCCTGTTCTCGACAGCATCGTCAACGCCGCCATCCTCACCTCTGCATGGTCCGCCGGCAATTCGTTCCTCTATATGTCCTCGCGCTCGCTCTACTCGCTCGCCATCTCGGGCAATGCCCCCAGGGTTTTCAAGGCTTGCAACCGCTGGGGCGTTCCCTACCTCGCCGTCGGCGCCTCCTCTCTCTTCTCCCTGCTCTCCTACCTCGCCATCAACAACGGCAGCAACACCGTCTTCAACTGGCTCATCAACTTCACAAACACCTCCGGCTTCATCTCCTGGATCTGCTGCTCCATCGTGTACTTCCGTTTCAACAGCGCCATCGCCGCCCAGGGTGTTGAGAAACCCTACCGCTCCATCATGCAGCCCTATGGCATGTACGTCGGCATGTTCGGCGCCATTTTCCTTGCCCTCATCAACGGCTTCAGCTGCTTCTTTCCCTCTGAGTGGTCCGCTAGTAACTTCTTTACCGCTTACATTGGTATCCCCGCCTTCTTGGTGCTGTATCTCAGCCATCGCGCCGTCTTCTGGTCTGATCCTTGGGCCTGGCGTCCAACCGATGTCGATCTCCATACTGGGTTGGAAGAAATTATCGCCGCGGAGAAACCCCCACGGCCTAGGGATACTTGGTATCGGAAGTTGTTGGCTCTGGTGGAGTAGCCCGGATGTACTTAATTATATGTTTGAGTAGTTCTGATACCGTTTTATACCGTGCTTTTTAAGTTGATATTAATCAGATATAACTCACGTGCAAAACAGGGCAGGGAGTAGATGACTGGGAGTTAAATTACGGTAAGAGTATTATTTACCCTCCCATATAAAAATACATATTTGTAACAAGAGAGTATACATGCAAGTATATACTTTATAAATAGAATAGTACGCAATAGTAGAAATTTTTTTATTTATAATCTACTCTCTTATATGGTACAAAATCAGTGTTATCCAACAAGCAAATTAGATTATGCCATTCACAACAACTTCTATCCTGTTGACACATCCAAATGACGAACATGGACCTCGAAATATACAGAGTGTATATTGTGCTATATCATCCAGCGATTCCACTATATCCTTGATATCATTATCAGTTGTCCAAGGATTAATGGTGTACATGCGCAGGGTCACCATCCCTCTTATATTGGCCGTGAATCGGACGCGCTTCCAACTCCCTTGAGATAAGATGATTAACCACAGCGATATCCTCCCTGGACATACAGAGTGCTGAAATCTAGAAATTCACAATTGTCATGGAGCCGCAATATTTCCCAATTCGGTAGCCCCCGTAGCTCTCCTTGCACCACCTCTGCCAGCTCGAACCCACGAGTCACCATCTTATCAACCATATCCGTTCCCATGACCTGCAATGAAACCAGGGTCGCATATGACGAGTCGGTGGGGTTAACTTAATTCCATAGTTCATGGATTGCCAGCATGTTCTCCAACATCGTGTGCATAATCCGCCGTCGTTGCAAAACTCTTACGTGAATGCTGTTTCTCCCGAAACTGAACAGCGCCGCAGTCAGGTATAAACCTTGCAACTTGTAGGTATTTCTCTGCTGAATGACGTGCTCTTACGCAGGCTCCTTGTGTAATAGAGGGTAACTGGCGTAAAGGCTAGCACCGTACAGGTTCACGATGTAGTGCGAAACAGAGAGGACAGTCTAGTCTTGTGAAATGGGAATTATTCTGAGTTCCAAGATTATGTGAGGTCGCCTTATAATCCTTATAGGATCGCACAAAAAGAAAACCTGATCGACATAGACCGGATTACTATATCAGAGGAACAGTTACAGAAGTCCATACTGGAGAACTTAGTGCAAAGTCACGAACATTCGCTCATATATTGGCTCAAGTATCACCATGATTTTGCGAAATATGGTGGATGCGCTCTCCCTAGCATAAAGGACACTTGAATATGGCCAAATTGCTTCTGGATAGAGACATGCACGTTCGGAGAAACAATCTTTTTGTGGCAGTGCTTATCCAGAATTAAGACATAATTGCCACCCTCCTCTAGAAGGGGGTACGGACTGACATACCGGATAGGAAAGATAACAGTCCATTACATGAATCAACTGTAGCCTTAATACTGAGATACCCAGGGGAGAACAAAGTCGATCCCTTGCCGAAGAAGTCTCATGGACCAGGGGATAATGCTGAACGCGGAGTATTTAATCTTTTCCTCCAGCTCAGACCTGCTATTAGAGGAATCAGGAACAGGGCAAGAACAGCTGGAGGCGAATGTCTATTTGTTGTGGATTAAGCAAGCCTGGTACCAAGACTATTGCTGATTGAGACTCGTAAAGTGGTGTCAAGTGTGGCTGTTTTTTGTTACTGGCTAACAGTGTCATCGTTAAGTGGAGTGCTATTTAACATTGTTTAATATAACGGATTATATGAATATGAATATACTGCAGATATAAAGGGAAACACTAATATAGCTAAGCAAAGTTAGGGTATAGAGCTAATGCCCTATGCAGAGATAGAGACTATCCATAACCAGAGCAAGAGTAACAATAACAGAAAGAGTCTAAGAAAGTGGAGAGAGAGGAATCGAAAAAGAAAGAGAAAGAGAAAGAAAGGTCATCCCGCCCAGGTATATTGATTCGTTCCCCATTCTCCCATCTCTCCCCAGTTCACCACCACCACACGCCCTCCTCTCTCACGCCCCTCCTGCTCCAACCGCCGCAGCGTCTCCGTCTCTTCCTGTGTCAGCACATTCCCTGAGCGCCGTCGCTCCCACGCCGCCTGCGTTACCACGGGCGCCACATCCTTAGCCACTGCCGCCTCACTCTGTCCCGTCACGTACGCCTTGCTATTTCCTCCTGGCGTGATATCCCGCGAAAATCGCCATTCCGACTGCACCACTTCGTATCGGTGCTCCAACAGCCAGATCACCGGCCAGGTGACCACCCACAGCTGCAGTAGGATACACCCGTAGTAGATCCAGTTGTTGTTGCGCGCGCGATTGATCCAGTGCGGCGAGTACACTGTGAACGACCGGTTACTGATCGATGTCGAGATATCGACGGTGCCGCTGTAGTTGAGCGCGCGGAGATGCGACTTGAGTGCGGAGCGAATAATAGTTGAGTCGAGTCCGGTGACGGTTCGCTTGAAGGTAAAACTATCATTCAGTTAGTTAACTTCTCCACTTGACAGAATAGGAGAAGAAGAAGGGAACATACGACTTGACCTGTCCAGGATCCTCACAAAACCGCTCACACCACCCGATCAACCCCGGTTCAGCTCCCGGAGAGGAGGAGGGTTCCAAATCTCCTTCCGACCGACCAACTAATCCCATATGTTCCTCTCCATCCTCCGGACTGGGTAACCGGATCCGTTGTTGCCGGCTACAGCAGCAATGGCCCCTCCATCGCGTGGAGGGGAACCGGCCCCCACGGTATTTTTTCTCTCCGTCGGAGTCGCGCGCCACGTGCAGCTCATGCCACGTGTCGTCATCGTGATTATTGCCCACCACGTACCGGGTTAAATCGATCTTGAAGTCGAAGTCGGTGACGTTGCGACGACGGTGTTTCCGGCCGTGGTTTTCAGAACGCGAGATGGTGTGTGTGCCGCGGACGCTCAGGAGCGGACATGGCGGGATGTCGGCTTGGCGGGTGATGAGGGCGTGGAGGGCGGATGCGTCTTGGCTAAGCTCCGGGGACAGAGTCACCTGGTTGCTGTTGCGGGCTTCAGGGCTGATGCTGTGGTAGGGACTGTTTCCCGGGATAGGGACAGGGGCAGGAGCAGTGGTGGGGAAGGCAGATGACGAGGATGGAGCCGTGACGGCTTGCTCGTAGGGAGGTGGCAGGTCGGGGGAGTCCTGGTTATCTTGGGGTTTGCCCATGTTTGTTTATTTGCAGTAGAAAAGCTTATACTGAGATACAATATGAACAGAGTGTTGAAGAGGAGAGAAGCAAGAGTTTTAGGGTTTTCGTTGCCTGGTCTTATGTCACCTGACATCAGACAAATAACAGAGTAGTTGTACAGCCTACGGAGTACGTAGTTACCAGTTACGACTAACGTATTCCTGCGTGCTAAAAGTCCCTAAAACTCCTCTCCCTCGTCAAATTAATTCAATCCTTCCTGCGATCGTCCAGCGCTAACCCGATTCGATTTCCGCCCCAGTTCCTTCACGTGATCTCTCACCAGACACTGAAAATCGTCGGATCCATAGTAGATAGTGTGGCCATCGTTGGGCGACGGTCCTGAGCTCAACTGGTCGCCATACTGCCAGTACAGGTCCGCCGATACCCCCGCCGTGTTCAGCGCTGTTTGCTGCCATGGCTTCTCGATGCCACAGTGGTTCGAAGTGGTGCCGTATTCCTCAAACAGACACGGCTTTCCGGCCGCCTTGCAGGCCGCACCGTGTGAGGACACCCAACCGTTGCCCCATTCGTTCGAGGTACCCCCTTCGCTCTCGCGTTAGCGTGGCTCTATTTCGACCACGGGAATGGGAAACCTCACAGCTATCCGGGTAGAGATGGAATGTGCCAAAGTCAATGGTCGGGATGGCCAGATTCTTCTCGAAGTCGGATCCCTCCGAGTACTGGTAGGGGTACCTACCGTCCGACTGAATGTTGAGACCGAATCCCTCTGTTCATGTTAGTTTCAGGCGTCGATGAGAAAATAGGATTGATATCCAATAGACCACGCACCATCGCCGATGCACACCATATGCTGCGCATCCAAAGATTTGATGTATTTGCTGGTACTCTCGATCCAGTCATAAAGCACGGTGGTATTGCACCCCTTGCATCGTGGCTCGTTGGCCACCTCCCACGCAAAAACCGCAGCCGAGTCGCTATAGCGCGACACGACGGCCTTGATGTATGCGCGATACGCCTGCTGCATCTTCTCGCTGGTGTAGAAATCGGAGCTGTCGGAGCCTCCGTACGCCTTGACGTAGGCGTTCATACCGCCGTAATCACTCCAGTAGTTGACAAAGTTGATGATCAGCTTGATATCGTGCTTCTCGGCCGACGATACGACGTAGTCCAGACGCTCCAGGCCGTCCGCTCCTGTGTTGATGGTCGATTTGCCATCCGCGTGCAGCTGGTACCAGACCGTGCCCTTCTGGGGCTTTTCGTTGACGTCGTTGAACCCCCAGACGCGCAGGATTTTGAGGCCTGCCTCTTTCACGTGTGTGAATACCAGGTCCACGTCATCGTTGTTGGCCAGGAACCCAATCCAGTAGGCGTTGGAACCGGCGAAGTAGCCCGTCTTACCGCTAATGACGAACTGTAGACCCGAGGTGGTCGCGAAAGAACCGGGGGTGGCGGAAGGAATGGGAGTGGATGACATGGTGCATGACGGTGATTGAAGAGCAACGGCCAATTGAACCGACACTAGGCCGGTCATGGTCACCAAGAAGCGAGCGAATTTCATGTTGACTGATGTCACAAGGTTGTGGTTGAATGACCCATGGGTTTGGGAGCGTGTTATATAGGAGTCAACAGTAGATCTATGATGCCATTTGCCTTGCTTGATACGAGCATCTCGGATGAATCTCCGTTATACATCGAGACAGTCCGGTTGGGTCTTCTTGGACACGGAGAGTCGAAGAAGAAGTGTCTGTCATGTCCGGATCCAGAACAGAGATAGATCAACCGGTCATCAATCTGACTCTGCAGCGTTCTCCGTGCCGAATTAGGAATGGTGGATAATCTCATGATAACAGACAGAATTTTGTACTGTCAATCGGCTAAACTCATTAAATTATACAGAATACTCATCAAGGATACTATTTGCCTCTCGACTGACGGTCTACCCAATTGCCTACAAATGAGCAGGTAACCTCCCCGCCTTCTTCCCCATATACGTCGCAATCACATCCATCAACGCCGGCGATAACGCATCATACGTCTCCAATCCCATCGCTTTGAACTTCGACCTCACCTCATCCATCCCCGTCGGTTCAAACCCCTGCTCAATAATTGACGACACGAACCCCGCAAACTGTGGCTCTTGCCAACCTGACACATCCGACAATTCCACGTGGACGAAATCTAGCCCTTTGAACGGATGCTCCGTTTCGATGCGTCCGAACATATGCACCCCACATTGTCTGCACGCATTCCGCTGGATCACGGCCTCCTTATCGACGATCGAGAGCTTGTTCCCGTTGGCTGTCACTCGGAGTGCGTCTCGCGGAACCACCCCAACCACGGAGAATAGTGCCCCAGCGGGCTTCCAGCATTTCGAACATCCGCAGGCGTGATTATGTGCGACGTTGCTGTCCAGTGTGATAGCTACTCTGTCCTTCAGGCATTTGCAGTACAGATTGCCGCCGCGGAAGGTGGGGGTGCCTTTGGTGATGCCGTTGTCGATGAGAGGGTGGAGGGAGGGTGTCATGTTGATTGTAGCCGTAGATGTAAAACAATTGTGTATGTTGTTTTGGATATGGATTTATCTAGTGGGGTTTATATGACTTTCAGTATTGAAATCTCAACTCCTCATCGATCCCCTCATGCGGGGAAACGCGTTTCGGGATAGTTTTTCCCGACTAGTATACGAGTTCCAGTCGGAATAGAGTCACAAACGAAGTTTTCACCGGTCCTATTTACCCGACTTGTTCTGATGATGCTCTAGGTTATGTTTAGACAGATCCTCTCGACCTCATCGTATTGCAATGGTTATGATACGAATACAATGTATTATTTCTATTTCAGTCCTAATGTAGATACGACAAAAACGATGTTATACCCCTGTATCCACAACGCAACGCACACAATCCCCTCGTTTCATCTGATCAAAAGCAGCGTTAATATTGCTCAGACTTTCACGGTGCGTTATAAACTCGTCCACTTTCAGATCTCCACGCAGATAATCCGCTACAAGCCCAGGGAGCTGCGTTCGGCCTTTGACGCCCCCAAACGCACAGCCTCTCCACACACGACCGGTAACTAGTTGAAAGGCTGTTTCAATCAGCGCAGATTCAACAGCAACAATCAGCAGATAAGGTACGCGTATACTCACGTTTCGTTGTGATTTCTTGACCTGCTGCAGCAACCCCAATGACAATACTCTCTCCCCAGCCCTTATGACACGCTTCGAGCGCCGCCCGCATGACAGTCACATTCCCAGTACAATCAAAGGCATAGTCACAGCCCCCGTCAGTCATATCAATAAGTTTCTCGACAATATTCTTTCGCCCCAGCTTGGTCGGATTTACAAAATGAGTCGCGCCGAATTTATAAGCCCATGATGCTTTCTCATCATTCAGATCCACGGCAATAATCATCCCTGCTTTTTTCTTCACAGCTCCCTGGATAACTGAAAGACCAACACATCCAGCGCCGAAGACCGCAATGTTTGCTCCCTCTTCAATCTTCGCAGTGACGGTGGCAGCTCCATACCCTGTTGTAATTCCACAGCCGAGAAGACATGCCCGATCTGTGGGACATTGCGGGGTAATCGCTACGACTGAAATATCAGCAACGACAGTATATTGTGAGAAAGTAGAAGTGCCCATAAAATGTAGAAGATTCTTCCCACAAGCTCGAAACCGTGAAGTTCCATCGGGCATTACGCCACGGCCTTGTGTGGCGCGTATCTTTCCACAGAGATTAGTCTTGCCTGATCTGCAGAATTTGCATTCCTTGCATTCGGGGGTGCTGGTCTCTGTTATTTCAGATTGTTCCAGCAATCAAGGATCACATCATATAACTTACTATAGCGCGATGACATGATCGCCTACTTTCACATTAGTCACGTCTGGCCCTATGGACTCGACGATACCCGCCCCCTCATGGCCAAGAATAACAGGGAATGCGCCTTCGGGATCTTTCCCGGATAATGTGTATGCGTCTTGTATTGTCGTTATGTTACAATGTTATTTTCGGCGGGCATGAGAGCAGATCATACCAGTATGGCAAACTCCCGTGTGAAGTATTTTGATACGAACTTCGTGGGCTTTTGGTGGTGCGACTTCAACATCCTCGATCGAGAGAGATTCACCAGCTGCCCAGGCGACTGCGGCCTGGTTATGGTATTAGTACTTAGTCTGAAGATTCGACTGCCGTTATTACCTTGCAGGTGATAGTCTAGGTAGTTATTTATTAAATATATTTCCAAACAGTATGATAAATATGTGGGGGGAAGAAACGTACCTTGCCGACCGTGTCTGTCATTACTACACTTCAAGTAATGATTGATTGTGAATCGGATGGAAAAGAAGGAGAGGAAACCCATATTTCACGATGCAGGCCGAGTATGAGAACTTATAGTTTACCTCAAAGTACCCACCGTGCGTGAGGGGATCCAAGAAATTGCTGTGGACCCGATGAGGGGTGAGGGGATCTTAGGCCCACAGTTTAGAATACATGTCTCATCATAGGGGAGATAATGACATGTATGTTGTATTTTTTGCAACCAAACTAGGGAAAGGATGCATGATGATGGTAAAAATATTGGGATAGCGTCTGATCAGGTCTGAATATTGTTCAAATAAGATACTATTAGACCATATCCTGTCCAAGCATTGGCCATAAAATTGCTATGCAGATCATGAGGTTCGTGAATCAGCGTCAGGATGGGCAATACCAAGGCTTTCAGCCAAGAGAATAAGGAGGCATGTTGATGATTGTTATGATAAAGACATATGTGGGAGAGTTGGGTGGTTTAAGCCAGCTTCTTATGCTTTTTTATTTCCTTCGATCGAGCTATGTTGAGGTCACGTGAATTGTATAAAAACCCTACTGAGATAGGATACTGTTCGATTTTCTGGGGGGTCTTAATTGATTGTATTCAGAAGGATGTTTTGCCCAGCCCCTCTATGAGAGATGTTGGGTATTGTTCGATTATTGGGGGGGTCTGAAGTGATTGTATTCAGAAGGATTTTCAGCCCAACCCCTCTATGAGGAGTATTGGGTATATATATTCACATGATGCTCCGATCTGGAATAGTTTATTCTGACAGATACATAAAAGTTTGGATGAAAGATGAGGGAGCTGTCATGTGCTTAACTCAGAATATTAGTTGGGCTAGGAAGGATGCCCTCGTTACTACTATGTCAAATAATATGGCCGTTGGTGGACCAGAATCATGTGACTGGATCGGGGTAAAACCCCCCGTGGAGCACACAACAAAATAATCAATCAAGAATAACCAAGAAGAATAATCAAGAAGAGCCCAACCAGCTCAATTCATTCAAATAAGATCTTTTTACCAATCGTACTCTATTTCCTCTTCGGGACTAGCCGTATATCTAACAGTTAGTTAGTTGATGCAACCACATCGGCAGTGCACCCTCGGCGCACTGTGCCAACACAAACCGCCGGCAAACAACGATATCTAGTCTTAAACTGGAGTTGCAGCATCTTACCTCTACATATAATCAAGCCTCTTGCATTCTACAGGAATATCGTGAGCTTATGTAATTCGCGCTCTACAAAAACCTTGGCACTGGTGAGTAGGCTGACCGTTGGGAGGGATTCGGGATCCCGAAAGGGTTCAAGTCCCGTCCCATATTCCCTTCCCATGCCACGCTATTTGGGAAGGGATTCCCATTATATGGGATTCGGGAAGGGATATTCCCATTCCCTCTTATCTTAAAATCACGTCCCGTTTCCCGTCCCATTCCCGAATGGGATATTCCCTAAAATCCCTAATTCCCATAAATATCCTGAAATTGGTCCCGTTCCCGTCCCGGTCCCATTCGGGAGGGAAATCCCAAGGGAAAATCCCCTCCCAACGGCCAGCCTACTGATGAGTGCAGTGCTGAAACAAGATACAAGCCCTGTTAAGTATTTTTTGACCACCAAGTCCCTCACGCTATCTGGTTTGAGGATACTCTTGTCCATTATGGTGTTTCTACTGTTGTGTTTGATCTGTACATCCTCACCCTGGATATTGAACTAGCAGCCAATTTTCTTGCGAAGGCTGGGTAGAAGTTTAATATGCAAAAACCACATCGCATTGGGAATACGGTGGTGGACTTGGTGAACTTCCCTCAACAGCGACCGATATCTCCTGATGGCCAGACGAGAACTGTCCTCCTTCCTGCTACAGACTGGAAGTTTCCTCTAACCACCGACACGCTACTAGAATATGCGCCTCTGGACAATGAATTATTACACAAGATGCTATTTCCACCACTGGCTGGCTTGTTGGATGCACTGATTAAGAGCTGGCTGGGTTGTCCTAGCAATAATGCAATGTTATTGATTGTCTTGGCTTGCCAAATCTCCTACCTCTATGCCCATGTTCCAGCTTGAAGGAGAAGTTGTTGCTGAACAGATGAAGTATGAACATCGCCAGTTTCTTCGATGTATTGGCAGGAATAGAGACTAGTACACTACCATTTCGAAGACACCGGCGGGCTATTCGTGATGCGCTATTACGTGCCCAGTATAAGTTGCGGGAATGCTCCACTTCCCGTGATAACAAAGACCTCTTTTCTTTTCTGGGAGGGACTAAGCCAGTTGAAGACAAGCAGCAGAATAGGGGTGCTCTTAAGTCAACAGAAACCAAATGCTAAAAGAATGCCTTGCGAGGTGTTATGTAGTGTTAACTGTTTCGAGCGCGAGAAGTAACGCATGACACGTGGATTTTAATGATATAACTAGTGTTCTCAGCCTCTATTATACTTAATATCACTATTATTGATTAGTTGTCTTCGTCTAGTTAGTTAATAAAAATGGCTGGCGATCTTCCAGTAGCGTGATGCTAGCGATATCACTTGTTGGTACAGCAAGGCCAGCTTCAAGAATATGTCTTCTAAGGGTATATTTAAGGAAGGAATTCTGGCTCGGCCCAGCCAGCTCTATATATAATATCTAATAGTCTAGTGGCACTGGGTTCGATTTCTAGTAGTGTCTCGTACTATGTGATAAAGGAGTTTGTGGAACCCTTTGCATCTTACTATTATCTACTGGACAATCAACGTCCGCACTACCGCCCATGGTACCAAGATTGAGCTCTGGGGCTCTGATGGAAGAGCTGACGTCGCTAATATTATTAATTATAGATTATCATTACGCTATTATCTCGAAGAGGTCACGGCTCATCGGCGGAGGGTTCTTGGCAGCGCCCCAACCACGGACGGGAGAGATATGAAAAAGAAATATAAAGACGGGGAAATAGAAGAACATGAAGAGGAAAACAACAAAAAGGAAAACATACTAGAAAAGAGAGAACATGGTAACGACAAGGAAAGCGCATCTCTTGGTTTCTGCGTTGCTTAAGCCGCAAATAGCAAGCGATGGGGAAAGATCCATTCGACACTTCTAGCCCATAGCGCACTTCGGCCTGTCACGGCTACCGATCGCAATTCATGTGGGGCCACCATTTCTGGCGCTGGTGAAGCGGAAGGTATAAGCGTGTTGGGAGAATCGGAGCTATGCATCCTATCTAGAGAGTGGGAAGAGAATGAGTGTGCCGGCGCGGTTATCGCCTGCTCCATGTGGATAAGGCGGCTTTGGGGCAAGACAAAGGTGGATGGGTCAATCTCCAGGGGATCCACATCCTCCCACTGCGCCAAACACGTTGGCTGCCCTGCTGGCAGGCGTTGCGCATTGAGCCTTGTGCTGTAGACAACCCCCGTGGAATACACTTTCCGGCGCCCGGCTGAGCCCGACCCGGACATTTGGGAATCGGGATCGTCGGACCCCTCCGGTTGCCATCTGCTGCTCAGAGGTGAGTATGAAGCCAGACAGTGGAAATAGTCATGGGAGCTCTCGCAGAGGGCCCTGTACGATACGCCGACTGGTTGATTCACGGGCGCCATGGAGAGTTGGGCCAAGATTTTTCGTGCCCCCTCGTACGCCACTGCATACCCGGTCGTGCAGAGGGAAGACGAAGCGCGACTGCAGCGTTCCCTCGCTGTCCACAAAGGCGGGGCGTTTGAAATCGGGCCGCTGTGAGATAGGGGGCACCGTCTGGTCGTTGGGAATGGCGTACACCGGTCGTCGTCCCCCGTCGCGCGCGGTGATGCCGCAGGATCCCACCCAGAACAGGTCCCAGGCCGGGCCACGGAGTGGAATCACGAACCGTGGGCAGTCGAAGCCCGTACAAAGCCCGCGGTGCAGTAGCGGCGGTGGGGCTATCTTTGCCCTGCGCTAGCGCGGTGCCCGGTGTGTTCGTGACATTTAACAGGGCTATGGGAGAGATAATCCCACCTATCCCAGACTACTCCGGTGGATTCCAAGGCTTGCCTGTTCAGGTTATTCGGGGCTTAACAGCATTCCGCCCATGCCCTACCCATCGCTCGTCGTTTGGCTGGCGAGGCCTAAGGGCCGTGTCTGATCCGCCGGCAGCGGCCTAATAATAGACGGACGACAGGGCGGCGTCGCGGCATTGGGCCCCGCATATAGAGGCGGATGCTCCGATTCACATCAACAAGAGGCCGCTGCACGACGCCGAAACGCCCACGCGATCTCTTTCCCAGACTCGACGGCCCTACGGCCCTGCAGGTGCCAAATGAGGGCGCTGGCGATATACCCAGGAAGCGTCGATCTGGGACATGCCTCCCACTACAGTTGTCGGTGTGTCGGGCAGTGCGGGATCCAGGGGGGCTTTTCCGGCCTCGATCCTCCCGGATGTACCCCTGCATGACCACCCTGTATTTCGATCAAATTTCTCTCCCCTGTGGACACAGTCCGGGCTTTGCTGGCCTCAACGGAGCATGGGAGATATGGCCTGATCGGGACGTGGAGGCCACTGTGACAGCTGGTGCTAGACCCTACAGAGTAGGATCCAGTGGGCCCCGCCGGGGGCAGATGTGTTACGGAAACACTATAATCCGCCAGACTTGGCGGTGCGGAAATATCTAACGATCCATTCTACCCCTCAATCCTTTAGTGGAACACCTCAATGAGAACATAGGGAACCGCTTAGTAGACTCAGTTGGTTGAGATACTGCGATTCCTGGTGTTTCCACTGAATGACATCTACTTCCTAGTTAGGCTAGTTGGCCTGTAGCTGATAGAATAGCTCCCTGCGCATCACTTCCCCTGAATTCCACAACAAGGTGCACTGCGCCACATCGGGATAGCCCAGACTTCAGGGACAGCCAAATCAGCGGTCTTCCAGAAGTCCCGCCAGCAGGATTAATCAGGATCGCTGCCGGATGACGGACGGCGGCAAAGGGGTGCGATCACGTGTTCGTTCGTCTAACCATTGCCCAAGTGCAATAATTATATGAATATTCCAGCTGCCGTCTCGAGTGGAAAGGTGGTAGTGACGACGTATGCTCGGCACGCTGACGAAGTAATAGCAAACCAAAGGAAATAAAATTCCCAGTCCGCAATTAAGAACATTCTGAGTACGCCGGCAAGGAGCCGACCTCAAGATATCCACGTTAGGCACGCGGGAATACGACACGATTGAGTAGAATCCAATGCGCAAAAATAAAGCAAGGCCTGCGGCAACATGGAATCCGCCGCGGTTTGCTGAATTCGCCAGCCGGAAAGGCCCTCGTATCGGCTGGGCTCCTCTGGTCTCACTCAATTAACATCAATATCCCATCTCCCTGCCCGTAGGCGAGCAGCCAGAGAGCAAACCGCCGTAGCAGCGGTAATTATTGAAGGCTAGCGCCTTCAGCAACTTCGGTGTCAAAGTAAACTGGCCCGCATTGCTCTTCCTTTCTATGAGCTGTGCGAGCGCGGAGGAGAACAGTGGGAAATAACAGCTTCAGCGCCAAGCCAGTTTTTGAAACCCCGTAGGCCTCCTTATATGCCTTATCCACTACCTTTTTCATATTTAACACTTCTTTGGCCCTCCTATCAGCGATAGAGCGATTTGCATCCCGTACAGTTAATATACCGCTATCTCCGAGGCGTTGAACTTCTCGCTTAGTGATACAGCACCGGCGAGGTGCCTGAACGGCTTCAAATCGCTGCAGAGTTGAATTCATGATCGCGAGCTGTTCGGACTGAACTTTTGTTGACGAAATAAGCGATCCAGGTAGCGCTCGGGACGTGGGGAGATATTTGTAGTACTATCCAGGAGTTTAGGTAGCTTCTTCTGATTCTTTTCAACTTGCTGAGCGCTCTTTGGAGACGTATTTTCAACGCTTGAAGAGAGAGGATTCGGAGGAGGCATATTCTCTCCGTACACGCGGAGATCAGGAGCGGAGACCTCTATCACTGGCGGTAGAGTACTTTGAATAGCTTCAATAATTGAAGAGCCATCAGGAGGGAAGATACCGCGTTCTTTAAAGGAGTTGCGAATAAGGCGTGGTGTGAAGGTCTTCTTGCGTACGGCCACAATATCGCGTAGAAAATTCGCTTTATCTCCCGGGACCCAGTCCACTGTATGATGAGGTTATTCGCACTACGAAAATGCGTTTTATATGCGAGAAATGGCTTTCCATCGAGCGGTTGGTCATATGAGTTGTATAAGGCCTAAAGCAAAAGAGGAGGATCTCATGGGTCTCACAGAGTTGGAAAAATTCAACCGTTTTATAAGATGTATGACCGTCGAAGATAAGCACGTGTTTTTCTCCTTTTTTTGTACGATCCTTGGTCTCCTCGTAAAGTCGTTAAAGCCATTCAACTGCGAGAATATTATTTATATAGCCTTTTTCTAACACGGCAGTATAAGAGTCCGGTAGCTCTTCATCATACCATAATTCCATAAACTTCTTGCCTTTAAAGATAAAAAGCGGCTTTATGATCTAGCCGTCTGCAGCTACGCATTCAAGCGCGGTGATATTCTCTAAATGTTCTAATTCAGCAAGATCAGGTACTCTTCCTTTCATATGAGCACTTTTTGGTTCTGCGTGGTTGGAAGCCGTATTCGTCAAAATCATATACAAGGCGAGTGGAGACCGCTTTAAGCAGTTTGCAAGCTGATTATACCAGAATTAATGCTGCCTGACATCCTCTGCATCCAAACAATTTTTCTCCTTCGTCTTTTAAATCACAGGGCCCAATTTGAGCTCAGGAGGAAGCTGTTTAGCGAAATAATAAGCCCACGATCTACTAACGTGCTTCTCAGCTTTAACACGCTGTACAGTGAGGTTTCCCCATTCTTCAAGCATTGAGATTATAACAGGAAGGTGTATATCAGGCATACAGGTAATCCAGTGTACTAAGGCGTTCTCCTGATACTAATTTAGTACTTTATTTACAGGGATTTGAGCGGTACGAGCATTTCTTTCCTACAACCCCTTCGCAAGACTCAAGCGAACCCTAAGACCTCCCCAGGGCCGCCATCGAAGGCGCCCCCTGGGGCCCCCTTCCAATATTCGACTGTCCCTACAGCTTATAGTGCTATACACTCTCACCCAGTCCCCTACTTACCGGCCGTGTAATGAGCGATATTGCATACCAGAGACCGGTTCAATGGTGACCAATACTTTCGCCGCTGGTATATAATCATTATACGATCTTTAGTTCCTTCCCGCTTGAGATTTATATTACCAGGGAGAATATGTTCTTCAGTATGATGGGTATTGTAGGTACTGTGATTCTGACTGTCTTGTATTATATGCTGCGGGTCCACAAGGTCCATTAGGGACTGGTGATGGAGGTGACGTCCTAGTCGAATATTTGGTTGTAATAATAGACGGCTCCTGCAAAAATACGGTAGATGCTTCCACCACACGAAGGGTAATTGTGCGAATTCTACTTGTGTCTCCAGTTAACTAGTGCGCCGCGCGACTGTGACTACAATATTTCCACAATCACGATTATGGACTGTTGGAGCGTAGTACTCTTAAAAATAGATTAAAGAATGGGATTATGGGAATTTTATAATAGAGTTAGAAAAACTTTTGTAATTATCAGCCCATTTTATAGGACAATTATATTTAAGAATCCCACCTCTTGGTCCTTTTGCCATTTATAGGAATCGAGATTTTCGGTCGTGGTCTGTGGAGAGTTGTAAAATGGGCATGTTATTTTCCGCTAGTGTATAATGTGAGCCAGGACATAAATACTATATATCCATCTGAAATGCTGAGGCCTTTGCTTCAGCACTATTAAGCTGACTTCGAGAATACCTATTTTGTCCCCACTGAATACGTGATAGTGCGACAATTAGCGACTGAATTTGGCACCGGGCAGGCAATTGGATCCGTTGGGTATCGTGGCTCATGTAGAGCAAGCTGCGGCCCCCAATTTCGGACCTTAGATAACCTCCGGGCACGGAACCGCATGCTGGGAAGCTTAGAGATCCGGGATTAGGTCGCAGACGACGGGAGATATAAATACTAGCCATGGGATACCTACATCTTGTTCATATTACAGCCGCTCATTTATCATTCATTCGTTTAATCAGTCCTTTTTTTGTGTTGTTCCTTCATCAGTCATTCTTTAGTTTTTATTATATTTTGAGTCCTTAGCTTAGCCGAGTTGGACCTCTCATCTTCTCCCGCAAGGAAAGATGATTCCTAAGTCTTTATATTTGCCTGCTTATTTATTCGCGGCCCTCGCCGCCGCCTTGCCCCAAGGTTCATCATCGTCTGGCCCGCAGTCGCCGGCAAGTCTCGGCATCACGAAGCAAGAAATCACAACAGGAGGAAGGAAGCCAGCAACCGTTTTTGGATCTGTCGTGAAATTTGACGACAATGTGGATATCACTAAGCCGCAACTTGTGGGAATGGCGCAGGCCGCCTATCAGGAGATGATCTCCCTGTGGAAATCGGAACTCGCAGAAAGGCCCCCAGTAATGACAGCATTGAAGGTGGGCAACGAAGTTATCCTGTCGAGTAGCATGAAGGGCGGGGCTACCTATATCTACCAGAGTCAGGAACTTATCAACGACGACAAGAAGGGGAAGGACGACAAGGTCGAGAAGGGATTTGGCGCCTTCACCAACGTTCTGAAGCAGAATGCACCGGATGTCATGGAGGCCCTGGACAAATGTCGTGAGGAGTCCCGTCGGCTCGAGGGAATCAAAAACAAAGACCAGTCGGGCAATGGTGAATCTGGTTCCTCTAGCAACCCTAACACCGGTCAGGGAGCATGGAGCACAGTGGGAGGCCAAAAAGGGAAGGGCAAAGACCAAAACGGGAGCAAGAAAGGAACACCAAAGGTGAAAAATAATAAAGATACCACGTACCAGCATCGGCGAGATGGCGTCTGCGGCGAGGTTTTGGCATCGCTGCGATATCGCATGGAACATTCCGGTCCCAACAACAGACTGGACAAGAAGGATCCGCAGCCCGTGGTTGTCGCATGGTTTGCTGGTAAAAAAGAATTTGCTAGGCAAGGGAAGATCATGGATCCCTGCGGCAATGACCTACTAAACGAGGGAGGCTGCGACTGGGGCTGTGGCGCTTTTACTGGTTCCAAGGGAATGGGCTTTAGCGCCATTACAGAGGCAGAAAATGTTAGGGCAGATCTCAACTACCCTAAGGGCCAAACAAAAAATGTACTACTCCCTGATATAAACGGCAGGCCTAGCACTGCGGACCAGGGCCAGCAGCACCAGCAGCAGGGCCAGCAGCACCAGCAGCAGGGCCAGCAGCACCAGCAGCACCAGCAGCACCAGCAGCACCAGCAGCACCAGCAGCACCAGCAGCACCAGCAGCACCAGCAGCACCAGCAGCACCAGCAGCACCAGCAGCAGGGCCAGCAGCAAGGACAGCGGGGAGGACAGGGTGGACGCAGGCCTTAGTATGATTAAGTGAGCCTTTGATATTCCTCCGTGATTGGAGACATCTTGTATACTATATTTTGTATGGGTCCCAGAATAAGTCGGTAGTGATAAATACACCCATTGCCAAATCCCCCGAATTCCTCCACTACAATATCTACAGGGTATGATAAAACGATAGTATTCCCCATGACTTTTGATTCCATGCGTATTGTAAACAAAATATATGTACTCAATGGCTGCGTTTCAAAGGCATTCGGCGGTCAGCCAAATTGGATAGATTATTCAAATACTCTCTTTATGTTAACAGTGCTGTTCATCCAGGATCGGGGAAGAGTGACAACAAAAGTAAGAGTTAACGTAATCGGACACCGAGTGTCAAGTATTTTCAGGCACACAGCCCCTCCGCCAGTATTACCACCAACCACCATGAATAAATATGAAATTAAGAGATAATAATGAAGCTAGAGCTATTTACTTGGACATTTTAACCGGTTATGGCTAATTTGGCCACAGTTACTATATTTTTGGGGCCTTCGTTGTCTCTGGGATATCTCCTCCTTCTGCTGCTCCTCAATTTGCTGTTGGGCTTCAAAGCCAGTAAGACTACCCCCGAATAAACTTTTTATATGGCTTTTTCTTCTTTGGCTTCTCCTGTTTCTCCTGCTTCTCCTGTGCTGCATAGAACTAATGTAGTTGGTATTTAACTAAAATACCTTCCTGCATATTCTTCTCCGCACCTTTAATCATCTTATCAACTGCCTGGATTATTATGGAGGGAGATATATTGCTTTTTTTTGTCCGGAGATATTAAATGCGCTTCTTCTGCTGCTCAAGCTGGTAGATATCCCCAGGTGTCTTCCCTGGGCCAAATAATTTATTACTATGAGCAGAAGATGGAGGTGTTGGTGTTTTAAACTTAATAAAGAGCTTTGAGAGTACTTTCTTTGGGTCCAAAGGGATTAGACCAGTTGCTCTAAATCCACTTTGGATATTAGATAGTGATAATGCACGTTGATGGGCTGTAGGATAGAGAGATAAAAAGTTGTTCTTATTAATTAAATAAATTCCTTTATGTATTATCTCCGCAACACTTTTTCTATATGCCATTTTTAGTGGAGAGAAGCAGCTCACATCAAGTGGTTGTAAAAGATGTGAAGAATGCAGTGGTAAATATAAAGGAATAATTTTTCTGTCTGTACAGAATTTATCAAATCCCGCAGTTGCATAACTTAAATGGCTATCAAGGATTAACATCCGGTATTAACCCTTAGGTTTTGAAGCAGTATGCTTATCAAATACTTCCTGAAGCCAACTAAAGCCTAGCTTATTTGTTGTCCATCCATTCTCACTCATACTGATCCGATATTCTTGTGGAATTATAGAATACCACTGGGATTGATGCTTCTTTCCGGCAAGAATAATCTAAGCAGGTAAGGCCCATCCAGTTGAATTAACTGCAACAATAGAAGTTGCCCACTCACGATTCCCTGGTTGTAGATCTTTTGCTCGACCTTGTCTTGTTTCTAAGCCACAGATAACCTTTGCAGTTGATGTAACACCCATCTGGAAGCCAGTCTTATCCATATTATAAATATCTTCATCCAAAATCCCATACTTTGTCTTGGTATTGTGAAAGAGTTTAAACTAGTTATAAATAAGCTCTGGATCTTCACATTTTGCGCGGTGATAGTTGTACTTCCGATTATATTTGCACCGTAGCTCTGGTCGACGCTTTACAAACCGGTTTACCCACTTCTTACTAAGGGGTGTCGGAGATGAGGAGGATAATAGCCGCGCAGAGAGTAATAATCCTGCTAGATACTGGACAGTTGCAATCCGAGGAGGTAGACCACGTTGATATGTATCAAGAATCCATGCTAAAAGAGTAGATTCTTCGGTAACTAATAACTTACTGCAGTTTGCAATTCTATCAGCACGTGCAGGAACTCCTTTAACTCTTCTATAGAGGGTTCGGTAATTAACATCAAATGCAGCAGCAGCCTTTGGGATAGAGATATAATGACCCTTTTTTAATGCATTAAGGGCTAGAATAATTCGCTCTTCTTTAGAAATATCCACCATTTTGATGATATGGATGGACAGGGGACAGTGGTGGTGGTGGTGGTTAGGTGGAATTACCCCTGACGCTCGGTGTCCGATTACGTTAGAAGGAAGAGGAAGGGTGTGCTAGATTTGCCTAAAATATGCGGATCTTGGACATCATCGAGAGATGCAAAATGCAGCCCATGCTACTGTCACCTCTTAATACTTGGACAGGGGGCTGTATGGCTGCACAGGTCTCCAGAAATAGAGCCGTTCCTCCCCCAGCTTTCTGTGGTCCCAGGCCCCAAGGCTCATAGCCAGGCGTTGGAGTAACTGAGAGTGTGTGACGTTGCCGAACTGTTTTCATGCTCGTCCGGAATTTTCAGCCTCCCCAGCCCGACATTTGATCACTGAGCCCACAACAGTGGCCAATACAACAATAAATTGATAGGGAACATCTATTTATGGTATGCATCCCCTCTTCTCGCTGGGTTGCTGGGTTTGCACTTGCTTGGCTGGTATGCATCATCGACGCCGAGAAAAATGATCAGAATTAAATCGAAGTCTGTTCCTAAGGAAGTTCATACCCAGCGCCACAGACCCGATTGAAGGTACGTCAATATAATACACTCGGTTCCCTCACGGGCAGCATCCCGACTCCACAACCCAGTCCCTAGATCGTCCACAGCCAGGTTCAGCATCAAGCCTGCCTCGGCAGACGCAGCACGCAGCGCCCCATTTTCCCTGCGAGATTTGGTGTGGCCCTACGAGAAGCCAGAATTTAGCATAGAATAGATCCACTACCTAAGACCCCGTAAATATGCATAGATCAGATTCGCACCGCGGGTTAGATGGTCATGTGGAATTTGTTACCCTGTGGGCCGCCACCGTTTTACATGGAATGAGCTCGTCCTATGATATTTGTACCTGGCATTGTTTTGCATGAGGATGCCAAAGAATAGATTCGTCCCATGGATTCTATGAGCGCATGGTATTTGGTGCCTCGAGAAGAGCCATGATACTATAATATAGGAGATTCAGCATTCCCCATCTATTGTAGTAGCTCCTGTAGCTATACTCTTAGCTTGCCATAGGGTAGTTACCCCCTTTAAAGAACCACGCCTAATTTATATGTAGCTATTAGCAAGATATATCTGTTCCTGAGATCAATGAGTGCGCTCATCAACATCTTATTCCCTTTGTTAGTTCCCGATCCACCTCCTAGCCTCAGGCTGTTCTCGTTCTCATTTTCTCTCTGTGTTATTTCGAAGGATGTTAGAAGCCCCGTTTCATACATACTAGGCCAAAAGTCTAGTGATACATCAAAAAAGAAATTTAAAATTTGTTGGAAATCAGGATGCCTAAGGCACTTCTGGATATCCTAGTCTCGCAGCGATCTGATATATCACAGTCAGGGGCTAAGGGACACGTAGACATAAGCAGGGGTTAGTCTACGCTCTCTCTCGAAGATAGATGAATATACTCACCATGCGATACTAGATCGCACGATAGTTCCAATATACTATCTAGTCACAGCTATCCTAGCACCTCACATCATACCATCTTCCCCCAAAGATTTCAACAAAGATCTTGAACTTTGATCAAATTGTTTAAGATCTACGCAAGTTCGCTCGGCCTGCAAGCTAGGATAATATAAAGATTATAATTCTAAGTCTTTATATAATATTTGTACGAGTGCTTTACATGGTGGTCTTAGGATTAACAACAAAAGCGCTAGCCAAGGCTTTCTTACATAGTAATTAATATCCTATTAATTCCAGCAATAAGTGATAAACCTGAGTGTGTATTTTTAGGAGCACGTCGTACAATCTCATGGGAAAGGGCGCAGCTATCAACTCAGAATATTAAGAGGATAGAATGCCTAAAATACTGGCAAACAAGTGGTGTTTTAGAAGAAGTTTAAAAGATATTTTAGGCTGATTTGGCTTTATTTCTGTTATCTCCGTTTGGTAGGCCGCAACAGTTAAATACTTGCTGTATTTTTGTATGACAGCGCCAAGAAATTATCGGTGATGATCGATGATCGGCTGTCAATAATTATCGATCAGCGGCGATTCGATTAATCGTGGCCCTCCCTGATAAAACATATGTGGTTTCCACTTAAAGAAGGAGTCTATGACCTAAACCTAGCCATTGAAGACTGCAAGGGATTGAATGACAAGGAGGAGATCTTAGGCATTAGAGCAGTCATGGACTGCATAACTATAATTCGGTATCCGATGGCTCCTAGCGCCTTGGCGAGCGCTCAGCGTCATTTCCTTTAGATAGAAGGATAAAGATAGAGAGAGCACGTTAATGAGCACGTTGGCCGTGCAGCCAATACAGCTGTTATTGTTATTCTGCCTAGTAGGCTACCAGCGTGTAGCTAGTATAGTATTTTTCTGCCGCCTATTCCTTCCCCTGAGCGAGTGATCATAACAATATATAAGCGTACTCATAACTGTAGGTGTACACACATCATAAGTAGAGAATGAGTATCCATGATTTTATCATAATTTTAGCGAGATCCCCGCTGCTACCCTGATCGTCCAATCTAAGTGTAGATTAGAGAGTAGTTGGAGAAGATTTACTACTACACTATTATTTTATATAGTTTTATAAATATAACTCTAGTAAATAGATGCTATGTAGGTACTACCTTTTGATTGGTTGATATGGGCGGGGTCGGCGTGTTGGGCGTTCTTGCTTAGTTTTTATCAACTAAATTATTTTTTAATTAATTAGACTAAGATATCTCACAGCATCGGGACACAGGGTAGTCGGCGTATCTGGCGTAATATGGCTCTTGGTATAATCTCCAGTTTCCTCATTAAAGATATAAAGTTACGTCAACATCCCCCCAAAAAGCAAAAGCGATATCTAGAGAGATACATACCATACAACATGACCGAGTCTACGTTCAGACAATATTATCTTTCCGAAAAGAAAGGATTTCACTGCCTGGTTCTTCGGACTGTTCCGAAAACCTCTCCTAAATTTGGCCAAATTCTGGTGCGCATCAAGGCAGTGTCATTAAATTGGAGAGATGGAGTTATTGCGTTAGGAACCTATCCATTTCCCGGCCCCGATGCCCTTGTGCCTGGAAGTGATGGGGCTGGTATAACTCATATCTCATATACTTGCTCGAGACCTTGTTCTAACCTTGATGTAGGAATTGTTGAGGAGGTCGGAGAAGGCGTTACTGAGTGGAAAGTCGGCGACCGAGTTCTAGCCAATTTCACCCAAGATCATATCGCAGGAAGACTGACCCGACAGAGTCTCTTATCCCAGCTGGGTGGAGAGACTCAGGGCCTTCTCGGCGAATACTTCATTTTTCCAAAGAGTGGGGTGGTCAAAATCCATGATTACCTGTCTTTTGAAGAAGCTTCCTGCCTGCCTTGTGCCGCACTCACGGCGTGGAACGCCCTCTATGGATTCGTGCCCATCCGGCCCGGCCAGAGTGTCCTTCTTCAGGGCACTGGCGGTGTGTCTACTTTTGGATTGCAAATTGCACATGCTGCCGGTGCAACAACAATCGTGACATCCTCGTCTGATGAAAAATTGTCCAAAGCTAAGCAGTTGGGGGCCTCCCATCTCATTAACTATCGGAAAACACCCCGCTGGGCCGCTGAGGTCATGAGAATTACTAACGGTCACGGAGTCGACCATATCATCGAAGTTGGTGGGACTCTCACATTGCAGGAGTCGTTCGACGCGATTGCCCTGCATGGAGTTATCCACTGCATCGGCCATATTACCAACCCTGATCCGCTGGGTGCTGGTAGAGACCTTCGTGGGCCAGATGCAGCTTTCCTAGCCTTGGACCGACTCTGCATCGTTCGGGGTGTGGTGGTAGGGTCGCGAGAGCAGCTGCAGGATATGCTTGATTGTTTCCAGGCAAACATGATTCGACCCGTGATTGACAAGGTTTTTGACTTTGAGAAGACAAAGGAGGCATATGAATATTTGTGGAGGTCCAACCATACGGGAAAAGTGGTTATTCGAGTGCCTTGATTTCAGGTATAAACAGTCAGCTCATATATGTTCCTGTAAATGTTATGTTTTAGTATTAAGTGAACGTAACGTCAGTTTTGAACTAGTCTTGTGCATTATTTAAAAAACCAACACTGCCAAAACCATAGGGCATGTTACCACGAATACTAGAAGGTCGGATCCTGAATGGGTGCAAAATTGTCACTAAATTCGGGGTAACTAAGCAAAATACTAATGACAAGCATCGGCCGTTTAACCAAGGAATTTTGTAATTCCGCAGTCTTGCCTTTATTGTTCACATTAGTCAGTAGTTACTAGTTAGGACCGATCCTGTGAAGAAACCCCGCGACTGTGATCAGACACCACCATTTATAACACTACCTCGGTGATATTTATCTCACCACATATATAAAATCTGCCCAGCGTCTTTAAAATTCTCTTAGAGCCACTCGTGAATCATGCCTCCGACATCGCAAAATGTCAAAAAGAGAAAAAGCTCCAAACATGATAGGACCGGATGCCTCACTTGCCGCTACAGGTAACTTGCCGCTATCTATTCTACCAGTGTATTTTCGTACAATCTGGCTAATAAGAATCCAGGCGCAAAAAGTGTACGGAGAACACATTTCCCGCCTGTGGCGCGTGTATTCGACTCAACCTGGAGTGCGTACGAGAAACCAGGCGTCAAGTTGTGCCTTCTACAAACACTTTTGTTGATAGAACAGGAAGTGAGCTAGATGTAACCTCTATTTCTCATGCTCATATGCTCGACACCTTTCACTATGACTGGCTTCCGGGTACCCAGAACATAGAAACATCATCAAGGAGACGGTACGCCATGAAATACTACATCAAAGTTTTGGCAGAGCTCTTGACAGTGAGTCGCAAATACAACTCATTTCTCTCCGGTTAGACGCCTCGAAAATAGCCCCAAGATATCCTCTGGCTAACCAAATCTGAAGAATTCCTCCCAATGGCGATGGAATCTCCAGCCCTAGCAGGTGCCATGGTCGCCTGGGCGTCTGGTCATTTATCCGGGATGGATGGCTGTTACAGGGTCACAGCACTTGAAGCTCGATCCACTGCGCTATGTGAATTAGTGAAAGCTATCTCCTCCGCACCGGATAATATACCCAGCCATGAGACAAATGCTGCCACTTGTCTAGTCCTGCTGACCTCTGAAGTGTGCCTTGGAAACCATACCGAATGGTACAACCACCTCGTTGGAGCCAAAAATATCATACTGGCTGCAAGGGTCCAAACTGGAACCGGTAAGGGGATGATATCTGGACCTGATGCTTTTAAAGGCAGCCCAGAAGGCAGATGGGTTCTACGCAACTTTGCGTATCACGATATTCTCGGTAGTGTCACCCTGGGAACGAAACCTCTGCTCCGTGGCACTTACCTTCATGATATTACGGACGTTATCGACACGTACCTTGGTGTTGCGTCAGAGATTTTAATGTTCATATCGGAGATCAGTCATCTTGATCCCATTAGTATTATCGGCGGTGATATCTTGCTCGAGAGGGGTACAAACCTGGAACCATTCGAAATCGAATGGAGACTCAAATCCTGGCGGTGCCATTCTAGTATAAACCCGGCCCTAACAGGCCTGGCATATGCATATCGCAGCGCGGCTCTAATTTATCTGTATCGGCGGATGCGGAGCTTCGTGAGACTATACATATGTTCAACACTACAAGATATGCTGCTTGATCTGGATTCCAAAATAAGATCGGAAGTTTCAAATACTCTGCGACATCTAGCGAAAATACCGTTACATGAAATATCCGAATCTGCCCTCTTATTTCCTCTTTTCTTGGCAGGAGGTGAAGCGATAGGCGAGACTGAAGTCGACGTGGTACGTTTCAGACTGCGGCTGATGCTGGAAAAACGCAACTTTCAAAACATCTCGCGAGCCTTAGGGGTGCTGGAGGAAGTCTGGAATCGTCGTGCCGAGCAAAACAGTCAAGTGAATAACGTTGATTGGCAAGATATTATTGATAGTCAAGGTTGTCGACTTCTCTTGACATAGCGAAGATTTTTCTTAGCAATGGCTATTGGGATCATCCTAGACAGACACATTTACGATGGTTAAGGAGCTTCGAGGATGAAAATGACAGACGACGACGGCGGTGTAGGACTTGTGGCTAGGATACGGGGAACATTTGGCACATTTTATCATCTTGGGGGCTCCCCAAAGAGGAGTCATTCAGGTGAGTCTAAGTTTGTGACGGCTTTCGGGCCCGTACAAGAGAAGATCACATAGAGCGTAACCGTGATCCCTTCGGAGATTAATTTTCAACTATATTTCCTGGACAAACTAGTTATTAGACATGTATGTGTCTGAAGTCTGAAAATCTACCATCTGAGCTCACAAAGTAAAAACCAGAACACAGAAGACAAGGATAAGAGAACAAATTTAAAGAAGAAAAATAGCAAGATCGCATTTGAATTTTTGGTACCAATGCTAGATACACGCACCAATCCCCTCCTCACTTTCACCAACGTCGTCTTAGACCAGCCTTCTATTGGACATGTCTTCTCTCCGTTATTGTTTTCCTTCTCAATCAGTTGCATTATCCCACTGCAAGACCCCCAAAAGGATGTCGCAGACTAGGTCTTCCCCTGCACTAAGGCAACTTCACGGGTGAATAAAATCATAAATACAGCGGAAGGACTCTCAATAACTACACAGATCAGAATGGACATTAACCCATATCAGATAAAAGCTTTGTTCACTATCCTGTAAAAAGTTCTCTGGTGTTGAACTAGACACTGCCGAAGTCGCTCCAGCCAGGTTTATTTATGACCGACAAGCCTGTTTTGCAGAAAACATCACTACCAAATCCAGCAATATCGAACTGTCAAACGCATTGGACACTGAGGACCCTCCGCGATGGCGATTCAGCAAAAATGGCACTTATCCGGCTGAGATCTGGATTCCCGACTCGACATCCAGGGACCGCAGGTCGGATCTGGACGAGGTGAAGTCGGAGGGCTTGATAATTACATACTACCCTTGCGTCGTGACTGACTCAAAGTTCGCTTCCTATTTTTCCAAGTTAGGCATCAGACTAAGGTTGCTGTCCAGAGAGCTATCGTTCCGGGTCCGCCTCAATCCCCCGCCAGACTCTATACCCGGTTACGCTCTGACACCGGTCAAGATCTTCTCAGCCTGCCCCATGGCTTACGACTATGGCCAGCATATTCCGCAAACAGTACATAGACTTCCTGCACCAGTAATTCAGCCCGTGGCCCTATAATATTATTCCGAGAGTGTCCATCTTACCGTCAGGAGGTTTCCGCTCTGCACCATGCAAAGAGGAACTTGGACTCCAGGTAGACAGGGAACCGCATCCTTTTCTTCTCGCAACGCTTGCCAATGGTAAATTTTAAAACTATAAATGTTTGTTGTTTGTTTTCCTCTCTACTATATCTATACAACCAACGTCAGCACCACTAATTCCTCATGTCGTGGGAGCTTATTAGACTTCTGTGATTAATTATGTGGACAAGGATTGACTAATAGTACGAGCTTCCATAGCAAGTTAGAAGATACACTGACGCGGCTGCCTTCGTATATGCAGACTGTAGCAACAAACCAGATAATCAAATGCTGTGCGGTGCGGTGAAAGAGGAGTATCTCGAGTTTACAAGGTCTATCATTCCCAAAGGGAGTGAGGTAGTATAATCGACAAGAGAGAGTGATGTTACAGCCTCGTCCAGTAGCCCAGCAGTTGGCTCGTATTCATGCATGCTACCGCAGATCGTTATTATTCTCATATGAAATATGACTTTCCTCTGTCTCCATCGAATCCTACCCCGCCCTGGGGCTCAAAGCGCTCAGGGATAGAATTCTTTAATGCCTCCCATATAACCTGTCCACCATATTTCAACTCATCTTCACGCCGCAGATTGCTTTCAGTCCTGATATTCTTCCATCTATCCTATTCTCCTTCGGTTAAGACAGCTTGATTTATCCTTCATTCCTTGACAATCTATTGCCATGTACAAACTCATTGCTACAACTCTGATGGCATCTGTTGTCCTTGCTGGCAACATCGATGCCATCGTTGCCCGTCAGATTTCCACTTGTGAGGACCACACTGGCTACAAAACTTGCCACAGTGGTTGCATTCCCATCAATTATACCTGCTGCCCTGTCCTTCAAGGCGGCTGCGAGCCAGGTACCTACTGCACTGATGAAGGCTGCTGTCCTATTGGCGAGACCTGCTCTGGAGGAGGAGGTATCAGCTCTGGAACATTGACGGGCACTTATACCAACACGATCACCGCGACAAATACCATCCCCCAAACGTTGACGAGCACCTCAAGCGCGGAGGAGACTACCTCTTCCACATCGACTTCTCGATCGTTGATTCCTTCGTCCACCTCATCAAGTTCGACTCCATCGTCCACTCCTGGCGGCTCTGGCTCCACTAGCGCCTCGCCTTCTACCCCTCTCCACACTGGGGGTGCCTCGACACTGAACATTAAGTTCGGTGCTGTGGCTGGTCTGATTGCGGGGGGAGCTGCTTTGCTCTAAGCATGTGCTGGCCTATAACGCCGGTGCTGTTGGAGTACCTTCCACCATGCCGGTGTGTAGCTGTGTAGGGACGTGAAGACTCACCTGGCTATGAATCTTGTCTGAGGCTTAGTTCTATGTATCACTTCTATTGCCATATAAAGGTGGAATCAAAAATCTACTGCTAATTTAGCTAATTACGAGTAAATTAGTATGAAAGGCCGATTTTAGCTTATGGGGATTCTCCGAATCTTCGCCATTTGTCCCATATATTGAACATTGAAACCCTTACTTTCTCATGCAGAGACAGTTATGAGTCTCATCTTTGTCTTTTCAAAAATAGCTATGCAAAGTATCTGAGTAATGGAAACCCCAAAAGTATGGCCGACAAATGAATCTAATTAGCGACTGCTCGATATATAGCTTTCTATGAAGTGACTAATACAAGACTACCTCATCCTCCGCCGCACCCTTCTCAATCCAAGTGTTCAACAAGTTCGACGCAACGGCCGCGACGATCTGGGGGTAGTTGGGAGGCGGCTGAGTACCGGGAGGCAGCTTGCGGTTGGGGTCACCCGCTATCCAGATCACGGGCTCCGGGGCAATGCCGGCGACATTTTTGCGGAGCTCCTCGACGTCCTTGAGGTCGAACCCGCGACCGAAAATGACTGACCGCACCGGACGATAGTTGTGGGAACCAACGTTGTTGACCTGTGGGGACTGGGGGTCGTTGCCGGCGAGAAGGTGGGGGATCTCTTGTTGAGCGGCCTCAAGGCTCTGGATGAAGTGGACCACTGTTGGAAATTTGTTAGGAATCAGAACTCATTTCATAGGTATTTGGAGGAAAATAAAACAGAAAAACTATATAGATGCAGAACAAACCTTCGATGTCAGGGCGCAGCAGCTCGGACACCGGCCTGCCGATCTGGTCATCCAGGGCGCAGACCGCAATGGGGAGAGGGTTCAGTGAAGAGGACATGGCGGTAATGAAAACAATGGAAATAAATTTTAGATCGGAAAGGATTAGAAGAAGAAGAAAGAAGTTTTTTTCTGGGAACATGCCACTGTTTTAACATCTCTCTATCTAACCTAATGTGGGTTCTCGGACTCCGACCTGCTAGATGCAGCTCAACGCTGGAATAAAGAACATCGCTAATGCAATTTTGGGCCTATTGGAATGCAAGACTCTTGGACAACCTGAGACGATCATAAATTATTAGAGAGCTGATCAATAGGTAAGGCGTGTCCTTGTCATCTTGTTTACTCCTGAATGCTGGCATGGCGCTAACCGCATCGGGTAATATTATCGGAGTCCGAGTATACTTCCTCTTGCGACGTATTGTCAAGCATCAAAACGGAACGCGATACTTCTCGTCTCGGGCCCTAATTAAATGTCCCACCAAGTCCCGTTAAATCCATCGTTTAACCAGCCTTCATGTCCGTTCTATAAGAGGATATCTTTTCTGAACGTTCTTCATCGCGTTGTATATTTGCTCCATTGTTTGACGGGTTTCGAATGTTGTTCATCGTCATTGTCTTGGTAATTGGCATGTTCCTACGTTTGCTGACATGGTAAGTATTTGTCTATAATAGCAGAAATATCACCCTAATCGTTATCCCAGACAATTGTCGCTACCGCCGTCCCACGCATTACAGATCAGTTTAACAGCCTCGACGACGTCGCTTGGTATGGATCCGCGTTCTTCATGACTCTGGGTAGATTTCAGTCAAGTGAGGGGAAAGATCCACAAATTCTTCTCACTCAAGTTCTCTTTCCTTGAGGCATTCATCTTCTTCGAGGCCGGCTCTCTCATTTGCGGTGTGGCGCCTACTTTCCAAGCCTTGATTCTGCTCATCTGGCGCTACATCATCCCGGGATATCCCCCGGAAAGGACTTATGTTCATCGGTATCACGGCGCATCTTACGGTATTGCGTCCGTCATCGGTGCTTTCAGTGGCAGTGTCTCATGGAGATGATGTTTCAATATCAATGCCATGGGTGGCCTATCAGCTCTGATTATCCTTTTTTTTTCCTTCTTTTTTAAGAACCCAGCTGCTGGTGAGCTAGCCGATATTCTTTTCGGCGAGAAGATGTTGCAAATAGACCCCCTCGGTGTCGCAATGCAATGGGCATGGGCGGAATTATTTGCCACATCCAGCCTTGCAATACTGCGGCCAGAATAATGCGTGGAATCCCCATCTTGTTAACTGTGTATTGGTCGGATTTGTGCTGATATTTGCAGCCTTCACGGTGTGGGAATACTTCCAGGATGACCGCGTGATCGTCCCTAGCCGATCGATCAAGCAGCATACATATCTGTGTTATGTATGTACTGATTCTTCTTTATCGGTACTTACTACATCCTCATCTACTACCTGCCCATTTACTCCCAGAGTGTCGAATAGGCGAGTCCCGTGCAGTCCGGCGTGCAAGGCTTGCCTCTCTTTCTCGCTGTCATGGTGGCTACTATTACCTCTGGCGGTGTCATCGCGGCCATTGGTCTTGCGACTCCTATTTAGGTTGTGGGTTGTACAATTGCCGTGATTGCTGCAGGCCAGATCCATACTCTGGACATCGGCACTTCCAGCGAAAAATGGATAGGCTTCTAGATTTGGCTAGTATTGGTTACGGTCTCGCATTCCAGATGCCAATGCTCGAGCATTGGACAGGCGACCTCGAGCACCAAGGACCTGCCAGAAGTGACGCTATTATTTTGTGTAAGCTAATTATTCTTAGGTCACAATTTTGCAGTGAGTTTTCTTTCATGTGGGACTAACTCAGAAATTTACATTCTTCCAAACTATCGGCGCATCTATGTATGTGTATTTCGGCCGCCCAGTCTACCTTAACCAAATGCTCATAAATGTAGCCATGTCTGCTCCTTCCGTCAATCGTGAATTAATTATGGTGGCAGGTGCCACAGATCTTCGCAAGGGCTTAGCGCTGAGCAGACGTCTAGAATCTTGATTGCCTACATGGCTAGGCTCAATGTGTTGTTTGCAGTGGCCGACTCAACAACAGGCGTTGCACTGTTGAATACGATTGGATCTAAGTGGAAGGGACTTAACACCGAGGCTATCAAAAATTGTGCCTACGGCTTAGATTGTTAACGCCAATGAGATATAGGTGACGGAGGACTTACCAAAAGATAATATTATATTATTTAGAAAGATTGAAATAGCCTTTCCTTTGAATAGAAAGCTCCAGTGATCAAAGACGGTCAGCCCACCCCGAAACCCAGAGGTTTTAATTACCAGTTGCAGGATACTAGTAAATTAATTCGCAATTATTGCCGAGTAGGAGCAGTAAGGCACGACCTAAGCCCCGAACCCTGTCGGGTCCACCGAGCTTTAACTCACCCAGCTTTATCTCCCTACAGCTTCCTAACTTGACACTTCACTCTACGGAGCTCAGCTAACGTGCTTATATTCCTCGATAAGCCACGCAAACAATCATTCTTCTCGGCAACCATCCGGATCCTTCGATATATCCTCTTTATTTATTCCAGTATTCGCAAGCCCAAAGTCTCCACCAATGTCTTGGAAAGGCAAAAAATAAGCAACCATGGCAGCCCCGCCAATACAATCATACCTACTCGGCACGATCTTCCTCACCTTCCGTGTTCTTTCGTTCCTCAGCGCCGTCAAGGACTACGAGATGTTCGGCTTGCCACTTGAGCATGAGACAAACGCTTCCACGATCAGCAAATCAGACCTGCATAAACAAACCGAGGACACTAGTCTCTCCTCCGGCCTATGCCCGCAGCGTTCGTGACGCAACCTATGGATTGACCTTCCTGCTTCTCGAAGCGTAGGGCCTGGAAATTTACGACTTTTACGAGAATTATCAGCGCCACTGCCGATGCGGATGCTTTAATTGTGGCTCAGTTTGGTGGAGAGAGTTGCCAGGATAAGGTGTGGGGACAGCTGGTCACGGGTGTTATGCTGAGGGCTTGGGCTTGGTGACATTGGAATTCGATGAGAATAACAGTCTGGATCGATACGAATGGAAATGTTGGCAGGATTACGAAATAAAAGTTTCGTGGAAGTGCCAAGGAAAGATTAGTTTATAGAGTCTATAAGAAGGAAGAATATAAAGAACGAGTCTCGGGGAGATCTAAGAAGGCAGTTGGTTCGGAAGGAAATATGTTCCGATGGATTCATGGCGTGCTTTTGAATTGGCAGGTCCTGGGCTGTATGCTATATTTCCTAAGAGGGATATGAGATTCAGAAGATCGGATATGCTGGGATTATAGCTTTGGCGCTTGGTAGAATGCTTCCAGCATTCTGACAACGGAGGAGTCAGTCTGTGCTCGTGTGCTTCTTGTAAAGGACGTTTATATCGTTATGTTGAAGTTTCTAATGCTCTCGCCAAGCCGTAATCAAATCATTTTTAGCCGCTTGAACCCCCTTCGACAGATGCGCCACCAGCCGGTCATGTGCGATCCCTGGCAGCTTAGCAGATGGGGCGTCTGCATCGGCATTTAACCCCATTTGGCGTGAGGTACCAGTCTGCCGGATACGGGCCGAAAGGGTATCGACCAGACGCTGCAGGTGTTCGAGCTCTCTGAGTATCACTTGGGCCTGGATATTCCATCCTAAAGCAAGGTTGTCGACGGTATGATCTCCAATAGTGACAGCCTGATATACCACTTTCTCTGGAGAGGTTGTTTCGTCATTGAAACAGTCCTCGCCACTGGAGCAGTTGCTAGGACGTCGGGAAAAGCATGCGCGGATCATCGCTCGATACCACACCGCTAGTCGAGAGCAGATTACTGCTAACATGAGCTGATTTTGGGGACGAAGGGCGCATCCGCATTGTAGCATGCGGCAAACCGACATGCCGGCATCCTTGTTGTGTTTGAGGACGGAGCCCGACATGCGTGGTGGCTCAGGACCACTGTCATCCTGGCTTCGAGACAGGCAACTGGTTTGGCGGATGTGGAGTAAACGGAGGCTTTGAGTCGCAGTGATAATGCAAGGAGGGCGATGTTGATCGAGGCAAGAAGATGCCGTAGTTATAGGTGGTAGTGAGCTCTCGGAGCAGATAGGTGGAGTAGAGAGAGACGGGAAGGCGTGGTTATGGTTGTCGTTTGGGAAATAATTAGGAAGCGCCGAACAATCCAACGTCGGTTCATCAGAATTGTCAGAACCAAGGGCATAGTCCATGCAAAAATCAGAACTGCTATTTATCCCACACCCTGTACTAGACTGGAGGGGCTGGGTTCCAACGAATGAATTCTGATATAAATCAGAACTGAGATCGACATTCAGGTCAACATCAAGAGCCTCGAATGATGGGTCTAAGAATAGACCGTTATTGGCAGCGGACCCCATGGGTGGATGCCGGGGATCCGCAGGTGCCGTACATTGGGGTATCATCGATTGCCAGTCACTGTTATTTCCGGAAAGCGGAGCCGGAAAAGAACCTGAATCCTCGCTGTAGCGCACATCAAAGAAATCTAAGGTTTCCATCAGGGGAGCGCGATCAGAATCGTGAGCCTCAAGTTGGCCACTTGGTTGGGCATGGTTCGACTGTTTGGTGCGGTGCGAGCGACACTGATAACGAGAACATGTGCATGGGGAAAGATCCATGTATAAATCTCCATCATCAATAACGGGGATGCTCATGGTCACAACCAACCGCGAAGCCTCGGATTTCTTGGCGACCAAGCTGAACAAAGAAAAGTCGCGACGGGTGGAAGACAGCGAAAGAGGTGTAGATTCCCACCTTATATATGACATGGAGCACTGACGAGATTCGGCCGATACTAAGGCATTAGTATGGAAAAATTATAATGGCGTCTAACTAGCCGCCGGAACCCCACCATCCTTCATTTCTATGGTTCCCTTGCTCACGGAGTAGCAAAAGTTGCCGACCCCTCCAGAATTCACATCATCTTATTCTATCCAGCTATTTAATTTTTATCATTCACGCCCCGCAGGTTGGCTGCCTATGAGCGGCAGGAACAGACGGCATCACGAACCAACAGAACGAGACTATGACTCGAGGCTGAGCCCGCGGACAGTTTCCCTTGGCTTTTCCCCAAATAGCTTCAACGTGGGCCAAAAGATTAAATAAGGGGCCAAATAGCCCAGGGACCATGAAACGGGAGACTCTGCAAATCTTTCAATTTGACCACACGATATCGACAATAACCCCAGAATATGGAACGCACACAAACTCAGTCATCGCCGACGACGACTGCGGCGGGCCCACCTCCCACATCTTCACAAACTCAAAAACTCAAGGATTCTTGTGACAAGTGCTCCTCTTCTAAAGTGCGCTGTACAAAAGAAAAGCCTTCGTGCGCGCGGTGTGAAAAGTTGGGATATTTATGTTTCTATAGCCCTGCACGACGGATTGGGCGACCGTTCCGATCGAAAGAACTTACATCGGCAGAAAAACATGGCAAAGAATCAGAACAGCCTCCTTCTACCAGGGCAGTAAAGACGACCCGATTTGTAGATGAGGGAGATAGACTATTCTCTCGGTTCAATGCATCGTCTACACATGTCGATGTGGGCCGCAATAGCGCCATTGCCAATCTCAGACCCGATCGACACAATGTATCGCTCGGGGCGCAACGACCAGAATACAATGTGACTGGAAAACATTGGCACAAGGTCGACCCAGACTGCATGTTGGTCACCATGGACCTCTTCTCCGAATTGGAGATTCCCGCCGAGCAGCTCAGGCGTTCATCTTCGGTAGATTCCAGTCTACTCAACACAACAACGCAGGCTATCTCCGCTGCGCTTCGCCGCCTATTCACTATTTTGATATGCCCTTGCTCTGAGCGCGCCGAAATTGGCATGTTCATATCTGCCCTCTGCATGACTATCATTGATATGCACGCTATGACAATCGCCAAGTGCGCTCGCAACAAATCTCCGCCAGCGGTGCTGGATCAGACAGGTTTTTGGGATGATCATGGAGTGGCTGCTCAGGAGGCGCCGGAAAATGAAGCCATGGCCATGCAGGTATTAGGAGAGCTTTCCAAGGTGGCCAAGTTAGTTTTGCAATTCACCGAGCGGTATAGTGCAAATGCGAGTGGTAAACAAGCCCTTCTTGAAGGCAACGATATCCCATTAGACTTTTTGCCTGCGTTGGGCAACTTCATGCGGGAGAGGTTGCAGCAAATTACAAATGATGCAACATACTGGCTAGGATAGTTTTGAGTATATAGCTTTTTAGATTGTTTTACAGTCATAGTTTTAGTTAGGTTCCTCGTGTGTTTGTTGAAGGCAATCTATTCTTATTCTGTTTTTACATCTAATAATAAAGCATCAGGAAGCTTTAATCTTAATCCATGCAAGGAATCTAACGAATATGCCATGGGAGATATCCCCAGAGGATTAGTCTTGTCTTCAGACATATGCTGAGGTTAACAAGGCTTATTTGGCCAATACAAGTGTCCCAGATGGTCGGCAAAACCTCTCAGCCCGTGTTTCGTCTTTAGCAGATAGCAGCGTTTAATCACTCGTTACAGCGAGATCACACCTTTCACTAATAATACCCGATTATCTGGAGGGCAAGGTCTCCAATCGCGAACTAGAAATCGATCACTTTCTCGAAATCTTCCAAGCCAGTTATCGAGGACCGAGGGAGGAGCTGGTGCAGGTCATAGTCCCGGACGAGGTTCTAATCGGAGCTCGAGAAGGAAATCGAAAGCGCTCAAAGGGTTATGAAAGTTGCCACGGACGATGCGCTGTAGTCATCCACTATGCTGACACAACGAAGACTCACCAGAGCTCCCTCTACATGTGGCTTTATTTCCATGCGACGAAACCGAGACCCTCTTGCTTTTGATGTGACCCAGAATGAATAGCAGGGTCTTGAAATCGCTTAATTCATTGGGCAGCTCCACGTTGAGGAGGTGTTTTTTTAACCAGGGTGTGCTCTGGTTATTCTCGTTAATAGCTACACAAAAATCACCACAACGAACGTGCACAACAGATCCCAACCCTTTCTTAGGGGTGCGAGAATACGAACAACTCATGAGCTCGTCCGAGCCATGATGCATGGTTTCGAGCCTTCCAGAAACATTATGTGCCTTGATCCTCACTATTTTAATACATTGATCCATTTATAGTCATCTAAGCGGCAAACCTATTTCTTCATGTCTTCGTTGATAACCTCTGTGGCACTACATCGTTCCATCCATATTAATTCAACATTGATACTGTTTTATGAGTAAGGGTTTATTGATAAGGCAGTGTAAGAAACAGACCTACAGACGATGGCAGTAGACAGACTACAGAAAGTAGATTAATAAACTAATCGAAATGTGACCGGCAGGTTATCCAATATATGTTCGTCACATACTGATGTGAGAGTCATATTTATCACGCCTGGATTTTATTCCAATGTCCTTGACAGGTCAACGTTTGTCCCACGGCTTACTTATTCTCCCTTGACGTTGTCCGCATGACGTGAGATTGTGAGAAAGTGGACACATATTGGACATCTGCAAGCACCTAGGACGCAAATCAAAAAAATTTATATATGGTGGCTATAGCATCAAACTTGATTATTTGCAGTGTGATTGATTCCATCAATGTAGTAGTTGTAACCTGACTAGTACTCAACCACATTAATGCTTGAAGGGCTGAACTTCTAATCTAAGCAAGTGTTCAAGACTAATACATCTGAAATAGAGTAAACTTGGATGACGAAATATGCGATATTATAGCGAATAATAACTTTAACAAATAACCAAGTGGGTGCTAAGCTTAGTGATACTCGTAGACCGTTAATATTAGCAACATACTATGTATAAATCGCAGAACTAATAAATTATTCCTACTTAATGCAAAGCTTATATATTTACGTTGACTTTATCACTAATTGCACCAAGATATTAAAACTAATATAGACCATACCTATGCCTCAAGTAACTTTGCAATGAATATAAGCCTGTCATGGGTTGCTTCTGACTTATATATAGACATTCATTTATAATTTACCCATGGAAAGGTCGGCATAATCCAAAAAGTGTCTCCCTTTTTTCAGCCAGTTCTTGCAGCACTGTTGCCATTCACGCCAGGCCTATTTCCAGCAGATCCCGATTTCACAAACGGCACTGCGACTTCTATGAGAATCATGGATCCTTCATCTGTGTACCTCCTTGGGGCTGGTACGCTTGTGCAGAACATTATTATATTTAACCGAACCTGACTCTGCTATTGAGATCTATGGTTGGTTCTCTGATTATTCACTAGATTGCGTGGACAAGGATCTTTGCCAAGATTGGGCTTTCGAAATCGAGGAAAGTTATGATGTGTGGATCTACAGCTTGGTCACCGAAGCCATTTCTGAGATGGTGAGCCCCAATAGTGAAACGCAAACTTATGCCAAAGACAGCGATTCTTATCGTCTTTGCTGGATCGGAGGACCGAAGCAGTCATCGGTAGTCGCGAGTTCTCGGGGTTCTACGTCAGATTCAGAGGACGATGCGAATTTATTGACTGGTCTGCCCAATGTCTGCAAAATCTCCCTTACGCAATTAATCAAGTGCAACTCCTACGCCCAAATGTTTCTTAGCCATCCCTGCCGGGACTCACCGAATAACGACACACAGCCTCGATCTGTGATGAGAGTTGTGGCCAGTCATTGAAGACCTTGTTCGACAATGCTGCTTCTAACAGTGCGGGATACAATGTTTCCGATTCCTCCGCTACCAAATTCGGTAGACAAATTTGATTTGGCTGGAATGAGACTTGTCTCAGGGATACCACAGCTGGAGAATACTCCAAGGTTAAGAGCTTACGCTACCATGATTCCTATGATCAAGAGCTCATGTTCTCCATGTGCAGCCTACAAGTTTAGTATACCTTTGCGAGCTTACACCAATGGTACTTACCCCAAGCTTGCCATTCCTTCCCCTCTAAGATAGGTAGGAGGTAGATTTTTATATAGTAACTATTAGTATAGCTAAATTTTCTGTCCGTTACTGCGGGTTATGCCTAATTAGGAACGAGGGAATGCAGCTCTATGCCCTATATTTATTCCTCTAGAGCAGGTGTACATACTTGCATACCTCCAGCAATACAACATTCACCCTCCGTCCACCCAGACAGACAGACATACTGACATAGGGCTAACACATCACGTGACATACGGGGATAGGACTTGAAGCGGAGAGCGGACTCGGTAATACTTCAGGGCGCATTAATAATGACGGGTAGACGGACTTAATAGTTGATATAATCTACCGCGATCCGTAATCCCGAAAATTTTTAAGTGGCTGCTTCGGTCGATATTTAAGTGATATGACGAATATCTGGATTGACTACCAATAGCGGTATTACATTGAAATAATCCATCCTATGGACTGAATGGAGATAAAGGTATAAATACTGCATATAGGGTCAGACCCAGAGGAGAAAGACAAACCAACCAATACACAGAGCACACATATACATATAATGTCCAACAAATCAGCCATCCTCCCCACCCCCAACTCCCAGCTCCAAATTCTCGACGCACCATACCCCGCCCTCACCCCAGACAGACTCATCGTCCGCGTCCACGCCATCGCAATCAACCCCGTCGATCTTGTGATCCAAAAACAAAGTCCAAATATCTTCCCGCATCTGGAGTACCCTATAACTCTTGGATTTGATGTCGCAGGCGAGGTCGTTTCTGTTGGAGAGCAGATCTCGAGGTTTAAAACTGGAGATCGCGTGTTCGGTCTCGCAGGGGGTGTATTGACGAATATCCGTCAAGAACAAGGGTTTCAAAATTACGTTGTGATGAGAGAAGTGGTTACTGCAAAGATCCCAGAGAAGATGTCGTATACTCAGGCGGTGGTCCTGCCGTTGGGGTTGTCGACTGTTGCGTCGGGGATGTTTCAGGATGATTATTTGGGGATGAGATGGCCTGTTCTAAGTGCAGGGGGTGGGAATGAGAATGAGATTGAGATTGAGAAGAGAGAAGAGACGGTGTTAATATGGGGCGGTGCGAGCAGTCTAGGATGCAATGCTATCCAACTGGCGCATGCAGCTGGCTATGAAGTGGTGACTACGGCATCGGAGAAGAACTTCGAACTGGTTAGATCGCTCGGCGCAGACCATGTCGTTGACTATCATGCTGCCTCAGCAGTAGATGACCTGGTGGATTTCCTACAAAACCGGAAATGTAGTGGTGCGTTGGCGATTGCACCCGGATCGGTGGAGAAATGTCTAGATATCCTGCAGCGCAGTGGGAGTAGACCCTTCGTAGCGAGTGCGTCACTCCCCCCTGCTGGTATCAGTGAGGACAAGGCCAAGTTCATCTGGGGGGGTTCCCTCGCGCGAAATGAGGTTGGGCCCGCTATCTGGGAGAGATATATCACACAGGCGATGGAGAGAGGAGTGTTTGTTCCCATGCCCAGGGCGAGAGTCGTCGGGGAGGGATTAGAGAGTTTGCAGATGGCGATGGATACGTTGGAAAGAGGAGTGAGTGCGGAGAAGATAGTGGTTCTTTTAACTAGTGTATGATATTAAGCTAATAATATTATGGAGTGAGGAATCCTCTCTCTCTCCACCACGATAGATATCTCCTCGTTACGTCCGGACTGACTGCGTCCACCGACGCCAAACACGATTGTTCTCGTGCCCGGGATGTGTCCAGAAGAACTCCTCCGCAGGACATACGCTCAAAGTTATCATCCAACCAGTCGGCCATCACGCGGGCTGGGTTATCTTCATATCCACCCAGGAAGGCTTTGACTCGGTGGATCCATTCCGGAAAGGGGACGATATTCCCAGCTGGAATATTCAACTCCTCTGTCAGGAGAGACACCATATCCGACCACGACTGACGGACTGGATTGTCAATATGATACACGGGATAAGGCTCCGTCGTGAAAAGCAGATCAACCAGGACGTTGGCCACCTCGTCCACCGGAGTCCAGGACAGCAGGCCCTGCAAATCAGGGAGAAGCTTCAGCGTCTGCGCGGACTTGATCAACGCGGGGAGATGTTCAGTGGGGTTCCAGTATCCAGTGACGCTGGACCCGGCGATCTGTCCAGGTCGGATGGTCATGGTCTTGAATCTATCCGGATATAGATGTAGTGTTTCGTCGAGGATCCTCTCGCAGATGAATTTGGCTTCGCTGTATCCGTTTGATAACACGGAGTCAATGCTAACCTTTTCTTCTGGGACATCTGGTGTATCAGACAATAAAGGATGACGTCCCACCGTGCCGATGGATGAGATGAACTGGAATCCGATCTCGCGATGCACGAAGGCTGCTTCTCGCGCTAAATTCACTAGATTTCGCATGGTCTGGAACTGTCCCTCAAATGAGGAGACTCCTTTGGCACCGTTCATGGGCCAGGCGTTGTGCACGATGTGCGTTACGGTGTGTTTGAGGCGCTCGAATTCTGGCGCAGAAAGTCCCAGGTGGGCATCGGCCGTGTTGGTTTCTAGAACCCGCAGTTTCGATAGTTCCGTCTGGAGGCCTCGCTCCTCGAGGGCTTTTTTCTGACGTTCCAATGCATCACCCTTCTTGCGATTCACGCAGATGACAGTCTGCACGGAGGGATGTGCCATCAACCGCGCCACGAGATGACTTCCGAGACTTCCTGTGCCCCCAGTAACCAGCACTGTGTATCCATCGCTAGATACATGCCCTGCAGTTGGCGGGGCAAATCCCTTGATATTACGTCGCACATACTCCTCTACTACTCTCCCCCGTTCCTCATTATTAACTCCACTCGGGGAGCTAATCTTCTTTCCCACCGGCAAACGAGAACACTGCTCCCCTGACGCAGTAGCAAAAATGACCCTCTGCACACTCACCTCAGGCGAATGCCCATCCGTCCAGTCGACATGACCATATCCCGCAGCATGCAGATCCGCCTCCCAGCGTGATTCATTCGTAATAGCATGATGTCGTCCATCATTAAACACCCACCACCCCCGAAACAAACCAAACACAATATCCACTGCGAAAACAGGCCTCGTCATCTCCAGCATCAACAACACCCCGTCCTCTCGCAATGTCTGGCGAATATATCTCGTCGACGTCTGCAGATTCGACGTTGCATGTACCGCATTACTCGCTATCACGATGTGTTGCGTCCCGAGTAGATCCTCCCCCGGTGGCTGCTCGATATCATGTACCCGGTATCGCATAAATGGGTACTCTTTGAATCTGCGACGGGCCTGCGCGACGAATCCAGGGGATATATCAGTGAAGGTGTATTCAACGGGGATGTCGAGGTTTGCTAGACCGGGCAGAAACCACTTCGTGCCTCCGCCGGTGCCAGCGCCCATTTCTAGGATCTTTAGTGGGCCGGTATCGCTACGTTTTGTTTGAACCACCCGTTGGATGAAATCGAGCATCTGTTTGTATCCGCTTACATTGTGCGGTTCGTTGCCGTACATCCAGGATACCAGGTCCTGGCCTTCTTTTGTGCCGAAGATTAATTGTAGGCCGTCTTGCTCGCCGCGAAGTACCTGGGCTAGATGGCGGCCTGTGTAGAAGGAGAGCTTGCTGGCGCCGGCGTATTCAGGGTATGTGCGGGATATTTCCTCGAGGATGGCGCTGCTGGAGCGGGTAGGAGATGTGATGGCTGTGCGGATGAGCTGGTCGTTGTTGATGTCGATGATTCGTGCCTCTTCGAGACGTTTGTAGAGGTATTCGACGAGCTCGCGATGTTGAGGATCGAATGGGATGCGGGTGAGACGCTGGCCGGAGGGGGCGCTGCGGATGGCGTCTCCCAGTTCTTCAAAGGCTTCGAGGGTTAGGGTCACGCAGAGTTGGAGCTGAAGTGGTGCAAAGGCGTGCACGCGTCCGCTGCATTGATTCTCTGCGAGGAATTGGTCTGTTAGGGCTTTGGTCTCGCCGAATGATTCTAATACAATGGTCATTGAGAGGTGGAGATCCGTATCACTGTACTCGGGGGTTAATATATTTCTGGAGCTAGACCTATCTGATTCAGCTTGAGGTTGAGAAGCCATGTGAGATTGAGCTCCAAGTTCAGGTTCAGGCTCAGATTCAGGTTCATGAACTGACTGAGTATCAAGATGGTCAATACCCAGGGCAGACTGCACACACTGCACCAAATCCCGGAATGTCTCTGCCTCCATGAGATCTGTTGCCGGAAGACTGCACTGGAAAGCGTCCTCCATTTCGCGTGCCAGTTCCATGGCCATGAGCGAGTCGACTCCAGCGTCAGCCATGTTTCCATCGTCATGGATATCCTCAGGATTCATGGCGCAGAACTCGGCGACGACAGCCTTGACTTGTTTTTTGATATCTTTTTTTGGTTTCTCCTCTACCTTCTCTTCCACACTCCCTTTCTCCCCCGTCTCCTTGTTTTCTCTCTCTGTCTTCCTCTGTCCATCCGGCGTATACGTCTTCGAAGAAAAACTCTGTAGAATTTTAATAAAGCTCCTCTTCCGAATCCTCGAATACCTCAACCCCAGAAACACCTCCACTAGGTCCCCCTGGGGCTCAAACACAAACACATCACTCGTATACCCACCCTCATCCCTTCTATGAAACCCCAATACATCCCACGTCTCCGGCCTATCCACATGTTTATCCGCATACGCAGGACACCGCATCCACATCTCCATCCCACTAGCAATATATATCTCCTCCGGATCACGATCGGTCATGCAGTTCACCCAGAATCCGCCAACCTGACTGAATGCGTCAACAAGGTATGCATCGGCCCATGTATCGGGGTTGTATTTCTTGCAGACACGACCGGCAGATTGGCTGTCTTTCCCGACCAGTCGATGGACGCCTCGGTAAGGGGTAGAATAGTTGATTATTTCTGAGAAAGCACGGTAGATGTTTCTGCCTTGGAGGATGTCATCTACCTCTGTGTTGTAGAGGAGGGCTGCACAGGTGCGGTGGGAGATGAGGCGTTTGTAACGGGCGAATTGTGCGACATAGATTGCATCATTGGGGGTGTGGAGTGTTATTCTGGCGGAGCAGTGCAGTAGACGGGTTTTGATACCTTTTGCCAGGTCCTCGCTGAGGTAGTGAATCGTCCATGTTTCTTTCTGCTTGTCTGGGTGTAGTTCTATCCAGACTTCGCGCGATGGATCCAGACATAATGGCGTCTCGCTGGTCACGTCTTCAACTACCGGTATTTTCCCCGTTCCCTCTGGGAGACTATGTAGTGCTTCGATGACCAAGTCTAGTAGAACTGACGCTGGAGCTAGCGGTGCTGTGTCGGCTGCAAAATGTCCGCTTATTGGACCTAGGTATCTAGGATGAGACGTGTTGATGCGGAATTTCGCTACCTCGTCTTGATATCCCAGGAAGGCGTATACTTCCTCTTGTTCTTGAGGGATAGGGACAGAAGGAAGTTTTTTATTCTCCATCCAGTGTCGTGATTTCTCGAACTGATATGGTGGGAGGAATAATGGTGGATAGCGTACTGTTTGTGGATGATGGCCCCAGTATCGGACGGAGATGCCTTCTTTCCATAGTCGGATAGTTGTATCTGCTAGGGAATTCATGGCCTGGGAATGAGTGATGTTGACGCTTTCGAAGTAGTGTCCTGTAGCTGTATCGACAGCTTTACTGGCCATAACTGCCACGCTGGAATTGGATCCTGCTTCGAGCCATACGCAGTCTCCGTATCTCTGACTGAGACGTTGCACTGCCTGGTGGAAGTATACTGGACCTCGTAGATGGTCCGCCACGAAGGTATTCGTCATGCTCGAGGAATGCTGCGTCGCGCATTCGAGATGGATACTCGGTTGCTGCAGGGCTAATCCCGAGGATAGCTCTGCTAAGGATGGAAGCAGACCGTCGACCAGACGACAGTGAAATGCGTGGGTTACGTTCAATCGCTTGACCCGATGTCCGGATAAACGCTGCTGTACTCGGTCAATTGCTAGTGATGGACCCGCGAGTGTGAAACTTCGTGCTGCGTTGTAACAGGCTATGGAGACATCTTCATCCTGAATAATCCGGTTGATTTCTTCTTCACTTCCCTCGACCGCCAGCATTCCCCCGGGATCGTCGTCCCATTTACCTCTGATCAGGACCGCACGATGTGCTACCATTCTCATGGCTTCGCTTAGACTCAGCGCCCCTGATATGCATAGCGCAGTTAATTCGCCGAAACTGTGACCTACCACTGCTGTCACAGGCAGTCCGGAGTCCATCCATGATCTTGCGCATGCATACTGCAGTGAGAATAGTTGCGTCTGCAACTGCACGGGGTCTGCAGTTGTATGTTGGAATATCCCCGGGTAGAGACTATCATATCCGAGAGACTGAACGATAGCATCGCACTCGTCGAGATGTCGTCGGTACAGAGGTATGTCGTAAATAGACCGGTCTAATCCGATAGATGTGGATATCTGGCCTCCAAAACAGAGAATCACCGGCCGGGCAGGCTTCTTCCGTACTAGACACGTCTCGTCACCGGAGATTATAGTTGTCAATCGGTTTTCTAGTTCGTTCAGCGTGAGACATGCGAATACTGCATGTCGATCAAGCATTGGATTCGACTGTCGCGAGAGATGGAATGCCACCTGGCCTAGGGAGATCTCGTTCGAGTGAATATACTCGACGAGTCGTCCAGCGTAGTCCCGAATGCGATGCTCGTCTAGCGCGCAGAATCGGACAGGCTGGATAGCTGTGTCCATACCTTTGATATCCTTGCCGTTTTCTTCTGCCAGCGGTGCTTGTGTCAGAACCATAGATGCATTAGACCCCGAAGCACCGTAATTATTTATCAGAGCTGCTCGGTAAGGGACCGTCCAAGGCTTCAACGCAGTCACGATTTCAATTCCCTCGTCCGCCTGGATGAGCGGATTCAGCGAGTGAAAGTTCGGCTGTGGTGGAATCCAGCCTTTATTGATCATCAACACCACCTTGACGAGCGCAATCAATCCGGATACGCCCTCTGTATGACCGACCAGTCCCTTGACAGATCCGAGGGCCAGCGACTTCTCCTTTCTGTGCGCGCTGCCTAATGTCTGTTTCACACTGCTGTATTCCGCTGGATCACCTGCCTGTGTACCGGTTCCATGAGCCTCAACGACAGAGATATCCCTGGGACTTAGCCTCGCCTTGCGCATCACTTTATCAAACAAGCCCGCCAGCGACGTCGCATCCGGCACCACAATCGGCGTACAGTTATCGTTCTGCTCGACGGCCGTCGCGGCAATCGTCCCCAGAACCACATCCCCAGCCGCCATAGCATCTCTCATCCTCTTGATAACAATCGCAGCGAACCCCTCCCCACGACAATAACCATCTGCCGTCTCATCGAACGGCTTACACGGCCCCGTCGGACTGACAAACGACGCCCCCGCCAGATTATCATACGCTAGGGGACTCATAATCGCATTCGCACCTCCCACCAACGCCATTCGGCACTCACCTCGTATCACAGCCTGACAGGCATGATGCAACGCCACCGCCGATCCACTACATGCACTATCAATACAGAACGCAGGTCCCCTCCATCCGAAGTAGTGACTCAATTTTCCAGCCATGAAACTCCTCAGGAGCCCTGTCGCTGCGTACGCAGAAGCAGGATGACAGTTCACGTTATTTTCGTAGTCCACCGTGCAGGAGGCAATGTAGCAGCCTACTTTCTTCTCTGGCTCTAGCTCTGCACTCTGGAAGTATCCCGATTGTTCGAGGGCTTGATATGCAACTTGCAGAATTAATCGTTGCTGCGGATCAAGCGACATCGCTTCGCGCGGGACCTTTTTGAAAAATCGATGGTCGAATGCGTCGATGTCGCGGATGAAATTTCCGTACCACTTTTTCTGCACCGCATCGGGACGCCAGGGGGTTTCGAAATTGATATATCTCTCGTGAGGAAGGGGTTTGTGTTGAGATTGGCCGCTGCAGAGGAGGTGCCAGAATTCTTCGAGCGAGTCCGCTCCTGCCACTCGACAGGACATGCCGACTATTGCGATGTCGTCGTCGTATACACGGGGAGTGGAATGAAGGGGGGAGAGACGGGATAACGCGTCCAGGTTGAGATCTGCGAAGTGGATTATTCGATTGCGCAGTGTTCGAAAAAAACTTGGTGGGACGCAGCGTTCAGGTCCGAACTCGATGACTTTTCCTGTGCACAGATGGGTGGTATGCACGGCCGAGAACGTATCATACCAGTGGCAGGGCTCAGCCAGGATCGACTGTATGACGAGATGATGCAGAGGTCCGGATGTCTGTACTATATCTCCCTTGTTTGTCCGCGTGGGTTGGATTAGGTGCGATGCGTCGGGTAGTTGTAGCGCAGCGACGGCGTCGCAGAGGGATATCAGGGTCTGAACTGTATCACGATGTCCCGGCCAGTGGTATCGTCCATTGAAGTCGACAGGTGTGCAGGTGCATCCGACGGATTCCAGGGCGTTCTGAAGGGGAGACAGATGGCGACGCGGAGTAGTGATTGTGATGCGGTTGATATCGTAGTATACCGTGATGGTGGACTATCCTATTAGCTTCATTCCATATAATATGGATATGGATTGATACCTCGTAATCCGCCAGTACACTGGATAAATCCTGGTTCTCCTTCAATACCGTTGCTAACGAGGTATACTCCTCGTTCATCTGCTGCGCGTCTCCCAACGCCCCCAAAATCATCGCCAGTCGCACCGCAACGGCGACATACTCCTCGTCAAGCGAGGCGACAACAGCACTCAACAATCCAATACAGAACCCAACATTTTCAACTGGCTCGGTCTTCGTCCACCTTTTGTACTGCGCATACTGCGTGAAATGCGTCAACATCAACAGCGGCGCCAGCTGGATATACGGTGGGGGAAACGTCTGCTCAGCGAGATCTCCACTGCGGAACCGCTCGTGCAGCTGGACCAACTGCTGATATCCAGGGATGTCGTTTAACTGGGGAAGGGACTGTGCTGCAAGATGATAGTAAACAGGCAGTTCAGCCAGTACCTGTAAGGCCCAGCCATGATCGTCGAGGACGACGGCGCGTAGATGAAGAAAGTCATCCCTTGTAAAAGAGAGACACTGGCAGCCGAAGAGGAAGACGTCCATTTTACGCATTATAATACATAGCTACATAAACATATTTGTATCTATATATATATAGGTATATATATAGAATAGGGATGGTAAGCTTTAATTCTGTGCAACAGGCATATCTATACTCCGGTTACATGTCGGACTCGTTCCAGATCCTGCAGACACTCCACCAGCTCGCGTAACATGCCGTCAAACGCACAGTCCAGATATCCATGGGCCGTGAAGAACTCGGTACACATCGTCAGGGGGATTGGAGTGAGTGGATGAACCTTGAAATATCCAAGCTGTCCCTGTATCTGCACTAGATGGACTACCTCGTGCGCCGCCAGGATACACAGTCGTTCGTACTCGATCATTCCTAGCAGGTGCTCGCTTGTTTTCCAGGTTGTTGATTCTAGCACGTTGTGCAGATACAAGACCATTGTCTGCGCCACTAGTCGTGCAAAAACTAGCATCGAGTCCACTGGTGTACAGCTCGCCAACGCCTGGATGCGATGCCGCAGCATCTCGTGCAGCCATTGATGGCGCGTCCAAGTGTCTTCGCCGTGCAGTTCATGTATTGGTTCGTCGGTAACTTTCTGGCGATGGGAAAGTGCTCGTCCGCAGAGAGTTGCGAGAAGGATGCACTCGCCAAATGACCCAGGAGAATCCCCTCGCCCTATTACCTCGCCCAGGAACGGGGATGCCACCGGTTGACCGACTTGGAAGTCATCCTCGGGGGAGGGGAGACGCGTGCTTATCTGCTTCATGATATTAGTTTCCCTCCTCTGTCTCACACCCGCACTCGGGAGATATCCCCAGACCTACCAACTGTTCATGCAAGGTAAACGGCAGCCCATTATGAAAACTAATCAACCGATCCAGGGTATACGCCATCCAAAATGTCCTTCTCTGCTCCTCCTTCCCCGTCCAATCCACTTCCAACGAATGAGAAGGATCATCCAGCTCGTACAAACGCATCGCCAGAACCAACCTTCCACATCGTCCAGCACTCATCCATGCCTGCTGCGGCGACAGATACATATACTCATACAGACAGACGAGCACCCACGCCTGAGCCTGTTCCAGCACCGCCGTCTGCGGCTGCAGATCCAATGCGTCTAGCATCTGTCGCGTCTCGGCGTATAGAGCATCGCGTAGGGACTGGAACTGAGCGGACAGCGCCGCAGCGAGCGTCCACATAGCGGATTGTAGACCAGACTGGGCCTCTGTGGGAGGTGATTTCGCCCATATGAGGTATCGCCATCGGTGGAGGATGGGAGCGAAGGGGTGAACGCGGTCGAAGTATAGTTGGTCTCTACATTTGAATTATTAGCCTCTATCATATAGGATTTATGGGAAATAGAATACAGGTCAGCTCGCATCAAATCAGACACGATCCCCCGGGGCAAGACTTCTTCGTCAAAGGGCATTTGGCGATCGGCCAGGCAGCGTTCGAGGGCGGCTATATTATTAGCATTCATCTATCAGGATAGAGAGAGACGTACCTATTCTCGTCCGCAACGTCCGCAGCTGTCCCTTTCGCGGCCCTCGAGGTAATCTCGTCGCATTGATCTTACATTCAATCCCCGTCTCGAAACAAACCTGACACTGCGGACGTCGTCGATCGCAACGGACTTTGCGACGGCGACATTCCTCGCAGGCTGATCCGGGGCGTTGGCGCGATATGGACATTTTGATGATCTATCTGTATCTGTATCTGTATATATATATTTATCTATGTATTTATCTACGTATTTGTGTATATGTGTATGTTTATGTTTGCTGGCAAACTGCAGCGTTGTACGGAGAATGTGCAACACCAAACATATAAATCACACAGCTTAAGTATATACTGACGGTATGACAGCAAGAACAATCTACTAACATACTACTGAGATAGAGTATAGTCTGAGATACGACAAAGAGAGAAAGAGATGGACTTCAGCCATATCCTCGACATCATCGGCCAACTCCCCATTCTCAAAAGCTACACTCACATTCTTCTCTGCTTCCCCTTGGCTGATCCCTCTCTCGACTCCCTCGAGTCCGCCGTTCAGCATCTCGTCGACCTGCTGCCTTTCCTCGCCGGACAGGTCGTGCATGAAGGGCTCTCTCCCACCTCGTCTGGACAATTCCTCGTCAAGCCGTATCCCCATCCTCGATCTCCCCTGCGCATCGAAGACCGTCGCTCCCAGTGCGTCTCCTACGAGACCCTTCTCTCCGCTCAGGCCCCCTCGTCTATGCTCCCCGGAACTCTTTTGGGCCGTCGTCGTGCTTTCCCCGAGTCCTACGAGGATTCTCCCGATGACCCAGCCCCGGTGTTGGACATCCAGGCGAATCTCATCCACGGCGGACTCCTCCTCGATCTCGCAGCGCAGCATAACATCGTCGACGCCATCGGTCTCTTCCAGATCGCGCATCTCCTGGCCTTCGTCATGCGCGGGGAACCAATTCCCCAAACAATGCTCGACGAGGCCAATCGTCCTCGACACGATCTCATCCCGTTACTCGGAGCCGATGAACCTCTCCTCGACCATCGTGACCTCCGTCCTGCGCCTGAATACATGGTCTCATCTCCTCAGCCACGAGAATCTATAGGGGCCTTTGAATGGCGATATCTACATATCGACGCTGTCGCTGTCCAACGTATTAAGTCCCTCGCGGATGCACAACCTACTGATTTCCATGCTTCCACTCCATTCATCTCCGATAACGACGCCCTCACGGCCTTTCTCTGGCATCGCATTACATATGTACGTCTCCGTAGACTAAATACCCCGCAAGCTATCTCCAGAATCAGTCGCGCCGTGGACTTCCGTCGTGTGGTGGGTCTCTCACCCTCGTATCTAGGACACATGGTCCGCGTCGCATTCCTCCGTCTCACCTTCCAAGAAGTGGTCGATAGTTCACTCTCGAAACTCGCTTCCCTGGTCAGGAAATCCGTCCTCGATATCTCAGACATGTACAGTCTACGTAGCTACGTGACTTATCTTGCTCGAGAACCGGATAAATCTACCATCAGTTACGGGGGAGGTTTCGACGCCAACACGGACCTGTCATTTTCGTCAATTGCGCATCTCTCACTGCCCGAGTTTGGGGCTCTAGGAAAGCCGGATCTCCTCAGAAGACCGACATTTCAGCAGTTGCCGTGCTCGATGTATCTTGCGCCTAGTATGAGGGGAGGGGTTGAGGTGTTGGCTTGTTTGCTTAGGGAGGAGATGGAGATGTTGGTGGGTGAGATGGGAGGATTTTTGAATTATATTGGATAGTCGGTATACTGTTCAATATTAGCTAGCAGTCGATAACTACAGTTAGGAATTCAATGGTGAAAATAGTATTGAGCTCAATAGTGTATACTAATATCTGTTTAAGTCATACTTCCTCACCCAAACACTCAGTAACAATCCCACCCCCGACACTCCCACCATCACCTCCCAAATCACCCTCAAACTATCCGTATACGCCAGTTTCAAATGCTCCTTCGCCACTCCCTCGCTCATCCCCCGAATCACAGCCCCAAGTGCAGCTGCATCCCGACTCAACTCCCCAGCCCTACCTGCCCACTCTTCATACCTCAGTAAATACGAATTCATCCGGTTCTGAAAAACAACACCTCCCACAGCAATCCCTACAGCCTGTCCGAACGCCCGAAAAAACACAACCATCGCCACTGCCACCGTCAAATTCTCCGTTGACGCACTAGCCTGGACCGCGCAGACGATTGCTGCAGTTAAAATCCCCAGACCGATTCCCCCTGGTATATTCAGGAGAATCCATCCCGCTGTACTCGTATGCGGACGCAGGAGGCAGAGTAATCCCAATCCCACCGTCGCGATACTCCATCCCACCCATAGTCCCCAGCGATATCGCCCTGTGATGGTGATGATAGCTCCGCAGAGAACAGCCGCCGGGGCTACAGTGAACGTCTCGGGGAAGAGAGCCACGCCAGTTATTATGGGACTGAATCCGCGCACGGCCTCGTAATATAGAGGGAGATAGTACAGCGCACACCAGAGGATTAGACCCTGGAGCCAGCTGGTCGCGAAAGCGATCGTCGTGCTGCGATTTCCGAAGACAGAGTGTGGGATCATCGGGTTATTCGCGTAGGTCTCGTAGATGATGAAGATGAGGATTCCGGTTCCGCCGATGATTAATGGGACCAGAGTGTGCCATGATCCCCAGGAATACATCACTCCACCCCAGGATAATGGGATCAGGAATGAGGCTACACTACCGACGAATAGGACTGTGCCGATGTAATCGATCTGACGGAGTTTCTCCCGTAAGGATCCATCGGGTGTGCTGAGGCGGAAGAATATAAGGAGTATGGCTGCGAGACCGATGAATGGGAAGTTGATATAGAATATCCATCTCTACACCCACATTCAGTAGTCAGCATATACCGTTAGTTAGGGGTATATACATACCCAGGACACATTCTCCGAAAACCCACCCCCCACAATCGGTCCCAACACCGACCCTAGACTATACATCGCGCTCAACACGCCGTAGTAATTACCTCGGAGTCGCAACGGAACCAGATCTGTGACTACCACCTCCGAGAGCATGGCGATGCCCCCGCCGCCGACGCCTTGGATGCAGCGTCCGATAAGGATCTGCGTGAAGGTATTGGCTAGTCCGGCTACCAGGGCCCCAACCAAGAAGAATACGATGCAGATCGTGATCAGAGGACGACGGCCGAAGATACTCGATAATGTGGCGGTTGTTGGTTGGAATACTATATTCTTATTATATATTATATCTATGTTATATATGTATACGCACCAGTCGAGCATAAAAGGAAGGACGTCCCGCTCCAGAATGCTTCCATGGCGGAACCGTTTAATTCCCGGGCCATTTCCTATATCATTAGCTCAGATTAAAGATGATAGTGGTGGACGTACTGGTAAAGCTACTGAGATTGATGTCCCATCTAGCGACACCATCAGGGTCAAAATGGCCAGAGTGACGAAGATGAGTCTTCCGGTCAGCGAGAGCTTGAATGTCTCTGTGTTCTCAGTCTCATGTTGACTCTGGCTATGGCCATGGTGGTCTAGTTCTGTCTTGGCCATTCTCTCTTTCTCTCTCTGTGTGTATGTGGCTCTCAGTCTCTCTCTCTCTGTCTGTTTCTGATGGGTGTTACTGAAATTGACTGACAAGGACTGAGGAGTTTGAACAGCATATCCTAGTCATATACTAGAATATAATAACAAACACCACGTCAAACAACAAACAGATATCCACTGTACTACCGGGGCGCCCATTTCCGAGAGATTTTCCGTATACAGCAAACAGACAATCAATAGCAATCAACAGCAATCAGTATGAAACCAACATGCTAATATTAGAGCAAATAGTACAGCACTAGTATCAATTAGTATCAATCAGGTCCACCTAGATCGTGAAAAGTCAACACCAGAATGGCAGACCAGAATAATGCTCAGAATAGAAGCCAGAATGGAGGCCAGAATGGAGGCCAGAGCCACGGAGCGAGTAATCAAGAAAGAATGGAAATAGCAATCATCGGCACCGGCATCATCGGCTGTATTCTCTCCCTCGGTCTCCTCTCTCACTTCTCCGTAACCATCTACGAACAAGCCCAATCCCACCGTGAAATTGGCGCTGGAATCGCCTTCACAGCCAACGCCCGACAATGCATGGCTCGCATCGACTCACGTCTCCCGGACTGCGTCGCCGCCGTTGCCACCATCAACGGCGATCCCGCCTGTCCCAATGACTCGATGCAGTTTGTGGACGGATTCACGCATCGTCCAGATGACGACGTTGGAGATGACCTCCATGGTAGACGCGTTTTTACGCTCTCCGCTGGACCAAGGGGGTTTCAAGGCTGTCATCGTGCTCAGTTCCTAGAGGAAGTCATGAGGTTGATTCCCCCTGGAGTTGTCCGGTTCTCGAAACGATTGGTATCTCTATCTGAGCAAGATGGTCGTATCAAATTGGACTTTGCAGATGAGAGCGTGGAATATGCTGATGCGGGTACATCCCCTTTATAAAACCCAGATATAAACAAGAATATAATTGATATAATATATAGTAATCGGCTGTGACGGCATCAAATCCCGTGTTCGCCAACTCCTCCACCCTCACGCACACCCACAATATACACATAAAATCGCCTACCGTGGACTGATCCCCATGGAAGACGCAATTTCCACACTTGGTCTGGATCGCGCCCGCACGCAATGTATGTACGGCGGTCCTGGTGCACATCTATTACATTTCCCCGTGGCGCAACAACGTTTAATGAACGTGGTGGCTTTCGCCGGGGACGCGAACGACTGGCCCAAAGACCTGCCCATGGCTCAGCCAGCTACCCGGGACGAGGCGGCTCGTGTCTTTGAGAACTGGGGCCCCACTGTGCGTGCGGTAATTCGCCTCTTGCCGGACGAGATGGATAAATGGGCGGTTTTTGATAGTTTGGATTCCCCCCCTGCGTCGTATGCGGCTGGTTGTGTGGCTATCGCGGGTGATGCGGCGCATGCGTCCTCGCCACATCATGGGGCTGGGGCCGGGATTGGGATTGAGGATGCGTTGGCGTTGTCGACTGTTCTTGGCTGGGTGAGTGAGGTTAGGACGTGGGAGAGGAAGCGGGCGCTGCAGGCTGCGTTCCAGGCGTATTCGACGGTGCGGCGTGAACGTGCTATGTGGTTGGTGCGCAGTAGTCGTGAGGTCTGTGATATCTACGAGTGGAATCATCCCGACTACGGTTCCGATATGGAGAGAAGTCATGAGGATGTCAGGGCTAGGTCGCATCGTATTTGGTATTTTGATATTGATGGGATGCTGCGTGACCTGCGTGACGAGTATCGTCGATTGATCGAAGCAGATGTTAGTTTAGCATAAGATGTCACTAGAAAAGATGTGATCGCGTAAGATGTGACAAGAAAATGTTGGGTTGTTGACTAGCCCATCCACGTATCCTAACTATAGTCTAGCATCTCCCGCAGTATTACACTCCCCGTCAGTTCGTATACCTCGCGGATGTACTCCTCGTCCAGTGAAAATGCCCGTGCCATCAGGTTCGGAATGTATCGTCCAACCAGCCCCTCCACATCCACATTGCCTTCCAGGAACCCCGGTTTCAGCAGACATTGTCGGAACCGATCCACTGTCGACCGCAGATGAGTCGAGTGGAACGGCACGTCTATCCCCTGCAGCGGGATCGTTGCCTTCCCCCGCTGTAACTCGATGGGATGCGGAAGTTCTTTGGCCTCGTCCAGCAACCGCTCGAGTACCTGCTGTGCTTCCGACCCATCCTTGAATTCGACCGCCTCATGGACCACCTCTAACCCACGAGCCGACTGCGCTATGTGGTCCAGGAGTTTCCCCAGGACGTACAAGTTGGTAGTCTGTCAGATCAGCATCTGCATGCCCATCAGGCGAGCCAACTTACAGTTCCCGAGCACACATATTGCTCCCCTTCCACATTGAAATTGACAATCTCCAGCAGTCCCCCACTTGCGGTAGCTATTACCCCTACTAAATGGGATAACGCTTTTTGATTAAAGACTACCCAAGTTAGCTGCGGTAGACAACACATCTAGAAACTTACATGGACCAACCCGCTTTGGGTTCGCTGCCACCATGCCATACCCCGCCCCCCCCTGGCCATCCTGTACAGAGGCTTGCATCATCAACCCTCGATAGAACGCCAGCTCCGCCAATGCCCCTGTAGAGACGTATCGCGACAAGGCGCTTAGTGCCCCGTACTCGCCCAGTGAGTGTCCTGCATACACCGCGTCTTGCGATACATATCCCTTGGCGCGCATCTCTGCAAACACAGCAGCTTCAAACACAAGGATCGCCGGTTGTGCGAATTGAGTCGAGTATAATAATCCACGGGAGTCACTAAATGTGTACGATGTTGAGCTGGGTGAAAGACCCGGGAGGACGCACTTTACAATACGACTCCCGTCAGAAAGCGTTGACTCGGTGGTGATAGACAGATAGTTCTGCCTGATCCTGCGACCCTTTTTCCCGCCAAAGTTGATGGTGATGGTTCGTGGATTGTTACGGACGATGTCAAGAACAGACCACCCTGGTTGATCAGCAAGAGTTGACGCACGAGCAAGACATAACCTACCATATGCGCCATACAGCTGTGCATCAATTTCATCCCACAGCCCCTTCGCCACCGGACTCACTTGATACAGATCCATGCCCATCCCTTGGCTTTGACTGCCTTGACCGGTAAACAGATATGCAGTCCGCGGTTGCTCTACCTCCGCCTCGGCGTGCAGTACTTTTTCATCGTTGTGACTGCGGAACACCTCGACGATAAATCGCATTCGCCCCTCAACCATGCCAGTGTGCTGTATCCGCACCACCAGCTTCTCTAACGGCATCACCATTGCTACGAAACTGGCTTTAAAAAATTTGAGCCGCTCTCGCTCCCCCTCCAGCACCAGATACTCCAAGGCAGATACCGTGATGGCGGATGTGCACATACCATGGCAAATTGTTCCAGGTAGCTGTGCCAGGTTTGCGAAAACGCTCGAAGTATGGATAGGGTTGAAATCTTTAGAGAGCTCGGCATATGCATGGTTACTGGCTGGCATTTGGACCCCCAGTTCCGAGGGGCCCGACCAGCCCGGCCTGTCAAAGTCAATCTGTTTGGCTGATCGAACCCCTTTGCGCTGCATGAAGTCGACAACAGGGTTTCCAGAACATTCATCGCATTCAAAGTGAACCTCTCCTATCTCTACTAATTTATGGCCACTGAGTCGACAGCGGACGGTCCCTGTGACCCGCAGTCGTTTGGATTTCGCCGTTGTGTGCGTGACATCAGAACGAAGACTAAAAACCAGCGACTTACCCACCAGAGAGGGCGCATTATCATGCAGATGGAGCCATCTACGATGTCTTAAAACTTCCTCGTCAACTGTCGATGACACCCGGACGATCCAGTCGGGTTCTTTAGTTCGGCGAAACGTTGACGCAACATCCATGGCTGATCCGCGAAATAGGAATTCTGAAGTCACAGTCAACACGGGTGCTTTACAGCGTGTGATAACAGCTTCCACTACAACGGCCTTTCCTGCTTCTTCAAAATATACAGCTTGGACTTGAGATTGAGAGCTCACTATGTCACCAACACGTAGTGGCGTGGCCCCAGAATGATATTCAAACGTGTTTGAACGGTGGACCAATCTGAGCAAGTCACCGTCCATCCCCTTGGCGACCAACGGTCGAGAAATGACTTCCCACGCTATGACAATCCCAATGCTAATGGGAATTATTGTATCGCCAGGACATATACCCCTGTGGCCCTGGAATGCTGGGCCTACTGCCATGATCAAGCTATTGAGCATCTCAGCTGTGAGGGTCGTTTGACGTCCATAGAACGTATCATGTATAGCGACGTCCGGGGTCTGGACTTTTCCAAACCAGACATTACTGTAGAAATCGCGGCTCCTCTCAATACGACCATCCGATATCTCAGTCATTCTTGAAACTGCGCCCTTGGCATTAAATTGATAGAGCAGCCGTAAAGACTCGGTGTTTTCATCAGGATATACTTCGACCTCTATATCAACTCCATTGTGGGATATGAGCGTCATTGATGACTTTGATTTGTGTTTCTCCTTTGTTATTATGGACAGCCTGGAATGATCGGGGCTTAAAGAGAGAATGCTCTCAGGATAGGTTTCGAGGAAGCAACGGAATGGGTTATCTTGGCGCCTACTTCCATATAGGATAGTCTTCTCCCCAAGGACCGCCTGTATCCAGGCCGGCGTAGTTCGACAGCTATCTAATCCTATGGGAGATGGAGAACAGCGGCTAGCAGGTTCCGAAGCGGTGACCGATGACGGTAGCGACAACTCCTCTAATGGCAACGCCCTCGCAGTCGTAGAAATGGTTGACCAAGAATCCGGCGTGACCAAGCCACTATCCAGACCGCTGTTAAGGTCTTCACTAGTTCCATCGCGCTGGATAATATCGACCAAAGACATTGTGATGGAATCAAGGATATCCTTGGCGGACTGGTCCTGGTCTCGAGAATATTGTGCAGCCACAGGACCATGCAAAATACATACTCGTTCTGCATCTCGGTCAACAACAGCCTCAATATCCTCTGATTGCCACAGAGAGTCTTTCTTGAAATAAAATTCGAAGTCTTCATTGAGCACAGGAATGAAATTGACTGGTTTCCGGTTTGGGCGTTTGGTCTCAATCAAAAAAGAGGACACATCCTCAGGATTCAAGACAGTATCAGCGCCGTCAGGACAGACGCTGACGAAGGTACGGATAAAACCATCTGGGTTCTCTTTTAAGCTGGTACGAGAAAGATTTTCTCTATCCATTGGGCTACCACAGAACCTTTCCAAGGCGCGTGTAGCGAAGCTCATAGTGAAGTCGATGTATGACGGGTCAACCCAGCGCCTTTGGTGATGGACGTACATGAGCGCAACTAGTCGGCTCATTGTTTCCCCATACGTCATATCTTTCAGGTCAACGGCATCTCCATGTGAGTTACGCCCAAACCAAGGCTTCGCAAAATCTTCATTCAAGCGAGTAATAATCGAGCCCCTATGTTGAATAAGATATGCCTGACGATCTTTATGGGCCATACTGAACACTGTTTTATCCATTTCTGCCCAAAAAAGGACACACCTGTTGGCCACCTTGTGAATTGGTTCTCCCATCTCCGACTGTACAGTAATAATCCCCCCGCTCGGGCCTAAGTAAGTGTTCTCCCACTCATTGTCCGGAACACCGGGTGTCTTGCAGATAATCTCCTTAACAGGAGGTGAAGTATGGGCTTCACGGGCCACCATCATGCGGCTTCCAAGCAAAACACCGTCAAAAGGCATCGCCGCATAGCCCATTTGAACAGACCACATGCCGGTGAGATATGGGTGGATACTCTCTCCCGTACCAAACCCACTGCCCGCTACCAAGTAGATATTAACATGCTGGCGGATAAGGCCATAGGTTTTAAGTATCGGAGCATGAAAGTCTTCAAAGGAATGATGACCTCCACCTCTCCCTCCGGTCCATTGGAGTATTATAGGAAATTCAGGATGGCTCTTTGCAATGTCGACCACCTGGCGTATGGCCCCCACTGACCCTGGCTTGAAGCCAATGTGACGTAACCCCAGTGTCCGAATATACTCCGTCACAACATCAAGAGAAGGCACACCAGCGCCAATTGTGAGCCCCTCAATCAAAATTTGTCTTTGTGATAGGCGTCGTAGTAGTGCAATCTGCCAGCCCATAGCTCGAGGGTTGGCATATATAAGATTGCAGGTGATACCACGCCCGGGAGTAATAGCGTCTGCTAGTCGATTGATGGCAGCCTCCATATCAGCTGATTTGTGGTAGCCACCTCCCGCGAGTTCGGTATGATAGCCGGCGTTCATAATGGCGGATACAAAATCCCAATGCACCGTTGTGGGCGTCATACCACCTACCATGACGGGCGGGGTGCCTAACAGCCGACTGAGTCGTGTTTCTAACCCAACAGCTGATGCTGTCGTCAGCCGCGGCTGATATAGCTGACCCCAGCTCTGAATCTTTGTAGATGATTCCAATAGGATAGGAGAGACGAGGTCTTGCATGGACCCTATATCTGGATCTCGGGATTCAAATTCACCCCCTTGAACTATCCGTATACCATGGCCCTCTGTGACCTTTTTCACTAAAGGTGCAAGGCTACCTCGATCAAATACAACGACGTGGGACACAGACAAAACGTTGTCGTGTTTATGGTTAGCCCCAGCCAGCGCGATGGGCCAGTCGCAGAGCTCCTGCATAATAGCATCGAAGGCGACGTATAATATATTGTCGTTTATTTCGCGAATATCTTGTCCGGTACGAGTGTGATAGACCGGTAACAACAGTTGATGCGAATGCAACTTGCAATCTGAATATCGACTTTTCAAGGATGCTGCCGCGCCTTGGAGGTATGGTGTGTGAAAGGGCGTACTAATCGGCAAAAATGAATGGTAAATAGTTTTTCCCCGACGACTAAATGGTATTCTAGTCTGATCTATGTTAGGCCTGCTTATTTCTTGTAAATAGCTATCAAGATGTACTAGCGAAGCAACGGGACCAGCCACCACGAACTGATCTCGGGCGTTGATGAGAGCAAGATATAACTGTGAAGCCTTTGGCAAATCTTTGTTGATGCTCGCTACCAGGGTGTCAATTTCATTTCGTTTCAACCCACGTACACTGAGCATATATGACGGCTCAGTCTGACCTCTTGTGGAATGGTTCCTCCCTGTGGTGAGGACCGGACTCCACACCGCAGCATGATGGCATTCCCACCCCAGCCAGAATAACGCTTCCACAACCAGCCTGGAGCTGTCATAGAAAGAGTCCCAGGAATCTGAAATGGCTATAGCAATAGAAATTAGTATCCCCTGTGAGTGGCCTGTTGTGGCACGCAGTAAGCGTCGCAGCCCTCCAGGCGTAAGTCCCGCTACATGACATATAACCATGTAGCGTGAGAGGCTTAGAAGGCCAATAACCGGTACACTCACTGGAGCGTTGGCAATAAATTGAGAGTCTGGAAGCTTGGCTGGATCGGATATCCAACTCTGAATATCGAATGGGTGCCTTTCGTAGTAGCGACTCAATTCCGGAAGCCGTGACAGTTCGTCAAGACGACACCCGATGACCTGTATAAAATCTCGCAGTATTGGCTCGTATGTCATGTAAAGCTCAGAAAGTTCTTGTACGCAGGTACAGCTCGCGTCTCCCTGCCCACCAAAGACTGCCATTAGCTGGAATCTGTCTTGCCGTGCCTGATCAAAAAAAGTGCTGAGAGCCTTGCGGAGAAGATGAGCACTGTCCCGCTCGCCACCACTACTAGCTTGGATTGCCTGATAATAGGTCCGTAACAATCGCTGGCGATTCTCCAAACTTGGGGACAGCCCCGCCACTAGCGAGTGGATGTCCATGCCACCTTGCAGGAATTCATTCTCAAATGCTTGTACAACAACCGCCAGAGCATTCTCCGATGTCTTACTGTAGAGAAGCAGAAACTCGAGGTAGGCAAGGGCGAGTTCGGGAGGCGTCTGTAGCTCGTCTTTCCTAGACAAGTAGAATCGGGACAGCAAAAAGGCATATTTCTGCGATTGCAACCATGGGAAGTGTGTGCTAGGCACAGACAGTGTTAGTTGGATTTCCCTGTGGCGGAAGACAATGTCGACTGCCGTTGTTGAAGACGACAGGGAGGAAACGAGTAAAGGGGAGGAAGGCATGACAGAGTCAGATGACGACACAGGACGCTCTTCCACCAGAGTCATTCCTCGTGATCGTTCAAGCACCTGAGCAATCGCAACAGCTGAACGAGGGGACGAAAAACGTTGGTCCTTCTTAGCAACACTCAAAATCCAAAGATCAACAGCTCATCCTGGGCGGGACCATCGTCCCCTCGACTTCGTATCATGAAACCACAAATCCTAGGGAAGAAAAGAAACCAAAGCACCGCAATTTCAGTGATTCTCCAATATATTGGTGCATGCCCTCTGTCCTTATTTTTCATGTTTAGCCATTTCCAGCGTTTGATACCTATGTAGCTCCTCCAGATGGCAAATTTGCAGGTCTAGATTCATCCCATACAATCTCATTGATCCAAGGCTAATACTCTCTTGTCACAGTTCCTGCCTCCTTCGCAACCATAGTGTAAAACCCACAGTCGGAGTTCGGTTAGACTGTAGTGTTGCTAGTCAGTGAACTCGACCTCTTGTCGCCGCCGGAGTTTCGTAAACGGAGTTTTTAGTCTCTGTGCCACCCAGATTTATTGACCTTACAATATCTATCTTTAAACATACTGTTATACTCGGCGTATGGGACCCACTGTGGCGGATATGTCGATCGGAGTCTCCATGGATCTACATAAGAGTCGCAGACTCGGGATGGTAATTCCTTGTCTTCGACTGTTTAGTTGAACCGTTCCATACGTTGGTGTAGAATACCTATGAAGCCATGACTTACTAGCTTGTTCCATCCCCTTCAACCTACATTGTGTCTGGGTCTCAACACCTCAGCACACGTTCAAACAGCAATCAGCCGACGCCAGCATGACTCTCCACGCCACTATAAACCAATTGAATTTGGGAGAGTCCAGCTGTGATTGTAGAAGGGAATTGGCGTACAAGCTGTTTATCGAAATACTGGCGTGAGTTGTATGCTCGATATATCTACAAGCCTTGCTGATAGAGTAGATATCAATTGGCCTCTCCAGTGCGATGGTAAGTCTGCCAACAAAACTTACTAGGTTTTAGGGCATCTGCTGAGCTGACTAGGATCGAAACTCAGAATGAACTTTTTCACAGGGAGCCGGCTATTCGGCGCTTCATCGAGATTGGTCCTCGCAACACCCTGGCTACCATGGCTAAAAAGTCGGCTTCCAAACAACATGCGTTAACAGAATGGCCCCGCCTAAAGTTTCTGTCATATCAAGATCACCAAGACGAGATTCTGTTTCGCTATCTTGAGTCGGATATGCCTAAATCCTCAAGGGAGGAAATACTACCAACAACTGCAAATTCCTCGCCAGCTCCAGTATCGACCTCGTCTGCTAAACTTAGTTCCAAACAGGTAGCAGTGGACGATACGCCACAAGATAGGCATGCTCCTAGTGCAGACATTTTGCTTTCAGCTAGTCACATTATTCTTGCGCTCACAGCACAGAAGCTCCGGCGTCCTTTCGACCAGGTGTCTATGGGAAAGACGATTCGCGATCTTTCCGGGGGTATGTACTAGATTTGCACCCTTTGACAGTGTTGATCTATCTAACGATTCAGGTAAATCGACTCTTCAGAATGAGTTAACCGGAGACCTAGTGGCTGAGTTTGGAAGGATTCCAGAAGGTGCCGAGGACATGTCCCTGACAGCACTCGCAGACGCTCTGCAAGGTAGTTTTGCCGGGAAGCCAGGCAAACATATGAGGGCCTTAGTATCTAGGCTAGTATCAAGCAAAATGCCCGCTGGGTTCAATAGAGGCGCTATGCAGGATTATCTGCAGTCACGTTGGGGTCTCAGCCAGACACACTCGATCGTCCCGATATGCTTTGCGACCACTATTGAGCCGCCTACCCGCTTGCCGAATTCAGATGCGGCACGAGTGTATATGGACGAGCTGGTCAACAGATATGCTGCATACCAAGGTATAGGTTTTGTGATCGCTAGTCAACGGACAAATATAGGCCCTGGGTCTTTGTCTGTAGTGGACTCTACCAGTCTTGAGTCTTTCAAAAAAGAACAGCTCGACTTCCAGCGCAAACAGCTGGACCTATTGACAAACTACCTTCATCATACAGGTACGATAGCCCGAACTGGCGAGGTTGAACTAGAATCGCGAGAGCCAGTGGAGAAACTGGCCACCTTGTATGCAGAATTCGAAGACCACTTCTTGCAAGGCATACAGCCACTTTTCGATTTGAATCGGGCTCGGCACTATGATTCATGGTGGAATTGGGCTCGAGAAGAGCTTATTAGGTGGATGAACGATGTCTTCCACGGACATGTCGATATCAGCGTTTCAAATATAGACGATCGCCTGCGTAGGATGCTGAACAGATGGGAGCCAAGTTGCACCGATATCATCACGTCCATATTAGCTACATCATACTCAAACAACTCCACAAGCCACCTGCTTTCGAGTGCCTCCAACACTGGCGCCATGTTGAATGAGGTCCTCCGACTAGCATCTCAAGCCCAGGTCAATGATCCAGTTTTTATATATACTGAGCCGCCGGTAGGTCCCAAAACCATAGTCTCCAGCACTGGTCGAATGGAATATTTGGAGGTAGAGCGAGCAATACGAAGATACCCGGACGTTGCGCGCCAGGGTCGCTTATCGCGCAATGACATGAAAATGATTGTCCCGTTTCTACACCTCAAAACCAGGGAAGATGAAGGAGACTGGAAATATGACGCAAAAGTAACTCAGATGTTACATGCCACTCTAGATGCTGGAGCTACCACTGGATTTACCTACAGTGGAAAGACCGCCCTCGTGACAGGCGCTGGGCCGTGCTCAATAGGTGCAAAAGTGGTGCAGGGACTCTTGGCTGGTGGTGCTCGAGTCATCGTCACTACCAGCCGCACAGTGTCAAGTAGTGCTCCATTCTATCAAGAAATATACCGTCAATATGGAGCCAAAGGATCATCACTCACCCTTCTGCCTATGAACCAAGCTAGCAAGCAAGATTGTGAGGCACTGGTTGAGCATATCTACAGCGAGAAATCCCCTGTAGGGGGTGACCTGGACTATATCATTCCATTCGCTGCTCTTCCACAATCAGGGGAGCTGGACACATTAAGCGGTCAACAGGAGGTAGCTTTCAGGGCGATGCTAGTTAACGTCTTGCGATTAATGGGGCTGGTGCGACGAGAAAAGGAGAGGCGACGGATTGAAAATAGGCCCGCGATGACTATTATACCCATGTCTTGTAACGAAGGCACGTTTGGTGGAGACGGATTGTATGCTGAGTCTAAGCTTGGTCTGAAAACTCTTCTCAATCGATTCTATTCTGAAACTTGGTCGACCTATGTGACAGTATGCGGAACAGTTATGGGCTGGACCAGGGGCACAAGTTTGATGCGTACGTCTAACATGGTGGCGGCCGAGATGGAAAAGATAGGTGTCATCACATTTACCCAAGCCGAAATGGCATTTAATATACTTGCATTGATGACGCCTGCCATTACCGGATTTGCTGAGGATGCACCAGTGTATGCTGACTTCACGGGTGGCTTTGGAGGAATGTGGAACGTCAAGAAACAAATTGTCGCAGCTCGCCAGGAGCTATCTGATGAAATTAACCTGCGTAATGCCCTGGAAGAGGAAGATGCACGCCACAGGGAGGTTGTCCTAGGGCAACAACCAGAAAGTGATGATAAGCCAAAGATGAGACGCGCGAACCTAAGGCTTGGGTTTCCGCATTTAGATAGTCATCACACGTTGGCGGTCAAACTCCCTTATCTTCAAGGAATGATAGACTTGTCTCGAACTGTGGTGGTTGTGGGATTCTCTGAGTTAGGACCATGGGGAAATGCTCGCACCCGGTGGGAAATGGAACACCGAGGCGAATTCACACTAGAAGGGTATATAGAAATGGCTTGGATAATGGGACTAATCAAGCACGTTGATGGTGACCTGAAGGGGGGACCATATGTTGGTTGGGTGGACTCAGAGACCGAGGTTCCTATCAGTGACAGTGAGATCCCCCAGCGATATCAAGAGCATATCAGCACGCATGCGGGATTACGTCTGATTTCTCCGGACAAACGAGACAATTATGACCCCAGCCGGAAGGAATACTTACACGAGGTAGCGGTTGAAGAAGACCTTCCTCCGCTAGAGTGTTCCCAGTCAACAGCAGAGACATTTAAATTGCGCCATGGCGATGACGTGATTATACAGCCAACTGGGGAAGGAGACGCCTATCGAGTACTTTTCAAGAAGGGTGCTATTTTGATGATACCAAAAATGGCACCCTTTAGCCAGACAGTAGCTGGAAGGATCCCTGGAGGTTGGGACCCTCTGCGGTACGGGATTCCTGAAGAAATTGTGCAACAAGTCGACGATACAACGCTGTATGCACTGTGTTGCGTCTCAGAAGCCTTTCTAACAGCAGGAATCAAAGACCCTTATGAAATTTACCAGCATGTCCATGTTTCAGAAGTAGCGAATTGTATAGGCACTGGAGGTGGCCCTATGAAAGCTATTCGAAATATGTACCGTGATCGATTCCTTGACCGATCATCAGTAAGGGGTGACATCATCCTGGAACACTTCCTCAACACGACAGGAGCGTGGATCAACATGCTTCTGCTTTCTGCCGCAGGGCCAATTAAGACACCAGTTGGCGCATGTGCCACAGCACTTGAATCTTTGGATATCGGCTGCGAAGCTATCCAATCAGGAAGGTGTAAGGTGGCTATAGCCGGGGGGTGTGATGACTATTCAGAAGAGCTCGCGTATGAGTTTTCTAATATCAAGGCAACAGCCGACGGCACAGAAGAGCTAGCGAAGGGGCGTTTACCAGGTGAAATCTCGCGTCCCACAACAAGCTCGCGCAGTGGTTTTGCCGAGTCTGCTGGTAGCGGCTCGCAGATTCTCATGAGCGCCGAACTGGCCTTGAAAATGGGTCTTCCCATCTACGGCATTATCGCCTATACCCAGATGGCAGGAGACCAAATAGGGCGCTCCATTCCAGCGCCAGGCAAAGGAGTGCTGACGGCGGCACGCGAAACCGACGATAGCAAAAGGTCGCCATTTCTGGACTTCAGCTTCCGGCGTGCACATTTCGATGAAGAACTAGTTGAGCTCCAGCAGCAGTGGGCAAGTGGAAAACTGGCTAGGTTGCAGAAATCAGTCGACATTTTATCTGAACAGGCTGGACAAGAGATGGAGCAGGCAAAGTTGGTCAGGTTGAGGGAAATTCAGCACCGATGGGCGAATCAAATCCGCCTGCAGGATCCCTCTATTTCTCCAATAAGAGCATCGCTGGCTTCTTGGGGGCTGACCATCGACGATATCGGGGTCGTTTCGATGCACGGGACGTCCACTAAAGCCAACGAGATCAATGAAGGTGAAGTTATCAATACCCAGATGGCGCATCTAGGCCGTCGAAAGGGCAACCCGCTCCTTTCCATTTGTCAGAAATCGCTCACTGGCCATCCAAAGGCCGCTGCGGGTGCTTGGCAGTTGAATGGCTGCATGCAGATGATGCGGGATGGGATTGTCCCCGGCAACCGTAACGCAGACAATGTCGACGAACATTTACGCTCGTACGAGCATCTAGTGTATCCGATGGAGTCAATCCGTACGTCGAACATCAAGGCGGCCATGCTAACCTCCTTTGGATTCGGCCAGAAAGGCGCAGTCAGTATCGTTGTAGCACCCAAGTATCTTTTCGCGTGCCTGTCCGCGGTTGAGTATGACGAGTATCGTGCCCGGGTGACACAGCGGCAGCGTTATGCCAATCCGGAGTTTGTGAGACGTATGCTCAAGCAGGCACTTGTCCAGGTGAAGGACCAGCCGCCTTGGAATGACCCGGAAACCATGCGAAACGTCTATCTCGATCCGACCAGCCGCCTTGCAGAGGATCAGTCGACATTCAGCAGCAAATCGCCAGCCAGCTCTTCTACTACGACACCCACCATCAGTGACAATAGTTCAGAGGTCACTGGCAGCGAAGACAGGTCTACTGCCGCGTCTAGCCTCGTCCAATCGATGATCGAAGAAGTAAGCGAGCGGTCTAACGCATCTCCTATTTCAGGCGTGGGCGTGGATGTGGAAAGTATTGCATGCATCAATACAGAAAACGAAACATTCCTCGAGCGTAACTTCACATCTGCCGAACAGGAATATTGTTCGAATGCTGCCGACCCTCGGGCCTCTTTCGCCGGTCGATGGAGTGCCAAAGAGGCGGTATTCAAGAGTCTTCGGACACCATCCAGAGGAGGGGGAGCAGCGATGCATGAGATCGAGATCGTCAACGACCGGGGAATTCCCACAGTGACAGTAAGTCTGGTATGCTTTGGTTGCCCGTCAATACTAATGATTTTAAGCTCCATGGACACGCAAAAGACATTGCTTCCGCTCGACGTATCCACAACATTGAGGTGACCATCAGTCATTCCGCAGAGACAGTCATTGCTGTTGCACTCGCAACTGGGTTCAGTGAATGAATACGGAGTATAATATTCGCGCACATCTCGGGTAACTTTATATATTTCTGACCTGCGTACTGCAATCCTAACATCTTACAAATGCCATAGAAGTCTCCAAAAGGCTGAACTCTACAATGCTGGCATTGAGCATTTAGACTGCTCGCCAAACATGCTATGGAACAAGGAAATGCAGAGAGTTATGATCACCGACTTTGGCCAAGCAAGGGATTTCTCGAAAGCGGAAGGCCTCGATAGAAGTGCATGACTTGTCCCAGCCAAAAAAAAACAAAGCAAGTCATCTCCGTAGTCAGATTGCAGATTAGTATAATTCTTGCTTGGCCCCGTCAATTAATACGTTGCTGGCCAGAAGCGTATAATCTAAGCATCTCCCCTTCAGATTATAAGCACCCCCGTAAAACGTATCTTCAAAAAGATTGGTTCTTAGTTTTGGATACTACCCTATTTGATGGAGAGCATACCAGTGCATGTCGTAGCAATACCGATGTCTAAAGGCGAAATTAAATAGATCCAAGGCGCATTGCCTTAACAAGGACAGGTGTCATTTTCTTTAGGAACTAGACTGTACGATCTTATTTTCGCCCAGAATGGGAGTCGTATGCCTGTACATTTCATGGACATAAAATATTAAATACATTAACTATATACAAGCAAATTAAGCGAGCTGGCAATATTTTCAGATTTCTCTTCAGCTTATCTTTGTGCTTGGAATGAACTACCTCGCAGGCTGATTTCACATGGCTGAATGATATAACTATTTCCTGCGTCCCCGGATCAGTTTTCACATAGATCATGAACACTGAAAGATCGGCAAAATGCATATTTTAGTTGCCGAGGATAAGTAAGCCACTGCCTGTGTCTTGGGATATATATTCTGACAATCGCCCTCTAGTAAAGTCGTGCAGAAACTCCTTGGCCCAATGCTCAATAATTACGGCTGCACATATTCGATAGTGTCTACCGGTCAGCAAGCCCTGGACTATCTTGCCAATCTATGCCCAGGGAGTCGGCCAGATGTTATTATAATGGATGTAAGGTTCACCGTATAAAATACGTTAGCGTGGGGAAAAATTCAATAGAATAAAATAAATAACATAAACCAGATTGATATGCCTGTAATGAACGGGTTAGACGCTACAAAGATCATCCGCACGCAACCCCCGTTCAATACTGATCCGAAGATCGGAACAACCCCCATTATTGGTCATACTGCACATCAAATTCCGAGTTATGTAGAGCATTGTATGCAGTACGGGATGGATGATGTCCTTCAGAAACCCTGTCGGCCGCATAGCCTAAAGATAAGACTACTTCGATGGTCTCGGCACCAGACAATGCCTGTGGCTGCCTTGGAAACGGCCACAATTCCTACTTGGGGACCTATGCCATTACGGGCATATAGGGGGCCGAGGTCGCCTTTGTAGGTTTTCATCCATAATAGATTAGTAGCCCCCGAGGCTTGGTGGTTTAGCATTGCGCGACATTGCTGAAATATAAGCCTAGTGACTCCAATCCAGTAAATCCAATCCAACAAGAGCCCATAAATATTGATTATAGTATATCCAAACACCATCAATGACTCTCATTCTAGACTAACTCCAAAGAGATCCCTCCACAAAATAGAAACACAATCTCGCCACAATTAAGATCTGCTCGCAGAAACCCCATTTTATAGCCTGAGGGGCTGTGATATTTCCGGTCTTCGCCATAAATTATAACAACTTAACCTCAGTACGAGTGCAAAATCAATCCGCTACGCCTTAGGAGATTCACCAATATAAAAATCGTTTTAGATCATTATTATATGCCGCAATTATAACAAGACCAGACGTTGCCAAAGCAGCTAGCAAGCTTGCTGAATTCCCACTTAACCCATCCCGGAACATTTATCTCAAGTCAACCAAGCAACGTCAGAGACACATGAAGCGTTCATTCAACATCTAGGGATTGTCGATATATCCTGTCTACTGCAGGATTAGTATTTAAATACTGTCGGCAATTAACTAGTTAACTATGGTAATATTGATTATTCAGCACCTTTCTCGGTCAAATGTTGTTGATGATACAACGTCATCGGATCGCTTATATTTCCTATATTAGTTAGTTACATTCTTTTGTTTGCCTTGCTTGTATAAATCGAGATATTTTGGTAGTTTAGTTGAATCAGAGACCTGATTCTATGGAGGATCGATGCTTGCGGATGCGCGTATTTTTTATGGTCAACAATACCAAATCTTGGAATCTTGGGAGTTGTAAGAATAAGCTAGTCCAGATCGGGACATCATGTGAAATATATATACCCAATATCTCTCAGAGGGGTTGGGTAGAACATCCTTCTGAATACAATCAGTTCAGACCCCTCCTACTCCCACCCCCCAACAAAAATTGAACAGGAGTACACAAGTAGGGTGACGAGGAGTGGGGTGTCAGAATTGCCAGGCTTACTAAGAACAGCCACCCAATCACAAATGATCGGACACCCTTGGCGAGCAAGCTGAGCAATTGCTATCCTCCAGCAGTTAGGACGATACATATTCTTGGCTCACCTGGCCGTACAAAGGAGTTTAACGATCTAGCAAGGAGGTTGGTTCCACTTGGTAATCGTACAAAATGGAATAGCTGGTATCATATGCACTCTGTGGCTCTTCAGCATGAGGCTGCGGTTGATAGCTATACAAAGAAGCATTTTAATACGCGAAAAGCAGAGTATTTCTCTCCAATAGATTGGGAAAAGCTTCGCACAACAAGCAAATTCCTAGGTCTTTTTGAACATGCAGCCCTGAAAACACAAGGCGACCAGGCAACAACTGATACTGTGCTTTTTGTGATGGATGTTATCATAAAGCAGTTTGAAAAACCTCTTATAAGTCTACTTCTTAGAAAATATAACAGATTAGTCTATTGATTACTACATAACAATATCTTTCTACTATGCATAGCAGATTGAACATGCTCCAGGTAAGGGATTCTGTGCTCAGATTCAAAATGATTGGAATACCTTTGACAAGTACTACAGCAAATCAGATAATTCACGTCTTTATGCTGCAGCACATATTCTTCATCCAGCTCGCCGTACAAGATATATTCAGGCTAATAGGAGAAAAAGCTGGCAAATGCCTGCACTCCAAAAAGTTAAAATGCTTTGGGAAGAGTATCGCAACAGTGCTCCTCGTCATATGATTATGTGATCGAACATATGAACATGATCGACCTCAGGATGTTGATGACGTTGATCGAATTACAGAAGTACTATGTGCATTTACTCGACCAGCAAGTCAGGATGAATTTGAAGATTATAATAATGAATATCCATGCAACATTCGTACAAGCCCTCTAACCTGGTGGTATGAAGATGAGCAGCAAAAGCGCTGGCCAAAGATTTCATATATGGCTATTGATTTCCTATCGATTCCAGCAATGAGCGACGAGCCTGAGCGAGTTTTCTCAGGTGCACGTCGTACAATCTCATTGGAAAGTGCGCAGCTATCAGCTGAAAATATTGAGAGAATAGAATGCATAAAACACTGGTAGAAGAGTGGTATTTTAAAAGCGAAGCTTGAGAAGAAGCTAGTTAAAATGAATCCTTTTGAATCCATGTACTATTGATAATGCCAAGAAATTATCTTAATATTATAATTAAACTGCCCCGCCTGAGCTAAATGAAACTCTGAGTGTGTTTGGGGGAAGGCACTTCTGCAAAGGCCTGCAGTGATCATAACATTCATACAGCAACGGGGCTTAGTACGACTCAGCAGAGCATTAACGAATTAAGAGTCTTATGGATATGAATTCTACACTATATCTTCAATAGTGCATCCACTAAGAGTTTCCATTATTCATCGAATTCTAGCCGAGACCCTCACCAATGTCGCTCCACCAATTGCCTTCGGACCCAACACTTCCACACCCAGAACTCAAGCTCTGGGGTACGGAGTATCTGCCATGGCTTTACCCCGGAAAGACTTCATCTCTCATGCAACAGCCCCTCGGTCCCCCTGAAATGACTTCCCATGACACTCAAGCCCACCATGCACTGGGCTTACCACCCCCATAATCCCTTCAACTGGCCACGAGGGAAGAAATGGATGGCAATGCTAACGTCCTGCTGGGTCACCTTCATTGTCGGATTAAATGCCACGTCGATGACCACAGCGGCCGAGTCGATCTCGACGGAGTTCAACCTGAGTAATGGCACTTTCGAATATAATTTCTTTGCCGTCACGGCCTGGAACGCCGCCGCGGCGTTTGTGCCTCTGGTCACTCTTCCGCTAATGGACACCTATGGAATGAGGTATGGATATGTGGTATGCCAGTTCCCTATATAAGCATAAATGTATGGAGTTGACCCGCACAGGCAGCGTACATCCTGTTCACCATCTTTGTGATCCCTCAGGCTCTGGCACCGAATTTCGCCACCCTGGTGGTATGTCGCGCGATCGCAGGGGCATTTGGAGGCACGTTGCAAAATTGCGCTGATGGTCTGGCTTCGAACATGTTCCTCCATCATAAAGATCGCGTATTTCCCCTGACTCTGTATACCTTCACTTTGTTGTTTGGGGTTACTATGGGCCCGGTCCTCGGCGCTGCGGTTGAGCCATTGGGATGGCGATGGTAACGATCACACCCTGCGCCAGAACACAAAAACTCATCATTTACAGGGTATTCTGGGTTGAATTAATCCTCTACGGCGCATGTATCCCGTTGGTCGTATTATGCATGAAAGAGACACGTGGACCGATCCTCCGCGAGAAATTCATGCCGAACGAGGAGCCATCCGACAGCCCGAATACATCCGACGCCCTGCACATTTTCCAGGAAACGATTTCTCGATCCGCATTGCTACTCACCACCGAACCGACCGTGACTTCGTTCACGGTCTGGTCAGCGTTCGCCTTCGGTCTAGTTTTTATATCCACACAGTCCATCCCGATCGTCTTCAGCGGCACATACAACTGGCCATCATACACCGACGGAGTCATCCAATCCTCCATCGGCATCGGACAGATTATCGGCCTGGGCGCATGTCTCTTCCAGAACCGCGTCTATACACGCAGCACAGCATATAACCCGGAGAGTCCCGGGATCCCGATCCCCGAATCGATCCTGCACCTGTCCATCCCCAGCACGGCGGTCGGACTCGCGGGCGGACTATTCATGTACGGCTGGTCGACGTACAAGACACATTGGATTGTTCCCGCGATTGCACTGGGTTTGACGGGCTACGCTATCATGGTCATCGTCACGGCGGTCACTATCTATGTGACGGATTCGTATGCCGGGTTCGCAGCGAGCGCGATTGCGGCTGTCGCGTTCGGTGAGAACATCTTCGCGGCGGTTCTCCCGCTGGCTGCGAAACCCATGTACGTCCGACTCGGGTACCAATGGGCTAGTAGCCTATTGGGGTTTGTGGCGGCAGCATTGACTTTCGCTCCGGTGGTGTTACTCTGGAAGGGCAGGACGATTCGGGGCAGAAGTAAGGCGATTCAGAAAATGGCTCATTCTTGACTTGACTGTGGGTTGATTGTTCATGCGCGTTGAGCCTCTAGATACAGAAAACTATACCCTTGCCTATCACTTCGTGTATATAGTCATATCACCAAAGAGCTCATCCGCATCACTCAACGTCGCCCTGGCATATCCTTTCACCATATTCCCCACGCGCGCACAGTCCGGATCCGTAGTAAAGGGACTACATCGTTAATATCCATACCCATACTCACACTCACTGGGAGGAGAAAAGGAGGGGAAATACCTAGTCCAATACACCTCCCCGTTCTTTTTGACATTCCTCACCCACGTCTTATCTTCCTTCTCAGCCAAGGACACAGTATTCCAAACCATCGCCGCCGGCCACTGGAGGTCCGCGACGATCTGCTTGACAGGCACATTAGGACTCACAGAGAAGACGAGCGTGTTTGAATCCACCTCGAGAAACCCCTTAGGGTCCTCCAGCACCACGATTCCAATCTCACGCAGAAACTCCTTATCGACAGCATCGTACGCCGGGTCCTGCGCGAAACACCTCACACCTTCAGACTGGACCATTCCCCTCGCGCTCAGAACGGACACCATACTCTCGATAGCGGCATGCTGGGCATGTGCGCGCGTTACATGCCAGTCCTCGTCGCTGCTCCCGGATGGATGGGAGTCACTGCGCGATGCGAGCGATCCCAGAGCGAAACACACGATCTTGTTCACGGGCACGCTCAACGTCAACGTCGATAGATGATGTTCCAGATCTCGTCGCGTGGTACTTTCCATCCAGAGATGACGAGTCTGGCTGAACCGGACTCGCACCTCATCCAATGTACAGGTCGACAGGGGAGGCGCGCGTGTATACCCGATTGACACGGGGGTGTGATCGTGGCGCAGGGCTAGTTCGGGACAGATGGGCGCCAAATGGCCGAGGTATTGGATGCTGGAGTAGTTGATGCGGTAGGTATTTCTACACCATCAGATTTGATTTCTTTTTTTCCTAGTGGCTATGGATGAGGGCTCACGCAAAATCAGCACACCATGCAGGAACTTTCAGACTGTAGGTCTGAGGCACCTCGTCCAAGTCCTGAATATGCACCTCGTCATGTCCGGCGTCTATCTGGCGGTTCAGGTCCTCGAGTAAGGCACGAGGGAAGAATGGCTTCCCGGATTGCCAGAGACGCATGATATGAGCGAGGCGGTCCTGGATTTTACCCAGGGTTTCATGGTCAATTTCATCCTCCAACGATACGACTTGAGATTTTTCCTCGGTCATAGTTCGAGGTAGCTGCACCGCACTGTACTTATGATGACACGATTACTATCAGTCTGAACTTGAGGATGAAAAATAGGCGAAAGTACTGGATTCTCGATCTATATAGATACTACATCTAAGAAATAGAAACATCTCCATATCCTATGTATCTCCCAGCTGTTGGCACCCAAACCCAAGCTACTGACCTGACCGCAGCTCCCTAATTTAGGTGTTTGTTTTCTCGCCCTGCAGACTCACACTATGACCCGCATGGGCCCTCCATTAATAACTGGAGACTGGGATGATCCAACCCCCCTAGAGAGGGCGTCGGACGTGGTGATTGGGTCCCGGCACAATGCAGAGCTGCAGCGCAATGGCTATTTTCGGGCATATTATGGGATATTTATATCCTGCGCCGGAATACCGGTGGATGCCGCTGGTTGGTTGGTTGGGCGATATTAACGGTGTATTCAGAGGAGACTATTGGTGGTATATAATTAGTATAATTAGAAATGTACCTTAGTATCTGCGACTTATATTTATCTTAGTCTGATTTAGCATGTTTTGTGCTATATCCAGAGTTAGAGATCTGTAGTTCTCTGCATGGAGTATCAACCCTATCACACAATGCATATTGTTGGTATGTTGGGAGGGGCAGATTGGCCGAAGTCTGACAGCTGACTGCATGTAATCATTCTTCTCAGGGCGGTTATCCTAATGCTATCTACTTTGGATGTGACTTGACTCCAGCAGACGACACGCCGGCCTTTGTATCTCCTACTACCCCCTCCAGTAGACGAGACAGACACAGATTTTATTTCAGAAGCCTTCTATCACCTGGACAGGATCGTGCAACGTGATACAATGTTTTAGCCCCCGACCGATACTCCGTCTCCCTCCGAGTTGTATCCCGTTTGTCCTACTGTCTGTATTTTCCCATCATTGGAGCCAAGAGGTTGTCTCATTCCTATCGTCTCATAAGTAGAATAATGTATGCATGAATTGCGATTCCTTGGATTCTTCCGTCCCGTGTCCCTGTACTCCGTTCCGAGGCTTTGTTGTCTATGTAACGTGTTGTGTAGACATAGATGGTGACAGAATGTACAATATAGTCCGATGGATGAGTTTGTCCCCCAGTATTCGTCCTACTTTGTTGTTTGATTGTCATACGTGATTTTATTTTCATCCGAGTATATTCAGAGAGTAACTGATTTCCCGTGGAATGGTTAATTGTCAAAGAGATTGTCTGTTAGCTATTTTTTGGATATGATCAGTAGTGCTGAGTGATGGATAACATGTCTGAATGATAGAAGCTTATCATGAAGACAACATATACGGAGAATGAAATACCTAGACATATTCTACAAACGATTATGCTGGAATTCCATTCATTATGAAGACATAAACAGTGTCTCATTACCAATCAGCTGAATTTCCCCTCATTTTCAGCATCCGACCTCGGCTTCACCCCTGCAAGAACACGACATAAGACATGCCACAGTCTAACAATCATGTCATGTACATATTTTTACCCCATCCACCATGACATCCGAAAGCTACGACGTGTTGATCATCGGAGCCGGCTTCAGCGGCCTCTACGCTCTGTATAAATTCCGCACCGCCGGACTACGCGTCCGCATCTTCGAAGCCGGCGACGACATCGGCGGCGTCTGGCACTGGAATAGATACCCCGGGGCCCGCGTTGACTCAGAATGGCCACTGTACCAGCTCAGCGTGCCGGACGTGTGGCGCGATTTCAACTTCTCACAGCGTTTTCCCGACCACAACGAGATCCGTCGATATTTCGCGCACGTCGACCGAGTACTGGAGTTAAAAAAAGATATTCAGTTCCAGGCGCGCGTCCACTCCGCGACATGGGACGATGACACTGCTATCTGGACGATCCGGAGTGAATCCGGCCACATCGCAGTGGCTAGACATCTCTGTCTGTTCACTGGCCTACTGCATCGCGCGCACAAGCCTGATTTTCCCGGTCTCGACATCTACCAAGGCCAAATTATTCATTCCAGCGCCTGGCCTGACTCTCTCGACCTGTCAGGGAAGAAAGTCGCTGTGATCGGCACAGGCGCCACAGGCGTCCAGATCATCCAGGAACTCAGCAAACAAGTCAATCAATTAACCGTATTCCTCCGACGACCTAGCACCTGTTTCCCCATGGGAAATCGACCCCTCACAACAGCAGAAAATGACGCCTGGCGTCCCTATTTCCACGTCATGCACTCCGCAGCAAGGAACTCCCACGGCGGATTTCCCTCTGTTCCACCGACAAGGGAAATCAACGACATCACCATTGAAGAACTAGAAGCGTTCTTCGAGGAGATCTGGCAGGCAGGAGGGTTTAATTTCTTCAGTCGGAATTTCCCCAGTGCGTTTGTCGATCGGGATGCTAATCGCATTGTGTATGATTTCTGGGCGAGGAAAGTCCGTGAGAGGATTCAGGATCCGGTTAAAAGGGATTTAATGGCGCCGCTGGAGCCAGTTTATCCGATCCTCACTCGGAGGACGCCTCTTGAACAGGACTTTTATGAATCGATCGATCGGAAGAATGTCGAAGTCGTTGGGCTTAGGAGTACACCTATTTCTACGTTCACGGAGAAAGGCGTGCGCACAGACGATGGGATGCTCAGGGAGTTTGATTATCTCGTTATGGCTACGGGATTTGATAGTTTTACTGGGTCGTATGTACTCATCCTGATTAGTTGGTTGGTTTTCTAACTGGACAGAATTTCCGAGATGAATATCCAAGGTCGAAACGGCGCCAATCTGAACCAAATCTGGAAAGAAGGAGTTCGAACATATCTTGGTATGACGGTACATGGATTTCCCAATTGTTTCTTGAGCTATAGTCCACACGGTGAGTTAACCTTGTCATTCTATCTATTACGTTTTATGTAACGATATGATACCTACAGCACCGACCCCATTATCCAACGGACCCACGATCCTCCAATGCCAGGTTGATTTCATCGTCGACGCCATCACGAAGATGGAAAAAGACAATCTCCGCAGTATCGAACCAACAGTGGAAGCAGAGACCCAATGGCGAGAGACTATCCTCAACGCAGCAGAGAAGACCCTCTTCCTAGAGACGGACTCGTGGTGGATCGCAGCGAATATCCCCGGGAAGAAGAAGGAGATGTTGACTTATCTAGGCGGGATTAATCAGTATGAGAAGGAGTGTCGGGAGACGTTGGATAAATGGACGGGGTTTGTTGTCCGGGAAGAAAAGATAAAGTCAAATTCTAAGCCAGAAGAGGGTAATGGTGTGAGTGGGGAATCCAAAGACGGTGAAGGAGTCGAGGGAGGGATGAAAAATGTGAAACGCAGAAATCGATCCAGTTTATCTGGTCTGGCTGCGTTTTTGAAAGAGAAATTGACTGTGGGTCATTAGCCTCTGGCATATAGTGCCGTTGCTTATGATGCAGGATATATAAATGATGTATCATATGCTTCACCATATACGTTCTTAGTATCAGTTGGATTCCGTCTTTTTCCACCAAAAATTACATTCTCGACGACTCCATTCGTCTCTCGCCAACTGCGCTGGAACCCCAGTCCCAGCTCCTCCGGCTCTCTCGTCATTACCATCGCCAAAGATCATAATCCGCCCGTCGGGTGTATAGCTCTCCCACAGCGGTCGGTCCGGATATGCGCCAGACACGGCGTTCGGGTCTCCACGGATAATAAAAGATGTGAAATACGCATGTAGCATGCCGGAAACTTCCTCCTGAGATGGGGAAATACCCCTCACCTCCGGGTCAAATGCCTCGTAAGGTAGCTGATCCGCGTGGTTGGCGCCGCCCTGGACAGTCGTATTCAATGCCCATCGATACAGAAACACGGGCTTCTTCTGACCGCGGGAGGCAAATCGGGCTGTCTGACGCACGGGACACACATACGCATACTGTCCGTACGCGGCCTCGACGCGTTTATACTGCGATCCAACGGAGATATTTCTCGTTTCCAGATAAGGGGAAGATGGATCCCGTGCCGGGTCGGGGTAGAGGGAGTCAATGGTCTTGAGATCCGCGTCTGAGAAAGCGGGGAGGAGGGTGTGGAAGAATTCTGTAAACTCCTCCGACTTGGACATATTGGTGGGCACGTAGTAGGTACCTTCGTTGGTGTTGAACCCCGTCAGAATAGGCATCTTATTCCATTCGCCGGAATTCCAGGCGTCGATGGGTCTTTGCGCGATGATATCACCGTCAATGACGGGTTGGAATGCCCAGCGCACAGACGGGTTGTATCGATCAAAGACGGTAAAAGAGGCATTGGTGATTCGATCCAGGGGCTGTCGGCGAAGACATCCAAAGATTTCCTTGTCAGGCATATTGTTGCAGCCAGACTCATCCACGAACTGGCGGAACTGATCCTCATGGAGAGTGGCATTGGGTGGATGAACGGCGCGCGATGTGGCGGCGCCAGACTCGATGATGGCGCGGTGGAACAGCTCATCTCCGAGCTTTATGTTCATAATGTGGTGTGCAATCTACGGGGATTAGCTCGAGTATCGACGTGTTCCCCGTCAGCCTACCGAATGAGCTCCTGCGGACACTCCGAATAGCGTCACCTGCGAGGCATCGCCTCCAAAAGCCTCGATATTGTCATGAACCCAGTCCAGTAGGAAAATTTGGTCATGGAGACCGAGGTTCAAAAGACCTTCCTGGGCCGTTGTGGACGACGGAAGAAAGCCGAGTGCACCGAGGCTGGGACGTTAGTTGACGTCTGACTGGCATTTCTATAGAAAGGAGCTTAGGTGTAGGTAGTAGCTCACCGGTAATTAAATGAAACGCCGATGAATGGCTCTGCAGACCATCCTACCATAGACGCGGTATTATGCATTAAAGCTACTACATCAGCAAGTCATTCAATGTACAGTAGTTTGATATTCACCAGAACCGCGATTATAAGCCCCTCCGTGGATGTACACAGCGACGGGTAATTTCCTCCACTGCACCCCACGAGGTCGGAAGATGTTCACGGTGAGACAATCCTCATCGCTGCCGGGGTCTCCCTTCAGCGGAATCAGTTGTTTCCCAGGACATCTGGCGAGTTCAGTATTTATCCTCGGGTTGGATTAATTGTGCCTACCGACGGCCCATGCGACCAGCATCAATCAGCTCGTCGGATGGATCGACTCGCTTTGGACGTCGGAATCTTCTCTTCCCAGTCGGCGGTAAAGCATACGGGATTCCTCGAAATGCCTCAACCGGATGTTTGAGTGTGTGTCGCAGCGTCACTCCAACAACTGTCCCTTGCCGAAGAGTAACCCGCGGTCGAGTCGACGGTTGGAGAGAGTTCGGAAGCCATGAGGAAATGGCGGGAATGCGCGGGGTAACGCTGGAAAAGAAGTGGATGTGTTGGATTTCCAAGACCAGAAGCACCGGTAGTGCTAGGAGGGCAAATATCTGCCATCGAGAGAGCATGGTGCACTTGGTGACAATGGTGTTGTTGTTTCGGTTTGGTCTGTCGGGATTCGGCCTTAACTTCTGGTTCTGGCTGTGATCAGTAAGCATGCACTCATAATGCTCCGTGTCGTCTATATTCGTTGAATATAGAATTATTCAAATTAAGGTAGAAATATGATACAGGTCTTAGACGGTTTTATATCATAAATTCCATTTGTACCTTATTTCTTACCAAACCCAACTTTCATGATGTGAAGCCCTCGGAAACACTAGGGCTGAACTGCCTTAATTGCAGGACTATTTGTATAAATATCACAGCATGGCATGGAGTGTTTAGACTATATACCCGTATATTAACATTTAGATGAAAATATCTGGCTATGCACTTTGAGCTGCTGATTCAACTTTATAAGAATGCCCGCGGATACTCGGAAGTAGACAACACAACCGAAATTCTTGGGGCCCTAGGCAGATTGTAAAAGTATTTGCAGCCGAAGCTCGTAAGTTCATAAGGCAACAAAGTCAGGCATAGTTAGAAAACAATCAGGGGACAAATCGTATAGCTCAGCTTGCTATATCACGGTGACTGGTGGACTGATGCTTGTTTTAGTTTCAAGCAGCCGCACATAGACTAACTCCCCGGCGGGAGTAGATGTATCAATAAAATTCCTTAGCTAAATACTAAGGCTCTAGTAGCCAGATAAATCTTCTAATATATCGACAAGATAACACACGAATTGCTCAATCTATAGCAGAATCCAGCCCAATTTTACTAAGCAAGATTAGCAACCCATAGATCTATCCAACATGACAACAACCACGATCTAGATCTAGACCCAAAAACAACCCAATATCAAATACCATCACATCGGCAAAGCCACCATCTCCTTCAAACTCCAATACCTACGCATATTCTCCGCCCTCAGGGCATTCACCTCCTCATCAAGATGCGCCCACAACACCGCCCCAAATCCATCCATCAACCGTTTCACCTCCATCCGATCTAGATCCGACTCTCCGGAACGACATTTCTCCAGATATTCCCCGAGACCGGCAAGTCCATTGTGGATTTCCCTATGCTGCGAGAGCAGGGTAAGCTCTCGATGGAATTCCGGCATCTTCTTCGCCAAGACGGGGAAAATATGCTGTTCTTCTATGGAATGATGGAAGTCTAGTTGGGAGCAAAATCCCAGTCCAGTGGTGATTAGTTGTCTCGGGGAGAGGAGTTTTTTGCCACTGGTTGTGCAGGCGTCTTGGAGTTGGTTCCAGGTTATACGGAAATGGTTGTGCTAGGTATGTTTATGGATATATTAGACTGATAAGACAGAAGGGAGAGGTGATGATAGTAGGATCGGATCGGCGGACGTACAAAATAGTCCATCTGCTCTGCCATTCGGTTGTAGGTACGATAATCGTTAGTTGACAATGCAGGTAATGCATCACTGTCAGGCAGCCCATTCTGGCTGGACGATGAGCCATTGTTCATTGCAGACATGATGAAGAAGCGCGCTGGTAGATATGGCGTCATCAAAATACACGGAGAACAGCAGAAGCGCGAAACCAGCCGAATGTGATGTATCCGACGTAAAACCCTCATTCTACAGCATCTTCTGCTGACATAAAAATGACAAATGACATGGATGTCATGCAGATAAGCCGTGAAGCGGAACAACTGCAAATCAGCAGTCATCCATTTCTACGCCGTACACTAACCATTTTAGGTAATCCGTCTCCGTTGAAGCACTGGGATGAAGTGGTGGATTTGATTTCCTTCCACAGGACCATCTCAGAGCTATGACTTTATATGGCGTGTATGAAGTGGATCAAATCTGGAGACATTTCTCAAGGCTATTCTGGCTTGCCTTCCGCTGCATCGTGGTCTCCTGGCTGGCGGGATAGTGCTTTGAAACTGCTCGAGCTCGTTCACGATTCGAGCCGTCAATTCGTTGAAGTCGGCCGCGAAGTCGCGAAGCTCCTGTATTGAATTCTGTATGTGGAATTCCTGCCAACTAGAGACAAACAACTTCGTGTGCTTTGCCTCTGTTCGTCTGCTGGGAGAAACAAGGGCGATAGATGAATTCGAGTTTGCTATGCCTCAGTCTCAGCCCAAACAGTTCCCGATCTCTGTAGTGGGGCTCTACGCATGCCAAACAATTTGATCATCGGGATGAGCAGCACTAATCGCTTACAGATCCTTCGGTTCGCCCTCTCTGGGGACGGGATGCACGCTTCAGCTTCTATGCGAGTCTGGATGCCAACTCGTCAGAACCAAATCGGCACGCACTCAAGGCTGCCGAAGGCCTGAAACAGCTCCTAGCTTCTGTCGCAGAAAGATCAGAATTGCTGAATGATCCGTCAAATAAGGACAAGCTCATCGTGGAAACGGTCCAAACCATCCAAGAATATCCGATCTTTGCACGTGGCCAGGAATATCCCCAAGTGGCCGCCATGCCCATTGACTCTCTGGTGACGGCGGACATCCGAAGCTGGGCCCGTCGCTATCTAAACATGGAATTTTCCCTGCAATCAATTACGAAAGCAGGTACAATGGAAGGACTGGGGAGCCTCGTATGCGACCCATTGTGCTCTAAGCATCTGGAGTAGTAATCGCAGATTTTGTAGGATTGGTTTTCATTATAGATACCAAACTCTGGTCACTTCAGTCGACATCGGATTAATAGAATATTTATCTGACATTCAGCTGCAACATTGTTTCGAGCCCGAAGTGAGCGCGGAAGGGAACATGCGTGCTGAAAGTGGCGCACAGTCTCCGGGAAGCACACTTGCGGAAGTTGGAGACTGAAGCAGAACATCAATGGAAAAGACAATACAACGTTCCTGGTCGGAAGTTGAAATACCGTTCTAGGATGCATATGGAGCATATGGAGAAGGTTGCGCCAGAAACATGATCGCATTGCATTATATTATAATTAATCTTAATCTGCTCTACATTGGATGAAATGTTCCAGGTCTTCAATGGACGTATGCCACCCCAGCAGTTAAGCTGCAAGGCACAAATCAAGTACATCGCTGGTCAAGAGACATTCTCCGCTCAATATCAGCACTTCTTCGGCACAACCACAGTCATGAAAAGACAGGATTGCAATTTGACATCCGTGCTAGTTCCTACTCGATGGCCGCCAGTGGGCATAAATGGGGAAATATGGAACGGGTACTGTAAAAGGAGTATTAGATAAAATGTATCGGTGCAGATGGCAACGAAAGAAAGCCATATAAACACAACAGCCATCCGCAGTAAAGTCCAATACGTAATTAGTAGCCATATCGTGAACACGTGAAAATCGAAGCCTATAGCTCCTTGTCGCGCATATGTTTGGGCGGCTTGAAGTTGCCCTGCCGCAACTCCTGCCAGGCAAGATCAAAGCGCGCGCCCAAATACCAGGCCGTTCCAATCTACAGAAGGTTAGAAATACAACATAAATCGCTGGAAAGGGCCTCCTACCATGATAGCAGACACGAAGAGCACAATGACGCCCATCAGTGCCATCATAAAGTAAACATCTTGGCGTGTCTCAGCCTCGAGTCTAGCTTTTTCTTTCTCGGCCTCGGACTGCTCGCCGGAAACTTTCCGTTGAGCATCCTCCGCGTTCTGGGACGGGAAGATTGTCTCGATGAATTTTTCAATCTGTCCAAAGTCAGAGTGCACAATGAAAAAGTAGGGATAAAAAATGGTCACCTACCCGTCCGCAGACCAAACTGATCTTGAGGAAGTTCGGATCCTTTGGGGTGTTCTTCTTGTGGATCTTACGTGCATATCTGCGGAAGACCTCACACAGGACGCGCAGATTCTGCGTCGACTCGATCATCAACTGGCAAGCGTCACCTTTGGTGATCTTGATATTACGCTCAAACATTGCCGGGTTGCGGAAGCACAGTTCCAGGGTAGCAATGGCCATGCTTTGAGGAATGGCACAGAAATTGAACACACTTTGCTCACGCAGGCCAGCCAGGTAGAACAAACAGTCCTCGACATGCTCCAGAGCGTTGAGGACCATTGCAGAGCTGCAGTTAAGAGCTATCTCGCGGTTCTCGGGCTTGAAGAGATCATCGAAGTCACTGACGTACTGGGACCAGATTTCCCTGGGCCAGAAGCGTCGGTTATCATCGTTGTCTTCCCGAACATCACGGATGATGTTCGTTTTCTGCAGGAAAAGGCCCATGGACTTGTGAAGACGAGGACGCTTGAGCAGCGCCGCGTTACCGAACTCTGCCTCCACAAAAAGGCGGGTCAGGCCCTCTCCAACCAGGCCCGCCACATAGTAGCAGTATAGATCATATTCCACAGTGGTCTTCACACTGGCATCTTCCAGTTCGGCCTTGCGGCAATAGTCCGCCATACCATTGCCCATCTTGTCAGTGATGTCCTTGACAATGGTCTGGTAGGCAGGTTTCATGTTCTTGAATTCGGTGATGACGTTGTGGAACTGAACCAGCAGTTCCCGATCCTTCTCCTCGGGGCGGTTCCCATCGAAAGTCCATCCATCTTGCTCGAGGATGTCCTTGAATCCGCGGAGCAGGGGCTCCTTGACTTCCAGGGGGATTGAGGTGTCATCTTCAATCGTATCCAGCCCGCGTAAAACCAGATAGAAAACACACACGGGAAGCAGCAGCTCCGGGTGAAGCTCCTTGATCACCGCACTGAAACTCCGGCTGGTCTTGTCCAGGAATTTTAAGCAGGCCTTCTGTGTCTCGGTATCACTCTTCTCATCGTGTTCATGAACGGGATTGTGCCAGACTTTCCTATCACAGCGGATCATTAGACCTCTATAAGCGTTGGCACAGACGTATCGCAAACCCTTAGGGGCTAGGAGATGGGGGAGATGACCAACCATTGCAGGATTGCCCTCAACTCTGAGGGGTGGAAAGAGTAGTAGAAGATGTTCGAAATGAGGCCCATGGTTAGAGGAAGTCTAGTATACAACCAGAAAGAAAACGAGGAAAAGAGGAGCAGAAAAACAGATCAATAAGGAACTACTAATTAGGAGACGTGAGGTTCATGGAAAAATGTGCGGAAAAAAAAAATCTGGTAATATACAGAAGATTGCCGTAGGACAAACAGCCTCACTTGCTTAAGAGGAAAGGAGGGAATCAAGAAAAAGGATTGAAGTGGAAGGAAGGAAAAGGAGGTCAATTAGGGGAGAGAAGAAAATGAATGAAAGGAAGAGAGAGAGGGAAGGAGAGAGAATAAAAGAGAAAAGAGAAAAGGTACCTGGGAGGAATTTTAAAAACGAACAGCTCAGTAGGGGGCATCCAAGACCCGCTTGGTGCCGACAGGGCATCGGCTGGTATTACCGCACTATACAGGTGCACGGCCACAACACGTTCTCCAAGCGCCTAAGAGGACTCTCCAATATAGTGGCGCCGGGTAATCTATCCATCCCATACCTGGCGTGACCATACGCCCAGTACGGCGACTCGAGCGCACCAAAAACGACCCCCGCCAATGCCATGACGAAACAGGCGCAAAAGCATCATCAGGCAGAAAAAAAAAAAAATAATAATAAAATAAAAGAGTACCATTAATATTAGCCTGGGGAAGTCACAATATCGCTACTCCTCCCCGCCGCGACTGGTTGCTGCCGGGGTGTTTCTATTTATTTTTGTTTTCTTTACCCTTACAATTGTCTGTTGGTTGCCATCGTTATTCTGTCGACGTTGAAATTCTGCAACTGCTCGCCATGGTCGCAGATACTACGTACTATGATGCGCTGGGAGTGCCTCCCACAGCAACGGAACTCGAGATTAAGAAGGCATATCGCAAGCTTGCTATCGTCACTCATCCAGGTACGGCGTCCCTTCTGGACCTCCTACCTGTCTTCTGTCTCCTTCTGACTTCGACAGATAAAAATCCCGGTGATGAAAGTGCACATGCGAGATTCCAGGCCGTAAGACACTCTCCTAGATCAGACCACTTGTGCTACCGTGACCTAGCTTGTGGTACTTGCGGACTCTCACTGATTTTTCTATGCGAAATAGATCGGCGAAGCCTATCAAGTTCTCAGCAACGAAGAGTTACGAAAGCGTTATGATAAGTTTGGCAAGGAAGATGCGGTCCCAGGTGGCGGTTTTGGTATGTTCTTCTGATCGGCATAGAGTAGAACTATTTATTTCGATTCTCTGGCTAAAACTTTCCTGCAGAGGACCCCGCCGAGTTCTTCGGGATGATCTTTGGCGGTAACGCCTTCGTCGACCTTATCGGTGAAATCTCGCTCATGAAGGACCTTACGGCTACAATGGATATCACAATGCAGGAAATGGAGGAGGAAGAACTGGTCGCGTCCACCGAAGAGAAACTGAATGTCCAGGGCGAGGAGACCAAGGCGGAGGCATCGACCGAACCCGTTGCCGAGGCCAAGTCGGGACTTGATACTGCCACAGACAAGACCGAAACCAAAACGCCCTCCCCCGAGGGCTCTGAGAAGCCCACCGCCAGCTCTGGTCAAAGCACGCCCCGTCGCTACATGGGCCAGCAGGCCATCATGGACAAGTCGGAGGAAGAGGCACGAATGGAGGCAGCTGGTCTGTCCGCTGAGGAGAAGGAGCTTCGCAAGAAAGAGAAGAAGAAGGGCGGTCTGTCCCGGGAGCAGCAAGAGCGTCTAGCGGCTTACGAGCTGGAACGGAAGAAAGCCCGTGAAGACCGAGTGAACACTTTGGCAACTAAACTCGTGGACAAGGTCAGCGTCTGGACCGAGACCGACAAGGGAGCCGATGTCACTCGTGCTTTCGAGGAGAAGATCCGTCTAGAGGTCGAGAACCTGAAAATGGAGTCCTTTGGCCTTGACATTCTGCATGCCATCGGTCAAACGTACGTTCAGAAAGCCAGTTCGTTCCTAAAGTCGCAGAAGTTTCTGGGTATCTCCGGTTTCTTCTCTCGGTTGAAGGACAAGGGAACTATCGCTAAGGAGACATGGACCACCATTTCCACTGCCATCGACGCCCAGATGACTATGGAGGAAATGGCCAAGCTGGAAGAGCGCGGAGGGGAGGATTGGACCGAGGAGAAGAAGGCCGAGTACGAAAAGAAGGTGACCGGCAAGATCCTGGCGGCCGCGTGGCGAGGCAGCAAGTACGAAATCCAGAGCGTCTTGCGCGATGTGTGTGATCAAGTCCTCAGCGACAAACGCATCAAACTGGACAAGCGTGTGGAGCGCGCCCATGCCCTAATCATCGCCGGTAACATATACCAGAAGGCAAGTCACTACACCTTGTCATTGTGTCTTGGACTTTACTGACCAAAATCCTCCAGGCGGAACGTGACCCAGATGATGAAGGCGACTACATGGCTTTCGAGCAGCTCATGGCCGAAGCGATGACGAAGAAGGGCAAGGATGATAAGAAGAAGAAGAAAGAGAAATCCAAGCACGAGCATCACCACGAAGAGGAGACCGCTGCCTAACACCACTACCTAATCCGCCCCTTGACGCATTCTTACTGAGGCTCTTCTGCTGCTGTACTTTGTTTCCCGTTCCGCTCATCATTCTTCATTCCCACTCTTGCCTTCACCGTACAGTTTTGTTAAGACTGGATATGACTTTTTCAGGGGACATACTTCACTTGTAGCGAATTATACTGTCCCTTGTAGGACTTGACTACACACATGACGATTGATAGGACACTCTCAATGGATCAACGATAGACAGATACTCCTTCCATCTACATCCACTCCACTTACTACTCGTAGACATAACCACTCTCGGCACCGTATGCAGCTCGGTTGGCAAGAATTCCCTGGAGATTATTGCATCTATGGATCATCGCGATGCATCCTTCCCCGCAGCCGTACCTTTGCTTGTCGGAGAGTTCCGCTGGCTGCCCCGCAAGGAATGCTGCATGGTCTGCCTATCACCGTCCATATCAGCGTCGCCAGCCTGTCCTATTCAGCTCGGGATCAGGCCGTTAGACTTGCCACAGCACGCGACATCCTGCCGCAAAGAGGGGCCCTATACGATCCCTATAGGCAGCTAGTAAACCGCTAGTGTTGGCTCCATCCATATTCCCGTCGCCCACTGGTCAATTTCCCCAGCGCAAAAATGCACGATGACACCCTGTGGACGGTAACGGCAAAGGAAACGTGGATCCTCGATAACTACAATGGATGATAATAGAATTTGTTTGTCTTTCAATTTAGACCACTTCATCCGCTTATCGACCGGACTTGTCCGGTTGCCCAGGTATTAAAGATCGACGTAATTGCCCCCCCGGAGACCTGGTTCTGTTGGCAAGCTGCCAATTTGTGTCTACTTTGCGTTGAGATGCATCAATTCTTATCCTCGTCTGTCGCTGCGCTCGCCATCCTGGCCCTCGGAGGCAATGCCTCTCCAGTATCGAGTTCAGCTCCTCCCGCTCCCACCGGAACTGTGTTTCCGTCCGGCTTTGACATAACTTCGAGCTGGGCCAACCTCAGTCCCTGGAAGGAGCCCCAGGGATTCAATGTGTCCAAGGGTGTTCCGCGCGGATGTGAGCTCTCGCAGGCTCACGTCCTGCACCGACATGCACAGCGGTACCCCACGAGCTTCCGACTGGATGGTGGGGGAATCGATGCCTTTAGCCAGAAACTGGGCAATTACAGCAGTCAGCACAACACCAGGGACATTGGAAAGGGCCCATTGTCCTTCTTGAACGATTGGGATGACCTGCTTGGGAAAGATACGTTGCTACCCAAGGGAGCAGCCACGGAGGCAACATCCGGTGCCAATATCTGGTCCAAGTATGGACGGTTCCTGTATCGAGCAGGGTCGGGCGTCGAACGATGGAATTCTTCACTGAATGTCTATCCCGACGGAACGGAGAGACCCAAGCCAATCTTCCGAACAACGACACAGGGCCGGATTCTGGAGAGTGCGCGATGGTGGTTGAGTATGCAACCCCTGTTTGAATCCGTCCGAGAAAGTGATCCTAACCGTATTAGGCGGATTCTTTGACAACGAAGGGGCCAATAGCTCGTACTCAGAGTATGACCTGGTCATTATCCCGGAGGGCAATGGATATAATAATACCCTGGGATCGGACCATTCCTGTCCAGGCGACAAAACCGCAGGGTAAGAGGACTAGAATCAATTGACATATTGTATATCCGATGAAGCTCACGAATAACTCCCAGGGCCAATGCAGGAACTGAGTTCATCCCTATTTTTGCCAAGAATGCCGTGGCTCGTCTCTCCCAGTACCTTCCTGCCGATTTTAACCTGACTCCATTCGATGTGGCTTCCATGATGGGGCTCTGCCCCTACGAGTACGCGACGATGGGCCGGTCGTCATTTTGCGCCTTGTTCACGGAGCAGGAATGGCGTGACTACGCTTACGGTGTGGACATGCAATTTTATGGAAACTTTGGCTTTGGTGCGGCCACCGGCAGGGCCCAAGGCATTGGATACGTGCTGGAGTTGGCGGCGCGACTGGAAGGTAAGACCATCTCGTACAGCGACACAAGCATCAACACCACCTGGGACAAGTCCCCGGATACGTTCCCCCTGCACCAACCACTGTACATGGACATGTCGCATGATACTGTCATCGTGGGGATCCTAGCCGCCTTGGGTCTCCAATATTTCAAGTACGGACCACACGGCCTGCCCTCAACGGTGCCCCATGCCATCCCAAAGACGTTCAATCTCAATGAGGTGACGCCATTCGGAGCGAACATCGTGTCGGAGGTGTGGACTTGTCCCACGGAAACTTCCTTTGACCACTTGGATGGAGCGATGTACAGCAACCCCGACCTGTCGTCGACACCGGGCACGAAGGATTACATTCGGTTTGTGTTGAACGGGGCGCCAGTGCCTGTGGATGGAGTCGTGGGCTGCGAGGATGGCAAGAATGGGTTTTGTCCGGTGGAGGACTTCCTGAAGGGTGTGCCGAAGCTGAAGGAGGTTGCTATGTACCAGTATGCTTGCTTTGGGGACTACCCCACGGGGAAACAAGTTGGGGATGGACATCCGGAGTAAGCCTGAGAATCTTCGGATACGTCTCTGTGATGATTTGTATGCTGCATCACTGTGTGTAACATGCTAGGTAGATTTCACGTCGTTTAGGCCCAAAATGGATAGAGATGAGTATTATTCTATAGTTCTAATTAAGGCCACTTCTTATGGGGTCATTCGTCACCACTTGAGGGATTTTTTCTTCTTTTCTTCTGTCCTGTTCTGTGCTCCCATCCCTTTTTCTTCCTCTTCATTCATCTTATCCTCCGTCTCATTCCATCTTTATTTATCTATTTATATATATTTACTTAATCTTTCTCTATTAATCTATATCTTGATTCAACTTCTCTTTCTTGGTCAATTTGCTTTTTTTAATCTATAATACTGCGTATCTTATGCCATATATTCTGCTCTTCATCTCACTATTTGACTCAACTTCATCTCGCTGTTATTCGTCAATCTATTTCTATCTACTCTTCAGCCGTTTACTGCTGATATTTATCGCTGATATTTATAGTCATATTTACACATTATATTTTGTACCTTATCTGAGCAGATACACTTGCTACATTCTACTATCTTCAGCACTTACCTTCATCATTTACAGCATCTTAATCTTCAGCACTAACTGCACTAACAGCGTCTACCGCATCTTAGGTATCTACTATTTCTACCTCTCTATTACTGTCTTCTCTATTACTATCTTCTCTATTACTATTCTTCTTCTGCAGTTTGTTTTTATTGCCGCCTTATTACTGTCACACTACTACTGTCATTTTATTTCTAGCCTATATATAACAATGGCACAATTAGCTGGCTGTGACAACCTGGCGAGGTTTACCTGGCGAGCCGTAGACGTTAGACCCATGATCCGGAATGGTGGGGTTGTATCTTGATACAGCAATATGCATTTAAATGTCATAAAAAGCACCTTCTGTCAGTTCAAGAGTTTGATACCACCCAATCTGTGGTACTGAAATTGAAGATGTGACCATCGCTGTTGCGAAGCATCTTCCGGAATATAGTTATTTATCTCTATACTCCTAAGTCTTACATAATGGTATATTTATTTTGGACATCAGGAAATTGCAGGAAATGTTCCCAATCCGTACACCCAGTAATAACAACAGACATGTGGTAATTGTGCCGGCCATTGTTATAGATGAGGTTTGCAATATGGGCCACTTGGATGTTTCCCGTAACTTGAAAGTCCCGACTCTTTAAGGCTGAACTCGTGAGTTGGTAGGTGTGACTAGTATATGGTAATTTTCCAATGGGATCTCCGTACTCAGGCCATAGATCGGCCAGTGGTTGTCGCTCGTTGTCGGACCAGCTGGACCCAGCGTATGAATAATGACTCTAACCTGGGAAACCATTCGAATATTTAGTTGAGCTTCGATTGAGCTAAGAGGAGGCATTTTCGAGTGGTACTCGACCAGGAATGGTACTCAGGTGAATACTCTGATCAGCCATACTTCTTTAGCGGCTACACTATAGCGTCCTGTACTTAAGGCGCGTAAAATGGTGCGCTCAGTGGAGGGATAATACGGATATGCCTCCAACAGGCCCACAATGCCTGTACTAAGCATTAATATGCAATCCATATTTGAATAACAAAGTTATTATATCACTCTCATATTGTATTACTATCTATCCTCCATTCTATCACATGGAATAAATCAAATCAAGTATTATAGACGATGGACAATCAAAATCAAACATCAAAAATCATTAGCATCGGGTATCTAATAAGGGTACCAGAATAGATCATCAGCCTGCCACTTTCTATCACTACAGAAATCACACATATTAAACAATAATCGGACAAAGGCCAGCATTGTCTCCAAAAAAAAAAAAGAAAGAAAAAGAAAAACCGCGCCGATATGTCTGTAAAACAAAAGGAATATAATATCCGGTCAGGCTGTTTCCGTGGCTGGTTTGGAATCCGAAGAAGATGGACGAAAATCATAATACTTGCCCGCAATCAAGTCGCGGGCTATTTCTCCAGTCTCGCTCAATTCTTCGGGCGAGAGAACTCTCCCGCCAAGCTGAACATCGTTCACATGCACACTATATTCGAGAGCTTTCTTAGCTTCGTTGATTAACTCTTCTGTCCAACCTAGACATCGTTTCAGGCTCTGATTCATCTTCTGGCTGTCGGCCAATAGCTCTTGGTGCTTTGCAAGATCAACAAAGAATCGCTTCTCATCTCGAGCTTGATGTCGTGCGTCATGTTCCGCTAACGAATCGGGGCTCATCACCCCGTCGTCTACCATCGACTCTTCGTCGCTAAAATCAGAAGACTCCTCCAGAGACCGTGTGGAAGTATATTCGCTACCTTCATCCAGCTCACTCATGATTGCCAATGAGTTTCCCGAAACAGAGCGAGTGGACGGTGCCATTGATAGCCGGCCTGAACGGCTGAGACGCCGGTATCTCCGCAGCTCGGCATTTTGCTTGCGCATCTCGCGTTCAAGAGTGCGGTTGATTGCCAGGAGTGATGAGTTGCTGATTTCGAGATCGAGAATCTTGCGCTCTGTGCGGGCACTGGTAGCAGCATCGTCCTTCCCCGCTCCAGTGCCTTCAGACTTCACGGGACTCTGAGTAGCAGAAGCGAAGGTATCCACCGAGGCGGTAGACCCGCTGCTGAATATTCGAGGTCGGAGTCCAGAAATGGGCTCTGAGGTAAGAGCGCTAGCGTCCAGTTTGGAGTCAGATGGGGATATGATGATAGGACTCGGCCTCAGGCCCTCTTTTGGGGAATTGTCACAGAGGCCCGAATCCATACTAGAAGGTTTAAAGTGCCTCGGGGTCGTAGCATATACTCGCGGTGAGAACGCTCCCAATGGCGGACTGTGCATGTAGGGGTCAACCTCCGATTGACTATCCACCAGCGATCCAGGTAGTGATAGACCATCAGAAAGTCGATGTGTAGCATGATTGAGTTTGGGTGATGTGATGGGCGGAGAGCCCGCCGGAGGCTTCGAGCCTGCCACTAAGCGAGACAGACCTGCTGAGAGTCGTTTGCCGGCAGTTGATTCTAGCTTCATATTATCTGACAACCTGGATTCCTCTACTCCATTCGCGTAGACGAAGGTCGTCTGTGGCGGTACCTTGCTAGGTGGTCTCGACCGAACATCTACCTCGGAAGAATTTGAAGACCGCGCATCAGATGCATGAAAGAACATTGGTGAGCCGGACGAGCCGTCAGACGCCGAATTCGACCGTGAAAGTTGATGAGGCTCAGTAGTGAGAGTCTTTGCCCTTGTTGCCTTTGACGGCTCCAATCTCCCACCTGCGCGGACAGGGCTTCGCTCTGTCCGACATCCTCCCACATTCGATCCATGCACCACGCTAGCTTGCACAAAAGGAGATTGCGGGGAGTTTCGTCCGCTGGTGGGGACAGTATCTGTTGAGGTCAATCCATCCCGTCTGCTGCTGCGAGCACCCGATCGAGGGGTCACATTTGCACTAAGGAGGGACGGCTCGGAATCCGGTTTCGACGGGTGGTCGGATGGTGCCAATCTCTTTGGCGTACGATATCCAGTAGAAGAGGCGAGTTTGGGGGTCAAAGGGGACTTGTTTGATCGATGAAAAGCGGAGCTGAGGGTCGGGGTGAACGGTTTGGCGAGATAGCCATTGTTTTGTTTATCAGGGGTCATAGTTGCGGGATTCGAGGGGCGGAAAGGAGAGCGACTTCTCATGGCATTGCGATATACCACGGGGATCTGCAAGCATGATGGCACCCGCCAGCACGGAGATGAAGGGAGTAGAGACTGAGCCCTATGTTAGAAAAAGTTAAATTCTCGTGATCTGTTACCATTCGGTGGTGAGGGTGGTTGATGATAATATTAATGCCAACACCGCCGGAACTCTAGTTAGTACAAGTTAGTCAATGTTTTGGCTGCAAAACATCTCCGCCCAAAACAGCCTAGTGGCGACCCTTGTACACCGCAACTATAGGATGCGACTTACATTCCAGCAGAGAAATAAACTGTGGGCCGAGATTTCCAGGTGTGCAGGGAAATGTCCAAAAAGAGAGGGGTCGATATCATCGAGTGACTTCATTCCTGGGCGGTGTACGCCTCAGATTTAATGGATCAATCAATGGTTTGCCTGCATGGGCTGATGCACGTCCCGGCTCTACCCTATTTCCTGCCTCAGGCATGCCTCTCCACAGTCTTCAGCACGCTGTGTTATTTTAGTCAGGTTATTCGATGAAGAGTTGATCATGAGAATTATATACATAAGTGTGACAGGGCTGGAGGGTTAGCCAGCTGTTGAAGTATTCTGGATATATATTCCCTTCCCTAGTGTACACCCGAACGTTACGCAAAACATTTCGAAAGATAGAATCTGAGAACACCAGAAAGCTTCTGAAATTGCAGGCAAGTGTTTAACATGATGGGTTCCTGTTCGTTTAATAGTTGAAATGATATGTACAAGAATTTAAATAGAACTGGCCCTTATAGCCAAAAAAAAAAAAAAAAAAAAAAAAAAAAAATGGCTGCTAGAAATTGTACAACGCGGCAGGTTGATATATCTAAGCTATGAGAAAGCAAACCTTTCAAATATCCAACTGGCCATAATTCTTAGACAAAAAAAAGTCGTTTTTGGCGTGGGTCTATAGGCTCTTGTGATGCTGTCTTCCTCTTGCGTGTTTTAGTAGGAACTGATACAGCATCCTGTGCAGTATCCTGTGAAGCCCCTTGGACAGCCTCCTTGATGGTCTGTCTTGAGAGACAATAGTCTACATGGTTGTTAAATGTGCGGTCCTCTGCCGCTTGAGGTCGAGAACAAATAGGACAATCCCAGAAAACTGGTTCAGATGTGGATTCATCAGGAGCGACTGGACTGTCTTCTTTGACAGGGTTGGTTGGGGGCGAGTCAACAACCTCTTGGCTGAGCTTCTCTAATTCATTCATCTCGCTCTGCAATTCCTGGCGGGCAGCTCGCTCGAAAGCCTCCTCAGTGTCAATTTCTTGCTCGGGGATTGGATCGTGATTGGACTCGGCAGCGGAATTGGATTCACCCGTAGGCTTTGACCGAGTGGCCCATCCAAAAAAGTCAATCCCACCCTTTTTAGTGCTCACTAGGTTGGTGCAGCGAAGGCCAAGAAGTCGAAGCTTGATATTAGGGACCTCCTTCTCGAGTTTTTCCAGCATTGGTAGAGAAAATGTATACAGGTCCTTGGCAAGGAACACGGCCCTTGGAGGCTGACATTGCCGTGAGAGAACCTCAAATGTGGCAAGTTTGACTTTGAGAACCAATGTCCGGCCCTTGAACTGTGTAGAGGCTAGGTCTTTCTCAAGTTCCTTCGAGATTGACCAGAGTTTTTCTCGAAACTCCTCCTTGCTTCCAATTTCATGAAACGTGCGCTCAGTACCTACACTCTTTCGTTCGTAATTCTCCACCGGTTGGATGTTTGTTCTTCCGAGCCCAAGATAACACTGTGCTAAGAAATGAAATGCCTTGTTTCCAAAGAGCTTCGCCAATGTTGCACGCTGAGGATAAATGTCACCGCAGAGTTTGATGCCGATAGCGTCGAGTTCACGTTCAAAGACGCGACCGACACCGCTGACCTTGCGTACTGGGAGGCCTCTCATGAATTCCATAATAGCCTCTCTTTCATTTGGAACCATGAACTGACCATTAGGCTTATTGCGATTGGAAGCGATTTTGGCAATTTTTGCATTCGCCGCAATGCCGGCAGACACCGAGATCTTCGTATTCATAAGAATCTCTGCTCTCATACGGCTAACAACCTCCTCCGGCCCGAGCTGGTTTTCGCTGCAGTAGGTGGTTATGTTGAGGTACGCTTCATCAATACTAGCACTTTCAAAGAGCGGATCGTACTGTGCAAAGATGGCACGAACTTCCTTGGCTTTGGCGATATACTTTTCATAGTTCGGGGATAGTATGACCAACTGTGGGCAAAGTTTTTTGGCCACAAATCCAGCCATGCCACTTCGGCAGCCGAACTTGCGAGCTTCATAGTTACAGGTACTTAGAACCCCCCCACCTACAGCCATTGGAACGGTTCTTAGTTCAGGTCGATTGAGCTCCTCAACTGCAGCGTAGAACGCATCGCAATCGACATGAACAACATACTGCGATAAATCTCGACCCAATTCGAGTTCAGCGAGGAGCTGATTAGCCCGCCGTAGATCATGGGACAGGTCTTGATTTTTTAGACGCTCTTTCTCCTTTAGAATACGCGTGATTTTCTCAGTTAGAATGCGATCACGGGCTTGCTCGTGGTTGAAGAATTTTGATCCTTTGGACGCGTTGTAGATAATTTCAGACACCTTTTCACGTATATTCAGTCTAAGAAACTAGCAACAACGGCGACTTGCTCACCTTCTGCTGGTCGACAGTATCCTGACCGGCCTTGGTCAAAGAAGGGCCTAGCAATTGGTATTTCAACGTTTCATCCTCATTAGCCTTCTCATTTGAGTTAGACGCAACGATTTCCTCGCTAGGCTCTTCAGACGGAGCCTCCATCATCGACATCCATGACAAGAGTTACTCTGAACCACACAACCAGTCATTTCCCAACCAGGCAGATATTAGACTCCAAGTCACGTGAATTCGTGTTTCGGCCCGTGTGTTTCACGTGCATTGGATGTCATCCGAGTCCTGACGAGTCGCCTGACGAGTCGCAACATCTGCGGCGTTGCGTTGGTTGCCCCTCATGTGGATTCTGGACTCCGAGGGTGACTTCCTTGAGGGTGAGTTGTCCGGTGCGAGTGATGTGACATTTATTTGCTGACTGTTTTCAAAGGGAAGCGCGTGTGGCTGCGACCTGGAAAAAAGTATCTCTTCGGTCGGATAAAGCAAGATGGCGGTAAATTCAGATCATCTAGCAAGTCTTTCTTTCCACCCCTGCGGCTAATTTACCTTTCGTTTCTTAGTTCGCCATGCTATTGAACACAACTCGATTTCTCGGAAGCATATGATAGTTGAGGTGTCCCCGGTAAAACCTGGTGATGGTGTAAGAGTTGCCCGTGAAGATTCAGCGCTTGGCCGTTGGCTGATTAGTTTAGTCTCGCATTTACGCAAAATCAGAGATCGCAGTGAGCGACGAGGGCTCTAAATGTGGAACTACCGTGGATGGGAATCCAATCAAGAAGAGTAGCGTAAAATTGACTAAGGAGGAGCACACCATCAAGTTGGGGAGATACAAGCATGCCTTACGGTAAGCGAAACATCCATCTATCCTTGGGGCAGGTGGCTAATCGGTATCATTCCATTTAGAATCAAATGGGAACCTACAGTTCTCAGCTTCTCCTTCTCTTCTAAAGATCTTAAAACACAAGACCCTCTCGCACATGTTCGCTCTCGACTTGAGGATTTGGATATCAAAACGATCATCCCCTATGTCATCGGCCAGACGACGCATGTGGTGCAAAACAAAAGGAATACGGCTAAGGGTCTACAGGCTTTGGTGAATGGAAAACACATTGTCCAGGAGTCGTATCTCGATGCTCTTGTGTATGCTGCCACGCCAAGTGATCTGGAAAATCTAGAGTCATTGTCCCCATTGGAGGCCGACTTTGACTCTGCATGGCCGGACCCAACCGAGCATTTCCCCCCGCCAGGCAAGGAGGCCGTCCCTAGGCCCAAAGAAGCATTTGCCCCAAATCTGGATCGGATTAACGTTTTCGAGGGGTACACTTTTGTATTTGGCGATGCTACGCAGTTCGAAAATCTGCAAGGGGCGATTACGAATGCGCATGGCAAAGCGTTGCTCTATCAAGTCAAGAAGGGTGTCACTACTGCCGGAGAGATTGTACAGTTCATGCAGAACGCTGCCGGTACCAAGGGCCTTGGCAGAGGGAACGGTGGATGTGGAGGAGTGGTCTTTGTTCGCTATTTCAGCAAGGGCCGCGATGACGACTGGTCCTTCAATCTGAGCAGCCAGGTAGCTTCTCTCACTGGGCAGCGCACCATCGAACAGAACGAATTTCTAGACGCTATACTGGCTAACGACGCAACAGCATTGTGTAGGACGCTGCCGGAGCCCGCAACGAGCCAGGAGGACTCGGAACCCACGTCACAGCCCGCACCACCGCCTACCGCAGATGTTGACTCGCAGCCGTCCGGTGCACCAAGCCAGGCGTCCAGGAAAAGCTCTAGAGAACCACGCGTACGCAGTTTTGCCTGCAAAATGAAAACATTTGATGATGGTTTTGATATCAACTCCATTCCTGCCGATGCGCCAGATGATGAGGATGGCTCCGTAGATCCGTTACCGTCCATGGACATAGATCCTTCAACTGAGCCCCAGAGTAACCTGCATGAGGATGAAGATATGGTCGCGAGCCTCTTACCTGGCACAGCGGCCATGAAACGCCGGCGGGCCGAGACTGCACAGAGAAACTTGGACCCGTCGAGTTCGGTCCCGAAAACGGAGGAGGCTCCTCGGCCGAAGCGTCAAAAATTGGACATTCGAGAGGCAGCACGGCGTCATCTGGAGGCGGAAGAGGATGCTCAACGCCAGCGCCGTCAAGAAGAAGCCGTCTCGCTCCAGGATTCCCTGAAAGATGTCAACGTCGAGCAGTTGAAAGGTCTCGCCATTGTGGAGGAGATGGAGTTACCGCCCCGCAAGCAGAATAAGAGTGACAGCCGATGGGATGAGCGATGGAATGGTCGGAAGAACTTCAAGAAATTCCGCCGGAAAGGCGATGCTGGTCAACCCCGCCATCGCATACAGACGGTCATTGTTCCCTTGGAAGAGGTGACCCGCAAAGATTTCGGCATTGGGGAGTACCACTGGGTTCGCAGTCGGAAGTCCACTGATCGTAGCCAGCTAGAGAGCCATCACGACAATGCCATCAGCCAAGAGCTCTCCGAGAGATCTCGCCCGTCGTCCATGGCGGGAACTGAATCTGCGACGCCAGTGCCTCGAAGTCAAAAACGGCATCGCGAAGAGCAAGAATCCGACAGTGATGATGAGCTGAGGTTCCGATTCCGTCGCAGGCGACAGTAGCAGTAAATAATAAGTATAAGGAACTACCCGATGTATCTAACCTAATTGTACAGTATCTATAGTCTATCTGCCTCTTAATATCTACCATCCTGATCCGGATCAATATCCAGATTTACGACCCGTTGAACATTGCGGGTCCGACCACTTTTTAGGAAGTTTAAAAGGTTTTTAAAGGCTTGCTTATCTCCGCCAATCCCAAGCGATGAGGGGCCGACTAGTGTGGCCTGGGCGGCAGGGGCTGAGGCGGAGATGCTCAGGATGGGAACATGGTGATCATGCTATCCTAAGCTAAAAGAAGATGACTGCTTGCAAGAGATCTTTCGCAGTGGAAATGAATAAATCCATTGTGCTCCGCAAGGACGGATTCCTATCCCAGTAAGCCCCAGTAAGTCCGTTTTGGATGGATGACGTCGTACCAGGTTCTATTGGTCGTTTAGTATGGAGGGACAAAAATAGCACGGCAGGGCCCCAATATTGATTGTGATTATTATTAGTAGTAATAGTACTATTATTGATACGGTAGCAAGTGTCATGATAATTACCATTCGACCTGGATTGGAACCCCTCGCGTCTTTTCGATCGCTGTGGATTTCAATGCCGCGAAGGAGGAAGTAAGAAAGCCACAGAATGAGATACGTCGAGTTCCTGCTGCTACTGTTTGGTCCAGCTGAGAAGGGAGGGGGAAATAAAGATTTTTTCTCGCCAACTCAATCAATGGTCCCTTTATTTTCAAATTTTTATTTTTATTTTCTTTTTCCTGATCATCTCCACGCCATTCTCCTATCTCGCTCGCTTTCTCGCCTGGCTGCGATCCCATTTCCCATTTCCCATTTCCCTCTGGATTGGATTCCGTTCCCTTTTTTGATTTTTTTGTCCTCCCTTTCGACCACCTGATTCTTCTTCCGTCATTTATCTCTGCCTGTCCCATCATTGTTCTTCCGTCCCTCTGCTCTGGATAGTCTTCCCCTCAATATCGTCATCCTAATTCTGCCTGACTGCCTAATTCCTTTCTTTTCCCCCTCCTTCTTTGCACGACTGATACCCTTCCAACGCAACATCTTTGTCTCTGCCATGGACCACGCTGGCTGGTGACTCGCCTTGTTTTAGTTCCCTGTGCAGTCCCAGGCGGATTGCTTCTTATTCTTATCCTTTCATTATCGCGCATGGCCGATTGTCCCGTCGGTCATACAATCGTTCCCGTCTAGGTCTGTATACCATGCCATAGGCATTTCTCTGCATCTTCCATATTTTTCCAATTTTGTTTTTTAAATTTTTTTTTTTTTTGTCCTTTGTTCCCCTCTGTTCTATAAAGTTCAAGTGACTAATATTCATCCAAGCATAGCCATCTGTCACGATTTACGACTTCTGATACCTATTTGACATTTATCGACTCCCATCCTACTCCCGTCAATGCTTTCTGATCCGGTTTCTTTTCCTCCCAGTTTGCCCTCCATGTTAGCCTCCTCCCCTCTCCCTCTCCCCCGTCCGGTCTCGGTCAATTCGCTGGCGAGAGCGTCCGTGTCGTCGACGATTCCATACACCAAATCAACTCGCAGCACCAGTGCTGAGTTCGAGGTTCACGATGGTCCCGTTACCCCTCTCTCCAACCCTGGTCAGCTGGCCTGCCAGTCTCCCATAGATACCGAGATGGAGGAAGCACCGATAATCACGGATGGCCCCGCATCCTCTGAAGCGGGTCTGCGTTTTGAGGATCTTCCCATTGAGATTCACGAAGCCATTCTAGACTATCTATTTGGAGAACGGGCCTCGGCCTTGACGTCGGTAGGCCCCAGCAAGCCATCTGCTCGAGGTTGGAATAAATCTCTTCGTCATCCGCGGCGCAAAGCACTCTCCAATCTTTCTTTGATTTCGCCGGTATGGCGATCGTTGGTACAGGAACGGATCTACCGACACAGTTCGTCTCTTCGCTTTTCTTTGATTGGTACATAGGACTGACTTCGATCATAGTCAAAATCAAGGGCACCACCGATGAGCTGGCTGGCGGGGCACATTGGTTTTCCATGCACCCTCACCTCGCCCCTCACGTTCGTCACGTTGAAATATGGATTCCCGTCTGGGGCAGACGGGCAAATAAGACCCCCCATCACCCCTTTCCTGCCCGCCGGTACCACGAGGGCACCGTAGAATGGGCAGATGTGGCCGGCACCCAGACAAATGGCGCAATGTGGGATGGTTTCGAGCCCAATCGCGGAGGGGACTACAAATATTACTACGCCAGTCACAATGCGACTTTGGCAGAGATCTTCCATCATGTTAAGGCGTGTTTCCCCGAAGCTCGCATTCTTACCCTGGAAGGAGGCCACTGCAAGAGACCCCCGATGATCCGCCATTTTCGGGACGACCCTCCGGGGCAGTCAAGACAAGCCCTCCCCCGTCTCCCGGACATTCAAACGTTCGTCATGCGGGGAGCGTGGAATATTATGAGAAGCCCGCAGCATTGGCGCACCCTGTCTGACGCGCTGCCGAATTTGCGGGAGTGGCATTGCGCTTACGTGAAACCCAAAATCGAAGGTTATGACACCGTCGCTGACGTTCTACTCCGACTCCCATCCTCCCTCGTCCACGTCAACATCAGTCTGGAGGGGTTCTACAACAAGGACAATTCCCAATCCGGCTGGCTCGGCGATGGCATCAACCCCCCTCACCTCTGTGGCCTTCTCGGAGAAGTCGCCCCGCGACTGGAGTCACTCGCGTTCACAGGAAAAATCTGCGCCTGTCTTTTCCAACCCGCCGCGTGCACAGACCAATCTACGTCACTTATTCCGTCGAAATCGCGACTCAAATCCCTCGACCTGGTGGTGAAAACGTGCTGTCGCGAGAAACGCAGCAGCTCCAGCCTCCCATTCCTAGACGAGTTTTCCGGCATCACCAACCTCAACTTCATCCGGTCATTCGAGAAACTCGTCATCGGCGCCGTGCACAATTTGCGTTTCCACCAGTCCTTGGACTACATGCGCATCCGGTTCATTGATCTCGACTCGGCCTGTCCGCCGCTCAATCCGTATTTCCAGCTCGTCGGCACCGAATGCTGTGGACTGTGGAGCGCCAGTATTCTCGAGACATTGCACGACTCTCGACCGGAGGCGCAATTCGTCGAACTCAATGATGGGATTTATCCACAGTATGGACCCAACAACCAGATCGTAGGGGCTGTGTATCCGCGTACCAGACCATTGAGTATTCATGCGTTGACATACAAGATCATTGCTGAGGTGTCCAAACCATAAAATATACCCATTCTCTTTATCATTACGGGACTATCCCTGTCCGTGGATGCACGATACATATCAGTAAAAACATAGGCATTATCATGTGATTTATGACGAGGTAATAATACCTGGATCATTGTTACCAGACATAATTCAACGATATTAGCAATAGCAAGACGTGACATTTCATGATCGATCATTGAGATAATACCTTTATATTAAATCATAGCTATCACTAGACAGACAACTAGACAAAGGATCCATCTACCCAAACCCCAAGACCGAAAGCGAAAGCAACATCGTCTAACACCCCCTCCCACACCCACATCTCTCACAATAATCCCTAATATCCAAACATTAACAACGAAGAACCCCAATCCCGTGAAAAACAAACCAGGAACGAAACTCGAGAGCCCAAGAAACTCGAGATAGTAGCCTTGCTGGAGCCATAGGGCCTGTATATATTTATTAGCTAGATCTAGACTACTTTGGGGGTGGATGGAGACAAACTTGAGACAGAACCCATAATCCAGCAGCACATAGACCCAGTTTTGGGGACTTGAGTAATGATGATCCTGGAAGGTAGAATGGGAGGAAGATTAAGTACCATAGGAAGTACTATTCATATTCATTAGCATTCTGTTATATCAACTCTGTCTGAATAGAGAACTGAGATCGAGACAAAGACCAAGACCAAAGAGACAAGGCCAAGCCCAAGAGTCAAGCAAGGCCTTACAAACAAAGGAAAGAAAAAGAGAGGGAGGAATACCTGGCTTGTGCAAACTTTATTAAACGTCACAAACGCAAACGTCTGCGCCAGCATCGCACCGGGAAGACTCCTCTTCGCAAGAACGAGCGGAATAGCAAAGACGGAGAGGAGGAGCTGCGGGAGAAAAGCGAGGGATTCGAAAGATCCATGCACGGAGCCCGCGGCAGAGAGATAGAGCAGGGTGCTGTAGGGGGAGAAGTTGTGACGGTGGTCGATGCGGGTGAGATGATGGAGGTAGGTATGCTGTAGGAAGGGGGAGCCGTATATTACATACATGGAGAGATTGAGGGCGAAGAACGTAGTGAGAGCGGTGAGGGTGAGATGAAGACGAGATGGGGTGATAAAATTGAGGATATGGGAGAATACTTGTTGGTGATTGATGTTTGAAGAAGAGTTGGATTTGGGGTTTGGTTTTGACTCCGGTATAGAACCGTCTCGATGGCTGTCCAACCACCACAGGATAGAAGAACCGTAAATGAACGGATAGATTTTGAAATGCACTCCAAGACCCAGTAACACCCCAGCGAGGGTGATCCTCCTATTCAGCACCGCCCAGAGCAGCGCAATAACCAAAACGCAGAGAAGACCCTCCGAGCTACCGCGGGTGCTGATATTAGCGACCATCGGATTAAGCAGCCAAACACTGGCATACTTCAGCGCACGCGCGGAACTTATTCCGTACGTGGCCATGAGCGATTGAGCAATCAACCAACCAGCCAAGACATCAGAGAGCGCAAAGAGCGCCTTTCCAAAAGCGAAGAAGAGCCGACCATCCCATGACGTCGGAAGGAGCAGCCAAGCCAGAAGAGGCGTGTAGCGATATGTATCTCTAGCGTACGGCGAGTCGCCGCGAGAGACGTACCGCGCTGCATCGGTAAACACTATATAGTCGATGTCGGTGTATTTGACAGCGGAATTGGCATCCTGCCATGCGCCATAGCAGAGAAGAACAGCGCGTAAGACGATAGACGCTCCGAAGACTAATGATGGCTTCTCGAAGAAAGACAATGCCATCATTGGCGGTTTAATTCGACTTGGATAATCTTCGATAGAATCATATCAACCCGGCTGGGGAGTGAAAATTTAATTAAACCAGTCAGACAGGGCGATATAGAGGCTTGTCTTATACAGCCATGGAATTTGCTCGCAGGTGCTGCGTAATATCTGGACAGTGGATGATGCATCTGAGTCTATTGGGACAAATAATGTGTTTTGGATGACACTGCTGAGTCATCATTTATACATCACATGATCATCTGTCTTGATAACTTGACAGACCAAAGAACAAACGGATGAGAGTGAATAGATAAGTAGTTAGCAAGAAAATACTTGTCTTGTAAAGAAAGTTGATCTGGGTTCGTGGTTAATGCATCAGCTACTGTGACCGGTGCTGTTGTAGAAGGTCCAAGTGGGACAATCAAGTCATCTACTTTTCCCTACAAAGAGAATATAAAAAAAAAAAAACATAAACACCATGGATTCCATAAACAATACTACTATCTATAATAGACAGTGAATAATGCAAGCTACATTCAGCGTTAACCAAAACCAATGCGTACTCCATAAGGGATAATAAGACTAACCACTTCCAAACCGGCCTGACTATGAACGAAAATAACACTAGAATAATATATACAAAATCCTGCTTTATATTTCCAACCCATATTCCCAACACCAATAAAGAACATTGTTGTGAATGAATCAACCCATGCATAACTTCGCGTAGAAGTCAGTTAGTGACCGTGTGATGCCCAATCCATCAAGTAATCAAGTAAAGAAGATGAAGAGTAAAAGGAAGAGTTAAGAGGAGAGGATATACAAGAGATGGATATGAAGCATTGAACAAAGTTGAGGGCATGCAAGGAGTGAAGACAAGAAGCCTCAGTGCCTTTTCAGGGTTGAGCCTGTTAGAGGAATGTGAGAGGTGTGTTCGCATAATATGTGGAATCTGTCATCGATCCACTGAAAAATGCGGAGGCATTATTGCTATATTTCATATTTTTCTCATCCTGCCCGAATAACGTCGTTTCGGTCCAGTAGTTCAGGTCTGTAATGCCCGGCCATAGATTATTATCGCTCCAACTCAGGAAATCCCACAGCTGCTGACCAGACGAATCATTAAACGGAGGAGTAAATGGATCGGAAAAGCTAGTATTGTTCACAACCATTGCCCCCCGGCCCAAGTCGTTTTGAGACGGAAGGATCCCAGGGATTATTCCCGACAAAGAGCTCTCACGCGCAGTCGTATACTGGCCGCTAGAAAGGGTACTGGTATCTCCAGCGATCCCAAGTCCTCGTTTACTGGCCTCAAGAATGCGGGAGACAGCATCCAGTGTTCGGCTGGCCGTCGGGCTCCAAGACTGTAACCGTGCTAGGAGCATCATCGCCATTTCCACTTGCTCCTGACACGACTCGACACTCGCTCTTGGATCACTGGTCGTATGGTCGTTGAGGAATAGTCCCAAGAGAGGAACCATTGTGGCCTGGAAGATTAGCCAGACGGCATTCCAGCCTGACATTTGATGGGACTGGGCCGTTGAAGAGATGTCTTGAATGGTTGCTTCCGCAATTTCCCTGCATCTCTCGATAGAGGTCCGCTCTTCTGACCGCAGTGCAATGTACGGAACGCGACGCATGGCGTAACTCAACAGGGTGGGACGGTAAAGAAGCATACGTTGATTGCAGTACCGCCATTTCATGACTGTCCGCGAAATCGCAATGGACTCGGAACACGGCTCGTGGTCCTTGAGAATATACGGGAGATTCTCATACCACTCCGACAGTTGATTATCAAAATGGAACATCTCATGATGTCTCGTCAACGGTGACACAGCCAGGACTTCCTGGATCTGGGTCGCAATCTTGCAAAACCGAACATTTTCCAGGAGGGGAAGAATGTCGAGCAAGTTTTCCTACCATGGATTAGCTTTGCAGAAGGGAAGTTTGACACTACTGACGACATACCGATTCTCTACAATATGGTAGCTTGACCGTAATTGTAGGCCCGAATCGGCCCATACTCGGCCGCCCTAAAGTCATGCCACCCCATGTGTCTAGGCAGAATAGCGACCACCATACTCGCCGTTTTAGATCCGCCGACGATATGCTCTGCTTCTTTGTCACATCGTGTGTCTCCGAGAACTCTTTGTGTAAGCCTAGTGCGGCTGCCATGCGTAGAGCAGCCCCCATCAATGAGTACGCCAGATTCGGCTGGCTGATGTAGTGGAGATAATAGCCACCCAGAAGGCCCAGGGTTTGGAGTGTCTCCATGTGCGAGGAACCTAGCGAATCTAGGCTAAGATATTTCATGCAGCGTACATAGTATGTCTTGTGAGACGTATCGTCGGACGTGCCCGCTGCGATACTGCCTAAAGCAAATACAATATTCACTAACCCAAGCCAGCGATCATCTTTCCTTCGGCCAGATATATAGGTCTCGCGGAAGCACTGTTCATCCAGCATGGGGACAAAAGGCTGGAAGTACATGAAATAGGCGTCGAGCAATTGTATGTTAGTCAACTGCAGCTGGGATTGGGGTGGAGTCCCAGGCTGTGGCTGAGATCCCCAATTTTGCGTATCCGAAGGGGAATATTCCATGATGGAGTCCTGACGGTGGACCGCGGCCGGCGTGCGAGAGAAATATGACAAGGATCCGGGGTCGAGCCAGACAATCACCTTGAGCACTGCGTTTATGGAAGACACTCCAAGATATGAGGAAGCGTGCTTGGCCGAGAGTGACAGGGCGTTTACATCGTCGGAGATTCCATTGGTCAGTTCTGTGCTGCTCAGGTTCTGAACGTCACTGGACTCCTCAGGCATGGTCTGTAGTGACTCAAGATTGCCATCTTCGTTGGATATCGGCGATACGTGAATATCCACGGAGGCAGAAGTAGCAGGAGATTCCGGACGTGGTCCTTGCGTATGCACCAGTGCCGGACCCTTGCCTAATAGCTCCATGAGCCTTTCGCGTGGCAAATTGACCAGGGTCTCCGGTGCTACAGTAGGAAAGAGTTTCTCAAGGACATTTCGATATTCATCCAGAGTGGTGGATAGCTTTTCCACATGTCTATTCCCCCAGCCTGTTGGTAAGCCATACTTCTACCTCCACTAAGGGTCAAAAAATCAAGGAAGAGACTCACCTTCGAGAGGGCCGAGGATCGGAATAGTGGCACTGGTCAGCCTTCTTGTACCACCTACATGCCTCGCAGGGCTTTTCACCGTCGCATTTTATCTTTCGATGTCTGCATGAGGTGCAGGCGCGAAGAGTCGTAACTCGTCGGCCAACTGATGGCTGGCGTTCACTGCGACCCCGGGTTTGATTTGAGCTCGCTGGGGTTTCGAAGCCTTCGAATGTATGGAACATGGTCAGGGCTATGGCTTCTGGGATTTCACACGTGAATTTCAAGCAACCGAAGGGAAGGCCGCACAACAGAGTCAGTCAGGGGTCCCGTCAGCAAGGAAGCGCCATTTGCACGCGGCGCATGTGGTCGAGCAGTTGGGATGGTACGATTTCAGGGATCGTGGAGCAAGTGGAATCAATAGCACCACCAGTCGCAAATAATGATTATACTTAGAAATGGGAGCAGCCACGAGTAATCTAACCACGTAGAGGAACGACTATTCTTCAGCGGCGCTGCAGGTCATTCCACGGGCCTGTGGAGTCAGGAGTATCGTACGGTGCCCCTTTTGGGATAATAATTTAAAAATAAAAAATAAAAAAAGAGGTAGGTCAAGCAGCAACGGCGCCTAGAATATAAGATCCACCCGGATCGGGCAGGATAAGAAGAGTGTTTGGGAGTCGAACAGTGCGAGAGAGAAAAGAGAAATGATGTGCACGAAGTGGAATAAGAAGAATAAGAATAAGAATACAGAGTAGATGTCGAAAATAATCAAAGCGACAGATTACCAGCTAGTTCAACTCCACCCATCCGTAGAGCGAGAGAGAAAAAAGAAAAGGACTATCCTTCTTCATTTCCCCTCCAAAGGCCCAGCGGCCCTTGAGAGATCATCCCCTTTCCTCCCCGCATTTTCAAGGTGGGACAGATTAAACTGAATCGATTCAAGTAAGCCCCAACGAGTCTGACCGGATGGCGTTGCTTGTCCGACTTGAAAGGGACCAGCGGCTAGTTAGTGGATTAGGCTGACGCCTTTCTTCCGGCCCTTCTGACGACGCCTTTTAATGCTCCTGGTTGGCTCTAATTTATCCAGAGACCATGGCCAAGAGTCCTGGTCTGGAAATCTCTAATCCTTAGTTTAGGACCTAACTGGAAGCCTCGGATGTGAGCCTTGCATTCTTCTGCTGACGATTGGTTCAAAAATTCCGCTCTACAAAGACCATTGCCATCCTAATTACTCATCTACGCATACCATACATCGAATTCTACTCGGGCAAGACGCTGAGCCCTATTTACAGGCACTTAACGCATACAATATCCACTGGAACATTCGGGAAATTGTGACTCGCAATGCCCGAATGAAGTATTCCTTGCATGATTCATTTTCATGCCCCGCAATGTGATGGGCGCGTGCGGATGCATGACGGGTGCAGAGACGAAACCATCTCAGGTTCCAGAGGCGGCACTGGTCTCTCCGCAAAGCCGACTCCACAGAGACAACCGGGCTCCAATTCGTTTCTGCACGATAATGGCTGCAGATTTCCACATCGATGATGTCCCGCAAAGAACAAATGATCCCAGCCGTGCTTGGATACAGTCCAAAGAAACCATTTCTTCCAGGAACCAATCAACTTTGCGGGTCTCATTAGCCGGAGACCAACTTTAAATGGTGCCCTTTTGTCCGCAAGTGCACGCGCCTAGTGCGGTGAAACCACGCTGGCATTGGTCGTTCCCAGGTCCTTCCTCCGTACGCAGCCTGACTATTTTGCATGACTGTAGACCACAGAACTGGAGGAGCTCATTTACCTAGACAGGATAATCGTGATTCCTCCAATGACAGTAGAGAAGCTAAGGTCTCTTGTTCAAAATGCAACCCCATCTACTGAGTCAAGCGAGGGGCTCGAGTTTACTTCAACCAACAATGTCCTTTCAACGGTACGAAATGAGGTGGCCCAAGAAGTATGCAGACAAATGTTCTACTCGAAAAGGATGTTGATTTGTCAGGGTGAATGACCGGCAGAAGGAGCAAGCTGAAAAAGGAAAAAGAAGGCAGAGAATTCGAAACACCACCGACGGCGAGGATTCGGGATCATCCGAACCTTTTCAGCACACTGGTCACCTCATCCAGAAGACTCGCCCCGGTGTCTCCGACGGGTAAGATTAACCAGTGATGTCGATCGTTGAGAGTCAAATTGATTTCAAGGCCCCACTGCGTGATCAAAGGGATTGGGGAGTGTGGTGCCAAGCAATGAGACATTTTCAATCCCAGATCTGCCACCATGTGAAAATGGTCCTTCCAATTTAAATCCAGGATATGAGGGGACTATACATCAGCCAATGTCAGGCGTTAAAGTCAATGGCACGGTGAGGACCTACTGCCAGGGCCGCTTGATTAATCATGCTAGAAGATCTAGGCTGTCCGGCCAATTCTAGTGTCTAGTGAGAATACAGTGTCTTCTCCAAGTAACCTAGACTACCGTGTCATGGGCTGTATTAGGGACAAAATAGAAAGGAGGAGATAGGATGTCAACTTACAGTGGGACGCGACAAAGCCGCCCACATGATTATCGCGCAAAGCTAGTTGCTACCATTTTTCAGCGACCTATCATGGTGTAACTACCCTGGGCTTTAGTCATTGCGCATCCCCTAAATAAGAGTAGAGATAGAAGATTGGAGAAAGTTAAAGGGAGGATGAATTCAACAAGTAGGTCTACTGGAGGGTCGGTAGGGTAGGTACGACAGGCGGCGACATTTAGAGCCGCTCAGTATCACTATCCAGAAGGACAGAACAACGAACAGTCATAAATATTCCTCACACCGAGAGAGCTGCACGGAGGCTGTGTCCAAAGGAAGGGAGGGAACCGGCTTAGTTTTCAGGAACTCAGGGATGTTGGGGATAGTTTGGCTTTCGGCTGTCATTACTGACCAAAAGATCTAACTGGGAACTTTCTTTTAAGACAAAAAACATTGTAGGCACAATTGGAATACTTGCGGGCAACAAAATATAGGGAAACAAGACGTTAGAGCCCATCGTATTAAGACGGAAGACGACTATGGACCTCCCAGAGGCCTAACCCGATTTGGCGCGGAGGTTTCTCCGCCGGACATATGGCCCAACTAGGCAGGGTCTGTGTACCTGTGTTGACCTCCCCACAATCCCATCCATCGCTTGTCTCAAACTTCAACGGCGACGGAAATTACCCGTGAAGATTTCTGCTAATTAACAATTGTGCTGTCTAGGTTTGAAACACTCTTCAGCCTGAAATCTGGGTACTTTTGGCTGTCAGATGCTGCACGAGCGTATGCAGTGTTGACTAGACTAGTTTCTGAAAGCCAACTTAAAATACTTCATATATTCTTGTCAAATTCCTTAGAAATTAAATTTTCAGGTAATTAAACATATGAACATATCTGCTGGGCCCTATATATGCACTGGGTATCCAAAAATTCCAAAATTCCAAAAATTGAACCATCCCACTGGACGACTCAACTTCTGCCCTGGCGTTGCTTTCCGTGTCATTCCCCATAGGCATGACTCCATACGCTAAGTCTGCCATGCAAATCTTCTGTATGCATTGCCCAGAATATAGAGCAAGGCCACTAAGAAAAGGGCTGGGAAGATACAGGGGCCAGTTGAAGAAGTTGCCTTTTCCAGAACAATAACTGCATCCGATTTGGCCACTTCGAGGCACCATAAAGCCCAACTGAGCTGCCCCTATGATGGCCACATTGTACTTGTCAGGAGATATGCCCAGATGATTTAACAAGTTCCACTCATAAGGCTTATTTTACCAGTGTAGGAGGGCTTCAGTTTTCCGTTAACTTCATCCTTTTTGTGTAAGAGACATGATGATGCGCACCCGCCAAACACAAGTTCTACCAAGATTTCACCCACTTTGAACTGGAAAAGAGTGAATTCTGAGAGCACCTGCCTAGAGTAGATTAGAGGCATTTCCACTGATTTGTGCTTATGATTACCATAAAATATACTCTAAGCAGAAACAGAGGACGCTCCACCTATCTGTTTTTGATCGTGTGCACTGAGGCATGTAACTTAATTAGCTACCTGTATAACAAAAATTGTTCCATCGGGATTTGGGGCCCCAAAAGTTCAGATACTCAAGTAGGTTTTAATGCAATATTTCGAATCGAAGTATTTTGATGACCATCATATATTTAATTAGTAAAGTAGGTAGTTCCTTCCGTCTTAATCTCCATAATGGAACACAATCCCATTTACTACGGCCAGATTATCCACAAACGGCAGGTGAGGCAAGACTTGTTGATACATTTCTCTCTTGTTCCACATGTGTAACTTCAGAGTTCTGAAGAATACGTCGCTGTACCCCCGGGATTCTGATATCCCCTCTTCACCTGTTCAAAAATAATAACTCCACCAACTGAGCTATATCAAACCCGAAGACTAAAACCATGACTGCATCTCCAACAAACATTAATAGTCCATGCTTTCTGAAGGACCGTGCTGCCCAATACCTGGTTGGCGACCGAGTCTTCAAGGAGATCAAGAAGGTTCTCGACAAGGACAAAAACATCGAGGACTACAATGGATTGAAGCACTTCTTGAGCATCCCTGGCCTGCCAATCCCAGTTCTGAGTGATGAGACAGGGCCATTAAATTTACCACCTCCACCCGACAAAGTTGCGCAACCCAAGCAGCCGATGGCTGATCTGCCAAATACTACATTGTATCACGTTTGCATTGTTGGCGCTGGGATAACAGGGCTTTTCATGGCTACTCTTCTTGACGAACTGAGTCCCTTTGTCACTTACGAAATCCTTGAGTCGAGTGATAGAACGGGCGGACGAGTATACACACACTCCTTTCCTCAGGATCCAGACAAACCGCCGGTATGGTATAATTACTATGATGCTGGTGCTATGCGATTCCCGGATGTGAGTTTTCCTAGTGCAAGTACAGATTCAGGGGCTAATTAAGCAATATAAGATACCTATAATGGATCGGTCAGTTGGTATATGCTCTGCTGATGGGCAGATCTTTCCAATGCACATTTTAACTGTTCGGTAACAGGGTTTTCAAGCTGTTTGAAAGGCTCGGAATAACAGAATCCAGTGGTCTTTTGATCCCATATTATCTTTTCGGTATCAATTGCCCCCAACGATATAACAGTATTACATATATTCCGCAAGAAGGAGGCCCAAGTGATCCGTTCAACTTCAGCGTTTCAAACAATGGGCTAGTGCCAGACAAGTATGTTTAGAGAAACAGACTTGGGGAGGTACTAATGGAGTATAGAACTGTAAATTATGGTGCAGATGCTATCCTGGATGACGCATTCGGCTACTATAAAGAGAGTCTGAGGAGAAACTTCGAGAAGGGATTTAAAACGTTGATGAGAGCGGATAGCTATACCATGAGAGAATATCTTTGCCAGGTAATGTATGATATAACACATGGAGCCAAGTGCAACAATACTGAGATACACGTAGGGGATATGACTTTTATTCCATCCAGTACTTGGAAACGGTTTCCGGGTTTGTCACACGTATATAAAGGAAATATTATACCCTAGACTAACTGACACCGATACAGTGCTACCGGTCAATATAGCCAAGCATTTACCGAAAGTGTGCTGGAGTCCTTAAACTTTGACTACTGCAACGGCCAAGAAGTGAATTGGTTTTGCATTAAAGGAGGCACGTCTGTCCTAACGAATAAATTGGTCGAACGAATCCGCAGCAAACCCTGCATCAACAATCTGGTGACAAGCATTCGATATGATCAAAATGCAGAATCCAGGCCTGTGAAAGTTAAAGTCACTAGCGGGAACAAGAGTGAAGAAAAGTGCTACGATTTGGTGTTCACCACAACTAGTTTGTCCTGTATGCAACGAATGAATCTTGACAATGCAGGGCTCAGTCGCGCGCAGCATGACGCCATACGTTGCCTAGAGTACGATGCCTCCACCAAAGTTGCTATTGAATTTGATACCCCATGGTGGATTACGATGTGCAATATTTCACAAGGTGGAGTCGCCTCGACTGACCTTCCACTTCGCACCTGTATTTATCCGTCGTATATAACCAGGGATGCAAAGCCAGCAGTGCTTCTCTGCTCATATTCCTTTGCTCGCGATGCCCAACGCATGGGGTCCCTGATCAGCTACCAAGAACAACTTAAGGAACTGCTTCTCCACAATTTAACACTGCTACACTATGAATCTGCGGGTCTTACCTACGAAGACATGCATAAACAGATAGCGGAGCAGTTCAGAGCAATACATGGGCATGATTGGAACCAGGATCCAAATACATCTGGCGCTTTTGCATTCTTCGGACCGGGTCAGTTCGCCAACTACTACCCCGAACTAATCGAGCCCGCAGCAGGTGGGCGTTTGCTCTTAGCTGGCGAGGCATGCAGTGCGCACCATGCATGGATAGCGGGCTCATTAGACAGTGCCTATAGGGCTTTGAGTCAATTCATTCGGACCGTGAAATGGGGGAGATGGCTTAATGTGGATGGTCTGCTCAAGAAATTAGAGGATAACTGGGGGGTCCTTAGGGAAATCCAGCCTGAGGCATTGGAATGGCAGGCGATCCTAATGACAGAGAAGCAGCAAAGAAAGTAGAGAGAGAAATTAGGTATGCACTAGGATATCTCAATGCCTTGTCAGTAATATTGACACGATACACTCCATTCAATGCTCGAGAATACTACTAGTTATAACTTAATACTATCTACCACATCTTATCAGATAACTAACCATCACCCAAAACGGCTAAGCGCCATAATCAAATGACGCCGTCCACCTAAATAATTCACTTCATAACCTTCTCCATTTCCTTTCCACCTACTTACCCCATAGCGTCTCATGGCTGGCACTAAGCGTTCTTGGGAAGGCAAACCACTCCGTGACGACGGCACTCAAACCCAAACTGCCATAGCGATGAGTGAGCCATCCGGCCAGATTCTCTCGATTTTCAGGACCTTTCGCGACGAGTTAGACGAGCATCATGATCGGCGCGAGAGATTGGTTAAAATCTCAAGGGATATCACAGCATTGAGCAAGAAGATGTCAGTCGCCTACTATATCCCCTTTTTTGTCCCCCTGGCTTAGAACTGAGTACTAATGGTTCATGCCAATGCAGCATATTTTCGTTACAACGGTAGACATCACCAGATTCCTTCAGCTTTATCTGTACCAACTCTGGCCAAAATTACTTATATTAATTCAATATAAAAAAATTCAATGCAGAGTCCGCACTATCAATGCGCCCATCCCCGCCTCCATCGCCAAAGAAACCCAATCCCGCTTCACCCAAATCCAAGACCTTTTCCGTTCCACTGTTCCAGATATAACTGGCATAAACAACTGGCGCTACCAGCGCCAACTCAGCGGCGCTGTCCAAGAATTCATCGAGGCCATTTCCTTCCGCCAGTACCTACAGACCCAAACCCTGATTTCCCTCGAGGAAGTCACCACTCAACTTCCATCGGAGATCCTCGTCACAGAAGAAGATTACCTGATGGGGTTATTTGACCTGACGGGTGAAATGATGCGGTTTGCCATTACGACATTGTCGACGGGTGCACAGAAGCAGCAGACAGACTCGACGGAGGAAGTAGAGAATACAGGACATTCGAAACTGGGCGATTCGCAGGCTGGAATTGTAGTTGATTTACGAGAGATGAGATCGCTGTTCGAGGGATTGAGTGTTCCGCGTCGTCATAATACGTTTATGTATAAGGATATGGCAAAGAAGATGGATGTGATGCAGAGTAGTGTGGAGAAGGTTGAGCGTGCTGCGTATGGGATTTTGGTGCGTGGGAGCGAACGGCCTGCTGGGTGGATGCCAGATCTGTCGGCGCCTGTTGAGATGGAGAGTTATTGAATGTAGGGAGTTGTATAATTTATATTTCTGTAGGACGTTGTATGAAAATAGAACACAAAGGAAGACTCGCAGAAATAGGACAAACCGTCAATAACAGCGTTTAAATGGCATATGACATCCCATCATGTACTGTTCCCAGGACATGTAGATTTTGATATTCATATCAGTAAAAGCATTCCAGAACAATAATACCAAGAACCAAAACACACAAACAGATTCGTAATCGTAATTTCATATCGACATTTCAACCTATTATCAATCCCGGTAAACGCCCATCACACAACTAAAACTCCAGCTAAACAGCCGGGTTTCTCGGATCCTCACCCTCAGTTAAAATACCCTGAACAATGAGATCCTCTGGCTGCGGTCTGTTCTGGATCTTCTGATCCAAATGATCAGCCAACATATGTTTCTCGAGTTCGCGAGCATGGGCCTGCAGCGCAGGAGCAGCATTAGTAGACGGAAGAATATTTCCTACCCCAAAGTTTAGTAGTTAGCTATCATGTACCAACATAGGATATGAATGCTTAGAACCGAGCTCCAGTCTAGCCTACAAGGATAGAGATAAAAGAAGGGATACACGCACGCTCTATGAGCTCCTCCCGGTCAGGACGGTGCTCGAGATGTTTCTTCAGGCTATCTGTAGTTCGCTGGCGAGCTAGCTCCTGTCTTGCGGCTTGAAGTGATCTAGGGGATTAGGTACCGTGTTAGTGACGGATATTAAGTGAGCCATTTTCTTATGGATATAGTAGATTGGCTTACGGTGCCACATTGGTGTCGAGCAGGATGTGTCTATCTTTGAGCTCCTGAGCCTCGGGACGGTTTTGGAGGCGCTTTTCGAGAGAATTGCGACGCTCGGTGGGAGAGGCAGATAGGGGGGTCTCGTCGATATCAGTTGATACCATGGCGGTAGAGAGTACCATGTATGTACGAGTATATGTATGGAGATGCTAGTATATACTTCTTTAGTATGGATGTGGTGAAAGAGAGGGCTGCGGGGCAAACGAGAAGATGAAATAGTTACTTACATTTACAGTTGAATATATGTACTAGAAGACTAAATGTAGTAAGTTAGTGCTTCGGATGTGTTGTCAGATGAAAGAAGTGGCTGGTCAAGTGATGGGATTCGGAGGCACGGGAACTGGGACTGTCGACCGCATCAGCCAGCGGGGTAGACAAACCTAAGCAGACTGGACGATGTCATGCCGCCCCGCAGAAAGTTCAGCCACCAACCAACTACTATGAAATTATCCCAATCTTCGGCTCTCAAAGGTTATTGTATACCTTAGCTAACTAGCTAAACATACATTCAGATGAATCAGTCTCCAACGCGAAAACTTGGAACAGCAACCCTAGCTCTTTGCCCTCCGCCTGCTTCCTCTCAACTCGCAGAACATTCAGAAACATGCCAACAAAATACAGCAATACGAACACTGCTATCATTTCTTTCTTTCTTTCTTTCTTTTTTTCTTTTGTCATTTCTTTTTGCAGAATAGAGCAAGATGCTGGAAAAGCAAGCTGGTTTAATAGCAAACCGATTCAAACATAATGGTTTCTGAGATTCCACGGGCAAGTGGAAGGAACATGAAAACAACAGCCTGCCTCCATTAGCGGGAAGCAAGGAAATAGGCAACGATGAAAGCTTAGCATCGGACCTAGAGGCGAAGTCAGGCTCATGTCCGAACAATAGAGAGCCCTCGTACTAAAATGGTCATTCCAGGACCGGAACCGTGCCATATTCGCATCCGTACCATTTTTTCAGGACCCATTCGCCTTATCCATCAAGTCACAGTCTGAAACTGACATTCTGACCAGTAGGCAGCCCGGGAATGGCAAATAATTCCTTTCTCTGCTTCGAGTAGCAACCACAATGGTCTATTTGGATTTCACAAAGCAACGCTCGTTGACATGTAAAGATCAACGGCTCCCTGGAATCCAATCAAGGAACCCAAAGTTTCCCACGACCACGACCACCGCCGCGAGATGCACCCCGCGAGGCGCCCCGGCGACCGCTTGTGCTATGCCGAGATGCCCCTGCTATACCTCGTGCAGCCCCCGTCTGGGTGCTGAGGTCAACTGTAGGCTGCTGCTTACCGGAAGCATTAAGGGATCGACTGAAAGAGTTGGGGTCAATAGGCTGCGTAGGAATCTCTATTGCGGTTTCCGTAGGCTGTGCAACGGTCTTGGATGAGGCTGCTTTTCGGTTGTTTCCTGAGCGTGAAGCCCCACCTCGAGAGGCTCCTTTTCCGCGTCCACGTGGGACAAAGACCAGTTCATCTTCATCACTCTCGTCATCATAGGAAAGCAGAGACTTTGGTTCGGTGGCCTGGGTCTTCTCGACGTATTTGCAACGATTCTTGTACTCCCTCTCCTCGTACTGGATGGAAGTCCGCAGTTGATGGATATTCTTAACCCCAATGCCAAATTTCTGGGCCCAAATTTGCGTAGGGCGGTCGTTGGTGATCAAGATACAGTTCTTTGCCGCATTCGATGCATCAGGGCCACTATGTAGCCGCCATAGAAGGGCACTGAGCAACGGCCGCAGCACCAAAGGAACCGTTGGAATAGTAGAGCCCGATGCAGAGCGTTGATGTCCATTTGCACGTCTGACTTTAGAATCACTTGATCCTCCTCCATTCTCGAACATGTGAGAATTTGCGCACTCAGGGCTCGTGCGGGAGCTTCTGGAGGATGGACGCGACGCAGGTGCGCTGTGAGTACCGTTGGAGGTTATCGAAACAGCATCCGATTCCTTTTTGAAGTTCAGCTTGTTGAGGAGCATTTGCGACAAATCGTCCTGATTAGCATCGCTCTTCTTTTGGTCTTTTCGTTTCTCTTGCCGCTTTTCCGCTGACACCTGTTCCACTGCAACATCTCCATTTAACACTTCCGGCTCTTCCTCAAACTCCGGGAGGAAGTACTTTTCCGCCTCACTCCATTCCTCGTACTGTTCCATGGGGCCCTGAAGGGCGACACGCTCGGACGCAATATTGTCTTTTCCCGAGGTCACTCGGTCGAGAAATCGTACTGCCTCACGGGCGTTGATGGCGATCTGAGATCCAGCCCGCTTCAAGGCATGAAGGCGTTCAAGGGCTAGGAGATAGGGAATGCTCATAAGCAAAAGATCATGGTTAACTTTTGAGATGAGAGCCTACATACTGTAGAGGGGGACGATCAAGGTGATGGCACCATTTGTTGTCCATTTTTTTATTTCACTGATATTGGTGGTCAATGCCGTCTCATCCACGGCACAGTGGAAGACCTTGCGTCCTGTCGACATGACTCGAAAAAAGGGTCGACAAGAGGCAGTACACGTAGTCGAAGATATAGGTCAGGAAGACGGCGCAGGATTCCTACACCAAACAGCTAAATTTGACGACTGCGACCATGCCGCAGGCGATGTTAGTGGGAAGCTGATTCACGAAGGAGGCTTGGATGGAGGCGGATTGATCTGGAAATGTGGGGGCAGTGGTATGGGAGTATCGGTGCTAGGCAGCTAAGACACGGGATGAAGGGCACGACGAATCCTACTCACAATTGGACCCTGGCTCACAAAGAAAGAACATCTGCAGCATCTTTGGGATATTGAGGACTATTGGTGGGAGTAATAAAGCGGAGAGGTGAGGGAAGAGTGAATCAACGCAACAGCAGCGGATCAACTCGAAGCCGCGGGACGACGACTGTGCTCTGACTAAGCGCCCCCGACCTGCCGTACGTGTATATTTAGTTTAGCAAAATGGAAACCTTCTCTGAAATAATGTCTATGGGAGATTTGTCTGTACTACATCTATATCAAACAGAAACCGACAGGCTTCGCCCACTAGGTGTATGCTGTCGTTGTCACACATGTCCACAATGGAGGAAAGGAATACGAATGGTAGGTAATACAAAGTGCTCAGATACCATCGGATCATTCATCGAGGAATCTGAGCCGAAAGAACAGCCATAATTCCGCACCAATCATCAGGTTAGTTTGCCTTCTTAATCAGGCCATCGGACGGCTTGACGCGCTGTGCCCACTCTCTAAGAAAATTGTAAGCGTCTGAACTGGGGTATGTTCTACCATCGGGAAATATATGACACCTACGTCCAACTTCCATCATATACTCTTCGGATATTGGGGTCCCCATATTCTGCTTCACCTAACGCAGTTTCGATAATGCTGGCAGTAACGCCAGTGCCACAAGAGCTGATAATTGACTTGGAGGCATCGACGTCTCGATCTTCAAAGATCTTATGTAATTCGGGCCCAGGGCGAAGAGTCTTTGTCTCAGGATCCAGTAACTCGTGAAATGGTAGGCTTTTGGAGCCAGGAATATGTCCCGAAGACAGTCCCGGGCGCGGTTCAGGATCGGTTCCTGCCCAGCGGCCATAGGATCGAGCATCCAAGATTTCTACCTCTTTAGCACCTTCTTTCCTGTGCTCTTTGGCAATCTCCTTTAGCTCCAGGAAGGGAATCACCAGCTTAGAGTCGTAACTGGGCACCGGATAGTTGGTTTTTTCAACATGTTGAGGCTGCCCGGTCTCAGTCGGATATCCATCACGAACCCACAACTTGTAATTATTCAGAACGTGGACCTTAGGATGGCCAAACACTCTAAAAGTCCATCCCACTCGAGGCGCACTAAATATACCAAGTTCTTCAGTATCATAAACCACGACCTCGTCGTCTCTCCGGATGCCAAGTTTAATCATTGCATCAGCGAACGTCTCGGCGGTAGGAAGCATATGCGGGTAAGGAGACTCAGCATCTTTGATAGCGTCCAGATCAAAGAAGCGAGCTTGAGGGATATGGTGTTTTAGAAAGACGTCAATTCCTTTACGGCCATCGGGATCATTTGGCATGAACCAGGCTGCACAAAGAGGAACGACACGAGGAGAGGTCGAGATTTTCGTAGGCGGATTCTTCTTCAGGGCTTCATTTAACTCTTTTGGTGAGACCAAATATGAAGAAAAGGAGACCTGGCGACTTTGGCTTTGTTGTCGTACCTGCCGGGAGACTGACATCGTAGACCGAACTAAGCGAAAGGGTGAAGGGATGGAGTTACGGAAGGCTGCGAAAGCCATAGTCACGGCGAATTTCTCGGACGAGTAGAAAAGTGACTCAATACCTATTTACATAACGAAAAGATAATTCTGCCAGATTGAGTCATCCGGTAAATAGGAAATTAGCGGAATCGGACGCAACCGCTGTGTGGGGGGAAGAAAGTGCGATGTTATCAGTGAGTTACGGGCAGAATTGCGGAGTCGGCCATCGCCTTCTCCGCCACGTGAATGAGGTAAACAAGCCGCTTAGCATCTCTACTTGCTCCTTTCCCTCGCAGAACCAGACTCTCAACCCCTCAAATCAAGTACGCTCAAAGCTACCACGAAGTATGAAAGTCACTATTAAAGAGTGGAACGCCATCGCGACCTGGCGCTGGGATATGCCCGACGATGAAGTCTGCGGTATTTGTCGCGTACAGTTCGATGGCACTTGTCCGACGTGTAAATTTCCCGGAGATGATTGTTCACTACGTAAGTACCTCTAGTGCCCCGAGGACTGGAGCCAGGTCTATGATAATAACAATCCATGTCTCAGTACTTGGCAAATGCGGTCACTCTTTCCATATGGTGCGATTGTGGATCTGCAGATGCTCATCTCATATGAATCTGAACGCTGATTACGCTGGGACTAACCATAGCACTGTCTAATGACTTGGATTCAACAGGAGTCATCAAAAGGGCTCTGTCCAATGTGCAGACAGAGTAAGAGAGCGTTCCGGGCAAATTCGTATTAGCAATGCTAAATATCTGCAGAATTCGAATGGAAACAAAATGACGAGTGACGACATAAAACAAGATTTTATGCAACCAAACCAACTTAATTTGCAGTTAAAATGGCATTGAAGGACTCCATGGATACGATACCCTTTTCTTTTGAATACCTGTGTTTTGCTTCCCATCCTGTATATATTCCTATCGCATGAATATTCATTACATACATCCTTTTCACTCTCCCCTTGCACGTCACCTGACCCTATCGATAAGGGAGCAGGTGATCACCAGCTCAAAAGCTCCAATCTTCTCCATCCAAACCTTCCGTGCTCTTTTGACACCAAACATGTAGCCAGAATCACTGAGATGTCTCTTTTAAAGCGCACTACATCTCCCTTATCCTCGCCTCCATCTGGACAATATGTCCGACGGACCTCTGAATCGAACATACCGTCGCGCCCTCAGAGCATCATCGATCGGCCTATGACAGCCCAGAAGACACACAACATCCCCGAAGAACCACTCAGCAGCCACGAAACAACAGAACACCCCACCTCCCACCTCCCCGAAGATGACCGACATCACGAAAGCCCATCAACTGCACAACCACCGTTCCAGCCATTTTTCACACTGATCGAAGACGCCAACACTACCGAATACTACCACCCCACAGTTCACTATATCTTCTCCGACGATGACACAGACATTTTGACAGAGGCAGCCTTGCGGTCTCTGGAAACAGAACAGGACGCTCTTTCACATGGCACAAAAGGGAGATCGAAGACCACACACAATCCCCTACACAGCAGTGGTGGTAAGGAAGATACGTATGATGAGGATGATGATATTTCCAGCCCAAGGAAGGCACCGTTACTTCCACCCTCGATCCCTGGAGTGCGAGATAGTTACATCATTTTGGATGTGGATTCTACGTCTTCTAACGAGGCGCATCTAAACATTGTTTTGAATCGCAATAACAGTGGAGTCAGTGGTACCTCGCCAGGAACTCAAGCAATAGTCCAAACGCAACAGCCGCTTAATTCTCAAAACCAGCATTCACAGGATCGACAAGGACTGCCGTCTCACCAGTTTACGGTCACATCCGCGCGCAGCTTAACACCTGCATGGCAAGTCTTGAACACAGAACTTGTCCCGGCACCAACTTTCGAGAATAACCTATCGGGCGAGCAACCACTGAATGGTGGTTTGATGTTGAAGATTCAGGGAACGGCTGGTTTACCTAGGAAGGATCGAGATAGGGAGAAAAGTAGCCAACGTCTGGAAGACATGATGGACCAGTTCTCAAAGCGCCTGAGTGAACTCAGACAAGTTATAGAAGCTGGCGAGCAGGGGAACTTTGCGGATGAGCTGACTGAAGAAATTAAGCCAACGGAACTAGGCACGGAGAATACTCCTGGCGTGAGCATTGATGGGCAGTTCGATACTCCAACTCAAGCTGAGAATGCTACGAGGAACGAAGGCGCTCAACATTCATGAAAGCACAGTGTACTTTCCTAGTGTTACAATACTAGTTAGTCATACGCTTCAAAGCATCTGTTCAATCCAAAATGCTATATTGGTATGACCGGTATCTTGAACGTTCCAAGTTTACAGAGAAGTCTTTAAACCCAATTAAACAACACGCTGGTGGAGTATTCATGTGAAATACAACTCAGATACAAAATCAGGTATCTTATTCGGTCGCTAGTGAAATCAGAATATCGAAAACGCCTGGCTCCAAATCGCTAGACCAAATTGTCTCTAGTGAATAAAATGCCGACCGCCTAAACAACCAAAAATATTCCAGGGTGGTGACAATGAAGCAGGAAACATACTGGGTGGAAACACTGTAATAATACACGGAACCTTTTACCGATCCATTTTAAGTCGATGGCCTGCTTCTGAGCCATAGGCCGCTAGACAGTCCAGCTGGAGGAACGTTTTCTCTACCTTCCATCTTCACGGCCATCTTCTTTGAGATCGGTTTTTGCGGTAGCTTGGTATCAGTCACATTGAGATTTGAGCAGCGTCTTTTGGCAGGCGGCTCATCTAAATCATCATTTTCTAAGCTTTCCAAACTCGATGATGCCTGCTTATTTGATGTCGGTTGTTCTAGTGAGCTATTGTCCATGCTAGGCGCGCGTGGTTTGACGGCGACGTTTACATCGACTTCCCTAAGGCCCGTGTTGGAAGGAGTAGCGGTGGTTGTAGGCGGTTGCATGCCTACCTCGTACTCGGTATCATTATAAACAAAGCCCTTGGAAGAAGTCCTGGGAGGCTTCACGGGAGAAAGCTGCTCCTCGCCGCTGAACGGTAACAGAGTGAGGTCTTTCGAATTTCTCATTCGAGACTTCAAAGAGTCGTGGGTTTCGGTTCGAGGTAAAACAAACGGATACTTGTACTGTCTCTTCTGGGGAGTAACACCAGTAGGAACATAGTCTTTCAATGGTCGGTTGAGGATGTTTTTGCGAAGCGTTTCGAGAGGCATGCGGACATCCTCTGACAATGGAATAGCTGATTCTTCTAAACAATTCTTCTGTTGAGTTGCATCCTCTTGAAGTTTATTGAGCCGATTTTCAAAACTGGAGAATTGCGTGTGCATTGATGAATATGATGTTTGAACATCAGACGCCATACGTTCCAAGCTGGAGATATGAGCATCGCGATAATGGCCATTTTGGGATCGCGCTTTCGCCACGAAATCGTCCAAGGCTTCCATCTGCTTGCCCATGTTGTTCACCTGGGCATTAACAATCCGCACCGTCTCTTCATGCACGGACTCGGTTGCCCTTTGAATAGAGGCATTACGTTGATCAAAGACCTACTGAATCAGCGTGCGGGCAAAATACATATGGGGAAGAGAGCTTACCTCCCAATCATTCTGCATCTTTGTCCTAATCTCGTCCTTTGAAGCATTTACATCCTTAGCGAATTGCTCCGATTTGAACACCCATTCGTCAACCTGGCGATCATAATGAGTAGTTGTATGCTCCAGAGAATCGCCTGAAGAGGCAATCTCTCTCCGTACACCCTCCACCTTGCCTTTCAGACGTCCGAACTGCTTTTGCCTAGAATCTTCGATAAGTGTCCTGATCTGCGAAAGTAAAAAGTCACGTTCAACTTCCGCATTGGTGTGTTCTTCTTCCAGTGTGTGTGCCAGTTGAGAAGACGCTCTGCGATTCGCTTCCACTGTTCTGAGATTCGCTTCTTGAAGCTCCAGTCTCAATCTATTGATCTCTGTCTTTTGGTCGTTAAGATGTCCCACCATACCTTCGAACATAGCCTTGAACTGTTGACCGAGGGCACTGTAGGAAGCATGGAGCTGAGCATGGAAACCAGCGATTTCATCAATAACGTCCTTTGAGATGCGAGCTGCCGCGGCCGACAATCCATTCAACCCTTCTCCCACCTTGCACTTGACTTCTTCTCGCAGGTCCTTGATCTCCTCTAGAACATCATTCATTTCATCGTGTGCGCCACAGGTCTGAGACTTTGCCTCTGCTTCTGCTATCTCGAAAGATGAGGCCCACTTTGACACATCGGAATGATTTAGTTGAATATTTTTCAGCTCACCCATCACATAAGAGTTAATTTTTTCTGACATGTCCTTCAAGAGCTTTGAATGCTGGGTCTGGAAAGCTACCACACTCATGTCAACTTGATTGGTTACATCTGACACCTCGGACGTCGAGACTTGCCAGGCTCTCATATTGGTTGCGTCTAAGTCCGCTTTGCGCTGTAGTTTTGCATGCAAGCCATCCACATCTCCCACTGTTCTGTCCAAAGTGGACACGAGGCCTTTGCCGGTATCATAGAGTTGTTCCTCTGTATCTTGGTGGGCTTTACGTAACATTTCCTCCTCCTCAAGCTGAGTTTGGGTATCCTTTAGAACAATTTCAGTCTTTTCCAGAACATCATTGGTTTCGTGAAGGGCAGCATAAGTTTCCTCGTTGTCCTTCTTCAAATTGTTGAAGTTGCTTGTTAATGTGAACAATTCCTGAACTTTGTGTCGCAAGTTGGCTTCCATAGATTCAATTTTGCCCGCTGCTCTTCATTGACGATCCTTCGAGAATTGTTCTCCATATTTAGTACCTCATATGCGTCGACAGTCATATACACTCCATTTCGATGTCTCGTTGCGATCAGCTCCCCTTTGAGCTTCTCGATTTCCATGGTAAATTCCCGGAGCAATGTCTTCTTAGCCATGTAGTTGATCTGCGGCTTGTTGCGAATATTCTTTGCCCTGAATGCGTAGTCCAGTGTTGATATTGTCTCTTCCAGATTACTCCGAGAGGGGGAAACGGTTGCAATTATGCATGTCTTAGTGCGTCCGCCGAGAGAGTCTTGCAATAAGCGAGTGAGTTTCGACTCCCTGGTTAATATTAGTGGACTGCTAAATACAGCATAAGGCTGGCTGCGTACCTATAGGGGATATGAGGGCTTTTGTCAACCAATGCATTAATAACACGGCCGAGTGTTAGTAGGCTTTTGTTGATCAAACCAGCCTCTGCTGCGCGTTTGTTTTCGGCACCGCTGCGTTGAATATTCTCGCTGCCAGCAAGGTCAACCAAATTGAGCTTCCCTGAACTCATATATTCTTCGCCCGACTCCGATGTCCGTTTGGTATGAACTGAGATGGTGAACACGGTATGGCTCCGAGAACTAAGATCGTTGCATTTAGTGGCAGCGACTTGGCGTTTGTGGCTACCCAGCTGGAGTAATTTGATGCCGGCTGTTGCCGAGTCAATGAATGTTTCCTCCATTCCCTGGACGAGGGTACTCCCATTCTGTCCCTTCTTCGACTCATTTTCGAAAATCTTCAGCTTGGGATTTTCTTCCACTGAAAGAAGGTCACGGAGCTCTTCATTATACAATTCAATAAATGAGCACTTAACTGTGCTCTCGGTCTCCTCAAGTTTATTGAATAGAGAATAGAATACGCGTGGAATAATACCAGCGTTATCGGACAAGATCCCTAAGGTATCTGTCATGTCTCCTGACATTGTGTATGTCTTTCCAGTCCCCGTTTGTCCATACGCGAAAATGGTGCAGTTGTATCCGGCGAGCATCTGGTTCCGGTCAGTATTGAGGGCATTACAGCGTCCACTCAAAGCATCTCACCTCATTAACAATGGGAAGTACTATATCCTCGTACACTGTGACTTGGTCGGCAGCCGCGGAGAAAACTTTGTCAAAGGTATAAGTCTTGTCCGACACTGCATTTGGACCCATTGATATGTCCACAGTTTTCCCCTTTACTCCTTCAGTTGATAGCACAACTCCGCTATTTTCTTTTATTTCGCGTTCATTACGTCCCCGACACCGTACAACCACATGGATGCTGGTGTCTTCGTTGATCTCACGCTCATAATCCCTTTCTCTCCTTTTCGCAGTTATGCTGCTCGGTTCGCTGGGAGATTTGGTCGCACGGGACGGATTCGCAATGGGCGCTCTCGTTGAAACCAACGGCGACTTTGATGATTTGTCTGCTACAGCAGAGCCTAACCTCCGTATTGGCTGTCGTGTGGTCGTTCTCCTGGTGGGCAGACCAGAGGCAGGCCGTTGGGGGCCAGCCATTGTGATAAATTAAAAGGCAAAAAATTCGACCAACAAATGCAATAGACAAATGTATCAAGAAAATATTATTACTGAATTCACAGCATCAACTCATGTGGGACAAAATATGGTCAGCAAGTGATTGTCTGAGACTCTATGGTTGTGAGGTTTAGTTGATGCTGTTCTATGTTGTCCTTGGGAGACTCCTAAAGGGAAAATGTAAACAAACCCAGGCGGTGATTCACGTGCCGCTTTGCGGCCCAAGCGCCAGGTCATGTCCGCCGCTCACATGGCGCTATGTCATCGCCGTGCTCCTCCTGACTCTCAATGCTACGTAGATATTATTCTTTACTTTTTTAAACCTAGTAAAGCCGCCTACTCTCGCTCCTTCATATTTCTCCAAGCTTCACTCTGTGCATGCAGTTTTCATTCATCGAGTGATAAGTTTATATCAACTCCATGATGAGAACGGCCCACCCATCATCATGACCGCCACCAGACCCTCGAGTCAAACCCAGATCTTCCCTGGGAAAGGGCTGGGTTTTATAAGCATGTCTACAAGCAATACATGTATTCTTGTATCAGCCTAGCTAACTATTTCTTCAGCCCTTGGTGCATCTCTTCATAATGTCCTCGGTCGCGTCAAGTCGCACCCCCAGACGTACCCCGCAATCGACATAGCCTACTCCCCTTCGGACCCTATACATAAACCCGTGACGCTTCAACTTCCATCGAATGGTCTTCGTTTGCGCTTCGATGGTCCAGATCAAAGATTACGTTTAATCGAAGTCCTTGACTTTTCCAAAATCACTCTCGTCTACAAGAGTCAAGAAGTGATGAAAGGTGTCAAGCCGCAGGAACAACCTGTTTCGCAACAAGGACCCAGTTTTCGACAAGTCTATAATCGCCTCTTTGGCCCTTCTTACCCAGGCGAATATCTTCCTCCAAGTAATCAGTCGCCGTATGGTACGTATGTGCTATCATATCCAGGCGTTGCCTTTTCATTCCCCCTGCAGCATTCCGCCTGGTCAGATCAGTGTGATTTTGTAGCGTTGCTTTCTTCTTCAGCAGCTTTGCCTGCAACCGCGATGTCCATCTTTCAGGGTGCTTCTTGGCCTGAAACGCGAGGTAAATTATTCACCCAACATCCTCAATATCCACGCTTTCCAGCGCTAGTGGGGAAGACCCGAGAAGCCGTCCCAGATGAGGTGGAAGAGTTCATTATATTAGGTGCAGGCAAACTTGAGGTGGTCCGAAGGTCGATGCCTCCCACCTACATCAACTTGTCCGAAACCACACCGCAGGACTTGATTGCTGATTTTGGCCCGCCTGATGCCATATATCGTAAAAATGATCGAAGAATCGCCATCCACCGCACCGCTGCCGGATATAATGTCAATGATCCCCTCCACATGAGCCCATCTCCTGGGAGAGGGATCGATGTGACTGACACCGATCAATCTTCAAATAACAGTACCACTGACGACTCTGATGAAGAGTTTTCCCAGACCTATAATCAGGACCCTCTATCACTGCCCACGGAATGTTTTTTCAACTATTTCCACCATGGCTTTGATGCTTTCATTTCATATCCTACTACACCTGGGCCTGCATTCCCCGGCTCCATCCTAGCAGATCCGTCGCCTCCTTCTCCCTCATCAAAGTTGGTGGTGACCAAGATCATTTTGCATGGCAACGTGCCGGGATCATACCCTTTCAACCGCCACCGGCGCAGTCGTTGGAAGGTCAACCTAGATCCATCGGGCGACTCTGTCACGTCCGAGACCCGTTATGACGAAATTTCTAAACGACTGCGAAACGTTTGGAAGGGATCATATACGAGCGCTGCGGAGGAGAGAGCTTTGCAGAGGCCTATGGTGTTAAATCGAGGTTGGGGCGACAGTCCTGAGAGTAGTGTTGAGTTCCTTGGCGGATGGGAAGAAAGCACTGGTAAAGGTCCGAGGGCAGGACATGATAGCCATGATGGTGGTCTCGGTAACACTGAATTGTTTGGATTCCCCGGTCTTCTATTCGAGGTTTTGAAGAATGGTGCTGTGAGCTGTTTAACAATATATTGACTGAGCCGGTGTTGTGTTGGTTCTTTTGGTGTTCAGGGCGCAGGACTTTCTAATTGCATAGTAAGCTGTACATGAATGGTTAATAGAACCTACTTCTATATTGCTGCTCAAAACTGTCCCTTTATTGACGACTGCTCTAAATCGTTGGAAAGAGGAGGACGATTGACTCGCTATGTGTAATCTATAAGTTGTTATATCAATACAGGAGTTGTGGAGTCGGAGTTTGCCACTGACACATCTAATTGGCCATATAGTATAAATTACCCTAGTCTTGTACCGCTCTGTCGGATGGTTCTTCCGTGATCGCCGTTTATTTCATGTCCGCGCATCCACCAAAGCACGCTCGACGCAGTTAACATTATTTAACTCGGAGGCAGGATATGCTCGAGCGGTAGTATGCCGGAATTGCTGCGGTCGCTCACTCGGTCCTGGTCGTCGACCCTAAAACTTCCCAAGTCAACATTCCCCGCGCGTGTGACACCGGCCGATCAAACAAAATACCTGCGACGATGCACTGACGATCTCTATGCCTGGCAACGCCGCGAAAGGACGGCCGATAGACCATTTGTCCTACATGACGGTCCACCATACGCAAATGGCGATGTTCATGTCGGCCATGCGCTCAACAAGATTCTCAAAGATATCATCTGCCGTGTGCAGTTGGGGCTTGGAAAGGGTGTCCGATATGTTCCTGGGTGGGATTGTCATGGATTGCCTATAGAACTCAAGGCTCTCGAGAAACAAAAATATTTGAAGGAATCTGATAGACCGGTCAGTGCTGCGGTAATAAGAAAAGCCGCGCGGAAATTGGCAGACCAGACAGTACGGGAGCAGATGAAATGGTTTCGCGAATTCGCTGTCATGGGAGACTGGGAGAATCATTGGAAGACCATGGACAAGGAATTCGAAAAGAGACAACTTGCTATATTTCGTGAAATGGTCGAGAAGGGCTTGATTTATCGACGCTTTAAGCCCGTGTATTGGTCGCCTTCTACTGGAACGGCACTCGCAGAAGCAGAATTGGAATACAAGGACGATCATATCTCTATTGCCGCTTTGGTCAAATTTCCTCTAGTATCTATTCCCCCACATCTGGCACAGAATCCTCTATTACAAGTCAAGGACCTTAGTGCTGTCATATGGACGACTACTCCTTGGACGCTTCCTGCCAACAATGTTATTGCTGTTCATCCGGATCTTGAGTACGCGATTGTTCAGTCTGAAGTACATGGCCACCTTCTTGTCGCGCAGTCACGGATTGAATATCTTGAAAATAGTCTGAAAGAGGACCTTTCCGTGATTGTTCCAGCTATCCACGGTTCAGAACTAGCAGATCGCACTACGTATCGACCCCTATTTAAAGGATCAAATACAGAAGCGCAGCCAATCATTGCGGCAGAATTTGTCACCGCTGATTCTGGTTCGGGCCTTGTTCACTGTGCCCCCGGACATGGAATGGATGATTACGATGCTTGCGTTTCGCGTGGTATCCCTGCGTTCGCCCCAGTTGATGATCACGGCAGATTTACCGATAAAGCAATGCCCAGCGACCCTGCAAGATTGAGCGGAAAGAGTGTTTTGGACGAAGGAAATATTGCGTGTCTCGAATACATTGAATCCCAGGGTCATCTTCTTGCCAAACATCAGTATGAGCACAAGTATCCCTATGACTGGAGATCGAAACTCCCCATAATTATCAGGGCTACTGAGCAGTGGTTTGCCGACGTGGCTGATATCCGCAGCAGTGCTGTGAAGGCCTTGGAGGATGTCAGGTTCGTTCCAACTTCTGGCAGACAGCGACTGGAAAACTTCATCAAGAACCGGAGTGAATGGTGCATCTCACGTCAGCGTGCATGGGGGGTACCGATTCCTGCTCTTTACCATCGAGGCACGGGCGAAGCTGTTCTCACAAAGGATACCGTCTCTCATATCATGGATAAAATAGAGGAGCGTGGGGTGGACGCATGGTGGACAGATGATGCGAACGATCCAGCATGGATTCCACCATTTTTGCAAGATGCATCTGGACCCGGCTATCGACGTGGAACGGATACCATGGACGTGTGGTTTGATAGTGGCACCAGCTGGGCGGGAATCGATACGCCTTACAGCGATGGCTATCCTTCTGACGTCTACTTGGAAGGCACTGACCAGCACCGTGGCTGGTTCCAGTCTGGCCTCCTCACGTTTATTGCTCACCAGCTCGCCTCCGGTCAAACTTCAGCGTCCCGTGCACCGTACAAAAACCTTATCACCCATGGATTTACTCTTGATGAAGAAGGGCGTAAAATGAGTAAATCGATAGGAAATGTCCTACACCCTCAATCAATTATGGATGGGACGCTTTTGCCGCCCCTCAAGCCAAGAAAAGGCAAGGGGAAAAAGCAAACTGAGAGCCAGGGACCCGTGTACGATGCCCTTGGCCCGGATGCACTTCGTTTGTGGGTTGCAAGCAGCGACTACACGCGTGACGTTGTGATTGGAAAACAAGTTCTGCAGACGGTCAACACCAGCTTACACAAGTACCGTGTAACTTTCAAGATGCTCTTGGGTGCGCTTTCAGATTTTAGCTTAGAAAACCGCCTCCCATATGATGAATTACAAGAAGTTGACCGCATTGCCCTCATGCATCTGTCTGAATTGGTTCTGGCTTGCCAAAAGGCCAACGAAAACTTTGAATTCTACAAAGCGGTGAATGCCATCAACCGGTGGGCCAACCTTGAATTTTCTGCTTTCTACATGGAAGCCATTAAGGATCGGCTTTACACTCTAGGGGAAAACAGTCCAAGCCGACGTGCTGCGCAGACAACTTTGCTTCACATTTACCACCACCTTCAAGAGGCCCTGGCTCCGATCACTCCAGTGCTCGTGGAAGAGACCTGGGAGCACACGCCCGAGACTATCAAAACGTATTGCGAGCACCCTCTACGACGGGTTGTAGCGGCGCCTGCTCCAGAATGGCAAAGCCACACGCTCGAGGCAGACTTCCAGGACCTTGTTGCCGTGCATTCGGCTATCAAAACTGCCCAAGAAAAAAGCCGTGCCAAGAAGGAAATAGGATCCTCCCTGCAGTCATTTGTCCATATCATCCTTCCTGAAGGAATGAGGGAATCTGTGTTCCAGCGGAATCTGTCTGAGCTTCCTGATCTGTTTGTTGTCTCGTCAGTCACTCTCGGCACCCCTGTTGAGCCCACGCCCACTGCCATTGCCGACGCACAATGGCAGTACAGTGAGGAATATGAACTCCCCAATGGACAGAAGGGAACCGTATATGTTTTCACGCCTCAAGCAAGCAAGTGCCAGCGTTGCTGGCGATACGTTATTGCCGAACCGCAAGCAGTCGAGGAGACGGTGTGTGAGCGCTGCAAAGATGTCGTTCGGGAGCTCTATGCTATCCGGTCTTCATGAAATCCATAGCTCACCTGTAATTTGAATGTAACATAGTGTACCAACTCTATAAATCATGTGCGAATCAGAAACTGTTTCGTTGGACTTGTACAATTCATCGTCATAGAACGGCAACAGCGTCCTGTACCGCCACAGAAAGTAGATTCTGTAGCTGTACTGCGAGAACAGCAATACGGACCATTTCCCTATCTGTGGACAAGCCAAGAATGTTGTCCACTTCGTACTATGGGGATGGGGTTGCGGTACCGTATTGGCTGCACCTCGCACCCATTCGATGACGACACCGTTGAGGTCAGCATGACGAATGTCAGTCGTAACGTCCATCCCACTCAACGTCCTTTAACAATGCTATTTCTCGGCCAAGTCTAAATATTACCAGTCACATTCTTTCAAAAATTCTCAATCAGCTTCAAGATATTAGTCAAGCATCAACATACATGGCTGTCATAGACATGATCGAAGCGTTGAAAGCGGAGAGTGTGCCTTATTCGGGACCGACTCCCACTTCATCTATAGATCCAGTCCCCACCGTGATTCCCGGAGATATTCCCGTTTTCCAGGAGATCCACAAGACTGGGCAACGGACATTATGGTACGTCTTCGAACCTGCCCTGGGAGTAATAAACGAAATATGTATACACCCAAACATCTAACAGGCTAGTAGGGTTGTAACCGTCCTGATGGCCCTCTCCTCCGTCATCTTCTATGTCCTCAGTGCCCGTTCACCAGTGGTACGTTCAATCATTCCTAGTCCGTACAGGAAGCTCGCATGTTGACCATAAATTCAGCCTAAACGTGTCTTCCACACCCTCGTGTCCCTCGGAACAACCATCTCCTTCCTGGTTTACCTGTCCCTCGCTACCGGCGAAGGCATCGTCTGGAAACACGACCTCATCAGAACAAAACACGACCACCATGTCCCTACTATCACAACCGACTACTTCCGTCAGGTCTTCTGGCTCCGCTATATCAACTGGTTCCTCACCGGACCTCTTGCCCTGATTAACCTGACCCTCCTCTCCGGTCTCCCGGGAGCGCACCTCGTAGTCGCCGTCGGTGCAGATTTCGTGATGCTCGGCTCAGGGCTCCTAGGTACCTATGCTGGCCACACGGCGCGCAGATGGGTGTGGTTCACTATCAGTGCGATCGCCTATCTGACTGTTGTGTACCAGATATTGGTGAATGGGACCAAAGCCGCAATGAGGAAGGATACACAAACAAAACGGTTTTTTGGCGCCATTTCGAGCGTTACCGTGCTTGTTAAAATCTTGTACCCTATGTATGTCTCCCTCAATCTTTGTTTCAAATCCAGTTATAAGGATAAACTGTATACTGATGACAAACAGCACCCTAGCAGCAGGCGCCTTAGCTCTAAGAATCAACGTCGATTCGGAAGTTGTCCTTTTCGCCATTTATGACCTCTTCTTACAAGGTATCATTGGCTACTGGCTGATTCTCGCTCACGATAGCTCTCCTGGAATGTAAGCGTCATTACCCTGAACACTAAGCGGTATAGAGACGATGCTAACATAATCACAGAACTCTCTGCGTTGACGGATTCTGGACTAATGGGATCGTAAACGAGGGAGCCATTCGTGTTGGAGAAGAAGACGGCGCCTAATCTATGATAGGGCTGGTGGTATGAATGGATTTAACCAACCCACAAGAGACGAGAGTTCACGGTATTTGTTCATCCCGTACATCGTATGTGGTGTGGGCGTAAAAGTTGGGGTGAATGGATAACTAATTAATTAAGTATATGGCATTTGGTATCTATAATATTGATTTGGGGCTGTTTGTTTTCAAAATACGATAATACTTGATGTATCACAGATTGATGTGAGTTCCTAAGGTACTGAATAATGGGGCTCGAAGCTAAGTATCTATTCTCATAATGATAATGGACTTGAGGATCAGTTTTAATTAAACCTAGATCGCTAGGTACTATCATATCAATTTAGGTATTTTACATGATATTGGCTTCTCAATGCTGATATTCGCAAATTATTCCCCGTTATAAAATAAATCCACCTGAACCCCGTTCATAACTCATGTAATATTTATTCTGATGTCAATTTGCCTTTGCAGACTTACGCAGCCAGACACTTAACCGCCTTTCATCCTTCCCTGGGCATCCTTATCATCTCTATCATTCTGTTCGTTGTTCTTTCTCTTCCCTCCCAGAGGAATCTCCTGTTTCAGGCTCTCAGGACCACGATAGGGAATCTCTCCCACTTTCTTCCCACTTCTCAGCTCAACAACCTTGAGCTCAGACAGCAAATTAGCCTTGCGGCCGACCAGCGGCTTTTCCTGCACCTCGCGGGGGTATATTACCGAGACTTTCTTCATCGGAAGAGAAAGGTAAAAGCCGGCATCGACACAGTAGTCTTTGAAGTTGATACATTTGAAGCGCTTAGTATCAAACCAATGAAGGAAGGGGTCCCCGTCGACGACAAAGCCTGTCAAGGTGAGTGTTCTGATGGAGAGACGCTGCCGAGTACGGCCGATAGCCATGGCGCATATCTTCGCTTTTTCCATGAGTATTTTATCGAGATACTCGCCGGATCCAACTTTGCGGTCGAGGGTGCCGTCGCTCTGAGCGGTTCCACTATAGTGAATCAGTAAGTAACCACGGATGACTGCCCTCGACACAATCAACTTACTAGTAGACAGGCTTATCATAGTGTGCCTTGTTAAGTGTCCAACCTCCTTTGATATAGGGCCACCTTTCAGCGTGGGGACGACGGAGTCGAGGCTGGAGAGCCATGCCCATCTCAAGTTCTTCAAGTCTAGTATTCAACCAGGCAGCCTGCCATATGTACTTTTGGTAGGATTGCATCATGCCAGTGATCTTCAGGACGCGCAAGTTGCGGAACTGTGAGAGAGGTTCGAGCTCCACGATATTCAGCATTTCCTTATTGGACTTGTCTTCTTCCTTGCTAGCGTTGACAGGCCAGAACAAATCCAAGCCCAAGGTGCGTCTGTCTTTAGCAAGATAATCCCAGGTCGTACCGCCCTGAAAGCTCATCAGTGGCTTGGCTAGAGTTGCCTGGTCGGAAGGAATGATAGGAGATGCAGGGGGAGCAGTCGCAGCAGACTCAACCCCCTCGTCAGTCTTTTTGCTGCCCAGCATGCTGAATGGTGAGCGGAGGATTGAGCTTGATCGGCGAGTGCTGGTTGCACTGCTAGGGGAGCGAGAGCGAGAATGAGAACGAGCACGTCTGCTCAAGTCAAATGCACGAGGACGTGGGAATGGGCTTGAAGAACGAGATGAGAATGGATTCAGGCTCAGAGCATCGCTAGTGCTGAATCGACGGCGATGTTGTTGTTTCTCGGAGGCTCCGTCGACAGACTGTGAGCTGGTAATATGCTCAGTTCCTATGCTGAATGGAAACTTCGTGAGTAGAGATGGGTTGGGGTCTATAGGGCAGGGAGGACTCTGAGTCAGTTTTCATGTCAAAGAGAGTGGTTTTGTGAAAAGAGACAGTATCCTTTCAAGACTTACTTGCATCAATACTATCACTAATGGACTTGTTAAACTCCTCAGCGTCCTTCCAGAACTCTTCTCCTAGAAGAGTAGATTTCCAGTGAGCTGGGTAGTCTTCCATCTTAAGTTCGTTCGAGTCCATCGTGCTTGACATGAAGGACGTGGGGAAAAGCAAGAAGAAGAGCGACAGGATAAAGACTCTTAAAGGGAGCCAAGTGAAAACAAGAAAGAGAAGTGGATAGCCCATTGATACAATGAAAGCTCCTCACTCATTATAATTGAGGTGAAAGGAATAAGTGAATGCTTTCTGCCCGTGAAAACACAAAATACCCCATTAACAAAAAGGATAATACCCTGACATGTCCATTCACAGTCCTTACAGTAGTGATTGTTTCAATTTCAGTTCACATAGTATTTGTTATTTGCAATAAGCATATATATGAGGTTTAATGTACATTAACACCATAACTCTGACCAAGGACACTACCTTCTGCGAACACACAGAGGAACACTCTCTGTCATTCCCAAAGTTAAAATAGAAATACTTTCTTCCAGTACTCTTTCTGCTTTCTGATGAGATTCCCTGCCGCACTCTGCAAGTTCAACTTTATAATACCGAAACAAAACTGCTATGGCTGCTACAAATTCCACTTGGGCAAATTTCTTTCCCAAACAAGCTCGAACACCGTCACTAAATGGAGCATAAGCACCACGAATGGGCCTATGTATAGTAGGAAGCTCCAATCCAGGAGCAACAAGTCCCGGGATATCAGCATTCTTCGCCAAGAAGCTCTCTTTGTTCTCTATATGCCATCTCTGGGGATGGAAGTGTTTAGCATCGCTACCCCAGTATTCCTCGGAAAGATGTAGAACATGTACGTTTACATTGATGGCGACATTTGGTGGAAGGACATAGTCTTTCCCGTTATAGTTGATACTGCTCGCTGTGTTGCCTGTCGATTTGGGTACGGTAATAACTGGCGGGAAGAGACGCATAGTCTCAAGCTAAATAACATCAGTAACTTGGCATTCAACTGCTGTATCATGGGCTTCCACACACCATCACACATAGAGGTGTAGCTAGCTTAGGGAATAAGCTAGTATAGTCCCAGTCGGCAGCCTCGGGGGGCTCTTCACGCGTTGCCTCTACAATGCCCCTGTGAAGCCACTCCTGGACGTCCTGGTGAAGGGCCAAAAGCAGAAGAGCATAGCTGAAGGTGGCTGCGGTAGTTTCGTGGCCTGCGATAGTAAAGATAAACGTATTTCCCATGATCTCGATATCGGATAACCCGCCGTCATTAGCACCCTGATGAATTGCGCGCCTGCTAGATAAGAGCATGCCATCAATCAGGTTGGCAGTGCTTTCGAAATTGTCCTTTTCAGCTTTCGGCGCCGCGATCAACTTGTTCAAATAGGCATCAAGATCCCGATATGCTGCGACCTGCTTTCCCCAAACGGGAACAAGCTGTCGTGGAAACCACTTAGGAACAACCTTATACGCTAAGATAACAGTAGCAATATGTGCGCTTATATATGCCAAAACAGCTCTGAATGTAAAGTCGAATCCCTCTGGTGGAACAGTAGCGTCTTTGAATATGCCTTCTGGGCCCTTATCCAAGCCTTGAGGCACTGGTTTGAAAGGAATTGGCACCCCGAAGCCAGCATTTGACAATATGGTCAAAGTTAACTTTAAGCCATCCGCCTTTAGCTTTTCAACCATGAATCCCTTTTCAGCAGTGTCTGGTGAGGCCTCACGCCAGTGTTCTATCATCTGTTGTGTTTGCTGGATCGCCTCTTTCCACACCAATGTACTGTTCTTTTCATTGAAAATGGTGGCTGTATGACGTCGGTGGTGCTGCCATTCTCTACCCTCACACTATGCTCCAGTCAATCAGCATATATCCAACTGTATCGGTTAGATCACTTACGGAGACTAGATTCGGACCATACAACTCCAGGACTTCTTTGTTCTGTCAGTTTTCGTGGTCTGGAATTCTCCATATTATAGAAACTAACCATACTGCTGGGTTGGCTTGGGGAATTTCTGACGGTTACTGAATATCTGAGAGGCCACAGAGGCATCTGAGACGCTGCAGATCAGAGCTTTCGAGGTAGCCTTCATATAGACCCCCCCAAGCCTTTTCGCTACTCTGTCTTTAACAGTCCACCGGGTTCGAAGCATGGTATCGTCAAGGACATCAGCGACGTCATCAGGGAGCCAGCGATGCAATATATGGAGCACCCATTTTGTGCCGAGCAGAATTATCATAAATATGCTCGTGCTAGAAAATGGGACTACCACGTATGGTAGGTTTATAGGCCGGACCAGACGTATGTTTTTGTAGAGACGCCAAAAGTAATCAAAGGCACATAGTGCCATCAGGCCCAATACAAGCGTATACCAGATCATGATAGTAACACAATATAAAGTGTTTCAATGATAAATTCGTCCAGCCTTTTATCTTAATGAAATATAGCAGTTAATGGAGATTAAGCTAACACTTGTGAGAGGAGAATGCTCAGCCGCGCAGAATTCCTGATTCTAATCCGAACGGCAAGAATGTTTGGTGCGGGGACCATCAGGTAACCTGGTCAAAGTTCATCTGATCCAAGTCTTCCTCGCATAAATCCGCCAAATATGTCCGTACTTTGGCCAGCATTTACCAGATATTTTATGCTAGTCAATATCGGTGTACAACCCATACCTAATATATCAAGGGATACTTTATCATGACTGTATCGTACGGTTTTAAGACAAGGGTCTGTGATTTATGTTCTGTATATCTACCGTCAGCAGAACAAGACTTATGCAAAGCTAAGCCTATTTCCCAGTATCTATGGAGGACCTGATAATAGTATTGTTTTCATTCTATTTCATCTTAGTAGGTTGTATGAAATGGATCTTGCTGGATCACTGTGGCTTATCATTGGACCTGTTTCCAGAGAATGCTCCATGCGTCCAACGGCAGACCCACATTTGCCCGCCTGGATGAGGATCTACGTAATTATGTTAGACTGAAAATAGCTATATATCACTAGCAGCTCTTGCATGGTGTCAGGTCGGTATAAAAACACTAATGGAATATCCATGCGCCAATGTTAGATTCAAGTCGATATATATCAGGAAGACTACAAAAGCCTCTTGCTGCATGGAACCATTACTATCAATTTCCACTCGAGATATATGGGCCAAATTCGACCAACCAAACCCATATGACATGAACTTACTGCACCTCACCATAGAAGAGAATAGACGGGCGGAATAGAAGCTGTCATTGACTGCATGCTAACTTTTTATATCGCCTCCCTTCCCGCGATTATTACATCCATGGACACCGTAAGCACCGTAAGAGCGTTAAAAGGGTCGAATTCGCTGGAGTATTTCAAATCCTACAGCCAAAGGAAGATAAGGTAGAAACCCCGCAGGAAAAAATGGTTCGATTCAAAAACATTCATGCAAATTTATTCCCATCACTGCACTATTTTAGTACTTCTTTCCCTGGCGCAGAACATCACCGAACTCCTCCAGAGGGCTCCGGATGAGCTTAGTCTCCTTCCACAAGTTGGGGGTGAGGAAGCCGTAAGTGTTGGCAACGGCAACGAAGGTGGCCTTGAGGGTATTCTCAAGGGTCTTGGTAGAACCGGACGAGGAGGTGTAAGCGTCCTGGACACCGGCAAGCTGGAGCAGACGCTTGACGGCGGGAGAGGCAACGAGGCCGGTACCACGGGGAGCGGGGATAAGCTATACGGAAATTAGTATATCGAGCAGATCGCAAAATTGGGCTTTGAAAAGAAAAATTGCGACATACTCTGACGGAGACGGAACCACACTTGGCGCTCTGCTTCACTGGCAAAGAGTGAGGTTCACCAAGGTTGGTACCCCAGTAGCCTCGGCGCACGGGGAGAACGCTGAGCTTGGCGATGATGATGGCGGCGCGGATAGCAGTAGCGACTTCCTTGGAGGTCTTGATGCCGAGACCAATGTGACCCTCGGAGTCACCGATGACAACAACGGCCTTGAAACGGGTACGTTGACCGGCACGGGTCTGCTTCTGGACGGGTTTGATCTGCAGTTGTATTCCGTCAGTAGCTGCCATCTACAATGTCCCTGTCAAGTCCCCAGTTCCAATTTCATTCCTCGCGTATATCAAATCCAACAGCACCCCCACAACAGCATATATATGTATATTCCAAAATTCCGCCATTTAGTTTTCCGGAGGGAATGTTCGGTCCGTACCTTCATAACCTCATCCTTCAGCTTGGGGAGGAAGAAGTCCACAATCTGGTACTCCTTCACGGGCAGGGAGTGCAGGTAGATCTGTTCCATGCTGGTGATCTTGCCGGCCTTGACGAGACGGCCGAGCTTGGTGACGGGTTGCCATTCCTTCTCCTGCTCCTTTGCGCCGCCGCGACGGCCACGGCGACCACGACCACGGCCACGGTCACCACCACGGTCACCGCGCGAGCCGAATCCTCCACGTCCACGGGGAGCGTCAGCCATGTTGCTATGTATGGCGATTGGAAATGAACCGAGAGGTAACGGACGGGAGGGTGTCGTTGAGAGTTGTCGACGTCGAGGTTGACTTTTGCTGGCTATCCACAACTGTTTAGGGAGCGAAATTTCGCGGGCGGGTGCGCTAAGCGAGTGGGAGCCCTATACCCTAAATCTGTATCCTGTTTAGGAAACCCGATCAGATCCACATCAGGTGACAGGGGATTTCCTCATTGGGAGATTTTTTTCTCCAATAGCGTGCGGCGTGGCGCTGATTGTCGCGCTTTTGCTTATTCGGGGCGATGAGCTCCTTATCGGCGGTCTGGGGTCTACTTATTGTCTTATTCATTGTTCCCCGACCCAGGTTTCTTCTCGTCATCTTCCACTTCCACCTTTTCATCCCTCTAGGACTTGTTTTATTAGAGTATCTTCTTTGATTATTTTCAATTGGACCTGTTTTACAAGTAGTTTTCCTCTTCCTAAGGATGCTGCGCTGGTAAGTTGATATTGCCTGTCCTTTTTAATGCTCTTGAAAGTAATGCAAAATTATTTAGGTATCAGACGAAGTTGGCGAAGCAGCCAATTCTTACTGCCAGTGTCACAAGCGCCGTATGTGACCTTCATTTATTTTAATAGAATGATTATTTCATACTGAACCTGTTCAGATACTTTTTGGCAGTGGAGATGTTCTGGCTCAGCAGTTAGTTGATCGCAGGGGTCTTGAGAAGCATGATATGGCAAGGACAGGACGCATGGCTCTTTATGGTGGAGGTAAGTCATTGTTTTTGGCTCATTATTTTGGGTGTCTTATTTAAATAGAATACTCCTGGATGTGTTGAGATGGCTAATTAACTTGGAATAGCTATTTTCGGGCCCGCTGCCACCACCTGGTACGGCATTCTTCAGCGTCATGTTGTTCTGAAAGGCACCAAGAGTACCATTGTTGCACGTGTTGTTGCAGACCAGTGCCTCTTTACTCCGACTCACCTGACTTGCTTCTTGACTTCTATGGCTATCATGGAAGGGTCCGACCCAGTCGAGAAGTGGCGTAACAGCTTTTTCGCTAGTTACAAGGCGAACCTTGCAATTTGGCCTCTTGTCCAGGGGGTTAATTTTGCGATTGTTCCATTGGAATACCGTGTGCTGGTTGTAAACTTGGTCAGCTTAGGTACGTATCTTCCGCCATTGAAAGGAGCTTTCAGCAAAATATGCTAAGATGTCCCGATAGGCTGGAACTGTCTCTTGAGTTTGATCAACAGTGGTGAGAAATGATTTGGTCAACATTTTGATGTAAGTGAAGGCCTGTATTAGTGATACCCCTGGCTGTAAATTGATGTACACCGGCATCTGTTTTGGTATTTTTTTTCTTCTGGGGTCATAGAGGTCTTTTTCTGTTTGTTTATTTCTTCCCATCTTTTGTTATTTTCCAGTGCTTCTCCGTGGAACTTTGGTCAAAAGTAGACTTCTAGATTATAGACCTTGTATACTACCCACTACGGATCTCTTTTGTTATTGGAATGGGCTCTATGGCAGGTATACTACAATGCTAATTGCTTATCAATTTTTTCCCCCCGATTTAACCTGGCTTTAATTCCAATAGAGGCTATTTTATTTGGCTGGAGTCATTGTCGCAAGTCTTCACAGACCTTAGGGCTTGGACTCGGTCGGCCTATTAAATGATGGGCAAGGGGCGTGGCCCGAAAAGGAAAGGCTTCACAGTCGGCCAGTCCAGCTGCGGGATCTCCAGACGCTTCAAAACTTCATATTGTCACTCGCCGCAGAATTCACCAAGCTTCCAACTCGACGCTAGTTGTGATTCTGCCTGGAGCAGACGACTATAACCACGTGAGATTTCGCGCATCAACTGATTCTCACTATAACCTCTGTCGTCTGGGTTGCTCTTTCCTAAAAACAAAATTTGCCGCTCCAAAGAGACTTTTTTTCTCACTCCCTCTTAACAACTCGTTCATCACTCACCTCACTGCAGCCTCTCCGCTCACCGTGCTCTCTTGAATTAATTTTTATTTATTTTCAAGGCCTACAAATATAATGGCTGCTGTCGCAGAAAACGGTTCCCTACCGGTGAACAACGAGAACGCCGCCCCCATACCTACAGCAACCGAGCAAAAGGAGCAGACCGAGAAAGCGAATGGAGACTCGATCACAGTGTTCCATGATGCGGAAAACTTCAACGTGAAGCATCCTTTGATGCATGAATGGACTCTTTGGTTCACCAAGCCTCCCAGTGGCAAAGTATGTATTGAGCAATCCTATGGTTAAGTAGCGGTAACTAACGTCTCTCTTTCTCTATTTTAGGGTGATAACTGGAATGATCTTTTAAAGGAAGTTGTGACATTTAACTCAGTTGAAGAATTCTGGGGTATCTACGTATGGCTCACCCAGATCGCCAGTTACTGCACCAGGAGTATGCTGACCAGGTTACCTTGCTTTTTAGAACAATATCACGCCAACCTCCGAACTGGGTCTTAAAGCCGACTACCACCTTTTCAAGAAGGGAATCAGACCTGAGTGGGAAGATCCTCAGAACAAGCATGGTGGCAAATGGTCGTATTCGTTCAAAGAAAAGCGTTCCGTACCCATTGATGAATTATGGCTTCATGCACAACTGGCAGCCATTGGTGAGACCCTCGAAAATGACGGAGACAGCGAAGTTATGGGTGTCGTTGTGAATGTGCGTAAGGGATTCTACCGTGTTGGTTTGTGGACACGGACTGTCGGCAAGAGCATCCCGGGAGACAAGAATGGCCGTACACCCGCTCAAGGCAAGGAGGTCCTTGAGGCCATCGGAAGACGTTTCAAGGAGGTTCTGCGCCTCAAGGAGTCTGATGTTGTGGAATTCTCTGGGCACACAGACAGTGCACACAGTGGTAGCACACGAGCCAAGGCCAAGTACACCGTTTGAAGTGCCTACTACTCTTATTTACGATCTACTCCTGGTACGCTCAACTTTTCTTATCCTCGGATGGTAGGAAGTCTTGTAATGGGCGGTAACGAACAAGAAAAGTAGAATGAAGGGGCAGGTTTGGTCTCGACATGACTCGGGCCAGCATTCTGCAGCGATGATTGATCGTTGACACGCACGGCATGTATCTCTCAATACGTATTTCTGACGAGGTTTATACCAATTTCTATTCAAGTTCTTCTCCTTTCTCTAATTAAGGGCAAAAGGCCAAAGAAAAAAAAAAAGACAAAGCGCTCAACTTTTCTAATTTGTATTCATTATATTTATTAAGAGCTTTGAGCTTTCCATTTCACGCACATATACGTAGTGAAATAAGGACGGAATTTGACCGTTTCGTTCCATCTGAGTTGCATCATGACTACCTACTAGGCAGTATATGCCTTCGTTCTTTCTTGATGTGGTTTCCGAACCTATCGTCTGTCATAATTCACTGACAACCAGGTAGGAAGGAGTAGTAGCGTACCTCCTCTTCCTGCTCCTCTTCTTCGTCCTTGTTGCTATTGTCTTCTCATCCTCTTCTCCATCACCATCTCATCTATACCGGCAGAGTTTGATCCAATCCAACACTGACCGGACCATGGGCTACTCCTATTTAGAATTAGCTTAGAGGAAATGGGTTGTGAATACTATTCTATAATAGTATATAAATGAATAATGGTATATGGGTATAAGTTATACCAAGCAAGTATGAATAATAGTATATGGGTATAAGTTATACCAGGCAAGTATGAGATATAGTAGGCATATACATCCGTCTGTTCTTCACGAACGAAAGGAAGTGAGAATCCTCGATATATCTGTCAACTCGATCAACGTATTTACAATTGGATAAGTGGGGGGAATCTAAGGTTTAACTTTTTCCCCTTCTCATTTTTCCTTGTCAGTGTGAATTTCCCCCTCAGGGTATCGAGATTGCATCTACTAATTTGTCTGAATTATTTGTTCTAGAATAAACAGTATAGATATTATGCTTAACCGAGTCTTGCAAGATGAGCCATTCTGTGCTTTACCCATTTCTGGGCATAATCTGACATTGGATTTTGTGCAGCCGTGACAGTCTTCTATCAAGATGCTTTTGATTATTAGGTAGCAAGGTTGATCTAGCTCTCTTCCCTTCCTGCGTCTTAAACAGACTTTAGGCAATCAGGTATCAATTTAAATATGGAATTACATTATCATACTTATCGTATAAAATCAGAAGTCTTTAGAAAGCTTCATAGGATATCTTTTTTTGTATGCTAGCTTTGAAGATGGCCAAAGAAAATGGAGAACCAACTACACGACAAAGAGGTCGTAGGAGGTTATCTACCGATGGAATGTACTGTAAGACGAGGTAAATCCGGTCTCTAGGATATAGTCGACCTTGTTTTCGGTCCCAAGGTTCTTAATCGCTTGTGTCATCTAGACATATATTTGCTACCTATAATACTTTGCGACAAGTCTCTAGGTGATACCCGTAAATATAAGCAGCCAGAACGACAGCAAAGACGGAATAAAGCAGATGATGTGGTGGAAGTGAAAGATCATTGCCACACCTACTAGCTGAACGAGTGAATGACCATTCTAATATCCACTACTATTTAGGGATCCCTTTCACCTTCGTCTTCCTCCTCTCTCTCTATCAGTGTGCTCATTTATAACCTGGACAATGATGAAACGCTCACAAATATGGACAGCAAATATACCACCAAACCGGAAGGTTCTGGGCAGAATATGGCTACTGATGATATATATGTGATACTTTCCCTGAGTCCACACACATGGCGGTGACTGAATCTGTTGTCATGCATTGTGTATTCCTCCTCATTCTAGAGTGCATAACCTCGAAACCTCCATAATACTCTTGTCTTTTCTATGAAGCTAGCCCCTTGTTACAATTCTGTTTCATTTTCTGTTCTTAAATGTTATGTCCTCATGCTCTTACATTCGATCTAGTTAAGTTACTTGCACCAGGTTTCAGTGCCTCGTTGTACCATACTTCCTTGAGGATCTAGATAAATATGCAGTAAATAAAAAAGATAAACAGCGGTAAGAGATGCTTGAATTTTGGTGATAACTTTCTGGTAGGCGATGAGGATTCACAGGTGAGCGTTCTTCCTGCCTCCATCCCTGGTCTCAGTTGCCTCTCTTATTCTCAGTTCTTCCGCTATCGGAGTATCTTCTCTCGGAGCCTCGTCCCCTGCAAATTTTAAATTTTGATCTGTAGTAGCGTTTCCAAGGGTATTTTTTGTCTTCTCCCTCTTCCTTTTCTGGGCTCCAAATCTGCTAAGCGCTAAAAGCATAGAAGATAGATTCTCTCATCCTCATAATTCCGCTCTGCTCACTATCCATTCCCACCCAAATATAAAGGTTCTTCTAGACTGGTATCTGCACAACGTGAATTTATACGTCATCAGGACCTATTCTTCTACATGGGATGTCAAAGGCACGTAGTTTCAAATTACTCTACCTAATCTATGAGAATTTAAGGTCTCCAAGATATAATGACTTTGCAAAAATGGTAGAAGAAGATTGAGCATAGCTATAGTTATTGACATCACCTAGTACTATAGCAGTATCTACAATCCAACGAATTATCCTGCTGATTTCCTATATTGTGCTCATAAATCTCTACTCGGATGTTAAAGACGACCCCCGCTACTCCAGTGGCAATGATGCAACATCGAAACTAGAGTAGAGAATTAAGATTCGCCCGAAGTTAGGTTACCGTATCATAATAACTGCTCCTTACGGCTGCTGCAACATTTGGCAAGATTGGGATACTTTAAGTTGTTCTAGGGCATTATTTGAGGTGGATCCTCAGGAACATGCGTCCTACTTACTTGACTATTGCAGTGAAATAGATCAATCTGCTGGGTCAATATTCTTAATTTCAATCACGGGTGGAGCATAGCTTCTACGGTACAAGCTACAGATCCTTCATTTCTGCTATGATGATCCTAGACGTTGGAAATGAGGACCCTTGAGGTGAGCTCACTCGACAAGAATAATGCGCGTGTCAAAGGCGGAGACCCCATATACTATATCCCACTCATTATGTGCGCTCCAACTTCATCTTCGGAGGTTCGAATAATAAGGAGCCTAGCGCCATTTGATAATAGAAAGAGATCCTAAAGCAGAAGTAGCCATAATAAAAAAAACACAATTTAGCAGTCAAAGCAGAGCATAATCATACCTTCCTGCAGCCATCACTTACAGTACATAGTTCAGCACCTTCGGAGGATGTCCGCGGATGACTGACCAGCCCATAATAGGCATGCCTGGCAACATTTAATCCCACGTACCGTTGTATCGCCCCTCCCTTCCAAGCCGTCCATATCTTGGGTGCACTCCGTACAACATATCAGAGCTTTCAAAGGAGGTCTTCCAAGACGCCGAGCTCACCGGAAATCCAGCCAAGAAAGTCAAGTATGTCTGGATTGGCCAACGGCAGCACGCGCTACCATTCTGGCTGTCTTGGTAATTGCGAAGTTCTAGGCAGCACTTGGACCTCCAGGGGCCAAGCTAGCTCGCCTATAAAGATAAGAGTAGCATTCCCCCATCTCTGGAGAGATGAGTGCTCCCCGCGAGCACTCATGGCGTAGGCACGGCAGCCTCCGACTTAGGAACGTGAGGACAGCTCTCGGCCTATACCCGGTCGAATCGGAGAACAGCGAAAGGATGGAAAATGGCACCGGGTCCTATCAAAATAGGTAAGAGACACACCTCACCTGGCTCCAATGGGATCGGATCGCTGGGGAGAAGCGAAGTCGGAGGACGGCAGCCTGGAAGATAAGGCATCACTGTCCGGTACTTATTAGGCTGGCCACTGCTGCTCCGACCAACGATCGCAGGGATTCTCTCTCTCCGTTTCTCTCCCATGGTTTTTCTTTTTTATCTTGGCTGGTGGCTTTGCTGACCTGTTCACCCCTCTTCAGGTGACATGGGTAGCTATTATCTCTTTATTACAGTACGACATGATCCTATTTAGGCATCTTCCTAGGTGATCACAATACTACCTCAGGAAGCCTCCTGCGCGGTGTTGGCCTGAGCTGGTCGGAAATCCGATGGAACTCCACCACCAAGTCTCTCCTGCCGCAGATAGCCTTAACGTCGCCATGACCTCCTTTGACAAATATGTGATGATGATTGGTTACTGCGTCGGACGATGTTGGGCCTATTATGGTACCTTACTACTTAGGCTCCTCCTCCGCATTCTGGGGTACTCCGTAGTAACGTTGTATCACGCCCCCCTCGGTTTTCTAGATCAGGAAAGGCGCTTGAATTTGGGTTTCTAGAACCGACGCAGCTTCGACCATTGCTGAATTCCCCTCGTGTCACGGCGGATATTCGAGGCAGCATGAAAGGATATTTGCGGGGTGAGCCGACGTTGAGCGCTCCTCTTCGTTCCTTTTGGGAGGGGATGAACCATCTCATTTGACCAGCTTACACTCCATTCGCACTGCGAATGAGATGGGCCATGCTTATCTGTCCGTTCTGGAACCGAACTTGACACGTGAGCAGCTAAGACGTTTATGTTACATAAGAGTTTCCATTTTCCGGAAGCGGTTGTGCCGGTGGCGCCGGGGCCAACTAATTTCATTGATCGATTCAACCATTGTTTTAACCAATCCGCACCCAGAAACCAACGGCGCAGAGCACTTCCCACCAGCAGACGTTAACTAACGTTAACTGAACGCTCCATGGTATGGAGCAATAATCCACGACTAATTTTGCTGTGGATGGCACTACCACTGATAGGAGAAACTCCCGGCGTTTGGTTTATCTACTATGATTACTCGATCGGGCCATTTTTCCTCTCACCGGCAACGTCCGACTGGTTGGAGCTCCAATCAGGGCCGGGGCTTCGAGAAATTGTCCCCGTATCCAATCACGTTGGCTCCCGTACCTTCTCGGCTGATGCTTAACCTTGCTTGTCATATCTTTGCCTTCAGCTTCTGGGGTTACATTCGTGGATACGACTAGCTTCCTTCGCGCCATGCGATTGGATTTTTAGGCCATCGCATTAGGTCGGTTCTGCGATAAGACGGTCCCGCACTGGCTACCATGGCGCAACTCTCCCCTCCAACGAGTAGTAATATAAGGTGAGGTCCATGTCCCTTCGGACTCTGCCCCCATGTGCATCCTGTGAGGAAATTTCGAGTTCGAGTGTGCCCCTTCTGTCCTGGGCAATTCCCTGCTACCTCCCAGCAACATGTCTGCTAGAGATCAAGAGGTTGAGATTGCTCAGTAAGTTACTCTCCCTACTCCTTTCTCGGTTTTTCTTCTTTTTTTTCTTTTTTTTTGCTTTTTTTTTACCCTTTTGGCCCTGTTATCCCTCACGTCCCCTGCGATACGACCCCATACTAACCTATATTTATCCAGGCCGCAGGAAACTCATCCTGTCGTGGAAGAAAAGGCTCCAGATGCCAATGAGAAGGCTCTGACTGCTACCCCCGATGGCGAGGAACCGACTGATGAGGAGTCCAAGACTCTGCGCCATGTCGCCGAAAACCTGCCAATGTCTGCCTGGCTGGTTGCCATGGTCGAACTAAGCGAGCGTTTCACATACTATGGAATGCAGGGTCTATTCCAAAACTACGTTGATCGTCCCCTCGACGGCAGCCAGGGACGTGGTGCCCTAGGTATGGGTCACCAGGGTGCCACTGGTCTAACTACTTTCTTTCAATTCTGGTGCTATGGTTAGACTTTCCTGCTGTCCCACACCTCATCACACCTATTAACACTTCTCTCAGTTACTCCCGTCCTTGGTGCCATTATTGCCGATCAGTACCTTGGCAAATACAAAGCCATCATTCTATCCTGTGCCGTCTACATGGTTGGATTGCTTATTCTAGTGTGCACATCGATCCCCACTGCTCTAGAGCATGGCGCTGGTCTGGGTGGGTTCATTGTCTCTATCCTGATTATCGGTCTCGGGACTGGTGGTATCAAGAGTAACGTTGCTCCTCTTGTATGTTAATATTGCACTCCTTACGTCAAAACACGGGATTCTAATAATGCCTTAGATTGCCGACCAATACAAGCGAAAGAAGATGGCCATGTCGACCACCAAGAAGGGTGAACGGATCATTATAGATCCTTCCCTTACCATCCAGCGTATCTACATGATTTTCTACGGCTGCATCAACGTTGGATCCCTTTCGCTCTTGGCTACGCCGTACATGGAACGGGATATTGGTTTCTGGTCCGCCTACTTGCTTTGCTTGTGCATGTTCACTGTCGGTACCTTGGTTCTCATTGTAGGCCGCAAATTCTACGTTGTACGCCCCCCACAGGGGTCGATTATCACCGATGCCTTCAAGGCACTGTGGATTATGATTACCAACCGCAACATGGATGCACCCAAGCCTTCCTGGCAGGCGGAACACGGTAACTCCCACGCTGTGCCCTGGGATGACCACTTCATCGACGAGCTCAAGCGTGCCCTGGTTGCGTGCCGTGTCTTCTGCTTTTACCCCATTTACTGGGTTGTCTACGGCCAATTCTCGACCAACTTTGTCACTCAGGCAGGTCAGATGAATGGCCACGGAATTCCCAACGACTTGATGCAAAACTTCGATCCCATTTCGATTATTGTCTTCATTCCTCTCTTGGAGACTGTGGTGTATCCGATGCTACGTCGTTTGCGTATTCGCTTCCGACCTATTACGCGTATCTCCTTGGGTTTCGTCGTTGCTGCTATTGCCATGATGTACGCCGCCATCGTTCAGCACCTTATTTACTCCGCTGGGCCTTGTTACGAGCAACCCCTCTGCGATGCTTCTAAATCTGGTGGAGAAAGCCACGGCAATAACGTTCACATCGCCATTCAGACGCCTGCCTACATGTTCATTGGTGTCTCCGAAATTTTTGCCTCGGTATCTGGCCTCGAGTACGCTTACACCAAGGCGCCTCCTTCGATGAAGTCGTTCGTGCAATCGATGTATTTGCTCACCAATGCATTCGGTTCTGCTCTTGCTGAGGCTCTGACTCCGGCTCTTTTTGATCCGGCCATTTTGTGGATGTTCGTCGGTCTTGCTGTTGCATCGTTCCTTTGCGGTATCATTTTCTGGTTTATGTACCACCACTTGAACGCCACCGAAGACGAGATGAATGCCCTCGACGCTGATGACTCGGAGAATCCTGCAGATTGGCATCACAGGCAGGCTCAACAGAGTGAGCAGAGTGAACGGCGTGATAAGGAGCAGGAGAACTAAGGTGTTAAAATTTTTGGCATTTTTCGGCTGTACCATAATACTCTATACTATAATTCTATCGATGGAAGGAATGTACACTTGGTCTCGCGCAGGTCCGCGTAAGAGCAACCTGCTGAGCAGAAGTGTGGATGACGAGATAGATGTATATAAATGAATCATGCTCGTCATATGACAATTGTCCAGATTTGATCCCATGTCCCCTATCGTATCGTGCCTGTCACAACGGACTCCAGAGTAATGAAATGGACCACGTGGTACTGCCACCACACGAAACAATTTATCATCCACATTAAAATTCTCGTACACATGACGGACTAAATTGTGTTTCCGTATGTGGAGCTCCTTCATCTCCAGAATGCCTGACAAGAAACAATCATTAAGAAGGATGGGAAAAGGGGGCCTATCAGAGCCATGAGGCTGGGAAAAAGGGGAAAATTAAGTAGTAGCCAGACTACTCATCCATCGCTCTGAAACTAACACTGGGCGCTGGACAGACCATACCAGCCATTGTTTATGCAGCATCCTGAAAAATAAGAGTACTTATGACCTACCCTACTACTCCGTAGGTATGTCCAACCCCACCATCATATTCTCGGGCGTGTATCCCAACTCCGAAACCCACTCAAGCTTCAACAGATAAAGAACCATCTTCAGTTTCCTTGACAAACCTTCCCATTCAACACTGTCTGATGGTCCAACTTATGGGTCTGTGATTGGACGGTTTCAGTTATCACTCGACTAGATCAAGCTTAGCTTGGCTACTGGGGCTAAACTGGATCCGGTGCGGGTCAGGGACGTTGGACTAGTTTGGTTAGTTTTTTTTTTTTTTTTTTTTTTTTCTTGTGCTGGTTTCATGGTTCTCAATCTCGGCTTTCATCCGAAGATAAGGCTGAGTCGCGAGGTGTATAACAGCGTACAGGTGACTGTGACCGTGGTACTCCGTATGACAGGAGCGTTATTTCGGGGTTTGGTTGATGCTTTGTACAAGGACTTTATGTTCTACCACAGTACATGAAGGTAGCATATGTGGAATATATTCCACATCGTGCAGTTACATGGAGATACTCGGCTACTCTTCACGTGCTGATTAAGGATTCCCAATGTTGCATAGCATAACGTGCTTATGACTGTGCTAGCTAAGTAAAGAGCAAGTAAAGAGCAAGTGATCGTGTGACAATCGAACCGCTTGTATTAGTTCTTCCCTAGCAATACACAAGATGACTCCTAGAAATTATTACAAATTTTTGATGAATGTGATTAGGACTGCACATTTCCTATTTCCTTAACTGTGATAGATGTCCTAAAATTGTAGGCTAGTTAAAACTTGATCTGTACTGTTTAGAAATTTAGCCTCCGACGCCATGTGCCGAGTTAAGAATCCAAAGACTTTATAGACACTATCAAGCTTAACTAGTATTGCATACATCCCCATCATCTTTACTTTATACTAGGTATATGCTATTTTCATATTTCCTATCGGCAGTATCAAATCCCATCCGTCATGAGCGATAACCAGGAGACCAAGAATACCTAGCCATGAACTTGAGTCAACTTATGATTAGCCCCCAATATTAGCGGGGTATAGTCCAGAACATAGTACTAATACCGAAGACCTTAATATGGCATCATTCAATGAAGCTAACATCCACGGATCTCGTGTTCCTGAGACCGAGCCTATCAGGCCTTACTCATCCCTGATATTAAAGTTGGAAACGTGGTCATTCCATCGGAGTTTCCAGAGCAAAATTGGATCGTAAGAGCAATATTACTCTGGACTAAGGTAAATGGATACTGCATGTATCCTTAAATGGGATCTCTCCTATAAGCGTGGAACCATCAAACACGGTCGGAAATTTCCTATAATTATCAGTGTGATATTGCAATAATAAAGCGAATTTGTGAGATGCCTTAGGCCTTAGCTAATAAAGGAATAAACTGGATAAACAAATATTTATACACCAACTCATATGACCTTTATGTCATTGGGGCTATAATTTCCATAATGCAGTTAACCATGTGGTTTAAGTGCTAGAAACCAGTGATAATTTTTCTGACATTTACTAATGATTGAATTCCGGATTCTGTTAATTCAGATGAGTTTGTGTGATAGCTTCCAAGCTAGTTAGAGTACAATATTTCAAGATATTTGAATCTTTGCGAGTATATCAAAGCATAGAGGAATGTGCTCCACTCCTGTGGAATGCAATGCCCTGTAAATCACATAAGGAATTCTTGGTTTCAATGGTGAAAGGTATCATATGCTCGTTCTTGGTTCTCTTTGTACTCCATTGGCAATATCAATGAGGGTGATGTAATGTGAATAAATAAAAGAAGATGTTTTGACTCTGATCCATGTTCTACAAGCAGTAAGGATGATAAAGTTCGGGCATAGGCGAAGAACAGTAATCATACTAGTTTTTATGTATCCTGAACAGGGATAAGTATACAAATCTTTTCATTTCATTGTGATTTACAGAAGCTGAAATTGTGGGGGATTGTGATTTATGTCGATTGTGGCTTTTAACATACGATATCGTTTGGTTCTTTTCTCCATGGAAATTCTGGCAGGCAGCTTATTAAGGCCACTGTGTTCGAGACAATAACTGATGTGATTAAGCCAATTAACCAGCAGATATTTAACCCACGCCCAAGCCATCATTGCCTTGGCAGGAGTGGTACTGCTAGGTATACGAAATGGACCAAGGCTAGAGAGAGTGTTGTGGATATATTAGCCTCTTCGATATCAGGAAAAGCGTAATTGCCACGGAAGATAAGGATCTGGTCTAGATGAGTAGGGTTGAGTTTAACTTCATGGCAAAAGACTAGGGAGGAGCATGATTTATATAGCAAATATATAAAGCCAATGTTATGACATTAATATCAAAGCCGAATATGCTTGAACATTGACTTGGCTTTTGCTTTTTATTTCAAACATATTTAGCCTTTTTATATTTCATATGTGTATATTAAATATACACATGAATATTCCTACACCATCCCTACAACAAAAAAAAAAAAAAGAAGAAGAAAATAAAAGTCGGAGCCTATTTAATGCTTCATAAGCGGGAATTGTGGCTGTGTAGCCGTTGAGGCTCATGTCTACACACGACTACTGGGTTGCCATTGCAGCAAGCATTCACAATTAAAGGAATACGGGTTGTGCTGCTAAATATAATCGATGAGTCTGACTGTTAGGAGCGCTCGAAGCGCGATAGCCAGTTAGCTTGAGTACACAGGTCCTTAGCTAAGCCAGATGTTAGTTAGCTATGTTAACTAGTTATTCGCATCTTCTGACCTGAACTCTCGGTCATCGATTAGCTCTGCAAACATGGTCCTATCTTCCCTCCCATATAGATACTCCCGTTCGTACCATAGCGCACCATTCAGTTCGTTACCGACCCCACGCATATTCAGCCAGGGGTGGATTTTTTTCCGGTAAATGGCGGGCATGGGTCTGATATTTTGGATAAAGATAGAAAAGAGCTGTTTAATTGGAAATACACTATTGTAGCAGCACATTACTTTGTAATCAGAGTGGGAGAGTCGTGTTATTTTGGCTATTTGATAGGTGTTAAATATACGAAATAAACGATGAACTCGAACAAATCCTTTAGGTCTTACATGGTATGTACGCCTTTAGGGTGAGGAAATGGTGGAAGGAAATTGGGGGCAGTACATTAATGTCAATCTGGACTTTTGGATTACAATCTTGCAGCAGGTCAAATATTAATGGTTATAAGTTTCAAGTATATCATATCAAACTGTAAATCATTGTTGTGACGTGCAGGCCCGACCGACTCCGACGGAACAGGAGAGCCAGAAGGCCCCAATTTTATTTGCTAGCAAACAAAGGATGTCAAGAATCCCATCTGGGCGATTCGTCGATTGGGCCGGAGTTGGCAATGCTCGGAAGACTGGAGAACTAAGTTGATCATGGCATATGCAGATGCTTAATTGGATTATCTAGGAAAAGAATATCGCTGCCTTATTCAGGCAACAAGGCCCAGCTCCAGAGTCTGGGTACATATATCGACTTGTATTGCTCCAACGGCCGTCGTGCAGAGATACAAACTTATTGCTAGGAATAATTTTGGGGACGACCTAACATTAATAGTCGTTTCACGTTGAAAGGGGACTCGACGATCGGTCTGTGCATGAGCCAAAGCCCCTAATGGCTCCTACTAATAATATTAAAAAGTAGCCATCCTAATCAAAGTTTCGTGACATTTGCCCCCTGAATTTCGTACCACGATATGTTGAAAAAATTTAAACAATTAAATAAAAAATAAAAAAAAAAAAAGAAGAAGAAGACAGAAGCTCAAATCCAATCCCCTACCTATCCTCTATCTCAGTGATCTTTTCTTTCTAGGCACTCTAGATCGATCGACCATCCACTTTGCCGCCAACAGCGGGCCAACCATTCCCTATTTCCATTTGCACCTGCTGGACACTTGCTCAGCCGCTTGTCTCACTCATCACTCAACTCGCCGACCTTTTTCTCACTACCTTTCCTTTCCACCTCACCTCATTCTTGCGTCTTCTTACTTTCATTTACTTCTCCTTTGCTTTCTAAGTTTTCTTCCTGCCATTGCGGTGGCATTTCTCCCTTCTCTTCCTTTCGCGCGATTTTGGTCATTCCTGCCTGGCTCGTTTCCCGTACGACCCGAACTGTCATCGATCCGTCCAGACCTTCATACCAGTAACTTCCCCAACTTGACGCTTCGTCAATTCGCAGGCAGTTACACGTTGAATATTATAATCTAAGGAGTTGGAAAATCCTGTCTTCACATCACAATGAGTGTAGGTTCCTTTACACATTCGCCGTCGTTTTCGTTCCTCCTATGCCCTTCTCCCTACTCGCTCTGTGCGTAAAGTTTCGCTTCAGTCACTGACATTTTCCATCATGTAGTCTCAAAGCTACGGCGGTAACCAGGGTGGTTATGGCTCATATAACCCATATGGCCAGGAACAACAGCCCAATCAGTACGGAAACCAAGGTTATCACCAGAACCCCTATGGTCAGGCCGGTGCCATGGAGCAGGGTAACGGGAACTACGGTATGTGCGCTTATTTAGTCTGCAAATGAAGTAGGTCGCGACTAACTAGATGGTTTCTTTGTATAACAGAGATGGGGTCTTATGACCAGCAACAACCAGCCGATGCGACCACCTTGTTGAATAAGTGCAGGGAGATTAATGATGGAGTCGCGGACCTACGAGCCAAGCGTGAGGGGCAGCTTGTGGCTGCACAGAATGCTATGCTCGACTCCAGCAATGTGAAGGAGGATCAAGTTTCTCGCCAGACGCTGGATTACATCGAAGACGAGCTTAACAATGGTTTCCGTTACCTCCGTGATCTCCTGAAGAAGATCAAGCAAACTCCTGGCTCCGGGGACAGCCGCGTACAGACCCAGATCGATAACACAAGTCGAAACATCCGTCGTGAGATTGAGCAATACCAAAAGGCTCAGTCGGATTTCCGGAAGCGGTTGACCGAGCAAGTGCGCCGTCGGTACGAGATAGCTAACCCGGAGGCCTCTCCCGAGGATGTTGATCAGGGTGTTCAAAATGTCCTGCTGGGCCAAGAGCAGATGTTCCAGGTATGACATAGATGGGAAAGTGGAGGGTGAGGACTCTTATTGATACGTTATTTCTAGGTTTCTGGTAGCCGCACTGGACAGGCCAATGACGCCAGGAAAGCCGCATTGGAGCGGTCTGCGGCGATTCGGAAGATTGAACAAGATATGTCGGAACTTGGTCGGCTATACCAGGAAGTGGCGGAGCTTGTACACCAGCAAGACCCTGCTGTAGAGCAGATTAATCAAGGCGCTGAGGATGTCGCTGGAAATGTCGCACAAGCAAACACCCAAATTTCGCACGCCATTGATAGTGCACGTCGCGCAAGGAAGTGGAAGTGGTATGCACTGCTTATCATCAGTAAGTATTACCTGTACTAAGTGCTTTGCTTTGTAAGCGCTGGCTAATCGCACTACAGTTCTTATTATTGCGATCGTTGTTGGTGTTGCTGTTGGTGTAACCCAAGCCAACAAATAAAGTGCCCCTGATATCCATGCTGGTGACCATCAACAATACTTATGCAAGGTTCTCCACATTGCGATTCCCTCTACTCGTAGTTTTTTGTTTGTTGGTTTGCCTTGTCTTCTCTACGCAATTTTGGAACGAATATTCATCTCAATTCGTACATCTTATTATGGTCTGAACACTCTACTGTTGTGTTGTTACTTCGACCACGGTAAGCAGAGTTGCTCGATATCCATTCGCTATTATTGAATCTGGTTTCTTTTGTACCCTGTTAGTTGCTATACCACCCTAGCTCAGTTTCCTGTGCTTGGTTTCCTATTTGATTCATTAAAAGCTCGTGCACCTGCAAATTGCCTCCTACCCCTCCCATGCGTCCCTTCTCATTTTTTTTTTTTTTTGCTTCACTGATTGGTCGTGTATAGTTCTGCATCTTCAGTCTACTTGGCTTGATGGTCTTATGGCTGGTCTTGGCTAGGATGCGCATGATGCTGCTACACATGTATATATTAGAGTTTGTCCTTTTACCCCTTTGGCGCTAGATCTATGTAATAATCAGTCACTTTAGTAATTATCTAATTCATTGATTGAGTGTGGATTGTTATAATTAAATGGTATAATGCAAGAAAGGAATGCAAATCTAGATAGATACAGATCTATATCGAACCCGCACCCATCGCAAGCGTGTTCCTATGGTCATGCATACGGATCTCCCCCAATCAGGCAGATCATATGCTCAGCATATCTACCTGCAGCCTTCCTACAGGGTGCATAGGAAAGCCACCAATTGGATATCATAAACCATCCAGAATAAGCAAATTGTCTAAGCCTGCGCCTGCGCTGCCCTTCTCTCCTTCTCCCTTACCTCCTCCTCTGGTGTCCTAGTTTTCAGCTGTAGAGCATGGATCCCATCCTCGCGACTCATCTCCTCCTTCAACAAACTATACACCATTCGATGTCGTGCAGGCTGCATCTTCGATTGAAACAATGCGGATGTGATCGTGACACTATCCAACTAGTTAGTCAATATCCAAGCAGAACGTCGACAAATCGAGCGAGACGAACTGGAAATGCGTCTCTTTGGATGCTGACCCGCGCATGGGCTCGTGATGCGCATGTAGATGCGAATCATTCCGGATGACAAGGGTAGATGGGGCGAGTGCTGCTGTTATCTAAGACCAAACCAAACCAACCAGTAAGTGACAAAGCAAAATCATTTAGAGCAGAAGTAAAGTATCAAGCCAATCTACCTTCTCTCGAATGGTGTTTTCAACGGGCGTGTTGGATGTCGAAGCCATTCTGGCGGGTATGGATAGCTGCTTTGAGACCAGACGGCGGGGAAATAGGTTTTGAGCTTTAGTGCGGAGAAGCATTGGATGCTGTTCTGCTGGGTCCGATTAGGTCCCGACGTTTGAGAAAGGGAGGGAGCGGTTGGAAAATGCAAGGAACGGATGGATATTGAGTTGCTGAATGATCTATTAGTACATGAATGATGCAGGCGACTGGAGATTAATTGCCTATTTGATTAGTCATGCATTTGTCATTGAGTGCAGTCAATCAGTGTAGTTGCTTTTCAAACAAACCTGCGTGGATTGATTATTGGGAATACCGAATGCCAGTAAGTTGAAAATTTTGCAAAATTTGCAAGTATACCTGGTCATATCCATGTATATTGGGAAATATTCTCAGCTGTGTACAGATAGAGTCATAACTAAGCCATAGACAGCCTCTTCTGACCTGTTGCAAGCATTCTACCAACTTTGAATAGTATCAACATGGGAGGTTGCATACCCAGCAATAACAGTTGATATTGAGTAAGTATATTTACTCCAGGGAAATTGATTGTTTCTATCTTGTTTATATGGATGTTCGTGAACTTGTTAACGGAGTCGGTTTCCGATAAACTCCGGGAGATCTCCGAGTCTCCACCGAGGCCGCACATCACAAACGCGGATGACATCAAACTATCAATTCATTTCAACAATTCAAATAACCCTCTATATTCAAATATACCGTAGATGAAATATCTACACCAATCAATATACCGCGATCAATGCTAACAACATTACGATAATATATTGCTGCCATGCAAGGGCGCCCTTTGATGAAGGCCCTTTCGCCAGGCTTTCGGTCTCGTGCAGTACAGTCCATTCTAATTTCAAGACCCTGCTACAGTCGCCCGCAATCTTCGGCAGCTCCTGATGTTCATCGGTCGCTATCAACTTTACCTAATATTCCGCTGTTTCGTGCCCTTAAAAATCACGATCAGTCCAGTTTTGCCGTTGTCCACAGCAGGTCGTCTCGTTCTTTTACCTATGGCAATCTGGTCGCAGATGTCCTACATGCAAAACAAAAACTTCTCAATTGCGCAAAAGGGCAAGATGACCTCTCCGGAGAGAGAATCGCCTTTCTTGCGGAGAATAGTTATGACTACGTAGGTACTGTTTCCCTTGTTTCCAGTGTATCCTCTAGTTTTTTAGCGTTACTAACTGTTGTTCAAGTGATGCTTCTTTCTATCCTTGCGAACGATGCGATTGCCCTCCCTCTCTCCCCGGCCTTTCCTATTGGCGAACTGAAATATATTATGGACAATTCTCAGGCGAAAGTGTTGGTTGCCACGGAAAAGCATGCGGATAAAGCCCAAAGTATCGTAAAAGCGGGTTTAAATCGGGTGCCCATCTTGGACGTGTGGGAAAAGATCAAAGTAGGGGAAACCAACTCGCCGCCAGTGTTGTTGGAGGATCACAACCAGAAATCTCGGGGTGGAATGATACTATACACGTCTGGTACCACCAATAGGCCGGTAAGTGTCTGAGCTAGGCCTGGACAGACATACTGTAAATGCTAATGGTCCACCAGAAAGGTGTGCTCATTCCCCAATCTGTGCTCACCGCACAAGCTTCTTCTCTATTGCAAGCGTGGAATTACGGGCCGACAGACAGGCTACTTCATCTTCTTCCCTTGCACCATATCCATGGGACCGTGAATGCTATTGTTGCACCTGTTTTCGCTGGATCATCCATCGAGTTTATGTATCCATTCAACACGGATGCCGTGTGGAAGAGACTAGCGGCTCCTTTCCTGCCCAGCCCTGCAACCAATAGCAACATAACATTCCTTACAGCCGTCCCGACTATCTACAATCGATTAATATCCTCATTTCCCAGTCTCCCATCCAAGCTTAGAGAAGCTGCGAGAAAGGGAATATCACCCGAGAACCTCCGCCTAAATATCTCAGGCTCAGCAGCCCTTCCAACTCCGACAAAGCAAGCTTGGCAAGATATTAGCAACGGCAACGTTCTTCTTGAGCGCTACGGCATGACAGAGGTTGGGATGGCTATCAGCTGCGGTCTTGATTTCGCCGACCGCGTAGATGGCAGTGTTGGCTGGCCGTTACCATCTGTGGAAGCTAGACTGGTAGACATGGATACAAACCTAGTGATCCACCCCAGAGAAGAAATTGATGAGAAAGGACGTCAACGGGAAGGTGAAATCCAACTTCGTGGTCCTACCATATTCCAGGAATATTGGGCCAATGAAAAAGCCACGCAGGAGACCTTCGTAGACAGCGACGATGGCAAAGGCAAATGGTTCAAGACTGGCGATGTAGCCACTCGTCGGATTATTGACAGTGCTGGCAAAGGAACCAGCGGGGAATGGGCCAAGGGACCGATGTATTTCATCCAAGGTCGACAGAGCGTAGACATCATCAAGGTTGGGGGTGAAAAGGTCAGCGCGCTAGAGGTCGAGAGAGAGCTACTTTCGCTGTAAGTGTCCCGCTTCTATACTCATGTTTAAAAACATACTAAGCGGTTCATAGCCCTCAGATAGCCGAGGCTGCTGTTGTCGGCCTTCCATCTGAACAGTGGGGTCAAAAGGTTGCAGCCGTCGTTGTATTGAATGCTGATAAGGCCTCTACTGGCCGCAATGGTGCATGGGGCACAATGGACATGCGACGTGCTCTAAGGAGCCGTTTAGCAGCTTATAAAATGCCTCAAGAGATGAAGGTCCTGGACGGGCCAATCCCGAGAAACGCAATGGGAAAGGGTGAGTGTCCTGTCCCCTTGATATGCTAGAACCAACTGACATTTTCTGTGAAGTAAACAAGAAAACGCTTGTCAAAGAGCTCTTTGGTCTATAACTACTACCTGGCTTCTCACTGAAAATCTGTACCATATAGAACTGTATCAATATCAGAGAACTTGTGGTTATAATTTCTTTAGACTTGAATATTTAGACTTACGTTGATTCTACAATATATACTCTCCTACTCAATGATAGAGGCGTTTACATATCAGGCGACCGATGTATTTCTGTCTCAAACCATAGAAAGTTGCTGCCTTTCTACTCGCAATAGTTGCCCAGAAGTGATGATTCAGGATGAAAACATGCTGGTCTTTCTCTGGTGTGTATTTTGATCATGTGGAATTTATGGCATTGCTTTAGCCTGAAGACGGACCCTTTTGGTCTTTCTAAAAATTTGCCTATTATGCAAACTGATCACATGTAGAAGTGGACATCCATGTAGGAAGAGCGGCATGTACTATATAAAGAGAATATTGTATTATATCGCTATGAATAAACCTATAAGATAAATAATTTAACAAGTTAACATTAGCTAATTTATATCAGTCTCCATATTCTGATTCTTCTTCTCCTCAACAATCATTCAGCCCCCATTCCGTCTTCACCTTCGCAGAAAGTATAGCAGATTTCTTCAGAATAAGCCTTGCCAGAACAGGAAGAGATTCGCTAGCGAGAATTTCCAATATCTGCAAACTGGCCTCTAATTCCCGAGTTATCCAATTCCGAACTTCAATGGCGACAAGCGAGTCCAAGCCGTACACGGAGATAGGCACCATGGAGTCGAGTTCCTCGGCCGGACGCATCAATATACTTGATAATTTCTTGATGACAGCTTCCACGACAAGGGTTTCCGCTGCTTCTAAGCTCCGTGACTGACGGAGTGCAGAGCCAGGAGAGATTCCTGTTATTGTTTTCTGGGCATGCGACGAGGTTGTCTCCACGAGATTGGAGATCCGGGTTAGATTGGACAATTTGGCATCTTTGACCCAGAAAGGCAGTTCACTGACAGGCGTGGTTTTAACGAAATCAAATCCAATTACGCAGTGGCCTTCGCTAGAGTCCCTGATCTCGTTCCGGATCGCGGCGGTTATTAGGCATCGGATATGGGTGGCGTCGATTGCTGAAGTGCCAAGTTGATGAGCCACGTGCTCAAATTTCTTTTCGTCGCCGCTCAGATAGCCGACTCCTCGTACAACTGGGAGATCAAGAGTCGTATATGGTAACCCTGAGGCTTCGGGATACTGCGCCAGCGCAGCCATGAAGCCACCAGTTGCAGCGTATTGTGCCTGGCCCATGTTTCCAACGAAACTGGCACCGGAGGAAAGGTTTATGAAGAAGTCAAGATTGCCTGTCATGTTCATTGCGTGCAGAAGGTTTCGAAGATTCAAAATGCCGTGAACTCTTGGCTTAATGACGGCCATATAGTCCTCATAGGTCATTTTCTCGAAGAGTACGTCCTGAAAGGGATTAGCCCATCTGCGGTCTCGCATGTCAATTTTGAAGACTTACACGGAGGACCATAGCACCGTAGATAACACCATGCACAGGTGGCATCTGGCGAAGAGCAGCCCCTAGATTTTCTTCCACGTCTGTAACATTGGAAATGTCACAACGACAAACCTCTACTGTGACACCTTTTTGGGTTAGATCTTGCACAATTTGCTGGGCTTCCTTGCTCGCTGCACCACTCCTGGAGACCAGGATCAGGTGCGTGGCTCCTTTACTTGGCAGCCAGCTAGCAAGGTCAAGACCAATCCCTCCAGTCCCACCCACAACAATATACGAAGCGTTTGGTGGTAGGAGCTTCTCAAGCTTTCTCGCCGGATGCACCTAGTTAATCGCCGCTAGGTTAGAGTGTCGAAGTCTATTCATGATGACAACCAGGATAGAAATACCTTTACTAGGGTAGCTTCTTTATCGTCTATACTATCCACCATCTTGACGACCATCTTACCAATTACTTGCCCACCTTGCAAAGCGCGGAAGCCTGCCTCAATCTCCGAAATCGGTATCGTCGTAATCATCCACCGAGATAGGGCCTTCTTTTGGACCAAAAAGTCGATGGACTTGCGAAGAAGCTTTCTGAGAATCTCTGGTCGTTTAGCTCTTACCAGGTTCAAGTCCACTGACGCAAACGATATGTTTTTGTCAAAGGGGGCCATCTCTAGCCTGGCATTCTGCTCAATATCTCTTTTACCGATTTCGATGAACCTCCCAAATGGCGCAACACATCTAAATGTTGCCTGCAATGCGTCACCACCTAACGAGTTTAATGCAACATCCACTCCCTCTCCACCAGTAGCGTGCAAAATCCCCTGAGCAAACGAAGTGTCTCTACTGAATAAGATTTGTTCATCTGCCAGGTTGTAAGCCTCCATCAGGAATCTCTTTTTCTCTTCGCTGCCAACCGTCGTGAATATTTTGGCACCAATAGACTGCGCAATTATGATTGCTGCTTGTCCCACTCCTCCCGCGGCTGCGTGGATAAGGATGCTTTCCCCTTTTGAAAGCCGCCCGAGGTCAATCAAGGAGTAGTATGCAGTACAGAAGACAGTAGGCACAGAGGCTGCTACTTCTAAAGACATGTCCCTTGGGACGCTCCATGCGCTGGATGCTGGACATCGCGTATAGGTGGACAGCGAACCAGGTGACACAGCAAACACTCGATCTCCCACGTGGAACTCGGTGACATAGGCTCCCACGGCCGTAACTATGCCACTGCATTCCTGGCCTAACATACCCCCTTGAAGCTGACCCATGGCAAGCAGCACATCTCTGAAGTTGAGACCAACATAGGAGACATGAATCTCGATAGAGTCGCTCGGCAGTGGAGTATCACGAGAATGGTCGTCAGTAAAGTACAACTCATCTAACATCCTACTGTGTCCAGTGGTGAGCCTCAATGGTCTTTGCGGTTGCTGAAAAGGTTGCCGTTGTGGGGGTGCACGCTGGGTCTCATGCTGTATGCTTAGGTTAAGCACGTCATTGTCGACTAGGCGCGAAACGCATATGTGCCCCTGGCGAATTGTAAACTCCCTGTCTGCCTCCATGAGTGCTAGTTTGCGGCAGAATACACCATCAAACACTTTCGTTATGTGCCGTGCGGCTTCCACGTCTGACATGATCCCTTCTTCGCCCAGGTCCAATGTTGCAAACTGCAAGCCAGTTTCTGACCTTATTGTCCGAGCCAATCCGGTCACCATATTATGAGCGAGGGACCTTGCATCCTCTATTCTGTGTCGAGTAACCCACAATAATCCCCGAGCTTCTCTCACCAGACGCTGAATCTTCTGGAAGATATCCTGGTCCAATTCCGCGAGTATGGGCTGGTTAATATTGCCAATGAAAACACACCATTTTCCAGCTACGTTTGTCTCAGCCAACTTCCCTTCAAGAGGTGACACACCAGTTATGTTTTCCAAAGCAATTTTCACTTCCTCTTTGAGATGAGCTTCATTGTTGCATCCGTCTTCGATGATGACAATATCTCCCTCAGCATCTGGCCCAGTTCTCGAACTGTTGGCTGTAGAAATCATGATACTACTACTCCGATCATCAGATCCTGGATAGTCATCAAGCTGAACATCGATTCCAGTAAAGTCATTTGCTGTAAGAACACTGTTCCATCCATTCGAGTCCAGAAGGGGACCGTCAATCCGGGCATCGTCTTTGCTTAGCCACCATCCAGGAAGAGCTACAAATGGAAAATGCCTGGCCTTGGGTGTCGTTTCCTCAATCAGGATCATCTTTCCACCGGGCTTCAAAAGCATTCGCACATGCTCAACCGTTTTATTGATCTCAGGGGTAGCATGCAAAACGTTACATGCAACAACTAAGTCATATGAATGAGGCTCATAACCCTGCCCTGTAGGATCAGAAGAAATATCAAGAGTTTGATATGTCATGAGATGGTCCCAAGCTTCGAATTTGGTCTTCGCCTTCTCGAAGAAACCTGGTGAAATATCGGTGTAGGTGTAATGGCTGAACCGGGGCGTCGTCCCGTCACTACCTCCCCCAAGAGTTTGGAGGATGGGTACAGTAGTACCACCAGTCCCGGCGCCAATTTCAAGTATATTCAGGTTAGGATTTTGATGTCCCATCTGATTAATGCAGACCGACACCTGAGCGTATGACTGACGCAAGTTATCAGCATCTTGATAATATCTATTCAATAAATCGTCCTCAAGCATTGAAGTTAATGGATCCACCTCACTGCGCAGAATCCGAGGAAGCAACTCGCCAATTTCGTAAAGCAATGCCCCCGGTCCGTTCATTTGTCGAAGTCGTTGACGGGTCTGTGGCGCAAGTGGCACACTCAGGCGGCTAGAACTGCAGGTCTTCTGAGCCCAACGATAAAACTTCTGGTAGTGGTTTTCGAGGCTCCCTAGTTCTTGCTCTGAGATGCAATTCAAAACATTGCGAAGGTAGTGCTCCGCCAACCGGTCCAACAGCCGCATCCTCTGAACACCATGTCTATCCTCTTGACTTGATTGTGGGAAGATTTTGTAATCCTCAGCAGAGAGGAAATCAAAACACGGCTCCCAGTGAAGCTTGTAGCATAAGGCATCGGGCTCTTTGGCCCAAGATTTGCCATTATCGTAATTCACAGGAACCATAGTCACCCCATCTATTTCGATGACGGCATTGTAAGGATCTTCGGGTTCTAGAACAAGGATGCGATTGCACTGGGGCTGATGAGTTGAAAGAGAAGGCTGGCGTGCGTACAGTTGAAGTCGGGTGCCTGCACGGAAGGGACGTGCAAGCGAGATGGAAACCTGCGAGATTCGTGATGGCACATGAGTTACATCTGAAGGACCATGTTGTAACCCTAGAAGAGTCCACAGCATTTGGATGCAATGATCGAGCGTAGCCGGATGAATAATACATTCTGTTTCATACTCGAGGGGCATACAGGCCTTCATATCTGGTACACAAACGGTCGCCATTGACTGCAAGTTGTCGCTGACAGCAATGTCATGTAACCCTCGAAATATCGGCCCATAATCAACGCCACTATTCTCGACATTTTTGTATAGAGCCGCTGCATCAACGGGCACAGTGCAGGAGGCCCGGATATCGAATATTTGCCGTGACAACTCTGCAGAAATGGTCGCCTGTTGCCGATACCCGTCGACTGGATTCTTGCCTTTGATCTCTTGGCCTTTGACAAAGCCACGGCAATTTTGTTCCCAACCTCGACTATCAACCCAAGAAAATATTTTGAATTCATGCCAGCCGTCGACGGACCTGCTAGAGTCGTTTACACATCTCAGTGCCACCATGGTTTCCACAGATGCACCCTCAGCGATAGTAAGGGCACGAGGAATTATAACATCTCGAATATCAACCTTTTCTAACGAAATATGGTTTATGTCTGCCTGTTTAACCATTGCTTCGATTGCCATTGCCAGGAATCCAGTCATAGGATATACGTTGCTCCCATGCACCCTGTGCTGACGGATCCAAGGATAGTCATCAAGTCGGATGATGTTCCTCCACCTGGGATCAAAATCAAGGTTTTCCATACAGAGGGATCCTAAGAGATCGTTTCGGGGTGAAGGCCTATAGTACAGATTATGTGCCAGGCGGGACATATGCCAATACCTCTCTGAATGATTCCAGGGGTATCTAGGCAGGTTTGTCAATAATGTCAGCTTGCGTGCACTCCGCTCATGGTCGGGGAAGTTCACAGCACCGAGGTCAATTGGAAAACCTCGGACAAACAGCGCACTCGCCAATTGTTGAAGAGCTTCAACGCCGTCTACATTGCGCTTCAGACTGGATAGGTACTGAATGTTCCTTTTCGGAGAGTGTTCGCGAATGATGTCCTTAATTGGCATTTGCAGTGCACAATGAGGGCCAACCTCAATTATCGTATTGACTTTGGCGTTCTCTGCAAGGAGGCTCTGTAAAGCTTGCACGAATTCAACGCGCGATACTAGATTGTCCACCCAGTATGAAGGCTTGAGATCCGTTCCAGGTAACGTTGAGCCACAAACCGCCGAATGAAACGAAATCTGTGAGCCTTGTGGTTCAAGTCGTCCCATTAGCAAGCGGTATTGCTGTGCTACCTGTTGCATGTGGCGAGAGTGATAAGCAACATCTACCTGTAACCGACGGGTGAAAATTTGCTCTTTATCCAAAACATCCTGGAGCTCAATGATAGCATCCTCGTCCCCAGATATCGTAACACTCGAACCGCTATTTACACACGCGATGACGGCATGCTTGTTTCGCAGCGCATCCACAAAAGGCTGTACCTCTGGGACGCTCGCTCCTACTGCCAGCATTGCTCCTTGGACCCTTGAATGTTGCGTCAGAAAGCTTGCGGCGACTCCTCGGGCATATGCAATCCGCACACATTCCTCTAAAGTCAAAATTTTTGCAGCGTATGCTGCTGCTATTTCACCACTTGAATGTCCCGTCACAGCAGTCAAGCTAATTCCCCAAGATTTGAGCAAGTCGATCAACCCCAACTGAATTGCTGTACATGCCGGCTGGCTCATATGCGCCTTAGATATCGAGCTTGTAATGGGATCATCTAAAAGCAGCTCATCTAGAATAGGAGAAAGTTAGATCCAGCCTCCTTCAGAAACGCGCAAATTGGATGTTTCTCTAATATGTAGCATACCTAAGATTGAAAAGCTAGCCCCAAGAGTCGCTAGACATGCATCTATTGCCAGTATTGTTTGCTTGAACACGGGATAAGTAGCCAGCAACTCTCTCCCCATTCCCAGCCATTGTGCGCCTTGCCCGGTGAAAACGAACGCAGCGACAGGTTCTTGTACTGCTCGGTGTGGCTCAAGATTGCTGGTCAAAAACTCGGTCAATTGCTTATCAAGAGATGCTGATACTGCAAGTCTCCATTGAAATAAGCTTCGTCTTTGACCCAGGGTGTAGGCAAGATTGCCTAGTAAATTCGTATCAAATATGACCGGATGTCGTACAAGATAAGCACTAAGATTACTGGCCAGCTGAATCACAGCTTGCTTGTCATGCCCTGTGAGAACAAATACTTTGCGTGGGAGAGGGTCTGTGTTTATTGTTCCGTCCCCCTTGCTACGTGGGCCAGCCCGTAGAAGTATATGCGCATTTGAACCACCGAACCCGAAGTTATTTACGCTAGCGAAGGGTTTACCTCGAGGCCAAGGTACCAATTTTTTGGGGACCTATAAGAAGTGAGCTTTGGTCCAGACTATATATTTCGTCATCTGGAACAGGAGATAGGCATGTTTTGGTACCTTCATATTCCATTTGGCCAGCGGAATGTCTTCATTTGCCTTATCGAAATTGCAATTCGGCAAAACAAACCCCCTTTCCAGCATCATAGCCGTTTTAATTATTGAGATGACCCCACTAGCTCCCTCCGCATGACCTATATTAGATTTGACAGAGCCAACAAACAACGGTTGTCGTGGTGTTCGGCCTTTCCCAAAGACTGCGTGAAGTGCCATGGCTTCGATAGGGTCTCCAACCTTGGTTCCTGTCCCGTGGGCCTCAACGTATCCCGCTAGTGCTGGATCAATGCAAGCACCATTGTAAACCGAACGGATCAATGCTTCCTGTGCCGCGCCGTTGGGCATAGAGATGCCCCTTGTGCGTCCATCCTGATTGACCCCACTATTGACAATTACAGCCCGAACTGCATCTCCAGCTGCCTGTGCTGCTTCGAATAGTTTCAATACAATACACCCTGCTCCCTCGCCTCGACCAAACCCGGTTCCTCGATAGTCAAATGCATATGTTCGTCCTTCGTCAGAAAGCAGCCTATGAAGAGTAAAATGATTAGCCTCTAACTTCTGGAAATTCATTTATGAGGGGAGGCTTAGGAGTTATGTGGGAATTTCATACCTTGAACGAGACATGGATATAAATCCCTCTGGAAACAAGTTCAAATGGCACCCAACCACGATTGCAGCGGAACATTCACCAGCTCGAAGACTTTGGCATGCCAAATGCAAGGCACTGAGACTGGAGGAGCACGCGGTATCTATTGTAATACTCGGTCCCTGAAGGTCAAAATAGTATGAGATACGATTTGCTTGAAGTGACATTGCAGTCCCTGTGGATGCATACATAGGGCTCGCCTCCGTGTCCCTAAAGTTGTTCAGATCGTATTCGGGAAAAGAAGCCCCAGCAAATACGCCAATTTTGCTTCCTGCAGTAGAGTGAATCGGTATGCCGGCATTCTCGAGCGCTTCATAAGTACATTCGAGAATTAATCTCTGCTGGGGGTCAAGAGAACGAGCCTCCTGAAGCGTAACATTGAAGAATGGCGCATCAAAGAGTGCGACATCTTCCTTCAAGAAATGTGCTCCCTTCGCATTAATTGACCCTGCACGATCCGGATTGGGATGATAGAACGCGGAGGCATTGAATCGAGACTCGGGAATGGGAGACCAGGCGCTTCTACCACGAGAACATAACTCCCAGAACTCTTCCGGACACGATACATCACCAGGCAAGCGACAAGCCATACCAACAATGGCTAATTGTGCCATAGTTGCATCCTCGATCTGTTCTCCCACACCGTCTTTTCCGTGTATATTTGCGCTTGCATTTTCACCTGTGACAGAGTGTTGAAAATGCATCGTTTGGGCTCTATCAGGTTGAGCCAGAGGATCAGTGGATAGATCTAAAGAGCCCGTACTTGTCAACATCTGGATAGAAAGAACGAACAAACAAGGAAATAGACGAAGTGAAACTATTTATAGATGTATATACCGATGTGTCCTACCGAAACACATGGAACGCGTGGTAGTCAAAATACACGAGAATGAAGGATATATGGGACAATCTCCTTCCTCTTGTAAGACAATCACAATTGTCTCAGTAGACCAGAAGATAATGCACACGTTGCGTTTATCCGTGCGCACATCCTTAGCAAGTCCTCACATACCTTGCATACCCCTTCGGAGTCTCTTTGAACACGGTTACATGATCAGCTGCCTTGTACGTAACTCAACCACCCCCTAGATCCCAATGTGGGTACCAACAGTTTCTCATCATTCCTAGTTTATCCTCAGTTGACCAAATTATCTCGTCATTTGGCAACTTAATCGCCACCATAGTCTATCTATTGTCAGGAAGGTTAAAGCATCCTTGCTTGTTTAAAGTCCCAGGTCCACCAAGCCGAAATTCAGAAGTTCATATGAAGCGAACTTCTTGGTATCCTTGGGTCTAAGCCTCATTTCCTGCGTATTGGTTCATTGTCTGCCAGACACCTCGAATACTTTCAGAGCATAAAGGACCACCATGAAATTCTTATGCCTCCCTGGGGGTTATTGCAATGCCAAGGTATGTACTTCTCTGTTCGTAGAGGTCCACCCGAAGCTCCTCTAACATTATATGCTGAGAGAACCAGACTTTTAAGGCACAACTAGGTATGTGGGCATTTTAACCGGACCAACTGACCATTGCAACTGACGATGAACATCGCTCCCATACCAGGGCCATTCACTGATAGTCTTGCCTCTGATGGAAAGACAACCTTCCACTACACCCAGGGTGACATTTTAATGGAAAATCCTGTCGTAGACTGGGATGGGTTTTTCGGGCCACCACCCAATTATACATTTGTCGAGATCAATTTGATGGCTACCGCGTTCAACATACGCGATTTTCCCAAGCGCGAAACGCCCGAAGAGACCATGAGACTCGTGGTGGAACTATTGGACGACCCGAGACCCACGAATATTAGATCACTCATGGACCGCTTAGTCGGAATTCTAGACAGTGAGGGGGATATCGACGGTGTGATCGGCTATTCCGAAGGAGCGGTTGTCGCGACGTCGCTATTGCTCGAAGAAGCGCGACGGCAGAGAGAATACGGACGCACGCCACGTATTAAATTTGCCGTGTTGATATGTGGATGGCCACCCATCGACCCTGTTACCGGGCAAACGATTCTAGCAGATGAGTTCGACGAGGTGGTGATCACGGTACCTACTTGTCACGTGGTGGGAGCGCAGGACCCCTTTCTCGATGCAGGAATGGCTCTATATAATTTCTGGGATCCGGATCAGGCAGAGATTTTTGACCATGGAGGAGGGCATGTCATTCCTAGGGATGCAAAGACCTGTCAGGAGATTACTGAAGTAATTCGGAGTTTGATGCGGTCTGTTGAAGATCACTGACCAGGATGACAAGTAGTTCAGTCTACTTCCATTGTTACATGTGGAAGTTCCTTGCTACTTTGTTCTGAACACTTGAATCTACCATAGATATGGCAGAGCTAACATTCATCGTAGAAAAAGGGTTGAGTTCCATATTGTCATTGGCATCCCACGGGTACTTTCTATTATTTTCCCCCTCACCAGTTTTGGAGGGTCTTACACACTACTATTTTCCAGACTCCTATGTACACCTTATCCTAGATTGCGGAAACCGTCTCCATATCATTGGTACGAGATTTACTCTGGGAATGGGGATTATCCTAATACATTGATTGGCAGTATTATAAGGCTGCATGTACTGTGTGTGACCTTCAATATGAAACAGCATCTTTGCTCCTTAGCATACCAGATGCTCTAGCAGTACTTAGATACTAGGAATATTATAGGTAGCTAATTGGGAACAAGTTTCCGGATTAGAGCTTGCATCGCCCTGCTGATCAACCCAATGTTAGACGGCCCCCTTGCGCCTCTCAGTCGCCCTTGCATTGTGATACGGGTATGAATGTGGCGACGACAATAGGCCAGGTTGATGAAACATTCTGTGGAATCTCTATATTATACGGACTACTCCGTACTAAGTGTCTATGGGTTAATTGCGAATTAACACGTCATCATAAAATACTACTCGCTTTTCTTCTGCTACTGCATCATCCTCGAGCGTTGATCTTGATATACTAAATTCCAAAGAGCCCTTACTTTACCCGCCCCCCCCACACATTGCCATGCGTGTCCTTCCAGGCACGCATGCAACATCGAAGGGTTCCGGATTTTCTAATATGCAAGTAAATGGGGAGTACTCCGTACTTCGAAGGAGATTCGTTTCTTTTCCTTAGGGAAATAGGTCCAATTTAGATCATGATTAGGTTTGAACACACATGGCTTACCGATAGCCTTGCGCTATTGATTCTATTTTATTCAGATACCTTGCGTTTCTACGGAGTACATCTGAAAGTACCTACTTGTGAAACCAGGAGCTATTGCTTAGCAATATAGGAGTACATGGACATGAAATTGGAAGTAGATACCTGAAATGGTAGAAAATACGTCATAAAGTGCGAGCTACATATTGCCTGACCAGCAAGACCCTACTCCATACTATGGGTTTAATTGCCTTCTAATGCCCCGACCAACCCATAAATGTTAGGGCTTATGCAATAAAATGTGCTACTATTGTTTTCCAAGCAACGTAAACACGAGAGCGGCTTTTGCCATTACCCTTAAGGGGTGTTAGCTGAATAGAGCCTTGTCGTTCTAGCTCAGAATGTTACCTATCAAATACTAAGCCCATAATTTTCAAGCTAATAAGAGTAAATGTGCAATTGAAGTAGATAATAGTGTTGTTGGAGTATCTGGTTCAGAAAGTCACGCGTACTATTATTCTTATATATTTCATACACGATTGTTAAAGCAAGCCCCCCATATACCACTATAAGATTATTGACTATTATTACCTAAAACACTTCTAACCCATGAAGCCACTAACTACTCTTACTTGGTTGAAAGCCTCTGGCCCTCCAATGGGCATTGAATATTAAATATCTTTCTTAGTTCTCTTCTAAATCGTATTGTATATACTCTAATAGCTTTGTGTCTGGATTTTTTTTTTTTTTCCCCTGTTTGATGCCCCATTAACACTAATGGAGCAAGGTTTTAAGACAGTCTTTGCTCAACAAGTAGATTATTCAGGATGTCAAATATCGTATCACTTCCAGGGTATCAAAAGCTCTTCTCTTTTCCGGTCCAGTAAGAGAATATTTTTATTGTGATAGATATCTATTACTCCAAATTGTAAGATGAGAGATAATCTTGTGTTAATTCACATAGAAAAGAAGTTGTCTAGCCAAATAGCCGAATGCGAGTCACTAACTCAGCTTCCTAGCAGGTAGAGGTCTAGAAACCATATTCAAAATGACATACAACAGACTGAATAAATGACTAGTTATATTTTGAGACAGTAAAAACGAGTAGACAGCTGATTAAGTACGGAGTACGGAGTACATCGGGCGAACCGCATTGACTAACTCCGTATATCTTTGGAAGGCTTTTATTCCCGATTAACAATGGCTTTTTGATATGTGTCACTTTTCGCATGACAGGACATGCAGCTGGACTGGAAATTCTCTCACCACACAGGATACAGAGAAGGCTCAGACAAGGATTATAGTCACTTGGTGGACCTATGCGGAGTATTAGCTAAAATATATCACTCTCAAGGTCCGGATGCATACAAGCTGACAGGGCTATCGATATCAATGGCCAGGTGTTATTGCTGTAACTTCAGTATGCCTGTAGCTGAATTTGAGACAGTGCCACATTTTATTGCGAAGAATAGTTACTGGTACTTTCGAAACCTTTCCAAGTATTCATAGAAGTTGGTTGGAATTCTCAAGGGATGAATTACCATTCTAGCCCCATTCCTCTCAATACGAGATCCGGTATGAGAGTGCATATCGATGGCTTTAGAGTTCCTACCAGTTCACAACTTAGTGTTCGTTGGCAGAGTTTTTTAACGTGCCTGGAGAATTGTAGCGACTAATGATGACTGCGGGAAAGTCGAAAGGTGCCCCGATGTGGAGAAATAAAAGAGCTGCTATCGCCTATGGCTAGGAAGTAGGAAGATCGTTTCTTAAAATATCCCACTGAGTCGAATCCTAAAAAGTCCTAAATTTCGATGCCAGGGGACTATTACCCCCAGCTTTCATTCCATCGTATCGTGCAAAGTATTTTCACGAATAGAGTTCCTTCTTAGCTCACTTAACTCGCTTAACGTGTTATACTTGCGCCGGTGGTGCGTGGATATTCCTACATGATCTATCTAGACCTGTCCAAGGGGAATGAAAGTTTGATATCGTGGTAGTCAAACCAGTGAATGGCTAGCGAATGAACTTTTCTTTTCGAGTCCATCCCCAAGCTCCTCAGTACCGAGAGATATATGGAGCATATGGGGGGACAAGACCAGATTAGCAGTTTCCATTCGGAGGAAATGGCACCAATCAACAACAAATGACCCCATAGATCGATGTTGTCGGCTCTATCGAGATTAATGGTATCTACCGAATCGTATCTAACAAATTTGTTGATCAGGGTCCTTACAAGTGGGCTTGATGTTGAGTTTTCGGTCAAACATTTACCAGATTGAAAGCATCCCATGATGCCTAAATTTACCGAAGATATCAATATTTAACACAATCTCTGCACAATAGTCAACACATGGCTCAGAAAATGAATTGCGCGTTCAGGTTCAAGAATTTTTGTGTACCTGGCCGCCAAAAACTCCCTCCAGTGGATTTGAAATGGATCCACTACCTAAAGCAGGGGATCGAGTTCCATAGTATCTCTTTACAATAGCATAATGGTAGTGCGGAATAATGACCGTCTCCTTTTTTTCTCTTCTCTTTCTCTTTCTTAAGTGAATAGGGTTCTTTTGCTTCAGGCCGGGCGTATATAAAGACTTTGCCCAGAGTTCAAATACAAGACTCTATCAACTGGAGCTTTTTTTTTTTGTTATTGTGTCAGAATTGCTATTATACACAAGCTATGTCAGACGCAATGAAAAGCATAAAAGTGGCAGAAGACTCTTGCTTTCTCCTTGGTTATCCTTGCTCCGGCAGCTGCGGACTTATGCTCGAAGCTAGAAACACGAGGAATGCTACTGAACAAGCCATTGATCGTCAACTATCATCGTCACGTAAAGAAATTTTGGTCCGCTGCGTGTGGTGACCTTCGTCCCAAATGCGCTGTCACTCCCTCGAGTGCCTTGGGGATGTCTCAAGTTATCAAGGAACTTCATGGTGTCGACGACCTGTTTGCTGTTAAGTCGGGAGGACATATGCCCAACAATGACTTTGCTAGTGTCAAAAATTAGTTTCTTATATCATCTGAGAGGCTTGGTAGTGTTATCTATAAGCCGGATGGCCAAACTGTCATTGTTGGCCCAGAACTCTCATGGGAAGATGTTATAAATTGACTGGAGGGTACCGAACGAACCATAGTCGGTGATCGTATGGGGGAGGTAGGAGTGGGAGGATATATACTTGGAGGTAAGTCTGATATTTACAGCATTTCAAGTTGATGAGCGACTAACTTGTTAGGTGGGATGAGCTTAAGTTCCCAGTACGGGTGGGCAGCGGCCAATGTTCTCAACCATGAAGTGGTTCTTGCCAATGGTGGCATTGTAAATGCAAACAAAAAGAACAGTCTGGTAGGTAGGAGGTCAAAGGTTCAAACATAATCACTGACCCAAATATAGACCTCCTTGCTGCCCTAAACTGAGGCGGGAACAACTTCGGCATTACCACATCTTACAAGCTACAAACGTAGCCACAAGATTACGAGGTTCGTCATACCAGGTACCTGGTTTTAACATTCTTTCTAATCCTTTTAGGTATGAGGAGGAAACTACATTTTCCTCGCGGGCAAAACTCCTCAGATCTTGCAAGCCGTCTGAGATTTCACAGAGTACTACCCCGACGAAAAGGTCGCTATCATTGTAATAGCTGAGCGTGGTGCTCTGCTTAATACATTGATTATTTTCCTCTTCTATGACGGCCCCGAACCTCTTCAAGGAGTTTTTGACAATTTCACTGTTATTGGCCCCCAGGATAAAACTTGAACTTGGGACAGCTACAATGGCCTGGCCAGTGTTCCTAATCGCATCTTCTACTTCATAACTGACAGGGATGCAGTTAAAACACAACAATTTTTTCATTCTAAAGTAAGTGCATCATGCATGCATCTATCATTGTATTGCTAATATGATGGCAGAGGACAACGATACACCATTGCCACTGAGACAACGCCTCTGCCCAATGCAACCGTCGGCGCAGACGTCATGCAAGCATATTACGATCATTGGTCCAGCGTCACAAAGTCAGCTACTGGCGTACCAGGCATGATCAGTTCAATTGGCTTCCAACCAATACCTCAAACCATCGCCAGAAAAGCCAAGAACACGGAATGAGTAAAATCCAGTGGGACACTTTGATCATCCCGACTAACCTATACATATAGGACCTGTACAGCATCCCTACGGGCCAAGACTACATTATCATTGAGCTGGACTTTTCCTATCTCTTTGCAGCCAGTGATGCTAAAATCGACGCCGCTAATAGGAACATGTTTAACGGGTTCGACAACATTGTCTCACATTACATTGATGATGGCGTTATACCAGACGTGTATCGACCTCTGTTCATGAACGACGCAAATTACGCGCAGCATCTCTAGGGCACACTGGGCTCGACGGAGCAAGCGCAAGAAACAAGAAAAAAGTATGATACTAAACTATTCTTTTAGGTGCAGACGAGTGGAGGCTTCCGACTTAGATAATTCCATTTTCAGCAGAATATATCGGTCAAAAGAGAATTCTTAACTATAGCCATTTGTCCGGTCATCCATGTATATAATCATTTCTACGGTGTCTAGGGTCCTCTATCGATGTTTCTATAATTAATAAACACACCACGACTACATAGAAGAACCACGAAGAGCTAGTCACTTCCTAGTTTTAATACCCCATTGTTAGGAGCGCTCAGAAGCGCTCAGAAGCGCGATAGATGCTTAGTCAGGTGCAAAGTGTTTATATTCGCACCGGCGGCGAACGATGCTGTGGCATGAACAGTAAATAGAGTTTCGAATATTCTGTCAATGTGAGCCGCGTTCTCGCGGTGGGCCTGAGCTCTTGAAGGCCACCGATTAGTTCTGCAATATACGTGGTCCTATCTTTCCTCCCATATAGATACTCCCTTGGACACCGTAGCGCACCGCTCAGATCGATACCAACCGCACACATAACACCCATCCCCCAATACTATATTATATAAAACACCCACCGACAAGCCCTACCCCATGTCTCAATCCCCATTGGTCTTATGCGAATCCCAACCCCAACCAACCATCGCTAACAAAGCCCAAGCCAAGAAAAATACCGCAATCAGCAAAGACTCATTCCTGTGTATCAGGTTGGATTAAGCTTGTCGGACTGTTGGCTGAGAATGCATTGCGGAAGACATCGCCGAAAGACTCCAAGCGCCGCAGTGGAGAATCGCAAAGCCCTTCAAAGTTCAGAGCCTACCTACATGCAGGTACGCCCGTACCAACGGAGCTTCTATGTCCAGATAAGTTCAGGAATCTTAGCCTTGGTGGTATCCATAGCTTGGACAAGAAGCGGGATGTAGCCGCCCGTCGGTTGGAGGATCAATGATGGGTCTGGATTCAGTTGTAGAGCTGCGTCCTCGATTTATGATAGTGATGAAACAATGTCCTGGCGCTTCTGAGGATCAGCCAGCGGTTGGGGTAGGTAGCTTTCAAAGTTGCCTTTTTCAGCTTGCTTTGAGGTCTATTTTGGGATGGTTTAGAGTCTAGACTTGTGGGTGCTAATTTTATCAATGTTCTTTGCAGTGTATATAAAGGGCCATTGTTCTGCCGAATGAAAGGATAAATAGCACGATTTAATTCACTCATTCAGAACACCTTTTTTTTGGGTACATCCTTGACATTCCTTTGTTGCGGTGTAATTCACTCTCCTTGTATCTTCTTTCTATATTATACATTGTCTGACCTGCTGTTTTCACCTGAGCTACTGTCTCCTAGGTCAATCTCAAGCGAGCTCATCCTCTTCTGATATTCTCTAATATATCCACCTTTTTTTATCTGGTATACGTCACATCAGAACACCGTCAAGATGTCCAGATACGGTGCCCTAGGCGCAACTTTCCAAATCGCCCGCATCATCCAAGCATGCTGCCTCATCGCCATCATCGGCTTAACTGCTAACTTCATTGCCGAGATTGTCGACAACGATGCCACACCTCCAGGCATCTTCATCGGTACTATCACAGTGGTAGGTTTACTATAAATATATCCCATCCTCCGAACAGCCCTACTAACAGCCAACAGACCTGCGTCGCGGTAATTTACTGCGTCATCACCACCATCCTCTTCCTTGATAACATCCTGCCATTCCTCGCGTCCGCCATCGCAGATGCTCTTGTCCTGGTCGCTGTGATCGTCGTGGCCGTCATTATCGGCAGGCCTCTTTCCTATCTGCAATGTAGTGAGATCGACAAGGTCACGAACGATAAGTCCTCGGCGTATGCGTTTGCGACCCATCTGGACAGTTATTTGAAACACTTGAACGGGAGGGTCGAGTACGGGAGTTTGATTGGAGCGTCGAAGGAGGTGTGTTTGGAAGCAAAGTCCATTTGGGGGCTTAGCATTGCCTTATGGTGGGTGAACTTTGAACTTGCTCTAATCCGTCTAGTGCTGACAAAATAGTATCATGTTCTTTTTCTCGGGAGTGTGTTGTGTCTGTCTGTGGAAGCAAAAGAAGGCTGCTACTGCCGGGGTGGAGAAATTGGACGGTTGAGAGGAATCTGAGAGTATCCTCATGGCACAGGTCGGTTCGGGACGAGAGAAATAGTCTAGATGAGGGACAACGGTATGAGGGATGGACGTAATATTTGTTTGACACGGTTGGAATGGTAGTTATTGTCATTGATTGAATTATTTCTCTATAGTTCGCTTAATGACTCGAATAGTATAATGTTTTTGGATACAGGGATAACTCTGCCATCAGTCATCAACACTAGCATGATAAAATAAGATACCTACTAGATCATCCGAGCATAGGAATTATCCCGAGCTCACAGGCGGAATAATCGCAACTTCACTCCCTTCTTCAATCATGACGTCTTCACCTGTATATATATCCACATACTCCTCGTCCAGGCTCACACCACAGCTTCTCAGCACTTTCTCGTGGATGCCAGGGTACCTGGCCTCTAGAACATCGAAGAGCTGGGACAATGGAAGAGGAGCGGGAAGCGACTCGGTCTGTTTATTGGTATAAGTAGTTGCCGAGGAGAAGTAGTGGATTTGGAAGGTTGCAGGCATGTTGGATTATTGACTTTGAAGGGATTTGTTTGTGGTGAAGCGTTCGCAGGAGAGAATTGAAACAATGCTAACCATGGGTCTTGGCAGGGATGCGGGGCAGGTAGCCTTGATTTAGTAAAGGTCGTCCTGTGAAGAACACACACATAATCACCTGAAATGGAATATAACCTATTCGGCCAGATCGTACGCGTATAAATCAACTACATTTCCATCCAACAGCCAACAATATCGAAACTAATCATGTTCATGCAATTCCATATCATATCATGTCATATCAACTATGTACGTTCCGCAACCAGGGCCCGAAATGCATCTACCAAATCATTCCGAAGATCCTCCCAGTTCTCCAATCCGACACTAATTCGCAGCAGGCGTCGATCAACAGTAGCATCGCTCATCGTACGCCACTCTATCAGGGTCTCGACACCACCCAGGCTAGTAGCATGTTGGAAGAAGGCCAACTTGCTCGGAAGCTTTCGAGCAAAATCTTCTTCGTTCATTGTGATCGAAAACACAGGCCCGAATCCATTGGGCATCTGCTTCAGCAACCAGGATTCATCGTCTTTCTGTAGACTTGCGTGGAACACCTGCCGAAGGACGCTCTGTGTCGCAGCTTCATCGCTCCCGGAGGCAGGATTGGAAACATGTAGCGCATTATCCAGCCAAGACACAAGATTCGTTGCGCTCTCACTCTGCCGCTGCACTCGAATTTCAAGTGTCCGTAGACTGCGCACTCCCAACCAGCCCTCCATATTTCCCATGACACTACCCAAGAATACCCGGTCCTTTGACAATTGCCGAGCCCACTCCGGGCGCTGTGTCACCAGGACCCCGCACAAGACATCGCTGTGTCCGCCGAGATATTTCGTCCCGGAATGCATCACTAAATCGGCTCCCCATTCAAATGGATCTTGGAGGCCCGGCGGTGCAAATGTGCTATCCACCATAAGATACGCTCCCCTGGAATGGGCTTTCTTCGCGTACTCTTCGATATTGAAAGCGTTTCCTTCGGGATTCACAGGCGTCTCAAGAAGAATAACGTCCCCAGCTTCCAACTGTTCAGCAGGGCAGTTCAAATCCAGCTTCTGTAAGCCAGATATACGTCCAAACATCGCAATTACACCATGGCATCCATGATAAGCTTTCCCGATTGCAATCCGACGGGGATTCAGTAAAAAAAGAGCTGCATTCAATGCCGATAGTCCGGAGGAATAACTGATCACATCGCCATTAAGGAGGGATGAAAGGATGGTTTCAAAGCGAGTATAGTTAGGGGCTGTGGCACGGGAATAGACGTGTTTCGTCTTGTCTTGATCATACTAAATATCCAAGAGTTAGTTCTCAGAGGAACTAAAAACCAAGATACATAAGCACCCTATTCATACCCCGCTAAGATCATTCATAGGCACAAGATCTTCTGGGTTATCAGAGTACCGGAATGTGGTGGAGAGGTGGAGAGGAGGTGCCACATCAGTGACCAAATTCAAGGCATTGTCAGAGTGCAAAGAGCGCGTAGAGGCGCCGATATCCCTGCTGGTGGGAGACATATCCATGAGGAAGCGGCGGAGAGGTATGACGAGAGTGAAGGGGGAATGAGTCAGATCCAGAGAACGGCGGGGGTGGGTCCACGTGATGTGGGTCAGTGCGACTTGCTTTCGATGCGATAACTGATAGTGCCGGCTGATGGTGAATATAAGGATTACCGGCGGAGAGAACCCATGCGCGATGGTTCACGAACTGACCCAGGCGCAGCGGCCTGGAAATTGGTACGGTCTTTTCTCTCATCAGCATCGGTGGAGCGCCACTTTAATATGGAGGGGACATACCAGCCTCGGAATCAAAGGCAATGGAGATATCGTCATGTTCAATTGGATACTCAGGCATATCCAAGCAGAGGAAATCAGATGTAGGGTCATTGTCGTTTTTTGGTAGTGCGAATTTGGCGTCGACTATTTTGACCCCAAATTTTCCAGCGCGACCGAAGTTCTCGAGTGTGTCAGTGCCCTTGAGGACAAAATTCATGCACTTGCCATAGTGAAATTCATTGAGGTACGCCAACAGCTGCACAACCTTCTCCTGTTGAACAATCTGGATTCGTGCCATGCTCGCCTCCCATTTCTTGGTAATTGGCACCACCATCCGACGGCGTGATATTGTGAACGAAGAGGCAACGCTGTGACATGGTTTAGTTACGACGACACTGGATTAAATCAAGGTTGTCTCTACCTATCAAACAGCACTTTGAACCCGGTCACAGCCTCTTGAAAAACATGGAGATCTACTGAGTCATTAGCGGGTGGTACATACAAAAGTTAATGTCAGAAGGCGTGCCTTTCACTGTCGCAAAATCAAATCGTCGCACCATTGGTTTGACTGTGGCTAATTGCATAAAATTTGTCAAGGAATCGAACATTTCTGGTGAGGTGAGGTTGTCCGCGAGAGAAAGGGTCAAATCCTGCTGTCCAGGTCGAAACAAGCTTAGGCCTGTACGATTGTTGATGTCAAGTCCTAGTTTCAATTCGCCCGGACCTAAATAAGAGAGTAAGCCGTAGTTTCTAGCACCTTTCCGTTTTACAACTTACCGAGATTAAGACGATCTGTAGCGGACCCCCATTCCGTCGCTACAAAAGCACGCAAGTGTTCTGACAGAATCGTCGGCCCATACCCATGGTCGACGAGGGCATGTTCTTGGTCAATCACCGACACACTACCAGCAGGGAATTGAAGATGTGTCTTGGCCGGCTGGCCGTTGAATCGATCCGCAGGCTGCTCTATGGAATATGCACGAATCAGGATATCAGGCGTCTTGACCTCTGTCTCCCCAGGCAGCATCCCCAGAAGGATGGAATGCATGGTAGTGCGTTCGTGGTCTTCCTGGAACGTCATTACCATGGATCTCGTCCTGCCATCCTCCTTGATCTTGATCAGAAGGGCAGGGGCTCTATCTTCGCCACGAAGTAAGCCAAATACAATGGGTTCCTTGTGTCCAATTATATGACGGATGCTGCTAAGAGTTTTGACCTTCGGACTGGTAAGTACTGTTATTCGATGACCTTGATGAACACTGCGTGTGCCAGTGCCTTCTGTCACGGTCACCGAGCGCTCAAATAAGCGAAGACGGCACCGCTCAACCGGTTCTGCAGGGAATGCCTTCGGTGTACCAGGGTCCATGTATTGAAAGACTTTTAAGGTACTCTCGAAAATCATAGATTCCCCCACTTCTGCTTGGAGGCTAGCCTCCGTCTTCAGTGTGTACTGGACAATATTCCAGAGAGTCTTGAAATCATCGTCCTGGAAAATAACATCTAATTCAAAGCCACGAGGTAGCTTTACCCGCATCGAATGTGACCGGACTTGCCAATCCACATTATCCCATGTCGGTCCCTTCTTTCGATCTGACTGGATCATTACGTTGACCAGCTCGCTCTGGCTAGTGATAGCTGCGAAAACGTACCAGTCGCCCCGATCTCGGATAATGGATAAGGCGCAAGGAATGGAAAATTGTTGCTGGCTATCGTCTTCACTTGAGCTTACGTAGACTTCCACAAACATAGTGCCATAGCTGAAATACCGATTCGTGTCACCCAGAGGCATTATGTGCACTAAATCTTGTGACTTTCCAGACCTATCGATCAACATGGACCTCGTCGTAGCACCAGAAAGAACGGCGGAGACGTCTGGCGCAAAAAATGGATATCGCAGCCATACGCTAGTATCTCCCCGGGTCGCTGACTCTTCTTCGGAGCCGACCGTGGAGATGATATTATTACGTTTGATGGACATCGCCAGTGAGCGCAGATGGTTTAGGAGCATTTGGTGCAGGCTTAGTAGATCAGCCAGTTGCCTATCCCCAGTCGTGCTGGCTACGGCGAGTAAGGCATCAATCCCCATCGCGCCATATCGCGTCAGCTCCGGATGTTCGGGGACGATATTATCCAGAATCCACAAAGCTTTTCCAAGATCGACTACTGCCTGTTTCGCGTCATCCGGGGAGGTACGTCGAGAAGGCCGTCCACTGGAGCTTGAAGGGCGAGAGGAACGCGCGTACGCTTCAAGCCTCTTTTTCCCTCGCAGAAACCACCACACTGCAGCTCTCATCCATTCAGGAAGGGAGGTTTCCATCAACGGTTTCACATTTTCCGCAGACTGTCTTATCTGATTTCCATACTGCGCAACGTATTCTTTGAGCTCTGTAAATGAAGTGTCACCGATCTGGTGAGCAACAGACCGCAGAGAGATCTTGGGCACCTGTGGGTTTCTGGGAACATCATGACTCTGTTTGGCGTGGTTTGGTTTGTCCACAAATTGGACCGTGGGATCTGGGAGAGGTTTCGTAGGAGAGGGATTTTGTATACCAGGCGTAAGCCCAGAGGGTAGGGAGGCAGGTGTGTAATTCGAGGGGCTGCGAAGATGATATGATGGCGGCTCGTCAGTTTCAGAGAGGGGGGGCGTCCCATACGAGGAACTGGGGCTATCCGGTGCTATATCGGGAGCACGCTGCCTCCCGGTTTCCTCATTTTCTGGGGACGGCGGCTCATTGTAATGGTGTTGTAGAGCACGGCCTTCCTCGGCCTGCATTTTTGCCCGGACACGTTGGGCGAACGAGTTGGATTCAGGCGAGGCCCGAAATGATAAACGAGAGCCTTTCCCACCCATATTCAACGTCATAAGGAGATCTGAATTCTGGGTATTCTGAATGAGAGGTGGTTTCCAATCTGCTTGTCTCTCTCCGTCGCCGGGATCCTTTCTATGACGTGTCTTTTGGCGGGCGATAGGGCGATGGCCATCTCCAAAGGAAGACTCTACATGAAGCTCAGACAATAGGTGGGGAACATCTGTTGAGTCACCGCTCTCATGTCGACGATTGCGATAAAGGGATATCTCCATAGTTGGTGCCTCCGCTTCATCACCACCCTCGCCGATCAACTCCGGAAGCTTGTCGCTAAACTTTACCCTTAATCCTTTCCGAGCGCGCGTCTTCTGGGGCTTGAAGAAGTCCACTGGAGGGCGTGGGTCGGTAGCCGATGCAGGATGTGAGATGGGGGATATATTTGAGGGTTCCTGGGAGGTTGGCCATCGCTGAGATACGTCAAGGCGAGGCATTGGCAGCCCTCGAGAGACTGCAGCTGGTGGGGCCGCTCCATATGATACTGACTTCGAACGGGCAGGGGCCAGAAATGCTTCGATTTGCTGGTCAGTCGAGCCTTTGTTTTGTCTATCCTTCGAAAACAGTTTATCCCTCCAATGAGGTTTCTTGGTCGGTTTCCGTTCGCTATTTTCCAGAAAGGAGAAGGGGTCATCCGTGGTAGACATGTCGGCCGTTATCAGAGTAAATGCGGTACCGTTTGCTGTAATAGACCGCTATAAAGCATCGCAAAACAAGCAAACTATGTGATAATCGGAAGACTTGTCCGTATTCTCCACGCTTTGTAGTCTGCGGATGCTCGTAAGGCCACGAGAATAGCCAAAGGACCAAGTGATGCGCAATCAGGAGGCCTCGATGTAGGACTCGAGAAGAATGACACTGACAGATGACAGTATCAAGTGCCGTAAGGGCTCTTCGAGAGCACCAGAAAGAGGAGCAGTATGTAGAGGGACTAAACTCCTTAGGTTGTCTGCCGGGAAGGGGTTTATCTGGCGGCGAAGCGGAGTTGGGAGGCGGGGGTAGAGTAGTCGTCACTAGTTTGATGATCGTGAGAAATTAATTCAAAGAGCTGAAGTGAGTTCTTGTAAACTGGGGCCAAGTACAACGTCCAGCGCAATTGCCTTTGATTGTTTGGTGGAGTAGGGGACAAGCGATCTACTAGGACCAATCAATTAGACGACCATTCAGGGACGGCGCCTATGAAGAAGGGGCATCAGAACAACTTCAGGGGGGGAAGTGGAAACTTGGGTATGGATCTAAACAAACCTAAGACTAAAGTAGGCCAGATAGACAGCTGCGCAAGATAATTCCCACCCCCTCAATTGAGGTGAGTTGACGGTGGAGATGGGAAAGTGCTCTGAGCAGTCAGTAACGAAGGGCGGCAAATAGGGCGCCAAGCTGTACCAGCAGCTCTTGAGAAGTTTAGCGTTGCTCTGAAGCAGACCAAAGTAAAATGACAAGAAACGGAAAATAGAGAAAGAAATGTAGGAAACGAAGACCAGTTAAGTAAAGGAGACCCAGAAAGATCAAAGAAGCAGGAAGAAGGGTCAGTGGACATGGCACGACATATTAATGCTTGCCGACCGAGGAGGGTGTGCCTCCTTTCAGGTTGGGTCTGGCTGGTTCTCCGCAATAATAATAGGAAGGTAAAAGGTCACGCCCCATTTCAGCTTTCACCTCTTAAACATTTACGGGCCATGATTCAGTTGCTAAATTGAATCCTCCTATACTTTGGACATAGATTCTAGGGTAGCATAATTGAATAACTAGGTAGTGCACATATTGCTCCCTCTGTGGTTTCTTGCACCGCCCCCTTCCTGAAGCTGCTAGGTGCACTTCTCGACTAATGGTAGGTTTTTATTGCTTAAAGGATCGATAAATCATCTCGAATGTTCTAACTAGATGATCTAGACAGATCAACGCTCTGCCCATCCAGATCATACAGTGAAACTGACGTGGACATGGACTCGTGCGACACCTATTGATATGGACCGACAAGAGAGAGCAATATCAATATCCAAGTACTCCATACGTTTCTCCCATCACGGCTCTCAAGGCTCTGTCTGGAGAACGGGCCACTTCGCTTCCAAACTACCGCTACTCTTACTGGTACGCCTAATTATAAAGCTGCTACTATTTTCTTCTAAGCCGTACCAATTCATGTCTAAGTCTAACTAACATCAGTCCCTGATCCAATAATGAAACCGCCCCACCAGTGCGTTCCGTTCGTTGGAGTTCAACCTCATTTTGAAACGGAGCTAGACTGCTTTAGATCAACCCTGCTGATTGCTCGGTGGACCGATGACGACCCCTCCCCCGATGCCGCCCTAAACCTACTCCGTAACGACAATCGCTGAGGCAGCCACCGATTTTTCTCATCTTTGGTGCTCGGAGGACAATCATTTGGTACTGTTTGTTGTGTCCATCCCGCGTAACTAATAATGTAGGTAGGCAGCGCACAGTTTGTACTTAGTACGTCACCTTCATTCCTATGGTTATAGATACTGTCCGCAATATCTACCAGGAAGTTCCTGTTGGCTCTTCTGGCGTTCCGCTACTGGCGCTATTAATGGTGGGAATTTCAAAGAATCTCCGGGGCCGAACAAGTGAACCTGGTGTTGCGATAGTCTCCCCGCCACCTATTCTTGTACTCCATATATTGCCCTTCTTGATTTCTGAGGTCTCACTTGATAGACCAAAAATAAATAAAGAGGATTCACCTGCACCATCCTACCTATGAGAAATGGAGACGACGTATAGTAAGGTCAAGCTACGTGTGAGACCCTGGATGGTCAGTCGCCAAACATGGACTGCTACATTGAATTAACAAGCAAGAATGCCATTGATCCCCCCAAACGAGTGTGTTGAACCAGAAAAGGTCTGGGTGTTTTCCACCACTTCAATAATGCTTAAGGATCTCCGGTAGCTGAGTTATGTACAGCCTGAGATTGCGTTCCCGTTGCATATTTGAAACGTCGGACTCGAGACGTTAAATGCTGATACCGAAGCTTGACTTTTCAATATCCCCAGGTAGCATGAACTAGAAATGCAATATAGTAGGACTCTATTCACCTACTCTATACGGAGAATTCTTTATCGACTTGAGTAGGCGAAGATCTTCAACAGCAGCACATATTATCATTTGAGGATAGGATAACATGTTCTCTCACTATCATTAAATTTCTATCGCCCCTGACAAGAAACACCTATTGGTTTACAAGGTCGTCGGAAGAACAGTAAGCTCCGAAAGGAGGATCCTGTCAAGTATCCAATTTCCACTAAGGCACTACGGAGTAGGCTTAAAGGCTGGTGTGGAGGCCAAGAAATGGCCGGACTCATCGCCGGCTTTCCCTTTTCATCGATCCCGCGGCATACCTTTTTCACCTAATGAGATAAAAAAACCTGCATAAGATAGGCGTGCATGTGGTAAGGTTGTGCAACAGCGCAAGCACACAAGGCATGTCATTGCATAGTCTAGATTCTTGGATCTTCAACCAGCAAAATAGAGTGTCCAAGCCAAGTCATTCCATGCAAGTTTTCCGGCCAACCAGGTAAGGAGTTCGCCGCTGGGGTACTCCAGTCTGTAGTTTATCCTCCCTGAATTTCTCCCATGCGACACCAAGTGGTGGCTCAATTCCCTCTCTCCGCATCTATCTGCCAAACAAAGCCAGCACTCGATCCTGGATAAAGACATAATATACCTACTATGGATTCTGGGTTTCTCACCCTTAGGGTTAAACAGTAACAGCCCACCCACTCCCAAGTAAAGGCTTGTATGCATTACATGGCTTGCCTGTCAACGGAAACGATGTGAGTTCCGTGGACGCTGCGTGTACTCTTTTGCATCCTTAATTTTTCTCATGCGTGGGGAAGATTAGTATGAGAGACTAGCGCTAACTGCGGTAGGCAGCTATATTTCTTTTGGGTCCCTCTGTATTCCGTCTCGTCCCGGTGCCAATTGTATATAGAGTGGTACATATATTTTATATATTCTTGAATCAATTACAGGTATGGAGTACATATTGATGGTACTTTTTCGGGCGTTCTGTGTAAATAAACACATTCATTACCTTACTACAGTGGTGCGAAAGGAAAGCGAGATGTGGGGGCAGAAAGGGGGCCTTCTTTTCCAAGTTGACAACCCTATTTCTGTTGTTGAGATCAGAGTAAGTTCCTATTCTGCATGAAATCGTTGACAACTTCATTTAACCTCTTGGTTGGTTAGTGGGTTTGTCGTTCAAATATTAATTCGAAATTATTATCCTTTTTTACTTTATCCACAATACATTTATTTTTCCTGATGTAGAGATACCTTTTCTGTAACTACATACCGAGTAGTTAGTTACTTGAATGTTCAATATATTTAGACCATGCTTGGTGATCAATGCTGGCGAATCTTGAACAGCACTATAACTGGTAATAATGACAATAATAATAATAACTTAACCCGTCGTGTATTACCCATTTTCTATATAGTTTAGACTCCTGGGCTACCAACCATACTGTACCTACACCATGCAAAGATATATACATCTGAGGGACTTTAGTAGTGCAGGATATGTATATTGTCTCCCTTTTTTGCCCACTTTACTAGATGGTCATCCCATTAGCCACGTTCCCAAATCATGGCTCTTTACTAATATTGACCTGGTTCCCGTGTTTAATTAATCTACAATGACCAGTAGCCTGGAAACAAGCCTTTGGATCAACCTTTTAGAACATCTTAATATCCACCCCACCTGTTATTGCTGAAGGTATGGTTTGTCTTGCGATTCCACAGGAACGTAGTGCCTTAATACTCAGTAAAGCGCAAACTCTTCCCGGAAAGCATCTCTGTGGTTTCCGTGAAGGTCGTTGGGTATATATTTATAACATATTCCTAGAAGTCCTTCTGGAAAATAGGTGGTAAATATTTATGCATTTAGATACGCCGACATTTAAAAGCAAGGAGGACATTAATTTCTCATCTCCAGCACACATTTAATACCCGAGTACTTCTGGCTGATTATCAGTTTAGTAAAATAGCAACCAGTGAGCGCTAAAATACAGATATGCCGATTTAGTTATCGGCTTGCTTTAGTATCTGCTTTCGTGTCTGCCAGGTAGCGTTAGAGAGCAGCGCGTCGGAGCCGATGTTTCTATCCAGTATGTCTAGATAGTGAGTATATCACTATTTTCAATTTAGACACAGGATACTGTAGAAGTTTCGAAAATAATAAAGAGTAGATGACAGAGTGGTATAATAATAGTGACATGGCTGAGACACCAAGGCCTGTTGTGTGTTGTGTTTTTTTAGCGCTTCCAAGATTAGAAGTCACCAGCACCGTAACGAACAAAGCGAGCAAACATGGCTTAATGGGAAAACTTGGAATTTCGCATTCCAACTCATACTCAGCCCTGTTTTTTTTTTTTTTTTTGAACCCCCTTCTCTCTCGGATTTGACTTCGCTTCTTCCTGACATCAGTAGTCGATATTCTCGTCTCAAGTCTGAATTCCGAATTTCTTTTCCCCTTTCCGAGTTTCCGTGTTTACAGCTGCTGCGCCTCGCCATCCATCCTCTATCCCCACCATCCCCCGAAGTTATGGTTCGCATCCCCTACGTTACCATTTTGGGGCAGGTTGAGGAGTAATTTACTCCCATTCTTGCAAGCCCTCAGTCGATATTTCTGCTTTACGATCCCGGTCCTTCGTTCCCCGACCGCCACCCCCACAGCTCCATCCTTTTGGGAGGATTGCGCCTGTGACATTCTTACCAGACAAACGTATTGTGATACTAAACAGCCTCTGGACAACGTGGATTACATAGCCTGAGAGGGGGCTGACCTCCCCACGGAGGTCATCCGACTGATACCAGACGGACGTGATGGGTGTATACCACGACACGCGATGGCATGACTTATTGGATCCTTCGATTGTATGTCAACTGCAAGCATCTGAGGTGTTGGGAGGTAAACGAGGAGCTCCTCGATGTCGGAAATGGCGAGATACTTTGCGACCGCCGCGACAGTGTCGGGTTGGATCATTTGCGTGTGGAGTTGCTTGGATATTGATATTGTTGATGGTTCTGGTGCCTCCAGCTTACGCTGCGCTGTTGGATTTCGATAACTGCCTAGGAAAGTCCATTATCGAATCGAACCCACGTCAACTACAATTCGTCCCGCTTGATGTATCAGTTGTCTTTGATCTTGACAGCCCACTGCGTGATCTGAATGTGACAGTGTACGGCAACGTTTCTGGGACTGCCGATCGGCGATCTTCTTATCCATCTCCTGATGACCCCCAGTGGGCTAACCTGAATGAGACCGTGGGAAAGATCACAGATTTAGATACGACGAATAACAAATACTCTACCTTGTTAACCTCTGTTAACGTGGTTAGCTTTTCTCCTTACAATGATCCATCCAGATTTTGCGATTCTGTTACCCAAGGGGCATGTCCGCTAGGTCCTGTTTTCAACGTGAACTCGTGAGTATTTACCTTTGCTATTTTTGGCTCTACTCTCCGGATCAGGACTGACAGCCCACGACTTGTTAGGAGCGATTTAAATGCCCTGCGAGCCTTTTCCTTTCAACATGCCATGGATTCATCGTACCGTTTTTCCACGTTGTCGTCGACATTCACAATAAAATCCGGTGATGCCGCGGCTACGGTACTTGGATGCATATCTGTCGACATCACGCCAGACTTAGGATCATCTTTGAAGAGCTCGTTGGCCTACGTGCCTTTGGTGATTCTCCTATTGGTAGCGGTGACTACTATAATTGCGGCAATTTTCAGTCCATGGGGTACGACGGATCCGTTCCACTGGACTAGCAATTACGGCCGCGACGAGGATGCTCTGCGACTAGTGACCCCTGGATTTGGGGATTGTCTCCAATACATACAGTTTGCGGTGCTAACGGGGGGACTGTCTTTGAACTACCCCGGGTATTACCAGCCTGTGGTTAGTCAGGTGGCTTGGTCGGCACTCATGTTCAACCAGAGTTTCCTGAGTCCTGGTCATGAGCGAAATCCTGTTGCAGATGGTGTTTACAGGGTTAACGCCACCGATGGGCTGGATAGGCTGGAGCACTATGTCGGGATGGCGTCGGCGCGTGACATTTGGCCGAGCATGATGGTTTGGCTGCTCGTGATTGTGGCCATTGTCATGCTTCTAATCCAGCTTGCATTTGCGTTTCGTTGGCTTCTTCGTGAGATTGCAGGTATCCCCGAGGAAGACCTTCGTGCGAAGAATATGCCGTTCACTGTTGGCAATGTCATCCGGATTGTGTTTAACTACCTGCTTCTGCCCCTCATCTCGGCTTCATTTTATCAGCTGGTCATTGCAGCAAAATCTCCTGCCTACTGTGTGGCTCTAGCAGTTGTAGTCATCCTGATTTTAGTTTCCTTTTCGATTTGGACGATTCGACTGATCGCGACTACTCGCCCGAAGTCTTATCTATTTGACGATCTTCCCATGGTGCTCCTGTACGGCCCTCTGTACAACACTTTCTGTGATGATGCAGCTGCTTTTGCCGTGGTTCCAATATTCATATCTTTTGCTCGTGGTGTCGCAATTGGAGCCCTTCAACCATCCGGAATAGCCCAAATTGTGCTCCTTGCGATCTGTGAAGTCGTTTCGCTCTTAACACTTCTGGCTTTCCGCCCGTTCCCATCACCGACTTCTATGAATCTTTATCACGCTTGTTTCACCGTTGTTCGGTTTCTCACTATATTGCTCAGTGTCGTTTTCGTTCCCTCCCTGCAGGTTTCACAGGCGGCCCGCGGTTGGATAGGCTACGTGATTCTTCTGCTGCACGCCCTGGTTCTTGTCTTCGGATTCTTTTTAAATGCTCTACAAACCCTAATTGAAGTTATAGCGCGATTGGCTGGCGCAGGCGGGTACGAAGGTGGGGTTACTCGTGGCGGCCTAACAAAGGTATGTGGACACAATTGAAGTTTAGTTCGGCTAGTTCGCAATGTCGACTGCATCGATTTCTAACTGTCAATATCAGGTGTTTGGCATGCGGCAGCTCTCACGACGAGTTCCAAGGCGGGAACCTGGAACTCGTCAAAGTATGGGCTCTGAAGCTGCGATGCTAGCACATACGGATGACCGGCTGTCCTCTCAATTCGAAGGATCAAGACCGAGAAGTCTTTCTGGTAGCTCAGCTCTGCTACTCAACAGGGCGTGTGCTAGTGACGGTAGAACTAGTGCGATCTATGAGTCTGGCAGTGCCCACGGTGGAACCCATAGCCGAGCTAACAGCAGTGGCCTATTTACGCCCTCAACTCCAGGGGGTCACACGTCTTTCTATGCTGCAGGCTACCAGACGACAGGTAGTAGCTCTCCTAAGAGCGGACCTATATTTGCTATGCATCCTCAGGATCCCTATTACCGCCCCCCTAGACCCCGTAGAAAGATGACAGAAGGCAGCTCTGGAGAGAAAGGTAGAGGTAGTTCTCAGCGGGCAGCAGCTTATGGCGATGACGATGATATAATCGAAGGCCCACCAATTTCCGGGAGAGCCACACCCATTCCAGCTTACATTCCTGCGCCCAAGGACGATTTGGATTACGATGATCCTCGACAGTCCACGAAAGACTATGCAGTCCGCGAGGTCGATTTCTATTACCGAGTGCGGGGTCCTCCGTTATCTCAGTCTGGCACACGTAAACTGAAAACGGGCCCAGCAGATCCAACCGGGCCTGTGTCCTCTGCAACGGGATTCTTCCGGCACTTGTTCCGTGGCAAAACGAAGGAGAAAGGAAAAGGGTTTGAAGTTGTCCGGAGCTCGAGGGCACCACCACCTGGGATTTTCCCAGAGGGAGAGGAATTCAATGAGCCATATTCCGATGAGCCAGAAAACCAGGATGCTTCTGGCAACACGCGTCAATCTTCTGAAGGGGACCGCCTCTATCGTGATTCAGATGATGAGAGTAATAACCGACCCGTGAATGATGTTCCGGTCAGTTTACCGCATATCGATGCTGGTGGTGCTATCGAACTTCCCAATCGCCTGGGGTCGCCCCGTAGTTCACGGCTCCCATCATTGGTGGTAGAGACCTCTCTGAATACAGGGCAACAGCATGGCACCGTGAAATCGTTAGACCTTGGTAAAGAAAATTCATCCCAAAAATCTCTACCAGCGGTGACAGAGGCCGTATCGGGGGCTTCTAGAGATTTCCATATGCCTGACGAGCCTGCTTTTACTCAAGGGCAGCTTCACCCTTCTTCGTCCGGTACCGGACGACTGCCTTTTAGCGCTACTAGTTCGCCATCACGGGATCGAAATTTCTCTATCGCGTCAACGACGGCGTCGACGTCTTCAAGCCATCGCCATGCACGAGATGGAAATAATCAGTCTCGCATTGATCGTCCATCTAGTATGGGATATGTTGCTCAATATCGTACCCAGGACAATATTCACGAGGCCAGTCCGGATGAGCCGTCTTTTACAGGAAGTGCCGCAGAGCTTGTGGACGGGCCACATCACCTAGAGGGAGAACGATAAGATATGCATTCGGAATTTGAAGTATATCACTTCTGTGCATTTAATCCAGTAGCGTGCTTGTTTTGGGTTGCTTTCTACTTTGTATTTTGATAAAATAAAGTTACGAATTTCCTTTCTGCTTGGAAAATATGTACGCCCTGGCGTTTGTGATATACGTTTGTATCTGTTACATTTGTACCTGTACATACTGCCTTAAGGCCGCAAATGGTTGCTTTCCTTTTCTGGGTATGGCTTCTGCATGAGCCCTTCCTTTACTCTACAGGCTTATAATCAAAATCTGCTATTCATCCTGTGAAAATAATTCAGAAGTAGTGTATGTTGTTTTTTTTTATTACTTCCCCCTTTATGAAACTTTGTGGGCGGAGAGGTATGTATAGGCGCTTGTACTCTGACGCATACAAACTAATTCCGTGGAACATTTTGATGGAGAAGTAGTAATGGTAATATTGTTGTTTCTAGTCTACCTACCTACTGATGAAGATCCCCTGACCCCCCTCTGGAAAATTGTCATCTAGCATCCGCCACATCTCATCGTGCAGGGATCACGCGGGGCTCTTCTTGACTTGGACCGCCTTTGCGGCAAATCCCCGAGGACCCAGGAGCGAACGTGTGCCAGTCAGACAAACTGGTGTTTTTAAAAAGGTCTCGATATCGATCATACTTGCTGCTTTCCCTCTGGTCTAAATCCAACTTCGTTGTGTTGGCTGGTTGGGTTTGTCACGAGACCCGACCTGATTGATCTCGTTTTTCCCGACTGACCCTTGGCCTGCCTCTTCCCTTCGCTTTTGCCATCCGGACTTTCTTGCCTCTGTGTTGATAAGCCCTGGACTTGGCCTCCCCCTTTTGTTTGACGCTGTGCGCCACTTTATTCTGACTCCTTATCTTTTCATTTCCGAGCTAGTCTTATCACCATCTCCGCGTAAATTCTTGGATCAATCTCCCCTCGAGTCCAACTTCAGCTTCAGCTTCCGTTGTTCCCGCCCTGGAACCACCACGCCACCCAGTCAATGACGCCCCGTCCTCTAAACGACGGAGATTGATCTCCTCTTCAGAATTAGGAAGACATTCCTTTTTAACCGATTTGATTTCCGGGTTCATGTCGTCTCAGTCGGGCCCATCGTCAGCTTCCTCCAATTCACCGACTACCCCCGCTATCTGCCCACCAGAACGTACGGCTACTGCGTCTGGTTATAGAACCCATGCGAGCTCTGCCAGTCGAAATGTTAGCGACGTTGGTCCTGCCTCGGATAGACGCGCAGAGAGACGACGATCGACTATTTCTGGTCCCGATCGGAAACGAAGGCTGGCCAACACACATGGGGATGTCTGGCTGAGACGCGCTGGACCCGGGACTGGGTTGGAACCCGGACCCAGTAGAAGTACCACAAATGTGAATAGCTGGTCTATTCCGAGCGGATCGTCGCGTACGCGGACAGAACATGCTACACTTGGTACTTCCTACGCCACGCCGATCGACTTGTCCTCGCCATCACCAAACCCTGTTCCACCAAATACAAGTGACCGCAGGAGTTCATGGTCTCGAACGGGAGGTGGTTTCTTGGAGTATATAAGGCCTCGATGGCAGCCTGACACTGAGGTGACGGAATGTCCAATTTGTGGAACGCCTTTTAGCTTTTGGTATAGAAAACATCATTGTCGAAAGTGTGGGCGTGTCGTATGCGCGTCATGCTCACCACATCGGATTACAATTCCGAGGCAGTTTATTGTTCGGCCTCCAGAACCTTACCGATCTCCTGTGCCCACCCTAGTTGCCCCAGGAGGATCACATTTTGATCTGGAAGCGAGCGATATTTCTACTGCCTTCAATCCAGCTTTGGGAGGCGGCGAGGAGGTGCGCCTCTGTAATCCCTGTGTTCCGGACCCGAACCCAGAACCACCTCCTGGATATACTGCACTTCGATCTTGCACAGGTGCAGGCTCGGTGAACCAGTCTCGACATCGGAGTTATCATTCTATGTCGACACCAAGCAGAGCATACCCCTATAGTGTAACTGTCAGTGGTTATTGCTATCCTCATTTTTCTGAGAAACTAACGAAAATCTTGTTGTCAACAGGCCGACAACGCTTCTTCTCGACCAAGCCGCAGAACCCTGGGATCAAATGAATTTTTGACCTTCGCTGGCCTGGGGGGTTCATTTGCTTCCCAAATACCTGAGCGTCCAATTGAATACGGACCTATATCGGCTCGTTTTGCGCCGGCCCTGAGGGCGTCTACGTCTCTCCCTCATACCGGACAAAGTGCTAGGCCACTACCACCTGGAACATTACATAGTACAGCCACTGCTAATCTAGCAGATAATTGGCGCTCCTCTCACTCTCTGCGTCGCCGCATCGATGAGCGCGATTTATGCCCAATCTGTGACAATGAACTCCCTCCACTAGGCGAGAATGGGAATGAGGATGTTCGAGAAGTACATATCCGAGAATGCATTGAGAGTCACGGCCGACAAACAGGCTCTCTGCCGCAAAGTGGCAGTCCAGTTACGCAGCCCGCGATACCTGTGCGGATGCTCATTTTCACTGCTACTGAGAAGGACTGTCTCGGTCACGATGGTGCAACACAAGAGTGTACTATCTGTATGGAGGATTACGAAGTCGGTCAGTCACTGGTACGGCTAGAATGTCTATGCAAGTTCCATAAGCGATGCATTGTTGAATGGTTTGAACGAAAGAAGGAATGCCCTGTGCATAAGGTATCATAAGAGCGTTTTAAAGCGTGGTTGTTTCCCCTCTATGCTGTCGATTGTTTTCTAGCTGGATTTTAGGTATATGGCGTTGGCTGTGGCTGGTCCCTCGGCGTTACTCTTTTTTTGCCCCAAGGAACGTGTAGATAGAACTTTAAGCTGGTGGACATTGTATCTCATTTCTTTCCCTTTGCTTTATTTGATCTGCTTGGACGGGGATTGAGCTTCATATTGGAACGTGTCTTTCGGTTATCTGGGAGATTTTACTCCACTCTATTGGGCTATCTGGACTTGGAGAATAAGCCAATGCTGTTACTAGAAACAATATATGTCTGTCTACCGATATTCTACTAGCGTATGATGGATATAGGAAGAACAGAAATGGAAGGGAAGTTCTCGTACTTCGATATATCATTGACTGATTTAAAAGAGAGAGAGAATGAAAGAAAAAGAAAAATTGAGATATCTGGGAAGCCAGAAGGTAGAAGGCTAAAGGATCGAGCGGATCAGGTGCTATGCTACTAAGGCTTCCCGTTTTGCCTGTCCGAATCCAAGCCTAAGATTTTTGCAGATGCGCTGATGTGAATTAAATCGCCCGAATTCCTGCTGTCAAGCGGTACGAATATCCACACACGCTGCAGATACATCATATCACTTATTACTCCTAATTTTCTTGTTCTTGGCTAGGTAACTAACGTCCGGGTCACCGTGTCTGATCGGTGATCGGTGCCCCGACCGATCCGTCTTTCCGACTGCTTTTGTTCACTTCTGTTTTCCAACGAGAGACAGCTTGAAGGTAAGTTGAGAGGGTCTTTCATATTCACATTCGCACTCCTTCCTGGAGAGGGCTGTCTACATGATTAACGCGCTCATCATGGCACTCCCTCGCCATTATGTCGACTCCGTTGAGCTGCCAGGCTGACATATCCGCCCCCGCAGCCGATGGAGATTGATCCGCGCTTACACCCTGGAGGTGAAGTAGCTGCAGAAGCATCGAACCACTCCCTTGTGCCTTCCCCCGGCACAAGGCACACTAATCTCACTGTATCTTCATCACGGACACCTACCGAATACCCGGATCCCCCTCCCTACTTCTCCGGCGAACGCCTGCGCTCTGCCCCCTCTGCTACGAGCAACGTGAACTACTACAATACCTCGACCGCGCAGTCTCCGGTGACACACACATTATGCCAAGGAAAGCCGGAATCCATTCTTGATTCAAGTAATCAAACATATTCTAGCGACACTAATGATCCTTATGCGGATCTGAAACGCCCTCGGGCTTGCGAAGCTTGCCGACAGCTTAAAGTCCGGTGCGAACCCGATGCAACCAATCCGAACGGGTCGTGTAAGCGATGTGCAAAAGCACGAAGGTCATGTGTGGTTACGGTTCCCACCCGTAAGCGTCAAAAAAAGACAGATAGTCGAGTTGCGGAGCTGGAGAGGAAGATTGATGCTCTGACGGCCAGTCTCCAGGCCTCGCATGGCCAGGACCCGTTATTGCAAGCGGCACAATCGGAAACACCACGTGGTGAATATGCAAATCGAAGATGGCTGGGACCAACAAGTACTAGTCCGACCAACAATGTGTCCTCGGAATCGCCGACAACTACTCTATCGGGGACTAAACGACACCATAGCGGGGAGATCAAGGATGCTAGAGACGATGAACTCCCAGGAAGCTGTATGCCTAGCCCTACTACGGAGAATACAGTAGACCATGGTGGTAAACAGCCCCACGGCGGCCGCGTGTGTAGCCCGAATGCCACATTGAAGCCCGAATCACGCAACGAATTTGTTGATGTGATTGATAGAGGTCTCGTCAGTGTGGAGGTAGCGACGGAAGCATTTAATAGATATACCTCCGAGATGGCCGACAAAATCCCCATGGTGATCTTTCCTACTGGAACCACGATGCAGGACGTTCGAAGGAGAAAGCCTCTGGTGCTCCATGCGATTGTTGCAGCCGCTGTTGGCCCCATCCAACCTGACTTGCACATACCCCTTGTGAATGACTTTTACAAGGTCATTGCAGACCGGATTATAGTTAGGGGAGAAAAGTCATTGGAACTTATGCAGGGCCTTCTTGTGACCTGTAACTGGTATACGCCACCAGATAACTTCGAGGAACTTAAGTTCTTCCAGTTGAGCCATCTGGCTCTTACGGTGGGCATCGACATAGGGATGTATCGGAAATCTACGGCTAGGAGTAAGCCGTTCAGCTTAATCAGGGAATCTGCAGCAAAAAAGACACCCTCACAGGATCCTGATTCTCCTGAAGCTCGACGAGCATGGCTTGGGTGTTACTTTGTAGCAGTGCAGTAAGTAACATCTGACTTAAGATTTGAAGCACTGGAGTGTTTTTGACCTTTGATAGGGTATCGACCTCTTTGAGGCGGCCAATTCTTGTGCGTTGGAGCTCGTACATGGACGAGTGTGTGGAAATCCTGGAAAAATCACCAGAAGCCCTGCCAACCGATAAGACTATGATTCACTGGGCTAAGTTGGCGCAAATTATAGAAGAGATTAACATGCAATTTGTTGGCGATGACACCGCTGCAACTGTCTCCTTCGATGAGCCTAAATTCCAGTATACTCTGAAGGTTTTCGAGAAGCAGCTTGAGCAGTGGCGGAGAGAAGCGCGACCTGAAGAATCTCGTAAATTTATATCTTTCATCATTTAAGATGTTCGGCTGCTGACTGGTATTCTAGCTATGTTGAAACAGGCAGAATGCATTGTCGATCTTTATATGCACGAGGGCGCCATGCATATGGAACTCAATGATGACAAGGAAACAACAAGTGAAGTCTATTCAAGTCCAACCAGTGCAGCCCATATGAATGCATTAAGTATTTGTCTTACTGCCATTCATCGGGCCCTGGACACAATTTGTTCTATTGACTGCAAAGACCTCATTTCACTACCTGTAGTGGCTCTGGCTCGAACATCATTCGCAGTTGTGGCCCTCATCAAATTATATTCCCTTGCCTCAGCTCCGGAAACCCGCATCGGACAGGTCATTGAACCATCGAGTTTGAAGGTGGAGTACTATCTCGACAAGGTCGTTCAGCATTACACCACAGCAGGCGATCTTGCTGGTGGCCGAACGCCAGCGAAGTTTTCTGTGGTTCTACGCATGCTACGGAGTTGGTTTGCTAAGCGGAAAGACCAAATTCCAGCACTAAAAGAGATTTTGGGAGGAAAGCATAGTATTGTTCTATGTCAGGATGGCTCAGAAAATAGCGATGAGAGAAACCAACCGGTTAGTTTTCCCAACAAGTTTCCGAATGCATCAAATCCACTGACAGCCGTCTAGTCTAAATCTGGCTCCACCCCACTTCACCTTCTGAGTGAAGTCGCCGTGAGCGAGCCGAAGAACCGGCCTGCCGATCCAGGTCAAATACCTTACCCACAACGAGCAGCGCCAACAGCCAGTTTGCCGCAGACCTCGGACTCACTCACCACGCCCTCATTCTCAGGCCTCATCTCCCAATCCCAGTCCCTGGATCCAACATCCGGGCCACCCACGGGCCCGAATACAACATCAAACTCTGAAAATTGGGTTCAATACCCCCCATCTCGTCAATATTACCCTTCATTCAGCTCTCCCTATCAAGACATTCCATCCTCAGGCTACCCCGATCCCAGTGGAAACAACTTGGTCATGTCCGACGCTACGCAGGAATTCTATGTTCCCGAACTCGGGCTACAAGTAGGAGTGGACCCGAGCAATCTGTTCGCTTTGGAGAATATGTTTGGATACGGAGTTTTGAACCTGCCGCTGCCGCTGCCGACTGACGATGACATTGGATATTATTAATCGGGGAACGGAGCACGGAGTACAGACTGTAGATAGATGATGTCCAGTCCATTCCACCCCCACTCAAATATGGAGTTTCATGGATAAGATCCGCTTGTGTATAATTGTAATGTTCATAGTATTATGCACTTCACATTTAAAATTGATTCTTGAACCCTATGATGATATGAATCATTGCCAAGCCTGATATTAATAAGCCTATCACAATAGTTAGTTAACAAGTTAGCTATTCTATAACATATAAATATAAGCATAAGAAACTTTTATTAAACAAGGTATATACCTGAAAGATGAATTTCATTTATAGCAATAAGTCAATTCAGAAAAATGACCAATCGTATGATTTTAAATAATAATAATAATAATAAAAATAATAATAATAATAATAATGCCTTTTTTTTTTTACACAGCTTTGTATTATATTATAATCTAGTAACACTCCACATATCTAGTTCCAAAAAGGCCTAGGGAACTGCTAAACAATACTTCGTATGCCTAACTAACCAGCTAGTAAGTCACTGTTGTTCAGAAGGAATTGGAGGCCTGTGCTATCCAACCCGTGGGGGTTTGTTACCTGCATGATAGGTAACACAGTATTGGGGTAATTGGGGTATTTCATTAGTAATGATATCTAATAGTTAGACTAGTGTCAGATCACAAACCATGATCACGATCAGTCACACATCCATACTAGTTAACTACTATATACATACAAGAAAACTTGATGACTGATATTTACAGCAGTTCTGGATCGACCAGTTGGACTCCTGAATACACATATCTCCGACAACACGGAACAAGCCCCACAATCGTACAGATTGGCCCCATCAATGAAAGGTGAATGGTCCCGCCCCACATGACGAAAATGTCCGACTGTCTTGTGTCTGTCAATGGTGGAAGTTAATTTTCGGGTGGAGAGAGAGAAAGAGAGAGGTAGAGAGACTGAGGGAGAGTCTCTCTGGTTGCGATGATCGTCGGCTGTTTCCGCCTCTAGGCTACACTAGATTAAGTAGATCCTGGTTATTCTGCGTTGCACAAGGTGTGATCGCTTAGTGGATGTTTCCTGCAGCGATAAGTGGGTTGCTGAAGGAGTGATTGCTAATATGCTTTTCTAGTTTGGCGTGGTCTTGATGCTGAAGAAACTGGTGGGATGAGACGCAGCAGTAGAGCAGAAGGAGAATAGAATAATTACTTGATAGTGATTGTCGCATCATCGTGTTGTTAGACGCCAGTCTTGACTGAGCTTCTGCACAGCGAATGCCCAGGGCCATCCATTTTCGGCCTCAGTCCTGCGAAGCAGATCTAGCACACTATTCTGGGCTAACGGGTCGCGGATCCATGAACCACCTAGAAGCGAAGCGGTAGTTAGTTGCCCACGCGATCGGATCTCATTCCATATTCGTAAATTGTGAAGTTCCTTGGTAATGAAAAAATGAAAGACAAAGGTTCATTAGGATAAAATAGGGGATTCCTACATGCACAGAGCGCGTGGCAAGCCATAATGCGTATGGGAGGACTATCATCTGTAGATAGAGCAATGCCAAAAAAGAATATTCAGATTTTTCGTCACTTCATCCTATTGATGAGTAGTCAGTGAGAAGACTCGCTTTCCACAGTTGTCTGCGAGAACGAACTGATATTTTCTTAGAATCTAGGCCCGATTTTGGCAATGAATCCATTGCTTGCAGTTCATGCTGATATATTAAGGCTTTAGCCATGCAGACATGCTGTATGGCGGTTGCTGGTTTGGCGTTAGCGGTTGATTGTTCTTGTTCCGCCTAAATTAAGCATACCGTGTGCAGAACTCGTAAACCAGATGAGAGGGAATGGCCTCCCAACACTTGGATTGGCCGGCGAAAAATGCAAGGGGTGGAATCCTTCAGGCTTTTCCATCTCCCATGTGCTAATCTTCCTTTTCAGGGTACCCCCGTCACTCGTGCCCATATGGAGTGGATGGTTGGCTCCATAGCAGTGGTTGATTGTCTCAGCCAACAGCCAGATTGCTCTATGCGTCCAGTCGCGGTCACTTTGAGCTGTATTTTGCTTCCATCTTTGATGAAGCCTTTCTTCAAATGGATTTATGGGTAAACGAAGAGGATTTCTATATGTCAGAGCAAACTGGATGTCCTGCGTCACGAAAACCCAAAATGAAGCCTCGGCCAGTCCACCTGAAATTGCGCAGTCTACATGTGAGCTGATATAAACTGAGCCCGCCAGAAGGTGGCGCTGAAGGTCATTAGATGGAGATTGCGCTGTCCATCACGTCAGAATTATGAAGCCTTTTGTCAAAAGGGATGGCTTTAGAACAACCCACAGGATATTTGCTCGAAGAAGCGTAGTATGACAGTAGAAGCGAGGAGGATTTCGATGCCTATTTTGAATTCACTGTTTTCTAGGACTGGAAGAAGAATCGCAATACAACGCTCATGATATCCGTCAGCCGTGCTGGATGGCACTGTGTTGGTTGTGTGGGAGAGATGACGAGCAGCTATAGCTAGACACGCGTACAAAAGTAATGGACATGACGGGGCTCGTTCGACAACATCTGTAGAGAAGTGCTTCTCATGGTCGCATACATCCATCTAGCTAAAGCGTTAGATACCTAGCTCTTAGCACTGCATGGAAACTAAAGGAGTATAATACCCAAGAACCTAGTGTGTTCCGAAAGTGCCGCAGAAGCAACGCCTCGTTGAAATTGTTCAATTTCTGATGATCCCCTAAAGCATCCGACGAGAGTAGATTATTGAATGCAGCAGAGAACAATCCAGGTTCAGGCTCGGACTTTATCGCGCCTAGGTCAGGTGTAGAGAAAACAGGGCGTGAAACAGGGAGAACTGCTGATGATGATGATGATGGCAAAGCTGCCATGGAGGCTGACGACTGGCTTTCAGACGCTTCTCTAAAAAACGCAGGTGACGTTCCTACCGGAATAACGTGGTAATCGGCAGCTGTACGGTCTGTCTCATCCTCAAACGCAACTAATACGCTGTTAGTGATGCCATGGGGAAAAGACCTTAGACCCGACATGCATTCTTAGCTCTTTCGAGTGGAATGACCAACCTTCAGAGGGCATTTCGACCCAGATTTGATCATCTGGAAATGATAGATCGCTCTCCCCGTAACGAGGAGGGCCCCTTTGCCGCAAAGACGGGTTCTGGCCGTGGCGAAATGTAACCTCTTCCGGCTTCGCGGGCGCAGGAACACACTGTCTCCCCGATCGCTGACAACGTAGGCATTCAGTTCCAGTTTTATCACCTATATATTGGCTGTTAGGGGGTGAAATGCAACGGGGTCATAACACTGGTTACATTTCAGATGGCGCTGGCGGCAGGTGAGACTGAGGCAAATAACGTGAATATTAGATAAGACACCGCTAGACTGGATGAACAAACAAAGGAGCTAGAAAGATGAGCCATGTTGCTACTCACCATCCCCTCATCACGGTGTCGTCAAGTTGGTCCTTGTCTGGCTCTATTCACAGCCATGGATGAGGACATCAACGCTGCCAAAAAGCAATTGATACGAGGCAAGCCGGAGAAGATAAAGAAACCGATTAAAGCTAAGAAAGGATGGTAGACAGGGAGAGGGAGAGAGGAAAGAGGAGGAGACTCGACCAACACTAATATGCAGCTAAAAGTGACCGCTTCGGTGACTGCGATTGCAATGGGCAAAATAATGTTAAACGGTTAAAATGCCCAACGGATGGATAATTCATCCACAGTGGAGCGGCCATTAGCATCATCCGAAGAGACTTTTGTCCCTAAAAAATTAAAAATAAAAATAAAAAAAGCACCACTGATAGAAAAGGAAGAAGATGGCCAGAAGGTTGCTATTCTTGGCGTCAACCAAGATTTCAGGTCCAGGGGCAGCCTATTCTGCAGTTACATCGGACATAAAGGGATGTGGTGGCAGTTTGGAGTAGTAGCCACAGTTGATAATCCACCCATCAACCCCCTTCTCGCAATGAGATGGCCAATCGACTCCAGATTCAGGGATATGGAGTCCTGGGGATTAATTCTTCGTGACTGATGAGCGTATGCGATGGACATACCCGCCTCAGATCCCTACTCGAAGGAGAAATTTGGATGAGTTAAATTGGGAAGCCATGCGAACCGGAGCTTTTAATTTGGGGTGTAGACCAGCATTTCGGCACTTCTCATTCACCCTCATTTGTACTCCTTCCTAAGGTTCCATTTCAGCCTACAGCCCTCAGGAGGCGGTCGCCGGAACGGCTCTTCACGCTTAACTGGCTTTGGCTGTCATTTTCATGCATAGTCCCTGCTGATTAGAACTGGCACTAACCCCCTAGGCCTTAGTGATATTTACTATACCTGCTAGTTGAAGATTAGGGGTGTCCTGGATTTCCTGTTATTAATTTCCTCCCTAGATCTTCTCTGTGGTAAAAGTCTTGGTTGTGCATTGCATCCCCCCTGCTAGTTAGTTGATCTATCTTAAAGGCTGCTTCATTAACGGCCCCATGGACAGTCCCATAGGCCGTCATCCGCTTCACACCGACCCGCACAGGTTCCATGTGATGCTCCTGAGAACATTATGCAGGATGCACCTGGTGTCTGTCCCAGCTAGTGTTCCCTTTTCCTTTTTTTGCATGCAACATCACTAAGAAAGGGAGGGTCCCACCTCTACCTTGTCTGCACTCTGCAGCCAGGAACCCCAATATCAATGCCAGAACCACCCTGTCCATCCCTTACTTGAACATGGACAAGGGTCTTTGGAGTGAAGCCAGACAACTACGGTTTAGTATCTGCATCCACGCGCCTGATATGCCCAAGTCAAGTATGCAGCCCGAGCCGTGGTAGGGGAGGTAAAAGTGCTTAAGCCACCACAGATAGGAACCATCCAAATCAACCCTGCTTCTCATGCCGTCCTAGCAGGAAAAAGGCAATACTTAGCCCCAACGGCGGGAAAACACCAACTGCAATGCCATATTAAGGACAACGTGGGAGGCCGCCTGCAGAACTTGGACTTGAGCTCGGTGGATCATAATAATGGGAAATATAACAGCTTTCGCCCAATGAGACAACATCACACGAGTCAGCGATGAGCTGATAATCCAAGGTAGGGAGACCCGTCCCATCGAAGGCAGTGTCGGAGAGTCTCCGTTGGGGAAGTGGGCTTCCAGCCGTCTGTACGGAGTATGAGAGTGACTAAATTGCGCCCGTAGCGCCACGCCCGATAAACCCGTCGGCATCTAAGTCAAAATGATGAACTTGCTGGGCTTCAGTTAGAACCTACAGAGCACTAGGTCTCATGTAGCATGGCCAGCCGGACTAGTAATAGTATTGCCCTGCAGGGCCCACCATGTCTCCATTATTTTGATTGTGGAATTTGGATGGTTGGCAGATGCCAAGAAGAATCGGAATAGGAGGCTGATGACTTAGCCCTGACTCAGCCTTGACTTCGCAGGAAGCTGCGGAGAGAGCTCGAATCAGGTGACGTTATCTCCGCGCTGGTCGTCATCATCACACTTCCAATGCATCTTTCGCCTCTTCCTCCTACCGTCCCTGCAGCAAATATCAGGCCATGTTGTGATTAATAACTAAATATATAGGTGGTACTGACTCTACCACCTGATGTGCCTATGTCTAGTGCCCTGAAGGTAATCTTGTCGTCTGGCATCTTCGACAGTACTATTTATATTATTTTTCTGGGGGAACGGCAGGTGTATTGAATCCGGTGACACTGTACTGGCGTGAATAAGGCTATATTAAGCCTTTGATAGTTGCCAATAAACCTTGCAACTGTGATCTTTGACCTAGCTTTTGGTCGAATAGGTCATACCTAGAATGTCTCTGAACCGAGTCTCCTATCTGGAGTCGTGGGTGCATAATCCAGCTTCATTCCGTCGTCGAGAGAGTCGTGAGCAATCTCCTGGCGCAGAAACCGATGATGATGATGATGATCTAGCATACCAAGACCTTCCGGATGCATCGCTGTCATCATCGTTTCCTTCGACGTATAGCAATCATTCCTTCCGGCAGCGTCTAAATTTCAACCCATACTCAGGACCAGGTTGGAGTCAAGCCGCTGTAGATGATGTCAACAATGACAGCATATCCCCTCGGAGAAGTTTCTCGGAAACCCCTACCCAAAATCGGCAGAACGAAACGGCAAGGGAAGAGCCCGTTCCACAAGTGAAACAGCAAGCCTGTTCGGGCCTAGAAACGATTGGAGCATTTGAAATTGGGCGGACCAAGCGAATCGGTAACTATATGGCTCTAGGGTGATTATCTACAGTGTTGCAACTGACTATCCCATACAGTGCAGGTCTGTCTCGCTATTTTATATTGCTTCTTCTCGGCAGGGATCGTCTTCGGCTTCGCAGCGTTAAAACCCATTCTGATTCAAGAAGGGGTCTACCGCGATCGATGCTCTAAAGGTGAGCTCGAGCAGGATCAGGAGGTATGTTACGGACAGGAAATTCAGTATGTCTTCCAGGATGTTCTTTTAGAAGTGCTAGCCACTAACACACGGACAGCCTTAATCTAATGTTCACGATTGCTGCTGTCGCGACCAACGTTTGTGCCCTCCCCGTGGGCACAATCCTGGACACATATGGGCCCCATGTCTCCGGAATAATAGGGTGCATATTCCTCACCTTTGGATCTCTTCTTTTTGGTCTTGCTCCAAATCTGCCCTTCGATGCGTATGTTCCAGGGTATCTTTTTTTGTCTTTGGGCGGTCCGTTTGTCTTCATCTCGTCGTTCCACCTTTCAAATACATTCCCCACTCACTCTGGGCTTATCCTATCGTCGTTGACAGGCGCATTTGACGCCTCCAGTGCCGTATTTCTAATCTTCCGCCTTATAAATGAGACGACTGATGGCCGATTCACATCCCGGCACTTCTTTTTGGTTTACTTGATCGTCCCGCTTTTTATATTTGCGGCGCAGCTAACCATCATGCCCGTGACATCATACAAAACTACCGGAGAGTTGGTTCAGCAAGCAGAGATTCATATTTCCGCTGAACTAAACGATAGGGTTGACGTGGATATCCAAGATCGACATGAAGGCGAACGCCAGCGCAACGACCGCCGCGTCCATCGCCAAAACATAGTTTCCAAGATCCAGGACCTCCTCACAGACGGCGACGATGACCTGTCTGTAATCCACGACCCGGTATTAGGCACAACTAATCTCAATGAATCCAACGCCAATCCCGAGGTCCGTCAAACTCCAAAATTACCAGCCGACACGCACACAACAGGTGGTGTCTGGGGAGCGCTGCATGGGTTGTCTGCCCTGCAGCAGATCAGCTCCGCATGGTTCGTCTTGATTACGCTATTTACGGTACTCCAAATGCTTCGTATCAACTACTTCGTCGCTTCCCTCCGTCAGCAATACGAATATCTCTTTTCATCCGTGGATTCGGCCCGTAAACTTAACGAGTCGTTCGATTTCCTACTTCCTATTGGCGGTCTCATCTCCGTACCGTTTATTGGAACTATCCTCGACATTGCAAGCACACCTTTCGTTCTACTCGTCCTTGTCACCACTGCAACTGTGATCGGAGTATTGGGCTGCATCCCTAACAGCCTCCATGCAGGATATGCGAACATCATTCTGTTCGTCCTCTATCGTCCATTCTACTACACCCTTGTATCCGACTACGCCGCCAAGGTGTTCGGCTTTCAGACTTTCGGGAAAGTCTACGGACTGATTATTTGTCTAGCGGGGCTGGGCAATTTCGCACAGGCGGGGCTTGACGCTCTCACCTTTAAGGTTTTTCATCGGAATCCAGTTCCTGTGAATATTGTTCTTACAATTTTGACGTTTTTCATCGGTACTGCCTTGGTGGGATTTGTTTGGTGGAAAGCAAAGGCCATGGCAGCTGCTGGTTCTGTTGCTGATACTTCAGGGCAAGAAGCCACTCTTGAAAGCGGCACACTGCCTAATGGGAGACATGACAGTAGTGCTACAAGAGACTGGGAACGAGAGCCGTTGCTCCATCGGCGACTGTCGCCTGCGAATCAACATGGCGAGACGCCTTCTTATGGGGTTGCTGACATATCCTAGACACCACAATGTATTGTACTAATTGCATTCTGGTTTAAGACGACAAAAACAAAAAAAAAAGGCATCAGAGGATGATAAGCGAAAATGTTTATATGTCAATATATTAAAGAAATTTTTTATATCTAATATGATTGAGTCTGTATATATTAGCCAAGGATTGAGCCTGAAGACAAATTAAATTAACAACACTAAGCCGCAAATAGCTCAGACCCATTTTTTTCGTCCAGGTAGTTTCTTCATGACTGTCGTTATTCATGTCCATATTACACGGCCTGCTTGTTCCTACTGGGTATGTTTGAGAGCGGGCTGACTGGAAGCTTGCACCAGGCCAGATCAATATGCCACTCGGGATATATGTGCGATGCGACGGATGACGCTGCCTCTGTCTTAGGACACGGCGGGAAATGATGTCCCTTAGTTGGTCAATGTGACTCATCATCCGTATCTCGTTCACACTGGAGGGGCAAGGTTGTGTTGACCATCGGCCAGAAATGTGGTGGAGCTAATTTCGGTATTGAGATAGTGCAATCACTAGAAATCAAATCACAATACTTTTATAATGACGCGAACAACCTCTCCACATCGAGCCACAGATTCTGACCAGGCTGATCACAGGCCGGGTCGTACCAGACGACTAACCTCAGCATAGCTCTAAGTTCAGCCCAACCAGTGAGGTGACAATATTGCGCAGTTTTTCCGAGCATGGTCGTAAACCACTGCCTTTCAGGACGCTGTTCAGCGGCGATACCACCAAGTGTCAATACCCATAATAGCACCACCTGAGCATGGTGATGGGCCCATGTGGTCCTTAAATTCGACATTTCGATAACTCCCTTGAGCAGCGAAGCTAGCTGGGCTAGTGGAGAACTCTGTGCTGGCATAGGGAAAACCACTCCCACGCTATATATAAATCCGGCAAGACGGCACGCTTCGTAAATAATATCGGGGTCTTCGTAAGACGAGAAACCTTCGAGTTGGCTTGCTGTTGGAAGAGACATAAGAGAATAATGGACCAAATTACGCTGGTCCGCGAGCAATGCGTAGTCAGGCTTTCCCGAGCTCCTTTGTAGATCGTCGACAATGTTCATGTACACGCGCATAGAATATATAACGTTCGCTAATTCTTGAGTCCAGCCGATCTGACGTAGGTGGCCCAAATGACGTTCCGCATCTTCAGGGTGATAACCAAGTAAAGTTTGCAGCGACATATTTTTCCGGTGGCCACCAAGGGGGATATAAGAAAAAGTTGGGGGAAGAAGATAAGTGCTTCCGGTTACAAGATCCGAGCTAACTTTGTCAATACCATTCCAAGAACAAGGGGGTTGAGAACTTTAGATAGCTTACAATGACAATATTGGGGCCAATCCTGGGAGTTTGATATTTTCCAAACCACCTCGTAACCTGACCATTTGGACCAGACCTTGCACGTGAATCAGATTAGGCGGAAGAGACCCGTAAACATCAAGCCATTGTAATCGTCGCAATGGTGCGTTAAATGGAGTCTTTCGAAGTCGCTGCTCATCACTGTCATCCGCTATACTGTGTGCCAGGCATACGACGCTTAAAATAACAGCATCACAGACAGCCCGATTTGGATTGCGGACTTCCCTGTTTATCATCTTGATGGTCTCGAATTGACAGAGTTCAAGAAGCTGCTGGTCTCGTGCTCGAAACGAACCTTCAGGGATCCAGCGGTTTAACCACTGCACTCGTTGATGGGAAAGAGACCCAAACAAGAAGGCTGTAAACAGGGTGGGTTCCGACAAGGAAAGAGGGAACCAGCTCGAACTTGCCATGACAGACCCATCTTCAGAATCGGGTGTCAGACCAGGCCACAAGATTGTCAGACCTACAGCAGAGAATGTCAGGAAGGACTCCATCTGAGCCGGGGGGAGGGGGCTGTATTCCAAGTACAAATACGTACAATAATTCTCGCGTGCATGAACAAGATCGGGTGCATATTGGGATGGGTATGTGAGGAAGGGGTCCAGCATGCTGGCACCAAAAGTTTCGATAGATTCTCCGGGCGGTGGCGGGCTTGGACTATCGTTCATTGACGATGCTACAAACTGACTTTCGGTGTAACTGCTGTCGAGTTTGAAAAGGCCGCTGTTGCCACTATGTATGGGGCAAGGATGCGTCACAGAAGAAGTCTGCTGGCTCTCCCAGGTACTGCGTGAGGAGAACCGGATGACTGAAGTGCTATTGGAAGTGTTGGATTCCGGTGAGTGAGGAGAGCCTAGAGATGGGGGCGATGACGGAAATAGCGCTTCCTCTGCGTCAAGTTCGACGGGATGCCCCGGGGAAATGACAGCCTTCTCGTGATTTTCACACAATGAGCTGTCCGACGGATCTGACCGGTCCTTGGTCTGGTCGGAGATCCACTTCCCTACATGAGCGCGGACAAGACGCTGTATATATACTTTCTCACTTTCCGACGAGGGCCTTGCGTTGACGAAATGAATGGCATCAGTTTTGCGCCCAGTGGCGCCTTTATTCGGCGGCATGTCCAACCTCTAACCAGTCAGACGCCCATCAAGAGTAGAAGTATCCAATGAGACGAGAGGGAGCAGATGCTAGGATCAGCATCGTGCTGTCCGCTGAGATACACGAGTGTCGGCCGCAAAAGCTAGACTGGGCGGTATATAGTCGTGGCGAAGGGGGTGGAAAGGGACGAATAAGGGACTTTCCGGCGCAACAGGACGACAATTCGAGTCAATTCGGGGGAGGAGGGGGAAACCGGGAGGTCAATGTTGGCAACCTGGACGCATCTGTGGGAAAAGAAGGAAAGAATGAACGCAACAACAGTATCAGGGAGCGAAGGTAGGTGAGGAGGGGAGAAAGAAAGAGGGCGGCCTAGCCAGAGGAAGACCGACGTGGGAGGCGCTCAGATAGCTAGTTCCCCGTGACCTGGCCAGATGCCTGGTTGATCGCCCTTCAGTTCCGGAATTCTGGCAGCGACACGGTCACCAAACCAGACACTATGAAGTTTAATCCAGAGGGAAGAATCCATGGATTAGATGACATAATTTGCGGCTGTCAGCTCACCATGGATCGTTTAGATGGGCTGAAGTCAGTATAGCAAGCAATCAGGGATTTTTTTGTTTTTTTGCTTTTTGCTCTGTCTTTTTCTGTTTTTCTCTAACTTTAATTTTCTTTTTCTGCTCAGGTTTTCATATATCCCCCTTTTCTTTTTCTTTTTCTTTTTTGTTTTTTAGAAAATTTTTAATTTATATATATATATATATATATTTGGGATATTCCTTTTTTCATTCCCAATCTCTTAATTGCTCTTTTCTACCCGCCCTCCGTATTGACATCTGACTATCATCGCCTTAAATCCAGGTCCGAGGGCGGAAGGGCCACAAAAAATTGACAGGTCGAATTCTCGACAACATAGTTTGTCAAACCCAAATACTGTTCTCTAAATTACCTGGCGTTGGATCTGTCAGAAATGAGAGGTCTCATGGTCATAATTCTGCGTGAGAACATTGTGATATTGACTGAGTTCTGCCCATCGTCCCACCTTTTAGGTGTGGTCATAAGTACTCTGCATGTGATATATACCGCTGCTGTGGATGGCTTCCATGGGGGCCAAAAAAAGGATGGAAAGTGTATACTGTACTTATTAAAAACATATTTCAAAAAAAAAAAAAAAAAAAAAGCCACACATTAATCAATCTCAATCAGGGGATATTTCCCCCCTTCCCCAGACTCCGGGTCATAATATTGTTCCAACGCGTTCTCGACCGCCGCCATATATCCCAAGACCTTCTCTTCCTGCCATCTGCGGCCCACCACCTGAATGGCTGTTGGGAGACCCGCCATCTTAACCGCATCGTAGTGCATCCAGGCCCCGCGGGCAATGGCATGGTCTGTGCCCAGTTGCTTCAGTACCTTCTTGTACGGGGCGTAGAGTGCATCCTTCTTGGCGTCGACGTGGGAAACGGGGAGGACACCAGCGGAGTAGTCGAGCAGATTCCAGAGGAAGGTGTATCCACAGGAGGACACTGCATCGTGCATGGCCTTGTGGGGGAGCGCGGGAGTGGCGTTGACAGGGCACAGAATGAAATCGTAGTTTTGAGACTCCTCATCCCACCACGCATGCCAGGTGGCACGGAAGGATTCACGCTTAGCGACCAGCTTCCATTGATCAGCTGCAGACTTGGGTCCAAAGGTGCGGATCATCGCCGCCCATGTTGGATCTCGCCTAATATACCGTACGTAGAAATAGTACATGTAGCGAAGAAAGCGGGGGAGGTTAGCGATTCGGGTGAGTTGGTCTGCCCCGGGATCAGAGGGTTCAAAGCTGTGAAGATGCGAGTTGAAAGTCACGCAGCCATCGGAGTTGAGGAGTTGGGAGGCAAGATGAAGGCCGGTGAGGGGATCAGCGTTTGTGGGAGGAGTGATTTCAGAGACAGTATGACCAGCCGCAGTAAGTGCAGCTACTGTGGTGGAAATGGCGCGTTCAATGGCCGGGGTAGGAGGCACAACTCCTAGAAGAAGTCAGACATGTTCTTTTAGTATAATTTGAGAAGGCTTACCATCGCTCATCATCAATCCGATACGTAATTTCTTGCTCTTGGCTTCGCTCTCCTCTTCGTCACGCCATACGATAGGGTGGACAGTGTAATCATATTTCCAAGGCTTCATGTCGATGATGGCCTTGCTGAAATAGGTAAGGTCGTTTAGGGTACGAGCCATGGGGCTAAATACGCTGGCAACTCCTTCCTGGCCTGCCATGCTGGTGTTGACACCGGCTTTAGGCCAACGACCCGTGCTGCAGCGCAGGGAATAGACACCGCTCCAGGCTGCCGGAACGCGGACAGAGCCTGCAACGTCGGATCCGATACCGATACGGCCACCTAAAGCCAGTAAAGCACCCTCACCACCGGTCGAGCCTCCTGGCGAGTACTCGGGAACGTGAGGGTTCCGACAATGGCCCCAGAGGGCATTCGCAGATTCGAAAGAGAGAAGGGTTACCGGCAGCGCCGTCTTAGCGTAGGGTACAGCGCCTAGTGGAAAAAGTCAGGATACCAACAAACTCCATATTGGAGACACACTGACCGGCATCTTTCAATAATCTCACCATAGGGCCATCCTCTTTGTAAGGCTTCTGAGCAAGTCGTGTATACCCGAGAGAGATATCAAACCCTTTGATCTGCACAGAGTCCTTCAAAGAGACAGGCACACCTGCCAGAGGACCCTTGAGGTTTACTTCTGACTGAGCCCATGACTCGGCCTCAGGAAGGAGAAGTTCGGTGACACAGTTTGTTTTCTCCTGGGCCTTAACAGCGACTTTGCCATAGGTGCGGACTACATCAGTTGCGGAAAGTGAGGAGTTCTGGACCTCTTGCACCAGTTCTTCTATTGGCTTGTTGATGATAGACTTGTCAAACGCTGTGAAGGAAGTATGGTAAGCTGTTGGGAGAGAAGCAAAACGGTTAGCTCGCTCTCTTCTTTTGGAGTCTCTGTATAACGTCAGTTTCTATAGACGGCAGCAACGGGGCATGCGCTGGTAGCTCGAAAATGCTAGCAGAGGAAACTGGGCCCGCCGGGGTGGGGGGCCTACCGAACGCGACGATACGTGAAATAGTCAAATGGAGGAAGCATTGTGACCTATGGCTTGCGCCGAAGAATCAGAGAGACAGGCAGGCGTAATCAAAAGAAAAAGAGCACGCGGGAATTTGGGGCTGGTAGCTCCTTTTATTGCGGGGGAGGACCACAACACGTGCGGAGTAGAGATAAGACCCGCTAGTAAGCGCTGGTTGGTCGCGATCCAAACGATGCTTAAAATGCCCCAATACTGTAGTACCATTCAACTAGGGTAAAGATTTGAAATTGCTCAGTATTTTCTCATAGAATTTTTTTTTTTTTTTTTTTTTTTTTTTTTTTTTTTTTTTTTTTTTTTATTTTTTTTTTTTGTATTTGCTTTGCTTTTGGAAGCAGAAATTTGGAGTAGCAACTACATCGGAAAGTGATGTGAGAGCATCCACTGTACGACACTTCTCTTCGTGGTTGCCGACAACCGGGATCTCAGTTGTCCTATTCGGGCAAGTCTATGCGGAGAGCTAGAGCGGACAACAACCCGCTTCAGTCAACTATCTGCTCCTTGCTTCGGGCCAGTTACGGAGTAATGAAGCCTGCCGTCAAATAATTAAACAGATATAACTAGAACATCAGATGACACACGAGATGATAGTGGCCACACGCCTTATTAGTCAGACAACAACATGACTACCCAAAAAGGCTGCTGTTCGATCCCTTCAGCTGGGGATAGTTCATGGGTTTACGTAATGGATTTTGGAGACAGAATTGATGATAATGATAATAGGAGTTTCATATACAGAAGAAGCAAGAGCTCGCGGGGTATTTCCAATTAGAAGTCCACTCCTTAACGCCGCAACAATAATCGAGACACCGGATCCAGTCAATGCAGCCAGTTCACCAAACCCATAATTATCTGCGCTTCAACGCTTATTTATTTGCAACCATCACTCATGCTTGTTTTTCTACTTGTCAACCCTCAAGCCTGCCATTGAGCAGTTATTAGGAAGAACTCTATGACTGACCTGAGGGCTTGCGCAACCAATCATGGGTTCCGAACCACCAGAGGACGACCGCCACCGCAATAATAAGAAGTATAATTGCAACAACAGTAAAAACTCCACAGATGATAGATCGGCGTCTCTTGCGACGCTGATTCTGAATCCAGTTATCCCTGGACAAACTATGACATTAGCAAAAGAACTGAGTTACATTGACAAAAATGAGATTTGACCATGGGGTAGGGTTTCTCATACGAAATATATGCTGTTTCTTTGCTTCCCGTAGCTTTTGCTTGCTCGTCTAGATGGATGGCACGCGAGAATCGTCGCCAGAATTCTGGATCTCGAACAAGAGCCATACCCCCTTGTTTACGTGTTGGGGGACATCAAAGTCTGGTATGCAGTGTTCATTGGATAGCTGTGTTGTTGATATCTTTATCGGTTTGTATTCGGGGTAATATTTATGGTCTATGGTGAGGATGATGGCTGGCCACGACAAATGGAATTGTTGGTGCCAGTTCAGAGTCACCTGGTGTAAAGTGCTTTGTAAGGAGGGCAAAAAAAAAAAAATTAAACAAATAAAAAAAATAATATAAAGAGAAAGAGAATCGACAGGAGCTAACAAGCTAAACAAAGGTTTGATGTAGAGCTAGCTGAGGTGATAGATAAGCTGCAGCAAAGCGCATCAGCTATCGCAGCAGTGCGACGGCCGAGAGAAGAACCACAGAGACAAGAACAAGAACACACATGGCAACAAAAACATAATAAACAACCATGCACTGCCCCATTCCTATTATCCTATCTGTTACGTCGAGCGAGGCAACTCGGAATTCCAAACAACCCTGGCGGGAATGACCCAGTAACCTGGAATCCAGGTTTCAGCCAATTATTCACTTAAGTAATGGAGCATGGTTGCTGAGATTCCTGCAGAACTTTGTAAAGTATGTTATTCTAATATGGTATGTATTACGTTGTTTCTAGGACCACGGTCGTAAATAAAAACAATATCTAACTGGGGTGTGAAGAATTAACCACTTGTTTGGATATGGAGTTACTTATACAAATAAATAGCAAACTTTAACTTATGGATGCTAATAATAGATGTTTATAAATTAGTATTAACATCAAAATGCACATTTATCCTTCCCTTCTCCCTACACAATCTCCAATTGTTATAATTAACCTTCGTGTGATTCTCCAATATCTGTTGCGAACTCCCATTTAAGGCCACATTTAACATGAAGCCTGCAAAAGCACCCGGCTTTATTGATGGTACCAATCCAGAGATGAATGCCCAAAGGTTTAACTGTGGAGAAAGAACCATGCCTGGTCGCAGAGTATATGTCTCAATAGTGTAATCAAGTTTCTTACCAAAAGACAGGATCTTGTTCTCTGCCCCTAAGATTAGATAGTATCCGTCCACGTTCCAAGACCGTCGGATCTCTTTCAGCAGCTATGCTGCTGCAGAAGACGAATCGGAACTTGGGGCCTCTGTTCACCGAGGCCATATGCTCACTGAATGCTTTGATGATAGATAAGGTATACTCCACGTGGATTTTTCTTGCTACATCGTTGCCTGGCACAACTGCTTTTCCAAGAGTCCTGTAATACTCCCAGTTAGTACTCCAGGCTTTTGGAATACAGAGAAAGAAGACTACCATATGCGTGCCTCCGCTACTTACAGGTCTTGTAACTCTGGTTCAGGGTAGGATTAGAAATCATCGACAATCCGAACCGTCGGCTTTGGATTACTGGAAACCGCAGCGGGAAGAACACGATGGAATAGATTGGCAATGGACGTGATGGATGTGTTCTGTAGACATTGCTCGAGGACTTTGCGGCCAACGAAGCTTGTCGAGCCCGTTAGGATGACTTTCATTAGTCCATGTAGAAGGTTTTGTAATGAATGACTTACGGGTCATAGCCATCGTATTGACTTATACCCGGAAGTAATTGGACATATCGGTGTTGAGATGGGACAGATACGGAGCCTGTCGATAATAGGTGTCAGAATAGGCAGATATACTAGTACCACATCCAATTATAACAGTGCTACTTTTTGTGGTGTAGTGGTAAAACTGGCAATAGCTAACGATGGATTGACAATGCATGCCCACTTATGATTGAACTCCTTTGGTCCTTCTGCAATCATCTCCATCCTCTCATTATTCGAGTAAGACGATGTTCCCGCTGACTTAGGCGTCGTTCTAATAAGCTCCCTCCTATTTATAATAGCGGCTCCCTAATATAAACATGCAGTGGTATTCTTAATTGCTCTTTGAAGTATAGACGGCATCTAATTCAGCAAGTAAAGGTCTTCAGCCCGACAGTGGACGACGTTTGAATGTACTACAGTGAAGTGTGCCTCTATATGGCTAGGTATTTACTCCGTACGAGGGAATGATCCAGCATAAAGAGTTAGCACCAGATCTTTACATACCTACTTTGACCTAGCTAAAACCTAAGAAAGTATAATTGGTGCTCATTAAACTTTATTATGTAATTATATAATTTCTGTCTTAGGCTGCCTATATTTCCCGCGAGCTGTATGCTGTCTGCGGTGCTTGCTCTAAGCCTGCCTCTCCCTTTTCTCAGCATTACAGGTAGTAGGTGGGTTCTTATAAAGTTGGCTAAATTAAACTAGATATAGTAGCCTGATTGGGGTCGGCTTTCTATCTATTAACCCCGGTTCGCAATTTGGAATTAGACGAGTCGCTGGATCACTCACTCCACAAGATGTGGTCTAAATATTCATTGATTTCTTGCCTAGATGCAGAGGACAGGCTAGCATATGTCATGTTCATACTAGGCATTCCTGTACGAAACTCAGACAGAGAAATCACATAGAAACCAAAAGCCTTCCACAGCCTATTTTTTTTTTTTTTTTTTTAAGTATATGATCAGTAGTCGAGGACATGTAAATATCAAATATCTAGATTTTCTTTATCAGCAGCGATGGAGAACTTTCAGAGACCTGTCTTGAATAGGTATAGATGATTTTTTGCACTTGAAGTATTCTTACGAAAGGATGAAACTCATCACTGAATTGAGAAATAGAGAATAGCCTAAGAGAAAAACGATAATATGCATTCATTACATGGAGTAGCACAGAACCAGGATTAAAGTGTAGATTTAATTGTTATAGACCGTGTGGTGTAGTAGTATACCTCCCTATTCTGACACACCACTGTAATTAATTATATATATGTTGATTACACGCTGAACCTCCATAGATATATTTTCTAGACTAACCTGCGGAGTCTTGCCTTGGGGATCGCTCCTCTTTGGGCTACCGTCTAGTTCTTAAGAAAAAGTGGAAAATGATCAGACCAGGATTCGGACGTTGGTCACTGGAGCGAATACGTCTCTTAATTGTCAGACATATGAGAGCTTGAATATTCTCACGTATCGATGATTATTGTTGTGTGTTTTGACCCCACTTCAGAATCCCCACAGAATTGTCAGTTATTCGGCTAGTCCCGAAGAGGAAATAGAGTACGATTGGCAAAAAGGTCTTATTTTGAATGGATTGAGCTGGTTGGGTTCTTCTTGATTATATTCTTGATCTTTATTTTGCTGTGTGCTCCGTGTGTGGGGGAGGATACCCCGATTCGCATGATTTCAGTCCACCAACGGCCATATTATTTGATAAGAATCAACCACGTCATGACTCTTATTTCACACGATGCCCAATATGAACTAGCTTTATTCTGACAACTCTCTAAACTACTTAGAGTATCTTTAGCTCACCGGAACCTTATTCAACGCCTCTTACCATTGAACATTTGTTCTATGGAGCTTTCGGATGTCCATGGGACTTGACCCATGGAGAGCAAGCTTACTCGCTTCCTCGCCTCCTGCCAGACCACGGTGATCTGTTGGAATCGAAAACCAATACTTCTTCTCTAGCTGATCTAAGGATAATGGGACATCCACCCTGACATTCCATCTAACCCTATCTTTGAGCTTCGGTGACTGCTTAAATACGGGGAAACACGTAGCTCCTCACTGCACTTCATGTGTCTAGTTCCTACATTTAGCATCACAATAAATCATTTCTGTTGTACCGGCTTTGGTGTCCATATACCTAATCATTTTAATATCGTTTTTAATATCACCTCCATACACAAAAGCATTCTGCTGGTCCAAAGTCTTTCGGGAGTTTGTCCATATTTGCTCACCAGATACTTGAGCCAACAAAAGCTTCCCCTGGCTCAGTCGAGGTTGTACAAAATGAGAAGGCTCAGATCAAACAGATACCCTTAAAATATTGAAAAGCCACGGAACAATACGACTAATATTAGTGCACTTGTGTAGCACAATGCAGTTGGTTGGCTCCCGACTGCTCGGGATCGATAGCAGGATGCATCGAAGGACATCAGAAAGCAAGCTTAAAGTACTGCGAGAGCTACGTACGGAGATGAAAGGCCAGTTAGTCAGGTAAGATATGGTGAATTGAGCACAGCTGCAGCGCCTGGCTTGGATAGGTGCACTTACCTAAGTCATTAAGAATAATGATAGACGAATAAACATAAGACGGACGCAAACTTTGGCCTCTTATAAGGTCACATTTGATTTGTAGCTGGTGACATAAAAACTTTCATAAGAACAGCTCAAGCATGATATCTAGGTAGCCTCGTGGTACACCTGAGACAGCGTGAAATTTCCAACCTAGCTGGCAGTCAAGCCAGGGATCAGTACGTGTTATCCAATTACCAGGGACAATTTTTTCCTTTTTTTTTTTCCACCTTGTTCATGAGTGTCGCCCTCGGTCAGTCCCACACGCTCGTGGCGTTGCAGGTCAATCAACCATGATCTATCTGGCTACTAATTGTGCCTTTAACAATTAATATGATGTATCATTCGAGGGATGTATGTTGGTAAGTCTTGGAAGTATTGATGGGCGGCTGTTGGAGACCGTGAATATTGAGGCAAAGGAGCACTTGGATAGCCTCTGCTGTCTCATTGTAGAGCAATGGACTAAGGGAGCTGAGCAAATTCTATTCAGTGACAGTTCAATTTCACTTATATGCTACAAGGAACTTTTAGCTTTATATCATTTATAGTGATTATAGGGAGGAAATGCCACAGGTGGGTGTTATTATTAAATAGCAGTACATAACAGCAGTGAGTATTAGGATTAAGTGAATACTAGGATTAAGATATTCATATCTGACAATACTATAGTATGTAGTTATCTTTCCCTACCTACTCTTATTTGGTGTCTTATCTGATATAGATCCCGACTATTTTTCTATTATATTAATATTCAGGCCTATTAATCGCCACTTGACTTTCATTTTTCCAAGCTGTCAATATAAAAATTGCATACCACAATTACGGCTTCCCTAGAGCCCATGATTTTTAGGTGCCCGAATGGTAGTTTTCTGAATCAACAACATCTAACTTCATCTTCCCTCGGGAATTAACCCAAGACCCAGAACGATGATTGACCAGGACCTGATAAATAGCTCCTGCTGGAACGAATTGAGCCTCTTTCCATAAAGGGGCCGGTTACGGAAAAGAGGCGTTCGGTTGGATCGAAGCCTACGAGTCGTCTTGCAAATTCATCGTTAGAAGAGCCTATTCAGCTTCCTCTAATCCTCTGCTGATGGGGTGTCTACACTTCTGACCCAGCATTCGAAAAAGTTCGGTTTCACAACTGTTGAAATAGTCCTACGCAGTCCATCCGTGCCCATACACCAGCGATCATTTCCAAGGTCGATCATTATGAACAACCGCACCCTGGGAAAGTTTCATATAGCAAGCGATCAGCCATGTCAAGAATGGTGTTTTAGGGCTGCGATTGGGTAGCTGCTGCTACCGGTCTCCTGCAATCCGGGCAGAAAGTGTCGCATTGGACACAATCGACTAATGGAGGAGACAAAATTTATTTAGATAAGGTACTGGTAAGGGCAATTGGGATCATCCAGTCGAGAAACGTATGGGTGTGCACGTAATGGAGGCGCTGAACCAAGGCCATTGCCAAACGGTTGCGCTTCCGTTGGCTCCTGCTGGAACCAGTGCAACCCCGTTGTCTTCCCATGGCGGAGGTTCGACGGGATCACAAGTCCATTAAAGCAGTCTATGGTTTGGGATCAAGCTCATTGTCCTCGACCAGCCAGGCCACTGGCTGGAACCTGATGATGGGCCCTAACCCACTTACAGGAAGCCTTCGTCCCATTTAATACCAAAGTAAACGCCCATTTTGGTGACCGACTGATACGAGAACTAGAAGCGCTTCGTGTCGATGGCGTCGTCACCAGAAACGACAGGTTGGTCACTGCGGTAGCCGGGATGTATACTCTCTTTGGAGTGCCCTCTTCCCAAGGGCTGCAATGCCGATCTAGACACACTGCACCCATGTGGCAAGATCCACTACCGCTGAGAGTCTGAACGGTGACAATGCTATTATGAAAATCTTGGCTAATGCCCAGCCGCCAGGAGGGTCAGCTCACATACTGCTTGTCCTTGACATAACTGGATTCTTCCCCAAACAGCAGCCTGGAACTCAGATCTCCAAGCCGTTGGGTGCAAGATGGGATGGCGGGTACTCCTGATCCCAACAAGGATCATTACATAGAAGTTCCCTAGCCTAGAATGCCAACAGTTGTCAGCAGCCGCTCTCTAGATTGAGCACTTGATCGCACCTATTTCACTGCCGGCAGGACGAAGGGGTTTCCCTCGTCGGTGCGGTAGACGCCGCACATCAAATCAGCTTCCATGGGACTTTGATCATGGTGAAACAGCGCTTGCAGGGTGTTTAGGCTCTCTGTGCATCAACTCTGTTACCTTGTGAACTCACCCCACGAGTAGAAAACGAATCTAGCTCCAGGTCCGAAAGATCATGCAATGGGGACCCTGCCATCTTGCGACTTTCTTCCCCCCCCGCGCCTCTTCTTTTTTAACCCAATAGAAGAAGCGAACTACACCTGTTTGTCTGCACAGTCATTCGGTCGGTTGATCAGTACCATCCATTACCCTTGCTGTCACCTCACCACTGAATATTAGAGTTGGCACAGTGTTTTAGTGAGGCCTTTAAATAGTTACAAGGACCTAAGCCAGCAACTATTTACTCATAGCCTTATAATTCCCGACCAAGCGTATAAAATAGTAAACAAGATTGGTCTCAATATTCGGCAAGATGCCAATATATCAGACGATTTGTCTAGGTTACCTAAGGCCGAGTGCTCTTTAGTCTAGTGGAATTTTATGGATACGAGAAACTCTAAAGCCAGTTAACTTGTACAAACGCTGAGAAATTGACAAAAGACTTGCAAGGTATTTAGAACACCTCGGAACAGCTTTAGGTGAGCTCAAAAATTAAAGTCTGTACACATGAAGAACTTAGTCATGGACACATGGGAATTACCTGCATATACTTTGGATGAATGGGCTATAATGAAGCAACTGCTAGAGTAGGGGGGAGGAATAAATTTGTGAATGGAGGGGATACTGAAAAGGACGTCACAATAATCACATACATGGATACAAATGCTGGCAGAAAGAGTGGCCTTATAGAAGTGTACCTTCAGCAGTACTACGGCGCACTTTTTGAGCCCCATCTGCTACAAAGACTCGGAACTGTCGATGCGCGGCTACTCGAGACTCTTAATATCGGGGCCAATATATGCATTCTTCAGATGTGGGCCTAGACAGGTAGTGAAAAGGAACACACCAATCGCCTCTGCCATGGTATAGTTCAACAATGGACTAAGGGAGAAGAGACTTATTTAGTAATGCTTCTACTTCACTTGGATAGTATTAAGAGCTTTCAGCTGTGCAATATTCCTAGTGATGTTTCTTGTTAAAGTAATATTATTATAAGATAGTAAAAGAGTTGATTCATCGAATACACTAATATCCAACCATGTCAATAAACATACTGTCTATATGCACCCCGAACAATAAGAGATCTAAATGCAGACAACCCCCGAGCATCCAACGAAATCAACCTTTCGTATTCATATACGTCTTCCTAAACAGCTCTGCGAATCGATCCACCTCTGCCCTCACCCACGGCATTGCATGATGATAATCCACCTCGTACAGCGTTGCCGTCTTGGGGTCATAGTACGTCGCCAATTGATGCTGTCCCAACATGAGAAACATATCCTTGAGCCCATGAACATGTAGCGTAGGCGTGCGCACTAGCTCCGAGGACTCCGCACCTTCTATAAGTATTAGCCATTCGAATCAATCCACCCCAGGCTATACAAAACAAAAACAGGATAAGGATATGAACATACGACTCATCTCCGACTCCATCGGCGCCCCACCCCCCATACACATCACACCAAATCGCAAGTCAAATTCCCGAGGGATACTCTCACCCTTTGCTTTCCTCCGTTGCTGATCAAGCAGTAACCCACCCGCCACGCGAGTCCCTTGACTGAATCCCATCACCCCGACCCAATCCCCTCCTGCGCCCTTGGCTTCGATTAATTTCCACACACGCGAGATCCCGTTCTCGTCCCGATTGCCGAATCCGCCCCCATCAGGGAGCTCCTGGCCTGTGTCATCGACCGTGAACCAGGAATGGTAGGGCCCGTGGCCTCGGAATGCGGGGAGGACGCCAGGGCCGGCGCTGCGATCGAACGGGCCGTCGAAGAACACGAATTCGAATTCGTTGGCGAGAAGCTCGGATAGCTGTGCGCTTTGGATGCTGAAGATCGACGAGGTTGAGCCGCCGCCGTGGAAACAGGCTATTCGTGGCAGATTGCGCATTTTGGTAGTAGGTTTGGGTGGAATGGGGGACTGGAAGACGGGCTGAATGTAATCGTGTTGAAATTCTCCCGAAATGCGGGGTGGTCACATGAGCTAACATTTACATATACCAACCGAGTAAATAAATACTTTTGATAACTATCTATCCTGCAGTTTTAGAATTATTTGATTGTTTATCTACTGGCTGGATTTGTAATCTACAGCAACGAATCTATCCCCACATACCTAATGTGTAAGATTACCCCACTTCAAGCCGCTTCATTAACATATCTTAGACAAGAGAAAGGAATAAAAAGAAAACGAAAAAAAAGTCATAATAATGCCCAAAGTCTTAATAACAGGCGGCTCCGGCAAGGCTGGCCAGAGCATAATCACCCACCTCCTATCCACAAACCACAAGGTTCTAAACCTGGACCTCCAACCCTTACCCACACCATTAAACGAAAAAGTACATACCATACGCATTGACCTGACCGACACCGGCCAAGTCTTTTCGGCCATGCACTCGCATTTCATCTTCTCCGAGCCCTTCCATGAACCCACGCGGGAAACACCCGACGCGGTGATCCATCTAGCTGGGTACGCGCGCAATATGATGGTTCCGGACAACGAGACATTCCGAGGCAATGTACTATCCACGTATAACGTTGTGGAAGCCGCATGCCGAGCAGGAGTGAAGAAGATTGTTCTGGCTGGATCAATCTGCGCGTATGGTGTAACGTATGCGGACGGGGATGTGGACTTCCCGTCTTTTCCCGTTGAGGAGTCTGTCGATGTTAATCCGATGGATGTGTATGGGATGTCCAAGGTATGTGTGGAGAATGTTGGACGGAGTTTCGCGAGACGGTTTGGCGTCGATGTTTATGTGCTTCGGCTTGGGGCGATTATCACGGAGGATGAGTTCCAGAGGAGGTTCCATGAGTATGTCTCTCGTCCGGAGGAGTTCAAGGTCCATGGGTGGTCGTATACGGATGCGAAGGATATGGGCGTGATGTTTGAACGGTGTCTATGCACGGATGGATTGGGGTTTCAGGTGTTTAACGCGGTGAACGATGAGATGACCAATGACGCACAGACAATGGCGTTCTTGCGGACTCAGTGTCCGGGTGTGCCGATTACGAGGGAGATGGGACAGAGAGAGGCGCCGATTAGTAATAGGAAAATGAAAGATTTGCTAGGATTTAGACAGCGGGGGTCTTGGAGAGATCTCTATCAAGAAGAATAGTGTTGTTGAGGTTACGGGATCGTCCTGTATATATAGCATGAGTGATATTGATCAACTGAGGATATCATAAGTCAAATACGATTATCTCTAGTGACGATGCCTGGATATAACTCAAAGTCTGCTAGTTTTGAATATTGAGATTGAGACAAGCCAAAATACTTTTATACACTTTCATATATCAAACAACAAGCTTCAGAATCATTATAGAAAGGCTCTAATTCTGAAGCTTAGCAACCAACTGATCTCCCAAATCCCTGATACTCTCCTCGAATGCGCCAGCGTCCTGTGCCGTCCAGTCGGCATCACCTGGCACGGCATCTGGGCCCATGAATCCAATATAGAGAACATCGTTCTCGCTGTGGCCATTGTCGCCAGTGATACCACCGCCGGGATAGCACGGCTTGGCCAGAGAGATCGAAGCCTCACCGGTGGAGTCTTCGTCGTTGGTATCGCCCCAGATACCATAGTGCTGACCGATTAGTTAGTATGAAACCTCATACAGGCGACCTATATATCATACAAGCTGGTCGCCACAAACCACAGCCATCACACTGAGTGGCTCCATGCCATACTCCTGGGGATTAAAGGCCTCGTTACCGAACACGACGTATGGATGGATGTTAGCATCCAGCTCATCGATCCCATACTGATTCAGTAATCCCTTGAACGATGTCTGGTTCTGTCCTGTTGGATCGTCGCCGCAGGCACCTCCGCTGTTGTTGACTCCATCGCAGTCAACATCCATGTTAGCATATTGTCCGCCGTTGCCGGAGCTGTGCACGAAGATAGCCCCGTCGATGTCACCACAATAGGTGAAGGAGTTGTCGCCGCCGATTCCGTCGGTGAATCCCTCAGCGAGCTTGGAGCTGCAGTCACCAGACTGAGTTGTTAGTCAGATTACCACTGCTTGGTAGGTAAATGTATGCACGTACCTTGTGGTTGTCGTAGATATCTCTCAGGTTATCAGGAACATCGTAGGCTGAGATTAGCCTAACGAGGAGGGAAAGCAGAATGAAAAAGTACATTTTGAAGTACCTCGATGAATGAAAAATCCTTGCTTGTCTGCCTTCATCTGGGGCAGAGAGGATCTATATATCCTCTCTTCCAGCAAAATGATTTCGAAACTCTTACGTCTGAGATCCATGGAACCAGATCACATCATAAAATTTATGCGGATACCCAATCATCATGGTGTAGTCATGACCATCGTGAATCGCCTAATTAACTTTGTGAGCTTGACGAAGTCAGCCGGATATTGGGACCGATTGAAGGAAACAAGTAGGCGTAGGAAAGAAGGAGGGAACTGAGTGTCGCTAAATTGCTGAGGGTCATTTCTACTTGAATTCACTGATTCGGAAAGTGTTCAGCTCTGCTCCTGCATTTTATTGTTTCAAGATTTCCAGTTGCGGTATAGATTAGGAGTACAGGGTAAGATATCATTGTATTTGCTGCTTTTATTCTAGGTAATTCTGTCCTATTCTGTGGATGTCATGAGAGCTTATACTCCAATTGGTCGGAATACAGCTTGTATGGACATATGGAACTAGGCACAAGTTTATCATCATCCTTGGACAACAAGCACCTATTAGCGAGGGCATCGTGATACGCGATGCAGACATCACTACTCCCATCCACGATGCAGAGCGCAATGGTAAGGCAAAATGTGGGTTGCGGATTATTAGGATATCCTGTAGAATAACTACTATAGCTGAGGGATGTGAAATCTTACCAAGTAGATTTGACGTCTGGGATGCCTTATTAAACCAAGGTTTGTCTATTCGGTGATAGTGGAGAGATAAACAGAGTAACAATGGAATAAGCTATCCAAGGAGTTGAACATAAGAGAGGAGTTAATTACTAAAAATTTTCCGTTACTTTTAAGTTACGTGCATTGCCATTGAAATAAACCGACGAATGACCCTTGGTTTGGTCACTATGAGGGAGTAGGGTCTAGATCTGGCGATAGTATTCCATTCAAATGCTAAGAGGCATTACTGAGCGCTACTCCATGGTAGACCTTACAGAGTAAATACAAACAAATTTCTGATATACACTCATAATTTTACTAAACCTCCCGCTAAACCATCTCCTTATGAGTCGCCTCAGTAGTCTTCTCCTCAACCACGCTTTGCTGTCGATTTCGATGCCGCTTAATTTCCTCCCCAAACTTGTCTGGGATTTCATGCGACTTCCACGCCTTCACATTCGAGTCAAACATCTCGTCAATCTCTTCCAGCGACCGACGCGCTGTCTCGGGATACATGAAGAATACATGGAACGTCATCACAGTGCAAAACACACCAAAGATAATGTACGTCTTCCACTTGATATTGGTGAACGCAGGTGCCACAAAGTACGCCAATGCGAAGTTGAAGATCCAGTTCCCGGCCGCTGCGAGACCGACTCCCTTGGCACGGTACTTCAGTGGGAATACCTCTGAAGCGTATATCCATGCTGCCGGAGCCTAGGATAGGTTAGTAGAGTTCTCATTGTTCAAAGGAGAAAGAATCGGACATACCCAGGTAAATCCGTAAACACCGACAAAGATATACGAGCAGGCAATCACGCCCTTGCCAGCAGAGCCCTTAATTTCCCATCGCAAATTGGCGTTCCCGTCGATCGAGTCGACCGGATTGCCGTATGAGGCCATAATACCGGCAATGGCGAAATGAAGAGCCATGCACAGAACGGATCCACTGAGGAGTAGTAACCGGCGTCCAATGCGGTCGATATACGGGAGCATCACACCGGTTGTGAGCAGGAAAATCACATACTGAATAGCAGAGGAATAGAGGGCAGTGTCCCCGGACTGCAGGGGTTAGCTGGTGATTACAAAGGCAGACGAGACTTACCATGTTCGCCATCTGGAAAATATAAATGACATAGTACATGGCGACGTTTCCTCCCAACAGCTGCTGCCACACCTGAACACTAACGCCACAGAGTGTCCGCTTCCACATCTGTGGACCGAACAAGGCAAAGATCGAAATATCCTTTGCCTCATGTGCGATACGCGCTGCTTCCTGTACCTCCTCGAATTCAACCTGTACGACGGGGTTGCTGCGATCGCCACGTCCATGCAACATAGCCAACGTATCCAAAGACTCCTCCCAGCGTTCCTTAATAGCCAGCCATCGAGGAGATTCTGGGAAGAAGGGGAGAGCAAGCAGAAGGACTAGACCTGGCACGGCCTGAATGCTCCAGGCGACACGGAAAGAGGAAGGACCAGAAATACCCTGACCGCAGCCATACGAGATGAGATACATGATGAGGATACCCCATTCGATGGCCCACTGCTGGATGCCGACGATACGACCGCGAATTCGGGCAGGGGACAGCTCAGCCAGATACACGCAGACTTGCGATGAAGTGATACCGACTGAATGGATTAGCGTGCGATGTATGACTAGGGGACGCTAAATGCATACCGGAAAGACCGCTGATAACTCGGCCGGCTACTAAATGTGTCACATTCTGAGCACTACACTGGATGATGGCACCAATGATCCATATAATACAGGCAACTATTAACGACATACGCCGACCGACGTGGTCAGACAGAAACCCAGCACCAATAGCACCGGCGAATGATCCAGCGGACATGGAAGCAGTAATCTTTTCCTGTCAGCTAGTTAATACAAAGCAGAGGGTTGCTGATATACGTACACCGCCCTGGAGATTCGAGTCCGGACTACTGAAGTAGTCGAGGTATTGCTTGGTGCCAATCCAGGCACTCATGGAGCTATACGCAGCGTCAGTACGTACTCAGCCACAAGAAGCGACCAAAACATACCTAACATCGAAACCGAAGAGAGCACCGCCAATGGTGCCAAAGGCAGCGAGGACTAGAGACTATGAGTACAGAAACTTTAATTCCGGCATATAACCACATACCGTAGATGTTCGATATCCGATACATAATGGCACGTCCAGCTTACAATCGTTGATCACAAGACTCTCAGTGCAGGGGAGCTCCCCCGGGCCTTTTATATAAAAAGAAATCATACCGAAAGGCACGCGCTTGATCTGGCACCTACAGAGCTGTGCCAGAAGGATCCGCGAGTGGTGCAAGACAGGTATGGTGCTGGGCCGGTTGTGCAACTAGAACAAGAAAAGATCGACCTGGAGGGAATGTGGAGGTCCGGAGAGACATGGAGAGATGGAGAAGCGAGCAAATCAAGGGCTCAAGGGCTAGACTGCCGTGTCTCGTCAGCGGAACACGCCCCAGCTGGTTGATTGCAGAGACGGAGATTTTCCCAGTTTGTGTTGGCGCACCGGATGAATGTCGATTTAGCCGAGATGATTGCAAGACAACAAGATGTGGGTATAGAAGAGGATAAGCATGACTAGGAATTAGCGATAAGGTATCTGATGACTGGGACAGATGAAATAATTCATGTTGCCGGTAGACAGCAGACGATACTAGAAGGTGACTAAAGTTATTCAAGAGTCAGGATGCCTCCATGGGCTACAGGTAGATCTTTTATCCACCAATCACAAGTTATGCACCACGTGATCCGACTAGCTCGAATGCGGTTTCGCGAGCGCCTTTTTTTTCCAGGAGAGAATCACCAGTAGCTAAAGTGCGATCTAACGATGGAACCATCGATTGCGATCATCGGCAATCAATCGAGTTTATTGTCTCCTAGCATATTACGGAAGGACCAGGATAAATATAATTAAGCGAGTCTTACTCGGGTACCACCAGCCCCTTGGATCCCGAGGTCAGATACACTAACTGGCATCCCCGGACTTCGCCCCCTACCACCGAGTCTTTCAGTTCGTTGTTGTTGAGTCGGTTCATGACGTTGGTGGTATAGTCCACCACGTACATACGAGTTCCCATGTCGACCACGCTGCACGTTGCCAATGCGTAGATCTTATCCCCGTCCACTGCGACGTACATGCCTTGTTCCTCGGTGCCGTCGGTATGTACCTCAGCCAGAGCACTGTGTTGAACCAGATCAGTCAAAGATAGCCTGGCGAGGTCAGTCAGAATCACTTACATAAACTTTGATCCCTCTGGCACATTGGTCAACCGAGATGAGCGCAGGTTACTTGCCCCAGTCTGGCTCATCTCGGTGGGATTGTAGTTCAGATATCCACCGTATACGTCGCCCATGATCACCGAGTCCGATGCTTCTTCCTGGTAGGCAAATGGCGCTCCACCACTCGCATCTGGGTCGCCATACGGGGCGAGGTACAGACGGTCCTCCTTGCCGGCAATGAGGATCGCCGTTTGCTTGATGTCGCTGATGAGCTTGTACCCGAAATCCGTCACCGGATCCACCTCGGTTTCATTCACTGACACTGGGTCGATCTCGGGCGGCTGAATTGATATTCCTCCGTCAGGGAAGGTCTCGTTGACTGCTTCACCGGCCGGCTCGACGGTCGCGGCGCGGAGAGCCAAGTGGCGAGATGCCAACCTACGACGATGAGCTTTGGATGATGATGGCGACACCCTGTCAATGTTAGCACGTCACTATAATTAACTGGAGAAACACGACACCCACTTAATGCAGCCCAATGGGGCGGACCACAGGTCCCGAGTGTCAATGGCGTAGTCATAAAGACCGAGTGCGGTGAGGTACAGGTAGTTCTGGACTGCCAAACTCATGTCGATGCCGTCACAGCCTGCGACGGAGGTCTTCGCTCGTACCTGGAAAGATGGCTGGTCAATGATTCCGACAGTCTTTTTCCACTTGCCGTTCAACAAATCGACCCCAAATTCAAGTCCCAATGGAAGGCCAAAATCGACCGTGACCGACGCTTCTTCGTTGCCCCTGTATTTGGCAATTGGAGTCAATTTGGGAACAAATCCCTCGAACTTGTTCTTGCTCTTGTCTAGTAGATCAAGACGGGCTTCGCCACGGGAAATCTCAAACCGGGCTCCGATAAGGATATCAGCCTGCGCTTGGAAATACAGGTCAATTACGGCGCTCAGAGTGACCTCAGGTCCGACGCTGATGACTCCTGGAATTTCAAGGTTGATCAGGTTCTTGGACAGCAACTGCTTCTTGTAAGCTTCTACCTTCTTCTGTCCCTGCAGACGAAACGCGAGAGCCAGCTGGGAATCCCAATATCCTCCAGCCGAAATATATCCGGTTTTGAGTCCGTCATTGATGCTCCATCCGATGCGACCGGCAAATGAGACATCGCCCTTGGCGTAGCAGTTCTCGCATCTCAAATCACCGGGGAACACACCAGTGCTGGCGATCACCAGGCCCTCGCCGTCGCCGAAAAGACCGGAGGTGGTGGGCACCCTGCGAGTGCCTTCGCCGCCGATATTCCACTGGCGACTGACCGAGGCCCCCAGACTCCATTCGTAGTTCAACGGATCCTGAATTAATTTACCAATTTCCTTTCCAAACTCTATGACTTTCCCGACAAGTTCCTTGACTCCGTCCCAGATCTTCTTGCCACCATCTACGATGGTGTTAACCACTGCCTATTTCTCAATCAGGTTTGTTGTAGAAGTTGGAGAATGTATGACCGTACCTTGCCTACATCAGCGAGCCACTGAATCGGGCCCCACAGCCGTTTCTCTAAATCTTTGGGCGTTATCTCCGTGACTGTCCCATCGTGCGACTCCGGAGTTGCTTCTGGGATATTCTCATAGGTTCCAGTGACTGGGACGCCGAAGAAGTCCGAGAGAGCGGCCGGGTCATCGGTGATATCCTCGGTCGTGCTGGAGGCAATCAGGGTGGCGCTGGTGCTCCGACGGGAGAGGCGTTCCTTGTGGATCTTCTCATGAGTGTGGCCGAACTCAAGGTCAAAATCTTTCATTGCCTCTTCCATAGAGACTTCTGTCGCGTTGACCGAGGCACATTTCTGTTTAGCCTTGAATAATACCGTGGATACTTTCCAGAAGCTTCTCTTGCCATCGTGGTGATTACCGCAACCAGGATGGTTAGTGGAGAAAATAAGAGGGCTGTGATTTGCATCCCATTTTTCGGCAGCGTGTCTTTCTGCTGCCTCGTTCTTGAAACACACATCCAGGCCGTTGGGCTTGCAGCTCACACTGGCAATCTGCGACGAATGATCCAGCAGCACAGTGGGATGGTTGAAAGTGGAGACCATATGCCCGAAAGACGAGGGATCAGTGGCTGACTTGTCGTCAGTATGCATGTATTGCAGGCCATTCAGCAATACGTACCCGACTTTCCGCCCTCTCTGAAGTGCATCGCCTGTTCAGGGGTGGGAACTAAGTGCGCGAGATCATCGGCATCATGGTTGGGAGGGTGCGCAGGGTAGAGCACTCGCTTGTTCTGCGCAGCGTCAACCCGGGATAGGAGGCCCAGAATAGGCAAAAGCTGAGAGAACTTCATGATGCTGGAGTGCGATGAGTTGGGATCTTGACTTCGTGGACTTGATTCCATTTATATATTACTTGCAGTCTCACATGCCAGGATGCATGCTGTTTGAGCTGCGGAACCTCACACCATTCTGAGCTATCTTGGATAGATTCCCAGATGTAACCTCACCACGAGGACTATTTTTTGATCGACAGTTGATCACATTTAGTTCAGCTAGAAGAATTCATTATGTACATCCATTTCGCACATCTACTCCGTGCCACTAGTGCAGCAGCCACTAGCCCTAAGATCCACTGCAGCAATACCAACTAAAGTGCTTAGTTGATCTAGAATGATATCAGATCGTGCATCGGAAATTGGGATCAGCATGACTAGTTGCATATCCTGGTTTCAGCTGAAAACTAGAAGTGCCAAGCATGGAGCTAAGGCCGCTCAAGGGTTCGACAACCGCTCTGGCTTGGTAGGTCGATCTATTCGCCTTCTGCAGTGGCAATGAACTATAAGATCGTGTGGGACAACTAATGAGAGCCAGGAATTACGATTTTCAGGTTTGCATGCATTGCGCAATATGAATTTTGGACATATTTAAGACAATGAATTATATGATCGTGCTGATCTCTCAGGTTTTGGTTCTAGATCAGGTCCTATTCTATGGAGAGTTGTCGATTCGAAACGACTTTATCATAGCAATTACCACTTTTGGCTGTGACATTCCATTTTGGGATCAATCAGTTGGATATTGCTTCATAAGTAATTGTTTGAGCGGGGCAGAATATCAGCCCCAATAATGGACATATTAATGCCCAAAACTACATGGTTCTTGTGATGTGACAATCCTTGAGATGGATCAATAGAACAAAACCAGGCGGGGATACGACAAGGTACTCCTTAGGAACTGGCGATTTGGGACCTAAGCATGGCGCCAACGAGCCAATTTTCGTTATAATTGTACTTTTGTTGTCTTGCCACCCCGGGTTTGGTCCATTCTGTTTGTTATTCACATGCTGATCAACCGGGGGGTGCTTTAGTTTCATACGCGGATATTGGGTAGCTATGGAAATTGATATTGTAATCAAGGCAGCAGTATCACACACAAAGTGTGTCCTAGTTCAGAATGAATTATATTTTTTTTTGCTTTGTAACATACAAGCAGCAATATCTGATTTTTCTCAAAATCTCTAGAATGTAGTCTTTCGTGTGTGTTAAAATAGAGCCCAGATGTCTTTAATTATCAATATTTCTAATTCTAAAAGACATCGACATCAAATAGCAATACACAGGCCATGGTTATACCATAATAAATACAAGTAACCGTAGCATGGTGGTGAAACTGACACTTCATGATTTGCCACGATTGCATCACTCTACCTTCGATATTCGAAGACCAGACCAGGTGGTCAGGGGTTTATCCGCAAGTAAAACATTATAATGAAATTTGACGTACGAAACATGCTACACCTTATGTAGGACATCTAGCAGGAGATGTATTGTGTGCCTCTGCGCATTGATATTCAGTATTAGAGCAGGTGGATTGATCCCCGAATCCGCAAGTCGAAATGTATCCAATAGAATGGTTGAGTTTATGACTTTTAGGCCACCATAGTATATCAATGTCTACTCAAAACAAGTAGAATAGAATAAGGACTAACACTCCTATGCCTCTAAAATAATACTATCTCACATAAACCCCCTCCACCTGCTCGACTCAGTCACTTCGAAATCTATCGTATTCCACCCCGACTTCAACCGGCCCCTGGGGATATCAAAATCGAACAACCGCCATTCTCCCGCCATTTTTGCAGAGCGACACAGACCTGGATCATTCAGTAACGTGGTAAAGTTTCCAATCGGACTATCTGCGTCTCCATTAAGTAAGACCTGAGATGTCGTTCCGGAGGAGTATCCCGCCAGGAAACCGTCAACAAAGCAGGTTTCTTTATAGTCTTCTCATCGACAGTAAAGTGAATAGTCCAAGACCCTTTAGCCGACTGTGTGAAGCACCAATCGGACGTCTTGCTCTCCCCAAAGGTGTAAGTTAAATTCGCCGGACATTTTTCCACAAGTGCATGCTGGTAAGGATTCCCGCCGTGCTTGAATCCGAGAGATTTCTGATCGAAGCCTCCGATGTGAAATATCTTCTTTCGAGAGGATATCTTCCATTCTAATCTCCCTAGTTGTGTCTGTTTCTTTTGCTGTACACTCACGCCATCATGGAAGCTAGCCGTCACGTCGGCAATGCGTCCCCCATCGGACCAGGCCTGCAAACTGTATTTCCCGCAGCGAACGTGTCTAAAAGTGAAACTCCCCTGGTTGTCCGTTTTACCTGTGTAATAATAATCTGATCCCATGTCCAGCGCTGTTTTATTAGGATGGGTTATCACCCAGGAACACGGACGCCCCCGCTGCAGGCCGACCATCGGAAAGGATAAGATTATTAGATACAGAGCCGTGGGAGTGGTATGATTTGTCCTGGAACAATTTGTATGGCCAGGATTGGAACTCCTGCTTTGTTTGCTCTGCAGCGTCAGATTTCGACCCGTTATTCTACTGTTGTTAGCTTCCACCAGTCTGGAAACTGGAACTGACAAACCATATACCACAACCAAGGGCCCAATAACTTCCCATCTGGAATGTTATCCACGGACGACGTCTGAAAGTGCGCCTTGTGAATCATATTCAGCTGCACCGCGTCCCCTGTAGCGCTCTCCCGATGCACAGTCAACTCCTGCTTCAGATGATTTCCGTTATAGTAGTCTTTTCCGGGATTGATATACCATGATCCGAATTGGTCGCCGTAAACCCCATAGAAATCCAGGTCTCGGATATACGCTGAGAAATCATATTTTGTGATGTAAGAACCATCTTCGCGCTGCCATGTCTCATCTTGGACCTTGGTGGAACTCGCATATTCACTGAACGTTGGTAAAGATTCGTCTTTGATGTTGGTTCGTCCGTTCGGGAAAGAGATATTGTCAAGACGCCAGAGGGTACGGAACTCGCCCAATTCAGGTAGGTTATGGTTCACGAAGTTTGATATGCGCCTGCTAGGTGATTGAAAATCACCCAGTGGAAGTCGCCTTCGGCAGCGGTGAGTTTAATATCAGCGTAATTGGTACCACGATGGTGGATGGATGCCGAGGTCCAATTGAGGTTGGATTGTGCACCGTCTGGATGGTGAGTTAGCATGATATGTTCGAATTGAATGGTGATAGACTTACTGTAGCTGACGTAGTATCCCCATGCGTTGCCGACAAGGTCTGTCTCCCTGTAGAATAGTTTCACTCCGTATTGGTGTCCGATAGTTACATTCCACAAGTCGTTGCCGATAATATGCGTCGTTTCATTGAGTTTATGTAGAAACGGTCCCTTGGCCTGGACTATACCAGCCAGTACCAAGACCGGTGCGCTTAGAAAGAGGTGCATGTTTGGATCTGTATATATCCATGTGGAATCATGCTACCTATTGAGGGTACAATACTCGGGATACATTAACACGAGCTGCGGGGATGGAGAGAATGCCATATTATCAGTGGTGGAAAAACCTCTCCAGACTCGGTAAGCAGTTAGACCGAGTAGAACGTATTATATTTACTCTCATATTTATATCGTGCCCTCGTAATATATAGTTATCCATGACAAGCTCCCTCATCCCACCCCGACGAGACAGGCGAATACCGTCCCAGAGTCAACTCACCCACTAGAATCCCCGTGAGAACAGCACAGAACACACCGATATTCAGCGTCATGACGGAGAGCATCCTATAATCGTAAGCAAAGCTGAATCATCCCTTACCTACAAAGCTCGTACAGGAAATACCCAATCACCGCCTTACACAGCTCCAACACAGAGGAGATCCCATCTTGATAGAGTCTCCAGGACCTATTAGCGTGCCACGGGCCGATTTTACGACGTAGAGATCCAATCTTGGCCCTTCCAAGTAGTCCGGAGGTAGGATTATCTTCCTCTTTGAGGTCTGTGTCTCGAGGGCAGGTGTTGTCTTCGATACCCTCTCCTGGGCTCATTTCCATGTATTTTGGTAGTGGGCTCTGTCTGTCTTTTGCGGGCCGGGCACGTCGAGGAGCAGGTTGTAGAGTTGGAACTGCGGATTGCGACGGTCGGTTCCAGGATCGTTCGAGTTGGGATTTCAGTGCTGCGAGGAAACGGTTGGTAATGGCGAGAAGGAAGAGGAATATTAGAGTGAAGAGGTATGAGAGCGTAGAGGAGGTGGTCCAGCCAAGGAAGAGAATGGTTACTTTTGTGCTTGCTGTGAAGACTGACGGCATGTTCATTGTGTGCGTGGTATGGGTTGTGTTGTGGTTTGATATTTCCATGTTTGAGTCCGTTGTGGACTCCATATTGATTGAGGACGGAGGATTAATTGAGGAAGACAGAGTTTCATGTCTTTGTTTTTAGCTTTCTTTGTGATAACCGAGGAGTTTTAAGAGCGATGCTTGGTAATTTTAGAGATTGGCGTTTATGCAGATGCGCGGAATTGAGCACATTTGAGGAGGTTCTCCAACCACGAGATCAACACTATAGAGCCAATGTCGTCATTAGACCTCGTATAATATTGAGTAGAGCAGGCTGCCAATTCTTACAATATTTCCCCAGTGGAGATCCACAATTGACACTATCTAAATACCGCAAATTTGCTCGTCGGCAGCACAGACAACCATTTAATAACAACATTAATAACAACATGAGCCGCACAAGCGACCTCGCAAACCACAGGATACTCGGAACAAATCTTTAAAGAGAACTTACAGAATGAGTCTATCGCTATATTCAGGAACAGGACGCTGGTTCTTCTTTTCTACCCCCTTTTTGCTCTCAGGGGCTGTGCAGAACTACGCTGTTGCTTTGGGTTGTAGGGGGATGGTCTCTTGCTTGGAGAAGTATGTTTGTCATTCTCTACTCTTGAATGAAACTAAAGCGTGCCAGGGCTGGGTGTATTGGTTATTTTGGCCATAATTATGTGTTGAGAGAGCGTCAATCCATATTGACGAGGTGAACGTGATTGGCCTCTGCAGGTGCTACCTATATGCTGGTAGAGAGAAAAAGACAGCTCGAAAGGATGGAGAAATGAGGTAACTGGACAGAACAATGCAGATACTATAGATATGAACTAATAATATTAAAATAGGAATGGCCCCGCATGCGAAAAGTCACCAAACCCCATCACGATACAGCATGCGATATGCTATCGGATTGCATCCCGATGCATCCCTCCTACGAACCTCACATCGTAGATCTGAAATGATAGGATGAGCCAGGCGTTACGCTGTATTAACACTGGTTGTAGCGCCAGCAACAGCAAATCAAATGCCTTGGATGCCATGACACCCGAAACGAACGAATGGAGCAATAACATCTGGCTGATTTTGGTGGATATGAGAAGATACGCCAAGAAGGTGGCTGATCTTCTTATCTGGTGTACATCCAGCGAGCTTAATAGACTGAGCTTAGTAGACTCAGGAATGCATCCGACGTGATCTACATTTGTAATGTTCTGGCAAGATTTCTCTTGGGCATCTATGACAATGCTCTTGTTTAAGGCAATGTTAATGCTGTTCTGGCTGGGAATGGGAGAAATTCACGGAGAGCATGGGGGTCATGTAGGATTCTTGGGTGTACAAGTGTCGGAATTATATGTGTAATTCTATAAGAGCTTGAATATTCTGTGTGTTGTGTGTTGTGTGGTGTTGACCTGTTCTTCAAGATCAGCCGTGTCACTCGGTCTCGGTTATTCACATGATGTCCCAATATGGACTAGCTTTATTCTGACCACAGGCGATGTAATAGTGTCCATCATATACCAGTAACCAAATCAATGACGCAAATAGAGCATAATTCCAAGCATTACACTCAAGAATGACGATGACTGGGCCCGGGCCCGAATCGTGGATCACGGATGAAGCCGACAATTGACTGATGCAACCTTCCAAAAACGGCGGTTATCTTGATAACCCACATGCTTAGCTTCGACACTGGCTTGCATCGCATGACAAGCACTTGGAAAGGTTTCTCTCTAAGCTGATTCTCCCTCTGTATATCGCCCATCATCTTGTGTCTCTCCTCCTCTCCGCACCTGTTCCACATCATGGCTTCTGACACCACTAGTAACAAGACCAGCGAGAAGACCATCGAACCTGAACCTAGCCCCAGAGAGGTGGCCGACATAGATCATGGCGCGGAGACGGACCTGCATCGTACACTCTCTACGCGACATATCACTATGATTGCTCTGGGATCGTCCATCGGCATGGGCCTCTGGCTGGGGAGTGGTACCTCCCTGGCTAACGGAGGCCCGGCCGCCATTGTCATCGGATATGTTCTCAGTGGCAGCATGATCTGGTCTGTCAGTCACTCAATCGGCGAGATGGCCGTCTTGTATCCTCTTCCGTCGGCGTTTGTGCAGTGGACTTCAATGTTTGTTGACCCGGCGGCGGCATTTGCCCTGGGTTGGTCCTATTGGTTGAGCTATTTCATTACCATTGCCAATGAGTTGCAGGTACGTCGGTATGCATTGCCCTTTGCTTAATCTGTACTGACAAAACAGGGGATCAACACTGTTCTGAGCTTCTGGACCCATAAAGTGCCTGTGGCCGCGTGGATCAGTATCTTCTGGGTGGTGATTACCCTGATCAATGTGGCTGCGGTCAGGTTCTTTGCAGAAGTCGAGGTGGTCTCATCGACTATCAAGTTCTCATGGATCATCGTGGTCATTATTTCCCTTATCGGTGGGTCGTCCACCCTCGCTGGGTTCTGCATAGCTGATCTCCCCAGTCGTCTCCGCGGGAGGTGCCCCTGCAGAAGGACCCATCGGCTTCCGCTACTGGAACGTAGAGCCCTTCACCAACGGCTTTAAAGGCTTCCTGTCCGTCGTGCCGACCTGTATCTTCGCCATGTCTGGGTCTGAGAGCTGCGCTCTTGTGGCTGCTGAAACGTCCAATCCGCGCAAGTCGGTCCCACGCGCCGTTGGCTCCATGTGGCTGCGTCTCTCACTGTTTTACATCCTGGGATCTTTCGTGATTACCACCACCGTGGATCCGAAGGATAAGAACCTGTTCGGTGGCGATGGTGTCAATGCATCCCCATTTGTGATCGCCTACCGTAACGCAGGCCTGGATCCCTTAGCACATATGATGAATGCGGTGATTTTCATCTCCGTTCTCTCCACTGGAACGATCTCGGGATATGGCGGTGCTCGCACACTCATGGGCATGGCGCATTTGAATATTGCTCCGAAGGTGGGTCCGCCAGAAGACATCCAGATAAACAGATAGCCTTCTAACAGGTATGTAGATTTTTGGAAAAGCCGACAAAACAGGACGACCTCTCGCAAGTTTGTTCATCACCCTGCTTATCGGCGGTGGGTTGTCCTACCTGAACGTCAGCAACAAAGGCGCCGATGTCTTCACCTGGTTCTCCAATCTCACCTCGCTCCTCACCCTCTTTGGATGGGGCATGATCTGTCTATCCCACATCCGCATGCGATATGCATGGAAGATCCAGGGTCGGGACCCCTCGGAGCTGCCGTGGAAGTCGTGGACATATCCGTACGGTGCATACTGGGGTCTGGTCTGGTGTGTGCTGTTGGTCATCACTGAATTCTACGTCAGTGTATGGCCGCTGGGAGGCAGTCCGAATGTCAAAAACTTCTTCGCTAACTATGTAAGTGTCGTGGCTATCGTAGTCATCTACCTTGCTGCTCGTTTGTACTATCGCGGACCGTGGTGGATTGATGCCAGGACGATCGATCTCGATGGCATGAGACGGTTCTATGCGGATACTGCGGATGTGGAGGCGAAGACGCATGGGGGGATTATATCCAAGATGGTGAAAGCGATTACCGATTAGGCTGTAGATGTATGCACATATTCATGTGTAGTTAGCCGAAATCCGAGGCGGTGCGGGGAACCACCTTATATTTAATTTCGTAACTCGCTTCCTGTAGATCAAGCTAAATAGGAATGTCTAACTCTCCTCTGACCTCGTATCTCGAGTCCCTGGATTCCTTCATCCCACTACCATCCTCCCTGCAACACAGCAATCACAACAACCTCTTCTTCGATCACTGACGCGAATTGTCCCGCACCGACTGGACCAACGGCGGCATTTCCACCGCAGAATGATACACTCTCCTAAGTATACTACAACTAAACCAGAACGTACCTAACCTCCCTCAGTTCAAGCATGTCGTCTCGCCGACTCCACCGGGTTCTATCACTTCACTCTTCCGCAATACTACGGTGGAAACCCACCACAGAGGAATCTATAGATATCAACAAGCCGATACAATCTCGTCTCTTCATCCGATCAACTGTCGTGCATGCGAATCGCCTCCGACAGGCGGCGAGTTCTTGTGGAGCTCCCAGGTTCTGTCTCAATCGGAGTATCGAACGTGCGGAGGTGCGTAGGATCTGGGGTGGTCGTGCCCTTACGGAGAACCAGGGGGTCCAGTTCCTTGTGGTTCACCCGATGACTTAGGTGGAGATGTTGAAAGGATCTCTGTATGGAATTAGCCTCGAGACTAGTTTGCTCAGTCTTGCCACGAGACATCATTAGGTCAGATCAAGTCATTCAATATAGCGCGGCTTCACCTTACTAATATCGATCCAATCAAGGCTCTGCCACATTGCACATTGTGATAGGCAGCAACATCAACGCAGCGCCAGCGCCTGACACTCGCCTAACGGCCGCAAAAATAGAACCACAAGCTGGCACTCTGTTTCAGAATAGTCGAGCAATTTTTTGTGGCATTGTTTCAGATGACTGCCTCACTAAGTCAATTGGCCAGTGAATCTTGAATGGTGTGATCTAATCACATACCAACTATCGTGAGCTCTCAAGTCCAGAGACCGAGGCAACTCAGTTAGGCGGAGAGGCCAAGTAGCGGTGAATAGCATCACCACTACCTGTCGTCTTATCATAGGCCTGCTGATCTCCAAGGTACGAATTCTGGTCACTGACTGAGTGCTTGGACTCCGACCTGATGAGGCCGACATATGGTGACTCAATCGGCGATTTCTCTCTCTCTGCCAGCTGGTTCACCCACGCATCAATAAATATGAATGGTTCAGAACAGCTACAGGAGATTAATTTCTCCTATCTACCATCGTCATCACCGTCTATGTCACTCAGAGCTCAAAAGAGCGGTGCCCCCATACTCAGTGTCTTCCCTTCATGCTTTCGATTCTCCTTGATCTCCTAGCGCAGCTGTGTCCTTGTCGTCGGTGTCAGAGCATGGATTGCTCCGTCGGGAGACAATCGCGTTTCCCATTTTTCTTTTCCCTGTGGTCCTCTTCTTTTCCCAGACAATCGCAGCAGTCCGTTTCGGTGTCGACGCAGACCATGTCCAGAATGGGTATTACTTCCACGCTTCAGAGACGCTCCACGGAACGGGAGCAGTCGAATCGTGAGGCTGCTCGAAGAGAAGTCACGGATGGAATGGAGAAACTGGTGGGCCATGAGAATGTCAAGAGACAGTTGAATGGTGTGCAGAGCTATGTGCAGATCTGCCGAAGACATGGAAGAGACCCGCGCAGCGAGTGGTACAACATATCCATGCAGGGGAATCCAGGCACCGGCAAGAGTATTGTTGCTCGGATGTATGCCAAAATGCTCTATTCGATCGGAATCACCGACACAGACGTCGTCAGGGAGACTGCGGGCTCGGAACTGGCTTCCAAGGGCCTAGAAGGAACTCGACAACTTGTTCAGGAAATGGTGGACTCTGCCCCGTCGGCACACACGGCTGGTGTTCTGATCGTCGACCGACCGCATTTGCTCGATGACTCTACGGATCACTCCACGGCGGAGCTGTCTCTCGCTTGTGTTCAAGATGCCATGGAACGTACGACAGGCAGGATCATCGTCGTATTCACCGGCTCTCCAGATGACATCGCCGTCTTTCTCCGCGATCACCCGGCTCTCCAGCGCCGAACATGCAGCACATTGACCTTCCATGATTTCGACCGCCCTGACCTCCTTCACCTACTTGGACGACGCATCACTGAGGAATATCACGGCCGTATGCAAGTTGAAGGCGGCCTCGAGGGACCGTACATGCAGGTCGCAGCCCGTCGACTGGCTCGAGGCCGCGACAAGAAGGGCTTCACCAATGCCCATGCGGTACGCGACTTCGTAGCTACCGTCGCTCGTCGTCAGGCTCAGTACCTAACCGAGCAGACGGATGGCATGGACGAGGTGGACTACTTTTTCTTCTCACGACAGGATCTACTGGGACCCAGTCCCGCGGATATCAGACTTCAGAGCGAGGCATGGTTGGCTCTGCAGAGTCTTGTCGGACAAGATGCCATAAAGGCTTCTGTTCGGGAGGTCTTCGATACCCTTGATGAGAACTATACGAGGGAACTCAACAATCAGAGACGACTTCCTGTGCGATTGAATCGCGTTTTTGCTGGACCTAGAGGAACTGGAAAATCTACTGCGGCACAGTTGTATGTGCAGGTGCTGGCGGATTTGGGACTATTAAAAAGCGCACACGGTATGTTTCCTGACTGACAGAAAATGAAATACAATGATAACTAACCATCCCAGTCCCAGTGAAATCCCTCTTCGCTCTAAATCCCTTCATTCTAAATCCCGACGAGGCCCTCATCATCGAGATCGAAACTCTCAGCGGAACCTCCATCATCAACCCGGGACGCATCCCCCCAGACGTCCTAGCCACGTTAAGCCATGAAATGAGCGTCTCTCGCGCATGCACCATCCTGATGGGCTCCGACTCAGCCATCGAATCAGTCATCTCCCAACTGCACAAGACAACAGTCAACAAATTCGAAGCCCAGGTCGTTCCCTTCCACCGTCTCTCACGAGAGCAAATGGAACAGTTGTTCCAGACAAAGGTACAAGAAAACGATATCGACTCGACGCCGGAGGCCTTCCAAGCCGCGATGGATATCCTTGACAACGCACGGATGCGTCAAGATTTTGACAACGCGCGAGCGATCGAGCGACTCGTTGGCGTCGCGAATCATAACTTCGAAGAACGACGGTCAAAGATAGCAGAGCCGGTAGGTAGAGTCCTCCAGGCGGAGGACTTTCAGCCAGATCTGGTAGGTGGTCATACGGCGTTGGCGTTTCGTGATGAATTGCGGAATTCCATCGTCCCGGATGATATCATCGCTGTGTTGAAGCGGTATCATAATGAGATGAAGGCCGCGTGGGTGCAAGGTTTGGATCCTGGGAGGAGGGTTCCGTATGCTCTGGTGTTTAAGGGAGCTTATGGTATGTCCTTCTTGGTACATCTATATCTATATCTACATGTGTACTGACAGATTAGGCTCCGGCAAGAAAACCGTTGCTCAACAGCTCGGTATCCTGTACTACAAAATGGGTGTACTAGAGACCAGCGAGCTAGTTGAATGCTCTATAAGTGACTTTACCCAAGGCGTCAATATCAGTTCCTGCGCACGAACGCACCTCGATTCGAGCCGAGGCAAGGTTCTCTTTGTAGAGGACGCACACCGACTTGCCGACACAGAATCCACCCTACAAGCAATGGACGAGCTCGTCTACCTGCTCCCGAAACACGCAGGCCAAACGGTGGTGATTCTTGCCGGTCCACCGCAAGAAATGGACCAGTTGCTCGCCAATCGACCCCGTCTCGCCAGTCTGTTCCAAGAAGAGATCATCTTCCGGAATCCGACCCCGCGCGAATGTCTCCGACTACTTGATAAACGTCTCGAAGAGGACCAAATCCAGGGTCCGAGGTTATACCTGACTGATCCGAGAGATGCAAGCCATCGGGAATTCACCCGGGCTATCCAGATCCTGTCGATGTTTCCCTGCTGGAGTAACGAGCGGGATATCGATGTGCTCGCGCGTTGGATGGTCTCGACCTGTGTTCGGGATATATCTGATACTGTGGGGCCAGATCTGAAACTTAGTCTGACGGATGAGCAGGCTATGGGATGCATGATTCGTTTATTTAATCTAAAGAGGGATCGACTGCGGTTTAATCAGGATCCGAAGGCGAGAACGTTGCCGCGGATTTTGTCCCAGCCGAGGACGACAGAACGAGGGGGGGTGAGGTTTCCAGTTTGATGTACTATATTCATTCTTCTCATTCTCTCTTTCTCTCGTTTTCTGTTTTTCTCTTCATTTCTTTTTCATAGTTGTTTTCTTTTCATTGCATATGGCATTCGTTGATCGAATGTCTTGATTTGTCATGCATGTCATATCATATGCCATACTTATATACTGAATTCATTATATTTAGTATCCAAAGCAACTGGAAGCTCCACTTACTCCAATCAGGGGCCCTCTTCTGATATCTCCATTATCTCCTAAAACGCCAAACTCTCATAAATGTATCCGAGTGCCATTTTCTCTACGCTCATCTCGTTATCATCCGTTACCTTATAGATAGGCCTTTTACATGAGGTGGCGCAGTACCTAGTCCCGGCAAACCTAGTCCCAGCAAAAGGAATGTGACAGCGCAGAGGTGTAGGAACATGTGAAATCCACTGTTTCGTGTCCATCCAAAGGTATCAATTCTGCCATAATTCAATACAGCGTCTGAAGCGTGAGGCTTTGGGTTGCTGATACATTTGACAAGGTATTTGAGAGCTATCGTGAGGAATTGCTGGTGGAAAATATGCTTTCTGATTTCCTAGGCCCATTCTGGTTATATGTATAGGGTTAATACAAGGATATGTGAAGCTAAATATTGAATGAAGTGTACTGTATATGCATGTTATAATAGTGATTGTTAGATATTGGAAATTAGGGTATATCCAAACTAGAAAAGGTTGCTCTCTCTCTCACTCCCCCAGTTCTCATCCACCTAACCGGTCAGCTACATCATCAACCAGACATACATCACTTACATCTTTAATATGATCATATCCCAACAACCTTGGAGCCAAACCCGGATCCCTCCAGGCCAACGCCTCCCCTTCCGGTGTCGGCACCATCTGCATTTGGCGATCCCGTTCCTGCTGCTCAGGGCCATCGTGGAGATGATACAGATATTGCTGGACGTTGCCGCGTTCCACTACCATTTTAGTACGCTGCTTGCGACATTTCTCGAATACGGCGAGCGCATGTCTCTTTGCCGTAGCAAACTCGGTCGATGTTTTGCGCGTATTAGGCGTGTTTGGGAGTCGTGAGAGACATTCTCCTAATACGGCACCATCTTCAAAAGCCATTCCTGCACTATTTACTTCAGCTATAGAAGTTATCCTTTTGGGGGCGGGGACATATACCCTGATGCGAGATATGGTAGTGTCGCATGCACTGCGTCGCCCAGCATCGTCCACGTCCCAGAGGGATGCGTCCAGTTGTAATCGCCGTATCGGATACATAACCGCCATTTATACACCGACTGGCATAATTTCAGCAGTTTTTGGATTCTACAACATCAGTATCGTCTGGTTAGAGGGGTGAGACATACCGGGGATCCCAGCCCTCGAACAGCGAGCACATCTCTTGCACATTGCCTTCGACCGTCGTGGCGAGTGATTCCTCAGGGATATCATCCGGTACCAGGAGGACCATATTGAACAGCTTTCCCCCGCGGAGGACATAGTTAACTACTCATAAGTATATTCCTATAGTGCATGGGGTAAGAGCCATACCAGCATGCGCATCCGGTCCCAACCAGTAATTCACCTGCGGATCCATCACGAAACCCTCCAACTCCGGGTCCTTTCGCATCTCCTCCGTTGACAAGAGCAGTCTATACGCCAGATCCCCCGTCTTGATAGGCGGATGCTCTCGACCGAGAAGCACCTCGGTAAGGTTCCCAAACACCCCGTCTGCACCGACAACGAGATCCCCCACCCATCGTCTCCCGTCTGCCGCAATCGCCGTCGCACACTTCTCCTGTGCCTGCACGTCCACAATCCGCGCACTACAAGTCATCTTGGCTCCTAGCTCCTCTGCCCGCTCCGCCAGACATCGCTGTAGATCTGCTCGGTGGAAATCTCGATACCAGGTGCCGGGATATTGCCGCTCCGAGGCATGGAAGTCCATCGAGGATATCAGATTGCCTTTCCAACCGAGGAAGTTGCACACGCGGGGAAGTGTCATGTATGGGGTTAGTTTCTCGGTGAGTCCCCAGTGTTGGAGAACCCGCGAACTGTTCGGTAGGATCTGGATTCCCGCGCCGATTTCACGGATTTCTTGTGCTGCCTCTAGTATGTGTACCTTGTGTCCGGCCAGGGAGCAGCTGATGGCGGTGCCGAGACCAGCCAGGCCGGCGCCTATTACCAGAATCTATGCATATATAAATTCCTTGGGACTAGATGAGATTAACGACAGTGAGAACTCTACCTGTAAAGTACATGACTCCCCACGGACCTGTTTCTCCTTAACCCGGATCGGAGGAGCCATGGTGAGCTACTCCTGGAGGTTGGTTAATTTATAGTAGCGTGGCGATGTCTAAGGGAATCACAGAAGAGGGGTTGATATATCTACGAATAGTCCCCACACTTCCCATATTCATATCTACCACTATATACACAATGAACCAGTTCTCATTTGTCGGAAGAACCGCCTTGGCGATACGCGGTGCTCGAGGTGTTGGCTTCGCATGCGCTCGCTGACTCGTTGACGTCAATGAAAACGTGGCGGTTTTAGACAGATTCAATGCCATTGTGAGAGCGTGCGGAGTTCGTACAGGTTATTACCGGTTCGTAATACCTCTGTGCCTATTCCTCTGGTATGCAGATAGTAATCTGTTAATATAGAGTGGACATCTCATTTCCTGAGTCCCTGAATCTGGCTCCCGACAATTCCAGAACGACTTCAATAATGCTCTGTGTGTACCCTGCGCAGGTATCTTTCGACACCTTCCCTTCCTGGACTTCACATACGAAGACCATCAGGACCCGTGGCTGTCAATGTCACCGAAGTGTATTTTACGGCCCAACTCGCTGCCAAACAGATGATTGCCAACGGAACCCAGCATAGGAGCATTGTACTGGTGGTCAGTATGGCGAGCCACGTTGCGGGGCGCCACCAGCTGTGCTCTACATATTGTGCGTCCAAAGGTTGTCCGTGCGATGGACGCCGTTGCTAAGGAGGTGGCCAAATATATATTCTTTCTTTTTATTATTATGGAGTGCACTGACTGATTAAGATATCCTCATAAACGCTATATCCCCAGGATATGTACGGATCGAAATGGCCGCCTTTGTAAATGACTACATATTCCTATGTAAAGAATGTAACTCAGTAACAGTGAAGGTAGTTTCTCCGTCTTGTTGAAAAATGGAAATTCGACAACGATGAACAGCCGAGTCGCTGAACCGGAGGATCTCACGGCGGTTTGTGTATTTCTCGCCAGCTATGCCAGTCGGTTCATGGCGGGGAGGATATTCTCATGGATGGAGGGGCGACCAAGAGGTGAATTAGTCAAGCGGGGTATCACCTCTTCCGTGACATGGTACATCATCATAACTCTCTGCCTTCCTTTCTTCGTAACAAAGATAACAAGGGTAATAAATGGACGAAAATGAAACCACAACAGTCGTCATCGTCGGCGCCGGGCCATCAGGCCTTATGCTAGGGTAAGATTGCATTTCCATCGAGTAGCAGAACTAAGAGGAGTACTAGGTGCAACCTCACCCGCTACGGTATCGACGTTATCCTCCTCGACTACCGACCTGATAAAACCTCCACCGGAAAAGCTGACGGCATGCAGCCGAAAACCATCGAGACATTCAAGCAGCTGCGGTTGGCGGATGATTTACTACGTACTGGGGTGCGGGTATACGATATTGCTTTCTGGGTATTCCACATTTTACATCATAAAAAAATGATAAGGACTGAGAAAATAGGAATCAACAGAGAATACACCCCTTCATCGAACGGGTCGTCAAACGCATTATCCGGATCATCTAGTCGGGGCGTCAGATCCGTATATCCTACTAGCGCATCAGGGGATCATTGAAGATATACTGATTGGGGATATAGAAGAGAGAGGGGTTTCTGTGCGACGGAGGAGTCGGTTTGTCTCATGTGAGAGGTTATCGACTGGACAGGTTCGCGTTGAGTATCAGTCTGGTTCGGAAACCAGGAGTATTCTATCTGATTATCTGGTTGGATGTGACGGGGCTAGATCTGTCGTTCGAGATTTCATTCCCAATGCGCATCTGGAGGGGGACGTTACTAATGCCTCGTGGGGGGTTCTTGATGGTCTCCCTCTCCGCCTCTCTCGATGATTTTTATTATCTATATTGGAATGGATACTAATAAATACTAGGAGTGATTGAGACAAACTTCCCAGATCTATGGAGCAAAGTCGCCGTTCGATCGCATTCCGCAGGATCGATCCTCTGGATTCCCCGCGAGCGCAATATGACTCGTTTATACGTGCAGCTGTCCTCGACAGATGGCGAGAAAGTTGATAAACGAATGGCCACACCAGAATACGTGATGCATCGAGCGGTCGAGGCCATGCGTCCGTTCAATCTACGCTGGAAGACTATCGAGTGGTTTGGGAATTATGTCGTAGGACAGCGCGCTGCTAGACATTTCGCAGATGATGAAAATAGGGTGTTTATTGCAGGTGATGTATGTATACCTCTCTTCCTCTAGTTTACTTGTTAATGTAGAAGGCCGGACACTGCCACTCTGCCCTGGCCGCTCAAGGCGCAAATACCAGCATGCATGATAGCTTTAATCTCGCGTGGAAGATTAATCTTGTGGTGCGTGGTCTGGCAAATCGACGGATCCTACGGACGTACGAGGATGAGAGACGAAAAATTGCGAAGGATTTGATCAGTTTTGATGCAAAGCATTGCGAGGCGTTCGCGCAGGGTGATGATGCTTTGGCTCGGAACTTTGATGAGAATATTCGCTTTATTTCTGGCGTTGGGGCGGAATATTCCCCTGGTCCTCTGACGTTAGAGACGCAGGTCGTCTCTGGATTACGACCCGGCGCGTTGATGGTTCCTGCTAGGGTGGTAAGGTATATTGATGCCAATCCGGTGGATATCCAGATTGATATTCCCCTGTTGGGTCAGTTTCGTGTGTATTTATTTGTGCCAGATGTAAGGACGGGAATAGGGTTTTTGCAGACGGTTTGTGAGAAGGTGGACTCAGGATTAAAGGAGTTAAATGGTCTGGCACAGCAGTCATACCAAAAGCGACCCAGGGGATGGGCAAAGAAAGATGAATTACTCCAGCCACAGCGGTACACTTCCGTGTCGCATTTTCTGACCTTCGCTTTGGTGACTCGGTCGTCTCGTTCGCTGTTCGAGGTGGTTGATTTGCCAGACGTGCTGCAGAAGAGTCGCTGGACGTTGTATCTGGATGAACTGGACAATCCGACTTGCACGGAGAAGTGGATGGGAGATGTCAAGAGCAGCCAGGCAGGCATTGCTATTGTTCGACCAGATGGATATGCTGGGGGGATGGGATGTTGGACAGTCGAGCAAGGAGAACAGGCAGCACAGTGGACGCAAGACTATTTTCAGATCTGTAGATGCATATAAACATGCTCCAGCTATCGTTATATACACTACGCAACCGTCACGAAGAATTCCTTTTCTCCTTCTCTCCTCTCCACTCTGGACTTCTCTATCAGTTCATCTCCTACTGCTAATCGCAACCTCTCCGCCGTCGCCGGACTATCCAACACCAATGGCTGCATCACCGCACGCTCCTGTCTAGCACTTCGTAGGGCATCCCGCAGCGCAAACAATACCGTCGACCCCAGAAACAATGGGGGCTCCCCAATCCCCTTACTACTCTGGATAGAGCGAAGATTCGCCCAGCTCACTCCTTCCAGGAAACTGACGTTGAACTCTTGTGGGATGTCACTGAACGCGGGGATCTTGTAATTCCCAGGTCCTCTTGTGGCAAGCCGACCCTCGCGCGTCCAGAGACTTTCTTCCATTGTGAACAGTCCCTGACCCTGTACAAAAGCGCCTTCGATCTGTCCGTAGTCAATGGCCGGGTTGATCGACCGTCCGACGTCCATTTTGATATCCGTTCGGAGGACTGTGTGGTCGCCGGTCAATAAGTCGAGTTCGACCTCCGTGCAGGCGCAGCCCTGACTCATTAGCTTGATGGCATCCCAAGAATAAGATACATACCTGAGTGAAGTAGAAATACATCGGTTTGACCGTCTCCGGATCGTAATTCCCCCACTGATATCCAATCGTCGGCATCTTCCAGAACCCCGTCGCGGACAGGCTCACTCGATCACGGTACGCCGCATGCGCAAGTTTATCCATACTCGCATCACCAAGTTTCTCACGGTACGGACGCAGTCGCTCGTTGAGCTGGTCGCATGCGTTCTGCACCGCCATACCGTTTAGATCGCTGCCAGACGACGCAGCTGTCGGGGACGCATTGGCGGACTGGAATGAAGAGGTATCTGGTGTGTAGATGCTCTCCATGGGGACATTCAATGCCTGCGCTGCCACTTGCGCCATCTTTGTATATAGCCCCTGTCCCATCTCCGTGCCACCATGATGCAGTAGCACCGACCCATCCGTGTAGACGCGCACCGTGGCAGTCGCCTGGTTTAGATGTAGCGCCGTTGCGAACGAAATCCCAAACTTAGTCGGGATTAAACTGATACCTCTTTTGCGCCATCGGTGTTGCGAGTTGAACTGCGTAATCGCCTCTCGACGCTCGTCATACCTCGCTTCCTGTCTCACCTGCTCCAGCAGCAATGGAACATGCCAGTCGGCGTCAATCATCTGCAGGAACGGAGTCCGCTGACCCTCCTCGTACAGATTTCGTCGACGCAGCTCATCCACCTCAATACCCAGTCCCTCTGCGGCAGCACTCATATAACTCTCCGCGATGAACATCGCCTGCGGAGCGCCAAACCCGCGAAACGCAGTGTTGCTATGCGTGTTAGTCTTGCACACCCACCCACGGATATGTACATTTGGAATGTGATAGCAGTTGTCAAGATGAGTGCAGCATCGATCCATCACCGCGCAGCTCATATCCACGGAGTATCCAGCGTTGTTATAGCAGTCTGCAGACAATGCTATGAGTTTCCCGGAATGAGTCACCCCAATTTTCCAGCGACATTGGATCGGATGGCGCTGACCGCTCGTCATCATGTCTTCGTCTCGGTTGAGCATCGCTCGCATCGGTCGACGCTCTTTCTTCGCTGCTATTGCTAGTAGACAAGCTATCTGGACGCTGCGTGATTCTTTGCCTCCGAAGGCACCGCCCATTCGCTTCACCCGGGCGTTGATTTGATGGGATGGGGTTCCGGTGACGTGGCTGATGAATTCTTGCGTTTCCATTCTGTTTTGTATTAGTATTCCCCAGAAAATAATAATAATAAACGTATACACCACGAGGAAAACGTACGTATTCTGGGTAGAAGACCAAACATCCATCGACCCATCCTCCGCATTCGGCACCACGACAGCAGCATTCGTCTCGAGATAGAAATGCTCCTGACCTCCTATCCGAGTCGTGCCTTCAAACACATGATCACAGCCCTCCAATACAGCTTCTATATCCCTCTCTCCCTTGTGCAACTCCTTCCCATATTGAAAGAAACTCCCCGCCGCAATCGCTTCATCGATCGTCAACACAGTCGGTAAATCCTCATACTCGACGCGGACAGCCTGTGAAGCTTTCTGCGCCTTCTGCGCTGTCTCGGCATATACCATCCCGATAGGTTGGCCATGCGAGAAGACCTCGTCTTCTGCGAAGAATGGCTCATCCCGTATTACAGATCCCCATCTGTTTTTGTCTGCTGGGATGCTGTGTCTATCGATGTAGCCGACTGCGAGACCGTTTGCTAGCGCGGGGGTCCAGTCCACGGAGAGGATGCGTGCATGTGCACGGTCTGAGAGAACCATGGCGCCGAAGAGCTCGCGGTGCTGTGGGGGAATGTCGTCTACGTATCCCGCTTGTCCTGTGGCGTGTTTCAGGCCTGATAAATGAGGGAGTGGTTTTCCAACGACGCGTTGCTCGTGAGGGTTGCGTAAGTCGCGGGTTCCACTGGATACATGGCGATGGAGCTCCTGCACGTCATCCAATGGTATGGTAGGATCGAAGTGAGAGAGGGCTTCGTGCCAGAACCGGAGGAAGAGACTCTGTGCCAGTGTTCGTCGATACGTCGCCATTCCTCCAGGTACGTCGTATGTTAAAGGGAACTCGCTGCGGAGGGTCTCCAACGTAGCGTCGAGCACTTGCGGGTCTCCCCATCGTTCACCCAGGAGGGCCTCTTGCGTATTATATGCCAGGATTGTAGTAGGCGCCATTCCTCCGTACGCCAGGGCGATATCCTCCACGCGATCATCTTTGCTAAGACGGACGCGGAACGCAGCCGTCACAATAGTGATGTCGTCGTCTTTTCGCTTCGCTTGTTTATACGATCGTGTCAACTCGCGCAACCCAGGGGTCAGCGGGATCCGGATCTGAGTGATCAGACTGCCGGGAGGTAGCGCCGTCTTTCGATATCCGCGGAACATGTCGCGCATGGGGATCGAAGTCTCTGTGTCGATAGTGCGTGCGATCACAGTTGCGTTCACAGCCTGTAGAAGCGGATTCATATCTGATATAGGCGACGCGGTGGCAATATTCCCCGCGAGAGAAGCCATATTTCTAATCTGACGACCGCCGAAGTAGCGTAGGATTTTGGCCATTGCTTGTAGCATGGATGCGCTGCTGGATCCGAGAGAGGATTGCAGTCGGTGACATTCGGACTCGATGGCGCTGAGAGAGGCCACGCCGCCGATGATCAGCGTGTTGTCTGATAGTGAGATCTGGGAAAGTTCCTTGATATCGCCGATGAAGACGCAGAAAGGCTCCTCTGTTCCCTTGAGGCGAATGTCGACGTGCACTTCACTGGCACCGCAAATCAGTCGTGCATGCGGACGCTGTGAGAGGATCTCGAGTGTTTGTGTCACGGTGACGGGACGTATCCAGGTCTTGTCCTCACTGCCGTATGATACCATCATAGGAGTGAATCGCGTCAGCGCAGGCGGATAGATTAGTTCACTACGCGGAGAGTACGGTAGGAAGTCGAATTGCGGTGCACTCTTGCAGGAACTAGACATGCTGGAAATTTCCGTCTCTGAAGCACCGTGGCTCATGGATGAGGATGTAGAGCTGTCACGACAGCAGCCTCCTGGGCGACCACAGGACTTTTTCTGTGATGGTAGTGGAATTTCTAACGGAGGCTCCGAGTTGGATTCAGATGGGGAGATGGTTATCTGGGCTTGTAGATCCTCTTGAATAAATGTCTTCGCGGCTTCCAAAATCGGCTTATATCCTGTACAGCGACACAGGTTCCCGTCTAGATGACCTTTCATCTCGATATCGTCCTCAGACAGCACAAACTGCTCGGTGACGGGATCGTATGCGTTGCGAATCATGGCATACAGCGACATGACGATGCCGGGGGTGCAGAAACCACATCTATCACTTAGTTTGTACCAACATGTAAGTCAGGAGACATACTGTGAACCGTGCAATTTCCCCAATCGCTCCTGTAGAGGATGAGGATGTTCCACATTACCCAGTCCTTCAACTGTAATAACATGTTTCCCGACAACTACATTATCAGTACCTGTTCATCAAAAATCACACAGAGAGGCAGGTATACCTCCAATAAGTGGATACAAACAAGCATTCACAGCCAAATGGTGAATCCGTCGCTCATCCCTTGTCTGCAAAACCACGGTACATGCACCGCAACCTCCCTCGCCACAGCCCAGCTTCGTCCCTTTGAGATTGTCCTGCGAGCGGATGAAGTCGAGTAGCGTCCAGTGGGGGTTGGGACTGGACAGGACAATGGGCGTCCCGTTCAGATAGAAGGATAAAGAGTGATCCATTGGTTAAATTCAGGTTTGGGAGGAGAAAAGCCCGGTTCCTACTTGCAGGTTCTACGTTTAATATATTGTTCAACTCGGTGGGGATAATAGTACCCAGCTACGTCATCATGCAGGTGGGCTGGAACCTCGTCTTTTGTGTCTATCGTTGTATCTCATGCCTTTTAATGCTTGGATTGTAGTGGAGTATATAGTACACTCTAACTGCAGAGGCATGTATTCTCGAAAGTACTCTATAGGTGATAAATTCGATGCTAATATATATCTGGAATGAGGAAATTCTATGAATACTCAGTATACAATAACCCCGCTTCCGCTGCATGCCACGTCAGGAAATACTCGTTGCATCATTCGTCCATAGCTGCCAGATATGACACATCAGAATAACCCCTAAATGGTTGAGGTCTCGCACGACGATCCGGTTTCAAGTCTCCAAACCCAGCGGACAGTTGATGTAGATTTTGTAGAGGAACACTCCCCGGAGTACGGATGTATTGGGCGTAGCTCGGTGACGTCTAAAGTTTAACTGCCTGAGGTCTGAAACCGGAGCCGGAACTACCTTCTTCCGGTTACACCCCAGTGACCCTCTGCCAAGTATGTACCTTTTAGACCCCACTTGCCAAGGAGAAGCTCGGCAGGGTCTAAGAATTTTTAGACCCCAAGTTACTCCGCACTGAAGTTCTTCCCGCAGTTTTAGACACCGACGAGTATATGCTCTAGGAAAAGAGACTGGTCTAAGTGAGAATACCACATAATTGGAACAGGAGCTTCGCATTTCCTGTGTATATGCAATGTTTAACAACCACTTACTAAATATCGAGTTCCGTGATTTAAAATAAGGTAGTTCAATAGTAAATAATATAACTTACAAGGCAAATATCGCGTATATGCTCCACCTATACTACTAATATTCTTAGGATATTCCGGCGCCTATATAAGATAATATACTAGTACTAGTCTTCATTTTGTTGAGTTAGACCAGGATAATGATATGGAACTATTATTTATTCTACTTGTCATAGGATTAAAATATAAGTATTCACGTTACAAGTTTACATATACAGCCTATATACTTACCATATATTAGGTGTCGGTCAGCCGAATACGCGTATGAGCCAGTATCACCGATCATATAAGAATATGGATCTGGATTGAAAAGGGTAAAGTCTCTAAAGGTCTCTAACTACCTGAATGAAGCTGGGAGAATTGAATAAAAAGGTGGAAAACAAAGGAATAAAGTCGGACCGAGCGGATGCTGATGATGGGTAATTAATATATTGGCCCACTTTGGTCGACATTAGGATAATATCTAATAAAGTTTCTGCGCGAAATAGCAATCATAAAATAATAATTATGAATATATAGTTAATGCCTGAATATCTAGCTACTAGTGTAGTGTTAAGGATAAGCCGGGAATCGGCCGTGTTCGGGTACTGAATCTTTATCGATAAGCTGTGTACACGGTAAGACAAAGCTACAGTAGTATCTTAATGACGCGTTGATGTATTGTCATGATCTCATGATTGTATCGTTGTTTTATCTATGTGCGTTCTATGTATTATCTTGATCTATTCTAATTGAAGAAGAGATCAAGTATTGGTTTTTCAAATATCTTGATATGAGATGTAATGATATTTTCTTCTACTTACGTAGCTGACCGGTTGATCTGCCCGGCCAAGTAGATTCATCACACACGTGGTCTACTAAGCATTGTATAATAATAAATTTATTATTCTAAAATAACCAAAATTTCGTTCTTAGACACTGCTGAGCATTTGGCTTGCCATGTGCCCATCGCGGTCAAGAGAGCCTACATTAGCGACACCTCCATCCTCAATTTGAGTGTCTGTCTATGCTTTAGCTACTCAGAGTGTTCTGGAATTTAGGGGAAGTGGTGCGCAGGGAGCTATTCTATCAGCTACAGACCAACCTTTAGCCTAAATAGGAAGTAGATGTCATTCGGTGGAAATACCAGGAATCGCAGAATCTTGCCCAACTGAGTAGTGTTTCCGTGACACAGAAAATACCGCCAATACTCCTTTTTCTCCCCGGCTGATCACGCCGAGTATCAACACCTTCACCACACAGTCGCTTGGCCTGCATGTCTCGTCGGTTCCCTGCGCATCCACAGCGCCAATCCAGTGAAAACCGATATACAACCCCCGTTGCAGCAAGAGGTCGTCACTAGGATGGGAATATACCTATTCCATTAGCGTTTTTCAATCCAGTGCATGGGATCTCCGGCGCGTATTCCGTCCGAAACATTGCGGCGCTTAATATACCCTATAGATTGCCCAACGCGACGATAACTCCCGTATTTGGGGCACGAGAATTCTGAAAACGTGGATGTGCAGAAAATTGAGGAGAAAAAAGAAGAAATTGCCTGTGAAATGGGGCGATTGCGAGCTCAAGTGCTTGGTATCCGGAGCGTTGCTGTGAAGTGTCGACATGTTGAACATGTCAAGACGTATGCACCAGGGGTTATGCATTGTGTCTTTGACGTATACTTACCATCCTGTATGGAGGCCAACTTGGGGAAACCAGTATGAGAGGTACTGAGTATAGGTTTTGAGCGAGGATTCAGTACTATCATATAACATCACATCAATGTTCTCCTAATGTACTAGACGTTGTTATTATTATGTTATGAATGCACTAGATGAGAAGGGAGATATGCCCCTGCCATCGGGAAACACGCGAAATATGCAACGCCGCGATGCTCTACGATGTAAATGATAGCTAGTACCAACATCCCGATCAGAGAGAGCTCCATAGATTCGTCTTAACGAACGAGAAGCCCAGCTGTTGCATGATCAGCGGGGAAAAAAAAATTCATCGTTGCCGCGTAGGCGACGCCGCGACAGGGTTCGTGAACGCGATGACGCACCAGGTGCTGAAGCTCGATTTTAGATCGAGTGTTGTCTCCACGGAGTCGTGGTGCGGTGGCGGTGTTTCGTTTGCGAGGGTTTAGAAACCATGCGATTTGCGGTCGGTTGGGGAGCTAGAATAATCCAACCACTCTTGTTAGGAAGGCCATCCCTCCTTCGATGATGGTGGATTGGCAGGGCTGGGATGCCCATACTACGGTCGCTGACGGTCAGTTAGATCATGCGTTTGGCAGGAAATGTACTGAAGGAGAGTGTGATCCGTCTGGATATCGCTTCAACTGTCTCAGCGAGTACTCATTCACTTGTAGCCTCAGGTCCTCATCGACTCTGTTGAATTTTGCATTCGCCAGATTGCTCTATCCGAGTTTGGGTTGTCTGTTTATTTCTAGGGGACTTACCCGATCCATGCAGTCGAAGAAGTACATCTACTTAGTTTTGGCAGGAATCAATAAGTAGGATAATTCGTACCAGATAAAGTAAAGGGAGTAGAAAGAAGTCCACCTTGTGCACTGCTCGCGTCAGAAGGATCAACCTGTAAACAGGTTCATACGTAGGTCTTTTCAACATTTCGGTTGATATTGGTGTCCCCCATCTTGTTGCCGGAACCTGTCTTTCTCTTGTTATTCTGATTATTTTACGAACATTGTACCAGGAATTGGTGAATGAACTGTCGGCGAGAATATCCCTGTCCTCCACTAGTCCTGTAATGTATCCCAAAGGTAACAATGCTGACTGTTTTAGAGTGTCACATTCTATGTTACCTGTGGAACATATTCATCTACTGCATTCTTTTGTTCATGTATGTCGCAAAGCTAATGGACGTATTGCTTAGAGTCGTCTGGCCTATTAGAACTCCCTGGAACAGCTGAATAAATTCAACGATAAACTATCCATACACTTGAATACTTCCAATCATCCCTGTAATATATTATTCTTCAGCACGCCTACCATATTCCCTGGATTCGAGACAACGGATTTCTCTCTACCACCCAAACACCAACATGTCCCTTTCGACTGTCCCCCCCTGTTCCTGCAAAATTATAGGTACAGCCAACATCCGTCCGCTTCTGGAAATAATTCATAGAATTACACAGCCCTAAGCAGTCCGTGAATGAGCTTTGAACTGTAGAAGCTAGATCCTGCTTGTTTGGTGAGCTAATGTCTGCGTCGCAGAAGATATAATAAGTTTTGCCCGAGACATTCTGTACTTCTGTGTTGTTGACGCCGGGACAGGTGTATTTCGTATTCCTGTTAAAGGTGATTGTGGATGTTGGGGACGGGGTTGAGATGGATGTTGATGCAGACAATGAGGATGTAGAAGTTGTTTCTGAGGTAGTACTTGTGGATGTTGATAATGGAGTAGAGGATGTGTCTGATCTAGAGGCTGCAGTAGCAGATGATGTAGAGGTAGAAAACGACAATAGAGTAGAAGTTGTATCTGAGCTAGTAGCTATAGTAGCCGAAGGAATAGAGGTAGAATGTGCTTCTAAAATGACACAAATAGTTAACTATGGCTTTTTGACCTGGTAGAGAGAAACTTACTAGTCCCAAGCCCAACACCTAACCCCACAGCCACCGCAATCACAATCACTACAAGTGCGGCCATCATCACAGCCATCCAGAATGTTATCCTGGTTAAGCCACCCATCCTCTCGCGATGAGGCACATGCCCATGGGCTGGAACAATGTTGAGATGTTGCTGATTCGGAACGGGTTCTAGACCGGGTTGGACAGGCTCCAGACCTGGCTGGACGACTTCTGGTCCATCAAATCTTACTACCTCTTTTAATGAGTTTGTCATACTGTATATGGCGTTAAAACACAAATAAGTATGTAAAATAGAAAATATAGGGTAGTAGCAGGACCGTGGTATAAAAGGTCTGGATTAAGCCTTAGTTGTCGGCGTCTAGAGACGTACGGCAATTGGCGCTGTTGGCGTATCGCCGGAGACATCTCGACTCGACGGGAATAACCAGTAAGTTAATAGAGTAAGTGGAGAAATTGACATCTGTTTCACATAGTCAGATTGCTATTTTTAAACAAAGTGTAGGTGATTCTCCTCCGGAAAAAGCTGCATCTGGCAGTGATATTTATTCATCTTGTACTCTATAATATTGCCAATACCGATCTCTGGAATGTTTAGGTAGCTAAGTCTAGTTAGGAAAACTAAACATATAGTTTAGCTTAAGCTTAAACGAACACAAGAGCTGAGTGACTCTAAGCTTTAGCGGCTTGTTGACTACCATCCCTCATATTTTATTCGCAGTATGCTCTTTACCAATCTCCCGCAGGACATATTTCTGGTGTTTACCACTGCCTGTTTTGGGGAAATTATCTCCAATATCAGGGTGTCCGATCCAGAACACATATGTGGTGCTATGCCATGCTAAAATCTTCTCACCCAACTCCGTGTAACATTTGAAGGATTCCCTGCATGTCTAGCACTTTTCAGGCAGCACCCCGCAACCTCTCTGTACTTCTGTTAGGTAACCCCACAACATTAGCTTCGGTGATTGATGAACGAAGATGAAGGTTCTCCTCGATTTCTGCGGGAGAAATATTTTCTCCTCCTTGTTTTGTCGTTAGTATCTGGCACAGTAATGTTCTATACTGTGCACATACCTCGAATAATAGAATTCTTAACCCGACCTGTAGTTTGGCAGTACCCATCTTTATCAATGATAGCTTCATCCCCTGTCTGCATCCATACTGTACCTAGTTCATCCTGTCTCACCACTTCACCAATTTTGTGTTTGCTTTTATAGTACCCTTTCTGTTTATAAGGCTCGCCCTCTTGCCCATGGCTTGTATCAGAACCTTAGCTCCAGTATGGAGCATTGCTCAACACATTGTGCCTGACTGCTCTCTACTGGATTGTCTGGAGAAGTAATAAACGTGATCTGGCCAGTTTCGGTCATCCCATATGTGCTAGCATTTCAGCTTTCGGATGTCCAGGAATACCTCGTACCTTGTTAATAGCATGGAGTCATATTTGATGTTGAGTACCTGCCAGATGTAAATTGAAAATTAAGCACATCATCTGGCATAACTTCCTCTGCAGCCAGCCTCAGCAATAATCGGATCCATTGCCCCATCTCATCCTTGGAGAACAAAAGTCTCGAACATCTGTAGCCCCGGATAGCGACTAGCTCCTAGACAGATAATCTGTTGAAGCTCCAGAGCGTACCTCATAGCAGCCACTTGCGTATCATATCCACATGCAATTCATATCCACATGCGAGTCGTATCCACATGCGATGTAAGACCTCTGTTGCCAACATGTGACAATGAAAAAGAGCTTGTATGCAGTTAGACCAGCTAGGGTTGGTTCGACCACTTCTGAAAGTCGGTGGCTCACAGCTTGTATGAAGTGCCCATTCTAGCTCTTCTGGCTTATGTGTACCATTGAGATACCACAGGATATCCAATACGTGCCCCTCCCAAGAACACTTCAATAGACTGGGAACAATTTCCAGCCATACTATCGATGGATTTGCCATGCTGCGGACCAGTTTCTAGCAAGGATTTGGCCACATATCTACTCCTATGAGCCAGTTGATGGAAGGATCATCGTTTTCCCTGCCATGGAAACGCAGCTGCAGTATTTTTTGTCAATTTTAGACGCCTGTTAGTCAACCAAAGTTCCGAATATTTGGAACCAGATATGTGGTTCTGTATAGCCACAAAGGATAGCTTTCCCATGGCTCTGTTTGTATGTGGACGGCGCCATGTCCCAGCATCGAGTTAGCTAAGTTTCAGAGAATACAGAAATTATAAACGGTAGGAATTCGTTAAAATACTGTACTTGACTTATAAAAGATAGTGAGATAGGACGAGATGACTTGAGGTGCAACTACTGGGTGTATTTATTTTTAATGGAGGGACACAATATGTGTAGCTGATGATGCAATCTACCGAAATGCCATCCAGATAAAGACACCTATACAGCCATAAGTAGTTATTACGGTTCTAAAAGTCATGACCATGGACTGTCACTGGTAATATTCTAGTATCATATCAATACTCTTGTTGGATAAGCCGTATTAGTGTTTATTGTAGCTATTATAACTAACGTTAATTAGTTATCCATGTATAATATCTTCGTCATTAACATATGGATACTCTTTTCCTAGAACATTACAAGAAGTGGAGTGTTATGTGCGTAAATTAAAATATTTTTAATACTAAGAAGTATTATATAATACTATAATTTAACTATGCAATAACTATAGCTGCTTCTTTAATAGATTACTAGCACTGTTCATGACCTTTGGTACGCACTCCATCCATAGCTTATTTTTATTCCACTTTTATGGTGCTGACGTCAGTTAAACTTCTAATAAACAAGCATTCGGCCCAAGCGACCCACCCTCCGGGTGTTGTGGGGGCGCCGGGTAACCTAGAAGTATACACGTCATAGAGTACTCTCATAACATGAGTGATTCTATCGTCTAACTTTATCTCTTCGATATCACGCTGTACTTGTATATGATTGGTAAACACTAAAGATCCCCTCACGTAGTATTCCATAATTATTTTTGCATCCTCACATTTATATACCCTTCTTAGATGCATGCTATGTGACAGTTGTGTTGCTTGATAAAGCTACATTCTAGCAGAATAGGAATAGTCATTTGCTACACTTAATTCCGATTAATTGCAAAGCTCTTTATACAATAAATATTCACTACTACAATGGCCGCACATGATGTTTCTGTGGTCGGAACTGGAACCCAGTATCCATGTTATAAGCAAGGACCTAACTTTTTGAACGATCTGGCGCACAGACACTACGCCATCAGCCCTGCGTGAGATTACCTCCCTACCATTGCTACCAGTACTAACGTGAATCCTGAGCTTTAGTCTTGAAAAAACATTGGAAATCAACAACAAGTCCAGGATAGATAAGCGGCATAGTATCCTACCGGAGAGTCACCCAATATGGCACCAGAGTAGCGTTCCAACTATCAAAGACTGCGACGTTGCCTTTAAAGAATATGCAGTCCAATTCGCGGAAGACGCAGCAAAGAAGGCCATTGCTGACTGGGGTGGCGCTACTACGGATATTACTCATGTGGTTGCGGCTACATGTTCGAATACCTCCAGTCCTGGCTTCGATGCTGAGCTTAGCAGAAGACTGGGGCTGGGAAAGAATACCCAGCGAATTCTTGTACAGGGGTTGGGTTGTGCTGGCGGTGTCGCCGCTCTTCGAACTGCATATCACCACCTTCTTGCTGCTGTAAACCAAGACAAACCAGCAAGGGCTCTTGTTATTTCATGTGAGGCTATGTCTATTTTTGCCCGAAATGAGCTTGACAACATTATCAACAAACAGCTTCCTAGTGTTGCGCCAGCTTTGTTCGGCGATTGTTCCAGCGCAATGGTGCTAAGCAATGGAATTGGGGTAAAAACTTCGGAAAAGGAGCCAATCTGGAATATCCTTGGGGTTCAGACGACGCTACTAGCGACCCCTGGCTGTATTGAATATAATATTGGTCCTTTAGGAAAGTATTGTTTCCCTTTGGGTAACATGGTTTACTAATTGGAAACAGGCTACCTCGCAGTTATCACTAAGGAAGTCCCAAAGCAAATAGCGTTGGCGTTGCCTTCGGGATTTCAGGAACTGATTGCATCTACTGAGTGCCTCCGTTCGGAGAAGTCGAACTTTGATCCCGCTACCTATGACTGGGCCTTGCACCCTGGTGGCTATATGATCATCAATATTGGCCAGGAGGCACTTGGTCTATCGCCACATCATTTGCGGAAGACCTACGAAGCTTATACAACAGCCGGGAATACTGGTGCGTCCACTGTGCTTAGCATTATGGACAAACTGGCGCATGAGCGAGCGTCTGGAGGGGACGCACGCGACAAGGTTGTTGGTGTGGCCTTTGGTCCTGATATCACTATGGAAATGGTTCTGTTGATGAAGCCATCCTGTGGGTAAAATTGGCGGCGATCTACCATCCAGTCTTTTTACTACAAGTACGCTATTTGCATAATTGACTTTTTCTTTATTTTACTTAATATTTGTTGTAATATTAGTCGGCTAGATTGAGGAATCATTACGGAGGACTGTTAAAAATATCAATTTTTAGTTTATCTAACTTGCATTATGCGTTTTTAAACAAAAGACCGTCTAGAATTAGTATGAGTGGATAATCCTGGTTATAAGCTATTTGGGTATCCTATTGTTGCTTCAAGCCGGATACACATAGTTTTACTAGCCACACCTATAAGAGTAGTGATCTAGGAATATACTGCAAAGTGGCGTATTTAATAAACCTAGGTAAACTACGTAACAACCATCCTCACCTCCGCTCAGAAGTACGAACGTATTGCCAGTTGCAAAGCAAGCATGCTCGTTAAAGCTACCAGCTTCAGCTAGCTATCTCAAGTGTCTCCATGATTGAAGCCCTAGCACTGCTACTAGATATTTATAGAATGGGTATGTCTTTAGCACTAAATTGGCATTATAACCCTGGATAGAACGGTATATTCTTTTGCGGATTCTATTTTGGCGTACTTTTTAGTTCTTCTATTTCCTAGAATATGATTTAAGACACTCTAGTCGATTACAGTCCAAGCGTTCCTTAATTATTTGTATGAAGTTGCTTTAACAATACAAAAAGATACTGATCTCATTTTTTTATAACGTTTAAATGTAACATTAATATAAATTCACGAACTATATTGTTAAGTACAAATAATAAAAACGAAATATTACGACGTTTATTAGGTATACACGCTGGGGCTTTGTTGGCTTGCTGATTGAGCCCTCACACCTTGTCTAACTAATATATATTTAAAGCTCAGGATATTGTTTTGTCCGCGTGCAAAATGCATAAAACTGTAGGTATTCAAATACCAGTCTATTTACTAATTATTTCTGTAGATAAAATGTATTGAACTGTAGACTAGTAGCCTTACTACTTCCATAAAATATTCTAAATACTGGGTTTTCATGTTTGGGCATTTAAAAGATAGCAGATTCAGATTCTTTAATACCTATCGTTATTTTGAAGCTCTAATTTGGTTCTGTGGTTATGTGGTCTAGGTAGCTCAGGTCATCCGTAGGCTACTATAAAAGTCCTTAAAAAATATTCTTAGATAGTATTAGGAATTTGTTTCTATATTTTTAAAAGATACCTAGTACATCGGATGTTTCGGACCTCCGACATCTGGTGCAGCTTAGACAAGGCAAACAGATATCTACTTCCCGTAACAACGAGAGCTTCATGGCAGGTGAGACAGATGCTCCATCTCAGAGGGATTTGTCTCGGACGTCCAACACACGGAGCAGGAAGGATGGTTGTTGTCAGGAATAATACTTATTCTCCAACAGATGCGATTTTTCGTCTATATTAGAAATACGTTCTCCAACTCAATGAAGTATTTACCGTTGCTCGCCCAGGCCCTAGGCCCTGTAGTGGTATCCTATCGCTCATACAGCGTCTCGAGCGTCGCTACTATGGCGGCAGCTATCCAATTGATCAGATTAGCATGGAGAATTAGCATTTCCTGACCGTGGAACAGGCCATGGCCGTCTATGCATATTTCGCCTCGAAATTTAGCTTCCCCGGACTGGAATAAGTCAACATAACAGCCCAGGCTGGAACTCCCTGGATCGCATACGGCGTCTCATACGCACGTGGCTTTGTTGCCTGGCTACGCAAAGTCTACCCTGATATATACTACGGGGCCATCTCATCCTCCGGCGTTACCAGTCTCACTGTGGACTATTGGCAGTATTACGATCCTATCCGCAGTTATGGTCCCGCCGAGTGTATTCAAGCTACGCAAGATTTCGTTGACATCATAGACCCTGTCCTCATTGATCATGCAGACAACCAGACTCTCAGTCAACATCTCAAGTCCTCTATGGGCGCTTCACCAAACTATAATAATGTTAATTTGTCACTCGGATCTCCACAGGGATCACATCATTCCAGTCCCGAGACTGGGACCCTGCTATCGGAGCGCCCACGTTCCGTTATTATTGTGATAATATCACAAGTTCCGATCGACTATATCTTGAAACTGCCCAGACCGAGATGTCTCTAAAGGAAATCATAACCCTGGCAGGGTATAACGCACCTGATGACCGCTTCGTGACTGGGATCTGAACTAAGCCGGCTATATTTCAACTATACCTCATTTTCAATACCCTCCTACGTTCTGTTGCCGCCCCATCCCCAAACACCGGCACATTCCGGCCTAGAGACGGTAGTATCAACCTGTCCAAAAACGACGGCCTAAGCTGGAACTACCAAACCTGCACGAAATTAGGTGACTACTCAACGGGAGCTGGCGTTCCCAAAGATATGCGCCCATTGATCTCCCGCGTCATAGACATAGTCTCCGCTCTCAAACCCTGCACTGACCTTGATATCACATCCCCTCAGGGCGTGAGTCACTTTAACAAGTATGGTGGAGTGCATTTCTCATATCCCCGTTTTGCTATTATCAGCGGCTTGGCAGATCCCTGGCGAGACGTGACGCCCTTACCTAAAGGACTGTCTCTTCGCCCCTCGACGGATGATCAACCGGTTGTCCAGATTGATGTCCCTGCCGACGAGGTGTGGGATGAAGCGCGTGGTGCAGTGAACCATTGAGAGTTGAAAGGGGCAACGGATAAAAGAACTCCCCCCAAGCCTATTGCCGACGCGTGAGATGAGTTACTTAGGTTTGTCGGGATTTGGTTGCATGGGCATCGTGGTTGATCTATAGTCTAGCAATCATATCGATTCGGAGATGTAAGTAAGTCTACGCAGCTGAATTGTTATTCTGTTGTGGAGCGTCCAGACAGGTAGATAAGTATATAAAATAAAGCTCATGTGAAACATAATAACAAACATTTTCTTCGAGCAGAAATTCCGAACGTAGACTTTCGCGCTTTACTTGCTTAGCTGGAACCATGGCTAGCCGCTCCTTCGCATAGGCCGCTGCGGTCATTGAAGCGTACTTTTGTCATCTGTCGTTCGTATGGGAGTCGGCATAATCGCTGATTTCCTTGATGACAAGGCAAGGAAAGTTATTAATCAGGCCAGCTGCCTCCATCTCGAAACAGATGGACTTCCCTTCAGTTCTCTGGTTTAGTTCCATGGCTAACTGGTTCCTTCCTTTGCGTGTTTCATAACCTTGTTGCCGGATGCGATTATCCTGTAGTGAAATATTGGTTTGTCCGATTGCCTCTAGTAATCAAGTACTGGTCGTCAGACTTCTCACATTCAGTAGAACTGTCCCTCCTTCGGTGGTCAAATGCTGCGCTGAATAGCAGGTCATTGCTGGACTTCTGGTATGAAAAAACTGGGTCGGATTTTCTCATCCTGAGCTACTTATCTGCCAAGATGTTCGATATGTTTGACCTCCCCGCCATGGAGTTCGACCTGACACTCATTACTGCTTTGAGCAGAACAGCTGGGGGCTTTACAAGGAAGCTAATTCTTTAAAAATTATTCGGTATTTGTTTTCTAAGGTCATACCAACTACACCACCACTGTCTCCTTTGGGGTTAGTAACTGCGACGTCTCCTAGTCGAACATCTCGGTTCTTGTCAGGGTCGGGAATGCCGCCGCTAATGCCCACGAGAAGACCAAGGCGGAGCTAACGAACGAACATGGCCATCGATTTTGCAGTCGTCGCTGCAGGGGCAATACCGTATGAGCCCAATTCAGATGTAGTGACGATAACATATGCTTAGTGTGATATCAAACTAGAGGGCATTACTTTTCCTAGTCACTTGGTTTGATAGCGAGAACATCGTCAAAGTCTGAGAGAAGTGAAGGGCACACACGTATGCCAGATGAGTCAACACACATCACAGCTAATACAGAGGATATTCAAGTGATAGATTCTATGTAAACTTGTGGATCATTCAATTGGAATAATTCACGATTAGCTTGGCTGCCTTATTCGATGGAAGTAGCTGCCTCTTCAATAAGTCGTTGCGGAGTCCATCCACCTTGCTATAAAGGGATCAAACCGTAGCTCAAGGAGGCTATAGGTTTGTCCTTAACATTGCGCTGCCGCTTTACATCCTGCCCTGCTTTCGTAACCTCTCAGGCCGATTCATCTCCCACCACGTGAGCAGCCGCTCAAAATCTAAATTGAAGGTCCCTAATCGCCATATAAAGGCTCCTTCCACATATATCATGGCGTCTGGATAATCCTGTCCCAACATTCACACAGCCAGCAGGCTCAGAGCTCGCAAGGTTGGCAGCTGATTTCTCCCCGATATAACTAATATATATTGATTATTACGGTGTAACATTTGACCACCTCCTCCCGGTTGATGATAGGTAATGCAGACTAAATACTATTGAGGTCGAGGATGATAATGGTGCTTATGCAATTAAATATGTGCTGTTCATTATAGATCTTATTGAATTTATAAGATGTTAACTGTGCCGAGATGTCCTAGGAGGAAGGGGACACATGATTGTGAACGAGTAGACGATCTTGTGCAAGATAGAGTGAGACGGTGGCGGCAATGAAAGGCAAGAATCAAGAATGTTATGCAAAGGATTGGTGTCGACTTTTCAAGTATGCATTCTCATGTGGATCTGTAGGATGTCAGAATTAAGCACGAACTGTTTCGAACTATAGTTGTTATATCTATCTCTTAAACAGTATCTATTATCTTCATTCGTATCAATATACAAACAACAGAGTCTCTTATTTCGCCACCATTAGACCAGTCTATCTTGCATTTCCGTCTATACCAGTCACTTATGCAACCGCAGAGTCAGATCAAAAATCCCAACACCTCAGCACCACCTCCCGCATCTCCCCCTGCCGCAACGCAGTGTACACCTTACTGATCTGCGACCCGATACATTCCTTTTTACGCGCTTCACCCGAGTCGTAAGTCGGATGGTCGACAATCCCTCTGTGCAACGGGACGGCCAGCGTCTCGCGCACGAACTCGTATAGCATTCTCGACGAACTGCACAAGTATGTTTTCGTCCTTGGATGGCGGAGAAATTGACTTCGGGTGGTTGTGTAGGTCTCAGTGAGCATCTTGCTCACTTCGTCTTTCCAGTCGTTTATGGCGCTGGGTGAGACTCCGGAAGTGGAATTCGCGCTTAGAGAGGCGAAGAGGGTGCCTACGGTGCATGCGGCTGCGATTTCGCTGCGGGTGGAAAGATCATGTGTGCTGTTGCGGGCCCAGTGGTCCATAAGCTGCTCCCAGATGGAACCCTGCAGTGATTGAAGATTTCCCACTGTTTCTTGGAAAAGACCTGCGGTGATATCGTTGAGTTTCTGACGTGCGCCTTTGGCGAATTCCAGGTGGAGAGCCCGGATATCGACGGCTTGGCAAAGAACGTAGAGGTAAGTGGCCGCCATAAGTGATAGGACTTCCACGGCATCTGCTGCGTACCGTGCGCTGATAAAGGCAAGGGAGTTCAATGCCTGGTTGTGCATCTCGGCTGATTGGACATGGTTGCTAACGGGGTGATTGAGGTATCCAAGTTCCGACATGTAGGATGCCATATTAATATCCACACCCTTGAAGGCAAAGGACGTGCTAGGATCATCGATGCTTAGGTTCGGGGGTAGGCCGTTGCTAAGCATGGGGTTGATAATTTCCGAACATTGTGAGAAAAAAAGCTTTCCGAGCATCTGCATCGCTCCCATGGTCTTTTCCATTGCAGATGTAATTGCCGCGGCTTGAAAGTTTCCTCCGTGGTGGACTTCTTCATGCACTGGATCCAGGAGTGGGTTGTCTGTGGTTGCATTAAGTTCACATTCAACTTGTTTGAATGCCAACGCCATATTTTCAATCTGCGGCCCAATCCACTGGCTGGACGTTCGCAGTGCATAACGATCTTGTGCCAGTCCGCCATGCCCAGGACCGCCTTTTGATGCCAGTTGTGAGTCTGTCAAGAACAGGAATATATTTGCCGCGGCCTGGCGCTGGCCATCGTGGGGCCGCACGTCCGCAATAAAAGGGTGGTAGTTCTGTCGCGTTCCTAAGAGAGCCTCGGTTCCCATAGCCGTAAGCAACTGGGAAAGCAGGACTAGTTGATTAGCCTCGAAGAGAACCAAGCTGGCTGCACCCGCACTGAATGCTGTGCCGTTTAGAAGGCCTAGGCCCTCCTTAGGTCCTAACACCAAGGGGGTTAACCCAAGTTCTTGCAGCGCTTGGTCGGCAGGTATTATCTGACCATCACGGTCTCTGTGGATAGAGATATCCGGGTTGCCTTCCAAGGCGCCGGCAATATACGCCAGGGGAGTCAGATCCCCCGAAGCGGAGATACTCCCACGCAGAGGTACGGTTGGGGTCATCCCATTGGACAGGAGGGCCAGGATATGATGCACAACTTGGGGTCGAACGGCGGAATGGCCGCGCAGGAGGGAGTTGCACCGCGTGAGCATGGCGGCTTTGACGACCGGGACTTGCATGCGGTGACTCTTCAGCTCTAACGAGGTACCCGATCGAGGAGCTGTTAAGCCCCGATCGGTCGGAAGTAGGACAGCCGCGTTGTGATGCTGGATCAACGCCTTCTGTAGCATAGCGTAGTGATTAGTGCGGGTGTCTGCACTTCCACCGAAGCCGGTGTTGACGCCATAGATGGTCTCGCCGTTGAGCAATTTCTGATTGAGCACCTGGACACTCTGCTCCATCAGATCCAAGACGTGCGGATTGCTGGTGATTGTCGCAGGAATGCCATGGCTGGTCGATTGTCAGCTGGTTCTAGGAGACGTCACTAGGTACCACCAGGGAACTTACTGAGCAACGGCATATACAGCGCTTACATCGAGTGAATGTCCATCCAATGTCAGACCTCGCGTCGTTTCCAGGATACGACACAACCGGCTACAGGACGACAGCACCGTGGTTGTATAGTTTGATGGACAGGAGCCATCCCGGTAGACGCTGAGAGGAACAGACTTCCCCATTTTCAGTGTTATGTTTCGGGGAAGCCCTCAGATGAAATAGCCCAGTGGACAAGCTTATGCCGAGAAAGCTGCAAAGGTGGAGAGGAGTTGATGACGTGTACTAGAAGATAGATAGATAGTAGGTAAATAGATGACAATAGAGTAGTGTATCTATTCTCGGCTCACGTCAAAGTGCTCATCGGATAGACATGGGCAATACTCGGGTGAGACTGATGCTGAGCCGAATGATCCGCAGTGTGCGAAACCAAGACCGCACTTCGGATAAGACCGCTTCGAATACGACTCAACTACACTGTAGACACGGAATCGACACGGAATCGACTCGACTGGACTGTTTGCTGAGAGATCCCATTCGTCCGTGGCGATGCATTTGGGCCTAGATTTTTCTGGATTTTTCTGGATTTTTGTGCATGGAAGCGAGCGCCCCACCGACTAAAAATTAGTTCGACAAGATTCAACATTCACCTCTCTGGCCAAATTGGTGGTGTCAGAATTGTCACTGTAGATAAGAATACTACAATGTATTGTGGCTGCTCTATTGAATGCCTTGTTGCTTAATATTGTATGTATGTGGTACGATTCCATGAACGCTCGCCTATGTATACCTAGCGCCTTGGCAGCACACAGAGAATCGCACTTTTCCCGCGGATTCTACCCTTGAATCTCTCATGTATTTAGCCAAGATAGCCACTCAATTCTACCCCTACTTGTCTCCCTTTGAATTGGAGCTTCCCTCTGGCCTGTTCTTTTCATAACAGTATGGATCGAAATACAGCTTCGTTCTCCGTCAACGCTGCAAAACCTACGTATCTAACACGCTTCTGCCCGGTCAGGTTGTGTCAGAATAGGCAGATATACCAGTACTACTTGCAAATCGTAACCATGCTACCTTTGTGCTGTAGTGGTATATCTGACAGTTTGGGTCCAGAGCCGGGCAGAAATGGTGGGTGTTGTGGAATTCAGGGGAAGTGATGCGCAGCGAGCTATTCTATCAGCTACAGGCCAACTTTTAGCCGAAATAAGAAGTAGATGTCGTTCGATGGAAACACCAGGAATCACAGTATCTCAACCAACTGGGTCTCTTGCGTTCCTATCTAGGTGCTCAACTAATTATCTAAAAGATTCAGGGGTTGAATCGATTGTCAGACATGTCAAATAATATTGCCGCTGGTGGACCAGAATCATGTGACTAGATCGGGGTAAAACCCCCGCGGAGCACACAACAAAATAATCAAGAAGAGCCCAACCAGCTCAATTCATTCAAATAAGACCTTTTTACCAATCGTACTCTATTTCCTCTTCGGGACTAGCCGTATATCTAACAGTATTTAGCCAAGTTCGTGGGTGCCTCCGTACCCCCTGAATCCCAGACTCCATACTTCCAACATTTTCGAGAGCCAATGGGGCCAACTGGGACGCGAGAAATTAAATGGGGCGCAGCCCTTTACACCAGGGACGCAAATAACTGTTAGGCAACTCTTAGAAAGCTAATTAGCCCAACCTTTAGGCCTTGGCTAAGGCGAGCTTTAAGCTGGGGCTACGATAGACACCAGTATACGACAGGTCCTGGTAGATGCATGCATCAGGGTTTGCTTACTATCTTGATCCTTCGGACCCCTCACCATTATAGGGGCCAAAAATGCAATGATCTAAAATTCTAGCTACGTAATTGAATGCCTATCATACCAAGGCATCTAGTTGGATTGCATTTAGATTGTTATTAATAATCGAATTAGAACCCGCAGTCTCAGTGAATTTGTGGAAATTACGATGATTTTTAATATAACCGGCCCTTCCACCTACGGCATGGAGGGCCGCAGCCTACTTAGTTGGTTCTAAGTTGATGGGTAGTATAAGTATTGGATAAGGCTGGATACCTAATTAGTATAATCCTTAATCTGTCGTGGAGAATATTTAACTACAACATTGTAATCACTTTGAATTCGGTTAACCCCCCCAACTTTTATAACTCTTCTGTTCACTATGATCGCAAGCACCCAACTCGATGGTGTGGCTCTTGTTGTCGGAGTTAGTCTTCTCATACTCCTCCATATCTCGCTTACCCCTCATGCTATAGCTATGCTACTTGAGGCTAACATGGTACACCCATATAGTCTGGCCGCGGCATCGGTCAACAAGCGGCCTTTTCCCTAGCCGAAGCAGGTGCCAGAGTAGTCATCTTCGCTGATATGAATGAAGAGACAGCCAAATTATCTGCCGAAGAAAGCAAGAAATACGCCTCAAATAAGGACTACACCGCGACTACTTTTACCGTTAATGTTACCGATGCCAAAGGCGTCCAGGATATGGTGGATTTTGTCATTGAGAAATTTGGACGTCTTGATTACTGTGTGAATGGTGCGGGGGTGAGTATTATCTATTTATCTCCATGTCTATATTATATGCACTATGAACCAATTATAAATATCTAATAGGTTGATAATGGCGTTCACTGTCCTGTTGCCGATACTAACATCGAAAACTTCGAACGTATTATGAATATAAATGCAAAGGGTATGATGCTGTGTGTCCGTGCCCAGTGTGCAGCGATGCGCAAGCAAAGCCCCAAAACAGTCCAGGGCCGTAATGGCACGCGTGATATTGGGCGCGGCGCGATTGTAAATATCGCCTCTGCAAACGCCTTCGCTGGTCTCCCAGGAAAAATGTCATATACTGTATCCAAGCATGCGGTGATGGGGTTGACAAAGATGGCAGGTATGTTCTATTTAATTTATTATACCTTGCACCACATTGTAAAGGGAATAAAGGAATATTAATAAATTATATAGGGCTGGATCACGCTGCAGAAGGGATCAGATGTAATGCCGTCTGCCCGACATGGGTCCGGACGCCTCTTCTTGATATTGAACTGGAGGCGAACCCTGAAGTTGCGGGCATGATCTCTGCTATTGTGCCGATTAAACGGGCGGCAGAGTGCGAGGAGGTGTCAGATACAATTGCGTATCTACTTAGCCCGGCATCAAGTTATATTAATGGGACCAGTGTTTTGATTGATGCAGGAGTTACGACAACTGTACGTCTCTTTTAGTCTTATCCTGATTGTTTCATTCTGCTATTAGTTCAATGGCATTATCAAATAGTGTAAGAATGAAGAAAATTAATTGAAAAGACTTCTCTATTGCTCCAGTAATTAATACTCTAATTCCGAGAGGATTTTCTGAATGGACTGTACGCCAAACCGTCTGTGGAGTAACACAAGCATAAAATTTCTTCCTGGACCTTACTCAGGCACTGTTGGTGTTGAATATTTTAATAATACCAGTACATTACAACTAAGAGAAAAAGAGGACAGGCTGCATGCATAGGGAAGTAGCTGAGTGGAGTCGATGCTCAGAATAGCGCTTATACATATACGATTTTGATTGATCCTCAGTAACTTATTGCCTTATAGATAACCTTACGGAACTGTGTGTTTAGCTTAGTATTGTAAATTTCTAGGACGTCCACTCCGCTCGTGTCAGTATAAAAAGGCCTGTATGGGGCAGCAAACGGTCAAAGTTTCTCAATGTGTATCTCAACCAAAATCTTTGCCTTTCAGAATGAATACAATCAAACCCACCATTGTTCTGGTCCATGGTGCCTGGCATACCCGGACCATGTTGCCTGCGTCCGTCATATTGTCGAACCCTTGGTTGAATGTGGACAGCGTGTCTTGATGGTGATGCATTCTTTTGTTGGGGGCAGTGTGTACGGACGCAATTGAGGGTCTGTCGTTGGTAGACCGCCAACGCAAGGGTCAACCCGGAGGCGTTATCCATCTTACCTACCTCTGTGCTTACATCCTGCCGCCCAATAGCACGATCATGGGAATTGTCGAGGAAGCTGGTATGGCACATCTTTGGTCCCAATTCGTCAATGAGGCGGAAGATGGGTCCACATTTCCTGTTGATCCAGTGTTGTTGTTCCTCGGCGGGGTGGACAAGGAGATCGTGGATGAGGCACTGCCTCATCTAGTGCGCTTCCCTCGCTCAGTCTTTACAGCCCAAACGTCTGGTAGCGCCTGGCGACATATTCCAGTAACCTATGTGCTCACACAGGAGGACTACTCGGTGCCTCGGGTGTACCAGGACATTATGTTGGAGAAGGTGCGCAAAGAGGGGCTTGTGCTCAGAACAGTGGATTTTAAGACCAGTCACAGTGTGTTTATTACGAAGCAGGAGGAAATGGTTCAGCTTGTGGTGGAGGCAGCCGAAGATGAGCGCAACCCCGTATGAAATAATGACCGTGTAGCGGTCTTAGTACGAAACAAGACTAAAGGGGCATGGCATTTACCGCAGCAGAGGTTAAGATGATTAAGGTATTTCAGCACCGTTGTCGTATGATTTGTCCATGTCAATATAGTGGAAATATTGGAAATCGGCTGTACAGAACCATCTATACCTCGTCTCCCTTTTGCATAGTTGGATATTCTCCGCCCCATCCCCGTTTCCAGCAAAAAAAGTGTTCCACGGTTATTCGGGATTCTTGAAAAACTATATACCATCATGACATCCTGCAGGTGCCACATTGTTTCCATGGTTCTTACTTATATAAGATCTCTTAACGGGGCCACTACTGTGTGAGCAGCACCGCAGCGATATTAGCCACCACAAAACTCCAAGTCCAATGAAGTCCACGCCTAATATGATACTTCACCGTGTGATCAATTGACTCGGATATTATTGATCCTTGGGAACGGTATATCTGGTACATCCTTCCCCAAACACTTGCACGGGGGTTTCATTCTTCCTTCCTTTATATCAAAGAACACAAGCTGACCCTCCGAGACGATTTCGTTTAGCCGCTCAATATGTCGGTGGTAGATACCCTCAGATGACCTCCCAGGTAGTGGCAGAAGAACCCCGCGGAGGAACAACAGTGTTGCTCAACTAGCAACCTGCTGGCTCTTTACCCAAGCCTTAGGTTCACGAGCTGTACAGATAACGATTGCCTTAGGATGTAGTTCCATCAGTTCCGGTACGACCTGCAAACCGGGGGCATCCATAGCAGCAATATATCCATCTAGCCTATAAGAGAGCGAACTTGCTGTTGCTCTTGGGGTTCGCCCTAAGCTAGTGCCTGAGGATTCCAATCCAGGGTTTAATTTCAATTGGACGACCCTTTGTTGTTTGCGTACTGCCATGGTGGATGGGCCCATCTAGGAGAATGCTGAGGGCAGTGCTGAATGAGGTGGTTGCTGTGCGGGAGAGACCAGGCGCAATAACTTGGATGTTCTTCCCGGGCTGTGGTACAGAGGCTTGTTGACTCATATTGATGGCTTTGGGACGTATCTGTAGGGAATATACTACTTCAGGTGAATCTTTAGTCGAGGTGGTGTATTATCAGTAGAATGGGAACAAAGTTACGAGTAGTATGGGAGATGGTGGGAGGACAAGGCACAGCATGCAATACTTCGAAAAGTATATATATCTACTAGGTATTTTTAGGACAAAGGATAACTTGGGAAAGTCAAATACGCTAGAGTTCAGCGCTGACACTTCATGCATATATAAATGACCTTATAGTGGACAGTGGGCTTTTTTTCTCTGTGTGCTGCGTGATTATGGCAACGTAATCGGACACTGAATGGCAAAGTTTTTCACCCCTGCCACCCCCCCATTTGGATAATATTTTGTCGGTCAGCTGAATACGCGTATGAGCCAGTATCACCGATCATATAATAATATGGATCTGCATTGAAAAGGATAAGTTCTCTTGAGGTCTCTAACTATCTGAATCTATCTGGGAGAATCGAATAAAAGGTGAAAAACAAGAGGCAAAGTCAGACTGAGCGGATACTGAATAATGGGTAATATATTGACCCACTTTGGTCACACTTTGTGACATTTTACCAAGACCATGAGCCATCCAAACTGTTGAACTAGTGCCCCAGCCAGGTTTTGCAGAAACCTGGTATCAGTTGTTGAGTACTTCGTAGAGGTGAATGGGATAAAATGCGTAGGATTATAATGAGGCGTGCGCTCTTCAATAAGTTCCGTGGCTGGGAGGACTCCAGCTCGGACAGCGGGAGTTTTACAATGGCCTGATTGCAAGAGGCGGGCTAATTTATTTTCTTGGTGCCATAGTAGACTAGCCGCTGCTTGAAATGCAATGTATTGAACTTAAAATGCCTACTGACGCCTTAGATACTCACTTGTGCTGGAGATCAACATGATGTATGCAGCGTTACTGAGGGTGGGTTTCCTTCCCAACGATACATTCCCCATAACATCCCATCTGACAAATATAATCTGAGATGTGGTCCTACCCTCTGGCCATAGAATCTAATTGATGAAACCGAGTCTATCACCCTCTCCCTTTGGATATGCAACCCCTGAATTGACGGATTAGCAATGCTGCAACTACTTCTGGTAAGGTCTCTGGATTTACGCACCATGGATGGGATGAACAAGCCATCCAGGTTTCAACATATCCACCGTCCGGGATTTGGTCCATTGATCTAGCCTTTCCCAGTTAACGCACTGATGGGAGGTTGCGTTCGCGATCGGAAGCAGAGAACCCGGACTCCATTGATAGGTTATCAGCCCGATATCTCCATGGCACATGGCCGATTGACGAAGGAAGTCGATGCAGTGCTCTGGCAGGAATCCGTCAGCAGTGCAACCTGGTAATACTATTATGCAGGTGGGATATATAATACAGACCATTATGCATCCGGTTCATGTCGTCCTGCTTTTCGGTGAACTCCGGGAAATAGTAGTCGGGGTACATATACTGATGAATTCTCTTCAAGCAGTGAAGTTCATGGTAGACATTCAGAGTCCCCAGGTATCCTCCGCCCTCCGGAACAGCGACTCCGAGGTTCTCTCGCCCCAAGTGTTCGATGTATTCCGGCTCGATGATGATGTTCTCCGCTAAGTTTGACAGGAGTAAGTTGGGCTTATGTTTGGAGCCGGAGAAGAGCGAGCCGTGAAGCTTACCATTGAGTAAGTCATGCCATGCCTTATCTAGTGCTGGGCTTGGTTTCCCGACGAATCTCCCATCTTCCGTGATATGGTCCTCCAAGCTGAACTTGTGGTTTTCCCACTGAACAGCGGTCACGGCAGGGGCTGCAACGTGCAACATAAGTTACTGAGGAATCTACTTGGGGACGAAACATACAGAGTGGCAGGCCATTCCGGCGAGGATCCAGTCCATTCTTCGCCACTGCAGCTAGGACAGCACCATAAATTGCGAAAAGAATCACATGGCCCATAATCAGCCATCGGCCTTTCTGCCACCAGCGTAGGTGTCGATGAGGCGCGAGTCCGTATGGATAACCTTCAAGCAGGTTGTCCTGGGAACCACCATCCTTAAAGGGCTCATGCTCCTTGGAAGGTTCTCTGGATTTATCGCTTACATGTAGATAAGGTGTAGGGCGTTTCACCCATGAGAGAAGCTGCAGCCTATTCAGGTGGACCATGGCATATAGAAGTGCAATTGAAGCAGAAGAGAAACGGACCTTTCGTGCCCGCCCTATTTGCGGAGTGTAGGATTTTTAAGTAATGCATTTCAATAAAATGTCCTGTGGTGAGGAGAAATATTACTCCTCCTCGATAGACAGTCCAATAAGAAGCAATCCGACACTGATGACCGGGCTGATGTGATGCGGAGGATCGCATGGTGAGGCTGAGGGTAATGCACTGTCATCGTATGCTGCAGATATGACTCGGGGTGGTCAGCCTGTCTCAGACCTTTACCATCATGGTCACCGCCGTCCAGTGGTGACCTCAAATGCAGTGTCAACCATTGTCACATCTTCTGCTGTTTCTTTGGGTGCCTGACAAGTGACTCCGGTCTTATTGCTGATGTTTCAGTTCCTCAGCTTGTCCGCGTTCTCTATAGCCATTTACCAATTTATTTACCTTTATTTTTATATTATTTTTATTATATTTTCAAAGTCTCTTTTGTCCTTTGCCTTGTCATGCTATACTTGAAATGGTGCAATAATCATCATAAACAAAAAGTGGCCGGAGCATGTTATCCGAAAGTACACTTCTCGGGCAAATGCTGCATGATGAATCTTTGGATCTTATATCATCTCCTTTTTACCATATCAACGGTCGTGACATCATGGACACCTTACGCTATTAAAGAAATCCACGAGGTACCCTCAGCATGGACTCGCCGAGGAGCCGCAAACTCAACTCTGAATATAACACTGTACATTGGTTTGCAACCAGCGACTCCCAACAAATTGCATAAGCATCTCCTTGAAAGTAAGATGACGTTGTCCCGAGGTCAAGCGGAACCAATTTTCTAATAAAGACATATAGTTTCCGATCCTTCCCATCACAGATATGCTCAGTTTTTAAGCAGGCAGGATGTAAGGAAGGCTCTGGAACCGCCTCGACAGGCTGTGCATCACGTACAGGCTTGGTTGAGCCGTGCGGGCGTCGCCGATGGCTCTCACTCAATCTGTGAGAGCAGGGATTGCATGATGGTGACTTTGACTGTTGCAGCTGCAGAGAGATTGCTTCAGACAAAATACCATGAGTACATTAATGGGGAGGAAACGGCAATAAGAGCAACACAGTGGTCACTACCAGAAGAATTGCATGAGGTGATTGACGTTATCCAGCCCACCACGTCATTCTTTCGCATTCCAGCCCGGGCTAGGAAGATGGCACGTCAGAATAGAACAGGAGGGGAAAGCAGTAGCACTTCACTCAACGATCTCGCCGTAGAGGTCGAAGAAGGGACTGGCAACGTAATAGACCTACAAAGTATTCCGGCCAATTTGACGCCCCACCAAGCATGCAACACGAGTGCGGTGACGCCCCTGTGTCTGCGAACCCTGTATGGGACACTATACTATAAGGTTCAGGAATTGAGCCAGAATCGAATGGCTCTGGTCAATTACCTGGGGGAGTTCAATAACCAATCCGATATTGCACAATTCCTCCAGGCCTATCGACCCGATGCCGTTGCGGGAGCCAAAACTTTCCATGACATTAGTATTGCGGGTGGCATCAATCAGCAAAGCCCAGCTACACCGCAGCAAATAGCGAAGGGTATAGGCCGGGAGGGCAATCTCGACGCGGAAATCATGCTGGGCATTGCGCATCCTATTCCCCTTACCACGTACACGGTCGCCGGGGAGCCACCATTTACTCCCGACTCCTATACCCTCACCAACACCAACGAACCCTACCTCACATGGCTAGACTGGATTCTCGCACAGCCGGACTCCGAGCTCCCCAGCGTGGTCTCGACTTCCTATGGTGACAGCGAACAAACCGTGCCCTTTTCATACGCCCAGCGTGTCTGCCGGGGCTTCGCGCAGCTCGGCGCTCGGGGCGTATCCGTCATCATGGGTTCTGGAGACCATGGAGTGGGACAACCAGAGCACTGCATGTCCAACGATGGCCAGAACCGTCCCCAGTTCCAGGTCAACTTTCCCGAGTCCTGTCCGTGGGTCACCTCGGTCGGGGCGACCAAGGGGATCGAGCCGGAAGTCGTGGCCGTGAATGACGACAACGGGTTCGTCTCTGGCGGAGGGTTCAGCAACTACTTCCCTCGTCCATCTTATCAGCGACAGAACCCGCAGGCGGTTGCTCGATACCTGTCTGAGATCGGCGACTTGCACTCGGGCCTGTTCAACCCTGAGGGGCGAGCGTATCCAGATGTCGCGGTACAGGGGTATCGGTATGCCACCGTCTGGAATGGGGAAACGCGACTAGTGGATGGGACATCAGCATCGACGCCCACGTTCGCCGCGATCGTGGCTTTGGTAAACGATGCGCTGATCGCGAGCGGTCAGCCACGCATGGGGTTTTTAAATCCGTGGCTATATGCCGAGGGACATGAGAGCTTTCGTGACGTTACGGTCGGGTCTAATAAGGGATGCAACACCACGGGCTTTCCGGCGGGCGAGGGATGGGATGCAGCAAGTGGATGGGGCACACCATGGTTTCCTGACTTGGTGAAGATGGCGCTGCAGCGGAGATTCCGTAGTAATCGACCCTGGTATGTCCCGTGATGCGGCCTCGGTCGAGCATGCCTCTTTCGGTCTCGGATATACCGTCTTGATCACCTGACGCCCGCTCTCTGCCGCTCGCTTCTACAACCAACCGGGCCAGTAATCCAGTATAGATAGTATGAAGCCATACAGCCACATACAAACGAGGTATTGATTAGATTTCTTGGTGGAATAGGATAGTCAACATAAGGAAGCTGTACAATTAATTTTTTCCGTCCCGAAATTGCTGCGGCAGCCAGATTTGCCTTCGCCGATGAACCACTATAGGTGCCTCTTCCGCTTCCTCCTGGCTTTTCTTACTAATATCCTGCATTTCGTTCGATAAAGAAGGTCCCGAGGCATTATTCTTATCCTTATTAGTTTGTTGGGAATTTTTTTTAAGCTGTAGATTAGCTTGTTTTGCGACCTTTTCTCTTTTTGACGTCATTTTACTGACTGTTCCTCTGGGTCCATGGGCCCGAGAAGTTAAACAGGCTTCAGGCCTTTGCACCTGTGCTTAAATATTTGTTAAATGGCCTGAAAGCGGCGATGATAATCTAACCGAGGTCATGAGAGTAGGCAGAGTTCTCGAGAGGGGAAACAATGGTGAGTTTAGTGATCGAAAACCCTGAGAAAAAGAGATCCTTCGGATGTGAGTGAGAGGGCGCTGCGCCAGGTCACTGAAAATATATATTTCTAGGCACTTGTAAATTATAATGCGAATTTACACTGGTCATCCCTCTTTCCAGGTGATCATCGTGCATTCCTCCATTCAATCCCCAAAGTCTTCTCTCGACCATCAGAGTAACTGGCGACCCTTGGCTCGCAGCCGAGCACCGTACAGCCAGAGAAGGAATGGAGCCGGGACCCCGATGCCCAGAAAGAGAAAGGCCAACATGCTATTGCCCCATCCCTGACCAAGATGCTTGTAAAGTGCAGGGGCAAATAGAGGAAAGCAAAAAGCAAAGATACTCCTCATGAACTGGCTGGCGGCACTGGCCGACGCCATGTGCCCTTCAAAAGCTTCCATAACATACTGCTGAAACGCCTGGGTGGTCATAATCATGCCCAGATTGAACATGGCGGCCCCGATGTCGACTGCGATCCATGGCAAGACGCGCTCGGCCGACCAGCCGTAGAGAAAGAGACCCGCTGGAATGAAGAAGAGCCCGGGCAGCAGCAAGGGCACGCGGTACTCGGGGGCCGTCTGGCCGCCGGCTCGTCGTTTGAGGTAGGCCCATAACTTGTCGGTGACGCGCGCTCCAACCTGGGCGCCAATGGTCGAGCCAATGACCAGGGAGATATAGTGCAGGCCACTGACCGAGACGGATTGATGATATCGGACGATGTAGACAGTCGCGAATTCGGTGATCACCAGATACAAAATGCCAAAGTTGTAGGCAAAGAATATGGAGACGACCTGGAGGATGGGTTGGGTGGCCAGCATCCAGATCGGCCGGCAGATGGCCCATTTCAGCTTCCGCGGCAGCGACTGGGAGAGGACATCATCCCACTTGGTGTGATAGGGCCTTCCCGTCGCTTTGCGCAGTTTGCGCGCCCGCCAGTGGAGGAGGACGCGCTCATAACTTTCCGGGAAGAGCCAGAGCGCGCTGATAGCCAGGCAGCCATCGAAGATAGACAAGACCCAGAAGAGCCACCGCCAGCCGACGCTGTTCGTGATGACGCCGCCGAGAATGGGACCCAACGCGGGCCCTAGCAAGGGAATGAAATTGGCGATCGAGAAGGAATACCCGCGCTCCTCGGGTCGCCAGCAATCGCCGAGGACAGGGATGGACACCTGGTTGTACGTCAGTCCTGCCGCCTACTGCACAGCATCGGGGGTCAACCATTCCCATACCGCAAACTCGGCGCTGGCCCCCAGACCCGACAGGATGCGCCCGGCCAGCATCAACCCCCGGTTGTGGGCGAAGCCGCAGACGGTGTTCCAGAGCACATACCAGGCCGAGGCGACGATCCAGACGACGCGGCGTCCGTACACCTCGGAGAGCGGCGCCAGGACCATGGGCCCGAAGGCAAAAGCCAGCACAAAGATGGAGAGCAGCATGTTGGTGGTTTCGGGGCTCGAGTGGAGGTCTTCGCTGATCGCCTCCAGGGCTGGGGCCAGCATACCCCCGCTCATCAACGTCACCAGGCCGCCAAAGGAGGTGATCATGGTGATCCCCCATTTCCACGGCATTGACCAGTTGAGCGGATTCTCGGGGTCGTCAAGCCCGTTCCATGTCACCTGTCGTCTCCCGTTAGTTGTCGTTAACCTCTGGAACTCCCACCACTCACCAGAAATTCATCCTGCTGGTTGGAGTCCACCTCGGTCTCTTGGGTTGTTTCTTCCGTTTTGGTCTCCTCGGCTATGGGAGCGGCAGTTTCAATGTCGTCCTTCATCTCTGGGGGGCTCTTTGTGTCAACTGAGCGTGCACACCACAGGAATCCCCCGGGAAGAGAACAGGACCAGGACGCTGTATATAATACAGCCTCGTCGCGCGGAGCACGCTAGTTCCCAAAGGCGCAATCGGGGCCGAGGCCGCTTCGGAGGCCGGCCAATGGTTACTTTGCAGGGATCGCTTATGGCCAAGATATCTGTCAGAATAAGGCCAGTCCATGCTGGGACATCATGGGAAGTAATAAAGTGACGTGGCTATATAAGCTGTTCCTCCAGAAGAAGAGGATTCAAGCCTTCATAGAGTTACACTTATAATCCTGACAATAAAGTGTCTCATTCGCTGTTGTTGTTGAGCGCCCGAATCCTGGTTTGACCACCTTCTTTCCTAAGGACCTAAAGACCTCGACGTAGATAGTACCTGAAGAGGAAGATCCCCAGGAAGATTCTCAAGGCTAGACTAGAAAAGGTATAAAGAGGTTCAGCGTGTGATTAAAATGTATAATACACGCTGAGGGGGTGTCTCAGAATAGGCAAATATACAAGAACTACGCACAAATTGTATCAGCGCTACTTTTGTAGTGCAGTGGTATATCTGACAATATCCGGGCGCTCAGGGATGAGGCAGGAGTTCTGGATCTATGGACGATTCCTGCTCGTATCCAGGCCATCCTGTCCACCCTACGCCACCAGTAACTCCGCGTCTCTTAGGCGTCCAATGAGTCCGACAGGTCATCCGGTGCGCATCCCGTCGCACTGCTTACGATGCGGGGTGCCCCCAATCAGCAGCTTCCCAAGGTCAGTTAGATACTGTGCTGCACGGACAGGGGTCCTCTCGCGTGGCGATATTGGTTGAGACAGGGAGCAACGGGATTCAGGAAGGATGCAGTCCCATGCGCGCCGCCCACAAATCACCACACTGGACGATTGCAAACTGCCAAGTCTCCCAACTAGAAGCTTAAATAGACGGACCGACTGGTGCCAATCGGGGCCCTTTCGAGGCCGTCCACCGACTAATCGCGATCAAGGAGATCATTCGCCGCACTGCCAAACGTGGTAAATAGATTGCATAGATAGGATACAGTAAGCGGCGGGGTCTCTTATTCGGTATAAGAATGCTTCCGTGCGGAATGCTACTCTACGTCTACGATGGCTCTTGTAGATTCATGGATGACCATAATCGGAATCATGTTCCAGGAAGCGCAAGTGACCCCAGCGCCGGTGACGATCGAGCGTGATCCGCTTGAGGTTCGGAGGGAGAGAAACAGGCTGGCACAGCGCCGACACCGCCAAGGCATGCTTCACCCCCTGATATTTCCACTTACGCATGTTCTCCAACTAATGCCCAGTCAGCGAAACGGGAGAATGCCCATGGCAGACGTAAATCGAACCCCCAGAGGCCCGGCTTGCTGGTCACCCAAAGTCCGGACTCGACGATGCAGACGACGGCTATGAGTGTCCCGAACAATGCAGCGTCGATCCAGCTGCCCAATCCCCTCAAGTAAGTCGAATAACGTCCCCCCTGGTTTGTACTGGCTGGCCGTGGTTGACACCATGACGGGTACCTAGTCTGGACTACCTGCCGGATGTGATTCGAATGCCTCATCCCAATGTGGGGGATTTTATGGACTGCGAAAATCTACTGATGCAGATGGAATCATCCATGGCCTCCATCCCACCGGGTACGGAGAATGACAATGAGCGTTCATGTCGGTCCTATTCCCCCTATACCACCCGGCTACCAGAATCGTCGCCCACGGCAGTCAACCACAACCTTGATCAGACACAGGCTCACCACTGCAAATCCCACAGCACCTCCGCGCTACATGAAAATCAAATGGCCCTGCCGAATGCGCCCCCCTTGGTGCCTGACCCCCGCTTCCACTTGCCCTCTAGGTGTTGCTCCGATGACAGTGGTCATGTCGTCAAGCAAAATTCCGACCAGGGCCCAGCAGCATACGGCACGCGCGATCAGGTATCTTCTGTCCCAACATGCTATGCCGCCCGAGCCGAATGCCCCTCTATATCGAGATACACCCCAGGTACGCCAGAGGGCAATGGTTACATGGTCGTGTGCTAAATGTTCCAGACACGCATGCTGCTCCGTCGCACGGCACCGCAAACTGCTCTCACCGGGCATTCGAGTCCGGAACGGATCGAGCAGACCTTGCCACGCTCCAGCTGCGACTGGAGAAAGCCTTAATATCCATCGAGGAAGCCGGATTTGCATCGATAGAGGATCTTGTCACTGATTATTATACTCGGCAGTTCTCCAAGGACACGACCCTCGCGGCCGCACAGTCCTACTCCCGCAGTAGACGCCTTCGCCACCTTCTCCATGCACTGCATGAGAATACCCGGACCTGGAGTGAGCGCGAAGTGACCGGATACCAGGAATCCGTGATCCGAGCAGCCGAGGAAATACTTCGAAACGAGATCCAGAAGCAGGTCTCCAAAAGCCGGCAAAAAAGACCACCGGATGTGACGAAGGCTTCAGGCTATAGTCATTCCTTCGCCCACGGCCATTCGTTGTCGCTTCCGAATTATAGCCTACCACTTTCGCCCTCCATGCCTTCGCGCCGAAGCCCTGAGATGGAGACTCTTCTCGAGAAGATTCGTCGGAATGCGCTGGCATCCACCTTCACCCAAGATATTCCCCGCCTACAAGAAACTGTAATTTGCCCGGAATATTTCTTTGTTGCACTCACCGTCTCCGTTATGCCACCTTCTGCTTTTCTAACGACACGTTCTATTTAGGTTCCGGAAGTGTTTTTTCTACTGACTGAGCTGGCCCAAAGTAGTGGCCTTCGCGGACAAGAACGATCAGCTGCAGTATGTCTGTTTTTAAATATGCTTGGATTATAGATACACAAGTATTACCGGAGATTTTATTGTGTTATTGGTGTCTGTACGGCATACAACTGTAGTGACTCAACTCGTTTGACTTGGGCTATGTGCATAAACGCCGCCAGACATGAAGATCCGAGATAAAGATGATCACCGTGTCGAGGTACCAAGTAGGTGTACATGAGACTATTTACGAACAATTGATGTCTTCCAAGATATTTACAGCCTAAATAGATTTGTTAGAGGGGGACTATGTTTACAGTTATGGCTTATATATCAAAGAGTGAAATTTCGAACCCCACCCTCCGTAGGTCATAACTAAATGCTTCCTACAGACATGGAGACGGAAGGAAACCGGAATATTCATTGCACCCATGTTCTCCGCCCACAAAACCTCGAAGATAGTCTGTACCTACCCTATCACCACATTCCGTCGCATTTGTCCGATGGTCAACCAGCACATACAATTCATGTGCCATGAGAAGATCTAATAAGTGTTTAACTATGGCCTTGCTCTCAGAGGACTAGGATACTTACTGTCTTAGTCGCCTAGTGGTCATCCGAATGAGCTTCAGAGCGCTTGTCGGCGATATAGCGTGTTGCGGAATCAGCATCTGCTCGCTTGTCGGCAATATAGCGAGTAGCAGAATCCGCGTCTGCTCTCTTGTCGGCGATGTAACGCGTAGCGGAATCAGCATCTGTTCGCTTGTCGGCGATGTAGCGAGTAGCAGAATCCGCGTCTGCTCGCTTGTCGGCGATGTAGCGAGTAGCAGAATCCGCGTCTGCTCGCTTGTCGGCGATGTAGCGAGTAGCAGAATCCGCGTCTGCTCTCTTGTCAGCGATGTAACGAGTAGCGGAATCAGCATCTGCTCGCTTGTCGGCGATATAGCGGGTGGCTGAATCCGCGTCTGCCCTCTTATCAGCAATGTAGCGAGTCGCTGAGTCTGCGTCCGTTCTCTTGTCAGCGATATAACGTGTAGCCGAATCCGCGTCTGCTCGCTTATCAGCAATATAGCGAGTGGCCGAATCCGCGTCCGCGCGAGCTGCAATTGGGGCTACGAGAAGGATATATTATTATTTGGCGTTCCACTGAGGCACCAGTCACCAACATACCATCAGCTATGGGAGCTCCGGCAGCAAGAGCAGCGAAGAAGGAGACGAGGGCAAGGGTCTTAGATAGCTGCATATTGCTCTGTTTGGAAGACGTAAAGTGTAATTGTGAACAACTGGTTCTGGAGTTGGCTGTGGGCTGTAAGAATATTGTGGTCGTATAGGTAGAATAGGCGTCATGCAAAGACCAAGTTCAATTTATATCAACGTGGTAGGCACACCTTTGGGTCACTTGGGATCAGAATGACCTTGTGTCTCTCCATTACCAAGGTAGACAGCTCACCATGACCATTGACCGGAATACGGCCGCATCGGACATACGAGCACTGCGTTTATTCCCGAACATGGCCTATGCAGTGTCAAGGTGAGTTTGACTTTGCTTTCGATTGAGGTTTCAAATTCACATGCCTGCGGTGTGATCCAAGGGATGAGAGTAAGGCATGCCAGGAGAGATGGAATAGCTCCGAATTCTATTCCTGCTCCGCAGAAGCCTGTCCAGTAGAACCGTTCAGCCAACATGTCTTGTTGAAACAGGATATAACTTGTCAAACGATGCCAGACGCTAATGCAAGGTCAATCCTGGTGGGCCTAAACTAAGGGCCCCATTCCTTTCTGACAAGGAAGAGTATACCCCAAATTATTAGCATGTCAGCCATGAGGCTGCCGGGTTCCTCTAAACATGATTATTGTCGACAGAGGGAAGTAGTGCTCACCTAATCCGCTAACTGATGACGGTCAACATTCGTGACCTGCAGTCATTCACCAACGGTCTAGCTGTGGACTATTCGTAGCGTGCTGACACTGCATCGACCACAATATCGTGATTAGAGTATTGGCCTTTATCATCAGGTGTCTGTGTGTAGTACCATCGAGTAGGTCCCCGCTGTTACCTCGGATGACGTCTCCCCATGGTGATGAAATGCAGCTGCATCTTGGCGTTCCCATTACCAGGTGGACGTCAGGTTACGTGCCCTCTGCTCCACGTTTGGCATATCTCTCTTCCTGCAGTTATCTCTTCATCTGAGGGCCTGGAATGGATGTGCCTCAATCCAGCATGGACCATGACAAAGGAACCCATTTCGACGACAATGTGTCGCTTCTATCGTCCAGGGACAACGTAGACACGACAGATAGTTTACTAGAAAAGTCGCCTTCGTCTCAACGCAGGTCACTACCTGCCTGGAGGGAACATATCTGTTTCTTGTCCTGCACTATCACTGGTTTCATTTTTCTCCTGGTTCTGATCACAGTCCTCATCGAAAACAACAAGCGACTGAAAAGCCAACTACGTGAAAGTACTATTTATTGTACGTTTTATTGCACATATACCCCATGTATCGGTGGCGCATATACAATCACTAATATGATGAAATCAACAGCGCCAGCCAACGAGGTACTGGAATGGCATTCCGTGGAGTGGGCATCTGCCGATGGGGAATCCCGCGACGGTGCTCACGGCGACTATGTTGGAGAGCCTCGTCCTGTCCTCGAAAAGGCCTGGGGAGACATCTTCGACGGTAAGCATATTTTATTCTACAATGGCATGAATGTGACCCACTAATAGCATGATAGTCATGAATGTTCGTATCTCTGAAGAAGATCTGCGTGCCGTCGAGCGGTTAGAAGGGGCCGTCGCGCTGCCGGACGGGGGGTACGTTGGCAGTCTGAATATATTCCACGAGTTACACTGTGTGGTAAGTGCCAGGATATCATATCTTCGGGCATGTACTGACATCCTATATGCTAGTGGTGGATGTACAAATTTGTCCACGCAGACCATTACTTTGAAGGCGCGACTCGAAAACAACATGCTATTATGAAGATACACGCTCGTTAGTATCTCTCCTTCCTCTATCTCCATTACTGTATCTCTACGCTGAACTGGATCAGGGCCTGGGAGCTCACTATAAAAACACAGACCATTGCTTGAATATCTTGCGCCAGTCAGCTATGTGTCACGGCGACGTGGGATTAATCACATACAATTGGAACCCGGATGTTTTGAAGCCCGATGCCACGGCGACGATGCATCAGTGCGCTAACTGGGATCGGATCACTGAGTGGGCAAGGGCGAGAGCCGTGAACATTACGAAGCCGGGCGTCTTGGTGCATCCAAATTTAGGTACGAACCTCAGTATCAAAGTACCGCATATGGGCTAATAAGCGTTCCATAGGAACTGTGTTCAAGGAAGGGGACAAGGAGGAACTGGCCGTTGGTATGCCACCGGTGGAGATCGACCCGGACTCACTGTGATCATTCGACTCTCAGTTCTAATTATAACTGTTTAAATGCAAAGCAAATGTTGTTACAAGCCTAGCGGAATAAGTCTGATTAGTCTGCCTTTATTTACCATAGAGCCATTCTCTATAAATAATTAGTGCTTCCTTATTGACATGCTAGTCCCAGGCAGATCCAATTGCATTCTCTTTATGTAATCCAAAATTTGATAGAAGCTATAGAGGACTAGCTGTCGACGTATCCATATGCAGCTATCATATAACACAACATAGAAATTGAGGTGTACCATCCTACGATATTAGTAGAATTTAAAATCAGTGATACAAAAGTGAAATTATCGTATTTCGAAATACCCTGTATATAGAAATGTAGGCTCTCTAGGCCAAGGCAACGTAATATACATATATATCGAATATTTTAAATGTTTGGGCTGTACCGACTCTACCTACGGTATGAGAAAGCTCCTACTGATGTGCCTAAACTGTCTTCAGTTGCATGGAATTGGCTATGGCATGTAAATTTCAGAGCCATGTCGGCATCATTCTCACTTCCCAATATACCCCAGACTAATCCAGAGATGCTGACAGTTGCAACCCTATGATGGAGATATCCCCTATCATAGGGAATTGTCTAGATGGTTTATTTCACTGTTAAATCATTCGGGATCCTTGTGATTAGCAAGCGTTGAAGACTCTGAGATATCCTGACTCGAGCGTTCATCATCGTCATCATCGTTGCTAGTCGTTAGAGCAAAATATTCGTTTCCTTGTGCCTTCCATGGTGGATACGGGGTCACTTGCTCCATGTGCTGGGTCTCGCGCCTCTTGCGACGCTTCATCACCCAAACCCACCCGATCAAGGCGACAGCATCGACTGCAATGAATGTTGATACAAAGGCGATCTGCCCAGAACCATGTCCCGACAAGACCATTCCAGAGATGATGTTCCCCCAGCCGCAGATGAGTATTATCCGGCCCAGCCAGATGTGCGCATGGGATGCCCATTGTCGGCGTTTGGTCTTCACAAAGACCACATGGTGGCGCCAACCCAGCAGACTCTGGATCACAGTTCCGACGGCGACCGTGATACCTAGCCACTGGTGGACTGTGTCCAGCCCATGGCTGTGCACGATTCCCAGCGCCACCCCGATCCAAATAAAGATGGCGCCGATAATTTGTACGATCCAGTGATATTTGAACGCCTTTGTTGAGCCGGACCGCATGGCCACCACTCCAACGGGTAAGAGGATGAGATATGCAGTCGCCAACAGGACGCCATGCAGTAGACCCATCCCACCGGCGTTGAACCAGCCCACGAGGTCTGTCACTGCAGGACTATCGGATGCGCCCAAAGCGGAGACGTGGGCTCGAATGATCGGTAATGAGGGCGGATTACGCGACTTGGCGATGGACCGAGCCATATCCACGTAGAAATGACCCCAGCCACCATTCCCAGCGTGGTGCCGATGCATATCCAGGTGAGTGTCATAGGAATACACGGAGAACTCCTGGTTCTCGTTCCATGCCCAGATCCACGGCTGAGAAGCTGCAGTCGCGGAGATAGGCGTGCCGGGCCATTTTTCGCATGAATAGCAGACCAAGGCCACCTTGGCTACCACGACCGGAGTTGATGATGCCTGGTCGTCCTTGGAAGCAGGCATCCAGTCAGCCTGTAGGAGACGAAGGTCCGCCGCTCCCATATCGGCCTGGGAAACAAGTCGCGGTTGGTGATGGCCATCGACGGTTCGGACGCTGACGATCGGGGGTTCGTTGGCATATGGATCGCCGTAGATGATAAACATCAACGAGCCTGCCATGACAGATCCGGTGCCCACTGCCGTCCATCCCAGGGCAGAGCTCCGAGTCACCGTCATGGCCATGTACATATCATAATTCTGCGATGAAGCATTCTGGTGCATCGTGAGCCCGAGACAGAAGTCGACTTCCGCATTCTGACTTTGAACATCGTGACCAAAGCGACAATATTGCACGGGCTCCGCGACCGCTACTGCTATGACCAAGAGCAGGGCTGGAATCGCTCTCAAGCAGCACATGATGATAGGAAGCATTTGAGAAAATCGGTGTTGCAGATTTCTGATATCTCACTGTTCGCTGCGAGTTTTTGAAAAACGAGTGGACACGCGAACGTCGATACAGCCCCATACAATTTTCGGGCGTTTTAATCACACGGGGAAATAGAAAAGACGAGGGGCAAGGCTGACCCCAGATGACACCGGGGATGCGCTATTATTGGAAGCTGACCTAGAGTTCAAAGTTATGTAAGTTCGGCGCCAAATTAGGGTTTACATGGTGATCTGCATTGTCATATCGGAATCCATCAATGACAACGTCGCTGCAATGTAAAAGGTTTTCCGCTTCCGTCCAGGCTTACGGCTGATGGACACGCGAGCTGCCTGTCATCGTTACAGTGCATGTGTTGCTCATTGCGCTCATGAGATTCGTTTCCTACCGATAACCATCACGCTCATGGTGGCGAGGATAGGGGCGATAGGTGTGTTTGATATGATGCCTGTAAATCGACCAAAGTTCTGAACTTCATTGGGATTCTACTTAGACCAGCCCCACCTGATGGCGTAGGTTGCAAATAAATCGATCGCCTAGCGGTACATAGATGGCTGCCCTGGGGAACCATTCTCTCCTTATATTTTTCATGAATCCATGATGTTTCAATTGCCGTGGACCGTTTTCTTGTTGCTTTTATTCTGCGGTCTTCCATATGGCCTCCATACCCGGGACCTTCCATATGTTGTAAAGAGTTCGGTAACTGTACCGGCTGGCTGGTCCCGAATAGCAGCGCCACCACGAACTCAGATCATTAATATCCGTATCGGCTTGCAGCAAAATCAAATTGAAGACGTGGAGCGTCATCTTCTGGAAGGTAATGGTTTTCTCTGGACCTCCTTAGATGTGAGGCTCATGCAAACGTAGTCTCCGACCCTTCGCATCCACGATACGGCCAACATCTCTCAGCCCAAGAGGTAAACCAGTTAGCGCAGCCATCGAGGGTTTCCGTCGATGCAGTTACAACATGGCTCCGTCAACACGTCCCTGATGCGCAAAAGTGGGCGTTCTCTAGGGAGAGGGACTGGCTTTCGTTGAGCCTATCCGTGGGCGAGCTAGAAGATCTGCTGCAAACCGAGTACGGGATATTCCAGCATGTCGATGGAGAACAACATATCCGATGCCTCTCGTGGTCTCTGCCCGCCGCAGTGGTGGACCATATTGATGTCATCGAGCCCACAAACGTCTTCATCCGACCCAAAGCTCAGTCTCGGTACGGCGGTCCCCCTCCCCCCGATTGGGAGCTCGAGCATCGCATGCCGACCTTTGCGGAACTCGTTGATGAAGACATTCTGGAACGTGGTCATCTCGATATTCCGACCCGGGAGGAATTATCGGATGCTCCATCTGTCCAAGAGGCATGCAATCGACTTGCCATCTCCACGACCTGTTTAAGTGTGCTCTATGGAATCTGGGGCTACACGCAGCAAGTACCCGATCGCAACAGTATTGCATTGGTGAACTTCCTCGGCGAGGTCAATAATCGCTCCGATATCGACTTGTTCCTGAGACGCCACCACCCCGCTGCTGCTGAGGCGAAGGCGGCATACAATTTCAGCACCGAGATTGTCGCAGATGGGGACAACCGGCAATCTCTACTCTCCCCGGAAGATCTTGACGCCCATAAGGGTTTCGAGGGTGCGCTGGATGCGCAGACGATTCTGGGGCTCAGTTGGCCGATGCCTCTGACCACCTACAATGTTGGCTCCAAACCTCCTTTTCATGCCACAGCCGGGACGGTAGAGAATACTAATGAGCCGTATCTCACATGGTTGGAATATATCCTCGCCAAGGATACTCTCCCTAACGTCATCTCAATCTCCTATGCCGATGATGAAAAGACGGTGCCTCCGAACTATGCCCGTCGTGTGTGCAACGAGTTTGCCAAACTGGGTGCACGAGGAGTAACTGTACTCGTGGCGAGCGGGGACTGGGGTGTTGGAGAAGATGCCCAGTGTTTCTCTGGAAGCAACCCCGAGGAGACACGATTCGCACCATCCTTCCCGGCCAGCTGTCCGTACGTCACTAGCGTTGGGGGTACGCGACTGCTGGAGGAGCAGGAGATTGTTGGGTTCGATGGACGAGGAAGCTTTGTGACCGGGGGTGGCTTCAGTGAGATCTTTGACCAGCCGCCGTATCAGCGAGAGGCCGTGGGGACGTATATAGCCGATCTTGGAGACAAACACGCCGGTCTGTATAATGCCGCTGGACGAGGAATACCAGATATCTCAGCGATGAGCTATCACTACTCCGTACTATACAATGGTCAGGCACACCTCCAGGATGGGACCAGTGGATCGGCACCCACTGTGGCATCCATCATCGGTATGGTGAATGACGCGTTGATTGCCGAGGGACGGCCACCGTTGGGGTTTCTCAACCCGTGGATTTACTCACGGGCACATACTGGGTTCAGAGATGTGACCTGGGGGTCCAACCGTGGATGTAATACCAGTGGCTTTCCTGCAACCACAGGATGGGATGCGGCCACTGGATTCGGTACACCGGTGAGTTGATGCTATACTCATTCCAGTCAATGATGTTTGAACATCAACTAACAGTTTCCAGTGGTTTCCGGCTCTGAAGAAGCTGGCCCTGGAGTCGAAGTTTCGACACACAACACCATGGTATGCAATCTGAATTTAGGGGTGTGCGTTAAATAAGGAGGAACATATCGGATTAATTGATGTTATTGAACGTAGCCTAGTTCGTTGACCCACTGTTGGTAGAAATAGTATGAGAACAGGCTCGAGGCTGTTGGCTATTAACTGTAAGTGGTGTAGTAAAGGAGCCAAGACAAGAGATGTAGGAGACTATGCGCAAACAGAAGTAGGGTTTTATGTCCTCCATAAATCCAACTATGATATAGGCTTCTGTGTACGCTGTACTGTCACTTTTTGGCACAGGTCTTCCCATTCGATGACTGGCCCGAGTCATGGTTGGTGGACACAGAAGGATCCGCGTGAGAGTCAGCTGGAGACAAAGAGAGCATGTTGACAGATCCATCTGTGGTCCCAGAGTAAGCACATCCATCCATTCCATAATAAAGATGGCTCCCCCACTCGCTCCCAGCCGGACGATTTCACATTCCAAAGTGCGTTCTTGCGAAGATGGAAGCGACAGAGGCCACCCCACAGGAGGAGACAGAGACCCATGTTTTGTCTGATCCCTTTGTGCCCTTCCCTGACACCAAGCCCGTCTCTAGCCCAATCTTAACTTTGCGCGCACTGCTGGTTGGATGCCTGTGTGGCACTCTCGTCAACGCGTCCAATATCTATCTTGGCCTGAAGGCTGGTTGGACATCATCGGCAAACATCTTTGGCGTGAGTGGGATGTAGTCTTTGATAGATTCCGAGTTATTTTCGCACATGCTGACATGCAGAACCAGTCTGTCATTGGCTTCGCAGTGCTCAGACAATGGTCCAAGTCCTCTGCCGCAAAAAATCAATTTGGACCTCATGAGAATAACATTGCCCAAACCGCAGCCACGGCTGCAGGAGGAATGTCGAGCGTGTTCATTTCAGCCATCCCGGCATTATACCAGCTGGGACTACTCGAGACGCCCTCAAAGGATTACTTTCGTATCGCCATATTGACTGGAATTGGCGGCTATTTTGGCTTGGTTTCCATTGCTCCCCGTATGGCCTCCGAAATTCACTGTGATCGAGAGTCAGCTAATTTCTAGAGCATCGACAGTCCGGAAATTCTTCCTCGTGCATGTCGCCAGAGAGCTCGATCTAGTCTTTCCCTCGTCCTCTGCGACCGCTATGACTATCCGAAGTATGCACGAGGCCGTTGAAGGGGCAACTATTGCCCGGCGCAAACTGCGAGCCATGGTCATTGCCTTTTCGTTCTCTTTACTCCTGCGCGTCATCTCGCAGTACGCTATAGGTGTTTTTTGGGTACGTCCCCCCATATTCCGGATCATGGTGCTTTACTAATCTGTACGGCTTGGGACAGGATTGGCATCCTTTTACATGGTTGATAACCAGCGGAGTCCTTGTGAACGCGGCCATATCTATCGAGAGCTGGGGTTGGTTCATTGAATGGACTCCAGCTTTCATAGGGTCCGGCATGCTGGTCAATGTCAATGTTTCTTTGTCGTATCTGACAGGCGCAGTTCTAGCCTGGTATGTCGCTCATACTGCCCTATTTCATGGAGTGCTGCTAACCACATGAGGCCTCTCTAGGGGGATTATCGGACCATATTTGGTCTCTCAAGGGCTCGCCTTTGGGGAGCATCGATCGAAGAGCCCCCAATGGACAGATCTGATGTCATATACGTCTCTATCTAGCGACTTTGCAAATGCCGACCGCCCAAGTCCTCGATACTGGCTGCTCTGGCCGGGTGTCATTTGCATGATGGCCACTTCTCTTGCTGGTCCGTCATCCCCATCTCACTTTAACCGACTTCACATTAAATAATACGGGAAACTAATAGCCATTGGTTTCAAACAGAGCTTGCCTGTCAGTGGCGCGTGATTTGGGCACTTTTACGCGACTCCACACGTGCCGTCATCGCATGGATGGCCGGCCAGCAACGAAGGGAGTCTAGCTACCAGTACATGATAGTTTCGGAATCTGAAAATAACAATTCTGTCGATGCAGATGGAGGCATCACAGTGTGGATGTGGCTTCCAAGTCTTCTCGTCGTAATCGCCGTATCGTGTCCCATCCTCAAGTGGCTGTACGATATGTCGGTTGCTGAGACGATGTTGGCACTTTTTCTCGCCTTTATTTTGTCATTGCTGGCCATTCAGGCTACAGGGGCAACAGGTACAGGTCGCATGTCTTTTGCATTATTACTAGCACAGAGGAAATGTCATCGCTGACATCTTTGCTGCAGATCACACCCCTCTCAGCACTCTTTCGAAAGTCTCCCAAGTTATACTGGGAAGTGTCAATGGTCAGCCGGCTATTGAGGCGTCTCAGCGGTTGAACCTCCTTGGAGGTGCTCTGACCAACATGGGAGGGGATCAGGCCTGTGGTAAGTAATTCTATCAACTCTGCTGAGGTATTAGTATTTTCTTAACCAGTATACTCGTCGCTCCCAGACCTCATGGGTGACTTTCGCGTTGGCTTTCTGCTGGGAACCCCATGCCGACTGCAATATATCGCACAGATGATCGGCACCTCAATGGCCATCTTCGTGGCACCAGGGATATTCGTGATATTCGCCACCGCCTACCCATGCATTCTTACAACGGAGGTCGACGCGACCCAACAATGCGAATTCTCATCGCCATCTGTCAGCGCCTGGAGGACCGTCGCCGTCGCCGTCACCGAGCCTGTGCTTCCCATTCCCCCTTCCAGCCTCACTTTTGCCATTGGGATGTCGCTATTCAGCGTCATTATGGTCCTTATCCGGAACTTTGTGTCACGAGGCAAATGGGCCGCAATGCGTGTGTACCATCCGAATTTCATGATTTTGGCCATGGCATTCACACTGCCGGCTGCCCACTATGGCATAGCCATGCTGATCGGGTCTCTTATTGCCACCATGTGGAAGAGGCGATCACCCAGTGGATTCGAAGAGTACGGGTATGCAGTAGCGGCGGGATTTATTGCCGGTGAGGGCATCGGGGGATCAGCCAATGCAGTACTGTCCATATTTGGCATCGGGGGTAATAGATATGGATCTCCAGTGGGATGCCCAGCAGGACAATGCTGATATGCGAATTACATCTTGGAAATTCTGTAGGGCCGCGCGTGCGTGGTTGTTGTGTCAAGCTTTAGATACCGCTATTCCCGCTTCAACGCTAGATTAACTCGTGTCGGCCAGCTGAATACGCGTATGAGCTAGTATCACTGATCTATGGATAAGGATCTATATTGAAGGTAAGGTCTCTGACTATCTGAATCTATCTGGGAGAACTGAATAAAAATGGTCAACAAAGGAACAAAGTCGGACCAAGAGGATGCTAAATAATTAGTAATATAGACCCATTTTGGTCGACAATTAGCGTGTGCTCAGTCATTCGTTAAAACTCATTATTCGCCATCACATTTCCATATTTAATCATTCCAAATTCCTGTTATTTCTCATATATTTAGAAGTCCTGAATATTCATTTAGATTAGAAGAATTAGACCTTCTTTAATCAAGGTGGTTGAATACTACTTACATGCCCACCCCTTTTCTGGTGCGACGGTGTCGAAGGGTTGGCGACTGTGGAGAAAGGTATGTAATTATATAATCCCATTTAAAGTGGTCCTGGAATAGTTACCACAAAAAATAGAGGAACTCGCAGGCTTATCAGTTGCGATCCTGTACAATTTCCTAGACTGGGTTCTTAATCTACAATGTGGAAAGAATGGAAGACGCCTACCAGGTATTAAATGCAAGAGCTCCTTGGACACTTTCTGGAAGGTATTCCGCTGGTATATGAAAATAAAACTTCTAATAAAATTAGAAAATAGATAAACCGCCAGATGCGTCGAGTATAAGTTACCCTTTTCTTGCCATACAGCTTGACCTTGATATTCCGCACTTTATATTTGTGTAATGTAACTAGGTGATACGACAACTAGCCAAGAAGCACAAGCTGTCTCTCAAGGGACGCGATAAGCCTCCCATGGATATTAAGGACTTGGGGGGGGGTAAGGGATGGCAATTTACCGTATTCAATAAAAATTACGGTAAATAGGGCCTTGCGAACCGTGTCTACAGGTCGCGACTTGCGAACCGTAAATTAAGAAAACTGGTAATTTACCGGTAAATAAAGCTATGCCATATTAGGAACATGCTAACTAAATTAGGAAGTCCGTTTTGATTTTCGCCCTTGCGACCCTCCAACACGCTCCAACTCCAGCACCACAGAATGGTTAAACAGGAAAATCTCACTATCCACTCAGAGTTTGTGAAGAGTATTGCTCCACAAAATAAGAAAGTATGGCTCCTCTGCCCTCTGCCTTAATTAAAGTTTTTCTAATTCATCTACAGTGCAGACAGGTCCAGTGCCGCCATTGCAACTGGCGGTATGTGTTAGGAGCGCTCAGAAGCGCGATAGCTAGATCCTTAGCTAAGATGCTTAGTCAGGTGCGAAGTGTTTATATTCGCACCCGCGGGCCTGAACTCTTGAAGGCCAGCGATTAGTTCTGCAATATACGTGGTTCTATCTTCTCTCCTATATAGACACTCCCTTTCGCATCGTAGCGCCCTATTCAGCTCGTTACCGACCCCCCACGCATAACAGTATGCCTTGAATGTATCACGCATGGCAAGGCACTTGAATGAATGTCCTTCCTATCAGGCTCTTCTGGCTGCGAAAATACCGAAGCCAGGTCAAAAGAAGCTCTTGTTCAAGCAACAACCAGTGAAGACTCGACAACTTTCCAAGGCAGAAGTGGATGAGCTGGAAAAACTCGCTGGCTATACCATCTACTGTGGAGCAAGACCATTTTCAACGTTTGATGAGGTCTATATGAAATCATTCCTTACAAGGCTGGAGCCAGCCTTCGAGCTTCCAGATAGAAAAGCCTTTGTAGGCCGAATCCTTAAGACGTGCTATGATGAGACCAAACGCAAGGTGGAAGAGATTCTTGGACGGAGTAGAATCATCAACTTGATTATAGATGAGTCTTTAAATACTAGCCGAGATTGTATTATTAACTTTTGTATCAACATACCGTCCGGTCCCTTCTGCATTAAATATAAAGCGATACCAGTGGGAACATGGTCTGCCCAACATCAAGCACACTGGTTAAATAATTAATTAGATACGCTTGAGCAGTCAATGGGCCACAGGCTTCCCCCTATTAATAGTGTAGCAACTGATACCTGCCGAATAATACAATTATTTTGGGAGGAAGACTTTATACCACATTTTTTGTGCCCTATGATTCTCATGGTCTGCAGCTCCTAATCAAGGATATTATCAGTCTACACCCTTTTAACAAGACAATGAAAAGTGCTAATATCATAGTTGCTTACTTCTATGGAGCTAATCCACAACTAGCTTTGCTCCGTCACTACCAACGAGAGGTTTATGGCCAGGAGTATGCCCTGACCCTCGCCTGCGAGACACGGTGGGGTACCCAGTACAACGTTCTTGCTCATCTCAAGTATTCCAAAGATGCTCTAAAGGCTTTTGCTCGGGATATTAGCAATAAGTGCGACCCAACTGTCCTGGAGCCGGTCAACAAATACGCCTTCTGGGCTGGAGTTGACGAGCTACTAGACATACTCAAGCCGATCCATGAAGCCCAGATTGCCTCCGAAAGCTCCAGTGCTCATCTAGGGTATGTAAAGAATCGCTGGAGCCAGATTAAGGAGACGCTCAAGTACCACAATGCTTCCTACGATCTTCTTAGCGTTTTTAAAGCCAGAAGGGCGGTCCAATTGCTGCCAATCCACCTTGTTGTCTTCCATCTGGATCCAAAGAATGTCCACCAGGCATTTAACATGGGTGAACAAACAACTGTATTTAAATTTATTAAGATGCACACCTCTTCGGAGCAGTACATTAGAATTCAGCGAGATTTCTTAAATTTTAAGAGGATGCGAGAGGGTTTTGACAGCAGTAAGCTTTAGGAAAACAAAGTAGTCGATAATCTATATACATTTTAGCAGTTTGCTTCAGAGTACTCTCCCGATCTAGCGGACCTAGCCATGCGACTATTGGATACACCAGCAAACTCCGTGCCTTTAGAACAGGTATTTTCGACGATGAATCTTACACATATGTGCTATCAAAACCGTTTAAGGGTCGAGAAGATAGATAAGATTTGCTATATCCACATCAATCGTCGAATTCTAGACCGAAAGAAGGAAGCAACGGAGAAAGTAAGGAAGCGGATCAATAAGCTAAATAATAAGGAAGCTCTCTGAGCTTGAAGAATCACTACCGGAAATTATAGAGATGGGAAACAGTGGTGGGCTTATGGATAGAGAACCGCTGAAGAGAAAGAGAGATCTGTTGGATGTATAAAAGAGTGCAGAGCCAAATACCTTAAAATATATATTTTTAGGCACCTGTAAATTATGATGTAAATTATCAATCTTTACGGTCAATTTACCGGTAAATTATATTTGTAAATTTACGTAAATTTACACTGGCCATCCCTTGGGGGGGGGGGGGGTATTAATGGGATCTTAAAGCACATTGCCGATGATGACACAAGTTGCCAGGTCTTAAGCATGCTATGGGGCGAAAGGTCTGAGGAACATATCCCTTACAAACCATTTTCCGAGTGGCCAGATGTTGTCGATTCAGCGTTCAAGGATCTTATCCGGGGACTCATGAATCTGGACCCTGGGAAGCGGTTTACGGTACGTCAGGCATTGGAGCATCCATGGTTAGCAGACGTTTGCATTTCTTGTTTGTTTGCCATGTTTGGAAGCTTTGGCTGCGGGCGGTTGGCCGTAGCAGAATGGGGGAATTGTCAAGGGCTAGGCCTCTATATAACCTATAAATAGGTAGAATACTGTGATTCCTGGTGTTTCCACCGAACGAGATCTATTTCCTAATTAAGCTAGCTGGCGTGTAGCTGATTTATAGCTCCCTGCGCATCCTTCCCCTGAATTCCACAACAGTATCATAAAGATATAGGATTCAACAAGTTGCTATTTGATTCTTTTTGGCACTCGTCCTGGCCAATGGTCTTCGTCGGAATATGTCAAGCCCGGAGGCTCTCTAAAGTGTTTGGCCTTGCACGTAAATACTCGCACGAGGGTTCATGGAAAAAAGTGGGGCATTCACACTCGCTTGCGAGCGATAATATAGTAGAAATTCGCGTTGCTTGTGCTCATGGATTTGGGTGGCACAAACAGGGCTGACCGCACATCAAGCTCTTCCAAGCCATTTTGGTGTAGGATCTCGGTCCACCCACGCCGCGTGAACAAGGTATGAAATACCTCTTTCTTCATGAATTGCTGCCTTACAGCACGAGCACAAAGACCATCTATATCATAGCCATTCGCGATCTTCTCTGGATCACAGTCGTCGGCAGCCATAGTCGCGATGCACAGTAGGCCATTCACGTTCAGCCAACTGGCCCATTTTTTAACGAGCTCTTCAATCTCCTCCCGACCCAGCCGGAACATCGCGAATACGCTGAAAATAGCATCCGGCTGATCCTCCGCAACAGAGTGCTCGTACTCTCGCATGTCAGCAACGACGAAGCGACCCTCGGGCACCCGCTCTTGACTGAGAGCGACCATAGCGGGGGAGAGGTCAACACCGGTGATCCGGTGACCTGACGCGGCCAGTGTCGTGGACACAGGGTGTCCAGTGCCGCATCCAATATCGAGGATATGGGCAGACCGTGGTAGATGGGGTTTCACACGTTCAATGAAGTCGAGGAGTCCCTGGTTATGGGCAAATCCATTGTCATAAATGTTGGCTATAGAGTCGTAGAATTGGGCAATATCGTTTATCATCTTGTTCTTTTGGAGCTTTGCTTCTCTTCCTTTTCTGAAGGTTGACTTTTATCAGAATGTAGTGGTCTGGGTCACAAAGTAGAAAATTTTTATGAATGTAGAAGAAAGCAGAGAACGGTAACATTTAGTGTATATGAGTGCAAAGTTTGAACTGGCCCCCTTACAGACGGAAGATAGCCACTGAGACAGAGGAGAAAACAATACATTATTTCTCAGTCCGTATCATAAAGTTTGCTTTGCATGATGCACATACCAACCGTTGCTGGGCAGACTACTTACGTTTGCTGCAAGAATTTTTCGCATAACCACACCCATTGTGAAATTGTGTAATGGAATGATTGCGCTTGGTGACATATGGTCATAATAAGATGGAGGGCCCCCGGGCCCACGTCCACCGAACCAGACTTCTCCATCAGCCAGCTCTTTCAATACTTTCGTCTTGAGGACTAGCGACTTCCGTACTCGCCGATGATGCACTTGGTTTGGCTTATATGGGTGGTGGTGTTTCTGACAATCCGCTCCATCTATCGTTTGTACTTTCATCCTCTTGCTAAAATCCCGGGCCCTAGGCTCGCGGCCATCACCCATCTCCCAGAATTCTACCACAACGTCATTCGAAATGGCATGTTCATCTGGGAAATTGAGAAAATGCACCAAAAATATGGTCAGACAGACTTCTGCATAAGAAGCATACTGCTCAGCCTTGCTGACTGAAGAAAAGGGCCTATCGTCCGGATTAATCCCCGCGAAGTTCATATCAATGATCCATATTACTACAGCGAGGTATACGGAGGTGGTGCTCGAGTACGAGACAAGGACCCGATATCTGTAGCTGTCTATTCCTCCCCAGGTTCTACTGTGGCGACAGTTAAGCACGCGCAACACCGCCTCCGACGCAGTTTGCTTAGCCCGTTTTACTCAAAAAAGGCGATTATGGAAGCGGAACCGATGGTGCAGGAGAAGGTCGGCAAACTTCTTAACCACTTTGAAACAGCTTACCAGACACAGTCAATCCTGGGACTGAACAGGGTATTTCAAGCGTTTACAGCAGAAGTCGCGACCCACCACTTCTATGGTAGTAGCTTCGACATGTTGGGGAATGAACAGTTCAGCCGGGCGATTCAAGACAGCATTGACGCAATTACAAGGACATCGCCGTTTAACAAATTATTCCCTACGATTGGAGCGCTGCTCCGGTTTATACCGCCCTGGATTCTGGTCCGCTTGCGGCCGGCGATGAGCGGCATTGTTCGCCTGCAGGAAACTTACACCACGAAGACACGGAATGCCCTCGCTGCAAGGAATGAGTCAGAGTTTGCGAGCAACGACAGTCGAGACACTCCATTTACTGTTCTCATCAATCCAAAACTCCCTCAAGAAGAAAGGAGCCTCCATCGCTTATTAGATGAGCAAATGGCTATCCTTGGAGCCGGGTCAGAGTCCACCACTAACACACTAACTGTAGCCATGTTCCACCTGCTCAACAACGGAGCAATCTACCTCAAACTTCGCCGGGAGCTGGAAGGTATTATGCCCACTCCCACCAGTATAGCCCGCTTGTCTCAAACCCAGCATCTTCCGTATCTGGTCTGTGTAATCCTCGCAGTCATGGCTACTTACGATTGGTTTGCTAACATATCTCCTGACGTCACAGACAGCCGTTATCAACGAATCCTTGAGACTCTCCTTTGCAGGATCCAGTCGATTTCCGAGAGTAGCACCCACAGAGTGTTTGGCCTATAGATCATACGTAATTCCTCCCGGGGTAAGTTCTGCTTGCGCGTTGGCCCACCCTCAAACCTCCAATGTCACCAAGCGCATAGTCTGACGAAACACATCACAAGACACCCGTGAGCATGTCGAGCTATTTCCTGCATATGGATAATCAAATTTTTCCAGAGCCAGAAAAGTTCAACCCTGACCGATGGATCCTTGCAGATGAAAGGGGGGAGCGGCTATTCAAGTTCATTGGCTCTTTTACCAAAGGCAGCCGGATTTGCCTAGGCATCCAGTAAGTATTCACAGATTCCCCAGTCTTGACCTCGAATAAAATTTTATGCCTTTGTTGTGACTAACGATTCATCCATGGACAGCCTTGCATATGCAGAAATCTACCTAGCCCTTGCCGCTATCGTCCGTCGGTTTGACATAGAACTGTATGAGACTACCGCAGAGGATATTCGCTTTACGCGTGATCTTCTTGGGCCGCGTTCCGAGAAGGGTGTCTGGAAGGTTCAGGCGAGGGTGACCAACATGATAAGTAAATAATTAATGCCCCTCATACAAAGTTCTTGAGAACTTCGTATTTCAATATGCGATTATCCTTTATTCGCCCGTCTTGCTTTCATCCTTGTCATCGCTCTGATGTCATTTAAAGATTGCCGATATTCCTCGCTACTGCATGATCCACAAATAGGATCATTCATTTACTTTCCTCCCTTAATCCTGTAAGAAATGAAGCCTTGTCGTGTTTTCTTAATCCGGAGGTTAAGTTAAAAAGATTAAACCACCAAAAATTCACTGAATTATAATGTATATTATGGTGATATTTAAGTAAGGTTCATGGGTATTAGCTCCTTTATGTTTCATATCAATAAATGGATGGATGCTATTGCCTGTAGATTTTATTGAGCACGATTTTAACAGAGTTGACACTATCAATCTAGATACCGATAAATACAACTATGCTCAAGAGAATCGTCTTCGCGTCCCATACACATGACACTAACCCTCTTGATATCCATATCTCCAGGTGCGCTCGTACTGGTTTCACATGCAACTAGATTTGTCTATCGCTGACGGAGTAGAGATTGGGCTGGGGAGACCGTTAATCATGGTCGTCATGGAGATGATCTCATCAGGCTTGCGATGGGGGAAAGCCACCCCAATATTCCATGGAAAGATAAAGTGAACCCAGCGATGCATGCGGCAGACATAAGTGAAAAGCACCCCCGTCAGCTGGCGGTACTCTTCCTTGTTCCCCAAGGTTGGAAGCGCTTTGGAGTAAGATGCCCCGACATGGCGCATGCTGTCCAGTCCCAGGTCGCTTAACATTTCGAAAGTATTGAAATTTTCTTCGAGAAATTCCCGCGTCATACGGATCAGTGTCGGCAGGAGGACCTCGTCATACTTGGATACTTTCAAGAGGCGGTACAGCACGTCACAGCCCAGATGTAAGAGAAAGGACTTGAGATGAACCATCACAGAGAAATACTGCTCGCCGCTGCCGGCCCCACTGTCAATGATCCCCCAGCTGATCTTTTTGATCTCGTCCGGCTTCGTGATCCAGACGCGGTCGACCTCCATTTCTATGAGCTCCTTGGCATCGCGCCAGTTGCAGTCGTAGCAGGCGCCCAGCCTGGCAGACAGCTCGAGCAGCTGGTGTTCGCTCAGAGTACGAGTAGGGTTGTCTATTAGCGAGATATGGATCGTCAAGAGTGTATGCCGGGCGGATGTAACGGTTTTCTCATAGACTAGATGTCCCAGCCTGTTGAGGTCCTCGAAGTCATCTTCCACGACCTCGGCAACCTTGTTGACGAGGGCACTTTCAGTGACGGTCCCGTACGTTAGACACAGTGACCCGCCCACAGAGTTCAGGTAGACAGCTCCAGGGTGCCGTTTTACCATGTTGTTTCGACCCAGATGGACGATCCGTGTCGGCAGCCAGATTGCCTGTCCCGAGATGACGACGTGGCCTAGAGTGCTCTGCAATGGCAACTGGGCCAACAGTTGGTCCGCTACATCGGGATTTTGTCTTATGAGCAATCTGGCTCGGAAGGTAACTCCCACTTCTGGGGCGTGGAATTGCAGCATATTTGGGATAGACATGGTCTCGGTTCAATGGGGTTCGTCCAAAAGACCGGCTATAGGTCATCGATACTGATCCTTGAGCAGAAAAAAAAAAAAAACAATACAATGGCCCGTGGCAGGATGGGCTTTGAAGTTCTGGCCAGCTTACCAAGGATATTTCATCCAATTTAAGTTGCGTTTGCAAATATCAGAGGCATAATTGTAAGGATGTTAGAGTGCGTATGCGCACTGGCCTGTTGAGTCAGGCTTTATGAATTGGTCACCCAACGTACCGGGATCTCAGGCTTCTTTTTGCAAGGGCATCTTGCTCGACGGAGGGCCAGACCAAACATTCCCAGCAGATCTGCATTCGTAATTACAATATATCCCTGGATTCATCAGTTGCACCCCTTGCGGAATGCATGAGCGGCCAGCACAGCACAATGGGTTCACATCAGCTCCTCACTTCTTACTTTATAGTTGCTGAGAACACCTCGAGTTGAAGTGATGACCATGTCCTGTGCACAGTAAAAAAAAATTCTCACAAAATTGCACCGCGCGATGCTTTGTTTACTTTTGCTTTCCTGCATTCCACTTATCCCTGCCGTAATAGTCCAGAATGGGCAGTTGCGCCTCGATGCGTACCCTGGACAGGCACCTTTGCTTACCACTGCTTGGGATCTGTCCTGGAAGCATTATGAACCCAACGCGACTGAGATCGCGTACAAGGGACGATGGGATGGCGATCATATTTCATGTAAGTAGCGACGCTTTTGGCCTTCAAATCCAGTACCAAAGCAGCCACTAATCCGTCAAATCCAGGGTGGTCGTAAGTTTGCCGTATCCAGAAAAATCAGACGTGATCGTGACATTATTGCCACATCAGTGCTCCCGGGATTCAGCTGGAATTCACTGGACAGAAGGTGTGGATACCAGTTTAGCTCCAGCTCCTCTCGATATTGAGATGGGAGTTATATGACCTAACAGATGGCGTAGTTGGCATTGAATTTTGGTCAGTACACTAACCATGGTGTATTGGTTGCATATCGGTATACTTCCTTTCTGTGCTTCACCTCAATTTGACGGCTAATTTCGGCAAAGATTGGGAGGGTTGGAGTGGCAGTTTGCCAACGTGACGGCTAATTCTACCTACCAGTTTATTGGGCCATGGAGCCCGGGAATCAACCAGACCACCGTCACGGAGAAAAAGCCTTTTGAGCTAAGAGGTAAGCGGGAAGTTTACTTCATATCTGGCTGGAAATGACTCAGTATTTGATAAATAGTCACCAATTGGGCCCATGGATACGTTACATCCCGATCCTTCCCATTGAGTTGTGTTGTATAAACGCTGATAGTCACTGCACGATTCAACTCGCTGGTGTCGCAGTTTCCGCAGACGGAGATCTTTACAGGCCTAAAATGAGCACTAAGACCCTTGAAATCATCGGAGATTCGTATGTAGGAGGACTGTGCCGCGTCCCAGGGCGAGGGCGGAAAGAGTGATGTGAACGCTCGCTAACAGTGCACAACAGCCTCAGCATTGGCCAGTATGCCACGTATGAGGGGCTCTCTTCGTGGGCGTATTATCTTGGCTCGGGATTGAAGGACTTTGACTACTCAATTAGCGTGAGTTACGCTGGACGATAGTCCCCCAAGGCAAGGCTCCGGTATAGCAGCTTAACTTGACTCAGGCATACTCGGGTATCTGTCTTCATGACCGGGAATGTTGGGGAAATCCCCGCGGCCAGGTTGGTCCTACTTACGCATCTGGAACCCCTTTCTCCCGAACCCAGAGAAAATTAAATAGCATCTGGCATTTAGACGTACCAATGGCATCATACGTGTGATTCCTCGCCGCGGGCCCGAGAGATTTACGGGAGCAATCCACCGAAATGGGATTTTCGAGCACATGCGGCAGCTGATCTAGTCATCATCAACCTGGGGGCGAACGATGACCTGAATGGAGTACTGAGAGAAGAGTTCGAGAGGAGCTACATAGAACACATAAATGAAGTTCACCGGATTTGGCCGCAAGCCCAAATCATCCTTATGGCATGTCTTGAATTGTCCCGTGGCTCTGTGCCTTCCGTAAGCTAACTGCGATGGCGTCCGGTATAGTCGCTATGGGGTGACTTTATTTTGCAGGGAACAACCTACGTGCAGAAGCCCCAGCTCGTACAGGAGATCCAAAATGTTTATCAATATTTCCAGGATCTTGGGCACGACTATGTGCATTATTTTGACACGACTGGGATCCTGCAGCAAAATGATATTGCTCTAGAGTCACATTTGACTGACTTCGGCAACGTGAAGATTGCGAGCCATCTTATGCAGTGGATCAAGGGCAGATTTGGATTCGGCATGGAGACAAAGGGGGGTGAGATCCTACATGGGACACGGTACTGGAATACGGAATCGGATTATTGATGGGACATGATAGAGAGTGGATCAGTGGGGTGCGTATTAAATAAGAGAAATAATTGGGATGGTGTGACGGGCGATCTGGTCTTTTGCCTAGAATGCACGACTCGCCGCTTGAATGGAGAGCACTCATCAAGGACTTCTTCATCCATCGCCGTTAGAGGCGTTCCTGAGTCACGATCCGACAAGCTGAATGTGGCCTTTGCATCTCAAGTAGGAATAATAACACCAGAGACAGATGATTCTAGGCATTTCATATGGCTATTAAACGGTCTATCTATATCGACTACAAAAACCTTGATATTTGTCCAGGTGGTAAGCTCTCTCGGTAATGAACAATGGATTGGAAATTGAGCCTTCATCGACCAGTCTAACAAGGGCCATTGTGCCCGGCCCAGCCGACCATTCCGATTGTCTATGCTAGTTCGCCCCATTGCCTGGAGTTTGGATAAATCCTCTATCTACTACCTAACTCGATCGAAAAAGGAGTCATCCCCATTGCACACGCTGTCTTCGCCACCGCAGTCCCCAAACCATCACAATGGCTGCCAGTGGGATACATAGCAGACTAGTAAGCCCAGGAATGATGGTTAAGGCGTACCCCCTCCCAATATGTTCGATCAAAGGCCCGATAGCTGCGCTGGCTCCGGCGCCCAACAAACATCGGGTCAAATTGGTCACCCCCATTGCCATCGCCGGACGGTCCGAGTATAGATCAATAGTCAGAACGTTCAGGCAGTTGATGATCGCCGCCGCGGTATAACCTAAGAGGAACAGGGCGATGAGGGGCCCCGCGAGATGCACCGAGTGCTGTAGCATCCACCCGTAGGAAATAGATGCAGCGCACTGCATAGCTGCCAGTGGGGGCAACATCTCCCCGCGCGCCCGCTCCAGCGGAAAACCGGCCATCCCTGAGCCCCCCTCTAAGCTATTGGCAAATGACGAGCCTTGTCCGACGCGTCTGCGCTCATGCCGGCGGTAATTCCAATCGGTAAGTTTACCCTGGGCGTACGATGCCAAGATCCCGCCAATGCCAAAAGGCAGGAAGCACAATCCAACTTGCAGATCAGTCAGATCATAGATTTCTTTGAACAGGGATGGCTGGCTGGTGGTGACGGCCACAGTGCCGCAGAAATTGACCCCATTGGCCAAGATCACTAGGCCCACCCTTCGGTCCAAAAGGACTTGGAGAGAAGCCCAGGGGCCCAGAACGAGCTGAGACAATGTAATGTTGTCCACGGCAGACGCAGATGGAATGCGCGGTTCGATATGGAATCCATGGCACGGGACCAGATCTAGGAGGCACAAGCTGTAGCGCGGTGGCCGTCGAGAGCCGTTGCCCACAAGTAACCTGGAAGTCTCCGGGAGAAAAAGGAGCAGGATCAGCAAAAAAGCCGCGGAGAAGATGGCCAGAAACCAAAATATCCACGGCCAGCCCAAGTAATTCGACAGGATGCCTCCAAGGACGGGACTTAGGGTTTGACCGGCCAGGAAGCCTGCGAAAGTATAGCCCATGTAAACTCCACGCTCTGCCCGGGTAGCAATGTCGGCAACAACAGCACTTGCGAGCGAGATGGTGCTGCTGCTTCCAGCACTTTGCATGGCACGCAGACCCAGGAGCGCGCCATAACTTCTCTGTAAAGCTAGTCCCACATTAGACGCAAAATAAAGCACGAAGCAGATGATGTAAATGGGTCTCCGTCCGGAGCGATCCATAAGTGGCCCCAGCAGGGCAGGCGTCAGGCCTTGGAAGATCTGCATTCTGTAAGCTTCAGTATCGGTGCATCACGGGATTTCTCTTACCAAATACGTTGTCATGGACAGATTGATCAATGGAATACTGCGATGGAGATCCTTGGCAAGCTCGTTCAAAGCCGGAAGGTACATATTCGTAGCGAACGGTGAAAAGCATCCCGCAATGGATACTCCCAGAACGATTATCGCTTTGGTGATACGGCCATACACGCAGTACGGTTCTGCTTGTTCGTGAGCATCCTGGACACCGGAGCTAAGTTGGATTTGGCCTTTTGAATCCTCTGGTCCTGGTGCAAGGGACGGTTTCGGAGCGCTTTTTTGATTTTCTGCCATGACCGATTCAAGCATCGGCTAGTACAGGCAAACAAGTAGTCCGTTAACGCGGTGGAAGACTGAAGCCGAGTCACACAGCGGTGATAGACACGGGAAAAAAAAAAAAAAAAAAAAAAAAAAAAAAAAAAAAAATCCAACGACGCGCAAAAGGGGGCACTCGTCGTACCTTGCGTGTCTCCGCGTCCTTGGATGGATAAAGCATGCCCTAGCATGATGCCTCTCCCTTCCCTGCCCGCCCTTTAAACTCAAAACGACTCAGCTATGCGATCCGGCCCATTCTTTGCCCTCCTAAACTCTTCCTCAATTAATTACGAGCAACGCGATGGTGCATTTGGCAGCAGAAAGCAAGACGGCGAATCATGTGGCCTGGACCCGTGTTGCACGCCTGCGCAGCCAAATGGAAATGCACGGAATCGAAGCTGCTGTGTGTACAAAGCCCGAAAGTACCTTTTACCTATCAGGCTTCAATCCAATTATCTATTCGCACCCCGTAATAGTGATTGTGACCCCCCATCATGAACCTATCTTGCTAGTGTTTGTGATCCGCGGCGAACATGCTCAGGCTAGCGCCTGGACGTCAAGCATTCGACTCTTTGGGAGTTGGTCCAACATCAAAACCACGGCTGCTACCTGGCAAGAGGCCTTGGGAATTATCCTGAATGAGCTCGGCGTGACTCGGAAGAGGATCGGTGTCGAGCACGGGTCGATTTCCGTCACGCAATACAGGGAAATTGCCGAAACCGCTCCAGAAGCCGACCTAGTGAATATAAGCCCCTGTATTGACCTCTGTCGGCAGATCAAGGATGTCGATGAAGTCGACAATGCTCGAGTTGCTGCCCGGATTGCGGATGTCGGCATGGAGGCAGCTGTGGCCGCCCTGCGTCAGAAGGGCGCAACTGAACGGGATGTGGCCATTGCCTCGATGCAGGCCATGAATGAATACTGGGCCACCAACTACCCTGAAGTTGAAATCGCAGACTTTGGTTCCCCCGAAGGGGGCAACCACAATGGACTGACCACCTGGGTCTTGTCCGGCCCACGAAAGTCCTACGCCTGCGACAACCCCACCCCGCGAGCTCCAAAACCGGGCGAGACAGTCTCGGTATTCATCTGGACAGTATCCAACGGAATACATGCGGAGTTGGAACGGACGGTGTGCATTGGGCCGGCGTCGCTGACAGAAAAGGCGGCAATCAAGAGCGTGCTGGAGATCCGCGAGGAAATCGAAGCTCACCTGCGGCCCGGAATTCCCGTCAAAGCTCTATATGAAACAGCTAGGAATGGCTATATATCCCGAGGGTACTCACAGTGTCTCCCGGGGCGTATTGGGCATTCTATAGGGCTTGGCTCTCATGAGAGTGTTTCGATCAACGGAAGTTCGGACCTGATCTTGACCGCTGGAATGGTCCTCACGTTGGAACCTCATATCCACATCTTTGGGGTTTGTGGAACCCAGTTCTCAGATACTCTCCTGATCACTGAGGCGGGGTTTGAGTATCTAACGCATTTTCCTCGCCAATACCTAGAGGTTCAATGAAGCTAAGATCTATCTGGCTGGTAAGGACATGCATGGGCTCTCAGCACCGGACAAGGTTCATGCTGCAGAACCGGAAGATTGTAATGAGGCGTTTAACTTCTACTCAGAATCAAAATGGAATTACTTGTAGTGTCTCCTTGCATAGCAACCATGCCTAGTAGAGCTGTACCCTAGCGTCTTAAACCAGACAGCCACCTATCGCAGAGCCAGGTATACCAGGCCCCTAGACAAACAAATTGACGCATATATGTTTTTTTTTTTTTGGTGCAATGTACATACGTATACGTCGGACATCCACTTGCTATGTAAGGGTCCTACTACCCACTATCTAGTTGGACGTATATATGTCGATGCGCTGGCAGCCAATATATTTAGGACTTCAAAGGTCACTGCCAATACCAACATGGGCAACACCTCTAGTCTCATCGCAGGTCGGGAATGCCTGCTTTCTGCCGTCGGGAACAGTACAAGATTGGTGGCCTTCGGGGACGAGCCTTTGTTTCGAGTATCTGATGCGCTCCCTCGTAACCTGGAGTTCCCAGCCACTCCAGTGGCGGTAACATACCCTGATTCTCCCGAGCAAATATCCGACATCCTTAAATGTGCGGCAAGACATCAACGGGCAGTTCAGGCTCGGTCCGGTGGCCACAGCCTTGGGAACTTTGGGCTGGGAGGCACAGATGGGGCAGTCGTAGTGGACATGAGCCATTTTCAGCAGCTCTCCATGGATTCCAGCTCCCATAAGGCAACAATCGGACCAGGACTACGCCTGCAGGATTTAGCCCGGCAGCTAGCAGTCTGGAACCGAGCCATGACCCACGGCAACTGTCCCACGGTTGGAGTCGGTGGCCATTTAACAATAGGAGGTATTGGGCCCACTGCCCGCCAATGGGGATTGGCTCTTGATCATGTTGATCAGGTCGAGGCAGTCTTGGGAGACGGCCGGATAGTGAAGTCATCTTCCTTTCAGAATACCGACCTCTTCTTTGCACTGAATGGAGCTGCGCCGAATATCGGCATCGTCACCCAGTTGACAGTTCGCACCCACCCTGCACCTTCCGTGGCGGTAGAGTATAGCTACACGATAGATCTCGACCCGGAAGATTTCCAACAACAGGCATCCGCGTTTGCTGATTGGCAGACGCTCGTTGCTGACCCCAAGCTGCCCCGAAAGCTGGACATATCTCTGACCATCCGCGCCCAGGTCGTGTTGGAGATATCGGGAAAGTTCTATGGCACATTGAAGGAGTTTGACGCACTCGGCCTGGAAACCCGATTTAATTTCTCAAGGAAACGCATGCGTGTGCTCACGGGCTGGCCCAGCATACTGAATGCGACGCTCTCTGACCCTGGTTGGCGTTACTCCTACGACAAGACCATGGGAATAACCCCCAGGCATCCGCTCCCCGATCATGCCATCGTACAACTCTTACACCATTTAGCTAACGCAGATGCCGGTCCGGCCAGCTGGGACTTGACGTTTCGACTTGTCGGTGGTGCAGTCAACGACCGGCCGACCAATGCGACGGCCTTTGCGCATCGCGATGTGCTATATTGGATCACGTTTCATGCACGAACCAGCAGTCTTGGGTTATCATCAACCACATTTGGTTTTCTTGACCGTGCATATGACCTACTAAATGCTTCCCTACCCGGCCGTCGTCCAATGTATTTGGGGGACCTCGATCCTCGAATAGCCGATGCGCAGCCCATGTACTGGGGGCCGAATTTACTCAGGCTGGAGGAAATCAAGGGCGAGGTAGACCCCCAGGATCTGCTTCATAATCCGCAAGGGGTACGCCCCAGAAAGGGGGCATGAGATTGATTTTGTCTTACGTGCATCACAAATAGCGTATTATTCTATAAATCCATGCGTAATATTCACCGCTGTATGTATGCAGTACATTTGCCACGTCAGCCGCACATGAGATGAAACTCGAACAAGAAGTGAAGGCTATATATATAAATCAGGAGTGGTAGCAGGCCTGGATCCCTTCGCTCTGGAACGTCCGTGGTGGGCACGAGCACTGTTAATACTTCAAATGGCTAAGGAGGAGACAGAATTATCCCACTTCCTTTCTTCTTCATTGGATTATGTGATTGTCGGTGGAGGTTCAGCAGGGTTGGTGCTAGCCACCCGCCTGAGCGAGGATCCCACCGTCCATGTGGGCGTCCTGGAGGCCGGCAAGTCCCGAATCGATGATGAGAACGTAGACTCACCTCAAGGGATTCCAAGCCTTCTTCATAACCCTGAGTATGATTGGGCATTAAATTCAATTCCCCAGGTATCTTTTTATTGTCTTAATTCTCTCACACAGGGTGAGGGTCAGGCTAGGCTAATGCTTCAATCTTACGCATGCAGCCCGGGACTGACGATAGAGTCCATGTCCTTTCCGGTGGTAAAATGCTGGGAGGATCGAGCGGTATCAATTTCATGTGTTACTGTCAACCACTGGAGGATGACATCAACATCTGGGGTCAACTAGGGAACGTTGGTTGGTCTTGGGATGAACTCGCCCCATACTTCCAAAAGACTAGAGGCGGAGAGACAGAGCTCTCCAACGGCCACGTGGGCTCCATCAAAACATGCTTCCCCAGCGGGGACCTAGATATTGAGCGTGCTATGCTGGATGTCTTGAATGCGGCCACTGGCGGGGAACGACCAGGCTTCTATCGACCTCTTTCCGCCATCGAATACGGCGGGGCAAGCGAAAAGCCAACCAGAAGCTATGCCTCGACCGGCTATCTCGCACCCAACGTGGGACGGGCAAATCTCCATATTCTTTCGGAAGCCACAGTGTGCAGAATTCTGTTCGAGTCAGGGGCGCCGTTGCGCGCGCAAGGAGTTGAATTCTGCTACGGTGGAGCCGTCCACAACGTCTCAGCCAACGTGGAAGTCATCCTGTCGGCAGGGACATTCCATAGCCCACAGATCCTAGAACTATCGGGAATTGGGGACCCGGATGTTCTGAACGCAGCCGGCATCGACTGTCGACTGCCTTTGGTGGACGTGGGTAACAATCTTCGGGAGCATCCCATGGCAGTTGTCAGCTATAATCTCCGGGCCTCCAATGATACCGCCCCGCCAGAACCCTCCGTTTCACTCAGAGAACCAATTTCCACAGAATGCTTAGTCCGTCTCGTAGGGTTCCTGCCCTATGCATCTCTCGTAGCGCCAAGTGAACTTGACCATGCCGGGATTGCGGCCAATACGGGCCACAACCACAGTGTATACCAAAGGGCTCTGGCTAAGTTTCGGGATCCACAGCGCTCTCTGGTGCAACTAATCGGCCACCCTGGAGGATTTGGTCTTGCGGACAGTGTTCCGCGACATGCTTCCTACAGTCTTCTAGTGATTGGGAGCCACCCACAGTCTCAGGGCAGTTGCCATATCCTTTCCCAGGACCCCTTCAGAGCTCCTCGTATTGACCTAGGGATTCTGTCGCAACAGGAGGATGTCAACGTGCTTGCCGCCGGAGTGGCCTTTGCTGACAGCACTTTTCACTCTGAGCATATCGTCCACCACATCGCGGAACGCGCCTTTCCGGACCGTTCCATTGACCTCCAGGATCGAGACCAAGCTTGTCGGTTTGTACGGAATTCCGCTGTGGCTTTCAATCATGGTGTCGGAACCTGTTCCATGGGGATCGTTGTCGACGAACAACTGCGGGTGAAGGGAGTGAGAGGGCTGAGGGTGGTGGATGCCAGCGTCATCCCGCTTCACATGGCGGGGAATCCCATGTCCACGGTGTATGCGCTGGCTGAGCGAGCATCAGACTTAATTAAACTGGATACTGAAACGTGCTAGGAACTAAAGTAGCAGAAAGCAATTTATAGCCTACTGATCGTATTTTAGGTTGGGGGGAAAGGGTGGGGGAGGAACCCAATCCCAGAAAATAATAGACATATATTTATGCTGCAAACCGACTCCGCTTCCTCAACCATGGGCCGCAGTAATAGAATCCGTACATCCCCAGTATGCAGCCGCCTGTCAGCCCGGCAATCAAGGTCGTGCCTCTGGCTACGCCCAGATTCTCATATAACGGGCCGGACCACAAGATAGCGGCAAAAGCGAGGGTGGACCGCGCAAAGTCGTTCATGGCAAACAGGCTAGCCGAATACGGGGGATACGCCATGGCAATATACCCGAATATACTCTGCATGACCAGGGTCATGCCGGATATATTTATTAAGAACCCAATAGTGGGGACAATCCAATGGATCGTTGGCCGTGCGGTCCACGCGAAGATTACCAAGCCGATGGGCACCAGAAATGTCCCTATCAGTCCCGGGATGAGTCGAATCTCGGGCAAAATAGAAGACCAGCTACCCTGAAGATATGGGCGGTGCAGCCAGTAGTAAATGAAGGCAAAGTAGAAGGGCAGCACTAGAGAGGTTCCGACTAGAGCCGTGAGGAATATCAGGCCAACCTGACCAAGGTTCATCTGGTAGATATCCCCGTACACTCTGGGGAAGACTTCGAAGAACGAGTAAAAAATCCCATATACCAATGATATATACACTGTGCTGAACAAAATAGCTGGGTCTAATGCGTTGATTTTCCACGGAATCACGAGCGCCTGGATCAAGTTCCGCCAGAGGGAGATTGACCGCTGGTCGAGATTCGCGGGAGCTTGGAATGTTGATTTGGAGGTGAGACGGCGGAGACGGCGAGCACGGTAGTGCAGGACACATGGCGAATATGTCTCCGGGAGAAAACACTATACACAATGTACCGTCTTAGAAGAAAGCTCCTTTTTCGCGCGCAGGCGTCCTGATGTTGACCTACCAGAATGGCCAGGCTCCCCGCTGCAGCCCAGAGGACCTCCCACATGGACCATCGCCACCCTTTAACCGGAATACTAAAGCCTGCGATGGTCGGGGCCACCGCAGGCGCCGCGACGGCAGATACTGCCCAAGTATACAGCCCGTATGGAAAATACTCGTCCCTTGTCACGTCGGCGATGGAGGCGGCTCCAGTGGCCAAACAGGGCGAACCAAAGAAGCCCTGCAGAAACCGAATAACTAGGAATGCGGGAACACTGTTGACCATAGCGGCTGGGATACTCAGGAGAACAAAGATGGACAAGGAGAGCAAATATGGCGGATTGCGCCCGATCCAGGCCACTTCTGACAAGGGGCTAAATAGCATCGGACCGACTCCATAGCCCAAGACGTATATGGCCAGTCCTAAGGAGGAGACCGACTGTGGAACGTGGAAGACCCGAATAAACTCCTTTTCTGCTGGCGAGAAGATGGACGACGACATGTAGATCACAAACGTGTAGATGTTGACCTGCAGGTATACGAGCAGCTTAGCCGCCCACGGCCAATTCTTCGGGTTTTCTGCATCGTCATCGGTATACCAACCGACCAGGACGGTCCCATCGGTCTGAATTTCCGGTTCGATCCATCTGCAGCTTGGTATTCCTCTCGGTTTGTCAGAACTGCCTTCCAATTGCGAGTCTGTTACTTGCAGGACTATCAGTGATCGCCATCCCATCCCCTGAAGACTGTGAAAGTGACCAAAACGCCAAGCTTACAAACAGCGACACATGACGAACGTTTTTCTCCTCCCACAGTTCCTGCCTCTTCATGCCTACTGCGCCTGGGCCTGAGATGCTCTGCATTCGCCGCGGCCTCGTATGGAGCAGGTAATCGAAAGTCCGCCTGGTCCTCCGGCGATTGGAAGAGTCGACCACCTGACAGCCAGCCGACCGTCAGGCCAAATAATGATGTCCTCAGAACTCGCGCCATGAGCAAAGGAAGATGTTTGCTCCGCCACTGAGAAGGGCGAATCACTCTTCCATACTATTTATCCGATTCGACCCGTCCATACTTTGCCTGCCAACATGGCCCTCGAGGAACTCTAGTGGAATTTGGGGGGGTTTCAGCTTCCCTTACATCCCACACATAGCCAAACAAGGAATGTCCCATCCCTTACTCACTGTCTGGCACTTTCCAAGGAATCTTGTACATAGGCTAAGTAAGCTCCTGTAAGGGAACATCCATGGAGTATAAAGCATACGCGATCGAGGTATACTCTTACTAATATACTACACGCTTTTTTTTTTTTTTCTTTTTGTTTCTTTAATCTGCAAGGGCTTTAGAGCAATTGTAGGGGCTGCTAACTTAGGAACTGTAGTCTTCCTCAGGCTTTTCGCAGGCGAAAGGTCGCATCTAGCCCCCTAGAAAATATTTTACCCAGTAGTTAAGCCCAGTACGTCTATTCTCTTTTACCTTTCAGTAGAACCCGCCAAATTGGCTCCATGCTTCTGGCTTATCAACGAGTAGACCATTTGGTAGTGTCTTGCCAGATCTGCCATTGCTAATTGAACGTGTGACCATCATGCAATTGGGCATTTTGTTGCAAACTCAGGCCGCTTTACTATCGTTTATTGGCTAGATTTCATACATAGTCCCACTATATAGTTGGGGATAGTTGATGTAGTACTGTACTTGGGCTTGGGATTGCCATTTTGGGAAGGAAGGACCATATTAGCCCGTGTGAAGGATTATGACAATATAAAGGAATTGAATCAGTAACGCAAGAGGTGGAAGAAGGTCATGACTAAGCTTACTGAGCGAGCTCTACACCGTGGACAGACTGTTAAGCGGTCTCGACTGTCCAGAAAGAAGAATGTTATGAATTTAGGCCGACCTTTAGGAAGGGAATATCCCATCTCGTGCGAAGATCAAGAAGGAATTATTTCAGGATATTAAAAGTTTAGGAGGGAAATTCCTATATTTTTATTTTTTTTAAAGGGATTCCTATTCCATGGGACTCCATCATACAAACAGGACCATAATTTTTAGGTATATAGGAATGGGAATATCCCATCCCAAATCCTATATAATGGGAATCCCTTTCTAAAAGTCTTGGCAAGGAATGGGAAACTTCTGGGACTCTCCCTTTAATACTGTGGTACTCCGTATACCCAGTAGACTTGTTAGGCCCAGCCCAGGAAACCCGGGCCGAACCGGCCCAACCCGCCAAGAAAAGGGATGGGTTATTAACTCCCCGGCACACGAGGCCAACAAAGAAATCATTTCGTACTATGAGCAGTCAGTCAACCAATCTAGCCCCGAAATTTTTACTGCGCTCACTCTGGCTAAGTCTGTCCCGTAAGTACTAGCAAGCCTTACCCCTCTTCTGCTACCCATGCAATAAGTATTGAATGGCAATATTTGTCATGCGGAAGAGGAAAGTGGCATGGCAACAACTTATGGGTTGAGATTGTGAGCTTCTCCGCGGGACAATCAACGCCCATTCTATTGCATGATCTTCCTGATCTTCGCGAGTAAACGAGGACACGGCTCAGTCAAGTCCTGTCCACTCCGTAAGAAACCCAATCCAAAAAACCCATCACATTTCATTGTGACTGGCAAGGATGATGACAAGGATACCTGCAAGTTAGAATATTTATACAGCCATCTCTCTGTCCCCTTTACTTGTTGTCCCTACATATGCAAGCATATACCACATCGCAAAAACCATCGCAAATGCCCAGCTCGCTATTCTGGAGACGTTTCTACAGGGCCATCCTAGCATTAAATGCACCATTCCTTCGTCACCTGAGTTCTCCATCGTGCGTAAGGTGTGGAATCTGGCTCGTCCAGACACCCCGCTTGCCTTCGTTCATCCACAAAACGCAGAGGATGTGAGAGTGCTGGTTCAATTTGTCAAGTCGAAGGGTATTAATTTTACCGTCCGCACAGGCGGACACAATCTCGAAGGCCGAGCCCTCGTGGAGGGTGCCCTCGTTATTGATCTCCGAGCGCTTACAGGCGTTAAGGTTGCTGAAGATTTATTATGAAGGCTCTACCCTTGCAGTGTTGGATTCGAATGTTTGTGCTAGGGCATCTGATGAATTCGCCGAACTTGCGGCCGCGTTCCACAACGTCCTGAGTGGTCTGGCCGCGATCTGGATGGTATTGACTGCCCAGGTTTTTTGCGGCGTTGTGAGGTTGAAACCGGGGGCTAGTTTGTCACATGTGTGCGCTTTTGATTTCGCATGTCTTAGAGAAAGTCAAAGAAAATTTGCCGTTGAAATTATTAAAACTACATTACAACCGATACCGAAGTTGCTACTGAAGTCTTCTCTCTCTTTTTCAGCCTTGTACTCCAGTACACCTGAATAGATCCCTGACTTCTTCCTGGAAATTGAGCTGAAAATAGTCTCATCACATCCGACCACAGAAGTCCCTGATCCTTCCTTAAATCCACCAAGAGATCCTCTTCCTCGGATGACCATGGCATCCCTTTCCTCGAATTCTGCTTGGCCCCGTCGCTTTTATCTTGGACATTCGCTGCCCTTCGAGGTTGAATCCGGCGCTTGGTTCTTACGCTTGCACCTTCGACTTCACAGGCATTAGGTGGAATGTTGCTGCCGCCGTTGGGGTTCGATGTGCAGCGCGGAAGTGCTCCTTTGAAAAGCCATGAAAGAAACTGTAAACGCTCATCGGCGGGTAACGGTAAGAAATGGGAGCAAAGGCGAGTGAAAGACTTTTCAGTTGGTTGCAACATGGTGGTATTGGTGGTGGGGGAGGTTCGAAACCGTTTGGAAGGCCCTCTCTCTTCGTGCTGTTGGATGGTCGCTTTCGGGAAATAGTGGACTTGTCGCTGCCATTGACAAGGTCGTGTTCCCCCTGGCCACATCTGTCATCCGCGATGCGAAGCTGTTGATTGTGGTCGTCGGGATAAGGACTGCCAGCTATATGAGGCAAAATATTCTGGCTAGTTAATCCCTCGCTGGAGCCGAAGGGATAATCAATTGTAGCTTGTAGAAGAGGAGATTCGGGATATGAATAAGCCTTCTCTTGGCAAATAGGTCCCATACCGCCACTTAAATGGCAGCTTGGTGGAGCGCACTGGCTACCATCGGATTTTCATCGCTGAGGATGACTGGATCAATCGGTGTTTGGTTCGTCTGGAAGTATGCAAAACTTCTCCAGGATACTCACACTGTCCGAGGAAGAATCCCCCTCTACCGTGCTCTGAATTGATGGTGGGGATTCAACGGAGCCATCTGCGGCATCCCGGAAGTCAACCTGGGGAGCTGCACTTGGGGTTGGGGAACTGTGGCGATGCTCTTGGGCTTGTGAAGCAGCAAAGACGTTGAGGGGATTATCCTCATGCGGTCCGTCAGATACTGGAATGTGTTCCTCCCTAAACCGGCGATCGGAGCTCAGTGGAGTGCAGGAGCGGATGCTGCTATGCACACACACCTCATTTGGTGGTCGAGCAGGGAGCGGGTGCTGCTTTTCTTGATGGTGAATGAAAGCCTTCTTCGCAGAGGGGCCATAATGCGGTGGCTGGGGGAGGGTTGGACAGTTGATGATGGAGACGGGATTTGCGCGTCGGGAGTTGTTATAAGAATTGCGTGATAAGTGTGGTTTGCGGGGAGGGGGATTCCATGGTATAAAAGTGTTAATGTGAAAAGTAGTATTTGCCATCTTGCCGGGGATCGCACACGGTGAGAGGGAAGAGGAAGAGCAAGGGAAAGGGGAGAATATGATTGCAAGTATGGGATAGTTGGCTGTGAGGTGACTGTTCCAGGGCTTCTGTCACTCCGTTTATACCTCCTCCATACTCTCTGATGCAGGAAAGAGGTGTGGTAATACAGTACAAGGATCGGACACTATCTGAATTGCTCCAACCACTCTTCTTTCTTTATGCGGAAGCCGGAAATTGGAGAACTCCAAAAACTCTGATTCCCGTTGGATTCACTTACACCAGATCCTCTACCCTCCCATTCAAGGCCCACCTGCTGACGTGTCCATCTCATTAAAGAGCCGTGTGATACGGTTGCCGCTACAATAAGCTCAGCCACAAATCACGTCCGAGCATTTGCAGTTCCAAGAAACTCTGGTTAGATAAGTCACCCCGAGTACATATTTTGGGGCCGATCCAGGCTGCAAGCATCGACAGGCTGAGTCGAGAGCTGTGCGGGATTTTTGCTATTGGATGATAGACATAGCGAGGATCCCAGGAGGAAAGGATGCATCGGGGTCGAAAGATAATGAGGCTGAGCGAAGAGATGCGACTGGACAGCCAGGGTTATTTTGAGTGGAGACAGGGTCACAAAATGTAACAGTTGGCAGGTCAAGAACTCTATTCGTCTCCGACTTGGAAGTTCGGGTGACAAAAACCATAGAAACATTGGGGGAAAAAAGGAAGGGGAGGGATAAGGGGAGTGCAGAACCTCAGACTCCGAGGTCAGCATACAGTTCCTTCATCGTGGGATAAAATTGTCAAATGCTTCATGCTCGCCACCACGGAAAAAAGAACAATAAGGATGAGACTGATGGGCAGATCCTGTCTTCGTCAGTAACGCAACGAACATAAGCCGTAAAAAGTAATCTCCAGGTCAGACGACGCGTCGTCGGCAACTCCGTTCGTGGGAAATGAAAACGGGGGCTGAAGGAAAGGCATTTGACAAGAAATGGGCAACCGTCGGATAAGACGGCAACACTCGAGAGGGGGGCAGTGCAGCTGGCCCGAGCGATGAGAGTGGGAAAATAGAGAACAGACAGTGCGTGGTCGGTCGAGGGAGACGGCGGGTTTATATAGATCGATGGAGTTGAGGCGGCAGGGACAGGAGGCGCAAAAGCGGCGACGGTCGGCGAGAAGCGGCGCTATTCCAGAACAGGTTAAGCACCATACTGTCTTAGGTAATAGCGTACCGGTAGACGGCAGGCGGTCGGAGGCGGCAGGAACACAGAGCAATGGGAGCCGTTTTCGGCGGCCCGTTTGCCGTCTGTCAGAATACGATATTATGTCTAATTATAAGCTAAGAATACTTTCCCAACCACTACATACTAGTTAAGCCCCCCAACTACACACAACTACTGACAACTAGCTACAACCAAGGGAAACCAGGACTCACTATTTATAAAACCCACGACTCTTCGAAGTTTACATTAATAAAAAAACTCTGGTCCGCTATAAAATCTAGAGTTGCACGGAGGAACCGCAAAAACCGTCGCAGCGGTGCGGATTCGGTCCCTACGAAGTCATAATTCTCTTCTATTCAAGGGCTTGGGCTTGGGCGAGCTGTCATATCTAGATGGGTGACTAAGTGAGGCTACGTGACCATACCAAATACGTAGGTCTCTAGCAGAGTTCTGCACGACGTTGCGAGTGCCCGGTATGGGGCTCAAGCACTTTGCAGGTCCTGCCCTCTACACTCCCCCCCTTCCCTCCTTGTACAGGCCAATTGCACTCCTAGATATCTAACGCAACTATATCCTTAATATTGCGGGCCGGCTCCACGATGGGCGAGCATAGCCCACCTATTTAATGAGATATTTAGTATTCTCCCTAGTAGGCTACTGGCGTGTAGCTAGTATAGTATTCTTCTGCCACCCATTCCTTCGCAGGAATGATCATAACAATATGTCGACCAAAGTGGGCCAATATATTATCCATTATTCAGCATCCGCTCGGTCCGACTTTATTCCTTTATTTTTTCATCCTTTATTCAATTCTCCTAAATAGATTCAGATAGAGACCTCAAGAGACCTTATCCTTTCAATCCAGATCCATATTTTTATATGATCGGTGATACTAGCTCATACGCGTATTCAGCTGACCGACACAATATTACTACTCCCACCGCAATATGAAGAGTACCTTTATCATCTTCTCCCGTACATTCAGAATGATATTTAGGCCTTAGTCGAGCCTTATCTCATTGGATCCCAGGTAGGGAACGATTGACTTCCCCTTTTCGCGTAGTCAACTTTTGATTTCTTTTCCCAGCCTCATTTACCCCTCTTTTGTCACATGATTCAGGCCATTTACGGCCACTTTATCTAACACCTTTAACATACGCAAACCAAGAACTTTGCATCATCATTTAATATTTGCAGCAAGGGTCCATAGTGAATACTAGATGTCCCTTAACTACAGCTTTATACAAGATTATAAAGTATCTTAACTTCCCCCAGCTGGTTACGGATAGTTTGTGGGTTTGTCGACAGTGGGATGAAGTGTCGCCACCCCTCAAAGTCTCGTAAGGTCGACCATACATTCCTGCAAGGATACGTAGGATGCCACAATGTCATATTGACGCATACTTCTCCCGCAAGCCTACGCCATTCACTGCGTCAGGGACGTCATTTTTAGACCTTCCATATCCACTCCGCCGCTATATCTATATTCTAACGGGATTGGTTCGCTTCTGTCCCATCAATCTTAACCAAAACGGACTTGATGTTCGTAAATACCAAGAATACGCAGAATACAAATGCTTCTATATAGCGAGGCGTTTCCATGGCAGGCACCTAGATGTTGACTATATTACTCGCTGTACCTGTCCACCACTGCCTATTTCATTGCTCTATGTCTCGCGGACTATATCGAATGAAGCATCATCTATTTTGTATTCGGAGAACAAGTTTACGATCTGTCGGAGCAGTTCCCGGGGCTTACGGCCATTACAAAGGCTTAATACGCATGCACTTCACTCGTTACGATCTCTTACTATTCTCCTAAACAACTGCTCATGCGTCTTTAAATATGGGCGGACTACTATCCCGGTCATGTTTGCATGTCATCCCCTTTGTCGGAGTCATGGTCTCCATGATAAACCACTGGGAAGTGTGGCTCGACAAGATCAGGTAGTCCTGCAGGAATGGCAGAGCATCGTCCAAGTTCTAGCAGCGAATATTCACCCTCGTTCTCTTCGTCTAAGTTTTATTTGTGATACTAAGGACTTCCAAACTGCGCGAGGCATCGTTGAATCTTTAAGATGCCTTCCCTTGCTTCGTGAATGCTCAATTCGCCTTGGGCAGAACCCAGACTGGTCAACCTACTCTCTAGCCCGATCCATCAGTCTTCAGCTAATAGGCCAAATACCCCAGAAATCCAGCCAACATACCACACCTCACCTGCCTGACGAGATTTTGGAGCATATACTGTCCTTTACCGACCTTGTGGCTCCATTTCAACTGGAATGGTGTCCTGTTCGGGGCTTAGTCCCCTTTGACTGCTGCAAGACATGCACTGATTCTCTCGAGGGCTGCTGCTGTTCCTTCTACCATGCAGCATATGCAACTGGGTGCACCTGTTGGAGATTGCCCCTTTCCCTTTTTCTAGTCAGTAGGAGGGTACATGAGATCTCCACTTCAATCTTTTACTCTAAAAACACATTTTTTATCCCTACTATCCGCCGCAATTGTGTTGCATATTTTACACAACAGTCACCCACGGCTCCGGCCCTAACCACGCAGTTCTTTAACAGACTTCCGTCTAATGCGCTTTTACGTCTCCGCTCTATCACTGTAGCCTTCCTTGACTTTGGGCCCCAATCTGTGTTCACTCACCGTCAAGCCATGACAGATTGGAAACAAGGCATTGATATAATGAGTCAAAAGCTTGACTTCTCGAATTTTACTCTATCACTTCAAATTCACACTTCCACAATACTAATAAGTCAAAAGTCAGTGGAAGAGTGGCTACAAGCCTGTCATATATTAGTCCGGCCCTTACTTTATCTAGACGGGCTCCAGAGGCTCTTTGTTTATCTCCCTGGTGTTTATGGCCAGGGACCACAGTATGAGACCGTGCTAGAAAGGGCTGTTCTTGGGGATAACTATGATGCCATGCAACATGGAAAATATTATGCGAAGACTCCGGTATGGTATAATGGCTACAGCCAGGAAGGTCCGGTTTTCCAAGCTGATGGGCGGAAACTCTGGCCTCCTAATTATTTTGACAACTCATTTTTTAGTAATGATTTTTAAATCATATACCTTTTCTTTGGGAACTTTTGCCTGACTAAAATTATTCGTTGATGGATGAATGAAAGCTGGGTGGCAAGGACTTAGTCTTCCTATTAAAAAAACAGCGTTTGAAGCCAAGAAGAGGAGGCCAACAACCTCTGAGTAGAAGATTTATATTTGGTGACTCGTTTAGTGTATTATTTTACGTAGGACAAAGATGCATGTTAAGGCTATTCTAGGAAAGTAGCGTTTTCTTGGTGGCCTGATTATTGCTGAAATCTGTAACATAGATTTTGTCAGTATAAATACCTGTTGACCTGCTCGCTAAGCGTCTTGACCAGTATACAGCCCATGGATCTATGAAGGTCTGATTCTTCTAAGCGAATATTGGAGGCTAAATACATAAGATTAGGGGTAAAGTTGGAAGACGAAAATAACTGAATCGGGAATAGCGGTATCTAAAGTTGACATTTTGCTACGATTTGTGTACCCCTGGTCATGTAAGGTGCGACGCCGTATAAAGTGAGAAGCCGTGACAATACATCAAACAATACTCTGGATCGTAGAAAAGCAGCCTTTGGCCTCGAACTGAATTAGGAACCACTTTTAGAGTGATAAAACTTAGTTGCACTATAAATGAAGTTATTTATGCATAGTGTAAACTGCCCTCCCTTCACATAACTATTTCCCTGCTCGGAAGAAAAACTGTCTTTTAAACAAGACTTATTATGTTAAGCCGCTGTATTTCCTGAGAATAATTTATTCCTAGTGGTTGAGCGAAGCTTACTTATACAGTACTGTGATCAAGTATCATCAGTGATTTTATGTAAAGTCCCATTTTTAACTGCGAACATGCTTAGCCCATACAACTGCGGCACTAATATTTTAGGGAACCGGCGATAGTGCCTGTCTTGGCAGCAAGGATAACTATTGGCGAGATCTTGGAAACACTGCGGAAAAATGCTGTTTTAACATTTATGTCTGGTATATTAAGACACACTTTTAGATTAGAATTGGAGATCAGAGCGAAAGCCCCAGACAGCGAGTGATTCCTCCTCTACACTTTCGCAGTTTTTATACCTCTGCAATAAGCTCTAGATCAAGTGAGAAGCGGCAATCGCCATTGTTGGTTACAGTAGTTAGGTTAACTAAATCAGATGACTCATACTTAGGAAGGTTATTGTCAGATAAAGCAGATATACCATTATTATGTACAAATTGTAACAGCGCTACTTTTTGTGGTCTAGTGGTATATCTGACAGATATTAAAGCCCATGACTCACTAAAATCTCAAGCGGAAGACTTACCTCCAAAGTACTGTATACCCATTTTGCACCTAAGCAATATCTGCTTTGCCATTTAATGCTTTATGAAACTCCCAGTCGACATTATATTTCTGATTTTGGACCATCTTGGTCCTCAGGATTTATTGTCTTGCATTCGTACCTTCCCGCAGTTTGCTCCTCTTTTATCATCTCAACACACCAAAAGCCACGATGATAAAGGAAACACAATCTTACATCTGCTCGTGATGGAAAACGACAAGAATTGCTAAACATCCTCCTCTGCGATAACAAGAATGTTGATGTGAATTCAAAGAATTTATGGGGGCAAACACCACTTTTTCTGGCACGACGGAAGGAAACTCTATGGCTGTAAAACTTTTGGTGAGGAGCAATGAAGTTATAATAGATGAAGCAGATAATTTCCGGAGCACACCCCTTTCAGAAGCTGTTTCATACGGACATATTGAAGTTGCTGAGTTGCTGCTAGACCACGGTGCATCTGCTAGTGTGACTGATTCCTCGGGACGAACGCCGTTGTCATATGCAGCCGCTCGTGGTCATACGCATCCCGTGACTTTTCTCCTAGGGCGGCCTGGTGTCGAAGCAGACCATAAAGATGATAGTCAGCAAACACCTTTGACACTAGCAGTAAAAGAAGGGCAATTTGAGGTTGTAAAGCTGTTAGTGGGAAGGGATGATGTGGAACAAAGGATTGCTACAACAGTACTCCATTTGCATGGGCCGCACAGCCATTATGCGAGGACATAGAGTCTTTACTGCAAATTGCAAAACTTCTCTTAGGGAGATATGATGTAGAAGCTGATTCCAAGTATCGTGATGGCTGGACGCCATTATCACACGCTAGTGAATTTGGCTTTATTGGTTTGGTTAGGCTACTTCTGGAGCGAGATGATGTTAACCCACAATCGGCAGACCGCGATGGAAACACGGTGCTCGACTGGTCAGGCAAGAGTTTCCCTAGTAGGGTGGTATCAAGGCTCCTGATGGAAAGGACAGGGGTTGATAGTGCCTGGTGGGAGGATCCTCCATGTGGGGATGTGAAGTTGAGTCAGTTGCAGGATCTAGAATGTAACTGTGAATATTACTGCGAATGCCCTGACTTCAGGCCATCATAGCCGTGATATCAGGGATCATAAATTACTTACATCTATAAATGGCCAGAAACTGTTGCACGAAGTGGTGCCGATGGCTAAAGGAGCATGAAATTGCAGTTCTGAAGTTTCAGATTGTATAATTATCTATCAGCAAGGAAATATTAAAAACTTACGCCAATCTTGTCTGAAAGCAGCTGGATACCTGAATAAAACCTGGGGAGTCGTTTCTTCCCTGGGACAAAAGCAATGATTGGGCGTGGTGTAAACTGATATTTTGCATATAACTATATAATCTGTTTCTTAGTCAAAAGAACTAATGCGGCTAGCTGTCCTGACCATACTCTACCGACAGTTACTGGTCGTGCTAGTGCCATTGTGTTCCGCTCACGTAAAGTTCGTGACCTCTAGGACGTGGCATGTCGCATCTACGCGACCGTCACTCTGATGGCACGGTGTATCTCAACTGAGGCGTGCGCCTAAGAATTCCACTGGGAGTACATGCAAGGCTGGCTCACTCACCGTTCCCTTCTGTTTAGGTTGTGATATTTGAGTTATCATCCGGTGAGCTCAAGAACATATTCACGGAAGAAATTGAAACATTTAAGAAAACTAATTTGAAGCATATTACTATTACAGCCTCTTGAGATTTGTACTGCGGTATATTTGACTCGAACCCTGACTTCTTCCTGGATATTGCTCCGAAAATAGTCTCGTCACATCCAACTAAGGCAGTCTCCGGTCTCTTCTCAACTCTGCCAAAAGACGCTTCCCCCACTTGAACACGGGATACCCTTCTTTGAGTCTTTCTGTACGATATCGCTATCATCCAAAGCTTGTGCCGCATGGTGGGGCAGATTCCGGTGGCGGGCTTGCCTCATGTCTCTGCTTTCTGTCTTGGCTGGGACGCTGGTACCTTCAGCTTTAGAGGTGCAGTATGACAGAGCCCCTTTAAACAGCCAGGACAGAAACTGTAACCGTTCGTCTGTTGGTAGTGACGAAAAGTAAGAGCGGAGGGTGGCGAAAGAAGTCCCAGTTGGCTGAGGCGTAGCAGCAACTCGAAGGTGCTTGGAAGGCCACACATTGGATTTCTTTGTCCTGCTGGTCTGTCCTTTGCAGGATTAGGACTGATCGTTGCTGTCACCATGGTTGCGTTCCCTTCGGTCTTCAGGGCAAATCGCCTTGGTTCCACAACTATCATTCGTGAGACGGTTGTTTGTTGTGTCCGTAGCAATTTGAAGGCTGAACAATACAGGGCGAGCCAATCTGGTTGATCAGTCCTCTGTTGGAGTCGATGTGGAGATTATTGGCTGTGTTTGTAGTATTACTGTTTAGGATCGCGCAATGAAAAGTAAAACGTGTCTTGAAAATTTGCCATGAGTGTCCGGGTCTATTGTTTATAGTTGAGCAGAAATCTGTGACGATACTATTCGTGACTGAATTGAAAATTTGCCCAGATGTCTCTATTATGGTATATAGCATCTATTTGTTTGTGACTATGAGCTGCTGCCCTGGCTGGTCATACGGGGCCAATGAGCCAATACAACAATTCATTACAGCCATAGATATAGCATTCAATGTTTTATACAAACGCCTGTGCGTTAATATGCCCTAGAATCACGTAGATATGTTAACATGATATTGCAGTATCACCGGTGCACCTTGTAGTATCTACAGATGAGGTTTCGTAGGTCGCTTGACATTAACAGGCTCCTTTATGTACTTCATCCACTGTGTTGATAATGCCATCCCGTCACGGTCCGACTTTCCACAGTTATACTCACAATCAAAGAACCCTTTCTCCTTGCGGTACCTTTCAATCTCCAGCTCCAACCAGCCAGATAAAATGCGCGCAGTGTAGGACACTTTCTCGAGGGGCGCCAGGTGTGATGTGCCGGGTATAATATCTGCTCGCACACGTCCCGCAGCAACGCCTCCATTGCCTCCAAGCCCTGTACCAGTGCGCTGAAGCTTTTCCCGTCTCCGGTCGGGGATGTTAATGTGACTTTTGTCCCCAAACACGTACAAAGTCGATGGCCGAACATATGGAAGGAACTCAAACCCCAAGCAGGGCCAGGGGGAAACAGTAACGTAGTCGCGGTTGTTATTATCTCCTTCTTTTCCTGCTACAGCAACATCTGGGCCTAGGAGACGCTCCATTGGGTCATGCGGGTTATCAACCCCGGCTCGTGGAGTAGCATTAAAGCGCAGATACGTCCACGCTTCTTGCGCCTTTGTTGTGGTAAGTGTCACCGCGCCTGGTGATGAGCTGGGGTAGAGAGCAGTAGGGGTAGACCGAAATCCAAATCGAATATATTGATTCACTGCCCTTTTATCCCATTTGCGCCAAAAAGGATTATCCCGAATATAAGTCTCCGCAGCTTCCAGGGACGGCCACAAATCCGGTCGAGTACTTGCCCAAAGCGCTGGACTTCGCCCACCGAGTTTGCTTGGACTTTTTACTTGGATCATAGGCTCCAGAAAGATTAGCGTATGGAACAAGCGAGGATGCATTATGGAAAGATGAACACTGGTGTATTGGTTAGCGCAAACGAATAGCTATGCTTGGGAAGGGAAACGAAAGGGAGATAACGGGGTACGCACAATTGAGCGCAGCTGAAACTATGTGCAACTCCCACGATCGGAGGCTGAACCAAATCTCGGAAATGGTTCACCATGCATAAGAGATCTCGGGAATGGTCAAACCAGTTCGCTATTAGGCCATATTAGTATAGATCCTGTAAGCAGACTAAACTAAAAATGGGTGCTTAAGCTAACGGTCATAACCAAGAATCCGCTCGTTTAATACTCCACTGGCGCCCTGGTGAGAACAGTCTGCGAACCAGATGGCTTTAATCTTAACGCTCGTTAATGCGAGGAGCTCATCCCAAATAGGCTCATAGCATTCCTGTAGGACAAATATTAGCACAATGTTGGATCCTAATTCTGTCACTCCGCTAATTTTCCTTTCAGGATAACAGTCGACTAACTTTGGGGATTCCATTTGCATGCCCAGCAATAATTGTAATGTCGTCCGGACCGGGGTTGAGATTGTTGAGCGGAATATATTGCTTGACAGCCAACTGCAAGGGAGGGTTGTCCGTCTTCACAGCATGGGGATATTCTTGAATAGACTGACAAGGGATGGCGTGCTCTATTACTTTGAAGTAGGAGGTTGACATGATGGCAGCCGTACTATGAGTAGGAAGAGAATAAAAATTGGTTGACTACTGGGAAAACTATAGTACACCGAGAGGCTTAAGAACAGCTGGTGGTGCCGCTATGCCAGTCCTTTAATAATATTTAATGCTTCGTTATCGAGCTACTTATGGCTCGTCCGCTGATTGGTTTCAATTATGCGCTGTGCTAATATGACCATCAAACAATGAAAACTAGATACAGATCCACAGAACCTAACCTACGTAGTAGTCTCATGTGTTTGTCCTTTGTAGTAAAACACATATGCCTTAATTTCGAAAGACCCTGTCAGCTTCCCAGTCAAGCCGTGGCGCCAGGCCTATATTCTCTTCTGCTGCTTTAAATAGAATTACGAATGTAGCTACAAATAAGCTTGTGGGTTGATATCTGAATAGACAGAAAGTATATATACTTATCTAGTTCTATAGTATTGCCCCCAACCCTCACAACGACATTACTAAAGTCTTATGTTTATTAATAAAAGGAAGAGCACCATGTGCTTATTGGTGTAGCATCGCCATTGAAATATTTGGTGGTTGATTGGTTCGCTCGTCTAATTAGTTTCCACCAAGGCTATCCACCAAGGCTGCTGTTTCTTTCCAGTTCCACCTCATCCTGTACTTTCCACCAGTTTCCCCATTCCTATTCCGAGTAATAGTCATGCATAATCCAAACTTGACAGCCTTTTTAATGTTTAGTAAGATTTGCCTACCAGACACATGGCACTTGGACCATCTAGGATTGAAGCTGACATAGTAAGCTGACATAAATGGTAAGCTGACTGAACTACATCGGCAGAGGGGTCAAAATTCTCCTTGTCCATAAAATTGGAGTAGGCTGCCAGCTGGCGCGGAATATCGTCCTCGGGATAGGCCATAAAACCACCCCATATATTTCTGTATTCGTACACCTTCATCGTAAACCAGGTAACAACACCAAAACTATTCAATCCGCCCTTCAGGCAATGAAAAGATCGGGATACGAATCCTTGGAAACATTGACGACCTCGCCACTTGCTAGAACCATCTCATATAGCAGTACGTTATCGCAGCCCCATCCTATAGCGGGACTGAGTGCGGACACGCCGCCAGTAAGGAACCCGCCTGCGCCTACGGATGCATCTCTTCCACCAGCGACAGTGATATTCAAGGGGTCTAATATTTTGTAGACTTGGTCCCAGGAGGCTCCTGATTGGATCTGCACCATAGATTGGCCCTTACTTAGTTTTACGTCGTTCATGGTGCGCAGATCTATTGTCACTCCGCGCTAGACGTTGGCGGCCCCTGCAGAAAGCATGTGTCCCTGGCTGCGAATAGCGAACTGTTCGCCGTTCTCGCGGTGAGCGCGGGCCATAGTCACGACAATAGTCGACACTTCATTGGCGTTGGTTGGCTGAACTACGCAAGCCGGTCGCATGTTCTGTTCTTGGAAGCTGGAGTATGACAAGAGTGATTACTTGTATGGAGTTGTGTCTGGAGTAAAAACTTTGCCTTCTAGCAGGGAGGCCAGCTGATCGCAAGATGTTCAATGCTGAGCAAGGTGAGACCGCTTTCTTCCAGCTCCCCAGAGACCTAGCGCACCAAGGGCGTAGATTACATAGGACGACATGGTGAAATGGAGTTTAGTGGAAAGGCGTAGTCAGAGTAGGATGAGTGATGGAAATGGACAGAAATTTATATATCTAGGGCCATAAAAATCGGGTTTTGGACACTGGTTCACCGAGTTCCTATCAACCCCCGCCTCTTGTGCATTTTATTTGGTGATGTATATACAGGGAATAAACGACAGGGCCAATCACTGGTTGGCTATAGGACAAAGAACTTTCGCCCCTTTTTATCCCGGCCGAGCACAGCGAGGCCCGATATTATTTCCGATAAATGAGGAATGCAGACCGGCGCATCTGTATACCCTGGCATAGTAAACACAAGTGTTGTATATTTGGTTACCATACAGACGAGGGTTCTACCTTTGCTTACATCAGTTCTAGAAGACCCGACTTGTCGCCTTTTTTTAAGGCAAATTATCCAGTCTCCACTTTAACAACCTCGAGAAAATTCATCCTGCCTACCCTCGTAAATCTCAGCTGCCAAAACATGGCGAATATTGTCCATCAATTTATGCAGCCTGCGGCGACAGTACCTTCACATGTCCTGGTATCAAAATACTAGTTTTATGGCCGACCACTTCTCACTCAGCAATGTATGGAATTACTGGTACAACATCCAAGCGCGCAGGCTGATATCCGATGGTGTTGAGGTTCCTTATATATTTGAATTAAGTGCTATCTTTAGAGTAAACTTTGCTGGAAGCAGCGGGACATTGACCTACGGCAGTTTCAATGCTGCTTTTGTGCCAGTTATCTGCATTATTGGGTATAGCAGAGGCTCAGGACTAGCCAGAAATTCCACCTCCACAAAGCGTATTGTGTACCAGACCACAGTTAGCGGAGCATACAACGGGGTGGCCACAATGGTCGAGCAGCCATAATCATACGCAATGGATGGTATGGCAGCTGTGTAGATGGATCAGCAGCCAGCACGGCTCAGGGAAGCCAAAACGAGGTCCGCAAAGCCATTACTTGCTTCTTCGATGGCACCACTCCCTTATAGTCTCCGAGGCAGCAGTTAGCAAGGATTCTGCTAAATTATAACCAGATAACCGGGAGAAATTGATTCCTACTAATTAGCTATATAGTGCAGAATCATTCTATGCTATTTAGGGTTTAAAATTTTATTTTTAGCCTATAATAAAATATTATATAAAATACAGCAGTAATCAAAGACCTCTCTCTGTAATATAAAGGGTTATTTATCATATAAATTTTTCGGCTAAATATTAGTTTATATGCTTTTAAACTAGTTTAATTTATAGAATAGGCCCTATCACTATGTTGTAGTTGAGATATGAACATTGTTATATCTCACTTTCATCATCAGTGGTGGATTGTTAATCGCCAGATCGAAATATTGGATCCCTGCCATCTAGTACTAGATCCAGTAATTATGCGGCCTCGTAGAGGTCAAAAAAGGGCACTACAGGCGAACACTTTTTATTGGAAGCGAGTTGATCGCGCGGTCTGTATAGCGCAATATGGTCTATTCAGGAGGGTGAGGCAGTAAAGGAGCAAGGCAGCGGCAGCCAAGTAAGCAGGCAATTGGTCAAGTAGTAGAAAGCAATTAACAGCTCAATTACTTGAGACAGCAAATAAGGCATCGAATGAACTGTCAAATGAACACTCAGGTTAGCTATGGGAAAATTTGACTGAGCAAACCCATAGACAACAACGAGTGGAGGTCGATCAGAAAAGCGCCAGAGAATGAGATCCGATTTACGGGCTGCTCAACGTCACGCACCACAGCAACTTATTCCTGAAGCCGCAGCAACCAAAAATGTACTACTAAATTTGGCTCGGTGCAGCTGAACGACGAAGATGAACGAGCCAGAAAAGGGCCTAATGCAAGCGACGACCGAGCATCAATCCTACATGGGCAAAACCTGAAGCGTGCCGATATGGTGAGAGTATCATTGACGGGAGCTCAGCGAGGCAGGAATAGCAGAATGATCGACATAAAGTCAAATTTTGTTTAATAAGGGTAACACCACCTCGGCAATCAAGTGTCCACATCCGTAGCCGCAGATAAATTACTCCTGGCGGTCTTGAGCTTTGCCCACATCCGAACATGCTCAATGACACTCCGGGCGTCCCAGTGAGCCTACACGATAAGAACCCTGCTCTAAAATAGAGGGGGAGAAGACTCCCGTTACGCTCTGGATACAAACCAAACGAGTGCCCATCAATACTGAGCTGGATAGTCGACTATTGATCGACCTTGAACACACCCGCGATGTACTTCACTGTTGTAGTTTTCGCCTCTAGCCAGGAGTATATCCTCCCGACCAAGGGCGGAGACTTCGCTGCAATTAAAAGGACACAGAAATTCATGTCTACCTGGAGGACCAAACATCAAGAGGTGGAACGAATCCATGCTTTCATCGGGGGAATCCATTTCCTGAGTCTGGTTGATTTAGGTGGGCTCGTTTAGGTAATATACGTTAATAACATAGCTACTTTTCGATTCTCCTTGGATCTACGCTGTGGTTAACATATGAGCATTATCTCGGCAGCTACTTCAAGAATACCTAGGTGGGGTCGATATGGCCCAGTGTGTGCATATCAGAGGACAGAAATGGAAGGCTCCTCGCTAAATACGAAGACGAATGTTTCGTCAAGGGATAGGATATAGTTACCCGTCGCACCGCCTCCCCCCACTTTTGCAGTAGGGGGTCGGCTACACTTCAACGCAAAACACACTTCAACGCAAAAATCAATTTTTTACTACTTTTGAAGCTATTCCCACCACCACAACATGGAATCAACATATAAAGTAGAGGAGAATATTATTCAGAAGGCCGTACATGAATACAATGAAAAAAAACGCGAAAATTCGCGCGTTAATATGTCAGAAATTGCGCGTTAATATGGTGTATCCTATCATCGCCTTCGTGCTCGAATTGGTGGTAGAGCAAGCAAATCAACGCGGAAACCGACTCAGCAGCCTCTTGATCCTGCTCAGTTTGATGCTTTATATAATCATATTGATCGGTTTGATGACCTAGGCGCTCCGTTAAGTATTAGTGATGTTCAAAAGGCTGCTAATACAATTCTTAAACAAGGCCATACTGATCCTTTAAAACCACCACCAAGAGTCTCCAAAAACTGGGGATATCGCTTCCTACGACGGAATCCACAGTATACCAAAGGGAAGCGGCGTGTAATTGAGATGGATCGGCGCGAGGCAGAGAATATTGAAGATATTCTGCAGTGGTACAATCAGTTGCAGCATCAAATTGAGGCTTTTAATATTGCAGATAAAGATATCTGGAATTTTGATGAAACTGGCTTCCGTGTTGGCCAGGGACGCATTGAATCAGTTATTACTAAGTATCCAAAGCGCAATAACGCTATTGCAAGCGCGTCATCGCGGATACTGGTAAGCGCAATTGAGTGTGTCAGTTCTACCGGTGACTTAATTCCACCGTTGTTGATTATGCCAGGCAAGGTTCGGCTAGAGGACTGGTATACACAAACCAACCTTCCAGATGATTATATTCTTGAAACCTCTGAATCAGGGTATATAAATGATGAAATTATATATCTTTGGATTTATTATTTTAACCAGCATACTGCCGGACGCAGGCGACAAAAAGAGAGATATCGCCTTCTTCTTATAGATAACCATGAGTCCCATCTTACTATGGATTTTGTACGATTCTGTCAAGAACATAAAATTATTTTGTTACCTTTTCCACCGCATTTAACACACCGGTTGCAACTGCTTGATTCAGTTCCCTTTCAACAGCTTAAAGCTTGCCACGCCGGTGCAGTTAACGCCGTTTCCCGTATAAATGGCAAACAATATGACAAATTAGAATTCCTATATGATATTGATAACATCCGGAAGCAAGCTTTAAAGCCCCGTACAATCCGCGCCGGCTGGCGGGAGGTAGGGATCCGGCCATGGAATCCCATGCATGTCTTGCAACAGATTGGATATACAACAGATATGGAGGAGGAACCTTTGAAAATATATGACGGGGACAATATAATTAAGAATTTTGACCAGCTGGATTCGTTAACTACCGAGAATACTGCAGTAGTGACAACAACTACCACTACCACTACTACAACTACCACTACGACTACCACTACCGTACAGAGGACTCCAACGCCACCACTGCAGAATAAAGTGGAAACACCTAAAACACTGCATTCAATTCGTCATCAAATTACTTTACTACGATCCACTAAAAGGAGCTTTCTCCTACAATTGATCGTATCCTGCGTGGTGCTTTATCCAACGCAGAGAAAGGAGCCATGTCCGCGGCGGTATTGGATGAAACCTTAGAGGCGCAAAAACAACCATCTAATTCAACCACGCGATCCCGCCGGCAGGTCAAACCAGGTCCTATATATAATTGGCAAGTTCGGCGTCAAATTGACGAGAGAAAAGCAGAGGAAATACGGTCTCGTTATAGAGCTATGCAGAAAGAAAATCGCAAGGGTGCGGAAGCTCTTTTGAAGCAAATTGGTCAAGATATTGATAAATCACCCACACAATCTTCTGTGGAGTCAGAAAATGAGTCATCTGAATCGCTATTTTTATAAATACGCAAGGGGATCGTGGTATACCTTCATCATTTTTATATTAGGCAATATTCATTGATTTTTTAATATATTATTTTTTTTGCGTTGAAGTGTGTTTTGCGTTGAAGTGTAGCCGACCCCCTACTGCAAAAGTGGGGGAGGCGGTGCGACGGGTATATATTAATTGATCAACGGCCAATTTTAAATATTACCTGTTACACAAGTGTCACCATCACTAGCCGGGGCTCGAAACTGTTGGTCAAATACACATCAGGCCGAAGACAAGCGAAAGAGTTTGACAAGAAAACCAAAATTGAAAAACCAGAGAAGATGGGATACGAATGTTTGGGAACCAACCCTTGGAAATAGGCACAAATGAAGCTTTACTTCCGTTGTCTGAGTACTCCTGCTACATAGACCATATGATGGCCATCACTTTGCCCTCTGCCTTTTTCAGTTAACGGCTGTGATACCCAGGAAACTTACTTCGGTGCTCAATTTTGGCGGACGCCCCTTTTCTGCACAGCCGCGATAGACCACTAATAGCAATACATCCATCTCTATACAGAAGGTTTCCTTGATGGAATTAGCTCAGAGCGGCCTCGACCGGGCTGCAGTCGGAGTCCGCCGCGACGATCAACAAATCGTCCAATCTCTGCACGACTACCTATCTTGACCTCATTAGTTCAGATGATATTCAGGCACGCCGCGAGTCTGACATGTCGCCGATGGAAGCAGTTCTTGATCAAAGTCACGCACGATGTAACCACGTCATTGCCCCGCCTGCCGTCTTGGGCGTGTCTATACGACACACGTCTTGGCTTCAACGTGGTAGGACTGGCCGTTCTCACTGGTCGAGAAGATTATCAGATTCGCCTTCCATCGTGCATTTCTCATCTTTTTTGCGTTTCACGTGTGCTTCCTGTTCCTGGATGACGGGATAGATATATGATACACGTCACAGTCCGAAGCCCATTTTGGAATAATCTGACGTCTGCTCCCGTGTTCAGTTCATGATGCGGTCATTCAAATTTTTCCTTGCATCTACCTTGCTCCTCTCGCCGGCCCTGGCTGTGACTATAAGCGAAATCAATGGGAATCGCTTCCTCTCTCCGTATCAAGGGAAACAAGTTTCCAATGTATCGGGTCTCGTGACAGCTAAAGACTCCAAAGGATTCTACATTCGATCGACCAGCCCCGACAATGACACCAGCACATCGGAGTCCATCTACGTGTACGGGTCGAGCGCTGTCCGGAACGTGGCCGTCGGAGATATTATCACTCTAGGCGGTAAGGTCACCGAGTATCGTTACTCGCCGACCTACGTCTATCTAACGGAACTCACCTCACCGTCTAACATTCAGATCGTCTCTAGAGACAATGAAGTGGTGCCACTGGTTCTTGGAACTGGGGACCTGAATCCGCCCACAGAGCAGTTTTCAGCTTTGGATAACGGGGATATTTTCGGGCTGCCTAACAATGCAAGCCAAATTTCGAGCACGAATGCTGTCCTTCAGCCAAGTAGATACGGAATGGATTTCTGGGAGAGTCTCAGCGGGGAACTGGTCACGATCAGCGGACTGAGAGCCATTTCCAAAACCAACCGGGGCAATACATGGGCGGTGGGTAACTGGACTGCAACGGGGAGAAATGAACGAGGCGGGCTGACGATGTTGAAAAATGGTATACAAACACATCCCTGATTACGTAGATCTCTGTTAAACGGTACTAGATTCGAACCCCGAGGCCATCATGATTGGATCACCGTTGGATGAAACCCGCAACCCGACCAATACTAAAGTGGGTGACACGTTGACGGACGTCACGGGCATTATCACCCAGGCCCGCGGATACTATGTATTGCTGCCATTGACCGCATTTTCGGTGACGGCGTCCAACTCTACCAGCGCCGAAGCCACCGACTTGGTGGCGGATGGCAGATGCAGTGCCATGACGTTTGGAAGCTATAATGTTAACAACCTAGCATATAACTTGAAGACACTGCCTCATATTGCCGGCCACATCGCGAAGGAACTGAAGAGTCCTACTTTGGTCTTTCTCCAGGAGATCCAGGATGATGACGGGCAGACAGATGATGGAGGTACGGTACATTTCTCTCCTTGACTGCAACATACTAAAACCGAGGACAGTAATCTCTGCCAACAAAACACTCTCTACCCTGACGAAGGAGATCAAAAACCAAGGCGGAATCGACTATGACTTCGTAGACATCGACCCCGTGAATGGCCAAGACGGTGGCCAGCCGGGCGGTAATATCCGCGTTGCCTATCTGTATGATCCCTCTGTGATTCAGCTGCGCAACCCCAACCCAGGCACCAGCAGCGATGCGAACAAGGTTCTCCCCGGGCCGGAGCTGAAGTACAACCCGGGACTAATCGATCCCACAAACGTCGCCTGGAATTCCAGTCGTAAGCCGTTGGTAGCAGCGTGGGAGACATTAGACCGGAAGAACAAGTTTTTTACCATCAATGTGCACTTCACCAGTAAAGGGGGAGGATCCTCGATTGATGGAGACGCCCGTCCACCGGTCAACGGAGGTATCGACCAACGAGAGTCACAAGCGAGGGCAGTCGCGGTACATGGCTTTCTTCCTCCTCCCTCCTCTCCATCAACTATGCTAACTGTATCAGGGTTTTGTTACCTCCATCCTGTCGGAAGATTCCAAGGCTAAAATTATCACCTCGGGAGACTTTAACGAGTTCGCCTTCGTCAAACCGCTGGAAGTGTTCACCTCCGAGTCCAAGCTGCAGGACCTAGATGATGTGGTCCGTACCCCTGCCACGGAGCGGTACACGTACCTGTACGATTCGAATTGTCAGCAGCTAGATCACGTGTATGTGAGTGAGGCGTTGACAGAAAACGCTCACATGGAGCATGTGCATGTCAATACCTGGGTGTCGTATGGCGACCAGGCGTCGGATCATGATCCCACAGTGGCGTTGTTGAATGTGTGTTCGTAGGGAGATTATGCTAGGCCACCAATCTATTGTTTAGGACAGGGCATGATGGATAGTATTGTCTGCTTTGTTCATTGGGAGGTGTCACATGCTCGCAACTGAACCATACGCAGTCTGTCAGAGCTTGTCTGTTTTGGGCAGTAGTCGTGTAACTGACTTCAGCCTGAGGCACGCGGACCAATACTTATACACTAGCCCTGAAAGATTGAAATCTGCAGAGTTGGGAGACTTTCTAGCTCATGGTTTCGTTTATGGGTGCTTTTAGTCTCAGAGAAATATCGGGATTCGGGATTCGAGAACTCCTAGCGCCTTGGCGAGCGCTCAGCGTCATCCCCCTGAATCGTTGAGAGCATGTTGGCTACAGTGCTGGAATCAGTTGATTGTTACTACAATGATAAAGATCCTAAGTGTTCGCGTGTAGCTGGATAGTGTTCTTCTGTCCACCGTTCCTTCCCCTGAGCCAATGATCATAACATAGGCCAAGAAGAGCCGCTTTAATTGAGCCTATTGAATAAAGTTGTAAAGGTTTCAATTCCACGTTAAATATCGGTGTGCGGCCAAAATCGGGGGTCAGGTAATACCGGGCGCCAGGTGATTACCTACCGTAAAGCGCTTAGGATACACCGCCCAACAAGCACGATGAACACCCCATCCGCATCTGGACCAGGCACGCGCCTAAGAGCCAAAAAAGCCTGCGAGACATGCAGGCTGCGCAAACGGAAATGCGACGGGCGGCACCCATGTGCTGCTTGCGTGCACTACGAATACGACTGCGAATATGGCACCCAGCCGCGGAAGAGACCGGCACCGGGCTCCACGTCCGCAGCGACCGCGTCGTTCGTGCAGCCTGTAATCCAGCAGTCGAGTCGCTCCGGGAGTGATCCCGGGCTCAATCAGGAACTTATGGAATCTACGTCGGGAACGGCATTTCCTCATCTCCTTGGGATGAAGCTGAACCCGAAAGACGCGCCGGGAGTGCATGGGTTTAGTTGGAATTTGGGACCAAGAGGGGATCCAGTTCTTCAGTTTACGAATATAACGGGACTATTGACCGAGGATGAGATGGAGAGATTGGCGGGAATCTACTTGGAACAGGTCCATCCAGTGTATGCCGTGGTGGAAGCGGATGTTCTCGCTAGGAAGATTTCCCAGCGATGGAAGAAAATGGACAGTATCGATAGCTACGATTCGGTGCTCTGCGGGGTTGCGGCGTTGGGATCGCTGTATTCCGGTCTCGAGGGCCATGGAAGAGAGACTGAGATTGTGCAGTGCGCTAAAGAGATGCTTGAGGCCACCAGCGTCATGAATCGACCGCTGTTGCACCATGCCACGGCCTGGGTCCTGCGGGTGATTTATCTCCGCAGTACGAGCTCCCCACATGCCTCGTGGATGGCTAGCTGTACCGCGATGCATATCATCGAGGCTACAGGGGTGCATCAGGATCCACAGCTAGGTTCCCTGGTATATTCGGATACGCGCGACACCGGCGGCGATGGCGAGACACTACGACGGCTGTTCTGGGTGGCCGTCACGCTCAACGCATGGATTGCCAACGAGTATGGCCGGTCGCGCGTGTCCATTCGGGGCGTATCGTGCAAGCCTCCGTCGATGAGAGACGGCGATTTCACAGCTGATTTGATTGCCATGTATCAGATATCGCAGCAGCTGGATCCCGATCATGTCAATGAGCCGACAGATCTGGTGGACTGTCTGGCACAAGTCGAGCAACTCTCCTTCAGTCATGATGCTTTGAAGCTGTCGCAGACTAATCTGGCGCTAACCATATATCGGCGACTACGCGTTTCCTCAATCAGTACCTCCAACAAGGTGTTGGGTCGCATTATTGACTTTGGCGCGATGGGACTGCGCGCGGCCGTGAGGCTGGCAGAGGCTCGCTGTCCCTGGTGGCATGTAGCTAATGTCCCTTTCCAGGTGGTTTGCACCCTACTGGCGATGGATACGCGAGAGTCCCTGTCGGGCGTGGGCGATGCGATGCGATCTCTCAAGACGGTTGCGCAATGCTTCCGGACGTCGCACATTCAGCGTGCGGTCGATGTGGCCGAGTCCCTTGTCCGTCTGTCACGACGAAACAAGGAGAGAGATCTGGATGTTCTCAAGGATGGATTGCAGGAGGGAAATGTTCTCGATGAGCCGAGCCAGACCATGTGGTTGACGGAGGAGACGATCGGAGGGAATGTTGAGGTGGATTGGGATGCTTTCTTGGCGGATATTTCACTGTTTGACAACAGTGCTCAAGTTGGGTCGCCATATCAGTGACATAGTAGATGCAAACAGGGTGATGGTTCTCTGCCACATCGTGAAGCGGGTAGAACGGCAAAGATGGATGGAACGGAAGATCAACACCATGCCATTCCAGCTACAAATAGCACATTGCGTGAATCGTAGCCCTTGCTGAGTACATTTCAGTCCCTCGCTTGATTGAATTATTCCAATATGCAGTCATTCTTGCAATACCAACGACTACGCCAGAGCCTACAACAGGCCATTCAACTGCACCGTCCTGATGATCCCCAACCGAGAAATCCCGAGAGCGTTCAAGGAGAGAAACCAGTTGAGTTACATGATGGACAGTGGGCGACCATCCCGGGCATCACCATTCAACAACGTTCCTCAGATGCGGCAACCAGCACTTACACGGTCTTCATCGTCGGATTCGACGGACCCGATGACCCTCTCAATCCTAAAAACTGGTCTCTGCGACGCAAATGGACAACCTTGGGCATTGTGGGATCTACCGGCTTACTGGTGGGATGGGCCTCTGCCATCGACTCCGCAGTGATCAAACAAGGCCAGGAAGAATTCGGAGTCAGCGAGGTGGCCGAATCCCTGGCCACAGCCCTCTATCTCTTTGCCTTTGGGCTTGGATCCCTCGTGGCGGCGCCATTCTCCGAGACCGTGGGCCGCAACCCAGTCTACTTGGTGACGTTGTCGCTGCTGATGATCTTCATCATGGCGTCAGGGCTGGCGCCAAATTTCGGCGCGCAGCTGGCTTTCCGATTCATCGCGGGTCTGTTTGGATGCACGCCGCTGACCACCTTCGGCGGCAGCATGTCGGATATTTTCAACCCCCTTGATCGCACCTACGCCTTCCCCATGTGCTGTACCTTGTCCTTCCTGGGCCCCTTCCTGGCGCCCATGGTCGGAGCGTTCATCGGCCAAAGCTCAGCCATCAGCTGGCGCTGGACGGAATGGACCTCGCTAATCCTCGCCGGGCTGATCACGACGGCCATCTTCCTCTTCGTGCCGGAGACATACAGTCCGGTACTCCTGCAATGGAAGGCCCGCCATCTTCGCGCCTTGACCGGAGATGGGCGCTTCGTTGCGGAGATCGAGCCGCGTCAGGCCAGCTTTGCCCGTCGACTGATGAGCAGCTGCTCTCGACCGTTCGAAATGTTCTTCCACGAGCTGATGGTTGCCCTGTTTACGATGTACCTGGTGGTCGTATATATTGTGTTATTTGGCTTCCTCACCGGATACGACTTCATCTACGGCAAGACGTACGGATTCTCGCAGGGATCGGTGGGACTAGCCTTTATCGGCCAGAACGTGGGGTTTCTCGTCGCGTTTGCTCTCGTACCGTATATCTACATCTCGTACAAACGACGACTAGATGCGGCCCTAGCCAAGGGGGAGGCTGGTCTCCCGCCCGAGGAAAGACTCTGGTTCGCCATGTACGGCGCCCCATGGCTCCCCATCTCGCTCTTCTGGATGGGATGGACCAGTTTCCCGCCTATTTCGTACTGGTCCGCGCAGATCGCCTCGGTCGCGTTTGGGTTCTCCGTCCAGGGAATCTTTATTTCCAGCTATCAGTATCTGATCGATACGTACGAGGAGTACGCGGCCAGTGCGCTGGTAAGTGCCACCTTCATGCGTTATCTGGCGGCGGGGGCGATGGTCATCGTGTCGATCCCGATGTTCGGCAATCTGGGGGTGCATTGGTCGCTGACTCTCCTGGGATGTATCTCGCTGGTGATGACTCCAGTGCCGTACGTGTTTTATCGCTATGGGCATTTTTTTCGAGCACGCAGTAGGGCGGCACATAGCTTGGATAAGATATGACACTGTTTGACCGAGTTGGTTTACATGAGTATATTTGATGACGGTGGGACAATGATAGAACGGATGTGTTTCATGCAAAGAGGAAGAGAAGAAATAGAACCAGGGGGTGCATAATCTCGCTGCATGTTAAAGTGATTATAGTGTCTGGAGTGTAATGGGATCTAGATCTGTACGCCGAACACGATCCTGACAGAAACTCTTAATCTCTTACGAGATGTGGCAACTTCAAGTTAACAAGCCCAGATCCACATCAACAATCTGGTACGGGTGAACCGAAATTGCGATCTCGATCTGCGTGGGGCAGCTGAAGCACTATTGAACTCACCATCGTCATAATTGGACTGCGCCACACCGACCAGAGGACCTCGTGGATTCTCCAACTCACCGTGTGGCGCATTCGCGAGATGTAATTGCGCAATGCTGTATCGTGGATCTGGTCCAGGCGTAGCTAATGGCGCCATGTCCCTCAGCTGAACCGGTAACTCGGTCTAGCCCAGTCCACTGCCCCTCGGTTGCTACATTTGAGTTGCCCCTCGTGGGTTATAATAGGGGTTGCTGTCCTCTTATGTTTTTACAATTCTTACAATTCCTTTTCGCTTCCAGACTTATCTGTTCTATACTGCTTATACAATCTCTAACCATGTCTTACAACCGTGATAATGACTACGTATGTTTATGCATGTCCCCCTGAAAGCCATGCTAATATCCCTCAGAACTCCAGCCGCTCTGGTGGTTATGGCGGTAGCGACAACGACAACTACGGTGTAGGTCTTCACATTCCTACAACGAATACCTGCTAACAGACTCCAGTCCTCCCGTACCGGAGGCTCAGACGCCTATGGCTCCAATCGCTCCGACAATAACTCGTTTGGTCGCGATAATGACAACTATGGCTCTTCCGGCGGCTACGGCTCCAGCCGCTCCAATGATAATACCTCCTATGGTTCCAAGAATGATTCCTATGGTTCTAGTGGCCCCGGATCTGGTTCCTCGGGTAATACCTATGGGTCCAACAAGGATAGCTACGGGTCGAACCGTGATGACTCTTATGGTTCTGGCTCTAAGACTGATAGCTATGGGTCTGGCTGGTCTGGTCGTGACAATGACAACAGCAAGTCATATGGATCTTCCAAGAATGACAGCTACGGTTCCAGTGGATCCTACGGCTCCGGTCGCGACAAGGACAAGGACAATGACAACTCTTATGGATCCTCCTCGTCTCGGAAGGATACCTACGGGTCCAGCCGTGACAACGAAAACGATAACCCCTACGGCTCCTCATCCAAGAAGGACACCTACGGATCCAGCGACTCCTATGGATCGAAGAATGATAGCTATGTATCCTCCGGTTCCACCTCCAAGAAAGATACCTACGGATCCAGCACCTCTAGCTCCAAGAATGATAGCTACGGGTCGAACAACCGTGACGATGACTCCTATGGGTCGTCGGGCTCTACCTCCAAGAAAGATAGCTACGGTTCCAGCCGTGACAACGATTCGTACGGATCGTCGGGTAATACCTTCGGCTCGAAGAATGATAGCTACGGATCAAGCGGGTCGAGCTCCAACCGTCGCGACAATGACTCGTACGGGTCCAAGAACGATAGCTACGGCTCGTCAGGTGACTCGTATGATTCTAACCGTCGGGATAACGATTCCTCGTATGGGTCTGGATCGAACAGGAACCAGGGGTCGGGTTACGGACAGAGTGATTCCTACGGTGATCGGTCCAGCGGGTATGGGAATGATCGGTATTAAACCTTTGATTGTGGGTTAGTTCTATATCAGGAGGTAGTTAATTGAGTTATTGTACAGATTTTAATTCGCATGTAGACGGCTAGCTCATGAATCATGGAGAGGACACTGACGATAGGTGATATCAGGTGGTCTGGTAATCCGTCCTATACTATCTAGTGAGATGAATAGGCCTGTTCGTTATTGCAGTGATCGCTGCAGGTGACCATAAATTCCTTAGGCCCTTGTTCCGATCCAACAAATGATCGGGTGGTCATAGATCCATAAATGTAAGATAATGGCCGAGTCTAGTCGTAGGATGTTTATATACACCGTGGCGTAACCCTGAGCGTAAATACTGCACCTGTCGACCAACATTATCATTAATCCATGCTACGGTGATCTATCATCTGCCCTTGTGTAGCGGTTTCGGATAAGAAATCTGCGCTGAATCGTCGCCAATTGGAGGAAGTGGAGCAGTAGGCTGATGCTGGTATGCAGCGGGCAATCCCAAATCACCCTGCGCGCCATCGCCGTCGCAGTTAAGAAGCAGTACGGAATCGTTTCGAATCGGTCGGCCGGAACCGTGGCGGGAATATGCATGTTCATCCGGGGTGACCACACAGTCGTCTATCGAGGGACCTGTTCGGATCACACTGATCAAGCGATTGAGCACGCTAAACTCCATCTTTAACTTGATGCTATACACCACTGGTTTGTACGTTGTCTGCACCTCGAAGTTATTGGTATACTCCGTAGCGAGGAGCGACGCATCCAGGAGAATCACAACGATATTGACCAGAATCAGATGCATCCAGACATACTGGCCCTCTTTTCCTTTGACTGCCAGCACGGGCCGTAACGCGGTGGATGCCTCCCAGATATACAACCCGCTGATTATAATCTCCTGAATACAGAACCCTGCCAGCTGAATTTTCTCGTAGATATTAAACGGCCCAGCAAAGCGACGGTCGTCAAGGTTGCTTCCCAAAAACAGGATCGTGACAGGGATATGCAGGATACAGAAATTCATAATAATCATATACAACACCCAGCGAGCGCAACGCGTATCGCCGCTGACCAGATGTAGACGCGAATATAGCACCACGGACTGTCCGGTGACCATGGCGTACCATCCGAGGACCGTCAAGACGCACATGGGGAAATTGGGCGCCAGGGCAAAAAATCGCAGGAAGACAGCGATCGAGTGCAGCAGGATCCCCCAGGTGGCGACCAACATACTGCAGAAGTATAGCCCCCGACGACGCTTGAACGTGGAGAATATGGTGATGCTGATTTCGAGCACATTGTAGCAGGATAAAGCGAAGAAGGCCGCGATGAGCATGGACTTAGCCCGCGATAGAGCCACAGGACCCGTTTCGCCTACCATGGCGGAGAGAATTGATGGTGTTTATCACAGAGTGGTGGAGAGCATACTAGAGGATGTCTGAGAGGGACAGCGGGGCATGACGGGCGATTTTCAACGAGATAAAGTTATGTTAGGCCATTGCTCTGGACAGTAGGCAAGAATATAACCAATTGATCGGTAAGACATCTAATTGTCAGTTGAGGACGTCGATCATAACATTCCCCTGAAAGAAAAAGAAAGAGGGAAGAAAAAACAAAAAAAAATTCGACCAGTCGCGTATTCTCCAACAAATCCCAGACTGTGTGGGATTGGCACGGGCCGATAGACTCGGCGGACCCATTCTTGGGCACGATTGCCTTAGACTGGGAGTTTCAAGCAATCATCCGATCCATTAGGCTTTCGTGATGGACAGGATCGATTCCTTTCACGGCGTTCTCACCTGCTAAGGTTCCCAGCTTCATCGGCGCGTGGCATTGGGGCTTCGCAGTAGCCCCTTGCCGTGCTATACAGGACCCAGGATCCTGTCGAGAGAGAAACGGCACTGTTCTATTCCAAGAGGATAAAGCACTTGGCAAAGCATCGTCCCGTCCTCTGTTTATTAAGAGAACATTCTAGCCACTCGTCGATTACCTAACTGCCCAGGAAGAAACTTTCGTCCACGGCAGCCTAAAACGCCGCGTTTTCACTCCTCTCTTCCCCCGTGTTTCACAGGCAGGGTTTTAGCTGTCGGAACTTCAGATTTGTAACGGCTTCTTACGAAGCTTCAGTCGCGGAATTCCGCCGCAGGGACTGTAGCCCTTGCACTGCCAGTGGCTTTGCGGCCCTCAGCCCAGCCTTTCATGCAATCGGCAGTGGCGACCTCCACTATGGTGTCTCGGTCCCACCGGGCTGAGATTTTAATCTGCCACTATGTCGCCCAGAGGATTGATATGCTGGACAGCGGCGTTGATCGCGGTCCTGTTGTTATTGTTCACTACTTCTAGAGTTGGAATGGATATCGTCAATTGTTGAGTAGATGCCCAAATGCATCGTTGCTATCTTGTCGAATGTTAGACCTACCGTCGTGAACTTCAGTCAGGAAGATAGAGTTCGGATGACCCCGATGCTCGTCATTTTGACACTTTGAATAAGACACAAGATTGCCTTTGCATCTCCATATCCGCGACATTACGTCAGAACCCGTTGAGATTTCTAGCATATCTGTCGGAGATCTTGTATCTCCTGTATTATTATTAAAGACAGGGCCGAAAATAAAAATAAAGTTCAATAGACAACGCGCTATCATAGCGGAAACTCTAAACCCTTTTCTCACAGGTCTCATCAAAATTTGGCCATACTTGCCACACTCTACAGAATGTAACGGAAGCTTTTGTTCTGAATATCTGTCTCATCAACTTCCTGCAATTGCTCGTCCACATGAAGATCAATTGCCCTACTGTCCTCCGGGTCAAGATGAATGCCCTGGTCCCGGTCGCGTCGTCCGTTTGTCCAAGCCAGGTACACTCGTAGCACGGCCGCCATGCCAATAGTGATGGCAAACGTACTCAGGATAGTAGTGTACGCGGTCTACCAGAAATTAGCATATTTTAGAAAAACTTACAGACAAAATAAAAATAATAATAACAATCACACATACCTGATAAGTCGGTGCTTCTTTACTTTCAAAGAATTGAGGACCCACAAAGTTCCCAACGCAATAGCCCACGAAGATCAGCGCCACCACCGTTGACTTCTTTGTGAATCCGGCCACGTTGCTGGCGAACAGCGACATCATCAGTGGAAAAGCCGGCGCAATCCCCGTTACCAGCCAATAGCCCGCTAGACGCGACAGTTTCTTCTCTTCTGGCACCAGCTTGATCATGAGGACTCCAGCAATCGCTATGAGGAAGATGGCGATCACCATCAGTAATCGTGATTTGCGAAATAAGGTGGTAAAAAAGGCGGCCAGAACAACCGTTGTCAGTTGGAAAGCTGATGCCGGTAGACCCATCAGGATGGTTTGGAATTTGTCGTAGCCGAAGCTGTTGATGATGATCGAGTTGAACTGTAATCGCCATTCATTAGTAATTGATATCGATGGTTCCATCAGGAGACCTACGCTGGTGGTACCGCCGTTGGGCACACAGATTATGAACGAAAACAGCAAAAACCACCACGTCTTCGGATCTAGCCAGGCTTCGACGAATTGAGACCGATCCCACTTTTTGGTTTGTGTCGTGCGCTGGAATTTCTTCGGTCGCAGGGAGGCGAATTCTCTCTCCGTGGGGGTCAGGAAGCGCGCGTTGGACGGTGAATCAGGCAAATAAAACCAGAGTACAGCCGACCAGGCGATGGTGATGAGACCAAAGATCAGGAATAGCATCTATCTACAGGCTTAGCTTCCAGACGAAACGAATGATCGATAGGGACGGACCTTCCATTGGGCCAACCCGCCCGTCGAATGCAAGATGCCATATGCAATCATCGAGCCGACGATGCTGGCGAGGGCGTTGCCCGCGAACCAGAACGAATGCCGCGACATATGTTCCCGCGGTGTGTACCACATCCCCGTAATCAGGGAGAATCCAGGACTGATAGCGCTTTCGAAGACGCCCAGTAAGGTCCTCAGGGCCATCAGGCCGGCGTAATTCCCGGCCACTGCATGGAGGGTGAGCACGATACCCCAGATGAGACTGTACAGTGTTAATCTATCCATAAATCAACCGCACAAGAAGCGCAATATAATACATCAGAAGACTGAGATAACGGCCTAGCTGAAAACGAACGAAACCGAGAGAGATAGGATAAGAAGCGACCAAGTAGCCGATGTAGAAAATGCTCGACACCCAGCTGAATTCTTGTCCCACGAGATTCTGCCAAGGTCAGGAAACAAAGTCACTTGCGATCGACCGGTGACCATACCAGATCTTCTCGTATGCCTAGAATCGCGCTGTATGACAAACTGGTTTCTGTCGAGGCATCAGCTGGGCCTGCGGTTGACCTTGGAGACTTACTGTCTAGATACTGTAGACCGTAGCTGATAATGAGGAGTGGCATCAAACTGGGATAGTTAGCATCATCTGTCTACAGTTGTAATGGGAACGTACTGCCGATCGATCTTTCGGACGAGTATCTTCTCCTCTTCGGGTCCCAGTGTATCTACGTTTCCATCATTCTTGTGTGCGGCTATATTGTCTACGGGCATGGCCTCTTTGATGTCCTTGCCCGAGAAATAGTGATCGTCCGCCATGGTAGGACTCAGGCTAGAACTCCGTGGGAATCAAAGTCCAACCATGGATGTGGGCACGCAACTGAAATATGGCAGTGGTGTCTTACTCCTCAAAGGAAATGCGGGGAAGCAATCTCCAGATCCCAACTAACAGGTGGAGAGTCTCGATCGGCATTTCCTTTGTCTGCGCGGCAAATCGGATGAGATCCTGCTGTAGAACTTCGTATTATTGGCCAAATCAGTTAACGCGCCAATCTCGAAAATGCCAGCTGGCGTTACAATTGGCATGGTGTCATTCCGGCGTCTGGTCGGACATATCATCGACATTGACCGGACATAGGATTAGGTTTATGCTAGTCAATCATACCCAGGGGCTCTGTATTTAATAATGATATAGTAAGTGCATCAACACTGGGTCTAGACTATAGAGTGAATATATTCCCTAACCATAACTCAGTACCAGACTTTAGCCCCCCGGATCGCGAGTGGACTGCCGTTGGAGAAACCGAAGAACTTGATCAAATCCCTCCGGTCTTTTGATCCAATGCCCATCCTTATCTACCCCGCCGAACTCGTTCCATTCCACCTCCATCGAACACTGCAAGATCCGTGCTTCCTGTCGGCCTAATTCTACCGGTACCCAGATGTCCTCTTTCCCGTGGCGGAAGAAACAAGGCGTCGATATAATCGAGGTATTGTTCTCATCTGCGTAAGACACCTCACGAAGGGCATAATGTCTCCGAACAAATCAGATCCTCCACCTGAGACGCGAATGGGAACCAGCCACAGAACCCAGAAGGCCACCCAGTGGATCATGGATGCGACCGGTGGCATAGAGTAATGTCCAAGCGACGTGGTCATGCCCTGACTGATGCCACCGAGATACACGGAGGGACTTGTCACCCAGGAGTTAGGTTTCATTGCTGATAGTGCTCATGATTGCAAGATGGACTCGGCTAGTCCATCAGGGAGTACGCGTCGAACCAGGCACGCTTATCTTCCTGAAATCGGGTACTCCATCAACGGCGGGAGGTGGGAAATACCCAGCGCCAGCCAGAAAGACAGCAGGCGAGGCTCTGGTTCTGGGAGGTCATGAAGGAGAGGAACTCTTTGGCAAATTTCGGGGCCATTACTGTCACTGTCGCAACCCTGCAGGAGGATTGCCGTATTGGTATGGGTGTCCTGGGGGGAGGGAATTCCGTGTGCGATTATATTTTGCTGCTATGCAACTCTGAGGGCAGCGATACTCCTCTCTGCCCCATGATTAGACACTAAAATAATCTTCCAGGCCAAGACCTATTTATATAAAGCCTTATCATTGTTCTTACTACCCTACAAAGCTTCATCTAACTGCCCCCTAGCCTTACCATGATCCTGACTGCTCAGGCACAGTTCACACATCAACAGCTATATATGCACATCGAGTCAGCTAGACAATTTATTAGTCGAGGGCTTATTTAAGCAGCAGTTAAGAGAGTCTCCAGATTACTACCTCGTCCTACAATATTTAGTGAATATTTCACGTACCCCACCTAGCCTCAACAGAGTACTTAGTATACATCGATCTATAAGCACTGAAAACCCCATCCATGGAATCATACCAAACTATTTAAAATGTGAGGAGACTCAGCATCATATGAAAGCGGCTGGAATACATAATGATAGAACATTTTTGTACAATTGTTGTGTAAGTTCTACAGATTTTAATCTTTTATCCTCGTATTCAACCATCCTCTCCTGTATATCTCCTTCGTTTTTATTGTAACCATATCAACTGGTCATGGGTGCTATGCGCTTAGATATAGCTAGCTTGACAATTTATAGATGCTTAAGCCAAAGTTAAGTATTTTACTAACACCAACACAGTGCAGTGCTGATAATGATCCAAAGGTGCATAATATGGGACCACAGTGTATTCATTGCCAGCATGACTTGTGCGAAACTGATATTATGTTAGGTAGATGGAAGAGAGTGGGAATTTTTACTTAGTCTTATTTAGTCCAAGTCCATCTCAGAATGCCACAAATGTCAAAGTTTCTCATCAGAGGTACCATCACATGTAATGTAATCCAAGTGCGTAGCGCCGGTCAAGCAGAGCATAGAGACCCAGTACCTCCACCATGCGATATTATTTCTGACCTGTTTCCTACTGAATGCTCCCTCAAAACGATGTCAGTCGCAGGTCTTTTATCTTTTCACATTGGTCAAGGGACGGAGCTGGTATGCTCTCCATCATGAGTGTCACCGGTAGATGGAGCTACGTTCAAGTTAGAAAGAATACGAGTAGTCGTTCAAGGTGGTATTTTGCTCACAATTTTAATATACGTCAACTGTCGGATTTTATTACTTAGTCGAGTCGCGGTGATACTCTCCGCTAGTGATATGGCGTTTACTAACTAGATAGCCCCATCAGCGTCCGCCCAATGGACATGTGGATATATGTAATGAGAAATTGTGGGATGGTGTATATAAAGCTGGCCATCTCGACTGTTTCAATTCTTCGAGGACCATCTGCAGAGTTCCAAGCTCTGCTGTGAATTGCCGTACCGACAAGAAACTTTCTCGGAACTTGTCCAGTAGGACTCCGTGCATCTGTAAATCAAATTAAACATCATTATTTCGGTCAAATGCGGCCCAGATGGCAGTAATTCTTGCCAAGCAGTTTCGCAGGCGTCGAAAAGTGCTTAGGATCCAGGTGTATTCCTTGATCTTCCACAAAGATGGGTTGTCCTCAAGGAACTGTTCCACATTTTCCACGCCGATATCGCCTTAGCGAATTTTAGACGAACACTAGCCTATAATATGGGTGAAATGAGATAGATAGACTTATATATTTAATAAGATGTTCCTCCACTCTTTCTACTCACTTCGACTCCACCGTGACCTGACACATTTGGATGGAAAAGATAGAAAGAAAATTATATCTCGGATACCATATGGGGTATTTGACACGCTCTCAAGCTAAATGAAGGTCCATCGACCTTCTCCTAGACGTATTTCGAAATCGGATTGCTGGCCCCGAAAGTAGGAATCATCGTAGAAGTATGCCGTCCAGAATAATTCATCAACTCCAAGCGCTATCAACAGAGCTGGGTCTCATAGGTCCTATGACCCAGGTGATGTTGATGGAAAAGAGCAACTTTGCGAAGTCCACAGCAGTTATGTAGGTCGGCTCGATCAGGGTGCAAGATAGAAAGAGACAGTGGAACTCAAGTATGAAACCTCTATGCTGTCGCGTTTCAATTTGTCAGAGGACATACTCCTGGTTCAGACTCTCTGGAGGCACATAGGTATTCACCTGGAACTCCCATGTACAAATCGCATGCCACATATCGTGACAGGTATGATTGCATCTGTGGGAATTGCATGTACGGGACTTTTGAAATCAATGTCAGTCCCATCAGCGGTGCCAGATCGACCAGGTATCTGTGAAAGTAAATTAGTTCAGGGTGTTCTTTTATCTAGAAATATATTGTCAGAAATACACAAATCGTCACTCGGCATCTCCTTTTCGCTGTAGACACTGGTCAGCATAATTGGCATCAATTAAAATAATGCTATTTTCGGCCTGACGTACATCCTTATTCAGATGTAAAACAGCTTCACTGCGTCTCCGCCTAAGATCCGACTATGTAGCCCCTATGGGGGCTGGCGCCTGAAGCCTTGTGACTCCCGCTGCCTAGTGGGACAGGGGCTGTACTTTCCGGACTATTCGTATATTGTATGCTTGTATCACATCTGTCATTGATCTTGTCAAGCACACGACTATCTCCTGGACCGAACTTGGTGGTCTCTGGAAATGACCGAGCCCCAGCAAGAATCAGGAACCTCCGTAAGAGCTCATAATGTTGTGGGGTAACAAGTCAATGCTAGAACTATTAAAAATTTACTCAGCCTAGAGCCAGTTATAGGCACTCTCAAGTGGGTATCTTGGGTGTGGTAGATGGTTGCTTGGCGAATAGAATAGAGTTAGAGTGAGTAAGGGGAATGATAGGTCGAGGGCTACGGTAGGTTTCCATTACTTCAACACAAATGAATTGTAAACTTGAATGAGGTCCTGAAACGTTGGGTGAAGGCTTCTTTCCAATTCTTCCTTAGGCAGCCTAACACTTTAGGCAGCTTAGCACCCCTCAGCTACCTCCTAGCTCAGACGTGTGGCTGTATCACATCTCATCAATATATGAAGCCAGTTGCCCTTTCAGTTAATCAGGACGAATCTTCATTGGTCGGTTGGAATGTACTGAAACTACCCGAACAACTCAACCGGTCGTCTAATACTAATATGACTGTGTTATGGAATTTAGGGGAAGGGATGCGCAGGGAGCTATGGATCAGCTATACACTGACAATTAGCCTAATTAGGAAGAAGATGTCATCTGTGGAATCACCAGGAAAATTTTCTAGGATACCTAGGTGGACGATCTGTGCCTAAAGTGGCGACTTGTGCAGGGGAATGGGGCACAGGAAGTAGGCATGCAATCTGATACCTTGATACCATATAAATATAGTATTCGACCTTGTAGACAGGAGCCTGTCTACCGGTTGGTAATTGTTCGATGAGAGAAGCAAACGGGGCACAATGGGGAGTAGAATAGTACATGGAGAAAAGAATAACACCAGGAATCTATTCAAGTAGAAAAGGAGAGTATATTTCGTCTGAGACCTTCCAAGCATTTTACCAACGCCTCTGTCGTTCAACCGTCTGATTCGTCGCCTTACAGCCCTACAGGAGCACATCGCGTTGATCCTGTGGATTGGCGCCTGTCGACGGTTGATCGACAAACAGAAATACTGCTCCCAATAGTATTACCATGGCGTGTGATGGGAGATACAGGTCGACCCACCCGGGTGCATCATTCCAGCGACGCCAAATCAAGCCTCACAGCTAAGCGCCGACAATGCTGCTGGTCTCGTCCTGCCCCTCGTCCTGGCGCCAGGCATCAGTTTTCTCCTCCAAGGAATAAATCATTCATCCACCCGTCACGAAGTCTGCTATCTCCCTCTTATCTCCTCAATCAGCTGCTCTCCGACTCCTTCCCGACCACAACCAGACATCATCATCATCATCATCATGGGCCTCGCCAGAATCCTCCTCAAGGCCATCATCATCCCCGTCGTGCTGATTATCCTCCTGGGGGCCCTCATCTGGTTTCTTGTCAAACGTCACCGCGAGAAGAAACGTGAGAAAGCCCTAGAGGGCCAACACTTCCAGCATTTCCAAGCACCTCCTATCACCCAGTGGGCCACCGGTCCCCATCCAACCTCCCCGGCGCCCATGCTCAAGCCGGAGCCCATCTACTATCCCATGCAACAACCGTTGGACCCTCGAGGGCAGGTGTAACGGAACGGTAGGTTCCTTTCCCGTCGGATTTTTCGGGTAGATGCTAATCAGGTGATATGGGCAGTAGGATGCACTTGATGGATTAATATTGGAGGTACAATCTTCACGAGGTTCTACGATTTCATACAAGTATCTCTTCTGGCATGGACGATCTGGAGAAGTATGGCAGGTTGGGGGGCTTTTTTTATATATATTTACGCTGGGTACGTTTTGCTTGAGTTTCTGTTTCCTTTAGTATATACCGCTTGTTGTGTATATGCAACGGGTGCCCGTGCTATTGTTTGTTTGATGGCTATGGCTTCATGGATCAGCACTGGTGAATAAATCCATACTCAGTTACACATTCCCAGGAAGACAGGTCTTGGGATTAAACCAATCATAGGGAAGTGTCCATAGAAGTTCCTCTTTTGCCATAGTGCAATGGCTGGCATCAGTTATATTGATTGCTGTTAATCGATGATTCACGTATGCGACGTCTGGCACAAAGTTGCATAGGATCACCTCCATAACCTTGATGTGAACGTAGTAAATGAGTTATCTAACAATTTAATCCCAATTAAGACAGTCAGAATTCATCATCCTCATCCTACCGAAGCTCTTCCATCTCCGGCCTCACCTCCGAAGTCACCAACATCTTATGCTCATTCCCTCCAATGGTAACTCGGGAGCCTCCAGATCCGCATCGCGAAACGGCGCCTTCTCCACAGAGCCCACGGGAAACGCATGCGACGAGGCCAGGATCGCCACTAGTCGGTGATATTGGGAATGCAGCTCACGGAATAATTCGACCTTTCGCTCGTCGGGCGCGCGCCCTCGGATGTCACCCATCCACAGTCTCCCTTGGCCGTGTTCTAGGCTAAAAAAAACAATCTTTCCACGACGACGATATAAGTATAGAGGGGCTAATTAATGTCTGCAATATGGGAATAGAGAGTGGAATACTAGGATTGCTTGTATTTGCGCGGATAAGATATCTCTTTTACCTAGTCTTATATACTTGGCTGTCTCTGAGAAAATTCAAGATATATTGTTACAGGATTCAAATTTTAATGACAACCATTGCTTCTTTACATTATGATAGGGATTACTTTGCCCCGTATCAGGTAGGTCTAAATTAGCAGCGATAGACGGCATAATATCCAGTAGTAGATCCAATTTTCTCTCTGTCGGACTTACTAGAAAGACGTAACGAGCTGTGAAGACCCATGTGCATGAAATGGGGGATTAAAGCAGACAAACACGAGTGAGTATCCTGGTTGAGATCTCATGTCCTTCTCTGGACATTGTTGGGGGCCCCGTGACGATGCGGATTGGCCCAAAAGGGAAAGCCGGATGGGCCCATTCTGATTGGCTGGGAGTCACCTGGCATAATTCATAGCACGTCCCCCCGCACCACAAACAATCCATTCCGCTGCGCAGGAGAACACCTTCAAACTAGAGACACAGGAATCAGTATGGCATCGGAGTCCATCTGCTGTCGTTCAGTCAGCGACAGTACTTCAGAAGAGCACCCATCCCCGTTCATACCGGCGCAGTATGGCTGTCGCAGCTCCAGTGACAAGGGGGAGATCGGGAAATCTTCTTGTTGTGACAAGGAGAGTTCTGCCCACGAGAGCTCTGGCCAGTCTACCCTAATGCAGATATCTCATGATGAGCCAACCGGTGGACCTTCAAAACTCGGGAGAGCGACTGATTGTGGCCGCCCAAAGGGGGTGAGTGATAGTTGCTGTTCTCCCGAGTCCATTAAAACACCTGAAATAGACGATTGCAACAAAGGCTGCTGCTCTAAATGGGATCCAACCCCAGTGGAGGACCGTGAAAAGCCGATCTGCTGCCGGGACAAGCCGTCTCCTTGTTGTGATACCTCCTGCCTCAGCCGCCTGGCACTTCGCGAATGCGAGAAAAAACAGTTCGACTTCAGAGGGGAACAGACATCCAGAAGTTCAATGGAGGGTCTCGTCGATGCTGACTGCATGGGTAGTCGGGATGGAAGGCCCTGTAGCCATCATACCCAGACTGTGCGTGATAGATATGCAGACAAACTGGAAGCTCTCGGCTGTATATGTCGCGCTCTGCTAGCACTTGGGCAAGAGTCATGTTGCGCATCGCGTGATAATGCACCCGTGGAGAAAAAACGCGGCTTGAAGAAAACCGCCCTACCTCAGACCCCGAGTAATGATAACTTCGATATACAGACATGCTCCGCAACCTCTTCTTTGCAACCGCAATCGGGGTCGTTGAAGGCTCGTTGCAAAACGAGTCTCAAAGGGAAAAGTAGAGCTTGTGATCAAAGTTGTTGTTCCAACCCCAAGACGCCAAGCAAGGCGGCTTCATGTGCTGACGCCTGCTGTGTTGAAAAACCACTCATCAGATCTACGGAGAAGCCCGCAAAAGCTTCAGGCAGTTCCCATGTAAGAGACCTGGAGAAAGGTTATCAGAGTCGGGAGCATGTGGTTCTAAGCATCTCGGGCATGACGTGCACGGGGTGCGAAACCAAGCTTACACGCACCCTGGGCGCCCTGGAGTCCATTCAGAACGTCAAGACTAGCCTTGTACTCTCAAGGGCCGAGTTTGACCTTGACCCCAGTGCTGGATCTGTTGCAGATATTATCAAGTACTTGGAACGGACCACCGAGTTCCAGTGTGAGCGAAGGACCGATCAGGGATCCCACATCGACCTGCAGGTCTCCGGCGATGCGATCGACTTGGTGAACCAAAAGTGGCCAGACGGAGTCATGGAGATGAAAATCGCTGGATCTAACACCGTCACAGTCACCTATGACGCGACTGTCGTCGGCGCACGAGATCTGCTCAGCAGGGAATGGGGCAGGACCGTGACCCTCGCACCCCCTCGTCCGGACCCGACCCTCGCAGCAGGCAGTAGACATGCCCGCGAGATGGGATACATGACACTACTATCAATTGTGCTAACCGTCCCGGTCCTAGTAATGGCCTGGGCACCCCTTCCGCAGAGGGAGATTGCTTATGGCTCTGCATCCCTGGCACTTGCGACCACTGTGCAAGTCGTCATCGCAGGCCCATTCTATCCTAAGGCTTTGAAGAGTCTAATCTTCTCTAGGACGATCGAAATGGACCTACTGATTGTATTAAGTACTACCACTGCCTACGTTGTCTCGGTGGTCTCATTCGGATTTCTCGTGAGCGGGACGCCGTTATCAACAGGCCAATTTTTCGAAACCAGCACATTGCTGGTCACTCTCATCATGGTAGGCCGGTTTGTCAGTGCTCTTGCCCGTCACAAAGCCGTCGAATCAATCTCCATGCGCTCTCTCCAGTCGCCGGTGGCCGTTCTTGTGGATGATGCGGGAAATGAAAGTAAAACTGACACTAGGCTCCTCCAATATGGTGACATCTTCAAGGTTATGGCCGACTCTCGGGTGCCAACTGACGGAACGGTCATCTCTGGATCGTCCGAGGTCGATGAGTCTATGATGACTGGAGAGTCAAATCCGGTCGAGAAGCATATACAGTCCACTGTCATGGCCGGGTCTATTAATGGATCCGGAACGCTCTTGGTTCGCCTCAGCCGACTCCCTTGTGACAACACGATTAGCACCATTGCGGGAATGGTCGATGAAGCCAAACTTTCAAAGCCCAAAATCCATGACATTGCAGACCGCATTTCTGGCTATTTTGTGCCCCTCGTTGTGACTCTGACAATAATCACGCTGGTAATTTGGACAGCAATTGGTATCACGGTACGGAATCAATCTGGACGAGAAGCCACCATCCAGGCGATCACTTATGCTGTAACGGTGCTTATTGTGTCTTGCCCGTGCGCCATCGGTCTGGCGGTTCCCATGGTTGTTGTTATCGCTAGCGGTTTTTCTGCGGAACGGGGTGTGATATTCAAGTCTGCTGAGAGCTTGGAGGTGGCTTATAAGACTTCTCATGCCGTTTTCGACAAAACTGGTACCCTCACCCAGGGAAGGCTCACCGTTGTGCGGGAGAAATATATCGACCCTGACCCGAACACTGCGAAGTCGTTGCTTCTAGGTCTGATCAGCGGCATTAAGCACCCCGTTTCCGCCGCGATTGCAACACACCTGAAAGCAAACGGTGTATCGAGCTTAGCGGTGTCTGATGTACAAACCTTGACGGGAAAGGGTGTACAAGGCAGTGCAATGGGTTATGATCTCCGTTGTGGGAATTCTCGCTATCTTGGCCTTTCCTCTGATCCTTATATCCAGTCTGTATTATCCCAGAGGTTTACAGTTTTCTGCTTCACCATAAACGGCTCGCTGGCTGCTGTCTATGCTCTCGAAGACACACTCCGTCCCGAAGCGCTCTCTACTGTCCAGAAGCTGCAGCAACGTGGCATTTCGGTCCACATCATCTCGGGTGACGACGATGGCGTGGTTCACTCAGTTGCCACACAGCTCAATATCCCAGACGCCAACGTACGTTCACGCTGCACTCCCACCGACAAGCAGAGATATATTCAAAGTCTCCTGGCTGGCCCAGCCAGTGCCTGCGCCAATAAGCACAAGAAAAAGAGCCCTGTCGTTTTATTCTGCGGCGACGGGACCAACGACGCCGTTGCATTGGCTCAAGCTACAATCGGCGTGCATATGAATGAAGGAACAGATGTGGCAAAGTCCGCCGCGGATGTTGTTCTCGTGCGTCCGTACCTCGCGGGAGTTCTTGTCGCGATTGCCATCAGTCGGAAAGCAATGAACCGGATAATGTTCAACTTTGGATGGAGCTTTGCCTACAATCTGTTTGCTATCCTCCTTGCTGCGGGCGCATTTGTAAACGCTAGAATTCCACCCGAGTTTGCTGGGTTGGGGGAGTTGGTTAGCGTCTTGCCAGTTATTATTGCTGCTGTTCTTCTGCGGTGGTCAAGGGCTTGAAGCTACGGGAATAGTTATGTTCGGGTGGAATCCTACTTTTCCTGAACATACGCTCAGTAGATAGGCAGATTCAACACCTGGCTATCTATATAGTAATTGACATCTCCGGATTGAAAACACACACTCAATCTGAGTGTGTAACTAGAAATAGAATAACTGAAGGTTATTTTTCCGGGATATTATTGACTATACGTAGTAGCTAGCAGGCTGAGGACTATACACCGTACGGTGTGATACATTCCATTGGCACGCCTACACCCACCAGGTATAAAAGCCGTGACATTGAATCCTGCAGTTGGTTTTCCTTGTAATAGTAAACTTCTGAGTTTTTGAGAAATGGATGAGATTGCTTTGTATACGTGACTGTTTTCTGTCTGGGGGTTTTGTCCAGAAATACACAGATGCAAGAGTTCTTCGTTCGAATATATTCTGTAGAGCTGGCCATAAAATGTAGAAACATAAACATGAAACGTTAACTGTTGCCGACAGATAGAAATGCGTACGAAGTCAGCCGAGATACTATCGAAGACAGGATACTTTATAATAGCAGCATGTGACTGTATGTCTTTGTTCGCGAGGCACAATTCTCTTCAATTCAGGGGGCTTGGGCGAGCTGACTATCTAGATGGTGACTAAGTGAGGCCACGTGACCATACCGAATATGGTAGGTCCCTAACAGTCTTGGTAAAGGGATCTGCCTACCCACAACCAATTCTCCGGAAAAGCGGCAAGCTCCGGTCAAGCTTTAAGGCAGACAGAATATAAAACTCAGAGAACCGCACAGTTCTGATATGGACAGTTGCCAGACGAAGCTATGCATCGTAGGTGTGGCTGTAATCACCTCCGGAATAGTAATAGCGTAGGGCTGGATGTGGTGGATACTACTGACTGCGCCCCAGACCCTTCGTTCTTTTTTCTTCTTCATTGGTCCACCTTGCTCCAAGGCTTGGATAGTCCTGTCATGTGACTTTCCTGCGCCCTTTCGGAGTCAATACATAGTCTGCTTCGCCACACCCGGTAACCATCCATACTCGAGCACCGAGATCGCAACAAATCAGAAAGTGGCTGAGTTCCGCAGCATATGAGTCAATCTGGAATAGGCAGCAAAGTCGAGTTCGAGACACCTCCACAATTATTCTCGTGTAGCCCCTGCCGTTTGTCCGGATTGTCCAATCAAATCCGCATGCGACCCTTCGCCCCTCATTTTGTCCTGTTGTGGTAGGACACCATTGCAGTATGTAAAATTGGAACAATCTTAATCTGTCTATATATTAATCTTGTTCATCCTTCGCTTGACACACTCATGCACTGTTGTGTGCGTTGCAATATTCTCGATTTCAGTCTAGTACAAGAACTCTTGGCCTGGCAGTCATGCAGGCCGTTCAGACCTTGATTATCCCGCGTCCCAACCTAGAAGGGCCCTTTACCGTCTATGCTCTCCAGTACAATGGGGCCGCAGTACCTCAATACTATGTCGAGGCATCAAAGTCAAAGCCGAACCTTATAATCTCTCGTTTCCAATCCGCTCCCGCTCCGCCTCCACCACAGCCGATGGGATATGGACATGGACATGGATATGGACAACCGCCCTACTATCAACCACCTCCCCAACCGCATGGTTATATGCCAGCAAACCCTTACGGCCATTACTACCCACCACAGCCAGCCGCACCGCCACCATCACAGGTGCGAGTAGGCACCGTCGCTGTCTCCTCGCTCTCGTCCAAGATCAACCTGTCCATTCACAACATCCCCGAGCTTCAAATGAAGCGGCCCGATATTCTATCCTCCGGGCACCGATTCCCCCATCCGCGTTTAGGTAACCTGGAGTGGAAGGAGGAGGACTTGTTCAAGAAGCGCTTCAAATTGGTGGATCAGAACAAAACGGTGTTGGCCCGGTTTAGTAAATGGAAAACCCAGCAGCCAAATACCATGTTACCAGATGGAAAGAAGTATGCGTTTCTGATCTATATTCAGGCGGATCCGGAGTTGCTGGATTGGATTGTCGTGAGTGGATTGGGAGCCGTGGAATATCGCATCAAATCAGATAAGGACTTCGAGAAAGCGATGAAAGGGTCTGATGACGACGATGGTGGCTTTTTGTTTGGTTAGTGATGGATTGCAATGGGTAGTATTCTGTATTAGCTTTCCAGTGTGCAGTTGTATTTGGCGTCCCGTGTGAAATCTGACAAAATTGATCCCATGCTTATGCTTAACGGTTATGATACTGACGTTCATGTAAATATAAAATTATATAATGCTGTTGTTTAGCCCAGAGGGTGAGAGCAAAGCCCAGGTCAATCGCAGTATTTACTTTAGTTGGCATAAGATTTATATTATATATATCACCAGCTAGGATGTACTATAGACGAATTACAGTGCCAAGCAGTCCCCAAAAGGCAAGTAAATATCAAAGGTTGAACCCTATTGCTCAAACTAAGGTCTTCTCTATTATATAGGGTGCTATTTGCGAGTGATTTTTTCGATCAGTCGTCCTGTATCTTTTTATGGTCTCTACTAGCGCAGAGACAACCAATCCATCACAGTAAAAACCATATTGGTACTAAGGAGTTAAATGCTTCAAAGTAATTGTTAATTGATTTGATAATAAAAAAATCACCAACTAAATAACTATAAATAGTGCTAGACAAACAGGGAAAGACCCAGGTTTCTGACACCCTCATATAGATATACAATTGTTGTGAGGTCCTAGGTCCGGCTGCATGCTGCTGAGCGTCACCAGTGCCGATTCAAAGCAGGGAAATTTACGATCCCCAGCGGCTGCACTTCTGCTCAGGCAAGCACTGAGCTTCCATTTGGACGGTCAAAATAATCGCTGAATAAAAAAGAAAAAGGAAAAAGGAAAAGAAAAAGAAAAGGAATGTAGAGAGGAGGGACCGGCCGGAAGGAGCAACGAATAACACAGTCTGTGCATCTCACGAAGTCAGGGCAGCAGACAATCAGCGCAGAGGACCGGTTCGAGAGAAGTTGCAAAAGTTTGGTGCCTTTGAAGCTATCCCAACCCCCATGCCAAGCAGTCGGTTCCTTTGAGCGTGCTGCTTTCCAGTTACTGCTGCAGTCGTGTCGTAACGGAAACAGACGATCGCTCTTCTTTGTGATAGTTTCGCCATATGATTCATGGCTGCATCCAGGGGCTGATCTGTATTAGATAGCTTCAGAGTTTCCGTGTTGATACTACTTGCTTATCTTACAGAAGACTACGGCTAAGAGTACTCTTTTGACTTCGCTCGAGTCTGGCACCCCAAGTTGTGCCAATCAAAATAGTGGGATTGCGCCGAGGTGTCAGAATAAACTAGTCCAGACCGAAACATCATGTGAAATATATATACCCAATATCTCTCATAGATGGTTGGGAAGAATATCCTTCTGAATACAATCAATTCCGAACCCCACAAAATCGAACAATATTCGACATGCGGCGGTGCATAGGAGTCCCCAGAGCCGCTGTAGCTTGTTACAGAAGTTTGACTCTGCCATCGAGTTCTCTGCTGTGTGGCTAGGAGATCAGCAGTGCAAGCAAGAGCTTCATCGCTGGGAGACTCAATTAGGCACACTGTTTCATCAATAGCAAGCATGCTCTCGCCATCTTAGGGCCAACCTCGCTACTCGCCTTATTCAGAGTTATAAATTATTCAAAACAGCCAATGGCCAATACCGGCAGTCCCTACTTAAGATGGCGACTAGAATATCCCTACGGGACAAGCAATGCTTCATGAAGGTCGACCGGTTCTTGCGGTCAGCCTGTAGCATGACATACGAGAGGATCGAAGCCGAATAAGTAGGGTCCTTCAAGAAATGAATTTTTTTTTCGCTAGTATCTAAGAGGGGGAAACAACCCTTTGCGGGTGAGCAAGACAGCATATTTGGCATAGGCGAGTCTGTCTAAAATGGATCATAGGTAGCCATGGGCAAAATAAACTTGAGTTGTTAGAGAAAGGAAAAGATAGAAAACGACACAATTGAGAGGGAGGAACTTCGACGTATACAGTAGAATAGCTGGAATTTAACCACTCTGACTTCAAAGCTCTCGACATGCTGCGTGTTCTTGTGGCTTAGCGTTGAGCAGAATGTTGTATTGACTGAAGGGCAGCTGGCATGCGCGATTTTGTGGTCACACGAGTCGTCACAGCAAGAGCTCCAGTTCTGTCAGATATACGGCTAGTCCCGAAGAGGAAATAGAGTACGACTGGTAAAAGGTCTTATTTGAATGAATTGAGCTGGTTGGGCTCTTCTTGATTATTCTTCTTGGCTATCCTTGATTGATTATTTTGTTGTGTGCTCCGCGGGGGTTTTACACCGATCTAGTCACATGATTCTGGTCCACTGTTAGGGACCTACCATATTCGGTATGGTCACGTGGCCTCACTTAGTCACCCATCTAGATAGTCAGCTCGCCCGAGCTCCTGAATTGAAGAGAATTGTGCCTCGCGAACATCCACCAACACCCATATTATTTGACAAGTTCCAAGCTAGTAGGTGGGGAAATCTGGTCACGATTGTTGTGGAATTCAGGGGAAGTGATGCGCAGGGAGCTATTCTATCAACTACAGGACAACTAGCCTAACTAGGAAGTAGATGTCATTCAGTGGAAACACCAGGAATCACAGTATCTCAACCAACTGAGTCTCTTGCAATCCTATCTGGGTGCTCTGCTCCAGATCTTGGGTGCTCGACTATCTAAAGTCGTCAGATACTCCGCACCGCCAAGTCGGGCGGATTATAGTGTTTCCGTAATAACGCGGGGCGCTCCGACCTACGACCTGTCTCGACCCACACGTTGGCCAGGCGCTTACAGAACTCTGCTTAGTGATAGCTCACTATAATGTTGCTTACACCTAGAGTGCAGTTTCTAGCAATAGGTTCGTCTGCTGTCCTATATGTACACCACTTTCTAAGGTAAATGCCTCTTATCAAAATCTAGTACAACTTTGATATGTTATAATTTTGTTATCGAGATAGTACCTGTGTAGTTGTTCGTGTTATTGCCTTGATTTTCACTCACGCCACGTTTCTTTTTTAATGGCTCCTGCGGAAGACAAGGCATGCACTAGCAATGTACTGACACGTCATAATTACATCAATGTCATGCATCGAACATCAAGGGTACAAGGAGGTGGGGAATCTTACGGCATTACCCCTCTTCGCTACGTCCTAGCAGGGTTTATAGATAATGCCAAGAGCACTGCTTACAGGAGTTACAGTTGAAGGTCATCGCAATGGCCTCAGAATAGACGTTAAGGCGTGATCACTTTTGTGACTTAAAACCTTGATAACTCATGGAATTTCGCATGGGGATCAAGGCGTAGCAAATTGCTATTTGCCAGCATACAGGCACCTTGAGAACCATCTGAATAGCTTCATTTTTGCCTGCTGTGAAGGCTAACATTAGCTGACAACACGCTAATTTTAGCTGCATTTTGCTGCACTGGGCAGCATCAGGCTGACTAGGATATGTTTTACAGGGGGCAGTTTTGTAGAATAGATTGCTAGCAGGGGTCCCAATCCGAGGTAAAGCGGGTATAATATGGCATCTAAGAGTGGCTGACGCATTAATGATCCAGGTAGTTATAATAAAGCAACACTTCCTTCTTATCTAAATAGTGCGGTGCAATCTTACAACACCCGCCCAGAGGCAAAGGGATATCAAACAGAGAAAAAGAGGTTTTATGTCTACCACAGACCCTTCATGGCCCCGTTTACGGACCGCCTGCAACGAATGTCATGCCTCTAAGGTATACATAACCCCTCTATGTTGTCGGTCTCGTACCTGATGGTTTGCTGACGAGCACGAGATAGGTAAAATGCAGCGGAGAGAGGTCTGGCTGCACCCGATGCCTCAACATAGGTGCCCCATGCCGATATGAGATTTCCATGGTGGGTAGATGCACCAAGAGGCGCAAATCAAGAAAGTCCGCCGTCGAAGCCTCGGATGCAAGACCGGAAAATCCTCCTGCCAATTCTGCGGGTTGCCACTCACATAATCGAGACGATACGACGCTCCCTGCAGCTGTTGATGAGCCAATCTTTTTCAGCAGTTGGACTCCGTCAGGATGTGATGAAATCCTTTCCACATTGACGACAGAGAGCAGTACAGCTATAAATCAGGACCTGTCCTTCGGTAGATTTGAGGAGCTTGAAGCTCTTATTAGCTACAGTCCTCAGAGTCAGCACACAGCCGGGGACGACGGTATTACTGAACTACCGCCATTGACCAGTAGTAGTATTTCATGCACCAATGCGATGGAGTCGACCAGGCCGACCTCCTTGCCACGAACATGCCAGGTGGGGTACGAGGAGTTACACACGATGCTGAGCAGATCGGATAGCAAGGCAGACAATGCTCCGGATATCCTTCGTGTCTGTTTTGCCAATATTACAGCTCTCGAACTGCAGCTGAAGGAAGAGATGCGCCCTATCGATGAACTTATGCAAGCGGGTAAGGGCTGTGCCCGCGAGCTCCGTGCCACCATAGAGCTCGACTCGTTCAATCAGTGCTCTTCCTGTCCTATGCTCATTGTGACAGCGCTGGACCTCCTCATTTCCCTGTACGAAGCCATATTCGTGAGATTGGGTCGCAGGCGTGGCGGTGATTATGCACCGCCTGCACAGCCGGGCTATGGGACGAACAGTAAAGGTGGTGCCGGGTTTTCCAGCCTGCGTCTCGGGAGCTTCCAGGCCGACCCGGAAGACGCTGCTGATGTCTGGACACATATTATGCTCGGCGAACTCCGGCGACTTTCGGAACTCGTCGACAAGGCGACTTCTCTCCGTCCGGACGTGGCGACCCCGGATGAGAACCATTCAAGAGCCATGACAGCTCCTCGTAGTCTATGTAATAACCTCCATCGGCGGATTAACGCACTCACAACTGCCATTCACGACCGTCTTTAGACCCGGCATCGGTGAATAACAAGTAAATAAATGCTTAGATCCACAAATTTAGGTTGGGGGTTAGGCGGGTGAAATATGTATCTCCAGATATAGTATATATATCCTGACCCACCCGAGAACCCAGAGCGGGTTGGGTATATCAAAAGGTCAAAACTCGAAATTGAATGTGGCGTTGCCATTGATTTACTGACAGTCAATTAGCTTTGAAGTGTCTATTGCTGTTGGATAAGGCAAAAGATAGATGTGTATTAAGGCTTTGATATGGTTTTTGAAAGACTTTTACAAGTTAGTAGAGTATTCCTAGGAAAAAAGAATGGTCAAAGCGGACGCTACACATAGACAGACAGGTAGACGATATATCAGATGTGTATCCATCTAACCAATGTTCAACGCCCTTTCCATTCGTCGAAGTGCTTCTTCCAGTATGTGCGGCTTAACGGAGATTACAATACGAAACCAGCCCATTTGCCTCTCCTGGAGATGAAACGAGCGACCGGAAACAAGGAGAACTCCAGCGGCCTTGATCTTGAGTAGCACTTCAGCTTCTTGATCCCAGGTTGCAGCATGTGGAGCCAGCCGAGCAAGAACATAGAGACCCGCGGTCGCTGGAATGAAGGGGAACCAATGCCGGGTTAGCCATCTTGTAACCTGATCGTAGGACTCTGCTAGCCGTTGACAGTTCAGTAACATGAGGTGTGACAGGTGGCAATGTTGAAGTAGCCCAGCAGTGGCTAAAGACGATAGTCTGGATATCTGAGTAGTTGTCATTAGACCAACACTTGCCCGAAGTGCCTCGTTTGCCTGAGATACAATACACCCCTTGAATCAACGTGTTAGGTAAGACATGCATGCATAACATGGAAATATAGAGAAACTGCATACCAATCGGCATCCGCTGCTCCCAAAATCCTTACTTGTGCTCCAGATCGTATGAATCCGGGCCCGATCAACACCCAGTGAGGGCAGGTCTAATGTCAGGGCGGAAACGAACTTTCCACCTTCCTTCGCTGACCCAAAAGTGCTCAGAGCGTATACTTCGTCGGAAATCAAGTGAATGTTCTTCTCTTGGCAGAATCGGGCCGCGCTTCCCAAAGCACTCAGACTATAACAGCGCCCTGATGGATTATGCGGGTTGGTAAGCACCACCGCTCGCACACTTTTGTCACGACGCCTTGCGTCATCGAATGCCTGTTGGAGGCATGCGAGTAAACCGAGGGCATCTACTTCGTCTCCAGGAACTCGTCCATAATCACCTTGGATTATGGTTACTTCTGGATGCAACGAAAAGTGGATGTCAAAACCATCTGGAGAGCAAGGAGTCAGTGATGACTGTCTGCAAGAGGCAGACCGGTACATACTCCAGTATGACCCAGGAGCAATGACTGCATCTCCCACATTACATATACTCACTAAAAGCGAAGTCAAACATGCTGTTGCTCCCGGACCGGCAACAACATGGCTGATATCTATTGGGATGCATGGCTCAAAATATTGGTTTATCAGAACGGTGAGAGACTGAAGTAGATATGGTTCGCCACCAAAGCCGGAAGGGTATGACAATGCCTGGTGCTCTGTCATTCAATTGCTCTAGAGCTTCCCAATAAGCCACATTTATTTATTCCTTCCTCTTTCTTTCTGTAGAAAGGGGGTTTTTCCCTTTCAAATAGCAGGGCCGAGGGAAAGTGGCAAAGACATGTAACTCGACGAACCTGGGGAACCAGCTTCTCATTTAAGACTTCTTTGTAGACGTTAATCAGCTCTTCTCGGATGACATGATTTTCGGCAGTGGCAAGATCTATAATAGCACTTTTGTCTTTCTCAATCAGGGCGGAAGTGATCCCTGGTAGCATACGCTCAACGTTTGAGCGGACTCGGTTGGAGAGCCATCCTGTAGAAACAGCCATAGCTCTGGAAAATTAATGAAGAATAATGTGTTATCAACAATAACAATCTAATGGGAGACGGATGAGCTTATATATTTGTCATATATATGAACTGCGGACCGACGTGTCGGTCCCCATTGGACTAACTAATTGAATACATTGCGCTTCGGAAGTTGAGATCCCTAAGACAAAACCAAAGCATCTTTACATGATCTTTTCTTATTTACTTTATCAAGGAGTGAGAGCCTTAACCTTTTCAGACGCTCATTCATCTACTCTGCATAAACTTCAGATAAGGACCATTTTTCTCGCCCGCAGCAAAATGATCCTTCACATGGAATTCCAACGGCAGGGGCTCACTCGACTCGATTTCAAACAGGAAAGCAATCCGCGCGATGACCAGATAGATCGTATTGTAAGCCAGGTTCTTGCCAATACAGGCTCGCGGCCCATAGCTGAATGGAAAATGAACGGAGCGTAAACGTTGTAGCTCGGCTTCCGACTCGGTCAGCCAGCGTTCCGGCTTGAAGACTTGTGGATCCGGGAAGAATTCTGGGTTGCGATGCATGGTCCAACCGGGGACTCCAATCTGCGTGTTGGCGGGGATGAAATGGCCATCAATCGTGGCATCCTTGGGGGATTCACGGACAAGGTAGCCTGGGACGCCTGGGGACATGCGGAGGGCTTCTTCCACGCAGGCGCGGAGGTACTTGCATTGCAAAAGCTTCTTGCCACTTACAATTTCCTCCACGGTGGAGAAGGTAGAGCGGACTTCTTGCTTTAGCTTGGCGTAACATTCTGGATACCGGGCCAGATAGAATGAAAGGCCAGACAATGCGGTTCCAGTCGTGTCGCTGGCTGGAATGGACTTGTCAGTTCGTTTTCTGTCAAAAGAATCTATCCACTAGCCCCAAGACTACATGCTGGAAGAAAGCCCACCGGCAATAATCAAGACAACAGCCTCATCGGAGAGTTCCTTAAACTCCATCCTCTCGCCTGTGTTTTTATCCGTTTGCGAAAGGAGAAGTTTGAAGATATCCTCCGGTCCCCTGCCGGCCTTTTCCTCGGCTATCCGATGATTTACCTGATTGTCCACATACTTCCGGAACCGTCTCACAGCTAAGAGGATGTTCACGAATAGCAATGGAGCTAATCCCCAGCGCTCGACCCAAGGAACGACTCCCAAGACAACCTGGCTGTGCTGGAAAGTGTCAATGAGCGGTTGAATGAAGTGGTCGTCAGTTCTAGTCAGCATGCCGTAATCATGCCCGAATGTGAGATTGCCCATAATATCGTAGGTCAGATACGAGAACCATCTCGACATATTTTTATATTCCTCTCCAAAGGCTGTAGAATCCGAGATCCGGTGGCAGAAAAGCCGGATTTTGCCAAGTACTGTTTCTTCGTACGATCGAACAGCTGCCTCGCTAAAAGCGTGCGACATAATCCTACGTTTCCGAGCATGGACCTTTTTATCTACCGCTGTCGCTAAGTTCTTGCTAGATATTAGCAATACTGCACTGGTGGGAGGTCTGCTAGAGGGGGATAGACAGCTTACAGTTAGGACTTGGCTCTCTTTAGGCCCTCTGGAATAAAAGGTTCCCTTCTCGAATTGAGAGCGACTACCGTAAATATCTCCGAGAACATCAGCTAAATGTGCGAGTGCTTCCTAGGGACTGTACCTTGAACAGCGTTGGGACTGATAATGGAGAGAAAGCCTGGTTCCAGGCGGACAACATCGCCTGTCCTCATTGGTTGCATTATTATCTGCATTAAACTGTTGTGGGGAGCTTCGCTCATACCGTATTTCCTGTGCAATTCATCGGCTTTCAAGTGCTTAGTCCCCTTCCAGGCGTAGTAAAGATTGGGCAAAATGCTCATTCGACAGAATAGCGGGCCGGGATATCTGGCAGATGGATGCAAATATAGATTGTATACCCAATCCCATATTTTCTAGTCCATGTCAGCACCAGAGAGTCTTGAGCTTCCTGGGTCCACAATACTCTTACCCAGAGAACTGCCAGTAATAAACCTGTCTTGATTGCATCGTTCAGATCAATTCCATCCGATAGTCGTTCATACAGAGGGATGAACCGGCCACCGAAGCTTTTAGCTACGCTCATTGTGGATGCTAAAGGTTGTTCAAAAACGGCTTGGAGAAGACCAGATATAATCCCAGGTTGCCGTATAGAATAGCTATAAAGCATTCTTTCTCTTACCCTTCCCCCCTCTTCCTTTATTTTACGGATTGACGAAAGTATCAATCAATCGGTGACCAATTCATCGGGCCGCAGTTTAATGGAGGACCATCACGGTGTCCGCCGCTACCGGGAGGCAGGTAGCGATGCATCTAAGGTATCCCTGTATGGTCGGAGCTCGTAATTTGGTATCTACATATTGCTCGAATTACTCAAAATGACCCCAAACCTACCAAAGCCAAATTTACTAAGTTGTTTACTCGAACGAATAACGATAATAGCAACTCAAGCCGAGTGAGCATGGGAATCGTGGCCTTCCTTCGGATCCTCTGGGGATATTGCTCCTTTGGTCGAGAGTCAGTTGTTGAGCTACGTCAATCTAGCTGCAATCATCACAGAGACCCTAATATTGTTCAATGGGCTCTCTCTGGCGACTATGACGCCGACCAGGCTGTGTGTGATCCAACCCCCCAGACGGGCGACTTGAAGCTGACTCTGTTGGTGTATAGATCCTCATAGACGCCTCCGAGCCGAATCGTTCTTTATCAAAACGCCAAGTAACTGAGTTAGTTACCAGATTGGCAGGGAGTTTTCAGCCAGGCAGTGCCGTGTGTCTTCATCTCACAAACAGCGTCCGTCAAACGCCAGCAACAACTTTATTTTTCGATGCATCACGGAGCTGACTTTGGTACTGCAGATCCTGTATCCCGTTCTTGTTCTCTCTGTTCTCGCCGGGGAATGCAAATGGACCGGAACAAATCCTTCATATACGTCCGCTGAGCTCCGGCATCACTTGGACGTCTCAGGGGCGCGATATGTCATCACCTCAGTTGAACACCTGGACACAGTCAAGGCCGCAATCCAGGGGATCGAGAGAGACATTAAGATTACCCTCTTCAGCGACATTCTCCAACCAGACGTGGACCTGAAGAGAAAAAGCTGCGGATACAGTACCTTACACGAGCTAATGATTCCTTCAGGTTCCAATTTCCTCATCCCATTGGAGACACGGTTGCAAAACGTTCATGCGGGAACAATTGCAACACTGATGTCGACCTCAGGCACCACAGGGCTTCCTAAGATGGCCCAGCGAACACACCGTGCCCTCGTTGCTGAGTCCATGTCCGACGAGCGCTACGATTCAACTAAACTATACACTGTGCGTGGGCTGTTTTGTACACCCATGTTCCATGCATACTCGTTTCCTAAGATGGTTATCAATCCCCTTCGCCAGGGACAGCCAACGTACTACATGACGCGCTTTGATGAGAATTTTGCGCTAAAGATTTCTCAGTATCAAATCACGGATACAATTACCGTGCCGCCAATTTTGTCCAGGCTCGTAGAACAAGCCAAGAAGCAGATTATCAGCCGAGAGTCCTTGCGTAGCTTACACTCCATTGTGTGTGCTGGAGCACCCATGACGGATAAGCTGCGTACGGAGTTTCTAGAGTTATTCAATCTTCCGACCAGCAGCCTCGTGCAGGATTGGGGCATGACCGAGTGTGGGTGTATTTCCCGAGAGTCGCGTTCAGAGAATGACACCTCCGGCTCGGTCGGTGGGGCAGTGGGAGGATATCAGGTCAAGGTCGATACAGAACAGGCGATCCAGTTGGGTGACGGAATACTTGTTGTGGGAGAGTTATTAGTGAAGGGGCCACAGCTGATGACCGGCTACCAGGGCAATGCAGCCTCCACTGCACAGGCATTCGCTGCTGGAGGCTGGTACCGAACCGGTGACGTGGGCTATATTGATAATGCTACCGGTAACATATATCTGGTTGATAGGGTGAAAGACATCATTAAGACGAACGGGTGGCAGATATCGCCAGCAGAGCTGGAAGCTACCGTCCTTAGATTTCCGGGCGTCGCGGACGCCTGTGCATTGTCGATGGGACATAGTCTCGATGAACATCCCGAAATTTTCGTCGTCAAAGGAAGGGATGATATCACAGAGAGGCAGATTAAGGAGCATATGCGTGTGTATCTCTCTCGTTACAAGATTGAAAGCTGTACCGTGCGGTTTGTGGATATACTCCCTCGCGCTCCAAGTGGCAAGGTTCTGCGACGGATTTTACGCACACAATTGCTGGAAGAAGTCGCACATATTTGAATAAGAAATAAGAATACCAAGCGAAACCGGATGGTATGACGAGTTGGATTTGCTTTTCCTTCTGGATTGCGGAGCTAGTATTCATCATGAATCATTCCTGCAAGTCCAGCAATTTGAGGCTACCATATGCTATATGCTCTCCATCGCCACGACCAAATATAGGCCCATGAATACAGTCATGCCACAGCCACATTGTAGTATATACATAGAAGATAACTGTCCCATACCATCTCGGACACTGCCCATCCTTGTTGATTGACTGTCTCACGCTCTTTGCCAGTATCCGAACAATTCTTCTCCCAACACACAAAAAGGTCACTGCTCCAAGCCAATGCAGCCAAGTTGCCTCCAGGATGAAACAAGGGAGACGGTCCAGGTAATGACAATATTCTCGAGGCAGATTATGTTCTTCCGCTCCTTCTCTTAGAAGTTTCTATTTATTCGTTAGAATTAATTGCACTCTACGAGAGCCAGGAGCAGCCTACCAGATATCTAGCACTGGGAGCCGCATTCGGTCGGCGTGGATACCTAGCAATAAGTGTGGACATCGAAATGGGCTTCATATCATCATTGCCGGTGTTTAGAGGAATTCCTTTAACTATGATTTCCCTGTACGCCACCCCGCCGCCTTCTGTACCGATGAGTCGTAGCAGGTCCGCGCGAGATAATAAGTACGCCACGCCGTGAACAGTTGGTGGATCTGGAGCAGCATCTCCATTGGTGTCGACCGCATATCTGGAAATGCTAGCCATTGCAGGTTCGCTATATGGAAGACCGAAAACGTCAAATGTCAGGATGTAACCGGGCACTCGTACGGTTTTTACATCGAGTACCTCAATGCCGCGCGATCGCATTATGCTGGTCTTCAGGTTGGAACCAAACCCAAAGTACCATAACTTCTCAGTTCTAGTTTCGGCTCCCTGTGTTGTTTTTTCGATGTTCATGGTAAGATTGTATTTATTGGATTGTGCCCGCAAGGTGGTTTTCGACACGATATTGTCTTGTTTCTGCTGCTGGGTAAACCCTAATTCTTCCCTCTTTTCTTTCTGCTCCCTCTTTCCTTCTGAAACCTTTTTATTTTTATTTTGTTTTATTCATTCTGGGCATCGTATTATTTTACGCTGACCATACAGAGCCATAAGATGGCGCAATAGGACATGGCCCGATATTTCACGTCCGGGGGCCGATGGCGGGGGCCGATGCAATAAGTACTGTTTTGACAATGAACCATCTCATAGAAGTGCTGGAACTCGTACCACTTGTTTCAAACACAGTAATGCTTTCCTAGAGATGTTCCAAACTTCTGATAGCCTGTATGCCTCTCTTATGTTCGGTATCATTGGCGCAGTTGGTGGGCTGCTGATTCTGATACGGGCCTGGAAAGGCCACCAGCTTCAAAATCCTGACTTTCCGCTGATTGGAACCACCGAGAAAGATGGATCCTACGCGAAAGCAGCCGAAAGTTTCGCAAAAGACTCGCACGCAGTTCTTTGTGAAGGACTAAAGAGGGTTCGTAGAATGCTGATTTCCTCCCATTATTGTAGAAGAATACTGAAATGGTGACAGTGTAAGGGCGCCTTTCGCGTGGTTACAGCTACGGGACCAAAAATCGTGCTTCCACCAAGATATCTTGAGGACATTAAAAGTGATGATCGATTCAGCTTTGCGCATGAGATGGCAAAGGTATGTCTATACATCACTTGACTGGGGTTAGGGAAACTGTGCGAAGTCAAGCTTGTGTGCTAACAGATACGTCCATTCAAACTAGCAATCCTTGTCTCATTTACCTGGTTTTGAAGCATTTGCCACTCCTCTCCATAATAATATTTTCCAGGATACAATCAAAATTAAAATTACTCAGTCACTTGGTGAGATCAAACAATGGACCTTTGGTTATCTGGTGTTAATTATAGAGGCTTGTTGCAGGCGCAATCACAGAATTGCTCTCAGAAGAGACCTCCCTGTCGCTGAAGCAGCTAATCGGGGACTCTCCGGGTGAGTTGCTGTCCTCCCAGGCTGTCAAAGAGAGTTGGTTCTAATACCACAATAATGCAGAGTGGAAAGAATGTTATCTCGGTAAAACCGTACTGGATCTCACCACCCGACTATCCACGCGCGTCTTTCTCGGCGAGAAGTTGTCGCGGGACCAAAACTGGTTGAATCTATCCCTGGCGTACACAATGACAGCCATGAATGCCGCTCAGACTCTCCTCAAATGGCCTTCTATCTTACAGCGCCTTGCGAACCGGTTCCTGCCCGAGTGCATTCAGCAACGAGCCATGCTACAGTCGATCCGAGATGTCTTGGAGCCGGAAATCAACAAGCGAAAGAAAACGAAAATGGCAGCGTTGAGAGCCGGTGAAAAGGCCCCGTCGAGCAAGGATACGCTAGACTGGATGGACGAAATCGCACGGGGAAGACCGTTTGACTTGGTATTTGGGCAGCTGCAGCTCGGATTTGTGGCCATCCATACGACTTCAATGTTGTTGACAGATGTGCTGTTGGATATTTGCGCGCACCCAGAGTACATTCCACGTCTCAGAGAAGAGGTGTTCCAAGTGCTACGTGAGGATGGGTGGAAGAAGACATCTATGTATAAGCTCAAGCGAGTAGATAGCTTCATCAAGGAAACGCTCCGATTAAGCCCACAAAGTATGAGTAAGTTATCTCCCTCTCTTTCTTCCTCTCTCTATCTATCAATGCACGTGTGTGTGGATGCGCAATTATTCAAATCACTATACGACAGTCACGGCGCGACGCATGACGACAGAGATGGTAGTATTACCAGACGGCACCAAGATACCCAAGGGCACCAGTTTCATGGTCCCAACCAGAACGGTAATGCTCGACCCTCAAGTCTACCCAGACCCAGACCGTTTCGATGGCGAACGTTTCTTCCGACAGCGATTCGAGAATGAAACGAGGGCACAACTTGTCACCGCCAGCATCGACTATCTGGGATTTGGATACGGGAAGCATGCTTGTCCGGGGCGGTTCTTGGCTGCGAACGAAATTAAGGTGGCACTGTGTCATTTGCTATTGAAGTATGACTTTAAATTTGTTGATGGAGGGAGCCGGCCCGAGCCTTTGGTATGGGAGACTGCATACTTGGCCAATCCTGCGGTTAAGGTGATGGTTCGACGGAGGCAGGAGGAACTCTGCCTTTGAAAAGTGGTTGGACAAATTGAAGTGATCTTAGGGGAACAAGCTCTACTGTACTTGATATAGTTGTGCTCGTTATAGATTCCATTCCTTATGCCTCTCACATAGCCCATAAGACCTTTCTCTTTTTTCGCTTCAAATACCATTGATTACACATATCCTGAAGTGAGAATTTCCGTCGTATTACGATTCATATAGAAATGCAAACCGAAGTTATCAACCACATTCGTCAGACTATGTTGACACGGCGCCCATCGATGCATCATCACCTTCATTGGCTCCTCCTTCAGCTTTGACCTCAGTACTTTTCATTCGTAGATTCTTGCCTCCGATCCATGATTCCTGTTCCCGAGGCAGGCTCCACCGGCTCGTTCTTCTGTTCAGAACCAGGGTTGGACTTTCCCTTGACACTGTACCAGGGAAGTAAAGCACTGCCAATGATACTGAGCCCAGCGGTTGCAACAGCAGCATAGAATACCTGCAGCAGAAATGTTAATATGGACACGCATATGTACACCCAGATGAACAATAAACCCACATGGATAATAGCGTCATTATACGCGATTCGAAGCTCGGGCAAGTATTCGGGGGGAACCAACGAATCCATTGAGGTGGCTCCTTGAGAAAGTAATGAGTCTGCATTGATCGGGATATTCGAGGCTCGGACGTTCGCAATGAGTCTGCTGCTGAAGATGTTTTGCCCGACAGCTAGGAAGATGGCTCCTCCAAACGTTTGAATGAAGATGACCACCGCCTGTGAAAAAAACCATAGTCAACTTGTGTTGGTTTTTTTTTCTCATGGAATTATCAAACGAATACGTACTGTGCCTTCGGCAACCTGATTCTCGGGGAGTACGGTTTGGATAGAAATCAGCGGCTGCTGCAATCCAAACCCTATACCAGCACCGTATATAGCCTGATAGCCGATCCAATGACCAATTCGACTGTCCGGAGTGAAAGTTGACATCAAGCCGCTTCCCTATGCAAGGTAGATCTTTATCAGCCCAGGTCAAGCCCCCTAAAAGATAGTATTGATAGCAAAGGCGAAAGAAAAGAACATACAACGCTTGCCAGAACAGTGGCAAGAAGGCATGCCCACGTGTAATAGCCCACGGCAGCCACCATGCCCCCCGCGATAAGAGACAGAATGACACTGCCAAGTAAGAGGGGTAAGATATGGACGCCGCTATCAGAGGCACTGTCGCCCTTGATTGCCTGGAACCAGATCGGCAAGTAGTAAGTTATGATGAGTAGGGATCCGAAGAGAAAGAAGCTGAAGACGCAACTAGCCCAGACGGTACGCTGTTTCGCAACGCTCCTAGGCACCATAGCACGATCCTTTTGCCAAACTTGGATCCCAATAAAGGCGAGCAACAACAGGCCGCTCAGGACGAAAAGAATGATAATCCGAGCATTGTTCCATGGATAAGTCGTGCCTCCCCACTGGATGGCCAGGAGTAGACAAATAATCATGGGCATAAAGATGACAAGTCCAATAGGATCTAGCTCTTTTGCCTTCTTTTTGAGTGAGGACAAGGCTCCTGGTGGCGGCTCCAACTTGCGCGCAAACAGCACAATCACGATTGCGGAAACAAACCCAAGGGGTAGATTGATGTAGAAGCAGAATCGCCACGTAACGTATTCTAAGAGTCGCTAGTGAGTATTTTTGGAGATGTGTACGCTTCTATACTGACGAATCCCGTACCTGTAAACGCGCCTCCCATTCTTTAAGCGAAGAAGAGTCAGCAATTTCTCTTGCTTGATCGATCTAGAGGTTTAGAGCAACTTACAGAGGTCCAGCAATACTAGCCAGGGCATACATGGCTCCTAGTGTGCCTTGAAACATCGGACGACGCCTCAAAGGCACAGTGGCGGCGATAATCAGGGTTCCGCCAGACAGGATACCCCCTGCGCCAATACCCTGGAGGACTCTTCCCATGATCAAGCCTACCGATGATGGAGTTGCACCACAAACCAGACTTCCCAGTTCGAATATCCCTAACGCTGCCAAGAAGACCCATTGGGCCGGAAAAAGGTTGTAAAACTTTCCATATGAGAGCAAAGAAGCACAATTGGCCAGCAGATAGGCCGACCCATACCAGCCTACATCGCCCAGGGAGTTGAACTCGTCTGTAATACGTGGGATTGCCGTAGCAATAATGGTGGTATCTAGAGCCTGGCAAAAGACAGCCAGACAAAGCCTGGAGGTGTCAGTCGGAGGACTGGGGTGCTTTCGCTGGAGCACCTACGCCACGATGACCAAGGTAAGCTGGAACGTAGAAGGAGGATTCCTCGGGCCATTTGTAGATAAAGCACCCGTCTCGCCAGTGTTCTGCTCGTTTCCAGATCCAGGGGACTCGGATTTCTGCATTTCATTGGGCGGGACCCTGTTGGATATGTTCTCGCGCATTTCTCGAATACTTGGGGCTGAAAGAGGACTTGATTGCGAAGCTGCTTGCTAAAGTGTTGACGGCTCCCAAACTTTTTAGGATTTAAGGGTGAGATACGGGACCGACCATCAGCTGGAAAGGGGGGTCAAAGAAACGAAGACAGCGTTTGTCAGGGATGCCGCGAAAGTCTCCGGGTGGCATGCTAAAGTCTCCGCGATCAAACATCCAACTCCTCTTTTAAAGAAGCACCAACAAAGTTTAAGTTTATTTTCTGGTAGGTAACAAGAGTGGTGACTTGAGAGTAGGGTATTGGAACAAAACATAGATTCTAGGGCTCCCTTCTCCAAAAGGATGGTAATTGCTCCTATATCCCACATCTCCTGCGCGCATAAAGCCTAGGAAACACTTATTAGCTAGTCTGTGGTTCGCTGTTCGTATAATGTCATCCCTTTCCGATCCAGGAGCTGTTTTCCCCCCTCTTGGCGAAAGGGTAGTCTTCGGACTTGTTCTGGAGACTGTCTAGCTGGTGTAAGGTTGTTGGGTTCTAGCAGCTTGACTGAATTTGCTTGACTTTGCTATTTTACTTCTTTTTCTGGTTTACCTCCTGCTACCCTTGTACTCCTGGAGTCCTCGTGGTGGTGATAGGTCGGCTGAGGGCTTTCGGAGCCTTCCGTTTGATTCTATACTTAGTTCTACTGGGCCCTGATTCATAGCCAATATGTGCCTCTCCCGGGCTATTCGCTCACTTAGAATTCCTCCTCGCCCTCAGGGACCCAGTGATTTGGTGTTGGGATATCTGGGGGCTACGAGGACGTCACCTGTACTCTAGATTTTCATAAATAAATACCTAGGATCAGTAAAAACAAAAACGTACATAGATTATCCAGTGATGCATAGTAAATGAAACAGGATAATACATTAAATTCTCTACATAATTGTATCATTGTCTCCGGTGACCGACGGGTTTCGAGGGCTCCTTAACAGCATGCGTTTGTCACTGTCATGTTTGGGCGACACCAACGCAGTCCACGCACGCCGTGACAAATTTTGCTGGAAAAAAGAAAAAGACAAATTAGAAGTGGCATATTAACATGGATAAGAATGCTTCAGACTCGATTTCGACAGGGGTCAAGGATTTCCCCAACGGCGAAGCTATCAGTGGTGATCCTCAATTTGATGGTCGTGTCATTCTATACGTTATTAAAGGTCTGTAACCATACATACCCTAGACAAGCATACTTCTGTGTTACTGACAAAATCACAGCGGACGAGACATCCTACATAAACTATGTCAAACCTCTAATTCTTGCCGAAGAGCTTCAGTTCCCTCACTGCCTCGCCGTGATCGACACAAAGACGGAGTGGGCATATCAGATCCATCCAGAGCGAATGGTTCCTGCTCTTAGGGACCAAGACCCTGAGACCAGCCAGACAGTGCGTGTCTTTGAAGGTACCGCCTGCTTGTATTATCTTGCGGATCGATTTGACCGTGACGGTGAGTGGGCAGGCCGGACAGCGTTCGAGCGTGGGAACGTCCACGCTTGGACTGCGTACCAAACAGCGGGGATTGGGTAAGTCTAGAACAAGGTAACATAAAAAAACAATATAGAACTCATTGACTAACGGACGATGGTTAGAGCAACTGCCAAGTACTGGTTGTATTTTCTGCGTGGCTATCCATCTCGAGCGAATCCGCTGCAGCTACCACGAACAATTAAGAAGTAAGCTACAAACTCTTCCTTTTCAGTTCACCAAGATATTCAAATTTAAACCTCACTCTCTAGACTTCACGAAAACATTGTCAAACAATGGGACATCCTCGAGGCTCGCTTGGCGCTTCCAGACCAGAAATACGTCGCGCTGACAGACCGTCCTACCATTGCAGACCTGTCGTACTTCCCGTTTGCAATGCCATGGATGTTTAAGTTCCTTGACGTGGACATGCAGAAATATCCATGTATATGTGACTGGGCGGAGCGAATGATGGCCCGTCCGGCGGTTCGACGGGTGATGGCAAGGGCACCAAAAATCGGGCATTAGGAGGATTTCATAGGATATAGTTTCCATGTCTGTGAAGTATAATCGGAATGGTTTACTATGAAACTCTGAGCACTAGCAAGGACCTGAGTATTTTGATTTCTGGAAAAGAAAAAATAAATCTTTGATAGCCACTACGATATGATCATTCACACCTTCTGACCCCAGACAACTAAGAGCTTTGTACAACCACCAAATTCCTCCAACTCGTTCCGCAGACTTGTCTGGAAAGTCATGGCTTCCTTATGACTATACTTGTCGGGCAGCATCACTGGCAATCAATGTCAATTAGGGTTGCTTAACTTAGTAATTGGAGGCACTCACTCCGAACACCCTGCATAAGAGGCGGAACTGCATTGCAGAGGCTGTTGATGCTCTTCTGCTTCAAGACTTCATCCTTGTTACGGAATCCATACATCACATCAATCGACTGTTGTGCCACATTCTGTAGTCCTGCCTTCCGCATTGTGGCAGCAAGCTCCTTTGCAAGATTGGGCCCCATGCCGCCGACAGCAGACATCTGCTGGGCGTAGCTGAGGAATCTCTTCAGCTCAGGCCCATTTTCAGCCACCGTGTCGGTGTCCACCTCAACCAACTGCAGCCATCCTCCCGGCTTCAGAGGACCGGCCAGTCTCTCGACAACGGAGAGCACAGTCTCCGGGGGTGCAGCAGCCATAACGAGGCGCTGATGTACAAGATCAAAGGATCCTTGCCATTCACTGGGAAATGGCTCACAGATCGACTGGTTTCGAAATTGCATACCCTCTGGCGCGGGATCGGGGTATAGCGACTGGTCGATGTCGGTGCCGACGTACGAATGTGGGACAGGAGACATGGAACGTATATGCAAGGGCCAGCGACCGTCCGCTGTTCCTGAGTCAAGAATGAGCAGACCGGGCCTTGTCAGGTCGACGGGAGCAAAAATTGCTTTGTCACCCATTGCGTCTATGAACACATCATGCTGATCTATCAGTCGTGCCTTTTCGGACATGTTGTCATCGCGGTCCTTGGTATGTCTCACAAATTCTTCCATTATGAAATAAATGACTTGAGTAAAGAATTGGAGAAGAGCGTTTTTCTGGCTCACTCATGAGGGCCTACTATTTATCAAAAGGGAGCTTCTCGGCGAGCGACCGTATTTATATGCATGGAAGACCAAAGATGCCGAGAAAGATAATTTGCTCATTGAAGTCTCATCAGATGAAATATCCCAGGCCTTCCAAATGTTTTCTTTTATCGTGAAGGTGAATCTGGGGTTTACACGGCTTCCGCGTCTTACAAGGTGTAGTTGAAAGGTATACCCAACGCTGTAGTCCATAGACGTCAATCTCCATACTATATTTACGTATTTATTTGAGCATAAACTGTCCTTAACAATAATAACACTTGCATAGTTGATGAACCTCATGCTCTCTTGAGACACCGCAGCTGGAAATCCGGATGAGTGATCCAGCTCTCGCGGTTCCTGGTCCAGGGAACACCGCCATTCAGCAAACTAAGATCGTAATGATGTACAAGGTGTGCTAGAGTCGTCCTGATTACCATATCAGCGACGTGTTTCCCCATGCACTGCCTAGGGCCAAACCCGAAGCGCCAAAACAAATATCGACGGTCCGAACCTCGGCCCCCGAGGAAACGCTCCGGCCGGTAAGCATTGTTATCGGGCATCCACGCTTCATTCCGCACGTTCAGCGCGTAACTATCCACAATGAAACTCGTCCCAGCAGGAATGATGTATCCATTGATCTCTCGTGCGGTAGGCGCGGCCTGTGGCACACTAAATGCGGCCAACGGTCTCAGCCGACTGGACTCGAGCACGCAGGCCGCCAGATACGTGGCCCGATTGGTGATATACGCGTGTAATTCATTCTTCGATTCGGCCTCGGATATTTCATGCCGTAATTGAGATTGGACTTCCGGGTGAGCGGCAAGGAAGACAAGGTTCCAGGAAAGACCACCTGTAGTCACGTCTAGGTTTGCGTACAAGGCCTCATCAAGGGTCTGCAACAACTGCTCCTCTGTAATCTGTCCAGCTGCCACGGCTGCTTGCATGTGGGCGATAGGCACCTGAAGATTATTGGCCTGGGCATACCGCAATGCGCGATGGTTGAAGCCCCTCCATGCCTGCTTGAACTTGTTCAGGTCGGCATTTGCCGCAGTAGGTAGCCACCGTGTCCAGGAGAATCGATGAATGCCACCTTTGATGACGTATTTAAACACCCGCTCACGTAGAGGTGCCAGGTCATCTAGTTCCTTAATTAGGAATGTGGGAAGATGCCCGTAGAAGACCTCCGCTACAATCCAAAATGGTAGCATCTTCAAGTCGTCTGTTGGGTGGATAAGTCCTTGATCGAGATTGCCGTACAAGTGTAGCTTTTGGAATTGTTCTGTAACCTATGTGAATGACAGTTAGAAGTTATCAGGCATTAAACCCTAACGCATTCCATTAAGACGGCCAGGAGAAAAAAAAAAAAAGGAGAGTCATGTACATGGCGTTCAAAATCAGGGATTCGAGACGAGATAGCTCTGTGACCAAATGGTACTTCTGCCACTTTTCGTACAGCCTGCCAGTCCCGTCCGCTGATTAGACCAACACATTGCCCCAGCAGTTGGCTCATGTAGAATCCTGAATTATTCGCGGGTGCCTTTGAATGTTTGTCCGAGTCTTTGAATACCGCTTGTAGCTGGTGGGGTTGGGTTAGGACGCTGGGAAAAGACTCAGCAACCAGCCAGACAGGATAGGACATAAAATAACAAAGAAAGAAATATATGGTTTACGCACATTTCCGGCTTCATACCCGACCAAATTCGATATACTGACCCATTCTGCTTCTCCCAGGTGCCGGAGTTTTCAATTCCATCCAAGAACTTGGCCGTATCTCCTTGGCCGTTGGGCCACACGTAGCGACAGGATGGGATTTTCTTTCGTCTGTCTTTATGGAGGATGGGATACCTCCATTCAAGATATGTCTGAGTGTGTGTGTTGGTTAGTAGAGCTGCTCCGACATCGTCAATTGAAAATAAATCTTACATTGATAATGTTGGATACTGGATGTATGAGCCATCTGGGTAAGCGACCTGGCCAAATGAGCTCGACTAAACCAATAATGCCGAGTGACACAAGGCACAGGCTAGCAATGGTGAAGACAAATAGATGAGAGTTCACTTCCTGATCCATCATGAAGACAGATTTTGGAAATGGAAGCAAAAGGAATTACTCGTCTATGCACAGCTACAAGAATTTTCCCGTAGCGTATACGAATCTAGGGCACCGATTTGCCGATGAGCATCTGCGGCCACCGTCGGTCAGTCGAATAAAACTCCATTGCTACTATGGAATGTACGTCTTTCTGACGGAACTATTGGTGTAATATTCAAGTACCTATTGTAGCGCTCAAGGTATTTTGGACAGATGTCACTACATATCCGCAACCAACTCTGCACTAATTCCCTTTGCACCCAGGGCTCCAGTCGCCATGGCTTGCAAAACATCTTTCGTAGAACAGGCACAATCACCCACCGCGAACACACTGGGCACAGTAGTAGTATACAAAGGTCCAGAAATTTTGATGTCTCCGCGGTCATTCAGATCAAGACCCAGTTGGTGTGTATACGGGCCATTAATCTCTGTCCGGGGTCCATGTACCTATAGATGGAAATGTTAGATGAGAGTCTTTAATACGAAGCTGACTTAAACAGTACGAACCAAAAATTCCACACAGTCTGTTGCCCCATCCTCGAAGTGTACAATGATTGAATGGGGAGCGGCAGCTTCTAAATGCAAAATTGGTCGCGCGTCAACAATGACACGAGACATAACCCCGTCTTCACGAAGTAGCTTGCTAAGACTCTCATCGCTCGCCGTGTAGATGATTACGTTGTCTGCAAATTGTCGTGTCATGCGTGCTAGCGCAATATATTGAGACACAGTGGCTGTACTGCCGATTGCAAGAAGGCCTGCAACTTGGGCTCGTTGCGAGTTTCCGCGGCCGTCATACCAGAGGAGATCAGCATAGCTGGCACAACATTAGCAGGCGCATATATAGACGATCAATCAATCAAGCTTTTTCTACATTAAGTCCGCATCCCAGCACTCTTGATAGCCGGGAATATCCAGAAAGAGAAACCTCACCCCCGTTGCTAGCAGGAGCTTCTTCCCGTGCCAAGTTATTCCATCCCGGGAGACTGCTTCAAAATGACCATGTGTGGATTGATTTACACGTGTGACGGTGGTTTCTATAACGTGCAAGGTAGACGAGAGGGATAATGGGGCGTATTCTGTGGTATTCCAACGACATCTCGCTGGATGATGATGGTCCATAGCTATTCCATTAGCGATGGCATCATTCCGGTAGGAGCCCGAATCGAATAACGCAACACGGTAAGATTGATGTGTGAGTGTGTTTGCAGCAGATCGCCCAGCAGGGCCACCACCGATGATAATACAATCGTATAGAGAGTCATCATGATCTGCAAGACGATCAGCCATGGTGAGGATTCCTTGCTTCTTTCTCAGACACGACAAGCATGTATAAGGATATACTAAAATAAATGTGGAAAACAGAAAGACAGTCCCATTAAATCTATACCCTGGTTATTCTTGTGAGTTTAGTTTTCCATTAATTTCCGACAAACTGCCCGAAGGCTTTGCGCCCCGTATCTGTATTTATTCGGCCCGCATCCGTCGGCCTACCGCATACAGACTGTACCTTAACTGGCCACCCAACCCTCTCTACAAACATAAAATTCACTACCCAAGTCAGAATCACAATGTTTCACAGCTTCGTTAAGGTGCCTAGCTCCTTTTTTTTTCAGGATGTCCCTGCACCTCTGTTCATGGCGGCGCAGACGGCCGTCGCGGCCATTCTGATCTGCTTGACCCCAAGGTCTTCTTTCCTGCGACCTGCATGTCTTCCAATCCTCATCGGCCTTATGTATCTCTCTTGGCAAATGGCTCTAGCATTTACAGGTCAAGGTGTTCTCTATTCGTTCTGGTGGGTAGGTCCATATGCCAACATCTACCACTGCATGAACAACCTTTGCCTTCACCCACTTGACGACTCCGACATTCGCCATGAAATGAGCCTCCAGAGCGTCAGAGATAAACGCAAGCAGCGTTCAGCCGATCACCCAGGATTATTCAAACGAGTATTGTTCACCATTTCGATGCTCTTCAGTTTCCGAGGAATTGGAACAACCCACCAAGTCAGTTACATCCCTCCATTTCCCGGTCGAGTTGTGCCATCTAGAGCCCGGTTTCTACTGCGCCAGTGCAGTCTCATCGCACTACAGTACCTCATTATGGATCTGTTGGCCAGCTCGCCACCTCCACCAGATGTAGTAAACAGTTGGGCATATGGCAAGGAGTGGCTGTGGATTCGGGCTCTCAATCCGCACCCGGTCACCCTCGACGATCTACGCAACCGGCTTATCGGCTGCACCATGAACTGGTATATTGTCGGGCGTGTTATGAATGATATCTGGTACCGCGTGTTCTCCGTCATCTTCGTTGGTTTAGGCATTTCAGAGCCGAAGCAGTGGCCGCCTCTGTATGGACACTACTGCGACACGTCTACACTGCGCGGATACTTTGGGTAGGTTCGACTTCTTCTTTCCTGTATTAATGATCTATACCCCGCTTTATATTATGATAATTTGTTAATGAGGTCTCCTGCACAGAACATTCTGGCATCAAACACTTCGCTGGCCTTTCCAAGGCATATCCAACTACATTAGCCATCAGGTATTAGGTCTCGCTCGTGGTACTGTGTCGCGCTATGTCAACCTTTTTATTGTGTTCTTCCTATCTGGAACTCTCCACTCCATTCTTGATGTTGCCTTTGGAGGCCATTGGTATCCGGCTGGCGGCCTTCTCTGTTTCTTCGTTTTCCTGCCTGCGGGGATCGTGATCGAGGATGTAGTCCGGTGGGCATGGCGCCGACTCGTTGCGCGGCATAGCAACTCACAAAATGGGGGATGGTTGGTGAGGATAATTGGACATTTGTGGGTGATCTTCTATCTGGCTCTTGTGACGCCCATCTTCAATTATCCGTTGCAGCGCATAGAGGGAAATCCGACTTACCTGGTGCCGTGGAGTTTGGTGCGAAGTCTTTTCTAGATATTGAATCATGTTTCAGCACTCTTATGAGGATTGATGTATCTGGAGCGGCAGGTGAGATGGGCGCTTGTACGACGGACATTGATACGAAGGAAAAGTCGCATAGTCATATATATGCATACATATTTTTCAGTTGACGAGACTAAACCTAGGGCTACCTTCATTCCTCACCCTCTTTACCAGTCAAATAATAAGTAACCTGTCGATTAGGTGGTCTCCCTCCTCTTAAAAAGAACCTCTGCCTCTGTGTCGGGCAAGATAGCAAACCCATAATGAAAATGACCTGGCCTTCCTTTACCTGGGACGAGCTTCATCTCGTAATGCGTAATCAGATACGCCATGACGACCTTGATCTCTGCTGACGCAAAGAACCGTCCTGGACAGGCCCAGATCCCATGACCAAAATTGATATTATCCGTGCCCGTGCTGGTGTGTTGGTACTTCATCTCGTTGCCAGGACGTTGTCGCAGATTGAAAAACCGGAGCCCATCGAACTTTTCAGGATCTGGCCAGAGATTCTTATCGTTGTTGATAGGGCTGGCGCGGACCATGACTGTGTGGCCTTTGGGGATAAAATGACCGGTTGAGGTGCGAAAGCCGGATGCGCTAGCGACGTATCGGGGAATATTTGCTGGAATTGAACGTCAGTATTGAACATAACGATGACTATTTCGGTTCATGTCAACTTACCTATTGAGGGAGGGCTCAGTCGTTGTGATTCCCTGATGAAACTGTCAAATTTCCACAATTTAGGCAGCGTGCTCTTGTCAATCATGGCCTTCTCGTTTACTACCTCTTTCAGTTCCTTACGGAGTCCATCAGTGTACTCTGGGTAAGCTGCGAGATCAAAAATGATATATGTGAGAGCATTTGATAAGTTGTATATGGAAGCAAACGTCGCGAGGAGTTGGTCCCGAGCCAGCTGATGGACAGTTGGTGGCTTGCTATAGCGTGAGATGAACCAGTCCAGCATCTCCCCTCCTGGTAGATTGCTTTCTTTTGCTTTAGAGGCTGTATCGGAGCCGTTCTTTTGCTGCTTAGCGGCAAGTAAAGGTGCCAGCTTGTACATGCTGATATGCCTGTGATGGAGCAAGGACTTGACCGGGGTCGAGAACGGGGCCAAGAAAGGCTTGATAAGCCACGGCAGAGATCGCAGATAGACATATGCAAGAGATACATCTTGCGTGTAACGGGTTGTTGCTTCGACCCAGTCGGGATCTCGGCTGAGGGGGAGACCGACGAAGGCGCGCCCTGACATGAGTGAGGCGACCCTGGACATGGCGTGTCGTACTGGAACTGGCACCCATTCGCCCTCGCATCTACCAATGGCTGTCTCCACGGCATGCTTGACTTCTGCGGTGAAAGACTCCAAGAGAACGGGGGTGTTACGTACGAGAAGGTGCCTCATCGTAGCGTCGAATTCATCCGCCTTGGTCCCCATGTAGGAGTACTCGCCGAGAAAGACATTGTAGTGGTGATGCCTGCAAATCTGGTAAGAACAAAGCTACCACTCTTCTTTTAGAAGCCTTACTTGATTGAAAGTTCCGACTCCGGGAGAGATTTGACCATTTCGATTTCCGAGGTAGGCAATATCACTGCATCCAATCCAAGTTGGGACAAGACAAAAGGAGCGTCAAGGCACTGATAGACCCATGAAGAGGGTCAAGGTTGGAATCATAGGCTAGGACTTCTGAGTAGAAAGAAACTCGTACCTCTTGGTGAGCCTCTTGCAGCACCTTTGCAGCATTCTCTCCCATTGGCACATGGTAAACGGGCAGATCAATGCGTTTGCGCCGCCTCCAAGTTTCCAGTCTCCAGATCACCAAAGAAATCAAGACGAGAACAGCAGAAGCACCGTATCCGATTCGTTGAGGGTCCTGGAAGGCATTCACAATGTCTCTGTGTATCCTGATTGTATCCATCTTGAGTTCGTGCTAAGAATTACTGAGGTTCTGTAGAGGGGCAATCAGACTTTGTACTGTGTGAATGGAAGTTGATCAATATCTATCTCATGCAACCAACTTATTGATTCTTTGTCCTTGCTCGGTACCAATGCCAGACGTGTGGCGGGCCGATCGATGCGAAGTACATTTGACAGACTGAGATCACGGCTGCCGAGTACAATCCTCGGCGGCTCTTTCAAACCACTCGAGTTCATCGTCAAGATTGCATTGAACGGATTGTGTGGACAAGGGACTGTAATTCTTCGGCTTCGTGCCCGATACCTGAAAGCCACTACAGATCTGAACAGGACCTCATGCGGATGCTACTTTAATACCATATACAGCTACCAGATATTTCAAGCTGTGAGTATAAATATGACCTGAATGCTACCTGTTGTACCCAGTATTATGGCCTGTGGGTTTATAGATGCCTGAATGGTATTTTTCGAATTGACACAATTTTATGTAAAGGGTGAACGAAGATCAATCGCACTGACCCAAGCGTTTCTCAGTGAATAAATCCCCTTGACCATCCAACCGGCTGATGTCGCTAATCGATGCCAGTCGTCCACCGTCCGCTCCTGGCCTTTAGCAGTCATCATCATATTGATATCCCCATACCGAGACAACCTTCCCATCTCGCCGTCCTGCATGACTGACTCCAGTACCACCAGACGAGATTTCTCCCCCGGGGTCATGGCTTCACGAATGTTGCGCAAGATCTGGATTGCTTCGGGGTCGCGCCAGTCGTGCAGGCACCACTTCATCACGTATACCTCGTAATTGGGGATCTGGGAGAAGAAGTCGCCTGCGATAAGATCGCTTTTCGAGACCCGATCGCCGACGTCAGCGAACTGTCCCCCTTGCTCGAAGAAAGGTCGGATGTGTTCAATAACGCGAGGAAGGTCGAAGACGCCTCCTCGCAGATTGGGACTGGCTCGAAGCAGTGATGCAATCAAGGCGCCACCACCACCGCCTACATCCAGTATCGTCTTATCGCCAATCTCGTGCCAGGGGTAGTCCGCCACAATACCCGGGGCTTGCGCAACAGCGCCTCCTCCGAGGGTCCGATGGAGACGGGGAACCCATCCCCGCTTATCGAAGTAGGTAAACATGTCATCGTCGGTGTCAAAGTTATGCTGTGCTGCGCTGCGAGTGGTGTCTTTGTGCACTGAGGCGGGGATGCCACGAGCGATATCGTAGAATTCATTACCGTACAGGTCCACCCAGTTGTGCCACTGTGTCCAGTGATCTGACCGCAGCAATTCCGAGCGGCAGTTATTGGCATAGCTATCCCTTTCTGGTTTGTAGGTGAAGATGCCATTGTTGCGGAGAAGACGTAGAATTTGGCGCAGTCGGTCCTCTCGAGCCCCTGCAGCATCGGCGAGCTCCTTGACAGTCATCTCACCAAGGCGGGAAAGGAGATCGGGGATTTTGAACGACACTGCTGTGACCAGACATTTACTGCGCATATAACCTATCCAGACGAGACGCTTGCTAAGTACATATTACGCCAAAAACAGGCAACGTGGAAAGGAGACAGAACTAACCCAAGAAGTGGTCCGCCAGTATTAGCTGCGCCGGCTGAAGTATTTGCTCAATTTCATACAGAATATCGACTGCCTGTGCCGCCAGGGACATGAGTGCCTGGTCTGGCAGTGTATTTGGATCATGAAGCCGGTTGCTGATATCCGCCTGCAATGTGGGTTCATTGAGTTGGCGTTTCAGCGTTGTCAACATCTGGACCAGTGTTTGCAATGTTATCACCGCGGCATCTTGGGAGGTATCTGTGTGGCGAGGACCGGCGCCGTTTGCCTTCTTCTCGTTCTCATCCGCGGCCACGTAATTTGGTATAACACCCATGTTTGACATGGCTAGTATGCTCAAAAACGCTAAGTTCGTCCTATTCCATGGGTATTTCTGTATATGATGTATTATTCTGAGTTTTGCACGATCAGCTCAAGTAAGGTTCTGAAGGCATACAAAAGTTCGAACAGGGGCCCGATTCGGTCTTAAATCGGAAGCCGAGACAAAGACAGGGATTTCTATTGGCATCCTTGAACAACTCCACCAAAATGCAGGCATTCATTGGGCAAAGTTGGCTGGTCGGAGACATTTGTAGACGCCCTAGCAAGGGGAAGTCGGAGACTTTTATATCCCTCGGACTCATAGGAGATTGGACGGTCATTATCTGTCGTGGCAAGGCTCAAAACAAAGCCAGTCCTCGACACTCCTCAGAAGATTTCACCTAGTTTTCATCATATCTGGTTTTACTGCCTTCTGCATTATACCGCCTCCTACTACGTATCAGCCAACATGGTGAACCCAGCCACCATTTGCGACGTCCTCATCATCGGTGCTGGGCCAGCAGGTCTCTCAACTGCCCTTGGTCTTGCCCGTCAAACCTATTCTGCCATCGTGTTTGACTCACATCAATACCGTAACGCCTTTGCGCAGCACATGCATAATGTTGTGACTTGGGACCACAAACCCCCAAGTGAGTTTCGTGCCGTGGCAAGAGAGAACATCGAATCTAGATACGACACCATCCAATTTAAAGACGCTACCATAATTTCGGCAGCCAAGAATGAGGATGGGACTTTTGAGGTTATGGATGACAAACAGAATAAGTACCAAGGTAGAAAGCTTGCCCTCGCCACAGGCATCACAGATGTGTTGCCGGATATTAAGGGCTTTAAGGAGTTATGGGGTAAATCGATGTAAGTTATACTACATATACCTATATATTCCTGAATTGGGATTGTTGCCTACGCATGTTACTAAGTTGCAAAACTCGGACAGATTCCATTGCTTGTTCTGCCATGGATTTGAAGAGCGTGGTGCTGTTTCAGCTGGCGTTATAGCCGCCGGCTTCATTACCCAACCTGCCATGATCCTTCATATGACTCGAATGGCTTCTCCCCTGGCCAAGCATGTTACTGTCTACTGTCACGGCAATGACGAGCTTACCGCGCAGGTGCATAAAGAATTTGAAGGTAAGCCGTTGGCTATCGAACCGAGAAGGATTACTGCTGTTGAGTCGAACGGTAACCGTGTTACCGTGCATTTTGAGGACGGTGATAGTCGGGAGGAGGGTTTCTTGGTGAATATTCTCCAATCTTTACGTATTATTTGGACTTTGTGCAGAAGAGAAAACTGACAAGGAAACTCTCCTATAGGTTTCTGTCCCCTTGTCTAAGATCAACGGTCCGTTCCATGAGCAGCTCGGTCTGGATATCGATCCTGCAGGTTTCATCAAAACAAATCCACCCTTCAATGAGGCGAGTCAACAGGGCGTCTTTGCTGTTGGTGACTGTGGAACGATGATGAAGGCGACGCCTCAGGCGATTGCGATGGGATCCTTTGGGGCAGCAGGTTTGGTTGCGCAACTGGGTGCCATGGGGAATTTGTAATGTGCACTGGCTCGTTCGGATGAGGCTTTCCAAACGGAGCTGGGAGATATTTAATGGTTAGGCTCTAAACTATCAAGTTGAATATGAACCGTCAATCAAAGTGTCTGTTTAATTTCCCCTTCTCTCGCTACCTTTCCGTATTAACATGGCTCGCTGCACGTCCGTCCATATTTCTTGGACCTCATCCCATAATCCGTAACCGGTGGCAGGGAGACACTCCTCCCGCGCGGTATAATGACCTACTTCGTCAAGAACTCTCAAGATGTTGAGCCCTATTATCCTTTTCACGTCTGCTTCACTGATGCCATTTGCGACCAACTCTGCAACGAGCTTAGGGAAGGTCGAGACATCGTCTAACCCAGCCGGTCCCTCTAACATCCCGTCAAAATCGCTGCCGATACCAACATATTCGTAGCCTATTTTCTCGCCCACGTACATCACGTGTGCAGCAACTGTCTGCACATTTGCCGAGGTTTGATGACCAGCTTTGAGCATCCCGGACAGGGACGGAAGAAAGCAGATCATAATTACGCCATTGTTGAGCTTCAGAGCCTCGAGCACGTCATCGGTGACATTTCGAGGATGGGGTTGGAGAGCGTAACTATTGTGGGCAATTAGTGCTTGAATTAGAAGTATTCCTTACTACCTGGTAGAACAAACCATGAAGAATGTGAAAAAATGACGGGTGCCTTTGATACCCTCAGCACCTGGCGTTGAGCGTCACGGCTAGTGTGTGAAATATCGATGATCCTTGGGGTTGAGGTTAGCCCGAATACAAGACTATATTGACATTCACAGTGGGCATGAGCGATCTCACATTCCGATGCGATTCATCTCCTTGACCATATCTTCGCCGCGCTTCGACAAGCCATAATGCAGTGGCGTTGGGGGAGTCTATACCGAGCCTCAACTACCGAACGTATCCACAGATATATCAAGAGTTAGTTAACTTACAGATGAGTCCACAAACTCATTGTGGCAGTCATGACATAAAGTGATATACCTCACGCCCATTCGATGAAATAGCCGAAGAACGCTAAAGCTACCCCCAATTTGATGCAGGCCTTCAACGCCGATTAAGCAGGAGATGCGGCGAGAATGAAACGCCCGCCATACGGAGGCTGAATCGATACCAAAAGCGAGCCTGCGTGGATTCTGTTGAATGAGTTGATGAATGAGATCAATTTGCTGCAATGTGTCTCGTAGTACAGCCAGCTTAGTTTCATCGACATTTTCCTTAGGACTGCGGTAGGACCGCATATCAATCAACATTATAAATGTCGGACGTACTAAATGACTGGCTTTCTAGGGGGAGAGAAACTTACCAAGGGACAAATGCACTCCAGAATTGACCCCCAATACACCCTTTCTCCAGACGAGAGAGGTCCGTTTGCCCAATTGGCATTTCCTCGATATTGAAGGATGGATCGTGAATGTTCATTCCATACCAGCCGCGAAGAATATATGGAAAGTCATTATGTCCGTCTGAGATCGGTCAGTAACCGCTAGTACTCAGGCCGGACAGCCTGCTGGGATATCGTACCAATCAAGGGGACTTCTTGAAGGATGTCCATTGCTTTTACTGAGTTCGTGGAATCCATTGTAGGTAGGCAGAAATATCCAGGGTAGGGTTCAATCAATGCAGCCAGTGTAATATGATGAGGATGTCCCAGTTAAGCGGTCTCTTTAGTATGTCAATATCTTGGTGGTTAAGGTTTTGTTAGAAGTCATCTTTCCTCTAAAAGTCCAGACCAGTGCTTTCGGCGCCCGAACGGCTTCCAGGCATCCGAGCGCGCCGACATCTATCATATTAAAGGGAAAATTGAAGGTGGTCTTCTAATTTAGTCGCACTCTGGTGGACAAAAGTACAGCTTCAGTATTCATTCGTATCATTATGGTGAGCATCACAGCATTTGTGGCCCTAACGGTCGTGGCCTCCATTGTTTGGATCATCGTCTATCGGACACACTTCACTCGCATCTCCCATATTCCTGGGCCCAAGTTGGCAGCCGTGACATATCTCTATCACGCATGGTACGACATATGGCCCCATGCTGGGCGCTTCATGTTCCATTGCGAAAAGCTTCATGAGAAATATGGACCCATCATTCGGATCGGCCCCGACGAGATCCACATCAAAGACAACAGCTACATGGACGAAGTTTATCCAAATGACCACCGGAGGAAAAGAAATAAAAGTACGCTGTTCTTCTGGATGGTTGGGAGCAACGAATTTGGGGACCACAGCACCGGGGCAACTATGGATCACGATGCTCACCGTGCCAAACGAACCAGTATGGCGCCCTATTTCAGCGCCCGAATGGTGCAGGATCTGGAGCCACGGATCTTGGCGAAGGTTCAGCAAGTGAGGGAGAAGATGTTGGAGACGGCTGGGTCAGGCGAGTTGCTGGAATTGCGCAATATAATGAGTGGATTAACATTAGGTGGGCTTCTACATCTATAAACTTATCTATAAACAGAATATTACAAGCCTAACGGAAAACTATTAGACATTATTTCGGAATACTCCTTCGGCAGCTCCTTCGGCGCCCTAGATACGCCCGACTTTGGCCGCCCTCTGAACAACGTCTTGCTCAAGGGCGTCAAGGTCCATCCCTTTGCTCGCATCTTCCGGCCTTTGGCGATTGCCATTTTTAGACTCCCCCGATGGATGATGCCCAACAGTGAAATTCTCGAGAACAGCATCAGATACGACAACCTCATTGGCAAGATGACTGGCGCAGCATTCGACGATGCTACCAGAATGCTCACATCCCACAACAATGAAAAGATCGGAGCAAGCCACCGGACAATCATCCACTCCATGCTCAGTAGCGATTCCCTTCAAGCGGAGGATAAAACATTTGCTCGTCTTAAAGCAGACGCAATGGTCCTCATTGGTGCTGGTACAGAGACCACCGCGCGCACGCTGGCAACGGCAATCTATCACATTCTTGCAAATAAGCCGGTTTATGACCGTCTTTTGGAAGAAATCCGCCATGTGATGCCTACATCTGACTCCCCGATCCCACCCGCAGCGGCGATCCAGCAGCTACCATACCTCACAGCAGTTCTCTCAGAGTCTTTACGAGTTGCTCACGGGGTTGCTGGTCGCTTGTCTCGCATCGCTCCTGACGAAGACCTCCAATATGGTCCATACAAAATCCCAAGAGGCGTCACCTTCTCGCAATCGATGTATTACATTCACACCAATCCCGTTATCTTCCCCAACCCGCACGAGTTCCATCCAGAACGTTTCCTCGGGCCCCAAGCGACGGTGGCGAAAGAGCATGCCTACCCCTTTGGCAAGGGGACACGAAACTGCCTTGGTATCAATCTGGCATGGGCAGAGCTGTATATGACCGTGACCGCGCTGATTGGTGGTGTAAAGATGGAGCTTGTCGAAACGAGTTTACGGGATGTAACTCCAGTCAAGGTCAGTTTGCCTCTTTTTTTCGCCCTCAATGTCTTGTAAAAGGGTTGCAGTTAGCTCTCAGAATGCAGTGGCAGTTTGTCGTGCTGTGCACTAACTGATTGATAGGAATACTTTGTGGGATATTTACCAGAAGATAGCAAGGGGATCAGAGCGAGAGTACTCGGGAAAGCATAGCTAAAGTTATATCTTTGTTACAGGCTCTAAATCCAGTGAAATTGCAATTTGAGATAGAATACATGTGCCCCACTACGCTGAGGGTTCAGTCTCAGTCTCATCAAGGGAGTTATATAACTTGATACCAAGAGCCTGCATTGACCCCAATAAATTAGGTACTAGGCGGCTAGGCCTTCCAAAACCTTTGTCTTAGCATTGTAATTCACGGCATCCAAGCTACTTCAATCAAAGCCAGATGCGATCCCTCAGGCATCGTGATCTTCTCAATCTCGAACCTGCCATCCGCCTGTCGGCAAAGGTCCCGCCAGCCATCTGCTTCGCGAACTCTAGAGTTTCCAAGAGCAAGCATTGACAAATCCATAAGACTGTTCCGTATAATTAGCTTCACTACTAACGCCAATTGCATGCATCTTGGGAGAGCACCTACCGCTGTGTCCGTGCTGTAGAAAGTGACATGGTCTCTGCGTCAGGCATGACTTCATCCATAATTAGTAGCTTGGCACCAGGCTTCAAAGCCGGAATTTGCGCCCTGAGGATTTTCACTGCCTGATTGTCCGGCCAGTTGTGCATCACTGAACGGAAAAGGTAAACATCTGCCCCAGTCACTAGCTGCTCGGCGAAGAAGTCAGCCACCATGTGTGACACGTTGACACCTGTTTCCTCCTTAGCGACAGCGATGGACTCCGCCGTATCCTGGACGATCAATCGAAGCTGAGGCGCCTTGTGGGCGATTGCAAAGGCTGCCTGACCAGTTGAGCCTCCGACATCGACAACAGTTCCTGCTCCGAGAGACTCCCACGGGAAATTATCTGTCAAGTAATGCAGTGACCACTGTGGGCCGGCCATAGCCTGGCTCATACAATGACCAAACCGTCGTATCTTTTCCGGGTCTTTCGCTAGGTGTAGGTAGAATGATGGTTCATTAGCCTTGTGGGCGAACATGTACCCGGACTTGGAAGGGTCGTCTGCAGCGGGATATTCGAGAAGAGCGTCAACAATCCCCAGGAAGGCAGGGATCAGATCCTCAGTAGTGAATCCTGTACAGTCATGGAGCACAGGGTCTTCCAGAAGTAGTCGGGTGACGGAGGAATGGGAAACATATCCCGGATGCTTTTCCTGGAACATATGAAACGTCATTGCCGCGAGGATGAGCTGGCGTAGGGTCGAGGCCTTGATCCCGATGCGCGTGGCAAGTTCGTCGTAGCTAATTTCACCGTCTACTGGCACCATTCGTACCAGGTTGAACCGGTAGATGAACCGAGTCATAGCAAACTTGATGAGAGCCAAGTATCCGGAATTAGACACAAGCCCTCTCGGGCCAGTTATGAGGTCATTGAGCTCTGCAGTAGCATCGAGAAGTGCCGTTTTGGTGCGTTGGATTCCCTCGGGAAACTTGATATCATCCAGAGTATCAACCGGATCGAACGACGGGGACGGAATATTGTTAACGTGATAATATGCATCGATCTTCGAAGAATTCTTCGAGATCGAATCTGCTAGTGCTGCTATTCGGCTTGGTTGAGACGATTGGGTCGCCATCGTTTTAGTTAAGGGAGGAGCAAGTAGTTGCTAGGGGTGTTGGCCAGCACAGGGTTGGATATACGCAGCTGCGTAATAGAACTTGGAATCAGATTGGCGTGAGGCAGCTAGATCTCCATTTTACTGACGCCTTATGGTCATTAGGTGTAGGATAGCAATATGAAACATCCACGGCGGGCGTATAGAGCTTTCGGTCCGAACAACTTCGGTGCGATGATCACGGCCACCGTGCATTCACAAACCGGATTTTTTTTTACATCGATTGTAAAGAATTTTCTAGAGAATTCGTACAATGCTCTTTCTGGACATGTCTGGTCACCCAATCCCACGTCACGGTAACACTCACACTGCCAATGGCAATGGCAATGACGCTACCCAAAGTACCTCCTGTAACGACAGTCATTGAATCTTTGTTTCTTGCCCTTTTCCTTATATGTGTCGGCACCTGGATTGTAACAACAATCCGCTTTCGTATCGACGTTGGGAAGCATCAAGCAAGCAGAGCTGAAAAGTCGACCCTGCTGATAGTGCCGCTGAAACCTTATGCGATCCCCATATTGGGGTCAACCTTGAACTTCCTGAACACTAAGATTGGACGCGTCTGGGACTGTCTCATTCGGGACTGTCAAAAGTGGAACTTGAAAGCGGTATCGGTGCTACTTGCAGGAGTGCGAACCCACATCCTGTTCACACCGAGTAGTATTCTGAGCGAGCTGAGAGCCAAACATCTGACAAGACATAAGCATGCTCGACTACTGGCTGTTAATGTCTTGGGAACGTCTCAAGAAGAAGCGGCCAAGGCATTTCCCGAAACCCCTTTGCCAAAGGCAAGCGTCACACTTGAGCGCGTTCACTCGGAGTTCCTTCTGACAGCCATCCCTGTTACCACCCTCACAAATAAATTCATGGAGTGCTTATATGAGGGGATCTCAGAGGACAACAGGTTGGAAACGAGCGGAGAGATTGAACTGTACGCCTGGGTCAAGGAGAAGGTGTTTAATGCGTCCGTAACCGCGTTGTTCGGGTCAGAACTACTCCGCATGCATCCAGACCTTCATAAGGACTTTTGGATATGGGAACAGAATCTTCTCACTCTCCTCTTTGGTACCCCCAGAATCTTCGCTCGCCAAGCCTACTCAGCACGCGAGAGGCTCCTCACCAAGCTGGAACGATGGCTGGAGCACGGATACAACCACACTGCCACCATAGATGACTCCGTCGGATGGGAGCCCTATTTTGGGGCCAAGGTCATCAGGAAACGTCACGAGTACTACAATCAACAGCAGCTAAGCTTGCGTAGCCAAGCTGGTAAAGAGATGATCTTCCTAGCAGGCATACTGTCGAATGCTATTCCGACCATTGGCTGGCTCCTAGCACACATACTTTCTCCAACAAGTGGTCCCGACTTGCTCCCTCGAATCATGGATGAGTTGAAGAAATGCGTCCGGTCAGATGGCTCGATTGATTTTCCCACACTCCTCCATGTACCTGTCCTGAACTCAGTTCTTAACGAGGTGCTGCGGCTATACATTGATCTGATGATCATTCGACAAGTCGACGCAGACTCCACCCTAGATATGATCCGAGTAAGACAAGGCGATCAGGTCATCGCTTCCTCCTGGATGACCCACCGACACCCTCACAACTTTGACCTACCGAACGACTTTGACCCTAAGCGGTTTGTTCGCCACGATCCAGGCACTGGGGACCTTTTATGTTCGATATCTGGCCTGGGTGGCAAGTATTTTCCATTTGGCGGAGGACATCATATGTTCGTGATAACGATACCCCTTTCCTACTGAACAATTATAGTAACCCTTTTTTTCCTCTCCAGGTGCCCTGGTCGAAACTTTGCAAAGCAGGAGATACTTGGAACCGTTGCTGTCATTTTACTCAATTTTGACGTCTCTTTTATGTCCTTCGTCGAACGGCAAGGTGACCTGGTCAAGCAGAAAGGGTTGGATATCAATGGATTTCCAAAAATGGTGCGTGCCTTGCCCGGGAATCAGGTCATGGGACTCAAAGGCGACATGGCTGTACGGATCAAGAGAAAGGGAAACACTAGCACATTTTAAACGAGTCAGAAAGTTGACCTAAATTAACAATTATCCTATTGAGTCGATATCCTCGTAAAGATTAGATTAAGTGGCGGGTTGATATCTCTGATCCAACCCAAATTTCTGATAGACGAGGGATAAGAATGATTGAGAAACTCTCTCCATCTCCAAATATAACCCTCTCTACATCTCGAACCCAAAATCTTTTGCTAAGCGTTGGAATGATTTGGCTGCCCTGCTCGCATGCTCTCCTGGTCTTGTCGGATCTGGATTAGCAAGACTCCTGTTGCACAATTCTGCACTTATACATCCCCTAAAGTTCAAATTCAAGATAACCTCCAGAATAGCCTTGACAGGAAGATAAGCACCTCAATCTTCTTTCCCGTAGAACAGTCTGCAATTTCGAGAACAGCTCATGCGAGAAGGCTGACCGGCAACATAGTACGGGGAATTAGGCTCCAACGGATGATCCATCTTCTCTGCATCCACCACCTGCACCCAGAAAAGCTTCTGGATGTTTATTGTAGAACCCAGTCTCTCCAGCGATGTCTTCATTGCAGCCAGGGCGTCCACAGCCATCCCTGATCCCGCTCCTGGATCCGCAGAAACCCGCCCGGCCAGGTTGAAGGCGTCGAGGCATATTCCAAAATTGGGGCGATCGACCCTCGTCACAATATCACAGCACTTTTCCCATGTATCCACGTGTGTTCCCCATGATAACGCCTCGTAAGTGAATCTGATTCCAAGAGGGGCACCGAGATCTGCGATTTCCCGCAGGTTCTGGATAATCAGGTCAACATAGCCGCTTGTTTCGGTGCGGAGAAACATTGGGGGAATGCCAATCAGATTGGTGCCGAGTATTCTGGCCAGGTCAAATCCATAATTTCATTTCCTGAATCCGCTGAGCATGCTTCTCCCGGTCTATCGGCTCCTCATAGTGACGGAAGGGCTGTAAAAAAACGATCTTGGTTCTCCGTTCATCGCAGAGCGAACGGATAATTGAAGCGGCCTTGATTTGCCTTTCAGCATCAGTTTGTAGGCTGGTATGATCTTTGGCGATTTCTAGTATGTCGTCATGGAAGAGCTCGATGTCGAGTCCATACCGTGCCGCTTGATCAAGTCTCAAGGGTAGGGGATGGATCGATGGCGAACCCAGGGAGATGGACGAGGCGGCTGGACGGCAAGCCATGGGTTCTATTCATGAAGATAATCAGCAAATTTGGGTATTATTCCCTGGTTTCAAGCTATTTTACATAGATCAATATTGACGAAAGAGAAATTATGATGACTATGCGAACCGGACTCGGTCCGTCTACGGCTTCCGATCATTTGATACTCAGTTTGCAAGACATAGCTAGCTAGGAGAGATTCTCTGTATAGTAAATTTCTTCAAAAGGAATGGACTATTACGGACTATCTAGCAGTACAGGCACATCAGCTGACTGAAGATGCTATCAATTAAAGAAAGTGGAAGTTGAAATCTGTGCCTAAATCAGATACAATAGAACTGAATCTCAAAGAGCCCCACGTTATCAATAACTGTGCATCTTACTGGCCCTATTGAATAAAACCTGCTCAAATGCAGAGATTCGATAGACTGTCTTGAAAGAAAACTTTTCGTTCTTCAAGAATCTTCGCATCAATTACATTCTCAGCATGTGAAACAAACCTCAAACCTTTCTCTGAATCCCACAAAGTTCGCAGCTCCTCGCGCAAGTCAGCGAACGAATTCTCCTGGTGTAGATTCTCACCGGAGGTAAGTCCATTTATGGCACGTAATATCATCCGTCGGACGGCTGAAATCCGCCCTGTGCCCTGTTCGAAACATGCTGTGTCGTATTCGAGGCGAAGTAGTAGTGTATCTTCATCAATTGCCATGCATTCGACCATCAGCATGAACTTGGAGCCTTCACTCCACACGTATTGAGGTTCCACACCATCGCCAAGTGCGAACATGCTCCAGGGGCCTCCTTCTTTTGTAATATCTTCTGCTGCTGCAGATGGTGCTTTTTCCGTGGGCGTTGGATCCCGACGGCGAGCATCATGGAAGCTTACGACGCAATCCAAAAGCGGGTGTTCTGGGAGCTCCTCCTGGGCGTCGATTCCGAAATGAGTGAGGAGTTTGTGCCATGGCACAGCATAGGATAGGGAGTCCTGGCAGGAGCGCTGAACGGCAGTAAGAAAGGTGCCCAAGGAGAGAAGGGGATCCTCTGGCAACCTTTGTACGCCTCGTCTTCCATCCCCGAATACCACACGCACAGGAAGCGGCTCTAGGAAAAGACCTACGGCGTTCATTTCCGCCTCCGAATGGCGGTTGATAAAAGGGACCCCCAACCTAATATCGAGGCCCAGGCCCTGCTCATCGTTAGCACTGACGGCCATTGCCACCGCAGCGAGAATTAGCTGCTGCATTGTGACGTCTGAGGCAGCTGCTTGAGCCTGCATACGCCGCCAGAGCGAGGCAGATATCCGTGCTACAGAGGATTTACCTCGGTAGCTCGTCCGTCTGACTCCATTTCCCAAATAAATAGGACGAGTTCCTCTCACTTCTCCTAGGTACTCGGACCAGAAATTGAGGTGGCACGGTGGTGGTGGTGCCGCATCTGCTACCAGGTGTATGTAATGAGGCTGCACGGGTGGCAGGAGGGATCTACCGTGGTACGCGGCAGCGACCTCATTGAGGACAGTTCCCAAGGCAGTATAGTCGCAGATAATGTGGCTCCAAACAGCAACAATAGTGTCTCTGGTTATAGTCACGCGAACAGGAGGCGCACAGGCGAGATTGAAAGGTCGATTCACCTCCACCCTGACGTCGACGGATCGCAGCTTGTCCACTCGAGGAGAACATGGAGCTAATATGCGCGCCACGGTGTTTTTCTTTTTGCCCCGCTGCAAGTATCGGCTGCGGAAGGCATCGTGGCGCGACAGAACAAGATTCCATGCATTAATCAATCTGGACTGGCTCACCGTGTCAGGATCATACTGGCTGACATAGCTGACGTTGAATGCTGACGAGCTACAGTCCAATTGATACTTATGCCACCACTCTTCCTCCATGAGCGACAGCTTGTACTCGCCATATTGGCTATTCTGCAGAATTCCAGGAGCGGGAATTGACTGGCCCTTTTTCATCTTGTCGATGCTGCTAGCTAGGTCTCGCAAGGTGGCAAGCCCCGCAATCATTTGCACGGTGATGCGCTCACCGAATACGGCCGTCAGTCTTGCTGCCAGACGTAACTGTTGCAGAGAGTGGCCGCCAAGCTGGGTGAAACTAGAACGAGGACCGATGAGAATGGCATCGTGAGGTCCACAGTTCAGTATTTGACGCCAGGCTGCGGCAATGAGAACCTCGGTCTCTGTTTCAAAACCTTCCTCCTTCTGTTGGTCTGACTCAACACGGTCAGCGATCACCTTGTAGTCTATCTTACCTGTAGCAGTCATTGGGAGTTGCGGGACGGCATAAATATATGTGGGGACCGCGAAACCAGGAACCACGGCGCGAATTGCCGCTCGCATTGCGGTGACGTCGGAAGAGGCAGTCTGGATCATACAGACCAAGTCTTCCCTCCGACGAGTGATGGCGACAGCATGAGCTTCTTTGCAGGCACCGAGAACCCGCGCTTCCAGATCCTCAAGGTCGATACGGAAGCCTTGTAGCTTGATCTGGCGATCGACACGGCCGAGAAAGATAATCTCCCCGGCCTCATTCCAGTATCCTCGATCTCCAGTGCGGTACATGTATTCACCTAACCCACTACAGATGGAGTCCGGAAGGAAGCGTTCGGCGTTGAGCTCAGGCCGCCCAATATAGCCCTGGGCAACCTGTACGCCGGCTAGATAAATCTCGCCAATCCGACCCACGGGAGCCAGCCGCTGACGGTGATCGAGAATATAAATACGGGTCGAGGGATTCGGCCCTCCGATTGTAACCGCCTGTCCTGCATGAAGTCTTTTAATCGTGGCGCCGCACGTCGCCTCCGTGGGCCCGTACATGTTATAAAGGACTGTGCGAGTGGCCCAGGTATTGCAAACGGCCTGAGGAACTGCCTCTCCCACGAGATAGACGGTTTTCAGCTGTGGGAGGTCGTCTGGATTTAAGACGGACGCAATGGACGGTGTGAGAATGGCAGAGTCCACCGTCTTCAAGTGTCCAAATGCCCCTCCCTCCGGTCGCAGAACAAGAGTCGCACCATAGGAGAGGGTAGAGAACAACTCGTGAATGCTTCCGTCGAAAGCTGTCGACATCACCTGGGCCAAACGTGTCCCAACAGCCATCCGCAAGCGGACCTCAAAGTCCCGTTGGAACGCAACAAGTCCTTGATGCGTACATATTACCCCCTTTGATTTCCCTGTAGATCCAGATGTGAAGCAGACATAGGCTCTTTCCCAAGGTCTCGGCTTAGCCCTCAGCGCAATGCCCGACGTGTCCGGGTCCGACTCCGGCTCAGATAATATCGATTCAATGTCAAGAGCGGATAAAGCAGTCCTGGGTTTACTTGAAATGGCCTCGCGAGTGGTTGCCAGAAAGAATCGCGCCGTAGACGTCTCAAACAGTGAGTCTCTGTACTGCTGGTGGTGTGCCCTGTCCAGCGGACAGTAGGTGCCCCCGGCACGCAGGACAGCGTAGGTTGAGATGATCCAATTAACGGAGCCATCTGCATGGACTGCAACAACCTCTTCGGGATTGATCCGGTCCCCCAGAATGCGAGCAATACGACCAGAAAGTCTCTCCAGGTCCGCGTAGCTGATCTGCTGATCTGCACGTTCAATCGCAATCGCAGACGGGTATTTTCTAACTGTACGCTCAAACAGCGTGACGAGATCATCCCTGATGGAGGGCTTCGTAGTTGCAGAAGAGTTGCAGTTTCCCATCGAGCGTAGGGCTGCAAGCGCCGGTGCAGACAAAAGCCCTGAAGTGCAGACATCGAGAGTGTTTTCCGTTTGGCAGAGAGAGATGAGCAACTGTTTGAGAGTTCTCCCAACGGTTTCCATACCACGGTGACTATAACGTTGACGGGAATATTGCAGCATGATGCTGCCATTATCTGTGACAATAACACTGAGAGGCAGATTCGTGGTCTGTTTCGCGAACGATCGATCCACGACAAATTCATCCTCGTCAGCTCGCCATTGAGCACTTGGCTGTATTGCTAGTAACTGTCCCCGTACACGCGAGAAGCCATTATCAGGCCCGGTCCACGAATACTGAACCAGACGTTGCATGCGGTTAAAGACATCTCGGACAAAATCTTGAGCGCTCAAGTCCCAAAGAATATCAACTTGGAGTGGTAATGTGCTCACGATCGGCCCCACCGTATCCAACATGCCTGGCAGGGGAATATTGCGGCCGGATACGACGGTGCCTATAATGACATTATCCGAATCTGTATACATCCCCAGACACAGGGCCCACGCGGCGTAAAAGAACGCGGTAGGGGTTACAGCGCACGCTCTCGCTGCAGCCTTGAGAGAGGTATAATGATTACCCAATGTGATACGGATTTCGTCTTGCTGGCCATCTCCAGCTTTCCCCTTTCCCACGACTGGAATGAGAAGCTCTTCTCGCCCTTCGGAAAGCTTGGCTTGCTGCTCGGCCCAGAAAGCGTCGCCCTCGGCTTTGTGAGTGAGCCTCCATTGGTTCAACGCTGTGGAAACGTCGGAAAATCGCGGCCCAGGTCGGACAGTTTCCCCCGAAGCGGCCTGATGGACCTTCTGTAGAACTAGTGATGCAGACCAGCCATCAATAAGGGCATGATGCACAGACCAAATCAGAGTGCTTCGACTGTCCGCATCTGATTGAGCCTGATAATGCACCACGGTGAATCTCACGTCAAGGTCGATTGCTGTGCTCGCGTTCGGCCATGGGCGAACTTCCATCTGGTCACCCGACAGGGCATCACGGTATGTTTTTGCTTTGGTGGTTGTGAACTCTCGCCAATAGAGCTTCGGAAGGATCGAGCAGCCGTCCTCTGGACTGCGGTATATAGTGCGAAAGATGGGTTCCATCTTTATAACTTGGCTCCAAGCGGCCTTCATTCGGGACGTCTGAGCAGGGAAGTATGTTTCGTAATAGGAAATGATGTTTGCGCCCGGTGTTTCCAGGCCGCCATGCATAAGGGAGATCTGGCTTGTCGAGAAATCTGTGATCTGATCCATCGTGGCCTCGCTGGGATTGCATAGGTCTTCCGTCTCAATCGATATTAGACTTAGATCATCCTCTAGTGGCATAGATCGCTTCTCAAGATTATCTTCTTGTTCTTGGAACAAATCAAAGGATACATCGCTGCTATGGATGTGAACTTCGGCCTCACTGGTATTGAACGAGTGCTCCGATCTTGATGAGACTACTTCGTACGAAGATCTTTCTGAGCCATCGTTGAGCATGAAAAGATGGTGGCTAGTCTCTTTCTCATTATCCTTTTGCTCTCCACCACCCTCACCGGGAGTATTCGATGGTGTTCTAACCCAAGATGCCTGCACGGTGGTCTCCGAGGAATCTGCTGCACGACATTGCTGAAGCAAGTGCTGTAAGGTACGGCTAGAAAGAACAGTATCAACTGGAATCAGAATGCCGTGCTGCTTGCATTCTGCTGAAAATCGCAGTGCCGTCATGGAGTCACCACCACAGCTTATGAAGCTAGCAGTTTGGTTCAGGGACTCTTGCGGGAGACCCAGCATAGAAGCCATGATTTTCAATGCCACCGATGCGGCCATGATATAGAAGGCAGTTTGAATACGAAGGATAAGTCAAGTTATGATAGAAAGAATAAATAAGAGAGAACATGCATAGAGTACCATTCCAACACTCTGACTAATATGGTCACTTCGCCTGATATAGCATACACTGGATTACCGAAACAAGATCTAAGGGCCTCTTTGCCCATGCAGTGTCAATGGGTTCAATCGGCATGCGGCTGAACTGAGCATCGGTGACCGTGGATCCCTCCTTACAGTGTCTTTGTTATGATTGATACTTGATCACTCCGAATTCGACAAATTTAAAAAAAAAAAAAACGGAATGATGAGTCGTATGTATCTTGTACAGTTGAGCGGGATAGGTCATAATACGCTTGGTCTGATTCCTGTGCTATAGAACCCTATATACTCTCTCCTCGATTGCTAAGATATTATGTTAGACAGGGGGCGTATCACGTTGCACCAGTCCATCTATTACCCACCTATCTATATTATATTAATAGTGGCATAAAGAAATTCTGTCCATCATTCATGTATTTCATATTGCTAAGCATACCTAAAATCACGATGGTACGTGGTTCAGTCGACAATAAAAGGGAGTCTGAACAAGAGCAAGGCTACTTGGACATGGCTTCAAAGCATAATTAAAACAGAAAGCAACCCGTCAACTACTTGGTGTTTTCCTCTTCTCTCTCCTCCTCGGCCAAATTCTCCAGTCTCCCATTCTTCTTCCACGTCCGGACTAGCTCAACAGTCTCCTCGCAGAGGCGCTTCGCAAGAGATCGATAACCAGCGATGACCTCCTGCTCAGCCTTACTGCCAGGTTCGGGAGAGTCCTCCCCCATGACCAACTCGTAGAAGAGCGTTAGATATGGGTCGAGCTCTTCCTCTTCTTGGGATGCTGATTCGCAGCCGTATCCTACCATCATTGTGGTTTTAGCGCCGCTCTCTCGTGTTGTTGCCAACAACTAGAGGTACAGTTTGGTCAGTGAGAATCCAAAGGAATTTGAAGTTATTGTCATCAGGGTACCACTTACATAGAGATTATCCTGGAGAAACACATCTTGGGTCATACGCTTTCCATTCTTCGCATGCACTCCACCGTCTCCGATCACGATCTCACGCACAAACTCGTTGCGCGTTCCACCCGCCAGTACAGTACAGTGCTGAACATGGGCTGCAAACTCTCCTGGGTGGCGAGTGCCGCGTTTGACTCCCTGCCAGAGCTCAGCTCGCGTCAGTCTCTCCTCGGGAGCGACCCCTCGGTTGGCAGCAGTAGTGTAGGCCACGTTGTAAGTAAAATTAGGCATTTTCGATCTTATTCAGGATTTCAGAGAATGGATTATTGCGCAAGGTTGTGTTTTGAACAGAATCCATGCCTCACTTGTACATCTAATACCGCATTCTTGTGTGGTTGTCTAGGGCTCGGTGGCCGTCGTACATCCCCGCTCTACTCCCCTTATCTAGAAGCGGGCCGATCTGAATGCCTTACGGCGATGAGGTAAAGGATTTCACTTAGTAAGGGCCCTCGGAGAAGGCGTTAATGTATTCAGTGCTCCAAAACCACGAAGGTCGCGTAAATAATAAGATGTCTAGCCCGTACTGTAAGCTGTAGTTTTCAAACGACAAAAGTCTCCGCAGAATCCGACAGTAAAAAACAGACGATTGCACTGGATTTATCTTCAAAAAAAGCTATACCTACCTACAGCGCATTTATCTCTTCGACTCTTATCGTCGATTTGAGAGGATGTGTTCCTCCGACAACGCCTTTGATCATGATCACATAGATTCAGAGTCAGTCTCGCTCATCCTCAAATCTTACTATATAAATATACTGAACAGCCTTTGCATGTCAGTCCAGGTCCGCTGTACCAGGAACCATGGGTCCGAAGGCTTCTTCAACAGATCCAGAATTTTCTCCAGGTTAACAGCGACTGGCTTGGGATTGATCCGTCACGGCCTCAGCGCGTCCTCGATTATGCCTGTGGGAATGGTACTATATCAAGCGTAAGTCCCCGTTTTCCCCCTTGTGCGAATGTTGACCTAACTGGCTTCTCAGGCCCTTCTGACTACCTTTCCAAACGCTACTTTTCAAGGCATCGATATCTCCACTTCTCAGGTCCGTCGTTTCAATGATGAAGCTACGAAGCTACTGGGTGAATCTCCAGACCGCATGTTTGCCATCCAAGGCGACCTCTACAATCCGCACCCTGTCTTGAACGAGGTACTATGGTCTGAATTTGACGTCTGTTTAATCAGCTTCGCTCTTCATCACACCAGAGACCCGGTGGACATTTTGACACGACTACAGCAGCGGGTTCGCACCAGGGGTACGGTTGTCGTTGTCGATTTCCTAAGACAACACTCCGGAGCTCATGACAGTCATACTGCTGAACAGCAAGAGGGCAGGGACCAGAAATACGATGCGGCAGATATGGTCAAGTTGCCCCAAGGGATGAAGATATGGCCGGGGTTCACTGTGCAGGACATTCATGCTGATATGACGAGTGCGGGTTGCGTTGACGTTGACGTGAGAGAGTGTCCAGAGCCAGTCGATGGACCTGAGGAGATACAAGGATATGGTAGAATATTTATCGCCAAAGCCACTGCTACTTAGTGGGGACTGTCTAGTAAGGGAAGAAAAGTGATGCCTTATTCATGCAATATATATTTACACAAGCATACTCCAACCACACCAAACCTCCCTATACTCTACCCATACCCAGATCTACTCAAATCATACCTCTATACCTAAAAGAAAACCAGCCCCCTAATACCCTTCTAAACCACCATCCTGACCCTCAACTTATCCGCCCCTCCACAGCCTCCCCCTCCCTCCCCCTTATCACCAACCTCTAAGGAAATCAGTGACGATGACGACGATGAACCAATCCGTGTAAACACACGTCGGCCAATCCATCTAACTGATACCCAAACGAGTACTGCAACCTCCAATTTCCCATTCGAGAGTGAATGTACAGCTATGAAAACAAGGATCAAGTTAGAGCGGCGCAAGAAGGCCAAACAAAGGTAGGACTTATATACGGGAGCTGTTTACTGGTCTCCAGAACCTCCTTAGGCCAGTGGGTATTTATCTATATCCTATATTATATGCGTTATGTGCATCCTACTACATCAGTTTGTTCCACCCAATAGTGCAGATAGGCTGGCCGTCGGGATGGGATTCGGGATCCCGAGGGGGTCCTCGTCCCGTTCCAAATTCCCATGGGATCCTGGGGGTGGTCCCGAATCCAGTCCCACTTCCCAATAGTGTATAATTTAAAAATAGGATTTCCCTAAGGTCGGGATATTCCCATTCCCTTCCCATCTATAAGTTCGATCCCGTTTCCTGTCCCATTCCTGAAGAGGTAATTCATTTAATCAGCAAGAACAACGTTTTATCTCTTTATCCTACAGCTCATCAACATGCATTATCATCATCATCTAATATTCAAAGTGGATTTGAAGCAACTAGTCTAATCGCTTCATACCCAAAGAGAGTACTCTGAAAGCTCTCTATCAAGTTAAAAACACCAACAGCTCCATCTTCTGCTCATAGTAATGAATCATTGGCCCAGGGAAGACACTGGGGATATGATATATACAGCTTGAGCAGTAGAAGAAGCGCATTCAACATCTCTGGATTAAAAAAGCAATTTATCACCCTCCATAATGATCCAGGCAATTGATAATATGATTAAGGGTGCAGAGAAGGATATGCAGGAAGCTATTCTAGTTAAACATCAGCTACATCAGTTCTATACAGCGCAGGGGAAGCAGAAGAACAGAAGAAAAAGAAGACATCTAGAAAGTTTATTCAAGATGGGGGTAGTCTTACTGGCTTTGAAGCCCAACAACAAATTGAGGAGCTGCAGCAGGAGAAGGAAATATCCAAGAAACAACGAAGGCCCCAAAAGTGTAGCAACTGTGGCCAAATTGGCCATAACCGGTTGAAATGTCCGAGTAAATAGCTTTAATTTCATTATTATCTCTTGATTTCATAATTATTCATGGTGGTTGGTGGTAATGTTGGCACAGGGGCTGTGTGCTTGAAAAGTGACACTCGGTGTCCGTTGACACTCGGTGTCCGATTACGTTAATTTCAATATAGTTACAGTAGTTAATATATTTCTTGGCGGGTTTTGTATTTAGGTTTTGCTCGACCAAGAACACGTTTACGGATTCTGACGAGGTCTAGAGCTTGTCGCAGCTTAGTTGGAGCACAAAGTCGTGGTTCCTGTTCCTAAACTTTGAGAAAATCGATGTGTAATATTAGGTTTAGGGCTTCCAACTAATTTCCAAAATAGTCAAAAAAACCTCAGTTTTCTACCTAATTTCTAAACTAGAGGACTTACACTATTGGGGTACCTTTCTCACAGCTGTTCCATAATACACCGCCCAATGGCTGGTCTAGTTTGTGCTCCAGTACATAGTTATGCTCTAAAATGTCTCACTATCCACACCCCCCCCCCCCAAGTGTTGGTCCCGGCGTCTTGATTTTCAGCGTTTCGGATCGTCACCCTGAATAGCTTCTTACTGGGTCATTAAGATCTGTGTTTGATTAGCCTTAAGTTAGGAGCTCAGCGGCTTAGTAGTTTACCAATCCGGTTTCTCTTTGTTCCTGCCTTTTGTGGGGTTTCGGCGTCTTCAGTTCGTCGCCTGCAGTCATCGAAGGCCACTTCATGCTCTACCCAAGCCATAAGTTATATACGGCCCGGTCCTCCCTTGAGGTTGATTTGAAGGATCAATTATTTCCAGCGCGATATTTCACTCCCTCCCTCTCTTTTACTACATATCAATCCACCTGCTGTCTCAATTTCTATAGCCCATAAAAAGATCGCACCTGCGAAGCAAGAATGACGATGGGAGACCCTGCTGTGAAGAGAGGTAACACATCTGCTATTTCTCTATGCAATAACCCTATAAACGATAAGAGGCAGGAAATCTCCTATACAGCATCTGTATTATCATCATATCGCCAATTACAAGATTTCATTGATGGGACTAAACATGTTATTCTTGATGGAGAGTCACTCAACCTGAGTTCCGTGTTCGCTGTTGCTCAGTATGACATCCCTCTTACACCTTTTATTGTGTGATGTTAATTAAAGTTTCTCATAGGCTCAATATCACTGCAACGATTACAGATAATGACTATCTTCTGCACAAAATGAGTCGGAGTGTGGATTTTCTCCATAGCAAACTTGCTGAGGGTGAGACTATTTACGGTGTCAACACCGGCTTTGGAGGAAGTGCAGATACCCGCACAAAAGACTATTCCAGCTTGCAAAAGGCTCTGATCCAACATCACAATACAGCAATATTGCTTCCTAGTGATCGAGGAATGAGATATTCTCTGTCATCGAGCCGGCAGCACCTAAGAAGCCATTCTATGCCAACTTCGCTTGTTAGAGCTGCTATGCTCACGAGATGTAATTCTCTGTTACGAGGTCATTCAGCCGTTCGGCTCCGGGTTATCCAGCACATCCTTACTCTCCTCACGAGTGGCATGACGCCCGTTGTTCCACTGCGGGGCAGCATTTCAGCCTCAGGAGACCTGACCCCCCTCGCCTATATTGCTGGTGCACTGGAAGGGAACCCCGATATCTCAATCCACAAGGCTGTGGATGACCGCTTTGTAACTGCAGACGTAGCTTTGGAAGAAGTCGGATTGGCACCGCTGGAGTTCGGGCCCAAGGAAGGCCTGGGGCTTCTGAATGGCACAGCATTCAGTGGAGGTGCAGCTAGTCTCGTGCTGTTCGAAGCCAATCAGCTAGTCCTTCTATCCCAAGTACTCACCGTCATGGGTACGGAGGCTCTTTTGGGTGCGAGGCAAAACTATCATCCGTTTATAGCGAACTCCCGGCCCCATTATGGGCAACGAGAAGCAGGGACCAATCTATTCAACCTCTTAGCTGACTCGAAACTCGTCGCCACACTAGCCCACGGGCGAAATGGCCCCTATGGCACAGGACTGGCCCAAGATCGATACTCCCTACGAACGGCAAGCCAATGGATTGGTCCGCAGCTTGAGAATATGGGCCTGTCTCTGGAACAGGTCGTATGTGAGCTTAACTCCACGACAGATAACCCTCTTGTGGATCCAGATGAGGAGCAGATCTATCACGGTGGTAACTTCCAAGCTGCATCAGTCACCTCGGCCATGGAAAAGACGATGAGCGCCATGCAGATGTTGGGAAAGATGATTTTCGCTCAATGCTCTGAGATTATCAACCCGGCATTGAGCAACGGCCTCCCGCCCAATCTCAGCCCCGATGATCCAAGCCTCTCCTTCGCATTCAAAGGTGTCGATATTAACATGGCATCATACATGTCCGAGCTGGCGTATCTCAACCACCCCGTCAGTAATTATGTCCAAACTGCCGAGATGAGCAATCAGGGATTGAATTCCCTGGCTCTTATCTCCTCTCGCTATGCAGCAGATACCGTTGAACTACTGTCCTTGATGGCCTCGACGTATCTGTATGTGCTTTGCCAGGCGCTGGATCTTCGGGCCCTTCACCGGGAGTTCGTCGACGATGTTCAAAAAAAGGTGGATAATATTACGGCTGCACTGTGCAGATCGGCTCTTGGGGACCGTTTGCCTGTGACGCAGAAGGCAGTCTGGGAAGAGCTGATGAGCCACTGGTCCCGAACAAGTTCTAGTGACCTTTTGGACCGTTGTGAAGCCACGGCGCGCTGCTCAGTTGGATTCCTCTTTAATGCTCTAAAAACAGGCGACAGTCCGTCCTGTAACGACTGGCTGATATGTCAAGATTGGGAGGTCAATATTTGCGAGACACTGAAGCAGACATACGCGATAACACGAAAGAGATTCCTGCACAAGCAAACCACCAAGACATATCTGTGTAGTGCGTCACGAAATTGCTATAAATTCGTCCGGGAGAGTCTCAATGTCCCGATGCACAAGGGCATTGTCGATCATCCTACATATCATTCAGGCGATACACATAAGAAGGAATGTATTGGATCACAAATTAGCAAAATTTACATGGCACTGAGGCAAGGCCAGGTTCGCGACGTGTTGCTTCGGTGCTGGTAAAGTTGGGACCTTACAGGAAGCATCTCCTGAACAATTTTTGTGACAGTCGCACGGTAGTAATTGTCTCCAGGCAAAACAGACAATTATTCCAATAATTAGTTAACTACAATTATCGGAATTGCCAGACTTACTGAGAACTGCTATCTAATCACAAATGATCGAATTTATACTGTGTTTTTCTTTACAAAGATTCAACAAATTCGATTGAACAGATTTTAGGTTCAACATCTACGACGTTTATATCTGACATATCCATAGATCAAATAGCAATAAGTGATATGGTATAAAATTTACAAATATTTCGGATATAATTTGTTGTTGTTTTCATGTATTTAGGAAATCAGGCCTTCATACTTTAGTATCATATTCATTTAGCTATTTTATTCCCCACTAAGAGTCCGTATGAATGCTTTAAAGGTGAGAAACTGCCAATACTCGGCCCATCGCCCCCGCACCGCTTCCGGTTTGGGGCCTCCCCGGCTCAACAGGATTTTGTGCTCAACGGGAAAAAGTCACAAAAAGTTCAATTATTTGACCAATTTAGCCACCACAACGGGGTCATCTAATATAACTACATCTTCCAACATTGGAGTAGGCACCATAGGATGCCTTTCCCTAGGTGAATTAACTGTAGGGCTACGTGGGGTGGTTTGGCACTGTGTAGGAACCTCTGTGCCTAAAGGCACCTTTGTTCTTTGCCTCCATTCTTTCTCAATCTCCTTTGCTATTCGGGCTCCAATTTAGCGATTGGCATCCTTAGTAAATAGGGTCCTTATATATTAACTCTCCGACGTGTCTTCTTAACCTTCTGAGGCTCCTTGGTGTGTAAAATGCGTGATATATCCTCCCCATGTTGAGCTGCAACCTCTGCCTATATCAGACTGTCTTGGAAAATTGACTCAGATGAGTGTATAGTTTGCTATGCTCCTCCTGTAGAACATCTAGTTTTCTCTGTGCTTTCTTAATACTATGCCGCAGTTTGGTAACTGTTTTAGGTGGTGAGGTAGCTGGAGAACTGGATAACAGTGGTGGTAGAGGGGTGGTGTTGTCAAAGATTTGAAGCTCTAGGGAAGGAGACTGGGCCTTTTGCAAAGGCCCTAATATAATCTCTGGTTTGAATGGATAAATGCCTGTATCCAAGAAGGAAGAGCGTATAGTACGCTGTTTAAATGTAGCTATTCTAATAGCATGAATCTCCCGGAGAAAGTCTCTGTTCTCCTTAACAGTTCCACCCCATTGTACAATTATATTGTTGTTCCGCCGGTGGTAATGCTTATAAACCTGGAAAGGTTTACCATCCAGTGGTTGTAGAAGATGTGTGCAATAAGGTGGGAAACTATAGGCAAGAATCTTATTGTCCTGGAAGTACTGTAGGAACTCAAGCGTAAGATAAGAGCCATGGTTATCCATAAGAAGCAGCCGCCAATCTCCAGAAGGTCGGTGTTTTGTTGATTTATTAAAAAAGCAAAGCCAGTCATAGGTAATTGAATCATTAGTCCATTAATTAGGTGTGGGCGCAATTCGATAGTCATCTGGAAGTGTAGGTTGTTGATAATACCATGCCTCCATATGCCATTGACCTTTTAGAATGGAAGTATGGGCTTATTACCCAACCATTTACAGCAATACACTCAATTGTAGTCACTGTTTCTCCTGATCCCCCAGTTGCTATATGTGCTGATTTATAGCGATTAGTAGTACCCACATTCTGTGCGTTTCCTTGACCCAACTGGAAACCACTTTCATCGAAGTTATAAATATTGGCTGGACGGATTTTATACTGGCGAATTACAATCTCCAAACAGTCATACCAAGCCTGAGGGGTCCCAATATCCTCTGCCTTAACTCGCTTATTATCCATGGGTTTTTGTTTTAAAAAATTGAATTGTGGAGGGAGGCGTTTAATAAAGCGATAGACCCAAGTATGGCCAACGGTAAGCTCCTTTTTACTCCGAGAAAGGATTTTATTAGCACACTGTTCAATCATTTGTGGAGTAGGTGAAGCATTGGCATTATCAAGCAGACTAGTCCATTGAATTAAGGCCTCCTCCTGGGCACCATCAAGCACTTTATTAGTGCTTGGGCGAGTTGACCGAGAATTTCTCCCCTGAATTCTAGCGTTTATATAGCACATCAAATTCACGCGACAATGGTGCGATTTTCGCGTTTTTTCTACTGGCATAGGCTGTGCAGGTCTACTTAATGCGATTTTCCATTTCAATATATTTCGAAGCCATAATGTGGTTGTAAAATTGATGAAATAAATGAGGAACTGGATGACCTTTTCCCGTTGAGCCCAAAATCCTGTTGAGCCGGGGAGGCCCCAAACCGGAAGCGGTGTGGGGGCGATGGGCCGAGTAGCAGTAATACAGTAAAACACGGATATAAGCAACACCTAATATAAGAAAATCTCCAATATGAGCAACGGGACACGGTGTCCAAATTGATTTTACATATAAATATGCTTATATTCGAGTCACAAAATTGCTTATTCAGACCCCACGCATTCCACTTCAAAATGGTCAAGAGGTCGCGATGTGCTATTTTAAACAGCCAGAAGGCTGCCCTTCGAGCTTAATACAATCTAAAGCCTTATCTCTCACTAGCGGAGCTTTCTAGGTGGTTTTAAGAGACATATAAGCAGCCGATTGACCGCTCCTTGATTAGCCGGATTCTTTTCTCCCAGTTTGCCTTCCTTGACGATATTAAAGCGTATCAAGCAGAAGATAAGCGACGCTGTACAGAATCCTGGCCAGAGCTGGAAAAGGCATTGTTTGGCTGGATAAAACAGGCTGAGGGAAAGATAATAATATCCCAGGAGGTTATTCGTCAAAAAGGGAGGGAGTTCTAGTCGGAGATCTATCCAGAAAAAAAGATGCCTTAGTTTAGTAATGGCTGGCTTCGTGGCTTCCAATCACGCAGGAATATTAAGCAGAGAAGTCTATTTGGTGAAGCTGGAAGTCTATCTAAAAATGCAGCTAGTAAAATAGTCTTAATCCAGCGCTTCCTTAATATATACGCGCCTCAAGATATCTTTAACTGCGATAAGACAGGTCTATATTGGAAAATAATCCCAGACTGGAGTTTATCTACATGCTAAATTCCTGGCCGCAAGAAAAAAAGGCCCGAATAACTGCACATTTTTGTTGCAATTTAGATGCTTCAGAACTCCTTCCTATCTAGATTATTGGGACAGCTAAACAGCCAAAATCCTTTGCTGCAGCTGGTATAAATATTAAGAATCTTGGCTGCTATTGGCGCTATAATAAAAAGGCGTGGATAACTGGTGATATATTTAAGAAATGGCTTCTTTGGTTTGATAAGAAAATGCAAGGCTGAAAAGTTGCTTTTTTAATAAACAATTTTTCTGCTTATAAGGCTGCATTTAAGGAGATAAACCAACAACTACAGATAAGTAGTTATATGGCTTCCAGCCTGTAAATAAGATATTAGCCTTGACCAAGGGATTATCCTACATGGAAGGCATATTGAAAAAACAATAGGTTTTATATTTAATACTTAATATAACTTGGTTTTATCCACTGTCTACTATAACTTTTTGCAAGCAATTATGGGCAATTTCTGCCTGGGAACTTGATCTATTTAAAATACAGTAGAAACTGCTTTAAAAGGCTCTTTCTTTAAAGATAGTAATAGTTATTAATAAGAACTTATAATAAGATAAAGCAAGGACTTAAAGTTAAGCTCTCAAAAGTATCCGTGATATTATGATATTAATCAGTTTTTGAATCCTCAGACGAGCAGGTTATATAGTCTTATAACATTATTCTGAGTTTTAAGTAGTTTGCACCGGCGAAGCTGTGGATAGTAATAAGGATAGGGATTACAGCCTCTACCAATAATTAAGCTACAGAGGTATTAGAGGGCTTAATAAATTGCTCCTTTATCAGGAACAGCAGGTTATGAGATAAGGACCTTATCCGGTTCTTATACCAGGAAAGGCTCCTTCTACAGATAAAAGCTCAAGCACAGTGCCAGGCTGATATCCGGTCATTCTTTACCTGACCATGCAGTATATGCCTTGTATCTAATAAATAATTATATTGATCAATATAAGCGTTCTTCCATTCAGTATGGTGCAGTAGAGTAATATGGATCTATCTATCTATCTATCTATCTATCTATATATATCCACTTTTCCAATATAAGCAAAATCCTAATATAAGCAAATTTAGAGCCGAGCCGCTTTCGTTCCTTATATCCGTGTTTTACTATATTCATACTCAGATCTCTCAGCTCTACGCCGATTGCCGGAACAGGTCACGGTCTAGCGGCCGGGCCCACCGCCAGGGTAGTTAGATACAGGTATGTGATCAAGCCATAGGATGAGAAAATTCAAGTCCAACCTCGCCCCTAGCCTTGACCACCATATCCAGCCGCTCTGCATTTCATCACTAACAATCACCTCGTCCGCGTACACTGTTACTCCGCCTAACTCGCTGGTCGTTGGTTCGTGTCATACCTGTGCATCGTGTTGCTGCAACCCCAAAGGATTAGAGGTGTGAAGGTCTCGTTTTGAGTAAAATTCTGGTTGCATATCGGAGGCGTGCAGCTACCGGTTATGTGGCGCGATAATGGTGTCTTTCAAACTCCTAAATTGGCAGAGGAATCGTGTCTGTAGCATAAATTGCCAATTGTGCCAAGCCAGCGGCAGCTGACATGACGTCTAGATACCACCGGTATTCAGGACAGCGCGGGATCATGATCAATATTGGTTCTGCGTGTGGTTGAGTGTGTGTTATGGATAACTGTCAGATATACCACTACACCACAAAAAGAGAGCTGTTTCAATTTGCATGTAATAATCTGCCGTATTCAAGAATTCGCCCAGCCATCAAAATTCGCGCAAGTTAAACGTATAGCGAATTTAAACCATTTCACCGCGTTTCGACCAAAGGCGCATTCGATGACCAGATCGTCATCTAGCCCTGCATACTATATAGCAAGGTTAGGCCCGTGACAATTGTCGTTGAACACTATAGAAACCTAATACAATCGATCTTTATGATTGATTTAAAGACAACTGAAACATGGAACCAACCAACTGATTAATGAAAGGGGTTGTCAACTGCGAAGGAAGACCTCTCTATTGTGTCTGCCAAAACGGGGCAAAAAAACAAGGGCGTGCTAACCGATCCGTTTTCTGCTATTACTTTCCGCCTCTTCACATGTCCACTAATCTACCTTCTGCCTTATTCTACCGCTTCCTGACCTTTGGTCTGTACGGGCCAGACCGCATTCCATACCATTTTTGGAATTCTGGTCTAATACTCTTTAGGAAAGACATGCGTAGATAAATAGCGCTATTCCCAAAGAAGTTTAACAGAGTCCTCTTCCGCCAATAGGTTCTGTAATTATCCCAGATTGTTTTGAGCTTTAACCGTGGGCTTCGTGGTCAGCAAGTGAACCTCCGACGTCAGGAGAATTTCTTCAAGATTTAACATGAGCTGAACCGCCTCTACCATCTACGATACGATGTCTCCCATGTGACTTCTTAGATTGCCCAAATTCTCTGGCTGTTTGGATCGTCTATCCCACTCGCCGACGTCCGTACTCCCGAGGAAAGGCCATAGTTGATCGATCTCCGGCTATCACTGTACTTCCAGCTTGCTGGACTAATCGACTCTTCCATGGCCACAGGTTATATGGTGCTAGATGTATTGCTGCCCCATGACCTCTCTAAATGCAAACTTGAGGCTACTGAGAACCCCACTCTACCTGGCCAGAGCTTCCCACAATCCCGCCCTCTCGCTTTCAATCCATTTCGGGCGAGATAGAGGACGCAAGGGCACTACCACTGGTTTCAAACACGGAGGGTCCTTTGTTTGATACCGCCACATTTGGGCGTGATGCCATGAACACACTGCTTGAGCCAGATCTGGCAATATATATCCCTCCCTGATTTACATAAATGGGACATCCGAGAATGTTCATGATCGCTCACTATCTGCGAGTAAACTGAACCCACTGGATGCGTTGTGGGGTGAGATGGCATTATTTGGAGAATAACATACGGTGATACGTGACAGAAGCAGTATCTAGAAACCCCTCGGGTTGACTACGGTTTTATGTGCAAATGAATATAGTTTTAAATATATGAAAGAGGGTGGGGAAGGTATTAAGAAGCCTTTGGAAATATGACACTCTCTGGCAGAAGATGGAGAATTTCTCAAGATACACACATAAGACGACTTCCCAGATGATGCTACAACCCAGCATGTCGGAGATATTAGGTTCAACTGCTGCCAAACTAGTGAGATGACCCCAATTTCATTCGGGTGTAAATCCATCGCAATCATCTATTTATATCAGCTCGACCCCCGGTCCAACGCCCCGCACTCAGATGGGAACAATATCTCCCTAACATCCAGAAGGGTACTGAGGGCGGATCCCATCCAGTATTTCACACCAAATTTAGAACAAGAAGTTGGGGCTAGGTATTGGATCTAATATGTATATTAATGTCGTATGGACTCGTATTCAACTCGCTAGCTTGATTAATATGGGTCCGAATTTTGAATACGAATAGCAATTCCAACCCTTTTTCAAATTGCCGATCTATGTCAGATCGTCGAGAAAATGGTTGGAAACTGATATAATTGACTGAGATAGGCATAAAAATATAAATACTTTCAAAAGAATACTCTCTGTTCCTTACTTTCAAAATATCTCAGCTCTGTCCCTATCTTCCTATTTACAAATATATTGGCTCATCATGTCCGCGTATGACGGCTTCGTTCCTGTTCTCGTCCATATCACAGATGACACAGACGTTCACGAGGTCGCCTTGATCGACGAAAATATTGGATCTTTCCAGCAACTTGCAAGCTTCTTATACCAAACACTCCGGCCCAGGATTCCGGATTTCTATTTGCCCAACGGAGAAAGGAGAATCACCGAAATCTTCGTGGTTTGGCAACCTTCAGATATTTTCCCGATGGAAACTGCAGTTGTGGATGGAAACATTAGAGCTGTCCTTAGACTGCTTGCAGCACGCCGAGGAGTCGATACTATTCGTGTATGGCTTGAAGAAGTTTAGACTAGAATGGAGGTATTATGAGGAAAACCGGATTTATAGGGCTCTACTAACTGTAATCTAGAGTTCGAGTTCCTATTCTGAGCCGGGTCAGGCTAAAGATGGCGTTTTGACAATCCGAGAAGTGCTTCCCCAGATCTGGAAGGCAATTTAAATCTTGAAAGTTCAGAAAGAGAAATTCTAGTTTCTTGTCTACTTATCGACTGCAGCTCAGCTATTAGAGGTCTAATGGATCCAGGACCTCAGAAACACTTCGAACGATACAGAAAAATGATCAATAGAGATGTTAGTTAAGATAGTAAAGATACGCCCTAATGGTTACATACATAGCTGGATTGCCGTTTGAATGGGTACAAGGCACAATGGGATGGCTTAGGCCTTGTATTACACGGGCTCCTAGATTTACACACGGAATCGAAATTAGCATCCTTCCACGTCCTTTTAATATTTTTTCATCAGAAAATCTCGGATGTGCTTACTTAGGTATAGCCTTCCTGTGCACCTTTCTTGATAGAATAACAAAGAGAAAGAGTATAAGATAGACTTGACATTCAGAGAATGAGACTAGTAACGAAATACAAATCTAGGGCGCAAAATATGAAGAAATATCCTTGTAGTTGCCTCCTACAATACCGAACACTAAGTGCTGGTACGTCCTTCTCCGCAATCGTAGAGAAAATTGGGGTACGAAGTCCTATATCCGTAAGTGACTGCTCTAGTAAACAAATGTAATTCCATGGAATTGTTCTTTTCATATATAAATTCGGCTGCTATTTTAATTGCCCTCCCGAGTTCCATACTGATATTCGAAAAGTGCTCTGTAGATGAGTCAGCTTCAGCCGATGCTGGATCTTAAAAAGCACCTTGAGGCCGTCATTTACTGCATGAGTCATTCCAAATTGCAGTATTCGGGAGTGTAATCAATTTAACTTGTGGATAATATTCTGGTTTTGAAGATGGTAGACAGCCATCGTTTGCGCTACAGTGCCTCTAACAAAGTAACTATTACTTCCAATCAACTCTAGACACGGAGAGGTGTCCGTTAAGGGTAGACCCATGTTAGGGTATAGAGATATGACTGTGTTACATACCATGATATCTCTCGGCCACGGGCGAAAGATAATGCATTTCTTGTAGAAGCTAGCTATAATTTGTAGACAGAGCATACTAATATTCTCCACCCAATGGTTGGCCTAATATCCTAGTATAGAAGCTAAAAGAGACAAAAATCTTCAATGCGTCAGGGAAGATCAGGGTATTGCAGATATTTTCTGTAGGGCTGTTCACGATCTTGCGATCCTGACGATCTTGGCAATAATTATCGCCACCCCCTGGTTTACGCGATACTATATCTCTAGATCGCGATTCGCCAAACTTTCCTAATTAAGACCAGCTAATTACTCTGGAATAGTTAATTATCTAGAAGTATTTGTAAAGGACTGAAGCCTGTTTAGTCGCTCTTCGGGCAAGGAGTCGTTATCATGATCATCGTTAAGAGCCAGATAATCATGTCGTATATAAAGCGTTATCATTATATCATTATTAGGGAATGTCATGATAGATAATAATTAAATCTATGAAAATATTTGCTGCAAAAGTATGAATACAGAGAAAAAAAGAAAGGCTGATGTCACGTGACTTAGAACCATTTGATGGCCTGCGATGATCCGCTGTGCGATCCGTGATAATTATCGCTGACCTTGGGCTTACGCGATGCGATCCGCGATCTGCAAATCATAGCGATATTGCATCATGAACAGCCCTAATTATTTAGCATGATTGTGCATAATCACTAGTTCTATACTCATACTGGAAAAGATACATATTACATGTTACATTACCCATGTGCATGCCCTCTGAAGCACCCCATTTACTATACTTTAGGCAGGTGTTTGATTCCTTTTTCTGCGAGTTTTGTTTGCCATGTGGAATACCAATAGCCGCCATTCTGAATCACTGAGCTCATCACTGGCTTCGATCACAAGATATGTTCATTTCAGGGGGTCCAGTTTTCCCTTTATCCAATGGCACCGACATCTCTATGTCGGAAATATCCGCTGTATTTACTAAGAGTGGGGCCATGTGCAGGATATGGTCAAGATCATGAAATGATGCTGCTAAATGCACCTGAAAATTGAATACAGATAGGTAGTTACTCGATTCTTGTTGTGAAAACCTCGATACGGTCCACGGTGCACAGGGGAAATGGGGAATAGGGCAGGAGAAGCTATACCAGCTACACGCACGTAGCCTACTAAGGAGCGTATATATTCAACGTCTCATCTAGATGCCACACCCTTCTTCTCTTAACTGGGATAGAGGATTCGGGGGTTGACACCATTGTGCGTAGCCAAGGCGCTAGGAAGGAATCGGTCCGAATACCACTTCAACAATTCTCTTTGCTAGAGACGGAGAAACCTGATACGGGTTCTGGGCTGAGTCGGGAGCTGCCTTACTACTCCACCGGGGCCCAATTTTTGTTCCTTGCAAATCCCGACGCTCGCTTCTGGGTCACCGATACTGATGCAATAAGGGATTAAGCAGGAGAATGATGCAACTCACTTCGTGGGCAACTGCTCCAAACGGTCTACACTATTTAGAACATAGGCCATGGAAATTTTTAACAATGGGCTCTCTGTTCCTCCATTCCTCATGGCTCCAACTGACGCCAGGATATCTGTGATTATATATACGACCGATCATGGCCATTGCATTATGCATAGTCTGCCCATCACGACCGTCACATCGTTGCCTTCTCGACGCACGCGGCCCTCTTTCCATTCCTCACTTTCGAGTAACTACTCCCCTGGAGGTCAAGATGGTAGACTTCTCAAGGTGGATCAACAAAATCACAGGATCTATTTATTAAGGTAAGTTAGAACAGGTACTCTAGAAGGAAGTAGGGGTAAGTTATTAGTACTACTAGTAGCGGTGTTAATTATTACTGGGGAACAGATACAGCCACATGTCTGTCCCTCCTGCTACCTCCCTGTGTACTTATTTTGGTTCACCCTTTCCTAAAACAGTCTAGCTCAACAACCTAGTCCAGTGATTACTAACCTTTTTAGGCAAGTCCTGCAGATGGTGCCAAGCTGGTAGGTGATGAATAAGAAGGCATGTGATTTATTCTCTAAACTTGAGCTGTAACCTGAAACTTTGATTTGTTTAGGAAAGACTAATCTAAAATAGGAAGGTAGGGGGTGTGGCAGACAGAGGTGTGGCTGTATCAGCTCCCCTTTATTAAGAAGATTTAGAAATACACCTTATAGTAAGGTGATCTCAATAGAATACACTACCTCCGCCCGACAAATACCAAAAACAACTTCTCACTAACAAGCACATGCAACGAATCAAGTAGCGCGATAATTGAGGAAACTCCTGATGGTGATGATAACGTGTGGGTTCTGGACTCCAAGGTGCTTTGACACTAAAAGTGACGAGGCATGGTATTAGAGTATATTAAAAAGGGAGTCTGGAAACTCTTATCCGCGAGGGAAGAACATTTTGTTATTTTTGGGGGGTAGAGACTTATATACATAAATCGGATAAAGAATAGTCATATCTTACTAAGACTAAGAACAACATATTAGTGGATGCATTTATGAATGAACGGCGTACAATCCCAACATTGGGTTCGGAGTGGGAAAGCTTAAAATACTTTACCAGGTAGCAGGTTGAGACGTTCCATGTATCGTCCTCCGGGGCTCCCGTACTCCTCAGTAGGAAGATGTATGAACCATAGGGCAGACTATCGTTTTTAATGGTTCGCTTAGAGCCTTGGGTGGATAATTGCAGATGGTGAGGCACGGTCTCGTTTTCCCTCCAGATGAAACGCCGGCTTCAGGTACTCGAACCTTATTACTTGTAATCCCGAGCATAGAATGGGTTAGTTCGCGTGAAAAAAGACAGGGTAAATGTGGCACTCTGATGTATGAGAAAAGGCACTAGGAGATCTACTTTTGAGGTTTATGTTCACTAATCAGCAAATATACAGAGTATAAAGACCGGAACGTCCCCCACATCTGCTCTTATTCGAGCACATTTAGAAGCACGTCGATTATTTAATATTTATCTCAATTCACTTTTGTATCCACCTTGAGCACATTTTCTTATCGTCACGATGCAACTCCTCCTCGCAATTGGTGCCTTTGCACTGGCTCCCATTATCTTGGCCGCCCCGGTAGCAGACAAAGGTATGGCTGGAAGCCCTTATTTACATTTATGTTGGTATACTAACCATCCCAATTCATGTATAGCTGTCGACAAAAGGCAATTGACAAACGCCCTCCTTCCCGAGGATCACTCAAAATATGTGGATAATCAGAACTCGGGGCCTCTCGGCAATATTGGCGCTACCCTCATGATTGGATTCGATCATGCCAAATACACCGTCGACCCTCCCAGTGCCGCCAACGAGTTTCCACCGGATCAGTTCTCTGAGGGTCGCGATGCCCATCGGAAAGCCCATTTGGCCATCTATGAAGCAAGCCAGGGTGGGGGGAGCAATCAGAACAACCAGGCCAACTGAGCTGGACATATGGATATTAAATGGCTACATATATTGGCCATTATTATCCCACCCAGTTAACTACTTCTGACCGCTAGCTATGTTAGAATAATCTCTCTATGTGGCCAGAATTGTTGTGTTTTAGTCCGTCCTTTTCTAACTGGGTACACTATATATTGCGAACAGTTTAAGGTGAAACCTAATACCTAATAATATTGTTTGACGTTGTCAGATGCACCATTCTAAGCTCCTAGAATATACATCATCAGCTATTCTCTATTACTTTAGTCAATCTGAGTCCAGCGCGATCAAGACCCGACATGGAATATAAGCATGTTCGCATTTAACCATCTTTTATTTTTTTTCTAGTTGCATCAGCTATTTATGGAGAAATGTTACCTACTAATTTCATACGTGTTTTATAGTGTTTCCGAACACCTTAAAAAAGCCAAGTCTATCTAAAGAAGATACAGCTCTATATTGGACGCGCTTCATCTTTATCCCATTAACAGTAGCGTAAATAGGACGTTTCTATCTGTTGTGGTTCAGAGAAAGATTGATTGTTGTATTCTCATTTGAAAACTTGAGGGTTTATATACATAGTGAACACCAGATTGATTTTCAATTAATTAGGTTCTAGAATCTACTGTGAAACTCTTCTATCAGGTCGAGCCTTGATTCACAACAAAACAAAGCACAAAACCACAATGGCCGAAGAAGGCTGGACGGTCACCTGGTCGCGTGCCTCAGAAGAACTGCTTACAAAATGGAAATTATTTCTCGACCACACAAAAAATTCCAACACACCCGGCGAGCCTCAACCGCCATTAGAAAAGATCCTCTGCGGAGCAATCATGAGCGAAGACTACGATCTCATCCGAGCCTGCATCTCGCACGGGGCCAAGCTAGATGGCTGGGTATACGTTGCCGCACGCCGGGCCTTGACGTTGGAACTGCTGCAGATTCTCATCCCCGCCGGATTCGATGTGAATTACAAAGAAGATCGATATTGTTGTGAATCTATAGTAGGTCAGAGGAATTGGCATTGAATAGAGAGAACTAAGCCATTGAATTGGATGAGCGGACTTAGTTAGTACACAGGAATTTCGTCTGTGGGAAGACATATATAGGCGAGGACTTCGCCGATCATTCGGGTAAGTTAATCCTTCGGGCCGTTCCCATATTCATAACAGATATGGCGGCTATGTTGCCGCGACGGCTAGTAATTAGCGGTAATCTAGAAGAGACCAAGTACCTGGAGCATGGGGCGGACCCAAATATCAACCCCATCGCGGATCTCTATCCCGCACTAAACTTGGCGGTGCAGAATAATAATGCCGAGATTGTCGAGTTGCTGATTCAGTATGGTGCCAAGGTGAATGGATTGGGGGTGTTAGGGACAGTAGCAGGGTACCGACAATTTTAGATAATGGAGTGTTTGTTTCGTCATGGAGCCGATGTGAATAATGATGCGAAGGACCGGATTAAGGAATATGTTAAATATATTAAGGGTGTGACTACGTTGCATTAGGCAGCTAAGGCAGGACATGTCAATATAGTGGCCTTTTTGATTAAACAGAGGGCAAAGGCTGATCTAAGGGATAAGGAGGGACGGACGCCCTGCATGGTTGCCTAGGAGAATGGTCATTAGGAAGTGGTAGAGTTTTTAAGTAAGCTTTAAGGATAGATACTTATCTGCTAGGCTGGTTCATGGTTTTCTTTTCTTTTCCTTTTGTTGAAGAAATGGTGTTCGGATAGCGCCTTCGCTACGTACAACATTGTCGATTCCCAAATCCTCTATCCCAGTTGATGAACAACATAGTGAATTATCTAGATAATACGTTGAATATATATCTAGTTGAATATATACGCTCTTTAGTAGGCTACGCGCGCGTAGCTGGTATAGCTTCTCCTGTCCTATTCCCCATTTCCCCAGTGCACTGTGGACCGTATCGAGGTTTTCACAACACTTTTCTTTTCTTTTCTTTTCTTTTGACTGGTTGCGTAAAAGTGAATAATAGTTTTTCTACAAGCTCACGGACCCCATTTAGCTGCTACTACTGGTGGGTACCAACCATAAAAGCACATTCTGAACGCTTGTCAGGCAACAGCCGTCTACCAAAGCAACAACACAAGGCAAGCGACTTGGAGTAGCGGCAAACGAGGCCAGTGGTAAATAATTAATAGGCTGGAATAATATTTTTTTAGTGCTAAGACCCATGCAAGGCTGTCCTAGCGCGCTGCACAGCTTACTGGGAAAACAACACTACAAGGACCATAATCCTGTGTACTGAATGGTATGAAATTAATACCTTTTAATAAATAAAGTAGTGCTATTAGGCTATACACAGACCCTTGCCATAGAAAATAATAAACAAGAGGCCTTCCTGTATATAAAAGTGTTTTGTTGTAAAGTATCAGAGAAGCCGGCGCCCCTAAAATCTCCTGGGATTATTCCTATCGTTCATGGGGCCCGCACTATTTGGTGCCACCAAGAGATCATCATTCTACCTGCCTCTGACAGCCGTCTATGGCCGATGGTGTGGTGCTATCGCAGGGCCTCCACGGGAGGTTGGAGAGCGTCCGTGCATTTTTTAATATACCTGGACTCGTCGGATTCACCAAGAGGATCGGCTTTTTCTGGGAGCGTCATTAGGTGGCTATGATTTTAACCCTGAGCAGACTGGTACCTGGGAGAAGGAGATGAAAATGGGGCGATTTATCCCTGTCAGGCCTTGGTTGGAAACAGTAATATTGTTATTTGTAACTATATATATTAACCACCACTACTACCGTCTTGGGGTTGTTTTGTACTTTGGTGTGGTACATCGGACCCTGGCAGCGAATGTGACTACACTACAGCCTTAATGTAAAACTATTATTAGCGTGCCGTGCTGTTTTTATTGCCTGTCGAAGATGGGATTTATCTGTCGATCCCAATAAATTTGTTAGCATCACACTCGCTGATGGGGCAAATATCTGCTCAAGGCAGACAAGAAACGGGATACTCCTGCTCAGGCCCATAGGTATAGCAAGGAATTTCTAATCTACGTAAAGACTAGTAGATCATCTCCTGCCGAATGTCGTAATAGCAGGGGAACCCCCGGACACTCGACACCAGCACAATTGCGGCACAACAGTCCTGCAGCGGTGAATCGGTGATTGGCAAGGCAATCCATATAATATACTACAGCAGGGACTGCCACCCGTCTACAAAGCGCTTAAAAATTCACCAACAACAAGTGACAGATGTGGATTGGCCGGTGTCAGTTAGGTCGAGCATGAAGGGGAACTAGAAAGAGGGGAAAGGCTGTGCTTGGCAGGCAACAAGCCATTGATTACACAGTACAAGGATGTTGTGGGATATCCACCCAATTGCTGCTGTGCCACCAGCAACTAAGAACTGATCTCACTTAATTGATCCAAGCTTCCGGGTGGGCCAGACCCACAGAGATCGCGGTTGATCATGCGGGGTTGGTTATCATCTTCATAACCGAGGGTTTACCGCGGTTAACCTCGATTAGTTCTGAATTATATGCGATCCCTCCTTCCTCTCCATATTGCTCCCTATCCTACTTCATCGCTCCTAAGCTATAGAGCCTCCATCAGCTGGTTACTGACCCTTACGCTAACAATTAACAGTTATTAAACTGTTTTATTATGGAGCAAACAGTAGACTGTCTGTAAATACATTTTTTCTAAATGTGGTCTACTACCCCTCTTGACTGCTATGTAGACCTGCTATACACTAATAATTAATCCCCAAGCGCAATTTTCCTAACCGGAACAATGTAACATCGATTAATAGTACACTTATTACTCTACCTGGCCAGGAATAGTATCCCTGCTTGACACCAGTAGAAGCCATGCTCCACACTGAGTCCATTGCTTCGCGCAGAACACTCTTGGTCTCGTCCTCCACCGAACGCCGCTGCCGTTTGTTAGAAGGACCCAAATAAACGTCATCGGGTGCAGGCCGCCTGCTTCCACGCCGCAATATTGATTATAAATATGAGGGGCAAGGGCACGACTGAGACACAGTGAAGGCACGGCTAGCACGGTAGACAGTCGCTAGAGAAATACTAGTCTCTGGTACAATTTGCCAGGGGTATATAACCACTGAGCAAATAATATCTATGCAGATCACACCCAACCAAAAATAAGGCATCGCCAATAAAATCATACTCATGTTAAACAACCGAGCATATGTTATTCGCCCAGCACTTTTGTTAAACCTCCCCAGAGAATCGCGAAATAACTACTTAAACCAGGTAGAGATACCATCTCGGGGCAAGTGACTCAGATTTATTACAGACGCTAATGTATATTCTGCATCCCCACTTACTCTCTGGCAAAGACATCCGGGGATGATCAACCAATGCTACAAAGTAGATCGATACATAGTAGATGATTTATAAGGCGGGGCGCTCAGCCACAAATATTTCAAGTCAAGCTAGAACGGCGCAAACTCGGGAGACCGAGCTTGTCATACAAGTCGCAAAATCCAAGCAATCCCACCTCAATAAAGTTAATCCCTTCAGCATCCGGGTTAGTGTGTGATCACTCTCACTGGCAGAGGCGATTTCAGCCAAACAGCATATGTGTCCTGATCCTCCCACCTTCCCAGACTCTCAGGGCCCTGTGGCAGGTCAAGGTCAAAATGGTAGAGAAGATGGCCTAGTATAAGAACAATTTCCATTTGTGCCAGATTCTGTCCAATACAGTCCCGCGGGCCTTGCAAGAATGGTTGTGTCGCAAGTCGCTGGTCGTTTGCGAAGCGACCTTTCTCCGAATTCAGCCACCGTTCTAAATGGAAACGGGAGGAATCGGTATAGTTTCTGGGGGATACATTGGCAGCCCATTGCATGTATGAGACTACTGTCTACAGGCTACGTTAGTCTCCCATCTGGATACGGCAGGGGCCTCTACTTACACCCTCAGGGAAATACTCCCCACCGATGGTGTGTCCCCCAGCGGGAACGAGTCTTGTAAGTCCTAAGGGTACGGGAGAGGTTAGTCGTATGCCCTCCTTAATAGCTGCATGCAAGAGAGGCAGCTTTAATAGTTTCCTTGCATCCATATCCTCCGTCGTTGTGAAGCTGCTGCGGATCTCTGCCGTTACACGCGCCAGAGCTTCGGGGTATTGTAGTAAATGGAACATGATACCAGTTATGGCAGTCTGAAGTGTATGGCTCCCTGCAACAATCAAGGTGGATGCATTGACCTCCATTTCACCATCCGTGAGCTCATGCTTTGTCTTCTGAAGGTGGGATAGGAAGTCTGGCCGGTCGACCGATATGCGCAAGCGTTGCTGAACCTTCTCGCGGGTGATTGCCTGATGCTTTGCCACGAGTACTTGGGCGGATTTCGGCATCCTCTTGACCAGAAAATTGAAGAGCCAGGGATAGAAGCGGCATGCCGCGAGTTGTACTTTGCCTTTTAAGGAGTAGACTAGCATTCCGACCCATTCGTGGTACCGATCGTGGTCGAGACATCCAAAGTCCTCTCCAAAGCTTAGCGAGCAGATGATATCAAATGTGCAGTAGCTAATCCAGTTCTGAAGGTCCACGACACCGCCTGCGCGGGATCTCACCTGCGAGATCATTTTGCGAACGTACGAGGTGACCAACGGCTCCTGCGCGGCCAGGGCCTGGCTACTAAACGAGGCAGCATAAGCTTTGCGCAGCCGCGTATGGTCTGCATCGCCGGCATCGAGGATGCTGATGGGCTCTCTGGGCCGCGGTGGCGGTTGGCGTGTTGGGTCCTTGGGAATAGATTTGTAGTGCGAGTTCGGTCGACGGTTGTAGATATCCTTGATGCATGCGGGGTTGATAAATGACACCTCATTAGGAGCTACGCGGACGGTGTCGCCATAGACCTCGTGAAAGGATTTGATCTTATGAGCAAGCCGACCCGATCGGAAGGCGAGCATGTAGGGGACCCGGGTTAATGCCCAGAGTCGAGGGCCATTATATCGGGAGAGGGGATGGAAGTACAGGCGCTTGGTGGCTAGGAGGACAGGGAGCTAATGGGATCTGTTAGTAGAGTATAGTAGGGTAAGATCATGAAGACAAAGAAAAGAATATATAATATACCAGGAGAGCAGTGACGAGAGTTGCGAAGATGAATGCCATGGTGAGACGGACCACCAACGGGAAATCGAATGAATGCAGATGAGGGTAGAATTTTAAGGAAGAGAATAAATTGGGGGAAGCCTGGGATTACGCAAAGACAACTCACAGCCTCGCCCCGTTGAACGGAGTATCACTGTCTCACAGCAACCAGGACACCCCAGTCGAACGGGCCCAAATGCTACTAAGTAGTTGCATATTAAAAGTTTTAATTACTATCAACGCAAATTATAAATACAGTATTAAATGCAGTATAATTCAACCCATTGTAAATATAACTAAAAAACAGACACAAAAAAAAAAAATAAAAAAATAAAAATGTAAAACAAATAGAGCAATAAAGCTACTCTTAATTGCTACTATCTATTAGAATATTTCCCATATTTTGAAGACATGAAATCTAACATACTTTTTAGTTATTTCTACCTAACCATTTTTATACTTTAGCAATAATAACTTAGAGCTTGTTAGTATTCACTCTATCCAAGAGATCTTCATCAGAAAAGTTTCTTGTTTTATTTATTGCCTTGCCGCTTTGGGAATTTATAATATGCGGGCCAGACGGGGTACATAGTATGGAGTACGCATACTTAATGCGTTCTGCTTCCCCGGTGTCCCACTTCATCCCGGTACCAAGAAATAGACTTACATCCATTGGCAGTACTCCAAGATGGATGCATTCTACTTGACATTTACCAGTAGTACACTCAATCATATGGTCACCAAACATGCTGTCCAGAGCCATACCCTTCTTCCGTGGCTCACGATCTAGATACTTGCAGTGTCTCTAACCTACATTCCGCGCCGGGCGTTCTTCACAGTCACTAAAACTGGCAATGCGGCTTTTCCAGCGCCGTTTGTGGGATCCAGCCACGCGTGGCTGGCCCGATGGGAGTTCTTCCAGTCCGCGGAGACAGTCCTTCAGAAGGGATACTGTTATGTGTGGGGGTCAGTAACGAGCTGAATGGGGCGCTACGGTGCGAAAGGGAGTGTCTATATGGGAGAGAAGATAGAACCACGTATATTGCAGAAATAATCGCTGGCCCTCAAGAGTTCAGGCCCGCGGGTGCGAATATAAACACTTCGCACCTGACTAAGCATCCTAGCTAAGGATCTGTTAAATAATATGGGCGTTGGTGGATGTTCGCGAGGCACAATTCTCTGAATTCAAGGGGCTCAGGCGAGCTGACTATCTAGATGGGTGACTAAGTGAGGCCACGTGACCATACCGAATATGGTAGGTCCCTAACAGTGGACCAGAATCATGTGACTGGATCGGGGTAAAACCCCCGCGGAGCACACAACAAAATAATCAATCAAGAATAACCAAGAAGAATAATCAAGAAGAGCCCAACCAGCTCAATTCAGTCAAATAAGACCTTTTCACCAATCGTACTCTGTTTCCTCTTCGGGACTAGCCGTATATTCGACAGGATCTAGCTGTCGCGCTTCCGAGCGCTCCTAACAGATACACTCAATACAAGGACCGTCCATGGAAGCTCACCGGCAACGATGTGCTGGTTCTGCCGCACAAGTGCCTGGATCCCGAACCTGACACAAGGTCTACTGAGACACAGACAGATCCGATCATGTCGATCTTTGATCCGACTAAGCTTGAGCATGGACTGCGCCCTGCAGTGGGTCTAGCGCTGGTCTCTGACTGCTTCTCACCTCCCAACGAGGTTGTTCCAACCGAATAAGTGAATGCGAGTCGAGCTATAAGATCCCTGGCATCGCACGCCACAACACTGCCCCAGAAATCGCATTCCCGCACCCGATAGGCGATATTTGACTCAGCAATGTCGGCATGGTCGGCCCTGCATCCGACTACTAATGAGTGTCGCATCCTTTAATTGCCATTCTTTGGCGTTGGTCTCCGGATCGCAAGGCTTGTCTCGACTTAGCTCTCTGCTCCTTCTCCACCTTCACACTCCTCCTCTTCCTTCATTCCGAATACTGGTAATACCTTGTTTTCAGCAGACAGACTGATCCCTGAACAATGGGATCCCTGGTCTCGATGATCGGTCGCATTTATCAGGCGTTCAGTCCGCCCCAGCAACCGCCCAAGCGGGGTGATGCCCTCAAATTTGGCATTCTTGGAGCAGCGAGCATTGCGTACGTCCAAAACCCCATATTCGGCCTCAACCCTAACCGTATACACTTGTCAGACCACTGGCCCTGATCACGCCCGCCAAATCGCACCCCGAAGTCATTATCCAGGCGGTGTCGGCTCGCAATCGAAAGAAGGCGCAGGATTTCGCCAAAGCCCATTCCATCCCGGACGTCAGAGATTCCTACGAGGGTACACCCCCTTTCCTCTCTCTCTCCCGATGAGCGACTAACAACCCAAGACATTCTCAACGACCCCAACATCGACTGTGTGTTCATCCCGCTCCCGAACGCCCTCCATTATGAATGGGCCGTCCGCGCCATTCGCGCCGGCAAACATGTGCTGGTCGAGAAGCCGTCCGTGTCCAACTCGACCGAGGCAGAAGCCCTCTTCACCCTGCCGGAATTGTCGCAGCCGAACGGCCCCGTCCTGCTCGAGGCCTTCCACAGCCGCTTCTTCCCGGCCTGGTCCTACTTCCGCTCCCTGGTCGACCCCAGCCTGGTGGAGCACGTCAACGCCGTCTCCATGATCCCCTGGTGGGGTACCAGCAAGGACGACATCCACTTCAGCTACCCGCTGTCCGGCGGCAGCATGATGGCGATGGGCACCTACAACATGGCCGCACTGCGGATGGCGCTGGCCGCCGAGCCGGAGGAGTGTCTCAGCTGCCAGGTGCACGCCTACACGGACGGCATCCACAACAAGTGCGACTATGACTTCCACGCCACGTTCCGGTTCCCCAACGGCATCATCGGCGAGGCGTCCAGCACGCTGAAGGGGCCCACGTACTGGACCCCGTCCCACGTCACCGTGACCCAGAAGGAGGTCGTCGTCCCCGACGCGACCCTCCCGCTGTCGCAGACGAAGCTGCAGAAGCGCCAGCTGACCCTCCACGGCTTCGTGCACGGCATCTTCTGGCACCGCATCGACATCAAGGACGTCTACCAGATCCGGGACCGCGAGTCCAACAAGGTCCTCCGCCGGTGGGAGACGACCTCCTACCGCAAGGCGTACACCTTCCAGGAGGCCGGCGGGGAGTTTGCCCATCTCCCGGGGGAGCCGTTCTGGATGTCGTATCGGCACCAGCTGGAGCAGTTCGTTAATCGGGTCAAGGGCCGCGAGACCCAACATTGGATCAGTGGCGCCGACTCCATCGCCCAGATGAAGATGCTGGATATGGCCTATGAAAAGAGTGGCCTCGGGCCTCGATCTACTAGTTCGTTCCAGGTCAAATAATAGAATCAGCCATGTGCTTGGTGTTGCGATATGTGTTCTTTCTCTCCACTGCAATCTTTGATCGGGTTCTGCTGTTTGTACCTAGTGCTTAGTATATTGCCTTTGACCAGAATAAAGGGGTTATCCGGCCCAATTCTAGTTTCTAGTGCCAAGTACCTACCTACGATTATACAATGTGATGCCCTCGTCGCTGGAACTCATGCATTATTATTAGACCGGCGAAGGAAGCAATGAACAGTCATGTCACTACTGTGACGAACCTGGTAAATAAGCTCCAGTATCCACCCACGCAGCTCAACATTTCGCTCATCTCTTGGATTGACATTCTGGGAAGATATGATTATGCTTGATGGACGAGCACTGACTCCAGTTCAGATTGTGGCTTGAGAAGTACAACGCGAAATCAATGCTATTGTACAGTGGTCTAGTGGAACAAATCAAGATCAAACACCATCCAAATGACGACAACATGATTAGAACAAATATCTGATTCTAACCCCGTTCTATGCGAACAGCTTGAACCCCCCCCGGGCACCCTTCTCTGAAACAGGCCGGTAGGATCATACCGGCGACTGACCGTCCTCAGCCAATTCCGGATCTCCTCCCCATAGCTGCCAAACGGGTCCTGCGACTTGTCGGCATAGTTCAAGTACTGGAAAGGCGAGTAGAGCCCCGCGCGCTACAATACGGCCATCTGTTCCTGGACGATGCTGCACAAGCCCCGGAGGGCGGTTTCTTCATCCGCCGCGTTGTCGAACGAGACTGTGACTAGCCCAATCACGCGGTCGGTCTCCCCGGCTGGCTGGCCCAGGGAGTTCGTGCCGTTCGTGACGGGCTGCGGCTGCACCAGGTACTGGACCTGCAGGCCCTCGATGTCCGCGAGCGCGCGGCATCCGTCCTCCCAGATTCGGAACAGCTGCCGGTATGTCGTCGCGTTGGCATTCTTAAAGGAATAAACGATCTCGGCCGTCCTGGATCAACTCCAGGTCAGCAAGTCGCAGTCCACGCGCGGGGCCGTGCAGAGGGTTCGTACCAGTTCAGCTTGGACGGCAGCGCATGCCCGAAGTTCGTGACCATGCTGCTCACGATGTTGAAGCCGAGATTGTTCAGCACGGGCGACGGGAGAGGCGTGAAGGGCCGGTACTCGGGGGGGTTGGCGACGGGGTTGGTGTAGAACAGGGAGTTCCCGGTCAAGAAGCTGCCGTCCGCGAAGTTCAGGATGACGGCCATATCAGCGGCACTGTCAAAGTTGGCGGGGGCCATGAAGTGGCTTTGGCTTTGGCTTCGGCGTCGACGATGGCGTCCGTGTAGTTGAACAGAAGCAGGCCTCCCCACATCGCCTTCTGCGGGAAGGTCGCCAGGTCGAACTGGGTGACGATGCCGAAATTATTCGAGCCGCCTTTCAGCGCCAGCCAGAGGTCCCGGTTGGCGCTCGCGGTGGCATGCACGACCGATCCGTTCGCCAGGACCACCTCGTAGCCGTAGATGTGGTCGCAGGAGAAGCCGTGTTTCCGCGACAGAAAGTTCAATCCGCCTACGAGGTAAGTCGCAAGGTCCGGACAGTGTATGGAGGATTCGGACTCACTCACCTCCAGTCGTGCATCCACCAACGCCAATGTCCGGAACTCGACCTCCCAGGACGGTGAGACCATGTCGCTCCAGTTGGGGATAAAGTTCGCTGAAAATGCTCCCACCCCCGACGCAGGCAGTCTTGCGATCGTCACTGAGAACCAGTGAGTTCATGGCGCGCAGGTCGACGGTGATGGCGTCGTTGATATTGGCGGCGCCGGTGAACAGAGTGTGGCCCCCGCCCCTCACGGCAAATTGAAGCGGCGACGACGAGGCGTTGGCATTTTCGTTAATGAAATGGACAAATTCCGATACTTCGGCCGTGCTCGTGGGTCGAAAAATGCAGCTGGGCTGGAGGGCTCTCTCGTACCCGGGGTAATAGGATGATTCCGACGCCGTGTACAGTGTCTCTCCGGGGTACACCACGCGGCCGGGAGTCTGGGAGTGGAGGAGATCGCAGATGTTGCTGCTGGACAGCACGACCAAAGCCAAGGGCAGCAACCCCAGAAGCTGGGTGAGAGGCCGCCGAAGCATGGACATTATGGGTATGGGATTTGGTTCTCTTGGGTTTGGGAAGCTGGAGAGAGACCTATAAACAAACCGTGGTTTATACTATCCTTCGGAGGAAACCAACTTCCTTCTAAGAATAACTCTGGATGGTTTTCCGACGTCATTAATTGCCGAACACCGCCCCATCTGTTTTTCGCTTGATATTGTAGGTGTCAGATATACGGAGTATATGAATGGATCCGAGGCAGTGTCGGATCGGCGGTAATATCGCCGCCTACATTGGGGGCTGTTATAGGCGGAGTCCAGCAGATTCCTGCACCTACTGTAGGTACTGAGTCAATTCCCTGCATTGTCTATTTCTATACGTCGAAGTCACCTTTTCTAATTTTGTACCCTCAGTAACCTCTTAAGCACTCTTAGTAACCCTGACCTGATATTTTTTGGTTCACTACACAGCCGGTTAAGTCGATCTCTGCTCTCTCCTGTTAACGCTACGACTCTTTATACATTACTGCGAATATTAGCCTCCTTACATTCTGACAATCTCTGTCTATGCACGCAACCCAGGCCTGCATCGTATCTGTTAATATGAAAGTGAGTTCATTAGCCCAGTGTAGACAGATAACACAGTTCTCATTTATGGTATATATATTTCCGCAGTATTACTATACATGGATAATACAGGACTGTTAGGACTGTTAGCCAAAGGTCTTACTGTAACTGATACGATATCTACCTAGATAAGTTACTTGACGCCTCAGACTATATAGCTGTAGTAGAAGAGAAAATCAGATTGAGCGCTGGGGCATCCAGGATGTATATATGCGCGACTTCTATCATTCCGGTGTGTTCCGCCGTCCCACAGGACTCGACCTCATCCGGATCGACGAGGTACTGTGAGAGGATATACGGCGCCCTGTGCACCATGTGGTTTATACTTGCCCCTGAGTCCGTGCTCAGTGACGGCACAGGATCTGGTCGGTTCCACAGAGTGGGGACTGCATCTATCCTTATTGTCGGACCGCTATGGGTCCTAGGGAAGCATGAAAGCACACTGATGGTCATATTGATGAGGTCCTCCATGGAGGCTATCTAAGAGGTTGTTAGGGACCTACCGTATTCGGTATGGTCACGCGGCCTCAGTCACGCATCTAGATAGACAGCTCGCCCGAATTAATAACTGTATATTGCATCCCAGGGTCAATACGAGCCGCTTATAATTTATGGTTGGGACTCCCCTGACTGTCAGGGAAAGGAGGCTTTCGCAAAATTCGATAACACTAACCTGTCAAGAAATGTATCAACTCTCTACGTTATACAAAGCTTCAGGCTCAGCCGTGCGCTTCAAGGGCAAGAACAATTAGATCTTTTAGTCATTCGAGACTACAGTACTTGGTACCCGAACAAAGATCAGTTGTCTACAAACAGCTCATCGTGTGCTTTGATTGTTGAAAAATATTATACCAATAATAGAAGTGTATTTTACCATAATACAACAAACTATACATGCTGCCGCTTATGGTTGAACCCTGGTCTTTTGCTCCCATAATATGCGCACGCCTCCACTAAGGCTTTGGTCCCTCATTGGAAATGTGAGTATCAGTACAGTATCTAGAGGATAGAGCGACCTCTGCTTCAACCTCACGTTGTATACTTAATCGTGACATGCAGGGATGGCAGAATAGGGAGATATCTCCTTCCTAAACTTTATTTTTCTCTTTCTCTCCTTGCGCTTTGTATTCTCGTTGCAGGTACCAATTATATATAGTTGTTTCTTTACCATTTTGAGCTACTCTACGGTAGGCCATAACCAAAAGCTAGATAATCTAAGCCTCGCTGGCATAAATATAGTAGAAAAACAACAACTGGAGATTTCAGGTACTGCACTTTACGGTAAGGAAGACGGAGCTTAATATAAGGATTAATAGTGGAACAAGCAGTTCAAGTTCTTTGTTACTTTCTAGTCGTGCAAGTACAAACAAAGCAATTGGGAAAATCTGTCAAGGGCTAAACCTCTATAACCTAATAACTAGGGTGGATACAAAAGGAATCGTCGAAGAGGAAAGAGAAGAGGAAACAGCGATGAGACGATTGCGAAGTAAGGGGGGGGAAGTCACATGATAGAGTGTACTAATCAATATACTAATCATGTGGCAGGCGAGGAGAAAGGAAACACGAGGGCTGAGGGCCCGAGTAGGCTGAGGGGCTCTAGCCCCTTACAAAATCAGCTCAAAAAAGGGTATTATTTAGACTCCTATTTGCTTAGAGTTTACCTATTCAGAATTATACGGTAGCGTACTATGCCGAAGTGTGTCAAAGTATAATACCTTGGATAATTACTAAAACCGGGCTATGTTACTGTAACTACAGTACTATACTGTATGTAGAATTAGTCTGTTCACTTGTTTTTATCAGCTTTGGTCCAACTAGTGTATGGATGGAAATTAAACAGAGCCGTTTAGTTTTTTTGAAAAATAAGTATCTATGGCTGGAAGGGTAGCCTCCGCTTGGTATTACCCTCATCCAGGTCACCCTCATATTACCAATATGTAAATGGTGAACGGCAATATTGGAATTAGTGAAAATGGCATCGACCATGGTGTTTAGGCTTGAATCTTAATAAATCTGTACAGCTATTAGGTCTGATGCAAAAAGCACCAATAAATATAGAAATTTAAGAGATGTTGATGTTGTATATATCACCTTTTACTACTCCAAATCGATAATTAGCTGGAGCATCTACTTGAATATCCGGAGTATCACTTGTGCCCGGTACCCCCGGCATTATTTGTGTAATGACCCTGGTTGTCACTTCTGCATGCCTCTTCTGTATTCCCGAAGCATGGACAACGTCTTCGTGAGATTTAAGCCGCGTTCTCGGTACCGCGTAGCTGCCTGTTTTCAGCAATTTCACTAAGCTTAGAGGTTTGTCCTAACTTTCCTTCCCCATCACCGACTAGACTCCGCAGAGGAAAACCACAAACATTACCATCCTGCAAGATATAGCAAGAGCAAGTTATGTGGTCTAATATTCTTTATAATAGGGCACTCCCTAGGGCAAGGAGAATAGAGAAATTCCGATAATATTTATAATCACATTCTACTGGGTATAAGATGCGGCTTGGGGCAGAGGCGTATTTGAGTTGGCGAGATTGGTGGACCTTAATTAACGGCCACTACACTGAAAGCAGGTGGTACAGACACAAAGAAAATGGTGACGGAAGGCTAATAAACAGAATTTATATAAAACATGTGGTATAGTGAAAATAATGTCTACATATTTAGTAATACGTTCTTCTTTACCTTGATTCTTGATAGTTACATTAAAAGCTCTACAGTAGCAACTGCCTTTACGGTATAAGCCTTAGATAATAAAATAGTGAACTAATATTAACTCCATTGTGCATTTATCAGGTATATTCTAAGTCTTTAAATATTCTAGCGGTTCCATTCTACAATTTGTCTCTATATATGCTATGTGGGAGAAATATTAGAACTTCTCCAGCTTAATACATATTATGTGCAGCTTATTCAACAGAGGAATGTGAAGCATGAAATTCTGCAGTATTAACCAGGAATGTAAGATATAATTCCAATTAAATAGTAGCAGCAAATTTGAGGTCGCAGAAAAGGATCTGAACCAGGCCTTCCCTATTTCTCACAGCATCACTCGGAGTAATCTCGCGGATGAACTGGTCGTCGGTATGCCAGAGGAATCTAGTGCATCTAATAGACGGTAAACTCACCGTTTAGCGACGCATCCGCCATCTTTACCGTCGAAGGTCTACTGCATCCGTGGCCGCTTGACCAGAATGGCTAGTGCACGATTTGGACTTCTACTCAACAGATTCCAAATTCGACAGCTCACAGCGAGGCGACTTCCTGAAATTGGAGCCCGTTGATCTGATGTTCTTCTGGGAGTGACTATCTATCGCTTCAGTACACTTATTGCTTCTTGAACGGCACTCTCGTGCTTGTTACTGACGTAATTGGATTCCAATTCACATGTGTCGGAGCGCATAATAAATTCCGAGTGATTGCATACTTTCCTGGTACTACGGGCATGTCCCGAAGGTGTCTGCCATCCGCTCAACCCGATCTCTATGAGTATGTTACCTGGGGTCTGCTTGTTAAGAAATGATATTCTATAGTCGCCACTGACTTCGCTGGTTTGTGGAACGATTACGTCCCACATCAGTACCTCAGCTTTGCCGCACACGTCAACGATGTTTACTATACCATGGTCGCCGTACGAAAGGCTTTCGCGAACCTATTTACCAACTAGTGGATGTCTGTCGTATATTTGTAAGGCGGGGGCACATCTTGGAAATTGTCGGAAAGCGATCTGCACAAGACACGGGCAGCTGGCACCTTTTTGGGCAGCGTTGCGTTGTCACCCGCAAAATATATGACATAACAACCCTAGGTGCCGAGGAGCTCTTGAATGCCCCCGTGCTTTGACAGTTGATATGACAGTATCTTCGAGGTTCTCTGATTTTCATTCACCCTGGAAAGAGCGATTCCGCACGCCAGCATGTCATTCCTGACCGAGAAATTTCCGGAGAGGGGTGCATTGGCTGATATGACCCAGGCTTGTAATTACAACACAATGGCTCCAACAGAGGAACTTGAACCCTCTGATATCCTGAGAGGGTTTGAGTTGGTGAGAAACACCGTGATCCGAAGGCCTTTCAGGACTGAGCTGCTCCTACCAAAGCTGCCGGTCTTCAGATTATCCAAGGAACGAACGATAGTTACTGCTACCTTGCCCGAAACTACTATCGACTCCTACAACTATACATACTATCACGGCGACGAGGCGTATCTGAGGCTATATAAAGGGTTGGCTTACACCGACGTGGTCACGGCTGGTGACCCTGCGAGTGGCTTGCCTTTACTGATCCTGGATTTGCGAATCCCATTCGTGACGATGGTGGATGTAGTAGTGCTACCATAGTCCCTTTTGACCCTGCCAACATCTCAGTAGAGCTTGTCTGAGTTTTGCTCCGGTAGAGTGTCGCTGTCGCTTTAGACTCTAGCTGCTATGGTTGAGATAAATGTCCTGCGATAAGCAAGACCATATCTCTTCTTGGTCTTCTATTCGTTTTACACATTCACACTGCCTACCATATGACCAGCGAGATAGGTCCCTAGAATTGACAGACGCAGAGGAGTATCAAATATCAGTCAGAATATAGAGTATTACTTGATTTAGCAAAAGCTCGAGTGCCCTTGTAGGCTATGTAGTATCTAATCACTGTATACTACCACTGCGCTGACCACGTGTCTCAAGAAACAACCTGGGGTACAATGCAAGGGAGCAGAGGATGAGTCACGACCACAGAAATCATAACTAATTATTCAATATAATGCAGTAAGACTCGCCAATACCTTCCATGATTGGACTATATGCCCCACATCTCGTATCAAGCATCCTCATCTCTATCTCTGGTGGTGTGGTTTGATTTTGTCTTGTCTTGCATGGATAAGGAGAACTTGCAGCCAAATGGCATAGATATCTGTCTCCCAGGTTCCCTATTTATTTTTTTGATGTCAATGGTCCATGATGGCGGCGAACTGCGTTGCGTTGCAATTAGACTACTCGTATACCTCGTGCAGATGGATGTAGACATGAATCCCAAATTTGAATGTAGGTCTCAAAGCAATGCCTCCTCTCTCATATCGAGATAGCAATTATGGGAGCAACAGAATCGACATTCTCTGTCCTCGAAATATAGACAGAGAGATCCCGTAGACATGCAACTGCTACTTCTAATTAGAGTTGATTTGGTTGAATACGAGCCGTGATGGACCCACTGAGTGTTAGTTAATTAATATTTCCCAAGTGGAAATATTATTTAAGACCGATCACCTTAGCTCCAGTGGTAGAGAGAGTCAAATAGTAAAGACCAGGCAAAATGCTCGTCCAAACCCGCTATGCAACCGAATCTGACGTGTGCGATATCGCAGGCATCAATATCACCAGTTTCCGTCCGCAACCATTCTACCAGACTGCATTCGCCAATGTCAATGACTCATCGTTATATCCCCTCAAGTACGCCCGATTACTCAATAGACTAGGAGATCCGACAGCGCATGTACATGTCGCTACTGATGCAGAAACCGGTCAGGTCGTGGGCTCTGCGCGATGGGTTATTCCAGGCCATCTCCTGCAGCGGAGCGCGCATCAAACTGTCTCCCTGTCTGAGGATGCCAAATGTAAAGCTGCAGATCCAGGACGGTTCATGCCTCCCGGGGTCAATCAGCAGGCTTATACTGCCTTTCTCGGCATGCTTAATGAATCTCGAAAGAAGAATCTTAAGGACGGTGATATGTGTATGTTTTCAACTGCTTCTCATTCTTTCTTGCCCGTGAGGATAATCTCCACCCCGCATTGCTTCAATTAACTAGTACAATTAGCTCTGGATTTCCTGGCCATATTGCCCGCCTATCAGGGTAATGGGATCGGAACTCAACTGCTAAAATGGGGTATGGGACAAGCAGACGCTTTGAATGCACGAATCTACCTCGAAGCGTCGGCGGAGGGGTATCCACTTTATTGCAAGTATGGATGGAAAGTCATCGAAGAAATTGTACTGGATTTTGGAGTGTTTGGAGGCAGGAACACTGCGACTTATTTTGTTATGATGAGAGACCCTGTGCCTAATCGAGAGGAGAATATACAGTAGTGCCTCGTGCCTGCTTTCTTGAGAAATAAGAGTGCAATCAATCGAATCTCCGCCAAACAATGACCTAGTACGTAAATTCCAGATAGAACTCAATTCCTCTCGTGTTCAAACCGTCGTCTTGAAGGCCCTACTCCCTGGTACGTCTCTCCTATTTTCTATGATCAGCAGGCTCTCGCTGCACCTAATATTATTCTAATTATCCGAGGGGAATGCTGTAGAGAATTGCGATGTTAGGGTCTCACCATGGATCCCTAAATCAATAAGACATAAAATAGCCCCAAGTGTGAGAAACCCTTACTGTAAGATCCTGCAGGATATCAGACCATTAAAGGACAGACGTCATCGGCGCGGGGTTGACCGACGATCATCTTTTCCCACCAAGTAACACCTCTCTGCAATTTCAATCGTCCACTTGAGGCGAAAAATGAATCCATACCCGCGTCCCGACTTCCAACGACCGTCTCTCAACTGGAGTTCCCTAGACGGGACCTGGGATTTTGTCTTCGACGATGACGACGCTGGCCTGTCGCAGCAGTGGCATTCCAAGGGCATCCCTGACAGCGCCGCAGCGCGCGCCATCCAAGTGCCGTATGCCTTCCAGACGCCCGCATCGGGCATTGACAGCCACGAGGCCCACGAGGTGCTCTGGTACGAGCGCCAAATCACAGACATCCGCACGCCGGACGAGCTTGAGTGCGGTCACCGACTCCTGCTCCGTTTCGGCGCCGTCGACTATGAATGCACGGCCTGGGTCGATGGCCAGCTGGTCGGAGGACACCGCGGTGGTCATGTCCCATTCGACCTCGATATCTCTGATGCCGTGAGCGTCCGACAGACGACCTCCCCACAACGGTTGACAGTCCGTGTACGAGACGCGCCCTACGACCTTACGCAGCCACGTGGGAAGCAGTATTGGGGTCCCGTGCCCCAGGAAATTTTCTACACACCCACGAGTGGAATCTGGCAGTCGCTGTGGCTCGAGAGTGTGCCCAGAATGCGCCTAGCCAGCAGCAGTGAAGGCACCATTCTGCGGTCTGACGATATCAAGGGTGGCCAACTTCACGCCCGCATCGCCGTGTTGGGTCGTCCCATGGCGGCACCATGTCAGGTGGAGGTTGAAGCGAGTCTGACGGGTATCATTGTTAGTTGCAGTCGACAGGAACTGGGGCGAGAGAAGGACTACGTGAATTTGGATGTTGATATGCATATTACGGATGCCCATTCGGCACTGCAGCGAGCGCCGTTTAATGCGAATGGCGCCTGGCATGACCGAATTGCTCTGTGGGCTCCAGAACATCCCGTTCTGTATGATTTGTCGCTGCGCCTGTTAGACGCCTCGGGGGCCGTTGTGGACGAAGTGCGGACAACGACAGGCATGCGTCGCGTGTCCTGGCAGCATGGCGATGCTACCTTCCGTCTGAACGGACAACCCATCTTCCAAACCCTTGTGCTTGACCAGGGCTACTGGCCGCAGACCGGGTTGGCCCCGCCGACGCAAGAAGCGCTGAAGGCCGATATTGAGATGGCACAGAGCATGGGGTTCAATGGATGCCGAAAGCACCAGAAGGTGGAAGACCCAGTCTTTCTCTACTGGGCCGACCGACTGGGATTTTTGGTCTGGGGAGAGATGGCCAATGGCTACGTGTTTGGCGACGAGTATATGGCGCGCTACAACAGTGAATGGATTGAGGCCGTGAAGCGGGACCTCAACCACCCCAGCATCGTCGTCTGGACGCCCTTTAATGAGAGCTGGGGCTATCCATCGCTGAAGGACAGCGTCGACCAGCGCAATCACATCCGCATGGTGTACTATTTAACAAAGTGTGCTCTGGCCCTGGGAATACTTGTCTGATCGTTCGCTCACCTTTTGTAGGAACCTCGATCCCACGCGTCCCATCAACGACAACTGCGGCTGGGAGCATGTGCAGACCGACCTCACCACCTACCATGACTACTCAGATTCCCCCCCGCGCTGGCTGCATCTTGTGCGGACTTTTCAGCGGGCATTCTTGGCCTCAAGACGAATCGCGACATGTTCGTACCCCCGATTCCGTGTAGCGCTGGTCTGGAGGACCCTGGTGCACATCATATGCCTGGATCGCCAGTGATTTGCTCCGAGTTCGGCGGCGTCAATATTCTCCCCGCGCAGGGAACGGTAGCCGGTGATCGAGACTGGGGATACACCACCGCCAGGGATCCGGAGGACCTGCTGCGGCGCCTGGAGAAGCTGGTGATGGCGGTGGTAAAAGGTGGCCATTCCTGCGGTCTCGTATATACCCAACTGTAGGATCCTCTCGCTATGTTCTTGTATCAGGACCTTCCGAGCTGACTGGGATTCAGGTATGATATTGAACAGGAGGTCAATGGGTTGTACTCGTACGAACGCCAGGCAAAAGTCCCCGTTCCCAGAGTCAAAGCCATCATGGATGCCGCTCAGAGGTACTATCATGAGGTCCTCGCGCCGAAGTGAATGGCGATTGGGAGTGATCCAGATGTCTTGGTAACTAGTCATCAATCTTAAGATGGCAGTAGTTATACGTCTAAACATTGAGCCCAAGGCAATTAGCATAATGACTATCCTTTTCTTTTCCTTTTTTTTTTGTTTTTGAATGTGTATGTGTTTTACACCTTGGGTTTTATACTACAGATAGTTCAAGACTCTCGACCTCGTCAGACACGCAGCCAAGATCATTGAAAGCAGATGACTGTGGTCTGATAATTTTAAGTCCATGCATAATGACCCGATGTATTCCTCATCTCCTACTAGAAAGTCTATGTTGCGTCCATTCAGTGCGCGAATACCAGCCCTGTACATAAATTGACTCCCAAGATGCAAATTGGCACTATAGACACGCTTACAAAGGGCTGCACGGGTCCGGAGCCTGAGGATGTCCACTGCGGGTTGAGGCAGCCGAGGGCACGTCGCCCTTTTCGATATTACATGAAACAGTGTTATTGGTCCATTTGAGAATGGCTGCCTTCTCCAGGTCATCGAAATGCGTCTTGTCCTTTACATGGTTGGTCTCAAGCCGCGTCTCGACGTCGTCACCACGAGTCTTTCGCGTCCCCAGGGTGGTGAGATGGCACCAGGCGCAGATCAGCTTCTGCAGAAAGGGGTCCTTACTGTTCATACTGGAGCCATTTGGCGCACTGTTGGTCTGGATATTGGACATGAGGCTGTTGTTATAGTGCAGTTCAGCAATGGGCGAAGGTTCGGGAGACATGTGCAGACAATCCAAATGTTTTGAGCTCTACCAGACCATGCCAGTCAGTGAGTGAGTATACTTTCGGGTTCTGGACAATAAACGCGCGAAACGTCGACATACCGCCATTTTGCCAGGGTCACCTTGTACTTGGTGAAGTCGTTGCTGCTCAGGAATTGCATCATGGCCACGATCTGCACAATGGCCATAACGCAGGTGCCGGAAAGCTTTAAAAGTTGGACGTTAGCACTCTGGTGTACTGCATGGTGAGTCTAAGAGAAACTACACAAGGAACCTATAGTGAACATGAACATCAGCTGCAATTTCTGCCGAAGGGATGCTTTCAGCGATTAAGTCAGACGGAAGGGAAGAGCTAGCGTGACGACGTCCGAGAAGATACTAAATCAATCTTATATTATAATATTATCTATGCAACTAGTATTGGACCAGTGTAGCAACCAAGTCCGCATGTGATAAGGGGCAAATGACAGCTACCTTAAGTCTATGAAAGCCAGGTTTCTGGCATAACCGTCTTGGATCTAGGGTTGATCTAGTCGAGTGCAAGAAGAATTGCTACCCTGGACAACTGACTTAGCATAGGCCGCTTGTTGGAACGGCGGGCTTTGTATAGAAATGTTAATTTTCAAGTTTACGGATAGGAAGTATGTTAAAGATAATGATGTACATAATCTAGCAGCCTGATCAGGTCATTTCTTATGAGCTATATATCATGGCATAGGGTATACATGCCCGAACTTGATTAATTTTCCTGGGATGGGTCTTATCTTGGTGTGTATAATGGTATGTTGGAAAGGTTGAGTCTTTCTGACACATGTATCACAAGTGACGTAGACCGCAGATGTGTAATAAAATAATTGTTCCGTCCTCTGATTAGGTGTGCATAACCCCCAGTGCTGCTTATAACGAGTCTGACTAGTCCACGAGCTAAGTTGTGTTAACCCAAGTGTGGGGGGAGAGGGGAAGCCCGGGGGGCATCATGTAGAGTGGATTATGGTGTTTACTTTGGCGTGTAGTCTTTTTTAGTGCAAATTTCATGTAAACAAAGACTTGCTTGGGGCTATTGTGCGCCTTTTTTCTATTTTCTATTTTCTTTTCTCTTTTCATTTCTTTCTTTCTTTCTTTCTTTTTTTTGGCACACGGGCTTTGTTTTTTTGATTTTACGGGATTCCCCTCTTCGCTGCGTACATCAGGGATAGACGCTAGCCGGGGGTGCACAGCTTATTGTCGGTAATCATCCTGCAGGCCTACTGACCTTCCAGTGGTCGGGACTTATAGAGGCTTTCATGCCGGTCGATTTTCACTAAAGCTTTAAAGCTCTGGAGAACCCAGTACTAAAAGTTAGAAATCACTCTATGCGGGTTGTTCCCCTCTCGTACCACTTTACTGCCGGCCCTGTTACGAAATGCTTGGATTATTTAAATCTCTGTTCTCTAAGAATAGCACTCTACGATATGACCGTCTGGGTAGCGAAGACGATGAGAGCTCGCCTAGCTCAAGGAGCCTTCCTGAATGGCAAAAGAAAACACCGACTATTTCCAGTAAGCTGGGATGGACGGATCGAAGTTCTTCCGTATCACTATTCTGGGTGAATATGTTTCTTCTTGGGGTGTCGGGTTTGCTTTTTGCGGGCTCTTTAAAGCAGAAGCCGAACAGCAATGACTCCGTACAAAACCTGATTTCCATTCCCTGTAAGTGATCCATGAGGGATAGAAAGCCCATACCTGATGATGTCTCCCGCAGCACCTGTTCTGGACGATGTAGGAATCTCTTTCTCTGTAAAACGCATGAATGCAACGCTCTTTCCACGCGACCCACCCAGCATCTTTCGCCGGGAACCAAGTGCAGAAGTCGACGATGCCTGGATGAGAATCATTGATACCAGGCCCATTCCTCTTTCACGCGCAGATGTCCTCGCAATAGGGAAAGACCCAGCGCAGTCAGTTCGGCTTTCCTCAGACTTCGGTTTGGGACCAGAGGTATATGCTGGCCGGATTGACGTGTTTCACCAGTTGCATTGTTTAGATGCACTACGACGCGAGGCATACTTTGATCATTATTACGGGCAAAAGTATCCTGGTGGCTTCAATGACACAGACCAGCATCATCGCTATCACCTCTCACACTGCATCTACATGTTATTGCAAAATATCCTCTGCAATGCTAACACCGACATCTACACGCATTTCTGGACGGATGCAGTAGAGCACCCTTGGCCAGACTTTAACATTCCCCACAAATGTCGAGATTTTAGTGCCATCTTGGACTGGCAGAATAAGCACGCTGTGAATGAGGAAATGTTTGTGGGAATGAAGAGACCTGACGATCAAAGACCCCACAGGATGAGCAGTCACTTCAAGAAGACCGAAAACCCAGTCCTCTATGGTGATCTTGACGACAATGCTTACGATGGCGAAAATGCATAATGCGGCTTGATCGTCTTACATCATGATCCTATTGTGCCGTTCAGCCGTCCTACATTTTTTGCTGTTGGAAGGGATTTGTAATTAATATCATGGACTTTACACGTAAAGCTGAATTGCTTGCCATGTGAAAGACACCTAGTTGGTAACTTTGGTAACTCTTTTATCTGAGTCTAAGGATCTGCTTCCCACAAAAATCGACTTTGCACTTACCGCTTGTCTTTGGCCAGCTGTTTCATTGCTGACTAGTAGAGACGAAATAATAATGAGTGATGAGTATTAGTCGTGTTGACAGTTTGCCATGCTCATGTGTAGATGCCTTACGTTGTACTCTGTTCTCTACAAGTATGATCCAAGGAAACTTCACTAGCTTTTGGGGGATCTTCTCAGCTAACCTGCATCACAACAACCAAGACAGTCAGCTCTTTGCCAGCTTGTACTGGCTGCTGTGCCTGTTCAGAAAGTAACGACAAACTCATGCTATCCTAGCCCACTCAGCTCTAACCATGTGTTCCACTGGTCAAAATTACCGCAACAATAAAGTTAGGCCAACAACCTAGCTGCATATGGTTCAGCCGTTGGCGAGCCCCGACCCAGCCGCACTCTGTGCTCAGTAAACTAGGCAATTCCATAGAGTGTGGTAATGGAGTTCGTACCTTAGCCAGCAAGGTCTTGTTCATTTGTCATACCTTGTGACTTGTCGGATAGGGTTTGTGTGACTATTCATTCCTGCGTGTGCACAAATCATTTGTATGGGAAAGTCAGACCGAAGCCAGTACCATTCGCCATCCGCCACCCCAAGCCGGGCTAAGTCGCAAAATAAGGCCCCGCTCCATAACTGTGCAGAGAAAGACTGCATTACTATTACCCGACTCTTGCACCCTTCCGAGCTGGGTTTTCCCTTCACATGTATGGCTTCTGTGCTATCGAAGATGACCAATACGCAATTATATATCACTTAAGCCTCGACACAATCCGATCGCCCCACAAGTCGGGCATGAAGTGGTGGTGTACTCTTTTGATCTGAGTGACGACGGGTCCGAAGGCAACCAACCCTACATGAGGGATCGGCAGGTCGCCCACGGAGGACCCTATTGAAGGATCCGGTTTGACAATCTGCCCTGCACCTTGCAGACTGCACTCGTATTGACAGCCACCATCCCTGCAATGCTTCCGTGTACAACCCGACCCTATGGAATTTGTCTGCGAAGGTATGATTTTTCTTGTGGTATTGCTTAGCATAGTGTAGAAAGCTTATACAGCCTCTGCTCACACACCTGATTGGCCTCTGTTTGGTACTGCCTCTTGGCGGCTTCATTATTAATGCCATGGCATGCTAGACAAGATATAACCTCGGTCCATTTACTACTTCATTGTCACCATAGAGTCTGCCATTATCTAGTCGGTAATGCAACATTGAAAGGCTCAAGCTGTGGATGGTCTTTATGACGCAGCTCCACAAAGTCTCAGTCAGTGAAAGTGGAAATCAAATACGTACTAAATTCACGTGGGTCTTTTCTGCTGTAAAACTATTGCGCACACATCTGCCGCAGTCACAACAGGTGCATGCTCCTTCGGGGAATGGAAAAAGAAAGATACTCTAAAGCACTGCCCTGCTACATACAATGACGTGTCATATAATGCACATTGATCTTCCTTTTTCTGTCACTGGGGATTAGAGCTGAGATGGCACTAAAGATTCCAAAGGACTTCCCAATTTGTAAAACTTTTTATTAGTAATGTCGGTTATCATTGCCATCTCAAATCCTCGATTTCGGCCTTGCACTGAGTATCTGTCAAGACGACGGGCAAGCAAGGATCTTTAGCGTCCTAAATTTGTTGGCACGAGTCTAAGATTTACTGCCAGAGGGTGTTTATTTATATGTGAACGTTTTGATTGCATGGTAGTTCGCCGAACAAATTAAGGCAAGGCTATTATTCTTCTCGCAAGCTAGCAGGACCATGTCCCAGATATCTAAGTTACAAAAGAGTGCCATGAGAGCATCGCAGGCTTGCGTCTGGGTAAGTTAACAATTTGAAAAAAAAAAAAAAGGAAAAAGAAAAAGAAAGAAACAAAGAAAATAAAAAGAGATGATGATTGAGGACATAAAACGAGCTGAAACATATACAGTGTCGAAGCCAGCATTTAAAATGTGGTGGTGAAGCCCCAGTTTGTACTCGCTGCCTACAAGACGGTAAACACTGCTTTTATACCGTATCACGTAGAAATACTCGACGAAAAGACACCTGTACTACTCTCAACGTTTTATGTGAGAGTAAATGTCTTCCATCCCCACTTTTGCCAGTCCATCCTTCATTACAGGATATTCACCGCCAGTTAAACGACTCGAGAGGTGCCTCTATTGATCTAACTCTTGAGTCAGCGGTCCCCAGTGACTCTACCTATGAGGCAGCCGGACAAGCAGCGAACCGAAATTTACTTGATGCTTATTATAAGTATGAGTCAATATACTTTGATTGATAATTCTTCTAACTATGCTGGTGTTCTTGTAGCTATTTTCATGCTGCTCAACCTTTCCTGATACCTTGCGACCACTTTCAAACATGTCTAGAGAGGGAAGCCACGCGTCTCACGTATATATTACCTGTTGTTCACTATATAGGTTCCCTCTATACGAAGGACAGCCAATCTGCGTTAATGCGCGAGAAAGCGGTGCACCAGTTTGAATCGCCAGACTTACCAGTCAATGGCTACACGATTCTTGCCTTACTTTTACTTTCCATTACCACTTATGCGCAAGACGATTCCACAAGAGCTCGTACTCTTCTAGACCAAGCCATTTATATGGCAGTTGAGGTCGGGATGAACTCTAGGATATTTGCTAACAGGGAAAAGGACCCCGTCTGGGCGGAAAGCTGGAGACGCACATACTGGGGCTTATATACTACGAACTTGATAATATCAGGCTTTGGGTTGGAGCCCAACTTAGCGTCAGTAACTGATCGATATATATACCCACATGTGAATGCCGAATTGGCTGATTAGTTAATAGAATTGATTGTATTGAAGGAGATGTTGACCTTCCATCCGATGGAACTGAAAAGGTCCGTTACAACTCATCTTTCAGGAATAATCTTTTAACTGACGATCCCAGTTTGTGCGACCTCGTTCGTTCGAAGAATATGAGATACGTGACTTTGAAGACAAGGTTCCCGTCTTCTCCTCTTTCGCATACTTTATCGACTTGGTAAAAATTGCTGCATCGTTCTCTAGTGTCCCTTATCTGGACGGGAAAGACCGCGAGGCTGCCGTAGAGAATGCGGATACTAAGCTGATCGCTTGGAAATCACATTTACCCCGAGAGAAACAGTCGATAGTTAAAGCGAATGGCGAGATTGATTATATATTATTCCATTCCTACGTTCTGTGGCAAAGGTAAACTACTGGTCATTGACTCAAACCCCGCTCGTACCAATTTGTATTCAACCTTACAGAAGCGGACTGGAAAAATTGTCTTCTAATTAATTACATAGTCTCATCATAGGCATCCACGGCCCGCTATCACGTTTACATCGCATTCGTGTCGGTTGTAATGATCAAAATCTTACTCCCGCAGATAGACATGAGGATCCCCATAAGGAGATCCCAAAAGGATGGCTGCACACCAAAAGAGCATTTGAAGCAATCGCAGATACTACAAAACTTTGTGCACTGCCTATCCCGATTATCAAGCAGTCGCCGCTAGTGACCAACTGCATTGTCTCTTCGACGGAGGCCAGCATTTTGGAGTGTTCGCCTTGGCTCCCCTGTTCACAAAAATCTCAGGCTCGTGATAAGATCCGTCTGGCATTAGCCGCCCTTAATGATTTGGGGAAAATATGGGATTTGAGTGCTAAAATGAGCTCCAACCTGAAGAAAATGGCGCGCAATATTTCTGCAGCATCCAGTTCACCGCCGGATATCCTTGCAGATGAGCTAGTTTTGCGAAGCCAAAATTTAGTAAATACTTTGGAAAAACCAATTAACTTCGGCGCTTTGGAGACCATTTGGCTTGGCGATATACAACCAAATATACCACTTGCTGCGGAGCCCGATATCTCCTTTAGCTAAGGGTAATCAATATTAAGTTTTTTCATATCATCCAGCCCATACGTCCACTACTTTCAAGTTATCCTCAATTAAAAGAGAAAAGGAGGAAATAAGCCAACCTTACATTTTTATATCGATTAACTAAACTTAGCCCACGATACACCTAATCCTGCGTTTTAGGATAACTAAAATGAACTGCCCATTCTCGACGGACGTACTCTGCAAAGGATATCCGATATTTAGTGGACATTTGCCTCTCTAAAAGGGCTTGCACCAAAGGTGATTTACTAAGGTCAGATTGTGAATGCAACCCCAGATTCAGTGAGAAATTAATTAGGAAATAAATTAAATTCAGAAACCTCTTTATTAAAGTAGTCACCAATCACCCCATAACCCAGGTGCCCATGCTCCACGAGGCTAAATGAGAAGCTATCTGAGAGTTCACTCCTTTCCCTCGGCGATTATACCTCCTTGCTGTTCATTCTCAGCATTATCTTGGTCACGCTTAGCATAGGACCAGGGATGGCCCGCGTCGTAGAGAAAATTAGAGACATCCTCTGGCTTATCCTGGGCACGCTTAGAATAGGACCAGGGATGGCCCGCGTCATAGAGGAAGTTAGAGACATCCTCTGGCTTATCCTGGGCACGCTTAGAATAGGACCAAGGATGGCCCGCGTCATAGAGAAAGTCAGAGACATCCTCTGGCTTATCCTGGGCACGCTTAGAATAGGACCAAGGATGGCCCGCATCATAGAGAAAGTCAGAGACATCCTCTGGCTTATCCTGAGCACGCTTAGAATAGGACCAAGGATGGCCCGCGTCGTAGAGAAAGTCAGAGACATCCTCGGCATCACGCTTGTTGGCTATTTTATGAAACTGTTGTCAATGACCTACTCGAGCTGATGGATTTCGTTCTTCTTACCCAATCTGGTATCCTCTTTCCAGGCTATATTGTTCATTTCCGTGAGCTCACTGAAACAATTCCAGCCATTTTCTAGGCAAAGCTTTCCCTTACCAGCTGGAGCGGCTATGGCGCCTTGCAAAAAGGCCGCGATGATTGCAGCGAAGCCAAACTTCATTGTTGATTGCTATCTAAGATTGGTTTTCTTGGAAAAACGATTCAACGGTCAATGTGGAGAAATGCTTCCTTTGCAGATAGGACGAGTTGTTTTTGTTTCTGACATCGTGAAGGCAAGGCTGGAGGACGGATAAATGGCCACATTTATATCTCTGAGTGAGGGTAAGGTGACCTTGCTGACTGTAAGGTCACATTAGTCATAATGCCATGGCTTCACCGGAATGCGTTGTGTGGGGTCATTTCATTGCATTGCATTAAATAGCCGATACCAGAGTGCGTAGCCTTGTCTCTAGCTACCGGATATGCTTGAGTCAAGGGCGGGACATGCATAGGCTATGCATCATCTCTAGGAGATGATCTCTAGCGTAGATCATCATAGAACCGATGCACCTTCCGAATATAGTTCTGGGACATGAGACTCTACGTCGCGTTGCAGTCTCCTCGGTAAAGACTATATACGCCATACCGATTACGAGACATGAATATGCAATACTACGTAGGCAGGGTTATTCAGAACGCCAATAGTGAAGAATAACTTCTGTTTCCAAATTGGGAAGGTAAATCTATGCAAAATCTTTCCATGAGGCCATGGGAAGTAACGAAATGGATTAGGAAGAGACTAGAGCAGTTCTGTATTAAGATTTCCTATGAAGACGTTCATTTCCTCGCGAAGTAAAAAAAGATATTATGCCTAAATCATTTTTCAAGCCATGTTCCAGTAGTCTTCTTTTCAATTCCATCTTTCTCCGGGTCTGAACAATATCTCTCAACGTCCATGAAACCAGAACGCAACTTATGGGTCTGTGGCCACCCAATCTGTTTAATACGCATGCCATTATCACACATCAGGGCGTAACGAATAATATCAAAGCAATGATCTAAGCGAATTTCGAGGAGATCAGCTGTTGCTTCTATAGAGAGAGTTGACGCTGCTTACTATCGTGTGTGTCTGTTGTGATTCTGGCACGAGCTTCTTCATCAGTAGTTTGATTGTGCCACCTTCTCCACAAAACGTGCTAATAAAAAAAAAAAAATTTTAATTCTGCTTAGCTGCTTATTCAAGTAATATCAATCGGAAAATAGAATCACAGCACTTACTAGGCAGTGTAGGCGATGGACAATGGACAAGACTCTGGCATCTCCGGCAGACTGGCTTTCCACCTGCGCTGTTGTAACGCGAATCAGGTTTGCGTCCTGACGGGGTATATCATGTAACTTGTCTACCGATGAATCTCATGGTGTTAGCTGTATGATAGCTTGAAGTATCTTGATCCCTTACGTTGCTCGACGGTTGCCCAAGCTGCCACAGCACCGGGGCTTGTCTCTTCAGTGTCTGAAACATTGAAGAAATCGCCCATCTCCAAGAAAGTCCCTTCAAATTTGGCTGTCCACAGTACATCGGGGCTTCCTGCTATTCCCTCATGGAATGCTGTGAAATCTAGTATGTTAGATATACTGTTTTTTTCGCGGTCATGGATTCATACCGATCAATGAAAGAAGGTGGGTTTACTCACTGGGTCGGAACATCGGCCAAGTCATTAAAAGTCCCGTATAAATGAGTATAAGGATGAGATGAGGGACCCATGTTATAATCCTTCGTAACTTATGTGAACGCTGCTGTCTCCGTGCCAGATCCTCGCCCTCGGATTCATCGAGCATAGGGGTCTTTTCCCTCGGTTCCCCAGACGACACGGTGCGCTGACAGTTGCGTGCCTTGAAATTGAAGTAAGAACTTCTAAAGAGCATTGTGCGTTCGAAAGAATTTGCGGCGCCGACAAGTAGACAAGGGACAAGAGAGGCGGCACCTATGCTTGAGGGGAATTTTTCCCCCTTCAAAATAAGAAAAGAAAGAAAGAAAAACTAAGAAAAAGGCGTATCTAGGCTCACTGCAAAACTACAGCATCAAGTGCCCGAAGCTCGGAGCACTTCCATAAGTAATCTATGTATAAACAGGAGAAGCGAAGAGTGAATACATAGATACTGTATGCAATCCGATGGAATCGCCTATGCAATCGCCTATGCGAGAACACTAATTTGCATGACGCTTTGCCGGTCCCACATCCGACACTCATACACTTTCAGCTGTCGTTGATCACCTCTCTATAGTAGCTTTAGTACGGTAAGAGAGTAGTATGAGCTCGAAAACCCCCTCAGTTATGTCGTTAGACCATTGATTGCTAGTTCGATGAATCCATAGGAAGAATAAGCATATGGAGTCCATCAAATGAGCAAATAATAACTATCGACAGAGCCTTTTGCGTCACTGTCGTTTCTCGTATCTTAGATGTAATAATCACCTTGTGTTCCGGACCTCCATTTCCGGACGCGACTGGATCATGGGACTTTTAAGACCACATATTTACATTCTTGTGACCTGTATAAATTCTTTTATTGGCTACAACAACAGCCCCCTTCCAAGTTGCATCTCTTCTTTTGTGAACGACGTCCAAAGAAATGTGACCTAGCAGATATATATCTTACAAGAGACAAGAAAGCAAAGAGTAGTTATAGTGAAAAGATCTCTCAGCGCAAAACGGTATAGAATGAGGAGGAACGTATTATCTCAAATCTCTGTTGGGTTACAACGTGCACTTACTTGGACTTGATGCCGCCCAATCATACCCACGCATATGCGCGCAGCACATACGAATTCTCGCGGAAAATGAGGATAATGCAAAATTACCTGAAGACCTGTGGCTGACCAGCATTATTGTTATACTTTAGGACAAGTCTCATCATCTACCACGATTATGCGAAGCTACAAACCCCCCACTAGTTGTCTTTCGTTAAACATAGTCATGCGTAACAGATATCAAGCCCAAGGCCATGTGTTCTTAATCATAAAAGTGGGTTCCCTAATTCTATGCACGTGGAGTTAAACTGATATTTTCACGGGAGAGTGAACGTCAGATAATGCTTCCTATCTCGTCACTGGCTCATGTTAATCTTGCCATTAACATGTCCGACAGCTAATGTTATTCTATGAAATTACAAAACACCTAGAAGTCATAGGGTGGGAGAAAACAAGATGAAAATGCACCCTTTCGGAGTGTTGCTGCTCGACAGCAGTTATGAGCTTCGGCAAGACTCATTCAATGATTAGCTGTCAAGTTATTCCATTGACAGCCTCTTGATTTCAAATAATGGGGATATGAAAATAATTTTTTGTTAGTAGTGTAATAGCCCCTTGAAAACAGTAGCCTGCAATATAATTACGTTGATATCAATCGAAGATGCAAGTAATGAGTGTAGGAGAACTGACAGCCCTAACGGCACAATAAGCCCTCTATTTCCCACTTGTCATAATGCCTAACGGGATCCACCATGTCCATGATGAATGTCGTGGGTTGGAGGAAGTGCAGCATTTCCTGGCGCCATCGGGGTATCGTGTAATTTTGCCCAGGCATGAATTTTGTCGAAATTCCTACATTCCTTTATTCCATCTCCTTCGGCAATGTAGGTCTGCGTGGTTTCATTCCATCCAACTGGTCCAATGTTAACATCGCCAAGGCACATAAAGGACTGCCTGAGGTAGTCAAAACAATGTTCTGAGTAGATATATCAGTTCACCAGGCATGTTTTCTCATCCTGCATATGTGGTCCTTACCAGTGTGTCGCTGTATAGTGGATGGCGATTCAAACGAAGGCCCCTTTTGTTCTCTATAGAATGCCTGTCGGATACGGTTCTATCGTGAAAATCATCAATCCGGTGTTGATGTGTTCCAGTCCATGTCGGACTCACCAAGCAGTGAATTTGATGGAAAACTTCCAAAACACCTACGTAGGACCCAGGAAGGCCATTGAACTCTCGAGCTGTTGGGACCCCCAGGAGACGAGCCTGCTGCTCATTTAGACGGATTAATCCAACTAGCGATATAATTGCAAATCAGCCACTAAGGAAATTTCTCTTTCTCGTGGGTGGAAGTAGTATACGCAAAGAAATGAAGATAGTCCTTACCATCTTCAAGTGAACCCCAGGCAACGTCTGTCTTTGCATTGGAAGGACCCAGGAACTCAGTTCTTCTATCATCTGTAATTCCTGTGTAAAACTCTCGCATTTCCCTCTCCACGGGTATATCTGCAGGGCCCAAAATTTCTACTTCCGACAGAGTGTTCCGGACGGTATCCAACTCGAGAATTGAGCTGGGCCAAGGTGCTTGCCAAGTAGACGAGGAGCTCCTCCAAACCACTAGAGTAATAATGTTCGTAGCAGTAAGCATCAAGGTCAGGAAATAAGGAAGATGGCGTTTTATCCAGTGTTTATTTCGCTTCTCTCGCCTTAAATTCCCTGAAATGAGTCCGTGTGTACTGCTTTCATCGTCCTCAAGATTGACTTGTTGACTCTGACTGTTTTCACCCTCATGGTAATCTTGGTCGATGGTGTTGTTCTTATCGGAGTTTGCTAACATTATATCCTTGGAACTGCCGGTTCGATAGCTGGACCTGAAGACTCCTGGCTTCCTTTCTCTAATGCTTTTGTCTAACAGACCCTTTAATCAATGTAGCTTCTTTCTTCTTTCATTTTTTTTTTTTTTTTATTTATTATTTCCAGTGACTCTTGGAAGAAGATAAACCACCCCTGCAGCTATCGCTGTCTGATTATGTATTAACTTCAATAGTATTGGAAGTTTGAGAGTTGCATTGTCATGTGTGCTTTTCCAACTTGTGAGTTATTCTTGCATCGGCGATGCACGATCCCTGCATCGCCTATGCATGCCCGGTTGACGCAAGCATTACATGATTTGCCGATATTGTATTGGGAAACCCCGCTCTTTTGAATCCAGCTGGTCTATCTATTTTACATCATTTACAATCGTATTATACTATATAGAATTAAGTTAACTCTTCCTATGAAATTGCTGGAGATGGGCCATAACCAACAGCTGGTGACACAGCTATGTACCCTCCTGATTCTGGTGCCCTAAAGTCTTCGACATAATGTTCACTAAAAATTCATTTGACTATTATAAGTCTTTGCCCAATAATAAAGGCAAGTACCCAAGTAAAATAGCTGATGAAATCGACAGGGTACCCACTAACAGTCATTAGAGGAAACTACATATAGTTGCTCGAGCGCAAATAGTTCATTCTCATATAAAGATGAGGAAATTCCAGCGCAAAGTCCTAGAGTCCCGACTCCTTCATTTTCCCACCACAGTTCCAGATTATCATTTAGCCTCTTAGTGACAAACACTTTCACTACTGTCTTTCTTTTTTGGATCCTATATCTTTACCGTGAATGTCTTCAGCAAGGATGTAGATATCAACTCCCTCAAGTTGAAATGAAGGGTGTTGCGGAGATACCAGTCGAGAGGGAGATTCGCCAATTTCATACTGGGGTGCATAATGAGATAACGGAGTTTTTCGGTGATGTCAACGATAAAACAAATGCGGCATGGCAAACAATCCTGGATGGTAAGATATAGTAATGCGATATTGACGCTATTTACCTAAGTCCAGCCGCTTGAAGCTAACGATGAATGTTCTGATAGCCGGTCTTATAAAGCTGACCCCAGACCAAGCAAGTCGGCTCCCTCATGAAACTGCGAGAAACCCTCATGATCCATCCACCTACGTTGGTATTTTAGAGGCGTTTCATCAGTTGCATTGCTTGGTAAGCCCTCCTTCCTATTCGGGCCCCATACTTTCGCTTGATATTAACTTTCTGCCGCATAGAATGCAATCTGGGAAGGATTCTATGACCCAGAAAAAGGATTTTCCCACCCAGTCCATGGCCACCGTGACCTCCACCCGGGTTAGTGTTGATGAATGTCAGTACTAGTGGAAAGAATTGGATGATTTTGCTAATAGATACCTCTTTTTATTTTGCGACTAGATCACTGCTTTGAATACCTTCGCCAGAATATTCTTTGCTGGTCTGATACCAATATCGGAACCATTGCCTGGAACGTGACGCTTGGACAATATAAGCCAAACTATGAGCCAGTCAAGGAGTGCTACAACTTCGATAAGATCCATGAATGGGCAAAAAGAAAGGAAAATTTCGTTCGTAATGAATACGGACAAGGGACTTCACCTATACTTTAATATACAGAGAGATGAGCTAATAACTCGTTCATTCTTGCTTAATTTTGAACTTGGTAATCCTAATTTTGAAGATGATGGCAGGGCATTTGACGAGGATCAGCATGGCCATACATAGGTACAGACAAGTCGTGGACATAAATTGTTAAAGGATATCCTAGTAAATTTATTGTATAGCCGCCCGAATTGGTAGCAAGCACACGTACCAAAGCAATAATAAACTTCCGACAAGCTTAAGTTCGCTAAGTTGGCCCAGGGACTTTATTTTGTAGTTGGAAACGAAGTCCCGGAATATAATCTAAGCTTGTCCTTGCAACTTAGGATAATAGTGAAGGGTTAAATATACATATATATCTATAATCCTTGCTCTAGTCATTTTCCTCCCAGTATCCGTTTTTATCATGGTCTGTACTTCTGCCACCAAAAGTATAAACGGCGATTAACGAAAATGGATAGGATTATGCACATAGTGGAGGATGAGGAAAGGAATTAAAGGCTTTAATACGTGAGAATCCTCATGCTAGTCTAGAACTATTGCTTGCACTTCTGACCTCCCATCAGCATTCCGCTTGTCTGTTTAATAGGACACGTACGCATTGTAAGGGGGGCAACTCGCATCTGACTCTTATACATCCCTCTTATAAGGATCGTAGGACTTGTAGGGCCTGTATCTTGGGTAGTTGGGGTAGTTGGCCGCTCCCAAGTCCACTTCGGTTTCTCTCTTTTGTTCGGCTGGGAGCGCACTGACAGAGAAAAGCAGCATAGTTAAAATAGCAAGGTTCCTGGAAAGATGCATGTTTTAATAAATCAGAGTTGAAGGTAATTAAATACAACACGGCGCAGAACTCGACAGGCTTAACAGGAATTAAAATCCAGTGTCCTACATTGTCTTATATATATATTACTAAGTTAGCCTGACCTAGTAATGTGGGAGACAATTGTATATGTTATTATGATTAATATATCTATATATCCTGAGACAATCTGAGCTCTACATGATCTATACTTTGTATAATAGCACCAAATTGCATCAGTTCAAGAATAGAACTATATTGTGAGACTACGCATTTTACCCGCTAGCAATAGCATTATAATAAGTTCAGATTTACCCTACCAACGTTATTGTGGTCTCAACTTGTCAGTATGTATTTGGGTCACTACCGTGTTAGATTCCTTGGCTTAACCCAGAAAGGTACATACTTCTCGACACATGAAGAAACCCATGACGAAATAACTTAAGGCAAACGAATACTGTAAATTGGGTCCAGTTATTATAGGCCTTAGCATTGTCCAACTAAGGAGAGAGAAGTTTGTACAGGTAATGCAATTACATGTTAAAAATCCTAAATCATAATATAACGGCATCGGGAAGCTCTCCGTACTTTAGGGCATAATATCCTGTATCATACTTCTACTGGTATAACTCTCAGTATTTTCATGGCAATCCATCACACAAAGGGACTATTATTCCATTCGGGATGGCACCGTCAATAACCGATATGGACCCAAGTGAACAACTGCTCTATGATAAAGAATCACACCAATGGATCCAGAATAAGAAAGTCTAGAACAAATACTGACCTGCACGGGGGCAGATTGTTCTGAATACTGTTGCTATCGTCATGGTTGCGGCACTTGGGATCCTAGTAGGCTATTACTAGTCTAACCTAGACCGCCGTTGCACTCAGCAGGTCTTTCGGTATTATGAGCCGAACCAACAATTCCTTGCTCCGTACAATGCTTAATTTATATGCAGCTCCCCTAGTAAAGAACATTGAAATTACCTACCATTTTCAGCAATTCAACGGCTCGTTTCTCAATCGGAACATTTTCCGAGGCAATGCCAGCCCTGAAGTTAATGCGGCATGGGATTCTCTGGTGTTAACTATCCGTTTCTTCATGGAGCAGCTAAAAATGTGTTATGGGCTAATACTAGCTTCTAGATCGTCCGCTAAAAGTTTCCACCGAGGACGCACAAATGGTAGGAATCTCCCCTGATAAATCCAAGATTAGTGGCAAATATGGGGGTGGATATCCGGCGAATCCGGCAGGCCTACATCATTGCATTGTTTGGTAAAATTGCCTCTGCTTTTACCCAAATTAGAACCTTCTCCAAAGTCTCTCTACTATAATTACGATACTACCATACACGAGGGGAGTGTGCCTTTATATAGTAACTACATTTTTTGTTATGTTTGTGAGTTGCCCCTCCCATCACATGTCTCTGTCGGTTCCCCCGACCACCACACACTGATGCCACTTAACAGCCCACTGTCTGGATATTCTCCGCCAACAGTTGATGTGTACGGTTGATATTGGGTCCTAGGCCAAGTTTGGCTTTGGCCCAAAGATCCACACCTGTTCGTTGATTTTAATACTCACCATCGATGTCGGAATTATGATCAAATTCAGCAATGGGTCGAAAATAACCAGCTCCCCAAGTTTCCAACTTCGGATTTTATACAGCGTTAACCAGCGGAGAGAGACAGGATATACCCCCAGATACCCTAAACTAAGTTTAGAATGTTGTCGAAAATAGCATGTTCCCTAAAAATCTTCTGGGTCAGCGCCCAGTAAGGAGTATATCCGTAATAGAAAGACTGCAGGACAAATATGGATTTCTCTCTGACAATTTCTTATATGACCTTGTTTTGCATTTGATTTTATTTGCTCGTTTTGAAAAAGTACAATTTTTTATTTATGTTAAGAGCTTCAAGACAGCGTATCAGTGACAATTAATAAACCATAAAAAAGCTTTCTCCCCATCAAAGAAGCTTGCACGATCGGTATAGGTAGACCGAGACGCAAAGACGGAGACTTTGCCAGACAACAATAATGTAACGGCCGAGCAACTTGATTAAATTGGTGCTATCTTAAGAATTTCAAGCGTGGGGAAAGAAAGAAGGTAGTGGGGGGCTATACGGATGTTGTGATTCTTATGCTATTATAATCTATTTCTACTTGTGTGGACAAGGTTATATATCCCTTCACGATCATATTATCGCAGGATACATTTTGTGCTATTTCCTAGATAGATATATATGTTAGACTTTATCGGTTTAGGTGGCATAAATTCCAGAGACATTTTTTTGGGGGAGCATTTTGTTAATGGAACATGTCTTGAATGTTAGGTATGCTTCCTAGGGCTTAGGGAGAGGATTTATTTAGATTGCACTGTATCCTCTGACGCAGGTTAAGATGCCCGTGGCAAAAATTTTCAAAGGTAACGATATTTAAAAATCTTGACACCCATACACCTTATATTATGCAGAGCGTTTCATGGTTTGTGCTCTCTAGGGCATGTTATACAGGGGCACGGAGGAGCAAGGGCGATATAGATATTGTTGTAATATGCCAAACAAATACAGAACATAACTTTTCTTCACTATTATAGCGCAGCATAGCGCGGCTTAAAAAAACCATAGGTAGAACAAGATACGTATAGTAGCATACGAGTGAAACATCCCAAAGTCAACTTCTATAAGGGGGTGTATGGTATTGGACGGTGACACACAGTGAAATACGGGAAGGTGCAATTGGTGGATTAGAATAATAGTCTGCATCGGGTCTGCCATATATCTGGACAAAGTATATCTGACTGGTCTTGGGTGAAACAGAACAAACAGCAAGCAAGGCTTAGGAATAGACAACTGCTGATGTTCCTCGTTAATCCATACCGTGGTTCTAATGAGCTCGACTTTCACTTGCCAATCCACCCGATTACCCAAATTGTTAGAAGAGAGATACAATATGATATGAGAGTTGCCAGAAGTATTAGACTTGTAGCAAAAATTTCTATTTCTAAGTGAAACTCGAAGAACTGAAATTACCAGGAGGGAACTTAATTCTATCAGGAAGGTATGGCTTGCTTCTATATTATGCTGAAGTTCTTCACTGACTTTAGAGAAGCGGGTGTCGTGTAGGCGGGTGCCGTCGTAAGCCCAGAGTTATTAATTAAATAGGCCAATATTCACTGGTCTCAACTAAATTTCAGTGAACTCCTTGTAATTTAGATGTGAGGCAATGTTTGAACGAAAGCTTGGGTACATGAGACTAAAGAAATTTCAATTAAAACTGGCCGCTTCTATAAATGAGGATAGTGCATTGTCAGTTTGGAAGACCCACAATGTCATGACTGCTTTTTCACTGAATGGCCAACTCTGACTTAGAAAGATCGCTCCAGACTCATTCCTGTCCTTGTAAGTAACTTCAGAGCTTTACAGGGTGAAAATTTCAAGGGCAACAAATATTTCACCGGGGACAATGCTCATATCTGTGTTAAGAATTGCTAACTATGGGACCAGGCTGACAGAAATTGCAAACTGCGAGTCGTCATATGGGAGATACGACTGATACAGCCACCGCAACCCGATTTGAGGCCCTGCAAAGCGTGGGGGCTTAAAACAAATTTAATAGAAGTCTTAACAATGTGAAGCTACTGGACAATCATACTAGGCAGAAGTATGATATCATGACTACCAAGCTTTACTGGGCGGCGTTAGCCCACCATTCCTGGGCCCAGCCAATAATATAAAATACCAAGTTCTAACTGTTAATATTTTCCACGCCTATATATACACAATATTTTAAATAGTTTATTTGTCAGGAGCTCAACCGTAGAACCTATAGGTTAGGTTATATACCGAAATGAACTGTTGAAAAAAAAGTGAAAATGAACAGTTAAGCAAATGAGATTCACGTATTATGGGTCATCGAGGGCCAATAGGGCCAATAGGCCAGAGCGGCCAAAAGGGCTCCATCCCTTTACGTTATTAAATGCTTAGCTATAGTATAATATAGAGCTGTAGAGTGAGCACTAGTCAGCATAAGTTAGTGTTAATTCATATTAGGCAGATATAGATTCTACTGGACATTTGCTGGACGGTCTTCGACTATATTTCCCAGGTCAACATCGTCTGCAAAACCCGAAACGTATTGGCCAGTTATCCAATCATTGCTTACCGGGGCCAGCACTACTTCCCGGGCCAGCACTACTTCCCGAGCGCCGGCCGATGCTAGCAGAAAATTGATCGGCGACCCGAGAAGTTTTATATCCAATACGTCTATCCGTTGACCCACCAGCCTGTGGGACCTATCTGTCAGCCTTGTAGGTCTTATGTAAGTTAATAACCTTAACTATTTGCTAGTTACCTGGGAAAATTGGATATCCCTCTTATATTGAACAAACATGGTTCAAACAGTTACTCCAATGATGCTGGAGATAAGTGAGGATGTTATAACCAAATAATTTCTACAAATCTGACAGCATTCAATGGCCTACGTAGTACATAGCAAGTATGACTAAAAAGAAAGAGAAAAAGGTGTAAAAAATTAACCAAAAAGCCACAGTATATATGAGCGCCCTGGACTACAACTACAATGGTCGCAATCAAATCAGAGCAGGAGGCACATACTTGTATTAAAGTTTAACTTCTGAATGAATGTTTGACCTTTTTTGTGTGGATGTAATATTATCCTCTGGACAATTGATTCTTTCTGTGAACATTGCGCTACCAGGGCTCACAGCCAAATACTATGTGAAACAAATCAAACCCTGTCGCATAGGCCAAGTAGCCTTACTGCACCTTATTAGCTGATTCTCTAAGGTCATTTGAATCTAGCCCCACTAGGCCTTTTTGTTAAATTAAATAACCAAAGACAGCGCTAGCCACAAGCCCAGTCTTATCTCTTCTAAGAAGTTCTCTTTATCTTCACACTACCCTTATCTAGGATCATCTCGGTTCTCCTGTAGGAAGCCCAAACGTATAAGATTTTGGTGTTGAAACAATGCTGTCTTCGTTGTTCTGCCGTGTTAACCAACCTGGCGGTCTATATATGGACATTCGGTCAGTAATCAAATGCCCCCATTAATCTGTTCTCTGATAGCAATTGACTCAATTTGGAAGACTGAGCAATGACTGTATTGTTCTCAGAGGAAACAATCTGGAAGCCAATAGTGCTTATTTACGCGGAAGTCTGGTCCTTTGCGTGTCAGAAAGCCTCTCAATCAAGCACTTAAAGCTTTATCTTATAGGGAGCGTTCACATCCGGTCTGGCCTTCTTTCAGCATATCTACTCTTTCAATAATTTCTGACGTTCCCTATGTAGTTTTCCGCTTCCACCCAGCTATGGCTCCCACGATTGTGTCATCAAAGGGAAAGAATTCCTCTCAAAGTTGTGGACATATAGAGATGCAGGAGGAAATAGAACAGAAATACTTCACCCTGGAAACTATGAGTTTCCCTTCGAAGTTTTTCTTCAGGGCTCGCTACCTGAAACGATAGAGGGTCTTAAGGGCTCGTCGATCATTTACCGCTTTAGAGCTGTGATAGGGAGGAGGTATATCAGGAACCTCATTGTTGAGAAGCCATTGCGCATTGTCCGAACTTTACAATCGGACGCACTCGCTCTGATCCAGCCATCTGTGTGACACTGTCCCTCACCCTCACCTGGAAGAGACATGGTGCTGATATTATGCCTAGTATGTGGAAGGGGTGTGGGAGAATAAGCTGGAGTACTCAATCAGTACACCCGCCGTTGCTTTGGTTCTGGGCACCACTGTTCCTGTTGAGGTTTCCCTGACTCCTTTATTGAGAAGCTTGCATATTGGGAAGGTCGATTTCGAGCTTGTCGAGCGTCAACAAATTGTCCTCAACCCTGGTGAACCCGAACCCTTAACGTTTAAGCGAACGTTCACCGAGACGGTGTTGAGGGATACGTATCTAGTCCAAGAGACTGATCTCTTAGCGACCGATGATATACAGGAACGATACCAGTTCTCACACTTATTGGACTTGCCTGGATGTTTGAATGCATGTCGACAGGATGTAGATGAGCTAGGGATCCAGATCAAACACACGCTGAATTGCCGGATCTATTTGCACAAGCCAGATGGCAACAGTGCCAGGGTGAGCTTATTAATCTGATTATAGTGTTGCATCAGTGTGTTATTAACCTATTCTAGGTTTATGTCGGTCTTCCAGTTGTCTTAATCCTCTCCCCTACAGTCGAAATTGACGACTGCTCCAACATTAAAACTCATGTTGCAGCCATGGACTCCCCTCCGCAATATGGTGAATACACGTTTGATGTACCTTATAGTGAGTAAAGCCCAGTCTAGTAGGTCCCGTTATCTTGTGCCACTATGCAACCACCTGAGCATGGACAGTTCATGTTTGCCTTGACTGCTGCTAATTTGGACGTCCTAGGCCCTGGTTCTCAAACATCATCTCTCAGTACGACTACAGAGGGAGAAGACCCGCCGGGGTCTGTAAAAATTGTGATGCATGAGGCTGCTTCAGGTATTGATGGTAGATCTTCCCCGTGGGAAGTCAACGCAACAACATTAAGTACAGTCCCGAGTTATTCAGCGGCAGTTCGAGCAGGTGCAAAGCCCTGGGATAAAGCCCTACCAGACTACAATATGGCGGTTGCTCGTAACTCCACTCCACTGCAGCTACCACGGCCTCCACAACAAGTTCATGTAAGTGATTCAAATCTCAGAGTCTCTGAGGAATATGCACAATATTAGTCGCCAGTCAGGTTCATACAGCTGCTGTGCCAGTAACAACGATCAACATCAACATCAGTTCAGCATACGGTCGGCTGCTCTGAAGTGGGATTGCTGATTCCGTAGTTGACATGTACCGATAATAGCCAATGTATCTTAAAGCAGTGTCATATTCCATCTCGTTCTAGAGTCGAGATAAAGTTTTAGCACAGATTCTTCTTTACGTCCTTCGAAACAGTTACTTGCGACCGCTAAAGGATTGAAATATACACCGTATACATCCTGATGCTATAGTACGACTAAAACGTTTTTCTCAAAAATACCGATAGGGTTAGTAAAATATCAAAATATGAGCAAGCTGGGCATCTGGTAACGACAAAATGACCAGAATTATTCCCTAATACTTACAGCTTGTCACAAATGGAATCTAACATATATTTAAATTTTTTTACAGAAAAAATTTCTCGTCATTTGAGATACAGCACATAAATATGAGAGTGTAAACCCCTCTCGACAATTTAGCTGTATATAGTAATCTTGACATCTATCCAGCGCTCTTAGATTTATCACTTCACAGTTCCTTGGGTACTGTTAGTTTTTCATTGCAAGTGATATTTTGTTACAGTACTGAACTGCTCTTTTCCACGGTGAAGGCTAAAATAGGCACTATAATAACATATATTTCTACAAGTAACTAACCTGCTTGCTTAGCGGTGGCATATGCTTGGTAGAGTTATATTTCAGTCGAGAATATTTTCAGTCTTCTACAATACACACAGATTCGAGAAGCTCCATTGATGATTTACAGTTTGTCCTCGATGTCTGGTTCTAAAATCCACAGGATGGTTAGCGGACTTCTGTTATCCGACAACACCGCCGACTGAATAGAGTTTGCCTATGGAATAGAGTTTGCCGTTCGGCGACTGAACCTAATTTTGTTTTGTTTTACAGAAACGGATGCCAAACTTCCCATGGATCCATAAAGTACCTTGGGCGTTAAAAAAACCTAGTTCCCCTGACAGTGTCTATAGTTGGCTAACCATAAGAAGGCTGTCTTAACACTCCACTTGCCTAGCTTTTGTCACGCCTTGTAAATTGGCATAGACTACAGCAAGGCAGATTAAAAATGTTGACAAGTCTCTCTATAGGTGACCCTTATCAAACTGAATCAATTAACGGACAAAGAGGGGCAAGAGTAATGCCGCAGTGGACTTTAACAAACTGTTTTGTCTGCAAAGAAAGCTAGACCCATTGAAGCCATCCATGCGACCTACTACGATGGCTGACGCCGACTACTGGAGTTATGTCCTGACATTTGTCTCCATTCTTAGTTGCACGATTGCGACAATTGTATTTGTAATTGAATTGGATATTATATCAGGGGTCTGCCAGAGGGAACACGCAGACGAGTGACATTGGTAGGCCCGACTATAGGGATATACAGGCAGATCTATCGGCCATCCTGACAGTTGCCCAGTATTTTGGCTTGGACAAAAGTTCTGGATATTTTCACAAGTATTTATCAAGTTATCTATCCTCGGGCTTATACGAAAGCTCTTTATCGTGATCTGCAGGTTGCAAATAGCTGTCGCCACTCTCCACTGCTTCACTGTCGTCTGGGGGGTAGTAGCCCTTGTCGGAGATATCTTCTTGTGTTGGCCCCCGCAGCAATTCTGGAACAAATGTATGGACGGCCAGTGCATGCAAAATCAAACATGTTATTTTATAGTCCTCGGGTCATTGTCTCTCCTTGAAGACATATTAACCCTCCTGGCTCCTCTTGTGGAAGTCTGGCAGACGCACATGGCACCGCGCCAGAAGGTTCAACTTATGCTTCTATTTTCGCTTGGTTTCCTGTAAGAACTTTCTTGTCCTATTACTCGAAGACCTGTAGCTAACTGGTTGCCTCTGCGCTAACGAGGGTCTGTATTTTCAGTCTCCGTGTTGTTGAACTGAAAAACTATAATCCTGAGAACATGACCGGTAAATATCATTCCAGTTTACAAGTAATTTTTAATCCTTATTCTTAGCATGTCATACATACAGCTAGTGGAGCCCTTGAAACAATCTGGGCGTTCCTAGAGCTTCAATATGCTGTTACCTGTGCCTGTCTGCTTCTTTTAACGCCTAACGCCCATCTATCGTCACTGTGGCCGCTTCTGGAAATCGAAATGTTGTTCCCCACGTAAGAAAAAGCGCACTGGACACTCAGATTATAGCCGTACATACACAGCATGGCCCTATGACATTGGATATTCAACTGGTCGGTGCTCAGAGGTACGTGTGAGGCCTGTTATGCCCCCAAGGCATAATGGAGCGCGCAAGAGGCATCTTCCGCGGCGCGGGAAATTATGGTACAAACTTGTATTCACTAGGTTGTTGAGGACCGGGTGGATATAATTTACTCTAAAGAGGCTTCTTCAGAGTCTGTATGATAGCTTCAATACTTCCATTGTGCAATGTACTCGTAGAGGTTGAGTAACTACGATTATGATAAAGATAATCTGGGATAGTGTAGTGCACTCTGTTGTTGGGCAAAGGACAGGTATCTGAACAAGTTCTTGCTTAGAAGATCTCATTCTATAAAGTACACATGCTATTAATTCTATGTGCGCGGAAACCATGGCCACCTCCCCTCTCTCCCCTCTCGCGTCGCAGTCTGCTCCTATATTCTATCTGTTAAGGAACCGTAAGTTACAACTAAATCGCACGTACAGAAGCAAACAATCGACAAGGCCAAATATAAAAGTGTGAAAGAAACAGCTGAGACGAGGAAAGGGAAGTAGATTTAAGAACACCCATGGACGTGGTTGAATTAGTAGCGAGACTAGTCCGACAAGGCCAGAAACAGGTTTGTTTGTCTGCCCCTACAACCATACTTTAAATAACCAGATATACAACATTTTTACGATCTGCTGCTGGATGCAATATATCAGCAACTCTGCAGCAAGGAATCCGACAAATGAGCCCGCAGGACGTGCAAAGTGCAGAGCCCCCTGCAAGGCAGGCACGAAAGGGATGACGAAACCGACTATGGCGGCTAGGATAGTGCTGATAACAAAAGCAGCAGAGGCGCGACTTTGTACAATCGGAAATTTTGACGTACGGAACACGTGGACATTCAATATCTGTGTTAGGAGCCTTCATGGCCAGATCAGCTTCTTGTTTGCCGAACAGGATCGCAATACATACCCCTGCACAAACCAGTGTGCGCGAAATCGGTATATAGCCTCGGTATCCTGCGTACTACGGATATAGTAATAGAACCAGCCAAGGGCAAATGTGCACATGTCGATAGTACAGCTAGGGGGACCCAGAATCATCGTAAAACGAACCAAGTCTGTGAATATTATTCTCCCCTTCAGTTAGCACCTGAGGTTTACACAGCTATCAGTCACAAGCTCGGTAGAGTAGGGGAACGAACCCGGTGTGTTCCACTTTCGAGGCTGCTGAAGGCATTCCGGATCCATATTATCCCATGGAATAGTAACCTGGCTGATGTCATACATAACGTTTTGTACGAGGACTTGCAAAGCTGTCATCTAGATGACCGTAAGCCTGCATCTCAACAAAAAACTAGCATATATATGTCGATAAGGCCACGAACCGGCGAGAATGGCAACCACGCGCTAGCAATCATAAAACTGAGAACATTGCTTAGGTTAGACGACACAGCGAGCTGGATCTCTGGTAAGAAAAGCGCGACGTCCATCGTGTGCATGATCTCGCTGGGTACGGGCCAGTACCTTAATGTACTTGATGCTATTTGCAAATATCAATCGACCGGTAGTTATGCAGTCAACGATTACGTCCAGCTGCTTCTCTGCCAAAATCACTTCCTTCTGTCAGCAGATCTGTGGAGAATATTTACGTGGCTATATACTCGCCGTCAGAGCAATCCTTCGCCGCATTAGAACTAGAGCTAATCGATATGGCAACATCGGCGTTTTGCAGCGCTGAACAGTCATTAACTCCGTCGCCAAGCATCCCAACACAATGGCCTTTCTTCCGTAGGCGGCCCGTGATCCTAGCTTTCTGTACAGGTGTTAGTTTTGCGAATATTACGCAGCTTTCAAGCACTTGATCCAGCTGTACGTCGTCGAGTCCCTCAAGGTCTGCACCGATAATACCGCGCCTTTGGCCATCATCAACACTGCGAACGATGTCCAACTTTTGACACAGCCTGCCAGCCACTTCAAGGCTATCCCCTGTCAGTACCCGGATATCCACTCCGAGACTCTGTAGACTCCAGATTGAGGCCGCTGCATCCTCTCTTGGTGAATCCCGAAAGGCTAGGTAGCCCTCGAGCGTCATGTTTGCTTCCAGGTTTTCAATCGGGCTTGTCTCTGTAACCTGGGATGATGAGAGCGGCCTGGTCGCAACCACGAGCACTCGGAGGCCTTCATCGAGGAGGTTTGATATACATCCGTCTATGATTGCTCGAGTCTCGTCGTTCAGGTTTACCGTGTGAGAACCCACGCGGACGCGACTACAAAGCGGGATCATCTCCTCGTACGCGCCTTTGCACAATAAAACTATCTCATCGGTCCAGGAGTGCATTACGCAACTGGACCGACGTCTTTCGAAGGTAAATGGAATATCGAGGATTTTCTGATGATGAGGTACGGCGATACGATCCCCGGACGGGTCACGATAACTAAGAATGGCCGTGTCAATATCGTCCCTTGTGCCGAGCTGGTGACTTGCTGTTACATAGGCGAGCCTTATAACTTGCAGGTCTTCCTTGCCAGCCGGATCCAGGCTCAACTCGAGTGATAGATTTCCCTGAGTGAGTGTTCCCGTCTATTAGAAATTTAATTAGTACCATGCCATGCGCTCGGTCCAGACGGCGACGTGTACCTTGTCACTGCACAATACCGTCATTGCTCCTAAGTTAGCAATGCTATCCGGGCGTCGAACAAGGACATTCTTTTGGCGGAGCGAGAGCATCCCACGGACTAAGTTCGCGTTCACAATCGCTGGAAGGAGCTCAGGGACCAGGCCAATAGCCGCGTTAACACTGAACGACGCTGCGTGCCTCCAATTCTTTGTAAAGATACCCGAAACGATGAGGACCTGAGACACTCATGAGCAAGTTTATTGATGGTAAGCCATCTACAAGATGGTGCTGGGGCCGCTTACAAGTGGATACAGTACGAGCATAAAGGCAAAGAGCATGTATGCGGTGTTTCGGACGCCCCGCTGAAATGAATTCAAGGGCCGGCTACTCTTGAGTTTCGCAGCGATAGAAGCGAGCAAGGTTCCTGCCAGACACAGCATGGTTAGGTTAATTAGAACACAGTGCAGCACGTTTTAGCTTTCCACTAACTGTCTCCTGTTGCCAAAGCCACGGCTACCCCGCTCCCTGAAATCACGCTCGTTCCCGCAAAGACGGTATTAGACGCCCCTAGAATGCTATCCGAATGGCCGGGGAGCGCGAGATCGGGGAACTTCTTTACGGGCGCGCACTCCCCTGATAAGATCGACTGGGTGACTTGCAGACAGGCAGCTTCGAGAATGATGCAGTCAGCCGGTATTGTGTCTCCTGCGGAAAGAAGGACAACGTCTCCGGGGGCCAAATGCGGCTTTGGCACGTCGATCTCCGCAACAATTCGCGCAACGGGCTCGGATGCCTTGATCAATTGTCGACGCACCCTTGCTGACTCTGGCATGTGCTCCTGTAGCTTAACTACGGCTTGGGTGCATGCATATTCTTGCCAGAACCTCACTATTGATGAAATGACTATAATCACGATCATCAGGACAAACGTTGCCTAGCTTCTGATTAGTATTCGGCACTCGGCACTTACGGTGGACTTACCCAGTTCCGTGTTGGGACCACAATGCTGGCGACAGCAATAGCTGCAAGAAGAACGTTGAATGGACTGGGCAATATCTTCAGTATGAGCCGCCAAGACGACAGTGGTTTCCGGGCCGTGAGCTCGTTGGTACCCATGATCCGCACCCTCGCCTCTGCTTCACTATGGTTGAGACCGCTCATCTGTGTACCGAGGAAAAGGAAGATGCCGTCAGAAGACATGCTCGCAAATTTCCATAGATTTTTTTCGCAAGCCTTATATCCGTGTAGTCGAGGTGTCGCCCAGCCAAGGCCAACACTGAGCTCTACTGGAAAACATAAGTTCCTGGACGAGATTTTATGGATCAAAAGACTTTCTTGCCTTCGTTGAATTGTTGAATTCTCCCCGAAACATCAGGTTGTGCTGCAAGGCCGAGGCCCCTTAAAACAGTCTTTACTCTCAAATATAGATGCTCCATAATCGTGCTCGCGAGTAATTTCAAGTGATGGCAGAAGCGAAATCCTAGTATATTATATATGTATTCTCCTGATGAGCGGATAGACGATATTAGAAACAGGTCATAGGGTCACAATACGGAGAATTGACCGGCTTAAAAAAAACATCTGGTAACCAGGCTCCTCCGATCTCTCTGTCGACTTGTTTTACAAATGAATTTCCAAGGTCGCCATGCGGCGTCTATGGATGGTTACAGGAGGTAATATGCTCAATATCCAAGTCCTACCGTTCAACGTCATCGTCCTCCAGTTTTCCATTCCTTCTCCCCTCACTTCCCCTAAATAGGCAGAATTAGCGAGAGATAGACAGAATCTGAGGGAGCATGGGAAGACCAAAAGAGTAGCACTGTAATTACGTAACGGTCCAGATTTGATCTCCACCTATAAACACACTCCAAAAATGCGAGAGGCTTGGCTCAGGACAACGGAACTCACTACACCCCAAGCCATGGACGCCACTGAAACCTCAAAAACTTAATTATCCAAAGCTCTTTTGATTATTTTCTAGTAACTTGACATGGACACTCCCTAGGGCTTTCCCTAGTTAATCTTACCTCACCGGCTGTATTCTCGGAGTTCCCTTGGCATCGTAAGTGGGCTGCTCCCCAAATAGGACTATAACTTAATTCTGTAATCGTCCCCACAAGGCTGAAACCTTGCGGAGTAAGTGGACGAATAATTTGGCCTAGTCAATAGAGGAGCATTTAGGTCCCGACCGGGCTACTACTAGCGTCGGCCGAGGCTAAGATGATGATTCCATGGATCTTGATTAGCCCTGAATTGAACTACCAATATGGGGATTCGTTTCGTCGTCGATTCACTGGTAACCAAATTTCAGAGCCCCGTGGCAACCAGGGGTGAAGGTAGATTTCGTCCGTTGCTCGGCGATGCGATGTTCTGATTCAGGTATGACGATGGCGTCGGAGAAAACGCCGAAACAGTCCGGCAGATGCCAAATAACTCACATCTGTCTCCACTGCGATAAATACTGACTCATACTGACCGGCGCTCATTCCACGGCTCCCGTAGCGTTCTCCTCCAGTAGTCGCTCCATAGCATGCCGTGCTGGCCGTTTGGTAGACTGCTCAAAATACCGCACGTAGAGTAGCTAAATTTTGCCATTCTGGATCATCGGCTGGGCCCAGGAACGGAAGGGCTAACGCCGTCCAGCAAAGCTTGGTAGTCTTGATGTCATGCTCCTACATTTAGATATCTCCCCGGTGGGAAAAGTTTCCTTGGTCAGATTACCTTGCCCCACCGCCCCCACACAAGTTACAGATCCTGTGTACTCAAGCTGAGACCCTAGATAGGGCTGAAAAAAAAAAAGTTTAATCAATAGAACGATTAAGAGAGTGAAGCTACCAGGACAATAGCATTATGCAGAAGAACTGTGCCATCTTTGCAACGTACATCCGTGTATTGATTTATGGGGCTAACCACAGATACGCTCAACTTGTTATTTACGTCTACTTGTCAATGCTAGTCAAAAGCTTCACCCTCTAGCCCACGTTCTACAAGTCAATGGAATACGTATGTTACTCAAATTTGTGTTCGCTAGTGTCTAGAATGCCTTTCACTTGTTCTTTGTATATTATTATTACTATTTTCTCGTTTTGCTAGTTTGTATTAGAATATGGTTTCGGAGCTTGTAAAATATGCATGTGCCTTTTTACTCGTAGAATGCATGTCATATTGAGTTGTTCTTACCTAACAATGACAAGTCCATTACTCCAAGTTATTTTGTCTTGTTCGTCTCTTCCCCACTATCATTTTCCCCTTCATTCCCTTCAGTTATCAAGATATCAACGCATCGCCCAATATACTGATGTGTAATATATAGTACAGCTTTCGAAAGTTATGCGCCCAGTAACTGCCAGGGGGGCCAAGATTCCGCAGTGTCATCAATGAAATCCTGTTTACCAGCTGTATTACCGGAGGCACCTTGAGCAATGGCGCTGCTTGCTCTCGTGTCGAATGCCCCTGTATTGCGGTTATCATCGACCAACTGTCTGCGTGGTGGCTGGTATGACTCCTGAAGAAACAGGCACCCGAGACTGTCAGTGTGGCTCTGCGAAGCTAGTGGCGCGTAGCAGGCTTCTGTTGAAAGGCTGTAGGATTTCCACTGCAATAATGGTAGTCTATTGTCAGCTATAGCGCAAAATACAGAGTAATAAAAATCACAGGTGGTCTTATCGTAGAGCACGAGCACAGCTCACGTACAACTTTACCGACCCCTTTCCTTAGCGCGCCCGCGAGTTTGTCCCATGACAACACCTTGATGCTTCGGCGAATATGGCGAGGCTGAGAGCTACCAAACCCCATAATAATATTAAAAAGTTCTCGTGTATCTGTGTCACCACCGTGAATGGTGAGAGGATCAAAGATTTCCAGGTTCCGCCGGATTCGGTTCTTTTCTGCAGCAGTAAATTGGATGCAGAATATCGCTTCTAGGAGGGTAAGGATATCAGTGCCCGTGAATACACATTGCCTTCTCTTCGGCCAGTAGATACAACTGAGACAGCCACAAGAGCGTTTTCCGCCCTTCTCCGTGTCGTGAATTGAAAACTTGATACTGATCATGGATGCACCTATAGAGCAATGGAAGTCCACAAGACGCCTATTGGCCTTGAGTTCCTCCGCAGACCAATCTTTAGTCAGACTATTGAGATCTCCATCGATTTTAATTGCCATTTTCCGTGGGCTTAAGCATGCAGCCTGGTGTGGCGAGCCCAAGGTATCAGTAGTCGGTAGACCCGAACACCCTATACAGAGCCCGGCCAGAATGGATGTATCCCCTGGATCCATTACATGCGTAGCCATATTAGGATTACCCTCGTTGGAGGGAGCTTGTCCATGGCACAACAGATATCTCGCGTCTGTTTCTGAGGTGTCCAGATGAGTTCCAAACCCCTGTTGCCCATCGACCGCAAACGAACTAGTAAACGGCCGCGCTAAGAGGCCCATATTTAACTCGCACTGCAGATCTATTTCACTTGGCTGGTGCAGTTGAAGGGGTTCAGTATACGTAGGGGAAACGTCCGAGGACCAAGTAGAACTTAGTGTAGATGTATTTTCAAGTCGGGGAATAGAGATCATAGGGCCGTAACTGAATAGCCCAATGTCCATAGCATGTATGCAATCATGACTGCGGACGATGAAACTTAGGGGTACCGCTGACGGTGGGAAACCGGTCAAGTCAGGAGGAGGTATCTCAACTGAGGCCAAGTACTCCACATTCCCAGTTCGCAATGTCATTGGAGTGAGTTCACACTGACACTGTTTCAGTCCGAATGCGACGGCGTAGAGAAAACTCGATTCCCGAATAGCGATGTAAGATGAACTGAGCAGGACAGTCATTTTGGAGCCTTCGAGTGCTTGCTGTGGGAAGTACCCAGATGGTTGGAATTGTTGAACAAAAGCGGAGCGTAATGGGGACTCCATATCTTGGGATAGATTTGAATCTGGAGATAAATACCGCGGCGGCAAAAATGGATACGCAGATATGCTATCAGATTCATTTGCCAGAGCTATATAGCTTGTTTCACTTTAGTATGAGGTCAGAAAGCAAGACCCTCAGGTGATTAATTGGTGGGTACGGCCCGATTGGATATTAAGACGGAAGTTTGGAAGCCAGAAATGGGCCTACTTCTTCCAATAGGATGCCAACGGTCTTCTCTCAAGGCAGCAATAATAATATAACTAGATTAGAAGACCCGTTCTATTCATCTCAATTACTGTGTTCGCCCTTATTCGCGAAATGAATAGTAAGATTCGCCCATTGTTGAGAGGGGCATGAAATAATCTGTTAGACTCTTCACTGTAGCATACACTGAAAAGAATGCTTTTAGGATTTTATACTCGCGGCTACTTGATAAATATGCTCTTAACTATTATTGAAATACCAACACCATATATGTATAACGGACGGACTGTGTAAAGGGTCCGGTCAGATCAGATCCTACCATGGTTTTGTCTTCGCGTCGACCATGTACGGGTCCGATGAAGCCGTGGTCCAGCCTGCTACTAGATCTGAAGGAAGAAAAAAGGAAATGAAAAAAACAAAAAGAAAAGTTGCAACAAGGACGCTGTACATTCTGGATGGGTATTCACTTACATTAATATGTCGGGAATAGTTGTATTTTTAGTTCACTCCAAGTGATCTCAACACTCAGTAGAGCTTACTCCCATTGCCACATACTGGATAAAGCCACCACTATCATGAGGTACCGATAGTTGAAACACCACCGACAAACCACCATTGAGGCAGTACGTGGCGGACGTGCACCATAAACAGAAAGCCTCCAAGGGGTATATATAAATATTTTCGGATTTCGAAAGCAACAATGTGAAACTGACCGTATTATTTGCAGGTATCACATAACCAGAGCTATTTATTATAGCTATATTTCTATCCAGCACACACACGCATATAGTCATTAGTATTCCTCTGTAGCTAATTCAAAACGACTTATTACGTTTCTTATGTCACGTTGGAGCCGTAATCAGTGAGGTCCGGCTTCTGATTCTTTCCCCGAATATGTAGAACACATACGGTATAGGAATAAGAATAATAGATATAAATCCAAGAACACTCGTGGCCCATTGTATGCCCAGAACTGGGTACATCCTGTTTGCTATCAGAGGAAAACAAGCAGCAAATAGCGACCTTAAGAAAGTGTTGACCGCGATAGCACTGGCTGATATTTCTCGGAACGTATCGACGAGATAATTGATTGCCGCCAAGAATACAGTGAAGAAGCCGAATCCCATGGCCACAGCTCCAAGGTTAGGTAGTATCCAGGGGATCCTGGGCGTACTGGTCCACCCGAAAACAAAGAGACCAGCAGTAAAGGACACAGATCCTGCCATCATAGGTATCAAGCGGGCCTCCGGAAGGGCAGCTTGGTTATTCTCACGCATGCGATGAATGTAGAAACGCTGGTTAGCAATACTTGCACAGGCTCCAAAGTTCATGCCCACCAACAATGCCAAAAATGGCAGAGCACTGACCACTTGATTCCAACCTCGGTCGTGTTTAAACACAACTGGGAAAAGTGCCAGGTTTATGTAGAGGATGCCATATACAAACGAAGCATATAAGGCCATTAACAGACAAATAGGTGTGAGCAAAAGTCGAAAAGGTCGAAGGAGATATTTCCACGCGAGTGTTCGAAACTCTCTACCTTCTACTTCATGCCTGGCAACAAATCTGAATTGCCCAGTGTCACGGCGGAGATGTTGGGCTTTGTGGACGAGGAGAATAGGGGCAAAGCTCTCTTCCAGGAAAAGCAGATCAAGAAGAAATATTGAGAACATCATAATTGCAGTGATCTCGGTGATGGTTAGAAACTATTGTCCGATAATTTCCTTGCAGCACTTACATATTCGGTCCATCGCCAGCCTAGCCTACCCTGGATAATCGCACCCCCGACAATGGGCCCAATTGTTGGTCCACCGACCACTGCCATGGTGTAGGCAACTGATGCAATCCCTCGTTGTTCGGCTGACCAGATGTCACTCATAACACCCCCCGTTATGGCAACCGGGGCAGCCGCGAAAGCACCGCCGAAAAACCGGGTAATAAGCAGAGTCTGTATATTTGAGGACACTCCAGCACCCACTGCAAAAATGGTCCCCGCAAAGTAAGCAGGAAGCATAGCCCTTTTTCGCCCATATGCCTCGGACAGAGGTGCCCAGAACGCCGGTCCACAACCAATTCCTAGGAGCATAAAGCTGATACCAAGGGTGCTCACCTCCTTACTTACCTTGAATTCTGTGGCTACTTCGTGAATGGACATCGAATATCTATTAGTGTTAGCCGCCCCTGTACTACGTCAGACCTAAACTGTCGTGGGGTCGCATACACAGATGTTGCCCATGTTGCACCTAGCAAAGTAGTTAGCTGCCTTTCTGCTGGTCAAGGGAGATCAACCATACACATAGTACTGAATCCATAAAGCATAGTGCACACCGCTTTTTTCCTGAGTGGCCAGTTGGTGGGCTTATAAGGATCATCTCGTCCTTCGAAGTCGATAAAAATAAGAGTGTAGGGCCATCCCAGGGGAATGCCCACCCGTGCCTGTTTCCGAATGAGCTTCCGCTCAGTTCTCATTGCGATATTAGTCATGATAATCCTACCGGCATCGGATCTGTCCTCGTAGAAATGACTTCGGCCATAAGAATAGAAGACAGCTGGAACAGTATCGCTCTTTCGCAATTCAAGTACTATATACACGGGCCATGCGTTAGGAGAGCGGGAAGTGCGAACTTGTATACTCGAAGATGTCACGCTGAGAACTATACAGACCGCTGATATTCTGTGTACCCTGGGGGCGTTCATGACGCCCATACCGCGACACCTTGTTAAACCTTTGAAGAACCGACTAGTCTGCTACGAGGAGAAAGTTTTTGCATCGTTGGTTGGGTGTCGCATAGGGAGGACCTTGTTGGACATAACAATGAGAGAGACCTCTGTGGAGACCACGAAACCAGCTCCCGTTTGCACGTCAAGTCTCGTGGAACATTAAGTTGCTGGGCAATTTTACAAATTTATCTCTCGTCTTATTCCGAGTCCACATTGTGACCGAATCTGGCTATGGTTCTTAGAGAAAGATGGATGTATTAGCCTGCGAGATTATAGCTTCAGTGCTCTCCTGTGGCTTCAATCATAGTATTAAAGAAAACCAACAGCTTCCCGGATCCAGAACTTATGGCACTACTAGCAGCTCTGGTAGAACCCCACAATTCAAAGAAAATGTAAAATAGTACTTTGTGGTAATCCCAATTTCAAACTTTGGATCCAGATTGGCTTTGGACTAGAATTTCTGTAACAGTATAGCAATGTACTGGAACGACCCTAGAGCACAAACTGTTATCGCGAAGGGAAAGTTTCCGATGCCACATGCTTCTTTGGTACCATGCTCTGTGGATCTAGCCCGTCTGTCCGAAGCGGTTTGCCAGAATTGTTCACTCGCTCACTCCAGAGGCAGAAATTCGCTGCACTTCATGGAATTCTGCAAACGTCCTTAAGTCTCCTTTGGGAAGGTTTGGGATCGCCGGCGTATACCCTTCACTACATTCCGTTCGTGCGCCTCCAGTACAACCAAGGAACTGTTGCCAATTATGGTCTCTCACAAACTTGAATGGATAGTATGAGTGGCATGTATAAACTATTTCCTTCTCTACACGTCGTCATCGATCTAAGGAATTACGGTTTATAAATCCAGCCGCAATCAAACATCAGAGTATAAGGATCCCATGTACGTGGGAATAGAATCCAAGATTACCGACAGTTGTGAGATATTCTGAGCAATTCAGTTTGGCTTACTACCGTGGGTCTGGTGCTGAGAACTAACACTATCTGTGCCAGGAAGTGCACTACTAGCCATTGCAAGAATAATTCTAGTCTCGTCTAAGCTATGACTCCATCGGGCACATGCCGTAGTCGGTGTATGCGACAAGGACGGATACTCATGTAGATGTGCCAAGCCGCCGTAATAGGGTCCTTTACTGTTACAGATGAAACATGGGCACGAAATACTACAAGATATCATAACTAACAAAGAAGGGAAAGTAAAAAACCGCAAAAAAAAAGAAAAAGAAAGAAGTAAGTATATATAAACTTATCCAATGAGAAAAGCTTATCGCAAACAGGCAAATACAAAAGGGCCACCTGGTTTTAGAGCATTAACAATATTCTGATATATACCCAGCATTTTATCTTCGCTCGTAGTAACGTTAAAAATTCAGGCTGTAACGACAATGTCGAAGTCCCTGCACTCAAGGGACTACTTCAATCTGGGACTCGAAAGTGGAAATAGTCGTCGAATCCAGTGTTAAGGCGTGCAGTCTTTACTATCTCCGAGATTACGCCTTATTGCTTATCATCAGTAGCTTCCTAACTAGACGCCCACGCTAAGGAGGATAGCCAAAAACGGCTCCCTTAGACCATCATGTTCTTTTTGATTCCAAGTCCCATCATACTATGTCCTTTCTTGCTCCCATCTTTCCTCCGACCCGCAAAAATTCTCGCCCATGAAAGTGCTGTTACCCTCGCTTTCTACTTCAAGTCTCCCTTCGTTGCTAGTTCCCCGTAGACTGTCTCGGTCATGGTGCCTCGCTCCCGATCAGTCAGGCCTTGCGAGAAAGAGAGTCAGAACAAATGCAATATCAGCTCCGCCATGAATAAGATCTTTTTAAAAAGCGGATTTGATGGATTCCAACAGCAGCCTGAAACTCGACAGTGAGGGCTCCGACTCGGACGACGAACCAGGTGACAATTTCTTCAACGATGAGGCCCAGCTGCCTCCCGAACACTACTTGGCCGAAGCTGAGAGCCTGGGTGTCTCTTAGCTTAAAAAGAAGCCTTACAGCGACGGCACCCAGGAAAAACTCGATAACACCCACATGTACTGGAATAGGTAACCATCCTGACACCAAAG